ATCCTCTCGAGTATCATCTCTGCTATTCCGACCTCTGCAGCTCTTCCAACTGGAGCCGGTCTCTCCGTTGGCGCCTCAGTAGCGCCGACATCAGTTGGCGTATCGCTCGGTGCATCGAACGTTCTCCCAACCTCCCTCCTGCCGTTGCCTACATCGGTGGGCGTCTCCGTAGGCCTCGGATTACCCACGGTCCTGCCTACCTCGCTCATACCCACGGCTCCTCTGTCGTCTATCATTGCGAACAACCCGACCCTCATCGGCTCGACAGCCATACCCACATCGCTCGTGCCCACTTCTTTGTTGAGCTCGGTTCTCAGCGCCAATCCGACCCTTCTGCCGACCACTGTAGGCCTTCCTACCGCTTTGCCCACCGCAGTGATCCCCTCGCAGGTACTGTCCTCCATTATCGCTAGCAACCCTGCGCTCGGCCTCTCCACAGCTATTCCCACCTCAGCACTTCCAACGGCGGTCATCAGCTCCGTGCTCTCCGCATTTCCAACTCTGATCCCGACGACTGCGCCTGGCGTGTCCCTCGGCGTCTCTGTTGGCCTGCCAACCGTTTTGCCAACGAATCTCCTGCCAACATCTGTGCTCTCTTCTCTTGTCTCTGTCGATCCAGGCCTTGGAGCATCGACCGCTCTGCCTACATCATTGATTCCGACCTCAGTGATTAGCTCAGTGCTCTCGGCCAACCCAACGCTCGTCTCAACCAGCCCTATCCTCTCGGTTGGCGCCTCTCTTGGCCTTCCATCGCTACTCCCTACCAACGTCCTCCCTACAAGCATAGTGGCCTCGATCGTCATCGGGAACCCTTCGTTGGTCCAATCGACGGCGCTTCCAACAAGCTTGATCCCTACGTCGGTGATCAGCTCAGTCCTCTCGGCCAACCCTACCTTGGTACAGACCACAGCTCCGGCCCTTTCCGTTGGTCTCTCCCTTGGCCTCCCATCCCTACTCCCTACCAACGTCCTCCCCACAAGCATAGTGGCCTCGATCGTCGTAGGGAATCCTTCGCTAGCCCAATCGACGGCGCTTCCAACAAGTTTGATCCCTACTTCGGTGATTAGCTCAGTACTCTCGGCCAACCCTACCCTGGTTCAGACCACAGCCCCCGCGCTTTCCGTCGGTCTGTCCCTGGGCTTGCCGTCCCTATTACCTACCAACATCCTCCCGAGCAGTGTTGTAGCCTCTATTGTGGTGGGGAATCCTTCCCTAGCCCAGTCGACGGCGCTTCCAACAAGTTTGATCCCTACGTCCCTGCTTAGCTCGGTGCTTTCGGCCAATCCCACTCTGGTACCAAAGACTACAGCCCCTGGCCTTTCCATCGGTCTCTCGCTAGGCCTACCATCTCTTCTACCTACCAACGTGCTCCCTACCAGCGTTGTCGCATCGGTGATCGTCGCAAATCCTTCACTTATCCTCTCAACGGCACTTCCAACGAGCCTGTTGCCAACTTCCTTAATCAGCTCGGTGCTTTCGGCCAACCCTACTCTCCTTCCCACGGTGTTGCCGACCTCTATCGTCCCGACCTCCATCTTATCTAGCCTGCTCTCTGGCGTCCCGAGCTCAGCACTGCCCACCAACATCCCGGTGTCTGCTCTCCCCACATCAGTCGTATCCGCGATCCTCTCGGCCCTGCCTACATCGAACGTTGGGGCACTTCCCACATCTGTTGGCGTGACAGCGATTCCAACTTCTCTGGTCCCGAGCTCCATCCTTTCGAGCGTGCTTTCGGGTGTGCCATCATTCGCACTCCCAACGGCGATTCCCACGAGCGTGCTTCCCTCGAGCGTGGTATCTTCCATTCTCTCCGGCCTGACTACCTCCGTGGCCGCGCCAACGGCCGTCACACTTGTTCCAACTTCTCTGGTTCCTTCAGGGATTTTGTCTTCCGTACTCTCAGGCATACCTTCATCGGCACTTCCGACCGTCATCCCAGCAACGCTTCTGCCATCTTCGATCATTTCATCGATCATCAGCAACAAGTTGCCAACAGCGACCTTGCCAACAGTCGTCGCGACCTCTCTTGTGCCGACATCTATTCTCTCTAGTATTCTCTCTGGTGTCCCAACCAACGCTCTACCCACGGTCGTGGCTACGTCTGCGCTTCCAAGTCAGGTACTTTCGTCAGTGCTCTCGGCTCTGCCAACTCTCCCGACCACGGCCCCAGGCGTTTGCTCGGCTCCGATCGTTTCGATTGTCACTTCTGTCGTGACTAAGGTCGTTACTGCTGTGCCCACCACTCTGGCCACAATCGCCCTTCCTACGATCACTCTATAAGCGACAAAAGAAGATTCAACGTAGGCTCATCATGGTGAGCTTAAGTGCTGGAAGGATGAGCTGTATCTCGGTTATTGCTATTCTGTGAAGAGTGAAATTGGTTTCTAATGTAACATATTTAATATACCAGCTATTCCATAGATTATTTTTGGATATTATATCTCGTATGCAATCGATCTTTGATACACAATCAGACTCCTTCTCACTACCTAATGTGCCGATCAGTTGAGATTGGGATTTAGGAAACTTTTCAAGACGTCCCAGTAGCATTTGGAAATTAGTGCTGCAGATCATTGGGTTTCGCAACTTGGCCTCGGGCAGTGAGATCCTGGAAGTCATGCTGCACATGGCAGTATCTCAATCTTCAGCTGGGAGCACAACGTATCGCAGCGGCTACCAAATTTTCAAACTACTCGATCAGGTTGGAGATGGGTGGTTTATGGGAAGCCTTTGTATCATTGCCATAGACAGGGCGCCACGCCACAAAACATTCGAGTCCGCGTGAAATCTATCAATTATTGTATTGGTAGCCCTACTAGGTCATGGGAGGTAGGAGATATGGCAGAACGGCTTCATTCCCGACCGTAGGCCTTATGAACAGCATTAGTTGGATTCGCCGTGCCTTGGGCGCATGAGTCATTTGCTTATCATGTCGCATCAGCCAGCTCCTCGAACCGCTCGTCTCGCTCGGCTGTAAGTTTACGTAGTTGTGATCGCGCGACTTCCAGCTTCCCCTTCGCCGCCTTCGGATCAGGTGGCAAGCCCTCATACGCACATAATTCGTTCTCGAGTGCGGATAGTCGGGCTTGTTGTGCTTCTGAACTAGCAGCCTGCTTCAGCACATCCTCCAAAGATGGACCGATAATGCTACTCGAACGTAAAGGACTCGTTCGCTCATCGTATTCCACCAGTTTCGTCCTCAGCTGCTTTGTGCTTCGGGCCATTTCTGCGGTCTGCTCCGACAGATCACTTGGTGGCTGAAATGCTTCGTTACGCAGAATCTGTAGGACAGCCTTCGTCTTCTGGAGTTCTCGCTGTAACGCTGCCTGCTGAGCTTCGCAGCGAGCGACCTGCTCAGACAACTCGAAGCGTTGTGCGGTGAGATTGCATATGCTTTGTGCCATTTCTGCAGTCTCAGCCGTCCCTAGTTCGACCGCGAGCGAAGCCAGGATATCAAGATGCTGTCTACCATCATGATCTAGTGTATCGAGAAGTCGCTGGTAGACGTCATCAACTTCTGGACTGGTCCTGCCATGCGCCTGGAGCGCCTGTCGTCCGACTTTGTCGACTAGAAGACGTTGTTCATCGGCATCTTCGTTGACATTGGCTAGCGCCAGCAAGGCCTCCAACGTGTCTTCGTTCCGCTCAAAGGCAGGAAGACGCTTGCCATATTGTTTGGCCAGCCAAATGTCTACCGCAGCCCAATCACGTTGCTGAGCTTGTTGAGCACGAGCTTTCGAAGGCGAGAAAAGTGCAGCAGCCGTCCAGTCACCGGGACTATCCATGTCTTACCAATCGTGGCGCTTCGAACACATTGGCAATAACGATCTAATGCTTCAAATTCGTGTGACAAGGAGGTAGTTGTCCTAAAGACTATACGGAGCTCGGCATTCGGCTGCACCCGTGCACTAGCGTCGATCTAGTTCTTTCCAAAGCATTCGTGAAGTCACAAACAACGATCTAGGAAGGGACGTCTGCTACGGAGGCTTCTGAGCCATATTACCATGGAGTACAGACACTATCACTGGTACATGTTGGATATGTGACCTCAAAACCTGCTGCACATCTGATTTGGCCTCTTTGATGCCATCATGTCGACCAAGGCCAACCTAAAAGCGGCAAAAGCTGCTATTGATGCAGAAGACTACGGCAAAGCCGTCGCTGAAGCCCAGACAGTGCTCGCAGCCGACGCTCAGAACTACTTTGCGCGGCTGTTCTTGGCTCGAGCACTAGAGAAACAGGACAATTTCGACGAGGCCGCCACGACTTACAGCCAAGCAGCAAAGTCGAAGCCCCAGGACAGTCAGGCATGGCTCGGACTATGCAGCGTCTATGAAACACAAGGCTCGGCGAAAGTCGACGAGTATCGTGAGGCAGCCGTCAAGGTAGCCGAAGTTCTTGCGAATGCCGACGACCAGCATAGATGTCAAACCACAATCGACAAACTAATATCGTTCGTCAAAAGCAATGGCACCACCACACAGTACAAGCGAGCACTGGAAGTGATGTTGCCTGGCAACACAATCTATGACTTCCTGGAAGGCCGCATCCCGCATCCGTCGCATACCTACACGAGACTGGTCGAAATTACCGAGGAGGAAGAAGCCGAAGAGATCAAACGCGAGATCGGTGAGCGACGCACACGTATTGGTGCACGTCTTGGTCAGGTCACTGCCGATGTCAAGCGCGAGGTTTATGGCACTAGTAAACTGGAGGACCTGTATCAGGAGCTTATCAACTGGACGCAAGACGATGAAGTGCGGCGGCAATACGAGGAGAAGCTTCTTGATCGAGCGTACGATGATCTTATCGTGCTTCCGTTGGAACATAAGGCGGTGAAACTCGACCAAGTCTTAAATCTTGCAGAGGGTATGGTCATTATTGATCATCAGTATCGGAAGGCCTGGGATTTGATGCTGGAGACTAGAGATCTTGACGACATGAAAGATCAAGATGTCAACGTTCTTCGCTCGTATGTCCTGCACTTCTCGGAGTCTGGCCTGGCCAAAATCGTATCGGCGTGGCTAAGCAGCGAGCGCTCACAATTTCCGACGCCTCGCAAGGAAGAGAATGGGGATGAAGGTGACGACCAGCCGGAGGACATGAGCGCCGAAGAGAGACTATTACTCATGACGGAGGGACTGGCCCGTGCCGAGCAATCAGCACTCGCTCATCGGCTTGTCGCTGATTTCTACTTGCACCTTGACGAGCACGAGACAGCATCGGAAACGGCAAAGGCAGGGCTCAAAGCGACTGTGGCCCTATCTCAGCAACTCGGCATGAGCATGCAGAACACCAAAGATGCGCTGAATACTACCTTGGCCACAGCACTAGTACACTACCAGGCTCCCCGAAACCACCCCGAGGCTAGAAGACTCTTTCAAGACATCCTTCAAGGCAAGCCAAGGTCTACTCCAGTCCTAATTGGACTAGGATTGATCTTCGAGGAGACCGAGGACTATGACGATGCCATCACGTTCTTCACCCAAGCATTGCAACAACACCCCGATAACGTCGTTGTTGGGGCAGAACTCGCGTGGTGTCGTGCGTTACGTGGTGATTACGAACAAGCCCAACAGGAACTTCAAGTCTATCTGCCGAAGTTGACAGTGGAGGATCTACGAGCCCGAGATTTACGCGCCCAAGTGTTGTACCGCATCGGAATTTGCATATGGCGGCTTGACACCAGCAAAACTGCAAGGAAAGATCGTAGCGGTGCCTATGCTTACTTCCTGTCAGCGATCAAGACGAATGTCAATTTCGCCCCAGCATACACGAGTCTCGGTCACTACTACACTGACTACGCCAAAGACAAAAAGCGAGCCAGACAATGCTTCCAGAAAGCCTTTGAACTATCACCTGCGGAGACGGACGCTGCAGAACGTCTCGCCAAGTCATTCGCCGATCAAGGGGATTGGGACATCGTCGAGGTAGTCTCACAGCGAGTTGTGGACTCTGGTAGAGCACGACCACCACCTGGTTCTAAGAGGAAAGGTATTAGCTGGCCGTTCTCTGCCTTGGGTGTGGTGCAGATGAACCGACAGGAGTACTCGCAGGCTATTGTGAGCTTTCTTGCTGCTCTACGTATTAGTCCCGACGATTACCAGTCATACGTGGGACTCGGTGAGAGCTACCATAACTCCGGAAGGTATAATTCGGCGCTGAGAACCTTCACACATGCACTGAACCCACCCGAAGGCACGGCCATGATAGTTAATGGCGAGACCTGGTTCGCGAAGTACATGTTGGCGAACGTACATCGAGAACTAGGTGACTATGACGAGGCAATACAGGGCCTACGAACTGTCCTTGAGGAGCGGGAAGCCGAGTTCGGCGTCCAGATGTCGCTGTTGCAGACATTTGTCGAGAAAGCATGGCGGTGTCTAGACACTGGACTCTGTGGACAGGCCATCGATAGTGCAATCGAAGGCATAGCTACAGCAAAGAAGATAGCCGCATACAAGCCCGATGCCTTCAACCTGTGGAAAGCCATCGGAGATATATGCTTGTTGTTTTCATGGATCGATTCTGCCTCTGCCAGATTGCCGCTTGACGACCTCGACGCTATGCTAGCAGATGGCGCAGATCAGCTGAAGGACGGCCTACTTTCAGAGATTGACCATGTTGGAGTCTTGCATGACAGAGGGCCCACCATGAACGGGGCGGGAGCGCAGACACCAGTGAATCAATCCGTCATTGCTGGCATACGGGCATACAAGAAAGCTATTGCTTGCTGCTCACACGATCTACATGCCCAAGCTGTGGCGTGGTACAATCTTGGTTGGGCAGAGCATCGAGCACATGTCTGCTCCACCACTAAAGCTGGAAAGAAGTATCTAAAAGCTGGTGTGCGATGCTTCAAACGTGCCATCGAGTTAGAGTCGGGCAACGCTGAGTTCTGGAATGCTCTTGGTGTAGTGACGACTACTCTGAACCCCAAAGTATCTCAGCATGCCTTCGTACGCTCGCTGCATCTTAACGAGCTCAATGCTAAAGTCTGGACAAATCTTGGCGTGCTCTATCTTCTGCACAACGATTTCGAAGCAGCACATTCCGCATTCGGCCGGGCACAGTCCACAGATCCAGAGTATGCACATGCCTGGATCGGCGAAGGCCTATTGGCACTGCTTTCGGGCTCCGATGCAGAAGCGCTCAATCACTTCACCCACGCATTTGAGATCTCGAATTCGTCCTCCACCATCACGAAGCAACGATACTCGCTTTCGAGCTTCGATGCTCTACAGTCGTCGCACTCGGAGTCTCATGATCTGACGAGACTCGTTCGTCCTATATTCGCGCTCCAGCAGTTACACGCGCAGAAGCCTTCTGATCTGCCGTGCCGTCATGTGGCCGCGCTCCTACTGGAACGTGTTGGCAACTATGTTACGGCTGCCGAAGCGCTGAGTGGTCTCTGCACGATTGCTGAAGCAGACTACGAGCAGAATGAATCTCTTGCAGCACTTGCAAGTTTTGCACATGCAAAGAGCGATCTTGCACGATGCCAGCTCGCAGCTTCAGACTTTAGTGGCGCTACCGAGAACGCAGAGACAGCGCTTGACTTGAGTGCAGACGAGGACAGTGGTCTTGATGCAGCATCACGCACTAAGCTCAGGCTTTCCGCCCATCTAACGGCAGGCTTGGCAATGCAGAGTCTCGGTAAGAGCAGCGAAGCCATTACCATGTTTCGCGCAGCACTGCAGGAGAGTGACAGCAATCCAGATGCTGTCTGCTTACTCGTCAAGGTGCTCTGGTCACATGGTGGAAAGGACGAGCGAAGTGTCGCCCGTGAGCAGCTCTTCGATTGTGTGGAGAAACATCCAGAGCATGTCGGTAGTGTTACTCTGCTCGGCGCGATCGCCGCTCTTGATGATGATGATACAACCACGGCAGCCATCAGAGACGATCTCGTGACTCTTCGCATGAAGGACGGCATGAATGTAAGCGATCTTGTTGAGATCGAGTCGCTTCTTTCGGCCCAGGTAGGCTTGAGCAGCAAAGGCGACGACACCGAAGACACTCTTGAGGCGCAGTCTGCTATCATGCTCAAGCCGGATCTTGCGGCGGGCTGGGCTCAGCTCTCTGATGTGTCCAACGATGCATATCCGGCTGCGATGGCGCTGAAGAGTGTTCAGAAAGCAGTACCTCCAACGGGCGACGTAGAGCCGTTGACATTAGCTACAGCGTATGCTGGTGCGGGCACAGTAGCAGACGCTCAGAGAGCAATGTCCTTGGCGCCATGGGATCCAGTGGGTTGGAAGGCCTTCAGCAGTGCTATCGTATAGAGGCGCTCGCTCCTAGGTTGTGAAGGCTTTTGTACACACATAGTGACGCCCGTATGTGATCGCCGCCATACTTTTGTGTTAGAGTTTGTCAACAGCCATAACGCGAGTCAAGTGTGCCGTGCCTTCCTGTGCTGCACTTCGCTCTTTTGCTGACTCATCCTTTTGCACAAGAGCACCTCTTAGGCGCCAGAAGCGTCGACTAAGCTCAGGCGTCAATGCATTGCTTACATATCGGCGTTGGCGTTCCTGACCCTCGAGGGTTTGATGTGTATACGCTCCTTGGTTCCTCCGCCGCTCCGCCGCTCCTCCGCCGCTCGACTTTCTTGCCCCGTCTTTCGGCCGCTCAATGATACTATATGTGCTCTATGCTTGAATGTTTCTCAGCAGAGTTCCAAACACATTACTTGCCACTCAATATTCCAAAGCAACAGCATAGCGGCGCATCGATTGATCAGATTCTTCACACTCCTTCGCTATTATGGCACCTAAGCTCGAGGAAGTAATGACTCTACATGTCGAACAGGTCAAAGATGATCGACTCATGATGGGCGGTACCAAGGGAGGCGTCATGCGTGCCGTGTCTCCTCTCAACGGCGGCTGGCTCAAGGGCGAGAACATTAACGCCTCTTTGGTCCAAGGTGGAGTGAGCATGCCCTTCGAGTACATCCGTCGCTTAGAACCTTGACCATTTCTGACGACCGCTTTTAGTCTGACTGGGTCAAGTTCGACACCACCTCCGGCACAGCATACCTCGATGCTCGTTTTCACTTCCGGGATCCAGCGACTGATAGCATCTTTTACTGCCGCGCCGAAGGGATAAGTCGTCTGGATGAGAAGTCCGCGCTGATTTTCGCTTGGAGGCCGGAATCCAAGACGACTCAAGCAAGTGATCATTACCTGTTCGTTAGTCCGATATTCGAAGTTAGTAAGGAAGAGCATAAGTGGATGGAGCAGCATTGCTTCGTTGGTCATGGCTTCTATACCGCACCTGGAGATGGTACACAGGGAGTGACCTTCACGATCTACAAGCTGGTGTCGGCTTGAGAAGGCACGGTACTGGGGCGGAAGATGAGTTTCTGGCCATCAGTAGGTTGCAAGTTGACATCTTTAGTAGACACAACCGGTATGGGCTGGCAAAAGAGAACTCATCTTTTCAAACCGTGCAAGCTGTATGTGAAAGGTGATATCTTCAAAATTCCCAACCTCGACCGGTGTTGTTGTCTAGCAGACCTTCGAACAGTCTGTTGCTGTCATCTTGAAGAAGCCAGTCCATGTCCTGTGCGACTGACAGCGGGTCAAGGATTGGCATCTGTGAGCTTGTGAACTGAATGCCACCACTATCAAACTGACCATCCCAGACGGGTCCTGCTCCAGTCGCCGGCATCGATCCAGTAGTGGCATCATAGTTTGTAATTGGTGTTATGTCTACAGCAGGGCGTACATTGGATCTCTGATCCATCGGTGCAAAATGATCGGCTGTGTGCGATGCTGGGGCTGCGCCAACGATACGCTCGCCTTCGACCGGACGCACGGCTTCGTTGAGACGGACCACGACGCTACCAAAGTGAGGCACGACTAGATGTGCGGACCTCTCTGTCCCGCTTTCATCTCTCAGTGTAGCAAGCAAGAAATTGATTGCACCGACATCGTTTATCACTTCGTGGTGGCCATGCCGAGTCTGTTTAGTCTTCTCAAGCTCCAGCGCAACAGCTCTGGCAAGCTCGAGGTCGTCACGTCTGGTAGCAGTATCCGTCGCGCCGGAAGGCTGCCGCACCCGACCGAAGAGGCCCAGCAGCAGAGTTATTGCAGCGGTGTAAGCCTGGAAGTCAAAAAGACGGCTCATGAAAGTGGCGCCATGCACTCTTCGCATTGAGTCCCAGGTGTTGATCAGATTTCGGCAAGCTTGTAAGCATGAGATGCGAGAGTACTCGAAGCGCAAGTCCTTAGCAGCTCGTAGCATGAATGGCAGGTGCGTCAGCGCTTGCATTTCAAAGTGCCAGATTTGACAGACTACACACTCGAATTGAGTGCCTGACTCGTCGTTGCGGCCGATCTCCAGGTTATGAGGTACGTTCCACCATGCTTGTGGCATTGACGCGGCAAGTGTAGTCAGCTTCTCATCAATCTCATGGGTGGCCGACAGGGCATGCATAACATCGCCTTGATTCCGCTCCACTAGAAAGCCGGCGATGATGCCCAATTCCCTGCTATAGTGGTCTTCGGGTGTTAGCCAGGCAGCAGTGTCGTCGAACGGGAACGGTGCTGATCCCGTGGCGGAAGGAACGCCCAGAAGAAGGGACTGGTATCGCTCCCCTTCCACGATGCGAAACCACATAAAGTGTCTTTTTGCTTGTGTCAAGTCTGAGGTCTCTGCATTCGACGAGACCGATCTTCGGTGCATGCCTAGGAGTTGCGATACACTGATTGCTCTACGGAAGGAGAGCCATGAGGAATGGAAATTGCCTTCGTTAACGTCATAGATACCCAGCAGTATGAGACACTCAACAACTTCTACATTGCTCATTACTGCGTCGGTATATGTGAGTGCCTTCACTGTCGAGACGATCCGGGCCTCGACATCTTCCAGCGATCTCGAGGACTTGAACACTGCTTGATCGCAATCGGGTGGCAATTGTTGGATGCATATTGCGATGCACAGCAGGAGTCTGGCTATCACCACTGGACGTGCGTTGGAGATCTCCGCAATGCTGAGGTCAGTCTGAGGATCATACTCTGTCATGCGCAACAAGGCGGGTACTATGTGCCTCCTCACTAGCCACCAGCCATGACTCAATTCTGTCAGCAGATCGATGTCTGCTTGGCATGGTAAGAGGTCAAGTAAGCGTGAGCGGAGTGAGTCAGGATCGGAGGGCGCCTCCATGGAAGTAATATCGTGGCGACCAGCAGCCCATGGTCTGGCATCATTGCAGGTATAGTGCCGATTTTCTGCACTCTCAATGGAAGGAACACGTTGAGACACTGAAGCTGATACCTTCTCTGTTGCGAGATGGCTCAGCAACGTCTCGACGCGATATAAGCGCTGGTCCAGGGAGGAGGTCGCGTCTGGTGTGTCCGTATGCTCCTGGTTGTACTGTTGACCACGACAAACGATCTGCTTCTCGTGGCATCTTGTGCACTTGCTTGCATCATCCACTTGATAGACACATTTGATCTTCCTCCGCTTGCCTACAGAAGACTCATGTCAGCTGCACAAGACATCGCAGTGGGTTCAACACACATTCCCAGCAGCTTTTCGTGCCTTTGCGGACGTGGCGCATGCCTGTAGGAGACACAGGAGGCACAGACATAACGCTTCAGGAGTATTCGAGCTGCATGAACAGCGTTCTGATTAGGAAGTGGCGTAATTAGAAAATGGCGTGAAGTCGATCGTGATCTTCATCAAATGTGATCGCACGCATCGTGTCGATTGGGATTAGATTCATCGTTTATCTGATCATAATCCGATTGGTCAGTGTGACGGGCGAAACACGAAACAGCTCGGGCGAAGTCCTTCGGACTCTTCTAACAATCCGTCGACCTGAGAAATGCCTCCCTTCGGACCCAATACTATGCCGTCTGCACTACATCGCTCTCATAGAACGTGGCACATAAGAATGAGTCCAACACTCCCATAAGTATGCTGCCTCTCCCCCCCATCACATAACACATTCCTTACAGATCCATCACACGCCACCATTGAACCCAAGGCTTGGCCATTCATCAACCACGATTCATTTCTAAGCACACGTACAGTCATGAGTGTCAATGATACGATGTCCCGCCATCAGTTGGCGGGCAAGAGTATCATCGTCGCCGGCGCGGGAATTGCTGGTCTGGCAGCTGTTCGAGGCATCCTTCGGAACTGGCCGCAAGGAGCCCAACGACCACACATCACGGTCTACGACCGTGATCCTCGCAACCTCCCGAACGAGCGTGGAAACTATTCTCTTGGCCTCAGGAGCGACTCACGCTCAGGCGGACTTCAGGCGTTGCGTAGACTCGGCCTGATCGATCAGATCTACAATGCCAGAGTGGTACAATCAGATCATGGCGTATTGATTAGCGACCGGAATTTCAGGTCACTGCTGCCGAACAGACGTAAGCCTGCGACGCCTGTTGAAGGCCTTCCAGCAAATGAGATGAGGATTACACGCAACGACATTCGCGAAGTCATGATTGAGGCAGTCGAAGATGAAGTCGAGATGGAGTGGAACTTGATTTGCAAGACTGCTGCTGTGCTCAAAAATGGCCGAATGGAGGTGGGACTGAGTGACGACACGATGGAAGAATGCGATCTACTAATTATAGCCGATGGTGCGAGCAGCAAACTCCGGGCTAGCCTTCGACCTGATGATGGGCTTAGCTACGCTGGTGTGGTAGTGATTGGTGGCAATGCCGACTTCCCTGACGGTAAAGTGCCACCCACCTTAAAAGACAACTTCGGCATGGTACTTGGTGGCGATGGACACAGTCTAGTCGTCTGGCCGATCGTGGACAACAAATTCGTGTGGTTCGTCACCCGTCGAGACCCAAAGCCTGCTGTCGTTCTTCGCGGCGATGAAGCTGCGGGCAGAAAGGACGAGCTGATAGCAGAAGCTCTGCGGGAAGGAGCCATCTTTTCGGAACCCTTTCCTTCGCTCGTCGCAGCAACGGATCCTGCTTCGCTGAAGATCTTCAATGCTCAAGATAAGCCGCCAATCGCGCACCCGCAGGATCCTTTTCTGCCGTACGTGTTCGTTGGAGATGCTAATCATGCCATGAGGTAAATGGTCCAGAGCAGCGGCATTGATTTCTCAAGTACTAACATCAGTCTCAGCCCTTTCGCGGGTAATGGCGCCAACATGGCCATCGTCGATGGCGCCGTCCTCGGCGAAGAGCTATGCAAATCTGCAACAGTGGCGGCCGCCGTAGCTGAGTTCGACAAGGACAGCATCCCTCGATCTGCTGCCTCGATCAAGAAATCGCACCTGGTTATCAGCGTCGTACATGCTACGGGATGGAGACACTGGCTCGTACTTCTCCTTGCGCGCATCTTCGGATTCTTCCTGAGGTGATGAGGTTCAGATGTTGAGCGGTGGAGAAAATGGTCCTCGATGTGTCTTCCATTTTGCTAGGACATCCCTCCTCTGTTTCAGCGCGCGCTACCTCACTCAAACTCTACTACGACGTTTCCGTAAGAAACACCATGCACTCGCAAATCAAACTTGATACTTCCACTTTCGATATGCATCCCAAGTTGATATTCGATTCGGGAAAACGATTGACCAGCTGAGTTCGAGCTGTCTTGCCAGTATGATCTTGGCACTGTCGATAGATCCGCTCTTAACTTACAAAGGATACTTGTCGAGGAGCCGGAGCCAGCGCTGTACCCATCAGGTGCTATGTCTTGATCGCAGACCACGAGCTCGTCCGTCGCAATCTTCGCCGCCCCCCGTGGGAAGTTGCGATAGAATGTGAACAGCAAGGGCTCAGAGGACGACATCGCCTGGCCTTTATGAATATACCATATCATCCGGTTCATGGCCTTGTAGCGCTCCTCGCGAGGATCCCACTCACGGCAGCTTACCGGATGGACGTCTGGATCATAGGACTTGTCGAATCGCACGCCGTAGTGCCGACGAGCTTTGCGGCTGAGAACGATCTCCGTCCCCTCTAGGCCTCGAAGAACTGCACCACATACGACGGCCGTCCACGCATGAGCAGGCTGCATGACTTGTGGGATCGCCATATCGTCTGCTGCGAATTCACGTCTGACGCACTTATTCAGACATACAGATCTCCCAAATCCGCCGACGAGGATGATGGCGCTGACTCGTTTGTTCTTCTGCTTCAGCCTTGTTACCTGGACCTGTAGTAGTTCCATGATGCGTTTTATGATAGGAAAGAACAGCCTTCCAACTTCTGCACTGCTCAGCACCATATATCCGGATTCTATTCCAGCGGCCGGCATATCTGGGATACCTGGCATGGGAATGTGAAACTCGGTATCATCTTCCGGATCGAAATTTCTCTTGACATACTCCTCAAAGTAGTTCAATGCCGTTCGCCACTTCCTGGTCCGGCGGATTTCTTCGAACTTTGTGTGGCCGATTTTCGATTTGACGTAGTCCTCGAAGCGGTAGTTGAGTAGAGCTGCGCCGCAGACATCGCCCTGGCCTTCCACGGATTCCTCAAGCCGCAGGGGTGTGATGTTTTTGATCTCATACGAGATGATGTCGAACGTCCCGCCTCCTCCATCGCCGACGATGAAGTTGTCGCCGATCTCCAAATGATTCGGTTGTATTGATTGAAGAGTATACACGGCAGCTGCCTCGGGCTCCGAGATCATTCGGATGTTTCCAGGTATCCCAGCTTTTCGTGCAGCTCTTAATGTAGCATCTTTAGCTTTATCACTCCACACTGCCGGGACGGTAAGTACAAACTCCATCTTAGTCGATGCCATAAATGCTTCCCCAAATTCAAGCACAATCCGTTCTCTGGCATGATGATAGAGCGCAGTCAAATAGTCGGTCACTACCTCTTCTGCGGTCTTGCCTGCTTCACGTAGGTGCTGTTCGAGCACATCCCGCTTCACATACTCGGGCAGAGCTTGATTTGGATCCAGCAGTAGTTTCATACACTGCAGTCGTAGCTCGTCCGGACCTACGCTGTAGCCCCATTTCATACCTGGTACTAAGGAGGTTGGTGGATTCGGGTGTGGACGTGAGCGAGCGGCGCGGAAGAAGAAAGGACCTGATCCACCATCAATATTAGGATCCTCCAGTATGGTGCCGCCATTGGCGACGAATCGTGCTCCTCGTCGACTAGGCGGGCCAGGAGTTGATGATGTCGGCTTTCTACGTGGGCTAACGTAGACCACATCACTGGGCACTTTCTCACAGGTCTCGCCACTGCTACCCGGCCATCTGAGACCGATTAGCTATCGATCAAGCACATCTTCGCGAGAGGGATCTTTGCCTACACCTTCACCACGCTGATCTGATCGGGCTTGGGCTTCGCAGCAGAGTATGCGTATGCAACGCCTGAGATTGCTCGGTCAGTATCCCAGCATCGAAAGATTGAGGAGCATATATTATTGTACCTGAGAAAGTGGTCCCAAAATCTATGCCGACCACTAAAGAATCATCGAGCAGGTTTGGAGTCATCCTGGCAGATGAACCTCGAAACATCGCCGTGCTTTCAAACGTCTACAGTACCTTGTTCTTTTGGGCTGGCTGGGTGCCGTGATAGAGCAGTCCTACATAATGCCAAATTGTGAGAGGTGGCGCGCCAGGGCGGCCTCGAAGCGTTCATCGCGCATGATGAGGCCGCCGTACTGCCTTATCACTTGCAACCTCGTCTAGCTCACCCAGCAAAAATAAAGACTCATGTGTTGTACGTGCATGAAGTTTGCCTTGCCAAGCGGGAGGCGTTTGTTGGGCTCCGCCCTGTCGCATGCAGCCACATTCCCGAGCCCTGAGGCAGGCAACGACGGCATGGTAGAAGACACTTGCGTAAGGCTATGGAGCTCTGTGAGCTGCCTCGAACATTGCAGCATTCAATATCTTCAGGTCGCGATACAAGCAAGAGGAGAGACCTTCGTGACCAATAATGCCACGGCCAGACACGCATCAGAATCGTAGTAACGAAGCACGCCAGCCAGAACCTATGAACTCGTGGCCAGCTGCTCAGGACTTCGACGATGATAGGTATATTGGGCAAAATCGACGCATGAGCAATACCATTGACAGTCGCCAGGCTCACGACCGAGCTCGCCAGGACATCGACCACGAAGGCAAAGCACCGTCATCTAGCAAAAGCTCGAAAAGATGGTATTCTGCTCTTCCCTTCGGTTCTGACTATGCTGGAGTCTCGAACACGTAGGTGTGGACCCCGAAATCTGGAACGTTTGACCAAAGCGCTTACTTGCTTGGCCCGACAGGCAGTCTAGCAAGCGCTCTTATGTGAGCTCATCGATTCATGACGAAGCTCTAAATCGTATCAACGAGCTCGAAGATGCATTGCGAGACCAACACGAGCTCCAAAGACGGCTTCAGGCCGCAGAAGCCGAGATACATTGGTTGAGAGGACAGAACATCCATCTCAAGAAGAGTATTGCGGAGTCGACCCGCAACACACAGCAGCCGTCTGATGGCCAGATCAAGGATGAGTTCAACCAGCTGTTCTATAAGGCGTCCGCATTTGCTCGCCATCTATCTGGCAAGGTCCAGATTGGTTAGCTACCATCTGCATGAGATCGAAGCTATGAGGACTAACGAGAACTCAGACATCAAAGCAATTGAACAGGACGGTGATGATTGGATCCATGCCCTGCTACCATGCTACCAGCTTTATCCTCGCGACTCCAGCCACTGGACCATCATGGGCATTATATCGCGGACCATCGTCAAGTCCTTCCAGACGTTGCGCTATTTTGGAGTCGCGAAAGATGGTCCAGTCGCCGCCGCTATGAACCTTGTTACGATGTTGGGCTGTAAGTATCGCTCTTGAGTTGGTTCGCGGACATTAGAATGACATTCGAATAGCTGAACCGACCCCTGATGAACGGCGTTGGCTATGCCAGACAATGGCTATGCTGAATCATTATCACCCCCTGGCGATAACCGATGCAAATGAAGCCCTCGTTCAGCAAATGACGAAGCACGTGGATGCAAGACTGTCGGACGTGATGCAATTGGACTGGAGCAAGGATGAAACACAGGAGATGGCCAAAATATTTCGCGCAGCTCTGAGCTTTGTGAGAATGCTTCACAACCATAGTGCAACCTTCCGTGTCTCTACAATCGAAGCTTACATGAAACACAAAACCACCGGTATGATGGAGAATCGGCCTTTCAACGCCGAAGTAATGCAGGAGATGATCGAACAGGAGGACGAAGACAAGCTTGCCGGACGGCCGCTAGCAGCGACAGTGTTTCCAATCGTATTCAGATGTCGCGATGAAATGGGGAACAATGTGAGCCTACTAAGTTTTCAACAGCACATCTCATGCCATAGCTAACTCGATCGCTGCTCAGCTTAGCAGAGAGGTTGCGGTTGTGCGAGCTAGGGTCGTGGTCCCGACCAGTCCTCCAATGCAGGTACAGGAGACCAGCCAGAACATGCGTAGGTCCATGTCCCATTCGCAACCCGAGGACCGTCGCCCAAGCAGGCATAGGTTGAGCGACGTTCGTCGGTCACACAGTCTCAGGTAGATTCAGACCTTCTACTCAACACCATGATGCCACCCCCTCGTTGCCATGTCCTTCCACAAACCGTCGAACGACTTCCTGATAGAAAGCTGACAGTTGGCTTGCAGAGACAGCGTCAGAGCGATGCGACTTCGTCGCTGGTGATATGGCTCACGATAGCCAAAGGGCGGCCGAGAGCGCGGCCTTTGTACCTGAGCAACGTATACTAATCATGCAGCAAAACCAAATCGATTGGAAAGCATTGGCTGTGGAGGGTGCGCGTGCGACGCTGCTCTCATCGGCCATCCCATCCCACGACGCTGCCGATTCGCCCACCTTCGAACACGAACCTGACACCACTCGAGTACCTGTTCCAAATGGGTTGTCAAATGTCGATACGATCATGGCGGATGCTTATGACCAAAACGTCTTGCCGACCGTGACTCCGATTTCTAGGCATCTCGTTGCACAAGGGTCAGTAGGTATGGAAACAGAAGAGGCCATGAATGTGCGTGCGAAATTTGCGCCGAGTCCGTTGTCTATGAACAACAAGCTGCAGGGTACAGAGAAGATCGATCTATCCCAATCAGATCATGACTCTTACGCCATCTGAGGATTACCGCCAGGTCTATAGAAATCCGAATGTGATCCACCAACCGCTCTCACATCATCCATTTGCGGCCTACCATTCTCATAAGCTCCCATCTGCAGTCTATCATTCTCATAAGCTCCCATCTGCGGTCTGTCATTCTCATAAGCTCCCATCTGCGGTCTTTCATTCTCATAAGCCGCCATCTGCGGTCGATCACGTTCGAAGGAGCTCATCTGTGGCCTCGAGCCACCCACATAGTTGAAAGAACCTCCCTGTGGAGGTCGCGAGGCATCGTTGTCACGTTGAGGGTTTGTGTAGCCTTTCCGCCGTCCGAATAAACTCGCCCCGAAGAAACAGCAGGCTACAATGACGAGTATGATGGGTATGCCAAGGCCGAAGCCAAGTCCCAGGCCGAGCTTGGTCTTCGCGGATAGGCCACCTGTGCTGGCCGGATCTGTGGTTGGCGTGGAGGACGAAGATGTGGTGGCTGGGTTGACCGACGTGGCGGAGTGAGAAGAAGTCGCCAGGCTGCTGGGTGTAGTTGTGATCGTGCCCGAATTTGCGGCGGATGCAGTCATCGTGCTGGACAGGGAAGAGTCACTAGTGCCTGTTGCGCTTCCAGAACCAGTGCCACTATTGCTGGTTGTCGCAATGACTGCCGGTACGATCGTACTCCCACTTGAACCATCTGTAGTGCTGACGGTACTAGTGCTGAAAGTCGTCGAGGCGGAAACAGTAGCTGGCGATGACAGACTCGACGTCAGAAGATCTTTAATGGAGAACAGAGCCGAGCCATCAAGGACCGTGAAGGAAGTCGTGCAGATTGGCCTCGTCAGCGGGATACCATTCGCATCCTGCATTATGGCGAGAGCTGCTATAGTCTGATTCGTGCCCCCGCTGTGAGATGTGGTCAGTCACTGTGATGTCGTCCGCGTGCTAGTAGTTAGACTCACCAGCAAGTCGTGGCTGGACCAACATCCATGCCCGAGCACATCGAATAGTCCATCGCCGTCGTTGTTGCGACAGCATTCTGACACTTGAGGTATGTATTACCGTTGGCCGTAGCGGCTCCGCAGCCCGAGGGACAAGCAATAGACCACGTAGATGCCAGAGTCCAGCCTGAGCTATACCATCCACAGGTTACGCTCATGGTTGTGATTTGAAGACGAAGTAGATACCAGGGGCAGATATGCAGATAAGACGAGTAGTGATGCTTGAACCACGAAGGATGAAGGTGCACAGAAGGTCCGCTCTTTTAAGTCAGGCTATCTTGTCGCGGCCATGACCTCAAAGGCATTGCGACTTGCATATTTGGGCACACCTTGCCGCAGTAGGTGGCTCTCAAAGCACAGCTTGTTCGTGGCTTTCTCGTGCAGACATCGTCCTCCAGCCTGACGATTTATGCGCTTGCAAAGCACCGGATAGACTGTGCCGGAGGGCGCCAAGAGCATGATTTGCTGCGCCCTCACAGATATGGTGAAGCTGGCTTCTGTGTCACACTTGCTTTGGCGGTAGGGAGTGCAGGTCTAGATGAGAGGATTGGCTTGTCGACGTAATTTGCATTTGAGGTCGCCCATAAGGTCGCTTGACGAGGGCGAGCTTGGCGAAAGCTAAAAGTGCACCGCCAGCGCCACATTAAGGCAAACGTGCATGAGACGAAGTAGGTCTGCAGCCTCGTCGAGATAGTTAATCGCTATCGAGAAGATGAGACCAATTGTGTGGAGAATTGTAGTCCTTTCTTGCGTAACATCCACATGCTCGAACCGGGCACTATTGTTGCTCTCTGTGTTTCTGTAATTTCGCAAACCGTGAAGTTCATCGACAATTGCCACGCGCTACACACGAAGCTCAACTCAGCCAGGAGATACCTTGGTAACTTGATCAATCTTGTCTTGACGATTAGAAGTGCTGTGAGAGAGGTGCATCAGTGGGCACAAGGAGATCTTTTGTGGCTGGAAAGCGATACCATAAATGGGCTGAAAGCGGCCTTGCGAACGTGTAGCGATGAGCTTCATGTAATGGAAGGCGTGATCTCGAAAATTAAGCCAGCAGCAGGTGTACAGACTCTTGGGTTCAAGGGCAAGATCTCGATGATATGGAACGAGGATGTGGTCAACACTTCTCAGAACACCTTGTTAGTCCAGATGCAGGCGCTGTCATTCTTACTTCAGATCATCCGAGTGTGGGTTTGGGAGTGTCATTTCCAAAGACATGTAGCCGATACTAATGACGGCGGGTAGGAGACACAAACCACAAAGCGGGATTGGTGAGTCCTCTCAGCCCATGGTGGCCAGTCCCACGAACGTCCGGCTCTTCCAACAGTGGTCGGAGAGGCGACGTGAAGCAGACATCGCTCGGAGACTGGAGAGAAGGGCGACGGAAGCCGATCACCGCATTTACCAAAGAGAGAGCCAGCACGGGCTTGCAGGCGCGCGACGAGGAGAGGACGAGCATGCATGGGCATCGGGAGGTGAGCGGCGGAGCTGGGAGACCATGTTTGGCGTAGAGGCAGGCGAGGAAAGACCAAGCAATACGGCAAGCACTCTGTACGAGGCACCGCAGAGCAGTGCAACACAAACCAAATGGGAAGAAATGTCCAAGTGAAGAACCTCTCGGGGTGTGAACGCGAGCCCAAAAGTAAGTCAACAGCGCGATTAATTTGCTGGTCCGAGTTCGAAGTACAGAAAAAGTGCAAAAACCAAAGTGTTTGTGATGGCTTCCAAATATTGTTTATTCCTTTGTTGAGATCTGGTACGGAGTCGTCTGGTAAAAGGCAAGATGACTATTTGCTACTAGAATCTCAAGGATTATGAACTCAGGAATTCTTTATAGTATATATCCCTTCCTGAAAATTTGCCGAGCATAACCCGATGCATGGGCTTCTCTCGGCAAACCCGGAACGTATCAAGCACACGAACATGATCACAGTTGAATTTCTGCAATGATAGTACTAGGCTACATATCAAAGCTTAGAACTACTGCCCGTACCTCAGCCTATGTTCATCCTCAACTTCTTATCACCAGCTTACGAGCTCATAGTGCTGTGCTTGCTCCTCGCAGTCTTGATCTCATCCTCATGCATTTCCCTCAGCGTGCCGGTCTGCGCCACGCGTCCCGTCAACTGTGCTGTGGCAGTCTCTGCCATGAAGCCAAGAGCGCTGACTTCGTGCTTCCAGTAGGAGATGTCTAGAAGGAACATATTAGGCACAGCCGCATTGGAGGAAATTTTCGCCGAACTCACACTTCGCCTTGACCTCAATAAGCGACATTCTGGGATCCTCAGGCCCACCAGTGTGCTTGCCATCCCCCAAGTCACCGAACCAGATCGAGGCCTGCTTGCTCCACACCTCCTTGATGCGAGGGTCTGAGTTGCTGGTCGTGGCCGCCTCACCAGTCACGCAGATCCAATCTTGAGTTGTGCTGTTCTGGAAGATGACCTGACACTCCACATTCTTCTCGAGGTCCGCGAACTTCTTGCTGTTGGCGTTGGCGAGAAAAAGGAAGTCCGGGCCTGTACGCTTGGCGACTGCCATGGAGCGGGATACTGGGCCGATGCCATTACGGTATGTGCCTCTGCACGAATGTCAGTGCGAAGATCAAATCTCGAAGTGTTGCCACACTCACAGCATGCCAATCTTCTGGCCATCGGCAATCTTGTAAAGATCCTCGAACTTCTCCTCAGTGCCGGTCTTGTCATCGTACTGCTTGACGACCGATGGATCCTGGCCCTTCTGCACCTCCTCGTGGGTCAGTTGCTCTGGCATTCTGAAGATTCTGGTCGTAGTAAAGCTTCGGCAAGTCTTGGGCTGGATGAAAGTTCTGTATGCTGATCGAGTGAAGGGAAGGAAATGTGGCGAGAACATCGTGGGGAAGAGACTATAACTACAGAGTACTCGCCGTCATATGATGGTCTAGCTACCTCCACTGCATGCACATGTACGTTGAGTGACGCGTTGGCGGAGTCGGAACACGGACACGCGCAGGACGGGAGTCCGTCAGGGTGTTTTCTTGCATCATGTGCGGTCATAGATATCGTGGAGCAGTACTTTCTCGGACTGGCTTCTTGTTGCTGGTGGCAACAGACAGCAAAGTTGAGGTGTGCGCGCGTCGAGATACATCAGTAGTGTTGTGACAGTGCGTGCCTACTCAAGATGGAAGGCACAAGATCCAATGGCTAGTAGATTAGTGCTCGTCTTGGTGGTCCAAGCTGAGGTGGGACCCACACCTATCTCCGAGGCTGTATGAGTATGCCTTCAACAACAGTCAACAGCAAAGACGTGTGCATCTTCGTAAACCCGAATCTGGATTAAATGCGAAATCAAGTCGAATGAGGCAACTCGGGATACCACATTGGTCGCTCTGTACATGATATGGGCTATTGCGTGGCCACGTTCACGAGCCGATCGTTCGGCGATATCGGACATAAGGACGAACTAGGGCCTGCGACTCGTCCGCCCCCCAATGCTCTTCTCACTAAGACCGACGACTGTGGAGTTCGTAATCGACAGTTGCGTGGGCCACCGCAAAGGCTTGTTGATTAAAGACAACCGTACAGACCTCCAAGTATACAATTACTGGCTATCCCACCACAGAGCCCTATTCGACCCGTCCTCGCCATCATGGGCTCCACTGCAAAGATCCCGACTCGGAAGCTAGGCGACGACAATGTTTCTGCCCTTGGCCTTGGTTGTATGGGAATGTCGTGGGCGTACATGCAAGATGGTAATTACGACATCCGCACCAACATTGACGCTGAAGCTGACTTGATACATATAGGCGGCTTTAATGATAAGCAATCTGCTGAAGTGCTGACCAAATCTGCTGATCTCGGCTGCAATTTTTGGGGTATACCTTCGACGGCCCGACGAGACATGTGGAACGACGTTGACAGATTCTACTAGATACATCCGACATCTATGGACCTCACACCAATGAGCAGCTCCTCGGCAAGTGGTTCAAGGACACCGGCCGCAGAAACGAAATCTTTCTCGCCACAAAATTCGGCAACTGTCGCGATGCCCAAGGCAACATGGCAGTACGTGGCGATAAGGAGTATGTCAAGAAAGCATGTCATGACAGTCTCGAGCGTCTCGGGACTGACCGTATCGACCTCTACTATCAACATCGGGTCGACAACAAGACTCCAATCGAGGAGACCGTACAGGCCATGGTCGACCTAAAGAACGAAGGCAAGATCAGGTACTTGGGGCTGTCCGAATGCTCTGCCAAGACTCTCCGTCGAGCATGTAAAGTCCACCCCATCGCAGCAGCTCAGATGGAGTTCTCGCCTTTTGCATTAGAGATCGAGTCCGAGCAGACCGAATTTCTCAAAGCGGCTCGTGAGCTCGGCGTCAAGATCGTGGCCTACAGCCCTCTTGGTCGTGGATTCCTGACCGGTACGATCAAGAGCCGCTCAGACCTCGATCCTTCCGACACTCGTGCCAACCACCCACGCTTCAGCGAGGAGCACTTCGACGACAATCTCAAGCTCGTCGAGACCTTGAGCGAGATCGCAAAGAAGAAGAGTTGCACACCTGGTCAATTATCGCTGGCGTGGGTGCTGACTCAAGGAGATGATTTCCTGCCCATACCGGGCACAAAGCGGATCAAGTACCTGGAGGAGAACCTTGGAGCTCTCGAAGTTCAGCTGAGCAAGGACGACGAGAAGGAGATTCGGAAGGCGATCGAGTCGGTAGGAGGATCGAAGGGATTAAGGTATCCGCCCGGTCTGATTGCCTTCTGCTTTGGAGATAGTCCACCTGATGTCTGATGATTTGGAGGATGCTTCTGGCAGAAAGGCTCGATGCAAAGAACCAAGATGGAGTGTAAATGTTCCCTGACCCTACGAGTGACTCGAGCCACTTGTTTAGCCTCCCGAATGCCTTTTCTTCCTCCATTCGCACAAGGTCTCTAATTCTGATAAGGTAGCGAACGCTAGGAGTCGCTACAAAGTTTGCAAAACAGTGGCCTAGAAGCAGAGAAGTGTCCCGAATCGCTTCCCCTTACCCTTCCAACCCTTCTCTTCAGGCTCAATATCCTCTTTCGTGTAAACATCAGTGACTAAATCCATCTCACTCGCTCTCTGGAACTTGGTCCCCTTGATCAGCTTCCATGCCACGATCATGATAAGCATGATGGGCAGCTCAATGTAGTAGCTGACGAAGTCGACAGGAGCGAATGAAGGACTGAAACAACTCCAGCCTTGCACTAGTATCAGAAAACTGTTGAGAACTACAGCCAATACGGGGCCCCACGGATATGTCCAATTTTTGAACGGAAGTAGATGCTCTTTGCCTTGCACTTTCATACCGGCTCGAAAGCGCAAGGAGGCAATTCCGATACTGATCCAGGACAATTGATTCGAGACACCAACGATATTCTGGAGCCACGTCCATAGCTGCCCTGCTCCGATGAAGCTTGCGCCAAATAATAGACCAGAGCATATACTTGTGAAAAGGACCGCAACCCAAGGCACTTGAAAGCGTGTCAGCTTAGTGAAGACTTTCGGAGCATGACCGTTGATGCCCAAGGTGAAGAGCAGTCTGCTACCAGCGAACAAAGCATGATTTCCAGCCGAGACGATGGAGGTGAGGATGACTGCATTCACGAATGAGCCGGCGATCTTGCTTCCTGCCATTGTGAAAGCTATGGTGAATGGTGAAGTCTTGGCAGTCTTCGTGCTTAGGCCTGGGTAGTTGTACGGGACGTTGAGGCCGATCATTAGTGCTGACAGAACGTACTAGAGACATGAGGTCAGATGTCTGCCCTCGGTATGATGTGGGCAAGCGACTTACGAATAGCAAGATACGCCAGAACACATTCTTGACGACTCGTGGTAGCTGACGTGCTGGGTCGCGAGTCTCACCAGCTGTGATTGCAATCGACTCCGTACCACCATATGCGAACGATGCCGTCACGAAGACGGATGCAAACCCACCAATGCCACCAACAAAGGGTGCGTCATCGATACGCCAGTTTCGTCCGCCGATATACGTGCCCGTCGTGTTGCCTCCTGCGTTGACTGCAATACTCAAGATGATGAAGATCACAATCGTCAGGACCTTAAGCAATGACAGCCAGTACTCGATCTCACCATAAGCTCGTACGTTGATGATGTTGGCCAGGACGATAATGACCCATACAACAAGTCCTAGGGCGTACCAAGGAAAGGTATCCGTCCAATACTGCAGTACGAGCTGAAGTGCGACAAGATCAGCAGCTGTTGAGACGGCATCATTGAACCAGTAATTCCAGGTCAGTGCAAAGCCGAAAGAGTCGTCGACGAATCGTCCAGCAAAAGTGCAGAAAGACCCAGCGACAGGTACGTATGCGGCCATCTCGCCCAAGCTGAGCATAGTCACGAAGACGATACATCCCACGATAAAATAGCATATCAATAGCGATGCAGGTCCACCAGTCGAGAGGGCTTTGCCAGTACCAAGAAACAGTCCAGTCCCTATCGTGCCTCCGATTGCAATCATTTGGACTTGTCGCGCGCTCAGGCTACGTCGTAGCTGGTCCTCAGCGATATGTCCATGGTGGCCGAATTCTTGGCCGGCTTGGTATTCTGGTACAGGCTCCGTCAAGCCATCAGTCTGGTAGCCGAACTTCTCCTCTCGATAGGCGGAGGTCATGATTCTATTGTTCGTGCTCTAGACCTGGATTCTCTGTTGCTCGTCACATCATTCCAACACATGGTGCAAGAAATATAGCGAATGGGAAGGATTCAAGCACGCCATACACAAAATTGTCGCATTTAGCCTTAGTGAAGTTTCCTTGACACACGCAAATTGCATGATTGTTCGAAACACGATATAGCGACACACCCATTCTGTCTGTACAATCTGTTTATGGAGGCAAGCTGGCCTGCAACCAAGCAGAACGTGGCTTATGGTCATCTTAGCATAGAGAGACATGACCTACTGCTAGGCATAACGCATATCAAGCAGCAACATATCATCGTATCCACGTGGGAGCTCTAGTTGTCGGAACACAATAGCCTATCTAGCCCACATCCCATCCATCCACTCGAAAATCCTTATACCACTAACGCCGAGGTCGTTGCCACTTGGGCAACCACAGTTCTAGTATGGGGGAAAGCCCCCCATCCGTAAGCTGCCCACAATAACCATTCGAATAATAGAAAGCACCGGAAGCACTCCCGTCATTCCTGCTAAAAAACTCACCAGCCAGGTACGAAGCGCTGCAGGTTCTCGAAGTATCGGCAACGTTGAGGCAGAGTCGGCTGTTGTCATCGAAAAACTCCGAGAACAAGCAGCCGGGGGTTGTAGAACAGGCCACACAGCAATCGTATGCACTCGCGGCAGTGACACTACTGATCTGGCCGCTGTAATAGTAGGACGCGTCAAGATATCGACCGTCCTGGATGCGTGGGCCAAGGATGTTTGAGGTGCCGCAGGCGACGTAATAGTCGGTGGTCGTGGTGGCGGTTAATGTTGTTGTGGTGCTGACTATGGAAGTGGAGATTGTCGCTGTCGATACGACACTTGTGATCGTGTTTGAGAAGCTCAGAGTTGTCGACACGTCCGAAGGCACCACGGTGGACACCGTTGTCACGGTAGACGTGATCGTAGCAGTACTGGTAGGCGTCGGAGCAGTCTTTGTGATAGTCGTACCAATAAGGATAATGGACTCTGTGTATCGTACTTGGATGTAGTCGGTACCTGTACTATCGATCAGTGTGAAGCTTGAAGTCCACCCGGAAGATGTCCGTGCTGCAAGCTTTCCACTTACAAGTCACTGCGACAGGCCACGACGTTGTTGGCGGGCACGCATTCTTGGGTGACTGGCTGACAGCCCGTTCATCAAGTTGGGCTACTTGTCGTCTGGGATGCTTCACCGCCCTGCGCTTGGAGCCAACATAATCGGTGTCCCCACTCGACTGATCTATGGGCGTGATCGCAGCAGTGGGCTGGACCGTTGAAGTCACAGTGGTTGTAGTCGTTGTTGATGCTGTGAGAGTGCTGACATAGGTGGATGTGCTGGTGGTGGTGCTTGTGCTTATACTAGTCGAGGTCGTGGAAAACGTATCAGTGATTGTGGATGCTGTGAAGGTGGACGTGGTCGTAACAATCGCTGTCGATGTGGTCGTCACTGGGGAAGGTGTGATTGACTTGGTGGGGTGGGATGTGGTCAAGATCGGAACAATGTTTGTTGGAAGCTGTCTGGTGATCGTCTTGGTCGATACTGAACCACCATAGCTAGTAGTCGCAAGTTGTGTCGCACATGTGATAGCTGTATGAGTGGAGGATCCTAGCGACAGGGTTATGCCAGCGATGGTAGTATGGACGATCATGAGCAATGCCCATATCGAATGAGTGCCGTGCATCATAAGATCCTCGAAGTAATGACGCTCTGTTCAAAATGTCTGATGGAACGATGCTGGCACCTTTGTATTAAGTCTCCAAAACTGTTAGATAGGTGACTATACATGCCGGCTTATGTAGTAGCTCGGCTGCCGCCCATAGCGGTACCTCATGGCTCAGATTACAATTGAGGCTTGAGCTGTGCAGGTCGCGGTGTGATAGAAGTGCAGCAGAGAAGATGCAGGATGCTTGTAGACGGAACTTCGATATTGTCATACCATGCCGTGCACGCAGCACGCCCGAGGGAGAAGACGTACATGGGTCTTTGGTTGGAGCGAAGCCGCGATCTAGGTCTTCCATGCGCCTTCGTGCTGGGATCCGCTGTTCTCTGTGCAGTCGAAGTGCTCGCCTGGCGCAGCTGGAATTTGATCCCGAGGCCCAAGTCCACACAATCCATTGACGATGGTGACACAGTCGGGTCGTGTCGATCAAGAAATCTGCCATGCTGGCACGCTGGAGTCGCGACCACGCTTCGCTTATACCGAGTCAGCCAGTCGCGTATGCACACATACAGCTTCACTTATATAGCAAAGAGACAGTGGCTGCCGTGACGGAGTCGGGACTGAATGGAAAGGCGATACTTGGGAGAGTGTGGCTGACTGAGCACGGCACGCCGACCAGGGTTATTGCAGATCACTTCAGCCGCGTGGTTGCATGCTTCTCGCTGCTTGACAGTTCTTGGCGTGCTCTAGGCATGCAAGCGAGACAAGTAATATATGCAGTCAGGCCTCAGCTTGCTTGGCACAGCTGTGGCTTCAGCGCGACCGCAGAAGAACCTCAAGTGTGACCTACAGCACGGCGTTGGGACACCTCTGCACGATAAGTATTGGCTTACGTCGTATGCTGTGTGGCGTCGGCGTGTGATGGTCGGCACCATGCATGGATATCTCAACCCTGGTCGCCGTCACCTCCCAGTCGAGCCATCTGCTTAAGCCTGGCCTTTCTTTCCTTCCTCCACTTTTTGTCCCATGCTTCGACCTTGCCACCTATGACTTCTACTGCTTTAGTCTCGATCAGGCACATGCCTCTCGCCACTGTAATATCTCGCAGTACTAGCTTCGTCCCGATACTCATTTGCACGCCAATGCCATTGACAGGCGTGAGCTCCATGGCGTACATATTGGTGCCGCTGGCGTCCTGGAGAAGTAGTTTGTGGGGACCAGAAGATGTAGCAGCAGGCTCGGCAGAACTGGCATTCTCTTCAGGCACAACTCGAATGACTTCTCGTCCTTTGGTAGTTTCGCCACGTTCTTGGGCTTCAATAGCTTCGACCTGTGACCAGCGGCTGCGGCCAATGTCTTCCACATCTAGGACCTGCACTGTGATAGGACCACGGAGTGTCTGGTCCTTGACTGCCGGGTTTGTGACATTGCCCGGCAGGGTCTGCACGCTGGTCTTGTTTAGAGACGTAGTAATGTCAGTAGCCAGAACGCGGAACAGCGCTGTCTTCTGTAAGGCCACAATCGGACTGTTGAGCTTGATGGTGGGCATGAAAGTCCGCAGCCAGATTTGAGATGGTGGCACTCCTCTGCTTGATAAGTAGGCCTGTATCGAAGCAGCAACATCATCCGGACTTGGTGTCGCCATTGCTGGTGTGGCGGCTACGTGCCGCTGATGCGCCATTTGATTGAGAGCACATGCTTTCTGTAGCGCATGTTGATGCAAATGAGAAGAAAGGAAATTGATTGGCAGACGCGTTTCGCGCGTCAAGCTTTTGCGACGCCGAGGTTGATCTACAATTATGTTCAATCAATTGTCGATCAATGTAGCATTCAGCAAGTCCACTCTAGCATGAACATCACCAGACGATAGAATAGGACGAGCATCGCTAGCTGAAGGGAGGCAAGATGTCGACTATAGCCTCGCCTCGGCCATCGATCTCATTGTCGTCCCGCCGCACCTCCACCTCCACAGACACCACTACCCGATCAACCTCAACTTCCCGCCCACCACCATCCGGCGCCAGCAGTCTTCGTCGCAATCGCACAGCTCTTCGCGACTATTACAAGCTCAAAGATGCCGCATCAGTCGACGCACGTGATGCGCCAGAGGCAGAAGGCACCATCACAAGTGAGCTTGACCGCCCTGACTTCGATGCCCAGGAATATGTTCAGTCTCTACTCGCACGAGAAGGACTAGAAGGTGTATTGAAGATTGAAGCGGGACTGATCAGTGGAATACGGGGTCTAGATGGCGAGAAGAAGGCGCTGGTGTACGACAATTATTCAAAGCTTATTGCGGCCACGGACACGATACGAAGGATGAGGGAGAAGATGGATCCCGTCACTGAGACGAGCAATTTGATGGGCGATATTGGGCAGATAGCGGAGAGAGCAAACATGTTGTCTGACGGGTTGAGCAAGGGGAGTGCTGGCCAGCGTGGAGGTGGTGGGAACTTGGAGCAGCAACGCCAGACTGTGAGGTGGGTCTTGGATGCTCCTCGACGGCTTGGACAGATGGTCGATGATAGCAAGCATGCTGAAGCGGAGGCGGAGAAAGACGAGATCTTCACGCTTTTGGACGGCTGGAAAGGAGTCAATGGTGTGGAAGGGGTACGGCGTGGATGTGAAGCAGCACTTGAGCACCAGCAATCTGGCTGAGCGACTCAAGCCACCTGGAACGTCTACAGACTGAATTCCAACCGGTTGCCAGCAAAGTCTCTGGCAAAGAACCGCTGCGGGTACTCCACTCCTTGGGACCCTATCGCCACATTAGCCTGGGCTAGCGTCACCATCCATTGGACAGTAGGACATACCACTGTTCACAGCCCCTGGCTTATCAGCCTCCCTCGGCGCCGCCTCACCACCCCTCTCGTAATGCTCCCAGATCCTCTGCCTGAGCTCTATCAACTTCTCCGGGCTCTCGATACGGAAACAGGGATGCCGACTTGACTTCTCGCCTTCGGGACCGTGGGCGATATGTACCTGCTGGCCAGAGCTTCCTATATCGAACCAGGCTAGACTGTCCTTCTGTGCAGCAGGGACAGTCCGCGATGTCAGGCCCAAAGTATTGGTGTAGAAGTCTTTGGCGTGAGGCATTGTGCCGAGCGGGACTAGCATATTGATATGTGCGAGTCCGGATATCATGGTGGGCAAGCGTTTTTGTATGTCGGAAGCCTTGCAAAGGTGCGGTACTTTGCTGCTTGCTCAGTGTCTTGATGAGGTGGATTGTGTCTTGTATGCGACTCTGACACTTGTGCATGTAATTGTTCATGGCGGGGTAAGCTTTTATCATAAACGGCATATGTCGGCTAAAGCGGCAGGCACATGATACAACAGACACAAGAAGACCAAAAGAATGCCTCTTAATCGTTGTCGATATCTGAGATATGTAATAAAGATGGTCCTTCTATTGCTCGTGAACTTCTTGAGTGTGTTCCTCAGGATACGGTGATGCTGTAGACTTGCCTTCCGCAAAGACTCTTTTGCCTGCCAGTCGCGGATGCTCAGTATGCTGTTTCTTCAACGAAATCATTTGTTTCCGAAGGACTCAACAGGCTGGTCGTCTACAGCTCGCCATTATCATGATTCCTGGTGGGCGAGGTCGCGGCTGTGTATAAACCACTTCAAGACCAATCGAAGACCGAGGCATGCCGTCATTGCTGTCCCCACCATTCCCTAAGTCCTACATCGTTTCCATATTCAATTAGACAATTTAGCTACTAGCAAACCACCAAGGTCATATCACATATGTCAGCGCTCAAGATGGCTGCCAATTGTATCTTCTGCAAGATCATCAAAGGTCAAAATCCCTAGAACGTTACATGTTGCGATGAGGATGAGCTGACCAAGTCTGTAGGAGACATCCCGTCCATGAAAGTGTTCGAGTCGGACAAGACATATGCATTTCTCGAGTACGCCTACAACAGTCGAGGGAACCGTGAGAGTGTTGAATTACACTAAAACCAACTAGCATCAACCCTCTCTCCTACGGCCACGCCCTGGTGATCCCCAAATACCATGGCGCCAAACTCACCGATGTCCCAGACGAACACCTCGAAGAGCTCCTCCCCGTCGCCTCCCGCATAGCCAAGGCCACAGGGTCCGAGAACTTCAACATCCTGCAGAACAATGGCCGGATAGCACATCAAGTGGTTGATCATGTACATGTACATATGATTCCCAAGCCGAATGAGGAGGAGGGGTTGGGTGTTGGATGGCCGCAGCAGCAGGGAAACAAGGAGAAGTTGACCAAGTTGCAGGAGGAGATTAAGAGTAAGATATGAGATTGAGTGGTTGTAGAGTGCTATGTGCTATTTCGGGAAGGCACGAATCGATGAGGAACTCACGACCATATTTGAGAACCGCACAACCGGACAGCTGGCATTCATCCGAAAGTACTTTGCTACTCTAAGGCTACCAACCACATCATAGGCTCTCGTTTGCAGCCATACGGCACGCTATGGCACACACCCGAAAGGAAGGGAAGTACAGCGCTACAGCGTAATTTCCGCCTTGCTCTCATCTACCATATTCGCTTTCCATGCTTGACCAGCCAGTATATCGTGAAGCCCGAGACACTAATGGTGGTAGTCAGAAGAATACCAGCATTCATCAAGAAGCCTTGCTCAAAGAAACCCACGCCGCCACCCGGGTGTCGCTTGAAGAGTGCTAGTGGCGCTGAAGCCTCTGCCAGTAGCTTCGCGGCCGCAGGACTATTGTGGGATGCGAGCGCCGTACTCAATGCAGTTGAAGTGGTGGTGTTGCTGATGAAAGCTGGTCTTCGCAGCTGGAATAGTTCTCTCGGGTACCGCACTGCCAGATCTACAGGTCGACCAGTGGCAAATGCTGGACCGACGAGGATCTCAGCTGGAATGTGGTTGACGAAAGTCACGCTCGCTTCGATGAACTGGGTCAAGTATTTGGCCGAGGCTGGGTTGCTGAAGTGGTAGGCTGCGAGACTGGGCACGTTCTTCCCTGTGCTGTTGACGGTGTCGATGACATCGTCTAGACTCCGAAAGGCGTGGACGACCATCACTGATGCCTCGACCTTCTGTGCCAGGACTTCTGGGTTACGTGATGTGAGTTCCACGACGGCGAACTTGCTTTCCTGTAGCACGACTCTGAGGTCCGGGTCGGCCTTGCGAAGCGAATCGATCTGTTCGTTGACTTTGCTGGCGGGCTTGCCCTTGGTACTGCCGTTCATAGTGACTCCACTACCCAGCTTCACACACTCGCCAACAACGGCCTGTAGGAACTCCTGCTTGACAAACTCGTTCACAAAGACTGTATCTGGCGAATATGGACTTCGACCACCGAAGCTGAATCTTGCAGCGACTAGGTTGCGAGCGGCTTGCGTCACATCGCCAGTCCGATCGACAACGGCTACTGTTCTTGTGCTAGCCAGAGAGGAGATCTGATTCGCACGCGGCCATTGATCATTGCTGGCCTGGTCGACGTGGATTGCTAACTCGAGGAAGTCCTGGTCTGTGATACGTTCTGACGCAATGGCGAAGGTATCTCGGTCCAAGGCTTTGGTCAGGATGTCGCGGAGAAGAGAAGAGAGAGTACGGAGGTTGTTCTCGAGCTGTGCAGGATCGAGTCAGCGACATCATAGTCTGTCTGGATGTCAATCCTCACCAAGACGACCACACAGTTTCCAGTCGCAATTCCCGCACTCAATGGCACAATAACAGAGTAGAACAGCGTATGCGTCGAGGGCTCGATGTACACTACACCAGCCGGGCGTCTCGACTCAGCAGCATTCTTGCTGCTTGCGAGTAGATACTCCTCCTCATGCGCCTTCTTAGGCTGGAGACTTGCGTAGTCGTTGCGGATCGCTGTTGTGGCCAGGTTGAGTTCTACAGCTATCTCTGCTTGGCTATGACCGTAACCGGATGCTATAGCTTCACTGATACGGGAGGTGTTGTCGATCACTGCTTTCGCAAGAGTTTCGAGCTGCACTTGTCGATAGTAAATGTTGTGGGCTCTCTCGTCTATCGCTGCGGCGCGTATCTGTGGGTATGTGTTGGCCATCGTTTCGTCGTTTCTTTCCAGCCCGATGGATGAGGTGAAGTATGTCGAGGTTGTAATTGTTTGTTCACATCGTGGAAGGTCAGACGATAGTTCTCCAGCACATCCAGCAGCGATACCACCCTTGTCAATACCGGAAGACGCGCCGTGATTGAGCCAGCCGAAGGTCCAGAAGTATCCCGGTTGGCATCCATTCCACATTGCACGCAGCCCACTTCACCCGCCACGGCACGTCCTCCACGCTTCCATGCATGATCCGGTGGGGTGGTCTTCACAGCCAACATCGACAGCATCACGAGACGAGGTGATCGTGATGTCGAAGACCCCAGACGATAGTCCCATATACAAAAACAGACTGAAATCATCGTCATCGAGAATCAACATCCATCATGTCCGTGACAACAACAGATAACGCGCGCATCACATCCCTCCGCCACGCCCTAGCCGACTACGACCTCGTCCTCAGCCAACCAGACGACGATCGCGCCGCGCGTGCACCACCCCCAGACGCACACCCATTGCCTGCGAACGCACCATCGAGTAATCCGGCGGGATGGGAGGATCAATGGAGAAGGGTGCCAGCATATCGGCCGATGAACAACCAATTAGATGATCAAAGGGAGGTATATTCGAACGAGATCGAGCACAACTTCATCCGCGTCATGTTCGGAGGTGAGTTGTGCTGAGCTGCCAGACGAATATGTGAGATGAAGTGCTGATTATTTGGTGTTGTAGGTGTGTGGATGATGAGCACAGCAAGTCATCTGTGGAGAGCAACGGGAGGCAAAATCAACAGCGAGTATTTCAAGCTCAAGGTTGGAGGCGAGTGGTGATTCCACGATGGGATCGTGTGTCGTTACCTCGAGCGTTGCTGTTGGTCCATCACACGACATGCGGTCCATAGTCCGAAACATGATCTAATCTGTCGGACGCACTTTGTTATAAGGTCTATCTACACTTCTAGCTCCCTCGAAGGCGTGAGGGTAGCCACGCACTCGCCAAAACCTACGCCTTCACCACAGTAGCCGGTCAAGGTCACTGTCTCCCCATCCTCAAGGTATCCTCGGGCGGGTGTCTTGCTGGCATAGTACTCCATGATGCATCCGTGCTCGTCATCTCCTCCGCCTGACACAGTACCAGTCGCCAACAAATCTCCCGTTCTTAAGCCGCAGCCGCCAATGACCTGGTGGGCTATGCATTGTGAGATGGTCCAGTACATCCACGAAACGTTACTCTTGCACCAGGTTTTGCTTTCTGACTCTGCAGCACCGGCAGGTGTGACTCGTACCTCGAGCTTGATGTCTAGAGCATCGTTGCCAGAATCTGCTAGATGAGGCTGTACTTCCTGCTTTCGAGGTGGTGAAGATGTTCGATAGGCACTGAGAGCATCCGATGTGATGACCCACGGTGAGATAGTCGTGCTAGCGTTCTTGCCGTTCAGAGGTCCAAGCGGTGCCATCTCGAAGCCTTGGATATCTCGTGCTGACCAGTCATTGACCAGCACATACCCAAAGACATGCTCGTCTGCTTTGGAGGCCAACACTCTTTGCTTCCTGGCCACAGGCTTCCCTACTATCGCCCCCACTTCCAACTCGTAGTCCATCCGCTTGCAAGGCCCGAAGACGACTTTACTGCCAGGCTTGCCCTCGAAGAAGTGGCCAAGCGGCCTCTCAACAGGCGTACCAGAAATATCAAGACTCGAGCAGCGACCAGCGTAGCCAACGGGTTGAGAATAAAATGACGGTGGGACTGATCGTTGTCCGGTCATGGCTTCTGAGGCATTCTGGACATGGTCGGAGCTGAGAGAGAAATCTGTGAAGTCGCCAACTTCGACCGGCAGATGCATAAATACTGTGTCGATGTTCTCTACCGCACCGATGGGAAGACTCTTCAGAGTCTCATTTTTCCGTATGAGATCTTGTAGCTGCTTGCGTACTGCCTGGTGTACTGATCTCGGAAGCGCAGCGAATGCATTGAGCGAGCTCTTGCCGAAGACATCCGTAGCTAGATCAGGCATGCCGTCGAACATTCCTTCGAGCTTCGACAGGAAGATCACATTGTCGTTGATTCGTGTCACTGCTGTAGGCGTGGTCTGCGACTTGGTTGTCGCTATGCCGAAAGGAATATTGTCGATGCCGAAGTGAGACGAATATCCTTGGAGTGGCGACGACATGGCTTTGCTGATGATATTAGCGGTAAGACCTCCACAAGACGGCGTATATATTGTGGTAAGCTTTCGCGATGGTCCTCAGGTCGCATTAACCATGCATAAGAGGTATCGTCCACATCATCCGTGAGGGGCAGAGGTTCCGCAGTCGCGCGTACGCCATCGGCAAATGTTAAGTCTGAACGCGGTAGGACGTCAAACGATATAATTAGAATACATGCCGTGTATCCCCTCAGGATTATGTGACCTTCACTCACCATCAATTACCATGTCGTTGGACAGCTTACCAAAAGTCGCACGCTTTGTGACCACCAACAATGCCCAAGGCAAAGCTGTTTTTTCGGATGCTGTAGGTGAAGCGGCCGAGCCAAAGCCTATCCATGGCGGCGAGGTGGTGTTCGGATTGCAATACTGCTCAGAGCAATTCCCTGTCAACCTGAACGAGAACAAGGATATCGAGGCCTACAAGAAATTCTCGCAACAAGCTCCGGGCTTGGTGATCAATTCCGGCACAGTCCTGAGGACAGTCGGTAGGGTTTCTCAGTCGTAAGATATGCGAATCAGACTGACAAAAGTATAGATATGGGCCCAGGTCACTTCTCGCCAATGCACCGCACAGTGTCCCTCGATTACGGCATTGTCCTTCAAGGCGAGGTGGGGTTGGTCCTCGACAGCGGCGAGACCAGGCGAATGAAGCAGGGTGATGTAGCCATACAGCGTGGCACGATGCACGCGTGGCGCAACTTGTCGGATACTGAGCCAGCACGCATGATATACGTGTTGTTGCCGGCGCAAGAAATGGAGGTAGCAGGTCAGAAGATGGGAGAGGACCTTGCAGACATGAACGGCGTGCGTAGCAGCTCGTGAGCAGTGTAATACAACCATGGACGGAAGGGTCGGTTCGATAGGCTAGCAAGGCTCTTGCTAGCCCAGGGGCATGCTCATGATTGCGTCTGTACTCGTCTTACAGTAGTATCCAGCTTGGGGGGGTGGTCAATCATCTTGATCAATGGCCGTCTGGTCACGCCACCTTCTCGATCCTGAGCTTTCCATATGTCCGTACGTTGTCGTGTGTCATCCTACAGTTAAAGCAAGCCAATTCTGGATGGGGATGACCGGTTCGATGGGTTGTTGATCAGCAACAGACGCCTCGACTTTCGCCCAGCTAAGTCGGACACCGCCTCGGCAGATCTTACCGAACCCTGGTAGAACTACGGCTCAAGCGCGAACAGCGCGTAGATGGTGGAGTTGACTTCGCGTCGATGTGACCAGCTGCATCACCATTTAGACGGCAGTCGCGTGGCCAGAGTGACCGCTGCAGATCCTCACAATACCACACGCGAGGTACAGAAGTAAGCATGGCAGCTGTTGGAGAGGCGGAGGCACGGCGAGCCAGTGAAACGAGCTTCTTCGACGATGCACCACCACCGGGGGACTCGGAGCAGGGAAGCGATTTGACCTCCTCAACTAGCCGGAACCAATGCTATCTTTGTTCGCGGACATATGAGCGGCCGGATCATCTCAGTCGACATCTCAAATCACATGAGAATGAAAGGAGCTACCGATGCAGGGACTGTGGCAAAGGCTTCAATCGAGCGTAAGTCGAACTCCGAACAGAGTCTGTATTCGATGACTTACGGTGGCATAGTGATCTACTAAATCGACACCGAGCCGCGCATACCAAAAGCGCAAGCGACGCTCTTCGCAAAAGGACTGGACGTGCGTGCGCCGCATGCATCAAAGCCAAGACGAAGTGCGACGAGGAACGCCCATGCAAACGATGCAGGACTCGAGACGTGCCATGCGAGGAGACAGAGTCTCGTAAGTCTACCTCGCAACCCATCAAACAGATCCGTAGGTCTTCTTCGGTCGAGCAACCAACTGCGACACAAGCTGGTGCTTTCCTTCTTACGCCACAGCAGCAGCATCTACCACAGCCGCTTGCCATGGCACCAATGCAACAGACGCCTCCCATGTCCTCGTCACGACACCTGGAGGATGCCAGTCTGCTGCTTGGTCTAAATCATGCTCAAGCACCACCAGCGCCAATGCTACCATATAGCACAGCAAATCATGACCCGCAGCTCACGGGCATGACGCCTTACAACTCACTTGAGCTTCAACCGTCAGACTTTGCCACAAATGGCTTTGGTTTCCCGGACTTCTTCGAACAGATCTTGATGCCGGAAAACCTGCAGCATGCAGTACATATGCCACCACCTGATGTTTACAACATGACTTCAGACCTTACGTTTGATGAGAGCGATTTCGATTTCAGCTTTCTTGCAAGCGGACTCACACGGCCATCGACTGCCCAGGGACATCGAGCTTTCGAGAATGGTAGTGGACCCGAGGCTGATTTGGCACCAAGTTCTGATGCACACTTGAGGTCTGAGGCATTCAAACGCAACCCATGGTCGTGGAACCACTGGATACCAGAGCGAAACACGCATACCTTTAGTGGCCAGGAGACGATTGATGTACGGGAAGCACATGTCAATGCAAGTGATCAGCTTACCAGTCCTGACAGTGTGCGACCTGTGCATTGTGATCTGGGACACCCTGAGCGAGACCGCATGATCCGAATTGTAACCCAGATTGCACGAAACAGACTCTCGATACCTTCATTCCCATCACTAGAACTGCTGGAAGACCTGATCGAGATACAGCTTCTGCAGGACAGCAGTGCTATTGACTCGTTCTATCATGGCGCATCTTTTACCTCGGAGAACACTCGGACGGAGCTGCTGCTTGCCATGGTAGCCGCTGGTGCGCGGTACATTGCACTGCCTCCTGTCTGGAAAATGGGTCTCGTCATACAAGAAGTCGTGCGACTAGCTATTCCTGAAGTGCTAGAGAACGACAATGCCATGACTAGAGAGCTAGAATTCCTACAGGCGTTCATGATGGTCCTTGACATAGGGGTGTGGAGCGGCTTCAGGCGAAAGACTGAAATTGCCATCTCTTTCTTGCAGCCACCAGTGACCATGATGGCATGGTCCAACGCTTTCCGCAGATCCGGATATCATGATCACATACCTCTGCCAGAGGATTCGGATGATGTCCTTGAAGACAAATGGAGGAGCTGGGCTAAGCGAGAGGCCAAGAAAAGGCTGATCCTACACACATTCTTACATGACTCGCAAGTTGCGATCGTGAATATGAAGAACCCTTTGATCGCGCCCTCACAGTTACTGTTTCCTCTACCTGCGTGTCGCGAGCTGTGGCTGGCACCTAATGCTCACGCATGGCGACATGCTTACATACGAATAAAGCCACCAACACAAGCCTTGACCCCGTCACTCCTGGATTTCTTCGGCAGCAATACTCTGCTAGATCAGTACGATGGAGTCTTCGATAAGATCTTGTGCTTGCTGTCTGCCTGCCATGGCTTAGGTCAAGAAGTGTGGCAGTTCCGGGCCCAGAACAGACTATTATCAAATTGGCAGAACCATGGACGGCGCGATCGTTGGCTCGACCATCAAAGGATGCAGCGAGATCTGTATGATGATCTGTGTGCGGTTCATGCTTACTGCGAGATCCACAGTAGTGCGACACCAGAGATCATGATGACGTTGGAGCTGCTACTAATGTCACTACATGTCGACCTTGAGGACATTCAGACATTTTCAGGGAAGCTAGGCGAAGAGGAAGCACGTAAAGTCGCCCCTCGAGTGTTGGCATGGAGCCAAACGGGGGAGTCCAGGGTGGCAGTGTGGCATGCTGGTCAAGTCCTCCGGGTAGCGCGGACATTCGAGAAGACACGACTACGAGACTTCTACGCAATTGCACTATACCACTCGGCGCTCACGCTATGGGTATACGGCATGATCACGCATGGTGCTTCCCGTAAAAGCGGCAATGAGACGCCTACACATCACATGCCACGCATGATGCAGCAGAATTCTCACGCGGCAACCATATCGCAGCAGGCCGTATACGTAGACACGAACAGCGACAAGGTAGGCAAGGGATTTAAATTGCTTGGCCAAGGTTCTGCTGGCGTGCAAAACCACAGCGGTGACTTCGTGCCGCTGTCGAACGGACGCGGTCTCATGGCCACCGCGGAAGCCCTCCTGAAGAGCAACTTCCCACAAAGTCGACACGGTTTACCACCCCTGGTCGAGAACTTGGCGAATCTCATGGGCGAACTTGGAAAGCTTTCGAGACGCGAATGAGGAAACAACCTGCAGCTGCAATATGATCTGAATGCATCTGTCTATACTACTCTATTTTGGGGGCACAACTGGAAGCACCACAAAATTCTGATGCTTGTCGCTAAAGTGCAAGTTGTTCACACCACCCAACTTCTCTTCGCTTCGATCCACAGAATGCTTGTGTCCAAAAATACCACATCCCTGGGTGTCACCGCTGGACACCTCGAAGATGAGTTTGCCGCCCTTCTCAACCACGACATTAGTAGGCCAGACCTCGACATCGGCCTCGTAGACGGTATCTGCCTTCACTTCTTGGACGTCTGTACTCCTGTACTCGCGGTACGGTAGCCACTCCTTGTGCATCGGATGCTGATCTTCGACTTTTCGTAAACTCATGCGCAGCCAGCCCTTGGTCAAGGGGACCGGATCACCTGCCGTGCCGGTATAAAAGACCTCCTTTCCTTCTGGCGAGATGTATCTGAGAGTCAGGAAGACGTCGATATCGGATGGCGTGGTTTTCTGCTCAGCGTTGGCTTTGGAAGAAGATAATGCCAGGTGTGCTACGATATGGCCCGTAATCTCCGTCTCTTGCTCGAATACCGGCGTGGTGAATTGCACAAGTTGTGGGTTGGCCAGCAGACCCAGAGCTTTGTAGGATACCTTCTCCTCCTCACCAGTGTACGGCTTATCCTTCACCAGGCTGTGATCGGGCTGCAGATGAAAGCGGGTATATTGTGTTCTTGCGATTGGCCACTCGGTCTCGGTTCTCCTGGGATACTTCTTTTCTGCTTCCGCGTCGTTGAAGCCAACATCGCCTTTCCTCAATACCATGTCGACTGGCGGAAGCTTGCCCTTCTCGGACCAGCCAACTCGATCATCGCCTTTCAAGAATGCGTCTAGAAAGCTTCGCTGTAATTCGACCTCCTCTGTAGCGACTCATCAGTAGCTATCAAGGTTCCAGGGATGCAACAGAAACTACTCACCTTCGTAATAGAAGGGCAGATCATGTCGACCTGTGATGAAGCGCAAGTACTTCAAGTCCCAACCTGCGTGCATATACCCCTGCACATTGCCGCGAAGGTGCAACAAGATACCACCCCAGTTAGCAACGGACAACAGCGGCACCTTGATATTAGCTAAGTCGAAGTCTTTGGTGGCGTAGTACTCATCATCCCGGAAATGGTTCTTGACATTATCGATGGTCTGGTCCTGCCTGTTCTTTGCAAGCTCTTCATCACTAAGGTCGCCTTCAATTGTGTCCGGACCCCATTTTGCAGCCTTGCGCCCTGGTCGACCATACTGATCTGTAATGACTTGTCGGTTCCACCAGAAAGTGATGAACTGGTCACTGAGGATACCACCGTGTCTGCACCGATCACGGTAGTAATCACTCATTCCCTCCCAAGGCACAATTGCAGAGAGTCCCTTTGGCTGCCTTGCTGCGACTCGCCATTGCGTACCTGCGTAGTACGAGATCCCGAGCAAGCCGACCTTTCCTGTTGACCACGGCTGTTCAGCTGCCCATTCAATAACCTCGAAAAAGGCTTCGGATGTGCCACGAGACATAGTATCTAGCAGACCTGGACTTTGACCAGTACCTCGCTCATCGGCTCGGACTACGGCGTAGCCATGTTTGGTCCAAAACGCTGGATCAGGCGTCTCCCACACCGAGTGCTCGGACTTGTGTTGAGGGTTCACTTCAGCGTATGATTTGGCGTGGAAGCTATTGGCATGGAATCAACAAGAGTGGCTTGATCAGGTTTGCTTGTACTGACATACTCTGCGTATGGAATGTCTTTGCCATAGGGACCATATGTGACCAGTATGGGCACTTTCTCGTCCGTCTTTGGTCGATATACATTCAGTCTCACAGCGCCATCAGATGACTTTAACGACACTGTGGCATTCTGCTCGAAAATATACGGATGGCTATCCTTGTCAACGGTGTGCAGGTCGCGGATTTGGTTGGGCATCTTGCAATAAGTGTATAGTGCCGTCTGAGATGTTTCTCGCGTACAATACTATCGAATCTGGGTGTAGCACAGCTATTTCATTCTCGAGTCCGGCGTTTACGGAAGCTATGGGGTCAGACCCCATATCATACTGGGATCTGCGGAAGCAGGGTGACGGGTGGGTATAGTGGGGCCAGACTCAGAGTTCAGGCTCCCCCATGCAGGAACAAATCAGGGTCCGCTGTATGAGAGATGTAAGAAGAAAGACCTCCACATGCTTCCGGCGGAGTAAGCGAACGCAACTCCAGAGCTCTACGAATGCGACGACACGGCACAGCGACGGGTCGGCAGCAACAATTCTGGGGGCCTGGTGCCGGATTGATATACCTCTACCCTGGGCGTGTACCTGGTTGAGCTCGACTTGGATCAAGACGACTAGCATAGCACAAGCTCACCATGACTGGATCCGCGAACCACACGAATGGCGTGCACGAAGAGGTGGAGAAACCACTACACATCCTCATAGTAGGCGCAGGGATTGGTGGACTGACGGCTGCCCTAGCTTTGCGCCAGCAAGGACACATCGTCGAGCTCTTCGAGAGCTCAAGACTGGCCCAAGAGACTGGTGCAGCCATTCATCTGGCCACCAATGCGAATGGCCTGCTACGGCGAATGGGCCTTTATGCTGAAAAGATTGGTGCAGTGGAGTGCACTGGTGTCATAGAATATCTGCCTCACAATGGCGCGTTGAAGTATGAGGTCGACACATCCAAGATGCCAAAGATCTGGGCCCACCCGTGGCATCTCGCTCATCGAGCACATCTACACACAGCCTTAAAAGACATGGCAACAGGTGCTGAGGGCAAAGGCACACCCGCGAAGCTACACACTTCAAGCAGAATCAAGATTGTCGACCCAGAAGCTGCAACGATCACTCTGGAGGACGGCAAACAGCACGCTGGTGATCTAGTGGTCGGTGCCGATGGTGTACATTCACGTACAAGAGCAAGCATCCCTGGAGGCGACCTGAAGCCTTTTGACTCTGGAAAGTCAGCATATCGGTTCATGATCCCAAGAGACGAGCTGACTTCAGATCCGGACACTGCCGCTTTTGTGGCCAAAGATAGCTTCCTCACAATGTGGATTGGTACTGATCGTCGCCTCATCATGTACCCATGCGTGAACAGCACTCTCATGAACTTCGTGGCCATACATCCCAGCAAGGAGTCAGACTCTGATATTAACACGGACGGTACGCAAAGAGCTCTCAGATCCGAAGCACCTCACTGACGTTTCGTGTATAGACTGGCAAGAGACCGGTAGCAAAGCCAAGATGCTTGAGATCTACCAAAGCTTTAGCCCGAATATCGTCAAAATCCTACAACACGCAGATGAGTCCCAGGTCAAAGTCTGGAAGCTGCTGGATATGGACAAGATGCCAACCTTCATCAACAAGAATTTAGCAGTCATGGGTGACGCGGCACATCCTTTCCTACCCCATCAAGGACAAGGGGGTGGACAAGCCATCGAAGATGCTGTCTCTCTCGCAGCACTCTTACCCTTGGGAACTACGAAGGCCGATGTCGCTGATAGACTCAAGATCTACGAGCAATGTCGTTACCAGCGAGCGCACAAGATTCAAGATTTCACACGGACGGCTGGCATGGACGAAGCGGAGCTGACGGCCAAGGGCATGAAGCTCGACATGATGAGTTATCAATTCTATAATTTTACAATGGATGCGTGGGACTTCACGAAGAAGGCATTGCAAAAACATCTGCAGAGTCAAGACAACAGTCTACGCTACCGCAATCCTTTCGGCTTTGGTGCAACACCCGGTCCACGACAGCCTCTGGGCTTCAAGCCAGACAGTCTCAAAGTCCAGTCGTTGCGACAGAAGACATCAGAGACCTCCAAGACATACTCAATAAAGTTCAAGACCTCGAGAACATATCTCGAGAGTCTTCTACCGCCGGGTTTCGCATTCACAAGCCCCGGTACCATAGTCCGAGCAAGCATCAGTTGCACGACTCTCGACGGCATGACCTGGCTTGGAGGTGGTGGGTACAGTTACTTTGCCTTGAATATCCATGGCATCAACTACACCAAGCAGGACGGATCTAAAGTCTTTGGCTCATATATGCCAGTTCTGTTCGAGAACCTTGCGGACCCGATCATTACAGGCAGGGACGAACTCGGTATGCCAAAGCTATTTGCAGATATCGATGTTCAGGAGGGAGCTGGCAATGGCTGCAAGGTTACTATCAGCTGGAGGGGAGCCCAATTCGGCAGCTTCGAGATGTCCGACCTTGCGCAGGAAGAACCAAAGGCTGACACAGGAGCTCCACCTCCACAACGAGGGCCTGGCCCACCACCTCCTCCGCCAGAGACTGGTTCGTTCGTCTATCGCTACGTCCCGGCCGTTGGCCAGCCTGGAAAGGTGGATGCCGAGTACGCGGTATATGTGCCCAACGGCAAGCCCACCGCTGGCTCTGCTGCACCCCAACAATCTGTCACTAAGTCCGCGAGCTTCTCGTTCGAAGCAAGGGATTGGCAAAAGCTTCCGACGCTTCACAATGTCGCGGCATGGCTCGCCGATATGCCAATGTATGGCATCGAGGAGGGGAGATCTACCAAAATGGAGGGTGTCACAGATCTCAGCGGTGCAGTCAAGTTAGAATAGAGCAGCATGCAGCATGAATCCATTAACTCTTGTGTTCGACAACCCACGGGCGCACAATAGTATGCTCTCGCCACGGTCCAGATTTAGAAGGTCGTTGCTCGTCCACATTAGCCGGACATTGACCCACCCCACCGGAAGACCTTTGGCCTCACCTTCGGCTCGGAGCTTCATAGGTGTTGTGGCGAGACTCGATCGCACTGTGTCAGCTTATCCAACTACACAAGACCATCTGATTCGCCTTGAGTTCCGTTCCGTAGCTGTACACTGGGAAACCACGATTACAGAGTTGACCTGACCGCATTCGAGAGTGAAGCCGACAAATTCTTAGACCTGTTCGCCACAGCAATCTAATCACAATGGGTAACTGAGTTGCAACGAGGGCGGATACATTGCGCTGACATCCGAAGCAGCTCCCACGCCAGTCCACTTCTTCTCCCATGGGTCGACGATGATGCTCGGCGAGGAATCCACAAGCGCAGACTACTGGAAACAATGCGGCGACGAAGCCCTCGCCAACGGCATTAAAGGCGTGATAATGATGGGAGCCCACTGGGATGCCCGAGGCGACATGATCGAAGTCGCCATGAACCCGGCCCCAGGCAAATCGCCCGTAGCATACGTTCACCCATCCAAATATGTCGACTATAAGCTAGTCGCGGACCTCGAGGGAGGAGAAAAGTGTCAGGCTCTGCTGAGAGACAATGGATTTAATGTGAAGGAGAACAAAACCTTCGAGTGGATCCACGACACATATCTCATCCTCATCCGGATGTTTCCCGGTGGCTGCCCACCCACAACGATAGTGTCGATGAACGCCCGCTTCGACCCCCATTTCCATATGCGAGTAGGCAGTGCCCTCCGACCACTCCGACACGAACGCTACCTCATCATCGGCACCGGCGGCGCAGTACACAATCTCTACCGCAACGTCTGGGCACCCATGCTCAAGTACCGGGACAACTTCGCTCAAGAGACCGCTCCGGAAGGCTGGGCGCTCGAGTTCAGGCAGAGCGTCGAGGATGTGATGACGCAGAACCGAGGACCGGCTTTGAGGAGAGGAATTACGAGGTTGATGAAGCATCCGCAGTATAGGGATGCTCATGCTACGGATGATCATTTCATGTCGGCTTGTTTCGTTGCTGGTGCTGCGGGTGATTGGGAGGACGAGCAGCAGGAGAAGGGTAGACTGGGTGCTGAGACCTGGGAGTTGACTAATATGGTGAGTTGGTATCGAGACCCTCCCGTGATGATAGTAGCATGCTGACATACTTCAGTGCAATTCACAATTCACACTCGGCTCCTGGGCAGGCGGCCAAGCGGTGTCTGCTGCTGCTTGAAAGCATTCAGTGTAAGCTATTGTTAGACGGAGTCGCCTTCAACGTTTGTCTTTGTCCTTGGTGGCTGCTGTGAATACCTCGAAGCTACGTGCCTCGGGACTCGCTCTAAGCACTCTTCACATGTACTCGCAAGTGTTCGTAAGATGAAGTCTTTCTGTTCCCGTACTGCTCTTCAGCATCGTCGAGTTTTGTCAAGGAGTACCTATAGCACATCAGAGCAATCATGGCAAGCCTCACAGCAGCGGGACCTGGAAGTAGTGACGACACCTCTGAGGCAGACTGGAAGCACGCCGAGTCCACACCCAAGCCAGAGCCAACCGTCTATCGCTACATCGCAGAAGGCTCAGGAGGCACATACACATTCGCAGATGGCGACATCCAGTACATCGGAACCAGTAAGTGCAACACCTGCGTAGCCGTCTACTGTAAGCTAGACAACACCCGCTGCTTCTTCACCCACATTAACGCCGACTGCGTCAATCGAATAGGGCGATGGTCTCGACAGATCAACTCTGAACAGGAGGCCGTAATCAAGCAGATCATCAAAGCAAAGCTTGATGCAGAGCAGGAGAGCTCGAATTGAGGACCCATCACGGAACGTATGCGCTCGAGCCTGGTCATCACCTGCTTGTCATTCGCAGTCGGGGCTCCCAAGGTAGGCGACGCCATCGTTGCGGCTGTCCTGGAATGGCTTGGGATCGAGGAGGTCCGCGAGATCCATCGCAGCCAGGCTTCATTGTCGATCATCCACAGGGCCAGGCAACGTTCTTCGATATCGAGGCCCCGACTAGCGAGTGGTTCATGCAGCTTCAGATGGAGAACGACGCTTGGGCGTTTTTGGTGGAGGAAGAATGATCCGTCTTATATCTCGTATCAGCCGCAACCATGCGCTGGGGACTGATATGTGGCAGAGTCAACAGGACATGAACTGGGGCCCTTGAAGGCTTGAGTCGCTACCTCGATGGACGGTATCGCTCGGTGCTTCATGCCGAATAGACTTTGCTTGGGCCCGTAGGCCGTAATGGCTTAAGATTTCTCTAGCATGTATACATCAGCCCGGAAGCGTGCCGAAAGCATAAACTTATGCCGTAGACTCCTTATCAGCCTTCCAAAAGAACCACAGCACAATCACAATCCCCTTAAGCACGATCGCCGTCCACAGCGCTCCAGGCAGCCCATACTCACTGTTCCCCCAAAGCCCACCAAAGAACGCCCCAACGGCCACACAAACCGCCGCCGCCGCCCGACGATTCCTCTCAATATTCTCCCGCGGACTCGCCGTAAGCAACTTGGGATCCATAAACAAATCACAATAAATACTCGTAAGCACCACAGAGGTCAGCCCATTATAGCCCAGCACTCGACTCGAGACCGCCTGGCCCGCAGACTGGAAAGCGATAAGTGCGATAGGCAGACTGATCCAGATGGTCACAGGGTCGGATGTTCCTGTTACCGGGCCAAGGGTGACCATCAAAGCGGCGATGATCATAAGGATGATTTGGATGGTGAAGGACAGGACCATGACCCAGCGTTTTCGTTGGCCTAGATAACGGTGGAAACGGGCGAAGAAGAAGGAGCCGATGCAGAAGCAGCCGACGGAGATTCCGGCACGGATCCAGCGATTGGATTTCCAGGGGGCGGCGAGGCCGAGGCCGAAGTAGATTGTGTTGCCTGCGGATAGCATCAGTGATGAGTTCGTATGGTGGATTGATGTATGAATGGGTGGCTGGACTTACCCGTCTGCATGCTCACGAAACTACCCCATACCTGTACGCTACTACTATCCAGCAACCCGGTAATGATGTAGCAGCCAAGAAGAATAAGATCACCCCAAGCCTTGCTGATATCGACAGTCATATGGCCCTGGATTCGTCGTAGGACAAGATTGCCATCCTCGGGTTTGCTGAGTAGTGCTGCTCGTTCACCATCTGAGCCACTGAGCATGCCATTCTCTGCGTGATTGTCATTCGAGACGGTACCGTAGCCATTGGGTCGCGCCATTTTCCGAGTATATCGGAAGAAGGGTGGAAGATTCTTGGGGTTCCTGGGGGTTGCTGTGGTGTGCGGATCCTGGCCGCTTGGAACGGGTATAACGGCTCTGATCTTGGAGGAGAGCGGCTGGGGCGGGGATGTTGCGGGCTGACTTCAAGGGTTGCAGTCTGTGCCCAGTGCCTCGAGAGTCCGGGAGAAAGTGCTTGATGACAATGGCGAGAAAGCGATGATTTGGGGAGTGTTGTTCTTGCCGAGAGAAGAAGGATGTTTCAGGAGATCCAGAAAGGGCATCGTTGTCGCGTGCTCATCCGAACCAATCCCAACCTCTTCTATGCCAGATGCGAGATAGACTTCCATGACGTACCGAACGAGCCGGGGTGGAAGCACTAGCGCGCGGAGCAGCAACGATGAGGCCTCGATTACACAAGAGCTATAAACATCAGGCCTTCCATCGGAATTCTTAAAAGTTGACTTTCTCGTTCGGCGATACCTGGCTGTGTAATAACAAAGAAGTCAAGATGCATATCACAGCTCTAGCTTCACTCCTGACATTGCCGGCATTGAGCTTGGCAGCTCCAACGAAACAACACCCTCTGGGATCGAAACATTCGTCGCCGTATAAGCCTGATCATTACGACCCTTATGATCGGAAACATGACAGTGTTGGGGAGGGATTGCACCCGGAGCCATATGTGAGTCTTAGCATTTTTCGCCACTACCATCGACGAAGCTAGACATATAGGCACATTTCCAATGGCTCTTTGTTAACGAGGATCTCAGCGCAACGGCAAAGGCACCTCAGTCCTTGGCCCTCGCAACCGAATGCGAGAACAACAAGATCCAGATATGGTCCGCCCACCAAGCACAGATCACGGCGCCATGCCCGCGATGAGATGGTGAGTCCCAAAATCTACCACCAACAAGAACATTAACCCACTAACACCCACCCCAGGTCCTTCGCCGACTCCCACACCCGCATAGAAGAAGGCGGCTGGACGCGCCAAACCACGGTCCGCGAACTCCCCAGCTCCAAAGAGATTGCCGGCGTCAACATGCGCCTCGACAAAGGCGTCATCCGTGAACTGCACTGGCACAAGGAAGCCGAATGGGCCTACGTTCTGTCCGGAGAAGTCCGCGTAACAGCCCTCGACTCCGAAGGCGGCTCCTTTATCGACGATCTCAAAGAAGGCGATCTCTGGTACTTCCCCTCCGGCCATCCACACAGTCTGCAAGGGCTCGGGGAGAACGGGACAGAGTTCCTCCTCGTCTTCGACTCCGGCGGCTTCAGCGAGGAGAGCACATTCATCCTCACGGACTGGCTAGCCCACACCCCGAAAGCGGTCCTAAGCGAAAACTTCCGCATCCCGCCCGAACTCCTCGAACACATCCCCCTAAGCGAGAAATACATCTTCCAAGGCTCGATCCCAGGCAGCATCGAGGAAGAGAAACCCAAAGCCTTCAAACAAAGCAAACTCAACTTCACCTTCAACATGCTCGACGTCGAACCGCAAGTCGGCTCAGGCGGGCAAGCGAAGATAGTCGATAGTCGTAACTTCCCCATCTCCAAAACCATCGCCGCAGGCCACTTGGATATTGGCCCGGGAAGCATGCGAGAAATGCACTGGCATCCCAACGCGGACGAATGGTCTTTCTTTATCAAGGGCCGAGCACGCGTCACCATCTTCGCGGCCGAAGGCACAGCCCGCACCTTCGACTACATGGGCGGGGACGTCGGCGTAATCCCAGCCAACATGGGTCATTTCATCGAGAACTTATCCGATGATGAACCGTTGGAAGTGTTGGAGATTTTCAGATCAGATAGGTTCATGGATTTCAGTCTGTTTCAGTGGATGGGGGAGACGCCGCAGAGGCTGGTAAGGGATCATATTTTCGCGAATCATCCCAAGGCTGCGAAGGAGTTTCTCAGGCAGGTGGAGGGGGGGAAGAAGGATGTTATTAAGGAGCAGTATTATAAGTCGCCGGAGCATGAGGAGGCGATTAGGAGGTTGGAGGGTGGTGGGGATGGGGGGGAAGGGTGGGCGGAGGAGTTGTAGTGGTTATGTGAGGAGATGATGATGATGATGTGTGGGTGGTGATGTGTACGACATACAAGGAAAGGTGGTTGGGTGATTGTACATGAATGATGAGAACGCTATGCAATGATGTAACACTGCCTCGAAAGTGCTGCATCGCTGTTTTGTCTGCAGCCCACCGTTCTTCTACCACATCGCTATAGCGTCCTCTGGCCTATTCTCTGTCACGCGTCGAGGACCACAGCGTGAACGGAACGTGCCAAGCTCTGTGCAAAAGCGACACTCATGAACGATTGGCTCCATAGTCCATACTATATACACATGGCGTGTCTATTTACCGTCCACGCGAGATAGGCATTATTGTTATGTCGATCTTCGTGACGGTTTCATACAGAAAGCCTCGGGTCCATGGCACGAATGTGATTGGTCGAGTGGATAAGTACCTGCATGAAAGGGAGCGCTAGCGTCAATCCTATTGCACCAGACGAGACGAGCGAGGGATGCGATACGATGCGATACGCTCCCTAACCTTCAACCAGATCTCCTGGTCTGTAGTTCTGTAGTCCTGTACACATCAACACCAACCACGTCTGTCTTTCCATATCGTCGTCACTCATTATCGTATACTTGCTACTAATAGCACAACACACTCATTCGAAGCGCAACCAACAAGACCCAGCCGGCCTGGATCTATCTCTTTGTCCATCTTTCTTTCACGCGTTGATACCCGACACACCATGTCCCGATTCATCCACCTCTCCTCGCTATCATGCATCGCCCTCATGTCCACCTACGCCTTCGGCCAGACTTCCTACGCCGGTGGCTGTAACCCGCTCAACTCCACCTGCCCCATCGATCCCGCGCTCGGAACGACACTGAACCAGACTTTCACCGCCGCGAGCACTCAACTGAACCCGAATTTGTGGAATGTGACCGCTGGAGGGGAAGCGATACAGTTTGGTGCGAATGGAGCCGAGTTGGTGATTTCGAACCCGGGAGAGTCGATTACGGCGGAGAGTACCTTTTATATTCAGTTTGGGCAAGTCGAGGTCATGATGCAGGCTGCCGCTGGGCAAGGGATTATTAGTACTTTCGATTTACTGTCCGACGATCTAGATGAGATAGATTTAGAAATCATGGGTGGCAATACTTCCTTTGTGGAGAGCAATTGGTACGGATGGGGAAAGTAAGTACCGAATCACCCGTCCAAGTTCAGACTTGTTCAACAGAATTGCTTACTGGTTTGGGCCAACAGCACCTCCCAATTCAACGCCGTCTACCATCCCCTCAACGGCCCACAAGAGAGCCTCCATAACTACACCATCGTCTGGACCAAAGACCAACTCCAATGGATCATCGACGGCAACGTCGCCCGCACGGTCCCCTACGCCGAACCAGGCCAATACCCGCAAACGCCCTCGAAGCTGAAATTCGGCATCTGGGCCGGAGGCGACTCGCCGCAACCCGGTACTGTTGCCTGGGCGGGTGGGAAAGTCGACTGGACGAAAGGGTAATGACACGCGACGCAGAGGATATGAGACAGAAAGGGTTACTGACTGAGATGTCCTACAGACCCTTCACCATGACCGTGCAATCCATCACAATCACCGACGCCACCACAAACGTAACCTCCTACACCTACGGCGACACCACGGGCTCCTACCAATCCATCACCTCCACCCCCGGAATCTCCGCCGCCTCCAAACTCGCCAATAAAGTCTCCGCCGCACAGTCGGCGCAGAAACAATGGAACGGTTTATCCCAGACCGCCAAGATCGCTATTGGCTGTAGTGTCGTGGGCGTGCTGTTGATTGTCGTGGTGGCGTACACGGCGATTTGTGTTGTGCAGAGGAAAAAAGGGAGGTTGGAGAGGCAGAGGGCGGATAGGGAGTGGGATGAGCAGCAGAATGAGTTGTTGGCTTATAGGTCGCGGATGGCGAAGGGAGGGTTTGCGGTAAGTTCTTTTCGTTGCTTCCGACGGATAGGGATTCTAGGGTTGGTCATTGTTTTTTTACTGACGATGATGTTTCTCTGCAGGTCAGCCATATGGGTCATGGAGAGAAGTTTTGATCCTGGCCTCGCGGCCGGGGGATTTCTGCCTTTTTCTGACGTCCTTTATGATTCCTTTCGTCGTTTCCAGCCGGCTTATTATACTTTCCAATCTATGACTTCGGTCGATAACCGAGGGCTAGTGGGTCACACCAGACCAACAACATATCCGATTTCCTCACCGTGCTGAGAACGAAGAAGAATGTCCCTTTCTTCTTCTGCATACCCTGACGTGATTGCCAACGCTGGCTGTAGACTATCCCCCCTCACTGACTCGTCGAGTATGTCAAGTAGCGAGCAAGTGTGACTGACGAGCTAGTTCCCAGGAACGTCCAATCGCTCGCATCCAGAACCGAGTAGGCCGCCGCGTGAGGAGCGACGTTCTCTTCGTCTCGATAGGCCCTTCTCCTGGCTACAGAACATGCACACTGGCACGTGTATCGGATTCCCTTAGCTCGGGCGTAGCTTACTTGCCCAACCGAGTATGTGAACGACGAAGCCTACTCCATCAGGCAATCCGGCAGCCACAAGCGCCCGTAAGCTCATTGCAGCACGCGCACGGACATATGAGCGTTTTCATAATGGCCTTCCTAATAGCTCGCTCAATGGTACGTGACTCCTCTCGACTCGAGCAAGGTGTTAATTCTAAGGACTAGGTTTCCGGGCACCAGGCCGTCGATTGAAGAAGACTTCGACAACGTCTTCTTTGGCTTCGTCGATGGACCACTGGACTGAGAGGCTGGATTATTCCCGGTTAGGATGAGAACACGCTCATGCCAAGCATATATATATATGCATGGATCCTGCAGCTCACGATGCTGGGTGGGGGAAGTGAAGGCACCAGAGTATCTACACCATCGCGTCCTTGGCGTCTTCGGACTGGCAGGGTCAAGCTCTTGCCGTTGTACATGGCCAAGCACGCACGACCAAATTTCATTTCCGGGAATGAGCGGGCATGGTGCAGAGACTTGGGCTCGAGAAATTGTGAGTGTGCTGGCTGCAATGGGGTATAGTGAGGAGGACATACCATCGCACAGTAACTGCTAGCCGCAAGCTTAGGGATAGTTACCGACGACTATTGCGAGCAGGACTTTGATACATGCGCGTGCTGGCCAAAAAAGTCCGTGAGTGTCCGATCACATCTGGTCTGATTGAACAACCGTGGGGATAAGAGGAGTCGCCTCGACACGGGCTCACATCCTGCCGCGCGTGTCCTGGGTCCAATCTAGCGATGACTGAGCTGAAGTACATGTGTGGTGTGCAAAAGATGTCGAGATGGATGTCTTGATTGATTTGTGTGTTTTGCTAGCGTTTCGTTCTCGTGGAGAAAGCAATGCGGAGTATGTCTGGGGTAGATCAGGAAAACATGCAGCACCAAACCTTGACCATACGCATGCTCCACGGCTTCCCAGAGAGGCAAGCCGGAAGAATCATGAGTGCAGGCTACGATCATGGCGTGGCAATACAGAATCCCAAAACCTGCCAGTTGACGTGACAGACATCGCTCGCCACTCTTCCAGTCGTTCCATCTCTCCAATCCTTCTTGAAAATTACTCACAATGTGGACCTGCTACGGCCGCGGCGCTCCCCTACGAGCCGCAATCTACGTCGCCTGCCTCAGCGCCTTCCTCTTCTTCGGCTACGACCAAGGCGTCTTCGGCGGCCTGCTCCAAAACAAAGACTGGCTCGACACCTTCAACCACCCCCGCGACGTCATAACCGGAATAACGGTCTCGTCGTACTGCCTCGGCGCCCTCTTCGGCTGTATCCTCACCTTCTTCATCGGGGATGTCCTCGTTCGTCGCCAGATGATATGGCTTGCTATGGCGCTGATAATTGTCGGAGCGTCGCTTCAGACATCGGCGCACTCGCTGGTTCTTTTGATCATTGGCCGCGTGATCACAGGACTAGGAACCGGGATCGATTCGAGTACGGTGCCCATGTACCAGTCCGAGTTGGCGAAGAAGGAGGTTCGGGGCCGGCTTGTGTCGTGGGAGATTTGGTTTATTGGATTGGGTATCACAGTGGCTTACTGGATCGTGGGTCCCTTTCCTTGCATGAATGCAATGTGGAGGTATACTGACATGATCAACCAGGACTACGGTTTCTCCTACTTACCCGGCTCAATAGCATGGCGCGTCCCAATCGCCATCCAGCTCGTGTTCGCTGTCATCGTCGTCTTCGTCGTCTGGGGCTGCCCGGAATCTCCCCGTTGGCTGGCCAAGCGTGGTCGAGAGGCCGAAGCCGTCGAAGTGCTGTGTGCAGTCTACGACCTGCAGCCCGATGATCCATACGTGGTTGGTGAGCTCGAGGCGATCCGTGCAGCCCTTGCTATTGAAGGCAAGGAAGGCGGGAATAAGATTTCTGCGCTGTTCAAGCAGGATGCTTTGCAGACGAGACGGAGGGTCATCCTTGCTTGGTTTGGGCTGTTCATGAATCAATGGTCTGGGTGAGTATAAGTCGTCGACTTGATTGAATAAATCCACATCAAAGTTACTAATACACAGCAGTATCAACCTAGTCGTATACTACATGCCTACTGTGCTGGTCGAAAATGTCGGTATGCAGGCTCACCGTGCGCAACTCATCGCTGGCTTCGTCGAGCTCATGTTCGTTGTTGGGTAAGTGCGAGTCACCGCTCACGCATGGAGGGCTAAACTGACATTGCTTCTAGCAATACCCTACCTGCTTTCGCCCTGGACAAGCTTGGCAGGAAGAGAGTCATGATGACTGGCTGTGGTCTACTTTCCTTCTGCATGCTGATGATTTCCGTCGTAAGCCAAGAGTGCTCACTAGTGGCAAAATATTGCTGACCATCTCCCAGCTCCTCTCGTTCGGCAAGGAGAGTACATCTGCGGCATCCATCGCTTTCTTCTTCTTGTATATGCTCATCTTTGGCGCGACAGTCAATGTGGTTCCTTGGTGCGTCATCATGCTCTGCACCCTCTCTGTCAAGCACTAACGATGATGATCCAGGGTATGGGGCCCTGAACTTCTACCGCTTGAAGCCAGAGCAAAGGGGGTGGCTATCAGTGTGAGCTCGCACTGGATGTGGAATTTCTGCATCGTCATGTGAGGTTTCTTCAGTTCCTTATCCTGAGCCCAATCTGACTCGACCCCCTAGGATCACACCAATCCTCATCAACCGTATTGGCTGGAAGACATACTTGATCTTCATGATCCTGCTGGCATTGTTCGTCCCGTTCGTGTGGTGGGCATATCCGGAGACATCTGGTTTAAGCCTAGAGGAGATCGACAATTTGTTCTTGCCTGAGGGCATGAAAAACGAAGTCGTGAGGAGCAACTCGGTCGCAGGTTATGCGAAGGACGTAGAAGCTGGTGAGGAATCTTATGCCTATGAGACCAAAGCTTGATGAGAGCTTGGAAGGCGAGGGGCGGATAGTGGAAGCCTTGGGATGGTAGGGGAACCAATTGCTGGAGGCGCAAGAGGTCGGAGTCCAATCAGTGAGCATGGCGTACCGCTACTCAGAGATTCGCGCGTTGCTTGTGGCATCTTTCACGCTGCTGGTGCATTCGTCAAGGGGACGTATCGAACACCCATATCCTTGGTCTTAGTAACTGTACCATCTTCCTTCTTGTCAATGATATAGATATGTTGTTCAGAATCCTCCTCGACGGGCATGAAGAGACTACGACATATTCGTGTCAGCAACGTCCGCTCACAAACAGGCATGAACAACCTCGCTATCGCTCAGCCTTCATCCGTGCAGAGACATATGCAATTACTCACCGTCCAGGAGCCTTCAGCTGATCAATCAACGCTTGATGGAAGTCCGCAGCCGCTGCACCGACATGTATAGCATCATAAGGCGCCTCCTCCTGCCACCCTAACCTGCCATCAGCCTTGACATACTTAATCCCACCACTCTCCATCAAATCCCTCCCTTCAGCACTCTTCCTTGTATTCTGCACACCCATCTCCACCAGCGGCTGGATATGCTCAATTCCAACAACTTTCCCACCAGGCCTCACTTGCTCAGCAAGCACATGGGTAAGGTACCCCGAACCTGACCCTACGTCTAGTACTCGTGATCCAGGTCTGAGATACGGCAGTAACGACTCGCAAGCTGCAGCGTGCATATGAGGGGCTGAGATCGTGGCGCGGTGGCCAATGGGTTGGGGGGAGTCTTGGTAGGGTGCATGAGGTGCGTAGTGGGCGCGATCGACGGCCAGCATGGCCTGTTTCACTCGATCTTGTTTGATCAGGCCATTGCGTGCGAGGTTCTCTATCAGGGTCTCATTGGTTGAGCCTGAGGATCGCCAGGCCATGCTGAGGGCGCGGATGGCCAAGTTCGTCCGAGGTAGAGATCCCAGGACAGCACGACGTGGGAGGGAGTGGAGTGCAATCGTGATGGTGATCTGGTCTAGTAACTTTAGACGTGATCAGGTAGGCAGAGCGCTAGTTGGGCGCTTGACGGATCTTCGCAGTGCACTCTCCAAGACTGCTCTCGATGTTGGAGAGGACAGGTCGTGTTCGTGTGATTATTACAAGAGCTTTCGTAGCATGAAGCTCGAGCTCCAGATCACGTCACCCGGGCCATGAAAAAGTATAGCAGGCACAACATGAAACGAAGAGCCGAAAGCATTCATTCATTCATCTACATGAATAAGGAAAATTGCGTAAAGGAGTGCATCGACCAAGTAGCGACAAGCGAGGATATGTGGCAAGCAGCCAAAACACCTTTTGTATGCAGATCCCCACCACACATCCTCCTCGGTCTTCAGCATTTGAACACCGCCATCAAAGCACACTGTACACCCTTGCTGGTGGTCATATGCTCGACTACGGCGCGTTCCCATGGATACCCCAATACTGCTCAGCTCCAAAAGTACCCGCATTATTCTGCTTCCAGTAGTCGTTGAAGGCCGAGAACAAGACGACATTGTTCGAGAAAGCGCTCTGAATCGAAGCAATAGCAGCGGCCTGATTCTCCGGACTCGGCACAGCCAGCTTATTTGCTTGGCCTTGCGATGGCCAGCCGGTTTCCGTGATCATGGTGTCCTTGCCACCACAGGCTTGCGAGACACGTTGTGCCTGGCCGAGGACAAATTTACCAGCATCTTGGGCGGTCACACCGCCGTCGAAAAAAGCGTGGCAATTGGCTGCGGCGTAGTCGGATGCTTGGCAGAGTTGCGAATTTGCGATGATGGCGACGAAGGTGTCGACAGTTACTACCTTGCCCTTGTAGCCTTTCGCTTGAAGCATACTGCGAGCTGTCCCGATGGCGCTGACGACTTGGTCTACGCTGAAGCGGCCGCTGTTCACCCCCTCGTTGCCGATGGCGACTGTATCGATGTGGTCAAAGTTGCCATTCGCGGCGTCGATTATATGCTGTACTTCTGTGCTGACTTGAGTGACATCGTAGACACCAGCCATGAGCTTCATGCCCTTGGCAGCGGCCGCATTACCGACTGTCGTAGTCTGCTGGCAATCTGTTCCGTAGATTCTGACCATACTGTATCCAGAAATCTGAGTGAAATCCTTGATTACCTGGTCCTGAGTTTTGCATGAGCCATCGCCGTTATATGGTGAATATGCGATAGAATATCCAGATGCGGCGGAACCAGAGTTTGCTGGAGCAGCTGAGGAGCTTGATGATGCTGCAGAGGATGATGGCGCGGATGGGGATGATGGTGCTGGAGCTGATGGTGCCGCTGGTGGAGGGTTGGAAGTGCTGGGTGCACTTGATGAGGGTACTGGTGGTGCAGGCGGTGGCGAGCTACTGCTGCTCGTTGGTGCAGGCGCTGCTGACGAAGAAGTGGTTGCTGTAGCAGCCGCCGGCACATGGGTCGTAGAAGTTGACGAGCTGGACTGGGTCTCGTAGGAAGTGGAGACTGGCTCTCCCTTGCCATCAACATAGACAACAGCCGCGATATTCGTCACAACATCCACCGCAGTGACCACATCCGCCTCCTGTCGCTGCTGTGCTGCATGCACGTGAAGGCGAGGCGGGTGCGCAGTCGCGGCAGCCAAGGTGGCGACCCAAAGAAGGCCAGCCTTCATTTTCAGGGTGTGATGTCCGTGAAGTTTTGGATATCTCTGTACTGTTATCGGCTTCGTGTCAGCGTTTGTGCTGCTTCGAGGCTGCCGGTATATCGTAAAGGAAGATCGAGTGCAGTGCCGGAACCGGAAAAGCCAATCTCTTTATTCAACGCGGCATTGTCAAAGAGCTCATTGTCTAAATCATGCGAAGGTAATGACCGTGATGTATGCTAGTGCATGAAGTGCAAACGTTCGAGAACTCACAAGCTGGTCATGAGGATGTTCGACGTCTGTCAACAGAAGTCGGCGGCCCTGCGTCTTGAGGAATGCTGATGTCAAACAATAATTGGCGATGCTGTGTTTCAAGGAATGTAAGGGAGCCGACGTGCGGTTGAAAAGGAGCGTGGAGTACAAAGAGTTGCGCTTTGTCTTGGAAGGAATGGCTAGCAGGTCGCTGATCGCTGGAGTCGCAAAGGAGTGTGATGGAGAGATGCAAAAGATGTTGTGAAGAGGTCGCGGTGTCAACAATAACATTTGTCGGCATGCCGGCTCAAGCGCGCCTTCCCTTTGTAGATTGAGTTGTGTAGCGCGATTCTGAAATTCATGCAAGTACAGGCAGCTGAATTGAATTGATGTAACACCTGCCGCACGAACAGTACTGCGCATGGAAGCAGCACAGCACCGTTCCCTCGTTCATGCTGCTTTCACCTGGTGTTTGCCTGTCAGCGATACGTACCATCAAAGCGGTACAGCAGAGTTGCATGTGATAGGCATTCGAAAACAACGACTCGGCTCGAGGTTGCATGAGCTTCAGCAGCTGCAAGCGAATTCGAGTCTCTCAAGTAGAATCCGAGCAGTCGCAGAGCATGGAGTCGATTTGGGCTTATGGGCTCCTTAGAAGCAGGTCCTGGTGCCCTTCCTTCGTCTGGAACCCTCCAGCAATCTTCTTAGTAGAACGCGTGTTCCAAGATGCTACGCCGCCATGGTAGATACCTTAGGAGAGGATGTCGGTCTTAGGTTTCCTCTGTAAAACCGTCCTGCACATGGTGCCAGCTTCATTTTATATCATCCCGGTCGCGTACTGTCTTCTTCCGCAACCTTGACTCTCGTGAACATTTTCCTGCCAAACTTTCTGCTGTCCAGCCGGCGAACGACGCCCCATCGTCAGGCGACGCGTGCACAAGTGGCAGCAGTCTGGACTTTCAACCAGGTATCCATACCATGGTGCCTCGCCTTCTCTAAGTGAAGATGGGAGGGAACAGAGTTTTGCTGGTCGTGGCATGATCGCGCTATGACTAAGCAGGGTCGCACTTTTCTCGCGTGACAACGCGTCACTCGCGTTCCTTCCTCAAGTAGTTGCGAGCATTTGCACACATGAGTGGAGGCATTTTCGCGGCGTTCCGTCGCGAAAACACCTCGGACACTGTCGACACATCGCTGAGCTCCGATCACAGCCCCAACATGTCTTCAGGACAAAAACGTGGACGAGAGGCGAACGACATAGACGGCGAGATCGAGATTGAAGGGGCCAGCTCAGCACTCCGCCATTTCAACCCCAAGCGATCGCGCATCCAACTCGCCACGGACCATGACTCCGAACGTGACGAGGAGGAAGATGAGGACCAAGGCTATCAGAGCGCCGACACACTCTCCATGCCGGATGTGGGCGATCTCGACGACGACGGCGATGACGATGACGGCGATATTGACGAGCTCCGTGCCACACAGATTATTGAGAGGCAGATCAACCAGCACCGCGAGAACATGGCCTCTGAAGCAGGGGTGATCGAGGAGGTCTTCTGCCGGAACTTCATGTGTCACACCAAGCTACGCATCAGGTTTGGCCCATTGATCAACTTCATCATCGGCCACAACGGGAGCGGGAAGAGCGCTGTCCTCACTGCCTTGACTATGTGTCTGGGTGGATCTGCCAGGAACTCGAATCGCGGAAAGAAACTGGAGAGTATGATCAAAGAGGGCGAAGAGAGTGGGTCGCTAGCGGTCAAGATCAAGAATCAAGGTGACGGTGCTTTTCGTCCTGAGCTGTACGGGGATTCGATCACGGTCGAGCGTCACTTCACGCGCGGTCGAGGGGGTGGCTACAAGATCAAGAACGCCCAGGATAAAGTCATAGGCACCAAATCGGCGGATGTGCAGACCATCTGTGATTTCTTCGCCTTCCAGCTGGACAATCCGATCAACGTACTGAGTCAGGACATGGCACGCCAATTTCTTTCCAATAGCACACCTTCCGACAAATACAAGTTCTTTATGCGCGGAACTCAGCTCGAGACGCTCGACCGCGACTACAACCAGATGCAAGAGCTTCTGGAGCAGGTACAAATCAAGCTGAGCAGCCGCAAGGAGGATATCGATGTTTTGAACGATCGCTTTACCAAGGCCGAGTCAAGGAAGCGCCGCCTCGACGAAGTCAGCAGGCTGGGAGAAAGGCTAGCGGATCTGAAGAGACAGCATGCGTGGATCCAAGTCGGCGAGCAAGAAGACATACTAGAGCGCTATGTCAGAGATCTAGGAGAGGGCGACCAAACTGTCCGAGAAAAGGAGGGAGCAGCGGAGACAGTGTCTGGAGCATACGACGGCCACGACCAAGCTCATGAAGCTGCCACGCGCCGACTCGACGACCTCAAAAACGATCTCACTCCTATACAAGAGCGCCGCAATGCAGAAAAGGAGAATCATCGTGTCGCCAAAGCGACTATGGAAGGGACACACCATGAACAGGCGATCATCCGTGAACACTTGAAGAAGGCCAAGGCACTTATGTTGAAGCTGGAGCAGGATGTGGCTAACGAGACCGCACGTATTGCTGGCGCAGAAGGAGCGGAGTACACTGCCCGACTGGGAAGATTGGATGAGCTCAAGGCGGTCGTCCAGGAGAAGAAGGTTGAGCAGAGCACACATGCTGAGCAGCAGACTGGCTTCCTGCAAAACAAGGAGGAGGCGGCACAGTCGTACGAGTCTACTAGACAGCCATTGGACAGGGAACGCGATGCACAGAGAAACGCAGAACGTAGGCTGGCTGACTTGCAGCAGTCTCAAGGTCTTCCATTCGCCGGATATCGACCGAACATCGAGCAACTGGTGAAGGCTGTCAATCAGGAGAGCCGGTGGCGACAGAAGCCAGTTGGCCCGATGGGACGGCATGTTAAGCTGCTAAAGCCGCAATGGTCGTCACAGCTCGAGAAGACCTTTGGAGGTGTCCTGGAATCGTTCATCGTCACCAATGCCGAAGATCAGAAAATGTTCCGCGATCTAGCACGACGTGTGAAATGTGATGTGCCGGTTTACATTGGCAATGCCGAGCCTCTGGATACCAGCGACAAGATGCCCGAGGATACCTCGCTCGACACGATCTTGAGCGTCCTGACTATTGATAACGACCTCGTGCGGAACCAACTTATCATCAACCAAGCTATTGAGCAGACATTGCTGATTGAGGGCCGCGAACAAGCTGGCCGCATTCTATATTCTGGTGGTGCCAGGCCCCGCAATGTTCGAGCTGCGATCTCACTGGGTAACAAGATTGGTGCTGGAGTCCGTCAAGAGTACACAAGGTCTGGGCAAGCCAAATCGAGTTTCATTGAGCCATGGACTGGTCACGCACGGATGCAGGTCGACAAGCAAGAGCAGATCCAGCATCAGCGTCACGTTGTGGATCAGCACAAGAGAGCATTCGACGTGGCTCAACGGGACAGCAACGAGAAGCGCGACGCGGTGGTCAAAGCCGACCAAGACTTAACGCGGTGGAGCCGAGAGGCCGCCAAGTTGAAGAGTAACGTTCAGCGAGCTGAAGACGCTGTCGAGGAGCAGGATAACGAGATTGAGAGCACACGTATACAGGACGGAAAGCTACAGGAGCTACAGCGTCAGCTGGTCGAGGCGAAGGAAGAGAGGGAGGCCCACGAGCGCTCGTACGGAGACGTGGTCGTCCAGAAAGATCTCCAGGGTGCTGCCAGGCAGGCTGCGAAAGCCAGTCTCGATGTTGCAGAGCAAGAACTCAACGAGAAAGCTGCCCATATCGCTAAAGCCGAAGAACGTTCTGGAAGGCTGCACCACGATCGTCACGATGCATTGCTCGCCAAGAATCGCGCGTTGGAGGAGATCGATGCCGCGAAGGTCCGAGTTACCCAGCTTGAGAAGAGGCGCGATGACCAGCAGGCAGTTGTGGATGAATTTAATGCAAAGGCTTCTGAAATCTCCAGGCGGGTGCCGATCGACGAAGGTATGACACCGCACAAGCTTGACGAGACCGTGGAGCGTGTCGAGAGGGAAGTCAAGAATCAGGAGCGCCTCGCTGGTGGCACGAGGGAGGAATTGACGTTGGCGTGGCAGAAGGCGAGAGAGGAATATGAGAATGCTAAACATGTCCTGAGTGAGATGAAGCAGCTTGCTGATGTAAGTACCATATTTGGGATCTCCACAGCTCTTGCTAATGATGCGTCGCAGCTCCTGGGCAAAGCCCTCAGTTACCGTCGATATCGATGGGGCATGTTCCGCAGGTACATCGCCTACCGCGCCCGCACTATGTTCAAATACCTCCTCTCGGAACGCCAATTCCGCGGCCACGTCGTCATGTCCCACCCAGCCAAGACTCTCGACATCGCTGTGGAGCCCGACATGTCCAAGGCCTCAACCGAAGGCCGCGAAGCCCGCACCTTGTCGGGCGGCGAGAAGTCCTTCTCCACTATCTGCCTACTGCTGTCCATCTGGGAGGCCATGGGTAGTCCCATCCGATGTCTGGATGAGTTCGATGTCTTCATGGACTCGGTCAATCGGGCTACGAGTATGGGCATGATGATCAATGCGGCGAGGAGGAGTGTGGGGAGGCAGTTTGTGCTTATTACGCCGCAGGCTATGGGGAATGTGGAATTGGGGGATGATGTGCGGGTGCATAAGATGAGTGATCCGGAGCGAGGACAGGGTGTTCTTCCTTTTACGCAGAGCTGAGTGGTGGGTACATGGGATCGCAACGGCATTCATGACTTCTTTTCTTGCTGGAAGCGCTTTGGGACTTGCTACTGTACTGATTCTTGCGATGTGGGCGTTCTGCTTTGAGCATTTACCAATTTCTGTGATACCCAGCATAGCTATCGATCATATCAGGTAGCTAAGGAGAATGATGCGAGCATGAGACGCTAATCGAGATACATCGTGGAATAGAGAGCCGAAAGTGCACGCAGATTGTCCTGAAAGGTGGCTGAAAGTTTTGCTGATCCCTCGACCACAATCACTATTGTTTCTGCTGCGAATGTTGACCTTTGGCCCCAGTCAGAACAGGATCATGGCCGCATCAAATATGGGTCGGCACATGCCCATAGCATCAGTGGTACTCGTCGGCGGCGGCATTTTTGTTACTGGGAAGCCGAGCATGAAACTCACGGTCCGCGCGCTCGACGACTACTACAGAATGGGGAAGGCCAACCTCATTTTGGTCTTGTTCGAGGTCATCTATTAGCTCGCCAGGGTTCTCGTTGGCGGAGTTGATGTGGTTCACACCCTCAGTTGGCTCGGCCGTCATTGACGAACAACTTCGTGCTGATCATCCTCACACAACGACCAACAGTACTTCCAGACCTTCAAGCGCACTTCAGTTCTTCGAGATGGATGCCAGAGTCATAGCATCTGAGGTAGATAAGGGACGATGTTCTGATGCTGAAGCTGCCACAGGAGAGTTCATACTGCCTTCCTTGGCCCCGCACGAGCAGGTGGCGAATCGTGGCCAGCCAACTCCGATGGTCACCAATGCCGAACACCATCACGACACCGCAGTCACGACCTGAGAAAACCGCCAAGGGAGTCGATTGATAATGCTTCCGTGGCATATATATGTGCCATAATGATGACCACAAGCACAAGACACCACAATGCCACTTACTACCACCTTGAGACGCATTAGCGTCAGTGCCGCTCTTCGAAGGTCATCCAAAGCTAGTGTCGAGACGACCCGGATCGAAGACAAAATCGAAGCAGAGTCCAAGGATGCAAAGCAAGACGCCGTCAAACCACCAGTCATCTTATCCCTGCCAACCGAGCTCTGGGCTCAGATCTTCACCTCACTCAGCTTCAAGGACATCTGTAGCATACGTCTGACTTGCAAAGACGGATATGGACTGGCGAGCGAAGGCGATATACTGCGGGAATGGGCGCACACGGAGGATCACATAGGAGCGCACCTCCTTAGGCTCTTCCCTTGCACTCCTCCGATCCGCCTTGACTATGTCGCCAACCAACTCAAACGCAAGGACATCACCAGTGATACAGCAGCTCGATACACAGCTTACATCTACAAGAACGTCATCCGCGTCTCACTATCACGGGTAATACCTCATTTCAGCGAGACAAAAATAAGATGCGACTTCGTCTTCGTGGCAGCACGGATGCAGCAGCGCATGATCCCCCTGCTGCAAACTCTCCAGCACTATCTCGAATCCCTCGCAACTATCATCGTGAAGCTATCTGAGCAGCGTGCCTCGCAGCCTGGTTCTCGAGCACTCCATCTCAGCTACGCCGAGGCCGAGCAGAAGCTGCTCTCCAGCTACGACCCAGAACATCTCAGCCAAGTCTATCGCCTCTGGTGCTTCATGACATGGATGTCCAACCAGATCCACAACCGGCCCTCGTACGCAGGAGGCTTCGAGCGAGCTGTGCGTGGATGGCTGGTAGACCCTATGCAGAGTGCGGAGCTGGACCTGGCACTTGTACTCGGTGGCGGTCTGAGAGTGGTTCGAGAGTCGCTTCGTCTGAATACCTTTAAAGACCGCCGAAGTATGCTTGAGCGGAGGATGAAGCAGTTGAGGCCTGATAGTAATGTTCGATGGGAGGAAGCTTGGAAGAAGAATGGAATGGTTTCGCCACGCAGAGATGTGGCGTCGAGAGCACTGCAGACTACGGTTGAGCCTGGGCAGGTGTTTGCTAGTGGTGCACGGGCTGTGTTGCTGGAGGCAGGGATGATGAGCCGTGACAGCAGTGCTTTCGTGGGGACAGTGGACCAGTGTACTGAATTCCTTCGCGACATGGCTGGCTACGATCTCTTGCATGTCTTACCACCGGAGCAGCTCCCGGATGAAGAATCGGGAGACGGCCTGGATGACGAACGCGAGCGAGATACAGAGGGTCGAGATCGTTGTTTGAACTGTGAACGCTACGGACATCAAGCAGGCGACTGTCCTGATGCTGTGCGATGATGAATTAATACATGGTCTCGCTTAGCACTTCACTTCGAGAGTGCAGCGTCCGCTTGAGGGATAGCACCCAGAGCGTAATCAAACACCTTTCTTATCGTCACTTCGTCCTCCAGCCCTATGCTGAACCGTACGAGTGTAGCCTCACACCCGAATTGTGCCGCCCAGTCCAGTTCATTGTAATGAGCCAAGATCACGAAAGGCGAGCTCAGCGTAAAATTGGTGCCGAGACTCGGTCCCTTTTGCGTTTCAAGGTAATCGTAGAAGACTTGCGCATCTTCCATACGGTGGAAAGTGCAGCTCAAAAGTCCTCCGTAGCCGCCATTCGGCAGCTTACAGTTGTCGTAGAAATGTTTCGTTGGGCTGTACTTTGGATAATGGACTTGCTTTACCGCCGGATGTGCTCTCAGCATATTGGCCACAATCTCGGCATTGACGTTGATGCGATCAGTGCGTAGGATGAAGTCACGGCTATTACGCTCGAGGTAGAGTGCGTCTTCCTCGAACATCTTGTCCTCGTATTCGGTCTCCTGGACTTGCTTGAGCTTTGAGTAGTAAGGTAATTGCGGATTGAGGATCATTGAACCGCCCATGACGTTGCCGTCACCACTGAAGATCTTGGTCAGGCTGCTAAAGACCACATCGGCGTATGGTAAGACGTTGATGTTGAGGAAATTGCCAATGGTCTCGTCGACGACTACAGCAAAGTCGTACCTGTCAGCGAGCGCACGGATGCGCTTGAGATCGGGTGTGCGTAGCAAGGGGTTACTTGGGAACTCGCAGAATAAAGACAGTAGCTTCTCGCCTGACTGTAGTCGACGTTCAAGGTCGTCCAATTCTTCTGCAGAGCCGTATCCGTAGAATGTCACTCCAGGTCCAAATTTCTCCAGTACCTTCAAGGTATCGACGTATGGGAAGCCGTACATGATACTGGGCATCTCCCCGCGTGCTGTACGAAGTACACGGTGGGCGTGGAACATGGCGTTCATACCCATTGGGTAGAGGTAGATGTCGTCAACAGAGAAGCCAGGTACTTCTCGGTCGCGTTGATTCGTGTTTTCGTCGGGCTTCGTTTCTAGCGAGTGTGGCAGCTCTACGTTCGCTGTCAAGGAGCCTGCAATACGCCGCCTCACCGCAAGCTTAGCGTTCTGAGCTAATGTGATGTCGAGATTGCGGCCGAAGCGTTCTTCGACGAACAGTGCTGAGTCCGGTACACCATTCTCAGTCGTGCCATTGCCGTTCGACTTGTCCTCCTGACTAGTGCTGCCGCCATGTCCGTTCGTATCTTGGGGAGTGCCATGGTCCAAGGACATCGGCCTCTGATACCTTCGTGGACCTTTGGACAAGCGTGGCGTGTTGGGTTGAGATAGTGTGCTACGCTCTACCATCGACCCATCGTCAAAAGCCTTCTGACAGAACTCGGCGTGTCGGCTTGACATTCCCTCGCCAGTGTGCTGCCAGAATACTTTCGCTGTTGGCCAGAGCTCCTTGGGATATACTACAGCAGTGGCTCGCGGTAGCACTCGTTTCAGGCTTGCAGATGGGATCTTGTCCGGATGAGGAATGAAGTCCAGGGACCTGATGCTAGTCGCATCCACGCCAGGATTCTGTTGTATTAAGAACTCAACACACCGTCGACCACAGCTAGCAGTAGGAAACAACATTGCTTTCTCCGTTTCAAGATCGCCTTGCTGCTGGACAATTGAGGTGGCGAGCCGATCAATGGACTTGTGGATGAAGAAGCGTGGATAGCCGCATTGCATCTTGTCAAGTACCCAACGCTCTCCCTCCTCGTAGGCCACATTTGACTTCCATGTTGGCAAGGAGACACTGACTGCGTGTGGCGTGTTTGGAGGGACTGTGTCGCCTACGGTCTGATTCCATGGTAGCGGAGTTGCGAGAAGTCCAGGCATGACACTACGAACTGGTCTGTGAAGGAAATTGCTCAGATCGAGTCTCAGAAAGCTTATGGTGTCCGTTTGTGTCGGTCTTGGATTGTGAACAAGTCATCCCAATGCTTCATGCGAACTCAGGATGCGTGGAGTCATTCGGCGCTAAACAATTTTTATCTCCGCAAATGTCATGCACGAATCCCTGCTCACTCACGTGCTTGTGAGCAAAAAGTTCGTAGTCTGCTATTACTACGCCGAGTGCTTCTGTAGGTTGTGATCGCGGCATATACATGTGCGATGGCAGACAGAGCGATGAAGAGACGCAAGGTGGAGCATACGCCGTCAGATGATGAGGCGGACGATGCATCGTTTGCTTCCTTTGGCGACGGCGAGGACGAGACGGCGCAGGAGGATAGCATGGCGGCGGAACAACGAGCATTGCCTGAAGACGACGAACGGTCTTTACACCAGGAGAGAATTGAGGACGACCTCGACAGTGAGACGGAAGTAATAGCAGATGAGACCTCAGACTCTGGCGAGGACGTGGACATGGTTGACGATGAGGACGACGAACATTCCGCGCACAACGCTGTAGTGTCAAAGCAGGACATCAAAGCCAAGCAGAACAGGAATACGTCAATGGCGAAGAAGCAAGTTCCTAGCAGTGCTTTCACAGCAGGGACGTTCAAAAGCAACATGTTCAAGCTGCAGGTAGACGAACTTCTTGCACAGATCAGACCGAGACGTGGGAAGCGCGAAGAGGCTGTTGACCAAGCACTCCACGCGCTGAAGACCACGTTCGACTCCATGGAACCAGTGGCGCCACTCAGTGTATCTGAGGCACGGCGCAAACTCCTCACGACCAGCAAGGTCAGCGTACCTTTTCCCTCGCCTGGACCACCCAAGGATGCCAAGTACACACTGCAACATGCCAAGCCTGCAGGTATCAATGTAGTGGGCAGCTATCCTCTGAAGACCAATAGCAGGACGGACACAGTACTGAAGGTAGACATGATGGTTGCCATGCCGAGTGCCTTATTCCAGGAGAAGGATTATCTGAACTACCGATACTTCTACAAAAGAGCCTACTATCTTGCTTGTCTTGCGGCCGCGATACAATCTGCGCACAGGGACACATACGAAGTGCAATTTTCGGACTTTCGTGGCGACCAGCTGAAGCCTGTACTGGTTATCGTTCCCAAGGCACCGCAATCTTCTGTTAACGATGAGATCAAGCCGGCGGCGAAGTGGCGTATCAACGTTATGCCATGCGTAAACTTGGATGTCTTCTCGGCTAGCAAGCTATTACCTACCAAGAACTGTATAAGAAACACAGAACAAAGCTCGGATCTCAAGCCTACACCACTTTACAACTCATCGTTACGATCAGACATGCTCCTGGCCACCTACCTCGAGGTCATACATGGTGTCGCTGGTAGATGTGAGGCCTTCCGTGATAGCTGTCTACTTGGTGCAACCTGGCTACAACAGCGCGGCTTTGGCTCAGGCATTGCAGATGGTGGGTTCGGTAACTTCGAGTGGGCTGCTCTGATAGCTAGCATGCTACAGGGTGGTGGCCCGAACGGCAAGCCGCTGTTAAGCGATGGCTACAGCAGCTATCAGCTCTTCAAGGCAACACTCCAGGCACTGGCAGTACGCGACCTGAGCAAGCAAGCCTTGGTAATTGCGCCGGGTAATATCAAACCTGTTGGAGATGGCTCGCCAATGGTATGGGATGGTGCGAGACATCACAACATTCTGTACAAAGTCACGCCGTGGGCATATGCACAACTTCGTCAGGAGGCGAAGCTCACAATCACAACCCTTGGCGATCAACTCTACGACGGTTTTGACAGCACGTTCATCACAAAGAAGAAAGATGCCATGACGCGGTTCGATGTCTCTGTCAATATCTCTCTACCGAAGAGATCTTCACCGGATCAACCAGAAGATATTCGTGTACAGCTTGCGCGAATGCACGACGTATTGAAGCGCGGCTTGGGTGACCGTACAACCCTCATTGCACTCAAGCCTACCCTTCCTCCTCCTTGGCAATTAGGCATGACGAAGTCCGAATCACGACCCCGAGTAATCACACTTGGCTTTGTGGTAGATCCTGATAATGTCCACCGCACCGTTGACCACGGCCCTTCTGCAGAAGCCAAGGCAGAGGCAGCGGCGTTCCGTACCTTCTGGGGCGACAAAGCTGAGCTACGCCGTTTTAAAGACGGCAGTATCACTGAATCACTCATCTGGGCAGCTGGGGAAGACGGCCAAACTATCCTGGAGCAAATCGTCCGCCATCTGCTTGCCAAGCATTTCAGCCTAGTGACGGAGGGCGTGAGCTTCTCGGCCAAGGACTTTGCGAGCTTGCTTCGTCATGGTGCTCGTACGGCTAATTTTCAGCCGCTTCTAGAGGCCTACAAGCAAATGGAGATGGATGTTCGAGGTCTCGAAGCCTTACCATTGAGTATCAGGCACATCATGCCTGCCGATGGGCAGCTTCGATATGCGTCAATACGACCGCCAGGCGTTGCTGCGGCAGGCGAGAAGGGACTTCCAGCGCAAGTCACTATACAGTTCGAGGGTTCTACTCGATGGCCAGACGACGTTGTCGCCATCCAGCGCACCAAGATCGCTTTCTTACTCAAGTTGAGCGAGCTATTGCAAGAAGCGAATGGCGGCATCACTGCCCGCATCGGACTCGAAAACCAGCATGAAGACATACTCAACCAGGGGTTTCTTGATATCGTCTACGAGTCTGGCGCTGCCTTCCGTATGCGCATATACCACGACCGAGAGCAGACGCTCCTTGAGCGACAACTCAAGGACAACAATCTTGCACCCTCTGTCAAGGAAGCTGCAGCACAGGCGCTGGCTAAGCATAAACGTGACTACATCCGCAGACCGGCACAGACGCAAGCTATTTCGCGCATGTGCACTCGCTACCCTGCTCTCAGTGGGACGATCAGACTGTTCAAGAAGTGGTTCAGCTCTCATCTGCTCAGCAATCATATTGCGGAGGAGGTCATCGAGCTAATCGCCATCCGAACCTTCGTGCAGCCATGGCCGTGGGGTGTGCCATCAAGTGTGCAGACTGGCTTTCTTCGCGCCCTGCACTGGCTAGCTCGCTGGGACTGGCGTGCTGAACCACTCATCGTGGACCTGAGCGGTAACGACGAGCTGAAGCTTGCCGATGGCCAAGGTATGCGGACCAGGTTCGAGGCATGGCGGAAACTGGACCCGAGCCTCAACCGGATCGTGCTATTCGCCGCGACCAATCTGGATCCAGATGGCACGACGTGGACAGATGGGCATCCTCAAAGAGTGGTTGCCGGCCGTATGACTGCTCTCGCCAGGTCAGCTTGTGCGCACATCGAGGAGCAGCAGAGTGCGCTACAGCCTGCGAGTCTCTTCGCGAGCTCACTCTCTGACTACGACTTCGTGTTGCAATTGGACACTGGGAGGAAACGGTCCAAAGCGGTGGCGTACAAGAACCTCGAGCTTGCAGCGGTGGATGATGACACCTCGATCGGCTACAACGCAGCTGAGCTGTTCCTATATGAACTTGAAAGCCTCTACGGATCCGCGATCTTGTTCTTTCATGGCGGGCAGGAGCGCTCAATCATTGCCGGCTTATGGAGTCCGGGAACCTCACAACGGAACTGGAAGATGAACCTACCGTACTCTACCATTCCTAGCAAGTCCTCCAAAGAAGTCGGGATCATGGCGAAGGTCAACCGAGAGGGCATCCTGTCAGATATTGCAAGGCTCGGCGGTGATCTGATCGAGAGCATCGAGGTAAATGCTAGATAGACTCACAATCGTCTTTGACTACTACTCTACTTTACTTCTCAATAACACTGTAGCACTTTCTTCCTTGTGCATACCTGTAGCTGCCACCTCTCCATGTGCGCAGCGATACCCGGTATCGTGTTAGCCGAACCTTAGCAACCTTTTACCTGAAGCAGGCAGTGCCGGGATGTAGCTCAGGAGCAGTAAGCGCTTAGAGCCCGCGCGGTGCTACCTCTGTGCAGTATAGCGAATCCAGAGTGTCGTAAATCGTGGCGCCCGTTTCCGCAGGTCGAGCTCAAGGGAAGTGCCGATGGGGTTACGGCGGCCACCGAAAGCTGCACCAAGATGCAATGCTGCAGGAGCAAAACTGGCATGGCTAGCATTGTCTCAGAGAGATGGAGGCCCCGTGCGATTGCCCGAATCGCCCCGTCAACCTGGAGCATTCTTGTCTCACGATGGTGTTTTCAGTTCCGATGCTGCATCATTAACTGTCTCGCACACATTGCACTGCTGCGCAGCTCTCCGGGTACGGCACCGCGTAGCAAACTCTGGTAGATGATAAGGTTTGGGTCACTCTATCGCGTGAGTCGCGCATCGCTGGTTCGAACTTCGGCTGTTCATTCAATATCAGGAACACAGACAATCGGGTGGTCCTGCCCCACCGGATCGAGTGAACATCCACGACATCCGTACGGCGGCCGAACGGTAGGAGATGGACGCGAAGAACGGGAGGCCGAATACCCGCGTGCGCGACCAGAAGAGCGGTTTGATGTCCAAATAGGGCGAAGCAATCTCTTAACTCCCCGCTACTGGGCTGTGCGCATGCCTGTGCGGGCGGTGAGTAACGGCGACGCAGCAGTCCTCAGCTCCCCGGCCTAGCATCGAGGATTGCTCTCACCGATGAGAGCGGCGACCCTCGGGGCCAAGAATCTAAACACAATCTTGCTGCTGCTGCTATGCACGTAGTAGGCATATGCAGCGATGTATACCCGACTGACGTTATGTGCCCACTTTATTGGCGTGCCCAGGAATTCTGACAGTTTGCTTTGGTGGAGCTCTTGGCCCCTCGTGCCAGAAATTGCTTGATGTTGCTCTGCCGATTGGTAGAATGTTTCGGCATAGCATCATGGAGTAGCCGGCAGTGCGGGTGGAAGGTTTCGTTCGGTGGCAGAGTCAAAGTGAACACAACGATAAACGCTTCTCCAACTTCCCGCCTTCTAGACAACCAGACAACCAGACAATGCGTGTCTTGGATTCTCGTGTCAGCTGGTCTTGGCAGTAAATGTCACCGTACCAAGTTACTTTGTGGGATGCATATGCGCCTAGAGGCGAGGTGCATCGAAGGGTCCACACAGTGCTATATCTGGCTCGTCACAATGTCCCCGATTGTGGCGATTCTTGAAGACGGAAGCTGGCAATTCGTCCCCACCTGTAGGAGAATTCTTGGTGGCTGATCGTCCCTTGTGTCGATCTGCGCAGGAGGGAGAGCTGTGCGAGCATGCCCTCGGTCCTGCGTTGTGGTCGTTCTGAAGGTAATGACACACAGCACAGAAGCTGCTGTTCGCCGGTACGCCTGATGTCAAACAGCGTGGCCAGACGTGCAAGCATGCTCCCCGGACAGGCCAAACAGAAAGGAGAGCTGGGAGATGACTGAGATACCTAGCTCTGGTCCTAAATTAGTACGAAAGTTAGGGGCATCAGCCAACCAGCTGTCAGACGTCGCGTGGCTAGCGCTAAGCATAAGCGAAATCTCCTGCACCGCGAAGGAATCAAGGCTTGATAGACGGCTCCCCGAACTGCATTTGGCTGTGCCCAAACAAGGCAAGGCGAGCACAATGTTACCGCTTTCAGGAGATCGGCCAATTGTGTCAGCCTTTCACATGGCTGTGTTGTGAGCTTGAGCCCTGGGAGGAGTGGGCGGACTGGCCGCTCAGATCAGTGGACAAGGTTCCACGCTTCCATGTATATAGGCCTTGCCCCCTCCCATCGCTTCCGGCCTTAACCTGGCCTGCACACACACCTGTCCTTCACGACACCACCCTCCACCTTACCCTCCACTCTCTAATCTACCATGGAGTCAATCAAAGCCAGTGCAGAGCAGATGATGTATAACGTCGACAACGCCACAGCCAACATGGACAGCATGTCGCCTATTCCAAGTGGCTTCTCTCTTTACCAGCCTCGCGTGGCAATTGGGTTTGCTCTCATCGTTCTGATCGTTCTCGCGCGCATATTCGGTGCCGGCAAGCCTAAGCTACCAGCTGGAGTGAAGCCACTGCCACGACAATTCGGTCTGCCATATGCTGGTCGATTCTGGGACGTTCCTGGACCTGGTATTGAGGCAGCATGGCATTTCGGTGATTTGCACAAGAAGATGGGTCCCATCTACGAGTGGAAGGTCAGTGCAAGCATGGACGCGTTGAACGCCTCAAATCGTACTGACATGACTTGCAGGTGATGGGCACAATCCACATCTGGGTCGAGACCGACAAGATTGCCAAGGACCTTTTCGTTACCCGCCAACAAAACTACTGCGATCGTAACGAGCTCCCAGCCGCCATCGGTGTAAAGGAGGGCTCTGAGATCCTTCCTCTCATGGGATATGGCGAGCAGTTCCGCCGCTACAAGAACTTCATGCACTTGATCATGCGTCACGCCCACCCCAAGGAGTTTTATGGCTGGCCCGCTCAAGAGAACAAGAACACCCTCCGCCGTATTCTTGAGAAGCCAGACAAGTGGTCCGAGGCCGTCATTGTTCACTGCGCTCGTGCGATTGCCGGAACGGCGTGGGGCAACCCGCGAGCTGGCAGCAACCTGCTCACCATCATCCCGATCATTCTCAAGAACGTTTCGCCCGCTGGTCCTATCATCAACAAGCTTACCTTCCTTTCCAATCTTCCAGAGTCGATCTCGCCATGGAAGCAAGAGGAGGCCATGCGCAAGAAGCAGATGAGCGACGCGTTCATGGAGCCTCTCGAGGACGCTGTCAAGCGCTCCAAGGAGGGTAACCTCGAGGATTGCTGGAGCAAGATCTGGGTCGGCAAGGAGAAGGGCTCTGAGCATCTCGACTTCTACGAGGCCGCTCACGCCATCGGCTCCAGCTCTTTCGTCGCCATTGCTACCGTTGGTGGTCCTCTCCACGCTTTCTTCCTCGCCATGTGCCACTACCCGGCATGGCAAGAGAAGGCACAAGAAGAGCTCGACCGTGTGTGCGGCAACCGTCTCCCAACAATGGAAGATATGCCCAAGCTCCCCGTCCTCCGCGCTACTGTCAAGGAAATCGTCCGATGGCGACAAGCCACTCCTCTCGGCGTACCACACGTCGCCATCGAAGATGATGTCTACGAGGGCTACCACATCCCCAAGGGCGCGATCCTGCACGCCAACCACTACCTGATCAGCCGAGAGGAGAGCACATATCCTCGCGGTGAGGAATTCATCCCCGACCGATGGCTCGATCCATCTTACCCAACCTACAAGGAACCTCTCAGCGAGTTCCCCAACTTCCGCGGTGACCGCGCTTTTGGCTACGGCAACCGCAGCTGCCCCGGCATCGACCTCACCTCCAACGAACTCCTCACCCTCATCGGCTCCCTCATGTGGGCGTTCGAGATCAAGCGTCCCGAGGGCCGTTACGGTGCCGATGCACCTCTGCCATGGTACGAGACCGCTCCATGGGTCATCACCATGACCAAGCCCTTCAAGTGCGACATCAAGTGCCGCAGCGAGGAGAAGCGTCGCTATATCATGACCGAGGGTCACGAGGACACCAACCTCATCATCGACAGCGAGAAGCAGCGCAAGAGCAAGTGGGACGTCAAGCGCCAACCCGGTGAGGACCTCTTCCGATGGGACGGTCTCACTGAGCAGGCACCTATCGTCCCCAGGACATACGCCGAAGGCATCTAGATGATGATTATTAGATCGTTGGTAACGATAGGAGTTTACATTGATGAGGATGGGGGTATGATTTTCTTCACGAGCATTTAGCGATGGTCCAGGTTGGGAAGGCACCGGATCTGAGGAGTCTCGGTTGACGGCATTTATGATGGTGCGACCTTGATGTCGCATTGAATTGCGCTTCTTGTAATGCTTATTTAGCGACACGCATATCCATCTTTTCGACTTCTACATTGCGATCTACTTTCCCTTGTCCACCAGTGCTTGTCGGTGTCTCATTGGCTGATAAGACCAAGGTATCTCTTGAACTGTCAGTTGTCTACGTCGTGACCGTCAACTCGCCTCGCAGTGGCTTGGAGCATTCTCATGCTTCGGCCGTACTCGTCTACGCGTGACTACAAAACCAGAAATGGCATAACAGAGGCCGGCGTCGAGGAGTGTAATGTGCGACTATTGTCCACCATGAGAGTGCTGTTTCTCTCGTCGGCAAGGCCGTTCTTTACCGTTGATCTCTGATCCTTGACCGGTCTTGGGCGGAATGGCGCTTGTGATGAAACCCTTGGCGGAACCGAGCACTACACAAGATATTGTGATGGAATAGAAGGACTGGAAGTGCAAGGACGAGAGCAAGACTTGCACAACTAGCAACAGTATTGGCTATGAGCAACGCCCAAAACTCCGAACTAATGCGAGAAGGCTCCATATCACATCCACGCCCGTACAGTACACACACTCGCTGTCCCCACTAATATTGCAGCCTCTTCTGCGCCTCTCTCCAATTGACCTCGACGCCAGGCTTAGCATAAGCACAATACTTATCCCTGATAGCCACAACCTCATATGTTCCCTCCTCGCTCGCCTTGACCCTCAGGCTATAGTCATCAGACACCTCATGCCTCATGTCCAGAATAACGCCCTTCCTCTTCCCACCCTTCTCCGTGTTCGAAGATCGGGTATAGGTGAACTCGAAAGGCGGCACCCCTCCAAACTCGAACAGGATTTCCGTCTCGCCTCCCTCATGGATATCGACGTAAGACTCTCGGCCGTGAGAGACGCGGACGGATGGCATGGCGTGGATATGCGCGGTCAGATTCGTCGAGGCGCGGCACTGAGAGGCGTTGTCCTGGACGCCCGTCACAGTGAAAGTACCGGGTTTCTCTGCTAGGCGCCGGAAAGTGGTACTCGTGGCCTGGGCCTTGCGGTTCGCGCCTTCGAAGTTATAGAAGATGTTGAAGGGTGCCACGCCAGACAAGGCGAAGTTCAGGCGATCGCCGACGCAGAAGTCGGTCTGCGCTTCCAGGGGCGATATGGAGGGAGCGTCGAAGACCGAGATCTGGACGCGAGGGGTGGTGCTGTCCAGAGTTCGGCTGCAGCCACGGCTATCGCTCACTCGGCGCAAAGAGATGGCAGAGCGACCGAGCTGGACACGACTATGCGGGATGCGTAGGTGGTGAGTGTGTGTCGTGATGGCATTGAGCGGAATAGTCTCAGCTTTGCCAGTGCTGTGATGCTTGATCTCAACTTCGACATCGAAAGGTGGTGCGCCGTGAAAATTGATTGGGATGACCTCTTCACCATCTGACTCGACTGAGCAATAGCTGTACGTCTTGCCGGGGTTGGCGAAAGCGACAGATGGTCGAGGATGCACACGTTGCTGGACGGTGATAGGCGTGAAGTATTTGTTGTTGTGATCGTAGTTCGCATCTTCTAGCTTGTTGAATTTGTACTCGTACAGACCAGCTTGGGCGGTGTCGAGCCGCATGTTTGCGACATTGAGAGCAGCGCGGAGCTCTTTGTTCTTCGGCGCCATCGCACCACGATCGGGCTTGACGTGCTCAACGTACGTTGCATGATACGGTGGTGATCCCTTGAACAATACCTCGACAGCATCATCCGTACCTTCGCAGATGTCATTCTTGATGACAATGTCACCCTTGCACTCACTGTCCTCTGTAGGAGGTATCCTCAGCTCTGGTCGTGCTATCCAATTCACTTCGAACGTGTTCGCAAGATCGTCGACTTGGCCAGGACAGAATTGGTCCTTGACATCTAGCAGCTGATACAAACCTTCCTCTGATACGGCCAGACGATCGTTAGGGTTTGTCACAGTCTTGCTCTGCTGCCGGCTGTGCTTGTCCACGTATGTGACGGTCCAGGGTGCTTCACCAGCCAAGCGCAATGGTAGCTGGACCTGCTTGCCTTCCAGAGTATCAACCGTACGACGGCCCTCGATCTGGCCGAAGCCAACCCTCGGCTTCTGGTGTCGCACCGCTATCTTCGCCTCCTCCTTCAAGAACTCCTTACACTGCATGCGATCGGTGACGCTGACCAGCGCAAGTGTATAGTCACCACCGTCACGTAGCTGCTCAGTGCTCAAGGTGATCTGCCTCTCCTCTATGTCTTTGACAGAGTACTGAGCTCGCTTGCCATTGTGCACAAGCTCGTACTCCAAAGTGAAAGGACCTTCGCCATCCAGGCGAACGTCAAAAGAAGCAGTCTCGTCAATACATGCGACCTTCTTGTCTTGTCTGTGGACAAAGCTTGCGGACGCAGCAGGCTTGACGCTCTGCTGAATCTTCATTCCCTTCAATGGTTGTTTCTTGTATACAGCATCGCTGACCTCCACGAACTCGTATGTGTAGTCGCCAGCAGTCTTAGGCGTCAGCTCGATCTGCCCACGCAGTCCGTTGACATATTCAATCTCGGTGATGTGGTGTCGATCGGGATGTTTCTGTACTGTATACTTGACATCGAATGGCGGCGTTCCTAGTAAATCGAACGCCACGCGCAAGCCAATAGGGCTGCCTGCGCACTTGTCTGAGATCTCTTCGCTGCTGATAGCCAGCTGCGGTTGTGGCGGGTTCTGCAACAGACACGATGCCGGCTCATACACTTCGCCCTTGCAGAAGTCGGTCGAGACGCCCGTGACAGTGTACAAGCCAGGCTCCTGGATCAGCAAGCTTTGACCAGCATCCTTGAGCGACTCTCGCCGTTGCTGGGTTATACTACCATGCTCGCCAGTCGCAGAGATATCGTTCTGCGGGCTGAAGACGTAGTCGACATGGTATTGAGTGCCAGCAATGACACCTCGTCCACTCGACCCAAGCTGCACAGGCAAGCGTGCTGAGCTGCCTTGCGCCACTTTCATCGGCTGCTGCGGTGTGCAGCCATGTAGCTGAACAGTTGGCCGCTCGTGCACCGTAATTTGCCGGTGCAGGCGTGGCGACTTGGCTCGACGGTTTTCATGGTCATGGTCAGAGTACATGACTCTGTTGCCGAAACCATCCTCAACTTCCGTCACAGCATACGTCCACTCGCCTGCAGTGCTCATACCTTCCGTGATCGGGAACAACACTTTGCGTGATCTGGCCCATTCAGCTTCACCACTGCTCGAAAGCGTCATTGCTGTTTGCCGGTCACCACCAGCCAAAGGAGACACAAAATCATCTGGCTGAATGTTCTCGAATGTCGCCTCCTGCGCCTGCTGGTTGACTTGCTTGCGATACTTCACGCGCAAGGGCGGCGTACCGACAACCTCGAATTCAACGCTTGACAATTCACCTTTGCATTTGTCTGATGCCGCATCGAGGATGCTGACACGAGGACACGCCACCACGACGGTCTGCACCTTGTGTCTCCGCGCCACCTCCAGATTTGACTCATCGACGACCTTTGCCAGCGAATACAGTCCCGGCTTCTTGATCGTGTAATACAGCGTTTTCGGCTCATGTAAATGCTGACCATAATTCTTCATACGAGACGCCTCCTTGTGCATAGACTTGAGCTGCGATTTGCTGATGTGTAAGGTTTCGTTTGCTTGTGTGTCCAAGTCGACCCGTACAATGTCCATGCTGATCGGGTTCGTAGCATTTATGGTGATGGGCAGCTTTATCTCAGATCTCGAATTGTCCAGGCAGTATGAATGTTTCTCAGAGTTCAGTACTGCCGTTCCTTCTGGCAGGATATGGATGATCTGTCGACCCAGGATAAGAGATTCGTTGAATTCGATTGCCCGTGGGTTGACATTCCTCTCGTTGATCGCGGTCTCGTATGCACCCAACACACTCCGACTGACCAAACCCAGACCAGCCATAATCGGCAGAGGTATCCTGAACATCATCATCCCGTCCGCCATAGCGTGTCCCAGAAATAACAGCACCATTGTCGTAGAGCTCCATTCCAGCCATGGTATCCGTAGTCCTGGCAAGCCAAAAAGCCAGACCCCATCTATCGCCAACCACTTCATAAACAGCCATAAGCTCTGCTCTTCCGACTCCTGTAGATGCGTCCAGTCATACCATTTCCAACACCATAATGCCATCCATAACGCAAAAGCATATAGCCGTTGTGAAGGTGCATCGATCACGGTCTCTGATATCAGAGGTTCGCCGGGTGGTGATGTGTATGTTTGCGCTTGGAGCACCGGTATCTCTGGCAGCTTTTCGCTGAGTCTCTGTATGCCTGTGGAGCCTCCGAATTGTCCACTTCGTCGATTTGTCTGTGGTGTGGCCGGGAATGCGCTCCTTAGGCGTGGTGTACCGTCCATGATTGTTGCGCTTATCTTTTTCTTATGATCATGGCAGACGTTGTGGTTTATGGCATGAGATTTCGCAGTTCAGAAGCCTCCGAGGTTGTCTCTAATTTACGCAGAACTCCTAGTACCATTGCCAACTGTCACATATGCTCGACAGTCAACATTAATCTATTTGTTGTCTCACGCGTCTGCACGCGAAAGAACGGCGGGAGCAGCCGTGGCTGTGTGTAGCTAAAATATAACCTTCTTTCGCTATGAACGCTACCTATTCTTGTTCAACGTCACTTCCTCACTTCTTGCGAAACACAGATCGTTCCGATTTATCGGTGGCTGGGATTGGCAAAATGGCACGACATAGCGATTGTTGTCGCTACAGCTACAAAGATAGAATTCCCATCCGTCACACAAGGAAACAACATTGCGTTTGCAAGGAAAAGCCGCCATCATCTTGATCCTACTGATACACCTGGTATCCTTTCAAGACTGGACTACACCAGCCTACTCTCTTCCCCAGAATCAATCGGCCGTCGTCATGCCTTCAAAACGTGGCCAGAAGCGCAAGACCAAGGATCTTGATCGCGACGAATCCAACAACGACGATCCACTGGCGCCACCAAACCGCAGCACTTGGGACGGCTGGGTTGAGATGGAGTCTGAACCAGCGTTTTTCAATGTCATGCTCAACGAAATGGGCGCCAAAGGCGTTCGTGTGCAGGAGATCTACGACATGGACGACGAGTACCTTCTAACCCTACCACATCCGGTCCACGCTCTCATCTTCCTCTTCCGATACCGTGAGAACGACACTGAGCAGCAAGAAGAGGGTAAATGCCCGCAAGCCGTGTGGTTTGCAAATCAGACGCCGGATTACGCGTGTGCCACTTTTGCACTCTTGAACATCGTCAACAACATTCCAGGTCTAGAAGTTGGTGACGAATTGCGACGTTTCAAGGATTTCACGAAAGACATGGACCCGATAAGCCGAGGAGATGCTATCGATCAGTTCGACTTCGTCAAGCACATCCACAACTCTTTCGCGAGCGAGAGTGATATGCTGCAGGCCGAGATGGTGGTCAGTAACAAGGCTGCTGCCTTCCGCAAGAAGCAAGCCATCGCTAAAGGTGTTGCCACGAAAGCCGCGAAGAAGGCTAAGCTCGCCGACGTAGATACAGAGGCGAGTATTGAGACAGCAAGTAAAGCCGCTGCAACTCGATCAATGCCTCGAACCAAGAAGCCTATGCCGAAGAAGTCACCAAAGGAGAGCTCGCCGGGCGAGGACGACGAAGATGACGATTACAAGAATCCCGCTAAGAGGAACACCAAGTCGCATTCCTCACAGGATGAGAAGCCGACCACATCACGCCGCTCAGGACGCGCACCTAAGCCTCCTAAAGACGTTCCTCCGCCTGTCGAGGATGAAGAGCCAGACGAAGGCTTCCACTTCGTAGCCTACATGCCGATCAACGGCCACGTCTGGAAGCTTGACGGCCTGGATCGCTTTCCGCAAGACATGGGACCGTACGAAGATGACGACTTCGGCATGGGCTGGATGAGACTCGCACAGCCACTACTTCGAGGTCGGATGCTGCAGTACGCCGAGTCCGAAATCCAGTTCAATTGCATGGCGCTGGTACATGATCCAATTGAGGCCGATCGCCAGGCTTTAGCAAGCAATGTAAAAGCGCTGAAGACAGTGGGGGCGAAGCTAAGTGAGATATGCGACGAATGGTGGGAGCTCGAAGGTGGCGAGACGAGGAAAGACGTTATCACCGGCATGGCTCCGTCTCTAGGTCTCACTCTAGCTGAGGTCGAGGACAAAATCGTTGAGCCAGGCCTGATGACTCGAATCAAGGAGGCAGATGACGTGCTACAGCTACTCAAGCTCAGGCAAGAAGTCGTTGGGCAGCAAGCATGTCTGCGAGCAAGTGTGCGGGATGTCGTTGAAGCGAGCAAGTCTGACGCAGAGAAAGCTCGACATAGACGACACGACTATGGGTCTTTCTTGCGAGGCTGGCTTGGTGCATTGGCAGACCAGGGTACTCTGAGCGAGCTGTTGAGCTAGAAGGGCAAGCGTGCTCGAGGATTATATTGAGTTGCTTAGATCGATGCACAGAACTTTGCTGATCAGCGTGGCGTTGAATGGGCGGGCAATATCAACATCAGGGGCTAGAATCTGATGATACAGAGCAGACAGTATCGCAAGATTGATCGTCACTTACCAGCTGTCAAGGGCCTCCAGTCCTGCATCAGCGATCGAATCCTTCGCACTCCTGCATACGAGTGACTGCGAGGTAAGAAGCCCCTGCTTCGTGTTATTGAGCAACCATCACTACAGCCATGCAGTATAAGCACATAAATGCAAGGATAGCTTACTACCACCACAGCACCAACACAAGCACGATCGACGTCGACAGCATCCTGAGATCTCGCCACCAACACCGGCATTCTCTTCACGTCAACGACCATCAAAAGGTGTCTCAAAACAATCTACATCCACGACGCCTGCGGCGAAGATGCCGGGACCCATACAAACTACGGCGCACTTCAACTCAATGAACCAGGACCCTTTACGCCCCGTCCGGAGCTCGATGGTGAGGAGGCAGAAACGATCAGGTTGAAAGGACGTTGTCCTAACCGTTCTGTCAAGTTTCTCAAGCTTTCGAAGTGGGTGGAGTAAGTACTATCAATCTTTCAATCTATCAATCTTCAGGGCTTGATGAGAGGAGAAAGGCAGTTGTAAAATCAATGCAGATAGCGGTTGTGTAGTGAGGACGGTGTTCAGCATGAGAAATTGATGGATACGAGAGAGAAGAGCGTGCGACCAAAGCTGACTTAGGAAGGGAAGAAGTGGTCTATACTGGCGAGACACCGCCGTGCAGATCGATGCCAACCCCAGAGCAGAAACCTAAGTCGCTTGCAAATGTCGTGATCAGTAACAATAGGAAGAGGGTGTAGTAACATCAAAGTAACACTTACTCGGAGAACTCACCTCGATCATTCAGCAAAGATAGATAGCAGATCAACCATACCTTTTCCGGCTGTCTCGCCGCTTTAGATAGCAGGATTCTAGTAACGGTCGCTCTCATCAGAAGACGTCCAAAACGACGAAGTTGGACTATGGTGCTGACACCCGTTTGGATCCAAATCAGCACTCTTCATCCCCGGAGGCTCATCACTCACATAACCGACTCGCAGTCTCTCAACGAAGGGCTCGGTGCAGCTACCGAAGATCTTCTCAATCAATTCATCCGAGAGCTGGCCGTAGCCTCCCCTCGTTATCTTCAATTGTATTCTCTCGGTCTTTGCTTTCTCGTCGTTGTTGTAGGTGTCATCTGCTACCATTCTGGTCATCAGTAGTTTGGATAGATCATCCTCACCGAAGGCATGGACCCGTTTCATCTCCTCTTCTGCTTTTTCAATAGCATACGTCCTACCTTCAGGGACCTGAGCCTGCTGGTGGGCATAGTGCTTGATTGTCTTCTCCTCACAATGTAGCACCGCAAGGAGAGGATGGACGTCCCAGTTGATGTCCTGGAATTTCGCCTTGTACAGGGTAGCAAACTCAGCATCACTGACGATGTTAGAGAATTGCACGAGCTTCAGTAAGAGATCTAGCCAAGCGAGCACGACCTCGTGATCAAGTGTAGCGGCATGCTGCCGGAATTCGATGGTGTTAGTCCGATCGTCCTGATACTCCATCAAGTTTTCAACATTGACTGTGCAATGGTGGGAGTGCGTACCTTGTAGTTGGAACAGCTGACCCAGTGAGGGTGCTCTCTGTATCAGAGCTACGTTAGCAGCTGACGTATATTGGTTCGCTGCCTGAGCAATAATAGGATCCTCCCAGTGAGTCTCGCGATATGGCCGCTGGTGACTCCGGAACCGACCCTTGATCTGATTCTTGCAGTACGTGCATCGACGTCTATAGACCTGCTCGGCGTGCAGAGAGCTTAGGGGCATATTGTAGGCGTTATCGTATTGGCCAAGAGCGCTGTTGTCGCGCGGATTTTCGTGAGGATGACTCTGTGGCTTGTTCGGCATCGTGGACAAGCCGATACGATCAACAGTCTGTATACTATCGATACCAGCCTCACAAGCAGCATACAGCGACATGATGTTCTTCAGAGTCTGTAGAGGGAAGCGGTTGCGTGTGTTGCCAATATGGACGTGTAAGCCACACCTCGAAGTGGTGAATATTCGTGAATGGCGTGAGAGCTCGTCTTTGAATTCGATATCGTTGAAGCGGCGTGTCAAGTGTTGAAGGACTGCTCTGACCTCCTCGGCACCTGTGATGCTGTGGACATGGCCGCGGTCTGTCGTGCTTGGCGTAGTCTCCTTTTGGATGTTAGCACTCAGGATTCTGGTCTTGAACTCGACACCCGAGAAATAGAACTGATCTAGATACTCGGGACCCAGGCTCTTCTGCTGTTCAGCAGTCAAATCGATCGTAGCATCTCCTCCTATGTTCCATTTGCTATGAGTATGTTCTATGTCCCGACGATCTGATGTCCAGGGCAAAATGTCTAGGCCAAAAAGGTGGTGCTCGCCACAGGTTGAGCAGATCGCTTCGATTGGTTCCATCAGCACACGTGTAATCTTCTCTCGGCCGAATAGATGCGGCAGAACATATGTTCCCGTGGTGGCTTTGCTCATAGAATACTCTTCTGAGGATGCTTCGCTGACAGCATACCCTCCTAAGGGTGCCTCGCTACCAGCATATATATTGGAGGTCGCTTGACTGATAGCATGTTCTCCTGAAGATGCTTTGCTGATAGCCAAGAGGCATTCAAACTCTATACCAAAGGTAAGATCGAGTGGGTTATGCCTAATCTGCATGTGCTCGACGTCAGTACGTAAACATTGCATCCGGGAAAGACCGGACGAGGGAGAAATGAAGACGTTGGACGAGCTCGTCGCTATCGAGTCGGTTCTAGCAGACCTGCTGCTGGAGTGATCCATGGTTGATCGAAATGCCGAGCGGGAAAAGGACGATAAAATGCCGGATGTGCTCTGACGCCGTCAACAGTAGTCAAAAGAGCTGAAAGCCAAGATGAGAATGGAGAGAAGATGCAATGCGTAGTATGAAATGCGCCAACAACTCTTACAGGCCTGCAGGCACAATGGACAATGATCAAAGGCTGCACCGAAATAGCTTGTCGGAACCAGAACAATGCCCAATGCACAAAGGAAAACATTGCGATGCATTTCGCTAAGGTCGACTTCATTGATATCCTGGTTACGTTGAAAATAGCACGACTTCGAAGCCCATTGGGCCAAGGGCATCGTGCTATAGTATCGTGTGTTGTGTCTTCCTTATTTGATGAACTCGCGGCCATCCATACTTGAGCATAAAGCAGTCAGTAGGTCAAAGTGGTCCGATGCGCCCAACGTCAAGTTGTCATGTAACAGCAGAGAGAATGGAAGGAGGAGAGATGGAAGGTGAGCTTTCTTCGATGGGCCGTGCCCTGCACCAACGAGGCTAGCGTGCTGTAAGTGCGAGCAGTGTTCAGGTGAGATCGCAGCATGCGACAGTCGTCATCATTCAGCGATAGACAAACGAAACCTGATCGATCTAGAGGTACCGTGTCCCTGTAACTATTCGACAGAAAAGTCGACAGGTTCAAGCAGTATATCCTCCAGCTTGCAAGTCGAAATAGTGCCTACTTGGTCTCTCAAGCACGGAGAGACTTTTATCGCCATCCTTGTAGATTTCTACTCGTCAGAAAACGTGTTGGGCCATCTACATGGCTACCAAAGCCCACTGCGCCTACGTGTTCGAATGTCTAGCAGCAGCCTTCGAAAAGCAACAACCGCTGAGCCTAGTGAAAGTCGAGCAGCTATGGTACCACTATCACGCGACCAAGGTTGATGACGAGGACGACGTAGAAGGCGGCGGCGAAGACGAGAATGAAGATGAAAGTGACGAAGAGGAGATGACAGAAGCAGAGACCAACGATTCACCTCCAATTCGTCCAGCAGCTGTTTCGCGCTTACAGAACAAGGGCACCGATTCAAGCGCGACGAGCTCGAATAGCAGTCTTCCCTTATCGACCAACTCTACCTCATCATCGACGCCAAGTAGTAGGCAGTCGGGCTCTGGCATTACCACGCCAGCAAGCTCAAGAACTTCGCTTGGGTCCACCGCGAATGGGCGACCACAGCGACGAGAGTTCCCGCTGTTCGTGACATGGAACACAGTATCGCGGAGCGGCTACAAGAGCTTGCGAGGCTGCATAGGCACGTTCGAAGCACAAGAGCTTGAGTATGGACTACATTCATATGCACTGACCAGGTAAGTGCACAGCTCGGCACATGACAGCGAGCTCATATCTGACTCATCATAGTGCCTTCGAAGACATCCGCTTCTCGCCCATCCCACCTACACTCCTCTCGAGCCTCAGCGCACACGTAACCCTCCTCAACAACTTCTCGCAACCCACCAAAGACCCCTTAGACTGGACAATAGGCAAGCACGGGATCCGGATATCCTTCACGATCAATGGACGACGATACGGCTCAACATATCTCCCCGATGTAGCGAAGGAGCAGGGCTGGAACCAGGAAGAGGCGATTGTGTCGCTGATGAGGAAAGCCGGATGGAATGGCAGCAGTAGCAGTTGGGCGAAGACATGGAAGGATGGGAGGGGTGAGCTGGTGCGGTATGAAGGGGAGCAAGTCGGGTTGGAGTATGCTGAATGGAAGGAGTGGAAGGAGTGGGTGGGCTGAGAATCCGGCCTCTACGATCACATCCTCCGCTCAAGGGTAGAGAGCCGGTGGGATGGTATACTTATACTACTTGAAGAGGTGATAGATGTTCCATCATGTTAGCCGATCTGGTCGATACAGCACTACCCTACGTTCAGTACAAGGGCCCATCAGAGTCGGACACCAATTGTTGCATCGCAACCAATACGAGGCGGGTGTGTACAGAAGACGAGCTTCCGCTATGGCGACGACTGATATACCAAGGCCAAAATAGCACGGTGGTATCAAGCCCTTCTTGTAGACCAAGTTCCGCAAGATGTTCACTATTATTATCAGGGCGTTTTCGCATGGCCGTCAACTATCACGTGCCGGAAGAGTGTCGACCCCGCCAAACTCGTGGCTTTTACTTCCCTGCGCCATGACGCGCGCGGGGCAAAAGAGCTGCCAACTACTTCGGCAGGCACAGGTGTAACGGGAGCCACAATAATAATGTATATGAAAACTCTCCGATCTGCATGGACGGATCCTGGTGCTAACAGATGTGGGATTTACCGCGAGCGCAGCAGAAAAGCTGTCAGGGCGTGCGTAACGCCCGGCAGTGAAGCACAAGGCTAGGTTTCTTCACCAGTCTGCTTGACTCGTGGGCGTTTGCTCCAACCTCGATCGCAGTGTACTAGAGCTCCTAGTGCTAGCCTACCAAGAGCAGGTTTCCACTTTAGCCTTCCTTGTGGTGCGTGTTCTGGAAGGCCGCCTGACGCGAATCGCTGCGTTCCTGCCGATTTGGGTCGGAACGTGGCTGTGTCGGATTGCCGCAACTGCTCGACTCTGTCCGGTCAGCTGCGTTCTTGCAGTGAAGCTGCAGTGAATCCTGCCTTACACAAGTGAGCAGTGACGGATGGATGACGTCCATGCTGCCTTCTGCCTTGAATGAGTGCTCCACTCCGATCTACATTTAAAGCTCCAGTGTCTCTATCATAACCTCAATCAACACAATCCACTCTCACAAACCTTCAATCACCACACAATCCAAACTTTTCCAACTACCAACAAACCCACCCAACACCGTCAACATGACTGACTCCGGCCGCAAGGACATGTCCTCCAGTATGTTACTTCCTCCAATCCCTCGCTGCCATTGAACAGCCTTGCTGACACAGTCTACAGAGATCGGTGACAAGATGACCCCTGGTATGCAGCACCTCCTTCTCATCGCCATGCTCGACCGACGCCTCGACACCTCACTCTGCTTCTCATCACTCCCCAGTCGTATGAACTAACACCATCCAGACTCCCAGAAGTCCACCATCGACAAGGTCGGCGACTCCATCACCGGCGGTGCCGACAAGGCCGGCCGGTAAGCTCGCCCTTCACTCCCCAATCCACTCCCCCAACTTCCACTAACTCCCACTCCAGCGACCTCGTCCCCGACTCCCAGAAGTCAACCACCCAATCCATGTCCGACAAGGCCTCCCGCGAGAAGGACTCCCACAAGTCCACCGGCAACGAGTCCATGCTCGACAAGGCCAAGGACACCCTCGGCATGAACAAATAGGTGCACTACTACCAGTACCAGTGAGCCGCAAGCATCCCCCACCCAAGGTCGACTGGCAGACGGGAGGCTTTGAGGGTGTTGCTGCGTCTGGGGGATGAACGATGACGATGATGATGATTGTGATGCACACGACTTGAGTTTATTGGCCTGCGGGCTGGTGGAGGAGGGAGAAGACTCGTCCTCTGTGTACTTCTTGCTACTATGATATCCCACGAATAGCGAATTCAAGCTGAGCTCCTCGTGAGCCTTGACGTAAAGTTGTGACTCGTCTTGCTCATGTCATCTTCCGTTGCCTTCGTCATCGCTACACTATTGTTCACTCCTATGCACTGAGCCGAACGGCCGAAGCTGATATGACGATTACTGGGCGTATCCAATTTGCATTGCATGATTACGACAATGTAGTCCTTGATCCCTGCTTCGCGACGAAGCAAAGCACGTTCGCGTCAACGTACATCCTGGCAAAGCTGTTCGGGGTCGCACGGAACAGCTCACGGCGTCTCGCCGCGCGTGGCAGTCACAGACTCAATTGCACGATGAAAAGGTGTGACAATGGATGAGGACAATACGTCTAATACCAGATCCGAGAGAAATATCTGAACTGGAGCTAAAAAGTACACTCCCTAACCCAACAAGCATAGCATACATCACCCCTCCCTTCCCTATCCATGTCTCCTTCCACATCCCTCCCATATATGTCTCTTCAAACCCCTACCCTGCTAACCTCAAACAACCCCATTAGCCCCCGGCGTCGCGCTCTGCCCTCTAGGCACGAGACCCTGCTGAGGCTGCGGCGGAGGCGGGCGTGCAAAACCATTCACTGGCGTCTGTGGCCCGGAGGGATATGTCGGTGTTGCTCGCCCGGACGTGGGACCCTGACCTTGCTGTTGCAGTTGTTGTTGTTGTTGTTGTTGTTGTTGTTGCTGAGGGTACTGAGCCGGATACACCGGTCTTGGTTGGACGTTTGCGGGCGAGGAGGTGCGGACGGGTTGGTTGGAGATGGGTTTGCTGCTGCTGTTGTGGAAGGCGGCGAGGGCGGTGTTGCTGCTGGTTGTCGCTGAGGGGGGTCGTGAAGCGTAGTGTGGTTGAGAAGGTGTTGGGTTGTATGCTGGGCGGGTGGGTTGTTGTGTGCCATAATACTGGCCTGAGGAGGTTTGTTCAGGTCGTGCTTGTTGGTGTTGGTAGTATTGCTGCCGGGTCGTGTCGTTGGTTTGGCTATAGATCCGTGGTGCACCAGGGCGAGAGTACTGAACCGGTTGCCCGTTGTAGGTCCGGGTGGCAGTGGATGCTGCACCGGTAGGTGTGCTGTACTGTGCCTGGCTGCTCGTCGTACGCTGATATTGTGTATTTGGTGCTGGCGTCCGTGAGCTTGTGTACTGCGCGGACTGACCATAGCGAGTGTTTGCTGCTGATCCAATGGCTGGCGTACGCTGCGCGGTCGTGTTGTAGTGCTGACCAGAAGTAGAAGAATTGCTTCTTGTCAGAGTCGCAATCCCTGCCGCAGTAGCAGCCGCGTTATGCTTTGCAAGCCGGGCGACTTGATCCTCTTCCATCGTGCCTCGAATATTTTTGGTCTTGATAGGGATGACAGTGCTGATACCGAGCTCGGATAACTGATCACCGTCCAGCTTCGCGACAGCATATGGCGGGAGCTTGAGCACAAGATAAGCAAGCTCTCGCCGAAGTGAATGATAGACAGCCAATTCGTCCTCCGCAGGCTCGTCTGGCTTGCCAATTCGTGATGCGAGCACAGGCGCTGGACTTATCGGCGTTCGTGACGAGGATGTCGACGTCGCGAGAGTGGCATTTCGTATCCGTTGGTGAGAGGCAAGAGTCTCAAGTAGCTCAGATATCTCTAGCAGAACATGCTCGACGTCTGATTTTGACGTGACCTGCTGGACGTCTGCCATGTCCACATCTAATTCCTCAAGCTCGTCGATGACCTTGCCAAAATCGGCGTCTTCCGTCTCTGCTACTACCAAGCTACTCTCAGCCTGGCCATTCGCTGCGTCGCCTTCATCAAGCAAAGCAGGGTCGACGGCAAAAGTTTCTCGATACCGCTGCGCACCGACCTCATGCCACCATAGCATACTTCTTGTCTCCGCTGGTACAAGCGACCTAGAGTTGTCATGCGAAGGCGCGAAGCTTGAGTAAGCTCTCCGAAATAAAGCTTCCTCTTCTCGAGCCTGCTGCTCTTCGGGTGAGAGCAGACTGGGCACCTCCTTGGCACTTTCAGCGCCACTGCTCAAAGCTCTATCACGTTGTTTTCGCTTCTGTCGTGAAGTCTCGCTATCTGCTGTACCCAAGCCACCGTAACCCAGCCAGTCTCCCGTGGTCATCGCTTGCACAGTGTAGCCACCTTTGCGCGAAGCACGATGTGCGTCCTTGAACTCCCAGTATAACGTGGCATTATCGCGTGTGGACGAGCGCTTGGTCACCTTCGGTGGGTTCAGAGTGGCGAGACTGTAAGGAGGCGCGAAAGAGTCTTCGAATGTGGGTCCTTTTCTGCCATCATCCGCCGGCGCTGGAGCGATCTTGGTCGCAGTCAAGCCATTCGGTAGACTCATCTCCTCTACAGGCAGCTCAGTCTTGACCATATGATCTTGATGGGTACCATTCTGCATGGAAGAGAACAGCTGCTTGGGAGTAGGCGCATTCCCAAACAGCGTCAGAACCGTTCCCGCACGTCCGCCCGCACCGGGAGCCGGCGATACGTGGCCGTTGACCATGCTGCTCGCCTCCTTCTTGATACCTGCCATCGCTCCATGCTGTAGCTCCTTGTCAACCACATCTGTGATCAATTGCTCCAAGGCTTTGGCACGCTGTATCTGCTTGAGATCCTCGACAGGTAAGCGTGCACCTTCTTTGCCCTCGCCATCTCGAGTCTTGGCACGAAGCGCACTCTCAATGCCCTGCGTTACACCATTTGCGTCTAGCTTGAGACCCGATAGGCTATCGTAGATGCCAGCACTCAATTTGGAGGCTATCGTGATTTGGTTTCCCGCATCTGATAAACGTGCCTTCTTCGGCGATCGCTCACTGCCTGATGTGACATGACTGAGGTTGTGGTCGAGGAACGACGGTGTGGTGTCATGTTGCTGCAACAACTCCAGGATATCGCGTTGTGTCTGCCTTTTACGTGCCGATGTCGTATTGCCCTCGTCCTCGCGCTTTCGCTTATGGGCGGAGGTGTCTGAGGGTGCGGCGTCGTTGATGTTCTGTGGGGCAGAAAGTGCAGCTGGCGGGGTCGAAGTGCCATTCGTGGTGGTGGCCATGATGTGCGGAGGAGGGTCAGGCCCGCGAAAGGTTGGCGTTTGGTCGAACTTCCGGACGCGACTTGCGCTTGTCGAATTCGTTCACGCTGCGGTTGCGAATGGCATATGCCCACCACTCCCTGGCTCTGCCACATTCACACCTTGAACCAACGATCACCTCGCTTGCAGCAGTCGACCAGAGAAAGACCAGACGACAGGTGTATGTTGCAAATACGCTGACAGGTGATTTCCTTGTCAACCCTTGCCAGAGACAGACAAGGCTAGTCCCTGACAGCGGCTCATCTTCGGCTATATAGAACTATGAGCTTCCTCCCAAGCTTCAATAATGCTCGAATTCTTGTACAACCATCAACCAGGACGACACCATTGATGCATGCAGCATGGAGCATTGACGCCACTCGGCAGGCAGCTCCGCTCTGTACTTGCCAATCTATGCACCTCTACCAACTCGTCACGTGCACCTGTATACGATGACCTGCCGACAAGGTCAAGGTCTTTCGCCATCCAGCGAGGCTATCATGCCTCACCGACGACCAGATCAGCCGAAGCAGCAGTCGTTTCGCCATCCGGGATAGGGCAATCCACTCAACCGCCTCATCCGAAGCATGACCAGACCGTGCAACGGTCTCAGGGTGTGAGGCGTATCAAGCGTCGGACCAAGCGAGACTACCTGACTGAGGCACTCAGGAATGGCGGCAAGAACGGATTGACCTGGCGACCACCGATTGCGAAGAAGAGAGACATCTCACACTGGAATGTCGCGAGACGAGTTGGCTGGAGGAAGTACACGGTGAATAAGCAGCGGCACGCTGCAGACCAACCATGGCCATTATCACACAGCTCGGAACCATTGCTCGAGCGCATCGTCGCAAGCTATATTCAAGAGACCCCCAGATTGAGCGATCCACTCCAAGCCAGCTGGCATGCCTCGTACCAGATCACAACCAAGGATCACCAACACCTGCGGAGCAGAGGCTGGCAACTGAATGATCTTAAGGAGTGGTCGCAGATTCTTTCCCAGTCTGATGTCTCCACCGCTGCGACCAGACTGGCGGAGCGTGTGAGAAGTCGAGGTCCTTCACGTGTCCCGATCATGCTTTTGACCAAATTGTTACGACGGCCTTACATCAATGCACCAGCTCTCCGCACCTTGCTCAGTGTCTCATGGGAGATGCTGCTGTATCGATCGAGCTTGTGCCAGATTTACACCAGCGACAATACTGTCTTTGTTATTTTTCTGCGCCTACTGAGGCACGCAAGAGTTGTATGGCCAACTGCCATAGAGAACATTGCCGACTTGCTTCTACAAAACCTACCTTCCATTCGGGCCGGATACAAGAAAGACTATAAGACACCTGCAAGACTCACACACATGCTCAACGCAGCACTGCGACTCATCACGATCAGAACTGCAGTCGAGCCCATGCACAATACTGAGCCACAAGAAGCCGCAGTCGTACGCATCTTGAGCTTCATGTCCGAACAGCACCCACAGCTGCAGATTACTCGCGAAGGCTTCAGAGCTGTCATTCGAATCCAATTAACCATGAAGAAGACGCCCAGAGAGCAAGAGTGGGGCAAGCTGAAGGCTCTCTCGTGGCCACCTTGGAAACAAGACAGGACTGCAATGGACGCTCTAATCACGCCAGAGTATGGCGTCACGCGTGCTTTGTCGACGCTAGGTGGCATGCGAGAGGCTGGGTACGGCTTCCTGGCTTGGGAGAACTCTGCACAACTACTGGCTGGTTGGGATGTGGACAGAACGCCCACTATCCAGTCACGCATGCTACTCGGCTCTGGCTGGGGCACTCACAACGGGCAAGAAGCCGAGAATTGGGCTGCACGCATCATCGCCACACGTACAGCACAAGAGGCTTGGGCAGCTTATCTGGCTTACGAGGAGAGCGAAGTACCTGCGCACGAGCTTGTGCACCTCGCCATCTTGGAGAAGCTGTATCGCGAGGAGAAACGACAGAAGGAAGAGATGGTCAAGACTTCCACTTCAAGGAAGAAGCGACGTAGCCCACTCATGCCAGGCGACACACGAGAAGTCGAACCCTTGCCACCGTCGACGCACCTCTATACGTACACTTCACGACCAGTCCCGACGGTGCAAAGTTTCTTCGTCCAGCTTCGTGGACAAGGACATCGACTGCGTGGCCATGCGCTATCATTCGCAGTAGCTCATGCGAAGTCTTTGGAACAAGGAATCGAGTACCTACTAAGCGTGCAGGACATTGAGCCGGCGATCTCGTCTTTACTGTCAGCTATACCAGACGTGAGAATCCGAGAAGTGCCTGACTATCTTTTCGCTTCATACATCCAACTCTTATGCCACTTCACGAACGCGCCCTTGTCGCGCATGTACGACGAACTCCCTTTTGAGATTCCGGCTTTCATGCACGATGTACGGATTCTGTCTGGCTGGAGTAGCCATCGTCAGCCCGTCGTCTTCGCCTTGCATCTACTGCAGCTGCGTGGTACCTTATACAGGCCAGCCTGGATCGCTGTCCTGCACGCTCTGAACCGGAGTATGGTCGCGCGTGGTCTGCATTCGCACCGAGCTATACAGAGGAATGCTATGTTGCTGACCGGGGACGGCAATGTTCGGATATGCCATGGACACATCATCGCCTACCGTCTAGCTCAACGGACAGTCTCGATGCTGGAGCAGATCAACGTGGATCTTGACATAGCTGGTCTACATAGTCTTTGCATCAATGTGAACAATCTGACGTGGAACTGCTGGCATACGCTCAATCATGGAGGGTCTACGCAACCGCTGGACGAGCGCGAAGGCGCTGATCAGAGACTGCTGCTTGCGGAGGCGATGGATATCCTCCGCACTCGCAAGCACACGGTATGGCTTAAGCATCATTTCTGGAGACTCGTTGGGGAGAGTGCAACCTATCCTCCAAACCTACGCCACCGCAGTACTAGCCATGTACCAATGCAGCCACGCTTTCTGAACACCCCCGGACCTGCTGTAATACATGCCTACGTACGTGCTCTCGGCTGGGCCGGCGACTACGATGGTATCCTTGAGGTGGTGAGGTGGATGGTGGAGCACGAGTCTGTACTCAAACATGCTCGAGAACGAGACAGGAATGGGGAGGATATGCTTCGGCTTTCTCTCATCGCTGCTAGAGGGTTCATGGAGCGGGCCTGGCTCGTGTCAGACACCCCTCGCACCGCCCCAGAGCATAAGGACGAGCAGAGCAGCAAGGACGTACTTCCCGCCTTCCCGCCAGAAACAGAAGAAGAAGGTGTCCCCCATATCTTACGAGTCATGCAAACCCCGGCCCCAATCGAGATCATCGCAGAGGTCAGAGAACTCGTGGAGAGCGTGGAGGCTTGGCAGGGTTGGGCGACTGATGCGGAAGTTGAGGAGTATTTTGCTGATAGACGGTTTCGGGAATTGTTGGATACTACTGCATCGAAGAATTGAGGAGACGATGCTGTGTGAACATTGCTGAGGTGGTGTTCAGTTGAGATGTATTGTATAATACTGTGTTAGGGCCGATGTTGCTGTCGCAGACCTGTCGCTTTCATCATCTCAATCGCTAGTTGATCTCTAGTTCAGGTATTGATGGCAGGTCCGTGATACGGAGACGATTGGGAGACGTCATTTGAGCAGTACTGAGGCTCGTTTGCCTTGAGCATTCGCCTTACTGCAGCGAAGCGTTTTGTTCTCGATGCTTGGGGAATTGTGCTTACCACGTTTAGGTTCACCATGTTGTCCTCACATCCACCCACCACACCTACAAAAAGGAATCGTCTGCCCGCTCACGATGGCTTTCCGTGAGTCTGCTGTATGCACAAAATTGGACTATTGGACCACTGACTACTACCAGACGAAACTACCACGACTGGGGGCCACCACATCACTCTTCGAGCAAGTCTATTTGGAAAGGACAGGAGGCTGTAGTAGGCACTATCGTCTTACCACGGTCTTAACTCCCCTGCGTTCAAGGATGTCTCAGCTTCAGAGCTGGGCGAAGGAGCGGGAGCGCAAGCGTAGAGCGCGAGGAGAAGACCAGGAGGAGTCGTCGGGACCTGACCCTGATTCCAAGCGTAGGGGGACGTTGATCTCCTCATCGACGGAGACATTGGGGGAGTGTAAAGATGGTGGGGTAGAGGAGAGAGAAGAGCAAGTAGAGCCCGGGCGGGAAGACGCCTCGAACACCATCTTCCCCTTGGCCTCAGACGCGGACTCGAGCGCAACGTTCTCCCCTTCGCATTCGCCACCATCAGCACCTCCACACCTCTCAAGCCATCCGGGACCTTACCCCTGCTACCTCGCAGCAGCCCACCACCCCCTCCCATCCAAATCCAAACGCCACACCCACCGCGTCAACATCTTGATCTACGACCCACGCATCACCGCGACGGCAATCATCTACATCCCGACACGCCTCGCCCTCTCCATCCCTTTCACCCAAGCGATGGAAAGGGATGCTGGTGGTGAGTGCGAGTTCGTGACTATCCGCAGCCGGAGCCATTGTCGGGGATGGTATATCTGTAGTCTCCTTGCCGAATTCAGAATCGACGGGGTAGGGGAGATTCAGGTGACGGGGAGGGCGAAGGTACCAGCGGAGAGGATTCCGGGGGTACTGCGGGAGGCGTGGGAAAGGGAAGCAGCGGCAGGGGCGAGGAGATGACGATGATGTTGTCCTCGGTGGCGGGGATGAGGACGAGGACGAGGACGAGGACCACGGCGGTCTTGGTGTTGTTGAGGCTACTGGGATCGACAGCAGCACGACCCTCGTCAACGACGACGGCGAAGGTAGCACGCCCGCCCGCCCGTCCGCCGCCACGGCCGAGTCTTCCGACGACGTCGATGCAACGTCCCTCCCTTCTTCCCCACAACATCCCCATCCCCCTCTGCATCCTCACCTCTCTGGGCCCAGAAGGTTCACCCGCCATCCACGCGGCCATCACTGTTCCACCCGTCTCCAGACCGACCCAGAAGTCGTGCAGGTGGCGGAGATTAGACAATTCTACCGCTGCGGTCGAGGCGGAAAAGCGCATCTGCGACTTCGGTTCTGGGACCCGAGGGGCGAGGAGGTCGTGCTTAGTGGGCTTGCGCCTCGGGTTGGGAGTCGAGTTGTGGTTGGGGATGTGCCTGTTGTGTTCAAGGGGGTGGGCTAGGTAGGCAGGAAGCCGTGGTGCGTCGTTGATCTATCAGGGTGGGTGACATGGTTGGGGATATGTCACGGCTTAAATGATGGAGTGGTTGACTGCTTGATTGTGGGAATTATGGTCATCAGCGTAGACTATGTCTGTGAAAGTCAAGCCCTCCCTTTCTCTTTCTCAGCCTACGGCGGCCACTTCCCCGGCGCCTCAATCACCGTCCGACTATACGTCGCACTGGCGCTCAACTTCCCTTCCTTCTCCATCGCTCGTTTCCGCTGCGCCGCCGTGATCCCAGCTCGATCGGTCACGGGAGCCGCATTCATAATATTATCGAAATCGTCATCATCTTGTCTACCATCGATATCACTCCCCGACTCGGCGTCCGAGTCCTCTGTAATCGACTGCTCGGGTTTGGCAGGGTCGGTGGGTCGTTGAATTTTTGCTGGGAGGGGGCGGTCGTGCGTCTCTGCTGTGGGTGGAGATTTGTTGTCGTTGGGTTTTGCTGTGAAAGGTTTAGAGGCTAGAACTCGGCGGCGGAGGTCGGCCATTTCTTCTTCGTCGTCGTCGTTTGGCGGGAGGGCGTAGGGGTCGTGGTCGTCTTCATCTGCCTTGTCGTCGTTATCGCCTGTGGGAGGGAGGTCGCCTGGTTTTGGTCCTCCTAGTTGGATGCCGCCTAGACTACTCGCATCACTCTCATCATCATGTTCGCGGTCACCCTCCTCATCACTTCCATCTTCCTCCTCATCCTCATCCTCATCAATCGGCCTCCGATTCATATTCCCCCCACTCCAAGCATCCCCGCCATTCCCCTCCCTCGCCTCCCGATCCGCCTTCCACTCCCCCTCGATCTTCGCCAACCACGCCTCCTCTGCCCTCTTCACCCCTTCTTCATCCGCACAAGCCGCATACCGCTTCAACACCGTCTCGTTGATATCAATAAACGACTCCCCATAACTAAACGGACTCAGCACCTCCTCCGCCCAATCCCGATGTCCACAAATAAAAAAACAAGCAGCCAACGCCTCGACACAATTCAACCGCCACGGCTTCCCGTAATTCGTCGGGTTTGCCGCGATCAAGTAAGGCAGTAAGCGCGGATTCGGCCCTCCGATCTTCGCAAACGGCACCTCTTCAATCCGATTCCAACTCGCCTCCACCACCGCCGCACCGAACTGCTCCAGCACTTCTTTATCCGCGGGACTCACGATCGTCTTGGCTTTGGGACTGATGACGACGCCCGGGTGTTTCTGTCCGACGTGCAGTTCGCGCATCAGACCCAATCGCATCAGGCGTTTGCCGGAGCAGCGCTTGTGGTCGCAGTGGTTGAGGTCCCAGGCGGCCGCTTTGAAGGAGGGGCGTTGGAAGTTCTCTTTGCTGGTTGCTCGGGGGTCTGCTGGGCCGTGGGAGCGGAAGGTGGCGTTCTTTTTGCCTTTGGCGCTGAAGTCTTTCTTGTGGCGGACCATCGTTGCCTTGCTACTGAGGTGCTGTGATGGATCCTTCTGGTTTATGTATGATCCTGTCGGCCACGATACGAGTTCTGGTGCGGCGATGGTGTAGAGTAGATGGAAAATAGGTGTGTCATGTGTAAATTCATTAATCCCTCCATCAAATCGACGTCATTGTATTGATGACCCACCAAGCGCTGACACAGCCCACACGGAAGTGATTGATCCACTGACATGTGCCCAAGACGTCAACTAATATATACACACACGAGTACGACTTTGGGTAATCGCATTGGTTTAACATTGCTCGGACAATCGTTCGACAGCCTCGTCCACCATCGACCGCTACTTTGCTGGGAACCCGCGGGCTCAGCCCAGAGGGCCCTTGACACTCGCATCCTCCCCTTCACCCTCCCACACTCCACGACAGCCTCCACGACCACCCAACATGGAAGCCACCTCCGCCCGCTACGCCGCCCGTGATCGCTTCGCCTACCCAACTCAGCCCGCGGAAACCCAACTCCAACGCTTCATCCAAAATGCCTGCTCACCCGAGAACTTCGAGCCCAACCTGGCTTTGTCCCTCGAGATAGCCGATGTGATCAATGCCAAGAAGGGAGGAGCGCCGCGCGAGGCCGCCGTGGCGATAGTAGGCTATATCAACCACCGGAACCCGAATGTCAGCCTGCTGGCGCTCAGTTTACTGGATATATGCGTCAAGAACTGCGGCTACCCCTTCCACTTACAAATCAGCACCAAGGACTTCCTCAACGAGCTAGTAAGAAGATTCCCCGAACGACCACCCATACGAACGACGAGGGTGCAGAACAAAATTTTGGAATTGGTCGAGGAATGGCGCCAGACGATCTGCGAGACGAGCAAATACAAGGAAGACCTGGGCTTCGTGCGGGACATGCATCGCCTACTGACATACAAAGGCTATGTCTTCCCGCAGATCCGACGAGAGGATGCCGCGGTGCTGAACCCGAGCGATAATCTAAAGAGTGCGGATGAAATGGAGCAAGAAGAGCGAGCGGCACAGAGCGCGAAGTTACAGGAATTGATACGGAGAGGCACCCCCCGAGACCTCCAAGAAGCCAACAAACTCATGAAAGTCATGGCCGGCTACGACCAACGCAACAAAACCGACTACCGAGCCAAAGCCGCGCAAGAAGTCAGCGAGGTGCAAGAAAAAGCCAAGATCCTTGAGGATATGCTGCAGGGGTACAAACCCGGCGACGAAATCCAAGAGGGTGATGTGTTCGAGGAGTTGGCCAACGCCCTCGCCTCCGCCCACCCGAAGATCCAAAAGATGTGTGAGGAGGAGAGCGAGGATACGGAGGCCGTGGCGAAATTGTTGGAGATAAATGATAGTATTCATCGGACCATCGAGCGGTATAAATTGGTGAAGAAAGGGGATCTGGCTGCGGCGAACGCGATTCCCCGGGGCACGTTGGGGGTGACGGGGGCCGGGGTGAGGAAGGGGCCGGATAATGAGCTTTCGCTTATTGATTTCGGGGGGTTGGAGGAGGGGGAGGGGGAGGAGGGTCAGGCGACTGCACCGTCGGCGGCAGGGCAGGACCTCATGTCCGGTGGTGCGCAGTCGGGGATGGGTTCGGCGAAGGCGAAGGGGAATGCGTTGGAGGATGATCTGTTGGGGTTGACGATGGGGGATGGGAGTATTGGCCAGGAAGGCGGGGTGTCCCTCGGTGCCGGACCCTCGTCATCATCATCATCATCATCGACGAACGGCACGGCGGATATCATGGCCCAGTTCTCCCAACCCTCCCGGCCGACAACCCGACAACCCCAAGCCGCCCACTCCATCTTCTCCTCCTCCTCCTCCTCCACAGCACCACCAGCACAAGGAGCGCACTACGACCTCTTCGGCTCCCTATCCACTCCCGGCGCAGTGGGTTCGAGAAGCGCCTCCTCGAAACCCGCGACGCCGATCCCCTCGGCCCTACAATCACAACAGCAACAAGCGGCGAAGCGGTCGTCCGCTGATCCTTTCGCCGCACTAGCCGCGACGTCCACACCGCCGCGACAGGCGTCGCCGTTTCAGTTCCAACAAGCAACGAGAGCTGCGTCCCAACAATCAGCAGCACACCCATCGTCAGGAGCCGTGGATCTCTTAGGCGGCCCCATCCCCACCGGACCCAGCAACGGCACCTCTTCCGCCACCGCTCCCGTCGCACCAGCAGCAGCAGCAGCAGACGACGAATGGACCTTCTCCTCCTCCGTCCCCGCCGACGACCAACCCTCCGACTTAACCGTCACGAACTCCACGATCCGGACCGTGTTTTCCGTGAAGCGAGAAAACGACACGGAAGTGATCCTGCAGAGTCGGATTTCGAATAACACCCCTCAACCCATCAACGATCTGACATTCCAATTAGCTGTTACCAAGGTAAGAACACCAACAATTTACCCCCGGAAGTTTTCTTCCTCTTTTTCATGCTAATACTTACACTCACACTCACACTCACACTTACACTCGCACTTACACTAACACTTACACTTTTTTTCCCAGGCATACACCCTCCACCTCTCCCCCCAATCCAGCCGCTCCCTGGCGCCGAACCAACGGGACGGGATCACGCAGACGATAAGGTTAAGGGGGGTGCCGAGGGGGGAGGGGATGAAGGTCAAGTTGAGGTGGCGGGCGAGTTATTCTGTCGCTGGGGAGCGGGAGGGGAGGAATGAGCAGGGGGAGGTGGTCGGGGTCGGTGTTGCTTGACTACTTGACGAGAGATGGTAGATAGATAGCTTATAGTTGGCACAGGGCCAGACCACATTGCATGAAATGCGCCAGTAGTGTCGCAGTCGGAGCTCATAAGACGTTTGCGAACGGGTGGTCCAACTAACACTTGCTCTCTTCGTGTATAGTAATGGGTATAGTATCCATTGCACATCGCGACTTCATGCTTGCTTCAACGCCTCTACCACTGGAAGATATGGTAGGGATATGGAGCCGGCCGGGCAATGCATTTCTGATAATAACCAATACAACGTACAGAAGCCGACCTCACCCTCCCGACATCTCAGTCCACGCTCATAACAGTCGAGCAAATGAATCTTGATGATGTTGATTTTTGTCTCGGGTCACGTGCTCGGCGTCGAGGACTGATGCAGACTTTGCTTGGCTGTGTTTCGGAATTGGGGAAGGACTCTGAGACAAAACAAAAGCCCCCCCCGACCACGAAACCTTGTGATCCCAGCAAATCTCCGATTGTGAAGTCTGGGTTTCGGTCTCGTCGTCGTAGCAGTCATTACCTGAACAATGTTCCTTACAAGCAAGCAGCATCGCCGTATGGCATACGGAACCCGTGCTCTGTTATTAGAAGCCTGGATATCGTATATACGGCAGGATACGGAGAGGCGTGTGCAAGCGAACAGACGCTTGTCTGCCCGTGTGAACACGCAATTCTTTTGGCGCTTGGGCGCGCGCGGCTCTTTGTAGTTGTGGTGCTTGCTTTATTGCTCCTTTTGATGCCTGTCTCTCGCGCAAGAGTCAAGGACCGAAACAATAATAGCCACAAACATCCCGTCTTGCGATATCAACACAGTCTACGTCCGGCGAGTGTGAGGGCTGCAACGACTTTGCTCGGTTGCGATGGTGAAGGAAAGGATGTCCATGTATCATATTTCCACACAACCCCCCCCCATCACATAGGATTCAGGAAGCGTTGAAACAAAGGTGACAGAGGTACTTCCTCCACTGGCGCAGGGGCAATTTTCGCACTGCCGGAGCATAATTGGTTGTCAGGCCGTTAAGGTCGACGGCGTACCTGGCCCTAATCCCGATATAGTAGGGTGCAAAAGCGTCGTAGGCACGCCAAAAGTCCTGCAGCGGGATGAGTGTCAGGGTACAGGCTCAGGCACAGGCACCCGAGCGGACCATCACACAACTCCCGTCGTCCTTCTACTCTGTACCTTTGAGCCCTGAGCATCATCGCTTCAATCCGTCTCTCTATCACGGTCATTTCTGCCTATACCACTTTCTTCGACTTGCTTCGATTGTTGAAAATATATCCATACATTCGTTATACCATTCGAAAGGAGTCCTCGTTTATTCTCGGCTTTGCGTACCGCGTGCGACCGTCACCCATCTCCTGAAACACGGACACGAGCAGGCCCATTTCTGCATTCCACCGCCAGCCAAGTCACGTCAGCTGGTCCTGATTGGAACAGCGTGCTTTCGGAGGACTCGAGGCGAAGGATAGCGACAGCAGTCACTGAGACGTGGACGTAGAAGGAGAAGTGAGCGAGGTCGGCGAGAGATCTATCGACCTCGACGATCTGTCGCATGAGTGGTGGGCGGTGACGATTGAAGAGCAGTGGAGAGGAATCTGGGAGACTCCCCATCAGAACACGTCACGAGATTGCGCTGCTGGCAGCCGCAAACAAAGGTCCGTCTTCACCACGATATCCTTTACTCCAACACATGCTCGCAGAACGATATCAGAGACACACGAGATACTCTCACGAACATCATACTAACATACCGGCGAACAGCGACCCGCACGCCCTCGCTTCCATTACCGACCTGAGCGTGACAAAGAAAAAGTCCCCCATCATTACTCCTTGCGTCGGCACGGCGGCACCCGCGAGCCACGATGCCATCAACACCCTTACCAGCCGCGTATGCCCTCTCCACCCTCTCACTCCTGCTCACCACCACGACCACATACGCACACGCACATGATCCCTCCTTATTGGGACGCTCCCCCGGCACACTTCGGCCACGAGCAGGCATGAGCGCCATGACCTATGCCGGCTGCTTCTCCTCTTCCTCTGGCCTCACGGATCAGGGCTCATATCAGTATCAGACGCCTGGGTACTGTCAGCCGATCTGTGTAGGTGCGAACCATGCGGTGTTGGGGTTGAGTGGAGGCAGTGATTGTTGGTGTGGTGATGCTTTACCGCCGGCGAGCGCGAAAGTTGATGACTCGAAGTGTAACACGCCTTGCAATGGCTACGGCCAACAAAACTGTACGTGTGGTGTGCGTATAATATGCGATAACAATACTGACTATAATCCCAGGCGGCGGGACCAACTACTGGTCAGTCTACCTGGACGGCCTTTCCAACGACGTGCCAAATGCCGGCGCCAGCTCATCGAGCGCAGCAGCAAGCTCGGCCGCAGCAGCCTCCTCATCATCATCACCACCTGCCTCAACACCTACAACTAGCGACGCAGCATCCTCCACCCCTGCCGCCACCACCGCTGCACCATCAGTCGTGACCAGCGTAGCCCCCGGCCACACCATCGTCGTCACCGAACAACCCGCCCAAACCACCGGCGCCAAAACCCAATCCCCCGCCCCCTCCAGCGGCGGAAAATCAAACACCGCCGGTATCGCCGCAGGCGTGGTAGTAGGCGTCGTAGCCGCCGCAGCAATCATCGGCGGCCTCGTCTTCTTCCTCAAACGACGAAGACAACAGGCCGCTGAAGATGAATATAAGCGCTCCAATCAAGTCGGCGATTTCATGCGCGGTGGTGGGAACGAGATCAAGCCGCCGCAGACGGCGTATAGTCAGATGTCGGATTCGAGACTAGATCCCATGGTCGGGAGGCGGAATAGCTCGGGCAGTATTGCTGATGCGCAGGATTATTCGCGGAAGATCTTGAGGGTGCGTGATATCTCACTTTGTTCACACACGATTCAGCGGAGGCTAACGTGTCTCTTCCAGGTGGCGAATCCCGATGGCAACTAAAGGGCTCCGGCTACGTCTTGCATTGGTGTAGCAGACCCTCCTCACCATTTAACGACCGATGAACAACAAAACTCAACGACGCGATCTTGAACCCTTCTCTCTCGGGATCTCCCCTTTTTCGTTTCTGATACATAGAGACATACCACACCTCGTAGGTATGGATGGACGAAGATGGCGCATTGGGTGGAAGCGACAGAAGCGTGTGCTTTCTGAGGTGTTTGTCATAACCCCCTCGACTTCACTTTTTCCCAATCTTCCAACTACGATACCCCGACCTCTCAGCACCCATGAGCTACCACCACTACTACTGCCAAATCACATAGCTTTTTGTATGCTGATCTGTTGATACATCAGGGGCCTTTTGGCCTACTTCTCTTTCTCAATCATCTCCTACCTAGCTTGCGATACTAATTTTGAACTTTTGATAGGTAAGGACGTAGTATATATAGGTCGGATTATCGAGGAACGGGGTTTTTGCTGCTGACTACTAATGCGCATAGTCACGATTGCCGCACTCAAGGGTAATCCATCTCAATCCCTTAGCCTACCTCTCTCACGCTGCCTGGCTCTCAACACTACTCAACACCACACCACGACAAATTGGCAGATTGGTCGAGGGCACGAGCAGAGAACGCGTCGATGTTCACTGCCTAATTTCGAAATCTGCAATCACCGCACACCAGGGTATATCCAACTCCATCCATCACCTCTCGAGATCCATCCACACCTTCCGCACGGCCGTCCGTCCAGCAAAGCGCTTGCCTCCTGCGCATTCGACGCGATAGGTTCAGAAATCCTGACTTGCATCACTACCCGCGCGACGGCCTTTCCCACTGGCGGGCTGACCGAGACTACCTTGTATCACTACTGGTAGTCGTTGCGGCGGTAGCGGTAGCGGCAGCGGCCGGCGAACTCCTCCGTCTCTTGTCGTCCTCGCCGATCTCTCCGTCTCGTGGCTGAGCTGGTTTGGGCGCTTTCTGGCTGGTTCTGCATGGAGACGATTGAGTGGATCGGGCTTCTTGGTTTGTGTCTCGGCGGTAGGCTAGGCCCATGCCGGACTCGAAAGACCCTGTGGCATGTTAGCTGTGGCAATCGATGGGTTTTTTCATGAGAAGCTCTTGCCGTTCAGTGCGATGAGGGAGGTATATGGTCGTTCTTCTGAACTAGAGCTGGGCTGTGCTGCGGACTTGTCATTTGACATGTCTTGGGGCCTTCGCTTGGTCAAGGTCGATGGCTGTTGCAATTGGTAGTGTTCAATTCAGCGGCAAAGCTGTGTTGGCGTGGTCTCGAGGCATTCTTGCAGAGACCCATCATGCCTAATTATCTACTTCGCGACATTCCCATGTGCTGGGAGGCCATAGCAGGCGCCCAGCTATGATGACCACAAGTCATTTGCCATTGGGAGGGCGCAAGGATGGCCAAATTTCTTACTATGAGGAGGATTGGGCCCTTTTGCCTCCAGCACGCTCGAGTGACGGAGCTTTGAAGAGACAGATGCAGCCTTGCCCGCGGGCTGTAGTGGGCGCTGTGGCTTGAAGTAGGCGAACGTTTGCCTGCAGCCTCCTGCAGCCTCCCATAGCCTGCCGTGCAAAAATAGCGACCGTGCGCAGGTGGGAGGTACTACATACACAAGGCCACCGACGCCTTTGTTTCTTCTGTTTGCCACCCTCTCCCTCCCATACGCTTCTAACCATACCATCGTACCTCTTGCGGGTCGCCGTGCACAAATTACACCTTGAGATTAGCCCCCGGATCATGGAACTTCCTACCTCGTGCAGCATGGCCAACGCCAACGCCGATACCCCGCCAGCCTTGCAACCAGCCTACCAGCTTGAAGACCTGTTCGTCGACACCGAAGATGTCAATAGGTTTGGGGAATTCGGGTTTTGCACGTCCCCCGAGCTTTCAGCCGTAAATCTCGACGCGTCTTTGGAGGATGTATTGCTCGCTCAGTATGCACGAGACTTCCCACCAACGCTAGGAATGTACACGGGGAGACAAGGCAATGGTGGATTACTTGCTCTCACAACTACCACAGCCCGACGAAACGATATACAGCCAACATCTATGGCATGGAGCGATATGACGCCCAATATCGCCAATATCATACCATTGCCAACAATCGGTAGTGGAACGAGCCTCCGCGCAACTTCAAACGTGAAGACCATGCTTTTCCAGGCGCTCTCGAGACAGAACTCGCCACTGAACGGCAGGACAGCAACACCGACCCGCAAGAACAGCGAAGCTCGCCTCAGACTCGCAAGGACCGTCGCACTGTGCATGTGGGCCTTCAAAGACAAGTCCCTACTTGCATACGGACGAATCTTCAGTGACCCTTCCACCATGGATGGATGGATGTCCTCAGGTCCAAGACCACAGCCATCAGCCGCCGCAACTACCCTTGCACTGGCTCGTCCTGCCCCAAGAGCGAATGTGGCCTCCAATCTCGAATACACCCGCAAGTGCCAGAGACACCCGAGAATCCAGGGAGGCTATCCATGCGAGCTCTGCGATGGCATCTTCGACACATTCGCCGACTGCAACAAGCACAAACGCAATGTACACGCCTCCACCCGCCCACATGCTTGCTCACAATGTTCGAAGGCGTTCTGCACACCCAAGGATCTGCGACGGCACGCGAAAAAACATGCACGGAAGACTGCTGTGGCGAAGCTTAGGCAGAACGCAGTGCCAGCAGTACAACACATCGAGGCATCCCCATCGACGGATGCGAACGAGCCAAAGTCCGGCAGCTCAAAGGATGCAAAGTGTCACTCTTGCCAATCCCACCTCCCGCAAGTCAAATGCACACCGGAGTACGTCGACATTATACAGGCGGAGAACGAGAGCCTAAAGCACAGGTGCAAGGACCTGGAGAGTGAAGTCAGTGCGTTGCGGGCCTTATTACTGGCTCGAGCTGGCAGTGTTGGTTGAGCTGGAGTGCTGTTGATAAAATCTGTATAGCGTCTCACCCAATGATACGATGATGCGATAATACGAAGATACGATGCTATGGAGTTACGGGACGATCATTCAAGGCCAGTGCTGGCGAGTGTCTGTATGTACACTTCATGGACTTCTACAACCAGAAGAAGAGGCGTCGTGACGATTGGCTTGGTATCCCCACAATTGTCAAAGACATCTGTAGCGTGGCTACTGAGCAAGCAGAAAAAATTTGAGACGTGCGTAAGTGGACTGAGCCTGTGTGGGCGGTAGAGGAACTAATCATATATCTCCTAGACTGCAGTCTAAAGGCGTCTCTTGCAAGACGAGGATTATGGCCATGGTGAGCCTCTCGGCCGTGTCGAGGCTCTTGGCCATCCACGAAGATGCGGGACGACGCCGCGGCGCGGAGGCAGTGGCGATACGCGTTTTACGGTAATAGCGCTCAGCTGTGCCGCAGACCCGTGCAATCGTCAGGCGGAGCTCGATGCGGGAGCGTTGTAAGTGTACACTGGCGCGGCTCATACTGGATGGGAGCTGTTTATGCGGGAGCACTTCAGATCTCGCTCGGTATGCACATGGTCTCTGGAGCTCGTCAGGGCACAAGACCTTTGCTAGACACGTTCAGGCAGGCCAAGGGCCAGCGCCCGATACATAGTCCGTCTCAATGGAGGTCGATCTGTCCAGTTGTAGCGGCGATAGGCGCCGGGAGTCTCTCTTCATACGCTTGTCTGCACACAACAGGCACCATGGTTGGTTCGTGTAAAATGCGTTCAAAGCCAGGCAATGATACTTCCTTGATCCGGAACGGTTGCTGACAAGATTCAGCTGTAAGCATTCGTCCTAGTCTTGGTATCGTGATTCGGAACAGACACTCCCAGACCATCACAGCAACATACAGCCTGGTTGACTTGACGGTCCAGTTCAGCCTACATTGGGCCGCTCAAGCTCACTCCCCTCCACCACCCTGCTGTCGTCGATCAAGCACCTTATCCATAATGCCCCAATCCTTCGCCTCATTCGCACTCATGAAGAAGTCCCTCTCCATCACCCTCTCGATCTCCTCCAAAGGTTTCGTGCCGCCTTCCTTGGGCGTCAAGTGGTTCTGATAGATCTTGTTCAGTTGCTCCCTCACTCTCAGGATCTCCTTGGCGTGGATAGCGATATCGGATGCCTGGCCATGATATCCACCACTGACTTGGTGCACCATGATTCTGCTGTGTGGTAGACAATATCGTGTGCCCGGTGCGCCACCACAAAGGAGAAGACTGCCCATCGAGGCTGCTTGGCCGAGGCAGATTGTTGAGACGGGAGACTGGATATATTGCATCGTATCATATATCGCTAGGCCAGCCGTGACGCTTCCACCGGGACTGTTTATATAGAGATTGATAGGTTTATTCGGGTTGTCGGCTTCGAGGAAGAGGAGTTGTGCTACTATGCTTGCCGAAGTTGTCTCGTCTACTTCGCCATTCAGGCAGACGATTCGTTCGCGCAGGAGGCGAGAGAAGATGTCGTAGGTGTGCCAGCCGCCGCCTACGGTTTCGGTCACAAAGGGCATTGGCAGGGCCGAAGTGGGTGGTCGCGCAGGCATGGCATTGTGGGTTGGTGGGAAGGGTGGGAGTGTCGATAGTGTTCGGATGTTCTGGTAGCGAGCATTTCGGAGGATATGCGAGCGCGTGGCTCGAAGAGTAGACTGCATTGTTGATATAGTGTATGTCTAGTATTACATGCTGCTGTAGAAGTTGTGAAGGTGAGCTTCCTGCCCAATGGAGATGTCATCCCCGCCATCACACCAACGACATCATTTCATCGACTATCAGGTCATTCTGATCGATCTTAGCTACGACAGCATGTGCTCATGCTCAATGCGGCTATCAGAACAAGAACGCGTTGGGGCTATAGCGATGGTATAGCGCTGAGCATCCGTCGACGAGCCTTTAGTGGACAAACGATCAATGAACCAATTTCGCCAAAAGCACAACCCACGACCACCAGTGACGATGGCAAGCAACGACTGCGACTACGCAGGCATGGTGGTAAAAGCTTACCACTGCCGCCCGTGATGGATGCCGTGAGGATAGAGGCCAAGGATCAATACAAAAAGGCGAAGCCATGGAAGCAGGAAGAGGAGCTGAAGTCCTCCTTTTCGGAGCAGACGGAAGCGAATCCTTTTGGTAAGGTTTATCTCTCATATCTCTCTTCGTTATGTGAATCCCTAGGCAGGAGCGCTGACGGTCACATTTGAATCGCACAGCTCAAGCTCTCGCCTCTCCTATCAGGCAATGCCAGCTGACCAATGCTCGCCTACCATCGCACTTCCTGCTTCCTTTCGTAGGGAGTGTAGAGACTTCGCCGAATAAGGATGAAAAGACAAAGCGACCTGCATCTCTCACAGCCGAGATGCTGGATGCTGGAGCTGAGACGCTTCGCAGTCCAACCCGAGCATACGTCCTAGCAAAGCATACCGCGCTCAACTTCATCTCTCAGCGCAAGAAATGGCCACAGGTCGTGCACGAGCGGGTGAAAAGGTGGCTTGAAGCACGTACCGGTAGGTCTCTGCAGCATTCACGAGATATCCAGAAACATGTTGCTTGGAATGCTGACATGGCTGCGATGGTCCTTTACTTTCTTCAAGAGGACGCTATCAGAACGGTCCGGATAGGTATTCATCACAAGTACGTGCTCGACAAACAAGAATTTCTGCAGCAGAACCTCGTGCAGTTCAATACCGATGATCAAGCTGCTGAGGCAGTGGCGGCTCAGAATGTGGCGTGCGTACTCATGGTGAATGAACATTCTGGACAACTGCCACCATGCCTACAGCAAGCAAGTATACCGGTGTATACTCTTCGTGACCTACTCGGCAGACACATCACTACATTGGACGAGATTACGACCGATGATGATTCAGCGAAGCAATTGGGAGGTCTGGAATGGTTGGTTGTTTGGAGGGATCCAAGGGCAGTGAAGTTGCAGCTGGCCTTGATGAAGCTGGAAGGCTACGCAGATCCGTGACTTTGCTGGGCCACGCAGCACATGTCACAAACGATGGACGATGACTCGCACAAAGCAAAAGTTCTATGAAGCTCGTCGTTTGCACGTGCAATGCAAATAAGCTCGCCTGCCGCTATGGATGGGCTTGTCAATAGGGTGAATGGCGTCCTACACGACATGCTAGCGTGCCGAGTATAAAGTTCAACTCACTCGACTTGGTCACTTTGACATCTATTCGAGAACATCAGCACTATGGCGACGAGCCATCGAAGCCCACCCAGCACGAACGCGGCGCCTCAGATAGAGTCGACATTCACACAGTCCTTCACACCAGCTGCCCACGAGATCTACATCCCCTTGGATGACCCAACATACTCCGACCGTTCACCATCCACTTGTGCAGGCTGCAGCAAGTCTCGAGACCAGGGCGACAAGCTCCTTCTGAAGTGCGCTTGATGCAAAGTCGCGGCTTACTGCAGCAAGGAGTGCCAAAAGACGCACTGGAAGCAACACAAGCCAGCTTGCGACGCCGTCCATAAGCAGACTGCTCCAGGTGCCCCTCCCAACCTCGTAGCTTTGCGTAAGCTAGCCATAGTCGACTTCAACCTCCGCACCACGACGCACATCACGACCTGCCAAGGTGTTCTGCTGAAACCTTGGGTCGCAACCCAGAATCCCGCAGTGCTCGAAAACATCCACTGCGCCTACGCCGCGGTGGAGGTGGTACCGAAAGCATGTTACGAGCTCGATCACTCCAACGTCTGGAACGTGGGTCTCGCACAAGCGGTGGGCTTCCCATTGCTCATGATGCGCGTGCGAGAGAAGATTGTAGAGCTTGACAAGCATCTGCCTGACCAATACCGTGAAGGACGAAAGCTCCAGCGCAGCATCGGTGGGCTCGTCAAGGAAAACGATCACATCACAAACATCCTTGCTGCATTCCTGTCTATGGACATCAACCCCGGCTCTGCCACCTTCGGCGAGATTCCAACACCATACCCGAAAGGTGACTCCGGACTGGTTAGTAAAGACGGCAAGCCAATCGACTACCGCCAAGTCTGATTCCTCATCGAGTTCTACAAAGTCGTCCCGCTAAACCTGCGCGCTAGCGCCAAGGGCCCTCCTCTTAGCCCAGACCAATCGATGGAGAAACACATCTGGTTCAACTCGCCAAAATTCTTCGTCAAGACGCTCAACATCAACAAAGCGCGGGGCCTGAGCGGCGAGGATCCCTTCATGGCTCGACTCACTAATTTGCAGTGCCCCGTCGATCTCGAGTCGCTTGGCTTTGATGCCGAGAAGTGTGTCCACGTGCCGCCGACGATCAAGTGGCGTGAGGCGCTTGCAGAGGACTTGGTGGAGCGCCTGCCGTTTCTGTGGGACGAGATGCTTTACATGCCGGACAAGAGGATTTTCAAGCAGTATCATCAGTAGCTCTCGCGACTGTAACCAGAAGTCGCATGCTGAGAAGGCCCTCCGGCTTAGGGCGATCGAGAAGGCTAGTGTATTGTCTCAAGTATCTTTGAAGACTTGTGTCTGTGCCGTGGTGGTCACACACGGGCACGCAAGGTAGAGGCGATGACGAGCACATGAAAGGGTTAACAGGGACGGAGCTGCATTGGGCTCGTGCAGTTCATGGTCGCTGGGGAGAGAACATGTAGAGCAGGCAATCAAGGCAAGCTCTACTTATCAGAAGTCATTCACTAGGGAAGCAGGAAGGAAGTGGAGCTTCTGTCAATGGAGAATCCATATAATTTCATCATCTAGTTTATCTCAATCATCGTGACTTGCACCATCAAAAACATCACTCTTTCTCCGTGCGATACTGTACATAATCACAAATTGCCACCCATGTTCGTATCGCCCATACATTGCTACAATGGCATCGTACAATGCGGCACTCAGAGCTCAAAGCCTGGTTCCGATCAGCCATCGAGGAACAGCTCAAGCAAGGAAAGAAAACATACTGGATTCAATTAGCCTCGTGCGAATCATAGTCGAGTTGGCAGTGTGGTTGTGGTGACCGTGTAAATGGGTATGATTCAGCCCATGAGCATGATGATGAACCATCCCACTGCTAGAAGCAGCAGTCGAAGTCACCGTCGCATTCGGCATATCCGGACACTCAGCATCGCGCGTCCTCAAGTCGATAGTCGGGTACGCGATAGGAGCCGGTGCGACATCACGCTTAGCATACGTCGAACGACCAGGAGAGATCCCACTAGCACCATAGATCTTGATACTAGCGATCTCGAAGTAGGCATCCTTAAACGCCGAAGGGTTGTTCTGGACATACTCGGCGCAGGTGGCTGTATTGGTGGCAGCGGCCGCACCGGAAGATTGCCAGACTTTACCTGCCCAGTCGCCGCAGAATGTGTGGTCGATGACGTGGACCAGGGTTGACAAGGAGGACGTGTAGTCGCAGCCTGTGCCGGAGAAGCGTGCCAGTGGTGTTGAGGTCCAGGATGATGGGTTGGGCTTGCCGGCCACGATATCGGCTGGGAGGTTCTTGCGGTCGAAGAGGTACGTGGCCACGCCCTGGGTTGTCCAGACATTGGCATAGACACCGCCACCTTGTTTGTTGAAGGCTGCACCTGCTGTTGCAAGTGTGGAGCTGGAAGACTTGTCCTGGTTCAGGGCACGGATGGAGCACCCGTCGCCGCCTTTCCCAGTGTTGCAATCAGCGTTCTGGAGCCGACCTTGAAAAGCAGTAGTCGTGTTATCAACACTGCAGCCGGGCTGGGTGTGCATGGTCATGCTGTTGTAGTCGGTGGTATGAACAGACTCAAAGTAGTCATATTCGCCACCATTACCCGGCCAGATACCAGTCGCGGACTCATCACCCAGCAACCAGAGAGCAGGCCATGAGCCGTAAGCAGAGGGAGCATGGACAACATCCGAGATAATGACTACGCCGGCATCGAAATTCTGCTTCGAAGTCAAGCGAACCGACTCACGATTGGCAGATTTGCTCGTGTAGTCAACGCCAATATAGGCATTGCTCGTGTTGGTAGCGGAGTAGTGAACAAATCCCGTATAGCCCTTCGAGGCGGCTTCCTCCATGGAAACGAACCTCACATTGCCGTTGGTTGGGTCAGCGCCTGTGAAGGCGGCGAAGTTGTCGAAGAAGTTGGCACCGGACCAATCAGCTATCAGGCTGTAGGACCCCGAAGGTGTGGACGACGCGGTGTTTGTTGGTAGGGATCTTCCCAGGCTGGCGAAGAGGGTTGCACTGAGTACAGTGGTTGAGACGAAGGTAAGCATTTTACTGGAGTTCGTCGTAATGGTTCGGTTTTGTATGGTTGCGAGCTGCGCCCGAAGTATGAGGTCGAAACTTGTGTTTGCTCGAGAACTGCGATTTATAACCTAGCCAGTAGGTACTGCTCGCAGTAAACGTGTGTCGGCGCAGATGGTAGATAGGAAGAAGTCGATAAGGTGCAATAAGCAGTCAATATTTATACAGTCCGTCCAGCCGTACTCAGTAAACAATGTGGTTGTGAAGACCGTTCTGTGAGGGTGCAAAGTAGCAATGCTCTTGTGTCAATCAACGAGAGAGATCGAACAATGCTGAAGTGGTCCAGCCAGGCTTTGTCGTATATACTCGGTAGCGAATGTGATTCGAAGCGACAAACAAAGGCCGACCAGCGGTGATGTTGAACAAAGGAAGTACAGGAGAAGCGAAAAGGTATACACACGTGACAACAGTGAAGAAGGAAGGAGGAAGGTGAACGCCGCGAAAATGCTACGCTCAACAGGTCAGCTACATGTAATTAAAGTTTCCCTTGCAGGTGGATAGATGAGAGTCACCACGCGTCCAACAACGCTAAACAGCAGCATTGCAAACAAAAATGCCAGCAAGCAAGCATATCGTCTTGTGTCGAGTGTGGTCGAGCATCTACACCCTACCCTCTTCCTGCGCTTCTCTGACTTGCTCAAAAACCTGAAACACGTTAGCATCAAATTCACATCACGTGACATCGCCCATTGGCTGAGAAGCCTCGAACAACATACCTTCAGCAGTTTACTGCGCGCGCCTTTAGCCGCCACTCCACGCTTCTCTAATCCTTCATCGTCCAGAGCCACCATATCTTGCCATCGCATCTCCTTCAGATTATCCGTATATTTATGCAGTCTCAACGTCCGCAGCCAATTCGGCACGTCCTTCAATAACTGTATATCCGTGGGATCATCTGGAGGTTTACTGCTGCCTCTTCGTCCGCGTGGGGAACGTCCACGAGCGATCTCAGAGGCATCGGAGAGGTAGCCTTCGCCGCCCATGCTCCCCATGCTTCCCATAGTAAATGCGGGGTTCGTCAGATTTATGCCGGCTAGGCCATTGTTAATGCCGCCCATTTGGCCGTCGAAGGTGGAGAGGTAGCCGTTGCTTTGAGTCATCGGTAGACCGCTGGACATGATGCCCGCGGGTCCAGTGATGGCTATGCCTGGTGAGCTCGGGCGCGAGCGGCGACCTTGCATGGCTGCAATCTGCTGTTGCTGCAGGACAGCCGCTTGCTGAGGTGTGAGAATCTGTCCGTACTCGTTCGTCATAAGGATATTCGTGGGCATGCCAGGAGACAAGGGCTGCTGCGAGCCTTCCGTAGATCGTGCCCGCCTGTACTTTCGCACATCGTCCAGCTGAATCCTGTTGTTCACAGTCGATAGAGCCGCAAGCTTCATAGCAGTCGCGTTGGCCACCATATCTGCCTGATTGGCACTCTGCTGCGCATTGAAGTTCGGTACCATGGGCGTGTTCATAGCAGAAGCCCAGCTACCGCCTTGTGCATATGGCGAGAAAAGTGGCATCCCCGACCCGTTACCCTCGTTCGAAGCGATCGTGGTGTTCTGAATATTGCTACTGTCGCTTGCCAAAGGGAATGGTCGTCCAGATCTCAATCCAGCAGAAGGAAGAGGCTGGCTAACACCAAATTGTCCCATAGGTGGCTGGGAACCAGGCTGCTGACTCGAAGAAGACTTTGGTCTACCAATCGGTGGTTGGTTTTCACTCGATGGTCCAGCGTTCCTCCATGGACCTTCGGGTATACCATTCTTCTTTTCTTCGCCTAGTCCACCCATTGGAGATGCAAAAGACAGCCTCTCACCCATCGTGCTGTTCCTATTCGACTTCGGCGCCGTGCCTGTGGTCTTCTGAAATTCGGCCTTCTGGTCCTCAATCGCGTTTGCCGCATCAGGGAACATGCTCTTGATAGTGCTCGGGTCCAGACCAGAATTACGCTTGGCACCCGGCGAAGGCGGTGGCTTATTGCCTGCACCAAACCCGAAAGAACCCCTTGAGCCTTCCACATTCAGCTTATTCATGGCATCGTTCATACGTGATGACATGGGATCCTTCTCGTTGAACGCGGCGGGTGACAGCACGCCAGACATCGGATGACTCTTCGCCATCTGCTGCAGAACCTGGATGAAGAAACGGATCTGCACTTGCGTTGTTTGCTGCAACAGGGCATACAAAGCTGCCGTCCGTTCAGGCTCGCTGAGGACACGGAACCACTGTTCAATAGCACTAAGCTCGTCCTTGAAGTCCTGGTCCAATGTGGCAGCTGCCATCTCCTCGAGTGTATTCTCATACTGATCAATGTCCGCTATCCATTGCTGCGCCGCCTTTTCCGCGGCATCGTCGGCATTGCCTGAAGCGGCTTGCTGTTGGAATTGGTTTAAGTAGACTTCCGATGCTGGTCGAATGCCACGGTTTGCGAGCGGCGAGTGAGCTGAGAAGGCACCCATGTCGGCTGAAGCTCGCATCTGGTGCCCAGAGCCCATCGTCGTTCGAGGCTGAGGAGGCCGTAAAGTGGAACTCGAAGCAGCAGGCGTGCTATTGCGGTCGCCGATGATATTGCTTGCCATTTTTGCGGCTGCTCGGGATAACGTGACCGTGTGGTGGTCGTGTATGTCGTGTTGTAAGTATGCAAGCGAGTGACTCGTCGGACGTGATGTGATGAGACAGTGAAGAGAGCCTGCAGGGCCTGCCTGACCTCAAAGGCGTTCAGCTGCGTCGGATGAGGAGGTAAAATGGTCTGTGGGTGACCAGAATGTGCTTTCGTGTGTGATGGCGCGCAAGGCGGCCAAAGTTCAGTCTTTCGCTCCTGACAGCCGCTGCACGTTTCACGTTCGCTCGCGTGCTTCAGAGACAGGGTCCAGCCAGCTTCTGCTCGTACCGTGCCGTCTTCTATGTACAGATCTTCACAAGGAGGATGGGCTGGGGTGTACCGAGTAGAGCAGCCTGTGATCTTTCTTCCCAAGAAGTATCGGATTGTGAACGGCGTCTGTAGCATCTATTGTGCAGACAAAAGGACAAAGGAAATCCTTCTCGAAGCATTCCCGCAAAAGAGAGTTCAGAGCGGACCGTTGCGGTGAACGTCACGCGAGACAAGGGAGCAGAATCTAAGGATATTTCAGGACGAGATCAATCTCATATTCGATAGTGCTATGCATAATGATCGTATATATGCACGCCACACGCACATGCCGCCCACGAATAGCCACCTAAAATCCGGTCCTACCAACGCCAACGCTGCCCATAATAGCATCGTTGTCAAAGCGAACACGCGCAGCACCTGATGTCCACCACTACTTCACCTCCTTCTTCCTCCTCATCCCTTCCAACTTCCTCACCAAACTCTCCTGTACCTTCTTACTCCCCGCCCAACTCTGCTGCATCTTCTTCATACGCACGGTAGCCATCACCATCAACCCAACAGTTTTGAGGGAGTGCTTCCGCTCGCGAAAGGAGATATCGGGTGTGATGCCCATGTCCTCTAGAAGGCGAAGGTCGAGTTCGTTGCTAGAAGTGTTCGGTCAGTGACTGCGTACTCTAGGTTATGTCGGCTCTGGGTGTGCGGGACTTACCATTTCTGGTACATCTGCACCTGCATCAAGAAGAAACTCTTACTGTACGCCAGATCCGCTCGGAATGCCTCTTCGCGCTCACACTTGGCTCGCAGGAACTGGATCTGTTTCGCCAGACCCTTCAACTCGCCTTCATGGCGCTTTTCGGCCACCACAAGCTGCTTGTTCCAGTGCTTCTCATCCAGCGTCTTGTCGTTCTCTGCAGCTTGCTGTAGACTCTGCAAACGTGCACGAAGCTCCTGCTCCCGCTTGCTAGCAGTCCTGAGCTTGGTCTCGCGATCATGGAGTTGAGTTTGCAGGGTCTGCAGCTCGAGGTCGGCATCGTCAAGTTGGCCTTGGAGATCCTGCTGGACGGTGTCGTCTGAGCGGGACTTCTTCAGGCGTTCGCGCAACTCCTGCTCCTTGCGAATAGCAGACTGAAGTCGCTCGTCCTTCTCTGCCATCTCAATTTGGAGGCTCTCGAGCTCAATCTTCGCATCGCGGACTGACTGTCGTAGCTCGACCTCCCGCCTGGCATGGCCAGAAGAGGAGCCTCTGCGGTCGCCGACCTGTGCCTCTAGCTCCTCGATCTGGATTTTGGCGTCCTTAAGCTCTCGAAGCTGGCTGCGTAGCTCGCGCTCTTTGCCTGAGGAAGACAGTGCTCGGCTCTCCATCTCCGATATCTGAGCATTAAGGTCCTCAACATCAGTCTTGGCGACGTCAAGCTGCGCACGGAGATCATGCTCCTTCCTCGTTGCCGCAGCGATCTTTCGATCGCGATCCGCAAGTTGGAGCTGGAGCTCCTCAGCCTCGATCTTGGCTTGCTTGATCAAGTCATGCAGATCCATGCGCTCCTCAGCAATGGTCTTCTCCTGCTGTGCGAATTGCAGCTCCGTCTCGAGCTCGTCAACACGATCCTGAAGACGATCAACCTTGGCCTCAGCCTCTCTCAGCTTCTGACGAAGCTCTGTCCTCTCCCGAGCTGGTGTACCAGATGTCTTAGACTTCAGCGCGGCATCTACTTCAGACTCAAGACTCTTGACAGTAGCCTTGAGGGCATCGCGATCACTCTCGACAGTCTTGAGTCTCAGACGCAGATCATTGCGTTCGCGAGCTGGAGTGCCGTTGTCCTTCGCTCTCCAGGCAGTCTTCACCTCGCTCTCGAGTTCCTCCACACGCTGCTGCAATGCAATCTTCTCAGTCTCGAGACTGTCAAAATCCGCACTAAGCACGAGCAATTCATCTTCCAATGCCTGCTTGGCTTCAGCGTGTCCAGCAGTCAATTCGGCCTTCAGACTCTGCAGTCGAATTTGTGCTTGTTCGACGTCGCCTTGGCCATTCGCATGAGCAAGCGCAAGCTCCTGCTCGAGACTTCGTACGTCGCTTTGACGTTCTTCGACTGCTTTCTGGAGCTGTTGCTGTAGACGCTGAACCTCATCCTCTAGCTCGTCGAGTCGGGCTTGGCGGGTCTTGATGTCCTCATCCTTGTGTCCAAGTATACTGTGATCCTTGGCAGAAGTTGACTCAGCACGGGAGTTGGCCTTTTCAAGGCCAGACTGGAGGGCCTCGAGTTCATCCTCCAGCTGGTTGATGCGCTGCTGGTTGATGCGCTGCTGGTTGGCTTCCAGGTCCTCGTCGCGATGACCTAGCATGCTGTGCTCTCGCTCTGCAGCCTCACCACGCTTCTTCAAGTCGGCGATCGTCTTGTGTAGATTAACGTTGTCAGCCTCCATGTTCTGCAGTTGCTGATCCAGCTCGTCCAGCTCGGTGTCCTTGTCTTCCTCGAGCTTCTGCAATCGCTGTTGAAGTGATCTGACTTGTTCTGATTGCTGTCTGATCAAGCTGTCTTTCTTTGATGGTGTTTCCATTGCACCGAGACGAGCTTTCAGTGACGTGATCTGTCGGGACTGATCTTTTTCCTGATTCTCCTGTTGCTTGAGCGACGTCTCGAGTTCGCGGACCTGCTCACTCTTCTGTCGAAGCTGCGCACTTTCACCAGACTGAAGGGCACTGATGCGACTCTGCAGTGTCTGCAGCTCCTCCTCGCGGGACTGAATGAGGCCGTCCTTCTTGTTCAACTTGGCTTGGGAGCTTGCACTCGCGACACGGACCTTCTCCTGCAGTTCTCGGACCTGCTCAGCCTGATCATGAATCTTCTGGCGTTGGTCTCGTGTGGCCTCATCTTGCTTGCCTTCTGCAGCTCGCAGACGCTTCTGCAGATCCGCAAGCTCCTCATCACGCTCCTCAATGACCTGTGACTTCTCGCGAAGTCGAGCCTCCTTCTCTTGGATCACACGATCCTTGGCCTGAATGCGAGCGTCAGTCTCCTGAGCCTCAGCATCCCAGCTCCCGCGTGCAGCCTGTAGTCGCTCCTGCAAGGCTTGAATTTCACCATCCTTGTCGGCAAGTTCTCTCTGCACATTACGCAGATCGTCGCCACGCTGTCGAAATTCGCCTTCCTTCTCGGCCAGATCTGACTGCGCAGCACGCAGATCATCATCATGCTGACGAATTTCAGCAGCATTACCGGCCTCGACAGACTGCAGTCGCTTCTCCAGTGAACGGACTTGCTCTTCGCTTTCGTCTAGGGCATTCTGTCGCTCTCGAAGCTGGACCTCCAATCCGGAGACGTCGCCACGTAGCTTCTTGGTCGACTTCTCGCGATCATACACCTGGTTAACGCGCTCCTCCAGCTCGGTGATCCTCTCCTTCTGGGAGTCCAGTTCGGCATTCTTAGCTCCCAGCTCTTCGTCCTTCCCCTTCAGCTCCGTCTCGAGATCCTGGATGTCTTCTTGCAAGTGATTAGCATTGGCTGTCGCGGAGTCTGTCGTGCTAAGCTGCTCCTGCAGTTTCTCTAGCTCCTCCCTCCTGTCGTCAAGCTGCCTATCGCGCTCCCGTAGGTCTGCTTCCAGAGACTGCATATCTTCCTTCAAATCGTCCAGCTCCTCGGCAGCCCGGCCCTGCTCACCATCCTGTGCCTTCTCTGCCTTGTCGAGCTTCCGTCGCATGCTCTCCAGCTCCTTTTCACGTTCCTGTGCGATACGCTGGTTCTCCTCCGCGAGCTTTGCCAGACGCTCCAGCTCCTCACTTTCACGCTCATTGGCATGTCGCTTCTGTACCCACTTGACATACTCCTCATACTTCTGTCGATATTCTTCAAGCTGTTGCGATGCGTCTTGGAGTCGCTTCCGCTGTCTCGTCATGTCCTGCTGTAACGTAACCTTCTCAGTCTTGAGCTCGACGTTTTCTTTGATCGTCGCCTGCTGGAAAGATGTGCCGGTCTTCCGCAGTGCTTCCTCAAGGTAGTGTATCTTCAGCTTGAGGCCGAAGTTGTCCTTCTGGATCTGGTCCAGCTTGGCTTCCTGGTCGCGCAAGGTCAGGCCATTGCCTTGATTAAGAACACCACCTTCGCCTCGCTGTGGCACTTGTGGCATTGGTGTCGAATCGAGCATACTTGAGCTGGCGGCAGGAGGGACGGGCGTACTTTGGCGGTTGCCGTTCGCTGAGCTGTTTGTATCGTCAGGGTCCAGTATTGAAGAGTCCACCGGCAGTTGTGTGGCCTGCTCAGCATAGCTTGACCGAAAGCCAGCAGGCGTAGGCATGTCACTCTCGGCATGAGTGTTTTCCTTGTCCTCCAGCACACTCCGGTGCAGCATCTGGTTCCTCTGCGCACTCTTCAGCAATGGTGTGAACTCCTGCGACTTTGACACGCCACCAGGATTTCGACGATCGACCAGCGCGTTACGTGCCCAAGGGGTTTTGAGGGGCTGCGATATGCTGCGCATGCCCTTCATGTGATTGCGCAGGTTCTCCCCGGCATTCTTCGACGGCGAAGCAAATGGCTGTGCGAAGGACAGGTCGAGGTTGTGGTGCGATAAGAAGGTCGCGTCGCCACGATCGGTGCCCGGGGTGTTGATATAAGGTGTAGCCATGGTGGGCGAGGTACTGCTACGTTAGTATGTCCAGGTAATGGAGCAAAATGAATGCTCGTAGAGAGATCCCGATCCGTTGCTGCTTCCAAAGTCGCGTAAACACAGAAGTAAACACAGTCTCCGCGGCCCAATTCCGCCCTCGATCACATCACACCTTCTCGAAGACCTTCCATCTTTGTATAGCCGGTCTTGATAATCCAATGGCCCTTTTTTCAAGCAATACAAGGATATACCATCTGATTGTGATATTGAATGGGAACTTTGCAGCGTGTATTGCTGAGTCTCATTGCTCGTCTGAGAAGTCGATAGTCAGGTAGGTGGCGAACCAGCTTCACCTTGCAAATTCTCTTCTGCCACCACTCCTTCTCCTCTCCTTCCGTCATAACGGACATTATGGATGGTTCAAACACAGAAGGTGATGGACTGAAGTGGTTCGGCGAGGGTTTTGATGGCTTTCCGAAGCGTCTTCCGGAAGAATGTGTCGAGTACGCAATATATGTTATCGACTCCAAGCTCAAGGACATTGCCGCCACACGCATGAGGCTCAATCAGATACTCAAGGTCGCCAACGAGCTATGCAAGAAGCACACTAAAGATTACATCTGGCAGCGAGACTCACTCGAGCTCAAGCTGAAACCGGACCTGCTGGACCAAGACGCGTCCCAAGCATCTAAAGCACATCCCCAGCCACTCCATCTGAAAGGACGGACGAACTTTGGAGACTCTGTCGCAGACGAGTGGCTTGTCGTATACATCTTACTGGAGCTGAGCAAATTGTGCTCTGATGTCTGGATCCGCGTATACGATACAGACGGCGAATTCCTGCTCATCGAAGCAGCCAATGCCCTGCCCAAATGGCTCAATCCCGACATAGCCGAGAATAGAGTATGGATCAACAACGGCCATTTGCGACTCATACCAATCGATGCTGGAGCAGGGGAACGCAATTTGGCTCTCATGCCTTCCCTGAAATTCATCGAGAGTTCCGCAGACAAGCTTGTAATCTCACCGTTCGTCGAGGACGAAGCCTTCCATCGCTTGCGAGACTATCCCGCTGCCATCTTATCCTCTCTACACAACGCGTTGGTCAGGATACCCCGGCGAGTGGCGTATCTGCTCCACCGGAACCCAGCACATATCTCGCCAGCAATCGAGGCATTTTACCTGCGGGATCCTGTAGGCCTTAGGCCGTTAGCCACAAAGGACATATCTAATCTAACATTCCCGCCAGAAGATTTCGTCACAGTAAGCGTCAAGTTTACGAAAGTCGGCTATGCACAATTGCGCAGTCAGCTGTTCGACACGCCACCTGCCTGGACTGGTGTGATACCACGATTGGGAGACATGAAAGTTGAGCTTGGTATGAAAATTACTTGTGGGTTTGAGATGCTACTGAACGATAGACAACGCCAGAATGATCGGATGGTGAGGGAGGTGAAAGTGTTCATGGATGACTTGGAAGATGATGGCGAAGCGCTTCCGAGCCATGACGAGATCGGGGGGTGGCCTCAGCAGCAGGATGACGAGAAGTGGCTGGACATCGATTACAACGACTTTGAGGACGAGTTGGCCGGCAAGAATGCGAGCAAGCGAACTGGCAAAGGCCAGGGTTTCGGTGACAAAGGCGCACAGGAGAACCTACGCAAGATGGTCTCGCGATTTGAGGACTTCCTGAATGATGATGACGCCGGCGCAGAAGGCGTGGATGACAACGGTGCAGACGATGACGATACAGACTCCGACAGCTCAGCATCAGACTCAGGCGAAGACAAAGATGGCAGTTTCGACGAAGCAGAATTCGAGCGAGCAATGAAGGAGATGATGGGAATGCCAGCTGATGAAATTGAGAAGAATGGTTTGCTGGAGGAAGCAAGGCGATTGGCTCTGGAGGATGAGAAGGCAGGCGAGGAGCCGGATGAAGATGAGGAGATGAAAAAGGTAATGGAGATGATGGAGAAGGAGTTGAAAGGGCATGGGGCTTTGAAGCTCAATCCTGATAAGAGCAAATCGAGTGCCAAAAGTGTGAAGAAGAATGGTGATGCGAGCAAGAAAGTCGCTTTCGGGCCTGAGCGGCCACCTGGGATGGATGTCGTGGCTGGGAAGGAGGCTAGTATTCAAGATGACGACGAGGATGTCGGACCTGGAGATGGCGAGTTGAGCTCGGATGATGAGGACTTCAATGATGTTGATCTGGGTTTGGCAAAGAATATGCTTGAGGCTTTCAAGGGTCAAGCTGGTATGGCTGGGCCGGCCGGCAATCTTATGAAGGTGCTTGGCGTTAATATGCCGCGGGATGAAGAAGGGTTGTAGGTGTAGCGTGGGGGAAGTGATAGTAAGATGAATCTTGGTCACGGGTACACGATAGGGTTCAAGAGGCTGCGTGCACGGCATGGTTGCTGGTTACGCAGGTCAGACAAGATGTCAAAGGCCCTGAATCGAACCGAGCTCGATTAAGGGCTGTCGGTATGTCTGTCAGTAGCTGCTATATTACTATACAGCATTGGTAGGCACATGAAGGCCCGTCGGACATTTTCGGAGCATTAGGGTTAGGGTTTGGGTAAGCAATACGTCGACCGCATGAGTACGCCGAACGGAGGCGATATAAAGAAGACGATATGACGACGTGAAAAGGAGCAAAACTTCCTTGTATCAATTGAGAATGCAGCTATGTCGCTCACGCTTGAGGCACAATGTCCTGTAACTCTGCCAACTAGGATTCGTCCTCGTTGACAAAATTCCCCGACTTGCATGGTGTTATGTCAAGAGAGCTGCTCTTACGCGCAATGTGCCTTCGTCGCCGCAGCCTCCAAATATTCACGTTCGGGTGATCTCTCAGCTGCATCAGCCACTCTTACGACCAGCGAGGAAGCCTAGCCATCCAGCGAACTTGACGCCGATTCTCGTCCACCCATCGAGAAGCTTGCGGCCATAGCCACCCATGGCTGCACTGACCAGATGCGCGAACCACCCACGGGCAGGCACTCTCGCGCCAATCTTTGACTGGAGCAGTGCGGCGATTGAGCCTGACATTATTGTTAGGATCGTAGTAGCATCGTCGGACCCATTCACCTATGCAACTTACGTGCACGAACACCAAGTCTGGTGAAGCCGATGGCCTTGAGAACTGGTCCCCAGAATCCGCCTGGGACGAACAAGATGACGGTCTCGATGACATAGAACGCCGTCTCATATGGATGCTCCTCGACGTATTTCGTGATATTGGCAGGAGCATCTTTCCACTCGATCGCTTGGAGCTCGGCTAGTGTATCTTTCATTCCTGTCACTGTGTTATTGACTAGCCATTTCTCAAACTCGATAATGTCCATGTGGCCGATAGCGTTCTTCATATCCTGCTCGATGTTGGCAAGTTCTTCGCGAGCGGACGAGAGGTCGATGCTGTCTAGATTCGACCTGAGAGCCTTCACGGCATCTTGTGCTTCGTGGCCGAGATCGAACCAGCCATCACGTACATCGTCGAGGATGTTTGTGACTGTGGAGGTAGCATTAATGTCGTGGCGGTAGGTCTGCCAGCCAAGATAGTAGACCGTGGGAACGAAGAGGACGAGCGTCGTTGCGATCATATGCTTGATAGTGATCATCTTTGCGGACGCTGGAAGAATGATGAGGACAAATGCTTTGATTGACGAAGTGGTGTTCAGACCGAAAGCAAATAGTGTGAATGATGCCTGGACGTGAAGTGACGTTAAGCGCCCAAGGTGGCGCAGCGGTGCGGCACAGTCTGGCATACATGGTGAAGTTCCGACGCCTTGAATTATGTACTTCGACTGCAATGATGAGTTCGGGCAGCCTTGGGGCAGCCAGACCGTCAAAAAGCGGACTCACAGCATGATTTACAGCTCAGTCTTCACTTTCTCTTCCTCCCTCTCCTCCTCCCCAGGAAAATGACCTGGCTTAATCTGCTCCGAAACGACTTTGAAAGCACCAGCGATCGCTCCGCAGCTCGAGTCACGCCACTCACGAGAGCTGCCCCACGTTCTCCCATCTGCGCGCTCATGAGACGAGCAAACCAACTTCCAGCTGGCACGAGCCCACCAAACGTCTTCTGAAGGAGAGCAGCAGCTGACCCTGATGGAGTGTCAGCGTTGGGTCACAGATCGTCGTGTTTGCTGACGATAGCTTACCGGCCCTGACACCATGAGCGCCGAAACCCACCACATTGAGCAAGGGACCGTTAACAGCTCCAGGCGCAATGAAGACAATGCCTTCGACGATATAGAAAGCTGTCTGGCCAGGATTCTCTTCGATGAAGTTCCAAGCTTCCGCAGGTAGCTCTTCCAGCTTCACGGCCTGTAGATCATCGAGTGTACCATCTAGGCCAACCTCTTTACTAGCCTGCTTCAGCCATTCCTGGAGAGCAGATTCGTCCAGGTTGCCGATCGCCTTCTTCACATCGGCGGCTGCGCCACGGATCCACTCATTCGGCACAGTAAGGTCGATCTTATCTGTTTCGGCCTTGATATCTTTTACAGCTTGCTGTGTCCAGGATCCGATATCGTGGCCTGCTTGGTGCACCAACTTCCCGGCGTCACCTGGGTCGACTTTGTCGAGTTCATGCTTGACGTCTTTCGCGGCTTTGTCTGTCCATGAGCTGATGTCCTTCCAGGCGAAGCCTAGATGCTGTAGCGGGTCTTGAAATATGGTTGGAATCTGCTCAGTCTCAAGTCGGTCATCCTTCTCCGCATGGATGGCCACTACCAGGAGTAAGCCAAACAGCAGCAAGGCGCCCGGGAGTCGATGCATGTTGTTCGTGTGATGCTCTAAAAGGCAATGGACTTTGCAGTCAAGTCAGCGCTCATACAGCCGTTTGAAGTTCGGAGCTGTTCTGCAGGCGCCCCACTAGCTTTGTGTAAAGTACAGAGCTAGCCCGTGGTTGCTTTCGCCTCGTCGCTCATACATTCACCTGCCAAGTGCTCTGCATTCAGTTATAGGTCGGTCCAAATACCGCTTTAAACGCCAAGACTCCGCGCCATGCATCTAACTATACAGGCCCATCTCAGTACCGTTGAACCACGTCCCCTCCGCTACAATCGAAACCACTTCACATAACAGCACAATTCTTCCCCATCTGCCAATAAGCCTCCATATAACTCTCCTCGCCCTCGCCAGCCTCGGACGTCACAGCCCCTCTCTTCCTCTTCAACCCCTTCACAACGAGCTTCTGCTCGCCCTCGCCGTGCCACCATCTCAGAACCTGCTGTCCAGCACCTTCGCCAACATCTTGACCTTCAATCCTGATCTCCCACTTCCCACCACTGACTTCTATGGTCGTAGTATGCTCCGGCTGCCGTGGAAAATGGAACTCGGGTATAAAGATCACAGTAGGGTGGTCCTGTGGCGTCGGGCCTGTGGCTGTGATGTTAAGATGAAAAGTGCAGTTCTTGAGGTCGAAGCCGTGGGAGGTTATGGTACCATGTACAAGCTCGGGATGCGGGCGAATGTATGCTTCTGCTGCTCGATAGCCTGCAGTGTCTGAATTTGACACGGTCCTTGAGGCGCTCATCTGGTCGACAGAGAAGGTACGTTTCATACTCGCTGGTGTCACTGGACTGGACGGGTCGCCATGACTTTGCGATTCGGAGTAGCTAGGGCTGCTTGGGTCGAGAGAGGACTTACCTGCTGCACCGCCAGTGTTGCCGCCATGCGAAGGGGCAGGAAGTTCTTTGTCCTCCGCAGAGTATATACTCAGATCCTCGCCATTCCAGTTGTCGCCCCAGAAATGGCTGTTAGTTGCTGTGTACACCCACCACGTCAGACCTGCTGCTTTGCTGCCTTCGACGGCGAAGTGATTCGCATCAATCGCAGCAGCCTGCGAGCTATAGTCGCCTGTTCGGTAGGCTTTCTGATCATCCATGTCGTATGGTATGCCAATCTCAGTATATAGGCAAGGGTGCTCGCCCATATAATCGATCCCTTCCTGCCGTATGCTGCTGAGCTGGTCTTTGAAGCAATTTCGTATCGCCGTCTCACCGAGCTTGATTGCAAATGCTGGACTTGAGTACCTGCCTCGCAATATACCAAGGACATCCACGTTCCACACTTTGTTCCACTTCTTCATGATGAGGGTGATGCCGTCGTAGAAGTGAGATGCAAACACCATATTGTGATCATCATCCTTGGTGCCTTTTATTGAGGGCGGTATCTCGAAAGGTGCCGGCTGCATGAGCAGGATGGCTTCTGGCCACACGTCTCGAATAGCATTCTTGTACTTACGGAAGTACTCTAAGAAGTTGTTGTTCGTCCAGTACTCTTGATCCATGGTTTCGCCAGTTTTCGGATGTTTCGAGAAATACTGTGGAAGCAATAGACGATCAGTAGATGGATCCCAGACACCGTGCTGCGCCCATAGGTCCTGTCCAAGTTTCCAGCTCCCCGCACGCTTCCAGCCATATTTGCTATCATCCCAAGTTTCTGGGTCTAGCCAACAAGATACGCCCTTCGGATCAATGACCTCTGTCCCACTCTTGTAGGGCCCGAAGCTACCAAAGTCGTAGGTCTCCACTTCAACAGCTCGTCCTGATCCTGACAGCATAGCTTGGAACGCAGTAGGCGTCGTCCACTTCTTCAACTTCTGGTCCTCGGGTAGCTTGGCCAGGTCAGGGTGGCCAATCATGCCCTTGTTCGGCTCATTAACACTCTCATATCCAATGACGACATCATTCTCTAGATCACCTGCTTCTCGTATCCTTTGCGCCAGATGCTTGCACGCTGCTATGAAATGATTTTGCAAGTAATCCTGTATATTCACACCGTCGATGATACATTTCGGCGCGAAGTCTCGTCCGCCAAAGAACAAGGTAAACATGGTCCCACAAACCAGACGCTGGTAATTCGTCGCCCATACCATTTTTGGATATGTTGCAGGATCAGGCCAGGTATTCTGCACGAGCGCCGCCTGGGTCACATCAAATCTCTTCGGGTCGAAACCACAGGCATATAATGTCCATATGGGGGCGCCTGAGCCACCAGTAAACCTCGACCAGACATCCTGATGTGGGTCCATGAAGACGTAAAAGCCATACTCTTTCGCGATCCGTAGCACTGCGACTGTATGCTCGATGAACTTCTCGTCATATTTGCCTGGTCCCTCATGCTCCAGCGCTTCCCATGTGAAGATATATCGTATAGTGTTGTAGCCCCATCGCTTCAATCTTGAGAAGTGGGCATGGGAATCTGATAGACTGAATGGTCGGTCGACGAAGGATACGTTGTCGGCGTCGAAGAAGCCTTCTCTGACATGAGAAGGTCCATCTGGGTATCGCGGGAACTTGGTGTCTCCGCTGATATTCAAGCCATGGAGGTAGATCTCGCGGTTGTGCGGGTCTCGGAATGTTGCGCCATCGATGCGCAGGCGTAGGGGCGCCATTGCTGGCGGGTGCGATCTGAGGGTGGGAGCTTGAGCAGGACGGCCATACAAGTCACATGTAGTCAAAGAGTCGGGATCGCGTGATCATAGGTAAGAAAGTGGTCCGATCAGTGCCTGTCGAGGTACCACACATGAATACAGGCGAATGCTCTTATGCATTGCGGTCCGCCAGTGACCGCAGCCGTTGAAAGATGACGACAACTCGCGTGGCGGAGAGCCTCCACACGATTAGTCACTCAATTATATACTGTAAGGAAGCAAGCTCAACACATGTATGCCTACCGAATTGAGTGCAGGTGGAATAATTCTCACTGCTCAAGGCAATTCTGGTAGTTCGGAAGGGATCGCGACGAGTTTGATGACACAGGCATGTGATTTCCATCCACATGCTAGCGCATGGAACGCACAGACTATTGCGGAGGTGAATGCCCGGCAGCTGCAGATGCAAGGGTCCAGCTGTCCCGTGTTTAGTTCAAGCCACCTTGCATTCGCGATTGTTATGTGAAGTCGTCAAATTTCCGGACAAAGCAGCCCACCTGCAGCACAAAACACATCAACAACGACCATGATACTAAGATCTCTAGCGCTGGCGCTCTGCCTATCCAGCGTGCCCTACGCCACAGCACTCTCCACCTCTGATATCCCTTCAGACACACCTGTATCACAGCTCATCTCGAGCGCGAACGCAAACCTCGCACAAGGCAATGCACAAGATGCATTGACTTACTTCGACCTTGCGATCCAGAAGGACCCCAGCAACTACCTAACCATCTTCAAGCGTGGAGCCACATACCTATCCCTTGGTCGCAATGTGCAGGCCAGTCGAGACTTTGACCAAGTGCTTACGCTCAAGCCTGGGTTTGAGGGGGCATTGACGCAGCGTGCCAAGATCAAGAGTCGCAATGCGGACTGGGCAGGTGCGAGGCAGGACTATGTGACGGCGGGCAAGACTGAGTCGCAAGAACTGGCCGACCTGGATGAGGCCGAGGGTGCTGCGAAATTGGCAGCAGATGCCGAGAAGGCAGGTGATTGGGAGACATGTGTGGCACAAGCTGGGACCGCCATCTTTATTGCGGGAACAGCACTGGAGCTACGGCAGCGAAGAGCTAGATGCAGATTCGAGAAAGGCGAGGTGCTGGAGGGAGTGTCAGATCTGAATCATGTGCTGCAGATCAACACGGGCTTGACGGAGCCACATCTCCAGATCGCAGCCATGACGTTCTATTCGATGGGCGAGACAGATAAGGGCCTCACAGCGATCTCGAAGTGTCTACACAATGATCCGGACAACAAGGCATGTGCCAAGCTTCGCAAGTCACAAAAGGCCATCGATCGGACGCTCAAAAAGTTCAACCAGCTGTTCGAGAAGCGCCAGTATGCTTCAGCGGTGAAGTTGCTAGTTCCGCAGGCTGAGGATCCTGGTCTACTCCAAGAGGTGAAGGACGATGTCAAGGCCTGGAGAGACACAGGCTACATCCACGCTAAAGCTGGTGATGGTCTTTATGCTAGTCTGATCGAGAAAACATGCGAGGCCTACACAGAGATGAACAACGCGAAGAAAGCCCAAGACTACTGCGAAGAAGCACTCCAACATAACCCAACATGTCTCCCAGCTCTGATAAGCAAAGCACAACGCCTCATCGACGCCGACGAATTCGACCAAGCAATTGCTCAACTCAACACCGCCAAGGACGCCCACGGCATGACGCAGAAACTGCAAGAACTCCTCCAAAAAGCACAAACTCTACTCAAACGCTCCAAGCAAAAGGACTACTACAAAGTCTTAGGCGTCACCCGCGATGCCGACGAACGCGACATCAAGAAAGCTTGGAGGAAACTTTCTATCGCACATCACCCAGACAAAGCGGCGAAGAACGGTATCCCGGCCGAGGAGGCCCAGAAGAAAATGGCGAGTATCAATGAGGCGTACGAGGTTCTCTCGGATTCGGAGTTGAAGGCGAGGTTCGATAGGGGTGAGGATCCGAATGACCCTATGGCTGGACAGCAGCCTTTCACTGGTTCACCATTCGGACAGGGTCCTGGTGGGCAACCGGTGTTCTTCCAGCAGAGGCATGGTGGTGGTGGTGGAGGCGGGAGTTTCAAGTTCCAGGGTGGGTTTCCTGGTGGGTTTCCATTTGGTTGAGATGTTAATCTCGAGATTTCGTGTGCGTGGTAAGGCGTTTGGGGCAGGCTACGGCTACGTTGGGGCATGGATGGCGTTTGAGCGTTGTATGCTCTTCGGTGTAGAATATGATTGTACTACATGAGCTTGAGCTCTAGATCGACGACTGGCAGACTTCGTTGATAGTTCCATGGGGAGAGCTCAATTCATACTCCTGATACTTGTTCTATAGTGTCAGGCATCGACTTATCGTTGCTACTGCCTCTCTTTGGCTTTTGGGTTCGTGAGGCGCGTCACGCGCCTCGCGTTTCCCAAAATTCCAGTTGCGCCTGAAACCATATACAACATTCATCTCCTTATATATTCACTTCTCGCACGCTCCACTTTTGGTAAACGGACATGACTCAGTGTAACAGTCCCTACTGCGCATAACCTTCATCTCTATAAGCACATGCCGGTACTCCAAGGAGTCATTCCTTCTTGAACAAAGTCACTTCAAACAATGTTACCTCATCGGTAGGCAGGTCAACAGACAATCGAAGCAAACGAGAGGACAGGATGGAGGGGTCTGGCGACGGTGCCTTCGATATCCATTGGCAGGCACCTAATGTCGCCGCACAAATCGGTGGTATCCGCGCTGCTCTGGAAGCAACCCTCAACCCTCGCATCGACAACAACGTCCGTCAGGAAGCTCTCCAACACCTCGAACAGCTCAAACAGCAACCCGATGCTCCACAGTACGGCTTCACCCTCGCCGATGACTACAGTCTCGACAACGCGATCAGATACTATGGCCTACAGCTGCTGGAGTTCTCGGTCAGGTATAGGTGGTCACAGTACGGCAATGCGCAGGTTGAGCAGATCACGAAGTGGGTGAAGTGCTTGGCGGGGAGTCTGAGGCAGCAGGATGCTGCGTTCATACGGAACAAAGTTGCTCAGCTGTGGGTCGAGGTTGCAAAGAGATGTTGGGGCGATGGGTGGATGGATATGGACGGGATGCTGGTCAACATGTGGGAGCGAGACGTCAACGTTAAGGGCATGGTCAGCAAAACCTTTGTGCTTTCTGTGCTGGAGATGCTGAGTGAGGACATCATGGTCAATGAGGACGCAGTGGCTGGGTTGAGGCTGGAAGTGTTGGGCGCAGCTTTGAATGAGGTTATGCTGCGACAAAGCTTTTTTGAGCAACAGAAGAGACCCAAGATGTTGGGTGCAAGACAGGGTGAGCAAGGCTGGTGTTCGAGGATGTGTGAATTATTCGTGGACTGCGTCAAGCAAGCACGGCTCAGCTCAGGTTCAGAAGCGGAGGAGATGACGGCTTGTGCTATCAAAGCACTGAACGCACTGCGGCCGACGATGTCGTGGATCAGTCTTGATGCTGCAGCACATGTTGGCTGCATCGACTGCTTCTATTTGCCATTCCATACCGACGATGTTGCCTTACGGACGGCCGCCACCGAGACGATCCACGCATTGGCAATACGGGAGTATAGACCCAATTGGCACGAGTCATGGTCAATCTTGCAACAGCAGGCAATGCAAGCTGATCGTATTGCTCTGCTACGAGAGACTTTTGACAAACTGGTTTGTGGTCCTGGTGAAGACGACGCGAAGTATACCCTCAAGAAAAAGATGTCCGAGCTTCTGTCGGTACTGGCAGATGGGCTGTCATCACATCCGGACCTCCTGGCGAGCGACAAGCTGGACCTGCCTGCATTCTTCGACTTACTACTGCATGTGTTGCAGAGCACGAGTCTGGTCGTATCGATACCTGTCTTGCACAGCTGGAGTAAAATGATGAGTGTGCAAGACAACGCAATCATTGACATGGTTCTCCAAGCCCTAGGCACGCTAATACAGACGTGCAGCGAGCGACTTTTGCGGTACGAGAATCTACCTGTAGACACCAACGATGAGATCGTGGAGTTCCTGAACGAAGATTTTGATACCATGCCAGAGAGGCACGCTTTCTTGGGCAATTACCGACGCTATTGTTCAGGCATCATCCAGTCAATTGGGCGCTCCCGGCCCATTGAAGCCCTACAACATGTTCTCGAGCAGATGCGAAACATGCTGCAGAATGGACCATACACTGGCGGACGAGGCTTCAACCCGGAGACTTGGTCGAAGAATTCCCCATCGGTCCTGCAGTTCGACGCACAGTTCAACGTCGTCGCAAGCGCACTCAAAGGTTTCTCGTTATGGTGTGTAGACGTGTCAAGCCTTGGTCAAGACGAGCCCCTGTACACCAAAGCAGAGTCCGACCGTGCGAATGCGGAGCAGGCAATTCAAGAATGGAGCTATACTGTCATATCCATTCATGTCGACGATCCTGAGGTCGCAGCTCAGGTTCTGCAGACGCTGGTCACGGTGCTGAGAATCGTCAAGCCAAGAGCAGACTTCGTCCTGCATGTAGTACAGCATCTTCTGACCATGCGGTTATATGATGACCCTGCCCATCAGTCTTTCTCCGATGCCGTGAAGTCATTCGAAGTTTTGAGGGTCATTGAGTTGCAGAAGCTGGCTCTGGTACATGCAGACGAGCTATTGGAGGTTTACTCGGAACTGGAGCCGCGGATCGGTGTCCTAGCAGAGAAGAACAGCGACGATCCACGCCTCGTCTGGGGTTACAAAGCCTTCTTGTTCATGGTGATTCACCGTGCCAAGGGCGTAGACAGAACAATACGGATGGCCCGACTACAGCAAATGGTCAAGCCAGTGTACGATGCCTGGCAAGACCCAGGCTTGACGAGCGCAGTGGGCTCTCTACAAAGCACATGCGATATGCTTGGTATGGGCGATCTGCCTGAGTTCTACCAAACGTACCGATTCGACCAAGCGCAAAATTGGTCGACGCAGCAGTTGGATGAGAAAGGGCAAGCCAAGCAGCAACGTATCAAGGAGCTGAACGATCGACTACCGCTACGTATGACCAAGAGCATGCTAGCAGTCACGACAGAGAAGCTGAAGCCAGGCAGCGAAGAGTCCGAAATCGCAAGCGCGATGTGGGACGACATCGTTCCGGTCGTCCTCCCGAGTCTGCTACAGATGGTACGGCAAGCACAGGCCTTTCACAATATGGACAACTGGGCACAATTACCAGATGAGCTCCAGATGGTCGTCAAGCGGACGCTTCAAGATCGATTCTGGCAATCAGGAATCTCGAGTGAGAGCAAGGACGAGTTCTATGCCCGAATTTCTGGTTCGAAGACGTCGTATGAAGGTTTTGCCTCCGTCGTACGTGGCACGATGCGCAATCTGCGCGAGCAGGGCTACCACATCTTGTACCTCATGACGAAGTTCGACGAGCGTTTCTACTCAGTGCATGATCTAGCGAAGCCATTAGCAGATGCACTCTTTGCGGACGCAGAGTGCTTATCAGCAAATCATCTGCACCCGCTCATCAATCTTGCGACTGGACTCGTGTCGCGATGTCCACCGCATCATCGGCCGAGTTTCCTACCACCTATTCTTATTCAGCTCTTTACCAAACTAGACGGCAAGATCAGCGCAGAGTGGGCGGCAATCAACGCGTCGAATGACAGTAGCGCGCGTGAGGACGATGAGCTAGGCGACGAGATGCGTACAGAAAGCGTCTTGCGACAGCTTACCTACAGCATGGTCTCGTTCGTCGCCTTCCTTCTCGAGTTCGATCGTCAGCCTAATTCACCTGCCAATGGTACGAACGGCCACGACGCCTCCAAACCTACACTGCACGACCTCGTCCTCTCAGAGCCATCAATACTAGAGCCAATGCTGCTTTACTGTACACACGCTTTGCGCATGCGAGACACGCGATGTTGCACGACCATAACGAAAGTCTTCAAGACCATTATTCCCCTATTTCAATCCAATACTGCGCCTGCGCCTCAGGTGCGCGAGTTCATCTGCACCGAGGTGCTCAAAGCTTGCATCACTTCTCTGAACGAACCATACTTCGCCGACATGCAGAAAGACTTGGCCGCGCTCATCGCACAAATCATCCTGCTATACCAACGGCAAACGAATACTCCGCGCGATGTCCTGCTGTCCCTTCCAGATATGACTGCACCCCGGGTCGACAAGGCTTTCGCCAAGATTGCGAAAGCTACCAGTGAGCGACAGCAGCGATCACTGGCCTTGGAGCTGCTGGAGGGCGTAAGGGGTGTCAGTATCTACGAAGCGGGCAAGATCGCGCGCGAAACGCCGAAGAAGAAGGATAATGCTTTGCAGCAGTATATGGAGGTTGAGCAGAGACCTACGATTGCGCAGGGAGACGAAGCTGGGCTGGACGGAGTGGCAGGACTGTTCGACGAGGTTTGAATGGGAACCCTCTCGTCAAATCTCGCACCAGGTAACGCGTCAGCTCACCAGGTCGTGGCCTCGAAGACGGACTAGCTTATTGAACTCGCAATCGGCCCTTCCTCGTAGGAGGTGGCGAAGCTCCTCTGCATGTTCTGTACGATACTATGCTTCCCAGTCTGCACGCCAGCCGCCTCATTCATCCTTTGGTCCACTACCGCACACTTTGTTCACAAACGGCGATGTGGCCGAGCCGTGCCGTGGGATATATGTCTCGGACCCACATCCCTCATCAGTGACCACGATGGGTATGAAACACTCGCGCGCTCACGGAAATCGGTTCCGATCAGGCTTGAGCTGCGAGGACGCCGATCAAGTCCGGGATCTATCATCACGACCATTCGTCTGCCCGACTGATATTGTGACCGGCGCAATCGACATTAGCAGGAACGTGGTGCAGGTACCATGCCGGCTTCATCACAACATTAACCACGCTAAAGACGCAGCAAGGAGGGAGGATACGAGTGCAGACGATTTTGATAGCTCAGATCGGTTGATACTGTTCGACCCTGAAGCAAACGGCTGCATTGTCTGTCGTAGTAGCCGGGAAGTGATGATTAAGCAGTGTGTGCCGTGTCCCATGCGAAGTCCACTCGTGACGTCCACGTGCGACGATCTCCCCCACGTGTAAACCAGGACTTCATTTCTTGATGCAGTAGTGAGCAACCACGGGTGTCCTTCGCGTCGTCAATCTCGCTATTCAATGCCTTACTCGGCCGTATTTGATGCAGTAGTATCGTACGCTACTGTGCGAAAGGGGAGGAGGCTGGGATAGACTCTCCGTGCGGCAGACTGAACATATCCTGCTCGTCCTGCAGCGATTCTGCTCCGACCGCTCCATACCCCGGGAACCATGCCGCTTTGAGCTTCTACAAGCGCAAAGGCCTTCAGTGGCGTCAGCATTACTGTAACGCCGTTGAAAGATCCTACCTAGACATCCTTCCATTTTGCGCCATCTTCCTGCAAACCTGGAAACGTCTCGAGATGGCGTGTGCGGATACTACCTGCTCGACACTGATGGCGTACCTGCAGGAAGACCTGGTCACGGCCTGACTATACCGCGACCAGTAATTCCTACGGCCACTCCTCGACCACGTCAGGCCCCAAGCGCTGACTTTGTGCTGCTATGTTAACCAAGCGCGGGATGCACGCATGCATCCCTGAGCTGGACGCCGTCTGATCACCATGTCTCATAGACTCGGACGCCGGACATGCGATCAACAGGATCGATGCCACCGAGCATCTCCGTCTACCGCCTACTTACATACTCGCGCATAGTCTACCGACCACTGTGGGTGCTGTAGTCGGACTCGCATATTAACAGAAACTTTCAAGCGATGCGCCCACGATCCCGTTACCTCTATTAGCAGGGTGTCGAAACTAGCTGTACGAAGATTCACTTGCTATTGTTGTCCCTTGAAGTGTCGAAGAGGTGCTCAGCGATCATAACGTTCGTCGCCCCAGCTCAGTCGTGACACGCTTTGTGCTGAATCGTGACTTTCCGAACAGCAAAAGTCTCTTACCAGCGAGTATTCCTGAGCACCAGGCTGATTCGGTTTGTGTGGGTTGTACCGCCAGTCATCGGACGATGTCACGGCCATGTCCTGGACTTCAACCCCGTTGAGACAATGGCTTAGTGCAGGGTGCTGATCCTTCTGACAATGTGCCCCTACGATATTGACACTTTCGGGCCACTCAAGTGCACAATGATGCAGCATCGGGGTCTGGGCACCACGGCGGAGCATATAGGCTAGCCAATCGCAATGATTCTGCGCTTGAAGATGATTATTGTTCACCGACTCTGCTCCATGTAGCCCATGTTGCCTGTGCACCAACGTCCCGGCTGGTATCTGTGGGCTAGTCGACAGGAGCGTAGAGAGCATAACGGCATTGTACGAGGTGTGGAACTACCCTGAATGGCATGATTGCTCTAGACTTCTGTTCGTCCCGAGAGAGTGGTTACGGGCAGATTCAGACTCCGTGATAGCCCACGAGTTTTGTTGCTTCTAATCTCGTTTGCACAGCCTCGAAACCAGCCAGCTGCCTAGTTTCATGCTGTGACAACCTGCACACGCTGCTAGGACGGCTCATGCTGGTTGATCAGTTAGTAAGTATGGTGGAGTAATGGTAGTGACAGTAGCAATTGGGTTTCCGGGTCAGCTGGGGTCTTCAGGGTGACTGAGTAGAGAAAGTGATCGTGCACAGGCTAACGCAATAGTCATGGAAGGAGGTGCCGTGCGATGCTGGAGTTGAAACACTCAGAGGCACCGCAACCGATTGCTGATCATACCCATGCAAGCAAAGATTACTGCCACCTGAAAGCGAAACAGTGCTTTTGACAGTGCTGGCCAGTGGAGAACATGATGCATGAGGGCCTCAGATCAACCTGCCATAAATTTCCGAAATGCTACATCCGCCGCTCAAAATTGGTGTTAAACACCTGCCCGGTCTGCTTTGATCATTCTCGACCTAATATCTGGGAGAGAGCCTCGCCTCGTCTTCGTCCAGTTTCCCAGCATTGGGCACAGCAACACGGAGACGGCGGTATCATGGAAGAGCACCAAAGTAGAAGCTGGCATGCCCGTCGATTTCTCTGCTGAGTTCAGCCTGCGCAAGCCGCGTGCGCAGCAGGGAAGCTTAAAGCGAGATGCTTGGAAGCATGTGTTGATCGACAGGCCATGTCGTAGGCGCAGATGATAAAGGCTGCCTAATTGGTAGTAGTACATATGTACAACGGTACAGTGACCCCTGGACTCTGGAGGTCAAACTCCACAGCCAGGTGGAGCATTCGAGCTGCCATTACTCAGCCCCGCGCTCGGTCCAATAGATTAACTGTTAGTAGTATGGTGCTTGCATATCGGAAGCTTGCTCTGCCGGCCGGTGAGGCATCGTCGTTGTAACACAACTGCCAGAGACCGTCAGCCAGGTGCGGCTGTAGGGCTGCGACTGCTCATATGTATCGAGTTCAGACAATGCTGGAGTGATCTGTGGTGTATAGGCTGCTGACGAGCCTACACCGTCACTCGTTCGGTGAAGTTCCGTGTCCAGGCATCGCCTCTGCAGGAGTCGCCAGGTTGTCCGCACATTTGATGACTAGTCATTGACTAGCGGAAGTGTTCGCGATGTGGAGAGACAAAATGATGGTGATCTAGGTGCACATCATTTCCCTGCAAGTGTAGATTGCAGTGCTGTCCTTGGCGTGTGGGCCTCTCGTCACCTACCTCCCATGATAGGATAGTGCGGCTATACACCGATCGCAGTTTGAACCAGCGGATGGCGTAGAGAAGTGCCTCCTTGTCAGTGACTAGTGGCGTTCCCGTCCGAACTCTCATGGGACGTGTTGGTGAGCGTTTCACCTTTCCCGCGTATGCTGTTACTGGTTCATGGACTGCGAGTATATCGCCCAATTAATAATCTGAGAGAATGTGTGGGACACCATCGGAGGTGAGAGCGTACGGGCACAGCCTTGGTTGCTCTGACGCAGACCGCCGACTTCTTGGCTTGGCGCACAGCTGTTCAGCCTCTCCGGCGCTTTGCTTCACAGCAATTGGCTCTCTCGTTCCTGACCCTCATAGGGCTTGTAGCACTACTGGAGCACCACTCCTGTACAACGCTGATCGCAACACCATTACACGAGCGGCGAGGCGCGATGCACACAGCATGGGCTACATGGCTCATCGCAAACTCTACCACTGGAGAGGAAGATCGCGCCGCATCCCGCGATACGAGCGACGGCATCAGAACTCTCTGCTTTAGTCATTCACATCAACGGTCTCAGAGCTTGGACGTCGCCTACCTATGGGGTGCTCCCTGGCTCCCAGTCACGCCCACGAGCGGCGAACGGTTCGGGTACGCTGGGCCGTCATCTACGACCGGGGGCCAAATCCTTCGAGGAAATAAGCCGTGCAGCGCTAATTCCACATGTGGATAGCGTTTGTTGGTTTGAGGTCTACGTTATGATGTGCTTGTTTCTCTGGCAAGGCGCAGAGGCCTGTACTAAATCCGCTCAGAGTATCCAGCGTGGACCCTACACGTTCCCACGGTATCACGGTTTCATTTGACCTATAACATCGGCGTGCTTTCCGTGGCTTGATCGTTCTCCTGTAAGGACTTCTCTCGTATGCTAAACCTGTGTCAGCTCATTATCTTTGGCCATGGACTCACCTCATCTCCAGTCGTATGCTCAACCCTACCGGGTCCGTACCAACAGCAACCTTTCTGTCCAGTCGATCGACCAACACGGCGGTGTTCGCAAACGAAGCTTAGAACGAACCCGTTCTCCGTCATCAGCACAAGTAGATCGTCTACACCATCTCGCCTTGGGACCGTCCGAGGATTTCAGTCAGTCTTCTGCGTTTCCCGTGCCAGGCACCCACTGGATAACCCCGCAACAATCGCCCCAACTTGAAGCCATCTATAACGCGCCGTCCGTGGAAGCTTTTCCTTCGTGGTCCGTCCCAACACCACCGCGATCAGACTCTGGCCTGCCGAGTGTTTCAATCGACGCTGTAGACCAGCAAGTGACTACATGCAGTAGCATACATTCCAACTACCACGCTTCGACCTTCGACTTCGATCCACCAACGACCTCGGCAGACATGAGGTAGGGCTGCCAGCATCCTTCATCAGTCCGTGACTCAGCTGACCACCTTGTAGTTCACTTGGTCTACTCCTTCCTTCGCAGTACGGGACCGGCTTCGAATCCGAGCCGAGCAGTATGTTGCGTGTTCTGCTTGAGGAGACTATCTAGCTGACAACGACAGGCTACACCATGGAGCAGAGTTATATGCCGCCGATGAAAATCTCACACCCCACGACAACCAGCATGTCAGGATACTCGCAGACTGTCTCATCGAACCCGTCTTTGTACAGCAGCAGTAGACGGCATTCTGAGCTTCCTTCGCAATCTCACGAGCATTCTTATGGTGCGAACTACCGCAGGATAAGCAGTCCCTACGATCATTCGAGCAGTCCATATCCTGCGACAACAGGGTCGACCATACCATCCATCAGCGGCCTCACACAGAGTCCTGCTCCATCACCTCACATGGGCTCAACTTCAGGCGCACGCTCAGGGTCGCTATATGACACCAGCTTGTCAAGGTTAGCACGTACATCTGATCAGTATCGCTACGTTAAGCTGACAACATACAGGTCACCAAGCATGTATGCGTCAAGCACATACCCATACACGGCATCACCTGAGTCAAATCATATATACACGACCGCCCAGAACTTGACATACCCTCCACCTTTTGTTGGTAGCAGCGAGGTAATGGCAAGACCTCTGGGCACAGACACAAACATCCGTGTCTTGAACCAAAGACCGAAACCGCAATGCTGGGAACATGGATGCAACGGACGACAATTTTCTACCTTTAGCAATCTTCTGAGACACCAAAGAGAGAAATCTGGCACTGCTCCTAAGTCTTACTGCCCAAGGTGTGGAGCAGAGTTCACTCGAACGACTGCACGGAATGGTCACCTGGCTCATGACAAGTGGTATGCATACTCCTCCGATTTGACTATCTGTCATCGATATTGACCATTCTCGCAGCACTGCTAAGCAGTCACAACCCGGAGAGGATGAATGACGAACAGTCGACATGATTACAGGAGACGTACCAGGCTCAGGAGGCAGTCTTACTACCTACAGCACTACTACTCAGTTGCGTGAAGTCGCAAAGTCGCGAAAATGCTACAGAGACAGATCCAAAGCCGCCCGCCCGATCGAACGTCGATTCCGTGCGAGATGCGGTTCAGTTCCCTGATGATCTGCGCCTATCTGCACGTGGGCGGGCATGGCTGCGCATTAGCAATCACTCGAGCGTCCGTTAAGTCGGCTACACTGCACCGCCTTCCGACAGGACGGGAGATTGATATGTCGATCCCTCGCCAGTGCAAAACAGCATTTCCGCACCCACGCCAAGGTCAAACGGGGTGCGCGCATGTGAGCAGAGAGTCCACAATTCAAACGAGGGTTTGGTCGCAGATCATATACCATTCAAGTTAGCAATGCCTTCACCTTGTGGCACGGGCTGGACATTAATGCTACTGTACCAGGCCGCTACCGAACTTTAAGCGCGACAGTCATCATGCAAGCTCCACGCTACACGCTACCTTTCGCTTCGGCGGCACTTTCACGCTGATTATTAACATTTCGGCTTGGCGTCACTCGTCACGCTGTCCCGCTCCCTCCGTCTGACACTGTACATATCCCTGTCTAGTGCTGTGTCGCATCCGCTTCGCATGTATTTCCGCTCCCTGCAAGCATCCTTATTCGCGGGTGTCGCCAACAACGATGGCTCGAGCTTATAGCTGTGCCACAATTGCTTTCGCTACCCATAGTGATTGGCTACATTGCGGGATGTGGGTTGTTCGTCGGTTGACGGCGAAGAGTGCGATATCTCACTTCTCTCCCTTTACGGTTAGGTGACGGTCATTACCCTGCTGGCCAAGCTGATTGCTACGCAAAGGTTACTGCAATTGTGAATGCGATTGCGAGTGGTATAGCCAATAGAAGATGGCCTGTCGCATAGTGGACCACATCTATTCCTAGTCCTCGCTTTCGCTGTAAATGCACCATCAACGAGGCTGGAGAATGCGGCTGTGGACATTGTGTATCAGCATCGTCATCTTGTCTCCGAGCAGACGACAGCGGCAGGATGCAAACGGCATTCCCTCCAGCATGGCAAGTCTGGAGCCGAAAATGAGACGGGATCCTTCCCATGCATGTGCCGACTTGTCCATACAAGTACTAAATGTTGACTCAGCGCGATGATTATATAGGACTGCCAGCATAGGACGTTGGTAGACTACTGTCTTGACAGCAAATCTAGTGGTGTTTTTCCTCGCTGGACATGCGAAACTATCTGATTGATAGAACAAATGATTATTGTCGAAAATGTAACAAGGTGAGTTGAGTCATGTGACTCACGGCTCGCACGTCCCAATTAGAAGTGAACGTCACAGCAGTAGTGTACGGATGATGTGAACAGTACATGTGGATGAAGCCTACGTAACATCTGGAACAAAATGCCATTCGCCTAGCTATCAACACACTCCACGCCAATAGATAGCCCAACAACCCTACAACGACTACAAGAGCAAGCACGATGTCCATGTCCCAGCTATTCCGGATCCACTTCTCACATACGAACACACGGTCTTTACAGCATAATTTAAGAAGAGCAAAACCTATAACAAAGAGATGAGAGCAGTCTGTTCCTGTGGTACGCTGTAGTTTGTCAGTCCAGAGTTCGCAGCAGGATCAGCAGAGAAAGATTGCCTGGTGCTCGCTACTGGAGCCATCAGCGTCTCGACATTCGCCCTACAAAGAGCGAGACGGTATTCTCTCGTTATTGAAAAGCCTGATCATATGGTGATGGCGTCAATATTCACCTACGAACCCGAGACACCACGAGTGGCTTCGCCATGGCTTCAAGGCATAAATGCTCAGGTTGCTCCTCAAGCTACTTCGCACATGGGCGATATGCACAATGTGCACGAGGTGTCCTTACCAACGTCTGATTCTCCTGATCTTAGCACAGAGCAAACGATCCGAAGACTGCAGGCTGAGCCACAAGAGGGACCTGTGGAGTACAAGTTACATCTTCTGCTACGACCCAGACGCAAGTTTCGCGCCACGAGCACGGGAAGCCATGTTTCCGGTTCTCGCCACTCCAACTTTGGTGGGTATCAAAATGGCAAGAGCATGTCTGAAGCCATGCTGGAGCCGCCGCCCAGTGCACCGCTAGCCACGCCTCCGAATACCTTGACACACCAGAATCGCCAACATAGATTGCAGCAACTTACCACTCAGCTTCTTTGGAGACTCCAGCAGTCATCGCCACATCATTCGTCGTCGGCGACAAATTTCATCTTGCCATCCCTGCCCGATGCTCTATCTGAGCTTCAGGCACCACAGCAGCCAGCCAAACTTCTTCATGGTCTGGAAGAGTCTCAAGGTGCTCTGTACGAAATTGGTGTCGCCGATGATGGCACGCTTATTGGGCTGGCTGAGGATGAGTTGAACGAGAGTTTAAACAATCTTCGAGCGATGGCTGCATGTCTGGGCTGCACCGTGGAGGTGCTACGAAAGGAGAATGTTGGTGAGTGTGAGTGGATCGAGGATGTTGTTGTTGGAAGGAAGGAGCGACGTGTGCGGCGATTCGGCAAGTTGGTCGTTGCAGAGGCTCTAGTCAAGCCTTCGTTGCAAGTGTCAAGTCCATCGCTTGCAGCACAAAGTGCGCCATCATTAGGCGAACATACGAATGTTATCAGTGATACCGCGCTTCCAGCACCGCCAACCGAGCAGATGCGTGTCACGTTGACAGGTCCAACCATGTCGGGAAAGTCGTCTTTGCTAGGCACACTGACCACATCCACTCTCGATAACGGGAGAGGCCAAAGCCGCTTGAGCATGTTAAAGCATCGCCACGAGATCACGTCGGGCATTACGAGCTCCGTCACGCAAGAACTTCTCGGCTACCAGGATACTGCAGATGGTTCTGTGGACGTCATCAATTATGCTACGGAAAATGTTGCTTCTTGGATAGACGTGCATGTAGCAGCAGCTGCGAACCGTCTAGCATTCGTGTCCGACTCGGCCGGCCATCCACGATACCGGCGTACCACTGTTCGCAGTCTTGTTGGCTGGGCGCCTCATTGGACACTGCTCTGTGTGCCGGCCGATGATACGGAAGACACTCATGGCAGGAATGGTAGCACAAATGGCTCGCAACATACTCTCAGCACGCTCGTGTCCGGGATGGACCTTTCCAGCGCTCAGCTTGACCTTTGTCTGCGTTTGAGATTACCATTAGTGGTTGTCATCACCAAGCTAGATCTGGCATCACGGTCTGGGCTGCGAGATACATTGTCGAAGGTGCTGGATGCATTGAAAGCTGCCGGCAGGACGCCGAAGATACTATCCAACTCGACGACCACTGCCGATCAGCTCGATCTACAGCGAATCTCTGGAGGTCAGATCGAGAGTGCCTATAGTGCAGCACTACCTCTCCTGAACGATGCGCTGAGCATTGTACCCATCGTTCTTACGAGTGCAGTGCAAGGCACTGGTGTCGGCACTTTGCATGCCTTACTACACGAGCTTCCTCTACCTGATTCGTCCCTTGCCGCGTCACAAGGCACTGGCATCACTTTCCACATCGAAGACATCTACACCAAACCCGCCGACCTCGAAGGCATCATCATTTCAGGTCGCCTTCGCAACGGACAGCTCTCTGTCGGCGATGTCGCAGTCATTGGCCCATTCTCTGGCCACGAGCACCTGGAGGACTCGGAAGACTCAGACGACCGGCCACGGAGACGTTCGTCAAACCACCTGCCTACTTCCCGCTCCTTCCCAGGCGCATTACGTGACTCTCACCTGGCACCACCTCTATTCCAGTTGCCCAATCAGGAGTGGCGTCAAGTGAAAGTGACCAGTATTCGCAACCTACGCCTCCCTGTCCACTCGCTCCTAGCCGACCAAGTTGGCAGCATCGTGGTCGTGCCCGATATCGTCAACGGCAAAGCCGCACCTGTCGATCTGCTCTCACGCACTCGTAAAGGAATGGTCCTCGCCACAATCCAGCCGCTAGCCAGCCGGAGCTTCGTCGCTCGTTTTAAGCGTGAGGACCTTGAAGCCCTGGCCGTAGGAAATCATGTGGTTGTCTACAGCGCCAGCGTTCGAGCATCTGCCAAGATCATATCAGCCAGCGCGCCTGACTCGCCTGCTGAAACGAGGAACGTGGTGGGTGAGGGTGAGGATATCGTTTCGCATGACCCTTTTACTTTCGACGACATGGCCGAGACACTTGACGGCAAAGTGGAACGAGTGGCTGGGTCCATCACGGCGTCGCACCTGCTTGTGACGTTCCGGTTTGACTCGGCAAAGGAGTTCTTAATGGTCGACGATCAGATCTTGGTAATGCCCGGGGGTGGCCCAGGATTGTACGGTGGGCATGAGCGTGGTGAGAAGGGTCTTGCAGGTCTGGAAGGCTTTGTTGGGCAAATTACGCAGACTCTTGGTTAGTCTGATCTGATTGATACGGGGAGATATCGCAGAAATCTTGATTACACGAAGTCACGATTTATTAATGAGACTGTATGTAGCGACCAAAACAGCAGCTCTTCGGTCATCATGATCTAGACATCCCACTACAGGTGAGCATCATGACCAATACAGAGTGCTTTCGTTCTTTTCACGTCGCCAACTCTCTCCCTCGGCACAAGCCTCACCGAATCAACTAATATCGAAAGGTCGGGCAAGGCCGAGTGTCCCTTACACCTGATACCGCTCTGTGAAGAACAGTACACGGCTTCTCGTGACCTGGAAAGAGCTATGCTTGCTTTCCCGCGTGTAATACTGAGCGAAATCTCATGGATCTTGAGGAAGTGCTCCACCTTATCACGCGGACGAGATGATGAGATGGGAGATGGGAATGAGATGTGAAAGGTGTGATGCGACATATCTGTTGGGTATCATCAAAACAGCTCGGAGGACATCGCACAGGCTGAAGCACCACGTTGAAGTCGCTTTCAATTCAACGAGCAAAACCAACTCTTCTTGGTCGAGCATCACCATTGGCCATACTATCGAGCATGCGATCCAGTCCACCAACATCCAGCTGTCCGGCATCCAGCATGTCCTGATCACGAACAGCAGGAGCGTCCGCAAGACCTCCCTGAGGCTGGAAGAGCTGTCGAGCCGGCGTATCCGCAGGCCGCAGACTTTGCAAGATGGAGAGACGATATTCCGTGGCAATGAGCAGATCCCGCTGGGTGTTCATATGGCCGACTCCGGAGTTCGCGGCATTAGCGGCGAATTGTGAGATAGATGTGACGGACTCGTTGAATAGGTTGACATCGGTGATGTGTGTCAAGCCTGGTGCGTATAGAGAGCCAAAATTGTGGTTGCTGCTTGTGTTGGTACTGCGCTGCCAGAATTGCTGTAAGCTTGGTATGCAGTAGATGTCGCTGTTGTACCACATCACGACGCTTTCGTCCGTCTGGCCGGCGCGTACACTACTAGTGGATACGGAGATGCCGCCTTTCGCTTGCCCCATTGTGGGCGCCTTCGTTGCGCCACTGAAGAAGTTCTCCGACTTGACCTTTCGAGTATTTGGGGTCATCGGGGCGAGCTTTGCAGCATTCTTTGACTGTTTGCCAGACGACGATGGTTCAGCTGCAGCTGATGCGCCTAAATAGCCTCGTACCACGAAGTCATTGGCAGATTTCCCAGCAGGGACGTTACCATAGACTTCCCAGATGCCCCATTCGCCATCGTCCAGTAACGCAAGTATTGCGCGACCGCTTCGTATCCACTGCGCAGCCAGAACCTGCTTACGGCGGGGTGGCTTCCCAGCTTTTGAGGCAAACGAGCTTGTGAAGGCCGTGATCCACTTGCCTTGCTCGCCCAATTGAGCCTCGTCCTCGATAGGTGCTGATGTTGCAGTATTTGGACTGTCGCTAGTTGTGAAAGGATAGTAGACGCGCACGGCGCCCGATTGGTCAGTCAATAGGAGCTGTGTAGAGGTTGCCAATGGATGAAACTGAACGGACTTGGCCTGGTGTGGCAATTGAGCGGTCTGCAGCTCTGCATCCTGCTGAAGGTCTGTCAGACTGTCAAACACTGCGAATCTGTATATTTGGAGCAAGTTCGAGGCTGTCGATACAAGGAGAAGGCTTGTGACGTGTTGGTCCGAATGACCTTGCGTCAAGACTATCTTGGCGGCGAGTGCAGTACACTCCGCGCCTGCCGATGGAAAGTGAATTTGTCGATCCCTGATATCATTGGCATAGTCGTCCTTGTCATCGTTAGAAGGTGGCAGCAAGTCGAAGGTCAGAACCCTTTGTGATCCATCATCACATGATACAGCAATAGCGGCGTGTTTCCGTAGCGCATCGCTTGGTCTGATTGAGGCGGTGGGCAAGAGAGGGACGGCCAGATGCAGGACCTCCGAGTCGAGGACGACATCAACATGCTGTGTTATGCTTGGATAAGGACAGTCCGGGTCGATCTCCTCATCTGTGCGCTCAAAGGCATCAAGATCTGATGGTGCTTGAGCTTGTTGCTCTTCTTCGTCATCGTCGAGAACTATGATCTCCGGCGGCCTCTGCCGGCCATTGGGTCCCTGTGACTTCATTTCCTTCCGAAGCCTACCACCACGCCATATGAGTCGTATGCCTCGGTCATAGGCGCAGACTACGAGGATGGAGTCGTTGGGTGTGGAGAGGGGATATAGCTGCGCGGAGTGGGTGCGATGCCTGAGCTCGTAGCTGTAAACTCGAGGTCAGCTGTCACGTCTGCCTTACAACTACCCGCAGGAATCACCTACCTCAGATGCACTTTCTTGTCTCTCTTCGTCACTCGGGCTTCCATGTCAATGTTGTGGTGGAGTGCCAGTGTAAAGCTCGTGATTCGTCCAGGATCAAAAGTCGCGTTCGAAAGTGGAAGTCGCGTCTGCCCCACACAGCAATAGCAGCCAAGGCACAAACCACACTTACAGGACCACATGAGCCTATAGTCGACGTATATACAACCCGATGATGCTCGATGATTTGCTCACACGGTTTCTGGAACAACACACATGGCCAAGGTCGAGTCACTCGGCATCCATACGCCCGTGGCACTACCATATCTGATTCGAGAAGGCCTTCTTCCGGCTGATCCTAAGAAAACTTCCTACCGATGGCAAACCTATATATCTGGAAAAGATGAAGATCAAATCGACGAGGAACTGCTGGTGACCGAGCATTGTGTGGTCTGGTCCCAAGGCAAATGCATCCGAAATGTCTACCGTTTCGAATTGGAGGGTGAGGCGGTCTCCCAAGCCATCTTGACACAGTTTGCCCCATCTATCGGAATTTCTGGGCAGGAAAGTGCGTCAAAAAATGGTGAGCACACCTATACCACGCATTCGTCACTACATGGCCAGCCAGGAAACCTTTCAGGAGAACAGATCAAGCCATCGACAAGACCAGTTCGAGCTCTGGTAGTCTTCCTGAAATCCAAGGCACATGTCTACTACCTGCATGGAGCCCGACATATCCTCGATCTACCATTCGAGATCGAACGAGCACTTCCAGCCCCACGAGGATGTCTATTGCAGCGGAAGATCACCCGAAAACTGCACGTAGCACCAACACCCCATCTACCTAGCGCTCCTCCAAATTCCTTCTTCTCCTCTCAACTCCGACCGCAGTCATCTCACCTGCAATCACCGACTCTGGTGAGAAGCTTTGGACGTCCACAGCCTGCGAAGCCCAGTCCAAGACGTGGCGGAGGAGGTATCGACGGACTGCTTCAGGACGTGCTCGGCTCGCCAGCCGCAGCTGCCACTGATGAAGTGGCATCATTGCATTCTTTTACGGATCCGCTGGCGAGCTTCGGAGTCGTCACAACTTCATATCAGCATCAGAAGCCTCGCTTGTCAACGAAGCACCGGGCTGGAGTCAGTGTGGACTTCGAGGCTTTGGCCGCAAGCGAGCAGATGGTGTATGTGTCACCTGACGATGAGCTTTCGGCTAGTATCAGCCCAAGCACATATGCTGTGTTATTAGTGGTTACTTATAACAATGATACCCAGCTTCTGACTGTATGGCACGGCTGGTACATCGAAGAGAAGTCGCTACGAGCTCTCTTCAAGCAACGTGAAGCTCAGAAAGCGGCAAAGGCTAGGCGCCGGAGCTCATACATGAGCGTTACAGCAGGCACAGGGGCTACCACTCCTGCAGTTCGAGCACGTGAGAGCTTTGCTGCAGCGGGTACGCTTCGCCCACCAACAGAGCATGCGACCGCGCAGCATACGGCACAACTATCTCGAAAAAGTACTAGAGCAGAGGAGGAGGAAGCGATGGCCTCGCAGATGGATCCGGACTATCAGCCTCCCGTACCATCTCAACCACCAACGAGAGAGACTAGACGCATCAGCTCATTGAATGCTGACCTGCGTACAAGCCAGTCTGCTGGAGTCGGAAGCTTCACGGGCGCTGGTGGACGGCGGAATGCATCCTTTGGTGGCCACAACGACCGGAAGAGCTTTGGGCATCGCAAAAGCCGTGGCTCGACCCCGGGCAGTGTCTTTGGTCGCAGCCTGGGTCCTGACGACGACCTCATGGACATCGACAGCAGTGGAAATTACGAGCATGACGAGAACCTGGACAGCATAGTGCAACATATACGTGCTACGTTCGACGCTGCTGGGGTGGACAGTGTCTTCGGAAATGTCGACGATGGTTACAGGAGGGAGCTTGTAGTTCGTAAGCTCCATTCAATGTCGGTCAGTATGCGACCCGCTGCAGGAAACCCTGCGGATACCTTCAGAGTGGCGACACTGAGGGCTCCACGACTAGACAACAGTAGCGAGGACGATGTGCTCGGGCTATACGTGCAAGACATGGTCAGAAAAGAAATTTCTCATATCGTACTCACGATCAAGCGACGGCGGATATGGCCTGAGATGGCAGACTCCACGACCTTTCCGATTCCTGTAGTGACTCATGTGGGTGCCCTCAAGCAGACCCACGACCTTCTCAAGCTGCACGATGGCAGAAGAGCAGCTCTTCTAGTACTTGGTCAAGGCCTCATACTCTCTGGCAACGACACAACATTGTGCCCGCTGCCTTCTCAAGCATCATACCGCGTGCACAATCCATTCGATGTGCTCACAAGATCAGGCAGTCCAGGCAGGGAGGCTGGCAAGAACAGGCTGATACAGCCAGCGCAGGGGTCCTTGGTAGTGACGAATGCTGGGGCTGGAGCGGCTTATGATGAGGTCGATGGGAGTGGCGTGCATCACCGACGGCGATTGAAGCTTGGTGCTGATGATCGATGTGTGGAGCGATTGCTGACGGTTTGCGAAACTGTGCTGCCTGTCTCGCAAGCTGCAAGAGTACGGGCGACATTTTGCACGGCTTATGCTTGGGTGCTGGCCAATCCGGACTGCCTCAAGGACACAAGCTGCAGTGCAGAGTGGATAGCATTTACAGCGACTGTGTTATCCTTCACCACTGCATTGCTTGACAACAAGGCTCGCGCAGCATTGAAGCTAGCGAGGCTGGCATCTGGCAAGCAGAATGGGGTTGAGCAGATGGCCATACACCTAGGTCGCCAGCAGCGTCAAGAACGAGCTTTATCCTCCCAACCGTGGTCATGGCTAGCTGCGTCTCACGCTGCGGCTGTCTCGTCTTCGACCGTAGCCACTCGCAAAGACCAGCTCCTTTCAATCGCAGCTGCGCTTGCAGATGACCTGAGCCAAATCTCTGGTGCTGTTTCACCACGTCAGACGTCGGTGAACGCAGTCAACCTACTCCACGGTCTGCATCTATTCCGCGAAGAGCAGAAGTTGTCGACGTTGTCCGGGAGAACATCTTCTGAGCTCGCTCTCGAGCCAATCATCGCGCAACTCGGAACATGGCTTGGCCAACAAGCTTGGAGTGGTAGGGCTGGCTTGTACTATGCCATTGAGGGTGGCGGTGATGATAAGTGGGCCTTTGTCAAGTCTTCGCCTCCTTCACAGTTGTACAAGCGACCTATGGACGAGCCCACAAGCGTGCACCAGTGGTTTGAGCGAGCTTTGCAAGGTTCGGATGACAGGCCATTCCCAGATCTGGTGTCCGTTGTTGCCGCAGATCTGCGTAGCCCTCCCTCCGAGGATTTTGTACGGAATGCTAAAGGTCTCATGCCAAAAGCGTGCGCGCTGTCTGCAATGATGGAGGAGACAGGCGCGCTGAGTGTTGGTCCTTCGCGCATCGTCGAATCGTTGGCCAAGCACCAAGTCGACAGCAATATGCTGGAGTCTCTTCCTCAAGGTTTGGCAGCACCGTTCAGGGAAGCCATTGCAAGATGCGAGCGGGAGCCACCTACGTCCTGGTCACAGGACCTCCTGCAGCTGGTCGGTCGAGAAGACCTGGTCATCCAGGATATGGCACAGTCTAGCACTTCTGCTGGTGCACCAGTCATATACTCGGACACCAATCGTGACCTTCAGGCGATATGTCACGCGCTTGAACAACCAGTCCACGCACCGAAAACGAGGGAAGCGGCTCGGCATGGTGTCTCGCAGCTCATATTTCATCAGGATCGCAGGCTTGTCGATGCCGCAGCCCTCATGCGATACTATAGTACGCAAGAAGCAGAATGTGCCAAGCAACCTGACTGGTCGGATGGCCATCACCTCGACCAGCAGCGCAACACTATTGCTCATGTGACTGTGCGCATGTGGGCTCTACCAGCGGGCGATGGGATGATCCATTACGATTGTCTCACGCCACTACTGACGGAGAAGTATATCCCACATGGCTTCGGCTCAAAGTGCCTGATGCATCCGATGGGTAATGTGCTCCACATCGACCGAACTACACTCAGCGAAGAGAAAGTTGGCTGGGCATATTTTCACGCTGGAGTGTCGGGTGGTTTGCGGATATCGAAACAAGTCAAGGGCATTGATACATCGTGGGTGGCATTCAACAAGCCTGTTGAACTCACCAACAGACATGCCGGACTTCTGCTTGCGCTCGGTCTGGGTGGCCATTTGAAATCGCTTGCCAAGTGGTTGTCCTTCAAGTACTTGACGCCGAAGCACAATATGACTTCTGTCGGACTCTTGCTAGGGTTGTCGGCATCATATATCGGGACTATGGACAGCCTCATCACACGCATGCTGTCGGTACATATCACCAGAATGTTGCCCCCGGGAGCGGCAGAGCTTAATGTCTCAGCTATCACACAGACTGCAGGTTTGATGGGCATTGGGCTGCTCTATTACGATACTCAGCATAGGCGAATGAGCGAGATCATGCTATCAGAGCTGGAGTACATGGAGGTCGAAGATCCGGATAGTGGACCGGATCGACTTCGCGACGAGTCATACAGATTAGCGGCAGGCTTCGCTCTCGGACTCATCAATCTTGGGAAGGGTAAAAGTCTGCATGGACTTCACGGAATGCGGCTACCTGAGCGTCTTCTGGCTGTTGCGATTGGTCCCAGACCCGTTCGAGCTGTACATGTTTTCGATCGGGCTACTGCTGGTTCGATCATTGCTCTGACGCTGATCTACATGAAGACTGGCGATAAAGGCATAGCGGCGAAAGTGGATATCCCAGATGCTGCGGCACAATTCGAACACGTCCGTCCGGATATGCTGCTTTTGCGTGCTATGGCAAGACATATCATCATATGGGACGAGATCAAGACCGTCCATCGCAATCCTCAGAACCGAACCTCACCAGGCTGGATCGAATCCAACCTCCCAGCCTGCTATCAGAGCACATACCGAGCCTTGTCGAGCACTAAACTCAAGCAGCCGCTGCAGACGACCGATGTGCCCTTCTACAACATCCTCACTGGTCTCGCATGGGCACTAGGACTAAAGTACGCAGGCAGCGGGAACGAAGACGCTCGCGATGAAGTCCTGTCTGCTCTCGACCTGCTCTATCACGTGGCAGGCGAAAGCTACTACTACGATGCCAAGCTCACCCGCGCGACGGTGCGTCGCTGCGTGGATGTCCTCGCACTCGTCGCAGCTACCATTATGGCAGGGACGGGTGATTTACAGACCTTCCGATACTTGCGCCGCTTACATGGTCGTACAGATGCGGAGACGCCTTATGGCTCGCATATGGCCGCGCATCTCGCGATAGGCGTGCTGTTCATGGGCGGCGGAACATACACGTTTGGCACCTCGAACTTGGCAATCGCCTCACTGATCTGCGCTTTTTATCCTTTGTTTCCTGCAGATGTCCATGATAATCGGGTCCATCTGCAAGCCTTTAGACATTTCTGGGTCTTTGCCGCGGAGGCGCGATGTCTGGTTGTGGAAGACGTGGACACGGGACGGCCAATACGGATGCCGGTGAAGGTCAGCATGAGAGATGGATCCAAGAAGGTTTTGACAGCGCCTTGTCTTCTGCCGGAGCTGGACACGATAGCCTTGATCCAGACGACGGACTCCGTATATTGGCCTTTGACTCTAGACTTCGCCAATCAGCCATCACATCTCGAGGCGTTCCGTAGCAACCAGACTGTGCATATCCGGAGATGTCCTGCAGCGGAAGCCCATGGGACGGTATTCAGCGCCACGCTCGCCGCGGTCAACGATGCTTCGCAGAGTGCACTATCACAACCTCTGGCTAGTAACAATCTTTGGCAGAGTCTCTTCACGTTGCCGGCACTCAAAGATCTGGATACAGCGGACTGGGAGCTTGTGCTGCCGCCTGATGTGCATAGCTCTACTCACTTAGATGAGCGTGGGACGGTGGTTGATGATCGGTTGATTCTGGGCAGAGATGCTGAGGATAGTGATGTTGATAGGTTGAGAGCTTTAAAGGTGCTTTTTACATGGGCGGAGAAAGTGAAGGTGGAAGGCGGAGGGGAGATGCGATGGTTGGGGGATGAGGTTGTGCAGAAGTTGAGAGCGAGGATTGAGGAGAGGAGTAGACTTGCTGCTTGATGAGCTATTGCAAAGTCGCATGAGATGATTCTATACTACAGGCATCATCCAATAAACAAAATTCCGTGTCGTTGTGATTCTAGTGTATCGCGAGGTCATATGAGCCCAGCCACGTGACTGTCTTGCCAAGCCGGCTACATCCGCTACGCGAGCCCTTCTTCCGAAACGGAGCTCTCCTGAAGCTTCTCTTGCTCTTACCAGAGCACATCTTCCACCTCCACGTTCGAGTACAGCGGTCGACACTTCGAAACTTCGCGACGACACGGTGTGCACTTCGACACTCGGAGTAGGCACGCAAGGCTAGGTACGGCAAGAGCAGGAAAGACTGCCTCTTGTATCATTTCCGCCCGATCTCTGCCTTGCACCGACACCATTAACCACGCGACGGCGTGTCCACTGCACACACCCTCACTTGCTTGCAATCCGGCTCCATCACCCAACACCATCCTCTCCAGTCGGGCACAGCACAGCATAGCACAGCACAGCACAGCAAAACTACCTGCCGAGTCCTGCCCTTGCAAGACTCTCATCTCCAGCGCGTCCTCGCCGTCCAAGCACAAGCACATTCTCTCTTACACCACACCACCAACACTACCACCAACCAGTCCAGCACAGCACCGCCACCACATTTCTTCCTCCGACACCTCCGATCACAGCACGCTCTCCTTCGTCCACAGCACGATAGCGTGTAGATAAGCAGACAGACAGCTAAGCATTTACGACTTTCTTCCACTGGCACTATCTGAGCACTTCCTCTACATTCACAACCGTAACACTTGATCATCATGGCCGACGTCCCGGAGACTCCCGTTGCCACGGCCAAGCGTCCCCTTGAGGAGCCCTCGTCCCCCTCTGGACCCACCGATCAGCCCGATGCCAAGCGTCCTGCTCTGGACAAGGTATTGAAGGATGACGGCGTTGACGATGCTAACGTGGCCACTAATGGTGATGTCGCTGGTCATGCTGCTGTGGATAACGAGGCTACTGAGACGGTAGACGCGAATGTCGTAGTAGTATCAAGCACGGAAGAGATTAAGCCGGAAGCAGATGTCGCGGACAAGCAAGGTGATACTGTGGTGCTGGATGCTCCAACTAATGGCACATCAGCGGCACCAACCTCTGCCGTCGCCGAGATGCCAAGCCAGTCGCCAGCTGTTTCACATGCTCAAAGCGGCCGTCAAGGCTCACAGGCACCTATGCCGTACCATCAACAAGACGAGACTAGCTGGCTGCACATGCGCGCCATAATATCGAGCGCAGAGGCGGCCACAGTCATCGGCAAAGGCGGCGAGAATGTGTCGCAGATCAGGCGTCTGGCTGGTGCCAAGTGCACTGTCAGCGAGTACTCGCGTGGCGCTGTCGAGCGCATTCTGACTGTCAGTGGCCATGTGGACGCCGTTGCGAAAGCATTCGGCCTCATCATCCGCACACTCAACCAGGAGCCGCTCGAGGCACCTTCCACCCCTCAATCCAAGACCTACCCGCTTCGTCTGCTTATCCCGCATATTCTTATTGGGTCTATCATCGGCAAGCAAGGCGTAAGGATTCGCGAGATTCAGGAGGCATCTGGTGCTAGACTGAATGCTTCTGAATCTTGCCTTCCACTCTCCACGGAGCGCTCTCTTGTGGTTCTGGGTGTCGCTGACGCTGTCCACATTGCGACGTACTACGTTGGCAGCACGCTCGTCGAGCAGCTGACCGATCGTTTTGGTGGCCCAGCGGCTTCCAACTATGCCAGCCGTCATGGTGGAGGACCACAGGGCCCAGTACCTGGTGGTATGCAAGTGGTGCCATACGTCCCTCAGCACGCAGGTGGACAGATGGGTCACCCAGACAACAACATGCGCCGACCACCTCATCCTCAGCAACAACAGCAGCGCGCACCCTCTCAAGGCTATGGTATGCCTGGTTACGGCATGCCACCACAGCAGCCTCAAGCGCCAATGCCTTACGGCGCCGGCTCTCCTCGCGCCGCCTACGCCGGCGCAGGCCCCCACCAACCCCAGCCTCACGGCGCCCACCCCACCCCAGGCTACGGCGGCGGCCCACCAAACCCCTCCCACGCCGGCCCACCTCAACAGCCAATGCAAGGCATGGTGCCCGGCCAACCCATCACGCAACAAATCTTCATCCCCAACGACATGGTCGGCGCGATCATCGGTAAGGGTGGCGCCAAGATCAACGAGATAAGACAGTTATCGGGCAGCGTCATCAAGATCAATGAGCCGCAGGATAACAACAATGAGCGGTTGGTTACGATCACGGGGACGCAGGAGTGTAATCAGATGGCGTTGTATATGCTGTATTCGAGGTTGGGGGAGAGTAGTAAGAATAGTAGTAATGCTGTTATGCCGAGGTAGGCGGTGGGAGTGCGTGATACACGAGGAAGTGGGAGAGAAGCGAGAGGTGCGACATGCGATTGGGTACTCTCATGCGTTCCGGCGTGACGAGCTCTATGGCGGTTGTCCACGACGGACCTGCAAACTGGAGTGGATGGGCGTTTCTTGGTGCAACAGCAACAGCATCGCTTGCTCGCTTGCTGCCGCGGCCAAGCAATGCAGAGGATTGCACTGTAAGCTAATAGCTAGGCTTGAAATGCATATTGAACACGAATTTGGATCTACTTACGTCTCACGTGTTTGCAGGTTCGCCGGTCGCTGAGCCGCATTCCTGAGAAAGTTCCTGATCGCGACCATCGAAACCGCGGGTACGACACTGACGATCCCTTCACATCTGGAACATATTGTGCGCGAGTAGAACGATGTGCATCTCGCCTGCTGCAGCACGCATGCGCTAGTCCATGCCTGCAGAACGTGCGGAACGTGCAGCATTTGTCCCACTGTTCTGTTTGCCCGCCTACGCTTGCATACCACATATCTCAAACCTTCGCAGCGCAAGCAAGCAACATGTCCGCTTGCGGCAGCCATGCGCCACGCCGAGATGCTGTTTGCGAACAAAGACATACAGTTTACTGTCGGCATAGGCATAGTTGGGTAGTGAACAAGGGACGGTAGGGTATGGTATGGTATGCAGTCTTCTCATGCATGCATTCAGCAAAGAGGCAAACGTGTAGGGGTGTCCTTTTCCTTCGCGACAGTGCCGTGCCTCGTGTGTTGGTTATCTGGCTGATAGATACACTCGCCCTCCCGCGCAGCTGATTGCCTACTCTTACATCACTGCGGCTAACATATCTGGCTTGACCGACACATACCAAGGCCAGCGCAACTGAGCTATTCGCCACGCTGGATCCTCCTCCTCCCGCTACACCGGACTCACCCCTCCTGGCACCAGTCTGATACCGACGTCTCGCACCGTCTCCCCGCCGCCCTCGTCACCGCGCAGCCGCAACACAACAACAGTACACCCACCGCATACCGCGACCTCAAAGAAACGCCATGGCGCTGCAACTTACCGGACGTCCCTCAATCGTACCCGCGGTCCAAGAAGTCCCCAGTCCTGCCTCTAGCACAGATTCCCTGGACACTCGAGGCGAGGACGAGGAAGGCCAGCAGCAGCAGATCGTCTCTCGGAGTGAGCGTCAAGGAGGAAGATATCGAAATGCTCATGCGCCTCTAGCTGCTACAGCGGGAACTGCTACGACGAAAAGTCGTTCGGGCAGGACGAAGCGATCTCCGAGTCGGTTGCCGTTGCGGACGGTGTTCAGGAATAGTACTGAGGTCGTCGACGTATTTGTCGGTGGTGGAACGGCCTTGATGACTTCGCCCACGTCGGAGAAAAGTGGAAATGGTGGTTCAAAATCCTCGCCTATGACCTACACCGTACACAAGGAGCTCCTCACATCTGCCTCGCCGTTCTTCGCCGCCGCGCTGAATGGGACTTTTGCCGAAGGCCTGGAACAAGCTGTCAAGCTTCCGGAGGAGAAGCCCGAGATCTTCGAATGGTTCCTGCAATGGCTGTACACCGGCTCCCTGAGCGTAGCGGGCGAATCCGGCGGGTTCACTACAGGCTGGGGTAGTGGTGGCGCGCATGCCCATGCTCAATCTCACGACCACAGCCATCAGTCCGCCCACCATCCCTACCAACAGACCCGCACCATCCGCGACGACATCGACGCCCAACTCCGCACAGACGGCGACCTCCGCAACCACGCCGGAAGCCCCAAATACTTCCTCCTCATGGACCTCTACGCCCTCTCGGACCGGCTCCTAACAACCCAACTAAGCAACCACATCCTCAGCACCCTCGCCCGCCTCTCGGAAACCACAAACTCCGTGCCCACACCAAGCGATACCTTCATCCTCTACGACAGTATCCGAGACACCTCCCCTTTACGAACTCTAATCCTCGACCTCTTCGCCTACAAAAAAACCGACAAGTTACTCGAGACGCACAAAGATGACTGGCACCCGCGTTTCCTCCGCGAACTAGTCGTGAAGTTGAAACGACCCGGTGCCGGGACCGAGACGGTGGAGAGACATGATTTGCAGGCCTGGAGGCCGGAACAGTGGAGTGCGACGAGGGCGTGTGAGAGGTGTAGGGAGGTGGTGAAGCCGGGAATGAGTTGCGATAAATGTGTCGAGTGTGGGAAGGTGTTTTGTGGGGGGTGTTTGAGGCGGTGTGGCGGGGTTGGTGGGCAGGGGCAAGGGCCGGTGGGTGTGGGCACGGCGGGGTGGGGATGGGGCGGGTTGGATACGGGGGGGTGTAAACCTTGGATGGGACGGGGGCTTTGTGGGAGGTATCATGAGCATACGGAGGGGGAGGGATGTTGTTGATTGGAGAGTGTTGGTATTGGTTTTGCTGGATTTGGATCTGGTCTGCGGTAACCAGATATCTGGGTGTTGATGTTCTGAGTCTAGGCGTCTCTATCTGTTTGGTTTGCGCCGACTTGACCGAGCGCTCACCTTCGTAGCGATGCGTGGTGCCACTCCACATGCTCGTGAGCAGGACTGCGGGCTGCGCCATGGCAAGTCGTTTGGAGTATTCATCGAAAAGCTTCTTGATTGCATGTCCGGAGTCGCCTCAGATACTGTCTCGGTCCCCTGGGATGGAAGGTGGAGATGCGTTATTTCGTTGATCGTAGAAAGCAGCATAGCATTTCTCAACCTCCAGATAAGGTACCAAGGTAGACGCAAAGTGCCTTGCTCGCGCCGTGCATGCAATAGTGAACGACCTTCATCTTCTCATCCCCTTTGGCATATTTGACTAGTTGCCGTAAATCCGAAGTCCGAGGTAGATACAACACCATATCGTTAGTGACAGCAGAAAAGGCCTTGTGTAGTTGATCCAGCGAGTAAGGCTCCATGCCACTCAGATCGTAAATCTCACAGTCCTTGTATGTAGGACCTAGAAGTCAACCATCAGTTGACTCAAACCTGGAAGTAAAATAAATTGACAAACTCACCACCCCAAGGCGGACTCCCAAAAACCACCACACTTCCCCCCAGCGCCTTCAACCGCCTCGGCACCTCAACCAACGAATCCCCTCCAATCCAGAAAATCTTCTTCCCAACCCCATAGACCTCCGCATTCCTCTTCGCACAAGCCAAAACAACCGGATCCCTCTCAATAGCAAAAATCTGCTTCCACCTGCCTGAGAGCGCAAAAGCAATCGTATTCCCTCCCGCCCCTGCGAAAGCGTCCACGAGGATGGTTTTATGTGCTGGGGCCAAGGAGGCGATGTCGGCGGCGATGCGGGTGGCGACAGGTTCCGGGGTGATGCCGTACCAGGCGGCGTCAGTCATCCAGATGCCGGAGTCGTAGAGGGAGAAGATGTCGTAGCGTTGGTGCCAGTATTTTTGGATTTCGAGGGGGACTTCGTCAGCGGTCTCATAGTGGTAGACTCCTTCCGGGGGTTCTTTTGAGGTGGCCATGACAGCGGGGTGGGGTTGGAGGATGGTTTTGCTCTGTTCGTGAAAGGAAGGCACTGGTTCTTAGTCAGGTACTAGCATGGTGGGATTCTGTGGAGGCGGGAAGTCTATCTACAACCATGTCCCCGATGACGATGATTTACTTGGATAGACGCGCTCGTTGTCTACGAGATCTGTGAGTATGTCGCAATGAGCACACCGAGCAAGCGTCGCAAGAAGAATGACTATCAAGTATCGTCGCAACCAGTGCGCAAGCTCGACTACTTCTTCGGCAAGCAGAAGGGGAAGGAACTTCCTGTGCTAGTGCAGGACGAGGTGAATGATGAAGATGATGAACATTTGACGGATGAGCAGCTGGCTCGGAAGCTACAGGCAGAGTGGGATGAGCAAGATCGATCACAGCAGGATGGAGGGGACGATGCGCCGCATGTTACAGAAGCAACGGCTGAGGATGGCCAGGCAGTAGCAGGGGATGTGAATGAGCCAAGGCCGGACGTGGACGAGGCCGATGATCCGATCGTGAAGGATGAAGAGAGGCAGGACATGGAGGCACGAGTGGCAGAGCACGACAGTGAGGCTGACATGAAGCCATCCGATCACCAACCTGTAACGAATGCATTTGCCAACATGGGAAAGAAGAATACATTATCCCTACAGTCAGCCACGGCCGACGAGGATGTCACGTCTTACAACATCTCCTTCGATCAGTCGCCTCTCGCTTTCGAGCCAGAAAAGTTCCTCCCCGACCTTCGCAAGCAATGGGCCGCAGAAGGAGGGTCAGCGACGTATGCACTTCTCACCCACTGTTTCGTGCTCGTGAACAGCACCCAGTCCCGCATCAAGATCGTCGACACGCTCACCAACCTCATACGTACTCTTATCGTCGCCGATTCGGACTCACTACTCCCGGCGGTCTGGCTGGCTACAAACTCCATCTCGCCGCCGTACATCGACATTGAGCTAGGACTGGGCGGGAGTGCCATCTCCAAAGCGCTGAAGAAGGTCTGTGGTCTTGACAATGCTGCGCTCAAGACGCTATACAATAAGCATGGCGATGCGGGCGATGTGGCGTTTGAGGCGAAGAAGAGGCAGAGTCTGACACTGCGCAAGCCGAAGCCTCTAACCATCAAGGGTGTGTATGAGAGTCTACATAAGATCGCCGCAGCAAAAGGCCATGGAAGTGTAGAAGCGAAGCAAAGAATAGTAGAGAGATTGGTCCAGGATGCGAGAGGAGCGGAGGAGAGTCGATACATCGTGCGGACACTCGTGCAGCACCTCCGCATCGGCGCCGTCAAAACAACCATGCTCATTGCACTCTCTCGCGCCTTCTTACTTTCACGACCACCTGATGCACAGTTCCCGATCAGATCTACATCAGACCTAGCCAAGCTAAACAAGCAAGACCTCGCCGAAGCCTACTCCCCGGGCGAGGAACTAGTCAAAGCCTCCTTCGCCCGCCGACCAAACTATAACGACCTCGTACCAGCACTACTAGAAATTGGCATCTGTGACGAACTCGTCATCCGCTGTGGTCTGGCGTTACATATCCCGCTCCGACCAATGCTGGGCGGTATCACGCGTGACCTGAACGAAATGCTCACCAAGCTCCACGGCCGGGACTTCACCTGCGAATTCAAGTACGATGGTCAACGGGCGCAGGTCCACTGCGATGGTAATGGGAAGGTTACCATCTTCTCGCGGCATCTGGAGGTGATGACGGATAAATATCCGGATCTCGTGGCCCTGGTCCCACAGATCCGTGGTGAAGGCGTGCGGAGTTTCATCCTCGAAGGGGAAGTCGTGGCGGTTGATCAGACGACGGGGGATCTGAAGCCCTTCCAGATCTTGGCCAATCGAGCGAGGAAGGATGTCGTGATCCAGAGTGTCAAGGTGGAAGTCTGTCTGTTCGCTTTCGACCTGATGTACTTGAATGGAGAGGAATTGCTCGATCGACCGTTTCGGGAGAGGAGGAGTCTACTGCGGAGTCTGTTTGTTGAGATCCCGAGGAGGTTCACTTGGGTCAAAAGTTTGGATGCTACGAGTAAGGATGGGGAGGTCGTTAGTGCGTTTTTCAAGGAAGCCACGGAGATTAAATGCGAGGGGATTATGGTTAAAGTGCTGGATCATATGGTCGATCCTGGCTTGCAGGGCGAGGGTGAAGGCGAGGGAGAAGGTGAAGAAGGGATTGATGCGGTACCCGCACCACCTACACCCTCCAAACCCAAGAAGAAAGCAGCAAAGTCGAAAGCGAAAGCAAAGTCCACAGCATCCACCACCAACAGCGAAGAAACGGAGAAACCTCCCTCCTCCCGCCGCAAACCCTTACCCTCAACCTACGAACCCGACAAACGCCTCGACGCCTGGCTGAAAGTCAAAAAGGACTACCACACCAGCGCCGACACCATCGACCTCATCCCCGTAGGAGCCTGGCACGGTTCCGGCCGCAAAAACGCCTGGTGGTCTCCCATCCTCCTCGCGTGTCGGAACGAAGAGAATGGGACGCTCGAGGTGGTAACTAAATGTATTAGTGGATTTACGGATGCGTTCTACAAAGCCAACCGTGTGAAATACGACCCGGATGCCCATGAGGGTGAGGGTGAGAATACCATTGCCCGGCCGGGCTATGTGGAATACATCGGCCGTCCGGACGTCTGGTTCGAGCCGCAGGAGGTGTGGGAGATGGCGTTTGCGGATGTGACGTTGAGTCCGACGTACACGGCTGCGATTGGGCTGGTGAGTGAGGAGAGGGGGTTGAGTTTGAGGTTTCCACGTTTTCTGAAGGTGAGGGAGGATAAGGGGATTGAAGAGGCGAGTTCGAATGAGTTTTTGGCCGGGTTGTATCGGAAGCAGGAGGCTAGAGCTCCGTCTGAAGTGGTGGGTGGGGGAGGGAAGGTGGAGGAGGAGGGGGAGGAGGAGGAGGGAGGGGAGGAGGAGTGATGCAGGGAAGGTGCGAAAATCTGGTTTGAATAAAGCCGGAGTGAGGAGTATGAGTAAGATATTCGCTGAGTCGTACATCATCCCTGAAAGCGCTTCGTGGCAGCCGCTTCACTACCGGACCTATCCCCGCTCGCTCAAGCGGCTTCGCCATCCAGATCACTGCTTAGTGCAAGCACCAGAAAGACTACTGCCACATATCGTCATCATTCTCCTCCTCCGCCATGACGGAATCGACCTCCTTTGCTTTCCCGCCACCCGCGACCTCCTTCTTGATCTTCTTGGTCGGACTCTCATCTCTCCCGCCCATCTCGTCATCATCACCTCCATGCTCCCCTCCAATACCAGCAACAGCAGGATTGCCCCTCTTCTTCCCACGCTGCGACGGGGTCGGAGTGCCGTCATCCGCATCACCATCAACAGAAGCAGAACCCCTCACCCAACCCTTCCTCCCGCTTCCACGCACCCCCTTGACCTTACCCGGCGTCTTCCTAGGCGTACCAGCACCTCCTCCACTCGCGTTCTTGGAATTAGCAGCCTTGACCGAGCCGCTAAGCGCACCATATTCGTCCTTGAGCTTGTTCTTGGTCACGCGCATGAGTTCACGGGCGGAAGCGGCGCTGGCGAGGCCGGCGATTTGGGCGAATTTGGTATAATCGATCTATGTATGTGAATGAGCGGCTTTGATAGGGTTTTTGGGAGTGGGATGAGAGGGGAAAAAGGGGTTGGGGGGTGATAGGCTAGGGGTTGGGCTAGGAGGTGGTGTACCTTGGGCTCGATGTCGAAGGTTTGCCAGGCGAGAGCTAAGTACTCCATTTGCTTGTTGGAGAGGGGCATCGTGCGTGCTTGTTGAGGGTGTCTTGGATGACGTTGACGACTTGTGTTATGCTTGTGTGACACTTGTCTTGATGGCTGGATGCAAATATCAGCTTGTGGAGAGTTGATGCAATGTGTTTGCGAGAAAGTCGGGGTCATCGAGAGTCTTGGCCGTAAGTATGAAACTTTCCGGCCTGGTTAGCTGGAATGAACGGGTGTGAATGCTGGTTGCGTAATCACGAGGTGGTAGTGGGTAAGTGATTGCAGATATTCTTAGACGTACCTCCCGCAAGTGAAGAGGCTTTCGGCGTACCGAGCGGACGTGGTCAAGATGGAGAGAGTGGATGCAATAGCTATGCAAGTCGGATCCAAGTCTGGGTACATCGACTGAATGTGTAAGTGAGACAGCAAGAGAAGCTTGACCAGAATTGCTGCCTTTTATATCCGCTACAAACACAGTCCTAGTCCTAGTCCGTATCGACCTAGCACAGCAAGACATTGCAGCTTTGCTTGTAGTGACAGGTATTCACAGCAATTCTGTTCATTGCAGCTGCAGTCGTAGTGCTCGTCCACGGGTTTCATGTGCGATCTCGTGGCGACTAGACTCTCGGCCGTGAGGTGACACGGCAGACTGCAGCTTACTTGTGTCGCAAGGTTTCAGAGAACGTGTGAATCGTCTTCACGACAACACACAGTGCCGCCGTAGCCATACCATACAAAGTCCGCTTCACCTCCACAGTCTTGGCGTGCAGCTGCGTGCCTTCTTCGTGGACCAGTATTTCGGATCACCCGATTTCGCCCCTGATAGAAGCGTCACTCGTATTCTGGTCGCGCGAAGGCTATGCGTCTATCGTGATACAGAAAGTGGCTCCTTGTTCGTGAGGATAAATGCGTGCTCCACCACCCACCCCAAAGCCACATTTACAGCAGCCACGCACAATCACATGCCAGACACACCTCAGTCCAACTGTCCTCTCCTCTCCTCCACCACCGGCGCATCCTCGGCGCAAAACCAACAGCATATAAACCACCCACCAATCCTCCCAAACATAAGCGTAATCTAAAGCAAGATCCTGCGACCAAAAACACACCTTCACAGACCGCTTCAGCCGTCACTAGGTGCCGACGAGACCCCCACATCTCTGCTCGTCTCAACCAACCCATGCCATTCGCAAGGGTGCTAAGTCTCGTTGCCTTCGGGGAACTTGAGCATGCTGATAAGAGCGAGACGCAGCTTGGGCCCTGGGTCGATGCGTTGATTGGGTAGGTAATGTTTCGGTTGTCACAGATGGCAGTGGTAGCGCCTGCCCGCTTGTTCTGAGTGAGAGAAATCTGGTTATGATTCCAGTGCGCTGACTACTGGGAGTTGGCATACCGTTAGAGCCGGTTATAAAATTTCTTTTTCGAGGTGGCTTTGGTCATTGCTACGATAGTGGTTGGTTATCGTAGGCCTGGGCTAGCACCGGTATCCCCTTTTGCTAATGGGAAGTTTGATGTCGCTGGTGCTTGACGAGTGCTCCTGAAGCGTGAGAGCGTAGAGGGGTTCAGGTTCGAGTCAAGCGATCCTGCAGCCCTTCCATCTTTTCGCTTTTTGAGATGGACAGATTTGACAAAGATGTTGATGAGCTTTAGGGGCGTGAGACCCATCACTCCTCGAGCTTCATTGCCACCGCCGTCCTTCACAAATTGGCAAGCTTACTTCTTCATCGCTGAACACTCACATTGTTCGTCTTCGACTTCCTCCTTTGTGGCGCCATCCCCCTTTCACAGTATCCTGTGACGTTGATTCTTCATCAACTCGAACTCGGCCACATCCCGCCCTCATCAACGACACTACAGCTCAATCTCGCTCTCCATACCACGTGCAACAAGCAGCAGACCACATAATACCTCCACCCTCCGGCGTCATCAAAAGCTAGGATCCTGCGCTCTTGAGACGACCAGCAATGTACAAGTGCTTCGTAGGAAAATTAAGGGAGCTATCCGACTGCAAATTTTTGTGTTTGACAGCATCGCACTTCGGGGTGCAAGGATGGTGGTTGGAGTCCGGCCGTGGCGCACGCTTTCTGCCTTCAGAAACCCCCGCCCGTCTTTGCTCTTCCCCAGAAAAGTGCGAGGGCCATCCACCTTGAGCTACGCACAGGACGAGGTGAGCTGCACATCTGACCAATGCAATAACGATCTTTCAAAATCACACTACATGCCCCATCGCACGTACTCAGAACAACCTCTGCCGCAAGAACAACTCCACCTCAGGCTTAAACCACCCCTTCAACATAACATGCTTCGTAACATTATTAACCACCGCCTCCTTCTCCTCCAACCCCAGCAATTTCCTCAAGTCGTCCCTAAGTTCCTCCGGCCTCCCATCAATCTTCTTGATCCTCGTCATCTTCAGATTACCACCTCGCTTTCTGAGCTGGTAAATAGGTAGTTCCTTGCTCGGCGTTCTGGACACGAAGTAGGCGAGATTCGGTGCGCATTGGACCGCTGGGAGGGGCTCCACGGGTTCACGGATAAGTTTCGATTTCGTCTGGGTAGAGTGAGCTGGATGACGGGTCGGGTATGAGCGCTCTGGGCGTGGATGACGGGAGCGATGGGAGGCTCGAGACTCCTTTGGTCGAGGCAGGGATTTGAGGCTGTTGGGTGGGTATGTTGCTGATGCGGAGCGGGAGGCGATGAGGTTCGGGTCTGTACGGAAGTATCAATACAGTGATGTAAGAGTATGGCAAGTACATATCTGCTTACCTTCTTGCTTTGCTACTTGTGTCTGTGCATCTGCTCTACATCTCGTCGTGGTGGAGAAGCGGAGGAAGTGTCGGATTGTGGAAGGTTTTGGGGCACTAAGGGGTCGTAGGAAGGCGAGATATGGTGCTGCTGATGCCATGATGTGTGATCTGGTCGTACCTATGGTCCAATGGCCAGAACAATAGACTCGTCTTCATGTAGGAGAAGTGAGTGCTGCGGAGCGCTCGGGGATGCATTGTTAATGTATGCATTATGTAATCAACGGTTATGCATCTCGAAGCTGCCTCCACTGTGCTGTGAAACCACCACGCTGCCATACATCCACTCTGGAGCACACTACCATCACCACATCAAACCACCTGCCCGCCTGATATCCGAGCCGTACAGCTAGCAAACCTTTCTCCCACTCAGCAACCGTGAACAAACCAGCAACGCAGCTGAAGGCGACACGTGCTCAACAGTGCCTAGTGCTTGAGCAGCACATCCAGACACCAGCCATCTGCTCATCACAACACAACCCCTCAAACGATCATGGACAATGCAAAGGTGTCCAAGGCTTTGCAGGGCGCGCGCGAGAAGTCACATGATGACCTCCAGCACTACTTTCTGAGCTTCGAAGATTACTGGGAGAGGAAGCTGTGGCACGAGTTGACGGACATTCTGGTTGAGTACTACCACGAAGAAGAGAGCAAGCCGCAACGGATAGAGCTGTATGAAGGGTTCGTGAAGGCATTTGCGGACAAGATCAATCAATTGAAGTTGGTGGTAATTGGGCTACAGGCGGCGGGACAGTGCAAAGGTATAGATGAGCACACTTCTTTCAGAATGCTGCATGGCACTAACCAATCCATAGACGACAAGACACGCCTCGACTTCCTCGCAACACTCGCCAAGCGAGTCAACAAACCCACGAGCCAAGATGCCTACGTTCTCGCACTCTCACGCACTGCTTCTGTACGACTTAGCCTAAGTGACAAGACAGGCGCACGAACCGACCTCGATACGTGCGAGAAGACACTCGAGAACTTCGACAGCGTGGAGAACGTAGTGCACGCCTCCTTCTACCGCGTCAGCGCAGACTACTACCAACAATCGCACTCCTTCGCCTCATACTACCGCACCATGCTTCTCTACCTCGCATGCGTCGATCTCGCCACCCTTGCGCCGAAAGATCGCCAACGCATCGCATACGACCTCAGTATCGCCGCGCTGGTGAGCGAGACCATCTACAACTTCGGCGAGCTCCTGCTCCACCCTATTCTTGAGAGCCTGGCCAAGACCGAGCACGACTGGCTCCGCGACCTCCTCTTCGCCTTCAACCGCGGTGACCTTCACGCTTACCAGATCCTTCAAACACATCTCCGTGCCAATAGCTTGCTGCAAACACACCAGACATTCCTCTACCAGAAGATCTCCCTTGCGGCCCTCACGCAGCTCGTCTTCTCCCGCTCGCCACAGGATAGAGCTATGACTTTCACGACTATCTCGGAGGAGACTAAGGTGCAGCCGGACGAGATTGAGCACTTGATCATGAAGGCTTTGAGTTTGGGCTTGTTGAGGGGCAGTATCGATCAGGTGGAGGAAGTGGCGAGGATTACGTGGGTGCAGCCGAAGGTGTTGGAGAGAGGGGGCATTGAGGCCATGAGGGAAAGGTTGAGGGAGTGGGATGCTGGGGTGGAGAGGCTGGGGCATTATGTTGAGGGCGTGGGCAAGGAGGTGTGGGCTGCGTAGGCAATGTTTGCTGGAGCATGAGAAAGTGCCTACTTGGCTGGAGTGCTGCAGTAAGCGATTTGGCTGAGATGGCAAGCACAATACATTTGCGCGCCTCTTGATCACGCTTCGCTTCCGCTTTCGGCTGGAGCTCAGCATTTGCGGAGTGTTGCAGCGAGAGGTAGATTAGGAGGATCTTTCTCGCAGAATGTGGCAAGGCGTTGCTGCACAAGCTAATAGAGCGGCACTCTTCCGCATGCAACTACAGCAGACCTCACTTTTAGCATAGATATGAAAATGTAACAATTATGCAATGCCTCATTCTCATTTTTCTCATCATTAATCTCTGCCCAGTCGTTGATCCATGCTGTCTCCTGTATGATCTTCGATGAGCTGGCGCATCGTACCCGAAGGCTGCCACGCAATGTCTGCCTGATCGCCGCCTAGTGTTGCCTGGGAGTTGTGACAGCATAAATCTTCATCGGGATTGCAAAAAAAGAATCTACAAGACCCACCATTGTACTTTTGTCCTTCACTCGGGCCTACTGAAAATCTCGACGACCTTATCACTGGATAGCGAAGACGTCATTTTGCATTTCTCTCGCCACCGATTTTGCAAGTGCACCAACAGACCAAAGACCGAACAACGCAAGACTATCATGGCAACCAACACCACCCAACCCCAAGACCAATACAAACCCGCCCCTCTGTTCGGCGGCGCCATCACCTGTCTTCTCCCCTCTACCTTCGCCGATGTGAGCGATATTCGTCAAGTCCCGGACAACCAGGAAGTCTGGCTCGATACCGATGGCTTCACCTCCATCGTCTTGGATATTCTGGAACGAGTGTATGCGAAGTCTGACGCGGATGCATTGAGGGTGCATCTGGAGCATATTGTGGATGAGGATAAGGATAAGATGAAGATTTTGCAGGAGGGGGAGGTGGCGGTTTGTGAGATGATGGGGTATGTATATGCTGTTCCTGACTTGACAGGTCTCTTGATTCGTTCTGGATAGTATGTGTCGTGGAGGCTGAAGTGTATGAATACTTACCTTTTGCACACAGATCAAGCACACCATGCTACACCCTCATCGTCACTTCGCCACCAGGAGCTAAGCAGCGCGGCCGTGCTAACGAGCCAGCGTTCGTGGATCTCTTAGTGACTTTGATTCGGCTGGAGAAGCAGAAGACTGATTTGGTGGTCACGATCAATGTACCACATGTTCCTGGAACTTATGACGCCGGTGAGATTGATCGGGAGGCGGGAAGATTGGGAAAGCTCTTGGATCGAGCTTTGGAGATGAGGGAGAAGGTGCTCAGGAGTCTCGAGATCAAGGACTTTGGGTTGTTTGGAGAGGAGTGATGGTCGGAGAGGTGGTGCTCTGGACACGGCTACTTGGGGTACCATGGGACGGACATTGGCAAAGAAGTTGCCACATTTTGCGAGAAGAGATCGAACAGCTTCAGGAGCGACACTCGACACAACACGAACACGGTAGATTACCACAACTGTAATATCGCCCACATTCGCAATTCAATCGACAGCACCGATACGAATGGATCGCGAAGTCACGACGGAAGATGACACAATTAGTAGTGCCTCCAGGCTCATTACTTCGATCCACCTTCATCTCTCGATTCAGCTCGATATGTAATCTCCGTACGCCGTTCCTTGTAGCCTACCACAAGCCAGGCTATGCTTCGGTGGGCGACCGCCGCCTGATTGGAGATTATGAAGGAGGCACGATCACGACGACAACACGGCAGATAGAATCCAGTACTTCCGTACCCGATGCAGTCTAGCCACAAGGCTGAAGGACGTCTCAATGCTTAGCCTAGGGCAGGGCGCCTGAGCTGAGCAGTTCGGACGGCCAGTCACATCGAGCTTAGTAACAATACAGCCAGCCCTGGAGAGATAGATGAGAAGAGATCTAATAGATGTGTCCATCATAGAATTGAAGACATAGACAGCTACCATAGCAGAAATAGTCTGCTTGACGTCAGAAGCCTGGGTCCTTAGCGCGAGCATTAAAGCGCCTGGATGAGGCTTAAACCATATGTACTTGTGAGTAAGCAAGGGCCGGCGTCATGGAAGCGACGAGGACTCACGAAGAAAAGATAATATGTGTGAGCTTGATTGTACAACGCGGCGGAATCGAGTAGCCGCATGAGGGAGGAGGAATCGTTTTCGTCTTCAAGCGTTGGTGGTGGCTGCAGTTCAGCTAAGGCGTCCTGGCTCCACAACACGCCTTCCGCTTGCCGCCCAGATCATACCAAGCGAATGCAGACGTAGAAGCTATGCGTCGAGCAGTCCAGCTATAACTGATATGCACCTTCCAGCCAATGTTCTCTCCCTGTTAGCGAGCACCAACACTGTCTCAGGGGCTTGGTAGCACCGCAGATTCGGTGAACGGCACAATACGTTAATGTAAGGTATGCCGCTCAGCCAATGCAAAGACCCTGAGTATGCTAGTCGTCGGCTATCGTGATGAACTCCAACACTCGAGCCACATCGTTGAGCTCCCGACCCGTGTCTCCAGAGTCAAGTATCTTCTTGTCATCCCCAGGCCCAATAGATGACAACGACTGCGTGGAGGACGATCTGGATAGATGGGAAGTGGGTACCAACACAGGGGAGGCCGCCTTCTTCGCTTTCTCGGACCTATACTGCCGCCCAATGGCCTCCATGACCCCCTTTTGCGTAGCACCCATGGGCAGTCCAGCCTTGATCCCAGCATAGTGCTCTTTGACGTACGCTGCGTAGCCCGTCACAGCGCCGCCGACATTCCCAGCAGCATCTTTACGCGGTATAGGTTTGATTTGCACGAGTTTACTCCGACACGCGCCACAGGTATGGCGTTTCGGGTCGACGCTCTTCGAGTGGCGTTTGAACTCAGAGCCACAGTCTTCGTTCGAGCACTGCCATATATACTTGTATTCGATCTGATAGGAGTGCTTTGTTGTGACTTCTACGCCGCGATGAGCGAATGCTTGGGTGGTCTTGCGACCCCATTCCTTGAACTGCTTGCCGTGAGGCTGGTCTTTGATGCCGGAGACCATGAAGTTGGCAAGGTGGCAGAATTCGTGCGCGATGACGTTGAGAAGGCGTTCTTCGTCGTCTATGACCTTCTCTGCCAGCTCGATGGAAGCGTGGTGCTTGTGGATTTTTAATGAAGCCCCGTCGAGCTGTCGTGACCGTATCGTTTCACGCCGCCAATTAGCTCTACCTGCAGTCGAATTCAACGTCTTGCTCCATATGAAGCGCACGCCACCAGTACCAGCCGCAAGCTCCCGTACTTTTCCAGTGGTGATTCTGTCGTCCAGATCTGCCAGGAAGCCCTCAGCTACCTGATGCTTGCGCGCCTCCCAGTCTCGCTTGTTGGCCATCTCGGTTTTGGTGCGCTTGGATGGACTTTGGGTCTTTCGAGGCGATGCTGTAGGCGAAGAGGAGTTTTGATTTCCAATGAGCTTATTCTTCTTTGGTGACCACTCCTTGCGAGGCGAGTACTGCTCGTTCCAGTCATTGACAGCTTCTGCATCCCAGAAGGCGTCAAGACTTTGCCGGAATGGGGGCGTCGGTATCCTCGCTGCTTGCTTTGAGGGAGATTTCAGTCTGCTTGTAGTTGGTGATGTAGGTGGTGGAGTTGATGGGCGTCCCAAGTCTCGAGCTTTCCGAGGACTGTACAAACGTGGTGGCGAGAAGCGAAGTATGGCTCTGCTGTCATTCTCTTTATCGCTGGAACTCATTGGTCGTGAAGCAGTGATTTCCTTCGTTCGAGGCACGGGCGGTAAGTCCACCTGCCGGTTACCACCATTACGCAATGTACTAAAGCTTTGGGTGAAGTCCGACGCATCGCCATCAAGATTGCTGAGCTTGTTGATCTTGCCAAAGTTTATGAGCTTTTGAGGACTCGGAAGCTCATCCTCTGAACCGTCTGATGATGACACGGAGCCGCACCAGACAGTCTCTTCAACATCGACCTCGATATCCAAGACACGGGCCAGATCATGGTCCATATCCTCAGCTGGCATAGCCACGCTTAATCCGGTATCCAGTTGAGCAGGAAGTTTTGTTGTCAAGACTGTAGGCTTGCCCTCATGGGTCCTTTTAGCTGTGCGATGGAAGTTACCGGGTCCTGTCAAGACCGTACCACGACATGCGCCTAGGGGTGCTAGCCGTATTTGCCTGGACTTCGTAGTGGGAGGAAGTATTGTTTTGATCTGATTTTCAAGACCTCCGGTGTCGTATAACCTGTCCTGGTGGTCGTTTTCAAGGTAGTTCGCGGTTGCCTTCTTCCTCGGAGATCGTCTGACATTCTTCACATGCTGCGAAGGACTTCCAGATGTCGAACCCGGTCGGAGTACGTCCTCGCCAGCAAAACTACCTGAACTTGTCCGTCGCATACGAGCCATTAGTATGCCTGTCGTGGGAAAGAATGTCAGCTCCGTCAATTGCGCATAAGTAACATGACCCCCATTGCTGGTGGCGAACGAAGTGAGGTCTCGAAAGTGTCGTGCCAAGCCAAGCGGCAATGTTTCGCATAGCAACCGTGCCTAGCAACTGGCTTCCGCAGCACTTCCATTCAATATACCACCACCTTGGTCTCTTATTTGGACACCGGCCTGACATTATTTCAGAGTCGCGCTGGAAACGCATCAGAGCCAAGTCTACCTGCTCTTACTGCTACTCGATGGCGCGCGTCTTACCCCCGCGAGTCGTGAATCAACCGGAGCAAAGCATAGAACTATACCAGCAGATGCCCGACCTTCGGCCATTGTATAGTGCATACATATGATCGGGTCGGCAAGATACCCTGTGGCTACTGCAGGTTGATATGTAACCTTGCTCGGAATGCCAGTGCACGACGGAAGCTCGTCATCGGCGAGACTGGTCCATCTTGCAGTTAGTCAATCGGCCAAGCGCGGCAACGACGGCTGCGTACGATGCCGATATGGCTTTGCCAGATTTGATGACGCATCCAAGCATTGAGTCCATGAAATGTGCCAATGCTACTGATACTGATGCCTCAAATGTGGCTGAGACAATAAAATCTGCTCAGTACAGACGCTTCGAGGTCGCCAACAGCTCATCGATGGCGTCTTGATGAGCGAACGACATAGCCTAGGTGACGCTAGGGGATTGTGGCTTGTGCATCAAGAAGATATGATTCGTGCATGTACAGGCACCTCTTCGTAATACCGACCCTGCCCTGATCTGGTCGGGATGCCTCCACAATCCGATGAGCTGGGTGAAAGCCTGTCACCATGATACAGCAATTAACATATGACCGCATTAGTCATGCAATTTCCAAGGCATTTGATACGAATCGCAAGCACGGATGGAAGACTGTTGCAGATCGAGTCCAAGAGGGCCGGGTCTCGCCAGGAACACAGCAAGGATTCCATACTAACGTGGGATAGTACTCGCAATCTTCCACCGGTGAAGGTACTATGCCGCATTTCGACACACGAGATGTCAAGCCCGATTCTTGGTCAGCCCTTGCGCTGCGGACTGACCTGAAACCAAGAGAGGTTAAGGTAGTTTTCAGCCTTGCCACTGGTACAATTATTGACCGTGATTGGCTCTTCCTTGTGCGTCTGTGCGCATTCCTTCAAACTTCAGGTCTTGAGATTAGCTAATGCTGGGTCTTCGACAAGCTCCACGTAGCGCCCAATTGCTCTACCTTCAGCCGCTCCCGTTTGTGCCTCTATTGGCATGGACGGCGTACTTCGTCGCCTCGCCTACGATAAGTCTCGCCCTAATGTGTCGCTCTGGTCTGTGTACCATGGGCATGCTGCATGACCCTGATCTGCCGGGCTTGATGCTTTCGAACATATTGCCTGACACGGTTAGACAGGGCTGATAGGTAGGCGGGTGAGTTGTCCGGAGGCACCATGCCTCCTTCTGCTGCCAGCTTCAGAGGCGCAACCATGACATTATGGACCCACACGCAGACAGCGCCAGCAAACTTCCGCCGGCCCAGCGACCTTGTCTTGAGGACTATAAAGACAACGATATCTAGTCTGAGGAGGCGCTGCGATGACTCAACTGCCCATGATTTGCACCGCAACATCGCTCAAACCCGAACAGAAGCCGTCCGTACATTCCCAGCTCCGGGCACGCCACGAATTCCCACGATCTGGCTATTGCATCTGCTTTTGGGGGCCGCCAGACAACATCATTGTCCTCGAGCTTTTTATTCAGCATACTTTTGGGACTAACATAGCCTCGTTCAGGCCATCTCAGAGTCTCCACCTCGATAGTTGATGACTACCCTCCACGCTCGACAGGGGTTTGAAGGCCCGCTGCCGTCGACCATTGTGGCCAATCATTCGAGAGTTCAACGCTGAATCACCAACACATAACACTAGGTCCTGATTGTTGGAGTCAATCGTCCCTGGCACTTGCACGAGCTGAATAACTCATACTGCTCCAAACGAACGACAAAGCCATGGCTTCAACGATGTTTGGACACGGCTATGTCGATTCATTTAGTCCGCTGCCGGTACGTGTCGATGATATATCTCTACCATCCTCTTTCATAGCGGACTTCACAATCCCCACAACACTCAAGCCCGCTGGGACTACCCATCTGGACTGCCGCTACCCGTCAAGTCCTTTCACTGCATTGCAGTACGTTCACGCGTTGACTTTTTGTGAGCTTGAGACTCTCGATACACGTTCTGACACGACGACTACTCGCCCGTCACACTGCACTAGGGTGTAGGTGTACATGCTGACTTCAACCAGTCTCCATTGTCGTACCACCGTACGCTACAAAGGAAGGAACGCAACCTCAGCATAAACCTGGATCGATACAGGATGTCAAACTACCAGTACAACCCTCCACAGGAGTCCCCTGAAGAGGAAGATGAGTTCCGCTTTCCGATGTTCGATCTGCCAACAACAACCCCAGTGACTTACGACCCATACGGCTCAATACCGGTGACCAATACCAGCACACCTCACTTCTTCCATGATGGTCCTGCTGTCTTTCAAGATGTGGATCCGTTCCAAGGCAGCTACGAGTTAGACTCCTCTCGGATACGACCATGGGCGACACCTGTGCTGCCCTCAAACTATCCTCTGCCTCAGACACTTGCGGAGACGCAGTCTTCGGCGTACAACGAACCATTCAACACTTACAGACAGAACTCAGTGACTGCTGGTCCATCGTACGCTGCGGCCGGGTATCTGTCACCAGACGAAGCTGGTATGACAAGAACTTCACGAGCCACTTCTTTCGTATCGACCGCCAGCTCCGCTCCAAGCCTGTCGCGGTCGGATATGTCGCGAAGCGTATCGCCAACACAAGGCGAAATGGCCAGATGGGTAAGTGCTAATCGACTTTCGTGCATGATGCACGCGCGTCTGCCTAGAAATGTTGCTGACACTTGGCGACAGGGTGTCAAGCAGGATGACGGCAGCTGGAAATGTGCCTACCAAGGCTGCACTTCCAAATCCATCTTCCACAGAGGTTGTGACCTGCGCAAGCACTTCAAGCGTCATACTAAGACTCTGTTTTGCCGGCATAGAGGGTGCAACCAGGCGACTGGGGGTGGTTTCTCGAGCAAGAAAGATCGAGCGCGCCACGAGGCGTCGCATAATCCGACAATCGTATGCGAATGGGACGGCTGTAACAGGTTATTCAGCAGAGTCGATAACATGGTATGGCAGGATCCTGTCCGTGAATGCTTCGCGAAAGCTGATATGGTCCGCAGAAGGACCATGTTCGACGTGTTCATAAGAAGCGGACATCGGAATGATGTACATAACGACTCATCTCACTTGCATTTGCGACACTCCCGTCCATGTCTCCATGCTCATCTGGTCCGACTCACAAGTGTATCTGGATAAATAAGGAGCACAGACCATAAACCGCTTGTAGACAGCAGGATAATCTTCATCTCTTCGCACTCGGGTTCGTGTTCGCAAGTGTCACGCCTGAAGCAACTTGAAGATGCAACTCTTGCGCAGCAGACTATGATCTCAGTCCCTCAGACATCGGCATTTTGAGATATCTGTACGACATGCGATAGCGACATGGGCATGTGGTCTGTCCCAAGCGTTTCCAACGCAGAGAAAATTGGGAAGTTGACTGATCCCATAACATGGTCTCTGATCTATACGGGCCAACGCTGTCGGAGTAGGACCTGTTCGGTGCATCAGATGGTGATGGGGACATGCAGACGAAGAAGATGCCTTCGAAATGGTGCATTTTTACGATGGTTGTGCGACCCTGCCATGGCCATGCAATACTGAAAGCGGGAGACTTTGAGAGAGGAGTCGGGGCAATCGAAGCCCCCGATACAGATGGGACGCCTTAGCTGGGTATTGCACGCCATGACGCAGATTAGGTCGTGCTTCGAATCTCAGCTATGGTCTATGCAAAAATTGGGATGCTTGCTTGCCTTGCACCTCTTTTACAGTGTTGACATCATGTGCAATTACGATTTGTGTAGTAAGTAGTTGGTCATGCTGAGTTTTGAGGCAGCTTTGTCGGCGTCTCCGTGCAGCAGCGCGGCGAGGTACATAAAGCGCTTCAGCTCGATTGAGCGCTATTTGGATGATGCGCATACTGGCTCACTGATGCCGATACGGATGTACAGTCTAATGATGCTATCGTGGGACTTCCTCCGAACGCCACGCTTCCACCCTTGTCCGAATAACCCTCCATCCGAGCGGGATGAAAAAGCCGGGCATATCATAGGCCAGATAGCAATGACAGGACCATCAAGCCCATCCATCTAGTTCAGCTCAAACACTCTTTCCGAAGTCCACAAACAACGCACCACCTCCTCCCTTTCGCCGTAGCTCCTCCTCCCTTTCGCCCTAGCTCCTCCTCCCTCCTCCAGACTTGGGTGCACGATTAATGAGTATGACCAGAATCCCCTCCGCACGTACACCCGATGAATTCACCATTTTCACCAACTCGTTCCGCATACTCATGAATGACACTTAGTCGGCTCTTGCAGTCTTCCGACATGGTATCGACAGACATCTCAGCCAGTTCCTCGGAGCGATCGATCCACTTGAGGAAATAGCGGTGAGAAGGTGGAGTGAGACGATTCATACCCATATCCTTCGTCAGCTCCACAAGCTGCACGGCCGACCAGGCATAGTCTCGAGAGGACTCGCAGATGACGGCCAGACCTTTGAGATCGGCGAGAGTGGCCAGCAGATACGACATGATCGTGTCGCGAGCTCTTGGTTCCCAGGATGATGTTTGCCTAAGAATTTGCTGGCGGACGGCGTTGCTGTCTAGCATGATCGGTGTGCAAGCAGGATCGTGCAGATATATGGCGGCATACAGGTAGCGCATGAGGTGCCTCCTCAGATCGCTGACTAGTCTCTCTCCCGAAGATGCAGTGCAGAGACCACACTGGCAGACGGATGGATGCTTCATGCGCGGCAGGCCCTGCTTGCGCTCGGCAGTAGTCAATAGAAGACCTGCAAACGATAGGAGACCGCCAACTCCTCCCCTTTCCTGATGTCTCGCAGTGCCCAGCATGTTGTCCTCGGTGGCTCAGACGCCTGCTTTTCGATGTTCGGCGCGCAAGAGTGGTTGAAGCGACACACCGTATCGAAGACCGCCGTGCCCGCCGAGCACTCTCCACTATTGAAGTGGACTTTGAGGATTGGAATAAGGGCTGGTATGAGCTTCACCTCTTCGGCGAGCTCAGCGTCATATCGGTCATGGACCAGGAGTCTTACCATGGAGTCCCTCGTGAGCCTTGTCCTTTCCTCCACTCTCCATCTTCGATGCCTGGTTTTGTGTAGGTAACAACTGTCTCCTATAACCTTTTGCGTAGCGGTTCAGTTTGTGTTGAGGACTCTGTTTCGTGCGCTTCGTCCTTCAAGCAAAATCATTCGCAAGGGCTGGCCCGTGCACCGGTCAGTATCTGTTTGCTCGCGCATGAGTGTGCAGGCTCGACCGATTTACCACGTGACATGTTGATCGGCAAATCTGGAAACAGCAGCATGAACTCCCATAAGATGTGACATTTACTTTTCTGCAATCTACTATACAGGCTTTCTCAGATTGATGCCGCACCATAACACTGGAGCCAGGTTGGTGGCACAGTCGAAGGTGAACAAGCTGATAATCCAGATAATGATCATGACTGGAATTGGCGCCAGCAGGACTTCTGTTCGACTCAGGAATGGTAAAGCTGTGGGTACCGTTAGCGGAGCACTCCATCTTGGCTAGCGTTTGATGGCTATAGAGGACTTGCCATTGTATCCCAGGAAAGTGATGACGAAGTAGTAAGACAGTGCGAGCAGATACATTGTATTGCCGAACAGATTGCTGACCCAGTAGTCTTGCACGATGAGCGGCAGCAACAGGAACTGTAGAACGTAGAGGAAGGCCCAGATGGGTAAGAACGCACGTATGCTGACCTGCATGAAAGGTGTCAACACGGCACCAGCAGCAAGGGACCACATGTTGAGAGGCTAGAACTCACGTCAAAGCAATACCCAAACTCAAGCTCCTCACCCTGCGCCCCTCCAGTACCTGCACTTCCTTGACCACCAATCGGAGGCCCGAAGAGTCCTTGCCGTTTTCGTCCCAACACTCGCCCGATCAGGAAGTACATGAGCGTACTGACCAGTAGACTGGTGCCAAGAAAGTGGATAAGGACGAAGACAAGGCTGACCTGGATGGTGGAAATGACCGAGGGACTGTAAGCTATACCCCATGCCAGGCCTGTGAGCAAGAAGAAGAGGGAGAGGAGGTAGGTGAAGGCTGGGTCAGGGCGGTGGTAGGAGTTTTTGGTTTCTGTAGAGGTGTATGTTAGACACCCTTTCTGTTACTCTGAGCCCTACACAAGCAATCAGAGGAGTACATACGTTTCTGGCGGGCAGGTTAGCTGGGAGGCACTTCATCAGTGGTGGCGAATAGCATGTAGACTTACGTGGTAGTATATGTTTCTGAACACCTTCTTGGGTGCAATAATCAAGTGTGTCATCTCCCAGACAGCCTAAAAACAGGAATAAGCAATGCCCTCGAGCCCCTGAAGCTCCCCGGAGGCCAATCGTACCGTCTCGAAATCCATGGATGTGAATTTGAACAGGCGACGGAAGAATGGCGGCACCTTCATGGTGCTTCGTCGCTGGGCGGACGACATTTTTTGGTGAGTTCGGCTTTGCTCTTCAGGAGTCAGAGTTGCTAGAACGAGATCCTTGCTATCGTAACCAGTATGCTTGAAGATATGCCTCCATGTCCACTCTGCGGTCGACTAGCCTCGCGCCCAGAGTATGTATCAGAGCACGTCAACGAGCGCTAGCCACTGTACGAGCGATGGTCTCTTATGGTGTGTCGTACAAGTAGATTCAGATGGTCCTTTGTTCATCCATACTTAAAATACATTCATTGAGTGCCGCGCAGGACGACTTCAAATGCGGCTCAAGCGGCTGGGCCCGATCCCGCAGGCGTCAGACTTTCGCGCGCGCCCGTGTGTGGATAACTATCAATCGCTCTTCAACTTCTCCCATGTCTTCAACATCAACTAACATCTTATATATCGACACACATGCAGCCCTCGCGGTAGTGCGGTAGTCTCTGTACTGACGCGTATTATCGGGCATCATCACTCACTGTCTCACGCGCACATCTTACAGCTCCCTATCCCTCCCCTAGGCACCTCAGACCTTCTCTTCGCGGCCATGGCGGCATACGACCCTAGTGGTCCCCCGGACATGAGTGAGGACACGACAGCAGCCACCAACGCCACATACACCTACGATGCACAAGACGCCGACGAGGATGACGAGGAAGACTACGACCCCTCCTCGTTCAACTATGGCAACGGCCAGCAACCCACAGCACAACCCGATGCGCAGCCGGCAACAGAAGCCGTAAAGCCCAAGACAATAGGCGGCTTCGTAATAGAGGACGAGGATGAGGAGGAAGAGGAAGAGGAGAGTGAGGGCACGAGCATGACTGGCGCAGGCGATGTACCATTAGCTAGTGAACCTACACAAGACTCTGCCGCTGCACCACCACCACAGCTCCACGCCGACAGTCTCAATGGGTCCACCAGCTCTGCCTCTGCCCCTTCCCTTCCTACCACTTCTGCTGTGCTGCCCGTTCAGGGCTCCCATGTTGATGCTGCTTCACTTCTCACCTCCACTACTGATTCAGCAGCTGTCGCCGATCAGGCCAAGGCACCTGCGTCAGCGCTCTCGTCTGCTGCCCAGCCAGTGGTTGATTCCGTCGCTGTCACACCGCAGCCAACTACCAACGGCATCACCGCACCTACCGATACCAGCAACGCGACACCACTCCCCTCTATGACACAACGACTACCACATGACAAGGTTGGCAGACTCGAGGACCGCATCAAAGAAGATCCGAAGGCCGACGTGGGAGCATGGTGGGAGTTGGTCCAGCACTACCGCGACAAGGACCAAGGTGATAATGCTCGCAAAGTGCTTGATCGCATGCTCGAAGTCTGGCCCACGAGCGTATGTAGTCTCATATCTCTTCATGCACTTCCACCTCCATGGTTCAGTATACTGACTCTCTTCCTAGCCTGTCATCTATTCGTTCTACCTTGATCTCGACAACGAGGCCTTTGATCAGCACAAAGGGCACATCGAGATCATCTTCGGCCATGCTCTTCCACTTGTGCCGTCCTTGTCACTATGGACAGCCTACCTGTCCTACCTCCGCCGAGTCTTCCCACTCATTCCGGATCCTCAAGGGCAACACCGCGCAATCATCACACAGGCCTTCGACGCTGTTCTGGACGCCGTGGGCAACGACCCTGACAGCACTGCCCTATGGAAGGACTACATCGAATTTGTGAAGAGCGGGCCAGGTGTGATCGGCGGAAGCGGTTGGCAAGATCTGCAGAAAGTCGATGCACTTCGGAAAGCATATCAGCGCGCGATCAAGGTGCCAAGTGGAGTAGTCGTGGCCCTGTGGAAGGAGTATGATAGCTTCGAAATGGTTCAGAACAAGGCACAAGGCCGCAAGGTCTTACAAGAGATGAGCCCACATTACATGACTGCGCGAACGGCGGAGAAGCAGTTACAGCAGTTGACTGAGAGGTTGAATCGCAAGATCATGCCTACACTTCCACCGCTCGAGGGCTGCGAAGGCGATGATGCGTTCGCACTGCAAGTGCAGCAGTGGCGTGGATGGGTTGAATGGGAAAAGAGCGATCCGCTAGTGCTGAAGGATGAGGATGTAGCAGCATATCGAAAACGAGTCATCTTCGCCTACAAGCAAGCGACGATCTTCCTACGATTCTGGCCTCGTGTATGGTACGAGGCAGCGGAGTGGTGTGCCTTGCAAATACCGCTTGATGAGGACTTGGCTGCGCAAAGCGTGGCGTTTCTGGACGATGGGCTGAAGGCCAACCCTGAGAGCGTGTTACTCACGCTCAAGAAGGCAGATCAACTGGAGGTGGGCATGCAGACCGGCAACGTGAGCGACGACATCGCGATTGCCAACGGAGAGTTACTAGAGGATGTGTTCGAGCCATGCCATACTGCACTGTACGCTCTCAACAAGAAGCTAGCAGAGCGGCGAGACAAGAATCTAGCCGAAGTGCGCGACTACTACGCCTCGCTGCCAGCAGAAGAAGAGGAAGCCGCACAAGCGAACGACGACGATGACGACGCAAACGACAACGTCAGCAACCCAGCCGTTGAGAAGCCCAAGAACCGTCAAGATGAAATGCAAGACCGTATCAAAGCCATCCAGGAAGTGGTCAAAATCCAGCACCGTGCCCTCAGTAAAACCGTGTCTGCCCTCTGGATCGCCAAAATGCGTGCCTTCCGCCGCATCCAAGGCCAAGGCAAACCCGGGCAGCCTAAGAAGGGAGCTCGAGGTGTCTTTGGCGAGGCTCGGCCGCGTGGTCAGTTGACGGCTGATGTCTACGTCGCCAGTGCGTTGATTGAGTACCATTGTTACAAGGACCCTTCCGCACAGAAGATCTTCGAGCGAGGTCTCAAGCTCTTTCCCACAGATGAGACGTTCGCGGTGGAGTATATTCGTCACCTCATTGCTGGTAACGACCTGGTCAATGCTCGTGTAGTGTTCGAGACTACGGTTACGAAGATTCTAGGCATGAAGGGCGTGGAGGATTTGGAGAGGAGGGAGAAGTGTAGAGTTCTACTGAGTTTCATGCATGGCTTTGAATCCAAGTTCGGTGATCTAGCACAAGTCAAGAAGCTGGAGAATCGTATCAAGGAGCTCTTACCGGGCGATGAGGCGACGATGCAAGGCGCGGAGATCTTCACCGAGAGGTTCGACATGGGTGGTTTCGATCCCGTTGGCGTGCAGCTTGTCCTCTCGCCTTCGCAGATCAGACCCAAGGCCCTCCTGCCGATGCCACCGGGCTTGCCACCACTCGTGCCAGGGCAAGCTATGCCCATGGGTATGCCACCACTCGTCGCAGATGCGGATGGGCTGAGACTGGGCCCAAATGGACCTTACATGGCTTCTCCCAAACGCCCATACGACGGCGAGGACACGGATCAGGACACTCCGAGGAAGTTCATGAGGGCTGAGTCGCCACTGAAAGGTGCTGCAGGACGAAGAGCACAGGGACATGTGGCTTCGCACTCTGCTTCTGGTATTGCTGTTGCTGCTGCTGGGGTGGGCGGCACACTCACGACGAGTACAGGCAGCGGCGGGTTCATGACCAAGAACTTCGTGCCTAATACCTCACCCATGGCCCAGCAGCAACCGGATGCGATGCCTGCTGCGGCAGCCGCACCTCCTTCGGCACTCCCCCCGCAGGTTTCTCTGCTACTACAGGTCCTGCCGAGTGCGGCGAGCTACCACAGCGTGCTCTTCGACCCCGTCAAGATGGTGAGTCTGCTACGGACCGTCGATGTCGAGGGCGCGAGGGGAAGATTCTAGCAGGATCGTCGTCCTAATGTCCTTGGCATTGGGGTGTCGAAGCCAGCGGTGGAGAAGCATGAGGAGGAGCAGAAGATGCTGGGGCTTGGGAGGTGGGAAGGGTTGCATGAGAGGGTGATTTGGCATTGAGGAGTGTCTGGTCAGGTTATACCACGGTTTGAGTGCTTTGTGATGGGGACGAGTAGGCTGTCGTTTCATGCATAGCGGTGGGAGCAACACTTGTTAGCGTGCTATAGCTTCGGTAGCTTCAGCTACGTTTATCCTGTCGTGTCCAAGACACCGTGGATTCGATGCTTTGGCATACAGAGGCCGGGATATGACATTTGACGGTAGGGGAACTATTTCACTAAATCGTACCGGTTCATTATGAATCTGCTAGGCTACCCATTTCATTACATCAATGCTACTGTATCCTTTCAGCTACGCATTGCAGATGACCATTGATCTCTGTGGAGACTCAGACTTTACCAAATAGTGGAGTGCTGGTATCTTTGATCGGTTTTTGGTTCGTCACTTCCCCTCATGCTATGTACAGAACACCTGGAACTCTAGGTCAACGTGTACTTGTATACTTTTCAGTAGGGTCAGGGTAGCCGAAAATCGTGACTCGCGAGGATGTTGGCATGATAGCGCAGGAAGGGGGGAGTCCGCCCCGACGGCAGACGCCGAGCGATGCGTGGGAGCGGCACCGCCATAGGCGATACCCGAGGTGACCTGAAACTCTTCTTTGCTACCACGAGTCAGTGCATTGATGATCAGCTCTTGATAGATGAGAGCACGACATGATTGGTTTGATATCACTCCAGCAAAGTGCTGATCGATCCACCGCGATACAGCAGTATGGCAGGCCTGCCATAGCGTGGCATTCCATGGCATGGCGAGGCATGGTCGAGACAGACACGTTATCTGGCACAAGTCCTCGAGCTTCCCATGGACGAGCTGAAACCTGGCTACCCAACACAATAGCCTTTCTTGCAAGCTCCTTCCGGAACAACGAAGAGTTTGGAGCTCGGATGCAACGCCAACGTGCAGCTCTGGCGCGATCGACATCCTACGGCTTAAGCCCCAAATGAGGCAAATGTCTTGCTGCTCTTGCGTACGGGACATCAATTTCGATCCTTCCACAGCTTCTGCTTGTCGGAGCATGGCCGGCATTGCAGACGCCAAAGCAGATCCGCGACGCCACCAGGCAGTAGATGCAGGGAATTATATTGCTTTTACTCGGCGAATATAGCCCGTTCCCAGAACCTGCGCTGTACAGGTCTCTGGCGCCGCCTACGACTGGTGTAGAGGCTATCATGGGCCCGGGGAGACTTCCTGGCCTGAGACCGGCGGTGGTGATAGATCCTTGCCACTGCTACCTCGCATGCGCTGCTTCTGCTCTTTGTTTGCGACGTAGATTGCTATTGCACAGGCATGAAGAGGGAAGTCTCCATTTCAGTCCTTCCGCTTGAGCGAGCATATGCCGATATCAAGACGCCGTGAGGACTGTTGCATTAAAGTCGTATCGCTTGCCCGGATCTCACCAGTGTCATCACCGACTGAGTATCTGTGACCGTGAGCGCAGGTCGCCTCCTGCAAACCTGCAAGCCGGATCTGAGCAGCACGATCCTGAATCTTCTCCCGCACGTCACCAGAACGACAAACGATATAATGGCTACCACTGCCGTACCTGCAATACCAACCGTGAATGCCTACATCAACCCAGCAGGATTCTCCACACCTGGTCTCGAAAACCATGGATACACGGTCTGGCTCGCGCTCGTCATTATGGTCATCATATCAGGGACCACAGTCTGCCTCCGAGTGCTCATTCGGACCAGCGCTAATCAGATGGGTTCTGACGACTGGGCGATTGTGGCGGCTATGGTAAGGTCTACACTGCACAGTCTCTAGACTCGATGCTAATCACTTTGCAGACCTCTTTGCTGATACAGACGACGCTATGGGCGATGTCTGTCCGCACAGGATACGGCTCAGACTATCTCAAGCTCAGCATTCCGCAACGACAAGAATTCAACAAGTACTGGTTTCTTGGAGCCATCTTCTATCCGGTCACCCTTGGACTGTTCAAAACCTCGGTCATCTTGCTGAACAAGCGCATCTTCGTGCAGCAGAAATTCCAGATCGTTTGCTGGATCACGCTGGTAGTCAACAGTTGTTGGTGCCTGGGCAATACTCTGGGCTGGATATTCCAGTGCTTGCCTGTGCAGAGTATGTGGGGAATGGCTAAAGCTCGCTACTGCTTCGACAATGATGGCAAATGGATTTCGCTCGTTACCTGGGATGTTGGAACGGATGTTTGGATCATGGCCATGGCTGTGCCTATGATTTGGCACTTGAGGCTGGCAACGCGGCAGAAGATTGGGCTGATTGGCATCTTCATGCTGGGCGCAGTGTAAGTCGTCTGCGAAAGATTTGACCATGCTTTTCTCTTGCATGCTGACTGACGATGCTACAGCGTCGTCGTCTTCAGCATTATGAGCTGCTCAGCAGTACTGACAAGTGTTCAATATGAGAATGTGCATGGTCACAAACAGAACAAATGTAAGCACACTCTGCACCACAGTCGACTGCGCAAGCCCTTGGCTGACACTCCTATCTTCCAGACGGCTTCGCTCTTGCCAATCTCTTCCAGGTCCTCGAGTCAAATATGGGTGTAATTGGTGCCTCGTTGCCCGTCCTCAGGATACCAGCAAAACAATTTCTACCTCGGATCTTTGGCGGCAGAGGGAGCTCTCAAGGCTCAGGAAAGCACGCACACTACTACGAAAGCGACTCTTTCACGAATCGCTACGTTCTACAGAAGCTACCTGAGCGATCGAAGGACGGGAGCTGGCACAATGTCTCCGTTTCTGGTGGGGACAAGCTCCGCAGCGGCGCAAGGAAGAGCGACGAGCTAGGGATCATCGAGGAGTCGGCGGACATCGCGGGCAAGTCTGCTGATACTGTGGATTGGTCAAATGGCGGATCTATGTCACCCTTCCCGTCTGTGATTCGCAAGCAGTCGTCTGTTCATGTATCGGTGAACCGTACATAAGATACCACGTATGCGAAGGCTTTGTGCTCACGAGCACGGGTCCCGTCTGATCGAATAGTCGAATCTGTCTGCCAATGCAACCATGGTTTAGCATTCCATCTCCACCACGATACTCATCCGTCACCATCAACGTTATGGTGCTCCTTGGCGGTTCAGCCGCTTACGCTACGGCGCCTTCCATATACGGCATGGATCTCAATGCCGGCGGGATCCAAGTGGAGAAGTGCCGTCCCTGCCGAGTGCCGGTACTTCTGCCTCCGTCGCTTCACCATAAATCGTTCTGTTCTTACTACAGTGTTTGATATCGCCACACAAGCCTTCGGCGTCCACGTGCAGAATTACGCGGAAGATTCGGGAAGCTCGGCAGTTGCATGCTCTCGTCAACTTCCAGGGTGAACAGGCTTCTGCCCTGCTGCGAGAGCTGCGAGACTAGACGACTTTCCTACACGATGTTGGCGAGATATTGATCACCACTAACGACGCAGGGTACCTTGCAGCAACACGTATGGGCGAGCGTACTACTGCACTTGGCCCTGCTAGCATTGACCCGCGAAGGAGCGCTACAATATAATGGGCCCTGCTCGAGCTTCACCGCGTGAGTTGAACTTGCATAGCAAAAGTACTTCTCCTACCCATTGTGTTTCACTTCCACGTGGCTTTCCTTGTGCATGCCCACCATGTTGCTCTACGGCTCGTTGCTCTTCGTGGCGTTGGCTGTGGCTATACCATCGCCTTATGCTGGATACCCTGGAAGCGTAGGGAAGCGTGCTGCGAACTCTACTCAATCTTCGCTCGAGATCGACTTAGGATACGCCATAATACAAGGCTGGCGCAATGAGTCCGCGAAGCTGAACTTGTTCCAAGGGTACAGGTTTGCCAAGGGATGCGGATATTATCCTGCAGCTCTAACCATGCAGCAGAATTCGCTATGGGCAGGACACAAGCGGCCAGAATAGATGGCAGCCTCCTCGCGTGCCGGAGGTGAACCGTACTGCAGTCGTCAATGCCTCCAGCTATGGCTCGCAATGCCCACAAGCTCCAGATGCGTCGAGTTCGTATACTCCCGTCGACAACTCGAAGAGCAGTGAAGATTGCTTGTTCATCAATGTGAGACTGACCACGAGACTCCGAAATCTTGCAAGCGTTGACAGAATCTAGGTCTTTTCTCCCAGCACCATTCCGCAAGGCAACGGGACATCAGAGCCTAGCTTACCTGTGCTTGTGTGGTGAGTACCCTTCGGACATCAGGATCAAAGAATACAAGTTGAAGAAGAAAAAAGGATTCATGGTGGAGGTTACGCGCAAGGCGCGGGCGCGTATGACCTTACGCCACTGCTATACAACAATGACAACCAATTCGTAGCTGTTGAGTTCAATTATAGGGTGAGAATCCTCGTAGCATGTTGACTTGACGCGGTGACTGATATGGTATCTAGCTTGGCGCCTTTGGATTCCTCAGTTCCGACGAGGTGGCTCGCAATGGGGTCGCCAACGCTGGCATACTCGATCAACAGCTGGCTCTGCATTGGATCCAGCAATATGTCCATCTCTTCGTAAGTGCAACAGGCCGGGGCCGTCACCAAGTCAATCATGGAATCAATCTGACACTAGTCCCAGGGTGGTGACAGCAGAAGAGTGACCATCTTCGGCGAGAGTGCAGGCGCTGGTAGTGTCATGTTGCAGGAGTGCGTACTGTGTCAATGATTAGTGCATCATCCAAGCTAACCACGAGATACAGCATTGCGTACGGCGGCACTTTGGGCTCGACTCTCTTCCGTAATTCGATCACTTCTAGTCCTTATTTGGCCTTCCAGTATGGTTACAGTGAGTCAATCTATCTGGGATCATGATGTCCGTATGCTGACTCCGTCCAGAGGATTGGCAGCCTTCGCAATCCTACTATGCTCTCGCTGGTGCCGCAGGCTGCGATGTGAAGGATGGTTACTTGCACAATGGATCTAAGCCCATCTTTCAGTGTTTGCAAGAAGTCGACTCCAAAACACTCATGAGTGCTGCAGCGAACGTCTCCCAGAGCGGTACATGGGGTACCTGGGCCTTCCTGCCGGTAACCGACGGCCATTTGATTCAGGAGCGGCCAAGTCAGGCTCTAGCTGAAGGCAGAGTCAACGGCGTCAACCATCTTGCTGGCCACAACGCACTAGAAGGTGCTTCATGGGTACAACCAAACAGTATCGAGACGATTGACGATCTCGTCTCCTATCTCAAGAAGATATTTCCCAACTTCAACAATAACGATATCGCCAAGATCTTGCTCTACTATCCTTCGACCAACGCCTCCACGGATTTCAACGCTCCGCTTTGGTCCACCGAAGGTAGCTATGGACCAACTACGATCAATCAAAGTATAGCTGCAACTGGCCAGCAGCAGCGTGCTATTGCCATATATGGCGAGACAACTTTCATCTGTCCATCGTACTGGCTCGCAGAAGCTTACAGCAACAACAAGCACGGCGGTCAAGGCTGGAAATATCAGTTCTCGATCCCAAATGCGTATCACGGCGCTGATGGCGCTGGGTACGTTCGTTGGCCGTATACTGGCGGCTATTACAGCCCAGACTTCGTGAGTAAATGTCTAGAAATGGTTCTACTGCTATTCACTGACTTACTGCCCAGATCATCGCCTTCATGCGAATGCTTGGCGCCTTTATCGTGAACGACGACCCAAGTGTGTCAAGTCTGGTCGACAATGGCATCAATACTCAAAATGCGACTTTCAACCCTGTCAGCGACTGGCCACCATACAGCATCTACGATCCTATCATGATGGACTTCAATACTACTTGCCCACAGCTTGTGACGATCGGGGGTCTGCCATACTGTAGTGGCGGAGGCCAGCTTAATGCTTTTAGGCTCGAGGATGCTTATACCTGGGAAGGTGGTCGTGGCCAGAGATGTGATTTCTGGCGGATGATGGGCGAGAAGGTGCCTGAGTAGATTGTCAAGCACGCTAGGCTAGTTAAGAATACATCGTATGTAGCTTGCACATAACTCTTCGTGCAACTTTGAATTCCAGTAGTTGTTTATGAGAGACCGTCTTCCTGCTGTCATGCCTTCTTGGTCCTTACACGTCTCACTCCTACACTCTCGAGGGTCTTGAAGCAACCTTTCATCATCTTGAAGCCCTCTGACAGCCTGATCTAATGCGTGAGGTCGAACTTTGCAATGACTCATGCTAAGACTAGCCGTGTACCAGTGTATACGTTGGTGCGTGTTTCGCACTTTTGAAGGTCGGCCACTCCACGTCCCACCACGATATTGAAAAGGCTGATGATGAGAGCACTTGTCGCAAGCTACAATGTCGATCCAACACACGACCTGGTTGCTGGTACTATATGTACATATGCAGTGTCGTAGACGAGGGACGAGGAGTGTTTCTTCAACGCGTGCTTGAAGTGGAGTGAGCCACGTGAGCCAAGCTCCGAGAGAGTGGATGGCGGAACTCTTGACTCCACGAGCTCGAGCTGTAAACCAACTTCATCGTCGACACCGTGTGAGCCCATGCAAAATATCAATATAGGTCTGTTGATGGACTGCTGGCTGCCGCATGTCGGTCAGGACAGACAATCCCACCTCTGCCCTTCTTGCGGCTCTTCCCATCCCACATTGAGGCTCTCACGCTTGGGAAAAAGAGCAGCATAAGACGAGCGAGAGAGGGACCAAATTCCATGAGAGCAACGGAGGCAGACAAGGATGTGACATGCGATGCTAACAATTTCGCGACACGCTCCTGGCTAGGCATGTGAGAACGCTGCATCAAGCCCATTTCCAGGGCTACATCTCGAGTATGACTTTGACTCTACGGCCATCCACAAAGCGCCGCGGAAGTCGTGGTGCGATTGCTTATCTTCCTCGTTCTCGAGGAGGGAGAGGCGACATACAGCTGATTGGCGTTGAGACGGGAAGAATGAGCCGTTCGGATTGCGCTTGGGAGAGCAGTCTTGGCAGACAAGGACGGTATACACACCATGGAATCATGAAGGTAATCCCTGGGTTTGGCATAGACAGGATATGGCGACAGACGACTTGGCGGATTTGTTCGTCCAGGAGCGCTCTCCTACAAAAATGGATCGAATCTCTGGTACGCGATACGGTTCTCAATTTAGGTGTCCATGCCTTGGATGTAATAGAAGTCGTCCGGGCCCAGTGTCCGCATCGCAGGCTTATTGGGATATTCCGCCCTCTGGATTTCTACCGTCTCTGCGCCAATCGCACTTCCTCGGCCCAGCGAGAATGAGAAGAGAGCAGAAGGAAAGCAAAGAAGAAGCACGTGGACTCTACTCTACCTCTCTTCTACCACACCAGGACCTCTTCTGGGTTTGGCTCTTCACACCCCGTATTTGGCGTATGTGTCCTTGTATATGCCGCGCGACATCCAGCTCGTCTCATATGGCTATCGATATTCGTTTGCTGCTCTTGCTTGCTGCCGCATTTCTGGCTCGGCTTTTCTTTCATGATGTCGCCGATCGCCGCGCCAGTGCTTTGCCGAGCATCCTTCTGGGAGCTCTGGGAGGTGGTCGTGGAGAGGCTGGGTGACATCTCTACCTGCTGAGAAGTCGATCAGTCTGATGCCCTGCTGCCTCGTCTTCCTTTCAAGCACTACCATCCTTAGAATCCCCGCTCGAGCATCGTATCGGTACGAGACTGTGGCTGGGGCGCGTGTAGCTACTGAGGGATCGCAAGTACTCACGGCTTTTCGCGATAGCGCTGGCGAATGCAGGTCTGTCATTCGCGGAGGCCGCACTGAATATCGCCATGGTCGTCTCTCACCGTCGCGCTGATCGACTTTCCGGGCAAAACACATCGATCTCTGCCTCTCTTTATGGAGCACGCGACTCATCCTCCTCTTCGGGAGCTTGAGTAGCGGCGTCGTGTCGTAGTGATCGAATCTATGATGGTGGTGGATGGCTGTGCGATGACCTTGCATTCCTGCTACTGATGTAGTACACACGGCGTAAGGGAAGGGAATGGCAGCAGAGGCAATGCAGCGATGCAGATCTTGCGCTCAGAGTCTGCAAATGTCCTCAAGCCAAGCATACCAAAGGCATCAACAGGTAACGGCACAAGGAGGTACGGATAGCAATCGAGGTAGTATTGCATGCATCTATGCTACTGCCACTGCCCATACTCCTCGAAGTTGATCCAGAACGATATCATACCATAGTACACCTCACCGTTGGGGACTCCGGATCGTGACTTCCCAGTGCTGCACATCGTTCCTTCCCCGTCTGGTTCGGAGTCCGGCAAGCTAGCGCAACGCGTTTCTACGGCAGCTATAGCTCAAGTTTCTGCCTACGGCTTGACCTCAACACAACACCTTCGAACTCCAAACCAAAAATCTTCCGACTACCACAACACGACCACCAAAGCCTTCGACGTACGTATCCCCATCACCCTCATGCTCCTCATCATCTCCACAGCCGCCTCATAACACACTCGGAGCCATTGCATGCTTTCGGCGTTTGCAGTGGGACATCATACACATCCTCCTCCTTGATCACCACCTCCTCGCAACCATCACCAAGCAAGCGACTCCACGAGCACATTGCTAACCTACACTCACAGCAAAGCTCCACGACCAACCTCTCGTGGTTTACTACCCCTTTCTTCAGGTTCTCACAACTTTCCTCCCCTGCAACACAAGGTACGTGGCCACGCAATGCCGTCATATTGCCTCACTCCAGCCCATCATCATCACTCAGGGCACTGCAAACACTCACTTGAGAGCTCACTGTCGCTCCTTTCCTCCCTTGCCTATCGCATGCCTAGCACTGCCAGCCTTTGAGCAGGTACTTAAGTCTACCTCCCTCCCACTTCAAGCCTTTCTCACTACATCCACCTCCACCTCCACATCTTTGCAACACCTTTCCACAACATCTCTCTGACACTCACACAGTCTTACCACAACACAAACCAACACATCCCCAACAATGGCTGGTGCAGCCAAGCGCCGTGCCGCCGAGGAGCGCGATGCCCGTCGTACCGAGCGTTCCCACCACTCCAACTCTGGAACCTCCTCCTCTGGCAGCAAGCCCAAATCTGACGCCCGTTCTACTGCGAACTCTGCCCACAGCTCCAACTCCAAGTCTATTCACGGCTACGATGGTGAGCGTGATCCGGACTCTCCCACCTCCGTCACTCGCAATCCCGCCACCTCTCGTGTCATCGTTGAGGCCAAGAACTTCGACATTTCTGCCGCCGGTTGGGCCACCGTTCGTGGTCTCTCTGCCGCAGCTATGCCTCCTCGCGTGGGCCCTTCTAAGCTCGGCTCCAGCGTCAAGGTTGGGCTCAACACTTTCCGCGTCAAGAAGACCCCAACTAAGAAGGTTTACCAATTTGATGTCATCATTGGCAACGGCGACGAGAAGCGTGGTCTCAACAAGCACATGTGGGAGTGTCCGGCTCTGAAGGCCGCTCTCGGCAAGGGCTGGATCTTCGACGGCAACAAGCTGGCTTGGTCCATGAACCCCATCAACCGTGAGATTCGCCTCATGATTGACCTCGACTCTAAGGAGAACGGTGGCACTGGCAAGCCTCGCAAGGATGGCAAGTTCAACACTCATCGCGTGCAGATCCGCCAGACCAACCAAGTCGGCTTCGATGTCCTTACGTCCTACCTCGAGGGTAAGACCGGCTTTAACAACGCGAATCTGGAGGCAATCAACTTCTTTGATCATCTCCTTCGCGAGTATCCCCGTCTAAACTACACATCCATCAAGCGCAGCTTCTTCGCCAAGGGCCAGACCCGTTTCGATCTTGGCAATGCTGTTGAGGCCTTCAAGGGTGTCTATCAGTCTTTGCGTATTGCCCACTGGGGTGGCAATCCGGCCTGCCTTTCCATTAATGTCGACGTGGCCAACGGCACGTTCTGGAAGGAGCTGCCGGTGCATCTCGCGGCGTTGCAGCTCACTGGTCGCCGTGACATGAACGACCTTATCCTGGCATTGAAGCAAGGCGAGGGGGGTAGGTGTGGCCAGGATCTGAAGAAGATGCGCAAGCTGCACGTCGAGGCCAGTCATCGTGGTGCGAAGGAAATTGACAACTATGTCATTGAGCGATTCATCTTCAAGTCTGCTCGCGAACACAAATTCGAGAACGAAGACAAGAAGATGGTCTCGGTCTACGACTATTTCGCTCAGAAGTACAACATCCGCCTCCAGCACCCCGACCTGCCTCTCTGCAAGATGACCAAAGGCAAGAGCACGGTTCTGCCTATGGAAGTCCTTAAGATCAAGGGCAATGAGCGCTACGCATTCAAGATGGATGAGCGTCAGACGTCCAACATGATCAAGTTTGCTGTTGAGCCTCCTCCGCAGCGTTGGAACGCTATTCAGCATGGTCTTGGTATGCTGAAGTGGGATCAGGATCCTGTGTTGAAAGCCTTCGGTGTTGAGATCGATCCACAGCGTACCGTGGTCGATGGTCGCCTGATTCCTGCTCCCACGGTCAAGTTCGGCACGGGTGATGCTAGGCCTGGCACCTCTGGTCGATGGGACCTCAAGGGCAAGAAGTTCTTGCAGCCCAACCCTGCTCCGCTCAAGAGCTGGGGTGTGTGCGTCATTCCTGGCCGTCGTGGCGGTAAACCCGACAAGGCCATCGTTGAGAACTTCATGAACGAGTTTGTTAAGATCTACGGTATGCACGGTGGTAGGGTCGAGAACAAGAAACCGACCTTCATCCTGGCCAACGGTGACGATGTTGGTACTTGGGTCACCGAAGCTTGGAACAAGACCGGTAACGCAAACAACGCTCGTCCTCAGATTCTGGTCTTCATTCTTCCCGACAAGGACTCCGGCACTTATGGTCGCATCAAGCGCTCAGCTGAATGCCGCTACGGCGTCGTCTCCCAGTGCATGCAGTACGCTCACGTGCAGAAATGCCAGGGCCAGTACATCTCCAATGTTTGCATGAAGTTCAACGCGAAGCTGGGCGGTTCGACGTGCCGCGCTGTGGGCGATGCGAAGAAGAACAACAAGGAGACGGGCTTGTTCTCTGTCCCAACTATGATCCTTGGTGCTGACATCTCCCATGGCGCTCCTGGCAGTGAGACCCCATCAATGGCCGCGCTCACCTGTTCTATGGACCGCCTTGCTATCCGCTATGCAGCTGCTTGCGAGACCAATGGCTTCCGTGTCGAGATGATGACTACGGACAACATCAACTCTATGCTCAAACCTCTTGTTCAGTCTTGGGTTGGCGCCGTTGGTGGTGGCAAGTTCCCTCAGCGTATCTTCTACTTCCGCGATGGTGTGTCTGAAGGCCAGTACCAGCATGTCCTCCAGCAGGAGGTCGCGGATATGAAGGCCCTGCTAAAGACGGCTGATCCGAAGCTCAACATCCCCTTCATCGTGGTCGTTGGTGGTAAGCGTCATCACGTCCGCTTCTTCCCCGAGAAGGGTGATCGTAACGGCAACCCTCTTCCGGGCACTCTCGTCGAGACTGGTGTCACTCATCCGTACGAGAACGACTTCTTCTTGTGCTCCCACACCGCCATCAAGGGTACTGCTCGTCCTATGCACTACCATGTCTTGCTAAACGAGGTTGGCATGTCCAACGAGGAGCTCCAGACAATCATCTACGAGCACTCATACCAGTATATCCGCGCCACCACTCCGGTCTCTCAGCACCCTGCGATCTACTACGCCCACATCGCCTCCAACCGCGCTGTTCCTCACGATCCGAAGTGGGCCGGCAGCAGCGATGGTGCTCCTTCGGTTGCCTCGCGTCCTCGCTCTGGCTCTGCTTCAGGCTCTCAGGGTCGCTCGGGTGGTAGCTCTTCTGGTCCGCCAATCAACGTTGACAAATTGATGCCGATGCCCAACCAGAGCAACATCTTCAACAGCATGTGGTACATCTAGATATCACGCGAGGAGGGTGTGGAAGTAAGGGTACAGCAGGCGAGATGAGTTCGAGGTGCGTGCTTCGAGACAAGCGAGGGACATGGTTGCGAGAAGGTTTCCAAAATGCGAGCGATGTTGTGCAGCCACATGCTTTTTTCCCTGAGGAGTTTGTTGATGCGATGATTTTTAGCCACATGGCTTGTTTTACGGAGGACTTTGATGATGCGTTTGGGCGTTCTGTTTTACATGGCTGAGACTGAGAAGATCGGTCGAGGGCTATGAGTGTTTTGCGATGATTTACGATGATAACGGCCTTGTAGATAGTATAAACCCAAAAGAGCTTTTGCCACCAATCTCTTCTCCTTCAAGAAACTACACGCTCTGTCGCTGCTCGTGATTCAGATCTAAACTCACGAGCCTTTCCTTTTTTGTTCTCTTATTACGCCATGAGCGAAACAATAACTTCTGCCCTTGCAACATTGAGCACCACAGCCTGGCGAACTGCCGTTCGGCATCCAGATTGATCTGACACGAGGGCAAGACGAGGTTATACTGACGTATATTGAGGTGGCAGTATTCTGATAATGGTACAAGCGGCTATCAGCGACTGTCATTGGCATTGTGGTTTCATCTATAAACATTTTGTACATCCAAAGGCCATTCTTTCCAGCTCGTCCGTGGACGGCGTATTCTTCATCAACGCCGTTACTGAAAGCAGTGGAGTGCGCCTGTCCCGATGCATCGCTGGAAAGACAAGTCATGCACGCTTCAAAGCAATCATCATCCATCATCGTCTTCCCGTTCTGCGAGCTGCTTGGCGTGCCAGCGCGTGCTTCGATGCAGTGCATTCGAAGGCGAGGCCAGCCAACGAGAGAGCTACTGCGTAATGCCACGGCTTGCTTTGCTCGCCCTCCTTCTCATCCACCAGGTTCGTTTCAAACCTCCTTCCTCTTCATCAATCCTCGGTCAACTTATCAAGCAAACGAATACTCAAAATCATAACCAACAACCCAATCGTCACCACCACCAGCAACCCAAAAGCGAACCAACCCAAAACCATGGCACTAGTACCCACACCACTCCTCACACTTCCGTTTCCGAAATCCTGCGCTATTTGTGCTGCTGCGACCGAGGCCGTGTGTTGCCATAGCACGCTGACGAGGACGAAGATGGAGGAGATGAAGATCATGGCGAGAGCGACTTGGGACACGGGTCGTGAGGGGAAGGGTTTGATGTCGATGTCGGAGCCGGTGCGTTGGTCATGTTCTTCGTGCCAGCCTGGGAAGGTGGCGAGGAGGAGGAAGGTGACGAAGGCGAGGACTATTGCCACGATGCTGTCGGAAGGGGCATATCAGTAAAGTGCTTGAAGGTGGTGGTGACGCGCGGGATGTGCTTGGGGACTTACAGCAAGTATGGGAACACGACTTGGTTTTTGAACGTCTCCGCTACCCATAGTAGATTAAGTGGATCTTGGTCGACGCTCACTTGCTCCGCGAGCAGAGTGACGTTGTTGGAGCACAGGAAAGCGCCTCCATCTGGGTTTACACAGACGCCGAAGTAGCCGACGCGGACTTCTAGTTGCGCCTGGCCGACAATGTTGGCTATTGCTGCTGTGACGCCCGGGTCGACTTGTGTTGGGTCGTATGTTGGTGTGTAGTGTTGGTAGTAGAAGGATATGAGGAAGATGCCTGGGATGAGTGGCGAGGAGGAGGAGCAGCCTGCTAGTAGTAGTGCTGTGAAAAAAGATCAGTAGCTGTTTGACCACCTGTGAAGACAAGCTTTGAGCAAGACTTACAGAGTAATATTATCGCTATAGCGATGAGTATCATCAAGACATGGTGGTAGCCGAGGAAAGGTATCAGGCGTTGGATGCCGACGGCGAAGCGCACGTTCGGCATGGTAGAGACGGTCTACCGGCTGTCTGGATGCTCAAGAATGCTGATAGCAGTTTGGTAGTCGTTCGTGCCGCTCGATCGGTCGTTTGATCTCCCACGGCCAAAGGGCCGGGAGTGCTCGTGGGTGTAGAATGCAGTCGGCAGGGTCGTCCTGTTTTCACTTGAATTGTTGCTTTCTGCACACTTGTATGTGCGGTTCGGTAGAGGGGGAGGTAAGGTAGGTAGGTATGTGTACTGAGACGGCGGAAGGTTCGTAGTAGTACTCGTCCGGTCTGCAATGAAGAAGTCTCCGGGTCAGATAATCGATGCAAGACACACAACACAAAGAGTGGTATGTATGATCGAAAGAATGCTTAGCTTGTTTCCCGAGGTCTCTCAACTGCAACAGCAACTCCGAATGACTCCCTTGGTGCAGTCTGAAATCATGGTGGTTGAAGATGTGGCTGGACTCGCCCAGCCATCTGGTCCGCTAGAATTTCTCGGTTGCCGCCGCAACGGCGCGACAGTAAATAGATCGGCACTTGATGACGTAGCCGCAGAGCCGCAATGCGTGCGCCTCTACCGGTTTCTTATCCGCCTTGTGGGTCAAAAACCGTTGCTCAAGGCGTTACTGTATAGGCCAGCCGTTGTGTGATCTCTCCGAAAGAAGTTGAAACGCAATGAAGCAGTGATATGCGGAAGCCTCCAGACCACTACCACAGGCAACCTGGCACAATCGTAAAGCGTTTCTTTGAATTTCGAATGTATGTACATAAAGCTTTCGCAAGTGCAGCCTGAGGACGTCGACACGACCTACTTCCCGTTATCATCCCACCCCTCAATCAACTCATTAACATGCGAACTCCCGGCCCTCTTCATCGCCCTCGCTCCCTCACACCCCCAAACCGGCAACTCCACAACCCCCTTCTTCTTCCACTTCTCCGGCACCATCTTCGGACTCAACAGCCCCACCTGCACAAGCACACTCGCCTGATCCCAATACACGTGCTCGCTCTCCAACTTCCCTCCCACCATCCTGACGATGGAAATCAACACGATCTCGACTTTCTTCTGCGTCGCTGGTATACCTGGTAGCATCCAGGGTATCTCCGTTGTATGCGTGAATGTGATATAGAGTTCGTCCACGAGGCGCGAGGCATCTGTACCTAACGTGCGCGACATGAGACGAGAGCGAAAGCTTGGTGGTAAGGGGTGGAAGAAGTCGGTGTAGAATTTCTTTAGATCGACTGTTCCTGCTCCGCCGGTCAGGGTAGGTCCGTGGAGTACGTGTGCGTAAGGCCTGACGTTGGAGATCAGTGTTTTCTCGGATACGCCGCGCGCGGTAGCATCAACGAGGGTATCACGGTTGTGCTCGAGCCTCGTTTCTGTGTCATCGATTCGGAAAGCTTTCCGGATAACTGATAGACTGCGTGAGAAGGCAATCTGTTCAGCAACAGGATCGTATTCGTCCAGGTCTCTTTCAGCAAAGCCATTCTCCAAACCGGTATACGTGTATGTCTTGAAACCAAAGTTCAGACTCTCGCCATACCCAGCACCAGGATCTATGCGCTTCTTGATGATCTTCGCTTTCGAGGAAGAAAGACCGAGCACCTCAGGATGATGCTGGAGCTTGATCTCCGTTCCAGCAAGATGAACCAGCACCTTGACACCGGGCGGATATTTAGTAGTCGGTTTTGGTATCAGGCCAGGATAGTATGCCACGATGGCCACGAGCTTCGGATGGTTCGGCTTGAGATGTGATTGCAGGATCAAGGAGGCTGCGTCGCTGAATGCTGTATTACATCCTCCGTCAGTCACATGCCCACTCTTTACGCTCGCGGATATCATGCAGCCCACCTACGATCGCATAGTACTCCGCCGCACCGAACGTGTCTCCTGCCAGTCTGACCCTCTGGACATATCTCTGGCCTCCATCATTACCCAACGGCACGTACTTCACCACAAACCCCTCTTCCCGCCATTGCGTTATCGTCTCTTCGTCGAAGTCGTCGGTTTCGGCTGTGAGAACGATGTTGTAGTTCTTTGACTTGTTGAGGGAGTTGAAGACTGGACATCATACATTAGGTCGTACTCGTCAAGCAGTGAGATGAATGAATCTTACAATCTTTGGGCTGTGAGTTGAACCAGGGAGTATCAAATGGCATATCTTGGAGACGGTTCTGGTTCGCCATCTTTGACTGAAGAATGGCAGGGTGATACGGAGGAATCTACGGGTAGTACGGAGGAATCTACGAGACACCCAAGCTACTTGGGCTGCTAGTGACAATGCTGGAGTGCCATGCAGGTACAGAAACCTGATCGCGCAACGCGGGGAATGGATAGAGTTCGAGATGAACTTGGCAGACGTAATGAGGCTTAGAGGGGCAGTTACGCTAAAAGATCCCATACCAGAATGATGATGATGATCGTGGTATTTCTGGCATCCGACAGCAGAGCAAAATCGCAATGAATGACACGGCGAAGGCGCGAATCCAAACCCAGACCTCTCTTGATCTTATGCTACAACAGATAATGATCGAGTACGAGACTTGTAAGGGTGTTCATACAGTAGCAAAAAGGCGAGATTTCACCACTGTCTGATTGTGAGTGGTACGATCGGTCCGCTACATTGAAACAAGCAAACGATGCTATCTGTGTAGGATATCACGAACGTGCCCAGTACACTTTCCTTCCCTCAACGCTTGATGCTGCGATTGCCTTCCCATCCGCGTAAATCATATCACATACCCGATGCACCATACATATGCCTTGCAGAACGCCTTTCCCATGGCAATCGATCGCTCTAGTCTCCACGCCCGCCTCTCGCGACCTGACTCCCCAATATAATCATCCACAAAAAGAACACCGCGCCCACGATCCAGAACGCAAAAGCCGCATACCAGCTACTACAAATACTGTTCAGCTCCAACCACGCCAGCATATCGAGCGACACGCCCGGAGTCGGGATATTATTCATGAGCGTCGAGCATTGCCCACTGACACCGTTCGTATTCCGGAAGAGTTGGATGGCTGTCTCGATCAGGCCGGTGATGTATAACACCAGGAGGATGAAGGAGCCTATTATCACTACGGCTGGTATGAGCCGTCCTTGGTAGATCAGGATGAGCATTATCCAGACGAAGACGACGGTGAGGCTGCCGACTGTGATCCCGTATGGCATGATCCTACGAATGCAACGTCAGCAGCAGTCTACAACCTCATCTAATTGTATGTTGACCTACCAAGGTATCCCCAGCCCAAAATGTTGTTGGTCTACGATGAATGCCGCGAAGACTCCTATAATTGTCCCACCAGTCGCAAGCATTATGATGATCCAGAAATTGATTTGTTGGTCGGGCCAGTAGTATAATTGACGCCGTACCTGGCGTGTCCTCGAGACGGACGAGCGCGCCATGCTGGACGAGCTGTGGTGGGAGGATTTCGCCAGCGTGTATTTGTGCGGTTGTGTTGTGTTGTGGTGGACGAGGTGGGTCCTCAAGCGTCGAGGGTGGGTATTCGGGTGGCTGGTCAAGTGGTTGTCGTCGTATGAAGTGACGTCGGTCGACAGTGCGAGGTCGTCGTGGCCCGATGGGCGTGAGGGTGTCGACCTGCTCGATGCGCCGGATGTGCTGCAGCAGTCTCCCTTCCTCGTTGCTGACTGCCCAATATGCCGACGGTATACAACACTCGTCGAGAGTATCCTTACTCCGCACCGACGCCGGCCGCGTGTATGTAGTATGCTGTTCTCGCTCGCTGCTATCTCGTTCAATGACAGCTCGACACGATCGAACTTCGAAAGGTGGGGCGCGAGATGCGGGCTGCAAAAAAATGCGCTGTTCAACGTGCCACGAACGACACAACTTTGCCTCCAGAAAGCAGGAAGATGTATAACGAAGAGAAGGTTTGCAAAAGCAAGTGTCAATCGATGGATGGAGAAAGAAGGTGGCCTTCCACAAGAATCATTGCCATACAACGAGGCTGGTATTCGTGGCTGGAAGGGTGTTTCGGCTAGATGGCCCGTGCGCACATGACCACAGTCGACATCGTAAAATGGCTCGGCTCGCTATGTTGTTCAGTCATTATAGTATCTAATCTCGAGTTTGACAGGCTGCCGTATATTACATGTCTGCTGAATGCACAAGTTCCACCCATTAGAACATGCACCTAGCTCGTTGACCCACAGGACCATCATGATATCAGGATGATCTGCTCTCCGAACACAAAAGTCACTTATTGTCCCGCGCGCCCACTCTGCCACTTCCTCCCCTTCATGACAGATGTGATCGCATGCCTGACCACTTTCCCAGCAGCCTCCGTCTCCTTCTTGGACAACGCAGAGCTCACACAGACCTTGAGACCTGGTCGCGGCCGCCACTCCTTCGCTGCATCCTTGCCGCTTACACCAAGCGGTACAGGCATACTCTTTAGTCTGGTAACCAGCACTCCATTTGCCAGCGATTCATCCACGCAGTCCTGGAGAACCGACTCCTGGTCTGCAATCGTGAGTCCTCGGTCTTGAATATGTTGGTCCTTGAACACTAGTATGAGGACTGGATTTTCAGGTGAAGAAGTGCAGCGGATCCACTCGCTCCTCGGGTCGAGCTGGCCTCGCATAGCCTTCGTATTCTCCCGTAAATTCATGATGTACTCCGGCCGTTCCTGCAACAGAGCTACAGTCTCACTAGCCGTCGTCGCAAGCAACGCTGGCAACGCAGCCGAATAAGTATAAGCCGCAGCCGATAACCGCTGATGCTCCACCACTTCCTTCGAGCTCGCACAGAATCCACCTCCTGATGCAAGCGCACCAGCAAGACCACCCACTATCATATCGACCTGCATCGGATCCACATTCTGCTGCTCCGTGACACCTCGCCCTGTCCTGCCTAGAACACCATAACTCCACGTCTCGTCCAGAATAATCCGGAACTTATACCTCATCTTCAACTCCACCAGCTTCGGCAGATCGACCATATCACCCACACACTCAAACAACCCCTCCGTAACAATAAAACGTCTAGTCAACGGCTTCCCCTGACCCTCCTTCACCACCCTCTGCAATACCCTCTCCAAATCCTCCATATCATTATGCTCAAACCACCTAACCGTACTCCTCGAAATCTGCAACCCCTTCCTAATAGGAAAATTGCAAGCCTTGTCCGCCACAATAACATCACCCCTCTTACTAAAAGCCGGCAGCATCGAGGAGATCGTACTGAAGCTCTGCGCGTAGATGATACAAGCCGGCATGCCCAAATGCATGGCGATATCGGCTTCGCTCTTCATATGCACATCCTGCGTCCCGTAGAAACCCGGCGGACTGCAAGGACCAACTCCATACGTCCTCACGGTCTGAATAGCCTTGGCTTTCAGATCCGGATTATCAGCAAAGTTGTAATGGTTATAACTAGCCAGATTCACCACCATCCGCCCACTCCCCGCTAACTTCGCCTTCGGCCCCGCTGGTCCAACAATCACGGGTCTCCTCTCGCCCTCCAATCTCTCAAAGTCCGTCTGCTCGCTCGTCAGAGCCTCGGGAGTCCAATCGTCAACCAGTTCATCGATCTCCTCCTCCGTCAACGGCACGTTCTTCACTTTCTTCGTGCTATAGGCTGGTGCGAGGAGGTATCGGACGGCGAAGATGACGAGGAAGAGTTCGACGAGCGAGCGGATGGGGTCGTTTTGGTAGGATGAGCGGATGTAGCGGAGGAGGATGGCGGAGCCGGGGATCTTGTTGAAGGAGATTATGGCTGTGTCGAGGAGGTGGATGGCGGAGGGTGGGAGTGAGGCGGTGGTGGGGAGGTGGGAGAGGTAGGTTGTGTTGTTTGTCAGGGAGGCGGCCATTGTCGGTAGTGTGTGTTCAGAATGTGGTTTAGAGGGTTATCGTTGTCGCATCATATGCTACAATATATAATCCCACGCGACTGTGCATGTACCTTCAGTTGATCCTGGTGTGACAGAAGTGGTGTGCAACTCCTCTACTCGCATTCGCCATATGCACTTTGATCAAGAAGCCATCACCGTGAACCCTGGCCCTTCATCTCGGCTCTCGGATCCTCCAATTGCGGTCCGCTATGCATAAGCTCACCGGCTAGCGTGTCATCTACGTGCCACCGTGTCACGTCTCCTTGTAAGCCGTGTCTTAGACTGCTCGAGCGACGGCGAGGAGAGAAAGGACATAGTTTAGTGTCATTGCATTATATCAGCTGTCTACCATTATCATGTTCCTCCACGAGCTATCTCGGCACAAATAAGCATACACATCGCATGAACGCATCCATCGAAGCTGTAATCAGAACGCGTGCCCAACAAAAGAAATGCTCGCGTGAGCTATGCGATGCATCTCAGACACATGTTCCACCCATCCTTCCCGTCCGTATTGCAGAAAACAATTATTCTCCACTTGTTGCTATTGCTACTGCCGTATGTAGTGACAGGCTTGGTATCCATGCTTTCCTCCTTCCCATTTCAAAATATTCGTATCATGTGCAAATGCGGCACGGCGCCAGCTGCTGCCGCGCAGTAAGAAGAGTATCGTCAGTCATAAGTAGCAGAAAAGGGCCACAGTGCGCACACTCAATGTGCAGGTTAGTGTCTTCCTCATAATGCCATCACATCACGAACCCAGTGCTCCGCCCCACTCCATCCCCAGCCCTTCACTCTTCACACTTCTCGTCATTTTGGGACTGCTGCCCGCCGCAGTGGACGGTGGATGCAGCGAATCGAAATTGAGTCTCCTCCTCGCCTCCCTCGCCGCCGCCGGTGTCCTGCCAGCAACAGGAGTCCGTTGCCAAGGGCCTTGCGCAGGACTGGGTGTGACATTGACGAAGTCCGCGAAGTTGAAGTTCGCTGTTCCTGGTGTGACAGGCCCGAAACCCATGAAGCCCATGCCACTAGTACCAGGCGTCATGTGTGAGGATGGGAGCGGTGTAGCTTTGCAAGGTGGTGTGGAAGGCGGTGCGACAACCGTGGGAGCAAATGCCTGCTTGGCCGGAGAGGGCGAGGTAGCGAGGAACATTAGTAGGTCTGCGCCGTCGTCACCATTCTTAGGGGTGCGCGACCAGGACACGTTATGTGCTTTTCGCATGCGGCGGTCGGGTGGTGGTGTTTGTGGGGGCGAGGATGTGATTTTGGTGGATGCGTTGATGCTGAAGGATGTGACGGGGAGATCGGTATCATCGTCTTCGCTGTGGACCGGCGAGGGTGGGCTGTCGGGGATCGTGGAACCTTCGGAGATGAAGGAGAGATGGGAGATGGTGTTTGAGGCAAATCGAGCATGCTTGGAGTGGTTGATTGGAGATGATTCCGGCAGACTATGTTGGCTCTTCCAGGATGCTGCGCGGGTGGCCACTCGTGGCCTTCGGCTTCTTGTTGCTGGTCCAGAGGTGGCAGTACGCTGGACAGTGGCTGCGGATGGTCGTGACTTCTTGTTGCTGTATAGGCTGCCAGATCGTGGGAAGTCGTCCGAGAACATGGGGGCCGTGAGGGGTGACGATGCAAGACTTGACTGTAGTTTGCTTGATGTGGTCGACGCTGTATCGGATATGGTATCATTACTGGATGCTGGTCTCTTCATTCTCATCCGTTGCTCTAGTTGTGGTTCAATGGCGTCTAGACTCATATTCTCCCAGCCATTCTGTATCTTGACGTTTGCCAATGCAAGACGATCTTGTAGGGCTCTAGTCATCTGTCGCAGAGGTTGTCAGTATAGCTCCTGGCACTTCTCATGCTCTCTACACACCTTGGACACTTGTGCCCGCCGTAACACCTTCTCCGCAACCTCATCCTGCTGACGTAGCTCATGCTGATATGCCGCCATGCCGAAGACAGGGAGGGGGAGACCGTATGACAAGGAAAGCTCTTGTGCTCTCAACCACGGCACATCTACCAGCAGTACCTCAGAGACTCACGAGGTGTACCTGCAGTAGCATGTGAGCATATTCGAATGTGCTGTGGGGAGTGTGTGGTAGTGCAGGGACAGAGTGGTAGCAGGGGCTTTCGTCGTAGACTCGTAGCTTCGTCCTTCCATTCAAGGTTTCTGCCAATCAGGAAACATGCCACGAACTATCCAATGACAGGCTGACAAGCCACACTGTGGCTTGGACACGGCCCCACTTCTGCAAAGTAGTTCGGACGGTGAAAGTCGGTCTTGAGATCTATCGCATTGGCACGACTCAGTGGTGAGATAAGGCTATACCCATCGACTCGGTCATCATATGGTATACGATCGTGAATGCCACACGTGACAAATTCGCTCAGATACGAGGGCGAACACGCTGTCTATATGTAGGCGACGGCCATAAGCGACAACGTGCATACCCGCCCTTCACATAGGACTAGAAGCGCCTACTCTCCCTCCATCATTGGCAACACGCAGTATATCACCCAGGAGGGCTTCCGGAAAACTTCTAGCTGTTTGACAAGGCGCGGAGAACCACTCTAGCAGTTTAGCCACGCACTGCTTGCCCTGCATCGGACACTGTCATCCACGGAATATGGGCCTTCCAGGCGGTAAGCGCAGCTGGGTGGCCTGATCAGCAGACATGTCCAGCCCCGACCCTCATACCGCTCTGGTCGTTTGCTCTCCGGCCTACGGGCCTCGTCGCAGGTAAGATTGGCAAGGTATGTCCGGCTATGCTGGCAGTAGCGTTGCAAGGCGGCTACGGACTATTAACAGTACCTTGGCCCCAAGACATCTCACACCGATCCTACCTTACCGACTGGCATATACTAGGTTTGTGCAGCTAATTGCACTTCATTCGTTTCGCAAAAGAATTCCAACCTACGGCGTTGAGTCTTTGGTCTTTCTTTGCAGATGTACAGCTATGTGACCAAACGAAGACATGTCGAAATATTTCACATGGAGCAAGGGCGATCGCAGGCCAAGTCAGGACATGACGCGCTCGAGCGGCGTTGTCCAGATTGGATCAGAGCAAGGACATGAGTGTGCTAGGGCCACGAAGGTGAGCAATGTTCCGACGACGGGCGGTCAATGGGAATACTGATCTGCAGAACCAGCGGAAGTCCTCTCGTAGGCCATTGCCTCTGTCCTTCGGACCAGACACCACACTCTCATCGAACTTCGATCACAGGACAAATGATTCGGTTCTGCTTCACGATGCCGCAGTTCAGTCCGCAACCAACCTCATGGCTGTCGTCAATGACTTGCTATGCTCGCCGCCAGTGTCTGCGCATATCATGACGCAGCAGCAACACGGCTTAGCAGCGCCAGCATACTTACGACCTAGGTCACACACCGCTCCATCTACGCCGCTGGTCGAGGCGCCTAGCAGAGAGCCAGTGGAGCTGCCAGGATCACTCTTGCAAGGAAGGCCATCTCTGCTATCTCTGAAGCCACCTCATGAGAAGCTTCCAACCAATGCCGTGCAAACACTTCCAAACGCTGCAGTCGGAGCTGGGATAGAGAGGCCGCACAGTAGTCCTCAGCAAGCGACTTATGGCAGTCCTTTTCTGCTTGGTCACTTTGAGGATCGACCAGGACCAGGCATCCATTCGATGACCTCGCAATCGCTTCCTCTACCACAACCAGCGACTCCTCGACCATACTTGAACGACGCAGCATCGTGGTCAGCTTACCTGACTGCCAAGAACGCAGATCCGCGGCAGTCAAAACCTGATATGAAGTCCTCCTCGCCTGCACCTTGGTCGGTCGTTGAGAGCAAGCGAGACCATGTTACCCACTCTAGTCAGTCAGAGACAGACACTCTTCAGCAGGTTGCAACCATTCGCATGGCACACGATAACCATATCGCAAGTCTGCGCACGGCGCACGAGCATGAACTTGAGTCTTATCGCTCCTACATAACGTTCTTGGAAAAGCGCAGTGCTGCTCAATCGACATCATCAGCGAAAGCTTTGATCATTGACACAACGCATACCGACTCGAAGATTGTAGAGCCGCTGAGTGGTGTTACTTCTGCGACTACACTAGTCTCTCCCCAATCGACTCGGAGTCACGACCAGATAGCTGGCCAGATTCAGGATGAGAAGCAAGCACAGCAACACCGCCCCGGGATCCATCGACCCAAATCCACCGAGGATGCAAGAATAGAGCTATGTCGCCTGCGGGAAGGTATCGAGAAACGTGAACGCAAGATCAGTTTGCTTTCACGGAGGTGGAAAGACGAAGAGAAGTCTCTGCGTAACACCATATCCGACCTTGAGTCTCGATTGCTGGCTGCTAACAACGAGCGGCTCGACACACTGGAAGGTTTACATGTAGCGGGTGAGCAGGTGCGAAGACTAACCGAGCAGAAATCGAGGATCGCGGAAGAGAACCTGGGCTTGCGCAATGAGCTTGCTCAGCAGCACCCAGACCTTCATCCAGGCATCCTTGGCGAGGAAGAGGCCAAGCATCGGCCGAAGCATCAGAGAACCAGGTCGGAAGTTGTGACTAAGTTCTCTGGCGAGTTGGTGCTTGAGCAGCGTAACCGCGATCTACAACGTCAGCTATCGAAGGCCGAAGCGACAATTCGCCGCCTAGAACAGCAGCAGACTTACCCTGGCCAAGTAGAGAGGAAAGACAGCGCGATAACGAACGCCACGCCACCAAATGCCGTGGAAACGATCGCTGGTCTTGAGATTGCTTTGAATGACCATAAGCAGATGCTTGCAGTCTCCCGAGCCGATTGTGAGCGCTACAACGAGCTTCTACACGACGAGCTCAGGCGCCGAAAACAGCGTGCTTCGCAGGGTACACCAAATATGCCCGGATCTCGGCAGATGTCAGACGATGTATTGACCCTAGCAAGAGGAGGTGGGCAAGTTGCCACAGCCTCGCCTAGGATACATGAGGTGCAGACTTCGGCCAATCCGAAATTGGAATACTGCATGGAACAAATTGTGGCTCACAAGCTTGACATACAAGGATATAAGAAAGCGCTCAAAGACGCCAATGCTAGAATACAGGAGATGGAGACGTCCAGCACAAGACTTGTTCAGCGTCCACCCACACCAGATCGAGACAGTATGTCCAGCACAGCTAGCTCTAATAGTAACGGCCTGGCGAAGCAGAACGCTCCACAGGGCATGCCAACGCCCGAGAGCACCCCTAGCAACGCATCCGGGCTAGGCATATCACTCCGTCAAGCACCAGAAACCCCTCTTCGCACCGTCGCCACCGCTACAACCGCAGCTTTGCTCGCCACGACGCCGCCACTACCCTCGGTCTCACCGGCAGCGAGACCGAAGACACCCATGAGCGTGCATAAGAAGCTTCCCAAGCCTCCAGTGGCTATGACGCCTAGCCCGCTGCCATCCCAAGGACATGCGGTTGCCAAGTTGCAGAGAGGAGAGACCTTGCGTTCACTGTCCGACTCCATCATTTCTTCTTATGCGAAGCGGATGACGCCTGAGCAAAGCTCTGGATTTGAGTCGCAGCCGGGTAGCACGAGCTTCTAATGTTTATGCTCGGTTCAACCTCAGACTGATCATGTATTTGTACGAAGGTTGTTCAGACGTATGTACACACTGTAAGCAACAGATCGAACGATCATGGATATAATGCATCATCCCAATCATAGTATCCCTGTCTGAGCGCCACGCTAAGCAAGAAATACTCATATTCCGTCAATGACCATTAGCATTCTCCGAACTCGACAGTCACTCACGCCCCAACTTCCTTCCTCCGAAACAAGCGCATAAGTCCGAATCGCTTCTTACGCACCTCACTTCCCATCTGATTGACTGGCCAGCCGTTGATTTCCGCTTGCCTATTCATCAGGCTCATCGCATCGAAGTCGAACGCCTCTGGCCACTTCTCCATCGGGATCTCGCCGAGCTTTGTGCGATCGGAAGCAATTGAGTAGTATGTTGGCGTCTGCTTTCTTCTTCGCGGTACGGCTGCGGCTAGCTCGACGGCCGAGTGACTCGCTACTGGTCTGCGCTTGACATCCAGATACTGGTGGTGGTTTGTGGTCGGGACGCTGGCTGGATGCCCTGACCTCTGGCCTGCTGCGCTTTTGAAGACCTGCCCCTCCTGGTACGTTCCCATCGCTTCCTCAGGAGCAGTTTGAGAGCGCTGATGTGTAGGTCTGGCGGGCATCGGCGGTTTATCGTCCACATCGAGATATGGAGGTGGCGACGTGGAAGGTAGACTCGCTACACTCTGTGCCGCGGCACTGTTCGACTTTGACTTCTGCTTGCTCGCCTTGGCCCGCCGCTCGCCAGGCTTAACCATGGCGATTTGAGATGGTTTTGACGAGTTTGCGATCACGACCCGAGCGAGCATTGGTCCATTCACTCTGGTGTGGGCAGCATTGGCCCGTCGCCGCTTGCGGGTCTTCTCTACATCACTTTTGCATCCAGCTAGTGGCTCAGCGTTCCCCGGTAGTGCCAGTCTAGGGTGCGCAAGTGGCAAGCGAGGATGAGCAAGACGCTCGAAGAGAAGGCGAAGGGCGTGGCACGTATCCAATCTCGACCTCTCGGATAAGCTGGTCAGAGACTGATAGTCAAGCTGTACATGCTTCTTATCTCGACTCAGGAAAGAAGTGATAATGCTGACCAGACCAAAATTCAGCTTAAGCAGGATCTCAGCTAGTGAAGTCTGCGCGGTAGCTATCACGTTATATGTCAGCATATTGATTGAGAGGACGCGCACTTGAGCAGAGCATCCGAAATGTTGCTTCGACTCACCATCCCCAACAGCAAAATACTTCCCACTCCTCTGCGACTGCAATATGTACTCCCTCCCAATATCCTCCGGCCCTCGTCTCAGCGACCTTACTAATCGGACCTCCTCATCGTTAAGCTGAGCAGGGATTTTAGAAGAGGATCGCTTTTTGCGTTTCCGCTTATCATGTAGCTTCTTGAACACATCCAGACCAGAGGAGAACGACGCTATGATTGACAAGACACAGCTTGAGACATTCGTATGCGCCATGATTAATCGTTGTCTGACCTCGGAGTATTTGCAAGAGCTTGCAAAGTGCCGAGACAAGAGGAGTCGAAGTGTCGCACGATGAAGATGAATGTGTCTCAGCTCAGAAATCCATCATCGCCCGAAACGGTGCCTGAATATCAACCAGCAAAGTGCGAAACGTACGATGCGCTGTCACCGCCCGTCCACAAGTCCGGTAGAACTAGACAGGACGCATGAAGATGCAGTCGAGGCCGCACTCAAGGCAAATCGCAGGCGACGCAGGCGAAGGGCTCTGGACTACTATAAGCGCGCCATCAATATCGATTATGCAGGTCCGACGAGTAGTAGTTCCTATATGCTGCAGGTTTGCGAAGCGATCGTGCATTCATTGGGTGTGGATGTTCAGTTCGTGCTCCCGGCTTGCTCTGTGACTCTTTCATGCGAGGGCGGCCCGCTTTGGTCGGGGCGAAGCTACGGGCTGCATGGATCGCAGAGGCTAAAAGGGCTACGCCCAGAGGGCATGATCGTTCACGTGATATTACCGTGAAGTGAATATCTGTGTCAGGCATGGCATCGATTTCATGCGTAAAGGATCTCATCTATGAGTGAACGATCTACTCGACCCGTTCCGCAGCTCCAGCCACAAGCACAATTCCACCAAGAATCCAGGCGGGCCACCAAATCGACCAGATGACCAGAGGCGTATAAACGCCCTGTGCATGCCACCCCTTCGCCATCTCTAACAGCATCCACTGCATATCCTTGTCGAAGTACCACGTCATCGCGTACAACACTGTAGGAGGCGAAACCGCGGTCCAGGTGAGCGCTCCGAGGATCTCTACGAGATACTGGCCATATCGTCCCATTGACCCCATCGCGATCGCCACATCACTTCCATTACTGCTCCTCCTCCCAATACTCAAAGGCCTAACAAAGCTAAGGGGAGCAGCCAGCACGCCCACCACAAACGCCAAGCTAAAGTTGAGCGTGGCGAGGGTGGAGAGTGCGGCCCCGAGGAGTAGAAGGGAGAAGGACTGCATGATCTGGATCTGCTGTCGGGAGACCTTGACGCCTCGAACCAATATGATGGCGATGAAGGCCGGGAGAATGTAAGATATTGCTGCGATGATGCGGAGGCCGAGTGAGAGGTACTGTACATATGTCAGTAGCGGTAGTGGGGAAGGAGGGCTTGTTGTGGTACTTACAGCGCGGTTCAGGGTATTAAGAGCTTGTATGGGCAGAATGCCGAGTAGATGCACAGCCAGCACAGCCAGCACAGGGACGAAGAGCTGCCGCTGCACGGTCCGCGTAGCCTGTTTGGGGATGAGCACGATCGCACCAGCCGTCTTGACAACCTCCAGCTGACCCTCCTGCAACTGCTTGTTCGTAGAACCAGACTTCGGACTCGAAGCAATAGGCGCTCTTCCACTCTGCACCCAAAGCGCCAACGCAGTAACCGTGAAATTGCCCGCAATCAACATAGCAGCCGGTAGATAATTCCCAATACTAACGAATCTCTGCGCACCCAATAGAATGTAGAAAAAAAAACTCTGATGCAAATGCTCAAGTAAGTTGTTGATACTCCGGAAAATACTCTCCGTCGTCCTTCCCAGAGACATCTCATCATGCCATCCATCGCCCAGAGTTTTGAGCGTGATAGCGTCGACATGATAGGGCATGAATGCTGAATGAGGACCCGTAGCATGACCGGCACTCTGCGTGATCACGCCTTTGGTAAGAATTTTGAGGCGGTCAGGATATTTATCGCTGTGGGCTGTGATGCCATGTAGACTACAGCCTATCCCCATCTGACCATTAGCTATGGAGACGGCAGTATTGAGTAGATCGAGATTAGGCAAGGCGCCATTAATGCCATCGTAGAGGATATCGAGTTTGTCGAAGCGGTGGCCCCAGGGTCCGACGGGATAGTCGATCGCTACTGCTGCTTGAAGAGCGCCGGCTTTGATTGGGAGTTCGCTCACGTTTCGGGAAGATGTGACTTCGGTGGCGGTGCTGTGGTAGGCTGATACCCAGGCTTCGGGGCCGTATGTGCTGTCGGAGGGGATGAGGACGATGATGTCTTTGCTCCAGATCGACCAGCGCTTGAAGTATCGCGCCAGTGTTAAGACGAGGGCTACACCAGAGAAGTTGACTTGGCCGTCGAAGTTGCGCCAGGCGGCTATGAGGACCATGGCTTCTGTAGCATCTGCCCGCGGACCTTGCAGGATAGTATAGAGGTTCGTGCCTTCGATGTCCTCGCCCGCAACAGTGTATCTATAATCCTGCCGCGCCGGCTTCAGTCCGATGTCCCTGATCACACTTTCCACGGCATTCAATCGATCTCGCTCGTCCCAGCCAGATATGCCGTAGACTTCTTGTCTGTAGGCGCGGAAGACATTATGTTCGCTGCCGCCGAAGTAAGTGTGGACTTGACCCGGGAGGATGGCGTTCTCGGAGACGTATGTTTGACGCGAGTACTCATCGAGGGGCAGGATGAAGAGCCAGGCTATGCCGACCACAATGCATAGTGCTGATGCGAAGGGTGGGAGTTGCAGGAGTAGTGGAGAGTTGCGGAGGGTGAGCAGGCGGGCGACTAGTAGTGGCTGGATCGTCAGTCAGCGATCACAGTGTATTTATCGGGAGAGGTGAAGAGACGTACGTAGCGGCATCGTGGTGTTCGACTCGCTGTCACCGTGCCATTGTATGTTGCTCGAGTCAATCTGCAGAACCAATGTTTAGGCCAGCTACGCCAATAGCAATTGATTTACCAATTGATCAAATGCTCGGACGCCGGATTAACTGGCTAGCCGTTGTACCTAAGCAATCGGCGGTAATTACCTTAAGCTTACCGAGCAGGGATATGCGCTGCGTCCGAGTCGCGTGCCCGAATGTCGAATCACTTTCTTTTCAAGTCCTCGACAGACGAACTCCTTTGCGCCGACCACACTCTGTGGTGTCTTATCGTCCTATATGGCTTTCACCTTTGCCCTCCCGGATGCGCGACGAATACGATACTACTTCCAACGCCTACCACTCTGCACCCGAGGTCTCCTAGTCGTACTCACAGCATTCTACATTGGTCACCTCTTCACACCCGCGCTGAACCGCTGGGGAGCTCTGGTACCACAAGAAATAAATCTTAGTACATGTACGTCTACCACACCATCACACCCCAATATAGACTACCTCTGACATCGCTACAGTATACCGCCTGAACACCTACCCACTCCTGCACAAAAATCTCCTCCACTTCACCCTCAACTCCCTCGCTCTGATCCCGCTCCTCGAACGCTTCGAGTCCGAACACGGCACCATCGTGACCTTCATCCTCTTCTCCGGGCCCTTCGGCCTCCTCCCTGGCGGCCTCTACACCCTCCTCGAACGCTACATCTTCCGCCTCAACGGCGCCGCCATCGGGGCCAGCGTCTGGGTGTTCCTGCTTCTTGCGTCCGAGAGCATAAAGACGTACCGCACGAACCCGTATTTTGCGATTGGGGATGTCAAGATCCCGACTTGGGTGACGCCAATAGCGATTATCCTCGTAATAAATTTCTTGGTGCCCCATACGAGTTTCCTAGGACATTTATGTGGTGCTCTGGTCGGATATCTATGGGGATTGGGATACATCAAATTCCTCGCGCCACCGGAGAAGATTCTTAGGTTCATTGAGAGCAAGTTGAATCTACTCGGCAGGTTGCCGCATTATGTTAGTGTGGACCAGAAGACTTATGGACGGTATGGCGTTCTGCCGAGTACGAGTGAGACGAGACCTGGGCCTGGGAGAGGGACATTAGGGGCGATGAACGGAGTTGCTGTTAGTCCTACGGATGGTGGTGGTGGGCAGAGGCTGGGTCCTTGAAGATTGTGAGACGTGTATGATTATGGAAAGCACTTTCGAGTCATGCAGGCTTCCTGCCATTGGGACGATTCAGGTGGATCTTGCGCCGAGAGTTGGTTTGGACGAGGAAGGAGTCACATCCAGTCCTGAAATCCTCCATTTCGACATCTCCACATACATCATGCTGCAGCTTCATGCCAAATTGCACTGAAAGCATGATTACGCCATCGCTATAGCACGATAGATCAGCACCAATACCGAAGCTTGATCGCCACAGTACACTTGGGTCCCACGAAACCCATCACAAACAACCACTCGTCATCATCAAGAAGCTCCATCACACCATACAATGACCCTCGAGCGCAAGGACTCAGGCATCGCTCTCTGGACCCCAGGGCGTATCCCCAAATTCAAACCTTCCCACCGACCTCTCGCGCCACATTGGTACCACCAGACCCTCCTCGACCAAGACGCAGACCTGCTCCCCAAACCCGATTCCACCGACCCTCTCGCCTTCCTACCCTCTCGGACGAAGGAATACCCAAAGTTCCCCAAATTCGACTACTTTGTCCTGCGCGACCGTCTTATCTGCACCCAGATAGCCGGAAGGTTACTAGACGTATCAAAGTACTTCGCAGAAGTCGCCCAGGGGAACATGGGGATTTACATCGATGCCCGAAGTGAGTGCGCTACTCCACAAGACGAACCATCACACCGGCTCCCTACCTTCCCGCATCCACGTGTCTGGTGAGCAATGCGCTGACACGACTGCGCAGGATTGGCATTATACTTAGACATCCACTTCGGCCTCACAATCTTTGTGTCGAGGCAATTCGGCACCGTGAACTTCCAGAAAGTCATCAGGCCTTGTCTTGTCTCCGCACCCACTCCGGCAAGAGTACCAGTACATGATTCACAGACTATCACATCCGAATTCCAGGCTTGGCGGCATGCGGAATGTGCAATTCACTATTGTAGAGAGCTGCACCTGGATGTGCTGGGCGCGGAAGTCAGGGGCGCACTCTTGTGGTCGAGGCGGCTGCTCATGGAGGCGGAACTGCAGAGGCGAAGTTTTGTGCCGCGGACGATGGAGGAGGAGCGTGAAGCTCGTAGGATTGTGGAGAGGTTGGGTCTGGAGAATACGGCTCTTAGGCCTAGGGAGAAGTTGTGGGAGTCGCGGATGCTTAGGCAGGGGTAGGAGGGGGCTATTGAGCGGTCAGACGGGGAAAGGAGGAATCCTACATTGTAGATACATTGTATCTCACCCTTCACTTCGCTGTGTTTTCATTCCGCACGACAGATGGAACGGGGAAAGTCAGCTCGTCCGGTTGGCGTTCAAGAGATTTGGCAATGGCCTCGTGACTCCCGGCCATTGACCTTAGCTGGAATGGTGGCCATGAGCTTTGGCTTAATGAATACATCGTGCCGACTAGCCCCAACCAGCAGGCATGTCAATACCAGGTAACAGCCAATGCCACATGCTATGCATGCGCTTGAGGTTGCTACCTCTTCTCCTTAGATGATACTGGTGGGATGGATCGGTGGGCGATAACCGAGACGCCACTCATGTCGTGCAATGGTCAGAAGGGAGATGCCAGATCCCGGGGTTAGCAACCATGCCGGCGCATACTCAAAGGAGCACGGAGTGATATTGACACGGGAGGCAAGCTGCTGTCCGATCTCTAATGTCACGGTCGAAGTCTGCCATACTGGTGGCGAGGACTAACCCAAGTTCGCGGCTCTGTCCCAGCAGGGTCACTCTTGACTTAGGACCAGCGCCATGTTGCACATGCCGAATCTTGTACTGCCGTCTGCCGGTGTGGTATTCTCCCAACGCATTTCATTTGGAGATTCTGACGATCATGAATGGACTTCATGACTCTGTTACAAGCTCCAGATCGACTGAGTATGGTCTGCCGTAGATGGATTGACTGCCCCTCTCGTGACATCAAATGACACCGTCGAATCGATAAAAACGGGCAAATCATGCGGCCTTCCACCTCCTCCCCCCTCCTTTCTGCCACAGATGCACAGCCTCCGTCGCATAAGCCTTCGCACTAACATGCCGTCCACGATCAACACCCTGCCCTTCACTCTCCATAACCAGCGTCTCAATAACCTTCTGCTTCTCCACTTCATGCCACAATCCTCTCGCCAGCTCACCCAGACTATCCTCGATCCCAGTCAAATCAGCCCCAGGCTCCCCAGGGTTGCCGAACTCGCCCTTACCAAGTCTATACAGCAGGCGTCCAAGTGTCTGAAAAGCAATACATCTCTGCGCCGCGTAGCTGGATCGCGAGAGATGTGCTAGCTCGGCGATGGTGTAGCCTGCCGCATCCGGTGCGTCGCCATGGTGGTGCAGTCCAGCGGTCACTGGAATCGCGGCAGCAGTGGTTGGTGCCAGCAGTTCACCTGTGAAGGAGAAACGGATGTTCTTGGCACTGAAAGTAGTAGATGTTGGGTCGTACGATTTGTTGTTTGAAGCCGAAGATTGCATCCACTCTAATTTATCTGGATCGGATGGCAGAGAAGGGAAGTACTTCTCGTGTAGGTCCTTGAAGAATGTGGCGGATGAAGGATCTAGCTCTGGTGGTTGTGGTGGTCGTGGGAAGTGTACGCTGTCGTGTGGCAAATGCTCAGGGGCGGATACTTCTGTATGACCGTCGTCCACTTCTTCTGCAGTCGACGGATCGGCATCGTCTTCTGCGAAAGTCACTGTTCTACGCGAGGACACCTTGTGGGCATCTCTGGGCTCAGGTACCGCAACAGGCTCAGCAGAAAGATCGGTTTCGTTGCTTCCGCTGCTGATGTTGGATCGCTTTAGTAGCCGCTCGATCAATGCCGGACTTAGACTGCTCATCAGTTCTTGTCGCTCCTCATCGAGTTCTGTAGGAGACATCGCTGCAAGCTTGGCATTGTTCTCGTCGTCGATGCGGCGCTTTTCCTGCTCCATCCACGACTTTGGTCCGCCATTGCTACTTGAATGCTGGGGTGCGATTTGGGCTTGAGGTCGAGATACGTCTGGTCTTGCGCTGTCAGCAGTCTTTGGCCCGACGTCATTGCGAGTCTTGAATCTGCTTTGCGCAGTCCTCTTCTTATGTTCAGGAAATCCAGTTTTGCTCTTTAGTGTCGGCGCGCTCGGAGGCTTCGCAGAGCCAGGCTGTCGCTCCAGCACATCCGCCACAAAAGCACCTGGCAGTGCCGTCTGTTTCGCTACTGGTTCCTCGTCGTCCGAGCCCAAATCGAGCTCAAATCGCTGACCTTTGATCATATTGTATTCTTGGCGCGGCGATGCATGCGACTGTTTCAAGTGATGTTTTAGCCGAATTCTCGATTTAAGGTTACTTGATCTGCCGCTCTAGCGCCATCGTGCATACCGCCTGTCCCGCCTGCTTACATGTACACACGTAGCTGGTGCTTCATGTAAATACATGTACCGCATCTATGGTGGATGTAGTGCTTTGCATTAGACTTGTGAGCGATACACAAGGTGCTGGTCATTTGTCTTCGCAAAGTTGCTGAGGGCGCGTGACACAAAGTTTCAAGCGAGCATCCATGCTGTTGCCGAGACGAGACGCAAGCTTTGCATCTGGTGACCACCAACACAACGGCACGAGCACCAGCTTCCATGTTGAGAGTTGGTATACACACTGCCATCCCCACCCAGTACTAAATCGCGACGTATATTGTAGAAGGCGGAGATGTGAAGGGTACATAAGACGCTCGAAGCCGACCGGCTCACCAGCCGAGATTCACTCGGCCCTCTACGCCCTTGGCCGCCGCTCGTAAACGCAGCAACGTCAGAGCCAACGATCTTTCAGGCACATGCAGCCCAAATAACCCTTTGCGGGGCCCGCCCATGGACTTTTGTGAAATAAGGAAGTGAGGGAAGGGAGTGGCCGTGCTTAGCAGCAGCTGGTTCGCTCGCTGTTCTGTGTCGGGAGCTTTCAAGTTGTCCGCGCTGGTCGCTGTCGACTTTCTCATATGACTGCTGCCTCGCGCTGTCGTGTGTGTCTGCTCCATTTCTCCCCTTTGCATCTTCTTGCTACCACTTGCAATTGTGAGCGTGCATGTTGTCCGCCATCTATTGACGTCTTCCGGCCATCAAATCGACCTCAAGAACGATCTTGATTTCAGCATATAACTGCCCGCTCCACTTCAGCATTATCAAGGGCCACATCGCACCTATACTGGCCTGTATATGGCAGAATATTGTCGTCGCCGCCTGCACTCCTGACACTGCGACGTTGGAAGTTCAGCATCCGCAAGCACCGTCGTCCGCGCTTCGGATTGGCTGGACTGGATCGCCATGTTGAATGGTTCCCTATAACCATTCCTGCTGAGCAAACACTCCTGCTTTGCGTGCAGACCTTGCATCTTTTTCTTGTTAAGATATACATTGTCGGCTTGGCGGAAAATCTGTATGAACGGCTACAATGGCGACTGCGGCGAGTTTTCAGGATCGGATGCAGCTCGACGAGGCGGCTTCTGATCGCTCTTCCTCATCTTTATCGCCGCCACCCACTACTCCACAACATGCCGACACAATTCACGTCGCTCGCCCACAATACCATCTTCCCCACGTTCCTGGTGAAGGTGTAGCAAATCTGAACGCGGGCATTCCCGCACAGACTTCAAATGCTGCTATACATGCCCAAAATGGCAACGTGTCTGCACAGGCGTCTACGACTGCGAATGGTGCTGCGCCTGAGAAGCCTAGGAGACAACGTAAGAAGAAGATACTCGACTTCGATGCTCAAGGTCGTCCGATCGAGCCGGCTCCAAAGAAGCCTCGCAAGCCTAGGGCCCCCAAAGATGCAACGACCGCAGCGACGACCGCGCCGCGCAAGAAGCAGAAGATGGAAGAAAAGCCACCGCCCCCGGCTGATGGCCCTGCAACCACGCGACAGCCAACGCTCACCGACATGATGCACAGTTACCATCAACCCGCACCTCCAATAACAGCACTTCATCAAGCTCCTTATCAACAACAGCCTCAACCACAGCCCCAGCCGCAACATCGAAGCAGTCTAGGTCCACCACCGCCATCGTCAACATTACCATCGTCTCGACCCACGACCAGTGGCCAAAACTACGATCCCATACGTGGCTTTGATCCCGTACGTGCAGCATCATATGAGGGCGCCCATCATCGTCCCACGCACCCACCAAACGGCGTATCGTCGGCCCAAGCATCACCGCATGTGAATCGCGCGTCAGCATCGCCATCAATAGCAAGTCTGATCGACCCACCTGCCACTATCACGGCTCGAACCTCGATGCCCGCACCCCCGCCATATTCTCCGCAAGCAAACATGCATCAGCCTCCTTATCTACCATCGCAACCACAATCACCCACGCCACCGAAACCAGCACCTGTTGCATATCCACATCCGCCCATGCCGAAGTCACCTGTGCAAGCTGCGTCATTGCCACCACCTATATCGGCGATGGACGGTGCTATGGATGTAGACCTGACATGCGATGCTCCAAAGGCCTTGCTAGATGCCAAGACAATTTCAAAATCTTCATCTACAGGACCCACACCGAAGCCGAAGGCTACGTCACCTCCACTCAAGGTCGCTGGAAGTGGCTTGTTGTCTGCGAACGATTTACTGGGTGGTGGATCATCAAGCGACACGAACGAGCGTCTAGGCGTCAATATCGACATCCACATCCCACTCAACCCGGCGGGAGGCAACACGATCAACATTGCCCACGAGATCATGAAGAAGTATGGGCGTGACGCGATCAATCCTCGTGCGGCAGCACATCGCGAGCAGCTGCAGCGGATCCGTGCAGCAGCCAGTAAGCTGGAAGGTGGTGCATCTGCAGATGACATGTCTCTTGACCTGTCAGAAGCAGGAGATGATGATAGTAACGCCGAGATGGGTGGTATGGACGACGACAAGAGTGGCACCGGCGCGGATGGTAAGGCTCAGGTACGCAAGCGCCGTAAGAAAGTTGAGGAGTACGACAAGGAGGATGAGTTCATCGACGACACCGAGCTGGCCTGGCAGGAGCAAGCCGCAGTCGCGAAGGATGGCTTCTTCGTCTACTCTGGTCCCCTGGTCCCACCTGGCGAAGTCGCGAATGTCGAGTCGACCACAACATCAGGTCGTGGAGGTAGAGGGAGAGGCCGCGGCGGCGGGCGAGGCTCTCGTGGTGGTACAACAGCCGGAGCAACTCACGCTTCGTTGGCTGAGAAGAGTAAAGATGCTAGTGCGCCGACTCGAGCAAGAGGCCGTGGTAGAGGTACTGGCGCGCCTAGGAAGCCTCGCATTACCAAAGCGGATCGCGAGCGCATGGAGACGGAGAAGACGGAACGTGAACGTGCTGGGCAGGTGCACAACGGGGGGCCGACAGGAGTGCCGCCAGCGCTCGCACCTCCTCCGCCTCAGCAGGCATTGCCGAGTTATAGTGGTCCGATAGGCGGTGGACCGGTCGGCGTGTAGTATCCACCACCACCACTGGATCATGCCCGGCTGCAGAACAACGAGGATGCTTTCAGGCAATGGCTTATACGACGCCTGCACAAGGGGCAGACCAAGATGCGAAACAATCGATTGCAAGGCGATACGCCAGCGGAATTGCGCGGAAGAAATCACGATGAGTCACAGCGATATGGCGAATAGAGGATTGTGTGAGACGGGGCGGACTCGATAATAATTTGTTGGGCAAGCGTGGCGTCCTGATTGTGCGCAATTTGTCTTGCGCATCGGCGTTGGTAGAGTGGTGGATTGCAGTATACTGTAGATCATGCCACCGTTGATGGCTTGGGGATCCTTCGAAGGCTCTTCTCAAGACCCTTCCAGCAGTGTATGATGGAGCAATGGTCTTGCTCTTGTCAGAGTCCATACTCAGTTACGAGCCACGTTACTCTCTTCTTGAAAATTTCCAGGATCGCGAGATAACGATAGTCTTGATTGATGCGTTTGAAGAAGGCACCGCAAATTGGATTCTCTCTACTTGCTTGGCTCGAATACGGAATATGTCAGCGCAGTAGTAACCACATTGTCTAGCCAGCTTTCTCGAACATCTTCACGATCTCATCCACAGTCCTCGCCACCTCCCCTGGCCTTGAAAGCATGGGACTATGCCCCGAATCCTCCAACGTGCTAACGATCCACTTCGCCCTCCCACCAGCACCCTCAATCATAGCATCCTGCTGCGCAACAGGCACAGGAACATCCCCTGTCGTCCTGACATAAGCCAGTCTACCCTCAAAACCCTCAGCATCATTCTGCCAGGCCTGAGGAGGCACAACACCCATATTCGCCGCCATGCTCTGCGGCTGAAGTCTCCCTACCGCCCAAGCCGTGAGTTCGGGCGAGACGTCCGGAGCGTAGAACAGAGAAGCCGGGTTTTTCGTGACGAAGAGGCCTGGCTGCGGCGTGTCCCAGTCGACGTATGGGAGACCGCCTATATCACGGATGGCTTGGCCTTGATCCATACCACCTGGGAAGATATAAGCCGCGAGATTGATGAGGCCGAGGACGCCGCCGGTGTCGGCTTTGCGGGATTGGGTGGAGAGGCCGAGGATGGCTGCGCTGGCGATGGGTCCGGCGTAGGAGTGTGCGAGGACTACTACGTGTTTGTTGCGCGAGAGCAGGTCTTGGATGGCGGTGCGGACTGCGGCGGCGTCGTCGAATTGAGTCGTTCCTGGCTTTCCGGAAGTGCAAGGGAGATCGACTAAGGCCGTTTCGTAGCCTAGGGAGTGTAGATGGGAGACCTCGTGATCCCAGATCCAGGAGCCATGCCAAGCGCCATGGACGAGGAGGATAGTCGGGTTTGGAGTAATAGACATCGTATTGCAAAAGCGCAGGCCAGATTGTGGAACTGTAGTGGATGCTGTAGGAGAAACTGGCGATTTCGATCCGACTCTAATGTATCTCGTATAGAGGCGTGCGGCTGACCTAACAATCTTGGAACGCAGAGCTCAGAGCTCAGATGGCGGTGCTCGGCAGAAATTTGGGGTCCACTCATCCATGTCAAGCGCTTCCTGAGAACGGATTTGTATGGACATGCTCCGGTGCAAGGCGCACTCCGACAATGCCTCTTTAAGCATCCCCAGCTGTCAACAGCGTTCTCCCCCTCTCTGCTTCATCTTGCTTACTCCCATCCTTCTCCACTTCATTGGGCGGCTCTAAACCATGGTCCTGCCTAGGCGGATAATCACCCACAAGCGCTCCCTCGCGTCGCAAAGCTTGCCCTTCCTGTCCTGCTCTTCCCAGTACACCAGCAATGACTTGCACGCATCGCAGACTATCGTCGTTCGCAGGAATGGGATATGTCACCCAAGTTGGATTGACATCGGTGTCCACGATCCCAATCGTCGGGATGTTGTTCAGCGCGCACTCGTGCAATAGCACATAGTTCTCCAACGGGTTAAGACAGACCACCAGATCAGGCTTGACAGCCGCTTTCTGAATCAATTGATCCTCGAACCCCTTTACCTCTTCATCGCGATGATTGACCACCTTCTTCTTGCATTTGCCTAAGATCTGTTGTCCATTGGTGATGGTGCCAGGAATCCATTTCGTAAATAAATGACAGCCTTGCGCCATCGATGCCGCGTTGACTACTGCCCGTGCTTGTCCTTCTCGTGATCCCACGAACAGCACCAATCCTCCTCTTTCCGTCACGCCAGACACGACTTTACAGGCCCGTCGCAGATGTGCCGCCGTGACGTCGAGAGAGATGATGTGGATGGGATCCTGTTCGCCACGCACACCGAAGATATATTTGGCATTCGCGGGATGCCATAAGCTCGTCGAGTGTCCGATATGCGACTGACTGGCCATCAAGAGCTCGAGTGTGATGTCTCTGGGACTCGGTGGGTTCGATAGGAGTTCGTGTGGGCGATAGTGGGTTTCTACTTCGCTTCCGATCTTGCCTGTCACGGCCTTTTGGTGGTGGAAGAATTCCCAGTCGCGTGCTACTTGGTCGTCCGATGCTATGCTGTTCTGAGTGGAGATGGCAGTCATGACTTGACTTTTGGTGGCATCCTCGGCGCCGGCAACATATTGCTGGTCCTGGTCCGGATTCGTGTATGTTTCTTCGATCTGGCTGGCGTAGCACCGTCTAAGAGTTCGGCCAGGAGTATATCGCGGGAGGGCAAGACGGCCTGTAAACATGTTAGCGGCGGTCAATGATGGAGCACATGTATACCATACCATGCCGCAGAATTAGGGATCTTATTATCATCGTTGCTGTGTTGTGTGAGCAAACATTGATGAGCATGAACAAATGCTTGATGCATTGCAAGACTCCCGCGGCCAAAGCGCCAGCAACTCGAGCTTCACGAACGCTGACACCTCGCCAATGGCTGCGAGATAATGATCACACGAGCCATGGACAGAATTGTACATATGATATGAAAGGACGTGTCGTAGCGACAGCTTCGTCGCTCAGCACCGCCATCTGGATCACGGACGAGGCCCTTGCCGAAGCCTTCAATAGATTCGTCCGCGTGTCACATGCCCACAATGCCAGAAGACATGGCTGCACCTTGCCAGGTCCAATGGAAGCACGAAGACGACATGCGAAAAGGAGAATGGGCCTTGCAGCAACGGTAGCAGCTGGGGGTGGGCCTCAAGCAATAGATATGGGAGCTTTGTTCGGACTGGGAGCAAGACCACCCATTCAGCCCGAGAAGAGCTGGTCGTGGGAGCCTCCTAGAGTGCAATCGCGGAGAGAGCAAGTACAGCCAGCGAGAGTCGCTTCTAGCTTTGGTATGAGTCTCGAGCAGTCGATGGTAGGTGTGGGCTTTCCGCTACCACCACCACCACCATCCTCGGCACTCTCATGGCTACCGAAAATGAGCACGGCCAAGCTCCCACCGGCACAGATACCGGACGAATCACAGAAAGCCATCAGAGCAAGCAAAGTCGAATTCGACAGTCTGCTACACTCTCTTGGAAATAATGACCGAATCGACAGAGAAGCAATCCAGCGACCCATCACTTTCCTGCAAAGCAGTGAAGACGAGCCGCTAGCACAGAATCTGGTCACGCTCTGCGACTGGATGGCCACGAAGGAGGTTTCAGACGAGGTCATCATGCTACTGATCTCGTGCGTCCAAGATAAAGTCCGGCTGCGGACAATCGCGTCAAAGCAGCTCGCGCCTGTATTCGACTACCTGGTCCGGCATGCGCAGAACCTCTCATTCGAGTCAAACTTGGTCGGTCTACTCGACACAATGGTGTCTGTTTCTGGCGAGACGTCGATCCGACAACTCGCAAGGAGTTTAGAACAACTGCACGGCGCCAAACAAGCTGACGACGACTCGATCCGTTTCTGGTTCAACATTCTCGACTCCTGTGAAATGATGCAGGGCCGTCGCGCACCTCGCGTAGCATGGGAGCAATTCTACCGACTCTTTGCTCCAAAGTTTCAGCCCGCACAGCTATCGGAGCACCTCTGCAAACTTCAAGACGAGGACTTGGCGGAAGTGATACTCCGGTATTGGGTGCCCAAGTACATCCACGCACCAGTCGCGGAGATACAAGAACCCCTTACCTACAGGACGTCAATTCGTGTAAACCTGCACACACTGGACCGAGCGAAAGCTGGCGTGGTAACAGCAGCGATGCGGGAAGACTTTACCGAACGTCGGAGCAAGATCCGACTCGCGAGGAGATATCTTGAAAGACACACGCCTCTGACGACTTTGTTCGAAATATTATCTGAGCGAGACATTTCCTACAGCACACTAATGCTCGACCTGACGAACATGTTCGTCGAGCAGAACTGCTCCAACAAGCTCTACTCGCTATTCCGTGGGGTGGAGAGATCTCTACAACTAGGCATACCGGTCAGCACGGCGGATCGCATCATTGAGTATCTTCAGACTTGCGGCAAGGACATCGATCTTGCTCGCGCGTTCCGGGTGTTCGAAGCTACGCCTTCCGTTTCTTTACTGGCCTGCGGCGACCTGCCTTTGACTCTTATCCATCGTGGTCTAGGCACTCCCGATCGCATTTTCCTGATGCTGAATCGCCAGCACGGACCCGATATCACGCAGGAGGAATTCAGGACAGTGCGGAAATTGTGTCTATCACAGAGGCATCTTAAGGTAGTCCATTTCTCCGCCTATCACTGGGCTGAATCACGGCATAAATCCGCCCGCGTCGCTCTGCGAAGAGTCTGGGAATGCTACCGCTTCTTGCAGGATCGTGGGGCCGACATCTCCGTTCTTGTATCTCGTGCCCTGGTCAAAGCGGGAATATTGAGACCACTACAGGAGGGCAAGTCTGTTCCTAAGACACAAATGCAATTTATCCTCTCCATTGTCAAGGAGGTGGAAGGCCAGGACGTGGCTAAGAAACTGGATGATGCGATTTGGGACTGGGGCAAGAAGTTGAGGGTCCCGGGCAATGCTCTTATGGCTGCGAGGCGTAGCTGGGCGGAACGGCGGAAGACGGAAGGCGTAGAAAGGGGCTTGAAGTGGCGGGTTCGATTGTGGAGTCGGAAGCCTAGTAGGTGGCATGACCATCGAGGCGTACTTCCTGGGAGGGGAGAGAGACCGCGTGTGAAGCGGCAGGACGACGAGGAGATGGTTAAGTTTCAGCCGCTCGCTGTTGATCAGGAGCCTGACGAGATGAGTCTGCAGTCGAACGACGGGAAACAGACAGATACCCACGATGGCCTTAGTCGCGAAACGCTTGATTAGTAGTATACGGTAACTGTAAATAGTGATATCCATATAACTGTCCATGATCTCTTCGGCGTCGCCAATATGCAGGATTTAGCAAGAGCGATTGATGCAGCTTCTGGCGGGTGGAAACTGTTACTGGATAGCTGGGAAGGCACGGCTGCTCGGTCAAGCTTTGCACTTTCCTCGCCATGGCCACAGTGCCTGCCCCTTCTCATAGCGACTTGGAATGCTCGACTCGCCTGCTCACTAAGCGTTTGTGTTTGTAGACATCCCTTTTTGTTGCCACGCCCGACCTCGCGCTCACACTCCAGGAGCCTCTTTCTTACCTTTGATCTTCCGGTACAGGTGCTGGACGACTTGACTTCGCGAGGTCTTCTATACGACCTTCCGAGTTGGAAGCTCATCTTGAAGCTTCAGCCATGGCCGACATAGCACAATGGCGACGCATGATCCAGCCTACAAGATCTCGCACTCCGGCTCTCGAGCCAGACATACTGGACGATGCTGCTACTCCAGTCACACCGAAACGAGGACTGAAGCCCAAATTCTCGTCGTACTTTACACAACTGGCAGGCGTGCCTGAGATTGATTTGCCTTTTGGTTCGTCCATTGACGATCTCATGCCACCTCAGCTGCCGATTTGGCCAGAAGACGAGCCCTATCCACAGCCCAATGCGGAAGGCTTAATCGACTCCATAATGTGCCGGCTCATGTCTGATCCATATGGTATGCTCGACCCACGTTTCAACGGCATGATTTTGCAGATTTTCGAATCCTACCGTGCTGCGCTGGATGAGAAGACACTCTTGCAAGCTCAACTGGATGACCTCACCCGTGGCCGAAGGTCTATGGTTCATAGTCTGCAACAGGCACAGAAGCAGTGGGCCGGAGAGAGGCAAGCTTACAAGGCCGAGATCAAACGGCTTGAGGTGTTGATTGCTAATGGTGCTGGTGGGCTGGCTGAGGTCACGTTAGCAAGGCAGAGTAGCCAGCTCACACAGCATGAGAATATCAGGCGAAGTCAGCAGATTGACGCTAGTCTTCAATCTGTATTCGACTCACTTGAGAGAGCTAATCGACTTCATGAGAAGGCTTGGAGCAGTCAAAGAGGTGAGTTCGTAGCGTATTACTTTTGCCGCTCGACCTTGATATCTGCTAATTTGTTATAGCTGTCTTCCGCCCACAACCAGTCTCGCCATCAGCGAATATGAAGCGCCTATCGCAGCAACTCATGGCTTACGATGGTGTTGACGATTGCAAGGACGACAGTCTCGTTGAGACGATTCCGCGGCCAAGCTCGAGCGTTAGGGGCCATGTACGCTTCAATCAGCCGCAGCAGCTATCTTCCGAGACCCATCTCCAGCCCGACAGCAGATGCAGGTCGGTTTCTGAACCCAAGACGAGCCTCTCAGTAGAAACCATGTCCACTTTCAGCTGCCTGGGAGACCTCCTGCCCGACGAGGCGTCCGGGACTGCGAGTGAGCAGCTTTCGACACCATCCAAGGACACGAAGAAATCAACCAAGGCAACGGCAGGTCTTCACAAGCAGCCATCGCTCATCGCCAAAGCATCAGGCCTTCTTCATCGACTCATGCCTCAGAGCCACAGTACAGACACCAGACACTTCTCATTCGAGGCAGGTGAAGAAGCCTTGACACTTGTGCCAGCAGGAATTCTGGGCAAAAGCGCATCGCTTCCATCGTTGACTGAACAGCCACAACGTGCTGTCATGCCGATGCTCTCACCTGTAGCTCAAAGCACGACCACTTCTACGACGATGTCAGACACGAAACGAGCATCAAGAATTCCAACTCCTATCCACACAGGCAAGTCCATGGCAAGACCACGCAAAGAACGAGACACTTCGTCCTCGGACCTGCTATGGCCTTTGTGCGGACAACCAATCGAAGAACTCCAGGGAGCGCCTTCTAACCTCCCAGAGTCTTGTCCCGGCGGCATGAGTCCTTCCTTCTTCAGTAGCAATGTTCCATTGGATGGAGTAGGCACGAAAGAGCTTCTTCGCTCCGTTCGTGGGAATGCGTTCGCGAACGCTGCTTTTGCTACCAGGCACAACTCCAATCTGAAGCGCAGCTATGAGTCAAGCCAAGTGAAGCGCTGTATGCAGCTCTATGGACCACAACTCGATCATCTGGCATCGAGTATGAATGAAAGCACCAAGGAGAACGTGCCGCCGCTCGACCTTGATCGAGAGTATGAGGTCGAGAGATCCTGATGGCGTCCCACAGAGAAAGGTGACGGGAAGCAATGAAATGTGCCTTCGGGTTGTGAACCCTGGTGTGGAATAGGTGCCTCGCGACTGAGCATGTCGTGTTGGTGGGCGAAGTGTTCATGGCCGGAGCCCGTTGGCTTTCGAAGCTACACTTCATATCAGCATTTATTAGAAGAACGCACACTTGCTGGAGCAAGTCCACACGACTTGGTCGGTCGTCGCGGCCTAGACTCCATCTTGTGCCATCGTCACGAACTGCCTCTACAATAGCAGTACCGATGTTTCACAAGCTATTACTGCAAGCGATGCAATGTCGAGTCAACACTCGGAGTGTCCGTTCGCCAGTCATCCCATATCCGCCAAGCATGCCTGCATTAGCCTCGCCTGCACGTGTCGTGAGATAGAGATATATAGCACGAATAGCACAAATCCTCCATGTAGCAAGCGGACACAGATGACGAGGCCTCCAAGCGCCATGAAGCGCTGTTAGCTTGGCAGCAAGCAAAATTGTAGGCTCGGCCAAGCGGAAATGGAGGGGATGGTAAAGACAGTGAGGCGTGCAATGCTAGTCATGTGATTGTGTTGCCGCGAAGAAAATGGCAACGTGTATCGAACACATGGACCCAAGAGCACATATTGACAGGGTATCCTTCGTGAACATCGTTTTAGCCGTTGTTTCAGAGAGGGTTCCGCCCAAGCCGTTACCGAGCGCCAGGCATGAAGTCTGAAGGGAAACGGTCGTTGGACGCTGGATCGCTGAAAGGATGCGCATGACGCAAGCAGGTGTGGCTGGTGTTTTCGTCAAGAGGCACAGGAGCTGTTTGATGAGCAGAAACGTTGCCTATCTACTCGAGATCAGCGCAAGGTCAGCGGACTCGAGCTGCAGGACCGCGTAATGCGCAGGAGTACAGGCAGAATCTGGACCGGTCTCAATGTGCCACACCGCTCGACGTGCAGCCACAGCTAGACAGCTAGACTAGCAGCAGCCACTGTCGTGAGCCACACGTTTGCGGCACCTACCGTTCGATTGTGGGACTGTCGGGTCGTGGTGGGTGTTCCGTGCTTGCACGGACTGACCGCTCTCTCGAAGAATAATGAGCACGGAGAAAGCCAGCCGTGTCAACAAGCAGACGAAGCGCGTGTCGCGCCGTCGTTGATGGAACATTCGTTGTGGCTCAACACAATAGAGCAGATCACAACTTGTTGACCGAGACAGGATGCGAAGCAATGAACTCTCCTACCTTCCCCTTGTTTCTGCGGAGTCTTGACTGCCGGACTTACATGGATGTCTCTGCCACTACGCGCATTGCTACGGTAATTTCTCGAAGCAGAAAGTGTATTTACTCCGTGATGTACCAGTAAAAGGCAGTCCATCCCTTTCTATTGGTGGCTGCCTTCACCTTATTACTGTTGGCGCTTTCGGAAGTGTACTAAGTACTCAATCTCGGCTAGCAGCCTGCGGCTGAGCACGTATCTTCGATATGGAGCTCAAAGGTACCGGAGTAGTCGCGCAAGACTGAGGGGGTTCGGGAAAGATCTGCGCATGCCATCGATTTGTATCATAGTCGACCCGTGGAAGCGCTTCGCTTGAGATGCGTGTCTACTCTATGCATCCGCACCAGGTTCATCCTCGAAAGCACATCTCCCCACGGCCGAGAAGAAGATGAGGGCGGCACGTTCCTGGTGCCAAACACGACACCTATTGCAAAGCTGCCGCGTGTCGGAGATGAAGGTGCATATTGCTATAGCCGCCCCTGCAGTCCTCGACATATTGATACAGTCTTCGCATCGTCAGTGCGCGAGATAAACTCACGGTCTGCACTTCCTCATTCTCGCTTTACCGTTGTGGGCCACAATACCAGAGTGGGCCTTCAGCAGTGATGATAATAATTGGCTGACCAGTCCTTGGTGCCGCGCTCCAGGACAATTCGCCGACTAAGGCACAAGTAGCTTTCGGGACAGTCGAGGGATCCCTGCAGTGTGGCGAAAGCTGTGGCGCAGCAAATGTGGCTTGTGGGTTGTGGCTCCAACGCTCGCCGCCATTGAGCCTCGTCTCAAGTGTATCTAAGCGAGTCTGCCGGTTTGGTGCTGCAGCTAATGATGTCTGGCCACGCGGCCGATCGATGATGCCGGACTGGAGCAGGAGACGGCATCTCTCTGCACTGCACTATGGACCCTTAGCCACAAAGGCTGTTCAGTGCTCATAGTGGAGAAATGATCCGACCTACATTAGCCTTAGAACTAGCGTAGAAGTGACTTAAATCTGAATGAGCTGCCACACTTGTGGCGCACCTTTGACCTGTGCTCGTTTCATCCTATCCTCCAACGTGCACTCTCGCTACTCGACGACATTCTGTTCTCCAACCTCACATGCTGCCGTCGCCGTGGAGGACTACGCCTACCACTTTGGCTTTGGGTCTGCAGACATGTTTCGCAACAGGTATGTTCACCAACACCCCTTTGACGTTTGAAAAGCACGACCACGCGCGCCTCATAGCCACGGATCGGCGAGGGGTACCGTCAAATGCAGCGGGCTGATGCATTCGAATCACAGGCAGTCCCAAAAGCCCACCGATGACCTATACAAGAACTTCAAGGCCAACTTCTCAGCCTTAGGGCAGTCTGTGACCGGGACCAGTGCCTCGTCGCAAGCTGCACATTCGCTCGCAGATGCGCTGGATGTACCGCTGAATTCAAGGTACGTCATCCTCGCCCAATATCCCCAGGGATTGCGCGGAAGAAATGGAAGGAGAGCATGATATTCAGTATTGGCGAATGCGGAGCTGACGATTTCTCGTAGGTCTCTCGAGGTCCAAAGCCACGACATGAAGGATGCGGACCCGAACGCTCGTGGTTCGCATGAGGCATGGAACTTTGGCGGTTCTGGCCTCACGCCATCCATGATGGACCCAAATAGCCACAGCTTCAACATGTTCGCGAACCAAATGCCTGGCTATTACACGCCCACGCCGGGCGGCACGAACACGCTCTACCATTCCCAGGCTGGTGACCTCCACACGCCCGGCTTCGTCATGGGAGGCCTTGGCACTCCACTGTCCATGCCAACTTCTGAAGGCGGCTTGCATGCTGGTCACGCGCATGCCTTCAATGCCTTCCATCCGGATATGCCTCATCAGATGCAGCATCAGCAGTTCCAGAATGTCGACCCGTTCCATGTACAACAACAGCATGCATTTCCTCCGCATCATTTCACGCACCATCCGTCTTTCGAGGGCCTGGAGGGACCGATCGGGGAGTCTCCACTGGACGACCTGGGCATGGACGCACCTCTTCAACCCAAACATCATTCGCCGGAGATGCTTTTCCAGCCTCACAGCATGCGAAAGGCGATGCAACCGCCACCATTACACCCGACCGGAGACAAGTGAGTCCCATATCCACGATTCGATGTGATCATCGATAACTAACGCACGATAGATTCCGTTTTCACGCGACACTCAACGCGCCAACTGCCATGATCAAGCATAGCAACGAGATTCCAGTCACCTACTTGAATAAAGGTCAGGCGTATACCCTCAATGTAGTCGACACACGCAATCAGACGCCTTCCAGCTCAGCTAGGTACCGAACCTTCGTCCGAGTCTCCTTCGAGGACGAGCAGCAACGCGCAAAGCCAGCAGCATGTTGGCAACTCTGGAAAGAAGGCCGTGGCACCAATGAAGCCCATCAGCGAGGTGGCCGGCTTCAAGCTGTCGAGTACGTCGAATCTGGTCAGCTTGGAAATGCAGAAGATCCCAGCAAGCCACGTGTGGAACTCGAGTCACAGTCTTTTGACGGCTTCTGCGTGACCTGGAGCCCACCAACTGGCGCGGCCGAATGCCCGATCTCTGTTCGCTTCAACTTCTTGTCCACAGACTTCAGCCACTCGAAGGGTGTGAAAGGCATACCTGTCAGGCTCTGTGCCAAGACCGAGCTCCTGGATGACGGAGTCCAAGACCTCTCTACCGCGCGCGGCTCCGAAGTCTGCTTTTGCAAGGTCAAGCTTTTCCGCGATCACGGCGCAGAACGCAAATTGTCCAACGACGTGGCCCATGTGAAGAAGACAATCGAGAAGCTCAACCAACAAATCGCACAGATCGAGTCGGGAATGAGAGATCTAGGCAAGAGAAAGCGCGGCTCAATTGCCAAACCGAGCGCCGAAGACAGACCTGGCAAGGTCGCGAAGCATCGGCGGACGTGGTCAATGTCATCCGTGACGTCGAATAGCGCTCGGGGCAGTGCCGAGGAGGACCTGCACATGAAGCTCATGACGCTGCAAGACATGTTCACTTCCACCCGACCTGCGAGCGTTCTCTATCTCCGTGGCGATGATGTGGACGACCCAGATCTCTACCCCGTCAAGATCACTGGCGAACCAGCGTCCTTGGTCAAGAACGATTCAACAGAGTCATCAGCCTGGGATCGCCAGAGTGGTCTCAGCGCACCGCTCTCCGCCAGTGCATCGCCTAGTCTGAGTGTGCACTCGTTATCTGGTAGTCGACGCGACTCAACCCTCCAACAACCCACCCCGTTTGGGGGGCCTTCCAGGGTCAACTCTAGTGAATGGCGAGCGAATACTCAAACTGCGGTGGAAGATATCATACCCGCAAAACCCCAACAGCTTGACAGTCCTCCTGCCAATCAACCAGTGAAGGTTCAGACACGATCGCCAACAAGTGGAGCTATGACTGGCTGGGTAGAAGCCCTTGGAGTCGATCCAATGTATCAGCCGCCAGCCGAAAGAGTCATCAAACCCGTTGCTTGCTTCTACGCGCAACTGCGGGTACCTGGCGCATCACCCGGCGATAACTTCCATCGTGCCATCTATTTGACTCAGAGGACCCTTAAGGACTTCAACAACGCCATGGCTACCAAAAGCAACATTGAACCCACAAAGGTCTTGCGCACAGTGCGCATCAGTCGGCAAGGGCTTCACATTCTATTTGATGACGAGTGTGTGCGCGAGCTCGCCGAGGGCCAAGATATGACTGCAGAGTTTTCAGAGATCCATTCTGATTCTCCATCACGACTTCGGAGAGAGTGGGATGCCGGACCCACGGACGTTCAATGCGATGGAGATGTCTCCGCCGTCGCGACAGTCAGCAGCACCGGCTACGAGTTGCGACTGCTTTTCTAGAAGCGCAGGTCGCTTCGACCCACCGCTACTCATTTTGCATAGAATGATATCCCACGACGCCAACGACGACGCAATGTGCCATTGATTTCACAGCATCACAGAGCTGCACATACGCATTCATTTACAGATATCACGCCTTCCAGAGGCACCGAGATACCAGGCCATTGATATCGGGCTCTTGTTTCCTTGGGCGAAGACGGGCCATCATCGCATGGACGCAGACAGTTGCGCTACGAGCGCGGACAAATATATGTATAGGCATATCTTGGTATTAGTCCACACTCTGCAACAGTAGGACGAAACAGACGGCTTGCGTGGGATTTGATTTGCATTGGACTTTTTTCAAGATACCCATCTCGCGAATTTTTACTTAGTTTCATGTCATGCAAGCACCAGCAATCGAGACTGCCTTCTCAAGGATATCCTCGTCTGCACACCGCTACGTGACTTTGCTATGGAGGTGCTGGGAGTCTGCTCGTGCTCTCCCCCATCCCCCAGAGAAAGCTCACAGCCTGCCCATAGCCCCACGAATGTGAAACTCGATCGTTCATGTGTGTATCTCTTTCCTGGGATACCCGACGACCTTCAATGCACGATGACTCACTCGATGGAACCCAAAGGCCGACGTGTCACCACTCGCTGGGCACCTCCTGACACACGTGCGATGGGCCCCTGGACCTCATCCTCACAGCACAGCCAAGTCCTCCTGTGTTCGACACGAGCCGAATGTCGCCGTCGATAGTGGTGAAATGTCACCAACAAGTCCAGGTCCCGCCGATCACTCTTGCACTGCCACACTGCCCTGCATTTCTCGCACCGGCCATGCCGAGAAGCCACTCGTGGGCGTGCCACACATGGGTATCCCATATAAGCCTTGTCGATTTATTGCCCGATACGCAGGTCCGCTGTAGATCGAGCAAGCATTTGGTATCTGGTACGCTTGTAGACGAAGTCTTGTGGCTCAAGTGTATCTTTAGCCACTATCAGTGGCTCGTGCATTTCGTCATTGCCTGGGAGCTTCTGGGTCACGAGTCGTGCGGACACGAGAGCTTTGTGGTTCTTTGCGTCAGCGGTGAGTGACGAGGCGTCAACAGTGGTCACCGTGCAGCATGGGTGTTCGTGCTCCTGCGGCTTTCGGCGGATATGGACAAATGCATTGTGACTTCAGAGGATGCAGAGATAAGGTCGTCGTCAGCGGCGGCAGTAGTAGGTGGAGGAAGTAAGCGATTGATTCGCGCGAAGCGTTCTGAGCGCCTCTGGAGATGAATACGGAAGTCGTTCAAGTTCCATCGATTATGCATACATCTTCAGACATCTATCTAAGTCATGAACGTCTTTGCAAGCGACACTGCATGTCATCGTTCCGCACTTCATGCACTTCACACGACCCCAATACCCGCATGTCTCGCAGAAACGACGTCGAGGTGGTACGGTGGGAGGTGGTGGTGCCGCTCGAGCTTGGCTGTACGTGAGCGGTGGAAGGCTGAGTAGAGCTTCAATGTCGGCCTCTGATGGCATGCCGAAAGAATAATCGTCGTCCTCCTCAGCATTATCATCCTGCATGGACGCGCCCGCAGAGCCATTTACTCCTCGAGGTAATGGTGGAGGTCCCATCGAGTTGGATGAAGGCGCCGGACTGATGCTCATACTGCTGTCTTCTCTCGTCTTTCGGCGTGCAAGTGGTGTCTTGCTTGCCCTCTGCGGTTGGGGTAGCGCTTCTCCCTCGCCCTCTCTCCTCCCCGTCCTTGCTATCTCGGCTTCCTCATCGTCCAAGTAATGTGCAAAATTCTTTCCAGAAGCCAAGATCTTCTTGGTATTTGTCGTCTTGCCTGCCTTCACGGCACTGGCAGTGCCTGGCTTCCTCGGCAGCTCGATGACCACATCTTTCGAATTGTCGCTGTTGAGATCTCTGATCCTGCGCTCTACCTCACGTTGTTGTCTTGCTGAGAGCGCTTCTCGCTGTTGGTCTGTCTGACCGCCTACAGAAGCTCTTGCGCGTTTGCGATTTGTCGTGCCCCAACTTTTGGACGGGTCATTTTGCGCCCCGGAGACTGCTACCCAAGCAAAGCCAGGTGCCTGCCGTGACTGAGTGGCTGGAAGCTCATCGATATGTGGTGTTCGAAACCGCAGAGGACCAGTCGCCATTCCAGAAAGCTTCCAAGAAATTCTGAAGCCCTAGATGATTTGTTGACATTGTCGCGCCACGGCTGGCACGCGACAGATAGAAGTGAAAGTGTTTCCTCCACCTTCGAGTTGAGTTGAATTGGGGGATGCGGAACCGTAAGCGCAAAGTCGTAATCAGCGACCAAGCACTTTTTGGCTTTGCCTTGGAGCTCACCTGCACCTCGTCCGACTGTCTCCGCTTGCCCGCAGACGTTCCATTGTTCACGCGACATGGAGATATCGTGGGGCTCGAGGCTGTTGTCATGAGCCGCGGCTACGTAGGTAGGTTTGGCATTATTTGAGCTCTCCTGCGACGAGATGACTGCTATTGCTTTGCCTCACAGGACTATTGAGCCATCTGAGCCAACGACCATGTCTGGACGAGCACGACGAATGACCTTGCCATCTATCAATGGCAGAAAAGATCCCATTCACAAGCCCGCCACGAAGCCGGTCTCGGATCCCGCTCATGGCGCAGCATTTATCTTCATCCATGGCCTTGGGGACGATGCTGAAGGTCTAGAGAGTGAGCATCTATAGCTTACCACGCCAGAAGAGCTGGACACTAATGTAAGCAGATGTCGCAGATCAGTTTCAGAAGAATAACAAGCTCTCGTGGATGCATTGGGTGATCCCAAATGCCATAGACGACCGTGATGTGGGAATGACAGCATGGTATCGTCCAACACCATTGAAGCCATTTGCGTCGAGTCGACCAGAGCTCGAGGATCCCGAAGACGAGGAAGGTCTCCTGAAGAGCTTAGCATATGTGGAGTCACTAATCGACGCGTGTGTACGAAAAGGCATACCGCCGAACAGAATCGTGCTGGGGGGTTTCAGCCAAGGTTGTGCTCTCAGTCTGCTCACGGACTTGACGTCGAAGAGGTTTAGTGGCCGACTAGCTGGCATAGTAGGGCTTTGCGGCTACCTACCACTTGCTGAGGGTATGCGGCTTCAACAGTTACGAGCCACGGCAGAACTACCACCGACGCATGGCGATGTGCCCGTCTTCCTGGCGAGGGGCGAGAAGGATATGCTCATACCGAAGCGGATCTGGAATCAGACCTTGAAGGGTCTTGATGCCTTGGGCCTGAATGATCCGGAAGTCCACGAGTACGAGGGAGCAGGCCACACCATACATGGGCCAATGATGAAGGACATGTGCGACTTCTTGCAAAGGGTCGTCCCAGCGCTGGAGGACTGAGGGCGAGCAAATCAAGATGAAATAGCAAGATAGTGATATGTACGAGTAAGGAGTCGCAACTTCCCAAACCCATCACGCGTGCCTTCCTCGAGCACGTAGTTCGATCTCGACCTCACTTCGTTCTCTTCACTTCATCTGTCACAACTCAACATCATCCTACACAGACATACACGCTCGCAATTTGTCTTCCATAAGATACCGCAAAACAGCCTCGCAAACATGGCTCCGACAAAGAAAGACGCGGAGAAGGAAGCGAAGCTGACACCAGAGCAATCCGCGACCATGATACTAGACTACCTACGCAAGCAGAACCGGCCATACAGTGCTACAGACATAAGCACGAACCTCAAGAATCGCGTCACGAAGGCGGCTGCTGCTAAGCTGCTCAAGGACATGCATGAGAGGAACGAGATTGAGGGTCGCGCCGCCGGCAAGCAGCTCGTCTATCATGCTATCCAGGTACCGTGCTCGATTTCACCCAGTTCTGGCCTTCGCTGACACAACGCAGGACGCAGCAGACGAGGCCGGGCTGGAGAGGCTTCAGGAGATGGACATCGAGACCACGCGCTTACGGGAAGAGACCATCGCGATGAAGGCTGAGGAGAAGGAGCTTCGGGCCGCACTTCGCGAGGGAGCGTCCCAGGTGCCTTTGTCAGACCTCAGGAGCTCGGTGGTCTCGCTTGAGCAGGAGAAGGTAGATTTGACAGCACGCTTGGCCAAGCTCCAGAGCGGCAACGTCAAGCCCGTGAGCGCCGAAGAGCGGAACAAGACCAATGCGGAGCACAAGAAATGGCAGAAGATTGCGAGTGACCGTAGAAAGATCCGTAACGAGATGTGGGCGGAGATCGCTGGTATGGTGGAGAGGGAGAAGATGGAGGATATCAAGGAAGCTCTGGATCTTAGCTTGTGAGCTCGACTCTGCCGAAGCCTGTTCGCCGGTGGCAGCATGGGAGTAGGTCCGGTCGAGACGAGAGAGGTGGATCGTACTCCAGAGAAATGATCGCGTGTTTGCTACTTGCAAAGTGGTATCTCGGTAAAGCAATAAAACACGGAAGCACCACAGTCCATTACCTCCTCACTTGCTCCCCTCTCCGTGTGTCCGTCCCAGTCGCCACCCATGTAGTACGTCCTCGGTCGGACGTCCTGGTGACATTTTGCCAGACCTAGTTGGAGACTTTGGCAGGCACCTTCTTGCCCGTGAACTTCTCGAACATGCCGCGAAGCTTGTCCGTGATCTGTCTCGCCATCAGCAACAGTCATCAGCTACGTGAGTAGAGAGTTATATCTACCTTCTCGTTGGTACCCCTCATCTTCGCAGAGTCGATTTGGTGGCCACTCTTCTTGCCTGCCATTTGTTCGGCCTTGTCGACAGCCTGTACATACATCAGCACTCTGAGTTCCGTCACAAAGCGTGACGAGCAGCCTCACCTTGTCGAGGTAATCCTGACCACCTGGTTGAGGCTGTGCCATCGTGCTGTTATTCTGATCTGAATGTGTGTTTGATTCGTGTATTGTTGCTGTCAATTTCTGAAAAAAAAAGCAACGGCAGGAATTCTGCGAGCAGATTTTAAATACACGAATTCGTGGACCAGGACTAGCAAATATACAAGGCTGTGCTACTCACTCACTCGACTCGCTCACTCACTCACCGTTCGCCCACACATGTACCCTCCTCCGCTATCTCGTCACCCTTGCTGACCAATGAATGATGGTAAACGAATCACGAGGTCGCAATAAGGTGTGCTCACGCGATGCACGTCTCACCTCTCTTCTTGCGAATCCCGATGAACCATCGGCAAGGCAAATGCGCTTCCCCGGCATTCATTGGCATGTGATTTGCTGAGGAATCAGAGAGTGAGGGTGAGACGGTGAGGAGGTTGTGTCACGTAGCCTGTATATACTTTTAATGTTCTTATGAAGGCGCCACATTGTGGCTGGTGATGTGTAGCAAGGGAAGTTTGAGCCGAAGGTGACTTTGATCGCAAATTCGACTGACTGTGAACTGACTGCGCTACGTGTTGCTGTAATACGGACTTCTGATATCGATTCGCGCGCCGGTCGCCAGTAAATGCAGAGGGTAGGAGAAGCCATGGCAGGAGCGCTGGAGGAAGCCAATTCGGGGATGTCGAACACCTTGAAAGATCTCTTTTCTGGAGCTGTCGGCGGTGTGGCACAGGTATTGATAGGTATGATTCGTGCTTGGTTTCCTGAGGCAGAAGTGCACAAGAAGCAGACATGAGGACTGGTCAAGCGATGTCCATCGCGCGAGGATCTTTGCTGACAAGATTTCAGGACAACCATTTGGTACGAAAGTCTTCTACAGCAACACCATCCCATCAAAACACTGACATATCATAGACATCGTCAAAGTCCGGCTTCAAACAACAACCCAATACAGAGGCGCGCTAGATGGCGCCACCCAGATCCTCAAGAACGAAGGAGCCGCCGCGTTCTACAAAGGCACTCTCACCCCCCTCATAGGAATCGGCGCCTGCGTCTCGGTCCAATTCGGTGCCTTCAACTATGCGCGCCGAGCCTTTGAAGCCCAGAATGCTGCTGCTCAGAACAAGACGATCAACCAGATCGAAGCTGAGCCGCAGCCGTTGAGTTACGGACAGTACTACGCTGCTGGTGCCTTTGCTGGTGTGGCGAATACCTTGCTCTCGTCACCCATCGAACACATCCGTATTCGGTTACAGACGCAACCCCATGGAGCTGGGAAGCTGTATAGTGGACCCCTGGACTGCATATCGAAGCTCTCACGCTCACCGAACGTGGCCATGGGTCTCTACTGTGGCACTTCCGTGACGCTAATCAGAGAAGCCCAAGCCTACGGGTTCTGGTTTCTTACCTTCGAGTATCTAATGCAAAGTGACGCGAAACGCAACAAGGTCGTACGCAAGGAAATTCCAACTTGGAAGATTGCGTTGTATGGTGGTTTGGCGGGCGAGATGCTGTGGATCACGAGTTATCCTTTTGATGTCATCAAGTCGAAGATGCAGACCGATGGGTGGGGGGAGAAGCAGAGGTATAAGAGTATGCGAGATGCATTTGCTCAAACGTGGAAGCAGGAGGGTCTGATGGGATTTTGGAGGGGTGTTGGGCCGACGTTATTGAGGGCACTGCCTGTTAGCGCGGGTACCTTCGCCACTGTGGAGTATACTATGCGGTTGATTTCGTAGGCACCGTAGTACGATACATGCATTGTACAGTGTCAAAATCGGCGAAGACATGCAGTCTACGCTTTCGCACTCGTTGCTATGAGCTAGGATCAATCGCGGCACAAAGTCATTTGCAACTATTCGTCCCTCCCACCACCACCTCGCCTAGCACTCTTCTTCTTACTCTGAAACTCCTTCATCCTCCGCGTGCCCGCTTTCTCCTTCGACTTCAGCACCTCAACACGCTGACTCTGCTCCACTGTCGTCTCACCCGGCACTGCTTCTCTCCCAGCTTCGAGTATGACTTCGTGCAGTCGACGGAAGCAGGCCGTCACATTATCGCCCTGTTTCCGCGAGTCGTCTGCCTGAATAATGAAAGCCGATGTTTTAGCCGCGTGGTACCGAGATTGTAAGATGGATGTATGAAGTAATGACGGGATCAAAGGGAGCAGGGTGGCTGTTGGGAGGCGGAGGGTGGCTTTGGACGAGACTCTGTGGGAGAAGGGATGTACTTAGCCTGTGGCCCAAGAGAACTACTGCTAATGATTGTCTGAGGTTGGCGACGCACTTGTTGACGTTTTGTCCACCTGGTCCACTACTGCGACTGAAGGAGATCTCGCAGATGTTACGTGGGATGGTGTCTGGATTGAGGTTGGCTAGCCATTTCCTGGCTACGACGAGCTCCTCTTCATCGACATCGACGCCCGGGCGTTTATTGCTGTAGCATCGTATACATGCTTGTCGCAGACCAGGCGTGAGAGCACTCCGTAGAGTCACATATCGTAGCATAGCATAGCAATGGATTTTTGTGCTTCACGAGCAGTTGACAAGGTTCTTAGTAGGCTGTCGGGGCACGCGGTCCGGCATCACTTCGGCTTGCAGCGGGATCGGCCGGCGCAATCGGCAAGCACAAGGTTTGATCTCCCCATCTGGAGCATCTCTCGTTCTTCATCGAACACCACATTATTATTTTCCCAGTAAGCCACGCTGGAACCAAGGCTTGTCCTCTTGCACGATCATCAACTACATCACCCTCCGACCGTGCACCTTTTTCATTTGTCCTTACTACCACCCTGCCGAGGATTTGGACGCTTGCGCATCGAGGTCGCACTTCCCGTGAGTGATAGACCTGCACCTGCCTGCAGGTATAGCAAACTGCGAGAAAGTGCGGTGTATGTCCTGCTTGACCTCACTCCACTTGACCCCATCCTCCGTCGTGTTGCAAGTCATTTCGCCTTCAGCACACCTCCCACCCTCGCGAGGCAACGTGGACATCACCCAATCTGTCAGTTGCGATTGCAGCGCCCACTAACCGCAGTCTGTCCTCCAGCCGTTCCAGCCGATCCAGCCCACGTCTACATCTACCCAACCCATCACGTACCCTTGGCGCACCCGCGCTTCTCATGAATCCATGAACTTTGACTCGCGATCATCTGAGCCGCCAGACGAACCGCTCCAACAGAGCGAGGCCGCCCTGCTGTCTCCGGCCTCACCCAAACCCCTCCACTTCCCCACGCCTACCAATATCCCCATTCTCGAGATGCAAACCGACGTGGACTTCAACCAGACGGAGATGCACATGAATGACCCAGGCATGCGCAATACTGAGCTGAGACCGAACCTGTGGCAAGACCCGAGCGAGCAAGTGGGGGGCGACCATGCATCACCATACTCGACGGGAGGTGAGGCGGTGGGAACTACGACGGATGAGGGAACGGCACAAGAGGGATCGACAGAACCGGCAACCACGATCGAGGCCGCAGATAGCATGGATACCACCACCATTGAAGCCACAAATCCACAAGCCAGTCACACTTCCGACGAAGCATCACATGAAGCCAACGCCACCCTTGACCACACGTCAGAGCCCACCCAAGCCGCAGCGCCTTCTGCATCCGCAGATGTGAGCATGTCCGCTGCTGAGCCTAGCGACAGTGGTAATGCACATACTGATGCTGCTCAACCCGAGCAAGCACAGTCCACTGCACCTGCTCACAATGGCAACGTCGACGTCCAAACCTTGTTGGATACACTGCAGATGCCACCCTCTAGTATTGGTGGAATTGGCATGACTCCTATGACCCCATCCCAAGCCCAGCCATCCGTGTCTGCGCCTGGTGTTGAACAGTCTCCGTCTGCCTCGTCTACCGCCGGTCAGGGTGCCACGTCTAATGGACTGCCACCTCGTCCACCACCGCAGGAGCAGCCGCTCATCCATCCCAACTATGTGCACAGTCAGCACATTCGCGACTATCATCCACATGCAGCCCATTCTGCCTTCCACCCACAGCAGCAGACCCGCACAGGCAGCCAAGGCAATTTCGCCGATCCCACAACCCATTCGTACGTCCCGCCCGTACAGTCACCTGCCACTGCCTCCGCAATAGCTGCAACGGTATCGACACCACAGACCCAAGCGTCAACATCTCAGTATAACCCCAATAATCCCAACCCAGGCCAAGCATCGAGTCCCATCGAAATCCTACCCTCTGCCACCGCTCTCTCCACCCAGAACCTCCAAAGCACCTTCCCACCCCAACCACAACAACAGCAGGCCAGTGCCGGCAACCAATACCACACCAGCCGAGCCATGAGCGCGAGCAGCAGCACACCCATCGAGTCGAGAAGAGAGTACAAGATAGCGCAAGGCGAGACCTTGACGCCCGAGGATAGGCCCTGGGACGCCACGGTTCAGGCGAAGTACGACCAATTCATTGAGCGGGAGAGAGGATATGTTAGTGAGGGGAGGTGGGAACAGTTTCCTTACGGGAGTCGGCTGTTTGTTGGTATGTTTACACTTCCTATTAGCGGACAGAGGGGAGCGCATGGCCTGGGACGACATGGAACACCGATGGGAGAGCAAGTGCTGTTGGATGAGATTGGAAATGTGCTGACCGATGCGTTTGAACAGGCAACCTGTCAAGCGAGAAAGTCACGAAGCGAGATGTTTTTCATGTCTTCTGGAAATATGGGGAGCTGGCGCAGATCTCTATCAAGCAGGCCTACGGCTTCGTGCAATTCCTTGAGGCGGAGGAGTGCAAAGTCGCTTTGACCAGAGAGCAAGGCAGACAGATTCGGGAGAAAAGGATACGTAAGTGGCTTGGTCTCCGTCTCTACTGACTGCAAAATGGGTTAAAGAAAGACTGAGTAGCTGATATGTGTGTCACCACAGATCTCGAAGTCAGCAAGCCGCAAAAGAACCGCAACGACGCGAAGCAGCCACCGGCTCGACGCTCGCGATCGCCGGATTATGGCCGAGGTGGAGGCAAGCCACCACAGAATAATGACAGGTATGTATCCCAGAACAATGGCAGAAACGTGGGCAGGAATGGGCAACAGGGTGGTTATGGCAGACAGGGTGGTCCTGCATTCCGCTCTCCTTCGCCTCCAAGAGGGAACTATCGCGACAGGTTTGACGACTACCGATCTCGCTCGCCTGACTACGACCGCCGCGGTGCTGGCAATGGTGGTCGGTATCGCTCTCCCAGTCCGCCTCCGAGGAGGAACGAAGATGATGATCTTCCGCTTCCAAGACGACAAGCGCATGAAGTTCCAGACGTACAGATCCTGGTCCTGGATACGTTGGATCGCGACTTCATCTCCTGGATCGAGAATGCTTTCTCGTCACGTGGTCTGCGCATCGATGTCCTGATCCTCTCACCAAGACTCAGCGAACAAACTGTTGTGCGGAGACAGATTGTGGAGGGTGTGGTAGCTGTGGTGAAGTTGACTCGTGGCAATCAGCAGAACGGCAAGATCGGTCTCCAAGTCTTCGATCGGAGTCAAGGGTTAGGATTGGGAAGTGTCAAGTTCGAGGAGTACGAATTCCTCGACCCGCCAGTCTGTGCAGAGCTGGTCCTAAGAGCGAAGAGGACTACCCAGCAGCCGCAGACCCAGCAACCGCAATATGGTGGGTATAGCGGCGGGTCGCAGCAGGGATATGGTGGACCTCCACCTCCTCAACAGCAGTACGGTGCTGGGTATGGTCAGCCGCCACCGATGTCCTACGGACAACCACCACCTTCCATGCCACCAGCGGGCTATCCGCCACAGCTTCCTCCTGGGTATCCACCCACGCCAACTCAGCAGCCACCACCACAGAATCTCCAAAACCTTATTACATCTCTCGACTCCAGTGGCTTGCAGAGTCTTCTCGGCGCTATGGGTCAGCAGCAGGCGCCTACTCCACAGACACCGGGGTACGGACAGCAGCAGATGCCTCCAGCGGGATACGGTGCTCAACTGCATCAGCAACAGCAGGCGGCTGCTATGGCGGCCCTGCAGCAGAATCCTGCGATGGCTGCTGGTTTGCAACAACAACAACGACAACAACAACAACAACCACAACAACAACAGCAGCAGCAGCAGCAGCAGCAACAGCAAAGTGGTGCTGCGGCTGGACAGGTGAATATGCAGGATATTCTGGCTAAGCTGGGGAGTTATGGGAAGTGAGAGCACGAGAGATGCAAGGATTTCAGAAGTGGATATGATGATTACGAGGGCGAGTGGAAGCGTTAATTCATGCACATCACGGTCCGGTGCCTCTCGAAACTTGCGGTCCTGCTGGCACTAGCATAACGAGCACACGGGTGGCCAGACAAGAGTGTGTGTACATGTGCTCATGACAAGCTACCTTGCTTTCGGCGTGTATATTGATTGTATAGATCTGCTGTGCATAAACTCTTCTCACACACCAGCTTGAAACACTCAATACGTGAATCTAAAGTGAGGATGGTCATCGCCAAGATTATCGGCATCGGACGTCTCGAGCCTCCAATCTCGCTCGCCTCGCTCACGCTTCCTGTTCTCCCGCCTCAGCCCAAGGAGCAGGACTGTGCAGCCAATCGCCGTGACCCAGATCAATGCCAAACTGACCGCGTATCCCGTCACGAATCCAGGGGCTTCGTTAGTAATGAAAATGTCTGACGCGATGATGCCGCCTAGATTTCCGAAGCCAATCTGAAAAGCGCTTGAGACGGAACGTTTGTAATGCCCGCTCATGCAATTCGCCAGCCAGGCAATGGTCACAGGCTGACACATATACCCTCCCGTCACGATCAGGAAGATGGCTGCATATCTCGCTCCAACTGGAATCATCGCCTGCGCGAGCAACATCGCATACCCCGTAGTCGCAATGCAAATCCCGAGAATACAGAACGCGTAACGATGCCGCAGCTTATCGGTGCAGTATGCTGTGACGAGGCAAAAGAATGCGGCGACGAGGAAGATCGGGATACTGCGGACTTGCGCTGCTTGAGCTTTATAGCCGAGTTGAGTCAAGATCGTGGGCGTGAAGAAGGAAGTCGCGTAGCCCGTGTTGACGATCCCGAGGTACATCAGCGTTCCCACGTACATCTTCCAGTCGGTGAAGATCCTTCTCATGGCTGGCTTGTCTAGTCGGTTCATCTTGGCGTCTGCTACGTCGGCGGAGAGGCGGGCGATCAAGAGTCTCTTCTCGTCGTCGGTCAGGAACTTGGCTTTCTCTGGCCAGTCGACTATGAAGAACTTCCCACAAAGAGCAACAACGGCTGTGAAGATGCCTTCGAGGATGAAGATCCACCTGTAGAGACAGATCAGTCTAATTTTCCTTGAATGTAGGGGAGATTGCGAGATGTAGCATAGAGCAAGCACTGTCCATGTCTGAGGCATGGTCACCACCTCAGAATAGGGCAATGCTTGCTCTGGTCACCATCTCACCCTATGCTGTACGCACCTCCAGCCACCGTAACCCTGCACACCGTCCATATGCGCTATACCATAAGCCAGCAACCCACTGAAGGATCCCGCGATGATGGAGCCGGTGAAGTAGATGTTGAAGCGCCATTGCAGCTCGTAGCGTTTGTAGTACATCGAGATCAGATATGCGCAGCCTTGATCCCAACGAGGGTAAGATCAGCGAATGCATTGGACAACATCGACAGTCTTGCAGCCACTGATTACTTACCTGGGAAGAAGCCCGATTCGAAGAAGCCAAGAAGGAAGCGCATGGCGTACAAGCTTTCCTTGGTCTTGACTAAGCCTTGTGCGATCGTGATAATGCCCCAGCAGAACATGAGGCCAGAGAGCAGGGTTGATGGAGCAAGCCGCTTGATCAGGATGTTGGAGGGCACTTCGAAGATGATATAGCTTGGGAAGAAGATGAACAGCGCAATATTGTAGTCGTTGCCAGTCATCTTCAAATCCTTCGTCATGCCTTGGATTTTTGCATTGCCTGAATACTTGCAGTCAGTAAGGTGAAAGGACGTGATGAGATGTGTGGTAATTCGTGCCAATGTTCGACCTGTCCAGGAATGCCAGCATGTACAAAAACCAGAGTACTGGCAGGATATGCATGTCCAGCTTGTGTAAAAGCTTCTTCTCAGCCTCTGGGTCAATCTCGTATCGCTCGGCGGCGCGATCATTGGCCTTGACCGTGATCTCATTAATGTCGAGCTCTTTGAGCATTTCATCTGCTATGTGGGTGTCCATGATCGGCGGTGAGGACCTAGATGGCCTTGGTAGGTCTGTGGAACATGCTGCTGAGCATTGTTCTCTTATAGATGTCGGTTGCCAAGTTATTTGTTCTCCAGTACCGCGCAGCAAGACCCACGTCAACCCCGCGATCGCCAACAAAATCCCCACGTCCGGTTAGTTACTGCTGCACAATCGCTTGCCGGCCATGCGCAGCGGTATTTGAACCTCGTGGCATGGCTGCTGATCCTTCGGACGAGTCCAAGATAGATAGCAATCTTTGCTTGCATGCGGGGAGAGCTCATCGCGAGGCTGGACATTATTGCTCGTCTCGATGACATGCAAGTAGACCGTCTAAAGCATTGGCTAGTATGACCATACTGAGGCATAAACTTGCATGGTCTCAGCCATTGCGTGCAGCCTGTGCTCTCAACGCATCAATCTCCTTCTGAAAGGCATCCAGATCAGCAAGGTAATCTGGCTGAGTGGACTTGACTTCACCTCCCGCAGGAGACAGGTCTTCACCGTGCTCTGGCTCCTGCACCTGCTGCAGACTGTGCAGTGAAGGCTCTCGATCACTTCCAAAACTTTGTCCACTTGACCGCCGGTTCTCGTGACTCGGCCGACGATTGCTCATCGAGTTCGGTGGTCCGTTCTCCATGCTGTCTCGCTTACTGCCTGCTGTTCGTCGTGGTGGTGGCGCAGGAGGCGCGTTACCATGCGCGGCTGACATTGTGAATGAGTCGCTCCGTGGTAAGCTCACGCGAGAGGCGTTCGAGGAAGTCCGGACAGCCGACGAACCGCGCTGCGATGGCATACGGCGTGGCAGAGGAGGCGGCATTCCTTTAGTAACTGATGGCGTGGGAGAAGGCGACGTCTCTGCAGCAGGTGACTGTGACCGTGTAGATTGCGCTCTTCGTGAAGGTGGTGGCGGTGGCGCCAGTGCTTTATGTCCTTGGCTCTCGAGTGAAGTGTTCGCGTCAGCAGCTTGTGCTGAGCTCTTGGAAAGGTTGGAATCGCTTCGTGCTCGGCGGGTCTCTGCGTCTGGCTGTGCCCGCCGACGAGCAATCGGTGGTGGCGGTGGTGCTTTCTTCACCTGAATCGTTGGTTCTACATCGTCTGTCGGTACTCCAATGCCATTGGTCGAGATCGGCTGTGAGGTAGAAGTCAAAGCTTCGTCTACTAAGACCCGTCCTGCCGGCGGAGGCGGCAGTGGTTTGTTGAGATCGCTTGGCGATCTCGGTGCTGTCACTCTGTCCAAAGGATTGGCGTTGAGCGACAAAGTTTGTAAACGAGTTGGCGTCGGCATGTCTGTCGCGGGAATGGTCTCGTCAAAGTCCGCGAATGACACAGTCTGTGGGAAGGCTCTACCATGCTTCGGCTTCGGTGGTGCTGGCGGACCTTCTGCCACGGGCCTCCTGGAGGCTGGGCCCATGAGACTAGAGTTCTCATCGTCACCGTCGTCCTCATCGTCCAGACCGTAATGATCGTCAAATGATGTCCTTGGAGACTCCGGGTGAAGCTCATTCATGTTGTCGAACATCGATTGTTTTGATACGGACGAAGTGTCCGTGTTGCTACTACTATCCTGCGGTCGTTGACTCGCTGTACCTCCGTTGGGTGGTGATGGTGTGGCACTTCCCGTCAAGAGAATGTTCTTGAACGTGTCCACGTCCAAAGCTGGTCTGCCCGTGCCTTGGCTGCGTGGGGTCACACCATTGGCCTCCTGCATCTCTTCTGACAGCTCTTGCTCCCCTGCTCTCCCGTACGCAGCTTCACTTGTGGCCAAAGTCTTGGCGAAGGGATTGTACGGTGCTCGCGAGCCGGACTGTACACCGAATGAAATGGGTGGTGGACCAGTATTTCGGCTTGTGTTGAGCAGAGTATGCTCAAGGTCCGAGTCTGCTGTCGTTGCCATCGAGTCCGACTCGTCGTCGTCAAGGCGTCTCGTCGGCGCAGGAGGTGACCCGGTCAAGCCGTCTGACAGTCTCCGAGGAATGCTCGCTTTGGGTTCGTCTGGCGAATGCGGCGGGGTTTGTATGACAACCTTCTTTTTCTTCTTTGTCTTTGGTTTCGTCTCGGCTGCTATACACATGATCAGACAGGTTCAGGGTACCTTATGCCATTATCACATGCTTACAGATGTCTCCATTGGCCTCATATTTGGTGGTCTCGTCCGGCAGTCGCTGACGTCGAAATGGATTTCCAGACATCGTGACGAGACCGGCTCAAGCCACGATTGTTCAGTCGTAAAGAACGTTGAATACACAAAAAGACATGAAAGGGAATCGGAGGGCTAGATGTGCTGTCAGCCCACTCGTCGCACATGCGACGCGAATGCAGCTCCGAGTGGTGGTGCCTGGACAAAAGTGACATGCACCCTCGCCAATTCCCCCACCCTTTGACAAAACCATTTCAGAGCTCGAGCCATTGCGTCGTCACAACCTTTCAACCTCCATCGATTGTTCGAACAAAGACAGCATCTCTGTCTCCATCCGCCGTATACTTTACTTGCGAGAGATAAGTCCATTAAAGAAGACGACATGCACGTGAAAGGACGGAGGTAACGATAGCCAAGATGGCACTTAAGTCCTTGTACTCCCTTCATATGTATGATCTTATTACAACGCACTCTTCTGCCCCTGTCTAACCTGCCACCCTTTCCCAACCTGCTCCACCCTACCCTCACCTTCAAGCTTCTTCAACACCTGCACTACACCACCCTCCGCAGGGACATGCAATGGCTCCGGATAGTTCTTATACACCACCTTCACAATTCCCATACTACTCACCCCATCCCCACCTTGTTCTGTCAACGCACCCAAGATCTGCTCCTCCCTCTCCCGTCGATGCTCGATATACTCCCTCACCTTCGCCTTCCCATCCTCAATCACGGCGCCATGAGCGGGATATGCTCGGCCATTGAAAGCACCTTCCATCCGTTCAAGGCTTTGAAGATAGGTAGCTAGATCCTCAAAGACTGCTGTTCCGTGACCGAGAACGTTATCGCCCGTGAACATCGCATCCTCTTCTTCTAGTATGAGAGCCATATGATCGACGGTGTGGCCAGGCGAGTGAAAAGCACGTAATGTTGCGCCTTCAGTCTTGAAGACTTGACCTTCCAGGATGTCTTCTTGGTCGACATCAGGCTTGATCTGACTCTTGTAGACCGTGACACCCGAGGCGATGGTACGTACGTCCGGCACGCCACCGACATGATCCGGATGCCAATGTGTTAGGATGACTTTATCGATCGTTACGCCCTCGTCTGCCAAGGCCCTCTTGAGGTTACGAGGCCAGATTTTGTTGCCTTCGCCCGTATCGATCAGGAGTCTCTTCGGGCCAGTTCCAACGATATATGTATTTGTGCCTGGGAGGTAGTTCAGCAAAGGCTGTCGTGTAGGGGATCTTGAGCTCTTGAGCCTACCCTGTAACGTGAATTTGCTCGGATTGCCACCCATAATACGTAGCACCAGAGGACTGAGACGTTCGACGTCTGGCAGTTCAGGCAACTTGAGAGCCATGTTGTGCTGAGTGGCGTGGAATGACCGTCTTTGCCTCGATACACAGGTTGTTACAGACTTGGTCCGACAGGAAGTGGCGAAGAAGCGTGGTAAGGTTGAGAGCATGTGTCAGCTTAGCAGAAGTGATCGATGCAGGATCAAAGAGTGAGATATCTCGTCTATGATAATAGATACAGCGTAAACATTATACTCGTTCTCGACGGTGAATATCAGGATATCAGCCCCGGACGAAGATAGAGCTCCAAATCCTACCGAGGCCCAGCCCCGAACGTAGAAGGAACGGCAAGATATTTACATTCACGGCAGTAACGAGTGAGGCCAAGCTGCAGCACAAGAGTGGACGGGTAGATGATGGGAGTATACAGACTAAGATCTGCTTCTCACGAGTGTATCTATCTACTCTACGTAGTATTACCCTCGAGCCCTTGAAGACTGCAAAAGCCAGTTCCTTGGCTTGCCTGACCCGATGTTGCCCAGAGAGAACTAACGTCGTGCCACATGGATCTTCGTCGGTCTTGACACTCGTCGCCGATGGGTAGTTACTAGCTGTGGGAGGATAATGCGAGGGATCTGCTCCCTACTTTTCACCCTTCCTGAGTAGGACTCGACGATCTCAAAGCCCACCCGGCTCAGCGTTCTGTCAAACCTTCTAGTCCCCTGTATAACCCAACGCAGTAATCTCCTTCCTGACCGACTCCTCGGTCCCGATCTTCAGTACCTGCGTACCCTCCAATTTCTCTCCACCCGCCTGCCTCATCTTCAGATCGTCAATAGCCCGCAGCTTCTTGAGCAGTGAACGGACCTTCTTATCCTCAGGTGAGCCAGTGCCCGGGCTGGTAACAGTGAGATCTGGAGCCGGTGGTGGAGGCGTGGGAGCGGCTACGGGTGCTGGCGTTGCCTTGCCACTGCTTGTGCCCGGTCGGCCGTTGGCGAACGGGTTGGGTGGCTGAGCTTGAGTGTCGAGACGTGGGCCACGCTGTCGGCTACCATCACGTTTCCGCGATGGTGGCTGTGGCGACTCGTAGCCAGCCTTTGATTGACTCCTAGGCCGGTCCCTGCGCTCGGGACTACGATTGAGCGTAGGAGCACTACTCGCACCGTTCTCGGTCGGCGCTAGACTGGACGCTTTGGCTTCGGCGTCCTTGGCTTTCTTTGCCTCCCTCTTCTTCTTGTTCTTCAAAGCCGCTTTGCTGAGGTTTTCATCTCCCTCGCCAGTAAGAGCGACACCTCCACCTGGTGCTGCACCAGGCACACTGGCCTCGGTCGCCTCGGCTCCAGGGACCGCACGACGCCTAGCGCTTGGTCCGAAACCATTCGACTCCGGCTGTTTGCCGGACATCATCTCGCGAACGAATGCTGCACCGCCTTCATCTTCGCGCTTGAAAGCCAGTGGAGTGGCTGTGCCGCGAGCGCCAGGTGGACGATAAGCTCCAGCAGGCTTCGATGGTGTCTTGACCTTGCCAAGAAATTCCAAAGCAGATGCGTGTGGCGTTGGTACAGACTGGGCCGGGTTGCCAAGCGGGTGCTGCGATATTGGCTGTGGTCGCCAAACCACGTGGTAGAGCTCGGTAATCTCTTGGTTGTACATCAATCCACCAGCGACGTGGTAGATGCGAATGCCATTGTCGACGCGTAAACGCGGGCTAGTAGTAGCAGTAAGGATATGCTGACCGTCCGGACTCCACTCGCAGACACTTGTGTTGCTCGCCTCGACAGTGCAGACCTTTTCGTAATTCTTCTCCAGGTCATAGATATCCATTTGACCAGCCAAGTTTCCGAAGCCGGCCACAATAACAAAGCGTCCGTGAGGAGAGAAAATGATCGTATTTCGTGGACCAAGGTTGAAGCTATGCGTGGCCACAGCGCGCTGGTTAAAGATGGTGCTCTTCGCAGGCATGAATCCGTACGTAACGCCAAACTCTTTCGAGTTGGGCGACCAGGAGACATCATGAATGGGACCCTCTTTGTCGAGATGTATCCGTGAGTCAAATCCACCATTTGCACTCAGAATGTACAGATTCGTCTCGCCATAGTAGCTCTTATTGCTCTTGTCGACCTCTGTCTGCGCCAAGACGATCACACTACTGCCTTGCTGGTTCCACTTGAGCTGCACCTTGTCGCCCTTGAAGAATGTCTTCTGCGACACAGGTGCATTGAATTGTGGTACGAGGAAGACCTTGACAGAGGCAGGTTGACCATTGCGCTCCGGCGTGAAGACGGCAACCGAATGTGTCTTGCCCGGGGCAAACGCAAAGTCCGCAACACCTTCCACCCGCAACTTATTCCATACCGTGCCCAAGTCTTTGCTCTCGTAGAATTGTACCTCATTGTTGACGCATCGTGCGCAGTACTGCTCATCCGAGGTATACTGCAGATTCCAGCCCGTCTGACTCTTCTGCACGAATTTGCCGACCACGTCTCTTGCACCCCCTTCGCCGGCCTGATCGTCGATTGTGCGCCAGACCTTCAGGTTCTTGGTTGCATTGCCGTCTTCGTCCTTGGAAGGTCGCTGCCACGTGATGATGTACGTGCCGGCGTGCGAGAAGCCGAGCTCGTAGACATTATCAGCAGGCAGCTCGGTCACCACGTGGCCGACTGAGGCGTCCACGACAAAGACCTTTTCGGGCGAGGCCCAGGCAAAGAAGCGACCATCCGGAGAGTAGACACAGCATCGGAGATTACCCTCGGGGACCTGAAAGCCTGGCAGCTTCTCGTAAACAGGGGCGGCGTCGAAAATGCCAACCTGCTTGCTCGTGCGGACTGTTTTAGTGTTAGTATTATGAGTGTGTGCGACATGGCAGTGTGACATACATGCGAGCTGTGTAGGCTGTGCCATGGCTGTAGACGAAGATGTGTAAGATACAACAAGCGGCAGGGGACTAATACGTGTTCTGGGCGGTGTAGAAGCTGCTGATGCTGGTGTTGACCGGTTGAGTATTCTGTTTGGACGCTTTTGTGGGAGACTGTGGGTGGGATCACAGGCAGATAACTGATGGCTGTCGGCTAAGGTTGAATGGCTAAATTCACCTCAGTAGCGATGTCTTGTGCCAGCAATAGCAGTCAGCTGAAAGCGCGAGCGGAAGGGTGCCTTAGAGGAGAGGAGGGAAAAAGAGAGGTGAGACAGCAGCGCGCGTTGTGATTTCGCCAGATCGTGAAATTCGCGAACAGGCCAAGGCTGCGTCATCAGCTGACAGCGCAGTTGATGCACATATCTACTGCAGCGACGACACTACGTCCTGTACAGTAGGACGATTGCTAGACATCAATGGTATCATGCCATACGTCAACTCACTTTGTGTCGCCATATCAAGCATATCTTGCATAACCTTGATGGCGACCGTTCACTTCGAAAGCGGTCCAGCCGCTAGCGCCCCCATTCAATCGAATGATATATAGCCTAGACGGCTCGCTCTTCGTGCAGAACAACTCTCCACGGCGACCATCGACCTGCTGGCATCAACAGACGCTGGAAGACGAAGCGTTGCAGTATATCCACAGGGAAATTTACCTTCCACCCTCGGCCTTCGCCTGGCTCATATCATCCCACTATCTCATGTACCTGGATCGTCTCTCCACTTCTTCATCCCACCCTGCCCAGCACGCCGATCATGCAGCTACATTCTGCACTTGTACAAACATGGCAGCTCATACCATCTAGCAGTCACGACCGCACCAATCTTATCGCAAGATGATGTCGTATTTGGCTGTGCCAATGCCAGGACTCCGTGCTTGCGGCATGCTTGTGGTGTAATATAAGTATGCTTGGTGCACCCATTGTTTGACATTGCTATTGTGAGTATTACGCTTGCCGAGATGCATTTTCTTACGCTTCCATTTCTCGCTGCCGTCGTAGTAGACTGCGTGGCTGCAAGAGCACTTTCATCTACTCACGTGGTGCACGAGAAGCGAGATGTTGCCAGTACTGGTCGTTGGGTCAAAAGGGATCGGGTCTCATCCCACGTCAAAGTGCCTGTTCGGATAGGCCTCAAGCAGAACCAAGATGCTCTGAAAAGTGCCGAAGCGTGGCTGATGGAAGCAGCCCATCCAGCTTCAACCAACTATAGCAGGCATTGGTCAGTCCGATACGTTTCAGTAGTCTGCTGAAAGACGAGACTGACATCATAAAGGACATCGGACGAAGTTGTCGAAGCGTTTCAGCCATCTGCAGACGCCGTAGACGAGGTTCTGGCCTGGGTCTCCGAGACAGCACGGATTGCTAAGAACAAGATTACCCACACAGATAACAAGGCCTGGCTAGCGTTTGACGCGAGTGTGTCAGATCTTGAGGATCTACTGCAGACAGAGTACCACGAACACCACCATGAAAGTAGTGGTCGTACCATGATTACCTGCGACCAATATCACATTCCATCACACCTCTCACAACACATCGACTACATCACGCCAGGTGTCAAAGGTATACAAGTCCACTCATCTGAGCTCAAGAAGCGGAGTTTCAGACCTGGCAAGCCTGGACAAGGCTGGGGTGAAGGTCCTGGGTGGGGAGGAGCGCCAGGTGGATGGCAGCCACCCAAGAATCGACCAGCTCCTCACATGCCCAACCCAAGCACACAGCTCCAGACGTGTGATCAGGTCATCACTCCAGCATGCTTGCAAGCTCTGTACCACTTCAAGTCACTTTCGCCAGATGCTCAGGTCAGCCCGAATAACTCCATGGGCATCTTCGAGACTGGCAATGCCTACGCCCAACAAGACCTCAATAGCTTCTACACCAACTTCACGTCATACATTCCGAACGGCACTCACCCAATCCTCGACTCCATCGATGGTGGCCAGGCTCCCGTTGCTAACGTCAGTAATGCTGGTGGCGAGTCCGATCTCGATTTCGAGCTCGCTATTCCGATCATCTATCCACAGAGTACGTTGGTTGTACCAATCTTCTCACTAGCACACGTGGAGATATGTAAATTGCTGACACGACTTCTTCGTAGCCACTACCCTTTATCAAGTGGACGACCCCTACTATGCTAACGGCGGCAACGGTACCACTACTGGCATCTTCAACACGTTTTTTGACGCTCTCGATGGATCCTACTGCACCTATGCTGCTTATGGCGAGACTGGAAACGATCCGGTGCTCGATCCCACGTACCCTGATCCTAATACCAATGGCTATAAAGGCCCACTCATGTGTGGAGTATACAAACCAACTAACGTGATCTCGATCTCATACGGCGAGCAGGAGCAAGATCTGCCAGCGTATTACCAGCAGCGGCAATGCAATGGTAAGTAAGATGGGACCGTACTGACTGTCTACGAGTGCTAATACATCTCCCAGAGTTCTTGAAGCTCGGCCTCCAAGGCACGTCAATCTTTGTTGCGAGCGGAGACACTGGTGTCGGTGGCTATGCAGGGGATGGATCATACAACGGCTGTCTGAACAACGGCACCGTCTTCTCCCCTACTCAACCCAACTCATGTCCATGGCTCACGAACGTGGGCGGCACTAAAGTATATCCAGGCCGAACGGTCTACGAGCCCGAGTCTGCTGTCGTCGACCCCGCTGGACATCCTTACAGATCTGCCTACAGCTCGGGAGGAGGCTTTAGCAACATCTTTCCCATCCCTTCCTATCAATCTTCGGCTGTGGCTACATATTTCTCGGACCACAACCCACCATACCCATACTACTACAACGGCCAATACAATGGTTCGGCCGGCTTGTATAATCGCAATGGCAGGGGTATTCCGGATGTGGCAGCCAATGGCGACAATATTGCTACCTATACGGCAGGTAAATTCCGTACCTCGGGCGGTACTTCCGCCTCTGCACCTATTTTTGCGGCACTAGTCACTAGGATCAATGAGGAGCGGATTAAAGTCGGAAAGGGACCTGTGGGATTCATCAATCCGGTGTTGTATCAGCATCCTGAGGTGCTCAACGACATTGTCAATGGCACAAACCCAGGATGTGGCACGGAAGGGTTTTCTTGTGCGCCTGGCTGGGACCCGGTTACCGGACTTGGTACGCCGAACTATCCTCGCATGCTGAACCTCTTCCTGTCGCTACCATGAAGCATGCACTAGCAGCATGTAATCTGTCCGAGTCAAAGGTGAAGAACGGCGACCTAGATGGCGCCATCATCAGGTAGTGAAGAATAGTCATGACCAACGCAGATTTGTACATTACAAGTACCAACATCATCCTACCTGCCTCGACCTCTAGCTACTCCCACGACGTCCCTTTTGATCTTGACCTACACCCAAGAACCCCACAACAAACCCGCGCCCATTACGACATATCACCTTACCAACATGTCCAATCCCTTCGCCCTCGAAACACTTCGTGTCCAGGTCACGAGCGACAAGGCCATCTACAAGTCTGAGAAAGAGCGATTTAACCGTCTTCTGTCGGCTGATGCAGAAGAGATAACAGAAGCCGACCGCAAAGCTATCATTAATTGGTCCCGCGCTGCTATCACAGACTACAGCCAGCAGCTGGAGAAGATGGAGGAGATTGATCGCCCGTCGAAAGAAGAGAAGCAGATTATGCAGCTGCTCAATGAGCTTCTCATGCTTGGTGATCAAATCGCCGAATTCACCTCTAATTTCGTCAAGGAATTCGAGGAGAAGTTTGGCACGGATGAGGTGGCGGCTGAGAGATTGGGTTCACTGGAAGAAGCAGCCCATAGAGCTGATGCTGAGGTAGTGCAGAAGGGCGGTGTTGCTTGTGCTTCTGGTGTCCGGGCTCCCAAATCAGCCGCGCAGCATCCTACTATCACGGTCACTCCGCCAGCTGCTGCTGCCCCTATCCTGGGGCACGGTCTTGCTGCGGAGCACCAAAGTATATCGCACGTAAGCTTCATCTCGCCGGAAGCCCCAGCCGAGCACGTCGATACAGCACAGCTGACAGCTAACTGGGAGGACGTCGACGATGAAGTAGACTGCGATGCCGGCGGAGAAGGCCTATTCGAATCTCGCGACGACCCTGAGGGCATATATGCCACACTCGGTGTGCCACCAACCGCTACGATGCCCGAGATCAGGAAGTAAGGGGCTTTTTGTGGACGTTTCCGTCTGTAAACACGCTAACGATGATATTACAGAGCCTACCGTGACATGATGAAGCAGCTGCATCCCGATAGAAACAGAGATGTCGAGGATGCTGCTGCTCGCTTTGCCGACTTCAAAATTTTGTACAGCGAGACCTTAGGAGACGAGAAGAAGCGTACGGCATACGACAACATCCAGACGGCTGATGAGCTGGAGCAGCTTACACGGAGGGTCAAGCAGCTGACTACTCGGTGAAATCGGTGTCCGTATAGCGGCGGTCTCAAGAACCATTGCAGACAATGACCATGACTTGATGAAGAGTCTGTTCTAGGTCAATCATGCTGTGGCGGCGCATGACGACACATTAACTGGACGTGAGCTTGCTTCAGTCGCGTGAGCTACATTGTCAGCTAGATTCTAGTCAAGGAGAAACATCAGGTATTCATTCAAGTGATCGGCTATATAAGCATGACTGCCACCAGTGTGTAGTTCTTTCCCAGCTCATCCACCCCCCGATTCATTCTTCATCAACCGAATCGACTCCACTACGCGACAGTGACAACCCACCCTATTCAACCTTTGACCAACCTCTGACCAACCATGTCCCTCACGGTAACCAACACAGCCGAGCTCCGCGAGCTCATCAAACAAGATGTCGAAGAAAGCCGAGAGCTCCAAACCCAGATCGACAGACTACGATCTGACCTCGAGCAAGGCAGTGCTCCACCGGAAGGCAATGTTCTAGGCCACATCGAGAGTCAAAGCAAGAAGATGAGCAAAGAGCTCGCTCGCCGCATTGAGCAGATTGAGGAGATTCCAAAGAAGAGCGCAAGTGATCGAGAGTTCTTACAGGCCCTCAATGCTCGGCAAGTAGCTTGGGATAGGCAGATTATGCAGATTAGTGAGATTGCTGATTTGATGTATGAGGCTCGCAAGGGCGCTGTCAAAGAAGGTGGTGATCGGGAGGAGTTCCTAGAGCACGAGCAGAAGTCGTCGAAGCATGGGAAGCAGACATTTGATGGAGAGGCTACTACGGCAGCTGTAACTGTTATGCCTGTACCAGGGGCTGATCAGCCATTACCTTCAGTCCCCACAGTCGCAGCCAAAGCCAACCCAGGAAGCTCCAGCTCTGAAGAGGCAGCCTCAAACATCAGCGAGCGCGGCTCAGGCTCCGTTGTCGACGATCCGGAAGAATCACCAGACTACGAGGATGAGTTTGATGAGGGCGAAGAGTATGGCGAGGACAATGAGTTTGACGAAGGTGACGACTACTACGAGGACGAAGAAGAGGAGATCGAGCCAGACAGATCCCATTGGCCTCTATGCTACCGTATCCTCGATATTACTCCCGAGACTCCAGCCGCCGACATGGAGGTTGCGTGCAAGAAGAAAGTCTCCATCCCTCATATTGTCCCATAACCACGATACTGACCTTCGTACAGAGCCTGCCAGAGACTTGCACCAAACCACGACCCAGCACGCCTGCCGAATGATCCGGACGCACCAGGTCGTTGGGCGGCGATTGTGAAGGCACGCGAGACGCTGGAGGATCCCGAGCGCAAGGCTTTCTACGACATGCATGGCCGGACTCCATCGGGCTTAAAGGAGTTTGACTTGTCGAGTCTGAGTATCGAGGACCACTGATGGCTCGCCAGGCTTGCAGAGCTCCGAGTATTGGTGGAAAGACAATATGAGGAATGGGTGGCGGTGGCTTTGAAGTACATCGACTTTCTATGCGACCAGAGAAGGCTGATGACCGAGCCGATGAGCACATAAGTAGCCTCCGGAGCTAGATAGGATGCCACGATGTCCCCGACCAGATATGTGTAGCGTCATTCACCATTCTAGCCTTGCTCTCGCGTCATAACACCAGAACTGCAGTCAATGTTCCGCTGTATGACTGTGCATGTCCTCAGCGTCACTTCCTAGACTACGGTAAGTGCGAAGCATTGCCTGACCTGCCTATACTCATGACCACGTCTTCTGCTGCTCGGACTGTTTGCCGCTTGCTGTCCCTGTTTGCACCACAGCACAAGCTCATCATGACTTCAACCACCACCCTGCAAGACTCATACCACGCCAATCTGCGACACCATTGCCAACGACGACTCACAGCTCTCATGGCGCAACTACCTTCGCCCAAGGATATGACGGCTGTCACGCCAATTGGGGGGTTTGTGAAGGATGCGGAGAACAGTCTAGCAGCCAGCGACGATGTCGTGGAGTCGGGTCCCGCTATATCACCGCCTCGTGACTCCGATGGCTGGCACTCCTTTTCAGGGAATGACAACGAGAACAGATATCTTCGACTACGCTGCAGCGCTACATTGGCCGTGTTCAATGCACAAAACCTCACCATCTCTGCTGAAGAGCGTGCGACGGCATGGCACAAGTGAGTGGCCGAGAAAGATGAGGTCAGTTGGAAAGCGCTGACGAAATTGAGTCAGACTGATCGAACCATTCCACAATATTGCTGGTGGGACAGCCGCGCCGCTCGTCAAGAGCCCATTCTACGTGGACTATGGCAACGTGGACATAGCGCCATCTGCTTACGTTCATCGGAACGTCTATATAAGCGACAACCCTGATCGACAGGCACCAGTCAAGATCGGTCATGGTGCTTTCATAGGGCCCGGCGTCCAGATCTTGAGCGTCCAGCATGAAGTAGACTGGCGTAAGCGTGATGGAGTGATGGGTCCGGCATTGGCTCGCCGCACAACGATTGAGGATAACGTATTTGTTGGGGCCGGCGCTTGCATTATGTAAGTCTTACCCAGACGTACGAGAACGGATAAATAAGCTAACCCAGAGCGTAGGCCAGGCGTCACGATTGAAGAGCGCGCTGTTGTCGGCGCAGGTGCGGTGGTCACGAAGTCCGTACCCGCCAGTCACGTTGCGATTGGCGATCCAGCACGAGCGACACGAAAGGTGACGCTGGATGTTTTCGACGCTCCTGGATTGTGGTATGAGCTACGGGAGGAAAAGATGATGGTCCTGAATGACTGCTCGCCGCCACCAAAGCTTCCTTCACGATCTCGAACTGCACTGGGCTTCCCAGCTTGTGAGTCGAGATCAGAGACGGCCCTGAAAGTTCACCGTGGGTCCAAAGATTTCGAGCCCGCGGAGAGTGCTTGCTCGGATACTGAACGGATACAGCCATCACTGACGGAACATGCTGAGCAGGTTCAATGGGTTTCGCCACCTGCAGAACCTGAGGATCGTCGTACCAGAGGCGAAGTCGACGTTGCGTTGTTTCTGATGGCTGTTGGCGTAGCAGGGTGCATAGTGCACGCAGTCCTCCACTGACGACCGCCTGGCAAACGGCAATCGAAATATCTCGGGATGGTGCCTTGTCATGGTGCAAGATCATGAAGTGGTGTCGTCCATCGTGCCTTCCAATAATCCTGTCCACTTCACTTCACTTCACCTCATCCTCCAACTCAATCTCGACCTCCATAACCTCATCAACATTCTCCTTCTTCCCATTGTCAGTCGTCAGCCCAATCGCAGCCTCGGCCTCCTTCTGACTATATGGCTCCTCCTTCAACTGCCTCACCCGCCTCTTATGCGGCTTGCCCTTTCCATGCTTGGTGAAATTCAATTCACTCTCAAACCACTTTGCACACTCCACACAATACCACTGACCGAACCCCGGTAGATCCTCTGGAGCCTTGGTGTCGTGGTACTGTTGAAGGTGCTTCTTGGATTGGATATCCGCATGAACCTGATCAAGATCTCGGGTATGACGCCGAGTCTTCTTCTTGGACTGAGAGCCTCGTATGGAGGGCATATTGGCGCCGACGTCGGTCAATGAGCGCTGCACGAGTCGGTCGTGGTCTGGACGGCAAGAAATTGGTTGTCGCGTGGTATTATCGCGAGGTCTGTGCGCGGTAGTGTGGACGAAGATTTCCTGCAGCAGTCCGAATTTCGGCGCGCAAGAAATTGGTTGTTAGAGCGCAGCGGGCACTTTTCGGATGACCGGCTGGCTGGTGAAGAGGAAATCAGACAGGTATTGCGTGTTGTGCTGCCTTTGGCGCAACGATGTAGGCCGTCGAAAGCTGGCAGGTATCTGTACAACAGCGAACTCGTTATTCTGCTCGACCTACGCTGCTCACGATAAAAAGTATCAAGGTGGGTTGCAGTTGCTTTGCCCAGCGCCGGCAGCCACACGCTTCCGACTCGCCTAGTCCAGCCAATCATCCGAGGCTCAATCGTCAGAACGTTCAGAGCTTGACCTTGCGCCTCTGCTTTCATCACCTTATCTTCCACCACAACAACCGTCTCCACCGTCCTATTGCTCTATATTGACGGCTGGACCTCCAATCTAGCGTGACCGAGCTCCATCACACATCTGAGTAGATCAGGTCGTCTTCATCATGTTGTCCGCACGGGCTGCGGCGCGGCAATTGGTATGCCATGCCCGCAATGGAGCTCCATAATGGCGAGGAAACAACACCATGCTAATGATCGATACCACAGCCGCGCGCGCTCGGCCGCCGCACCTTCGCCACCCCAGCCGACACGCCCTTGAGCAAGAAGGTCGAGATGACGAACTGGGAAAAAGGCCACTACATCAACTACGCCAAGATGAATGAGAACCTGAACATTGTCCGACAAAGGCTCAACAGGCCCCTCACATACGCCGAGAAGATCCTCTACTCACACCTGGACGATCCTCATGGCCAGGAAATCGAGCGTGGGAAGAGCTACCTCAAGCTCCGACCCGACCGAGTGGCTTGCCAGGACGCCACGGCACAGATGGCTATCTTGCAGTTCATGAGTGCGGGTATGCCCAGCGTGGCCACACCTACGACCGTGCACTGTGATCATTTGATCGAGGCACAGATTGGTGGGGAGAAGGATCTGCAGCGCGCGAAGGACATCAACAAGGAGGTTTACGACTTTTTGAGCTCGTCTTGCGCCAAATACAACATTGGTTTCTGGAGGCCTGGGTCTGGTATCATTCATCAGATCGTGCTTGAGAACTACGCTTTCCCTGGTGGTCTTATGATCGGTACTGACTCACATACTCCTAACGCTGGTGGGCTTGGTATGGCTGCTATCGGTGTGGGTGGCGCTGATGCTGTCGACGTCATGGCCAATTTGCCGTGGGAGTTGAAGGCACCGAAGGTTATTGGTATCAAGCTTACTGGCAAGATGAGCGGCTGGACTTCACCTAAGGGTATGTACAGAGGACGATGACTTCGACGTCTCAACAAGCTAACATGCTGCAGACATCATCCTGAAGGTCGCTGGTATCCTTACCGTCAAGGGTGGCACTGGCGCTATTGTCGAGTAAGTGGTTCTCACGACCCGAAGGTGCGTTTCATGCTAACGGTTACCTCTTAGATACCATGGTCCTGGTGTCGACAGCCTGAGCTGCACCGGCATGGGTACCATCTGCAACATGGGCGCTGAAATTGGTGCCACTACGTCCCTCTTTCCCTTCGGTGATCGCATGTGAGAATTTTTAACCAAGCCATTGTCTTTAACGTATGCTGACCACTGTGATAGGTACGATTATCTAGCGTACGTCAGTCCCACATACGAGAGCACAAAGAGGCACAACTGACTCTACGAATAGTGCAACCAAACGCAAGGACATCGGCGACTTCGCCCGCTCCTACGCCGCCGACCTCCGCGAGGACGAGGGCGCCGAGTACGACGAGTTGGTTGAGATCAACCTCGATGAGCTCGAACCCCACATCAACGGTCCCTTCACCCCCGATCTCGCCACACCCATTAGCAAGTTCAAGGAGGCGGTCAAGGCCAACAAGTGGCCGGAAGAGGTGAAGGTCGGCCTGATCGGTTCATGCACAAACTCCTCGTACGAGGATATGAGCCGTGCGGCTTCGATTGCTCAAGATGCTTTGGACCATGGTATCAAGGCCAAGGCGCAGTTTGTTGTTACGCCTGGTTCGGAGCAGATCCGTGCTACCATTGAGCGAGAGTGAGTGGATGAAATGTGGGAGCACTGTTGACATATGCTGATGATTGTCACAGTGGCCAAATGAAGACCCTTGAGGACTTCGGTGGTGTCGTCTTGGCCAACGCTTGTGGACCTTGCATTGGACAATGGGATCGTCGGTAAGTCGTCAAATGTATAACCTACCAACGGCTGTTCTAATCGAGTAAATAGCGACGTCAAGAAGGGAGAGGCCAACACCATCATAAGCTCTTACAACCGTAACTTCACCGGCCGCAACGACGCCAACCCAGCCACCCACTCTTTCGTCACCTCTCCTGATATGGTCTTGGCCATGACTATTGCCGGTACCTTGGACTTCAACCCTCTTACCGACAAGGTGAAGGATAGCCAAGGCAACGAATTCATGCTGTCTGAGCCAAGTGGTGAGGCGCTACCTCCTCGTGGCTACGACCCAGGTCAAGATACTTTCCAGGCACCCCCAGAAGATCGCTCTTCCATCCAAGTCGCCGTGTCCCCCGACTCGGACCGTCTTCAAATCCTCCAGCCATTCGACGCGTGGAATGGCAAGGATGCTACTGATTTGGTAAGCCGTACATCAGTTTTACGAGGAGTCTGGGCTAATGCTGACGATGTGTAGCCAATTCTCATCAAGGCTCAGGGCAAGACTACAACCGATCACATCTCCAGTAAGTGCAGTGGTGCAGACCTGCCAAAGGCGGCAGCTAACATCATGTCTAGTGGCCGGTCCTTGGTTGAAGTACCGCGGACATCTCGACAACATCTCGAACAACATGCTTATCGGTGCTATCAACTCCGCCAATGGCGAAGCCAACAAAGGTTAGTGATCACCTATATCTGCATGAGAGGCGAAAGATTTCTAATGAGTCTTTCAGTCAAAAACTCCACAACCAACGAATGGGATGCTGTCCCAGCCACTGCCCGTGACTACAAGAGCAAAGGCATTAAATGGGTCGTTATCGGTGACTGGAACTACGGCGAGGGCTCATCCCGTGAGCACGCCGCTCTCGAGCCTCGCCACCTAGGCGGTCTGGCCATCATCACCCGCTCCTTCGCCCGTATCCACGAGACCAACTTGAAGAAGCAGGGTATGCTTCCCCTAACTTTCACTAACCCAGAGGACTACGACAAGATCCAGCCAGATGATAAGGTCGATTTGTTGATCACAGAGCTGGCTGTTGGTAAGCCAATGACGTTGAGAGTACACCCTGCGGCTGGTGGTCAGGCGTTCGATGTCTCGCTCAGCCAGACGTTCAATGAGGGGCAGATTGAGTGGTTCAAGAATGGTAGTGCGCTTAACACCATGGCTAAGGCTCACGCTAAGTAAGCTATTCTCCTGGTGCGTGAGGTGTGTATCAAGGACTATTCGAGCGGAGTAGGTCCTATGAGGGGTAGTGCGAGGATGCGATTGTAGTACTTGTGTATAGTTTTGCATGATGATTCTTCTGGCGCAAATAGGACATGTAGTAGCAGAATGGAACCTTGCAACGTGCGCTGGAAACCGTCTCCTCGTTTATGTCACATGCACCTCGAGTCGGGATAGCATCACGAGTCATGCAGAGATCTATGGCCTGAGGCATCACGAGTTTTGGCGCTAGCGAATTTCGATGGTGGGTTGGTCGACATCGAAATGACTGCGACATTCATAAGAGAAGGCGATTCCCTCCATCACACGACAGCAGAAACACCGTCGCAATGGCCAGTAAGTACCGAATATCTAAATCTGCGTGGTGATGAGATGCTAATATCAGCATAGAATCCAAGAACTCGTCCCAGCATAACCAGTCGAAGAAGGCGCACAGGAACGGGTACGATAACACCACATCCACACCACCCTAGCATCTCGTCACATACAGAAAAGGAGGCGCGCATACGAGAGATCGAGGGGAACATTGTTGAAAATGGAGCGAGCGCGCTGACGGTGGATATCCCACAGTATCAAGAAGCCCAAGACCAACCGATACCCTTCGCTCAAAGGCACCGACCCCAAGTTCAGGAGAAACCACAGGCATGCGCTTCACGGCACAATGAGGGCGTTGGTACGTTGCAAATAATTCTGTGAAGTTCGAATATGGGCAACATGAGGACTGACATGACACACAGAAGGAGGTCAAGGACGGCAAGCGCGATGCGGCATAAGCGAGACATGACCACGACGACAATAACCATGGCACTCTTGCAACAACGGAGGCAACAATGCCTTTGCGGGACCGATTGAGGAACAGTGCGATGCTTTGGAGAAAAGGTTCGGATCACCACCGCATAGTCTGATCGCCCAGTACAACCTCAAATGCAAACGAACTTCCGCCAACCACGATATCGACCATCTCAACATCCACCTTCCTCCCACACGCATTCTCATCTTACCACTCCTTCTTAGCACCCAAACAATGGCATATGTGTGTACAGTACCTCGCCTCCCCATGCGATGATAACTGAAGGATTATATCTTTAACGTGCCAAGATCAAACCCACCATGCCATCTCATTACCAAACACGAACGCTGCTTTTGCTCACTCGGCGTATTAGTGCATGAAGAGTTGCCAACACCTCAATAACGCGAAGACATCTACTTTCGGGTTTGCATTCTCATCCGACAGCAGGAGTATTCATAGCGGAGATGGCCTGTCTGCTCGTCAAGTGTGACGTGCAGATCTCGATACATATACGGTATATACAGAGTCCTCATATGTACTATGAACTAAATCGGCCACCCTCTATCCCTTGGCACATTTTCTATGATGCTCTGTCATCGTCGGGGCGCGGCCTTAGGTCAACCATGGTCAAGAGGCCGCGATTCTGTGCTTCATTACCCGGCTCGGCATTTCCGCAGCACGAAGACGGCTTCACCTGAAGCTCCCTGGTGGTGGGCTCATAACGCCCATCCGCACATGTGAGAGTGTAGGCTGATGGATAGCGTCTAGGACCTGCGATCACCAGGTACTCTTAGCACTCGAATGCAGGACAGTCTGCAGCCCCTACGGCGTCCTGTCCAAGAGGCGGTCTGCCGTAAGCGTGAACATGTCCAGTGGCTTGCAAGCATTCGATGCGGCAATGTCGTAGGACCATGGGTCGCCTTTCGCCTACATAGTCGTGTGTCTTGATCAAGATTAGATCATATCCTTCAAGTCTTCCTGTCCCGGACATCCTCACTCCGACAAATATCCTGCTCCGGCAATATCCGCGCCGCTTTTTCATCTCGCATACTTTCCACCTCATCATTAGCCAGATTCCCCATCGTCGCCTCCCTCTGCCTCAAGAACCACTGGATCCGCTCATCCCGCGACCCCACACCTGCTACCTCCTGCCTCACCCTCCTCAACTCCTTCGCCGCCCGATCGTGGACTAGATCTCGCTGCTCCACGAAATATGTCCCTGCGTCTTGCGCACGATTGTAGTTTGCTGAGCCTCCGGCGAAGGCTAGCACAGCCACGAGGAGGACGAAGTACGAGTTTCGCATGTACAAGGGTGATTGGTGCGGATCGTCGGTGGGAGAGGCGTTAGGATCCGATGCGCGACGGGCGCGCCAGGCGTAGAACTTTTCCCAGTCTTCCCAGGTTGCATTTTGCCAGATTGGGTCACTGGTTTGGCCGGTCTGCCAGCTCTGACTGAATGGCCCTGGTCCGGGATGGGCGTAAGTACTGTTCGATGCTCGAGCACCGACCTCGGGTTTACCGTTCCAGCCTGAGCCGAAGCGGTCGTAAGCGCTGCGTTTGACGGGGTCCGAGAGGATTGTGTGGGCTGCGACGATCAAGCGGTAGCGTTCCATCTTGATGGTGGCATTCATTGGGTAGGGATGGTTGGATGTAGTAGTGTGACTGAGGTCGGGGTGGTACATCTTCACCAATTGGTAATAGCGTGCCTTTGTGTATGTGGCTGTTGTCGTTTTCATGGACAGGATCTGGTAAGGTGTTGGGTGCTGGTGGCCCGTAGGTGCAATGGGCCATTGGTGCTCGGGCTTTCTCTTTGGTGCCTCGCGAGGCTCTTCATGGTGTGCATCATGGTCGCCTGTTAACGTTGCGTAGCTTTTCTTAGCATCGTGTGCTCGTGTAGATTGTCGCGTGCCATCTCGTGGCCGTCGACATGATGACGTCGTCGATCCGGCGGCGTTATGAAGGGAGTGGAAGCTGCAGTAAGCGCTGATGAGAAGGCTAGGCTTTTTGCTGAGCATGACAGAGTCGATGGAGGCCGCACAGGCACATTGTGGCCAGTGGTGTAGAAAGAGGTCAGACGGAAAGAGAAGTGTCTCGATACGGCAATTTGCGTGAGATGATCGAGAAGCAGGTGGGGGACCGACAAGCGTCGATCTTGCCGTGCGTCCCGAACCTTGTTGCAGTCGTTGCCAGTCCGACGGGAGTGTTTGGACGTGCCAAGAAACGTGGTTCGCGACGGAAGACTTGAGATTGCATATCTCGAGCATGAGCATTCGCTATACAGCAATATGGTATGATACCGGCACAACAACATGTCGCGTATATCAATGGTAACACCGTGTCCGTCCGGACCTGTCAACAGTAAGACGCGCTGGCCTGGACGAGACGACACGCTTACGATAGATATCGATTACACGCGAGCATTACGACCAGACTTAACGCATGGTGCAAAACCAAGGAGGAAATCGACCTTTGTGCGCAAGACCGATAGGAATATCGGTATCACTATCTTCGAAGATGTGCTGGAGGATGTGGAGTTGGCACTCGAGAAACCGAGGGCAGTGGTTGGCGCAACGCTCTTGGGCAAGCCTGCACAGAAACTTCCGATGGACGCAGATGGGCTGGCGAGCAGAGATACAATGGGCAAGATACGGCAACCGCGGACAAGTCTCTTGCCGGCATCGACTACTATGCTTGCGGCAAATGCGACAGTGGCGGGAACATTGAAGAAGAACCCGCGAAGACGAACGATTTACGTGCCGGATGACACGACCATGTTGACCATTCATCCGGGAGCGAACTCGACACGCCTAGACGACACCTTCCAACTACCTGTTCTGCCTACAGTAGCGTCCCTGCCATACGTACCTCGACCTGAGACAGTTACTCGGGTGCAGGAACATTCGCCACCAGCACCGGGGCCGAGGATGTCTATGGCTCCGAAGCGTGCTCCGCTACGACACATGCGCGCCACTACAAACGTCAGCAACACGTTCTATGAAGTTGCTGGTCAAGGAGGTGGGAAGGAGAATGTGCCGCCCAGGGCGTCAACGGCTGCAAAGTCTTTCGAGAAGACAGAAAGTGTCAAGCCTGCTGTGGCGCCGGTCATGTCCGTAAAGACTGCTGCAGCCCAGTCGAGACTTTTTGAACCCACTGTGTCCTCGCAAGCCAGGCAGACGACGGTGGTTCGAAAAGCTGTGCCTGCACCCAGATCTCGGACAACGGTTAGACCAGACGGAATCTCGCTCAAGCGAAAGGACATGCAGCACCACTCATCACTGGCCGCTTCGACCGCACATAGCCAGCGACCAAGACCACATGGTCGTCCAGCTTTCTTAAAAACGTTCCAGGCCCCTGCGAGTGCAAAGTTATCCCAGTATCCTGTCTTGGTCGAGGATGTTGAGCAACCGCAGCTCTATGGCACGGGATATCTCAGCCAAGAAGAGATTGCCTTGACCGAGCTTGTCAACACCGTATATGATCACGCACAGCCAAAGCAGTGGGAAGAACATGATACTAGTCTACGACAGAAACTCCTTGAGATCTACCACCGACCCGAGGTCACGACCCTCCACAATCGAATGCAGGCGTCGCTGGAATGCGGAGCTCTCAGCCGACCAAAGGATATGTCCTCGCCACCAGACATCACGCAAGATCTTGGCTTGCGGAAGCGCTTCCTGCGATTGTGGCTGCGAAACTATGAGCCGGAAGCTCTCCAAAGGGTTGCAGAGGTTGTGGTCGGACGACAAATGCAAAGTTCGAGATCCTCAAGTCTTCTAATTCCTTCAGCTGGATCTCTGGACAACACGCGCTCAACTCGGAGCCTTGTCAGCTTCTTCGAGACCTTCTTCGTCATCGTTGAGGACCTTGATGAGGGCAACAACCATGGTAGAGTGGAGACTGCCGACGATCTGGCTATTCGACGATGGCAGAAGACAGTACTTCGTAGTCTGATGCTCACATGGCTGCTTGACCAGGCTAAAGTCACGGGCACGGTATCTGGTCGGCTATTCAAGAGCACTGCGCAGCACAGGTCTTCTGCAGCCGTGCTTCACGCGCTCTCCAGCCTCCTCGTACCATCTATCGGCGACATTACACGTACGCTACGCCGATTCGACTTCATGCTCGAGCACGTCCAGGACCCGCTTGATGAGGTGGACTATCACATCGGCAACATTGCAATAGACTTTCGAGACGGAATCCGGTTGACCAGGCTGGTCGAGTTACTGCTCTTTTCTGGCCAAGGTCAGGCGCCCTCTTTAGGGAGCAAAGTAGAGGAAGCGACCATGACCTTGCACCTTCCAGACCAGATGATACTAAAAAGCGACTTTCCCAACTATGATGCTGGCACGTTGAGAGTCCTGTCCCAGCACGTCAAAATGCCTTGTCTCGGTCGTGCACAAAAGCTCTACAACGTACAGATCGCGTTGACTGCGCTCCAGGAGTATAGCGACTGGTCCGTAGACATTACAGCTGACGATATCGTGGACGGCCACCGCGAGAAGACAATAAATCTTCTTTATGATCTGATCAACCAACATGTTTTCACGCAACTCGTGGGTCAGAACGAACTTGCAAAAGACATCGAGCAGACGGGTGGAGACACGATAGCGACAACGCACTCCAAGCAGTCGGATCGAGAAGACACGCTACTGCTATGGGCTACTGCTCGCTGTAGCAGCGTGGACAAGAACCTCCAAGTTCGCAATCTTACAACATCATTCGCGGACGGCAAAGTGTACAACACAATACTGACTTCGTTCGCCGACGTACTGCCTTGTGCGCGAAATAGCTCTAAGGCCACATTCGCGCAATCTCTCCTTTCACTTGGCTGCAGTCCAGCCTTCATAGCATCTCTCACCTCCTCTACTACCACTATACCGACTCGCATAACCACGATCTCACGACTCGCGCTACTCGGGTCTAAGCTCCTGTCTCTAGCGAAGGAACACAGAGCAGCCCGCGTCATCCAGCAGTGGATCAGACGGAGGAAGGCACTCAGGCACGTTTCCCAACGAGTTACGCTAGCAAAGCTGGCACATGCTTGTGCGACGGTCGTACAGACTCAGCAGAGACTGGTGCATGCTGCTATTGTTCTGCAGCAGGCGTGGCGAAGGGTTTTGGCCGCGAAGTTCGAGGCGAGGGGACAGGATGTAGAGGTTTTCCAGAGGATGGCGAGAGGGTGGGCGGTGAGGCGGAGAGCGGCAAGGATGTCTGGGTCTGGGTTTGGTGGTGGTCCTGGTGGTTCTAGGAATCGAGCCTGGTAGGGTGGCTTACAGTTAGAGAGTAGATCAATCATTGGCTCTGGCAGCCGTTTCGATGATGCCTCGATTCTAACCACGAAGCGTTCACCACATGCTTGGCTTCCCAGGGGCTTTGTCTTCAACGTGTCCGATTCAGAAGACAGCCCCACCAATAATAAATACCCTCTCCTCCTCCCTCCGCACCCACTGCACAACCCGATTAGCCCCAGCTGCCAACTGACTCCTGGTTGCTCCTGGCCCCGCCACACAGAACAACTCAAACAAAGGCGTCTCCCACGCCAAAGCCGTCGCCTCTTTCCCCACAACATGCACCACCTTCGTCTTCGCCGTCCGCGAATGCAAGTTCTCATGCAACGAAGCGTATAAGGACATCAGTTTCCTTTTGGCCACTAGACCATGGAAATGTGGTTCGAATGAGGGCATTGTGAATTGGACATTCCCACGGGATTTGTACAGGAAGTGGCGGAGTGGTGTTCCTGGGACGATGTCTGTGCAGGGTTGATGGCCGGCGTGGATGGCTGTTTTGATCAGGGACATGCTTTGGTTCTTCTCGAGTTGGAGCACGAGGTCGTCGCGCATTTTGCGGAGTTCGTAGAAGGACTCGCGGTTGGCGGAGATGAGGACGATAGCGAGCTCGTCGTCTTTGACTTTTGAGGCCGGTCGTTCGCTCCCAGTCTGTGATGTGGTGTCGTTGTTGCTGCTTGGAGACGAGGAGGTGGAGAAGAAGCTTACGTACATGTAAAGGTAGCCTGTGTTGTTGAAGACAGGAAGGCAGAGGGGGACCCAATTCTCGCCATCACTCGCTTTGACGCTGCCGGCTTCGAAGAGCATATTGAAGATTAAGTGGAGATCGCCTGGGTGTAGGGAGTGCTTTTTGGGTCGGACGACACTTACCAAGCGGCCCGCCGCTACTATGAGACCATATAGCAGGTTTGGCGATCTTACTTTGAGGAGTGTCTCGTTGATCGTGCGTCGGTGAGTCTTGCGGAGACGTAGGCATTCTAGTGCTGACAGTAGTGTTGATGGTGATCCACGTGTAAACCCATCGGCGAGACCATCGAGGAGGACATCTGTACCTTCTAGTGGGCGTCTCAGATCTGTGGAAGGTCGTTTCGAGAACATCTTCTCAATGCTGGGTAGCGTCAGAGTTGACAAGATCTGCATATAGAGTGACTCCAGCTGAGTCCGTAACTGTGGTTCGCTTTCACCTAGCCTGCTGACTGCCACTAGATTTAGAGGGCCCTTAGCAACCATGACAAATGTGGTATCGCCAGCAGTGAAGCTCTTCAATGGATCGTCGGCCCCTTGGTAGAACGATATTATGGTCTGAGCGACGCCAATATAATGACTGATGAGATGATCGTCACCATGCCGACTGTAGATAGGTTTACCAGAAGCGGAAAGGATAAAGAAGTGCTTCAGCTTTGCCTTCCACAATTCTAGTAAATCATCCTCGGTCCTGAGATCGTTCTCGCCAGTCTCGAGACTGTCAAATTCGTGCTCGAGTTGTGAGCTGAATTCGTTATCTACAGTCTCAATATTGCCAAAGGGATCATCCCTTTCAATTTGAGCGCTTAGTGCTCGCCATGCCGGTGTCTCCTCGGTCTCTACCAGACCACCAAGAAGACTTTCGCCATCCAGACGAGCGTCTAGCGTGGGCGCATAGCTTCTCAGACTCGCTGAATCATCACCACCGCTCTCGCTACTGCCAGCGAACCGTCCTAGGTGGCTGGCACTTTGCTTGCGAGAGACCGGACGGCTAGCCGGAGAGCTCTGTAGGCTTCCAGACTCTAGGCGTCCCTGCGGATGGACATCCGTCAACGACAGCGCAGTCGTAGGTTGGGAAAGTAGCTGCGGCCGTGACGTCCTCTTCGACAGTCGTAGTGAGCTCCCACTAGACGTTGCCGGTCGACCTTGTACTTCGAGACGGGGTCGAGGGGGTAATGGTGGTGGCGTCAGCTCCCGTGAGACTTCGACTGATGGAACCGTATCTCCTGGAATACTTCGTAACTCATCATGGTCGGTCCTAGGGGCTTCCGGGGGCGATTTCGTCAATGACAAGCTCCGGTCCTGCTCCCCTAACGTTGGCTTCAAATCGTCTTGCATTGTCTCAACCACTCGGCATCAGCGACCTCTTATATTTGTTTCCAGCATGATGCAATATCTCCAGTGACAAGTTATCATCAGTGAATGAGCAGTGGCAGTTTCTCCGAGCTTCGCCCGTTTCTCGGTTCGCGAGACGCGTCTCCAAGTCTTGCGCAACCTGGCAACAGCAATACAGTCGACGACAAATCCATCTGCCATAATTTCTGCCGCCAAGGAACACACTTGACAGATATGATAGTCAGGCCTTCATAATGAGTTTGGAGCTCATGACCGGACGCCGCTCCGTGTCACCAACAAGCTCTGGACGATCTTCGCCTGTGCCACGCACAGAGCACCGTCGAGCCGTCGAGGACGGTATGTGCGTTGCACCTCGCCGTGGTAGGTAGCAGTAAACACTAATTCGAGCCCAGAACTCTTCAGAGCCGACAAGGGACTTCGTCGCTACGGAGCGTTGGTTGAGCGAGCAGTTGCATCATGGGAAACCTCGCCCCACGAGTGGGCTGACTACATTGCCTTCCTGAACCGCCTCTTGAAGGTATCATTGATGTCTCCGCATCCATGAAAGTTGACTGACATATGGTAGGCAATACAAGCCCACCCCAAGGATGTTCCGACTCTGCCGCACACCAACGCTGTGGCATCAAAGCTGGCTCAATGCTTGAATCCTGCTTTGCCTTCGGGTGTCCATCAGAGGGCACTGGAAGTTTACGACTATATCTTCTCGAAGTTTGGTGCAAGTGCGATCAATCTGGTCTTCACGTCATCCCGCTAATCAACATCAGTCCGAATATGTAGCCAATCACCTCCAGGACTACCTGCCTGGCCTGGCTCCCGTCCTTGCCTTCGCTTCGCTGTCCATCCGGCCAGGCGTCTACCATCTCTTCGAGGACTATATACTGGATGCACCTATCAACGAGCTCCGGCCTGCTCTCAAATCCATGGTTTCAAGTGTGTTACCAGCCCTCGACGATGAGACCAGCGAGGATTTTGAACGTGCAGTCCTGATACTGCAGCGACTCGAGGTGCATTTTGCTCAGGGACCTACCAGTGATTCAGCTGGACTCTTCTGGCAGAGCCTGTTCCTATGTACGATGACTAGTCCTAGTCGGCGCCCGGGTTCGCTGAATTATCTGGTACGTAGGTTACCGCGATTGGTGGTGAACAGGAACCAATATCCAGGACCAGCACTAGCATCGGCTCCGGGAGCAGAGGTAGATCTGCCAGACGATCTGCTAGCAATAATATCTCCTGAGCCGGGGCTACTAATCCGTTGCTTCGCAGCGGGCTTGACTGACGCTCAAGCGTTGGTACAACGTGGTTTCTTAGACTTATTGGTAACTCATCTACCGTTCCACTCGCCAGTAATGAGCTCCATTTTGGACCGAGATGATATCGATCTGCTAATGACAGCTGCCTTGTCCATCCTGCTTCGTCGCGACATGGGACTCAATCGCAGACTATGGTCATGGATGCTAGGTCCAGATACTAAGGAAGCACGAGACGGAAAGCTCTTTCCATTTGCGACCAAGGACAGTTCGAGCGACATCCTTCCCAGTCAGCAAATTACATACTTTGTGGAAGGCGCACGACCTTCGCTTCAACGTTCGATACTTACTATGCTATCGTCGAAATCTGATGACCCGAGCCAGAGAGGTCGTGCGTACCTTATTTGTCTCTCGCTTATGGACACATGGCAGATTGGCGGCTCACTCCTACCCGAAATCTTCTTGCCTGCGCTCCAACATCTTTATGAATACAGTCTATCAGCAGAATCAGCAGCATTCTCGGAGGTACTCACAAGCGCAAGCCAATTTTTTGACAGCGTGGAGGCTGGTTTGATTTGGTCGACCATCGTCAGCATCCTGCAAGACGCATGCAAACAAAGCAACAAGAGATCCTTGAGCATGGTATCATGGCTTCTCAAACACTTCAACGTACAAGACCAAGAGATGAGACAGGTACATGCACCATTAGCCATGACCTACCTGGTGGAGATGCTTGCCCGTCCATTGGATGGCAGTATGGCGCCTGAGATGCTGTCTCTCGGGTTGGACGTTGCAGAGCACCTTCTCGCAATGGTCCCGGACTTCCTATTCCACCGTGCTGCACCAAAGACGCGGGATAGCTCCGTAGTTGCGAAGGAGCCTAGCGACATTGACGTGGCACAAATTATCGGTGACTTCTATTTCGATGCTTCATCAAAGACTGGCAAACGCCGTCCACCTCTTGATGCCCGCTCACTAGGCATGCGTACACTGCATAGGCTGACGGAGCTATCAATACGTTGTCTCCAAGCGAGCAGTGTCGGTTCCGTTCAGCAAAGTATCGAGCTTCTCGTTAGCTTGCTAGCTAAGCTTGGGGACGACCTAGAGACAGCACCCGTACGCTTGTTTAGCACGCTGAACGAGTATCTACAGCCGATCAACGCTGAAGGACGTACAGTGCCTGTCCGTGTGTTGAGCTCTGTCACAAATCTTCTCGCCAGTGGTGGAGGTGTTGCGCTAGCTTCCGCACCTCAGCTCTTGCATCTGGTCAATTCACTCGCAACACACTTATGGAGCCATCTGTCACCACGACGGCCGAAGTATCATGTAGAAGTGGTGAAGTGTCTTTGGCAGATCGAGCGTGCTGCAGCACCTTCCGATGCCTTCGAAGTGGCACTTCTCGAATTGCTGGGGCCAGCCTGCTGGACTCCGAAAGCCATCAAGTTGCGTACCACCCTGGACCGGGAGACTCTCGAGCGCTTCATGGTATTGTGGAATCATACCCTTCTATCCAAACCCTCGGCCGCAGGGGCAATATCGGGCAGACGTAGCAGCGCCACGTCCGTTGTGATAGATACCTCGCAAGCAACACACCGGGTTAAGCTGTTAACCGAGCCGCTTTTCGCCATTTTAGATTCGCTGGCGGATCCAGGTAGTGAGACTTTTGAGACGATTACTCTCTGGTTGGGAAGCTTACCTACCTTGGACAGTGTCCTTGGTTGTCTGTTGGCCCGTTATTGGAGTATCCGTAGTGATGTTGGCTCAAGCAGCATCATCGCGCGAGCGGAGGACGAGCGCAGTCGCGAATTGACGTATGTCTGTGGCCTGCTCCAGTCCGTGTTTTCCTCCGCCACCCCATGGACATGGCAATGTCTGAAGAGCACGGAGTCGCTGAATGACCAGACACCATCAGACGACGGCGTGGTAATGCTCCTTAGATCTTTGCTGGATCTCCTGAGCTCGGCCAGTACTACAGACTCGAAATTGCGTCGCGGAGTCCTGAACATTGTCGATATGATCCTGACCAAATCTGACAGTACGGAGATCTTTCATATCGAACTTGAGGACCTACTGCTGGACTTTGCGATAGCGTGTCTTCGCCAGAACGATAGTGCATCGCAGGGATTGCTTCTATCAGTGATCACCAAAGCAATGCTGGGACGCCTGCATCAATCGCGTAATGTCGGTGCTATCGAAGAGAGCCGCATCATATCTCTGCGTGGTAGACCGTCACCAGCAGCAGACAAGAAGGTAGGCAATGCCACAAATGGCAATACACATGACAGTATTGTCCCACCGAGCCGACTGCTAGAGTGTCTATTACTGTCGTTCGCGAGTGTATCAGCAAGATCTCGCATGGAGCAATGGGTGAGCTTTATCTCAGATGTGCTTCCAGTCTTTGCTGGCGCGATTTTCACGAGCTTACTCCCACTGGTCGAAACGATATGCAAGCAGCTGCAGAAGGTCTTCTCTGAATTACTGGTTCTTAGTTCCACGCAAGAAAATGTGGACTCAAGCCACCCAGACAACACGTTGCTGTGCTTGCTGGATGCCCTCGAGCTCATATTAGCAAAAGCGCACGAACAACTTGATGCCGGCAACCTTGAAGATGAGCCCTCCAAACCCACGGATTATTCAGTCGGTCTTCTAACAACCACCGGATCTGGTGCAAAATTGTCCAGTGGTCTCTTAAGCAAGACTTCGCAAGCCAATAGTCGTTTGACGGTCATACTAGCGTTTCACGATGCGATACGTGCTTGTTTCAAAATATGGACTTGGACAAACTGCTTCTCTGCCGGCGACGATTACGACAAGTCAGCGTCTACCACCACATCGTACTATGCTTCGAGGCTCCGAAACAAGACTCGCTATCTTCTAGAGCAGATGTTCCTGGTAGAGCCGCTCGAAAGTCTCGAAGCACTTCTACGTGAATGGCTGAGCAACGAGCCCGCTTATCTCGCAGGCAATATTGCTACAATAACTTTGCTACAAGCAATGCAGAGCACCCGACCGAAGTATGTGCTGCCGATTATCATAGACGCATTGTGCTGTCGCATGAACAGCGGACCGAGCCAAGGACCTAGACATTCCAGTCTGACGATTGAGCTGCTTCCTGCCGAAATTGCACTTTTCCTCCATATCTACCTCCAGTCCATCGAGGATGATGCTATGGACGAAGTGTGGAACAACTGCGTCTCCTTCCTCCGCGATGTCCTGACAAACCCGCTTCCATATCGAAACATCATGCCCATACTGCTGTCCATGGCACATGTGCTGGCCGAGAAAGCTCACAATACCAATTTTGGGGAGCAGAGGAAGATGCGAAAGGAACTCGCAGACATCTTTCAGAAGCTTTTAGCTGCTACTTTCTCGACGTTGCCTGGGGGGTCGTCTTCGTTGGGCCAGTCTGAACAGACTCGCATACACAAACCTCCTGGTGAGCTCGATATGGCCCTTGCTCCGGTTCTGTCACGAATCGTGGCCGATCTCGATGTGCTCGTCGATAGTGTCGACCGTGCTACTGCTGTTGTAAACAGCATATCTAGCAATCTGCTGAGTCCTGGTATTCATGGCAAAAACTTTCCTTCTAGTGTGGGATCGGACGAGCTTGAATTGCTGCTTACAATTGCGACTTCTCAACCTTCGGCTAAGGCATGGAAGAAAGATGTCGCCGATGCTGTCAACGACCCTCGCCTATTTGCGTCATCGCCTGCACTGATGTTTGACTTATGGTTTCCCATTCTGCATCAATGGACACTTCGCGATCGAGAGCGTATGCCGGAACTTCTGGCACGTCTGATAGCACCTTCCAGCGCGGGAATCATGTTCGGTGTAGGCGCCAACGCCGCCCGGCTCGACGCTGACCGGAAAACGCAGTTCAACATTCGTCGAATTTGCTTGATACTGCTATCCTCGCCATCTGACACTTGGGCTACCTATTTGCGCGACTTTGACGAGAAGATCGAGGAGCTGTTCAGTGCTACTTCTTCTTCATCCCCATCGTCTGCGATCAAAGCGGATCTATACTTGTTTTACAAGGCACTGACATTATCATTCGGCCCAGCTCAGCTATCTCCCCTATGGCCAAGCATCAATGACAACCTTCGCGGAGGCCTGCTGATGGCGACACCATCAAGTCATACTACTCAAGCGCTACCAAATCTTGGCCTCTTGCAGGCCTGTAAACTGCTTGATCAGCTCATCACCATATCGCCGGACGAGTTTCAGCTCCACGAGTGGCTTTACATAACGGACACAGTCGATGCGGTCTACCAACCACTGGATCAGTCTCCTACTGCCCTGGCAGATCAAATCGTGGAGGCTTTGGGCACTGACAGCGCTGATGGGAGCCAGACGGTGCCACGGTCATCCACGCGTGCAGATGGGATGTCTGGTCGCCGCCCACTACTTATCGATAGCGTGGTAGACCAGGAAGATGTCAAGGCGATGCGTCGCGACGACTTTGCTAAGTCTATCGTGCGTCCTTTCCTGAGTCAGCTAAGCATCCATGCATACGAGAGTGTATATCGCAGCGATGTAGCCAGCATAGAGTCTTGTCGACAAGCTCTGCTGCAAGATCTACTGGATACAGGCACCATCGTCGACTGAAATGAACATAGCCGATGGACAGCCTACGTGCTCCGTCTATCAGTCGCTTCACTTCAGGAGACATCCGCACCTGGTCTGGCATAGTAGCGATATCGTCTGGTCATGTGGCGGTGCACTTCCGACGTATTACAAACATACTGTTATCACATGTATGGCAACTCCCCAAACAGCACGGAGAGCAAGGTCGGTATAATGGAACAGGATAGCAAAAGCCGCTATCACCGCGAACTTGCATTAGTGGCACGAAGGACAATCGGCGCAACGCTATAGCAGCGGGCTCCACTACTTGTACCTTAGGCGCTTGCACTATTGTCCGCAGTTTGCACGATAGAGACTAGATGGAGCGGAATTATGACCATGTCGCTTTGGCCTTTCGCTCGGCCACATGGTTGTGGAAAACCTTGACAGGCTTGTTCGCAAGGGAGTAACCTTGAGAGCAGTAGGGTTTGCATTTCTGGTGCATATGGCGTGGCGGAATCAAGCAAAAGGCGAGCTGCGAAGACCGATCGACAACATACGTGCGTATAAAGTGAAGTGATATCATGGCTACTCTTGCTTCGTCAATCTGCAGAATATCGTGATACCATGTGACTCTCATCAGACATGCTCCGTATGGAGATCCTCTTCGAGCTGGCAGTTACATTTCGCTGCCTTGAGCCACTTCACGGTAGCCTCGGGACGGATTGGTCCTGTAAAGTCTACTGTCTTCACGCCTCGAAAAATTTATCATCAAAGATTAGGATCACCTCGGTATGTCGCAAAGGTCGTTACTATCGCTCAAGGCCGAAGATTTGACGACCAACCAGACGTCGACTTTGATGTTAAACCCGCGGAAACAAAGCTGGCTTGCATAAGCTTGCAGCCGCTCACGTCAGTAGGAGCGACAGATATCCGAAGCCCTGGTCTTTCACCCCTTGATCGATGTCTCGACACGATGCGAGGTTTGATTCTTCCCTCTTTTCTTACGCTGAGACCTCACGTTACCGTGTGATGGCAGGCTCTCAGACCTGACGATTTGCATCATTCGGCTGGCTCTCCAGGCTATCGTCTGTTTAGGTCGCCTGCCTGCACTAGTCCTCAGACACTCTGACGCTAGAATGCATAGAACCTTCTCCCGCACTGCCAGCACGGTCCGTGGACTGGGCGGCAACGTTCACTAGAACGGCATCCGACCAGCAGCAGGCATTGTTGGTGGGACGCTTAGCATGATTCCCACCCTTATACTACAGCAAAACCACTCATTGGGACATACGAGTCGCGGCCGGCATGCTACTAGGCTCGTAAGGTGCTATACAGATTGCTTATTTGGGTAAGGTGTGATGCATGTGCTGCGTGGCCACGAGGCCCTCACGATAGATTGCAAGTGGAACCGAAGAGCAGATGTTTAGACTTCTAAGTGCTCAGGTACCCGCTTGTTGTAGCGAGGCGTCCTGGCGGACGTTGTTCTCGCGGATGGGATTCTATACACGTGGGAGGCCGCCGATCAAATTCATCCTCTCGGTCCGGGATCTCTTCGACGTGTCGCTCTGTGGCGGACTTCATGACTTGCTGCGCAATGGTGTCGTAACTGACGACACATGTGATATCCGAATATCACCACTGACTATGCTATGCCCTCTGATCTGACCTGAAAATCGTATTGAGTGGTAGCTGTACTTTCCATGCTATCTAATCACCTAGTCAAAGGTATGCTAATCCCTAACGTACATCGTGCTCATCGCAGAAAGTTTGCTTGACGCACAAGCTACAGTCTTCGGATGGCGGCCGAGCGTCTATGCCTTCCAGCCTCGATAGATCGTGCGGCTACCAAACTTTTGCCCTTTCTTGAGTACGACCATATGTCTCAACTTCTCGTCGTTGATAGCATTCACGTAGCGGCTGGCCTCGATGCACATACCGCTTCGTGGTCCACGAGCAGGTAGGCCGTCCATCTCTGGTACGTCAATGTGGGCGCCAGTATAGAACTGGAAGGCTGGCTCGGTGCTCAACGCTTCAAAGTGGATCTTTGTGTTGGGATGATAGAGCGATATCAAACGCTTCATCTCGAGCTGACGAGTGTCGATCGGTACAGAGGCTGGGTCGTTGTTGACAATGAAGCAGTGATCAGGAGCTGGCTCCTTAGCGCCAAGGGTAACCTCCTCGTTTGCGGGTATGCCCGGGAATGGCTTAATCTCTCCTGTTGGGATGTCGTCCTTGTCTGTCACCTGGTGCAGGTTTGACGACACGTTGACCTTTGTGCCTTCAATTGTTGGACCGTCAGAGATGTTAAAGTAGCTGTGGAATTGGTTAGCAGATGAGGCGGCGCAGGTCATGAGCTTACAAACCTGTGGTTGGTGACGCCCACGACAGTCTCTTCACACTCGTCCCCGACAAGCTCTACCTCATACTCAATCTCAAGGCTCGTCTTGTCCACTCCCTCGTGCTTGTCAACGCTAGTGATATACCACATGCGCAGCTCAACTGTTCCTGGGTAGCCCTCCTCGCCGTCCTTGCTCAGGTATTTGAAGAGCACCGACTCCTTGCCATTCCTGCTGACAGGAGTGGGACCCTCGAAATCCTTCTTACCCCATCCAACAGCTCCACCGTGGAGACTGTTGGGTCCATTGTTGGCTACCAAGCTATAGCTCTTTCCATTCAAGCTATTGATTTTCGCGCCGGAAACACGATTCGCAAGACGTCCAATGTTCTCGCCGAAGAACGGGCTGTGCTTAGTCCTGTAGGATTCCGCAGATGGGAAGCCAAGCACAATGTTCTTCCCACCAATGTTGAATTCTTGGATAATGCCACCTTGCGGCAGGAATTTTAAGGAATCGGAGCTAGACATAGCGCTGGTTGTGGTGAAGGTTCGGCGACTGATGGATGTTGCAAGTCGAGGGGATACGAAACGGGAGAACATTAAAAGGGAAGAGACTGCTTTACTTACGATGCCATCTTTCATTACTATTTTGTGGAGCCGGTCATTGATAAAGCCTCAGATGGAGGGGCATTTTAGCCAAAAGGTCAGGCTGAAGGGTGGAAGAGTTCATCGATATATGTGAAGCAGACCATGTCTCCATCAAACCAACATTGGGTATCGCGATCGATCTTGTAGTACACACAAGACAGTCGGTGTTGCCGCATGCGTTTCAGGGCTGGTATGCGAATGTGCTGCACAGAGAAATGGTACACAAGCATTTGGATGTGGTGTGAGGGGGAACTCGATTGCCGCTCGGACCTGGCATGCAAGTTGCCCGTCGTTCGGTCGCCGGGGATTTATGAAAGACGTGCACAACAATATGAATCTTGTCTTGGCACCGAACAGACTTCGTGTGAGCGCGGCAGCAATGCCTCTACAGTAATGTTCACTGCCTGTAATCGACGATCCCGCAATATCGGGCAGATCGGGATAAACGCCTCCGACCAGAACATGTGAGCCAATGCTTCGCTAAGAACGCAGCACGTCAAGCAATCAAAAGTCCCTTCGTCATGCTTCGTAAACATTACGATAGCATGATCACGTCTGCTGCCGAGCCTCAGTGCCAGAGCCTCGGTGCATCCGCTGCAGTGCTCGGCACTCATATTGCTACTACTCCCTCGACATCTGAACACACTGCCCGCACCGCGTCTTTCATAGGTCGATCTTTCTCTGAAATTGACTTGGCGTGTTCCAAAGGCTGGCGTGCGGGGCCCGTCCATGATCTCGTAGTATTACCTCCGATGCCGATGCCGATCAGGACCTCAGTCGAAATGTCGGCCATCTAGGTGGTGACTTGTATGAAGTTCGTGATATCCAGGTCTATGGGGTCCAGTCCAGTCGCGAAATCAGTCATGCCTGGCATATCACTAGTGTATGCACTAGTAAATTGCTGCTGGTAGGACATGCTTGACATGAGGTCGAACGTGTTATCGTATTCCAGATATGATGGGTCACAGGACTCACTGTCCATCATGTTTTGCAGGTCTGGCATAGTCTGCTTCGCGTCTGGAATGTGGGTGGCGAAATGTGATCGTAAAATCGATTCGGGATTACTCAGATCAGGAATTGCCCATTCTGCCTGGTAGAAATGCGGGTCGTTGCATATCGGTGACGATTGCTGTAAAGGTGACGATTGCTGTAAAGGTGACGTTTGTGCTGGTGGAAACGACGGATTTGATCGCGGCGCGGGACTCCGTATCAAGGGCGTCGATGATGTGCTGTTGAATGCAAAGCTCTCACGGAAGACAGGTCGCTTTCCAGGTCGTGAGTCCCCATGCGAATGGGGTCGCTCATGCTGGCTATGGTCGGAGTCGGAGCTAATTGAGCCTCGTCGCTGTACAAAACCAGCACCGTGAGCGACAAGCCTTGCTTGCAATTTACCACAGTCATCTTCGAAGGTCTCCACCTCACCACTTCCGTCCTGCTTCGTTTCGAGTAGGTCGAGAGAAGCGAGCATATCGTGTGTCAAGGGATGGCCACTCGCCTCAGGCAATTTAGCACCAGGCCACGCTTGCGCTGCTCGTAGACGGTGATACATGATGTTGAGTGCGGATACAAGCTGATTCTGTTGTTGCTCAAGCATTTCAACGTAACCTTTGGGATACACTTTGTCATGTGACTTCTTGCGAACGCTGCGCCTCTGAGTCAATATGCGGCTAATGATTACATCGCTTACGCTATTGCTTACCCGAAGACGCAGATGGCGTTGTCAGCCCTACACCGAGTGCAGGGCGAGGTGCCATCGCATTTCGACTTCTTCAGACGACAACGATCACAGGCTGTACAGACTCGCTTCCTGATTGCGTCTGTAGAGTCTTGTAAGATCGATCGAATTGGCTGTCCAATTTTTGCCATCGGAGACACTGGCGCTGGCGACATGTTGAGGCTCGAAAGTGAAGACCAGGTGTTTTGCAGACGAGACGGCTTGTGTTGTGATGACATCTGCTTCATGGAGATCCTTGAGGGTGTCCGTTCACTGATACCTGCTTTCCACCTATGAATGTCCTCTATCGAGGTGTCGAGGATATGATGGTCAGACGAATATTTCAGGATCATGACAGGGAGGGGCGAAAGAAGAAGAGAACTTGAAGAGCATATAAGCCGAATGTGAGATGCTTGGCCATACTAACAGGACAGGGCCAAGTGTGCGTCAAACGGCCGTCTCTCCCACGTTTTGTAAGCACGCAAGCACCCAATCTGCACAGTGTCTGTGTGCCAATCGCCCCGCCTCGACGTGGTGAGGTGAGAGCGCAAGGTGTGCATCATCATGCGGAAGGAATCTGTAATCGCGCTCCGAGGACCAGGGTGGACCGAACGAGGGTTCTATTGCGGACGCGGATATGCATACTACCATCGGCCGTGATCCGAAGGTCAGTAGAAAGAACCACAGGTGAGGATGCCACAATTGGCTGGTGTGAGAGCTTATTACTGATTAGGCTTTTGTGAATGCGACGATGTTGTAGGGTTAGAAGAAATGCGAGGCGCGGGCTGCTACCGAGCGTTGTACCGCTTTATGGGGGTTTCGGCAACAGTAATGCCGCTTACATTGCAGCTTTACAATTGCGCCACGACCAGTGTATTATACGCCACTTGCTACATCAACAACTACCTTACTATGGCATTTGGAATCACGATCTTACCTCAATCGCACTACATCTGTTCCAAGCATATGGATTCACCATAGTGCTGCGATCTTGCGTGTAGCTGCAGAATGCGCAGGGTCGCGTTGCTTTGTTCGACACAATGCAATGCGAGCTCCAACTCGTCAAACGAGAGCTTGTCATTCGCTTCCTGGAATACGACGAAGAAGAGCAAACTTCGCTTGGGCGGTTTGCTTGGAAGATCCCGATAGGTCCGATCCCACGCTCCGCTACAAAGACGATGATCATGATGGCCAGCCGACAACAGATGGGTTTATGGCATTATCTGACTATACTATCGCTAAGATGCCAAACTACTCGGCCGTCGATCTTACTACAATCTTACAAACAGCACATGACTGGCGCATATATGACAGCGACCCTAAATCCCGCCATTTTCAGAGGACTGTAGTGCAGGACGCTGCTCCTTCCGCTCAGGGTCCCTGCATATTACACAACTCTTGTATGCAGTGCATGCACAGTGAGTGATAGAGTTTCAGCAGCAGCGGCACATCACAACCGTCCCTGGGCATTCGGCCTTCATTGATGGTCGAGAATGCCCGATAAGGCATGGCATTCGATGCGCAAAAGTTTTGACCCTGTGATGTCTGCTGCGGTGCTGTGCCGCTCGGATGCACTTTCGGGACAAAACCCGAGCGGAGAGCGGAAGTAGAGGAACACCGAAATGCTCGGTGCAGAACACAGATTGACTCCAAACGTCGAGGCCGCTCATGACCTCACCTTGGCAAACTCGATGGCAGTCGTGACAGTGGGACTATGGACGTCCCTCGACGTCTCCGAAAGCTGCTTCTCTACGCATATGCTTTCACGCTCTTGTACGACGCTGCAAGCTAGAGCAAGCCTCCCGCCGGAATTAAGCTCGCGCAGGCTGACACACTCTACACTAATCTTAGTCACTATCAGCACATCTACCGATCAAAGGTGTACAGAGAGCGATCATCTCAGTCCTGCCTTTCCTCAATAATGGTACACGTATGACAACCTGCTTGATGCCGAAAGTAAGTTTTCTTGTTGAACCTTAAGCCGGACAATGCGCCGAAGCATTCGCTGTTTCGATAAGGACGACTGCATTGCACTCTACGCAGTATATCCTTGCAGTGGTTCCGACCAGTCAGCACTGATGTATAATAACTAAGCGAATGCTGAAAGCTACTCTTTCAATTCGGGTATTTTATTGCAGACCATAAGGACAATGTTTGCGCACAAGAGCTATGCAGCTCGACGCCGCTTGTCTCACAGTCACTGCATTCGTCCATGATTGTCTTCTCCCTTCCTCGGACTGGTGGGTCAGTTGCCGAAGCTTGAGCTTGGTGGCGTACGCATATGCAGCATGATGGAGCAGATAGAGCAGAGGTCGTCATGGTCTCAAGATATGGGAGCCTTGGAGTGCAGTCGCTCGCAGGATCGGTTCAGATGCACACTCATGATCAAGTGCACCCACTGCCGCCCAAGCCTCTAATCAGATCGACCCGATCACTCTCCTGGCATGCCGTTTCGAAGGTTGTCGTACTTGGTCTCCGGATATTGCAATGTATTCGGCACATGCTCCATATGTCGGCCCTCATATCCACCGAGGCCTTCGACAACAACTCGTATTAAGCTCTCATCATGATTCAACGGATGATCACCACTGCTCTCCCACCACATCGCTCCTCCAAGGCCTTTTTGCTTGATGTACTCGACCTTTTGTGTGGCCACTTCTGGCGAGTCATAGGAGACCATCAAATGAGTGCCTGGATCGTAGCACCATGATGCGATTGCCTCTTTGTCGATGTAGTATTGCGCACCTGGCCGAGGTAGTGCCTATCACCTTCATTAGCTAACGTTCACGACGAGATAAAACACAGTATCATCTCAACACATTGCGCTGTCAGATTAGATCAAGTTAATTTAGCTTCTCCCGCTCATCCAGAAGGACACGATCGATGTTGCATCGGTACCACAACAAAAGCGGGTTCCAGATATGCACCGTCCACACATCCCAGTTCCGATCGCGGTGTTTCTTGTCATCACATGGCGAACCCAGCACATCAATAGCAACACACGTACCTTGTAATCCCAGACGCCATTCTCCCACGAACCCTCCCCAACACCACTATACCCACAACCAGGTCCATCAGTACCCTGGAACGCCCTCCCATAAAGAGGCATACCCAGCACGATCTTGCTAGGATGCACGCCATGCTCGATGTAGTACTTCACGGCGAAATCAATGCTGAACGGCGTGGCCTTCGGTCGTTCTCGAGACGGGTATACGTTTGCCTGATGGCCTGCCTGCTGATCCCAGGAGCCGGCGAAGTCGTATGCCATCATGTTCCAGAAGTCCAGATAGCGATCCATTTCCTTCATTTTCAGCCATTGACAATTCGACGGTCCAGCAGGTGAGGCTACAGTAAGGAGAAAGTGTGGTCTTTCGGCCAGGCAATTCGAGTAGCGTTCCAGCTCTTCTCTTACAGCCTGTAGTAAGAGGACAAAGTGCTGCCCTTCTGCTTCAGACTTCGGGTACTCCCAGTCAATGTCAAGGCCATCAAAGCCAAGGTTCTTGAGGATGTTGACTGCACTCTCTGCAAACTTCCGTCTGCCGGCATCTGACGAAGCAGGTGCGCAGAAATTTGAGCTGTAGGTCCAGCCGCCTATGCTCAGAAGCACCTTCAAGTTTCGGTTTCGTTTCTTATGTAGGTAGAGCTGTTTTGCACAACCATACACATTGGTCCCGGTATCGTTCCAGGAGTCCGTTGGCCAATGTTTGTCTGTGTCTGACCAGGGATCCGTGAGGTAGACTTCACCGCTTTCTGGTCGTATATTGGCGAAGGCGTAGAGGATATGTGTCAGTTTCTCAACCGGTATATCTTGGGGCTGATGATTACGGCCGTAAATCGCCCAGTTTACGAAGTATGCTACACTTCTGTAGCCTTGATGGGTCATGCTGAGAATGTCACAGGACCTGGTGGCAGTGGAGTGTTCAAGGTGTCCGCAAGATCGGGTGGAGATGATGAGATGCTGAGCAAGATATGGTTGGAGTGAACGTATACTTGTCGGGAGGCCGGAAACGCACAGCTGTCGCAATATTTGTATTGTTGTTGTTGTTGTTGTTGTTGTTGCGATGATGAAGGGTTAGGAGAGTGCACATAGTGAAGTGAAGATCGTGGCGCAGTCTGTGGCGCAAGGTCTTCAAACGTGCCAAGACGGCGACGACGACAGGGACCTATTATTACGAACATACATTCAGGCGAATATTCTCATAATATTGGCGGTCACATGGTATCATGCCTCTCTGGCACCACGGGCTTTATTCACAAGGACCAACATTCGTGTCTGCCCTACAGGCTTGACAAATCCACGCGCTGGATTCGGCCAGCAATCACACCGGACAAGACGCAGAGCTTCTGACTGTACGCAGGATGGGGGAAAATACAGCAAATTTAATGGCATCTTGTCAGCTGCTCAAGTAATCCAGGCATCTAGGTCTCCAACCATGTCTTGGCAACGGGAAAACGATGCTGGTCTTGTCTAGCGATAATCATCTAGCGCATCTTCAAGTCAATTGCGTGCATGGCACATCCCAGCTCCGCAAAGAATAGCACTCTCGATCCACTCAAGTCCATGCTGACGATTCGCATCTCGAGTACATCTGGCAAAAGGTGCCGCAGGTGAAGTCACCGTTGATCTCGATCGAGTTCTAGGTTGCGCCAGAGAAGCAGTTGCCTTCGCAGATGGGAACGTAGTCGTTGATGAGGATATTGCGAGAGCCATCCGAGAAGTAGGAGGCGCATGTAATGTAGCAGGAAATATTCTTTGCTGTGGCGAAGGCAATTCAGGCGAGGAGAGCGAGAAGCTTAGGTAAGGCATGGTGGCGGAAGCCCTGGCTTCTTTCGTTGGTCATTGTTGGTCCAAGTTGCCGAGATGACTTCGTTGGACGTGGTCCTATAGAGCAGGTGATGCGGTCCCAGTATTACGATCCGAGCACTGCTCACAGGCTTCGACTGGTCGTTTAATTCCTCGAATGCGACGATCCTGATCAAAGCCATGGGATGCTATGTCCATGGATAGAACAGGCGAGTGGTATGAGCATTGTAGCAGAACCAACACATTAATCTCATAACCCATGACCACCTCGAGCTGATATCGAAGATCTCGACCCGAGATGTTTCGGATATATCACTGCAGTGACCTCCAGGCGGTTTCCCGAAAGATATCCACATGCTCGGAGACCAAGCGTGCATCGACGCCGACATTATTAGCCGTAGGTAGAGACGAGCTTACCTACCCACCCTACGTCGAGTACTCAGAACGATCCTCGCTCAGGTTATATCCACCTTCACCCCTCAATCCTAAACCTCTCCCCAACATCCATTACCTTCAAACTCGTCTTGTCTCTCCTCTTCCTATCCTTTCTACTCTCCGCCTCCCACAACATCCCAATAACCTCCTCATGACAATACCGTCTACTCCTCAACCAAATCGTAGCAAAACCCTTCAAATCCTTAATCTCATCATGAGTGCTGATCCAATGTTTCGCCTCCATCGCGGCTGCCACCTCGACACCGCTGGGTGCACCGTTCGCGACTTTACCGCCGAGGATCCAGGGGTTCTCTTCCGTGTTCCAGCAGTGGAAGAGGGCGGTGAGGGGATAGGCGGAGATGCGGTGGAGATGGTGGGTTGTGTAGTCGTTCAGGGTGTGCATATTTAGTCCGTGAGGGGTGTAGATTATGCTGAGGGTTTTCTCGCGGTGACGTCTGGTCTTTTGGGATATTTTGGAATCGACGCGCTTGAGTTCAGAGAAGGGGAGGGTGGTGGTGGTGGTGGTGGTGGTGTGGGTGGGTAGTGGAGGTTGGGTCTTGCCGAGCGGATCGAGGTAAATTGGTCGCGGAGCACTGTCAGATCGTTCGCGTGTCGCCGTTGGCTTCGGTGTCGACTTTGAGACGTTGGCTGCTGATTGGGATTTTCGCAATTCGTGTTTCTTGTTCGGCGCGCGAGCTAGGTCGGATAGGCTGATCGTGTCGTCTCCGAAAGTGCTGAGAAGTGAGCCTGGTGGTCGGTATGTGATGCCTATAGCATTATGCAGTCCAGTAAGATCGCGTCGAGTCGGAATGTTCGCAATCGTGATCTCACCGGGTGAGCTATTCGAGGTATACGGCTCCAGTCGAATTTTCGTCAGCACGCCTGCTTTTGTCGGGTGGTATGGTCTCATGATGTGCACAATGTCATACTCAAAGTACTTCCAACTCTTGATCGTCTTGGCTGCGCCTGGAGTTGCCAGTATTCGCGTCTTTGTATCCTTTGGTAGAGAACACAACGTCGGCTCATGGCAGTGATCGGGTTTGTCCTGGCTAATGACTATCACGTCGGGAGGCGGGTCGAGCTCTGTCAAGGACTTGATGACAGCTGATCCGGTATGGCTGGCTACTTGGAAGCTTGGGTGTAGTATCGTTGATGGCCCACCCAGCCACGGGTCCATGAGTATGGTAAACGCGCCTGGGAACTTGCGGCCGGTCTTGGTGTCCTTTGGCGCGAACGATGGCGCGAAGGCGAACAGGAAGGTCGTGTCATCGTTCAGTTTCTCGATGATAAGAGACATGGTGGAAAGCATCAGATGTAGAACAAGACTTGAAGCAAAACACGCTTCAACGCAGGCAAGAACAATTAATCATAAGAGAGGCGAGAGCAAGCAAACAAACCTGTCGTCTGGTCGATCATGGTGTGTAACGTCGTATTATTGATCGGACTGGATGGCAGCACGAAATTGAGGTGCATGCTGCACGAAATAACATCGAGGCGTCATGCCGGGGATGAAGAGGTTGGAATTGCGGGTAGATGCTTGGAGATGGGAGTGGCAGCAGCAGGTCGGCCCGATCTGCATGGACGATCTGCAGCAAGTCGAGGCGATAGAAGAAGCGTCAGATTTTCGTGCTCGATATTTAGCCGCACGCCCTTCTCCAGGCTCCAATTCGAGTTTCTGATATATTGGTCGAGTCGTTGCTGTGATAGTACGTTCCAGCTACGAAAGGGCAGAAGACCCATTGGAGATGGTCAGCCTGTAACGTAAAGTATGGTACACGCTTCTTTCATGTTTCGCGTGGTCCATGGATTCGATGGGCTGACAACGAACTCTCCTGGGGGGCGACTGATAGCGATGACTTCTAGGTCAGCAATTCACCTACGCAATACTCGTCTGTGGCAGCATGAATTGGTTGCAGGCACACTACTCTTTTCTCACGCCATCAGCTGCCTTGCAAGATGGTGGAAAATTGATAACGATGGTGAGTAGCTACGCCTATTCGCGGTTGTTACATGTATTGCACATTATTATTCTGGACCCGTCGTCCTGGCTGCCCGGCGCATGTAATCAGTCCGATTGGCTGAAGGCAAACTGCCGCGCCTCACAACTGATCGCTGCCACTCTTGGAGGGGTAAAGATGATCACCCCGCCTTCCTTCTTCCTCAACCACCACGCCTTACTTCGCACTGCAAACGCGTTATTATTCACTCGGTGCAAATCCACGACACAAAAGCAGCAGATATCCCGAGCATCATCCTATCGCGTACCACGCAGAGACTCAGCTACTTTAAATTGTGCTCGAGGGAGCTTTGTCCACCGTTTGCTTCGTGATCGCGACCGAGGGGAGCTTCCCATCGTCCACACGGAGAGCTCGCACAACTCGACCCAAGCTCCCGAATTCAAGCTATCAAGGCCCTGGCCGGCTTCAGTAGTACTGCTGGGACAGATACATCGATCGAGGGTCAGATCAAGCTGGTGAAGCTCCATTGTGGGTTCGGCTCAGGCTCAAGCCAGCAGTGCGGGAGCGAAGCACAACACCCACCACGACCTTACTCAAGGCGGAGGCAGCTGAGCTCTGGTCACCAGCTCCCCGACCTACATTTATATCAATGACCCAGGTTCCGTGCAGCGAGCATGCCGCAGAGACCTCAGCAGGGCTCTTTCTCAGTGTCCGATCTTAATAACGAAGTCGTTTGTCCGTTGCGTAACCAGGATGGCTCCAGCTGTAGGAAGCGATGTCTCGGCGTGAGTCTCTCCCTCCATCCAGCCTGGCATACCTTATCATACCATACACCATCATTCCTTCCTTTCTTGTCAACACTGCATGCCGTCTGACCTCACCTCCTTTCCACCTCACCTCACCCCAACCTCACCTCATCCGAACACACATTAACAATGGCTCGTCCTACAGGAGAAGCGATATCGTTCCATGCAAGAGCACATCCGCCGAGCCCATCCAGAGTACTACCTACCCAAATTGCCGGCGACGAAGGAGAGCTTCGAGCTCATGATCAACACGCCGCCTCATGATCGGCCACCGCAAGACACACACGGCAACCCCGTGCAGCTCGCCCCTCCCCTTCCACAACACCAGCACTCTGATCTCTCAGGTCTGTCACCCACCTTCAACCTTGACCAAGGTATAGGGCTGAACAACCCCTTCGAAGGCTACCCCGGCTTGGGGTCACATGATGGCGGCTACTATACCGCCGACGACGCCGACGCAACAGCCATATACAATAATATGCAGCTGCAGCAGCGTTCATCCGACGAGTATCGCCGAGGCTCACTGATCCCCGCTGCGTCCGCGGCCGCAGCCTTGGCACAGCTGCACTATCATCGACCAGACTCAGCAGGGTGGGGAGAGGCTGATAATCATATCGATCAGGTGATTACGTTCCCTATCATAGAGTCGCCGACTGTGACTGAAGCGGACTTTCTTCAGACATTCTACGCCGATCAGCACAACCACGACATGAAGAACCACTTCCACGTCGATCCGGCGTTAGATGATCCGACGTTTCCCATGCTGAATGCTGACCACAGTACTCATGGTTTACCTGGCGTAACTTCCTTCCCTTCTAGTGGTGTGGATCACAGTGGTTTGTTACCTAGTATTTTAGCACGGTCACCTGAACGTCCGAGTACCATGTCTAGTATCCATAGAAGGATGTCGACGACGACTGGCAGGCCAAGGAAGAGCAGTCTCATGGGTCAACAAGCAAGACTTGGCAAGCACGAGCGGCGAAAGTCAAAGGATTTTTCGAAGCGAAGTAGTGGCGACAGGAAAGCCTTTTCTGCTGAGCCGAGTGCTGCCGCTCTGTACGGTAAGCGCTGGGAGGACCTCATCGACGCCGCGACCAGTGCTACAGAGGAGGAAGGGTCAAGAGATCTGACGCCCGTGAGCATAAACCAAACCCTTCTAGCATGCTGCTTTGATCTAACATCAACCCAACCAGATCCCCGCCTCACCCTACCAATCCCCCCAAGTCGCCTCCCGGACATCCCTCCCACCCTTCGCCCTAGGCTCGCAATTCCAATCCTTCCAAGCCTCCCCCCTTAACCGCGCCCTCACCCCCCCACCAGCCGCCGACTCCGGCCTCTCGGAACTCCACCCCTACGCCAGCGTCGAATCCTCCTTATCAAGCGTCTCACACCACCACCACGCCAGCAGCGCAGACAGCACGGGCTCCCAATTCCACATCATGAACCCCAACTCCATCGACTCGTCCAACACCTCGCCCATGTTCACCGGCGGCGGCACCAGCACGAGCGGGGGCGGCGGGAACGGTTCAGGTGGGAACGGGGGTTCGGCACAGAGCGTGCAGATCTACTGCGCGCTGTGTAAGCGGCTTTCGGTGCTGAAGGAGAGTTATGCGTGCACGAATTGCATTTGTGGACTCTGTGCTGTCTGTGTCGAGGCGATTATTAATGGGCAGAGTCGGGGACGCATGAGTGTTTGTCCGAATTGTAGGGGGATGGATAGTAGTTTCAAGCCTTTCCAGTTGGAGTTCAGGTGAGGTGGTGGGCGTGCTGGAGAAGCCTGGGATTGGTTTGAGGTGGCAGCGGGGTTCGAAGAGCCGGCTGGACGAATTTATGATTCTGGGCCTACCGACTTTGAGGCTGGGTACTACTTACTTCCTTGCTTGTCGATTCACTTGGTTCTTTGGGGCATTGCAAGGCGTTGGTGGCTTTTTGCTGGATGTCATTTCGCGCGAGACTTTCCCTTGGTTTCTCTCTCCGCGCTTGGCATGATGGGTTGGCGTTTGGGCAGGGTCACCAAGTCGGTGGGTTAGGAGAGGAGTGTGACGCGAAGCTTTGGAGAAGGAGAAAAGTCACGCGGGCGTTCGGGCGGAGTTTCGTTTGACAATGGATGCTGGGGTTGTAGATATGCGATTCGTGCGCGCTACTCCATCGGGCGTGCCCTTTGGCCTCACGATAGAGATGATGAACTTTTCTTCGCACGTTTTAACTCTTTTGACTTTGACTTGATATGGAGTCTATTTTCTGGAAGCCTGTCTAGATTACGCGGTGAGTATATTGTTACAATTGGTTCGTGAAGTATCGTGTCTAGCTGGCTTCGAGCTGACTTATACCGCCGGCACATAGAGCATCGACACCGCCAGTCCACAGCTCTGGATGAATTCCTGCGTCTCGGCCTTGGACATCCCGTCCAGTTGTCCACGTTCGAGCTGCACGAGCACGGGTTCCGGGATGCTTTGAGCCATGGCTTCGAGGTATGAGAGGATGTTGGTTTCGAAGTCAGTGATTGGGTACTTGGTAGCTGCTGTCTCGAGGATCGTCGTAAGTTCCGCGGATGATCCTGCTCCTGTAAAGGCATTCCTCGGTGCTGCAGAAGTGATGTTGCTTGGGAAGAGCTGGGAGATGTGTGCGGTCTTGATCTCTGCCCAGCCTTCCACTTCGGTTTCGTAGCGGCCGTCGGTGAACATGTCGATTATTTCGTCTTCGTGTTCTTCTTCCTCAGCGGAGCCGTCGTCACCTCCAGACGGGCTACTCTCTTGGTATCCCCACGCGAAAGCCTCGTCCACTGCATCCGTCCCTTCGGCCCCGAAGACGAGATATTGCTCCAGGGAGGCTTGCAGGCAGAATTCGGCGAGCATCTGCATGGAGATTTCTGTCAGGAAGCTCTCGCTCATGGCACATCGGGCGGCGGAGGTCCGCATGAAGGAGGGTAGGATGTCGAGTAATGACAGGCTGGCTTCGGTGCCGTAGTGGGCGTCTTCGTAAGTCTCGCCTTCGGCTGGTAGGGAGAGGGAGTGCAAGACGTGTGCACGATTGCGGTCGAGGTCGTCGGTTGTGGGGAAGGAGGTGGAGATGTCGTAGAGGGTCGTGGAGTGGGTTGATGAGGGTATGCGGTCGACGGTGCCTATCCAGGCACGTGCTCTTGTCTGATTCGCCAGACGAAGCTGTTCGAGTGTTGTCTGGGAGGGCGTGCTCCGGTTGCTGGTCAGGCGTTGAGTGAAGAGGGTTGTGAACTGCAGGAGCATCAGGCGGAAGCGGAGGTCGGGGTCGAAGGTGTAGGTTGGGTGTCTTGCGCGCACGTGGGAGAGGAGGTTGTTGGTTAGTGTGAGGTTGTGGTGGAGCGATAGCGGATGGGTGGGCTGCTGCTTCGAGGGTATGCGACTCGCGAGACACGCGGTGGTTGCTTGGTAGGCGAGGTAGTCGAGCACCATGATGTCGACCTCTAGAGATGTTTCCTCTACCACCTCTCGCGTCTCTAGTGCAGTCGTTGCTGTGGTATCCAACTTCACCCGCTTGCTTGCTGACTCTTGCCAGATATCTGCACGTTTGGCAGTAAGAGAGGGCATGGTGGTGAGATGTGCTATCCTGTCTCACGTGAGAAGTGCGAATGGTATATATATCTACAATATCAAGCCCAGTGAAGTGAGCTCAACACCCGCCTTCACTCCCTCTACGCGCTCAAGGTGGCCGTGAAGGTTTCACGCGTGGTTTCGCAACTTCGCTTTGCCTTTGCAACTGCATCGTCGTCTCGCCACTCGATTCCGCCACTGAGATCACAATCCTATCGATGGCGTGCAGCTTCAATAGGAGAGAAGGCGGTATTGTGAGACACAGCAGGTGGTGAGGGTGGATGAGGTCTCAGAATTGAGGCTTGGGACGTTGGAAGGCAGTCGCGCGGGAAGCGCGTGTCCAATGGCTTGGCTTTGCTTGGCGCGCATTCGGCTGTTCCTTCCTTTGGACGTCGCAACGGAATACTCTGTCGATAGTGATGATTATAGCAGGATGGCGGCAGGTGGACAACAATCGTACGTCGACTACGATGCCTTCACCGCCCCCACCTTCTCACCCACCGCATATGCCAACCAGCTCGTCCTCCAAACAAACAACCCCACCGACACCCCGCTCGACCTCTCCACCCCACTCTCCCGCGTCCTATTCGATGTGCAAGAAGTAGACACCCACATCGACACCCTCACAACCCAAAATGCCCTCCCCATCATCACCCACACATCCGAGCGAGCAGAAGCCAGCCAGCGGATATTAGACGAGGTAGAGAGCCAGGTCAATGGCTTGCAGGAAAGCTATAGACGATTAGAAAGGGAAGTGCAGGAGCGGTATGAAGCCGCTGAGCAAGTGCGTCTAGCGGCGGAGAGGATGGTGAGGACTTTGCGGTTGGGGAGGAGCGTGCAGAGGGCTGTGCAGATGGGACGGCAGGTGGAGGGGTTGATGGAAGGGATGCAGAAGGGTGGGTGTGGGAATATGGTTCCCGCTGCTAATGCGCTATTGGGGCTGCGGCAGTTGTTCAATACTACGGGAAAGGGTGAGGAGGGGGATGGTTTGGGGAGGGTGCAGGTGGTGAGCACGCTGAGGAACGAGATCGTGGCGCCGGCGGAGAGGGGTTTGCTTGCAAGGGCTCAGCAGGTGGTGAGGGAGTTCAGTATGTCCTCGCTCCTCTCGTCATCACCATCAGGAGGCCAGCAAATTGGAACTGGAGCCGGACCATCTTATGCACAGACGGAAGACATGAAAAGTCGATCCACCAGCGCGCTCCAAACACTTTACCTCCTCTCCCCGACAAAACCATCAACGACTCTAGACACCTTCGACCCTTCTCTACTCATCTCAGCCCTCCAATCCTACCTCCAAACAGCCCTGACCTCCAGCCTCGCCTCCCTCACCCGCTCTCTGGCCACTTTACCACAACTCGACCGCACCCTCCTCGAGATCTCCGCTCGGTGCCAGAACATCGTGGCGCTCGAAGCACTCCTCGAGACTATCAAAGCGCCTTCCCACCCTCTACTGTCCCCTCAGGATCTACCACCGGCTTCAGCCACAGACACAGCCGCACTCGTCCAACAAGCGCAGAGCAATTTCCTCGCCCCGCTCTTAAGACATCTCGATACCTCCTCCCTCCCCTCCTACTTCTGGCGCTCCATGGCGGGCCAAATGTCCGCGCGTGTTCAGGAGATCTTGTCGCGAGGCGGTGTGAGTGCGAGGACGTTGAGGTCGAATCGGGAGAGGGTGAGGGAGGCGATAAGGGAGTGTGTGGATCGGGGGTCGAGGTTGCCGGGTTCGGGGGTGGGGGCGGGGAGGAAAGAGGGAGGCGTGGGTGTAGGGGAGAGGAAGGTGGGGGGTTGGGAGAGGGAGGCGGCGGTTATGGTTGGGGCTGTCGTTGGGCCGTTGGGACGGTGAGGGGTGGACGTGCTTGCTTGCCGAATTATCAGCTCATGTGCCAGTGGGGGTTTATGCTGTGCGTCTATGCAGTGCCGATGGCATGATGGGGAATGCTGGCCTGGGCTGATGGTACAAACGCTGGCTGTTGACTTATTTCGGCTACGGGGCACCGCTTTGTGCGATGGGGCGACCGCTCCCTTGTAGCATCTTCGAGCAGCTCCCGACAACGAATCTGTTAGTATGTTCGACCACCGCCATCTCTGAGAGTACTGCTGACTTTGCTGTACAGTGAGACTCGTTAGACGTCGTATAAGCTCGCATCTCTCACCATTCTGGGGCATTTGAGCGTTGCTTCGCGCGAAATCATGCGACTCGATATGAGCCTGTCAAGGCCCGAGGAAGCAGTATCGCTACCGTCGGAACCGTTGTGATAGGCCAGCTGACTTTCCACGCACCTGGGTTTGAGAAAAAGCAATGCTCAGAGCAGTCCATGCTAGGCTTTTGGGTGTGCTGGGTATGAGGCAGACGAACAATCCCCGTCTCGTGCGAGACCGTTGCATATGCAACAGGCATCACCAAAGCATAGAAGCTGCTATGTCTACATGCGATGGCGGGCGCGAAGAGGAACGAGTCTTTACGATTTACGACAGTATCGTGAAGGTAGGTACGTACAGATGACACCAGACATTCCGAGGCAACTAGATGATCGGATAGCTTCAATACCCAAGCTATCTACACCTCGGCCAAATCCGTCCCCGTCATCTCATCCCTCGTCGATCTCCTCCTGAACCCATTCACCGGCGGCCCCCTCCCCAACCCGGGATCCCGACTCATACTCCTCCCGAACACCCTCTGACTGACATCACTCATGGCCCTACTCCCCCGCCTCGCCCTCAAAGCATTCACATACCCATTATCCCACACATCCCCGCCCAGAATATCATCCACATCATCCATCTCATCCACCACGCTCTGCGGCGGCTCGCTCTCAAACACGGCCTGCAGATCCCCGTGCGCGCCGAAACGCTCCCACATCGTCAACCAGGTGTGGCGGCGCGGCGGGTTGAGGTACCGCGAGCGTTTCCAGAGGTATCGGCGTTCGTAGAGGGAGACGGGGAAGAGGAGCGGGGCGTTGAGGACGCGGACGGCGGTGATGTTTACTTTGTGGAACCAGCGCGGGGTGAGGAGCCATTTTAATGGGAGTAGGGTTAGAAGGGCGAGGATGTTGAAGGGCGGGCGGTAGGCGAAGAGGGCGTCGGATTTGACGCCTTCGAAGGTGAGGACCGCGCGGCGGAATTGGATCTCCGCGGTCGCGTTTTGGGCGAGGTTCGTGTAGGTGTTGCTGAGCATGGCGACGAGGATGGTGAGGAAGAGGGTATTGCCGAGGAAGGCGAAGGTAATCATGAGGGTGGGACCCAAGAACCAGTGGAATTCGGCGGACCGTTGGATCCCCGTCCCGTCCAGCCCGAACCAGATCCAGAGCATCCATTTGGCGATGGTCATGATGCTGTGGAGGTTGTAGCCTTCTTGGCTCTCGCTGAGCCAGCGCATGCTGAGGAGGAAGCCGCCGAAGCACCAGGCGGCGAGGAGGGTGAGGAAGGTGAAGTCGGCCATCATGGCGCGGAGGGAGATGAAGAGCATGTTCTCCGGCATCAGGCAGAAGGCGAGTCGCGGGAGCAGGATCGGTGCGGCCATGGATAGCACGTCTAGGGCGAGTTTGGCGATGCTCGGGTCCATGGATGTCAGGCCGTGCATGCGGATGCCGAAGTATGTTAAGAAGATTGCCACGAAGGTGATGTCGAGGAAGGACCATAGGTTCTCCGTATGTACCGTCCAGCCGTGCTCACACACCGAAGCGATTTCGTCCAAGACCCAGCCCGAGGCATACACGATGAAGATGATCTCATAGACCGTGAATTGGAGATGCTCGGGACCGATATGGTCGGCTTTCGCCACCATCATCAAAAAGTATAGTATCAGTAGGACTACAAACTGGCAAGCCTCAATTATATTCCTCGTTCTCGGCACAATGAGTCTGTACTGGTTCAGATACGGTGCCTTCCTAGGGTCGTATAAGGAGATCCCACGGTTCTTATAATGATCCGGCAGGATATCGATGAAGCTCGTAGGCGTGTAGATGATCCGTCCACGATAGACATTCTCCACAATCTTCTGACAGGCAGATGTACTCAGGAAGTTCTTGGACTCTGATACTATCGCCACTTCCAACGCGGTAAGCATATTCTGATACTCCGGTCGGGTGAGTCGCCATCGTACGGCCCAGTGGACCGCATGCCTGTTATCGTTGATGACAGTGGATGGTGCATTCTGGAAGGGCTCGAAGCCTGCCACGAGGACATTGGCGAGCATGAGCAGACCCTCCCGTCCTTCGTGGTCTTCGTCGAAACGACGCAGGACTCTGCAGGCGATGAGTTCGCAGACATTGGCTCGGGTGATGTTGACTGTTTGGTGGTGGGCTTGGTAGGATTGCTCTCGTAAGAATTGAATGCGGTTGACGAGGAGGCAGTAGACTGTGGAGACGTCGTCTGGATCGTAGAGGTGGTCTACTAGAGGGCGAATCACAGCTACATTCATGCGAGGGCTCTTCAGTTGTTCGATGGAATATGGATCATCTATGTACATCTATCAGCTGCTGCTCTGTACGACGGCCTAGAGATATGCTCCACCTACCAATAGCAGCAGTGATCAATCGCTTGATCTTGTGTATCGTGGTGTATATAGGCAATGAACTATGCGGGTTGGGGGTCCTCGGGTCGTTCGTCTTTCGAGGCGGATAACATCCATCGTCGTCCGCCTGTTCGCCATCACCCAGCAGCTCTTCTTGCTCTTCTCGTGCTCTCGCAAGTCGTAGTGCTTCGCTTACACTCTTCACACTCTCTCCTCGGAAGGTGTTGCGCTTGTACAAGCTCGGTCTTGGAGGGTCCTCCACCGTGATATGACTAGGAGCTGCTCCATCGAGAGGTGAACCATAAGTGGCTGGATCGGAACTGAATTGCCTGCCAGCTTCTTCAAGAAACCGTGGCCGTCCGCCCGGGCTGGTCGCTGTGCTGTCACTCATCTAGACATGAGTCCAATGGGATGGAAGAGATGGAGTTCAAAGCATTGCCTTTCACGCGTGCAACGTCCTTGGCGGGGAGCTTCAAAGCCAGCAAAAGCAATGATATCTCAATACACTATTACCACTTGCTCAGGCCTACACATCATTATGACTCTTCCATGCAGAGATCGCGTCTTCATTTTCTTGAGACATTCTTCCAAGTCAGGAGGACAGCCAAAAAAGATGGCTTGGTCGCTGCGAACAGGATTCGAACCTCAATTAACGTTAGTTCAAATCCAATGCGGATGTTGGTAACAATTGGCAATTACCTGCGCGCCCGAAGGCATCAGATAGCTCAAATTGATTGATTCAAGTCTCTGTATGGTTGTTAGACTTCACTCCAAGTGGCAGTCGAAGTGCTGGAACGTACGACTCGTTAACCACTGGCCGAAGCATTAGCTAGTGAAGGATAGATGGACTAAGCAGACGGTCTAACCTCCGACATCGCAGCTTCATGTCAACATCTTTGACAAGGACAATGTAATATGGCTAAGCACAAATTACAAACTATATCCCTCAAGTTTTGTGGCCGAAGTCACGGCGCGTAAAGGCAAGCAATCGGAGATGAGACCAGATGAAGCAGCTTCAATCCCCAGGACGACATTGCCTCGTATGAGAATGGCTTTCGCTACGGTAGCTCTTGCTGTAGACGCTCTATCTCAGATATCGTGGCTGCTCACTATTGATACTATTGATAGCTAGAGCGCGGTAGACGCGGCTTCATGTATAGGCAATAGTGAAGATGTCTCAGTGAAGTCGCACACCAACCAGAAATTACCCGACACAAATTCGCCGAGGCGGAGCCTTTCCAAAATGCTCCGCTGAGCAGGATAAAGATTTAGATTTAGATTGAGCTCGAGTAATGCGGGCACTTCTTCGTTCTTTTCTTCACAGTGTTTGCCCTAGACTCCTGCCGTGTTTCAGTATCTCTCTGGAATTATTGTCGACGAGATAGAAGCAAGCAGCAGGCCGTCTGGATTATTAGAGAGTATTGGAACGCTGACTATTGACATAAGACGGCCAACATGTCAGGCATGGAAGAAAAGCCAGACGAAAAGGCCGAGAAGACGGTCCTCGACGCCGCGAATGGCACCGAGTACATTGGCAGACGTCCATCGTCGAGTGGTAGGGACACGAAACGAATCAGTCAGTTCACACCATATCCAACGACTGCACTTTTGCGATCCATTATTCCAGGTTGCTTGCTACTACTGTCATGAGGCTGCCCACATCCGCGTGGTAGCCGTTGGCTGAATGCACGGATCCCATTTTCCTTTCAAGTCGATTTGCTGCACAACCAGCACTTCCACATCTTCCACACGAATGCACTCCGCATCAGCCTTTCAACAAGGTCTTTGCCATGGCTGACCAAAAATCTGTTGTTCTTGCAGGAACGCAAACACAATCCCTCCCACCTCCCGCACTACCGCAGCTCGTGGCCGAACAAGCGAACCCGATACCGTCGAGCGACAAGGACACGAAGAGGTTGATTGTGGTGCTCTCGAATGCGAGTCTCGAGACGTACAAGGCATCGCACGGCGGGACAGCACGCAATGGCAAGCCGGAGAACGCCAAGTACTCTCTACTCAACAGCGACGAGCATATAGGGGTCATGCGCAAGATGAACAGGGATATCAGCGATGCCCGACCGGACATCACCCACCAGTGTCTCCTCACCCTCCTCGACTCGCCCGTCAACAAGGCCGGCAAACTCCAGATCTACATCCACACTGCCAAGGGTGTTCTCATCGAGGTCAGCCCCACCGTACGCATCCCACGTACCTTCAAGCGCTTCGCAGGTCTCATGGTGCAACTTCTGCATAATCTCTCTATCCGCTCCACCACTTCACCCGAGAAGCTCCTCAAAGTCATTCGCAATCCAATAACGGACCACTTGCCGCCTAACTGTCGCAAGGTCACACTCTCCTTCGACGCCGAGGTTGTGCGTGTCAGGGACTACATTCAGGATCTTGGTCCCAAGGAGAGTGTTTGTGTCTTTGTTGGTGCCATGGCCAAGGGAGCTGATACTTTCGCCGATCAGTTCAAGGACGACTCGATCAGTATCAGTAACTACAGCTTATCTGCCAGTGTGGCATGCAGCAAGTTCTGTCATGCTGCTGAGGATGTTTGGGACATCATTTAGGCAAGTTTTGATTGGGGTTAGGTAGATACGACAGTGGTTATTGTGGGAGTCAAGGCAAGTAGTATCGGCAAAACATCTCGGCTGCGATCACAACATCTGGCTGGTGTACTTTCTGCTCCTGCAACTGGCAGCAGTGTTATGGTGTGGCGGGAAGCCTTGAAGAGGAATTGGGCTGGCAGTGGTCGTTGTTGTGCAGGATGCGGAATCATTGATTGGAACCAAAAGCGTGACTTGACAGGTATCTCATACTGCAGGGATTTGGGGAAGACACCATACGCGGAAATGATATCAATTTTCTTATCTTTCACTCAGCTTCTGGTTCTGATGCAGGGAGTACACCGCGCCTGTGTCTGTACTGTCTCTCTACACCCTTGACCTTCTCGAGGAACGCTGGACGATGTGCACAGTATTGTTCCTTGTCCTGAGCACCACAAACATCAGTTCATGGCCACCTTTGATGGACTGGCGCCAGACTACTGCACTTACTGGTCGCCACTGGTCGAAGTCGTCCAGTGACCCTGCTGCTATACTGACGATATGCTCTGCTAGTGGCGTGATGGCGAAGAGCTTTGTGCCACAGTTACTGCAGAATTGTCGATGTAGCGCGTTGCCAGTATCGGTCGTCTCGCCGCTGTAGGTCTTGATGAGGTCTTCTCCTTGTGTTATGGCGAAGCCCTGTACGTTACTCTTTATCAGGCCAGTCTTCAAGATCACGAAGATGTATTAACCTTTTTGGGCCAGATTGATGCGAAACGAGAGCTGCCACCTAGGCGGAGGCAATTCGTACAATGGCATACTATGTTCCATAATGGTGTTGCTGATGGTCCTACAAGCTTGTACTGGACTTTGTTACACAGGCAACGGCCTATTCTTGGTGCATTCGTGTTCATCGTGTTGGGATCTAATGATCCGAACGGGTCTGGATGGAAAAGGTGCTCTCCTTCATCCTTGTATTCAAGCATTCAACTGCCATTGGCATACTCTACGATTAATAATGTCGTCGATCGTCCCACGCTGGCTGTCATGCTCGGGTATTGTCTTTGCCAAAGGCAATCTGCTTATTGGAAAGTCAATATCACCATCAACGATCTCGACCAATTCGTGTCCCTACTACGACTAGGACAGATCACGTTGTTGCGAGGAGTTGCGGTGAAACGTGTGGAGTCGATGCCGTGCAACAGATCCATCTCGACTCCTGACATTGGCGGCCACGGTTGAAGTCGGGGTTGGACTGTTTGCGCGTCAACCTCATCAAGACCTGGAAAATCCATGGACAACTTCGCATCAGCTTTGTCAGTCACTTCAATTTGATACGCAACAGCATCGCTCATCTCATTAGGTGTCTTCCCAGGCAATCGAGATGTCAAGAGCGCAACCGCCCCACTCCCACCGATCTCCCGACCAGTCATGCACAGATTCGCGCCGTACCGCCCACTCACGTCGCGACCTGGCATTAGCTGCATCTGGCTCGACGTGGCAGGCTCGCAGCATCTGTATGCCTGCCTAACGTCTTCTGTGTACCAATCGCATATTCGCGGCGAGCAGGCTGAGGAATTCTGCCCCGGGGCGTGATCGGGTGGAATCCTACTCGTCTTTCTGGAAGCCACAACCACGATTCGGCCGTGCAAACTGGTGATGGATCACGTTGAGGCATGGCCGCTATGGACGGCTTCACGCTGTTCGCAATGCAGAGACGGCCACCGCTTATATGATACAGTAGCGCTAACGGCGGTCCACGCGCTATGTGTTGCATCCTGCTAGTATCCACCAATAGCCCCGTTATCGATCGCCATATTGATGAAGGCTCCGGACTGGACTGTATGGCTTCGGATCTCTCGTCAGCTGCTCGCAGTATCGACGGCAGTCTCACATGCAGAAGATCGTCACGATTACTTTCTCACTCTCTACAGTATCCTGCATCAACTCATCCCCAACTTTTTCCCGCTTGCATTCTCCTCCAGCATCAACGTTGTACTATCTCATACGTTCGCTTCCAGCTGTGTCATTGACCCACTCTTGCCTTACACAACATGCCCGTTTCGCATCTCGGACTTACAGTTTCTCACATATCTTCAGCTACCTCATTCTACCTCGCTACCCTTGGACCTCTAGGCTATCGATGTTTCGGCCAGAGCGGCGACTCTGTTGGACTTGGAGTCGATCGCGCCGACCTCTTCCTCACACAAGAGCCTCGAGGGTACGACATTTTGGCAGTCCATAGAGAGTATAACACCAGCAGAGCTGATAGTCCCTTAGACAAGCCGTCTCCCCGGCACATGTTGCCTTCACTGCCGACAGTCGTCTCACTGTCCGAAATTGCTATGCGGCTGCCTTGAGCTCTGGTGCGCATCCCAGTGGCGCTCCGAGTTATCGTGATAGAGACTGCACTGTGTTCAATGCGGCCATCGAGGACCCTGACGGTAATGTCGTCGAGTTCGTACATCGAGAAGTGGTAATGGTCGAGGAGGAAAGTGCTCCCGTAGATGCCTCACAGCAGAATCAAGTTCTGTCCTGGCAGCGGAGTGTCGCCAACAGTAGCTTACATGATGATATCGACTACCGGTCTTCTCGAGCATCAAGAGCAAAGTCACGAGCAGAGACCGTTCATAGTCTGGTCACCTCGGCGTCGAGATCAGTCAGAACACAATCCGAAGCACCGACACGCGGTCTTACTCGAGCGCAGACCATGCCTCATAACTCTAGCCCGACCCCTGAGTTCCCGTCGAAAGCCATGCTTGGAACACTGTTGGGTGCCACTGCTGGAGCAGTCCTGGCCTGGACCATGATCAAGACGGAAACTAGAAGTACACGTGATCAGGCTGCATATGATGCCTTCGATCCGTTAAGATCTGGTTCTCGTCGCTCAGCGAGTGAAACAAGACCTCATCGCAACTACAGCACGACCGAGTCGCAAGCACCGAAGAGCCATCGAAACCTCAGTACGACCGAGTCGACCTACGGTCGCAAATACCCGCCACGAAGTCTTATTCGTGGTATGGGGCAGTGCCGGCGAGCTATCGAGCCTGTTGCATACTACCAAGACGATGAAGTGCAGGACGCCATCAGCCGAGTCACTGCCTCACGACGACCCGCCCCACCTGGAAGGAGCCGGACTATGGTCGAAGCTCTCGAGTATAGTCCGTGGTCTGAAGAAAGGCGTAGCAGCCGATCTGGCGCTAGTCGTGCTGCCTTGCTACCTGTGGATAAGCCTTACGGCTACCTAGAGGGTCCTATGTCTACTAGTCCTACCTCTCAGCACAGTAGAACGTCCAGGAACTCTGCCGCTAAATCTTCGCGCGACCCAGATAATGAGCCGCGCCACTCCCGCCCAAGCTCGTCTCGGCACAGCACTACGTCTCGTCAAAGTCGTCGAGAAATCGACGAGGAAGGCGACAGACGTCGAGATAGCGGCATAAGTCTCCAGTCGAGACGCTCACTCCATTCTCGACGTAGCACGCGAAACGAGGGAGACAATGATACGACGTCGAATGCTAGCACACTGAAGCCTGACCGCCGCTCGTACTCATGTCATGAGTCTGCTGCTGGCGTACCACTACCTGGCTCGCAAGCCAACCCAACGGCTTCCACGGCAAAACACTCTCGAGCGGGCTCTCGAGCGACGTATGTTACCGCAGCACAAGTACCCATCCTCGAGACTTACGAAGCCAACGACTATCGTGACACCGAAGAGTCCGATGGTATGGATGATATGAAGACCGTAGTACCAGATGACAGCATTAGCTGCGTCGACTTCAGCAAACCAAAACTCTCCGCACGAAATCGCAGCGACCGAGGTGACAGTAGAAGTAGACGATCGGAGGCCGCGGAGAGTGAACGGACGGCTAGAGCAACGAGAACAGGAAGCAGCAAGCACAGTGCTGCTGCCATGCCAGACAGATCTCGGGGTGAGCAGCACAATAGCCATGGCAGAAGGAGAAGCATGGCTAGCTATTCCTGAGCCGTGTATGAAACGACAGCTGGGTGGCTCTACAGGACATGTTATTGCATTCAGTAGTGGAAGGTGTACCGGTTCTGCAGAAATCTTTGGATCGAAACAAGTCACTCTTTAAGATCTAATCTAGTACAATGTACAGGGTATCTCTATCTCACGCATCAAATCGAATTTATCATATCACCAGCCACTGTTCTGTGATCGCCGCCGCTGCCTCTTGGTTTCCAGCAAGAGCGAAGAGCTGCTGTAATGCATATGCTGCTTCCTTCGCAAAGTCTGCCTTGATTGCATAGCCATCCATCGCGGGCCCACCGCTAATTTGGTCGCTCAAGGCCAGGACTTTCTCGTAGCCAGGTATTGCCAGGTGTATCAGCCCGAGCATATGCCAGACCTTGGCCATATTGTACTCCGCTTCTTGTGTATACGAGACGTCGCCACTGTCAGTACGCAGCTCATGGTAGCGCTGCACGAACGAGATGCCTTGCTGAATGGTATATTGGCGATTCTCAGTCTGTCGTTTCATGCCCTGATGGATGTAGCTAATACCGATACTGAGGTGGAGCATAGCGTTGTCCGGCTGCAAAGCCAATGCTCGTAAGTAGTACGGCAGGGCGGCATTTCGTAGCGAAGTCATTGCCAGGACATTGCCGTATATGATTAGCACACCTGCGTCTGGTGGGCCACTTTCTTGGCCATGCTTCGCAAATCGCGTCTCCAACCCAGGAAGTTGTTCTCCGTACTCTTGTTGTTCGCGCAGTGCTGGTGGTAAGAAGTTGTAATCCATAGCCTTGACTCCTCTAGCCATGTACTTCTGACTCGGTCCGGCATTGAACGCATTCTCTTCACCGTAGCAGAGATTTGACACTCCATTGATGAGCTGATATGGCACACTTGCGCGGAACTCGCTGCGGAGAGCAAAGTCACGGACAAGATCGTTGGCATACTTGCTGTCGTTGAATTTAAGAGCGCAGAACAGCGCTACTGTGGAGTTGATTTCTCTGAAAGCTGTTTCGTTGAAGATGTTGGCTCTGAGCAGAACTTCGGTAAGCACGTCGTAACAGCGCAATTGGTCGCCATGATCGGCATAGCAAAGACAGAGCTGCACAATCAGTCGATGCCATTTGTGGAAGTCAACACCCTGGAAGTCGTTCGGCACCATGAGATACCTCATGCTGTTGGTGGGCGTAGGCTTGTGGATGCCTGTGCTCGGCCCCGACTGACTGAGCATTTCAAAGGCAGCTTGTGATTCTTCTTCATGGTATGTGGTATAGCGTCGTTTGCCATAGCCATGGAACTTGCCTCCAGTATTGAGGAAGAAGGCTCCTTCTGTCCGCAGGAGATCTGTTGTATTTGCAGCGAGTTTCACCCACGCACTTGGAATGCCCCTAGAATCTGGGTCGGCTTCACTAGTGTCCCAGAGTGCCTCAAGCTTCTCGAATGTAGAAGTCTGGTCAAGCAGATACAGTGGTACACGTGCGATATCCTCTTCTGCTGGTGCGGCGCTGGCCTTCCGTGACGAGCCAGATCCACGTCTTGCGCTGTCCGGTATAGACTCATGCTGGCCACTGGTGGGCTGCGCTTTGGTCTTCCGTCGCACGTATGGACGCTTCGTGCGTGGATTGAATCGTTGATGTGCCTGAACTGGCAAGGTACCGTCAGAGGAAGCTCTAGGCGCAAGTCTTTTCGTAAGCTTTGGCCTTGGCAATGCAGGAGTATCGTTATCGCCCGCACGAACCATCTCCCTCTTCCCAAGAGCCAAGACCTCCCGCAGCAAAGGTTCGGCGTCTTGGTGCCAGCCAAGCTCTCGATAGAGGCGACTAAGCATGATCCGCGCCTTGACACTTGATGGATGGTCCCTCAGCACGGACTTGTAAGTCTCTTCGGCTTCTTCGTTGCGTGCTGCAGCCTCATAGCATTCAGCGATGCCAAGCGCGAAGTCTTCTGTCGTACCATCCATCACGTCCTTCAAGGACTGATAGAACTTCATAGCATCGTCGAATCGTCTGTGGAGGCGCAGGCAGTCTGCGACAGCATAGAAAGTATCGTAGTGCTCTGCCGCATCTTCGCGAAGGTCATAGATAATCTCGAGGTGTTTCATAGCCTCTTCGCGGTATTCTGTGCCCATCTTCACACGAAAGAGCCCAAGCTTGACTCGAATATCTATAGGAAGGCCATCGCCATATCGTGATTTGTCGACACTTGCTTTTCCCTGCTGGAACTCGCCGACATATCCTCTCCGATCGTTACCACTGTCAAACTCCCTGTCATCGTCGTTGTACTGGTCCCAGAAGTTCTCTTCTTTCCGACCCAGGATCCACCTTGCCAGACGCTTGAGCATGCGAATAGCTTCCGCTGTGTACTTGAGTTTGTCAAGTAGCTCAAGGTAGATATTGATATGTGACCAGATCTCTGGCACGTCGCCAAGTTCACGCTGTTGCTTGCTAGTTGCCTCGAACGCCACCTCGTACGCCACCTTTGCGCGTGCCATTTCCGTCGATTCTTGCGTATCGGCGCATAGTTCCGCATACAGGACAAGGTTGTCCCAGTCAGTTGGATCCAAAGTGCACACACTTTTGCTGTATAACCGAGCCTTGCCCAGGTCGCCGGTCTCAAGGTAAGCGTCTCGGATTCCCAGACGTGCAAGTAAATCCAAAGCCGGATCCTTCTTGGTGAGCTCCATTGCGTGACTGTAGCAATACAGTGCTTGGTTGGCTGCTGCAAATCTCGAAGTCACAGTCTCGGCGAGCCTCATCGTCCGGTCGCCCGCGTCAATCCACATCTTCGCATCGCGATCGACGACTGCGCCAGACATCAGTGCGCCGATGGAGTCCTTCTCGCGATCAAGACCTCGAAGCGCTTCGGACACAAGCCAATGTGCAATACCAACCTCAGGATTTTTGTGGATTGCTTCTAACGCCGAAGCAAGAGCAGCCTCGTGGTTACCATCCATGTATGCTGCCATTGCTTCCGTTTGGAGGCGCTTGAAATCTCGACCAGGATCCGCAGTGAGGACGCCACGCGGACGTCCCCTTCGCTTCCAGCCGCCACGGCCTCGGCCACGACCACGACCACGCGCCTGGCGCTTGAGCGCCGGATCATGAGATGTGCCTCTTAGAGCCCAGCGGAACCCTCCACGGCCTCGAGGACGTCCACTACCACGACCTCTATTCCTCATGTCTTGATCAGAAGCACGAGCATCCAGAGCTTGGAGCTGAGGATCAAGTACCAGGACTTCCTCTTCAGCCTCCTCGTCAGCCACGTGGTAGTCACTCTCCATGGGCGCACCCTGCGGTATGCGCAATCTCTCCACTTCGGACATAGCTTGTAGGCGAGCCTTTTGCTTTGCGCCATCACCAAAGCCAAGGTTTGAGGTCTTGCTCCAGTAGCTGGAAGCGTTGGCCAGGAGCGCGGCAAGCCCACTGCTGGTTGATGGTGGTGTCTCGACATTGTCTGTCGGTGGTGCAGCGACCGCAGAATAAGCATTCCCACCCGTGGGTGTCGGCGAGAGTGAGTCCATAATCACACCATCACCCTCTTCGTAGTCATCGTCGTACTCTAAGTCCTCATTGGCAGCCAGTACAGGATCGCCATTTTCGTCCACCAAAGGTTCGCCATCAGAACCAAGCACAGGTCTGAAATATGGAAGATTTTCGCCAGTGACCATTTCGTCGCCCGTTGTGTATGTGTAAGGGTCATCGTAAGCGTAGCCGTCTCCGAAGGTGTCATAGTCTCCACGAAGTGAATCATTTGAAGCCGGCATAGGCACATGACTGGGCATAAATCTGTTACTGTAGGAACCAGGAGTTATCAACGCGCTGTCGGCATCAACTCCAGCAGCATGATTGCCATATCCCGTGACATCGTCCATGGTCACATCATGACCATTCGCCATCGTGCTCATCCTCCACTAAAGTACCGTGCCTGCGATTTTTGCCGCTTGGACCGGTTCATTTATGCGATATGCGTTGCTCGGTCAAGGCGATGTGCAAGTCCACACGCGAGTTTCAGGCCTCAAGTTGTTAGTGAAGCACGCCAGAGACGCGATGAGGCATTTGTGTATCGAACCAAGAATCATGAGTAATTGTTCGAGTGAAGAAGTGGAAGTGGCGCTAGTAAGTAGCGTCAAAGTTGAGTGTACCATCACGTGATCTCACCAGCTATACATTATACTCTTGTGCCGTCTATTCTACCTTGCATTCACTCTTCCCAAGCTCGCCATACCCCGCAGGTCACAGCATCTGGCTGATCTACATAAAGCTCAATGGTGAACCTCTCCTCCTGAGCCTCAGCACTAACGTATCTTCTATCAAGCACCAACCACAACCCGTCTCCCTGCTGGGTCAGCTCGGGCCTTAGGTCAACATCCTCCATGCGGACGCCACTACCGCAGTCCGCATACTCTCCACCATTCGAAGCAATGTAGATGTGTCTGTGCGGTCCGCGACCACTTTCTATACTCATGCGGATCAATGAGCGATTTGCAGATGATGTTCCTCGCCTTGCTGCAGTGTCGAGCGGTTTTACTACAGCATAGAATCTTGCAAGACGCTTCGCCACGATGCGAGCTGCAACCATGTCCTGTTCTTGCCTGAAGGCTACTGTGCTGAGCTCGAGTCGTATCCGACCAGCGCCTTCCCGCGGGAGTAGAAGCATCTGCATCGGCTGCGAAGATTCTGCTGTCAAGGTAAATGTACCAAGTTGGCTCTGTTCGAACGTGCTACAGATGATAGTGTATTGTCCGGGCTCGAGACCTTGCCCTTCTGATACGCAGCAGCCACGCCTATACTCGTTACTGTCGAAGACAATGTCCTTGCTGCGTATACCGTACACTCGCTGCCCTCGACTGTGCACGAGCTTCACATGCACGTTCAGATCCCCTTGTGTGACCTCAAGCAGGAGACTTATGATGGTCTTTCGAGACACGGCAATCGCAAATTGTGGGTTGGTGGAGTATGCAGGGCTATGCGCATTGCCTCCGGCAGTGTCGATTGTCCAAGCCGATGCGAGCGTAAGGGCATATGGGTACCGCACAGACGCTGGCGCGATCTCCGCCGGACTATGACTAAACACTGACAATGTGAACGTGTGCTCCACAGATGCTAGGTCTTGCTCTAGTGGCACTATTGTTATAGGCATTTCGGGCTTGCAGTCCTTGAGCTTGAGCAAAGTCTGTGGGCTGTCGACATACCAGCCTTTCTCGATGTGCTTTTCGGGGAGAAGCATCCTGCGTCCACCAGACGAGAAGGCCATAAGCGAGATATGGCCCTGCAAGTCGATACTGTATCGACCTTCCTCAATCTGCTCATCAGTCGCATCATCCGGAATAGAGTTCTTGAAATGTCTCCACAGCAGAATCCAGACTATCCCACTCTTGCTGGGTGTGATCGAGTATTGCGGATGTGAGCTCAAGCTTGCTGATTGGCCTCTTGGCGTCTTACCGCTACTGCGTAGTGACGTGAGATCCCAAGCAAAATGCACATCCGCTCGGTGCGTGAACAAAGCAGGGTTCCAGTTCAGATAAATCGATTCGTAGTGCTGCATGACGTTGTCCAAGTCCATCCAAAAAGTGCCAGATGACAGCTGCTCGTCAGCATTGAGCAAGTCGCGAGAGCTCTGTAGCGGCCCAATTCCATCATCGAGTTCGATCAAAGATTGTTCAGCACGTTCTTCAGTCGGTGCTACGTCACTTCGCTGACTTTCATTGAGCTTACCACGCCAGCTCGTCCCTTCACACCAAGGATTCTTGATCAAAAGTAGGCGCTGCCCATCCACCTCTCGCAGATCAAGCACAGCATAGTCATGTTCGCCTGCCAAGCCAAGCTCCCGCTCCGTCTTCGCAGTCATCTTACCAGTACCCATTGTGATCAGCACATCGCCATGGTTGAAAGATGTATGGACACGTGACCAGAATTGATTAGGCTCCAGCTCGTCTGACTGTAAGAAGACCTGTTCGGGGATCCAGCCTGTAAGGATCCACAGGTCGGTAGCTGAATTACTTCCGGGAAAGTCGTAGCCTCCTCGCACTTTGAGGTAGGCCTTCTCTATCAAGGCTGGCCACAGTAGCCCAGGGTTACGACGGTCGATCACATGAATGATTCGTCCAGTACTGCTGACGGGAAGTCTATCATCGATGACAACCTTGCGAGAACAGCCATTAAAGTTGAGCCGAACCACATACTTGCCATTGGCAGCCATGGCTGGTCGAGCCTTCTCTTGGTCATAAGGATATATGACCGTGCCCAGAATCTTACCGTGGCCATGCTCAGCTCTCGCCACACCAGCACAAAGGGAGGCCACCACAGAGCAGTCGGTAGCAGCGTCTTGCACAAGGTCAATCTTACGAGCGAAGGACATGCTAGGGCCTAGATTAGTCCGATCACCTGAAAACCAAGTCGGCGGTGGCATAGCCTCGCTAGGCCGCTTCCAGTCATCGAGTACGTCTTCCTGGAATTCGGAAAGAGGCAGCTCTGGCGTATCTCTGTTGAAGAGACCGTCAGCTTGCTGAATCACGGATAGAATCTAGCATACTCTAGCACGTACGTGAACAAGCCCTCGCCGTCTTTTCGCTCGAATTCGTCAGGAGCAGGGAGCGTGGACCATGGCGGGAACTTGAAGCCATTTAGATAGCCTGCTTTGAGCAGTAGTATCTGCTCAGCACGAGGCACGATACGAGTCGACTCTGGCTGTCTGAGCTCTTGTACGATGGCTTTGCTGTGTTCGCAGTCTGCCGGCGTATTATTTCGCGACGAAGGTGATTTCCAGTTCTTTTCGTGCTTGATGCGCTCTGCCTCCTGGAGTAGCTGCTTGAAGCGAGTAGATTGTCTGGCCTGCTCATTGGGATCCTTCGCGAGCTTCAGAGCTCGCATGGCAGCTTCAGCTTCTGCAATAGCCCGCTGCAGTGCGACATCCCTACTGCTCGACCGTGGAGACTCTGGAGAAGGCTGTTTAGCTGCTGGTATAAGCTCATCGAGACCATGTCGGGCATTGCTCATGCTGCCGGTTCGCCTCTCGCTGCTTGAACCATGGTTGGCTTCTTTGTGAGCAAAAGCGATGTCCCTCGCCAAAGGCCGAAGTTGCGACGAGGATCATGCAGCGCCACGTGCAATCACAGCAACGAGAGTTGGAGTGAAAGTTCGAGACCACTTACGTCCACACTACAGTCTCAAGCAGCAAGACTTCTCTACTCTTGATCAAGGCTCCTGCTGTGACGGCTCCTGTGGAAGAACCTTGACCATGTATGAACGACCGTACAGATGTAGTGCGTGCACATGTCATTGTTAGTGGGTCCTATTACTAAGCGCAGTTCCGTTCGGCATCAAATCGACTACCTCGGCTGGGAGTTTATTGCCGTGACGAGCACGATGATGAGCCGCTCACGAGCCTCAAGACCTCTGATCGCAAATCTAGCACCTTTGTAGCAGCATTGGCAGGTCTAACCACTTTCTCACAACTGATCCTAAGTGTAATAGGATGTATTAACTACCCATTACACCACTTCTCTTCATCACCAACCTCAGCTCGGCACCCTCAAGCCGTCGGCCAGCTACATATCCACCTTCGACTCACTCTACACAACCCGAGCTCAAACTACATCCACAATGGCCGTGCTCTCCAAATCCGAAGTCCCGCCCTGGGGCCTCGCGATAGCAGGCAGCACCGGCGCCGTCCTAGCCAATGCACTCGTCTACCCACTCGACATCGTCAAGACACGACTGCAGGTGCAGGTAAAAAAGCATGCCAGTGATCCCGCGCACAAAGCCGAGGATACTACGCACAAACACTACGAAGGGACTGTGCACGCCATAATGTCCATCATGGAAGACGAGGGTCTCTACGGGCTGTACAGCGGTCTAGCGGGTAGCTTGTTGGGTGTAGCGAGCACGAACTTCGCGTATTTCTACTGGTATAGCACTGTTCGAACGCTATACCTCACCAGGATCAGCAATGGCAAGAACCCTAACACAGCGGTGGAACTGAGTCTTGGTGCGGTCGCGGGTGCTCTGGCACAGATCTTCACGATCCCGATTGCGGTGATCACTACGCGCCAGCAGACGCAGCCGAAAGGCGAGAAGAAGAGCATGATTGCTACGGCGAAGGAGGTCATCGAGAGCGAGGATGGCATCGCTGGGCTGTGGAGGGGTATCAAGGCGAGTATGGTGCTTGTGGTGAACCCGGCGATCACGTATGGAGCTTATCAGAGGTTGCGGGAGGTGCTGTATCCGGGCGATAGGCCGTTGAGGCCGCATGAGGCGTTCCGTAAGTCCATTCTTGTGTTAGTGAGGAGAGCGTGTGCTGATTGCGTCGATAGTCCTCGGTGCTCTGTCAAAGTCCCTTGCGACCATCGCAACCCAGCCCCTTATTGTCGCCAAAGTTGGTCTGCAATCACGCCCACCCCCAGCACGAGGAGGCAAGCCTTTCAAGTCCTTCACCGAGGTCATGCGATTCATCGTCGAGAAGGAAGGCGTGCTCGGTCTGTATAAGGGCATCGCGCCGCAAATTTTGAAGGGTCTGCTCGTGCAGGGCTTTCTCATGATGACCAAGGAGCGAGTAGAGCTCATGTTCATCTTGCTTTTCAGATATGTGCGGAAGGTGCGGAAGGAGAAGCTGGAGCAGTTGGCTGCTATTGCGGCGAGGAAGATTGATGAGGCCAAGTCTGCGGCTCTCAAGAGCTAGGCTGTATGTAGCTCATAGGGTATGGTAGAGGTTTTTTGTGATTTAGCGGGCGTTGCAGGAATTGAGGCTGAGATATGCTAGAGCCTGGGTTTGGGGGTTGAAGGAGATCTCTTGGGTATATACATGTTGTACATGAGCTGATTTCGCTGGACACTCGATTTGCCGGGCCTAACATTCTCTTCGCACTGACGTTGTCTCATTTCTTGCTGGACTTTACCTCTGTTTCTATTTCCTTAACATAGCCTTCGAGTCGTTGTACAGCAGCTTGAAGCGCCTGTAGTCTGTCAGTATGGTACTCGGACCTGTCGGATAGCTCTAAGCATACGTAGATGTCCTCCGTAAGCAGCTCGTTTGACACCTTGTACTCGTCGATCACGTAATAGTACAGCCCTCCACCTGCCAGAACTGAGCCGAAGAGGAAGCCGAACAGCCTGTTATGCCCGGGTGTCAGCTGTTGTTCTACAACCGATCACATCTTCTTCCTCCAGTCTACTTACGTTCCCCTGAAGGCTCCCACTGGCCTCCTTGCGATCACGCCATCCTGTAGAAGTTGTCGGCTCGTCTGGAACGATCGCTGTGTTTGTTGTGCTATGGAGGATCGAAGCAGGGATGCGGTTGGCTTAGCAAAAGTCGCTGATCGTAGTGCAGCTGGTATACGGCCAGCCATGGTAGCTGTGATACGACTGTGGAGGTCGAGGACTGGAGAAGAGAGTTGTTTGGGGTTTGGTCAGATATTAGGTATGCTAGGAAACCCATATGCACTTGGCTCATGTAGCTTGAGGTGTGCTTCCCGTTCCGGCCTAGCGTCTTTTCCGAGCTGTCTGGCCGCTTGACTTTCAACTTCAACATCTGTCGATGTCACGGGTATTTGTGCATGTGGAGTACGAGGGAACTCTATGAGGATGCAGCAATGTGTACGAAATGCGCATCGCTACACCATTAGACAAAGACTCATCCAAGAAACAAGCGTCTTGCATATGGAATGGTGTATATCAGGTATCATGTGCTGCAAATCGCTGCTGCGGCTCTCAGCCACCGCCACGAGGTCAGACGACTTCGCACCTCAGCCTTGTTTACGAAGCAGCTCTTCCTCCGAGTCTGCATCCTGGTCTTTGCGATATGCTCTCCGGCTGATCTACAGGGTAGCAAGGACGACGACTGACATGCGCAAGCTCTCTCGAATATGACACCATGCCCGTACCCTTTGGAGTATCTGTGGGCGACTTCGTAAGCGGCATCCAATTCATCTACTCGATTATCGAGGCTGCCGATGCAACAACTGGCTCCGTAGCTCAATATCAAGACGTTCTCGCCGCACTACAAAGTTCCCAAGATGCATTGCAGCATCTACAGACGCTCTCACCAACTGGTCCCAATAAGCAAGCTGTCACGGCGATTCTGGACCGTTATAGAAAGACCGTAATTGCCTTCGGGCTCGCGATATCTGGTTACGAGAAGTCTTTCACGTCAAACCCAGCCAAGAAGTGGTGGCGCTGTCTTCCCAAGAAGGTCAAGTGGCAGCGCGCATCTATCGAGAAAGTACAGCTCTTTCGCTCCGAGCTGCATGAACATACCCAGGCATTGCTCCTGATATCGCACTGTATTGAACGGTAAAGCTAGTGAGCGCCCGTTGCGACAGCAGTCGATACTGATACCAGGAGTAGGGGCCATAGACTTGACTCGCATACACAAACCACCAACGACTTGGCCGCTCTCCGAGACCAAGTAGACAAGCAAGCTGGTTTACATCGCACCAATCAGACAGCCACTGAACGATGTCTCGGAGAACAGCACAATCTACTTACTACAATCAGCTCGAACGTAGAGCGCCACCTCGAACGACAAGACGATGCTTTGGAGGAGCAGCAAAGTATACTCACCACACTCAACACGACTGTTGACAACCGACTGATTCATCAAGACAACATTCTTCAGCGGATCACAGCCGTGGTCCTAAAGAATCAGGAGTCTCTCCACGACCTACGGGCGGCATTGACTCTGCTGTTCGTGTGTCTGATGAGCATGATGAACCTCATGAGTCGCATGCTGGAGGCTATTCCGCAAAGGATATTGACCAACGGCGCGGTGATATTCGAGGACGCACACGCCTTCACGTATCCCATCTACACCCAATTCATGGACTCCTGGGATGCAAGTGCCTAAGCTGTCTTCGATGTAAGCATAGGCTGACCGAAGTCCCAGGCTTTCTTCTTCGTACTCGCGGACAATTTCAAAACACATAAGAGACCAGGCTACCTTCGCGTGGCCCGGAAAATGTTCAAGCTCCACTATCGAGCAAACGGGCAAGAAGTCTCGCTAAAAGTCCCTTTCACGACTGCTTTTAGGCCTGGCAAGCACGTTTTGATGAGCATGATATTCGAACAGAGCAAAATGCCCCAACGTTGCTGCCCAGATGGTGTACAGATTATGTCCAATCCTACAACAAAACGATGGTAGGTCGCAAATATCAGATGAAGAGTGAGACTCCACGGCTGACAAGAAATACCCAGCACCTCGTGTGGCTTTGTTTATCGATTTCTGGTAAATGGAGAGAGCAATTCGCCGAAGGCTTTAACCATGCCCCAAATCGGGCGGAGGGAAGGTACCGATCCTGCACCGGTAGGACATGGTCCTCAAAGAGCCGTGATAGAACCTGGGGACGAATCGCTACCGGACGACAAGCCAAGCGACTTCTCGCGGGTAAGCGTTACACCACAAGCGCGTCATGTGGCCGACGTCAATAAGCAGCCTCGAGGTGCCGAGTCCAGCTCTCTCATGAACAGTGCGGCGCAGATCAATGCTTTGACAGAGCAGTACATGGATGACTATGGTGATGCGGCTATATATCGTGAGGGACTCTTCGAGCTAGATTACGGCTATCACGATGGACTGGTGCAACGTGATTTCACAGGAGACCGAAGACATCCTCTGGAGGTGAGCGATGACGTCTTCGACTTAGAACATGCCATTGAACATCAGAAGATCACATCGGACATCTCCGAGGCCGAGCTTCGGTATAAGAAGATCGGAGATCGACTGACTGCCGCTGAGTTCGACTTGGCGAATCTAAGGGGAGCAGACGACTCTATCTCCTCTAGTAGATCCGAGCGATACCCATACCTCGCAGGAGCTTGGGCAGGCGTGCGAGACGAACCATCCACGGTAGATTGGACAAGTAGCCCAGTCGCGAGATGGCTGGATTCTCTAGACGACCCATTGGGTCACCGTGTGATGAATTCCACGAGACCCGGTGTCCCTGAAACCCCTTACGCGCCAGAGATCTCGCCATTCACGGAATAAGAGACTGATGAAAATTCCGGGGATAATGCCTGATGCAGTTCGATCGATCCCGACGTTGATTTTGCTGCCAGCTGGGGAGTAAGTCGCAATTCAGGGGGCAAGCCAGCGCGTCAACATATCGGACTCGAATGGCCACACAGCACTAGGAGACGATGCTTCTGAGAAAGCAGAATGTACTGTTGGTGCTATGGCGATAATTCACTCCTGTATTTCTGTGCCGAAGCAGCAGCAGCAGCAGCATCAGTATCTACAGCTGCACCCGATATGCTTGAGCTCTACACCCCATCTAACACCAGAACGCCTGGCGCCTCAAAACCCATCAAGCCAACATCTACAACCCAGCTCACATCCCTACATAGCCCCATACTCGGCCTGCGGCTCCAAATGCCAACTCCCCTGCTCCATCCCCAGCACCGCCCTCCTCCCATCCTCCGTCAACTCCGGCCGTCCACTCGGCTCCGTAGCCTTGGTGAAATACCTCGGTCTCCACTCCGTCTGCGCCTGCTTCCTCTGCGCCGCCTTCTCCCTCTGCCGCTCCTCAATCTCCGTCTTCTTGGCGGTCGCGACAGAGAATTGCTTCGCGGTGATAGCTTCCGTGACCTCGTTCCAGAAAAGCCGACTTTCGTTGGGCAGTTGTTCATTTGTCGGCGGACATATTTTGGGCACCGGACGTAGCGGGTTGACGTCGATGAGGAGGATGCGGTCTTTTTCGCTGGTCTTCTTGAAATCCGTAGCGCCTGGGGAGAACCACACTTTATCCGTCCACATCCCGTCGATCCTGCCCAAGATATCCTTATCCGACACATCCTTTATCCTCGTAAGCCTATCCGCCGCCGGACCCGCACATTTATACACCACGCCCTCGATTCGATTCTGCGTCTTGCCAAAATACCCTTCCTCCAGATAGTGAATTATCACTTTTATCCCTGTCTGCTCGCACGAGAAGAAGCAGGCGTCTGCCACCGTAACGTTGAGGTTGCCGCGGATGAAGCCGCTAAGGAAGGCGGCAGGGTGGGTGAGTTTGTATTCTTCTCCGCGTTGGGAGAGGGAGACGTAGATGCCTTGGTTGTGTTCGCCGGGTGTGACTTTGATGCTGGTTCCGGTGAATTTCGCGCTGAGTTGGTCGTAGCCTCGTGCCGAGATGCCTTTTTCCGGGCAGTCGATGAAGTAGGCTGAGACGGGTGGGTGGTGCGAGGTTTGTTCTGTGAGGAAGTTGACTTTGACTGGTTTACCGGCTGTCGATGCACCGAGTTGTGCAGTTTCGGTTTGGAGAGCGCTGACTTTATGCTCTTGGCCGAGTATTGAGGGGGCTGTGTCTTCGATTTGCCATTGACAGCGGAAGAATTCGCCGAGGGTGCTGTTGTAGGGTTTGCAGGGCTTGCCGTGCACGTATTTCAGGTCTTTGGAGAACCAGAAGCGGACGCAGCCGAGCATCCGGCCTAGGGCATCTTCGCTGTCGCCGATGGCTACGAAGGTCTCGGGTCGTTCGAGGTAGTGCCAGTATTCCAGGTTGGGTATGGGTTCGAGTAGCTGTGCGGGTAGACTGAATCGCACGGCGGCGATGTCGGTGACGCCGATGAAGCGCTTGAGGATGGAGAGGAATGTGCGGAGTTTGCTGCTGTCGTCTGGGGTCTTGCCGTCGACGACCTTTTCGTTCGGCATGGGTGAGGAAGTGCGGGAGGTCGAGGTCGAGGTGGGGGTGGAGGGGATGGGTGTTTCGCTCTGCGTTTGGCCTTTGATGTCCGGCGACACGTTGGCCGACGTTTTCTTGCTACCTAAGCCCATGATGGGCTAGGATCTGCTATGTTTTATGGTTTGTCGTGTGTATGAGAACGTGCGAGCTTTTATGTGTATCAAGACAATGGGTGTCTGTGTCCCGCCTTTGTTCGCAGCGAGAACTTGGCTCTGACGTCAAGGAAGGGTCGCGAAGGAGACGGTCTACGAGGAGTTGGATGTGAGGTGACTTGTAGGTTGAATTGTTTTGCTAGACTTAGATGATCGTGTGAGAGGAAGGACTGGTCGTGTGCGAGTACAGTTCGTGATCAACTGAGACGGTGTATCTGAAGCTGTCACGATGCGATTGAAAGATGGAGCCTATCATAGCTTCGAGGCAGACCATGCACCTACTAACGCCACATGGTCATGCATATCATTCTGTTGTGGCGCAGACTGTTTCACATGCAATGTCTAGATGCTACCAAAGTCTCCCCAAAATGCCCGACATATGAAGTGATGCTTACATCCAGCGAGTATTGTAGAATCGACTCATCAATCAAGAAGCTTAGCAGTGGCATAACCTGTAGCGAGATCGATTATTTACACTAGTGTACAACTATCTTACAACTCGTCTCAATGCAGTGGTCCGCTCGGAACCAATTGGCGAGCACTCGAGTGGACTGTCCCTCCTTGACGCTCAAAGTCTTGTGCTCGAGTCCCTGAGCTCTGCCATATCAGTCGGCGCATAGCTTATCGCGACGAACCTCCTTCGATCATTCCGTCGACGTGTGGCAGCGTCGTCTCTAGCCTGGTACCACGTGCGTTTTGAGGATGGCAATTCACCACTGTCCTTCTCAGACTGTAATGGCACCCGTGCCTAGATTCTGGGGTACCGCATGCCTTTCAGAGTGGCGAGTCGACTTTCTAGTCATACAAGCTCAACGGACGTCGAGGTCATCTTGAAGCCGGTGCTGCCATCGATCCATTACCAGTCATGTCCATGCCCGTAGCGCCCTCCTGACTGAGTTTCTTGATCGTCATATCCCGCTGATACTCCATCACTCTCCGCTTCTTGAAGTATGTCACCTGTTTTCAAACCATTAGCCACTTGCCCAATTCCTCTACATCATACCCTTTCAGCCACTCCGACTTACCCAACTCGACGCGCAGTGCTTCTCAAACTCCTTCAACTCCGGCGAGCACATCTTCTTTGCCTTCTCATCCTCTTTTACACTGTCCACAATTCCGTTTCGCTCCAAGCATTGGAAAAAGCTATCCCGTCCATCCCAGCACATCTGCCTTGCTGATCGGTCGGGTGCGATGTAACCTCCATCTTGAGATGCTTCGGGTGCCGAGACGGCGGATTTGTCGGAGGAGAGCCAGCCCATGGTTTGTGTGGAGGCGGTGAGGATGTAAGGGATGAGAGCCGCGATTTTGCTAATCCTTACGTGTACGCAAATGTAAAGTTCGTAGGGAGCGAAATGAGATAGTACTGACAGACAGATAGAAAAGTGATGACCTACTCTCGGCTTGATGTCAAGAACGCCTTCCCCAGAAAGTGAAGATCGGATCGTGCCGAAGAGAGGGTCTTCTGCTTCATACCGCCAAGAGCAATTGAAAGAAGCTCTGATGAACTGAAAGTCTCCTCCTATTTCAAGAGGGCAGCAACATATAACCTGTCATCACAGAGAATGAGGAGTAAGGCATCAAAAATGCTTTCGGCTATCTCAAGAGCACCCGGCTGGTAAGCGTTCGCGCTGGCTGACAGTCCACCAGCCGAGAAGTGCCACCTTGGCAAGGCAAAGACAGGTGTGTGATAAGCGAAGGAAGCAGCTTGCCTAGTGGCAGACATGCGAGGCGTGCCGGATAGAAAGGAAGTGGGTGACATGGATGCGTCAATGACATAACAACTCGAGCCTCTTTTGGTTCTCCCGAGGGCTATAGTGGTTTGGTGGCGCTGCATACACTGACCAAAGCGGGCTGACTTGACGAAGTTCGCCATTCCACTGAGCAGAGAGGTGAAGACGCTTGACAATTTTGTTTTCCCTTTGATAAGCAGAGGCACGCAGGATTCAGACAGCAGATTAATCTTGCCAACCCGCGCCGTCGGTCTTGATTTAGGCTTCGAGGAAGGAAAAACCGCATGCACGGGCCTGCCTTTCTTCCTCTTGACGAGGAGCTGCCAATCAAACGGAGCTAAAAGTTTCTGGCATGAGCGGGTAGTGATCGTTGGGTGCAGTTGCACGAGTGTTTCTGCTATGTAGCTGGGGTTTGTTTGTATGTGGTGAATGTCTTTCTATTCTATCGCTGTCCCCCTCCACGGCAAAGTCGTGAATATCGGCGCTTAGCCCAGGCAGAGAGTCGAGATTCGAGAATGACGAAGGCGGATGGGGGCCGTCCCCCAGCCCGTTTCGCGACTTCCTCTGCTCCTCAGCAGCCGTCGTACTCACAAAGGACCATCGCCTAGGACTACTGCTGCGGCTTTTCCGGAAATCTGCGAGGTGAGTTTCTCGTGCCCGATTGTCATCTACCTACATCAGCATCAGCATCAGCATCAGCATCATCAGCATCATCGCCGTCGGGCAGACACGGCCCACGTGTCTGTCTTTTACCTGATTGCTTAGATGGCGCCTTCCCTATCGCACGCGTCCATTCTGCCCATTATTCGTCCCCGCGAGTCGGCCCACTGCACCGACATGCTCACGCAAATACCACTGCGTTTGAGGCGACTCGATCGCTCCTGCCTCACCTGTCACACACGCGTGTTGGCGCGCTAGTCTGTTTTGTTTACTCGCTGCCGCTGCTTCACTCACCCACACCCACACTACTGACTGGCTGTCGCGCGGCTGAGCGGCTGGCCATTCACGCACCACCATCCCACCCTATCCTATCCTACCCTATCCTCTACTAACCATGCCGCCTCCAGCAGCCCGACGACTCGGATGCGACCGCGATGAACCAATGGCCGAACGGGCAGTCGAACGGCATGTTCTCCCAAAACGCCTCAGGCCACCTTAACCCGGCCGCCATGTACAACAACCTCGCCAACCCTAATCAGTTCGACCAGTACAGCCAAGGACTCCAGAACGGCAACGGTAGCACGCCCACTCCTACTGCCTTCAACCAGACCTTCAACCCGGCTTCAGTCATTCCTGCCAAGCGACCTCATGATGGCGGTATGGCAGGCTCACCACAGCAATCTCAGATGTCACGTTCTCAGACGCCCAGCTACGCCTTCCCAAACCAACAAGCAGGTGGATCGCAGTTTCCCAATGCGCCGACACCGTATCAGCATCTGCAACAGCCGGCTTCCAACAATGCGACTCCCTCGCCGACCATGTCCAACCAGCAATTTCGACCTCCACAGCAGACGCGCATGAACAACGCGTCACCCAGTCCATTTCCTCAACAGCAACAGCAGCAACCACAGCAGGGGAATTTCACAGGACAGATGCCACCCTCTACCCCACAGCAGCACAACCAGCAGCCTGGTATGCAGCAGCAACAGCAGGGTGGCATGGTCAGCTGGAATCAGGGCATCGGCATGAGTACGAATAACATGAATGCTGGCGTATCGATGGCACCTCAGATGAACAACATGATGTCGCAAGCGAACGCGCAAGCCAATGCGCAACGGATCTACCAGATGAAGCTCCAGCAGCAACAGGATGCGATGCGAAGAAGTGGGATGGTGCCTCCACGGCCAGCAGGACAGCAAGGTGCCATAAACAACATGGGCAGTCAGCAACCAGGGGCGCAGATGGCCAACGGCCAGAACACCAATCCGGCCGCTACCACCAATCATCAGCAGAAGCGAGCACAATTCTTCAAGGCTTTGCAGGCTAGTGCGATGCAGACGGGACGACAGTTCGTCCCGAATCCGACTGTCGGTAACAGACCTATCGACCTCTACATGCTGTTCAACGTCGTCGCTTCAGCACAAGGTGCCGCGAACGTGGAACGAATGGGACAATGGCAGATTGTGGCTAACAAATTTGGCCTGCCTCCTAGCCAGTTCCCGAATGCTGGTGAAGAGCTCAAGCAGCTTTACATTCGAGATGTCGGCAATTACGAACGTGCTTGGTTCAATATGAAGGTCCAGCAAAAACGTGAGCAGGCTCGAGAACATGCGCATCAGATGGCTGGTCTGGGTGGGCCAACACCGTCCACGCCTAGTCGGACGATGCAGCCTCCAAATCAGCAAAATCAGTTTGCGCAGTTTCAGCAGGGTATACAGGCTCAGCAACAAGCGCAAGCTACGCCAGTACAGATACCTGCGCAGTTGCAGCAGAATGGGATGTCTACGCCTGAGCAGCTCATGCATCATCGACGGAATAGCAGTATTCAGAGACCTCCACAGATGACGCCTCAGGCTGGTGTGGCTTCAGTTGCAGCAGCGTCGCCAGGCTCTGGGCAGAAGGTGCAGCGCTCTCCATCAGCCAGACAAGAGGGCGGCGGGGCAGTAATGAAGAGCGATGAGCCTCAGAGTTCGAATTATGTCCCGAACTTTCGATCGATGGAACTGGATGGCGGCTACAACATACCTGCGCTCCACGAACTTGGCACAGTGATCTCCCGATTTCTGCCCAACATGCCTACTGTCGACGAGATGGGCATCATCGACATGCGAGCGATTGGTCTCAGTCTGGCGTCTGGTATCCACAGCGAAGTCCGATATGCTCTCGATGCACTTGTGATAGTATCACGTGACGAGCGGATACACTTCGAGCTTGCGCAGTGCGAGGATCTCATCGAGTACGTCGTTGATTGTGCTGAAGAGCAGACCGAGACACTTTCGGAAGATGCTGCAGAGGTGTCCGATGCACTTGATCTGCCATCCTACGAAGACATCATGCGCGGCGCGCGGGCAGAGAACGACACGCTGCAGGATGTGCCGGCATTTGGTACTCACCCTTACGAGCTTGATCGTGCTGCTGATCGGCTGATCGCTATCACTACGATCATGCGCAACATGTCTTTCTTCGAGCACAATCATGTTCTGCTCACCTCGGCGCGTCTAATCAAGTGGTTGAGCAATACCATTCGGCTACTTGGAACCAGGAATCTATTGCTTCGTACACTGCTCAACACGCTGGACTTCTACAAGGACATTATCACCTTCCTGTCGAACATCACACAGAGTCTAGAGCTGCCGGGTCGAGATGATGCATTGCACGTTCTCCATTTCCTTCTAGCTTTCGCGCCACAGCCTGCCCCAAACTACGCGGACGACCCTGGCTCGGTGACATTCACGCACTTTCAGCCAGCGGTGCATCGATACCTACCACCTGCTGTAGACTGCCTGGCGAAGCTGCTGGCGAGACAAGATCCGAACCGACAATTGTACAAAAGTATATTCACAGCCTCGAGCTCCTCCCTCGCTGCATCAGAATCACCACTCGATCTCCTAACACGAGCTTTCGCCTTATCAATCTCCATACTACCAGATCGTACAAAAGGCTCCCTCAGCAACTCCCACCAGCTCCGAATAGTCGAGGCACGCAAATCCTACCTCTGCCAAGGCATGCTCGCAGCCGATATCCTCACCACTCTCGTCCCTGGCAACGACACAGCACTAGCCCGTGCCTGGATCGAAAGCGAAGACGGCTGGGTTATCGGCCTCCTGAATCTCGCGAGCTTACTTTCGGTCGACCGCACGCCACCTGGTGGGCCCAAGGTCAGAGATCTAGGGCACGATACAGAGAGTTTCAAACTCATTACGCATCGAGCGCTGAGTATGATGAAGAGGTTGGCTGAGAAGGCTGGCAGGGGGAGTATGCATCGGGCTCTTGCTCCTGGTATGCAGAATGGGAATGCCGTGAATGGCGATGCTGTCACCAATGATGAGGAAGCTGAGCTTTCGGCGCCGAAATGGGAGGGTGTCCCGCATGGGCATGCTATACTTGGTGCTTTGATGATGCCGAATACCGACAAGGTTGCTTTGGGCTTGTTGTGCTCGTTGCACGAGATGGCTATGCAGCAGTGATGCATGCTTAGGCTGGCGGTGTATATATTACGAAGGGGGTGTTGCTCTGGAACGATCTCAGCTTGGAGAGCAAGCTGGGAATGGTGCGAAGCAAGCATGCACAGTAGATTAGAGATGTGGATGAGGGATGTTACGATTGTGTGCTGATAGTGTACATTTGGCTATAACTGCTTGTAAAATTGAGCTTCACTTACACACTGCGTGTAATCACAACCCCACCAACGCCATGTTAAGTCGTCTCATCGTCTCATCAGTTCATCATCCACGACGGCTAGGAATCACAACAAAACCTCACCCTCCACCAAGGCTGCCTCACTTACTCATCATCTTCAACCTCGACCATACCGATACTTCTCCCTACCCGCAACCATCTCGCCCATCCCAACCCCAGTCCTCCCCATCTCAACCACCATCGTCTCCAAAATCGTCAGGCCGTCTCCCATACGCTTTCCCAACCATTGGGACATGATATAGGCAAAGTACTCAGCGACCTGCTTGTTAGCATATGCACTGAGAGCGAGATTGCGGATGCAACGATTTTAGGCGTTGATTGTTATATCATTCTCGCCTGAATCTGGACAAGTCGGTGTATGGACGAGGTCGGCGAAGGTGGTGAGGTTGAAGTAGTCGGGACGGCGTTCGGTGGAGCGGATGAAGCAGCAGAGGGTGCTGTAGAGTGGTAGTCGGTGAGGTTCGAACTGCTTGATGTTGAGGTTGGCGTGGATTGGGGGGATTGGGTGGTGGTGTTCGCTTATCAAGTGGAGCGGAGGTGTGGTATGGCGAGCGGATGTGGTGTGGCGAGTTGCGGTAGGACGCGAAGTGGCGGTAGGAGTCTGATGAGTGGCAGGGGAGTCGGTAGTCGCTGTGGTGCGCGGAGTTGAGGTAGCCTGTGTGCCAGCATTGGCATTCGCACCAGCCAAGCCAACACCGTTGTTCTGGACGATGTTTGCCAGACGAGGACCAATCGCACGAGCCTTTAACACATGATTACTCAAGGATGCTGAGGTTTTGAAGCCCATCAGCCCGTATTGTTGCGGGGTCGTGTCACGAATCGCACGCTCCATCTTGATCCAGTATTCCGAAGGATACATGAAACCCGCCGCCTACTTCTGAGCATAGGCTGCGCGGACACTCTCCAGCTCGAGGAGATCTGGGTTGGCGCTTAGGTTGACTGCGGAAGGTGTATGTTAGCTACGTCTATACGGCGATCCGGTAGATTGAGCTGTCCGATTTCTACGTTCAGGTGTTCGAAGGCATAACACACTTGCGCTTACGCAGGATAGCGAGAGTCTGGTTGGGTACATCGCCTCTGGCCTCGAGATTGCGCAAGCGCTCGACATCGAAAGCCTCGCGGAAACCATCGGGCTCTTGGCCGTGGTCTAGCGCGTAGTCGAGACAGGCACCTCTTAAGAAATGTGTGAAGGCACCGCGCTCCATCACCTTTGTGCTGAACTTCTGTGCTTGCTTGAGGAGCTCGTCGTTGGTATAGTGTTTCGCGCTGTGGATCAGGTCAGTGCCAGCGAGGCGGCGAGGAGCGTTGTCGTACAGCTGCTGCTCGCTCCAGTCGGCGTGATTGTTGTGTCTGCTGAATGCCGCCATCTTGATGTCGTGTAGGATGATGTGGTACCGCTTTGTTATAGACGCAGCTCATATGTATGTTTGCAAGTCTGCTTGATTGTGCAGGCGAGGATGGGGGAGGAAGATCTTCAAAGCTGGCTGTGAAAGCTAGTGGTCAACACACCGCTGCCGCGGCCCCCGAAGCCGCTCGGACGCTTCCCAGGAGTAGAGTAGCCTCGTAAGACGCCCAGTGGGCGATTGAATAGGTCCGGAGACAGAGTGATCATCTCATTCAAGAGAGAACATGCTCCAGAGTCCATAGTCTACCTAGCGGCGAAGAAGGTGTACATCTTGCGAGGAGGAGCAAAAAGAGGGAACCCCTTGACGGGAGAAAGACCGTGAAGCTCCATACGTGCACTATCCATTACGCAGGCCATTGGGACGATAGAAGGCCGTCACTGCTGGTTAACAGAAGGGTAGGGGCCAGAGCCAGGTGGATGGGACAGCGCACGATCGTAGTGGACTGGAACCCCGGCGTGCCTTGCCCAACAGGCTTGCATCTTAGGAATGGGGCCTATCGAAAGACTATGTGAAAGCGGTAGAGCGATCCGCTGCTGGACATACGAGGTGTCGGATGAGCTCCCGTGCACGATCGAGGAACATTGCGATTACTTTTGTAAGCAACGGTAAGATTCCCGGAAGACCAAGGGCCTCCAACACTTCAATGGACTGGACACCAGACACCGCGGCTCAGTATGCCTTTGAGACTCCAAGGGGATTTAAGCTGCACTGCGCTGGAGACAGGAGGCAATTACTCGCCATGCGATTACATTCCGGAGCCAATGAGAAAGATTCGAGGTAACGGTCCGCCCGAGATCCTCTTGTAGGTTGTTGGGACCTAGTCGCGGGCGGATCAATGTCTCAACTTCGGTTTATCGTCGTAGCCACATCCTCGATCACGAGAACGTACAGGCAGCAATCGCTGGGGTACGACTACCTAGAGGCCGTTGCTGGCCAAATCCAGGAGGCTGAGAGTACTTGGTGCAAGAAACTGTGTTATCACAGACGACATAGCAGAGTCCGTCGAGAGTGTATCTTAAGCGGTCACAGGACTTTCAGCATTGGACCATGGACTTGGTGCTCATGAAGCCACTGCAGCCCAGATCTTCCCCTGGAAAGCAGTTGCCTGGTGCCCGTCATAGGAGCGGAAGCCAGCTCTTGCGACGAACTTGTCGTCGCGGAGTTGATCTACAGACGTGCTGTGATGAGCGGCAGTATCAAGCTGGAACCACAGTCGTGCAGCTGTGTCCATGAGCACAAATTGCTGAACGATCTGGAAGTCAGCTAGTGCAATCGATAGCAGTGCCATATGCTTCATCATTTGCTGAACGCTGCATGTCCCTCATCTCCTTGGGCGGCAGAGCGTCTGACCCTCGCAGGAGCCCCACGCAGAGCTCTTGACGGTTCTTGATCATGCTGCAAAGCAATAGTACCGAGTCTTGATATGACATTGGCGTCACTTCAAGATGACGGTAGGCAAGCACGATAGTGCATTTGGATGCTCCTTACATGCGGCGTCCCACCAGTCACAATCTTGAAGGCGCTTCTGTTATCATCGATCACCCATGCCGCGGCGCTTGGTCAATTTGGGGCAAGAACAGCCTAAGATGATTGGTCTCATGTTGTATACAATATGCAGACGACGTGAGTCCCTGTGGTGTCACTTCGTGTCATGATCTATATTAGCGAGTATTAGTGACCGTGGAAGAGAGTAGAGAATGGAATGAAGATCTGAAGTGAGGACGAATGTGGTCTGTAGTCCAGAAATGGCGGAGCCTCGGAACATCTACCGGCCAACGGCATTTACCCGATGGCGCTGCTCTACCGACGTATTGCTATTGGCTACCATGCGATATCGGGCCTGGACTAGTTGGGCGAACCTGCATGACGACAACTTGGTCCGGTAGTGACTCGAGGCATCACCTGGCCCAGGTCTCAGTTACTCAGCGTCTCGAACATTCGACCAATTTGAAAGTGATCTTGTCCTCTTCTCCAGACATAATCTCACAAAGACACTTTGCAACATTTTCATCTCTATAATATACCTATCAAACCCGCCGCCTGCAGTTCTACTGGACGCCAGCTATCGGCTTATCTGTCACACGAGGGCTTACAACCACGCACACGACCACCAAAGAACACAACTTGCACTCACTTAAGGCCACCAGAAGAACAACACAGTCTACCATGGCCCGTTCCAACAGCGTCAGCAGCGTCAGCAGCGACTCCTCGATCCTGTCACGCGCCTCATCCGCCGGAGCCGTTGAGACCATGCAGATCTTCGTCAAGACAGTGGCGGGCGACAGTAAGTAGAGCAACCATGCCTTATCGCGCACATTTTCCCTAACCAACCTGCCAGCCTTTCCCATCACCGTCCCGCAAACAACCTCAATTGCCAATCTTCGCAAAGTCCTCGCCCTCCGAACCAACATGCCCGAAACCGACCTCCGCATAGTCTACGCCGGCAAACATCTCTTACCCTCCTCCACCCTCCTGTCGTCCAATGTGACTCGCGAAAGCACCCTACGCATGGCCTTGCCTATTCGTGGCGGCGCACCCAAGAAGATTCGATGCGGAGCCAAAGACTGCAAGGACGCCGCACAACGTATCGTGGGCGACTGCGGGTTCTGTCAGGGGCATTTCTGCGGGAAGCACAGGATGTTGGAGTCGCACAACTGCTCGGGATTGGAGAATTGCAAGCAGGAGGAGAAGGATCGAAATGCGCAGAAGTTGCAGCAGGAGCGGACGGCGCAGGTTGGGAAGGTGCTGTAGTGAGTTAGACTTAGAAGGATCGTCTACAACCAACACAGGCTAAGGCCTGAGTGTAACACATACACGTGAGCGGTACTGTTTCCAATGCGGCTGTGGGAGGATTACTTGGGATGATTGGGTTGCTATCAGCGACGGCGCTTAGACAGCGATACGGCTTAGACCACGAGAACTATGAACATCAATGGACCAAAGGTCTCCACGACCATGTCAGTGAATACTGTCACATTCGCGACTCTTCTGATAATGGAGCACGTTGACTCCAGCAACAACATCATTTTCGCAGAGTGACAGGCATGGTCACTTCATATGAGGAGACTCCGTCCACTGCTTCACGAGATAGCATGAGCACATTCGTAATCGAACGGGCAGCAGGAGACCTTCAGATGTTGCTGTCACGCCATTCACGAGTCCTCGTATTGTTGTGGCCCTGCTAATTGTCACTTGAAGCTCACAACGTGAGTTCACTTCACACAAAATCTCGCAACACATAAGAAGGCTACAACACTCTCTTCGAACCAATGACTTGGATCGCTGTAACGATCGCAATCAACGCACTTCCAGCGAGCTTAACATGGCGCAGACACACGCATGTGGTGACAAAACCTCTCTCCCGCCAGTGTCTGAGGCGCTGCGACCAGAAGAAGCCGATGATCGCGAAGGCCACATCGCATCTCTCGAAATGAACACAGAAGAAGATGACATCGGCAACTCAATCGCAGCGATGCTCGAAGACGACAAAGCAATCGACAACGCGAACGACGAAGCTGCCGCGACCGAAGAACGTGAGGTCGAGCTCACTCCAAATGAATTCCTAACCAAGATGAAGGAGTCCAGACCCGACTTCAAGGTGAAGGTCAAGAGACTATGCCACCACCTCGAAACATCAGGTCGTCCATATGCTGGCAGGAAGGCAAATGCGCTACGAGAGCAGATTGCTGAGATTGGCAAATTGACTAGGAGGCTGAGAACAAAAGAGAGGAAGCGCATGCGTGGACCAGAGGAGAAGGCACCGAAGCGGCCGGACTACTTCACCATTGCTGTACGCATACAAGAATTGGGAGGCCTGGAGGATGCTCCCGGGTCGCCTGTAGCAGAAGCACAGCAGGTTGTGGAGGATGAGGACTTCGTCGTGCCTGCCACGCCACGAGCGGGTGCTACTGGTGACGAGGGAAGTGATTTCGACGAACCACCGACGAAGAAGCGGAAGCAGCGCAAGCATATGAATGCACAGCAGCAAGCTGAAGCGCTGTCAAAGCTTGAGGCGAAGATTAGGGAGATCAACTCTGCTGCAAATCAACCCGAGAGTCTGGCCTATGTCGATCAGCCGGGGTGGGCGCCATTGTCGCCTCCGAAAAACGCTTCGAAGCCATGTAGTCCCGAGAAGAAGGCACCAGCAGCTCGCTCAAGGGTCGTCACCCCAGAAGCTGACCCTGCGACTTTAGAGAAGGGTTGCACGATAGCCGCGGCATCAGAAAATCCGGCACTACAGGCTCAAGACATTGCAGTAGTCAGCCGTCTTGCTCTGGCCGCCAAGTACTTGAGCGCCGTCTCGACTATCGAAAGTAGTGTAGCACAAGACCTGCAGTCCTTCGGCTCGACCTTCTGTGGCCAACGATGCTGGCAAGATCGCTACGCATACTACGACCAAGATGACTTCGTAGAGTCGGATGCGGACAGAGTGCAGTGGGCGAAGGCTATCTTGATAGGTTTAATCGATATCGTGGAGCTGTTCGACGACGTGGCGGCTGATGAGATTGACCGATTCGTAAATTCGATATGATCTTCAAGGCATCGGATGGCGTGTTTGCAATGCTGGGCAATCCTATTTCTCGGAACTCACGCGAAGGCCCGGCTGACTTCAGGCAGGAGTTTGGACTCTTTGTTCCTTACGGCCTTGGCTATGCAACGTGGTGGTACTGCAAAGGAGGTGAGAACCGTACACCGAAATCGGATAGCTTCTGAGGGCGGATCTGATCGAGCCTGAGAGTCTCGGCAGGACGCTTGAAATGAAGCTGCTACCTCAGGTTGTTTTGCTCGGCGCCTGCTCATGTGTAGAGCTATGCGTCAGAGTCGTCAACTTTCGGAGCGCAGAGTAGCAGGTACGTCTGCCCGAGCCGATATCAAGCCTTTGAGGCATTTTGCTTCGTGACATGGTCAGAGGCTGCCTGGTTGATTCGTGAATGTTTTTGCTGGTCAAGGGCGTTCCGGAAGTCTGTGATACGCTTAGCTGAGGTTTATAGTGTGCTTGTTCAATTGAATGACGAATTCGACCCTATTCTTGCTTGGCGTGAGGCAGTGCCTTATGCCAAGTCCCGTTGTGATACAGCTTGAAAAGCTGGAGGGCCGTAGCTAGGTGACTATGGCTAGCCACAGTGAGCTATCATTCGGCCGGAGTAGTAGCTTACTACGCTCTGGAGTAAGGGTACCCCAATGTCAAAGTATGGGGCTGCAGGATTGCCCCATGTCCAGCACAATAGCGGCCCCGTAGCTGGCTCCAACCACAAGACGGACGCTGTTGGACTTCAAACCTGCTGACACATTTCTTATCTCGTTCCCGGAGCGGTATATCATGTCCCGAGTGCCCAGACGATCTTTGCTGCTCCAGACGTACCATCTGCGGTTCATCTAGGCATGGCTTCACGAGTACCAAAGTCTTTGGGATCAAGCGTTGAGGCGTATCCAAGGTTCGGAACGGAAGATCCCCTTCTACAATTCCGAGATAAGAATGCTTGGGAGGGTCATGGACTCATGCAGGGAGTTCATGACTACGGAGGCAGTGTAGTGTACGTTTGTGTCAAATCGTATTACTCTTTGGGTTGAGCTGAGGTGCCGAGAGAATAAGGTTCCACCCGGCCTTGGCGGTCCGCTACTGTCAATTTCCTCCGCTTCTCCTCACCACCACTGCGTCTCTATCGTGCTATGACCTAGGTATCTGTATACTGATCGCAGCTACACTGTTGACCGGAGATGGTCACGTCGTGCTAGTTGCGCGACGTTGTCAGCGTGAGCACAGATACTGCGAATCAGATACCAGCTGGCTTCTGCAGAGCATACCTGAAGTCTGGGCAACGCTACCAAGGAAGCCGCATCATCTTCTACTTCTTGGCGTCCTCGCTTCATAGCACCCACGATAACGATCATGCTACACTTTCGCTTGGCTGAGTGACGATCGCAATCCACAGCTGGCGACATGCGCAGGATAGTGACTCTAACAGAAGCAAACACCTCAACGCCGGTCTCACTGCCAGGCTTGGAGGCCCACAGCAGTGCACACAGGCGCCACCCCGTGCATCACTGCCCAGTGGTCGAAACCCACCACATTACAATGTTTCATCATCTGGTCCCCTGGCTCACATGTGTGTCTACCATTCGATAAGGATGTGGTCTTGGCCATACGTTGTGCACCAAATTGCTATAATCACAACTCAAACCTTGGTGACTCGCCAGCTCGTAGGTTACATTCCTTCTTGACCGCTGGATACTCCCTTTTGTCCCTGAAAAGAACATATCTTCTGGCCAGGCCCAGATCTGGCTGTTGTCTCCTCACTCCATTCCATTCCACTCCCCATCTTTCTGCCCCAGGCAAATCTGTGTTCCATTATGTCATCGTTTAGCCGACCCTCTATTGCATCTGATACAAGATCTATGTCGGAAAAGAGCTTCAAGAAAGAAACCTTGGTCGGCACCCCTAGCAACGATCGTTCTGCTTCGCCTACGGAACAGGCGGATCGAAAGGAATGGTCATCACCAGATGTTGAGCGCGGGCAGTCGACAGCTACTCAGGTCGAGACAGGATGGCCGACGGGATGGAGACCTTACGCTGCTTTGACGGCGTGCTTTATGCTCATGTTCAACTCTTGGGGCTATGTTAATGTTGGTCGCGTCGATTGGTTGACGTCTTGCAAGCACTAATCAGTCGTCAGGCTTTCGGCACATTCGCGACCCTGTATCACGGCCAGATCATCCCAGGACAAGGCTATTTGAACATCAACGCAATCGGCGGTATCGAAATCCTCTGCATTCTTGGATTCTCGTGTATTACCGGGAGACTAGTGGACGCCTCTCATCAAGACAAGGTGCTCACTGTTGGTACTGTATTCTTGACTGCCGGAATGTTCGCTCAAGCTTCAGTTCGAGGAGACCTGCCGAGCCGGGCGTACAATATCCTGGTGGTGACACAGGGTGTCCTCGGTGGCATCGGCATGTCTTGTTTCTTTGTGACGTCTTCTCAAGGTTTGTGAGCCGCATTACCAATACTGTCATGGTTGCTGACATGGTCCACAGTGGCTGGAACATGGTTCAAAGCAAAGAAGGCTCTTGCGCTCGGCATCGTCGCCTGCGGTGCCAGTGTTGGTGGTGCGATCTATTCCACCGTACTCAAGTACCTTGAACTCGAGCTAGGCTATATGCGCGCTGTCTTGATCATCGCAGCCATCATGGCTGCCACATGCATTGCTATCATCTTCTTTGCCGGGCCCAAGCCGACTACCGAAAAGCATCCCAAGTTTTTGTGGCGTATAGACACGTTCTGGGACAAGCATGCGCTGCAGAATTCTGCTTTCGTCTGGTTCTCTGCCGGGTTCGCGTTGATGTTCATGGGCTTTTATCCGATCTTCTTTGCCCTGGAGCCTTGGGCCACCCTATCCAAGCTTGGGTGGAGAGGAGAAGTACGCCCAGAAGAATTACCCCGGGACACTTTGGCGACTTTTGCTTTGCTCGCCATCATGAACGCCACATCTTTCACTGGTCGACCAGCATCTGCTACTCTCTCCCAATACGTCGCACGTTATCGCTCCGGTGCGCTGCACGTACATGTCGTGGTTAACGCGATCGGCACGATCCTGGTCTTCTGCATGTGGCCATTCGTTATAACGAGCAAGGGAGCAATCGCCTTCGTGGTCCTCTTCGGCATATTCTCTGGCGCTATCATTGGCTTGCCAGCAGCTTCGGTAGCCCACATTATCGGCAATCACAACGATGCAGGGCAGAAGAAGCTTGGTCAATGGGTTGGCATGATGTACACCATGGCTGCCGTACCTGGCCTCGCGGGTGCCCTCATCTGCGGCAAGCTGGCCGACGTGTACCCGAACACCTTTCTTCCAGTCATGAAGTTTTGCGGCACAAGTCTGGCTATCGCAACGATATGCATGGCGATCGGAGCGTGGTACAAGTATCAGAACGAAAAGCGGGAAGTCGACTTGAGACCACGCATGCACGGGTTGGAAAGTTCCTCGACTACCATGGTCGATCAGACTGGATGAAGATCCCAGCATGAATGATGAACATTACAATTTCGGCAATACGTAGCAACGACAGCGAAATGAGGCATTTTCATGTCGCCAGTATCATCAGCAAGAAAGAGAAGCAGACGCAACCATCGAGTATGCACATGTATCCCAGAGAGCAGGCCGCGGATGAGGTATTTCGCTGGACACCATGGACGTGCACTGGATCTTGCCCGGCTGGTATGATTTGAGATCGATCCTTAGATTGGACTATGGAACGACTTATTGGACTGAACCTTTTAGTTGGCTTATTGGAATTGGATGCCACTAACTTGGCCAGCCGAGAGCTTAGAGAACAATACCATAGAGGCAGAAGCAATTATAGACATTGCTACGACATTAACGAACCTAGTCAACGCGAAGCTTGACCAACAAGAGATCTTCCTCCTCAATTTTCTTTCGCTTCTCAACCAACTCCTTCGCGTCCCAAGTGACGGAGACATATCGTCCCTGCAACCATTCGCGCCTCTCTGCGGTCAGCCATACCATGGCATCAGCAGCTAACTGTGGTGTATCAGTCAAAAGACCCTCCATCTCCTTGCCCATCCGCTTTGCCAGTTCTGTCAACACACCTCCAGGATGAATGCTGAAGGCCAGGACCTCGGGATAGTCGGCACAGATGATCTCGCTGAAACGCTGCAAAGCTAGTTTGCACGGTCCATATGCTGAGCCGAGAGGCAAGACCAAGTTCCCGCCAATGCTACTGAGCATGAGGATCTCCTTCAGACCATTGGGAGACTTGAGCATAAGGCCCAGAAAAGCTCTGGTGACATTGTAACTACCGATGAGGTTCGTCTCAACACTCATTCGCCAATCCTTTGGGTCGGAGTCGAGCAACCGCTTGAACGGCTCCAGAAAGCCAGCGTTGTTGATGAGGATATCGAGTCGGCCGAAGGTCTGCTCAACTTCCTTTGCAGCTGCCGCGGCACTGTCATAGTCGGCGACGTCCAGCTTCAGTACTACAATCTGAGGGACTGATCTGCCGGCGTTCTTGGCTGCAGTCTCGATCTCCGGCTTCAGCGAGTCGAGCGAAGATCTGGCGGCAATGGCTATCTTCGAAGCACCAGCTTTGGCGAAGGAGAACGCAGTCTCCCTGCCAATGCCCTTCGAGGCTCCTGTTATCAGCACTGCGCGATCTTTCAGGTCGAACTGCTCTGGTTTAATGTAGTCGTATGTGTCACTACGAAGTGTCGGCACAAAGTCTGCTCCACTAGCGAGATGCTGCGTTCCTGGAGCCATGTAATGCATTGATTCCGTCATTGCGCAGGTGATTTGAAAAGTAGATGAGTGGAAGGTATAGTGAGCAGGACTTGAAGCGTTGGAGTTGATGGAGGTTTGGAAAGTTAGACTGCTCTTTGGACTGCATACCTGAAGACATATCATGGCCGGATGTAAGGCCACCAGTCCATCCGTTGGCCACTAAGCATCGCCGCGACTTCGGCATTAGTGGAGGCGATATCTCTGTCAATGAGGCGATCGGCTGCTCTGTGGCGCGTCATGTACTCGAACCCGACTGTCGAGTTTGCAATCTGTGCCGTCATGCAAACATCCATGTCGGTTTCGGGCTTTTTTTGTGCACGCGGATGCGCGGCCATGCTCCGTGGGATGGTCGGAAGCTAGCTTTAGTAATGGATAGCATTAGCCTATTTAGAGACCTCGCTCACCTCTGAAGTAACAATATAGACCTGTTCTATATCAAACATATGCTTTTGGTAACGATATCATATCTATCCGAACGCCTCGGCCCACCACGTGACCATCCCACTTACACGTTCGACATTCAATGTTCAGCAGTCCACATGTAATGCCATGCTCAGCATGCATTCCATACGTTAGCTGAAGGCGTACGCTGGCGCATCGCCAGCTGTGTGAAGGATGCAAGAGGACGTCGGCCAGCGCCTGGATAGTGAGCAGCACTTCTGGGAAGGTAATCCTTTACACAAAGTACCATTGATACATAGTGGTCTGGACTGACATGTGCCCAGAGCTGGATGGCATCCTTGCTGCACCACACGCGACTCACGAAGGAATCGACGATGTCCTACGATCATATCTAGCATTTGCGGCAGAGTGGAAGCGTAAGCCGCGTGGCCTAGATACTGGTAGCGAAAGCTGACCAGTGAAAGAGGAATACTTGAGCTCGGAATACGATGTTGCGAAGTATTGCTACAGGCTGCTTGATGCGCCGTTGTTCCAAGGTAACCAGGATTATATCAGACGACAGTTCTTGTACTGCTTGCTCCAGGTAGGCATTACTTCGTTGTATTGAGCGCCAGCACGATGCTGACGTCTGTTCAGGACGACGATGTCGATACTTTGCATCTTGCAGCTGCGACCTTGCTCTTCGATGGAAGAGCTAATGAGCCCGCATTCGAGCTGATGCAAATAGAAGGCGCATTTCCACGTTTGATCGAGCTTATACGTGCAAGACGAGACGACAGCATTGGCCTGCATCGACTTTTACTCGAGCTGACCTACGAAATGGCGCGGATTCAGAAGTTAAGGCGAGAAGACCTAACGACCGTGGATGATCCTTTTGTGCTGTTCTTGTTCCAGCGGATTGAAGAGCTATCCGACGATGCAGAGGATCCATATCACTATCCGCTCATTCGGGTGTTGTTGATTCTTAACGAGCAGTATATGTGTCTTGCCAACGAGCCCGCCTCGCCAGGCAGCACTGGTGGAGTCACCAATCGAGTCATGAAGTTGTTGTCAGCACACGGGCCTTTGTACCGTACTTTTGGGGAGAACCTGATTCTTCTGCTCAATCGCGAGTCTGCACTGGCACCGCAGCTGCTAATACTGAAACTGCTATACTTGCTTTTCACGACCCAATCGACTTACGAGTACTTCTATACCAATGACCTTCACGTTCTGGTCGACGTGATCATACGTAATCTTCTGGATCTGGACCCGAGCATTGGAAAGCTGGACGAAGAAAGGGATGGCCAGAAAGCACTACGACACACTTATCTCCGAGTTCTTTGTCCCCTGCTCCGGAACACCCAGCTGGCACGCGAGGGTAACAACTACAAGCGAGAAGAAGTACGCAAACTTTTATATCTGCTTGTCAACCGGTCAACAGCCCACTTTGCACCAGTGGATGAGACTGTGATTCGTCTAGTGATACGTTGCAAGCAGATTGAGTGGTTGAAAGAAGATGGTGATGAGCAAGATCAAGAGATTGAACGCAAGCTTGCCGAGGTGGCGCCCAAAGAGTCCGACGTGGCAAAGAAGTTGCTAGGCATGTCTCTAGATGATGCGGGTGTTAGTAGTCTCAGTGTGGTCGAGGTTTCGGCGAAAGTCACCAAAGAGAAGCCGACTGTGCCCGCTCCTCGCAGACGTCGGAAGAAGACCAATGGTGTTGTCCCGAACGGCACACACGGTGCTGAGCTCAAAGTACCACCAAGAGATCTGTCTGCATCTATCTCAAGCTTAGAAGATGCTCGCGAGGGCGGCAAGAGTCCATTCGCGGACGACGCAGATGAGGTGTGAACTCGAACTGTCGTTATATCGCCAGGGGTGCGCCACAAGTCTCTCAATATGCCGCCCTTGCCCAAGAACTCGGAGCTTTGGGCAATACACAGTACTTGGTGCGAGGCACCATCTTGTTGCTTTTAGTGACAAGGCTGGACACTCTGGACAGATGCCAACCAAAACGATATGTTGAGGTGGAACGTGGTTGACACAAGCAATATGCGGTGCCGTTGTTTACACCTGTACCCACCCGCGGCAGTCGCAGACTAAGATCTGGTCTATGCAGGCCTTTGAGCCAGGACGTACGATCCCCAGAGCTAAAGCAGATCTGCTGCACGGGTCTGCAGAGGCACAAGTGGTGACACATGATGTGGAGCTGTACCTGCATCAAGCGACGTGCATCGTTTAGCAACCATCTTGCCTTGCATGAGCCGTGAGGGTGAAGTGTTTGTATTATGGCGGCGAACACGAGAGTGTGGCAGCCATGTAAACAATATCCATGCGATGGCTTGCCATCACAGCGCCGTGGCGGTCTCAGCCACAGCGAGCGTTAAATTGGCCTGGACTTCTTCTCTTTTGAGGTAAAGTCTTACGGTGTATGAGTGTGATGTCGCTTGGGTATCGCAAGTGCACGTTGGACATGTACCTGTTGCAACATACACAAGAATTGTTCTTTGTGAGTGTCCGATATGCAAGATATGGTTGAGCCGCAGGCTGCAGGTACTGGTTGCACAGCATCCGCTGCATGGTCAGGGGTCGTTCTCTGGTTCCACGAAAAGGCCTCGAACAGCCGCGCTTCATCACAAGTACTCGAAGGGTGAGGTTGACGACCATCACACCCTTGTTCGCATGTGCCGTTGTGCATCTATCTTGGGACAATCTATCTTGTGCACAAGAGCAAGCAAATCAGCGACTTTGGAGCTCTCATTGGAAATAAGCAAGCAGCTGTCGCATCGCACAAGCGGGTACCTGCCTTGCGGAGCTGGGTACAATCGCAGCTAGAGTGACTCAACCAGGTCACCATCGGCAGCATCAGAACATCAGAATACCATGGTAGATGGAGAGCTTACCCGATGAGCTATCAGTGTCCAACTCAACCACATAATGCATGTACGCGAGAACAAAGAGAGCGCTCTTGATACTCGAGAAGCTAATGTCAAGATGCATGCCTTCCAAAAGCTTTGAAGCTTTATCAAGTCATGCCCCTTGTGGGGCGAGCAGAACGTCCATAGCACTGAACCTCGCACGGCACTGGGGCTGCACGACTCCACTTCCTGTCAGGTACCATGCATATGTGACTGCAAAGGTGGAGACAAGATAGGAAGTGGGTTGCCGCAAGGTTGGTCTCACTTGGGAGACATGTAAACGAAGTATAAGATGTTTCTGTTGCCTTGGCTCACCTTGGAAAGTTTCACGCTCCCATTCGTTGAGTACACTCGCTTCGCCTTCTTTTGTTGTCGTTGACTAGATTTAGGAACTGTCAAGATGAGAGCATCATTCTTCCTGCCGGCTTCTGGGCTGCTGGCTGTTGCTCTTGCATTTCCAGCTCAACGTAAGGCAAACATGGCATGATCGTTCTAACTCGGCTCTGACAGCGCACAGCAACCGAGAAGCTCTTGGCGAGGAGACAAGACAATTGTACAGAGGTCAGCTCTTCTCCGGTTGGTCCAGAAACAGCCACAACCACGAGTGCAATCCCAACTTTCCCCGGAGGATATGGTCCGCCTCCATTTGTATCCTTGGGCTATGGCCCGCCGCCTTTCGCACCATCAGGCTACGGACCACCTCTATTTGTGCCTTCTGGCTATGGACCACCGAGATTCCCAACAGTAGCGACCTCGAGCTCTTCTGGTGCACCCGAGACTACCTCTTTCGTGTCCCCAACATCTGGGTCGCCTGTGACGGCTTCAAACGTTACGGTGTCTTCGCCGACAACGAGCTCGTCCACCTGGAGCGACGCCGGTAAGTTCAACGCGTCCACCGCCTCCTCAACTTTTTCTCTGCCAGCGCCATATGGCCCACCAAGCAACGCAACAAGCAGCTTCCCAAGTTCACCTGCCACAGCCTCGTCATCGAGGAATGTCACGGCGGTCACTGTTACATCAACCAGCTTGATCACGATAACAACTACCACTTCAACAAGTGCATCGACCTCTGGCGAGCGGCGAACAGGCTCCGATAGTAGCACGAGTTCCACTGTCACAGGCATCCCGATCAACACAGGCAACAGCACATCTTCCGGTCCAACGGCTCTGTCTACGAGCTCGGCCTCCGTTAGTATCACGACTACTGGTAATTTCACAAGCTCGTTCCCGACCTCGCCTGTTACAGCCAGCAACGCTAGCTCCAGCCTTCTGACGACCTGCACGGAGAACAGCAATCTGACAACAGTTATATCGACTGTGACATCAACATCCACACTCAATTTGACCCAAGGCATTCCCATCTCGACTTCGGCTTCCACGCCAAGCACAGTCAGTGGACCTGCTCAACCTGGTAATACGACCTCAAGCGTTCCACTGTCCACAGGAGTCTCGAGCTCGTCACTCACAGGGCCTGTGCCATACCCGTACCCTTACCACCCATCCAGCATCGTGAACGTCACGAGCTCAGCTCATACCGCTCCGCCGTCGACTGGTACGTCGCCTGTCTCGCCCGAGACAACAAGCAACAGCACATCCTTCTCCAGAACGATCGGCCCTCCAACTACTCGTGGACCTTCATCTTACGGTACCTCGCTGCCACCAATGTCTACTGCTGGTACATCGCCAATTGGACCAGTCACCAACTCGAACTCAACAAGTTCAAAGATGGCGACGACCTCCTCCGGAACTAGCGTGAGTAGCTCGACAACCGGATCGCTGCCACCCACGTACGCACCTCCATTCCCATATGGAACTTACGGACCGTACGGTAGTAGCTCTAGGCCACTATTAAGCACTGGTACTGCACCAGGCGTCTCTACCAGCTCTGGTACCTCGCCAGTTGGACCTGCTACGAACTCAAATTTCGCTTCGACCTCGCCTACCACCAGCAGTGTCAGTACGTCAAGTGGGACAGCACCTGCCTTCTCGACCACTTCCTCTGGGACTGGCCCAGCTCCATACGCACCGTACAAGCCATCCATACCATTGAGCACAGGCGCCACCACATCCTTATCAAGCTCCAGCTCCAGCTCCAGCAGCTCGCCGATCTCACCCGAGACAACAAGCAACTCAACCTCATCCATCCCAGCCACCGGTGCGACTTCCTCATCCTCCACAGCACCGACCCTCCCACCACCCTACAGCTTTACATCAACAAGCAGTGGCACCTCTCCTATCTCACCCGAGACAACCTCAAACATCACTTCCCTTCTGCCAACCTCACCCATCACCACATCATCTGGCACAGCACCTCCATCGACCACCTCTAGTACTCCGTCAGAGATCACTGTCACTATTTCCACCACAGTCACCGACATCATTACGCCAACCAATACGCCTTACGCTCCGACCACTAACCACAGGTTCCCGAACGGCTATGGTCCGCCAAGCTATACTCAGGGTCCTGCCGCTGCGCCATCGTACGGCACTTCGTGGTGGGAGGGGTGGATTGGAAGGTATGGACATGGTCGTCACGGTGGTAATTAGTTGACTTGAGTAGGAGTGGAAGCACAGGGTCAAGGTTTGAGGTTGAGGTCGGGTGAGATGAGATGATGGTGGTACCTTGCCTTCGAAGGCAATTGGACTACATTTTGGCTTCACTGATCTCGTATGCCTCGCATGAGATCTTTTCTTGGATTGAACGTAGAACGGATGGATTGTATCTTACACTCTAATACACATTTGTCTTTCTTCTTGGCTTTCTGCTCACCGTCATCACTGCTTACTATCAAGAAATTGTGACGCCGCTCCAATTCGCACAGCATATGCTGCTCGACTGCTGCTCGCCTTCGTAGAGGACGCTCCCCTGCAGTGCGGTGCTGGAGTCAGGTATCGCATGCAGACATGGCTCTCGCACTTAGTCTTACGATCAGTTTCGTCAATCGAGGTTGTCTTGGCAATGAAGCTTGAGCAAAATCTACCAGTCATCCTGGTGCCTCACAACATCGGACCTCTTTTCAACAGAGACGCAACTGCTGCCTTGTGGTAGACAGATAGTGTTGCGTAATGTTGCATGGCTCCTAACCTCAGGAAACACGCATGGCCGCCATTATTTCAACCAGTCTCCATCGTCGCACTTCTCCTCTCCAGTTCTTGTTCTAACAGCGCTTTCGCCTCCTGCAGCAGCTCTGCCTCATTCTCCACACCCACCTTGTTACCTCTACTGTTCAACCATCCCACATCTAAATTACCCAGTCCACCATTAGTGATCCTGTCGACTTCTTTTGCAGGTGGAGCGGGAGGCACGCCGCTCTGCCCAGATCTCCCAGGTGGACCGTTGGGCCTGCTCTGCTCCTGTTCCCGCGTGCTGGTAGCAGACAAGACTGGCGCTTTGGCGAGGATGATGCCGGCCTCCTCCAACGCATAAGCCTGTCGCTTCATGCGAGCATTGAAGGCCTGGATCGCGACATATGCTGCACGTGACTCCTGCTCAAAGGTCTCCTTACGCGTTTCGATGTTCTCGTTGTCGCTCTGTGGGCTCGGCGCGAGTGCGTTGATAGCTTGACCCATGTGATTCAACATTTCTGCTATGCCGCCACTGATCTCGTTGAGCTCGCGTATGCGATCTGCTGGCGTCAGCAGCTTCGACGCCATGTTGAATGGCAAGCTCGTAGAGTAACGCGATCAAGGTACGCGTGTGTTCATGTTATATGTGATGGCGCTAATTGTTTTTTTGATGTGGGTCTCGGGCCCCAGATCTTCCATCTGCAGCCGCAAGCCACTTCCACAGAGCCGCACTAGGCATGCTTCACTCATATGCGACGACCAGTCTTCATCTTCATCTTCACCCCAATTTTACTCCTCCACTACGCGCCGCGATCTCGATCACCGCACAGCCGTCAATACCGCTGTCGTCGCCGCATGTAAGCGTCTGCAACCAGCTATGGCCGTGCAACCGCTTCCGCCCTCACGGACGGCAAGCGTTGGTCCTCCCAGCGCCGGCGGCATGAATGCTCCCCCAGCAGGCACGCCTGGTGGACAGGGCCCCAACTCACAGCAGAACCTCAATCAGATTGTAAGCCACGTTTTGCTATTAGAGCAGCTACGTTTCCCACATATTCTTGACTTTTGCGATCATTCTTCCCTGCAAAGTGGTGAGAAGTATCATAAATACTTAGCCTGTTCGACAACTTTCCGTTCGGGGTGTGAGATATCATGGCTACAACTGGAACACCAAATCGCGTGACACGCTCAATGGTCGGATCCACGCCTACCAAGGCCACCGTTAAAAATGCGACTTCGCCGCACTCCGACAAGGTGAAGGGGGAAGATATGAAGCTGGCGCTGGACCAGGAAATGTCTTCGCGGGCGCACGTGACGTCGCCGCAGCATTCACCGTCCTCAAGGAAAACATGCACAGGCAACAGCGCGAGGTCAAATACTCGTTCACCTGCCACAGCTGCGAACAGACCTCCACTTATCAAAGCCGTAAGAAGTCAGAACGGAAAATTTGCATGTCCAACCATCACTATCATCGGACACTGGAGTAGATCGATCATCCGGTGCATCGCGAAACTCTAGCCACGAGAGGAGATTGCCTGGACTCACGGCAATATCCTCAAACAAGCACACTTCTTTGCTTCTCCCACACCAGCAGATTCGACCATATCATGGCTCACCTAATCGCTAATGTCAATCCTCAGGTGCTGGAGTATCTCTCTAAGAAAGGTTACAGTCGGACAGAAGCGATGCTGCGAAAGGAGAGTCGCCACGCCACATTCGATGCGAATCAAGAGCCACTCGACTTTGCCGACCGTACAAAAGGTCGACAGTGGCACGAATCATATATCCTTGTCAAGGGCTGGATCGACGACATTCTCGACATCTACAAGCCCGAGCTGAGCAGATTGTTATGGCCGCTTTTCGTGCAATGTTTTCTGCAAACAGTGACGGACTGTTTCACTATAGAGGCGAAACGCTTCTTTGAGGAGTGCCAAAAACCATTCGGAGAGGAGCACAGCGATGATCTGCGCGCTTTGAGCTCTATCAACGAGCCTGAGCATGTTCAGGAGAACGACATTGCGCAGCTCTACCGTACCAACAAATACCGCCTGACACTTAGCAAAATGGGCTTTGCTACGTTGATCGAATTTCTGGAGGTCAAGGAGGCTGAAGGTGGCAAGGGCATCAATTATCTCCTCAACAACCACATTGATATCCACACGGTTGACCGTGCAGCGATTGGTGGCGCGCGTGGCCTGCAGCGCTTGATGGAGGAGAAGCACGGTGAGGAGCAAGCACCGGCAGAAGATGAAGGCATACCAGGTCATCATCCTGGATCTGCAAACCTTTCAGCTGATGCGACAGGGGCTCTCAACAGACTCGCGCTAGGCCCGATGCCGATGGAAGCCGATCTTATGGAAGACGTCAAAGCCGAGCTTGGTCACGAGGACATCACAAATCCGCCCCCACCTGGTCGAAGCACGTTGACAGATACGTTTGAACAGCGCATCAAGAGTGAGCCGGTAGAAGACACAGCGCCATCGCGTGAGGCTATACCATATCCACCATCAACAGCGCGAGACGTGGCGATGGAAGTGCAGAAGGTGAAGGAAAATCGAGATCGCTTCCGCATCGAAGGCAAGACTGGTGGTGTCGGGCCTGGCGTAAGCGTCACGATGTTCACGTTCCACAACACTTTCGACAGCGTCAACTGCATCGAGTTCTCGGACGACAACACTCTTGCTGCTGTCGGCACAGCTGAGTCGTTTATACGTGTCTGGTCACTCGACAATCGGGCACTCACATCACCGCACGATCCACCGGGCTTTCAACAATCTTCTTCACGGCGCCTGATTGGTCACTCTGGGCCAGTCTATGCGCTTTCCTTCTCACCCTCCGCCGCTGTCTCGGAAGCAGCCACAAATGGTCACACAGACCGCACCACTACGTCCGAATCGCAACCCCGCTATATGCTTTCCTGCTCCGCGGACACCACAATCCGACTCTGGTCGCTCGACACATGGACGAACCTCGTCGTCTACCGATCACACAATAGTCCAGTCTGGGACGTTCGCTTCTGCCCTCATGGCCATTACTTCGTCTCTGCATCTGCGGATCGCACAGCCCGATTATGGAGTACGCCACAAATCGCACCACTGCGACTCCTTGTTGGCCACGATTCAGATGTGGAGACTATTGCGTGGCATCCCAACGGTGCGTACGTCGTCACCGGTGCAGGTGTGGGTGACAGAACAGTGAGGATGTGGAGCGTCGCCAGCGGCGGGCAAGTCCGCATCTTTACAGGTCATACCGGCAACATCACTGCCTTGGCCTGCGCGCCTGATGGCCATATCATCGCAAGCGCAGACGACAAAGGTGTCATCGTCCTCTGGGATATCCGAACAGGTCGCCTCGTCAAACGCATGCGCGGCCATGGCGCAGGTGGGGTTTGGTCTCTCGACTGGTCTGTCGAATCTACGGTCTTAGTATCAGGCGGCGCAGACAACAGTGTACGCGTGTGGGACGTGCAGCCGAACAAGGAGACGAAGGAGAACAAGGTCAACGGCGAAACGGGAGGCGTGAAGGTCGATGGCGTGACCGTGCACGGCACAGGTGCCGCGGCCGCTGCGGCGGCGGCTGCTGCCAAGACGGCGAAGGGGAAGAGCAGGGAGCAAGCCACACCTGATATGATCAGCGATTTCAAGACGAAGAAAAGTCCGGTCTACAAGGTCAAATTTACGCAGATGAATCTTGTTGTGGCTGGTGGAACGTATCTGCCTTAAGAGCCGGAGCGAAAAGGAACTCTACCGTGGCTTGACTCGAATTCCTTAGCAAGGCGTTCTTGGCATTCTGGGCTGACTGAAGCCCACACATCATGTATTGAGGGGTAAAGATTGTAAACATACCTAGCTATGCCTCAGAGAATGCACTCGATTATGATGCTTGAAACCCATTCTGCCTTGATTCTCCTGTGACCATGCCTAACGCAGTATTTTGGTGCGGCAATTCGGACTTGATGATCCGGTGTCGAGGCCTTCATGGGCAATCCTGCGCAGAGTTCTGCTTAAGAGGTGCACTATCTGTTCGTGGCTGGTGAGCGACAAGGACTTAGCGTGCCCCTTATCGGCACCAGGTGCGTTTGTGAAGTGCTGGTTGACATGTGCAACGAGGCGCTCGCAGCCAGGAAATGCTTCTTGCGGTAAGGTCAAGCAGGAGGTCGAAGGTGCAGCTCGTGGCTAAGGTGAAGGTCGCCAGCGTGTACCTTAGCCTAGCTAGTAGTCAGGCCAATAAGCGTGGTGCAATTCTTTCACATGCCCACGGGCGGTGAGTGATCGAGGGTGCGTGAAGATGAGGTGTCAAGGTCGAAGTGGTTGATATGTGGCTGGTGTGGGTACGTCCGCTAGCTCTGCCCAGAAGCGAGCGTATCAATTGAGCACGGCGCCCGAGTGGCTGCCTTCTTTGGACTCAATGGTACCTTGGTGGCTGAGATACAAAGTCCGACAGCCGCTGGGGCTTCATTAGCCAAGGAACGTCCGACGAGCATCCTTCTACCCAGATGGCAGAGGAGATAGTCGTGATAGTGTTGTGTGGACCATGTTACATGCCCAACAGCAACGAGGTCTGCCGTTCGTGATTCTTCCCATAGAATGCTTACAGCCAGCATATGTTACCGCATTGCGCTCGTAATCTGGCTTTATTTCTTGCCTCGCCCCTTCTTCTTCCCAGACGCGGGCTTGGGGGCAGCATGCTCAGGATGATCCTGGAGATGCTGGAATAGTCTCGTCTTAGTGGCGTACGACTTGTCGCAACCAGCGCATTGTTGACTCGTCTCACTATCGTCAGTAGCGGCCGCAGCAGCCTTCTTCGCTCGCTTCTTAGCTGCTGCGCCCATCTTCTTGCCTGTTGGCGCCTCACTTGCGTCGTCCGCCGCTAGCGAAGTGCCCTCGTCAACGTCTGTCGTAGTACCTGGCGTGCTCAATCCACTATCTAGATGTGAGGATGTAAGGCGGGCTGCAATTGTCTCGGGAGATGCGTAGTCTTCGTCTGCTGAGTCCGAGTCCTCGGATGATATATGTGCCTCTGCACTCTTCTGTTCACCATCCCCCTGATCCGCAGAGAGATCTTCTGGACCGCGGCTAATATCACCTGCGGCTTCTTTGTCGCTCTTTTCGTCATTGTGATCAGCAGCCTCGTGTTGATCATCTCCAGTGACTCGAGTCTCATCTGCTACAGCCTCTGTCTCAGCACGGTCTACCGGATCATCATCATCGTACTCCGTATCAAAATCAGGCGTGACGACTCCGCTGCTAGCTGCGCTCAAGTCCAGGTCGGCATTGTCTTTCCGCATCTTCTTCTGGAGTGCATAGACAGCTTTCTGATGCTTTTTGCTCTTCTCGTGCGCCTCCCATTGCTTTTCACTCTTGAAGATCTTGTTGCAAGCCACACATTCGAAGACGTGCTCCTCTTCGCTCTCCTCGTCGAACGTGCCTTCCATCTCGGCCAGCGGATCCGGCTCACGAGATTGCGTCCACTCTGGGACTTCAGCATTGAGCTTGGCTTCGTTCTCAGCCCTTGCCCGTGCTGCTTGTGCGGCAGCTGCATCACGCAAGACCTTTTGCCGGTCAGCCTCAGTCTGGGTTGACGGCACATAACGAGGATCACGCTTTCGCACGAACGCTACAAGCGATCTCACGGCATCATTGAACTCGCGGATACCGTCCTGACGAAATCTCTTATTCTCCTGCTCCATACGTCGCCGGTACCATCTGTCAGGGGCTTCAGATAGCCGGTATCGATCCTTCCAAGAAAAGTCCTTTGCTGTTGAAAAGCCAGTCCAGGCACTGTAGAAAATCTTGGGCACATCCTCATATGTGTCATCTTTATGACCAAAAGTTGGATACTCTGGAAACACTGTGCCAGCAAGGCCGCTGGCAATCTGTTCCTCCTTCGCCAGTCGCTCGAATGTCTCTCGCACGAAGCCGAAGAAACCAGACGGAGCATTCGTGAACTCTACATTCTTGTTGAACTTGCCTACTATACGAGCCAGATCGTCTGCAGATGTGGCACGTATGTTTTCATATGTGGGTACAGCCTCATCATCATCACCTACGTCGTCGCCACGCAAGATCGCACTTTCATGAGAGTCATACCAAGCTCGCTCCTGCGGGTCAGACAGCACCTCATATGCTGCCTGGATCTCAGCGAAGACCGTGGTGGCCTGCTCTTCATTCCCATGATTGCGATCCGGGTGAAGCTGAAGAGCTTTTTTCCGATATGCTTTCTTCAATTCTTCGTCTGTGGCTTGCCTCTCCACGCCCAGCAGTTCGTAGTAGCTGGTCTTGCCGACTTCCTCCGGACTCTGCGTTGCCGAACTCTGGCCGGCGCCCATGCTGCACAATCTGCACCTTTCTTCAAATATCAGCGGCCAAGAGACTCCGCCGAGTGGTGTGTCGGCTTCATTGCCGAAGTATGGAGTTCGCTCCGGTACAGTTTCGCCAAACATGTGGATATCGCATTATCATCACTAGCGGTGAACCTTGCTAGCCGATCTCGGCCATCTCCATGCAATCTACATAACTCGACGGCCAACGTTTGGACAATTTTCCTCGCCATATGCAATTTGTGACCAGTCACCAAGCAGCAAAGAAAGCGCCACGAGGCTGGGCTTTGGTTGGTTGACCAAGACTGCATGAAAGAGCGGCTGGAAGCGGCAAGAAATCACGCGAGCGCTTTCTTGCACTCCTTCTCGTAGTCCAGCAGTCAGGACGGTGTGCCGTCTCCGTCCTCGCGCCGCCGGCATAAATGCGAGACCTCAGCAAAGTAGTGAACGTACTTCCCCAATCAAAAGACTAGGATGTCCAACCACAGAGTTCTTCTACCCTCAACTCTAATACTATAAGATAGTTCGTTGCCACTTGATGCGACACGTGCTACTCATTTGTCTGAGAAAGTCGCACATCACATTACTCACACCTACATCAGAAAGAGACTTCGGCGAAGTATATCATCTTTTTGCCTGCAACAATTATCATCTTCGAATGGTTCTCAGGCATCCGCAAACATGAAATTCGGACATGAATACGAGCAAAGCTTGGCAGAAGCACGCTTCCCAGAACAGTGGCTCGGAAGTGCTATCGACTACAAATACCTCAAGAAATGCATCAAGAAGGTGCATAGAGAGCTTGATCAGTGCGGCCTGGACCCAGATACCATAGTCCGACTGAGCAAAGATGCCGATGGCACTGGTGAACGCCGTCTCAGTACTGTTCGACAACAATTACAGGCTGCCCAAGCGCCCGATGAATCGCCTCTTAACTCCATAACGGAAGAATTCAGCCCACAGCTTCGAGTCCTGGTGGACAGCAAGACTGGCACTCCGCTGGACGCCACGCTGACTGAGGAAACGAAGGTTGGCCTGCAGAAACTGGCGCAGCACGAGACAACAATTGGCCACCAGAACCCACATTTGGCAGCCCACGCCACTCATGCTGTGCTCGGGCATAACGGCGGTCCTGTCACGCAAGAACGAACAGTGTCTCCACCACCAGACACAAGCGACGCCAAGTGGGTTCAGATACCCCTAGCTGCTGCAAAGGACTTCTTCGATCTCCTTGGACCCAAGCTTGATCAGCTCGAGCAGCTCCGGATTGTCGAGACTGAGAAGCTTGAGATGGAGATACTGGATCTAGGCGATATGGTCGAAGACGTTGTGGAGCCCGTGCGGGAAGGTTATGAAGCTGTGCGTGAAGTCAACTACCGCGATCTATACTTCTGGCGCGAGATGTTTCGGATGTACATGGAAAATCCCATCTTCTACGATAGCACGGAACAGAGGCGCGGGGCTGTTACATACGAAGAGGCCAAGACCCGGCTCGAGGCCTACAAACAGCAGCTGAAAGACACTGGATTACTCGCAAAGATGAAGACGCCAGAGGCACGCAAAGCCGCCAAGCAATTCCTGAAGCTCAATGTCGACATCCTCAGCATCATGCGTTTTCAGGAGATGAACAACAGAGCCATGACTAAGATTCTGAAGAAGTTCGACAAGCAGACGCATCTCGAGGCGCAGCCATTTCTAAAGGAGCTCGTGGAGAAGTACCCGGCTCTCACACCGGCATCTGCCAATGGCGGCGCAGCGAAACATTCGGGAGGCTTCGCAGAATGCATCGCCCGCGACCTACATGCCGAGATATCGACAAAAGTGCTTTCCATTGTCCCTCAAATCCAAGACTGGACATGTCCGGTGTGCACTGAGATGGCGTGGCGACCAGTGAGTCTAGGCTGCTGTCAAGCACTTTTCTGCATCCGCTGCGTGATTCACATGCAGGACGAGAACATGACGAGGTGTCCCGCATGTAATGCAGAGACAGTGATGAAAGCCGATGGTCGAAACATCAATTTCGAGGCAATGGATTTCTTGGAGAAATATTTTCCCTTGGAGACGAAGAAGCGGCAGAAGGATAATGAGAAGGCCAGTCTGGAGAGGACTTATGGGGAGGAGTTCACCAAGCCTGGGTGCTCGATCATGTAATTCGCAAGTTATTCCACTCTGATTTCTTGAGCAAAGGACACAACAGCACAGTAATGAATGAGGATGGTTTGACGCAATACGATGATGCAACATGATACCCCGCACACGTCAGGATGGCAGGTACGCTTTCTCATAGGGTTCAAGGTATTATATTTTAATTCTCTCGGCATCAACATTTAGAAATCTTTTCGTGCTTAACGCATGCTCTAGAATACTCATCAGAAAGGGCTCACCATCAATACTGCTATCAAGGTACAACATGACGACTTCACAAGCCCATCCAGATTCAAATCTCTTTCCGCACGCCACTGGTCCCGCGTACGACATAGCCAAGGCACACGAGGTCGAGCAGCCACTGAAATTATACTCAGGTATTCCAAGCGCCGTCGACGCCTCCAAATTATTTATCCAACTCACAGATGACAGGCTGGTTCTGCCCCTTCGTCCAGCGTGCCTGGACTGTTCTCGAGGAGAAGAAGATACCCTACGAATATATCGAAGTGAATCCATATCACAAGCCGGAGTCATTGCTCAAACTCAACCCGCGAGGTCTCGTCCCGACATTACAATATAATAACAAGCCGTTGTATGAAAGCACGGTGATTTGTGAGTTTCTCGAGGATGCGTATCCGGACCATGGACCCAAGCTGCTACCCGGCGATGTGTACGACAGAGCTAGGACGAGGATCTGGACGGTGAGTTCAGGTTGACATATGATCGTGAAGTCTGAAGTGTGAATATGCACTGACGTGTCCCGGTGCAGGACTTCTGCACCAGCCGCATCATCCCAGCTTTCCACCGCTTCCTTCAATTCCAGCCTATGGACGACAAAGATGGTCTCAAGCAAGCTCAACAGGAATTCCTGAGCAAACTGAAGGAATTCGCGAAGGAAATGGACAAAACAGGACCTTTTTTCCTAGGCTCCGAGCCATCGCTCATTGATTTCGTGGTTGCTCCCTGGGTGTCAGTATCGATCGTTACCATCGCAGTGGTGATTTACTACGATCATGACTAACTCGTTATGATCAGGATGCGCCTGTGGGTATTTGATTACTACAAGGGCGGCTTAGGTCTGCCTGTTCCTGGCGAAGAAAGTGGCGAAGACGCTGAAATATGGAAGAGATTCCGAAAATGGCAGCACGCTCTAGAACAGCGCCCGAGCATCAAGAACACCACCAGCGAGACCGAGAAGTATTTGTCGATCTACCGGCGCTACGCGGACAATACTGCTCAGAGTGAATTAGCGAAGGCCACAAGGAGTGGGAAGGGTGTGCCGTAGTCAACACTGATTGATTCGGATCCAGGAGGGATGTACTTTTGGTGAACAAGGTGCGAGAAACGACCAGTTGATGCTCGTGAAGGAACCTTCGTTTCAGTGGGTACATGAACGATAATTTGCCCCTACCTGAAGATCTCTCTCACTTCCACACGATTCCCGATCACATCAAAAATGTCCTACAACAGATTTACTTCCGATGGGCAACGTCAACGAGCTGCTTCCATACAGGCCATGGCTGGTGCTCAGGTCGATGGAGTGAGCTGAGGATTCCCTGACCTAAGGCATCCAAAAGCTATCATTACTGACCAAGGTTCGCTCATAGCATACTGCCGAAACGAGCGCTGCCGACTCCTCCATATCGATCGAGAGACCGAGACTATACCTTGCCCGGGCAGTCATCATACTACGAGCCGCAAGTCAAAACGAGCTTGCTGATCAGTACGAGGCTGCTGCCATACGAGACTTCGGAGAAGCAGAATGGAGAGATGATGTCCACGATGCCGAGCAGCTCGAGCATCCCTGTCCTCTTTAAATCATCCCCGAAGTATCCCATGAATCAGCTTTTCAAACAGTGAGGTCAGACCAAGGATGTCCTTAGGTAGCCAGAGAAGTAGCTGTCTGCCCAGGGAGGAAAAGCGACACCGGAGCACAAGAAGAACAAAACATACAGCAGCAGGTATCCGCTTTCCAGTGACGCTCTCGCATTCCACCTGGCCCACCAGTAATTATGATGCAGGCGTCTATCTACACATGCTCCCTTGCCTTCAGGGAATCTGGAAGTGTCCCCTCAAGGAGGACGCTGACTGCGTCCATGTCCTGGTCGGCATTGATAGTTGCGAGCTTCTGCTTGGATGCAAAAAGTTCAACCACCTTCCCAGTCGCCTTTTGAAACGTCTTCATACGTTTGGAAACATTGTCTGCAGTGGTATCATCGAAACGTCCACGGCTTCCTAGCCGTTGTGCAAGTACCTCTTCCGGACAATCTAGGACTATGATCTGACGAACAGGGGCGATCTGATTCTCGAAATATTCACACTGGTCTAAAGACCTAGGAAAGCCTGGCATTGTTCGTTAGTACGTCCGATTAGGTGACCCATGACCAGCTTACCTACCATCGAGAACAAATGTGCAGACTCCTTTTCGAATCGCTTCCTCAATATGTTGCTTGACTATCCCCACTGTGAGTTCTTTGGGTCCCACACGACCAGCCAACATGTTGTCCTTGATAATGCTGGCGTATGGGCTGTCCTCCCTCTCCATCTCGGCCCTCATTACATCACCAATGCTGATATGTTTTAAAAGATACTTCTGCTCAAGGCGGGCGCATTGTGTGCCTTTCCCAGAGCCTGGTCCACCGAGTATTCCGATGACCAATATGTCCAGCTTCGAAACAGTGTCTTCAAGCGCCATTTTAGAGCGCGGTAGCAGTAGTGTCTAGCAATCGCATAGCCAGAAGCAAAAGAAGAGTAGGTTCGAGGTAAGAGAGCATGGTGGGGCAATCCAGCTTTCCCATTATTTTGACGATTGGCCTGTCATGAACAGAGCGTGCAAACACGTGAGTTGGTTTTCGTTTACTGGGCAAACATGGCACCTTCACTGCACGAAAAGAACCGCGGAAAGCGATAAAATAACGCAGTCAACATTCCCAAGTGGAGGGGTTCGATTGGTCTTGAACCGTAGATTTGTGGGAAACGGACAGTTCCGTTGCCGGTTTGAGCCAATTCGCGAAGCAAACACTTCGCATTATCCAAGAAGTCTGGGTACGGTATCAGAACAGGTCTGCGCTTCCATGTGCGACAGCTTTGTGTCTCGATTGTAGGAAATCATGGGTGCAGTGTTCTCGGCTCATCGCGAAGACGAAGACCCGGACTTCGTGTCGTTTGGCCTTGTGGTATTGGACGAATTGCATTTTCCAGACAAGGGCAATCTATACGATGTGCCTGGAGGCTCAGGCTCCTTTGGTCACTCTCCGATGCAGTTCTCCTCACGTCTGTCGATATGCTGACACGCTGCAAGGCACGTTTGGAGCCCGCATCGCCATTCCAGCAGCTCGCTCGAAAACAGTCGCTTGCATCATCGTAATGGGCGATGATTTCCCAGAGGCAGTGCTCAAGCAGTTTCAGTCATGGGCTCTAAACCTCCTGATTCGTAAAGTGCCAGGCGCAAAGTCAACACGAGGGCTACTTGAGTACAAGGACAAGGCTTTTGGGCGTGAGTTCATTCGCCATTGTGGGGTCCCTTCAAGCGTCTACTAAAGTACCTCATCGGCAGGCAAGACATTTCGGTATCTGACACCGCCGTTGAATACGACTCCTGAGCTCCTCGAGGACTCAAATCTGCTTTACTCAGCATCTTTCCATTTTCTCGCACGACCCGAAGACTTAGAAACACAAGTAGCAAATCTTCTTCGTCGGCGAGCAGAGAGAAGTAAGACCGGCCGGCCACTGCTTGTCTGGGAGCCCGCGCCTCCGTACTGTAATTCGCGTACTCGTACTGCGCATCTGGAGATGTGCAAGCGAGTTGATGTCTTCTCACCTAATCATCTCGAACTTATCTCTCTTTTCGAAGACCATGAGCATATAGAGCAGCCGTTTGATCGCAAGCAAGTTGAGAGATATGCAAGATGCTTCCTTGATTCAAGCTTGGAAGAGAGTCAAGCCGGCGCCAAAATCGTAATACGCGCCGGTGAACATGGCTGCCTGTTCATGTCCAACATGGATGAGCCCACATGGCTGCCAACCTTCTACGATTCTACATCGGTCAAGATTGTGGATGCTACTGGCGCAGGCAACGCATTTCTCGGTGCTTTGGCAATCACGCTTCGGAGAACCAACGACCTCAAAGAATCGGCAATATATGGGAGTGTGGCTGCCAGTTTCGCTTTAGAACAAATTGGCCTTCCCACTACCAGCATACGACGTGGCAAGGAAGTCTGGAATGGGGTCGAGTTCACGGCAAGGCTCATGGAATATAGACTAACACTGGTCAACTGAACGGAGCAACTCTCCATGACGGGTGACCATTTGTGTCGGGTCGCTTTCACTCTCAACTCAGCTAAAGCTTCCAGAATACTAACCGTGACCGTTCTCTCAAACCCAGACTCTGTCAAGTAGATTGACCAACACGGGTGAGATACGCATTCCAACCTGCCTGCCTGTACTCTTGCGCTGTTTTGGTCGGATCCTCGGATGCGTAGATGCCCCGGCCAGCAATAATGAAATCAGCACCACGTGCGACAGCATCCGAGGGCGTCTGGTACTGTTGACCCAAGTTGTCACCCTTGCTAGCGATGTTGACACCCGTGGTAAAAACAATAAAATCCTCTCCAGCGATGCCGGCGCTTGGAAGCAAGTCAGATAGCGCTCTGGTGGCAACAAAGCCTAGCATTGACTTTGGGTTCTTTCTCGCCAGCTCTATGCACTTTTCAGTATAAGAGCCTACCGCAATGCTTCCCTTGGACGTCATCTCGGCGAGGATAAGGAATGCCCTCTCTCCAGGATACGGGAAATTCGGCGCATTAACCGTCTGCGTCAAGGCGTCCACGATGCCGTCTCCACCAAGAATGCTCAAGTTGACCAGATGAGCAAACTCGGAAATGTGCAGTACACCTCCATGGTATTGCTTTTGCACAGTGCTACCTATGTCGACAAGCTTGCGGTCCTCGAAGATGAGAAAATTGTGCTTCTTGGCCAATTCGTTGAGACCCTTGACAGTACTACTGTCGAAGTCGCTCACGAGATCCACATGGGTTTTGAAGACGGCTAGGTATGGCCCAAGGCCTGTTCCAGTAATTAGTCAGTGGTCATAGCAGCTGAGTTTAGGAGTCACATACTATCCGCGGCCTGCAAGAGGCTCTTCGAATCCGTGAAATCAGCCGACAAAACCAGGTTAGATTGTTTGGCCTCCGCGATGTCAAAGAGCCGGCGGGCGAGAGGATGTGCATGCTGCTCTCCACGAGTCGAATAAGACTTGGTTGATAGAGAAGTCATGCTGATGTATTTTGAGTTTGGATGGCTGCTCCGACTCGCGTTGTGGTTGAGGTTGAATCAGAGAGGCCAAAGGACCGAGAATCCCTCCACGTCTTAACTCAGTCTCACAGCCTTATTATACCTGCCTTCGCACAGACAAGGCAAGAAAAGCAAGGCCTTGTGTTGGTTTGGCCTGAAAGGGGAGATCATGCATGCGTTTGCACTTGTTGCCTTATTGTGGCGTTGACGGAGGCAACTACAGACCCATGAATTTGCGGATGTGGGGCAGGGTACCTTGGCGGCTACTGCACCTCGAGCATCAAGAAGGCAGCCTTTGCGTACATCGAAGCGCATCAATACGCAGACATGCCTGTACCAGTGAAGATTGTGGGTAGATACGTGGCGGACCGTCGTAGACATGATGAGGATCAACATCGATCATAGGAGGGGCCCTGCCGCGACTCGCATGAAGCTGAAGCTGGAAGCGAAGACGGGCGACGCCATCTATTCCACGCTGATCGTTCAGACGTTGTGATTGTGCTTGATCAACAGCGCCACGAAAGCCTCGCGCGTTTGGAGGTTGGGAGTCTGGGACATTGGTGTGCGTCAACTTTTGGCGGTTCGTACAGCAAATACTCGACCTTTCCCGGAGTGAAGCAAGATAGGTCTGAGGCTTCCAACTCTGCTGCAACGACCGCAAAGTGGCCGCGACACCACGATTGCCCATACACTCCGGCACTGCTTTGCCATTCCGTATGCGAGTCGTGCAGGTGATCACATTAAGGCTCCGCAGATCCGCACCGCAGATCCGTGCCGCAATCAGCCACCAGCCTGGGTTGCGCAGAGAGCATGCATATCACAGACCGGTGAGTATCTTGTTCCAGCCTGATGGCTATGGCGGTGCAACCGAAGGACCGGGAGCTCTCCCATCCCCCCCCCGTTCCAAAAAGAAGCCTTGCGCGTTCTCAGCCGCGCGACAATATTGTATCTTCAGATCGCTCTAATTCAGCCTTCTGGGCTGCTGTGGTCGAGAATCCGCCTTTACTATGGAGTTGTATGGGAAAGACAACAAGCAGCTCGATGATTATATCGAGAGCTTCAAGTCGGATGCAATATCGGTAGAGCTTATTGAGGTTTTCAGGAAACGCGGAAAGTCACACGAGGTAGTCCAGGAGAGCCATGCTGACTTCGAACACCTCAAGACGTATCTCTGCCGGAAGGTTTGTGTCTATCTTCAGCGTAGGTTATGGTCCGCAGTGCGAGATAGCTGAGTGTTCTACAGGCGCCTTCTCACCAAGTCATTCGCGTTTTGTAAGTAGCGATAGTGTCGACCACCTTCCGCGTCGCTTCCTTCAAGGGTAACGGCTGACGATGCCGCTCATTGACAGGAGCGTTACACAATTGTCTGGACCCTTGATCAGACTCCTCGGCAGCAAGTACGAGATGGACTATGAGCTCTGGACTTCGCAATTTCAATCAAGCGACAGAGAGTGGTTTGCTGGCCCACTCATTGAGCGAGGTAAGTGTCATCCCCAATCAGCAACAATGCATGAGATTTCCTGACCTGCTTGCACAGGTGCTCGCCGCTTCTCGCACTTCAATCTTTCGTGTGTAGACTTCAAGCGAGCGACGCCAGAGACGCCACCAGAATACCAATCAAATCGAAGAATTAGTCACACAGTCCGACTGGTCAGGCTTCTGAACTTGATTTCGAGGAAAGGAGGCCAACCTGTCGCCACGTCGCGAGTCTTCGTCATCAGAAGAATATCGGGGCATATCCGAAAAGATGAGGGCCTCTGGACCTTCATATATTTCTGCTACCCAAACACGGATTTGGCCGACGCACATCTTGTGACTGACATCCCCGGAGGCGTTCAGCCACACTTCACGACCTGGATAACCGACTTTTTGCAAGCCGCATCACCAACCGAACTGCTGGACGATCTCAGTCACGATGGGTATGGCTTTGTACTTCGAGTCCTTCGCGAAATCAAGACAACTTGGAAGTTGTTGCTCAATGAAATGGAGGTATTCCTGGAAGACCTAGTCAGTGTTCGAGCCTTCGAGAGTTAAATGATTTGGTACTGACCTTCTGCAGAATGGGAGCATGAGTGACGACGAACTAATGGACTCGGCCACGTGGCTGCATCGCCAATTCATCTCCAATCTCGACTACTTTCAACGACAACTACTCTATCATCAGCGCTATGTCACCTACCTTATGAACGCACCTGCTCAAGAAGGCCTCTGTATTGCCCCGACTGTGTTTGGGAAAGATCTCTTACAAGAAAACAATGCTCTACGTGTGGTCGACCAGAGGCTTGCAGCACTAAGAACTCAGACTACAGCAATCCTTAATACTGTTAGTCTCCGTGATCACTTCACGAGCACTCTGTACTGACTTATTCCAGGTCGTCAATCTCAGCGCTGTACAACAAGCACGGCTGGCTCAGGAAATGACACTTTTGCAGCGGAAGGACGCCATCCTTACATTCAATCAGGGAGAAAGCATCAGGCGATTGACTATCCTTAACATGATATATTTACCTGCAACTTTCATAGCGGTAAGTCATGGTATGAAGCGATAGTATTTACACACTCTTCTGACCATTCGTGAATCAGACCGTTTTTGGAATGAACATTGTCGAGAACAACCGTATTGGAATTTGGAGACTCTGGACCTTTGCACTTATATCTGTGTTGCTCACAGCGTTTACGCTATGTTTTGCCATCTTCAAGGTCGAGAATACTTCCAATGCAGAAGGCTCGGCTCTGCCAGGCCTGTTGAAAGGCGTCATGGGAGCGGATATCGAGCCTCCACTCTCTTCCGACGCAGCTGACGGTCGGGACGACGAGTCCAGTAGTGCACCTAACTCGTTATCGACCGTTTATCGATGGTTGAGATCGCTAAGAGTGGTAAGAACGCATAATGATGAGAAACCAGCTCGATATATTGCATGATATATATACCATCTCAAGTCCCCATGGATTGGAATCAGCTCAAGAGTGATATCCTCTACAGCCCCATTGATTTGACCGGTTATTGTCAGTGTATTTGATATGCGGTCTTATGGAGAATCAGGCTGCATCTTTTGTGTATGTTTGGGGGTGGCTTAGGTGGACGCAGCTAAAAGACGATCAGATCGGTTGCCTTCGTGCGGGGCGTCAAGACTATGCATGTGTTGCAACCATCACAGCTGCAAGGCTACTACGGCGCGGCATGCAGATTGACGAGGCGCTTTTGATCAGGATGAAGCCTCTTTCCCAGGCTATAAGTGACCGCGCCTTTCCCCGTGCGATGTTCTGATTTCACGAAACAGACACCTATTGTATCCATCAGTAAGATCGCTTTCGCTAATCATGCATCAAATCTCAAAGGAGCTGGGGCGATCGGTCCAAGAAGATTCGGAGACTGCCAATGGTGATTGTAGTGGAGACAAGGCTCTGGTGCGAGCACTATGCTTTTACAATGACCCACCGAACGGCGAGTCTCCCAGATATGTCGTCGTGCCCGACCAAACCCCCGGGATCAGGAATTACAGTCATCATAAAGTCTTGGTATCTATCAATGATGTTCGCGGCTCCAGGCAGAGATTCACACTCGAAAGCAACTCATTTGCACCATACCCCAACACATTCAAGCAGCAAGTGCATATTGACTATGACGAAGATGATGATGTCCGCGGTATCTACCTTCCATGGGTTGGAGAATTCGTCAGGGCAAGTGTTGTTGGCGATGTGAAGGTTTTGATTTGGGACTACACTGTACGCAAAGCGTCGAAAATCAAGAGAGCAAACCGCCAAGTCAATAAGATCCATATCGACCAGTCTATCGCCGGGGCACTCGGAAGGGCTCGTCGCCACCTCTTACCAGAAGAAGCAGAGAAGGTCTTGGCAGGCCGACTGCGATTTCGCATCATCAACGTCTGGAAGCCAATCAGAGGGCCTGTCCTGGATCATCCAATGGTTTTCGCAGATCATCGCTCCATCATGCAGAAGGACTTGGTGGCAGTACCCCAGATATACCCCGACTATGTCGGCGAAACGTATGCGCTAAGGTATGGCGAAGGTCAGAAGTTCTGGTATTGGAGTGAGATGACGACCGCGGATGTGCTGCTACTGCAGTGTTTCGACAGCAACAGATGCGAGTGCGGCGCAGAGGGGATGCAGCATGTACAATGCGCACATGGATCATTCGAGCTCAACCCTTTTGGCCAAGAAATGCAGAACCGAATGAGCATTGAGGTCCGCTGCCTTGTGGTTGGACAAAACGAAAGCCGTCATTGTATATTTGCCCGTTGCTGGGAACTCGATTTCCTCCTCGACCATGGCACTGCTTAGGAAGAGGCCACTGTGATAGGCTGCAGCCGTGGGGTGTGTAGTGAAGGGCTTCCCCTTTCGGTTAGTAAAATGCGGGAAGAACTGCATGTTCCGCTTCGCAGGCCCCGGCAACATGGTTCATCTTCCTGTAGCTCTACAATCGTAACACTCTGGAACGCTCTTAGGGATATGGTTGTCATCTCCTGGAGTAAGTCAGGTGTTGCGACTGGAAGTCGGTCTTTTGTTGTCTTCGTGGCTGGCTTTTGATCGGCCCATTCATGCTCCTCGACACACATCCCACCTGGCAACCCTACGAGGCACTCTTGGGCTTTGTTCTGGCCCTAGATCTAGTAGGCTCCAGACGCGATGTGTCAAAGTTGAAGAGCCGAGCCATGGTGCCTGGTTGAAGGAAGGTGGAATGGCTTTATAGTCCATCGAGCAGCCAGACAGTGGCTGCTTGACGCGAACGAATCAGGTGGACGAGCTCCTGATGCGCTAAGAGGGAACACATTGAGGGCTGCTATTTGTGGCCTGCATGTTCGGGACTCCCTAAGTATCTTAACAATGTATTCCAGACATCAGAGCAGTCGCAACGCATCACAGACTCTCATACCAAGGCCACTAATGCAGCTTACGCCCGAATACCTCCACGACAAGCCACTCATCCTTGCCACGACGGATCATCATTGAGCAGATCCCGTCCATTATTATGCGCGCAAGGAGCCTCCGGATTACCATGACTCCCGGCACCCGCCCTACTACGCCAATACGTCTTGGCCCACTTGGGAAGATCAATATACCCATTCTGCCACATTCCACACTGATCATCCAGCATGATGTGGAAAGTGTTCACTTCGCCGGCGTCTCCGCGCACCAATCCAGCGTAGTTGTACAATCCCAGCAAAGCCTTTCCGGTCTGACAGTAGTACCACCATTGTCCCGGAGACTTCCAATGGTAGGCTGCCACGCCGAGCCAGGCCTCGAAGCAGTTTCGAGCGGATTCGTAGTCGTCTTGGCTGGCGATGGTGAAGCCTGTGCAGGTGACTGCGGCTGGGGTACCAAAGCCTCTTTTGATGACGCCGGAATTGGAAGTGGTGTCGGTCTCAACAGTGTTCGCCAAACGATCGGTCTGTATACCCTCGAGAGCAGTAATCTCAGGCACGTATGCACGTTCTTCCTGGTCTGTAGTCGGGCTGGATGGCACTGCGACAATGCCAAGGGCAGAAGTCGCCAGAATGACTATTTTACTGTACTTCAAGATGGATGTCCGAGTGCGTGGGAAGGTGAAGGATAACAAGAAGCAAGATAGTGTGTAGATACTATGACAAGCTTGTTACAATATTAAAGCAGTCGGTGATGCCAAATGTCTCACCTTGCGGGATAACAGCTCCATTGCCACGGCAGCCTGGTTGTATGAGAGTGTCGCAGTTCCCCACCTGTTGAGATGGACTCGGCCGTAGAGTACCACAAAAGCCGTATGGTGGCACACGTGATTATTGACGGGTGCTTCAGATTGTTACATTGTGATTGACGGGTGCTACGTGTGATCGTTGACGGGTATTTCGACTTGTCCCATCGTGAATAGCCTGTGCGACCGAGCAAGTGACGGCCTTTAACAGTGATACAATCCTTGCAGTTGCACACACGAATTCCTTATTCCGGATAGTGACAATCTGATCTTAAATGCCTGCCAGCTCCGTTGCTGGAGGAGCCGAGATAAGAGATAAGTGCCACCACGGCCCTGTACTCCGCTCGCAGCGTAGCAGCCAGCTGTGTAGGCCAGGGCGTCCAAAATTTCATGGCGACCAGATCGGATGATGCACAGTCAAACCCGTGATGGGAGCGGCATGCACTTCCGTAGCCTGGAGAGGCAGCCGCGGGTCTCTTGGAAAGTAAATCGGGAAAGGAGTCGGCAGACTACCAATTAACCTAATCATCAGGATACTCGTCCCTGATATTACTCACAAACACCCCCGCCCTCCCATCCCACCTCTTGAACCACCGGCCGGCCAGCGCCAAAACAGCCCGGCTAGGCTTCTCCTTCACCACCTCGATATTCTCTTCCGCCACATATCGGACACTTTTATCCGCCGCCCTGTGAAAACACAACAGTCAGCGTGCAATCTCATCCACAAACCATGGGACACAGAGGTCGGGGTCGATACTCACACGACATTATAGAACGGCTGCTCCCTGCCCCTCGGCAACCGATCCACACCCATCTGCTCAATCCACCTCGGCTCGGCACTACACTTAGTATCCCACCCCACCACCACGCCCTCATACCCATACCTCCGATGTCGAAACAAGGTCCCGATCTTACACCCCACCCCTCCCGTCCCCGGGATAGGGAAGAGACCCGCTCGTAACTGATCCCGACTCGGCCTTTTAGATATCGGTCTCGCATTCGCATCCCCCGTCCGAGCGGTCGTGACGAGGTGCAGAAGGACGTGGTGTTCGCGTTCGTTTCCTAGCATGGGGATCACGAGCGTCTCGATCAAGCCTAGGTCTTCGGGGAAATGGGCTTGGTAGTGTTCGATCAAGTAAGGGAGGCATTGGCGGCGGCGGTGCAGGGTGGTGGCTGCGTTGGTATCGCCGAGCACGAGCATGGACCAGAGCATACTATACCATGCTGCGTCGATGTCGGGATAGAATGGTCCTTCTCCTTCACCTCCATCATCACCGCCCGCTTGTCGCTGGAGATCTCGCGCTTGTTGCACAGAGTTCATGATGTTCCTTCCCGTCCGCAAGGCGATTTCCAACGTACTGGATGGACCGAGATGATAGGAGTGTTGGGCCCGCGGGGCACCCATCTGTAAAAGGCGACTGGACAGGGCTTCGCGGGGGAGTTCGGTCTCGCTGCGCCAGGGGTCCATGTGCATGATATCAGCCGGATTATCGTAGTCCAATTCCCGGGTTGCGGAGCGAGGGCCACCGTCTAGAGTCGTATCGAGTGGTGTTTGAATGACGGCGTGCACGTGATGCGGGTAATTTGACGGACGGGCATCGATGCCTAGGCGGCGGGAGATGGCGCAGTAGATCGCTACCGATTGTAGTGGGAGGGAGGTATGAGGTGAGTCGAACAAGGCTATGGAGATGAAGTTATTACGCAGGGCATGATAGTCTTCTTCGCCCGGGTTGCCCACGAGATTATGCTCGCGGAGCCAGCGCGCGACTGCGATGGCTTTGTCGCGGATGGTCCAGGCGTCGAAGTGAAGGTCTTGGGATTTAATCGCATCGGCCACGCGGTTTAGTTCGCGGTCGATGTCGTTGAGGTCGCCTTTCTTGCCCGCGAGGACGAAGAGATCGTATGCACCGAGGACTTCTTCAAGCCGCACCATTTGCTGCTTTTGCAATCTCATCCATTTCTCCAGAGCAGTTGCGCGGTGTATCTGGCCCAGAATAGCATCGGCGTAATATCTTCTCGCCAAGACGTCCTCTGCATCGTCTGGTGTATGATCCCGCTCCCGCAATAATAGATCTTTTACATCATACCCATGCTTTGCCACTTTCTCCATCCGATGGATCCGATGCTGCTGTGTCTTCAGGAGCGCCTCGAACAGCTGTTGTGCTTCCTTATCCCTCTTCTTGCGCTCTACGAAGAGGGCTCGCCACTTGGTCTGAGCGGGTGGCTGCTCAAGCCTGTCTTCGATATCATGGCTGGGTTGCCAGTACCGAAACTCCCGAACACAATGCGATCGCCATATTAGTGGTTCGTAGGTGGTTTTGTTGTTGCGTCTGCATGTCCTACCGAACGCGACGGTGTCCAGTGGAGGAAGATAGGTCACGATGATTTCGAGCAACTCCTCGGGAAGATTCGTGAAGGGTAAGAGGGACATGGTGGTCATGTGTGATTGATCTTGTCCTTCTGCTTTCCCCTAATCGTGTCAAGTGGTATGCAACGGCTTGGCGACTTCACACGTCCAGCATTACAACATCTCGATTACTGTCCACATTTGTGATATCGTGTGAGCATTGATGACGTCGGGCAAGACGGATCGATAGATCTCTCGGCTCTCGGGCATATCAAGCCCTAGCCCTAGCCCTAGCCCTATGGGACAAGCTCGGCGGGCCTCAAAGACTATCGCAGGACTAGCAGGTACACGGTCTAGTTTGTTCACTTTCATACCGTACGCAACACGGGATGGACCAATTCTCCTCACTTCACCATGCTTGGCAGGCAATACGTGTCGACCACCTGACCATGCACCTAAGACCTTCACCACCTCGGCCAACGGCTTCTACGGTGTCTCCAGGATCCGCTTATGCCAGCTGCCAAATGCCAATGCCAATAATAATGCCAATCCTTGCACCACGGACAGCGGGGCATTCCACAACCCGAATCCGAAGAGGACACAACCATCAGCTCTTATGTCAGCCTCTCGCGGCTCCTTCGGACTTTGGAGCGTTGACGTAGCGTCTTAGCTGAGCTTTCACGTGGAATCATAAATATACATAAGTTATCTGACTGCCGCCGTCGATCACATATATAGCTGTACTTCTGCCGTCCCGTGTGCCTTTCAGCCGCTTTAGATATCTATCAAGACCGCATCGGTACACAACATGACCGCCCAACATGCCGATGGCGGCGAGCTGAAGCGTGTGGAATCGTATCAAGTAGGTGAGCAGTCGAATAGCTCGCCGCAACAAACAAATCTAATAAATTATGAAAAAAGTGGCCGACTGGACACGTCGGACACCTCAGTGCCAATCAACAAAGCTCCCTCACAGCCTTCAAAACTCTCTGCGAACAAAACGGCTACTACACCCCCGCCACCCTCGACGGCAGAACACCCGCAACCCACGACGAGGAAACGCTGCTCCGCTACCTCCGCGCCCGCAAATTCCTCCCCCAAGAAGCCTTCAAACAATTCAAAGACACGGAAGACTGGCGCAAGGAGAACCAACTCGACCGCCTCTACGAAACCATCGATGTGCAAGAATACGACCGCACCCGCCGCGTCTACCCGCAATGGACCGGCCGCCGCGACAAACGCGGCATCCCCCTCTACGTCTACCAAGTCTCCCAAGTCGACGCCAAGGACGTCTCGGCCCACGGCAAAGATAACAAGACCTCCCGCTCCTCCTCCATGTCCACCACCGCCACCGGTACGAGCGGGACCCCGGACACCCCTCCCCGAATGCTACGTCTCTTCGCCTTGTACGAGAACCTCTGCCGTTTCGTCCTGCCTTTATGTTCCGCCATGCCAGATCGTTCCCACGCCGAGACGCCGATTAGTCAGAGCAATAACATCGTCGACATTAGTAAAGTCAGTATGGCTAAATTTTGGTCGCTGCGGAATCATATGAGTGAGGCGAGTACCCTTGCCACGGCGCATTATCCCGAGACGTTGGATCGTATTTTCGTGGTCGGGGCGCCCGGGTTTTTCAGTACGGTTTGGGGGTGGGCGAAGAATTGGTGAGTTCTTGTTCTGGAGGATGGTGGTGGGGTTTTGGGTGGGTTTGTGATTTTGTGCTGATGTGGTGCTTTTTCTGCAGGTTCGACCCTATTACAGTGGTAAGTGTACTGAGAGGAAATCGTCCCACGACTTAGAAGCTGACTTTTTGGTGCAGTCCAAAATCTTCATCCTCAACGACAAGACTATGCTCGCCACCTTGGAGAAATACATCGATCGTGACAATATCCCGAAGAAGTACGGTGGTAATCTTGATTGGACTTTCGGCGATATGCCTTCTCTTGAGGACGGGATTGCAAACAACTTACGATGGAAGGAAGATATCCGCCACAAGGGCCACCGAACCCTACCAATAGGACCTATCAGATGGCAGTACGATGCAGAAGGTGACCTTGTCGCGATAGCTATTGGATCGGAGAACGGCAAACCCAGAAGTCGCGTACTCGCGGGACTGCATCCGGATGACCACGTAGCTAGGCTAGCTTTATCGCCTGGTCGCTCGGAGCCTTCCTTGAACACTCGCAACCTCGCGCCACCAACCCCGACTACTGGTAACTTGGCACCTTCGTCCCCGCAAAGATTGGCACTACATAGAGTGGCGTCGCAGGCTCCGGCGCCCGAAGAAGGTCCACCTGTCAAAGCTTCCTCACCACCGCTCGAGGGCGCTGTGCCTACGGATGCTGTTTCGCTACCCTCACTTGAGGGATCCACGCCTCCAACCAACGCAGCGGCACCTACTCAACAGGCGGCGGGCGAAAGTGGATGGGCAGCAGCCGTAGCCGCACGAGCCATGAGTGGGAACGCAGATCTAGACGTCGGCAAGAACGCGAAGTCGCACGTGACGCAGACGAGTAGAGAGGGCACCTACACCATCCCCTTCCGAGACCACGCAGAACAACCCAACGCGAGCATACCCACCCACGCAAACGCAGCAAACACGAACACCGCCCCCTCAGCCCCCGCAACTGAAACCCGTCAAGGCACAAGCCACACCCGTCTGGAACAACAAGCCGGCACCCACGCCGCCGGCACGATGGCGGAAGGAACTCCACGCCACACCATCGACGGTCAAGGCAGCAAGACCGCAATAATGGAGCCTACGACCGTCGGGCAAGCACCCAAAGAACATCCGGTTCCTGAAGCAGAAGGTGGACAGCACCCGACTTATCTGGAGCAAGCGCATAATCTGGCAGGGCAGGCGGTGGAGCAGGCGAAGCATTTACCCGGGACGGTCATGGCTGCTGTGGGGTATGGGGGGAAGGGTGAGCATGAGGAGGAGGTGCAGCAGGTGAAGAGGGATGAGAGGCGGGATCCGGAGATTGAGGGGATGGAGAAGGGGGATGTGGAGGAGTTTTTGAGGAGTCGGACGATGAGCCATAAGAGTGGATGAGTGAGGTGTTAAGTGTATCGATTGATGGCAATCTGGTAGGCACATGTAGGCAGAGGAGTATTTGTGATTTGCAGGCGGTAATTTCTACGGAATATCTCCAGAATGACTTCGATACCCCTTTTCCACATCTATGCTAGTTTCTTAGCTTGTGATGCAACACAGTAACAACAACTCTCACCGCCGGTATCTCATATTCCGCCGCTTCCGCAGGTGTGTCGGGCTGCGCTAACCTGAAAACGCAACATCGAACTTCTGTGGGATCCTCCCGTGCCTGCCCTTGCTAGGGCTGACCTCACTTTCTTCTTCACAAGTCAGCCGCACGGTCCGCGGCGGTGTGATATCTGCATAGTAAGCATGATATGCTGTCTAAAAAAGAAGCTGGTATACGGGAAAAAACAAGAATGGTTATCTAATCTACATAGGCGGTGCTGCCAGGCGAGCCGGGTAATACCAACTCGTAGTGATTAGTGAAGGATTGATTTATGCTTTGATTCTCGACCACTAAAGAAGAGCATACAGCTAATTGGCCAATAAGAGATGGTCACCATGCTCGATAAGAACGAACTCGCCACGCTACTTCCCGGAGTCGATGTCAAGATACCTTCGGAAGGCGACGACGTAACGAAATATATCTCCCGCTGGAGCAATACTCGACTCTCCCTTCCCGCCGCCATAATCACGCCGGTAACCGAAACGGATATCATCAGTACCATCCACTTCACCTCCGCCCGGAAAGAAGAAAATCTGAAGGTAATCCCTACCGGAGGCGGCCACGGCACCTTCGTCCCCATTGACAGTAGGACTCTCTACCTCGACCTCCGGAACTTCAAGTCTATCCATCTAGATGAGGATGCAGAGACAGTGACTTTCGGCGGTGGGGTGGTTAGTGGAGAGGTTCTGAAGTATTTGGGGGAGAGGGGTTGGTATACTAGTGTGCCTAATTCTAATGCTGTGGGTATGGTGGGGTATGTGCTTGGGGGTGGGAGTTCGCCGTTTAATGCTGTCAAGGGGTTGGCGATCGATAATCTTATTATGATGCGAGTAATTACTGCTGGCGGGGTGGTGGTGAAGGTGGGTCCGGAGTCTGTTGGCGAGGAAGCTGATCTGTTTCGTGCACTCTGTGGTGCTGGCTTCGGGTTTGGGGTGGTGGTGCAAGTTACGCTCAAGACGTGGAGGGTGGAGAATCTAGGAATGCAGGAGGATAAGGTCTGGACCAGGAAACTCATCTTCCCTCCTACTGCTATCAGGACTGCAGCAGGGACATTTGTGAAGATACAGAAACCTGATGATCGGATGGTGGTGGTTCTCCTGCTCATGCGTGCGCCGCCTTCGGCTCCCAGACCAGGCGCGCCAATGATCATGCTAAACGCCAGTTTCTTTGGCCCTGTTACAGATGCTGAGGAAGCCGCAGTGGCCTTGTTTGACGAGAGCATAACTTCGCAGGCGATCGTGGCGGATACTGGAGCCGTGTCTGTGAGCTCAATGAACGATTTCTCTGCTCCACTAGATCGCCATGGGGACTTCAAGGAATTCTACTCGGCTTGGTCCCCTGGACTGTCAGCGGAAACGATCGTGACGGCCTTCGACCGCTGGCTAGCCTTCGGCGATGCGACACCAGAAGCCAAAGCCGCAAGTTTCATGGTCTTCGCCGCCAAAGGCACGAAAGCGATGCTTGAGCATGATCCCGAAAGCCAGAAGTTCTTTCCACGGCCTCTGCGAAGTCGTAATGTTTTCGTGCAAGCGGTCCCGTGGTGGACGGCCGAGAAGGCGGAGGACTCATCTAGAACCTGGGCAGCGGAAACGATGGCTCTTGTCAACGCGCCGCAGCATGATCGGCTTGTTGAAGGAAATGGACTGGCTGATCGTGATCGGCTGACTGCTCATGCTGCGAATCTCAGCAAGGGGATCGATCTAAGCACAACGTGGGCTACGTCGCAGCTGAAGGAGATCAGGAGGATCAAGGGCATTTGGGATGCTGGGAACCTGTTTTGGAATCCTATTGTCGACGGAGTGTGATAGAGCGTAGAAGTCACATGACATGAATTGTGAGACGCTTCTTTCGCCCCGCCGTGGCTTGCTGCTAAAAGACTCATCTTTGTAGGCCAGTACAGGCTGTCTTTCCTCGAGGTATGCGATGCCCCTGAAGCTCAAATGACCGGCAGGATCAACCCAGTCGTTCGTGATACAATGTAACCAGCCGCTCTTCAGCACTTCAAATCCACGCCCCTCCTCTTCTCCCCCTCCCGCCACTCAAACATAACCTGCACCCCAACAAATAACGTCATACAAGCCCCCAGCAAAAACACCCTGCCGCCAAGACTACTCACAATCCCATCCACCAACCCCTTCAACCCATCCAACCCCAGCGCAAACCCGACCAGATTCGCAGCCATAAGCATCAAAATATTAAACACCCCTCCCGCACCAGACAACCACCTGTACATATTCGGTCGATCCTTGAACCTCTTCGCCGGAAACACCATCCGTCCCACCACCTCCGGCAACACGAACAACACGATCAACCACCCCCAGATCAGAAGTTTAAGATTGATATCATGCCACAACGCGACAAAAGTAAACACAGCGGCATAATTCACCGCTTTCCGCCAACCCGGCACATCGCGCCCCGTCCCGCCCATGGGGATGAAAATGTAGCGGACGATCCAGCGGTTGAAAGATCTGTGCCATCCTCGCCAAAAGGCCAGGACGGAGTAGTTATCTGACATACACCGTACCATGTTTTCCGGCGGATCGATGCCGTCGATGAGAGACCAGAGGCGAAAGAAGCGCCAGGGGAGGAGGAGTTTGAGCCAGATGATGTGCAGGTTGAAGTAGCCTAGCATGCTTAGTTGGAATGGTGAATAAGTGCTCCAGTCCGGATGGGATTTAGAGATTGCGACGGCGTAGAGGTAGTGCAGGACTAGCTCCATTGTGAGGAGGCAGATGATGAAGCGGATTGCGTAAGGAGCGATGCGGGAGCGTTTGGTGCTCGGCAGCGGGTGGCGGGATTGGGAGATGTAGTCATTAAAGTTTAGGATGGGGCCGGTGAGGTAGAGGGGGCTGTAGAGGATGAAGGAGAGGTAGTTGGCGAAGGTATATTCGGTTTGGTGGGCGCCGAGGGAGACGCGGTCGCGTTCGGAGAGGGTGGTCGGATCGAGGTTTTTCCTCTGGAGTGGATCAGTTTAGAGGTGGGTATCTTGGGAGAAGGAGGAACAGTACCTCGAGGGGACTGCTGGCTTGGCGGTCGAGCATCCAGAGGTGGTCAAGGTTGAAGGATATGAGGCGCAGGACGGTGATGTTGAAGAGGACTTCCCAGCGTGGTATCAGGCCGCCATAGCTGTCAATCCAGGCTCCGAGATCTGACGTAGATGCGCTTCCAGCGTTTGTAGTCTGAGGTGGTAGTGTCACTGCAAGGATGTCTGCGAAGCGGTAGCCACGGCATAATTCGTTGGCGAACAAGATGGCGATGTTGAAGGTCCAGGTTGTAGCTGTCACGTATTGCTTTGGTAGTGCGGTGGCGATTTGATAGTTGAGCCATAGGATGACCAGGATCTTTAGCGAAGATACACCATGTAGAGCGACGATGAAGACGATGGCGAAGAGTAGATCGAATGTAGTCCGTCGCCGTAGCCTAGCATCGGCTGTGGCTGCATTGTCCTGCACAGAGGAATAAGCCCATGAGCCAAGCATTCGCTGTATCGTGTTCCTACCTTCCCAGTTGAATTTGAACCAGCGAGTCGATCATAGACTTGTCTCAAGAGTGGATGAGCGACCAGAAGCAAAGCCATATAAGGGATATTGTTCCTAAACCCCTGATACTGCTCGTCTGAATTATCGACCTTTCGGCCAGGAATCCAGCCATCGCTCAGAAGGGTTTCAAACTTCTTGTAGCCCGGATGACTAGGCTGTGAGACATCATAGACAGCCTTGAACATGAAGACGGGAATGGTCAGGAAGCAGGCATAGTAGAAGTAGTATTCCGGCGTCCTCCATTTCGACGGTTGAGCATTGGGGAGTGGTTCGCCTGGGTTCTTGGAGGCGAAGCGGGTGTCGAGCGTTTCGACCTTGTACATATCCAGTAACCTCATCTTGACATTGCAGTGGCCGTATATGATTGTATACGATTGTATATGATTGTATATGGTGGAAGAGGAGAAGTGGTGTTTGAGGAGGCAACTCAACCCAATTGCCTCCAAGCTGTCCCACACTTTCGACGCGTTCGCGTTTCCCGCACTTGATGCCAGCCATTGCAATGCGACAATCGCCTCCCACTTCATCTCCGTGATCAAGTCATTCGACAACATAGCGGATCAAGACTCTGGCAATCGGAAGTGTCGCATGTAACATTTCCATCACCACCACATCGTCATGGCCGCCGTACTCCCTCCCACCCAGGCGCCATCAAAGGACGACTACGCTGGCGACGAGATCAATGCTCTTGTGCTCGACCCAGGCAGCTACACGACACGCGCCGGCTTTGCAGGAGAAGATACGCCCAAGTCAGTCACACCGACACATTACGCTCTTTCCAAGTCTGGCGAGCACATATTCGGCGAGAATGCCATTCATCTTCCACGCGGCGATGTAGAGATAAAGAACCCATTCAGTTCAGACGGTCTGGTGGAGGACTGGGACACTGCCGCCAAGCTGTGGGAGTACGCCATCACATCTCGCTTGACCGGCGCGAGGCAGACACCACCAAGCAAAAATGGCCTCAATGACGATCCGGTAAAAGATGGCGAGGGCGATACAGCAATGGTGGAGGATATGGAGAAGATGGAGGACGAGGAGCAAAGTAGGACGTTAGAAGAGTATCCGTTGCTCATGAGTGAGCCCGGGTGGAACCCAGTCAAGGCGAGGGAGAAGACAATTGAGCTGGCCATGGAGGAGTGGGGTGTTCCTGCTTTCTTCTTGGCAAAGACTGGACAACTGGCTGCGTAGGTGAGGCCAGCGATCATGTATAGAGAGCGAGTGCAGCTGACAGTGAGACACAGATACGGCAATGGGAAGGCTACAGCACTTGTAGTGGATGTTGGACATCAGAACACCTCAGTCACAGCAGTGTGGGAGGGCATGGTATTACGGAAGAGTATGTTTCACGATATCCTTAGTACTCTTCATCCTTCCTAACATAATCTTCACAGGCATCATGCACAGCAACATAGCCTCCTCGTTCCTCTCCGACCAAATTCGCCACATGTTCACCACCCAACAAGTCCCTCTAATCCCACACTATATGGTGAAAACCAAACAACCCGTCGACGCCAAAGTCCCCAGCAACGCCACCTACACCAATTTCGACACTCCACCCCACGCCTCCTTCCGCCGACTAGAAGAAGAACGTGTCCTCACCAGCTTCAAAGAAAGCGTCGTCCAAGCCTGGCCAGGACCCGGTCGTCTAGACTCGAACACCGATGCCGTGAAGATGAACCCCGCCCGACCGTTCGAAATGCCCGATGGTTGGAACACCGTCTTCGGCCCCGAACGCTTCAAAGTAGCCGAAGGTCTCTTCGATACTAAATCCGCTTACCCGGACCCGTCAACCAACTCAACGCCCCCGAAAAGCGACGACTCTATCCCCTCACTAATGCACCGCGCCCTCAATGCCTGCGATCAAGATACCAAAGCTCCACTGTTAGGAAATATTGTGCTCACGGGCGCTGGCAGTCTGATCGAAAAGATGCCAGAGCGATTGCAGACGGATTTGCAGGCGCTTTATCCGAATCCCAGGGTAAGGGTTATTGCGAACTCGTCGAGTGTGGAGAGGAAGTATGGGGCGTGGATTGGAGGCAGTGTGCTGGGGAGCTTGGGGACGTTTCATCAGATGTGGATTTCTAAGGAGGAGTATGCGGAGTTTGGGGCGGGGATTGTTGAGAGGCGGTGTAAGTGAGTTGAGTGACGAGCATATGCAGGAGCGTGCGGCAAAAGGCTCATGGCTGCTTGGCAACAGTCAGGAGAGGTTGAGTAATACCATTAATAGAGCCAGAATCTACAAACGGACTCTACAAAAATTGTGTGATGTATTTTCGGATCAATCCGTGATCCATTATGCCTTTGGAATGTTGACCTGTCGCTGTGGTGTCAAATATATCGGGGAGGCTCATGTGAAAGCGAATGTAGAAGGTCCATGCACGTTCCGATTTCGAATCCCAAGCCCAGTGGCCTTCCTGCACCTTCATACTTCGGAGATATCGACACCGGACGGCATTGAAGTGCATGGATGGCGTCAGAGGATCGCACAGCAACACGCAGCTGGTGACAAAAATCGAGCATGAAGATGACGACTTCAAGATTAGAGGCGCCGCCTCATCAGCCATGAGCAACGAAGCTACGGCAAAGGATTTAACGCCCGATACCTGCACGATCTGCCTGCAAACCATCACGGAGCGAGCTGTTGCTGTACCATGCAACCATCTGACCTTCGATTACCTATGCTTGGTGTCATGGCTGCAAGAGCGGGCGACATGTCCGTTGTGCAAAGCCGTGGTGAGGGAGGTGCAGTATGATTTTGGAGGACCGGCGGACTATAAGACGTATCGCCTGCCAGTGAGACCTGCAGATGAAGGAAGATGTGTAGCTGGACGCGGTACCAGGGAACGTGAACAGCGACAACGAGCGCCCGACTGGACGAGAAGGCAAGGCACTATCCAAACCACAGACCCGGCCGTCGAAAGACGACAAAGAGTCTACCGCGATCGCACATACTCTAAACACGTCGGCGCAAACACCACATCACAACATCGCGACTTCACATCATCATCGTTCGCCCTCTCCGAGTCCTTACAAAGCCGGGCCCGAGCTTTCCTGCGGCGAGAACTGCAAGTCTTCTCCTTCCTGGACCGCGAAAGCGTACACAGGGGAAGTGGAAGACACTATTTAGTCGAGTACATCGTGGCGGTAGTAAAGACGCACGAGCTGAAGAGTGCAACTGGGCAGGCGGAAGAGTTGGTGGCTGAGTTTTTGGGAGAGGGGAATGCGAGGTTGTTGTTACATGAATTGGAGGCTTGGCTGAGGAGTCCGCATGCGAGGTTGAAGGAGTGGGATCGGGGGGTGCAGTATGCTTCTCATGGGCTGAGTGGTAAGGGCTGAATAGGGTGATGGTGAAGACAGGTCTTACCCGAACCCCGAAGCCGATGTCCTGAGCTCCATCTATCATGTGGTCACCTGTGATAGCTTTTCTCTACACTGCATCGATTACACCGCAACACGAGGCTCGCACATCAATGATCTTAGACGCCAACATCGATCCTTGTGTTGGCTATCGTGCATACGGACATAGCGGTGTTAAGGCTTGTCGGCAAGTATTGTGGATATCACTCATCATCCGGATTGAGTTTCGGCAAGGCGCCACATATGCAGTAACATCATGCAGATTTGTATAGAAGCAGAAAGGCAAGATCAATCACTCAACATTCTGATTACTCGTCGTAGCACTGCTTACGCAAACGTTGCGAATTAATCTTGCTACATTCGGTTGTCGTATTTCGACCCAGCCACCTCGCCAGCAGGCACGCTCACGTCAATACTGCTCATCAGGCGCAAGGAATTTCTGTGGACACTGGCACGTCTTTGCCGCTTATCAAGCCCATATTTTACAAGGACACTGCATCAAAGACTAGAAGTGCACCAGTCTGACCTCGACATCCTCCGACCGCACAACACGTCTTCACAGAACAGCGACCTCGTCTCATTACAACAATGGCTCCCAACAACAAATCCCTGGTGCTCGTTACCGGCGCCACTGGCCATCTCGGCTTCAGGACACTCGTCCTTGCGCTCCAGGCTGGCTATCGTGCTCGCGTGGTCTACCGCAGCGAGTCGTCGCTGGCCAAGGTCAAAGGAGCTGCATCCATCAAGCCGTTCATCGACGACTTGGAGTACGCCCATGTACCCGACATGACTGTCGATGGAGCCTTCGACAAGGCTGTCAAAGGTGTGGACTTCTTTCTTCACATTGCCAGCCCGATCTTCGACACTTCTGAAGCGGGTGGCGAGGTGGTAAGTACGACCTGCTACTTTACGCACACACAAGATGCTGACATCCTCCAGCGAGACTGGCAGAAGGAATTCTACCATCCGGCCCTGCAAGGTACCGTCGTCGCCCTCGCCTCAGCCCTGAAAGAGCCAAACATCAAGCGAGTGGTGATTACGTCGTCCGTAGTAGCAGTCGAGGCAAAGAACGGCGCGAGTCTCGCAGGTCGTAAGTCAACACTCCCTATCCTGGCCTGCATGTTCAGACGCTGATGATGAGGCGTAGCGAACGATGTCAAACCGCTACCCGACAAAGAGACACTCACGAACTTCACTGTGCCGGCGCACGCATATGTCTACTCTAAAGTCATGGCACATAGAGCCGTGGACGACTGGATCAAGGAACATCCAAAGGCACACTTCGATGTTGTTCGCGTGCTCCCAGGCTATATTCAAGGCGCTAATGAGCTTGCGCAAAACACTAAGGAGGCTGCCGTTGGGTCTAATGAGGGCACTTTCAACGTGGCGCTCGGCAACTTGTTGAGTGGACCGAAACCGACAGCGCAGATCTACCTCGACGACATTGCTGAGACCCATGTTGTGGCGCTGGACAAGCAGAAGGTTGACGGTGGTAAGGCTCTTATCTCTGTTGCGAATGATGGGAAGGGCTGGGTGTGGGATGACTTTGTGCCTGTGGTCGAGCGCCTGTTCCCCGACGAGGTGAAGAACGGTATCCTGAAGCCTCACAAAGGCCAGGAAGGAGGTGAGGTTGCCTTTGATGTGTATGAGACCGTGAAGGTGTTGGGTCATGACTTTGCGGGTATTGAGACGATGGTGCGGAGTGTTGTTGAGCAGTACTTGAGACTGAAGGGTAACGAAGGGACGGCATAGGACGAAGGCCTTATGCACGGTCTTGCAGAGCCGTGATTGTCTTGTTCAGGAAAATCTCAATTACTTCATTACCAGGAAGGCGTCGGCGGTTGGATGCCCACCTATTTTCGTGAATCGTCACCATCGATTTCCGTCCGCATCTTCACTTTTGTCAATTGCTCCAGCTACACCGCCACCACAACATCGACCGCGGGACGTGACTTGAGCTTTGTCAGCACCATTTCAGCTCCTGTGATAAGCGACTCCAATAACTACGATGAATCTTCTCAGCCCTATCAAACTCAACGTTAGCGGCTGATCAGCTTCGCCCGCTGACCAGGCCCTTGCATGCCAAAGCCTTGCGAGTTTACCGTCACAGTCTCTCAAGTGTTCAAGCCAAGAAACAGCTGAAAACAATGAGACCAATGATGATTGTGGGTGGCGGCCTATAGGCTTGAAGGCAACTGCATGGATGTTTCGTGACCTGCAAGCCGCTACGGCCGAGCCTGCGACCCGGCAGAGAGTGGCCTTTCGAACCCCGTCCCCTGCTCATTCGGCTGCGGCATTGTGCGGTCTTGAGTCAGGCTGAGCAATATCAGGGATCGACACGCATTAACGCCGTTGGTTCTTGGACATCAGTACTTCGAATCCGGAGCATAGAAGTCGCAATAAGAAGACACACTGCTCAACCCAGGTATCAGGCTCCTACGACGGACTCTTGCACGACCATCCACTTGACCTTCACACGACAATGTTCTCCATACTACTCTTGGCCACCTGGCTCGTAGGCGCATTGGCACAAACGAAGACGACAACCAATCTATTCCAAGGCTCCCTCATCTCACCGTCAGCGACCATAATCGGTGGCGCCATCACGACTGGTATAGCCGGTTCCATCATCGAGGTCAACTCCTGCGGCACCACAACCTACGCCATCATCTGCACAGAAGCGAGTCTGTGCCTCGCCAACGCAACATACTATGTCACGCAAGGCCCAACGACCATTTTAGTGTCGTACAGTACCTCCGCAAACGGCACGGCGGGCACTGCACGCGAGAGCTGCTCGGTGGATCATAGCACTTATGCTATATGTACGGAGACAGTAGTCTATGATGTAGCAGGCTCCAAGACGACCGTCTCGACTACCGCCGCGGCTTCCGGGACGGATTTGGCGTACGCGACATTCCCCATCACGGCGGGAGCAGAGAAGATTGCGAGGCCTACTGGAAAGTGCGGCACGGCTACTGCGCTGGGTGGCGTTGCTGTGGTCAAAGTGCTCGTTTTGCCTGCTGCTGCTGCAGTGGCGGTGGTAGCTGGAGCATTGGTTTGAGGAGAATGACAGTGGGTTCCCTTTGGACTGATCATGTTGGAATGATCAATACGATGTGAATGGTACTCCACGGTCGCTGATCTTGATTCGGATTAGGAGCCACTAAACTGAGCAAAGCTGGCAGAGGACACTGGGTGCACCTCAAAGATCGGCGACTGAAGGACTGCTAAGAGCCAAATATTGCGATTTCGGGCTGATTGACGGGATTGATGGCTTCATGCAAAGATCGAAATTGCTAGCCTTGTCGGCCTCAATTAGTATGTATCGCGGGAGCTCGTGAAGTTGAGATGCCCGGGGTGTTGTATGATGATCCTAATGCGACTTAGCACTCGCGTTGCATGGAAAGCTGACCGCTGAAACTATAGAGAAGTGCGATTATAGATGGAGAGGACTCTGGAGCGGCAGGAACAATCGTACCGTACACCTTCTGGACCCGGTGGTGGTTTCAGGCCAAGATGCTTTAGGACTTGGTGAACAAAGTATGGTAGCGTTATACTAGCAAGCATAAGTTCAACTCCTTCATTGAGCAGCTTCGAGACCAATTTCATGCTCTTCTCACTCGCAAAACAGTCAGCTTCCTATCACAATCTCGACCAGTCTCCGTGCCCACTGTTCCGGCATGTATGCAAAGCCAACATGTCCCCCCGGCATGACATCCAACTCCAAGTCAAGCCTTTCAGCCAGCACAACATTCGCCCGATAGTGGAGAGCTTCGCGATGCGTACCCTCACAGTTTAGCAGCATCAATTTGCCTTTGTGCTTCTTCAGAACTTCCATATCGATGTCGTGGGTCGGATAAGGAAGAAACTCGCGTTCAAGCCAGTACATTACGTTGCCAGAAGTATACGGTCCACCGACTTTTGGGTCAAATGCTGCCAGTAGAGCAGCTGTCTCGGCGCCGGACTTGGTCATGGAGGCGAATTGCTCCATAGCCGGTGCAACACCATTCTTGCGATAGATCTGGTGCACTTGTTGAACCTTCCCCTGCACGGCGTGGAAGTCAGGTAGGACGCTGATCAGTGGTGGCTCTTGAACCAGTACTTTATCGACGACATCGGAATGTCGAATGAGGGCTTCGAGAGCCACGACGGCTCCAGAGCTGTTACCTAGAACGAATGCGGGTTTATCTGGTGAAAGGTGTTTGATCAGAAGTGCCACATCATCTGCGTCTGTCTCAAGTCGGTGCTCATAGTCCTGACTACCAACGAGCACACTTCGCGAGAAGCCTCGACGGTCGTATGTGGCAACCGTGAAGTGCTGCTTAAGGTGCTGTGCCAGCTGCGAGTAAATCTCAAGACTGCCTGTGCCACCGCTGATGCAGAGAAAGAGGGGCCCTTTGCCGTGGATCTCGTAGTGGAGACATGCACCTGGCACTTCTAGTTCAGGCATACTTGTGGGAATCGTGCGAGAGAGTATGGTGAAAAGAAGAAAGCTAGATTCTGGTCGCCTAGAGCATTGCGCATTACAGCTTGTCTTATGGTACAACGCTCAGGGTCTGCGAGGGAGGGTGAGCTGATATCTTGGCATCTTGGTAGTGGTGTGATGCTGGCTCAGAAGTACAACTAAGTTGTATGCATTGTTTGAGCTGCTTACGCGCTGTATACTGGATCAGGAGATGTGATCTGCTGATGAGCTCATGAGAGATCTTTTGATTCGTGCATAGCACAAGCAGCCATCTGCCATTGGGCGGTACCAATCATATTGGACATATGCTCTCGTAGCTGAGGTCCTTGCCACTCGCTACTGCGATAGCTATGATCGAGGTACGGCTGCCATGTATTCACAGCGTTGGTACTGCTCTAAGGCTTCGGAATATGCAGCGTCTTGCTCAACATGCAGCAAGCATGCGTCAAGAACAGTCCCACCACAGGGTGCATCTCCAATGCAGTGCCTTTCATGACTGTGCCCAACGGCAGACCGCCTTGTATCCAACCTTGCGAAGCCCAGAAAGCCAACACACCGACAATGGTCAAACTCATCGGGATCGGCACACCCTCGAAATATGCTGCCTTGCCGCTCTCATCGTGTGGTACGCTACTGGACGTGACGTTGAATCGTGCAAGACGAGCCAAACCAGCGAGCACGAAGCATGTAAGTAGCAATTGATCGAGAGGAGTCCGCATGCCAAGAGAGAAAGCACAAGCTGCTGGAGCCACACCGAAGGAGATCTATAATGGTGTCAGTCCCACCTAACTGCAATCGTGAAGTACATTCGTTAGCCCTACCAAGTCCGCCAGCGAATCAAGCTCTGCTCCCATCAAACTGCTCTTCTTCCTCCACCGAGCCACTTTGCCATCAAAGAAGTCGAAGAACAGTCCGAAGGGCATGAAGGTCAAAGCCGCCCACAGGTTGCCCTTGTGCGTCGGCTCCAGGCAGTATCTCATGGAGGACATGATAGACATGACACCACAGAAGCCATTCATGAGCGTGATGAAGTCTGCAAGGTGGTAGGCGCGGATCAGGCTGAAGTGGCCAGGATTGGGATCGTTGAGGAGGTAGACCTGTTTATCACGGGCTGTAGCAATATGTCAATACGTTGCGTATGCTTTGCCTCTATACCTATACTCACGTGGCTCTTTCGTGGCCTCCTTCACGTCTTTTGGAATGCCATTGCCGGCATTTGATCGCTTCGACATGGTTATGTATGGTGCTCTTGCAAGATTGGGAGAACGCTGGTGCGGAAGCGTTGTCAGAATCGGCGACAATGAAGTCAAGAGCAGACGAGTAAGACCTGTTGATGAGCAGTGAACACAATATACAGCAAATCCAAGAGTACTCTGCTATTTCCCTGTTCGTGCAAGCTACGTCACGAAGCTTGAATTTTGACCCACTGCTCATGTGATCGCGCGTTTTGGCGTTTGCGCGGAACATTGCCGCTGTGGGCAGGCACGTCTACTTCTCTACATACCAGCATCGACAGGTCTCGCATATCTCTTCACGACAAAAAGAGAGACACCATGACAGATGGCTGCAGCAGCTCTCGCTAGTGTCTTCCCAGCGACGAGCTTCACCACGCCTACCCCTGAGACTACACCAAATATCGGCATTCTCGCCTCACCAGGCCAAGCCTTCGGTGGTCCCACTGACTTCCTTGACGATGCAGTAGCACTCAACCGTGCTTGGAGCGTAGCTACTCGATATCTTAGCCTAGGAAATTTCGAGAACCAGCAGTCTTCCACGGAGATCCTCCAAGCAATCGATCTGTTGTCAAAGAATGTCTGCCGCAGGGCGGAACTGCAGGCCTGGTACAGCAACGAGATCGCCACGCACTTCAGGCTGAATGTCGACTTATCGACCTGGACGCAAGCCGTATCTCTCAGTAATGCTCTCCACGTATTGCAAGACAGTGTGCGACAACTGATGAACGCTCATGCGTTCTACGCTGGAAGGCCAAATGCAATCTCGGCTCAATGGCTCACGGATGCAGCAAGCAACAAGTTCAGGCAATTGGTCAAACGAACGATACCGGCAGATCGCCTCCACGCCACTCTAGCCAGTGCCTTTTACGAACGCATGACAACCACTCTTGCTGGCTACGAGTCGTACGAACGTTGCCAGAATACAGGCAGCTGTCTATGCGAGCTCAGTCTGGACGGAATCCCGATTGATGACTTAAGCCGGGTCGGTCTTGGAGGACGATATGCCGAGCGTGCATTCGCGCTCAGCGTACACCGACTGCTAAACCGTGCTGTAAGTCTACGTGCTGGTCGTCGGGCTCATGTCTGAGCTGCCGGCCGGCCACGGTGAAACTACATCTGTCAACTGACACTGTGCTAGGCTGTTGAGAGACGGTGCTTCCAAGTGGACTGGAGTGGGCAGACAAGCATTGTCCCGCGACTGCGGCAATGGATCCATGATGTGTTCTCATCCTTTGTACAGCGTACACTACAGGTACTCACCTCCAGAGATGGAAGTAGCCAGGCCGAGCTTGACGCCTCCTTCCTCGAGTCGATGGCAGTCAGCGCACTAGGGCGCCTTCGCGTAGCATCTCTGTTCGACTATGTGAAGTCATGGCCAGCAAGTCAAGGAGCGTTCTACGACATACAACAGCATCTTGCCTCAACACAGACACTGCACGACAAGGCCCATCTTTGCGATAGCTTCATACGTCAGATCTCCAGTCGACTGTTGCATGCTGGAGCCAGTACTACCGACGTTCTAAGCATATACATCAGTGTCATACATGCCTTTCGACTGCTTGACGCCAAAGGCGTGATGCTCGAGAAAGTCGCACATCCCGTCCGGCATTATCTGCGCGGTAGAGATGATACGGTGGCCGTTATCGCAGCGAGCTTTTTGGCCGACGTGAACGTCGAGGGCACCATCGCCGGGCCGGATGCTGAGAGGGGGTGCGCCGCCATCACCTTTGAGGTGGCCAATTCGGGACTTGCTGAGCGAAAGGAGCAGAAGATGCTTAATTTTGACGATATGCAGTGGGTGCCGGATCCGATTGACGCCGGACCAGACTTCAAGGCAACAAAGTCGGAAGACGTCCTCGCCTATGTTCTGGGTCTGTTCGACCAGGAGGAGTTCATCAAGGAGGTTACAACTGTACTTGCTCAGCATCTGCTACATTCTACAGACGAGGAGTATGTCAAGGAGACCAGACTTGTGGAGCTGTTCAAGTCCCGCTTCGACAATTCCAAATTGCAGGCTGCCGAAGTCATGCTAAAGGATGTGCGTGATTCTGTTCACCTCAATCGTCGGCTCAATACCCAGCATAGAAGAGCGGCCAAACCTATCACGCCACGAGACATCCAAGCCGCAATACCAGCAGACGGTATTTCGTTGCCAGACCTATGTCGTACCCTGGGTGTGGTCGAGAATGCCGTACAGGTCCACGCTGCCCTCAAGCTTGTCGCGAGCAAGAGAGGCAACCTTTACTTTGCTAAAAGGACAAGACTACCACCGCGTGCTTCTGCTGAGCCGCCAGCATCGTCCGACAATGCTTCAGACTTCGATGTCCAGGTACTATCAAGCTTCTTCTGGCCGCAGATGCGAGCCAACGACTTCGAGATGCCGACAGAACTGGCCGACCAAGAAGCAACATTCAACATCGCGTTCGCTCGGCTTGGCAACCAACGCAAACTGCACTTCCGTCGTGCGTTGGCTCGCGTCGATGTCAGGATTGAGCTCGAGGATCGCACGGTTGATGAACACGACGTAAATGCTTGGCGGGCCAGTATCATCGACGCATTCACAGCTAGCGATGTTGATAGCCTGACTGTTGATCGCTTGCTAGAAGACTTACAGATGGACGAGGAGCTTGTCCTTGATGCCTTGAATTTCTGGACAAGCAAACGAGTACTGTTTCAGCGTTCCGCTGGCGAGTACGCCGTACTCGAGCGCCTTGACATGGATACTGGCGGAGCACCTCAAGTTCAGATAGCGAACGAGGCCATATCTGGTCTGAAGTCACAAGACGCTGTGTTTAAAGAGAACTCACCGATGTTCGAAGCATTCATCAAGAACATGCTGCAGAACAGCGGACCGAAAGAGGTTGGAGGCATGATGGGCATTACTGGTATGCTGCGCATGGTGCTTCCGACGTTCACATATGGTGATGAAGAAGTCGGCGAACTTCTTGCGGCTATGGAAGGCAGAGGAGAGGTGACGCACAATGCCGATGTGTGGTCGTCGAAAGCGTGATCGAGTACTAGATGCACATCAAGCTGCGCAAGAGCTGACAATCAAATGCGTTATAGACACCGTTGATGGAGCAATCGGACCGTACGCAGACACATGAAATTGGAGAGCAGTATGGAAATCTGGCTTCGAAAGAGGGGTAAAGCTGTAACACCGAGATATGGAGATTCTCTATCAGGCCCGCTGATGGAAACAAAAACGACATTCTCAGCAATTCTCCCCGCAGCAATTCCACTCCGAAAAAACAAATGCACATTCTGGTTCCTCTGCATGGTTATGTTGACCCCTTGTCTTCATGATTCATTCACCTCCTCCTTCATCACACGGCCACCGCCTACAAAGTTAACGTCACGGTCACAGTCTGCTTCTGAGCCGCCATAGCTCTCCTCTGCATCGTCAAATACAAATGTTTGACTGAGACCGCTTGCTCAGCCCAGCTTGCACCCGTCGACGCCGTCAATGACATGGTCACACCAGCCGGCGCCGCAGCAGGCTGCTGAGCCGTCTCAGTGGCCGGACCGGTCCTGACGGCGGTCGTCGATGTTGTCTCTGTCTGTTGACCATGCTGATGTGCAGCTGTGGCTCTCTTCAACACGCCATACTCTTGCACTTTCTGGATAGCGCCGACTACGTCTTTGATTTGGAGACTGAACAGCAAACCCGTCGATGCAATCCGTGCGTTAACAATGGCGAGTAGCAATCTGTGCGCGTCCGTGGCGTGGGTCCGGGTCATAGAGGATAGTTTACACAGGCCCTCCAGCATGTTCGTGCTCATATCCTTCGGTTGAAGTGAGACAATGCGCTTGACGCCGTTCACAGCGACGTGCCTGACAGGACGTATTTCTGTTGGCCATGTCTCATTGCACATCCCCCAGTTTTCATTGATGGAAGAGATCAATGCTACTCTTTTGGCTTGTGCAGCTAGAGAGATGCTCGCGAATAATACGTGTCTACCACTCCCTCCAGAGGTACGAAAGGTAGTCCTGATAGTGACACCAGCCGCAGGACGAATAGCAATATTTGTGCGTCGATCGTTCACTGACCTCGCCTCTTGCGCTGGAGTGTTGCCAGTTCCAGCAAATCTCGCCTGACGACGAAGTTGCAAGGCAGCCCTCAAGCGGGCAACATTATTCGCATGGTTTTGTTGTCGGATCGCCTGCGAACCTTGGTTGGCATCGCTGATGGACGCAAGAGCAGCTGGCACAGCAGGCATGTTCCTGAGGTCTGAGTCCGAGGTAGCAAAACCAATGGTCTTTTGATCGGAGATGTACCAAAGCAGGTCACACAATTGTCAGATTGGCACACTCAAGTCTAGTACTCGGTCTATGGCTATGTAGTCTCCCTAAGTCGGTAGTGATATACTCGATGAGTCGTTATGCCGACTGCGTCGACAGTCAGCAGAGCCTTAGTGCCATGGGGTGTATACTTACCTCTTCTTGGCTTGTGGTCGGAGGAGGTTGAGGACCAAGAAAACAGATTAGAGGGGGGAGATGGATGTTTTATATACCCAGCAAGGAGTGTAAGTTACTCCTCGATCACAATACTGTAAGCGCCGAGGCCGGATGAGCTAAACCTGCTATGGTCTAGATTGGGCAGCAAGGCATCCGACTATGCTCGAAAGGAGCGCTCATACACCGTACGAGCAACGTGATAGACTTGTAAGCCAGTCAAATCACTCCCTGCACACACACCTTTTCCCAGCACAGTTTCACCAAGCGAAATGAAGAGTCGTGTGATGCTCATCACGATTCAGAATGAACTCATGAGAACATGAAGATAACTCTCAGAGCTGTGATTTGAGAATGTACGCGAATGTGCATGAGACATTCTCAAAAGCGGTAATCGAGACGGCTCGCTGCGTGCATAAATCAGGCTTATTCCTTGCACGTGCATCAAAATCAATAATGCGCCTCCAAAGCCAAGCGCCGTACGTTAACATTCTTTCATTCTTTTCATTCTCCAGTTCTCAAGACTGCGTGACAGCCAATCCTTAGCGAGACAATGTTGGTGGCGTTGTCGATCAAGTTTGAATAGGCGCTTGCGGTAGGCAGCAGGCTTACCTAGAAGAAAGGACCGCCACTACGTACTTTATCACTCCATTTCGCAGAATGATTGTTCAGAATGATTGTTCAGAATGATTTCTCAAACTCTCAGCGCAATCTCACCGCGTAATCAAGGCTACTGGGGTCCCTACACCATAACTCGAGAGCACATACAGTGGCCGCTCCACAACTGTACATCGACTCTGAACAGCACTATGTCTTCATCACAATACTCAGCGGGCTCAGAAGAGGGTGAGATACGTCCGACGAAGAAGATAAGACGCACCGTCGACCCAACCATGCCCACGGCAATACGTACTGGGACTTCTGGCTCACACGCTCGCCACGCGCCAGCACCTCGTCCATACAACCGGCGCGCAAGCCCAGATACGATGAGGCCACCGCCACCGCCTGGTCTACTATCGCCGTCTACACCCGGTTCAAAACGCACTTTGTTTCAAGAACTACAATCAGCGGAATCGAGACCACGGCCCACATCTTCATCAGCACCAAGCACACTAACGACAGCTGTCCCAGCTTTTCCAGGATGGGAAAATCGAGGGAGCAGTAGCAGAAATCCAGTCGACCGTCATGAACACGTGCCTCAATCAAGGAGATCCGACGCTGGTGCTGCTGGCCCCCCACCTTCTGCCAACATGATTACGGCTTCCCAAGAACAGCGTGGCATCACGCATGGTACCCAGTCGGAATTTGATGAGGTCAGAGTCGCCATTCCAGCTCGTAGGACCGAAGCAGTGAACGACCAAGTACAAGCAGCAACTGCTATAACGTCAGCGAAAAATGCCTCGAAAGATCCGTACCAAGCTCAGGTCGAAGTCATCGAAGAGCACCAGGATCTCGCGGACTCAAGCTACGAACCATCGCAATCGCAGGATACGCCACCACCGTTCACAGGTAGTATAGACACGCAAGAAGCTATCGACCTCGCAAATGCGGACATTGACGTCCGCAAAGGCCAGTCATCCGACACAGCTACTATTACTGATTATGACCAGCCTGCATCAGCTCGTCGCCCTAATGAATGCGAAGACTGTGCTACATCATTGGACGATGAGCCGTATACGTGGAAATGTACTCGATGCGAACACAGCGGCTTCTGTGTAACATGTTATGCGGTACCTCAAATTGTCGACAGAAACGGCCACCATGATCACAAGTTCGTCTCGGTTCGCGGACGAGCTTCCCAAGGTGCAGCTGGCCCGTCGTCCTCAACCACATCGACGCCTCGCGAACAAGTCATCGAGAAGCAGCGCAAGAAGATGGTGAAATTGAAATATGGCGTGCGACATATGCCGTATGCCAGCCTCAAACAGGAGTCCGCCAGACAGGATCGCGACCGTGCTATTCGACAAATCAGACTTAATTGGCCTAGTTCTGCTTTTTGGCCACGGGCGCTCGCTCCTCGCAGCAACGGGATCCTTCTCCAACCCCGAGATGTCAGCACTAGCTTGCTGAGTGTAGTGGTCGAGCTGTCGGACCTCACCAAGTGGGATCCGCAGACAGGACATGATGCGATGACTAGCGCCGTGTCTGAACGCCAGGCATCACAGGGTATCCCCGATGGCCACGTGAAGTTATTGCCTGATGATGTGAAGGTTGCCATAGAGCTGTGCAGTGGCGAGGGCGAAGCTATGGTGGGCGATGAGGACAACCTTATGATTGAAGAAACACACGTCGACAGCGAGACGGAGTCGGAGTCGTTGGACATCGTACCCTCACAAGATATTGCGGTTCGGCCACGCGCTCGGGTGTCGTCTGAAGATACAGCCAACGACACTTTCGATACATCCGTGACTTTCAGACAGTCTCCTCCCACACCCTCTCGCCAGCTGGGTGATGAAATGGATGTCTTTCCGGAGGAGGGAGCACAGATCCTACGTACGGTGCCATCGTCCATAGCTGAGGACGAAGCGCCGAGGCCAAGATCCTTCACTGCAACAAGTGAAGAATATCGCACGATCACACCAGCCAAACAACAGCCAGCAGGCTCGCCAGTCGTGACGCTGGCCGACTTGATGGCGCAGGCCCGAGAGATCGTGCGCACCACACCCAGCAGTCGTGAGTTCCGCATCGCCAGAGAAGAAAAGTGGTCAGATCACGTCAAAGAGTTCGAGGACCTTTTCGTATGTATGTCGACGAAAGCTGAGTTCCAGGGTAAAATACTTGGGGTGCGCTTTCAACTAGAAGAGGAATAATGGTTGTCGTAGAGAGTTGTTGATGGCGAGAAGGGCCTTTTGAATGGTTTGAACATTTCCACACCTGTGATACACATTTCGTAGCTTGATTCCTGATTGTATCGACGGAATGAACAGATTGTAGCCCAAATTCTTCAGCTGCCATGCTTCGCAAGTTCAACATTCCGCTTCTCTTCCTTCTTCTCACGTCGTTTCGCCATGAGCTTTCCGAAGACGCCCTGCTTCGTGGCTGGATCGCCCGGCGCCTGCCCGGTCACAGTCTCGTACGAGGGAGGTGGGAATGGGGTGCTATATGCTGGTCCTGAAGGCATAGGTCCTCCAAAGACCAAGCTCTGCATCGCCAAAGGTCCTGTCGGAATCGTGCCATCCTCGCCTGGTCGTACGTACTTTTTCTCTTCGGCGAAGTCCTGTAGAGATTGCAGCCGCTCTTCCGGAGTCATGTCCTCGACTCTCTTGGGTGTTGTGCCGGACATCTTGCTGCTAGACTAATGTTGATGTGGATATGGGACACGAGTTTGAGAACAGCAGAAGATCCGACCTACCTGCCTTGAGATACATAAATATGGGCTTCACGTCGCCTGTACACCCTTGGGTTTTGTGATGCAATCATGACCAAAATGAAAGGTCAGAACGAAAACACATGCAGCGAGAACGCGCAAGACCACCAACAGGGATGTCAAGGCATGATTGTCATCATGCGGCTCCCGCAGTAGCCACGTCTGAGAAAAGTGGCGAAGAGTATCTCAATCGGAACATTACCAAAACGTGCTCGATACAGCGACCAACAATGGCGGAGCCTCTACATAGATCGGCAGAAACGACACCAAGCATATTTGCATGCATGGACGACGTATGTCTTGTTGTTGGGTTTCATACCGTGCAACTGAGGACGTATTGAGATCGTGACGCAGCAAGATGGTGACATGATAATGGTTCCCACTCACAAAGATTACCATATTATTCTGTCGTCGATCTATGTAACAGTGAGCCTTTGCCAGCCGCGCATTCTCTCGAATCCAGTGATAAGACCAAACTCCATTCATGCCTCATGACCAACACTTCTAGCTTCATGTATAAGTCTTGATCCACCATCCGGGTCGAAACGCCATGCTGAGCACCAACACACCAGAGCGCCAGCAAAATGCAAGCAGCAGACCTCTCTCGACGCGATCATCGTGTAATGATCAGGCCAAAACCATCGACCCACGCGCCACAGCTGCCATAGACACCCGCGATACTATAGCCTCGAGGCGGAATAAGTGTATGCCTATTGTCCTAGAGTCAGCCAAGCACTCCTCACATCCTAAAAGCACCGCGCAAGAATGGTAGTAGCAAGACTCACCCAGAACCACCATTAGCATTCCCATACACAGGACTCCTGCGCCCTGTCGACGTCAGAATCTGCACCCCATCAATCCAAGCCCCCGCTCTCAGATAGAAGCCCAATATCAATTCCCCTCTCCTCGTATCGAGTGCGAATTCACTCCCGCCCCTCTGCCCGCCTCTCTTCCCAAAGAGCTCGGACCTCCCGTCCTCGTAACAAAACTCCATGCCATCTAGACTCTGCCCATGATAGACCCTCACGCTCCGCAGTAATCGTGCAGGCTTTTGGCAGGATCCGATGATGATTTCGCTGGGCTGCGAACTGTCCATTTGCGAGAAGCCCAGCTTTGAGCTCCTGAACCCGGCTCGGCCATCAGGAAGTTTGACCTTGCCTTCTTTACTCGCTAGTTGTCCCAGATCTTCTACTTCGTGATCGCTACCACCGCAAGAGAAGATTTTGAACTTCAGTTTCCGTTTCCGCTTCTCGGCAGGTAATTGCTCTCGTAGTGTTTGCTCAGTCAAAGTGATCTGTCGTGGTGGGCCGGAAGGATTGCTTTGGTCGATATATTCTATCCAATGATGGCAGACGTCATCGCCCTCAGGGAAGAGCTCAATCCATGCTATGCCTGTTGCGGCTGTAATGAGGATGGTGCCGTTGTCTACTGTCCAGACTTGGACGCTGGGGTCGGGATTCATGGCCTGGTCCGCTGGGAGCTGAAAGCAGGGATGGAAGCGGAAGCGGAGGGTATCCAGTCTGTGCCAGGCGCACTCGTCTTTCGGCATGCACAATCGGAGCCCTTGTTGTTTCGTTCGTGTAGAGTATGATTCTCGTGTTAGGAAGGTGCGGTTCAAGCGTACGTAATCCCGCAACATCACTCCGGACTCCTGATGAGGGCAGCCGAGCAGATGTCCAGTCTCGTGTAGATGTGCTCCAATCCCAATGTTCGCAGCCTCCCAATTACTACCCGACTCGTTGCAGTCGTTAGCTACGTAATCGGTATCCGTCCGCGTACAGTCAGTAAATGCAGGCACAACCTCCTCGATATGCGAAGGATATGATTGCAAGCAATGCGAGCCAAAGATAGCCAGCTTGATCGTCTCGTCACCTCCACCAAGCGCAGCATGTGCTCGCACTGTTCCAACCTTCTTGTCCCAATGCGCGTCCAAGTACATGCACGACACATATTGTTTCTGTCCGGGCTTGGGGCCAAAATATGCTCGAACCGCTTCTGAAGCAATGCTGAAAAGATCGCCCTTCTTCTTCGCAGGACCGTACTGCTGTGCGATGTCCAGATCCTGTATCTCTTTTAACGAATGTGGTAGTCGTATAACATGTATCTTGGCCTCGTTTCGCATCGCGCCAGTTTCCACGTCCCTCCAGCTCAACGTCCCAGGCTGCCACTCTTCCTCATAACGATAACATCGCCGTCCGAAGCCATTGCGGTTCATCTGCTCTGCTGTGAACGCCTGCCACAAGTATGCTGCCATTCTGAACTTCCGTATTGCTGTGTTCAACCCATTACCCTCTTTCTGTATCCGTTCTGGTACTGCATCAAAGGTCGCTGGTGAGTCACGTGCGACTAGTATGCATAGTTGCAGTGGTGGAGAGGAGATCAGAGGTAAGAAATTGATCAGGATCCATGAGGAATGCACTTGCATCTGGCCGTTCGTCGACGAGAGCTTCGGCGACGTGAAATCGAGCCGTAGCCGGTTCGGTCCAGGTTGTAGATAAACCAGCGCCTTGAAATGCGAGTCTGAGACTGGCCATTGAGTCACGGGAAAGGTATCCTGATGGTGACAGACTGCAACAGACCCATCGATAGGTCGCTGGATGTCCGCACACTCTCCCGATATGAGCAGCACTTTCTGATGCACCCACGATCCATCCGATACACTCGTCACCCTCGGCGCAAGCGGTGACGTCGCTGGTGATTGTCTTGTAGCATCGCCATACTGTGACGGACTCCCAATCAGGCTATACCGGTTGCTCTGCCCACTAGGCAGGCGTGGTCTACTGCCGGTCGGTATCGGCGGTGGTGTATTGCTGCCATTGCCATTCATGCCCACCAAGTGACTACTAGATCTTGACTTCTGCGGGCCCAGGGTGGCTTGCGGAGACTGCTGCTTGTCGAAGAACGAGCTCAGCGTCGAGGTTGATTTGTTTTGGGGTGGTTCATCGCTAGTGCCATCGTTGCTGGAGGTGTTGCTGCTTGTGTTCTGCGTGTTGCTTGTGTTGGTCGTGTGGATTGATTGTCGTGATCGTCGGCGAAGCCTCAGGTCTTTGAGGAATGAAGGCATCACGGCCTGCCTCGAGTGAGAGTTGATACGATGTTGCGGTCAAGACGGTGAGGCGAGCGAGTGTTTCAAGCGATCGTGTGAGACAGGCAGGCGTTGGCCCGTTGGGTACAGTATCAGTCGTGCCAACTTTCGTATAACCGTTGCAAGTGATCGGCGTCGTACTGTAGCTGCTTCCCGCAATGGCCTACTCTAGAACTAGAACTAGAACTACGAGAAAGCACCTTCTCTTACTTCATTTCACAGCACGACGACTCTGGAGTAAGTTGCGATGCTTCGTATGCCTTGGCCTTGGCACTCAACGTCCGCGGACCTGGGCAGGCTCAATCCAAAGTTACAGACAGTCGCAAGCAGCTAGAGCGGTAGCTTGCGAGCTTGCTGGCCTGCTTGCCTTGGTTGAACTTGCTTGCGCGCCCACCACGGTCCACGGATGATCTGCATATGGCTGGCTGCAGGAGCAGGCGGGATGCACGACAGCTCCGTTATCAGATACAGAAATATCAATAATGTTACCGCTGTGGAGCAGATCACGATTTTTTTTCTGCTGTGGTCGATCATCCGTTCATTCACTGTTGCTGCTGTGCTTCGATTACTGTCTAAGCAAACATCTTCATAAAACGCATTATTGCAGCCCACGTTTTCCAGCCACCGGCACCCGCTATCTATCTTTGTCCTTAATGACGACTGTGGAGATAATCGGCAGGTGCCGAACCGAAGTGCTTGCAGGAAAGCAAGGCACGAAAGCGCCGGCAAGCAATTCGTAAGCAAGCGACTTCGTACCCTCGTGATGTGCGATATCAATAAGTGGCAGGCCCGAGAAAAGATCATAAAATGGTCAGCTGAGCGCTAGAGGCCACGCGAAGACTCCATTGAGTCTTGAAGAGTATAAAAGTTGGTCTTGAAATGCTGATGCCTCTGGTTGACACTCCTTGTTGTAGTCACAGAATCTTTTGACAGGACCTGCTCCCTCGCCTCTTGAGTTTCGAATCCAATACTCTACCTTGCCTTACACTAAACAACTCGAGGCACGACTGCGACGAGGCACAAATCCTCATCAGATTGTAATTCCCACCACCGGCTATCTGCATACAGGTGGCTGCGGGCCCAAACGTGAGGTACATACAGCCGCCAGGCCCCTTTAGACGCAGCAGTACATGTACAGACAGACCTGCCGTGGGTGAGGCAGGCAACATGTACGCACCATCTTGGAGACAGAAAGGTCTGAAGATTTGCACAACCTCGGGATAATCTGCCTAGTATACAATGATTGTACACGCATCGCTCAGGCCCTGTCGACTCAAGCGGTGTTCTCGTCGCCACTTAGGCTGTAAACCGGCGAGACGCCCCCGGCACGCATGTGCTCCGGACACCACCGTGAGACTGATGAACATTCGCGAAGCAAACGGTTTCATAGCCACCACTCCGCTGGCGAGGCGCCTGCGGGCATACATGCGCTGCAAACGCCAGCCTGATCGGCGCAAAGGCAACGACTGTCAATACCACCAGTCATCTGGCGAAGCGCCTCAGATCATGCATGCACTGCGCACACCAGGTGGATTGTACAACAAAGCATTTCTGATGACCATGGACGACGATGAGCAAGTCGTAGCAAAAGTTCCAAATCCTAACGCCGGCCTGACTCACTTCACGACCGCCAGCGAGGTGGCTACGATGAACATGGTGCGTGTGGCAGATATCTTTATCTCGCTGTCAACGAGCTGACAGGACTTAGATGCGCAACAGTATGAAGACCCCGACGCCCAAGGTACTCGCTTGGAATTCCAGCAACGAGAACGTCGTACAGGCCGAGTATATAATCATGGGGAAGGCGAAAGGCGTCCAGCTGGGTACTGTTTGGCCTACAATGGACAGCAACCAGAAAGTCCAGCTGATCAGGGCGATTGCAAAATGCCAGCGAGTGTGGTCGAGGATGTCCTTCGGTCAAATTGGTAGCCTCTACTGTGCAAAAGATCTGCCATCTGTTAACCGAACAGCTCCAGTGTATTTCAACGATTCAGGTGAGCCCATTGAAGACTCCGAGCTTGCGATCGGACCAGTCGTAGGCAGAGAATGGATGGATTGTGGTAGGGCGAGCCTGAACAGTGACAGAGGCCCATGTGAGTGCTGACGCTTCTGCTAATGGATGCACGCACTGACGCACATCAGGGGGATCAATAGAGGAATACAGGCGAGCCGTAATAGAACGAGATATGGAGGCTGCTAGAAGCCTGAATGTTCTCCCCAAGCCGTTATCGATGCTCTGCGGCCCAACGCTCTACCAGCCTACCAAGGAGAAGAAGCTTTTCGCGTGCGAAGCCGCTCTCAAGGTCTTGCCTCATATCTTGCCTCGAGAGCCGTGGGCTTCGACTTTCCATATGTGGCACGACGACTTACATGAAGAGAACATCTTCGTAGACCCGCATGATCCTACCGTCATCACGGCGATCATTGATTGGCAGTCAACATTCATCGCCCCTCTCTTTGACCATACCACGTTTCCAGCATTCTTGGACCATGAAGGACCGACAGTGCAGGGTATGGACAAACCTATGCCTCCACAACTCTCGGAAGCTATGGAACCGGACGAATAGGCTGGTGTGTTGAAAACGTACGAAGAGCAGGTGCTGGCGTCCGGCTACAAGCACATGCTAAAAGAAAACATCAAGCCCGTATTCGATGCCGTTATGTACGAGGAGTCCGCAGCCTCCGCTGTTATGAGCGCATCGCGCAATTTGTTCGAAGTAGGTGAAGCACACTGCATGGGCTCCATCACAGTACTCGAAGATTCGACTGTGGGGTTCTCCAGTGCTACGCTGGCAACTATTCACGAAGACGTAGAGAAAACGGCGGCAAGTATGAACGCAATGAGGGTGATCAAAAACGCATTAGGGCCTCTGTTTCCGGAGAAGGGAATTGTTCGGTCGGATCAGTACGAAGACGCGAAGGCGGCATTGCGCAATGTGAAAGGACGGGGTTTCGCGGACTTCTCCACATCAGCTGAAGATCTTCGAGCCTGGGAGGAGGCGTGGCCATTTGCCGACTAGGGGAGGGAAGCGAGGACCCAAAGATTCGAAGATCTCGCGGCAACCGCCGCCGTGCTCGAAGCACCTGTCGTTGCCGATGTTGTAGCCAACTTGGCCGGACCGCTGACTGCAATCTGGGTCGTTGTACAAGGGAGAATCGTTGGTGTTGCGACACGATCTATCGCGGAGCTCATTACAGAGGAGATACCACGCTTGATACTGAGCCTGTTGCGGCAAAGAGACACGGCCAGTGTTTCCTCCGCGATGGGCGCCGGCTTGACTGCAGATCCGGTCTCACCCTCATGCTTCACCACAGTCGAAGGGGGAGTCTTATCCTTGGACACGCCTCTCGGGCGCTACCAGCCACCATCGAAGGTGGTCTAGTCAATGCTGTCGAGGCGTCTACTCAAAGGGTGCTGCCGCTCTGGCCAGGTCAATCTGCAGTGAAGACGTGGTATTGCTTAGCGAGAGTGCCAGCAGACCGGAGCTCGCCGATCACATGCCTTGAAGTTCAGCGCTGTTTCATGGCAACGGTGGAGTAATACGATGAACCCAAATCTCAAGCATGCATGTGTGTGCTTGGACGCTATCAGTCGCTTAAGCTCTCGCTTAAGCTCACGCTCTACGACGGCGGCAACATCACAGCATACTCCCTCTTACCCTCCCCAAATTTCACCACATCCCCATCTAGCCTCCATATACCTACTACATGCAGTATCAATAATTGTGACCCAAACGTAAGATGAGTGACACTTGGGCACTCAGACGACGCCGAATATGCATCCACTGTTGTGCAGCCCTAAAATTCCTGATGCCTTAGGCCAGAGCTATTGCCAGTCACAGAATTTGTAGCAAGACCTTTCTCGCCTCTTGACTTTTGACTCTAATACTGTACCTTAACTACTAGCCCAACGGCATGATCGCGACGAAGGAGACTTTCTCGGTATAACCCATGCTCTATAACGGTTGAGATTCGACTCGGGCACGGCGTGGACGAGTAACTTTTGGCTCGAATCCGACGGCGACATGCACCTTAGATACTGACCTCTTCGTGGACCTCGTTTACTACAGCGTATACGCGAGGAGAGCGATCAAGATGGCGTCTCCAGGTGATGATAGAAGTGCTACGACTCGACGACGCCGGGATTATCAAAGCAGAAGCACAGAATCTTCGTCAGATGCTCCACGGCCATCACGCGAAACGGGAAAGGAGAGGCGAAGAAATGGCGACGAGAAGCAAGGAACTCGTCGTGATCGAGAAGAAAGTCATGAAGACAACGAATCTTCGCGGAGGAGGAGTCCTTGCCCTCGAGCTTACGATGCGCCGCGAAGTGACCGAAGGGATTACGACCAATGCGATCATCGCGACGAGAAATCACACTACAGCAAGCGCTCAGATTCGCCACCAGCGAAGAGGCGTAGAAGATCATACAGCACATCCAGATCGCCACCACGAAAGTCACGCGCACCTTTACCATCGCAAGACGATTCTTTCCGCGGTGAGAAGGTCATCGAAGGCGGAGCGCCAGCCGTAGAGAAGCAGAAGCCCAACTTCAAACCCACTGGCCTCCTAGCCAAAGAAGCCAACACAATAGCCGGCACAACGACAGTACTAAAGTACCATGAACCACCTGAAGCCCGCAAACCGCCTTCAAAGGAACAATGGCGTATGTACATCTTCAAGGGCAAAGACCTCCTCGACACGATTTACCTACACCAAAAAAGTGTCTGGCTCTGCGGTCGGGACCAGAAGATCACGGATCTCCTGCTCGAGCACCCGAGTATCTCGAAGCAGCATGCTGTTATTCAATTTAGGTATATCACCAGCACGAATGAATTTGGGGACAGATCCAGTAAAGTCAAGCCTTACTTGATCGATCTGGACAGTGCGAATGGGACGATCTTAAATGGGGAGAAGGTGGGAGGCAGTCGGTACATGGAGTTGCTAGACGGAGATGTGGTGAAGTTTGGGGAGAGTGAGAGGGAGTATGTGATGATGTTGCCGCCACCGTAGAGTGAGCTTGGGTGTCAATATCATGTGGGAACGTATGCTGGCTACACTCCCCGGTATTCACTTCACGTTGCCAGGAACGGCGTTGAAACTCAAAACATGTGATCGGCGAACCCCAGTGACGTAGGTTTACAGTCCGCCCCACATTGGAACTGGTACCTCGTGCCATGGGAAAACAATTGCTTAACGGGTGTTTGCGCCATTCCTATCGTTACTCCCTGGTCGCAGTCACCGTACACGAAGTTACTGCTAGTCTCTCGTCATTGCGACCACTGTATCGCCGCCCTGAACAGCTTCCGCGAAAGTAGAGAGGAGAAACATCTCTGCATACCTGGACGACGCGATACTCCGTAAGCTCGAACAACATCTACCACACACACAGCTTAGACATACCGCTACGCACACAACGAATACTCCATAGAAGCCGTCAGTATGAACCAAGGACGTACCCTCATCGACCTTCCTCCCCCTCCTTCAGACCCAGTCACACCCTCAGACATCCCGTGAGGCCCCTTCTCCCCTCCTCCTAACAACCAAGTCGCAGCTAATAAGACGCAGATCCCGAAGCGGCACGCCCAACTCCACCACCACATCCATGTCCGAGCTCTCCACCGTGGCGATCAAAGACGGACACCGCGGCCACCTCCCACACTACCACATGCACAACCAAGGCCAGCCCTCAGGTCTAAGCCATCAACTCGACGCCGAACGCGCTGATCGCATTTCGCGTCTTGCGGGTCTCGAGCGCGTGACCACGGCGAGGAATCCCACGCCGCAGAATTTGACGCCGGGGTATGCCGCTCCGACGCACCAGCAGCCTACATCTAACCCACCCGTGAGCTACTTCGATTCTACAGGGAATCCTGCTATAGGGAGGGAGAGAAGTACCGTTGGTTCTGCGTCTGCGACGGGGAGTGTGGGTGCGAGGACTACGTGGGCGGGGAGTGAAGTCGGGGATGTGGACAAGATGAGCGAGAGTCAGGATCAGGATATGGATATGGATACCTCATCCGTCGGCGGCATGTCTGAAGAAGGGACTGGGAGTCTGGTAGGCTTCGGCGAGGGCGCGAGAACACCGGCACGGCAGAGCATTATCAGTAACCCGAACCAGATGGCCAAAGGCTCGACGCCTACCGCCCGTGATACGAGGATGGCGGGTGAAAGTGCGATGGGCGGAGGGTACGATCAGCAGGGTATGGAGGGTGTGGAGCCTGGGAGGAGAAACTTTGCAAGTACGGGCGGTGTAGAGCAGGCGGAGAGGATTGTGCGCGAGCATATGGACACTACGAGTAACGATCGCATGAGAGAGGGAAATGTGCAGGCTGCTGAGTTGGGCAAGTTTGGGTTTGAGAAGTAGGCGAGTCTGCAGTGTGCGTGATGATAAAGTGATGCGAAATCGAGTAACTGCAATTTTCCTGCGGAAGCTCATGCAAGGCGTTGGTCGGACAGGCGCAATGTTGCATGATGAAGGGACGAGAAAGTGAACCGGAAAAGTGCATGGCCGGTCAACCGCCTAACCATACTTATGCACGTAGTCGTAGCTCAGCAGATCATCGAAGCTGATCTCAAGCACAGCATCTCACTTCCCTCTCAGATCTACAACCTCGAACTCCAGACCCGGGCCCTCGACTACATGGCCCGGCTTGAGAGCATCTGTATACAGATTCTGCTCAACATGTGGATGAAAGACCCCCGGTGCCGTGCACTCAAGTACAGCTTGCAAACCTGGTGGTGATGTGAGCCTGAAGCATCCCCATTCGGGATTATGTCTTGGACTGCACACGATGGCGATGGCCTCTGGTAGCATCACTTGGTATCCTGAGCTGGTATGTAGATCGCGGCTGCTCAGGAAGCAAGACTGAGACGGGTGGGTATGTATCCAGCCGCAGACTAGTAGCTCGTGTGTGTCGCAGTAGTCGAATAGTGCGTTGTCGCCGGTCTCGGTGGTATCGCATGTGCTGTCTGTGCTTGTTTGGTCGGGGACGATGAGGTGGGATATGAAGAGTGCATTGGAGACTTGTGTGGCGGCTAGGACCGCGCAGGTTTCGAGGTTGCGGAGGGTGTTTGGGTGAGCCAGGTTGAGGAAATTTTGGCGTAAGTCTGGCGGTAATAGGATCGTGCGTAATGGAGCACCAGATTCTGTTGTGGTGGTGGACTTGAAGGTATATTTGGATGAAGGTGTTTGTGGGAAGTACTGAGTTGTGTCCGGAGTCTGTAGGTGCTTCGGCGGTGGTATGGGTCGTGATGAACTAGTGGCGTCGTCGTATCTCTCCTTCGTGGGTTTCGAGGGAGGTGGCATACTGTCGTAGTTTCTGCTCGATAGTGGCTGCAGTGGCGGAGTCTGCCAGTCGATGACACCCTCGCGTGCCGGAACCGACGGATACTGGTATGTGTTTGATGTTGTCACTGTTCGCGTCGGAGCTGGTATGTCTCGACTGGGCCGTCTGGCTCCTTGCAACATGCTGCCGATATCTCTGACGCTGGGCTCGTGACCGCTATCACCAGCCGGATCCTCGCCACCAACGACAATACCACGCCGCCTCGATGCTACCGTTCCAGGTGAGATGCCAGCTTGGCGTGTACTCTGCCTTGATGCATCGCGCTTCCTAATCTCGTGATGTGCCAGGTCGACAGCTAATGCACTGTTGTCGTGAACACTGAGATGATGGCTTTCGTCTTCATAGTCCAGAGCATCGATGTAGTCATAATTAGGTCCATCGAGTGCCTGCAGCCCACTTCGTCCTTGCCGAATTCGTCTCTGCTCAGCCTCCCTTCTCTCAACAGCAGCACGATAGCGCTCATGCTGTTGCCTGAGCACAGGCTTCCACGTCTCCAGTTTCTGGAGATTCCGCATCACAGCCTTCTTCGCCGTGGAAATATCTGTCCTGAAAGCCGGATCATGGTAATCTGGGTGTTTTGGTAGACGGTCCAGCACCAGTTCCGCATGTCTGTACAGGTAAAGAAATGCCGACTGCAGATTCCCGTCTCGCTCGCAGATGGTAGCTTCTGTAAGCAGGAGTTTCGCCGCTCGAATCCATCTTTGTATGGCGACCGATGGATTCCAGTCGAAGGCTTGAGCTTGAGTCGATATCTCTGCTATACTCAGAGGCTCCGACGATGCGGTATGGTGGCGTGAGGCTGCCATTTCACTTGGTTTAAAAGACCAACAAACTGGTTGGTGCCTTCTATGCAAAGGCGGGCGTGCCAGTGGACCGTCAATGGTATCGATGTGTACTCGTGACACCTTCGAAGCGTGCAGGCTGTCGTGTGGATGTTATAAACTCATCGAATCGTCGTTGCCTGCCGTCGGGTGGTCTCGAGTAATGCGCCGCCGAAGCACGGGCCGCAGTTTCACGAAGACAATTAAGTATTCCATCATTCTGCGATGCAAAGACACATCCATCGCCAATCATCGAAATTGCATCTCGCTCATGGGAATTAGAGGCAGATATACTGCTGATGTCAGATATCCACTCACGGAAACACTCCAGAGGCTCTTCGGCTCCGCGAAGGAAGCAGTGCTCAGGGGCAAGCAGATTCAAGATACCGAGGGCTATGGCAGCGACTATCGCAACGAGATCGTAAGCGACAAATTATGCGGTCAGTGCAAGCCAGCCATATACTCAATCGATATGTGGCATTGATGAGATCTAGATGACACGATCGAATACTTGGCTCCTACATTGGAGCAACACAAAGGATGCACACTGATCGACATCCACCCTGGCGCGTGCCTGTTCTCCTCCAAACTACATGACTTCCTCAAACCAAAGCGTCATCTCTTACTAGAGCCGGAACCTTTGTACTACGACTCTTTCATCAAGCCTCTGCTCGATCGACCTAACTCAACGTACCGCCATTCGACGATCCATGGCGTGCATCTACAGCACTATTTCCATAATTACAACAAACTCTTGAACGACCCAGAACTTGCTCCTCGGCAGTCTCTCCCACTGGATGATTCAAGACAAAGGCAGCTTGATCCCAACTTCCTCGTTGTCGGTAACCTGGCTAGAAAGTACACATCCAGGGCACGCACAAGATCAGTAACCCTAGCTTCGCTCATTCTGCAACAGATGCTGCAGGCATCACTGAACAATGAGATCTTCCACAATGGTGGTCTTGTCCGCATGCTCTGGTGGGTACCCGAAGGCGACAAGTATACGCTCTTCCCAATTACTGAGGCATATCGACGCAGCTTGAATGCTAGGCTCAGTATTGCCACCGAGACCACCGAGGCGGTGGGGATGCTGGACCTCTATAATATCAAAAATAGATACTACGCTGCCCGACGACCAAGGCCACCTTTTTTAAGTGCAATGATCGCGGATCGTGTGCAGAAACGAATGGAAGCTGCTGGGATGAAGCCGCCAGAAGGACGTGATGTTCTTTACGAGCGACCTGAATTCTATCCCTCGGCCTCCAGATCGCCGTTCGAGAGCACAATCAGCACTTTCAAAGAGCTTGAACGTGATATCGAATCCGCTCAGAAGCGTTTACTCGTCATCACGAAAGACCTCCCCTCAGTCAGACGTACGGCGATGGCCAAGCTGGAGGAAAGCATGGTGGAATCGATCACATATCCTCAGTGTAAGGAGTTCCACGACAATTTCGATGTCAGATTGGCGAGGCGCGCACGCACAATCATCTATGCTGACCTAGCTACTGGCATTCTCAATCTTGAAGTCGCACTTGTCCTTCTTGAAGAGAATGGCTTCTTGCGAGCCAGTCTGGATGCATCACGCGATGCAGTCAAGGCAATGTGGGATGACATGATGGCTCATGCTCACAGCATCACCAAGGAGCTCTCGCAGATGATAGAACTCTCTGTCGACATGCAGATTGCTTGCTTCAAGAGTCCACCGATGGTTGCACTCGAGGCACGGGCATACCAGCCATTGAAAGGTGAAGTACATGAGATCTGGCCAAAGAATCAAATGATGTTGCTGGATATGGTTCCGAAGGGTGTCGATCTATCGGTGCCGGACTTGGCCAGTCGACGCGAAGGTGCGAAGATCTGTGAGATGCTACTCCGGTCCTTTATGGAGTCACCTGCGCAGTGTCTGCCAGACGCGCTAGATCGTATAGCACCGAATGCAGCGCAGGATCTCTTGCCTATGTGTCCGGCCGTCTCCGATCCGAGGAAGGGCGGTAGACTAGATCCCAGGAATATCAAGACGAGATCTGTATCCGAGGAGATAATGGTTGAGTTGGTCAAAGCGTGGTTCGAATGGCCTTTCAAGCCATCGACTGTGGAGATGGAGATTGCTCGCGCGGGCTCGGAGTCAGCATCTGAGGAGGACACAGACGTGCCAACAGGATAGAAGGAATACAAAATAGTCTGTTATAGGCCAGGGTATCAAAACGCCACAAGCAAACGCTCAGTAAAGATGAATCAAGGTCCTTGCAGCGCTAGTGCTCCATCACGCTGACCTCCGCAAATCGCACAGCACGCTTGACGTCGTGCCCGTTTTTCGCATTGATTGCAGCTGCTCCCCTTCTTCGTTCAATCCTTCGTTGTCGTGCCTCCCTTGCCTCCCGAGCCTTCCACTCCTGGACTTGCTGTCTGCGCTTTTGGCTACGAACGTAGGCAATAGCAGGCGTCGGCCGAAACCCAATGCCGTTGATGCCTTCACCGTCGTCATCGGCACTCGGGTCAATATCCTGCCCAGTGATCTCGTCCTCTTGCCAGGTCAAGGTCGCCGAATCAACGACATTGTCTTCGTCGTTTGACTGGGCCAGTGTCTCCATCGCTTCATCTTCTCGGGGCTGGACAGGCGGTGAACGGTTGAATGCGGGTGGTGGCGAGAACAGTCTTCTTGACTGCAACATCGGTGTGTTTGCCTGCTCATCACGTATAGTCTCAACGGTAGGCGTGATTGACTGTAGTGACCGCGGTGGTTCGAAAGCTTGATTCGGAGTCTCACCAATTTCAAGCAAGATATCAACTGGTTGATGGACGATCGACTGAGCAGTGGCATCCGGCGTTGAGGTTGTGACAGATGGATCATGTCGGTCCTCGGGTACGAGATGTCGATTGCGCTTTAGACGCTTCCTAGGAGAGGGTGAGCCTGGTATCGCATGCTGCTCATCTGTGAATGGTGATGGTCGATCAATATCAAGATTACGTAGTCCTTCGGCAACAGTAGTCCTCGGACTGTCTGCTGGAGTTTCTGGAACAGCATCAAACCGAACAGAAGTGTTGATGGTGGGCAGTGGAGTGCCGCTAGTTGATGTTGTCCGCTTCCGCTTGGGAGACATCTCGTTGACTTGCGATGCCTGGTGTAATGGCTGAGGTGGAGTTAATGACCTAGTTTTGGGCGTTGGCGTCCGATATGGCGGATTACGGCTCGCAAGTGAGAGGATCATGACCGCGAACCTGATATCTTCTTGGTGAGACAGACTGAGGCAGTCATTAGTGGAGTGATATCGTGGCCACCAAGTGAAGGGACGTCGTGGCGGTGGTGGGGCATGTGAGGGTCCAGGCAGTCAGCCTCGCGAACGGGTGCGCTACGAAGCTTATGCAAGAGCTTATCACGCAAATATGGAAGCTATGTGCGGCGACACTCCTATGCAAGTCATCCTTCCACGTCAAAACTATCTGCATACCATAGAAAGCAAGACGCCGGACGCCATCGCTATACGAGTAAAGCCACAGCGGCAACCCTTTACAGACCAGCCATGACGCTACTCAGCACCCTTTCCAACATCTGCAATCGATAAAACGCCGCTACCCTTTCATGCACACGTAACGTTCTCACCATCTCATCCCTCTTCACGGTCGTGATCCACTCTCCCGCACAAGCACAATGGTTCATGAAGTCATTCGTCCTCATCCTCGAGCACTTCTTACACTTCAAATCTTGCGTCATCCATTGCACGACCATCTTCTGCACTTCACCAAGCAACCTCTCCTCGATACCAAGACGGTCGTATACAGCGCCACAATTGTCGCATTTCGCGACCAAGAAAGGCTGCTGTGCGTCGTCCAGCGCGAGGCCGCTGTCACGACATAGATCGATATCTCGTGGGATCGTGCACTCGGCACAACTCAGCTGCTTTACAACCAGGCTCGTGCTTGGGTTCGCGAAGGCGCCGTCGGCACTGAACTCGCGGATCTCAAAAAGATGCAGCAATTCTTTCCGTAGAAGGCGAGCTTCGAGCGTGATCGTTTTGTCCAAACTTAGAACCTGCATAATGCTCTTGACCAGCTCAAGAACAGGATTTTGCAGATTGAGATGCGAGCCAGGCATGGTCGGGAAGCGCCAATCTTCTACCAGCTCTTCATGCATCGACTCAGTCCGCTGTCGCCGTATCAGCTGAGCGATCTGCTTTTGCAAAGGCTTTGAGATAGTCGTTGCCAGTACGTTGCCAGGGGTAGTCTGGTCGTCCTTCTCAGAGTTGAAGACAGAAGCATGGATGGGGAGCTGTGTTGGACGCGAGACGCCATTGACAGCGCCAACTGGTCTTTTCCGCTGGTGCATGAGCTCGATATACTCCACGATCCAGTCATTGAATTTCGGCTGCAGGATCACGGGCAAGAATGTCGCAATCTGCCAATGCATGATAGTGTCCAGCTGCTGCTTCTCGACCTCGACTACCTCGGTGCATCCTTTTCCACCATAGTTGAACTCATCGTACCATACCAGGTAGTCCCAGTACTCTGTGATAGCAAGATCCAGGAAGTGGAAGGCCGGCTTAGTACTGATTGTCTTCAAGATGTACTGGCTGTAGGCGTACGCGTTCCCAACCTCAGCTTTAGACGTCTGCAGCAGCAAGCGACCAGCATTGGCGAATACCACATGCGATCCCACTCGTCTGAATTCAGACATGAGTTGCTGAAAGGCCTTCCGAGACATGATCTGCACATAGTATAGCAGATTTCGGTCGAAGAGATGTGACGATGGGCTCTCAACCCATCGGACCAAGTGCATCACAAGCACATCAGCCATCGTACTGCCGGCACCACCTGTGCAGGCTTCGTGCCACCATGCCCGAAGCATTTCTCGAAGGGCAGCAATACCCGCTTCGGCGAAGGCGTTCTCGGAGGCGACAGTCTGTGCAGTCTCATCCAGTGCATCTTCCTTTGCACCGGCACCAGATACGCCGACCGGATCACTGCCCTCTGCGTCGTTGAGCACAGCCGCGGAGAGAATCGTGTTAATGGCTAGATTCTTGATGCTCAAGTCGATGCAAACAGAGGAGTATGTGCCTGGATTGTTGACGCTCGGCATATCAACGACTTCAATTGAGCTAAGGATATCGTCCTTCTCGTGACCAGCGTGATCTGGTCTTGCGCCGTCTGACCACCATAACACCACACGCTCTTTCTGCAAGCGACGTGCGTAAGTTATATCGATCAAGAATCGCGGATCGTCCTTCTCAAGGTTACACAACGGGACATTGCCGTACCGCGCAAACTCAAGGAGATGGGAGATCCAGGTACCCAGTTCGAGGTAGTGGTTGACCAGCCGCTTCGCAACCACACTCTGCCAGCCGAGGGGAGGGAGCGCCTTATCGTGGTCTTCAGCCTTGAGGCGCAGACTGGGATAGGTCTGCAGAATTGGCAGATCATGCAGTAGCATCTGCGCACTACCGGACTGCAGAACCAGCATGGTTGGACTCGAGTCTTCCTTCTGAAGCTTCTTGATCGCATCGCCCAGTTCCTGCAGAGCTCGTCGCTGTGTCGTTACCTGAACATGCTTGAAGTGCAACGAGTCCTGGTACTCGATGACCTTCTGCCATGGCTCGCCACCGCTCTCTTCAAGCTTGCTCTGAAGGGCGGCTTCATATATGGCATCCACATTCGGCATACCCTCCTCGCTCCTGCCCTTGCGATTCAACACAACAACTTTGACTTCTGGTCTGCTGGTTGAGAATAGAGCGTATATCTGCCTATCACCAGCACTGATGTGGTACAACGCGAGATACTGTATTACGTTCGCACCCATATATGGCTGTTTCGCAGGGACTGTCCGGAGACTGGAGAGATCGAACCCTTGCTCCAGCCCTTTACCAAGGACACCACGCTGACTTTCATCGAACGTACAGACGCAGCCTAGCTCCAGCATAGCTCGGACATCCAGCGGTACTTCTTTCTCGTACACCCCTTCGACGCTCGGATGGTCGAAAAGCATTTTCAGTTTCGCAGCTTCTTGCACGTAGACTTGTTCGCTCATGGTAAGCTTGAACAAGTGCGTGCTCGTATGTCCGTTCGGCAGCGTCCAGTTGATCACTTTCTCGGCACTAACACCAGGCACATCGACATCCGGCAGCTCATCCTCCTTCAAATTCAGCCATACAGTCCTCGGCACAACAACCTTCAGCGAATGGATCTTCCGATCAATAAGCACAAATGCCCTCACCTCACCCGCGGTCTCCGTCTGCCTCAGCTGCAGGATCTGCCAGTCCGAAGTGTAGACAAGCTCAGCCTGCTGCCGGAAAAACGTACCAATGGCGTCCGTAGCATCCGTCCTCTTCTCTCCAAACAACTGCCGCCGCCTCTTCCTCGCCGCCTTCTGGATCTTCCACTTCTGCTTCTGGTACCGCAGCCACCCCTGATAGTCCTCACTAATATTCGGCATAACAGACGGCAACCCATCGTACGGGTTCGCCGACGCCGCACTAGCCTCAACAGCCTTCCTTTTCTGCGAGCTTCGAGCGTCCTGCTGCTGCACAATTTTGGCAGCCACACCTGGCTTGACCAATTTCGCCATGGACACAGCACCGAAGTCCTCCATATCCATCCCTCCGCCTCCGAGCCGTGGCGAGACAGTATTAGGGTCCCGTTCGGCCAAGGGTTTCTTAGCAAACATATCTGTCATTTTCACTTGCTGCAACACGTCCTCCTTTGTGCGGATCCTCTTGAGTAACCAGTCGGGGTGCGCAACTCGGGGGACCGGGTTCTTGACTTTCTGCAGCGCCGCAGGAATCGTGATGAGTTTCTGGATCACGGAGCCTAGGCGTTCGAGGTAGTAGCCCCAGTCAATGACACTGCGTGGATCCATGTCACCTGGGTCCTCCTTCATCCATTTGCGAAGGTAGTAGCGCTTTACACTCTCCTCCGAGCTGAAGATCGCAACTGGGATAGCTCTTTCGGTCACAGGAGCATTCTTCGGCCGTGAAGAGATGATATACTTGCAATTCAGACCTTTATCCTTCACCATCTGCTCGCCCAGAAACTCGGCCAGCCTCTTCGCGGTCGTGATAGCAGTACTCTTCTGCGCACCATACTCCTCCAACGTCTTGGCCATACTCTTATTCTCGCAAATGAGATCAATGAGTTCCTGATCTGCCATCGTAGAGCCCCTCGAATCCAGTACGTCCAGCCACTTGTCCGCCACCTTCGCTACCGCAGCATAGGTCTCCTCCAACGTCGTCCCATCAAGGAAAAACTTGAAAATCTGCTGCTGGAAGATCTTGATAAGCTTCAGCTCACCACGGCGCTTGATCTCGAAACCCTTCAGCTCAGCAAGGGTGCCGTCATGGTTGAAGACGGCATAGCGTTTCTTCAGATTCTTGTCTTCTTCTTTACTAGTCGGGAGGATCATGGCACGGTAAGGCCCGTCGACTTCGAAGAAGATTGTATTGTCACTATGGGTCTGGTATTGAAATGTGCTCGGATCTGTGAGAGTCTGATACTGGTGATTCGTGAACTGCTGATGCACCAGATGGTTCAACATCACGCAAGGGTAGGAGATGGTCAGTTTCTTCCCATTCTGCATTGTGAAGCTGAAGTTCTCTGGAAAGGTGGCGGGCAGAATACACCAGATTCCGTCCGTGTCCAGCTCCAGGGGTCGTCCGATCCGCTCGACCAGCTGTCGCGCCATTTGGATGATTCGCGCTCCAGTCAAGCAAGTCACACCGGCCATTTCCATGGAGTACCATCGACTTCCTTTTCGCATGACATAACCGTAGAAGGAGTTGAGGATGACTTTGTGGGCTAGCTGGAGGGAGTCGAAGAGGATAATCATCTTCTTCGCTTCTTCAACCTCACCCGAACTCGCCCCGGCCTTCTCAAGCTCCGCCGTCTTGCCTTTCCAGACTTTCTGCTTGCCCTTGAAATCATACCTTCGATCTCGGAAATCCTTGACTGTGTCGACATAAAACGGATTCTCCCTCTGACAGATGATCGCCTCTCTCTCAAGAGTCCGAGCATCATGAATCTTATGATAAATCTTCTTGCTGTAATCCGTCAACCGCTTCTTCACCATCCCCGTCTGCTCATCTAGGCTCAAGTCTTGGAACGCTCGGGCCAGGCCATTGGGGTATTTGGGCGGGAATTTCTCGTTCTCGAGAGCGTGCCGGATCATATTGTACTCGTTTCGTGCGGCAGGGAGGAACTCTCCACGCCAGGACCATGGCATCCGGCGGTCACAGGTTTTGCCCGGGCGATTAAAGTCACAGGCTGCGCAAACGGACTCGTCGATCATACTGTCGGGTTGGAGACGGTTGGTTGTCATGATGTTTGGGTACATCGAGGCGACGTCCAAGTGGTAGATGGAGGGTTTCTCGTGCCGGTTGGGCGTGGTCTTGAGCTGCATCAAGCGTTCGGCGATTTGTGCTTTCACTTCGTCGTAGTTGGTGACGTCCTCGAGTTTCTTCTTCTCCTCGACTACGATGGAGAATTGTAACGCGGCATCAAGGTCGGTGAGCAGCTCGTCGATGGCCGCTGTGTCGATAGCGAAGTTGCAGGGTATGTCTGATCGGAAAACACCGGCCTCAATACTCTCCACATGCCCACCGACATATGTTTCCGACTCCAGCAGATGTCCTTCCCAGAAGGCCTCGCGCGGTTGGACGTGCTTGTTGGGTAGCACAATCTCCTTCTGATATGCCTGCACCATCAATAACATCTCGCACAATGTTCCGGTGCCTTTGCGCAACACATCGTCCGGACCAAGAGGAATAATCGTACATAGCGAGAAGATGAAGGGATGCACATATTTCATGTACAAATAGTAAGTGGCCACAGCATCGGAGACAGAGTACTCGGCCAGTGTTTGTGGTCGCTCAGCAGCGTACGGAGTCATGAGTTCCGGGTCCAGCTCGTCCGGATCGTAGCCCAACTTAGCTACAGTAACGGCCTTGAGACCTCTCGAACCTTGTGGGAGGTACGAATCACGATTGACCCAAGCGAAAGCATCCATATGTGCGCAGTGGGTCGACTGATAGATGTCTTCGCTGTTCTTCCGGAAGCCAATCTCCTGGTACATGTCTATGCCGTGAACACTAGCCCTGGCTTCGACAAATGGCCAATCGAAGAAGTCTCCGTTGTAAGTCACTATGATTGTCGGTCTCGCTTCCTTGATGCAGGCGAAGAAGCGCTCGATTACTGCTTCTTCGTTCGACTCGTTGAAGATGAGGAATGGACCGTCGAATTCTGGCTTGGGCGTGTAGTCGAAGTCCTGGATATCTTCACTTACAATCTCGCGATTCGTGATGAGGAAGCCTTGGCCATCAATCATGTACGATATCATCATGATCTGATCGATACTCGCATCCGGGAATTTCAGAGGTAGTTTCGTGGTTTCGATGTCGTATGCCATGACAATTGGGTCAGCTCGAGTTAGTCGGTCCTCAATGCAGGAAAGCGAAATCTTGCCATGCTTTGCGTTGACGGTGTACCACTTCCCGACTCTGATGTCCATATCAATCGCTACTCGCACATGATATGGCACATCGTACTCCCGGATATCCAGGATGAAGTCCGAAGCATCGACAAATCCAGCCGGCCGTCGCTCGTCCAGATGTGCCTCGTCAAATAAATCAAATCCAGCGTTCGCACTAGCCACCTCAGCATAAGTGTCCATAGCACTGACTTTGCTCTTGTTCTTCTCAGCAATCGGCGAAACACCCCTCCTCACAGCCAGTAAATCATTCACGTTCGCAAATTCCAGCTTCAAGAAAGTCCTGCGATACCCAAGCAAATGATTCGGCATCTTCAGGTCCTCCTTCTCCACCCTCTCCACACTCTTCACCAGTCCCTCGAACCCTCGTCGCACCCACTCCTCCACTTCCGCCTCCTTCCCCTTCTTCACAGCGAGGAGGAAGTAGGGATCGTACTCCACACTGGCCTTGAACCGTCCCTGCCCATCCTCGTCGATGAAGTAAAAGTCGACCGCTGCTCTGCCGCCGGGCACTTTTGAGTCCTCAAGCGTCGTACTGTGCATATTCATGAGCCATCCCGTTCGAGGCTTGCCGGCTTCGAAGCGTTCGAAACCCTGCTTCTCGTCGATGCTGTGAGCCAAACGTGTCGCTTCTAGACGTTCACTCTGGGAGGTCTGTTCCGTACTTCGTAGGTCCGAGGCACCGATCGTCTTCGTCTTGGTTATGCGCTGGTTCACTTGGCCTTTGCCGAAGCGACTGTGGCCTTCCTTCCTACGAAGTGGCATTGTGGGTATGTTGACGGGTGAAGCAACCCGCTGGTGGAAGTGTCTATGGTATCATTGCCGTCAGCGCTGTGGTTTCCTTCGAACAGCCAGGTCGAATAGTAACAGTAACAGCAATCGTGTATATCGTCGGTAACATCGAATGCTTTCCGCGTGAAACGCGTCTCAGCGCGTCTTCGAAAGCCACTAACCACTTCCCCGGAAGTACCTCGGAAGACTTTCCATCCGATCAGCATCATACATCGTTCTCGTCCATCACTACGATCCTCTCCCATTGCACCATCATACTAAAGATGGCAGACGATACCCGACAGACGCCTTCCCAAAGCCCCGGCGCAATCCAAGAGGACCTCTCCCGTGAAGCCCTCACCGTCCACCCCGAACACAAACCTTTCTCCGGCACGCAATGGCAAAACGGCAAACAAATCCCCTACAAGCCTGATCAAAACGCGAATCTATTGGGTGGAGGGACAGAAAATACAGCAGGAGGGAAAGCGCCAGATGTGACGTTGAGTAATGCCTTTCAAAACGGGATCCAGAGGAAAGATTTCGTGGATCTGCCCACCCGGCCTTGTGTGAGGGACGCGTTGTTGACAGGCATCGGGGGTGGTTTCGCGCTCGGAGGTATTCGTGCTATCTTCGGTGGTATGTGTATCATATATCCCACGGGGGAGGATGTTCAATAATGCTTTTACTGATTCTCTCCACAGCCGCAGTCTGGACATCATGCTCCTGGGCCGTAGGCTCCTTCTGCTTCTCCGCACCTCTGATGTACCAATACTGTCACTACAGACGAACCGCGGAAAAAGAAGGCATGATGCGAGCTGTCGAAATCTTGAATAAGAAGGAAGTTGAGCGCAAGGCAAGGGAGGCTAGGAAGGAGAAGGTGAGGGAGGAGAGGAGGCTGGCGAAGGATAGAGAGCAGGATACGCAATTAGCGGCGTTGAGTGAGAAGCAAAGTGGTGGTGGGCAGCCTTGGTGGAAAGTTTGGTGATTGTGGTGGAGACATGCATGGGTCGTGTTGCGGATCCTTCTAAGTTGCATTTATAGAGCTTGCCAGACACAGCACTGCGTCCTCCTTGGAAGTCCATATACAAACAGGATATTCGCCTTCTATGATCTCGGATACGGCAAGAGCGACAAGGCTTTCGGGTCAGATGTTGTGGCGCCTCACCTCACAAGTTTGCGCAGCATGGACACAAAGCTACAAACCAAGTAGTGGCCCTGAGAGTCAGACGTGGCTATGAGGATAGGGAGCGATATGAGACTGGACGGGCAAGGCACAAAGCTTGCAAAAGCACAATCGTATTATCGCAAGTATGATCACGCTATTCTACATACAAGCAAAAAAAGCTGTCAAGACCCATCCCCAATTACATGCCATCTTCTATGCTACCTCTTGACCAGATGCTTCGCAATTCTTGCTCATCATCGAGCTTTGGAGAGGTGCTCGAAGCGAGTGGCGATTATCATCGAGTCTGTGCTTACACTGACCCCGATCACAGCATCATGATGGCGGCCATCATGCTGATAATGAAGCACAGCATGAGCTCGTGGTCGACAATCTCGGTGGTAGCCGAGCCAGTGTATGGGACTGGTGCAGTGCTAGGAGAGGTGATGGTGCCATTGCCGGTGGGAGCTGGCATGTAGCCAGAGCCAGTTGCTCCGATTGCACCGGCCACGCTGCTGCTTGGGGAGCTGACAGCCGGGACTGGGGCAGAGTATGGGCCGTAGCCGATTGGGGACGAGGAAGTGGAGGTCTGGGTGGCGTTCTGCTACACGTCAGTATGAGATCTAGAACCAGGATATAATGGCTATACTAACATTGGCAATGCCAGTCTGGGAAGAGGGCGCAGTCGGCACAGCTGGAACAGTGACTCGAGTCGTGCTAGTAACGGTCGAAGTAAGGGTAATGGCAGATGAAGAAGTCGAGGCCACACTGCTTGGGCTACCAACGCTTGGTGAACCAGTACCGCTTGGAGTGGTGTTCGAGAATGAGGCTAAGCTCGAAGCAGTGGGCGGGTATGAGCTGGGTGCTCCAATCGCTGGCGCCGAGGAGCTCGTAGAAGCTGAGCTGGTCACAGATGGACCGGCAGAGGACGAGCTTGCGGATGCTGAGCTGCCGGAGCTGCTGGAGCTGACACTGGGTGTGGCGGAAGGAGATGAACTGGGAGCGCTGCTGACCGAAGCAGGCACTGCAGCTAACGACGAAGAAGCTGGGCTGGTTGAAACAGCAGGGGTAGATGCTGAAGACGAGGAGCTGGGAAGTGTTGGCACAGCGGGGACTGCAGTCGAGGACGAAGAGCCTACACTGCTTGGCACACCCGAGCTGCTGGACGCAGAAGCAGCAGCAGAAACAGCTCCTGTAGAGGTCGCTGGGATGCTGGGTGAGCTAGGTACTGGGCCTGGCGCCGAAGAGGATGAAGCGACTGGAGCACTCGAAGCCGAGCTGCTCGGAGGAGCATAGCTGAAAGTGTATGTCGAAGACCAGCTGGTCGTGGTTGTAGAAGTGACGGTACTTGTGATCGCCGTCGGGCTGGTAGGGCTCGCACCTGCCACGGAGCTGCTGGTTGGTGAAAGGAGGCCAGTAGAGGACGATGCGGTGGCACTGCCCATTGAAGTGAGCGTGGCCGGGCAGATTGTGGTGGAGACTGGGACGATGGAAGTCCAGGTGGATGTCGGGCAGCTGACCGATGCTGGGCAGCTGAAGTCGGTCACCATGCTGGTGGCGTAGACGGTGGAGATGTACGCGACAGGCCTGATATGCTGAGTGACAACATTGGTTACTGTGGAAGTGGACTCATCGGCTGGCATGCATCGTCAGTACATAGCTAGGGGAGGAAAAGCTGGTTGCACTCACTTTCGGTGGCGGATGCCAGAGTTACAGCGCCAACGATGGCTGCGAGAATGTTTTTGATCTGCATTTTGGCGGGGGCTGGTGCGTGTTTGGTGTCTGGTCGTGTATTGCCTCGCGAGCTTATAGTGCAGAAAAGCGAAGCGTTGATAAGGAGTTGAACGAGTGTGTGTGATGATTGTTGACGAGGGAAGAAGCAGGAAGAGGAAGAGGATTTGTTTTGTTTTCTATTGGGAAAGTGTTGGTTCGGCGGCCGCATCCGAATGACGCGGCTGCTGGTGAATGAGGAAGGAACGGGCAGGCAATTGCGAAGCCCGAGCTGCAGTCACGGGAAGTGCTTGCGAGCAACATGGTCTTGAAGCCATCTCGACCCTCGGTGTATCCCGCAGACAGCACAAGAGTGTCTGAAGTCTCGCGATCCACCATCATGCCGATAGGCCTGCGGGCTCCTGGAAGTACAGATATTTGCTGGATGCCAGAACGCCCGTCTAAGATGGCGTCCAGTCGCAAATCGTCCAGCTCTCGCCTCTCGAAGATAATACAACATGGTAGGGCCGACTTGCCATGGTACTGTTCTTGCCACCTGATTATGATCGCAGCTATTCGCCATGCCTGCTTCGTTGATGGAAGGACCCCCTGCTGGAACACGTCCATACTGCCCTCTTCACGTTACTTGGGACATCACGACCTCCTCTTACTTGCCGTGACAGCGCGTTCTGACCATACCTTCCGCCGTGGCAATGTTTACGACAGCTTGCTATAAAACGGCACCCAGTCCTCCATGTTCTCTTCTCTCTTTCTCGCATCCGTATACCACTATTCCCACGCCGGCACAGCTTTACACCAACATCCACACTGCACCAACATCCACAGAATGCATTTTAGCTCCCTCTTACCGCTTGTCGGTGAGTACCAGCCCTCTCGATCACTGTCTTACCTCGCTGACCATATTCTCAGGCCTTTCCCTGGTCTCAGGCGAAGTGACCAAGACGGTGACCATGACAACCACTCCGGCCTGGTGTCTCCGACCACCTCCAACACTGTCCACGACTTGCGATACCAAGACCTGGACCATCAGCGAGAAGATCATCCCGCCCTCCACCACTGTCAGCTGCTTGTCTGCTTCCTGCACCACCATGACATGGACAACCAACAAGATGATTACGCCACCTCCTCCCACTCTGTCCGCCACTTGCACCACATCCACCTGGACTTCGAGTACTCAAGTCACCACTTCGAAGAAGTCTAGCAGCAGCTGCGCGACATCCACCACTTCCAAGACAAAGTCCACGACCTCGTCGATGTCGTCCACCACCCCATGCTCAACGTCCTCAATCTCCAGCACAAGCTGCACGACTTCAACCTCGACAAAGACCTTGTCTTTGCCCGTAACCACGTCCAAGAGCACTTCGACTTCCACTTCCATCTCGACCCCCTGCTCTGGCAACAGCACTGTGACGCTATCCACTCAATCTCCCACCACATGGCAATGGACTTGGACGCCCACCCCGACCTCCAGCGTGATCAAGCAGACCCTCAGCTACGGCAATGCCACCGCTTTCACCTGGTCGCCGACTCCCGAGGTCTACTCCACTCCCATTTGGTCAACTCCAGTCTAGTCTACTGCCGACACGACCACCTTCTCCCTTTCCAGTTCCACCTTCGCAACCCCAGCCAAGTCGAGCTCGATGTCCTGGGTGCCACCCAAGCCGTCAGCACCAATGTCACCAACCAACGCCGGTTCGACTCAACAACCAGCGACATGGGTGGCTCTCGCAGCGATCATGGCCGCTATCCTCATGATCGTATGATCGCGCCCAGCATGAAGGCTGGGCACTCTTGGACGTGTGGTATGCGATGGGTTATCTTGGAGCACCTTTGAGTGCCGTTCTTGGTGCGTTTGAGTTCCGTTTTTACGGCAGATAGTGACTGTGCAAACGTCTTTGGCTTCATCTTTCGTTTCCTTACCTCATCGTCCGTCGAGCTGATCTACATCAACGATCATCTTCTTGATGACATCGTGCACATGTAGCCATGTCTTGGGAAACAAAAGTTCGCCTTCCTCCCACGTGTCGACCGTTACCTGACCATACCTTCCTAAGCATGGCAGGCGGAAAATCTTGCTCGAGCGAGTCGTACGAGTATTTGTTCGAGCAATAGCGATGCGTAACGGTATCGGTCTCCATCACGCCGCTCCCGCTCGCAACCCTTGCAGCATGCAGTCACGGTCGTAGGATTCCTTCTGAGTGAGTCACGTAGGAAATATATAACGATGCACGATATTAGATTGCCAAATAGTCCGTTCTTCAACAGTAACCATGTCCGAACACATTCCCGAGACGACTTTCAAGAACTTTTCGAAAGAACAAGCTGCTCAATATGCAGCGGGTCGTGGTACCTCCTATCCTGAGCCCTTGTACCAAGCGATCATGGAGTATCACGAAGGGAAACGAGATGCCGTACTGGATGTCGGCACTGGACCTGGTCTGGTCGTGCTAAACATGCTGAAGTATTGTGAGAGGGTATGTAAACAGCCAAGTCCCGCAGACGATAAGGTAGGAACTGACAATAGCAGGGCATTGGCTGCGACGCAAGCACCAACATGATTGAGCAAGCAAAGAAGGATGCTGCAAAGCACGGCATTACTGACAGGACGAGCTTCAGCATGGCGACAGCTGAGAACTGCTTCGAGGCTGTATCAGAGGCTGGTCTCAGCAACGTAGACATCATTACCGTCGGAACAGCAGCACACTGGTTCGACATGCCTCGCTTCTATGTCGCAGCAGCCGAGTCACTGCGTCCTGGCGGCACGCTGGCAATGTGGTGCCCGAGCTCCTTCTACGTCCACCCATCTGTACCTCACGCAGCGGAGCTCCAAGCTGCCCTCTCACACCTCGAGGACGTCTATCTCAAGCCGTACATGCAACCCGGCAGCCTGCTAGCTCGCTCAGGCTACGACGACCTACCATTGCCTTGGAGCACCGAGGAGACAAGCTCGCTGTTCGATGAGAAGACCTTCAAGCGTGAGAACTGGGACCGTAACGGCGTCCCATCTGCTACACCGTCTGCTGATGGTACACCAGCGCCATTTCTACTTGCCCAGGAATTCAGTACCAAGACCGTAAGCATGGCGTTTGCCTCCTCGAGCCCAGTCGTCCGATGGCGAGAAGCCCATCCGGATCAGGCCTTCACGGAAGAAGATCCGGTCATGCGGACGGTGCAAGTCATGAAGGATATCCTGGGAGAGGATGCGAAAGTCGTGGCTGGGTCTTCCTTGTCACTTCTGCTATTACGCAAGAACTAGTGCCATTGATTATCATTGGCTTAAATGGCGCAGCTGGCTTTAGCAGTACACCAATATACACCTGTGTATTGCAGTCCACCGTGTGTGATATGGAAGGCCTCGGTTTATCCGTATCACTGCACGGCGCTTCTTGTGTTCCTGAACGATCCTCACTTCAACTCGTCGACAATGTCGCAACCCAGATCCTTTCGGGGCCAGGCGGAGTTCTCCTTTCAGAAACTTTGAAGGCTGGAACGATCCGGATCGTACAAGGCGCAGGAAGAGATACACGTGCAACACCGTTTGATCCAAAAAGCTTCGCCTGCGCACTCGGTAGAACTAGGGTCTTCATCTAAAGTGGAACCTTTGCCACGAATCAGAACCTGTCCTCCTAAACGCGCGAGCTATTTTGTAGAAGCCCAGGCCATGATCGCCTACAGGCATCATTCTCGTAAATACTTCAGCTCTGCTATGTTACTCGTGTCTGACAACTCGTGATCAAAGGGTTAGGCAGACGTGTTTCAGATCCCTCCATCACTCCTGGGCTCTGCGCCATTCTGTCCGACCTGATCATCAGTATCTCGTAGCGCTTGACTAGCCGACTGCTGTACAACAAACCCAGGCCAATTGCTCGCCAAGCCGCCACTCTTTATGCGGCCCATAAATCAAGGTCTCGATCTTTCTTTGCTTTCTTTGTGCTCGTAAGGTAGCGTTACACGCCGCCTCGGCGCTGGCTATACGATTCGCTGGAAAGCAGTCTTCGGCCACCTCTGCGAACACGAATAGTCCCTCCTTTAGATACTCGAACGACGGCAGGCGTGCTGCCTTTGCAGAAGCATCCAGCATTGAAACTGCGCCGAAAGCCATATCATCAACATGACGGTCGAAGTCGTGGATGAAGGCAGGAATGGAGGAAGGACGGCAGGCCCGACGAACGACTTACATTCCTCGGCAATGGCTGCCGACGCAACACCAGCCGACCACATGCGATCAGATGCAAATTCGCCCTCACCACGGCGCATATTACCAGGACTCGCGGCATTCACAGTATCCAGGAAAGCTTCGCCCGTGGCAGCGGATCCTCTTCTCCAGCATGACGCCTCGCCATCAATGCGAAATGTAAAGCTTTCGTTCTGGCAACGACATTTCACCAGACCTGTTGACCTGGAACTCGAGAAGGAAGGCAGTCCGCAGAAGAGACGCTTTGTCTTCTCCTCGCGTGGAGCAATTTTCACCGGCATTATAATGCTGTTATTACTACTAGGGGTGGTAGCGGCAGCTGTTGCCGTGACCATGCATGCTCGTTACGAAGAAGCACATGAGCCATCTCCGATACGGGCGGCGCTCGACGATAATTTTCCGGATCCTGCACTGTGGCATTTCGATGGCACATACTACGCATTCGCTACCAACAATGCTGCTGGCATCCTTCAGCGTCCAAACAATAGCTCAAGCTACGACTATGGTGTTTCCAACATACAGATTGCCACCTCGCAAAACTTCATAAATTGGACGTTGCTCAATTCAACTCACGACCCGCTACCTCATACTGGCGATTGGGTCGCTCAGGGTCTGACGAAAGGTCCACCACGGATTCCGCGCGCGAATGTGTGGGCACCAGATGTTATACGCCGCCCGAGCGATAAGAAATTCGTCATGTATTATTCTGCCAACCGCGTGAACGCCACAGCTCCTGGTGGTCCACATCCTCCGACCCATTGTATTGGAGCCGCTGTCTCCGCGAGCGACTCGCCCGCTGGTCCTTACAAGGCCGAGAACGACACACTGGCGTGCCCTATTGATCAAGGTGGAGCTATCGACCCTGGAGCTTTTAAGGACGAGGACGGGACACTATACGTAGTCTACAAGGTGGATGGCAACAACATAGGCCATGGTGGCGTGTGCGGCAACACAAAGGCGCCGATAATGCCAACACCGTTGATGCTGCAGAAGATGAAAGCCGACGGTGTGACGACCGATGGCGCACCCGTACAAATCATGGATCGTAAGGCACAAGATGGTCCTCTTGTCGAGGCACCTGCTCTGGTACGGTCGAAAGATGGCATCTACTTCCTCTTCTTCTCTTCCGGCTGCACGCGTGCGCCATCTTATGATATCAAGTACGCCACGAGCAAGAACATCAATGGTCCGTATACTCGTGCCGATAGTCCCTTACTGCGGACTGGCGACTTTGGTCTACTGGCTCCGGGCTCGGCTAGCGTGCACGACGATGGAGCTGATGGGTACAACATGGTCTTTCACGCTCGTGTGCAAGCGCCTCAGGGTAGGATCCGGGCCATGTTCACCACTAAATTGATTTTCAAGGGCCACACCGTGACGATGGCATCCGACACACAGAAGGATGACTAAAGCACTGAGACGACACACATGTGTTTGATTTGACACGTTCGAGCGGCGACGAGTGTTTTTTTTTTTGCACATAGCGAAGGTTCGGGTGAAGGCATGATTGCGAGCCAACTCATGATAGGCACGACATACGGCGTTCATTGTTAATGGATTTTTTCCGTAGGAGGGATGAAAGACTTTACAAGAAGGGATGGAAAGGCTGGTGGCCAAGATTCTCGTCACATAGTGTATTTTTCTCCAATAGGACGGTATCAGTCCGCGACACGTTTCATGCTACAGTAGCAGCCTGGAAGCTTGCAGCGAGAGCCTCCTGACTGCTCGATGGCACTTCCTGTGGCAAGAACCATCTCCTCGCCCACTCCAGATCTCGCTCGTGCCCACCCTTCGCGAAATAGACCCACTCGTACTTCTCCTTGTCCCACTTGCGATTCGGCACATATGCCAACAGGGAGTAATAGTTGTCCCTGCTGAATGGGAACTCATAGGAAGGCTTGCCATCTCGCTCCAGGAACTCATCGGTACCATCTGCATCCTTCTCCGTCACATGATACAGCCGAACAGGATGCACCGTTTTCGGCATGGCGGCCTTATTATGACGGTGCATAGGTAGATGCGGTGGGAACCTTACCTGCCTGAGTAGCGTGCCAATGGTACTTTCCAGATGCTTTTCGACTATAGTAGCATAGGTCAAGGGACTAAACATCGCTCGGTCCACTATCCGAGCATGCTTCTCAATGAGTTCAAGGTTCCATTTCGGAAACATGCCTCGTGGAATCATTGGGATGGGCTCCCTCATATTCAGGTTCTGCTGGGAATGCCAGAAGTCAAGTATTACGTTGAGATTGTTCCAGGCTAGAAGGCAGGAAGGACAGCTGCATATTACCGTGCTGTCCACTGCTCGGATGTGCTGATATGGCTTCTTGTGGATCTCGGTCATCTTCTCTCGACGCGGGTTCCGTAAAGCAGTCTGGCTTTCTTCGTCAACTTGACTGAGATGTGTCGGTAGTGGGAAACATTGTCGGAGCACCCAATACCGTCTGTCCATGATGTCTTTCGCAATCGGCCATTCATTGTCCAGGATGAAGTCGTTGATAGCGTGGCTTAGGAGTTCCAGGCGGAGGACATCACTGGGTTTCAGATAGCTGAGCACTTCTTGAAGTATCTCTGGCGGAAGATCAAAGGGTGATTGCGGCCTGGCTTTCGCCGCATACTTCTTTTGCCTCTTCTCCTGCTGCTTCAGTAGCCTTCGTGTCTTTTTGGAGTTCTTTGCTATAGCAGCAGTCGTGTCGATGAGAGGCTCATCATCGTCGTTCGCCACAGTCTTCTTGTTGGATCTTCCGCCTCCAGTCTGGACGATCACGTACTCGCCCGTAGCTGATGTCGCATCTGTCGAAGTAATGGAAGCAGTCTCGGTTTTGGTATCCGCTTCTAGGGCTTGAGGTTCTGATGCGGTACTTTCACCATCTTCTATGACGGTGGCAGACGGACTGTCGATCTCTGGATCCATGCGTACGCCTTGCATATTTTCGATATATTCAGTGACACAAGAAAGCTGTGTCTAACGTGGCGCACAGTCATCGGACTTGTGCTGAAAGCCTAAATGGCTTGTACAGTTTTGGGCGGGCTGATTTGAGTTTTGCAGGGTCCAAACAAGACTTCTTGGCGCATATGCACCAAGACTCTTCTCGAAAGTCAACACGATGTCCCATGGCGACATACTTTATGGACCGCCCAGTGGTCCGCCGCCCATACTATTACCGGCTGAGGTCCATCATATCGCTCGCCATGGATGGCTTCCGGTCACGCTACCAGAACATCTGTCTCATGCGTTGCAACGGCTCCAGGTAGCAGCGTGCGACTTCTTCTCCCTCGAGGCTGAGCAGAAGCGCCTGCTATACCCTTTAAGTCGCGGCACAGAATGTGGTTTCTACGAGGTTCCAGCGGAGAAGCAGTATGTGACAATACGCCACACGATTCATGACAGCTCATGCTTGGAGACATGTGCTCGAGAAGTTTCGCGGGATGCCACGGCCTTTCTCCACCGAATATTATGCGACATAAGCCGTGCTGGTGGCTATGGCCTCGATGCCTGGAATGGCATGCTAGACGGTTCACACGAAATGCCTGAGGATGCCAAGAGGCTCGACGATGTGACGACGCAGCTACGTCTTTTCCAGTACGAACCAATGACAGGCATAGCCACAGAACATGTCGACATAGGTCTGCTCACGTTGTGCGTGAGCGACACACCAGGTTTACAGGTGCTCGACAGATTTACGACACCACATCGATGGATAGATACCATCGGACCGATCGTGCTGGTCGGTGACATGACTAGAGCGTTATTCCGTAGCCAGGTGCGTGCTGGTATGCATCGTGTCGCCGGAAATCCAGATGGACGCAACAGCATAGTCTATGCCTTGCGACCGTGCTTGAAAGGTATGGTGGACTTGGCAAGTTGGGGCGGTGAAGGCCAAGTCGACACCCGAGACTACTTCCTTAAGATCAAAGGGAGTAGGCACAACATTAATGCTACTCATGATATTAGGGAGACTCAAAAGTCTAATCAGCTTAGGAAATGCCAGGTTGTGCTATCTGGTACCGGCTGATCGGCGTAATAGTTATACAAGAAGTGTAGTAGGCTCAAAAATTAGTAGTCATGCATCATCACGCCGTTCTCATCCCACTCGATCTCTCCATTCATAGCCTGCCGCCGTACCCAGTAGGAGTGATAGGTGCTGTAGTCCCGCCTCCCCGATAAACCCAACTGCGAAGCAACGTTGACATAGCCATCTCTGTTCTTCGGACCATCGCGCGCGACATTTTTGGCTGCACCCTCACCTCCCTCACCCTCCCATGCTGTCCGACAGAACGGACAAGTGACAGCGCTTCTTCCCGTCTTAGTCGCCGCCCACTGCTTAAAACAAACGGCGTGGATATTGTTACCACAAGCAGCTTTGCAATACACTATTGCTTCGCCACTCTCTGGTTCAAAATCGACGCAACAGATCGGACATTCGCCTTCGATCGGCTTGCGTTTGCCATCCTTCTCGGCATCCTTGTCCGCTGTCTCGGATGGAAGTGGTGGTGCTTTTTCGAAGATCTCACGCAGCTCCGAGGATATGAAGGCAAGTTGATACTCCAACGTGGCTGGCACACGAAGGACTCTGCTGAGCACATACGCGATGTGCTTGCATTGGTTGCCTTTCCTGGCATGCGGGCAGTCGCACGACGGCACTTTGTCAACCACAATAGTGTAGATGTTTCCAGTCGTGCCGGCTAGCGATATAGTCTCTGTTGGATGTTCGCAGTTTGAGTTCTCCCTTCGACGGTCGAGTGCAAACATGCGTTGGGTCAAAGCGCGATTGCGTACCTCGAGGTGAGAGGATGGCGCGTGTTTTCGCCATCGTCTCAAACGTTTCTCTTCGTCTTTCGGCTTCCTGGACTTCTTCGCAGGCTTCTCGCCCCCGTCGTCCAGGCTGTCAGCCCTCTTGGTTCTGCGCTTTCTAGGTGGACTGTCTTGGGTCAAGTCAATGACGGAGTCATCCTGACCAACGCTCTTGCGCTTCTTGGAAGACTGGAGAGCTGATGTTGATGGTGTCCTGAAGGCTTTCGTCGCGTAGTCATTCGCGTAGTGCGCGCCACCGTAGTGGATAGACTGATCCTCGATACCCATTTTCGCAAGCTGCCCGCTATGCCGGTCCTAGACACCAAGCCCGTTCGCGTGCACACGGATTATCGTTCGCAGTGTCTCGTTCGCGCGAGAACGCAGATTTGCCGCTCAGCAGCGCGAGTCTAAGGCCGCGTTGTGTGGCGCAAGTCGTGGCGTACTTGCGGATAAATGATGACGACTGCGGGGACCACATGCACCTTCCCAGATGGAAGCTCTATGACCATGTAAGAAACAGAAGATGGTGTGTGCCGCCAAGCAGGTAGAGAGATCTCTCCAAAGCTTGTACTATAACATTCACTTGACCCCAAGCTCATTAAACGCCGCTCCTTCTCACACACACCTTCCCCACTATGTCGAGCCAAGGTATACCCAACGAGGCGCCACCATCATACACTGATGCCGTAGGCCCCTCTTCCAAATCGGCAGCGCATTCGTCAAGCAATCATCTCAATGTCCCAGGAGCATCCAGTAGCCATGCCATCCCTCCAGAGCGCCGCCGCTCGATGGAGGACGAGCAGCGACCCCTACCCAAAGGCTGGGTCCGCACATTCGACCCTCACACGGAGCACCAATTCTTCGTGGACACCACGCAAGATCCACCCCGCAGTACCTGGGTCCACCCGTACGATGACCAACAATACCTGGGCACCCTATCCAGCGAGGATCGTGAGAGGATAGAGCAAGAAAGCTTAGGGCGTGGAAGACCGCCAAGTAAGGCAGACGTCATCTCTGACCACACAGATGAGGAAGATATAGATGATAACCATCACACAGCTGCTTCCTCATCGTCGGCGCACGGGAAGCAGGCAGAGCTTCCACCTCGTCCGGACGACAAGGGCAAGAAGGTCGGCTTCGGACGCAAGCTGAAGGATAAGATGACTGGTATGTCTCACGAAGAGCGTGCTGCTGAGCGACAGCGGCGTGCGGCTGAAGAGCAGAAGATGTACGAGCAGCATCAACGTACACGTACTGCTATGGCTCGTGCGGCGCAAACTGGACAGCCGCAGTTGCTGGGCAAGGACAAGGATGGCAAGGATGTCTATATCGAGCCGCCGGCTTATGCTGGTGGTGGAGGATATGGTGGAGGGTATGGATACAACCCCTACGGCTCTGGTGGCGTATACTCCACGCCCAATGCTCGCTACATCCGTCCTTCTGCTCCGTACGGTCGGCCTTACGGTGGCGGATTCGGAGGTGGCTATGGCTTGCCATTGGCTCTGGGTGGTGGCTTGATGGGCGGTATGCTCCTTGGTGATATGGCGATGGGAGGATTTGGAGGCGGTTTTGGCGGCGGCTTCTAAGCTAAGCGGAGATGCGGGTCACTAGAGCCGTAATCGATGCTGGGTTCGAAATGAAGAGTAACGAGTTCACGGCCTGCGCCCTATGATAGTCAGTGGATTCCGAGCGAGTGAAAGGCCTGGAAGGAATGTGAATCAAGGCTTCTTATCCATTAGCTGGACTTATATGTTCACAGGCTCTCAAAGGTAGATTGTCCTACAGCCTTCGTGAAACTTGATCATCCGGGTAGACTGTGATTGCATTTGACATCTCTGCCTACCCTAGCTCATACAGCGATCCGCGTGGTTGTGTTGGGTGTGGTGCCAATGGCCACTCCGCTGGGTATCCCCTTGGTTCGTGTACATGCTGCAAAGCATATTTCTCTGGTCCTGATCCTTTGAACAATTGTGTTGTGCTGGGGCTGGTCGAAGAAGGCGAATGGTGTTCCGGCTCTCCCTCGAGTTCTTTCATCTCGCTCACTGTACGCATATGCTTCATACTAAACTCTTCTCGCTCGCATCGATCGTCGGGGCCGTTGACACGCCTGATCGATCCCATACGACTGTGTTGACTGTTGTGAGAGCCAAGGGAGCGAACATTACTGATTGCTCGCGAGGTGGTATTGTTCAAGTATTTCCTGAAAAGCACTCTCATCGTTGGTAGAGAAGCGCACACTACACCTAATTGTAGCTCGCACTGAGACCAGGCCGTCGCATTGAATATGTTCCAGCTCACATCTCCGGTGTGTCCAACCCCTAGAGTGCATTGTTAGCATCTTTCATAGTAGCAGCGTCAGGAAGCGTCTTACGGTACAGGTAGTACGTCCTGACAGCGCCTGCGGCAACGACCACGAGGCCTATCGAAAAAAGTCCGTTGAGCGCGAGCTTCTGCGCTCTAGGCAGGTCGAATCGTCTGGTCATCATGCAGGGCAAGACCACAGCGTAGAAATCGCTGATAATGGCAAATATACCAGCCAGCAGGTTGACTATGGTCGTGTCGACACAATTATATGGGCGAGTGTATGTAGGCTTAAAGGACCTCCAGTATGCTTCTGTTGGGCTGCAATTGAAGATGAGCAGGAACAGAAAGGCGAGGGTCCAAAGTGCGGTGAATACTATAGCTCCAATGACTGCGAACTTCCAGACCTTGGCGTATGTGTCTTTGACCAGTCGACGATAGAAGAGCAACACCGAAATCTTGGTGCAACCTTGACAAATAAGGAACGAGAGTTCGGCAATAAAGCTGAGCTGAGCGATAGTCTCGAATTTGTCGAGTGGCAGATCCCACGTATGGCGGCCCAAATGTGCCTGCAGGGAGAACATGAAGCTGGTTGTGGTAAAAGTCGTTATGGCAAGCCAGGCAACGAAGATGAAGGCCTGTTATATCATCATTAATCTTGCCATTGCGCTGGCCTTCAAAATCTTACATCATCGAAGCCTAACTCGCCAGCCTGTCTACTAGCACGAAGCCATAAACGCAGGAAGACCATGATAGTGCTGCACGCGAACAGTGTCCCAGCATAGGCGGGCATCCACGTCCGCTCGACTGGGTCGACATAGTTGCTTCACAATTGTTAGGGGCCGCATGTTCATCATTGCGTGTATACAGTCACTCACTGTTGCCATAAATTAGTCTGACGTTTGCGACCTTTCGAAGTACGGCCACTCTTACCGGGGCTGGCCAGGAAGCAATCTGAGCCGGTGTGATTGATATTATGTTGCCAGGCATGATTGAAGGAAGAAGATAGGAATGCGGCGTGGCTGTCCCAGCATCACATTACCGATGAGTAGAACAAGTGGGCATGACTGAGAATGTGCAGTTAAGCCGATGGACGAACGGTCCACAAGTGTCGTGGGCGTTGGCCAAATCTTGTAGCTTGCGAGTACTCCCAGTACCAGAATGGAAGGCTGCGGTCATGACTATCTGGGTGAAGGTGAAGGCAATCCTGGGTGCGGTGATAGCCCCGGGGCCTGCAAAGCGCGATTCAGGACCCATAGCAAGGATGACTTCGCTTACACTGGAGGGCACCTAGAATTCGCAGGCATGCGATTGTACTACTGAGCTCTGACCCGATTTTGGGCTTTATTCGACCGGCCTTGATAACCGACGGCGAGAAGCGCAAATGCGAAAGAATCCTCGATTCTGGTATTCGACGCGGTCGCATCGCCACAGTATGTCAATGGTGTCCAGCGTAGATGGTGGTCAACGCGACAGTGGAAGAACGCGGCGATACGAGACGGTTCCCAAGCACGACTAGCAATCGACGCATCCGTGTTCGCCATGTCGAAAAGAAGGCTGGGGAGTGAGTGATTGCCGTGTGCATCCCAGCTACCGAACACGCCAAACGAACCGCGTGTAGTGATCTTCATGATTCCCTTCCCGCCTGTTCGCTTGCGTGAGGGGCGAAACGTTGACATGTCGCAAGCCCATGTCGTGGTCGTGGGTCGAGCTCCCGGAACTATTCAGGGCGTTGCTGTTGGCTTGTTGTCCCGCGATGCGGCGTAGAACGACGTTAGTCATGGGTGTAAGACTACAGTTATCCCTTGTACCTGCATGACTAGCGTCTTTCTAGGATGACCTGGCAGAGCAAGTCGTGGTGTCAATTGTCGAAGCATTGGTATAGCTAACGACCTTCCTTCCTTGCCCAGGAAACAGCAGACGACAGTCCGGCCAATAATCTCATCAGCAGATCGGCATACCTATGGACAGTAGCCGCAGCAACCAGATGCAAGATGAACGATTGAGGCCTTCAGCCCAAGGCATGCCTGCATTTCAAGATGGTCGGCACAATCTCGTTGATACTGAGCAAAATGTCGGGTACCGTCCTCAGTCATCTCCTCAGTCATCGCAACGCACGACTGCGAAGAAACTTTGGTCTGGGACGTATTGAATTTATGCCAGCGGTGCCGGCGTGATGTGTTCGATTTGCTTAACACTACTGTGCTCCTAGGTGAAGGATATATGGTGATCGCTCCGGCTCGGAGACACCAAAGTCTGCAGCCAACAAAGAAGAAGAGTAGCGGCTTTGCATGATTTCCGCGTTACTCTGCCAGTCAACGTGAGCACTGCGGTAGGATATAGCTATATCGCCGTCACGCGGACCTTACAGCGACCCTAAGTCCGGCGAGCTGAACCTTCTAACCAGCGCTTGAGCCTATTGGCTTATGTATCTCTGATGTCCATCGTTGAAGTCTGCTAGATCGATCTCGTTACCCTCACAAATATCACATCACGGTCCTCGGGTTTAAGTATCACCCGACGACCAAGACGTAAAAAAGGATTTGTGCTGCCTTACTCAACTTGAATTCGACCTTCAAACAGCACCTGCGTACCCTCAATCGTACTCAATATCCCAAGAACAGCATTACAACCATCATGGCCACCGTCATCGTCTTCGGTCCAACAGGAAACATTGGCTCCGTCGCCGCCCGTACAGCTGAGAAGCATGGCGCGAAAGTGTTCCTCGCAATGCGTGACACGCAAAAGGCCATAGCAGGCTTGAGCTCCGAGCACGAGAAGTCGGGCAAGTTCGAAAGGATCCAGGCCGATATGTCCAAGCCAGAAACCGTAGCGGAAGCAGTGAAGAAGTCGGGAGCCAGACGGGCCTTCATGTACCTTACCCACGGCTCCAGCGATCACCAGAAGTCATCTCTCGAGGCTCTAAAGTCCGCAGGCATCGACTTCGTGGTCTTCCTCAGCAGTTCCACCATCTTCACGGAGCCGCGGGAGGTTCCCCAGAAGGACATGATCCCTTATATGCACGCTCAGGTTGAGATCAATCTAGATGAAGTCTTTGGTGCCTCGAACTGGGCTGCTGTGCGGCCCGGTGGATTCGCCACCAACATCCTGCGTTACAAAGCCGACATCGCCAAGGGGGAGAGCAGACAATTTGGGCAAAGCTTCAAAATCGACCTGGTCACTCCCATTGACATGGGAGAAGTCGCCGGCACAATCCTTGCCAACGGCCCGGAGAACGGACAGCATCTGGTCTACGTGTACGGTCCGCAGGTCTCGTCTCAAGGCGAAGCTACGAAGACAGCAGGCCGCGTTTTGGGCAAGGATGTCAAGCTCACGGACATGGATGCGAGTGAGGCGGTGGAGACGATGGCAGCGATGTTTCACTCACGTCCACTGGCTGAGTACATGGTCAATGCGTATAGTGAGGATCCAGATGCGAGCTTCAAGCGAAGGTGTCAGCACTATGATGAGGGCGTGAAGAATGTGGAATTGTACACTGGTAGGCCAGCGACGAAATTCGAGGACTGGGTGGAGGCGAACAAGGAGCTCTTTGCTGTCTAGGTTTATTCAGTAGATCGACGTGGAAGACGACGCCCGAATTGTGTCCGCGGGTCAGGCTAGCATGTCCGCGTAGATAGCAAATGCAGCCGGCCATCATCAGCATAGGCAGTGGCAGAGTGATCTCACAGTGTTTCAGTTGACGCCGTAGAGAATACTTCCCAGTAGCGAGAGTGAGGCAGCGACTGACCAAGGTCTTGCATCAATATTACAACGCCGTCTTCAGCAGCACAGAGTGCTCGGTACAATGCGGCTTACTCTAACTAGAAAGCAGGACCAGATCCAACAGGTAAGGGAACGCATGTCGTCTCATACCTTCAACGCCAACGCTCTATGTATGTGCATAATTCGTAACCACGACTGCCCTCGCTGCCTCATCTATATCTCGAATACTGGCTAGTAACAACTCTGTGTCTCCACAAGACGGGTTACTCAGACGTGCTCACCGCCTACTCGACGTGCTCGAACTCCGTCCAAGTTCCGTACTGCCTCGTATGATCTCGCCACTTGCCCGCATACTGTCGATGTTGGGCCTTGAACTGGAGGAGCTGCTCCTTCGTCTTCGTTTCCGCATCTCCTCCGGATCGCCAGGTGATAGGCCGCTTGCTCGAGCGAAAAGATTCAAGACGTCTGTGAGACTTACGACACCCATCAGCCTGCCGCTCATCGTCGCGCCAGTGATCTGTGAAGCATTGACCGACATGCCGCCACCCATAGAGCCGTGTAGAGGACCGGAGCTGAGCTCGCTTCCGGCTGCGTTTCGTGGCGGCGAAGCAAGATGTGCTGATGGTGCGGGGAGGTGCATAGTTGAGGCTGGATTGAAAGGCGGTGCTGTCGCATGTATGCCTGGCGAAGGCGGTACACTTGTCGATGGCGAGGGTGCGTCAACGATCCACATCCTGTGAGAGCGAGTCGCACATAGCTTGGCTACAGTGTGGGCTAGTGTACTGAACGGAGTAACGTGGAAGACGGGGTATGAGTCCTTGCCATCCCACAAGCCACGCTCTGACAAAATGACGGAGATAAAGTGTATGCAGGACTGTGATAGTAGCGGTATCGAGGACGTATCGGTGAGCAGCTGCGGGACGTCAGTATGGTATACCTGAACAATCAAAAGCTTGTGCCAATACATTCGGATGCGAACTTGAACAGACACAAGAAGTAGGAGTGTATGTGCTTGACTTACCCTGACATCAACATGGCTGATATTGCCCACGACATTCTGGTGACTGTCCAGTATTGGTATAGATGTGATACCCTCGTCGTGCATCAGACGCAGCGCATCTGACAAAGGTTTGTCGCCATTGATCGCCAGCATGTGCTTGCCTCCAAGCTCCAGCTCTTTCAACGATCGAGCATACAGTTGCTCAGTTGATGTGAAATTCTGATGGTTCTCCCAGAAGAATCGTACCAGCCTGAGCTGACTCAGTACCCCTATTGCCTCACTTGTGCCATCCTTGTTAATCACAACTCGGTGGCTGCCACCACCTAGCACTTCCACCGCCCGTGTCAAGTCAGCAGTATGTGGGAGAAATGCTGGCTCCTCCCGCGCGCCAAGGTGATCGTTCAAATCACTTAGCGGTATAGCCTCGCCACTTCTTGCTCGGTCTGCCAATTGCTGCGCCTGCTCGTCCGGCTGCGATAGTCCGAGTACCAGTAGTAGATAAGCATTGAGATCGGAGTAATCGAAGGCACCGATTGCAGTTCTTGTCTTCCGAGACTCTCGCATCAGGACAACATTCGGTGCACCGGATCTGATCAATAGTTTCGTCGTGTCTTCGATGCTCGTATCCAACTCCACGAACCTGACTTCGCTAGGATCGATTATCTCACCGACCTGCACCATCCGCCAATCACGCCCTCGGAACTTTGCTTCCTCACCATTGTGCTTCGGTGGCGGGTTCATGAGTAGGTCGGTCAGTGCCTGACCCGAGAAGGACTGTGTTCGTTGTGCACGAGGAGAGGGAGGATAGTTGCGGAGATTGTCTGCGAAGCTGGAGCGGTGTGACACGGCTGGCGAGGGTTGTAATGAGGACTCTTTGCTTCTCGGCGACTGTAGAGGTGTCCCGCCTGGAGACGCTGTCTTGATATTGGTCGGCTTGGTAGCACCTGCCGCAGATGGCTTTTGTGCCATTGCAGCATGCGGAAGGTGCAATGCTCCCTCCACCCCTTCTTTCTTTCTTTCACTCACTGGTAGCTCAATCCGCCGGGTTGAGTGAATGATGATCAACAGCTGGTAAAGAGGCTGTCGCACGCTTCTCTATACTCCGCCAACGCCACACGGTTCATGCCTTGCACAATCGTAGTCTGGTAGTAATGTCGAGCATCTCAGTGCTAAGCGGTCTTCAGCGGCATCGTCAGAGTATGCCAAGAACAACCCCACTAAACAGATCTGCGCGAGACCTGCAGCAAAGGGCAAGCGCCGGTGATGGATCCGAAACTCTATCCCACGACGAAAAGCCCTCGGTGCCGCATCCGGTCGTACCGCGCATGTATGCGGCGTTGTGCGAGTGTTTGGGAAGCAACACGTGAACGACAGTACATTGCTAGGCAAGTCACTGGTACTGCGACATCATAGCAGTAATGATTGGTGTTCGTGCATGGCGTGATGCGGCTGCACTGTAAGCAGATACTGTACCGCTCCGCTAGACGTCCGTGCTTGCTGTGGTTGTGAGTCAATGGGGCTGATTACCAAGAACCGAGGCCACTGTTTCTTTGAAAGCATTTACATATAGCGGTGTCGGAAGTAAGAATGGTTGCCATTCCACAGTGATCTCAGTCTCCTCATCTACGTTTCATCCGCTGTTCCTCGACTCCAACTCACTTTGCGAAGGATTAGAAGCTGGGAGGTGCAGCTGGGCGCCCTGCCATCACATTTCACTGCTAAAACACATCACCGACCACCCCAGCTATCAAGCTACATTATTTCTTACCAGATACGAAACACAACTGAACGATTCATCACAATGTCTCTCAAAGAAGCCTACAGTCTCGCACACACAGCTCAATGCAGGCTTCAAATTGCGGCTTCTCGTCCCGAGCGCAATTTGAGGTTCGTGGTTGGGCATCTCATGCACTACGAGCACTTGCGATTGCGAATAGTTGAGATCGAGCACGACATAAGCAAATCCGAGCGAGCACAAGCAGTCGCATTCAAAGGCACTGGTCATGTGGGTGGCAGCAGTCTCCGACATAAGCCTTCTACTGGCCAGCTAGGAAGACGGTCGCCACCGCCTCCAGTACGTGTGACTGAAGATGAGGTGGAAGGCGACGACGACGACTTCGATGCTGGTGTTGACGACGATGACGAGGACGCTGGTCTCGGACTGATGCGTTTCCCTTCCGGTACTGCGCGTCCACCACAACCGCCACCAGAGCTCGAACCAGATGACGGGGAGGATGAGGACGAGGACGAGCCTGTCTCGCCCGAGGAGCCAGACCAAGCAACCATAGAAGCTGCTATCAGAGGCCAGGAAAGCGCAGACCTGGCCAAGATGTACGAGGGCGTGCGAAGATGTCCATGTCACGGGAAGACTGATTCGCCCTCGATAACGAGGATGTGGGAGTTACCGGCTAGTGAGCAGAACGGAAAGAACCCAGGCGTGACCTTTGCTGTGGCTGAAGTAGCTGTGACTGCTTAGTCGACATGATGGTAATATGAATCATGATCAAAGGTGGAGTGAGAAAGCCGAAGCAATATTGAGGCCAGTATGTACTTAGCATTGAGATACCCATCAAACTCCACTTTCTACAGCCAAGATTACCTGCCCACGATCACTTCCTCACGACATTTTCTGTGCAGAACCAAAGACGAGAACAGGATTATTCTTCCTTCCGCATCGAGGCCATCTCCACAATGTACTGTGAATGCTGCACGGATCATCTCGTGAGCATCTGAACGGTAAGGAGTTCTCCTCTTCGCTTGCGTTTTATGAAGCACGATGATCCACGTCCTGCTCCTGGTGAGACGGAAGAATTTTGTCCAAAACTTCAACAACCGTTGGTTAGGCAATCGGCTGTGCTTGCCATAGCCTAACATCTCGCCTACTCTCCACCATTCATCCTTGCTGTTCATGAACTTGAAACCCGTTGTGGCGCACGGCGCAGGTTGCGCGCTTCCACGGACATGCAGATGCCACAAGGTCCACGACAGCTCATCATCCATGTGGAGCGGGCGAGACTCCGCCGTCTCGACTGACGAGAGACAAGGCGAGCTGTAGATATATGTAGGAAGACTCTGCACTCTGGCATTTCGAGTAGGACAATACCACTTTCATTCTTTTGACAAGCAGATCCAGCACTTCTACACACTACACTGTCCTTCCAAAACTCACCAGAGTCACTCGTTATACACAACAACAGCAGGTCTGCAAACATGTTCTCCAAGCTCAACAGCCTCCTCACCACGGCGCTGGCGCTCGTTCCGGTGGCTACTTTTGCCGCTGTCATTCCAGAGATGACGATGGATGAGCGCTATCTCGTCCGCCGTGATCTCAACGTTGGCCAGGGCACCCGTTATGGAGCGGGATGCACAGAGGAGGACTGCTGGCAGGGTGGTGCTTGTGCTTTCACCGACTATACCCTGCCCGCCAGCGTCGATGGCTCGACTTGTGTCTCCGAGGCGATCTGGAATAGCTCGGCACAGTGTGGTGGATGTATCTCTGTCTCGTACAAGGGCAAGAAGATCACGGTCATGGTATGCAAAGCATCGTCTGAGAAGCAGGTCGTCAATATACTGATTACTTCGTACAGGTCACGAACAAGACTGGGTACAACGAGCCCGTACTAAAGTGACAACATGAATCATCCTGCTAACTCCATAATAGTGGCGACAAGAACCACCTCGACATGACCCCCGATACCTGGCAGAAACTCACCGGCATCGCTCCAGGCGGTGGGTCCGGGGGCGTAGACGGTATCCAGTGGGAGTTCGTCCAGTGCCCAATCACCAATCCCCTTCACATCCACGTCCACGGCGGAGGCTCTCGATACTGGCCTGCGGCCACTGTCGAGAACGGCAGTCGTCGCACAACAAAGCTCGAATTCTCCGACGACCAAGGCCAGTCCTGGGTGCAGACTACGCGTAACACGAACAACTATTTTGCGGCTCCTAGCGCACTCAAATCCAGCAGTGTCTGGGTAAGGGTCACGAGCTATACCGGCACTACCGTTGTCGTCAAGAATGTGGATCTCACCAGCGGTAAGGTGACGGTCGGGACGGCCAACTATGTTTAGAATACACTGAACGTTGACTGGATCTGGCCGTAATTTGATGCGGGTAATGTGGTGGAGCTGTACTATCTTCCTGTGTATTTATATTACTATCTGTTGACTTGCTGTTTGCACGATCATCAGAGTGACTTGGTCATGATCTGCACATCCTTCAAGCCAGTCCTCGAGCTTGAGCATGCTCTCGCTACTCAATCTGCCCTCGCTCGCCGTTCGCAAGATTGGGGCAGGTGTCAGCCGGCAGGTTCTTCACTCCCCCTTTCAACGGCGTCCAGGCACGACGCAGGTATCTAGCAAGTCTCACCATATCAGGAGAAAGGCTTCAGATGAATATCCGCAACACCTCGCCAAGCATCATCATAGCCATGGCCTGACCGTACGGCATGCTGGTCAAGGGTACATCTCGATAATGCTGCAGATCATGCCCCATGGCTGTTCCGAAGCTGACTTCTTGCAGCTCACCCTGCTCATCTATGCGCTGCAACACAGCCTTCGCCGCCTTGATGGCCACGGCCTCGTATCTTCGGTTGAGGTATCGCTTCCTGACAGCCTTGAGCATACCATACGCAAAACCTGCTGTGGCGGATGCCTCCTGATAGCCGCATTGGTCTTCTGGCTCGGCTAAAAGAGTATGCCACATCCCATTCTCTGCTTGCAGACGTTCGAGTGCTTGACATTGCGCGTCCAATGTGTCGATAAGATGTATCCGTAAAGCATCACAAGGCGAAAGCTCCAACAGTTCGATGAAATCCGGGATCACTATCGTCAACCAGCTGTTTCCACGAGCCCATCGCGCTTTCGCAAAGTTATGACCAATGCCTCCTGGACTGGCTGTATCGAATTTCCAGCCGTGGTAGAACAGACCAGAGGTAGGATCGAATAAGTACTTGAAATGCAGCATGAACTGATGCTTGGCAGACTCGATGTAATGTGGTCGACCAAGGATCTTGCCGATTCTCGCCAGTGGCATGACGGTCATCATCAATGTGTCGTCCCTGGACCACATCAGTAAGGTCGTCGTCACAACGTGAGTCTTCTCACCATAGCTCATTCTCGTTGTACGAAGCATATGTAACGTGCTGCATACCACCGAAAGGTGTTCTCTGAAGATCATACATAGCCCACTCCGCCCAAGCATCAAGCCATGGGAGGTATGAGCTATCCTTAGTCTTCTCATAAAGGTACGCCAGCGTCAGAAACGGACTCATGGTGTTGATATTCTTCGTCGTCCCCATAGCAAGCTGATTCTTGAACCAGTCTTGGATCACTTCATGTGCTTTAGAAGAGCCAGTGAGCTCATGATACTGCCAGAGACCATACAACCCAATGCCGTGAGTCCATCTTGTGAATGGTCAGCGTGTTCAAAGCACCTAATTCACGGCACGACTCACTCCCAATCATTCCATCCTTTTGTATCGATCACACGACCATCATCAAGTCGAAGTAAGAATTTGCCGGATGTATCTATTATGTGGACAAGGTTATTGATCAGAAGGTCGATCTTGGCATGAATCTGGGCAGCTTGGAGGTCGTGTACAACGATAGCTTGTTGAGGCATCGTCAATGGGACAGACAATGTTCTAGGCTTCCTTCTAGCACTCCAGAAAATGATGCATACCACTGTTCGCATCAAGTGGTCGACCACAGCTATGTCGACAACATGTCTCGGTATGTCTTATGCCGAGCGCCGAAGCAGACCTGTACGCCAAGAAGGAAGGATGCACTCTCCACACCTTCCGACCAACCTCCATCTTCTCGTAAGGTTGGCACCCCATGGATTAGCATTAGGTTGTAGCATTGCGATGGAGAAACTTGGCTGTACATGGCAGCTTCTCCACCAATGCGAGACAAGCTTGGCTCTCCAACATCCTTATCAGTCCGCCATGTCTCGAGAGTCATGCCAGAGGTATTGCTGCTCCCTTGCCTTGCGCGCCATACTACACTTCCCTCCTATGACTCAGAATGGCCAATATTGAGAAGGATATGGGCGTCGCTATGAACCCAATCAGCACGGCAACCCATGGCAAAGCCGTACAGGCGGTCGAGATCGAAAGAGTAACCTCACCAGACGAGCTCAAGAAAGACCATCAAGATTACGCCAGACTGGACGCAGAAGTGGCCAAATATGCCAACGCTCAGCGGATCAAGATCTCAATCTCCGAGAACAAGCGACTGCGAGGCATGATCAACAGAAGAGTCCTCGTTGTCATGGGACGCAAGATCCACCCAGCAGATGTGTATGCCACTGACGCTGCCCCCAGGTCTTCACGTACTTCTTGCAGGCTTTAGATAAAGGGACGATGTCTTTCGCCAGTATAATGAACATTCGACAGGATCTTCATCTGCTGAATGGTCAGAAGTATTCATGGCTCACGACCTGCATCTACATCGCCATTCTCATCGTGGAGTACCCTATCAATCGCCTGATCGCTAGACTGCCCATTGCGAAGATGCTGGGCACAGCTGTCATCCTCTGGGGTACCACACTGGCTCTACACGCCGTTTGTAAGGACTTCGCTGGCTTGGTCACGGTGAGGACACTACTAGGTATCTTCGAAGCCGTTTGCCAGCCATCGTTCGTGGTGCTCTCGTCCATGTGGTACAAGCGGTCTGAGCAGCTGCTGATCGTGTCGTTGTGGTACTGCATGTGAGTGACTGGGGTTATGCGCTCCCCATAGTTATCACATCGCTGACAGGGTCTCAGGAACGGTATGCAGCAAATCGTCGGAGGTCTCCTGGCCTACTGCTTCACACTCATCCAGCACGGCCCATTGAAGTCCTGGCAGGCCATCTTCATCACCTATGGCTGCTTCTCAGTGCTCTGGGGTTGCTTCGTGCTATGGTGGATGCCTGACTCGCCTATGCGAGCGAAGTGCTTCTCGGAAGAGGACAAGCATCTCATGGTCGAGCGAGTACGATCGAACCAGACCGGCCTGCAGAACAAGCATTTCCGTCCTGAACAGGTCAAAGAGGCATTGATGGATCCACAGATCTGGTGTTACTGCTTGATCCAGATCTCCACCACTCTGCCAACGAGTGGCCTCGGAGCTTTCTATGCTATCATAATCAAGTAAGTTCTCCTGGGATCTGTGCCATGCCCGCACAGCTCTGACATCTAGGCAGAGATTTCGGGTTCACTACGCTTCAGACCCAGCTCCTTGCCATGGTACTCGGCGTCTACATCATCATCGTTCTCTTCAGCTCCACCTGGCTTGTCCGAAAGACCGGGCAGAACATTCTTATCATGGCGGTATATGTGCTGCCGTCGATCATCGGCACGGTCGTCCTGCTCACTGTCGCCAACACGTCCAAGGCCACGAAAGCCGGTCTACTGGTAAGCTACTACATCGTTCTTTCATTCTAGGCCGCCCAGACCTTAGGCATGAGCATGCTGAGTCGTAACGTAGCTGGACAGACGAAGAAGTCTGTGGCGGTAGCTGCCAACTTCGTGGCGTGGGCGACTGGGAATGCTATTGGTAGGTTGCTGTAGACGCTCTCCCAGCCCATTCGCGCTAACGAAGGCGTCCCAATCAGGTCCACAAGTCTTCCTGACATGGAATGCGCCGCGATACTTCATAGCCTTCTCCACGCACATGGGATGTTATGCGCTTCTCCTGGTCGTCCTGGCTGTGCTGCGCTGGCACCTAAAACATCAGAACGATAAACGTGATGCTATCGCTGCTGCTGGTGTCGAGCAAGCGAAAGACGAGCGCTACCTGCATGCTTTCGAGGATCTCACGGACATGCAGAATGTCAACTTCCGGTATATGTATTGATCGCCTCAACAGCACAGTCCTGTCCGAAGCTTCGACGAACACATGAAAGGCTGATTGGTCCACTCTCTGCGAGAATGTCGCTATAGTCTCGGTTCCATTGCTCAGCAGCCGGCATGGACTTCTGCTAAAGCACGGGATTGCTTCCCACGATGAGGCCCTTGCTGGGGTCCTTGAGGCCTGAGGAAGAAGGGATGCCGATCCGGGTGAAGCCCTCGCGTCAAGAGCTTGACGCTGGGCCGCCCTTTGAAAGACTTCTTGCGGCTGCTCAGTGCACACGATACTGAACATCCTCAAGCGCGGCCAGTGAAGATGCTTGCTGATGGTGCACAATGGTCTGGAGGTTCCAACGAGATCCTGTGGCTCGTTGTCTTGCCGCCAGCTACCAGCATCGCCACATGCAAGCCGCGCGTGTCCAGCGTGAAGCCTGCGAGCTACCACCATGGGTCGCACCTTCCCATCTCACCCAGATAAACCACGTAAACGAAAACGGCAGCACCTCGGCCACTCCTTTGCAACCACTATAGCCATAGACCTTTTCTCAGACCACCAAGCACACCAGCCGGCGTGGTCTAGGGGATACGACTCTGCCATTCTCGAGTCTCGTTCTCGTGTATCTCAGCAGAGACGCTGGTTCGAATCCAGCCGCTGGCAACGACCCCCTTTGTGGGGTTCACAGTCATAATTCAGGGGAAGTAGCATAAATGGCCTAATGCAGCTGCCACCGCGCACAAATGATTCGTTGGGTGGGGCAACGCTTTCATTGCGGGCATGAAGTGGTCTGGGTTAGAAGCCCACGTTCGGGCATTCCATTGCTGGGCGGATCGGGGATTGCGGCAGGAATGTCAGTTCGAATCTGATCTTCTTCATCTTGTTCCTTTTTGTTTTTGTTTTTGGGGCTTTTTGGCGGCTTTTTGCCGGAGCGCTATGAGTGGATCCATAGAATCGGGTGGTTGGCACGGAGTAGGTCCTTGAGGGTGTACGGCTGTGGAGGTCGGGAGAACCGTACTGCCTGCTCCGCAGTCATCGTCCCTTGTCCTTGCGATCATGAGAGATGGCAGAGGACGAAGAGAGGAGCATAGCAGCATCCTTCGCACCTCCGATCCCAAAATTCATTGGCGTGTGATCTCCGGCTGCGCCTGGAGGCCGTGAAGCGGGCAGACACTTTGTCCTGAGCAAATTAGTCACCCCCATAAGCTCCGCATGTATTAATCGGTAAGATGCTCGCTTGTTACTACTATGTGACAGGCGGGTTCACGCAGCATGGCACAGCTGTGAATGTTTTGGTTCGAGTCCAGCTGCGGCTCTACTGATTCCCGGTCGTTTCTTTTTGCTACCAGTAGGGAAGGCACGCCAATGCATCTGTCACATTATGTCCATCCGGAGCCTTGGATGCTTTGGAGTCAGGGCCGAACGACAATGATGGTAGTGTTGATAACGGAGGCCCGGGACAAGGGGGTGATTGTAAGAGGAGATTCCAAATATAGATATACCTTATACACAGCCCTGAACAAATCCCGCATAATCGTCTCACTCACAGCTCGCTTCAACGCCACACAGTCCGGATCAGCATTATTTGCCCCACTCCGTGAACGTCGTGCACGTTCATGCTACAACCACCACCCCATCCCTCGCCACCTGAATCGAGCCATCTCAGATCCACGGTCAGCTTCTATAACTCCTCGCATTCCTTTACTCCACAAACCCCCTCACCCGTCCCAACCACCCGAGATACTCCTTCTGCTCCTTGACATCAATATACTCCGGCACGAACAACGCCAGATGCGTGTTGATGCCGCGCACATCCAGGTATTGCTCTAGTAGACTTTGCACCTCCTCGTCCAGTTGCTGGAAGGGAGGGCCAGTGTAGAGGTTCGGTGTATCGAGCCGAATGAGCTCGGAGGCGGAAAGGCCGTTGGTGTGTTTGCTGTCGGGGACGTGGGTGACGGATTGGATGTTGAACATGCCTGTGTCGGCTATGAGGTTGATGCGGAGGGCACCCTAAATAATTTCAAGGTTAGCATACATAAAAAGGTGAGTTTGGGTGGAGGGGTGTGAAAGACCGTACCTTGCCCTTTCGCTGGATCAAAACATTTACATTCGCCGGGAAAGCCGGCTGGTCATCTTCATTCTCCTGCCCCTCCATCTCCTCCTCACTCCGCAACTCCTCCCTATCAGCCGGCGCGATGGAATCCTGCGGCGCAACCTTGAAGTTGCCTCCGCTCGTCTTGCCCTGATTGATCGCACCTTTCGTATTCGCACCCCCGGATTGTGCCGAGACATCCTCATCATCCATCACCACCTCGTCCATCTCCTCGCCCTCGTTCATCTCCATCGGCGTGTTGAAGTCCACGGGGCTGAAGGAGACGGTGATTTCTTCATCCTCGTAGCTTCGAGTGAGGAGGACTTCTTGGTTGTGGTCTAGATCGTGGAGGTTCCAGTGCGGGTTTTGGGAGAGGAAGTTTTGGATGTTCTCGTCGCTGGAGGCGGGGGTGGCACTGTCTTCGGTTTCAAGCGCGTATTCGGAGGAGAGTTTTGCGGCGAGTTCTTGGCTGGCGTCGTCGCGGAGTTTGTGCGATATTGAGAAAAGGCGGAAAGAGGAGTGTTGGGATTGCTGTGGGCGGAGTGTTCGGGGTGTTCGGAGTGTGATTTGGAGGGAGGGTCTGATGAAGCTGGATTTGGGAGTGGACGAGGCAATGCGAGAGGCTGTTCGAGGCGCCGCTCGGGCGAGATTGCGGAGGGACATGATTGTGGGAGTGGTAGATAGGTGATGTAATCGTCGAGGGGTCAAGAGATGGCAAGGTAATGGCAGTAAAGATTAGTTGACGTCTGTCTATCATCGCATCTCCTGCAATAATGTCGCGCTAAGAAAAGCTCTCCGCACGGGCCTCCATCATGACAACCGATCGCGCTTGCTGAATGAAAGTAACAAAAGTCCGAGTCCAACGTCACTCAAGTTAGACGACGAGCGTTCCACACCTCACCACTTCACCCATTCCACCCACTCCACCACCGCCAGCCATGTCCTCCTCCCGACCCACCGTCCCCAACATCGGCATTTCCGTCCCCTCCACCTCCTCCACCTCCACACAAACCAAAAAAGACAAACCATCCCCCCTCCGCTCCATCCTCGCCGGCAGCACCGCCGGAGCAGTAGAGATCGCAATCACCTACCCCGCCGAATTCGCCAAGACCCGCACCCAACTGAACCAACGCCTCCCCACCGCGCAGAAACTCCCCTGGCCTCCCTTCGGCGCGCAATGGTATGCCGGATGCACCACCCTGATCATCGGGAATAGCTTGAAAGCCGGGGTGAGGTTCGTGGCGTTTGATCAGTATAAGAGCATGTTATCTGATGCCGAGGGGACAATCAGTGGACCCATGACTGTGGTGTCGGGCTTTCTTGCGGGAGCGACTGAGAGTTTGGTGGCCGTCACGCCGTTTGAGAGTGTCAAGACACAGATTATTGATGATCGGAAACGGGCTCAGCCGCGGATGAAGGGATTCTTGCACGCGACGGGACTTATAGCGCGAGAACAGGGAATCCGAGGCTTCTTCAAGGGTTTCCTGCCTACGACGGCCAGGCAAGCGGCCAACAGTGCTGTGCGGTTCTCCTCATATACTTCGTTGAAGCAAGCCGCACAGTCATACGTCACACCAGGGGAGAAACTTAGCACGGCTGCCACATTCGCTATTGGAGGTGTGGCGGGGATCATCACTGTTTATGCTACACAACCCATCGACACGGTCAAGACGCGGATGCAGAGCATAGACGCCAAGAGGTTGTACAAGAACTCCTTCGATTGCTTCATGCAGATTTGGAGGCAAGAGGGTGTACTGAAGCTGTGGTCAGGAGCGGTGCCGAGGTTGGGAAGGTTGGTGTTCAGTGGAGGGATTGTGTTTGCGATGTATGAGAAGAGCATGGAATTGTTCGATCAGGTCGACCCGGAGAAGAAATATGTATGATGGGAGGTAGCTTTGCACTTGCATTCTCCGCATGCCAACGGAACGCGTCTCGAAGATCGGCAGACGGGGCAGTGGAGAAGTGGTCTTGGTCATTGACCAACGAGACACGAATGGCTTTATGATCATTCATGCTACTGCCAGCCATCGTCCGCCAAGACTCCGAGCGCCTGGCCTCGCCTACATCTACACTTCGCAGGCACCAGTGTAACTCCCGAAGACGGCCTGGACTGGCTCTCATGGCTTGCACGTTCCAAATACCACCATCTCATGATTTGCGTATTTCGACTACATCATCCTATGCCAAGAAGTCCAACAGTGACCGGATCTGTCAAGACAAACACAGTCTATCACCGAAGCCTTCAGCCCCTGGCGTCCTTTGTCTACACCCGTATTCCGATCGTAGCAGGTATGATGGTCGGATCAAAGCGCTATGAGCATACGTCAGCAGCTTATATTCGTCGGACAGCGGCGCTTCGACATTTCCAGGAGGCGAGAATGGCAAGAGATATGGCGAGCTCTAGCCGCGTGTCGAGGAAGTGCGCCCGTGCGGGACCAACAAGCGTGTTCAGGAACGTAATGATCCTCTGTGAAAGGCCACAGTCGACTTGGATAGTGATGATCGCGGCAAATTGCAAGCATACAGCCAAGCCGGCCCAGCCGGATCAAAAGCCAAACTTGGCCTTCAGGACTGTGCACAAACAAGTGAATTAGCATGCAGATCCCAGAAAAGACCAATCAGCCGGACAGATAGATTGCGCCACTCACCAGAGGTAGCGACCCCCCTCTTCTGCTTATTGACATACTTGTTCACATCCTCCATCCACCCGGCACTATTCGCCTCCAGATTTTCCACTCCATCCCCCACCAATCCCAACTTCTCCGTGCGTTCCTGAACCTGTCGCTGCATGTACGCCCAGTAAGTCTCCTGGTCTGTGCCCGCCGCCCCAGCAGCCCCAGGCGGCACAGCAGCTTTCCCACCTGCTCTGCCTGCTTTCCGAGCTGTCTCGGCCTCGAGAGCCTGTTGCTGCAGCATCCGTTTACTTACTGGTCGGCCTGGGCCAGAGATCAGGAGGGTGAGGTCAGAGGGAGTGATGTATTGTGTCCCTGTTACCCAAGCTACTGTACTTATCGTCGGTCTTGGAGGAATCAAGGCGGAGGGATTGAAGAGTTTATCCCCGTTCAACCTAGCCGCATGATCGTCCCCTACCCCCCAGACATTCAGCAGGGCTAGTTCCGAGGGTCCGGTGAAGCCTAGGATATGTCCAGTAGGCGTTATGACCGCTTCGCTGAAACGCCGCACATTTAGAGTATTGCTGATGTTGACGGCGGCTATCTCGCGTAAAGCGGGGATACTGTAGGCGCGCGCGTAGCCGTCGCCGAAGAGGGCGACGAGGGCGTAGCCGCTGTCTTGGTAGCGGCAGATGGAGGCAGAGTCGCAGAAGTAGGAGTCGAAGGATTTGTGGGCGCCTTTGGAGGTGGCAGGGCGGAAGATGTGGATGCTTGTGGTCGTTACTACGAGGAGGACGCCGTTGAGGCGGAGGCCGGTGCGGAGGCCCGAAACGGTTTGTTGGGTTGCGGAGGCAGGTTTGCCTGTGTCGGCATTTAGGGGGGAGATGTGGAGGATGCGGTTGCCGCTGTCTAAGGTCAGGGAGCCGGCGTATTGGACTGTGTACCTTCCGCTTGGATCGGGGACGATTTTAAAGGTGGCTAGATGGCCGAGATTCGTGCCAATGTGGAGGAGGATACTGCTGTAGTCGTCTCCGTCAAGCGTCATCACGCTGAATTCTATATGTGTGGCCCATTCGGGCTTTACGCCTGCACTGCTGTTGCCTCGTCCGCGAAGGCTGCCTTTGCCGCTGGATTTGCTAAAGTCGGATACTGAGGCGGAGTAGATTATTGCTGGGCCTCGCATGTCGATGACGGAAATACTGCCACCTTCGAACCCTGCTGCTAGGAAGCCTACTTCGCTCATGCGGATGGCTGTTACGGGACCGTCTTGTTGAGCTAGGAGGGTGGTTGGGATCAGGCCTTCTGATAGTGCTGGCTCGATGCGGTCGCTGACGTTCGTCAATTGACCGGGTTGATTGGGTCGAGGTGCAGGCGGTTCTCGACCGGCATGACTGTTGTTGCCCCATCTGAAGACGACGAGCTCTCCACTCCGCAAGCCGAGTGCCAGCTCACCACTTGCACCAGCCAAACTCGTCTTCGTCACATCCACCTCACCGAAGCGACCAACAGCTCTCGCCACATCGACTTGCAGCAGCATTCCATTTTCCACTTCGTCACCATGACCAGTGTCCCAGAGCCGGATCGTGCCATCTGCATGTATAGTCTGTATGATATTCCTGCTTTCGTAACGTCGTAACGACCGTAATGATTCTGCACCACCACGCAGGACGGGCGGACCTTGCTGTCTTCTTTCCGTCATGCCCAGCCATCGTTCTCTGCTTGTCTGTGCGACGTTGATGGACTTCAAGAATGGGTGGACGAATGTCAAGGACGGATGTAACTGGTTTGTAGGACTGATTGGCATGCCAGACGGGAATGACAAAGTCAAAAGTTCTCCAGAGGACAGCAGAGCAATCACCGCCAGGGGATCGTGAGCACCAGCAAAATGGGGAGATGCACGTGGAATCAAGCAGAAATCAATCACTTCAGCGCCGGGAGGTGTAGGTAGTATGCGTTGTCGTTTAGGTGACTCGCAGTACTGCGAGAAGGCTTCCCATGTACTCGTCGCATACACAGGCGTTCGGCCCATCTCGAAAAGTGTCAGACCCTTAGACGGAGATTGTGTAGACTGGCCTCCAGCAATCAAGATAGCAGTATCTTCAGGATCCTGATTAGCACACCATACTATACGAAACAGAGGCTCCTTGACTGCCATAGTCGGTACTCCTCTCCCTGAGCTCATCGGCCGAACGACAGGCGCACCAGGAGTAGCCACGTTCGTATCTGTGACCGTCCTCGCCATGATCATGCGACCGTCCTTCAGCGTATCCCAGAACACGAGGGAACTGTCTTCATGGCCGGTAATAATAAATGTGCCGGTCGGATGCCATGCAGCTTGTGTGAGTCGCGGTCGTCTGAACGTCGCCATCAAAGCCGGATCCCCATCGCCACCTGGAGCACCTTTGGGTATCTCATACTGGAAGTGCCGAAGTGCTTTCGCAAGCTTGAAGCTATATATCACGGCGCCATGCGTGTAGCCGACAAGAAGACTGCCGATATCACGAGGATGAAAGTGCAAGCTCACGATCGTCGAGATCTTTGTCCTAGGATCGAGTCCCATCCACAAATTCGGTATCCTGAAAGGTGCCAAAGTCTCTCGATCAAGATCGTAGGCAAGAATCTCACCGGTCTGCATACCGAGCAAAGCATAGTCGAGCATAGGATCCGTACATAGTACCGTCACAATACCAGGGGGACTATGACTCGACAGCAACTTCTTGAGCTCCAGGGAGTAGACAGCGATGTCATGTTTGCTGTCCAGACACACAAGCTTATCGGCCACGAACTGAAGAGACTTGACACCAGCACCTTGTCGAGGTAGAGGGAACGTTGCCTGCACCCGCTGTTGGCCGAAGATGTAGATCTGGCCTGGCGCGAATTCTGAGCTTTTTGTGCCAACCGCTAGGAGTGATTGCACCGGATCGTAGGCTAGTGTTGATATTTGTGAGTTAATCCCAAAACGAGCTAGGTCGTCAGGGTTGAAGTTGTCTGGTGCTATGCCTGCCGACAAGTCGTTCTGGATGCCCGATTGCTTGCCTCGGAGGAAAGCCATTTTGCTCGCTGAAGTGCGGTCTTACGGTCAGTCTTTTGCCTAATTCTGGGGCCTTTGTCCATTTGCTTCATGCGATGTTGAAAGAAAGCGGGTCAGCCCATTCACAAGCCAATGTTGAATACTTGGCCAACTAGAACGTGATGTATGGGACTAGAACGGGTAAGTACTCCGCTAAACCGGACTTCTTCTACGGGGACCGCCACAAACTCGATAGCTAATTAAACTAGATTATACTCTATTTCTCCCTTGAAGGTATTACTAGCAAATAATAACGCTTTCAAATAACGTATTATATCTTGATAGTAAAGCTTAAACCTAGATATACTCTAAGCTAATCTTAGTACTACTAGAGAATAAAAACCTAGATAGGATCTTTTCTAACTTCTCTAAGTTTACTAAGTAAGTAAAAGATATCTATAGACTAAGTTATAACTAGTAGATTAAGATTTAAAATATCTAATAAGTTATATTAAAGGTATTATATATCTATAGTATAAAAGAGTTAAAGCTAATTAGATAAGTAATACTTATAAAGAGGTTAGATAAGTAACTACTCTAAGATTAGATCTTTAAGCTAGTTGGTAACTTAGAATAAATATAAACTATCTATATAAAATAGAGTCTATCTATATATTAACGTATAAATATCTATTATAGAGATAGCCTATATAGCTTAGTATAGGCTAAAAGCCTATAAACGATATACGACCCTACTATAAAGTAGCTTCTATCGTTAGGCTAATAGTATTTACTATTAGTACGCTCTATATACTATAAGATATCTTTACTCTGGGTAGTTCTATATTAACAAATAAACTAGATGTTAGATAACGTATATTATTATATATTTAAAAAAGCTATACACAAATATCTACCAGGAGGCGCCTATAAGCGTCTATACTTTCGTTACAAGGTATACCAAACATACGCTAAAGGGCGCGTAGATATCCGTCGAAAGGCGTATGATCATACTTCGGAACGTGTATATGGAAAGATGCGCAAGACATGAGTCGAAGGCACGCAAATGTCTTCTAGTCCATCTAGCCAACAGTCGTCGAAAGAAGAAGAGATCTCCATATACGCACGCAATCAGTCCGGGTACGGCGACCAAACTCGGCGACCAAGCTTCTATATCTATGTACCAAGCAAACGCATGACAATGCCGACACAACAAGCGTCGTGCGTCGTATGTACCACTTCAACACTCCAATGCTTCATTGTCCGCAGCGATGGTTAATACTATGTGTTGCAACATTCATGTTCCAGCAAATGTCGATCGGCAGTACCACGGCATCAGTGGGTTATGCATGGACGTGCTTGATCTGGTGGGACCCAAATGTCATGTAGTACGAGACATACGAGGAAGCTACTAACTGATTCAGTAACAGATCGTGGCGCAAGTTGTGCACAATGACATCTGCGAATTGCGCCTTACCTGCCGAGCATTCTATGAGTCCTCGAGTCGTATCCTTTTTCGAGCAGTCCACATTCGTTACGCCTTCCACGAACCACGAAATTGGAAGTCCGCGAGCAATTTGACATGCATCGCCCGTAGTCCGGTAGCAAGATATGTGAGGCAGCTGACGCTCCAACCAGGAACCAAAGGTCACCGGACAGCCTCGCTGCATACCGATATATTGGAATTCAGCCGGGCGTTTCCAATGGACGTCGTAGCATTCGATCAGCTTCATACGTTACGAGTGCAAGCCTATGCCGAACCAAGGGCTTGGCATCACTCAAGAAACTATTTGGACGCAGCCCGCGCCGACTTTACCAGCGCCATTGGGAGGACTCTGAATTCTCTTGCGCATACCTGCCTAACGACGCTCGAGCTAAATATGTCAGTAGCCCACGATTTTTTGAATTTGGCACTGAATGTGCCGCAAGCTCTCCCAAGCATTCAGGTTGTCAGTCTAGGGATCCTCGATCAAAGTGGCGAGGGTGGCAGCGCGTACGTGTTCGAAGAAGCTAGTGCAATACAGATAGCTCACCCTAATGCCGCCTCTGCTATCGCGCTTATCGCCTTTATACGCCAGTTCCCTAATCTGAGAGCTCTCACAGTCAAGGCGACGCACAATCTGGATATGGACGAGCTGGTGCACTTGCCTTTACGCCATATGCAGCGCCTGCATCTTCGCCGTGTGACCTTCTCCTCAGTCTGTCTAATACATAGACTCACTCTTTGTCAGGACCTTGGCAATCTGGTCCTCGACGAATGCAATCTCCGTTCTGGGGATTGGGGAGCCGTATTCGATAGCCTTTGTAAACATTGCTCACTGACTACAATACGTCTCAACGAGCTTGGCTACGCCAGCAGGCCACATCATTTTTCGCTGTCCCGGCCACGTCCTTGTTTTGGATCAGGCCTACAAGACATGAGCGCCACGGATAGGCAGTCACTTGAAGGCGTGCGTGCACGACTCGGTCCCAGATGCGTCGCGTTCTAATCCGTCGCCCCGAGCATGAGATCCGATCACGCGTGGACGGGTGCAGTGCGAAATCGGCTTCACGGTCTCCAGACGCTTCCGCTAGAATGCCATATGTGGCCACCGTGCGCCATTGTTGTACAATCAATGCGCCGCACTCGTGCAATCTAGAGGTGTACTATTCTGTGCTGGCGGCTTCGTCTTGACGGCTGTGGCGAACAGGATGAGAAGAGTCGCGAGTCCCTTCAACACTCCAGAGATGATAATGGCCTTTGGCGATCCTATACCAGCCCTTGCATACGCGCCTGCGAAGCTTCCCGCTACAAGCACAAACAGAAACAGTGCGCGGCGGTTCCTGGAACGATTCCTCCATAACAGGAGATTTTCATCGATGATAAAATCGACCCAAGCAGCTGTTGCCATCGCAGTGGTAATTTCGGGTATCTGGAAGGCTCGCGCTGCTGCGACCTGCGAACCGGACGCCGTAGCAATCAGCGCCAGCGCAGCGCGAGGCCAAACTCCACTCTCGTTGGCGCCGTGCCCGAATTGAATCCACGCTGCACCTAGCACCATCATGGTCTGCGCAAGACCCACAGTAAACTGCCATACACGCCGTCTCCTCCCAAACACGAGGCCTAGATGGCCAGTCGCAAGAGCGCCGAGGAGGAAGGCACCAAGGCTTGCGCCTACATTGGCGGGATCGAACAGCTCGCCGACGCCGCCTGCAAGGGCAACAGCGAGGACGACCGTGTTGCCGGTTTGATTGGATGCGAAGCAGCGGAAGTCAGGGTAGGAGATCGAGTCTTGGATGCCCGTGGCGAAGGTCAAGATCAGCAGCTGAGCCTCTATTAGACTGTCGGCGCGAATAGGACTAGCCCAGTAGCGTTGGACCGTGAGAAGACGCCCGGATCGGGTGATGTCTTGATGAGCTGTTGTGACTGGACCGGTGGAACCTCTGCTGGTATAGGTAGGTAGTCGTTGTGCTCCATGGTTGGTGACCGCAATAGGATGATCGAGGTCGGTCATGGACGACAGGTCTGGTGTGATCAGGCTAGATAGCTCCTTTACCCGACGCTTCGTCTCCTACTTCTCAAGATCCTCACTTGCAGACTGTATTATGATGGTCAATCTATTGTAGCAAGGACTAAGGATGCTACCAATTTCTCTCTGTTGAGGTCGCATGACCAGGTCGCCGATTGCTGCAAGAAGCAACGCTTGGCTCAGGTGGCGATGATGGCCCATCTTTATTGTGGCGGAAACTAGGAACGTTGCCAAAGTTGCACTGCTCGAGGTCGCCGACCGAGTCGCCGATTGCTGCAATAAGCAATGTTCGGCTTAGGCGGCGATACAGTGCATACATATACCTTCCATGCACCGAGAAGCGGAGCATACTGTAGCTCTGCAGTCGGCGACCTTTTGGTCTCGTCGGTCCTGAGCTCAAAACCTCTTCGCAGGCTTATAGAGTTGTTAAGTACGATCAGTCCGTGACGACTTTGAATTTACTTTTTCTACACACCGGAATTCTTCCGCCACGGGTCGAAGCTAACGTTATGAACGACTCGCAGTATGCACCCTTTCGTAGCATCCATGAATTCTTGACCGCGGTGCACATCTATGCCGACGAGGCAAAGGCGGGCAAGACGCGATACGTGGAGGCAACCCACTACTGCGCACACGTCCGCAAAGGTGAGACGCAGCAGGCCAGCAACTGTGAATGAATTATCAATTGAGTATGCGAAGCGGCTAACATGGAGCGAAACAGATCTAAGGCAATGCCTCATCTACGACTCGCACGAGCAAAATGCCAAGCTTATCGGCGTCGAGTACATGGTGCCCAAGGAGGTGTACGAGACGTTCGATGCAGAGGAGCAGAAGCTGTGGCACTCGCATGAGTACGAGGTCCAGTCAGGCATGCTGATTTGTCCGAAGCCGGACGCCTTCACCGACGATGAATGGGAGGCTGCGGAGCTGCAGGCCATGAAGGAAATCATCAATCTTTACGGCAAGACCTGGCACTTCTGGCAGGTGGATGCGGATCATCAGTATCCCCTCGGCACCCCAGTGCTCATGGGCTCGGTGACGTCGGCGGAGCAACTCGATCTGGGCGCTGCTTGCGTGAGACGCAACGAGGTCTTTGGTGTGGACCATGTGCGTAAGGCTGAAGCGCGCAAGGCGCTGCAGGCGCTCGGCTCGGGCGACCATCCTCGTAAGGCACCTGGGTTTATTGCCTGCGCTAAGTCTTGGAAGCATGCTAACGTGACTGGTGTCCAGACGCAAACAGCTGGTGGAAGCAATAGGGAACGGCTTATACACACAGACGTTTATATATATTTAGACCATCACGTAGAACATACAATGCGAATACATAGCCCATACCATCCCAATAATATGGATCCAAACATTGTTCACATTCGATACATATAGCCGACCATATACATCGCGCTAAGGCACCTGCTTTACGCGCCCAACGCGTGTGCACTGCGACTTGTTCTTTGGCTTCCAAACAAACGCACGTTCTTGCACTTTCGCCATCTCTCCTCCACATACAGCTCTCCGGATAGATAGCATCGAAGCCAGCCACGAATTACCAAGACATTGCGCACAACGCCAGACATCATGGCGACTGTATCACTGTTGAACGTTTCCGTTCGCAACAACCCTGCTGCCTTTGACCAGCCGTATGAATTCGAGATCACCTTTGAATGTGAGCATATCACTGTTACAGTATGAGGATATCAACACTAGTTGCTGATCTTGATCCAGGCCTTGAGCCACTCAACAAAGACCTCGAGTGGAAGCTCACATATGTCGGATCAGCAACGTCGTACGTCACCTCACACCGTCTTTCCACTTAGGCAGCGACCGACAACACATCACATGACTCATACTATGGCGTAGCTCCGAACACGACCAAGAACTCGACTCCCTCCTCGTCGGCCCCATCCCCGTCGGCGTGAACAAATTCGTCTTTGAGGCCGACGCGCCCAACACCGCCCGCATTCCCGCCACCGACATCCTGGGCGTCACCGTCATCCTCCTCACCTGTTCCTACGACGAGCGCGAATTCGTCCGCGTCGGCTACTACGTCAACAACGAGTACACAGACGAAACCCTCGCCAACGACCCTCCCGCTAAACCTGTATTGGAGAAGATAAGAAGGTCGATCTTGGCGGAGAAGCCGAGGGTCACGAGATTTGCCATCAAGTGGGATAGCGAGGAGAGTGCGCCTGCGGAGTTCCCGCCCGAGCAGCCGGATGTTGATGCGGCCGAGGATGATGGTGCTGCCTACGGAGCTGAGGAGGAAGAGGAGGAGGAGGTTGAAGGTGAGGCGCCTGAGCTGGTGGAGGGCGGTGAGCAGAATGCCGAGGTGAAGAAGGATGGTGGGGAGGATATGGAGATGGAGGGGATGGAAGAGAAGGAGGATGAGGAGGCTGGGTCGGAGGATCTGGAGGAGGAGAGCGAAGACGAGGAAGAACTTGAGGAGGAAGAGGGTGAGGAGGAGGGCGAGGGAGAGGCTAATGGGGGGGATCATGAGATGGAGATGGATCAGGAGGTCAAGGCTGAGAGTGCTCCGCAGCAACATCAGGCGGATGTTATGGTGCATTGATTACGAGGACAATCATGGGCTGAAATGGTATATGGTGTGAGGATCGATTAATGGCTGGCCTCGATGGCTTTGCAACTTTTTGCGTACAGACACGAGGCATTGAATGAGCATGAGCGATGGAAAGGAAGTATTCAGCGTTGATCATGTGACTAGCGTTGCGATAGAGATTCTATCTGAGCATTCTGTGAGCGCAATCATGGACAATATCTATCTCTTAACGTCTGACTCATCTCCTCCATATCATCGTCGGCTCCTTCGTGAGCGATTAGGCCTTCCATGAAATCTAGTCCCTGTGCAAGCTCTGCTCGCCAATCCCCCCACTTCCACCCACCATAACGCCTCGCTAGCTAACAAAATGCCCTTTCCCGGCCAGCCCGTCCTCGATACAATCATTGCAACCCATCTACTAGCATTGCCCGGCTACGCAGGCTGCTCATAAGCACGCTTAAGGACCCGTCCAAACTGTTCGAACCTCACATCCTCCTTCACCACCGTGCCCCTCGCCTCATTCTCACTATTAAGCGGTATCCGCACCGTCTCCCCCTCAATCTCCCATCCACACACCTCCTTCACGAACCCCTCCAATTTACTCCCTCGAACATTGAGCCAGCTTTCCAAGACCGGTCGGGAAATCTCCTGCATACACTGCGATACCACGACTGCGATCCGGACTCTCATGCTATCCTCGAACCCCTGTACATCAGCCACTAGATCGGCGTAGAGGTCGTCGCTCTCGAGCGTGCTCCAGAAGAGAGTATATGCCGCATTGTTCAGCGCTGTGTGCAGGGTGTTTAGGTGTTGGACAGCTTCTGCCAGAGTACCCGAGGCTGGTGCCGGACCGCCATTCGATTGCTGGGAGAGTTTCGTTTGGGCGAGGATGTGGGGTGGGAGGAGGGAGAGGCAGAGGCTGAAGTCGGGCGCGGGGAAGACGGTGAGGGCTTTGACGAGGATGTTGGTGCTTGTTTCGTCGCGCGTGAGGTGGGGGTTGAATTGGTATCTGTGTTGTTCAGATACTCGAGTCAGCGAGTCTGATCTGATGTCTGAAAACGTCGTGGGCTGGTATCGAAGTTTGGGAGGTTGTGTTGGATATGTTCAGATAGAGCTAATATCAAGATTTCGCTTCAGTCGAGCCCGGGTTCATTCGGGCTCGGTCAGGTAATAGGAAACGTGTAATGGTTAATCATCAGGGTACCACATGACATAGTATAAATGCCGTCGTCGTTGCTGGAGTACGTACAGTTTTAGTAGTGCCAGATTCGCGTATGCATCGTAGGTCTGGCTCTCGCACTGCTGCGCGACGTAGTCCTGGAATACTGTTGTGGTTTCGGGATTGTAGCGGTCGAGGCCGTTGAGGATGGTGTCGATGTGTTCGGGTCGCTCGGGGGCATAATCGAAGGCGACCATGATTGTGGTATGGAGTTGTTGTGGTTCGTGATTGTTGCGCTCTCCATCGATGTACAGACACTGTGGGCGAACTTTTTGCTTGGCAGGTCAAAGCAAATATGAATGGCTCGGGAGTGACCGAAGTTAGCTTATGAGCATTGAGCTTTCCGTGCCTCTTCTGGGAGTCCTTTGCTTTCGCTTCTGGGTTTCAATATGACTTCTATTGGTATTTACCTACGGGTTGGTCATGACCCTCAGCGCTACTTTCTACAATACGCTGCGACGATTTGCACGACCAGGGTGAAATGCTTGTGCTATTACACCGTCATGGGCCGTACATCACAATCTATAACGTGAATAGCCTTATGCGCTTGCGTTGAACCGTGCAACAAGCTACAGGTATCGGCGGCGCTTTCAACGGGATCGATGTCAGCGAGAACGAGCTCACCAACGACGAGATCAAGACTGCATTGATGGTACCCACACTCCCAAGCCTCAGGGACAATCATGGCAAGCTGACTTAGATCTGCTACAGTGGTTCTGGCTGTATGAGATCTTCTGGTGTCTCGCCGTTGTACCTGTCAAGATCAGTATTGCCCTTACTGTAGGAAGACTCGGCCGAGTAGCTTCTGGCAAGCGACCTTACATCATTACTCTATATGGCCTTGTCACCATACTTGCATTGATCACGATTGGCGGAATGTTCTACATCATATTCCGCTGCACGCCAGTCTCGTAAGCCCAACTCGGACGGTCTGAGGACTCTGATCGCAAAGCTGACCCTTCCATAGCTATGCTTGGAACGTGGATATTCGTGGCGGCGAGTGCCAAGCCCCGGCAATTCTTGCTGGTATCTACTATGCCACCACTGCGATCAACATCCTGGCCGATTGGGTCTGCGCACTACTGCCAATACCACTGCTATGGAATGCTCCTTTGACAAGGAAAGCGAAGCTGTCTATCGGGTTCCTGCTCAGTCTTGGCGTTCTCGCCAGTATCTCGGCTTGTATAAGACAGACGTACACCAATGCCTTGATACATTCTCATGATCGGACCAGCGGTCTTGGCGACCTTCTTATCTGGGGCTGTAAGTGTCGCATGATCAAAGTCTCACCATTGATAAGGGGACTGACAATGATAGATGCCGAGATTGGCATAGGCTTCTTTGCGGGCTCCCTGAGCTCGCTGCGCCCACTGCTCATGCGTCGAACAATCACCGAGCCTATCAGTGAGAAGGACGAGGGAGAGCAAGAGCTCTACGAGCTGCCTGGCGACAACCCTCTTCCAATCCGACAAGATCACCTCACCCCCGAGCGGCCTGGTAATATGAGCCCGGTATCTCGCGAAATCGAAAGTCACCTTCACCGATATATCTTCGAGAAACCCGGATGAGGATAGGAGATGTCTTCCAACAAGGAAAGAATTTCGGACTGTATGAGTCCAGGGTCCACGATATTTAGCCTCGCACCTCCACGTGCTCTATCAACCCGGATATGCGCTGGAACGACTTTTGCTGGTGACCCCAGCGAGTCAGTGTTCACGGTCGTGCTCCCATGTCTCTGGAAAGCGTACCGATCCGATTGTCTCAGCCAGGACACTGACCAAAAGTACTCCTTGGCTCAGAATCGGCCATCAATGAACCAGAGCTAGGCAATATAGTGCGAAGAGCAAATCCACGATGCTGCCGTAGACTCAAACATACTGGGCTGTCACAACAAGAGCAGGTCAAACGAATCCGGCACCACACGGCGGATCGAAACAACCCCGTAGGTCGGGGTATATACCGGCATCTATTGAACGCTGCAAGCTATACGACGTTTCCGACCTTAATACACCTGTCTCAAATGTAAATGTAGCAGAACTCGCCAGCTAGAGTCGACATAGCGCTTCCGATGGTAATGCCGGGTGCGTTCACACCAAGATCAAGGATATCTTGCAGAGTGCCATTGCGGCTTGGAGGCTGGTTCAGAATCGTAATGGTCCCGGCGATGGCATTCTGGCGGTTCTTGAGGTCCTGGTTTTGCCAGATCCACCAAACACGGTCGATTTGGGCGTGGTGCAGGAAGAAGTATGGGTCACCAGGGCTGGCAAAGAAATCTGCAATTTCGAGTCAGAATCATAACTTGGACATGGTACGGGTTACTGTACTCACCACCACCTGGATCGCCGCCAACCAGGTAATGACCAGCAGTATGCACACCGATGAGAGGCAGGCCAAAGTTAAATCCTCCTTCCATATCATCCTGGAAAGATGAGACGTCGTTGTGGCTGGTGATCAATTTCGCAATCATGGTATCGTTGAGAGCGAGCCGTGCCGCATAGGTCGAGATGTCTCTCCTCAAGCAACGAGGGTTGTACCCAAGACCATCTGGAGATGGGTTTGGTGGGATTTCCGAGTAAGCTGGGATAAGAGGGCCGAGGTTGACAGACATATTGACAAACGGGCCTGCTGTGATGCATTTACCGCCAGTGCCAGGAGGAATGACCACAAGCGGATTGGCCTCAGACTGGAAGTAGGAGTTGTTCTCGCCAGGGAGGTTTCCACCGTTGTTACCTATCGATGTAGCGCTCCCATCAAAGAGTCGAGAGTCGAGAGGGTCTTGCGACACCTTTGCCCAGTTGAGGTAAGGTTGGTAGCCTTTGTAGCCACATTCATTACGCAGAGCTTGCTCGTACGTCCAGGTGAAGTATCTATGCCAGGACAAGAAGTTGGCCTATTGCAGGGTCAGCTCGGAGTCTGCTAGCCAGAACCATCGGAGCGACTTACAGTGGCATGGATGCTCAGGGTCTGGTTGATGTGCACAGCTAATTACATCATGTCAGTATGCTCCAAAATGTCTCTGCCAGCCCAACCCACCAACGAAATCATCGAATCTGCTCTTTGCGCCAGGAGCGAAGCTTCCGCTTTTCGCGGGCAGCTTTTGCAAGCATTGGACGGCAGAGATGTATGCAGTCTTCTGCTTAGGGGTCAGAGTATGCCACTCCTGACGAATGTATCCAGAGGAGGTATTGCAAGCCGGCGGAGGATGGTGCTGGGATTCGTACTGGGCAAGCTTCAGAAGGCCCACAGCGGCGAGCTTGTCAGTCTGCGTCGTTGGAGCTGATATCCATGCCTGCGCTGCCGACGACAAAAGTGCAACACCGGCGATCGCAGATAGAGTGCACCGCATGATGGATGCGTGACTCCAAGGAGTAAGGAGCTGAAGTGACACGAGAGTTCTCGCAAGCAGGACCTTTACAATTGATGGCTTGGGGACAGCGAAGGAAAGTAAATTGTACTCTTGCGCCTCAAATTGGCTTATACCTCAACTTATTGCGAACATGTGCCACCTTCGCATAAACGGTAGTGGCCGGTGAGGCATTTCGGCAGTGAACATTATCAGCCGCCATTGACATACCGGATTGCTTCGGCCTCAAGGAGCGCACCGAAGTGGGGTGGCAAGCATATCCAGAGCCGGGATTGTCGCTTGCATGCAGCAATATCAATAGTGCTCCGTCGCATCTGCGAAGACTGGGAAGCGGCAAGATTCTTGGCATGGGGGCCGATCCTGATGTTTATCCGTAAGCATCTATGCCAAGGCCAACGCTCATCTCGAAGCATTTGACCGGCTGCGCAGGATTATAGGGAAGAAACAAGATAGTTCAGTCGTTCGAGGACATGCCCTCCGGCCGAACGGTAGGCGAGATTCCGTTTAGGGACTTCTGGTCTACCGGGGTGCCAATACAGTAGTGAGTTGGCGAGGTCCTTCCCATAGCCCCGAATACGCTTAGGTAGCTTGACTGCCAATCAAGTTAGATGTCCGCAGCACCCATGCCACGATATGCATGGCGTCCACGAGGGTCTAAGTCCCAGCACGACAGGTACCAATCGCATTGCGCACAATATGGATTGGTCAGGCGTGCTCATTATAAGTCGACTCAATGTCATATTTGCCGTCGAGCAGTCTATCGCTAATTTGGAAGCGATAATAGCATAGCGGTGACAGTAGAAGATTCCGGACGGGTTACTGTCTGGGTTTGAGGTTGTTGCTCGCCTATAGAGCGATCTTGGCAAGGACCGTGCGTTGCGTTGCGACTTCCCTAGCGCTTGATGATAGACTATCAACACTTAACCATCAGTACGCCATACGACGCACGTGGATGCCCGACAAGGCACCGCAGAATGGCTGGATTGAAGATCGTAAACATTCCACGACACCGTGGCTGGCAAGCAGGCACGGCATATCGCTCGTACGCATGCCGTGCCGCCTCATATACCTCGTCCTTCACCCTGTTCGCTCGCGCCGCATCGTTGGAAGCCTACAACGTGCCGACACCGACACGCTGTGCCTGGTTTTCCAGTAGTCAGTGAGATCCGGACTCCTTTCCGGCCTATGTACGACTCTCGTCTGGAGGCGCTCCAGGTCCTTGCTAGAATAGTGAGCATCAAGCCAGCTGCAAGTCGATGCGCTTCTTACTACGTTCCATGAATCGCACTCGCGCGTGTGTAGACAAAGCTGTGCCTTAGCACCACATGCTTCTTTAGTTGAACAACAATCTGTGTCTGTGCAAGAAACAAGCGATCGGCCGTGAACTAGAGCACGAGCTGTCCGCAATGGACTAGAACCCTCTGCATCGTTTAGTATGGACTAATGAAGTCCAGACGGCACGTATATTAGAATGCTGGTATGGTTGCATGCAGCCTCATATCGCAAGACGAGCTAGCACTCCGTCCTTGCACAAATGCAGCGGAGAAGGATGCAAGCTCGAGTATTTCACGCTACTACAGCGCCAGTAGTCTGCGTCTCAACCACAGCCCGTGGCTCGTCCGCTGCGGACCATGTCAATTCGTCAAGCTGCGACGTCGCTTCGCAAGCCACGGGCCGGACGTATACGACAAGCGACTTTAAGCTAACTTGTTCTACCGTCGTTGTTCTGTAGTGCCATACTGCTTGTGCATGTCCCGGGAACGTACTTGTGGACTACACTGTGGGTGGCTGCGGCAGGCTTGAACTCCGTTTTGTGCTTCCCGACGGCTGGTATCGTGGAAGGAGTCCTAGCTGTCCAGCAACGATCATGGTCTGAGGTTTGCTGCTGCAGCGCCTCCATAGTAGCTCACCAGTATCACACCATCATTGACATGCTCGCCACCAACTTCGTTCTGCGACATCCACAAAAGCGGTCATCATGAACACAAACCCTGTGCCGGACTTGAACAGCCCTTACTGCAAAGCAAACAATGTAGCTGAGGTACTTGGTGTTACTGGCGCATTCCTTGGAGCAGCATTGATATCAGTCATCCTTCGCACATATGTCCGCATCAGCATGCTCAAAATTCTCGGACCCGACGACTATGTCATGATAATGGCAGCGCTCATGGCCATTGGCGTATTCGTTTGCTTCGTGGGCGAGACGCACTGGGGAATTGGACGCCACAATGCCTGCTTATTACCAATTGACATGTTGATGCAGTCTGAGTGGGAGTTCGCTCACGGGATCCTGGTGGTGACCGGCGTCGTGCTGGTTAAGATCTCGATTGCTCTCTTTCTCTTGCGCCTTGCATCGCGGAAGAGCTGGAAGATATTCTTGTGGTGTGCGATAGGTAGGAGAATGTCCGAGACAAGGTGACTGCATTAGCTGACAGTTCCTAGCATTCCTTACTTGCTTCTGCCTCAGCTGCCTGGGAACTCTGATCTTCTCCTGCATACCAGTTGCTGCAAGCTTCAAGCCGGCCTTGCGAGCGGATCCCGCGACGAAGTGCTTTTCAGGAAAGACCTACGGCTTCATCGGTCTCTTCAACAGCATCATCAACATCATCACTGACGTGCTGTTCGCTGTTCTGCCAATCCCAATCATCATCAAGCTCCAGATCAACCTGCGGGCCAAGATTACTCTAATGTTCATCCTATCGCTCGGGTTCATGGCCTGCGCGGCCGGGATAGTCAAAGCCAACCTCCAGACCAAATTTATCAACCAGCCGGACAGTATGTGGCACGACAGCTTCAACGTATGGAACATGATCGAGCTCTGCCTCGGCATCCTCGCCGCGTCGCTGCCAAGTCTGAAGCCATTGTTCGCTCGCTTCATCGAGACGACCCGCACCGCTCTAGGCATCTCGTCTGCTTCTAGATCACGATCGAAACAGCAGCAGCAACAACAACCAGCAAATTCGTCGCCAGCGTACAACAGTCAGCAGTCCGACGGGAGGGGTGGATGGAAACGACGAAATGATTTGCATGAGTTCCACGAGATGATGGCGGATGTTCCAAGAAAAGATTACGATAAGAGCTTGATGACCACATCACTGGACGCATTCGTCCCAGAAGACCAGGACGCGAACGAGATACATCATGTGGTCAAACCAAAGCGTGCATACAACGTACGCATCTCAGGAGGTCGTCTCTCACCAGACCGAGATCGAAGTTATCCTAGCTCGCATACACTCAGCAGGAGTGAAAGCCAGGAGAGATTGCGGGAGCCATGGCCGGCAGTATATAAATCCTTTGATATTTCCAGGACTACAGAATTTCGATGAGGAGGAGTGTACGCTGTTCTGACTTGGGAAAGCGTCAATCCCAGGCCCTTGCTTGGATGTATATATGGAATGTCACTGTATGAGTAACGTTAGAGCACATGATTTGTTACCAGCTTGTAGGATGTCGTGTCTTGCTGGCTGAGAGAAGCTTGGTAGTGGCGCGCCGCACAGGTCATGATGCATATCTCGGATGCCACACATCGGTCTTCAGCTAGCTCCCGCGCGAGATCCTACCTAATCAGTAGCTTTACGGAGTGTCAATCGATATGAATCGGCCAGGTGTGCCATGCACAACAGTTCGAAAGCCATGGGTTTTGCCATTCGTGGTAAGTTATACATAATCATGCCACAACGCCTCCATATATACAAGACACTTCGAGGTGTCGCTTTGATCGAGTTACTCCCTACTTTGTGACGTGCGAAGGAGCTACAGCGTATGTTGGCCGCACGAATCTGTGACTTGTCAGTGGAGTCCATGATCACGACTTTCCTGTTCATCACTAACTTGTCGCTGTTGTAGACCTTTGACTCGGCGCCCAGTAGCTCCTTTTCCATCGCCTTGGATGCCAACGTCCTCCTGACCAGATCTCTGTCCTCCTCGGCCTGTAGTAGTGGGATAAGGTAGATTCGAGACCACATCTTTTCTCGTGCAAGCTCACTGCGGACCCAAGTCAGCAAATTCTTGGAAGGCCTCGACAGACGATGCCCTAACGCACTTCTGCTCTCGTATGCCCTGCCCGTATCTCCAGAAACCATATGTCATGATCGCACCCACTGCAACTAGATAGTAGGCTGGTCGGAAGCCACGGGCTGGCAAGTTGCGGCGGTACTGGACTGGGTCGTACCCGCCGGTGGGCGGCATATCCTGTGGCATTTCGGCGGTATTGACGGGGGCGGCGCTGCTTGCGAGGAGATGTGTGAGAGATATGGTATGGCCAATGGCTCGCTATGCACTGGAGGTGTTGCGCGTGAGGTATGGCGGATAGTCCCGGGTCTTAGTCAGCATCAAGTCAAGCTTTAAACACTTTTGAATGAGAACTATGTTGGACGCCAACAACATCAGTATTGGCTGTAACAAAGCGACACAATGGAGGCTGATGAGCGACCTTCGAAGATGCGAAAGCTGAGCCATGGGACCGAAGAGTTGATGCCATGTCTGGAAGTAGTCAGCGAAACCAAGGACTCGACCCATGTTCCGGACTCACGATTACAAGAAGGTCATGCTGCAATTCAATCTCCTCAACCACAAGTCAATGATGGAATCAACGGCTTGGGGTTGGTAGATGAGGCGGAAAACTCGAGCGGACAAGATGCGGCAGACTCTGGCGATCTACCGCCACCTGACGAGACTGCACCATTAGCGGCTTCTGATTTGATCGGAGCCGGCGATCAACCGATGTCAAAGAACCAGCGCAAGAAGCTGCAGAAGAAGCAAGAATGGGAGGCCAAACGTGGCGATCGCAAGATCATCCGCAAAGAAAAGCTTGTTGCCAAGCGTGAACGAAAGCGGGAGGCACGACAGCAGCAGAACGACGAGACCAATGGTGACCGTCAAGTTCCTGCTCCTGCTGCTATAAAAGTCCTTCCAATCAAATCTGTCCAATTGCCAGTGACCTTTCTTATCGACTGCGACTTTGATGGTCTTATGCGGGACAATGAGCGCATCTCGCTCGCCTCTCAGATTACGAGATGCTATTCGGACAACAAAACTGCCAAGTTCCGTGCTCACCTGACTGTCTGCTCGTTCACTGGAAAACTACGGGAGCGGTTTGACAACATCTTGACTCACTACAAAGGCTGGCGGGGGGTACGCTTCCTGGAAAACGATTTTGTTGAGACTGCCGAACAGGCCAAGCAATGGATGGCCGAGAAGAAATATGGTGGGTCTCTGGCTGGATCGTTCTCAAAATACTCTGGCGAGGACGAGACTACCCTGCCACGGCTGCAACAGGAAGGCGAGATCGTGTATCTTTCATCGGAGGCAAGCGACACCCTTACTGAGCTCAAACCGTACAGTACCTATATCATCGGCGGTCTAGTCGACAAGAATCGTGAGAAGGGCATCTGCTACAAGCGTGCGAAACAACGAGGTATCCGCACGGCTAAGCTACCCATTGGTGACTATCTACAAATGTCCAGCAGGAAGGTATTGGCTACGAATCACGTAAACGAGATTATGGTCAATTGGTTGGAGACGGAAGATTGGGGAGAGGCTTTCATGAAAGTCATTCCGAAGAGGAAAGGTGGCCAGCTCAAAGGTCAAGATGACGATCAAGAAACTGAGGGCGGTGCTGAAGAGATACCTGACTCAGAACATGACGGAGATGTCGAGCATGTGCCATCTGAAGATGTTCTTGCTAAGACAGCCTGATGTGAGACAATCTCTTGTCTCTCATACTGTTCGCTGTTGGTGCATCTCACTCTGCCCTGTCTCCCCGCCCTAGTGGCCCGACTCCTTCCAGAACCTCAGCCAGGTATTCATAAACAATAAGCCCTACTTGGTCAACAACGAAAGACAGCTGCTCCACTGGATATCATCTTATATACACCACAAATTTTTTCCTTCCTGGCCAGTACTTCCCCTGCTCCCTGGCACCGCCCAAGATTCTTATCTCCGGTCAGCGCTACGAAGTACTCCCCCTGATCCACGATTCTACATATTCACTTTGGTCTCGCGACATCACACTGATCATCCTCGATCAATGAGATTGTCGCAAGTCTGGTTCATGGCTCAATACATCGTGCGCTCTTTGTGCCCGCCTATATCAATCACATGTGGGCGGCTCCAGATACAGCTCACGGAGTCACAAGATGGGCAACAATTTGGTACATGGTGTGGATTTCTCCCACAGCTACTGGGAGCCCTTCTGTCGTACCACCTCGTTCATACAACAATCAGTAAGAAATCCCTCCACAACTCTTCCATTACCAACGATCTGTAAGATCATAGCCAGGAGGCCTCAGCACTGACTATGCCAGGCCAACGTGAGCTCAACAATCTCAAGATCGATGCCAAGTCTCCTCTCACTACTGGAGTGGTCCGCACCAACCAAAGAGAATATTACTACTACAGAAGCGCCCGTTATGAGCATGATGGCTCGACACAGGCAGATGCCTGAGCTGTAGAAGGCGCTCGGCCTCACAGGAATCATCCAGTGATCTACCAGGAGCCCATCGGTGAGAACATCATTGTTGCGCCTCAGAGGACGACCGTGGCACCAGGGACTGATACTCGGCCAGCCAAGCGTCCTCGGGTTCTGACTATCACAAAGGTCGACGAAGATATCGGGGAAGACATGGGAGTTGCGCCTCGGAAGAAGGCCAAGGTGATCACGCCGGTCTCTCCCATGAGTGCCATCGGTTTTGAATCCGGTATAGCAAGCGATGAGATCGCGCCAGTGCGAGCCGCAAGGACTGTGATTACCTAGGGGGAGCATGATTCTGACCCCAGCAACAATTCTTCTGCTGCGCCCGAAGGGAATGATGGGATGGCAGAAGCCGTCCCAACGGCGAGCGCCAATCTTGCGAAGCTTGACTCTGCCGTAGGTCCAGGAAGTTTACCATCTGATGCTGATGCCGAGATGGCTGAGATCGAGCTGATAGACATTCCCACGTCATTGAAACCAATGCCGCACTCTGCTAGCACCCTGCAACCTCTCTCGACGAACGAGCTCGCCACTGGAAGCGAGAATGACGCTGGCCACAACTCTGATTTTGAGTTTGGCTCCTGCAACAACACCGTTGCTATCACGTCCAAGATCATGACAAGCCCATCCGCTGCAAGGGTAAGCATTCCGGCTCAAAAACCATCTTCACCTGCTTTGCGTGCCACCAATACGGCCTCTCAATCCTGGCTGACACAGATCAGATCGAAGCAGCGAACAGCGGCGCCGACGAGCCGTTGTGCCAACCATGCGGCAAGCTTGCTTTCGAAACGGAAGAATTGGTTAAGTGTCAACGCCTGAGTGATGTGCACTGTGCGATATGTACCCGCTACATGCTGGATTCATTGGCAATGGCACGATTGATCGTGATCGAGGGGCAAGAAGGGGCATGCGGGGATTGTCGTTTAGCTCTGGTGGACGGCAGCGAGAAGGTGACGAGATGTGCTGCCTGCAATGGGCTGCAAGTCAAGCTGTAGTGGAGGATGTTGTGTGAGAGAGACAAAATTGTACAGTACATGACAGACTTGTGCGTAGTAAGTCCATAATGGCTTGACGTAGCGAGACGTGTCCACCATAACCCTGAGAACAATTCTCCCTCTACCGTTGCCATCTGTCCTGCCCATGGAACTGCACTTCTCGACCTTCCAGTCCCGTGCTTAGCCTTAAGATGTGTTTCACGATAGACTGGATTGCTTGAGACAGCTCGCAGCGTCAACGTGATCAAATTTTCCCATCCATAAGCTGCGCCGCTTACGAAGGGCAAGTTCTCCTTGGCTGTCTCTCTGCCACAAGGTGCTTCCACCACTGCTGCGAGAACAGTCTAGTATCTCCATACCACTCCATTAGTGCTGACTCTGACCTCAAGCGACCCACGCTGCGATCGAAGTGAGCCCGGAACTTCTCGTCAACTCTCAGTGGCGCACGAATCGGAAGTCCGGACGAACTGCGCTTCAAAGCTTCTATCGCTGCCACAAGATCCGAGATGCTCTGGGGAACCCTGGAGGTACCTTCCTTGTAGGATAATTTCGTTGCCTTGACATCCGGCGGCTTGATGCGCTTCACAATCTTCCTCGTCCTGTGCGAAGTCTTTTTGTTCTCACCATTGTTTGCAGTGCTCTGCTTCGCACTTTCGAAGACCATTGCGGGGGATGTAACCTCGTCGATCGTGGAAGCAGCCCTGCTCACGGTGGTAGCGGGAGTAATCGGAATGAGAATATCGCGGCTTACTATTGGCGTTGTCGGAAGCTTGTTCTTCGCTATCGTTGGCGTGTTTTCATGCTCCATAGCGTCCATTGCTTGGTCTCCCTTAGCGGAAGAAGGTAGTTCTGAGTGATTGGCAGTTGACATGGATGATACCACTGGCGCTTCAAAGTTTGGCAGAATTGATGGCACACGCAGCCAGTCGGAGTAGAGAAGAGTGAGGTTGAACTGCTCGACCTGCTCTGGCTTGACGTGTTTGTGCCGTGCTCTATCATACTCTAGCTCCTCAACGGCAGGGCTATGAGCATGAGCAAGAAGCGGAGCGATAAGTTTGGTGCCTCGTGCATGACACAGCTGCTGAACCAAGCGTTGGCCAGCCTGCTCCTGGTTGAAGTTGTAAGAAGCGCCGACGAGCTCACTGTGGGTATTTTCATGATCTGACATGTTGATGCATCATGTGGAGAAATGAAGCTGTGTATGTGAGCACGAAAGGAACTAAGATTGCTCATATCGCTAATGTATGTGCTTCAGGGCAGACGTTCAAGGTCGTACCTTCCTTGAATGCTGCATGACGTGGAAGGTGCGATTTTCGCGCGTATGGAATGAGTGCTGGGGACAAGCATGATCGGGACTGTGAGCAGGTGTCTGCGAGGATCTTAATGGAGAGATCGAGTTATCGTAGCACTGTCGTATCATCATGCGAGATCTTGGCCCTTCACCATGGCAGTTGCAGTGGCGTAGATAGCTTATCTGTATCACCGAGCACTGGTCCTGCTGTTCCAATGTCGCCAGGTCCCCTAGGAGCCCAATACTGCCCTGTCATACTGATATCGAAGTCCTCATTCACCCACTGCACCAACGATTTGGCGGCCTCAGCTGGCGTCACAGCACCGCCCGCATCCCAGAACTGATCAAAGCCGACAGATCTTGTCATCTCAGTACGCATGAAACCTGGATGGACGAGGCCGACCGCAACGCCTTGATCTTTGAGGTCGAGCGATAGCAGCTTACCGACCATATTCGAAGCCGCTTTGGACGCATGATGGCCAAACATCCCACCGCCCTCGCTCTCGTGCCGAAGGGTGATCGATCCGGACTCTGAGCTGACGATAATGATTTTACTGCCGTGACTACCCGTGCGCAGTAGACCAGCCTTGTGGAGATGGTGTGTGATGAAGACAGGCGCAATGGCGGATGTCTTGTACATTGCCACTTCTGCACTATAATCAGGCTCGTCGAAGGACTCCTTGCCAAAGAAACCCGCGGTAATGATCACAATATCTTGCTTGTGACCTTTCAATCCCTCGGCAATCTTCTTGCCAGCTTCTTCCGTTGCAACATCGACGCCGGAGATCCATTGAATGTCATGGTGTGCATGCTCGGGTGGGCCAGATCGTGCGGTGCCAGTCACAGAGTACTCAAGCGAAGCATATCGCTTGGCGATCTCGTAGCCCAGCCCTCGAGTGGCGCCTACGACCAGCACGTTCGGCATCTTGGCATATAACAAGAGGAACAAGAAGAAGAGAAAGACGCTCGAAGAGATGGAGCATACCTTATAGAAGAAGTAGAAGACAGCGTCTCGTCCTTGCCACCTCTGATTGGCTCGCTTGACAATCCAGCGGATCCTCTTCCCAAACACCTCGCAGCTTATTATGTCACGCGGTCTAGATATCCTCAATTATTCTCAACATTGTCTCTTTGTGGGCATGGATCGCGCCCGGGCATAGATTGCGAGCAGGTTATCCATCGGAATCGTCTCGCAGATCTAAAGCTTGTGGACAGAGGCTCTCATAGATCAGAGTCCGAGAACCGACGTTGCTACGAACGATGGTCAAGGCAATGCCGGGCTCAAGGCCCGCCAACATATCCTTGGAAGAACTATTTCCTGAGAAGGATGGAGATGACCACAGCGGAGATGCTGAAAGAGCATCCGAATTACGACGTCGTGGAACGGGTGACGACTGATATGACCCGTAACCCTTCGGAGGAGCTTCTCTTGGTATTCCGGGACCCACATGTAGTACGCTCTTTGGGGGAGATTGGCTTACGATGGAGCGAGACGGCGAAGCATGTGGAGATGGGACTTGATCGACCTCCGGAGACCAAGGCCTACAGCCATGATGATATGTCAATCGAGTCTGAGCATAGCCTCTGTCTGCCATGCCGCGATGCCCTCAATTATTGCAGATACAAATCTGAGACACCATCTGTACGTTGAGTATAGTATTCAAGACTTACATGTTGCTCATACGATCCGAAGACGATTGGTGCAGCGACAGCAGGATGGCCAAATTCAGTCATTCACCACCACAACCTGGCATCCCTAATGGTCACGAAAGACATCTTCGAGTGCGATTTGTGTCGACAACTAACAAGCTCTATGCTGGTCCATTATCCTGACGCATTCACATATGATAATTTGCAACGCTTCCACATCGAGATGTGCTGGCCAAGCAAGAAAACAATCGACAAAGGCAAGATCTACTTCGCCATGGTGAAGGGTGGTACAAAGAAAAGGTATCCACGTCAAGCCATATTGTGTGAACAAGCTTGGTTGACATTAGTGCAGCACGTATAACTTCAACCACATCTACATCTTGGATGTATGGTTGGCGAAAAATCATACGACGAATTTCGATCTGCCTTTCGTGGTGGAAGATAAGCTCCCGCATGCCATGGACTCAACTACAGCTCTGAATTTGGCGAAGCACTGGCTGAATTGTTGTCTTACAGACTGGGCAGGCCATCATAGATGGTGCAACGCCAAAGTAGAGACGTGTAAACCTACTCGCCTCCTGGATGTTGCCGGCTCGAAAAATACGGGCATGCTACGCCTTGTACCTACCGGCCCGTTCAGGACAGAGACATTTGTCACTCTGAGCCACTGCTGGGGTCACAATGTACAACCAATACTGACTACCCAGAATATCGAGGAGCGATGCGAATCCGGCATACCGATCGATGCCCTGCCGAAGACGTTCCAGGATGCTATCACGGTAACAGAGTGGTTTGATGGTGCGTATATCCTAGCTGTCGTGAACGCACGTAATTCTGACCACTGTCGCAGTCAAATGGCTATGGATTGACTGCCTTTGCATTATCCAAGACAGCAAGGAGGATTGGCTTCGTGAAGCGAAGATGATGGCGCCTAATTACAGACAAGCACTTTTCGATATATCAGCCGATGCTATAGAAGCCGGCACCAGTGGACTTTTCCAGCCACGCCGGGCCGTCGACTATCTGCCACTAAGCTTCACAGCCACGGCTCTTGATCGAACGACTCGATTCACCCCATGTTCAGTAAATCAGTTTGCATGGATTCATGATGCGCCTACCTTCAGTCGAGCCTGGGTCCATCGTGAAAGACAGTTGTCTCGCCGCATTCTTCACTTCACTGATCAGCAGATGATTTGGGAGTGTTGTGCCACAACGGGCCACGGTTTCGCTAGTGACATGGTCCCAGGCGAGCCGCTTACATCGAGACCGTTCGGGGCAGACAATAAACAGCATGTTCATGGGCTGCAACTAGCAGGAAGCGGTGGCATTGGCCGTGACGAAAGCGAGTTGCACGACTCGTGGGATGACGTCTGTCACAATATTTCGCAGAAGCGGTTGACTGTCTTGACTGATATGCCCATCGTTCTGTCGACCCTCGCGGAAGACTTTGCGGCGCTCTTGCACAACGGAGATCAATACCTTGCAGGTCTCTGGAGATGGACAATGCCTCGGAATCTGCTTTGGAAAACCGATCACCACAGGAGGCTAAGGCAGAGCCCTTACATTGCTCCTACGTGGTCGTGGATGTCCACAGCTTGCTCAACCACCTTCGATGCCCGCAAGCTTGGGAGGTCGGACATCGTACATGATGTTGCAGAGTTTCAGAGCGCTGATTTACAATACAAGAATGGGAATGATGCCTTTGGCCCGTTGTTTCGAGGGGTGCTGACGCTGCGAGGCTATCTGCGTTCACTGCAGTTCACCTTTGACCTACCCTCGGCTGGGAAACAGATCGATCCTTGCAGCTTGTCCGTCTTCGATAATGACCGATGGCGAACCGTGGGTCCTCGGTGGGATAAACGCACGGGTGATCTCTTTGAGCTCAAGCTTGATAAAGCCCACTCTCGTCGACAATTCGATTGCTCGTGCATCTTTATCAGCACCAAGTTCTGGGGCAGCTTCGAGAGCTGCTGGCAGGAAATTTCTGCTCTGCTGCTGACGCGCAACGAGCAAGACGAGTGGCAAAGAATAGGCATTATCACATTCAAGGACTTCTACTCTTTACAAGTGAGGTACGGATGATTATGGAACATTTCAGTCCCGAATTCAGGAGCAGACTCTGGCTGGTGAAGCACAAACAGCTCAAGAAGCACCAAAATACTTTCTGGGAGCAGCACAAAGCGGCGAAGGACAACGAGCGAGCGGACGATGAACTGGGCGAGAAGTCTGAACCAGAGGTGTGGGTACAGGAGCCTGATCCGGCAGACCTCTATGCGTTTGACTCTGGCCTCGACACCAGGTATCTAAATGCTCTTGAGCCCCAGACCATCGTTCTCACCTGAAAAGTCCAGTGAGGTACTAGCTAATGCAATATGCAGTGGCTGCTCATGATTGGCTGGCTTCTGATTGGTGTGTCGAACTCCCTCCCCTAGCACAAACACATAGCACTTCACTGCACGACATGCTCGTTACGTCGAGACCGCGACCGAAGAAAAGCTACTTATATCTTCGCGTGCACATGCTTTCGCAGCACGTGCAGCGATCCGGATGGGTTGATAGGTAAAGCAGAGGGGGAGGTTTTGCTCTTGCACGCCTGCGCTATACTCCTGCAACGGTCCCCGCTGCTTATTGAGTCCATCTTCTTATTCTGGTCGGTGAACTAAACCATGCAGTGTTATGTTGCGTTTGTGCAAGTGCCATCTTGCACAGCTGGACGGACGACAATAGCAGAGTGATTCCACTGAGTTGGCATCGACTGATCTCTGTGATGTGAGATTGAAATATGAGGCCGGCATTCGACCTCATTCATTACCATTGTTCAGGAATCCAGCAATGGAGAACACTGTTCGATCTATTCCGCTACTGCTATTGATGGCATACACAATGGCGTCCTTCAAAGCAAAAGATATATCCTGCAACGTACATTCTGGCCAATCTTTCACGGTCATGAAAACACCATCTCTCCCTTTCGACAAGCATGAACATCCTCGCGCTGGGCTCACAGGACCCGATGCTATCTGGCATCTGCCACACTTCGCTCGACGAGGACCATAATATGGCCAACAACTTCTTCCCGGACCTTCGCGACGAACCGTTCACTCCAACAGATCCACTCTTCGTCAGCTTCGGCAGTGTGGCGACCAATGCTACACTAGACTCCCAGCCATGGTCATGCGGGCCTTCAGACGTAGACTCAGGTGACATGGCGACCGCATGGCCAGACCACAACCTGTTCGAGACTCAGCCATTGTTTCGTGGCGCGCAGGATATGTTCGGTTCGCCGACGCCGTATTACGAGCGTGCAGTATCCCCAGGTCCTATCGTGCGGATCCAGCCAGAGGACATTCCGGCTGAGGTCGCAGAACTGGCCGCACACATCAACGCTCTGCCGAAGATGCGTGGTGGCGACATTGGTGCGAATGAGTTCCCGTACCGTCAAACCCTAAAGACTGCTCCTCTTCTACGTGGTCAGGTCTCGAAGAAGACTGGCTGTCTGTTTATTGAGCAACGAGGCGGAAAGCTACGTAAGTGGCTATTCGACGAACGTCTGTTTACCAGGGAGTTATGGTTGTATCTCACGGACCCTGACTACATGAGGGTCAGGGGAGGAGTCGGACGTGGGCGCAAGAGAAAGACTTCGGCGGACGGTGAATTCGACTTCATTGCCGTTGTGCCCCCTTCTCCGAGTTCGACGCCGTCTACCACGCCCAGTAAAAAGAAACGCCGTGGCTCCACAGCGATCAAGAGTATCAAAGACACAAGCGTCGAAGGCGAAAGCCAGGACACAGCTAACAACACCCATGTCCTCGCTCCGTGCGATGCCACTGAGTCCCCAAGCACGAAATACAGCGCCACGGTCTCCATCAACGAAGACGACCAGGCATTCACTGCAGACGGCTCAATCACAGAAGATCTGTCGTCAGCTTTAGCCAACAAATCCACTACGGAATGTGCTATTGAGATGTCGCCGAGCAGCTTCGACCCGACCGATCTCATGAGCATGCTCACCGAGGATCTCGAGGACGTCTAGACCGGCGGATCGAAGGATGCTACCTACATTCACACGACCAAGTCGACCTGCTACGTCCTGGCTGCGAAAATACTACCATGACAACGGGGTTTGATCTGCAGAGTGCAGACTCACAATGCTTATGAATTAGCATGACATAATTACCGGCGAGGGTGCGAGGCACAGTCCCAAGAGGAGATCTACCTCACTCGCACGATAGCTTCAGTATATAACAAACGAATTCATGAAACTACTTTGTCCTGTACCTCGTTGTCTCCACTGTTGCGCCATCCTCGCGAAACGCAATGGGTCGTCCATGTCACTGATCTTCTGCAGTTGGATTCGAAAGCTATCATGTTGATGAGACTAACGGCGAGAAACTCCCTCAGCCCACGCAGCAGTCCCAACACGAAAGTGCTCCCTAGATGCTGGTTAAATTCACATGTTCCACGAAACGAGCAAGTTGATAATGTCTTTATTATAATGTGCAAGATGGGCTTGTGTCTTAGAAGTTCTGGGTTCGTGTCGTATCAAGACTATTACTTACCAACCACCAAATTGAGTGGCCTTAAACTCACCTCACCCTAACTCATCTGCCCACCCCTACCCAAGCAGAGCATCCGTCTCCACCGCCTCATTAGTTTCATCAAGACAAATCATCTCGTAAGCCGGCGGCGAAGCCTGCATTCCAACATAGACCGGCAACGTCAAATCACCCCAAGCCTCCTCATCATAAGCAGGCGGCGGTCCATAAAGCCACGGCTGGGAGTAGATAAGACCTGCTTCCAGATCCCCGAGCGAAAGGTGGTGGGTATGACTATGTCGGACTTCCACGCCGTACATGACCACGTACGCGGCGAAACATAGCACGCCGAGGAACATGGTGAATGTCAGGCTCAAGAAGAAGGCTTCCCCAGCTGAAAGCTCGGTGAAGGAGAAGAAGGTCGCGGCGGTCGTTGTTGTTGCTGGGGAAGCATGGGATGTGGTGGAGCAGAAGGGCAAAGCGAATGGGCCGGCCATGCTTGCTTCCTCGCTGGGTGTGTGGTTTGAGTAGATTTGTGGTGTGCACTGCCGTGAGGTCATATATACTGATCTCGTAGTGGTGTGACAATCCCATTGTGGACTTCCACGGCTGCCCGAGAGCCACGAGGAACAAAGAAAGTCATAATCCAAGTGTTGACCCCGTTGGTGTCTTTGTGCGCCATGGCAGCAGCAAGCTGACAATTGAATATTGTGCCCTTGATCGTCGGAAGAGACAAGAGACATGGTCCAGAATTGCTCGTCATAGGCGTCGAAAAAGATGGCCAACAAGCATACGGCTGTCCACTGCCCAAAATATGCTCTCGCACAAGATCATGTTCCGCCAGTCACGAACGGCCTCTCCAAAATCTCTTGATTTACCAGCTCAACAGGTAAACACCCATCGACTTTCCAGACACCCATCATCTCGTATTTGTGCAGAAACTCCCAACTCGTCTTACTTCTCTCGTCTTCTACACCCATACCTTCGACGACCTCGACAAGATTTCGCCAAGGGTACCCGTAGCCACATACATCCTTCCAACAAATCACCCGCCTATACTTGTACTCTGCCTCTACCAGTCTCTCGGGCAAAGTATCGTAGGGCTCAAATGGGACGGCCGGGAGTTCCATCTCGGTATCACGGTGACGAATCCTTCGTGCAGACATCTTGCTGGCTAGCGGTAGGATCTCCGTGCATACGAATGGCATGGCGATGTCGAGATGTGGTATAGTCTTGCCGAGCTCACGGATGATGGTGCAAGGATGCTCTTCTGGATGCTCTTGTATTCGAGCTCCATATTGACCATCCAGCCCAGCCTCATGAGATGGTAGTCTGCAAAGGTGGAGCTTGAGATGCTTCACTAGCTGCAGGGCTCGTTGCAAAAGTGTGCAGATCGCGCTCAGATGTCGCACCGGATGCAGGTTGGGACAATCGACGATTTCAAGCTTTGTGAGTCGTGTGGGGATGAGATCTGAGGCAAAGAGGGAGGTCATGGTGTCGACTGTGAGGCGTGTGGTGTGAGCTAGTGTAATCGCTTCCATTTTGCGGAGGCCGAATAGGACTGCTGTATCCTTCGAAGGCTTAACAATAGGCTCCCAATCGAGGCTGGCAGAGACCGGGTAGGCTCGCCCTACGGAGTGTAAAAGATCTTCCGGCAGTCCGTCGAGATCATCGACCGCAGTGTTGATATACACACGCTTCAAGTCAGAAAAGCAGCTCCCAGAGAACACCAGGTCCCAGAGTCGTGCGCCAGCCTCAGTATCAGTCCCCTGATCGTTTTTACTTTCTGATCCAATGAAAAGAGTCAATTCAGTCACATTACTCATACCAAACCTTTCCAACTGCTTCTGCCATCCGGGCCATCCTCCATGGAGGGTGAGGGAGATCTTGACCGAGTAGCATTTCCTACTGATTGCGCCGAGACAATTGGCGACCACTGCTCCGGTAATCTTATGGCCGTCCTTGGCCCTGTCAAGGATGAGGGCTATGGTCTTGATGTTTCGCTCTAGAAGTTGCTCCTCGCTCAGCTTAAACCAACGGAGTCGTTGCTGTGGACTAATTGTGGAGACGACTGGATTCTTGGATAACGTCTCGGTGAGCCGGACCAGCTTCTTGTAGGATGTTAGTTGGATGTGGTTGTACAGTGGTTGCTGAGCTGCCAGGTAGTGGTCTTTGGTCACGCCACTCAGATTGGCGAGGTGGTGAGCGGACAGCAGGGCGCAGATGCCCAGGTAGAGCTCACGTGGAAGGTCGAGCATCGTTGCCATGATGGGGGTGCTGCAGTGAGTCTTCAGATGATACCTTTGCTTACGAGAGAAGAGGTAGAAGCAAGGCTGTCAAGAGCTCTCGTGATGTCGCGGCTAGTAGTACCAACGGGCAGCTGTGATCTAGTAGCCTGATGTAGCTCCCGTGAGACCTACCTTCGAGCGACGAGAAGAGTACATGTGCTTTCTCGACAATACTGCAGCTGCTATCGACGTCCTCGTCTTTGTGCATGACTCATGCGTTCTTCTCTGTGCTGTTGATCGTGGTGTATGGATTATTATTGTCCCTTCCGCAAGCGGAGCGCAAAGGTGTGGCGCAAACGAAATGTGGCTGTGCATGCCCGTGGCGCGCATTGAACAGGCATCGAACAAAGAGACGCGACAACGACGTTTTCCCCTCAAGATCATATAATGAACCCAAATACACCCTCACACGCCTTAGACCGACGATAACACGGGTCCATCAATGCCACGCCGTCGTCCTCCCCGCCCCGGCGCCCTAGCAGACCTCGCGCCCCTACGCATCTTGACCCAGATCGCTTTTCTCCAACTAATCTACTACGTTGTTGCCTGTGTCCTTATCACTTTCATCACCTTCGTCGCCGGCCAGCAGCCGAGTCTGGATCGCATCTTCAACTGGCATGAGTTGAGAGGGGATGTGACGACGGGCTGGACCTTGGGATTGTGTTGGGTGCTTGATGCGCTTGTCTGGTACGTATACCCTGAAGAGCACCCTGAAGAGCACCCTGACTTGCACGACGTGATTTTGACAAAGGCATAGTGTAATACCCATTCTCCTCCTCATCGCGCGATCGAAGCTAGTCCCAGATTTTGCCTTGACTATTCACTTCGTCAACCTCCTTACCACATCAGTATACACCCGCTCAATACCCACATCGATCTACTGGTGGCTAGTGCAGCTCTGTTCTGCGGCCCTGATGACGAGCGTGGGCATTTGGGCTTGTCAGTGGAGGGAGCTCCAGCCGATGGCATTTGGCGGGAAGAGCAGCAAGGGAAAGCAAAGGGCAGAGGCAGCAAATGGGCATGCTGTAGGTCCTGCTGAGGTCGCGGATGAAGAGGCCGGTTATGAGATGGGCGGAGGAAGGGGCGGTGGTAGAGATGGAGCGGGGACTTATGAGATGGTTGGGATGGCGCCAAGAGGGACTGGCTGAGAGAAGTTCACGAACTATTCTATCCAAGAATTGAAGCCATCCATTATTATAGGCCACGCTGGACCTTCTCAATACACCCCCGAATGTTACGAGGGGCTCGGATTACAGCGCCTTCCTTGCTCATGCACACTCATAGGCCTCAACCTCGCCCACCGGCTTGCCGCTTCGGCTCACTAGCCTTAGTAGCTCATCCGTCCGGCGCACAATAATCGGGACAGAATCAGGATCCTGCGTTTCGATCTCCCAGGCCAACCGGACCTGCTTAGGGAAGATACGACACACCACGCGCTCGAGGTGCTCCGGCGTCGCTATTTGCGGAGACGAGCGGATCATGGTTGTTATGCGGGCTGTCAGGGGTCGGAGGGGTAATTCCGGAGCGTCGACTAGAGAACCAGTGTCAGTTGTCGGGAGCCAAAGGATACGGAACATCAGCGGCAGACTTACGAGTCCTCACTCGCTTTCCTAGTGGCAGCCACACATGTGCCGCCTCCTCCTCACCCTCTGCATCCTCGCCTGTGATCAGCAACCCGACTGAGTTTGCTGAAGCGTCGAGGTAGTTGAGTGATCGTGGTTGCGCAGTGGGAGACGAGTATGTCACGGGGTCCTGAAAGATTATTTGCCGGCCAGAGTCGGAATGTGCCAGATCTGCCGAGGGGGACGAGGGACGCCATGGTCCTAGTGGCGAAGCGGTCACGGCGAGGGAGAGGTAGAAGATTGTGAGGAGTCGTAAGGCTGCTGAATGAGTAATAGGAGCCATAGCTTGCGCACCTCTAGCGGCTGGTCTGAGTGCTGAATAGATGGATCCTGGCAGGACAGTCATGCAGGTATATCGTTGCAATCGAGAACTGTAGTGTTGCTGCTGCTGTTGAAGAAGAAGAAGCGCTTTTCACCGAGTCATCAGTTGATGTGCGGCAAAATGCATGGCCATAAGTGTGCAGGACTCGGTTCTGTGGCAGGTGTAAACATCGGGTACCACAGGAACAAACGCGCTCGCGTTGGCGAGGAATGTGCGAAGTGCGACCAATTTCCCGATCTCATGTCTAGTTGGAGTCGTACATCTAACTAAACAACAGACTATCTGTACACTTCTCTCAAGCATCACACCTCCCCACCCACCGTGGGAACGCAACAATATCCCTCACATTAATCACACCACTTAAGTAACACAGCAGACGATCGAATCCCAGGCCGAATCCGCCATGCGGTACACTGCCATACCTTCGCAGATCCTGATACCACTCTAATCCACTTCCATTGACGCTCTTAGCTTTCATAGTAGCTTGTAATTCCGCCAGTCGATGTTCACGCATCGATCCACCCACGAGTTCGCAGAGGTCCGGGACCAGGAGGTCGAAACATGCGGCTGTGTTTGATGTGCCTTTTGTGTTGATTGTTGACAGGGACGGGGACATGTAGAAGGGCTTTTGAGCAATAGGATAGTCGGTGACGAAGACTGGGGTTGTGTTCCGGCCGATCGTAGTGGCGAGGTAGCGTTCGTGCTCGGCTTGTAGGCCGTTCTCGTATGTCGGGTCGAAGGCGAACTTCACAGTACCGTTTTGTTGTGCTTTCTGTAGATGGTCGATGGCTTCTGCGTAGGCGATGCGAGGCCAATTGCCTTCAGCCATGCCTACCCATCGCTGCCGCAGCGTTGCCGTCGTAATCTCGCTCAGCGTTTCGTCGCCAGTCTGCTCGGACGAAGATCTCGCCTTGAGCAGCTCCTCACCGGTCCTCGAACCAAGCAAGTCTTGAGCCGTAGCTGCGAGCATCTTTTGCACTACATCCATGATATCGTTCAAGTCATCAGTAAAGCACATCTCAGCTTCCAGCATGTAGAATTCAGCTAGATGCCTGGGAGTATCACTCTTTTCGGCTCGGAAAGTGGGAGATAATGTCCAGACTTTGTCTACTGCTAATGCTAGGGCTTCCAAGTGCAGTTGGGACGACACGGTGAGGTACTTTGGTGTACGGAAGAAGTGCTCTACCTCAGCATTGTCTCCAGGTTTCGTCTCCTTGACGGAGTCCTTGGAGTCGTTTGAAGAGACGGTGAATACCTCACCACCGCCTTCACAATCAGAGGAAGTGATGGTTGGCGTGTGGCACTGCACAAATCCCTGCTTGTTGAAGTGGGAGGTGATACTAGCTATGACTTGTGATCTCAGATGTAATAGTAACGCATTGGCCGGGATCCGTGGTCGTAGGTGAGGTATCGTTCGCAAGTACTCCGGTGTCTGAGATTTTGGTTGCAGGGGATTGTGCTCTGGGTCATTCTCGCCCAGGGCTTTGACGCCTGTGACTTGAAGTTCATGGCTCTGTTTGCTGCCTTGAGAAGCTTGCCATGAGCCTGTCAATCGGACGGCTGCTCCAACGGAAAGTCTTGATGGTAATCAGCATTGTTCGCTCGAGTAGTATATGAGACTTCTTACTGTGCGGCATCGTCTGGTTTCAACACCGCCTGTAGCGGATCAAGGCTCGAGCCATCACCCAGTGCCACGAAGGCGACCTTCTTCTGTCGTCTCACGTTGCGTACCCATCCATATACATCCACATCATTGACCTCGCCACCAGGTTTAGTCAGTAGCTGCGCAACACTAACGCGTGTCAGCAGTGAGGCCGAGGAGCTGAATGTCCGTCTGGCTTCAAGGCTTCGAAGGCGGCGCTGGAGACAAAACCATCTTCGCATTGCCCGCTGCTGGACTTCCCAATTGCTAGATTCGCTCTCGATGGTCGTCGCAATGGATACCTGTTGAAGATATAGGTCCAATCTCGAAGAGGAAAGGAGACCATCTTAGTCACCTACCCTGGTTGTGGCGCAGGGGTTGTCGACGAGGGGATGCTCGGTGCTACGTCACATGCAAGAGTGGACTCCGCGAGGCTCAGCAACTACGGTTCAGATCTTCCGCAAGGTTTCCGGCTGATCAACAAGCGATTGTTTGCTCTTGCGCGTATCCTCACTTTCTCTACCCACTCTAGGGTATGGTGCGGGTTGGAAAGCAGACAGCAACATGCTACGCAAAGCACAGCCAGCCAACTCGATGCAGAAGACATACGATGAATGTTATCTAATCTGCTCCACCGCCATATATTTCGAGGGCCAGGTACGTAAAGTCATGCGCCATGGTTAAGCGTTATCTGTATGCGTCGTGGGTTGCTGACGAGGTCACTGGCAGAACAACGAAGCCGAGGCGCTGCGATCATGGCGCAATGCTCTGGACCAGATCTACTATCACAATGCATACAGGATTCCCTCGGGCTTTATCCCAAGGACGGAGACGGAGAAAGCACTACAGGACTCTTTGCGAGCGATGGAACTGCAGTGTAAAGAGCGAGTGGACCTCTTAGACACTTTACGCCAGAGCAGACTGGAGGCTGAGCAGGAAGCAAAGGGTAATGGGGATGCTCCTTCCAAAAGCAAAGAGTTGCTATTGTCAGTGAAGGCGTCACCGAAGCCTCGTCAGACAGCCTCATCAAGCGCTGCGGGGTCTGGTCCTTCATGGCTCGGCGATGACACAGTCCCGCAGGCGAGCTATGCTGATATCCCGCGACCAACACCACCACCACCACCAGAGCGACGTCCTGTGCGGCCCACACGACCCTCGTATGTGAGCAATAGAAGTTCGGACAACGAGACACCGCGGACTATGAGTCTGCAGTCGATCAACTCTCCAGGCCTGACACCGCCTTCAGCTCAGCAAGCACGTGGTAGGACACCGAGCCCGGAGAAGAAGGCGGGCGGAATGCTCAAGACACTGCGCTCGAACCCGAAAGAGCGGGCCTCCTCATCCTCTCGTATGAACGCCACACTACGGACGCGACCACCGCCGGCTGCTGCAAAGGCCGCGACACAATCATGGGGTCAGCCACAGAAACCGAGTGGTGGCAGCACAGGAAGTGGCATGCTCCCGCCACCATCACCTTCCGCAACTACTTGGGATCCATATACAAGATCACTGGTCGAGCGACCAGCCAAGCAGGACCCTGTGACCGATCGTCGCGCGTCTGACAACTCTTTCATTCGACCACCAAGCCCATTGGACTATCTTAGGCCTCAGCACAGCAATCCCTCGCTTGAGAATATTGGAAGGACTGGAAGCTATCCGGCACCGTATCCTGAATATCCTGCCATGTACCCAAACTCGCGACCAAACTTCAACCATAGCGATGAGTCTCTGGAAACGGTCAAGCCATCGCAACCCCCTCCTCCGCCACCTCATCGTGCGCAGCCGCCCCTGCCGCCGCCGACAACAGAACAATTCAAGTCTGCGGCCCCATCTTCGCTACAGCAGCTCGGTCAGACATCATTATCATATATGAAGGAGTACCCGAATCATCCACCACTGAAGCCACAGCGACCAGCAGCTGTTCCGACTCGCCCTAGTGATCGTGCAGACCGTACTTCTGATTCAGACAATACTGCCCGACTTGCTTCGCCAAGGACTGTACAATCGCAGTCGAAACCTATTATACCACGCAAGGCCGTCACGCGAGCAGTCGGTGTGGCGAGCGCGACCGCCCAACGACAGAAACTGGACACTACGCAATCACGACTCGAGGATCGCACAGCAACCGATACACAACCAAGTAGAAGCTATCAAAGCAGTAGCCCCGAACCACTAGGTAAGCGCCCTTCGAAGCGGAAAGGCGCAGCTAAACCGACTTCCTCACGGCACCTCACTCCACCCAGCAGCGCCGATGACGATCAGTCACCGGACTCGGATCATCCTTCCACGCCTACTGAACAACAAGTATGGGACAAGAAAGTGAAGCAGATCATGAAGGACCTACCGAAAGGCGTGGACGAAGCAGCCGCAAAACAGATATTCAACGACATTGTAATTCAGGGCGACGAAGTCCACTGGGCAGACGTTGCTGGACTGGAGATAGCCAAGTCTGCTCTGAAAGAGACAGTAGTTTACCCGTTCCTCCGCCCGGATTTGTTCCTGGGTCTGCGGGAACCAGCTCGCGGCATGCTTCTCTTTGGTCCACCAGGTACTGGAAAGACTATGCTTGCTCGCGCTGTGGCGACTGAGTCGAAGAGTGTGTTCTTTGCCATTTCGGCTAGTAGCCTGACGTCCAAGTACTTGGGCGAGAGCGAGAAGCTCGTACGTGCTTTGTTCTCACTTGCCAAGAGACTGGCACCTAGTATCATCTTCGTGGACGAGATCGACTCTCTGCTCGGTGCACGTGGTGGTGGAAGCGAACACGAAGCTACGAGACGCATCAAGACCGAGTTCTTGATTCAGTGGAGCGATCTGCAGAAAGCTGCAGCTGGGAGAGAAGATAAAAGTGGTGACGCGACACGAGTACTAGTTTTGGCAGCGACGAACCTACCTTGGGCGATCGATGAGGCAGCTCGAAGACGTTTCGTAAGAAGACAGTATATCCCTCTCCCCGAAGACTGGGTGCGAGAACAGCAACTTCGAAATCTGCTTGCAGCGCAAAAGCACAGTCTACGCGACAGCGACCTCAACGTCTTAGTCCAGCTCACGGATGGTTATAGCGGCTCTGATATCACGGCCTTGGCCAAGGATGCTGCGATGGGCCCGCTGAGGAGTCTGGGAGAACGACTGCTGCATATGAGTCCGGAGGATATCAGGCCGATTGGTATGGGTGACTTTGAGGCGAGTCTGGTCAATATTAGACCTAGTGTCAATTCGGCGGGGTTGAAGCAGTTTGAGGATTGGGCTACTGAGTTTGGGGAGAGAGGTGGTTGATTGTTGTTGTACGAGAATCATGACTCATTACTCTTGCACTATTTAAACCACGGCTGCCCGCGGCCACTCACATCTTTCTCTGCTCCCAAGATGCGTACTTGGTCACTGTACGATAGAGTCAGTCTCCGTCCTGTAGCGCATACGCAGTGATAACAATACGGTGAAACTGTTTGGCGGCTGTTGCGACGCATCGAAGGTGCCGCCAGAACTGGTTGAGCCAACTCTGGTATTGCAGATGTTGCCAACGCCAATCATCCACGACGTGTGCTGAAGTGGAGGAAAAGGCTTTCGTCATCGGAGACGTCGAAGTGTTTCTCTCTAATTCTTGGGCATGTCTGGGAGATTTTGCTACACGAGTGGGTGTTCAAGCCCATTAGACGGCCTAAGGGCAGGGGATGGCGGTATACGAGACGGTAGAGAGTGCTGGCAATTCCTACACCGACAGCGTGCTGGTGAAGGCTTGATGTTGAGAGGATCGAGTGATGGTAATTTACATGCACTGGACGCTATCGATTGGTAGAGAGCAGCCTCCTAGTAATGACTCAAGGCTGCAGGCATACTGTGTACGCTTTGACGAGGATGTCGATGGGCTTGCTCGATTTGAGCATTATCACAGCACATCGTAGCCGTCGCAGAGAAATGACCTTCTTCATGCTTAGATCAGGCGTTTCCGTGGCAGAAGCGCTGTGATGACCGATGCGTTGTCGCATGCAGAGCTGCTCGGACGCTTCACATGGTCCTGCAATCATCCCTCCTGGCAAGCTTCTCCGGCGTGCTTTCAACCGCCACATACTTCCTCTTCGGACCAGGACGTCGCTCCACCAACATATCAACGTCATGCTCCGACAGACTGGTCACATCAATTGCCCTGTCAGCCCGTCCAGACTCAGAAACTCTTCGACCGCCCGCTCCATCTCCCGCTCCTCCATTACCGAGCTCATGGGCATGATGTCGCTTGTGATCGGCGTCAGAGTCATCAACGCTGCGTTGTCAAAGCCATCAGCATTCTCATAGCAAGGAAGTAAAAAGGGAGAAGAAGAGTCCAGATCCACCCCGAGAGCACGCAGCTGATCGTCCCGGCTCTACCAATCGGCATCAGCCACTTGCCTCGAATTATCCCATGACTTCTCACCACCCTCCTGGACCATCGCCATATTCACTGTGCCATCTGCTGGCGCTTCAGCGGCTTTCGGATTCCATGCCTTCGGATCAGACGTCTCCATAGCGTCGACCTTGATCTCCTCCGCCGCCCATGCCTGCCCAGGCACGACTTCCCCCGGCTCTCGACACAGCGGCTGCACGAGTTGCTCCTTCTCGTCGTCCCGGACATAAACCATATAGGTGGGTGTGCCCTGGGTGAAGCCCTGCGCCTCGAAGATCTGCTTGAGGTCAGACTTCGGCACTTCTGAGACCGTTTCGTCGTTGTAGGTGCGCCAGATGTCGTTGGTGAAGTCGTGGATGCACACCCAGTAGTGCCCTCCACTCGTATTACCGCGGTGGAAGAAAACGACAGCAAGGCGATATTTTATCTTCTTTGCATCCTCAAATTGTGGTGCAAGGAGACCTTTGAGGTCGTCAATCTCGGCGTCGATCTTCTTCAGGCGTGTAGCTTGCTCGGCTGCAGCTGTGCTAAGGTGGACGGCGAGGTTTGTGGCGATGTCAAGAGGTGCGGCATCGATGTCAGCGAGGTCCTTGTCAATGTCTTCGATGCTCTCGAGAAACCTGCTAGCCTCTGCCATAGCTGAGACACTGTTGAGATCCAGTGCTGGTGAAGCGGAAGTGAGCTCCTTCTTCTCCTTCTCCAGCGCACGGAGCTGCTTTCGCCAGCCCCAGCACTTCTTGCGGGTCGCCAGAATATTGGGGTCGCTGTCATCGCAGTACCGATCAAGGTAGAGCTCATCCACCAGTCGCATGGTGGCATCGTACTTCTTGGCCGCTTGCGTCTTAGCATCCCAGTTGATACGCGGGCTTTTGATCTGCAGAATCTGGGGGAGTGGCTGCATTAGGGAGCTATACACGCTCGCACCGGGCTTTGTGTTTGAAGGCTGGGGATCAAGAATCTCGTCGAGGGCCGAGTATATGTCGGTATCAGCTAATGGGACATTGAGCGCAAGATCAGGTTCGGGACGCAGCATTGGCTTATCGGACGTGCCGTCCCTGTTGAATGTCGTGTTATTGATCGCAATGGTATACAGGGCGCGCAGAACATCCTGCTGTTCGTCGTTCGCGTCTGCACCGTCTACTCGTAGCCCAGCACGCAAACGTTGTGTGGCATTATCGTGCACTTCGGATACATCCTGCTGCATTGCTGCCTTCGCCTCGGCCTTCGATAGCGCAGTATCAGATGCCTTCTCGAGTTGCGCATTTGTGAAACGTCGGCGCGGAGGCAAGGGCGGTTTGCCAGCCACAAGCTCGATTTCGTCGGCGGCCTTGTCGACAGGGGACAGTGGAGGTGTAGGTGGCGCCGCTCCACTGTTGGACATGGGTGCATCATCGTCACCATTGGCAGAGGCCTGCAGCGTAATACTACTCGCATCTGATTCTTTTCGCATTTTATTCGTGCCGTCATCGCCGTTGGTGGGTGGCTGATTCTGTGACTGTGACAGTGTACCCTCCGCGCCTTTTGTGCTGCTCGGCTTCTCCCACACAATCTCCTCGTCCATGGCGCTAGAAGGTAGCTGGTCGTACTGCTCTGCTTCCAGGAAAGCTCGGCTCACCATGTCCTTCTCTGGCTTCACCTCCATGCTGGGCTCGGCGATCATGCGCTGGAAGAGACTCTGCAGATCCTTTGCAAATCTCTGACCAGCCTTGATCTCTTGCGCAGATATCATTCTACCTCCTACCCTGTGCCTCTTCTCGTGTATCTCCTTGAGGTCAAGCTTGTACTTTCCATAGTCGAGAATGATTTTCCGGAAAGGCTTGATGCAGAAGTAGTACTGTAATAGACTGTTGAGATAGCAAGTATTGCCATGGCTCTTGAGTCCAACAGGCCATGTCGCGGGCGCGTGGTGTTGCATCGTCGTGGTTTGTGTGTACCCGGAGCTACTGCCCAATGCTTGCTCGATAGTCTTGATGGCCTTCTCGGTCTGCTCGCCAGGCTTATCATCTCTAGCTGATGCGATCTGAAGTTGAAGCATGTCCTTGTCCACCTTGTCGAGTGACTGTTCGATCCCAAGGTGGCGTAGAGCTTCGTCCACACTCATGCTTGTCCCGTCGCTCCGTCCAGTCAGTAGCCAGTCGTTCATGCTGTTGCTATTTCGCTTGCGGGCAATGATGGAGATCGCCTTCTTCGTGGTTTCGCTATCTGACGGAGTATCCATCTACAAACATGGTCAGTACACTCGACCACTCGGCAAGTATGATGAGGACGCACTTTGGTAGCGGCGATCACCAGAATGATGTCGTCGGGCGTGCCTTCATTCACATCGTTACCAAGCCACGCGATGGCATCTTCGTACGTCTCCACAGTCTGCTGCGAGGCGTTCATGAGCATCTTGCTGTCGCGATGTTGACCGATCTTGTAAAGGGCTTGCCGCAACTCCGCCGCCGTCGCCGGGCTCACGTTTGCTTGTCTTGCTTGGAAGCTCGACAGGATGTGCTGCTCGGACACGATTTGCTCTCCCGTTGGTCGTTGCAAACCCAGGCTGAGATACGCGGCAGCCAAGTCTCTGCGGCTGACGAGACCTTCTGATTGCAGCAGAACAACTTTCGTTTGTAGTTGCTCGGTATGTCTGCTTTCGCTGATGATCTGCAAACACTCGTAGTAGTAAGCTTGGCGCTCTGGGTCGCAATCTAGCTGTCGGTCGAATGCAAATTCTATCAAGGAGTCGGAAAAGTCAGGCAACACGCCCAAGCTTGCGAAGTATCTGCAAGCATTAGCATTGTGGATGCGTGGAGTGAGGTTGACGGTGTTACGAACGGAAGCTCCTCGTTTGCCGTGTTTGGTCGACGGAGAGAACTGTGGCGTTGATCTGCGCAAGTGTGCGTTAGCTTAGCGTCGCATTTTCTACAACGTCCAAAGAACATACAGCCTTGTGCAGCAAGCGTTCGCTCTAGATCGCGGTTTGACGAAGGCCAGCCCTCTGCTGCTGCTGGATTCATGGAACCTGTATCCGCTGCAGTCTTGTACATCAGAGCCGTAAGTTCGCAAACGACGTCCTCCAACAATTCGCGCTGACTGCCGCCGTCGGCCTGTGATCGATCGTCAATCTCAGGAGGATTTGGCAGGGTCCACTCCGCGTCCTAACAAGCATTAGTCCTCGACCAACGCACCGTGCCCTTCTGAGCAAGCTTACTGCGTACTTGAAGCCCAATCTCGTGAGCAGCTCCATGCAATCCTCGCCACGCACTCCGAAGGCCTCCATGAAACGTTTGTTATTCGCTGGAAAGGCTCGTTTTGTATGGGTTGGACTCAAAGAGTCTGAGATGTACTTTCGCAGCCGCGACAAAGCCTCCATCGGCGTCGCCTGTCTTAATCCATCTCTGTTGTGATCTTGATTGACCGTCGCCTCATATCGTCTCTTGAGCTGCTCGGTGTCTGTGAGCAAGATCCTCTCCTGCTCCGACAATCTCGGGATTGTGTAGACGACGGCGAGATGGGCCTCGCATTGTGAAGCTGAGCACTGCCAAGCATACTTGATTTGCGAGTCGTTGTTATCGTCCTCGTATGGTTGGCGTTGGAAATGGTGTAACGGATGATCTGCGTTGGGACAAGGGTTGGTCGCACGAGCGAAGTTCATGAATATGACGGCATGTAATCTACATTTCTTGCAGACTGCTGCAAGCTTGTACTGCGTGGTGCCATCCGGTCGAAGATCTAGTGGTGGAAGAACGCTTTGCACATGCTTGGTGAAGTATTCATGTTTGCAGCCATCTGACCAAGATAGTAGAGGACCTTCTCCGACCGGCGGAGAGTGATCGGCGAGAAGGTTACGGCCTGGTGCTGATCGGAATGGGTCGAAGTTGAGAAAGTCATCGCAGAGTTTCGGTGCTGTCTTCCCTGGGCCTGTCGATGGACCTGACATGGCCTAGGGTGTCGCTAATCGTGTATGGAAGCCACAGTGATTGGATCGTGATCGACGTATCGTGATACGTAGCACTACTTGCGATCGTTCAGTCGTGTTGTGACTCGTTAGACAAGAAGGCAACTTGAGTCTGTTGGCAGGCGACCATAGTTTCGTCAGATCTCTTTGATTGCCTGTGCCAAACCTAGAGCTGGGACATTCTGCGCCACATCTGCCACGAGCGCCCTAACACTAGCGACTGCGCTCCGAGCCGAGATCCGAGAATCCGGTCCTCAGGGACGAGCTCGCGAGATCATAGCAGCAGTATATCTGGCTTGCTCTACTCGCACATTCTGTCATAGGCCACAATGGCAGAAGATCACCCACCCCAGCAGGACCAGGTCGAGGGGATTTACCAACCAAAGGATGCTGTCTCGGCCACGATCAAAGCCGCACTCGTCACTGGTTCAGCAGGAGCCTTCATATCGACCATCCAGAATGTCCTTACCAAGACCAATTACGGTGCCTGGGGCGCGGTGAACAAGTTCGGAAGCACCACAGCCCTTTTCAGTACGATCAGACGGCACTCTAGGGCCATGGAACACGTGCTAATGACTGTATGACAGCTGCCATGGGAGGAGCATACGAGTTCACCAAGAACGCTTCTGCGAACCTGAGAGAAAAGGATGATGCATGGAACGCTGCATATGGTGGATTATCTGCCGGCACAATGATGGGACTGCGAGGTATGCGATCGATGGCGTGGCGTGGCAAGGTGGAAGGAACATGGCTAATCATAACCAGTCCGCTCGGCACCCGCAATTGTAGGCTACGGAGCAGGCCTGGCGACACTACTTTACGCTTTCTCCTTCACTGGCGGCTCCCTTGCTGGCTACCAACACGACCCTGAGGTAGATGAGGTCACGAGGAAAGAGTACCTGAGGAAGAACAGGCGCAGGCCAGTAGAGGACACGGTCATGGAGGTTGGTGAGGGCCGAGGTATGCTCTCCAATCCACAGCACAACATTAAAGTTCGTCTTGCTAACTATGCATAGGTGTATACGCGCCAGGCTACGAAGAGAGACGAGCACAGCGCATAAAGGAGGCTTATGGCATTGATGTGCCGCGCCGCAGCCAGGCCTCATAGATCTTGTAACATACTGTACAACTCAGATACACCCAATTTTCGACGCCACAAACTCGATAATCTTTTTCAATGGTGAGAATGTTACCACGGCTTTGCTAAATCGTCTGGATCGTGGTCCTTGGCGACCTCCTGGTGCAACGACAAGGCTAGAAAGTGCTCAGACTCCTACACGTACCTTGCAGCAGCGCGATAATGGAGGAGGCCTTCCAGCTCACTGATCGGCAGGCTTCTATTCCAGAATGGAATTAATGTCGCCTTGGGTATTATGTGCCCGGCTAGACCCGCCACGGCTGCATGGCCCCGCACTTGCTTCTGCGAGGCATCTAGCCCCCAAAGACATTGATTCCAGCCTCGCTATCACAACAAAATAACATCAACGTGCGAGATTTAATTGAGCATTGTCACGACGCCCTTGAACGAAAGCAGTAGTACTTGGCATAATCATCCAGTCCACCGGAAGGCTCATAGCTGGAAACAGGACTTTTCAAGAATCGTATTTGGACGTAAACGACAATCCTCGAAGTGCGAGTGACACTTGGGGTAGCTTCACGCGTCCGAACAGCACCTCATATAGACAAGCAATGGCTTCCACAACGGCACAGAACACTGCTCGACGGCAAGGCTTCCCGGAGCTCACGCCAGCGATCACAAATGCAGAAAAGTTCTTCAGCTTCTTCCAGCATGCTGTCACAGGTAGCAATCCAGATACTCGGTCTTCGTACAGCCACTAATCGATACCGCAGATCTTCAAGAGCAGATGGAAGCTTTGCAAAGCCACGGCACGTCGGGTGGCGAGCGAGCAGACGCCATCGAACATTGCCAAGCAAGCATCACTCGTCTCTCGGATGCAGTCAAGGATGCTCAAACGATGATACCAGCTTACGATCAACGAACATATGGCGAAGCGATCAAGGCTCTGTCGACAAAACTCCAAGGTATCAAGGAGACGCTCGCACCACGACCAAAATTCGCATTCAAATCAGGACTGGCCTTCAGTCAAAAGAAGAACGCTTCAGCAATCAGTCTAAATGATGCAGCAGAGCTCGCCGAGCAAAGACGACGATGCGTTCCGGGCTATGTGCCAGCGTCGTCGAACGAGTCGAGTATAGCCACTACACCAGCACACTTGCGCTCACCCGCCCCAGAATTGGCAGATGACCCAGTGCAAAACGAACCGGGCGCAAGCAGATCGATACCAGACACAACCCGCATCCGCCAACCGTCGTTCTCCCAGAGCACATCAGTGAAGCTTGACAACCACGAGGGCCTACACATCATCCTCCCGCCTTCAGCCAGCCACGCCACAAGCTCCGGCACACTCTCGAATCTTCATCGCTGCGTAATAGATCTCAGCTCACCAACACAACTCGCGCACCCGTTCGCCGGCCTCACCCTGAAGAACATCTCGAGCTCGCTAATAATCTGCGGTCGTGTAAGCGGCGCAATTCATCTTACCAATATCACAAACTCCGTCATCGTAGTAGCGAGCAGGCAATACCGTATGCACGAATCCCGGAATTGCCACATCTATCTCCACACGTTTAGTCGGCCGATCATCGAAGACTGCAGCGCGATACACTTCGCTCCGATACCGGATATGTACCTCAGAGACGAGGACAGAGGAGCAGAGAATCAGTTTGCGATGGTGGATGACTTCAAGTGGCTGAGGCAGGAACAGAGTCCGAATTGGAGTCTACTGAATATGCGGCGTAGAGTGAGAGAGGAGGTATGGAAAGATGTCGTGAGAGGTGGGCCTGGTTTGGGGGTAGACGACGTACTAAGGGCTGTCAACTTACCTGGGTGATGCAATATCTATTGCTGCTATAGTGATGTCGAATAGTTTGGCTCTGCTGAGCTCGCCTTGCATGATGCTGAAGAGGTCTTTCCAGTGTCTTATCTGACGTTACAGGTTCTTGCAAGCCTGAGCTCACTCTCTACTGTACAACTTGGGCATGCTCGTCGTTCAAACCGTTTGGTGAGATCTATCGCACACCGCCTTCCGCCATATGCTCTACGCCTTTGCTGTGGATAGAACCATGCTGACTCGATGGTGTTGCGAGCATGTACGTGGTGTGATGAGCTACGTGCGAGTGTACCTCCGAGATCTCAGCACTCTGCATTCCTCATCGAAGCACTCCTCATGCACGGAGTTGCGATGCGTGGCGACGAAGCTGTGTCTCGCCCAGTCCGTGGTCTGTATCCTGCTTCACGAGACCGGATGCCTTGCCCTCTCGCCACAGCGCGGCTCTGTAACACCAGACAGCTTCGGTTGAACACCTCTTATTTCTCATTCTCCACCCGAATAAAGTAAGCCTTTGCAACCTCGTACGCTGACCAGCAGATCGCAGTGCTAGGCGCGGCCGTAACAACCCTAGCCTTCATCCCCCGAAAGAAGCCCTTCGTGCCCTCTCTTCTCCATATTATCTGTGCTGCAGACACTAAACCCTTGGCTCCTCTGATCTCCATATCTGAGCTCGCTCCTCTCGTCTGTAGCAAGGTCTTGACTACGTCCAAAGGCGTCGTTGCTGCTGCCGCAAAACCTCCTGCTAGTCCACCAGCTGTACAGTGTGTCAAAGGATCATATTCCGATGCTCGTCGTTTCTGCATGACCTTTGTGAGGGACTCGTATGCGGTGAATTGGAGCGCTGTGAAAGGTACTGTCATGGTCAAAGTGGTCGGGTAAGACACGTAGAAGGCGCGAAGACCCTCTGTTCGAAAGACTGTGCGGGCGCACTCGAAGTTGCTGCGGTAAGTCGAGCCATGCACTTGCATGCGCTGTTTTATCACGTCGAAAGGGTTCATAAAAGCGTCGGAGGCGATCGTCGCGCAGGCACCACTCGTTGCTGGGATCACGTGTCAGCATTCTCTTATTTTGGCCCTGGTCTCGTGACCACTCTTACCTGCTGCCAAAGGATGGTGTCCGGCGGCGTTACCACCCATCGCCTGCTTTACGATCTCGTAGGTCGCAAAATATGCGGCATGTGCGGGTCCTGGTACACATATTCAGCTCGCCACTCCGCAGACCGCTCTTATATCCGCCACTTTTACTAACCTGCGCCCACTATCATACTCGAAAGCCCCCGCCATAATGACATGTAACCCTCGACTCTTGAAATCGTTGCTATCGCATTTCCGATACCGCTGTACATTGCTGCTGGGTTCGAGTTGACGACTTGCATTCGTGTCCGTGCGTTGCTTGTCAGCCATTGTTTGCCAGAACTAGATGTACGGGCTGGCCCACCTTGAGCAAATCGATCGGGTACATGACTGAGTGTTCCTACGTCTGTATCAGTTGCTGAGCCATGGTATTGCTTCGGATATCCCATACCGCAATCCCGGCAAAGGCGCCGGCGACCATATTCGCTGCCAGCGAGAAGTTCGGTGGTAAGGACTCATAGCTAGACCATCCATCAGCATCGCCGCCATCTTCGTAATCACTCCTTTGACTTGATCCCGTCCCGTCGTGAACGTACTCGTAATCCTCTGGTGGCTCAACAACCAGGTGTTTTTCCCGTGCAGCCATATGCCCCGACTGGGCCCCTACTATCGTGTCCACTGTTGCCCTTGAATCCACGGCAGACATACGCACGCTCGTTCTCCGTCGAGCAGTCACAGTGATGTAAGATGCCGCGCTCGATGCCTGTGTATATGGCTATTTCCTTCGTGTCTCGCAGAAGGTCGAATATTATCAGATCTCGAGATTGATCCGGCGCCCGAATGCTGTATCGGGCAAAGCTGACTGTGACCGAGCGCAATATTATCCTTTCCCGTCCCAAGCAATCAAATGCTACCGTCAAACAATTCTTCCTCCTCCAGCAAAGTACTCGTGAAGGACAACGCAAGGACAACGATTACACTTCCACCCTCCCAAGCATCAAACAACTTACGCCCGGAGGTCTCCAAGAACAGCCGGTCCAGTCCAGGTCCGTGCTTCAAAAGCCAAAGTCAGAAGCGCGAAAATTGGGCGGAGGCGATGTCATTTTGATGATGCTTGTTTCCAGCCCTTGGCAGTTTTCATTGAAGCTTTCGCTGTTGTGCCTCGGAGATCCTGCATCCGCGCATGCGAACATCACTTTTTGTGTCCGCTGATCTGATAACGATGGCCCGTCTTACGCTGCACAGCGGCTCGTACGAGAGCCATTACCGAGTGCGATAATGAGGTGAGCACGCAGCAGATATCACGAGGTTACGACCACATGCTGTCGACTCCAGATCCGGTCGATGTAGCCTGCACTGTGCTCGAAGATGTAGAAGCAGACAACGGCACGTGCGTACCAAACTCCTGTTCTAATAGGTGTACATCTCATGGTGTAATTCTCGCCCTCCTCATCTCATCAAAGCAGATTTTATAACCCTCCGCATGTGGCCTCTCCTCCGTGAAGCCAATACTCCGACTCGCTGTCGGATCATAATCCCGTCGGAAAGGGATACCAATAACATCCTGCATGAACTTCCAGCTCGTTGCCTCTAGCGCACCCTCTTTGAGCTGGTTCTTCGAAACCCAATTCGCCCATTCCTGCTGATGACTCTCCATCCATTCCTGCGCTGAGAAGGGCTCACGGTCTGAGTGTGGTGCCACGCCCACAAGACCGAAGTACGAACAGACTTGAGGCCAGACTTCGGACCAACTTGTTGCTGGACCGTCAACGACGTTGAAGGCTTTGCCGCTTGTTCTGTCGGGTACCAGGCTGGCGAAGATGTGGAAGCGGGCAAGGATGTCTTGGGATGTATCTGTATGTAACGCCATCCAGGCATCGTTATTTCCAGGAAAGCGAACTTCGCTACCTTCGCCTTCGACTGTCCTCCAGAGCGATAAGAAGAGGCCGAGCGCTTGTGCAATGTTCATGGCATTGTTCTGAGGCACGAAACCTACGATAGCATCGGGACGGATCTCACAGAAAGTCCAGGGTTTTGCTTCGGACGCTCGTTTCATGATGTCGTATTGTTCGTAGTAGAAGATGTTGGAGGCGTATGGTTCTGGTATGCGTGGGGTTGATTCGCTGTGTGGAGGATTGTATGGCACCTTGTCATTGAATTCGACGCCATACGCCTTTTGGTCATGTTAGCATGCTGCCGGTCCGGTATTGAATGGTCATGCTCGATCATACCTTCCCACCCGTCTGCAGAGTGAAGTACATCATATTCGGACAGCAAACCTCACATGTCCCGACCGCATTGGTAAGGATCTCGCAGTTGATGCGCTTGAGCTCTTGGTAGTCGCTGCCATGACCAGAGTAGGCTGCGAAGTAGACATGTGTGGTGTACTCTATGCCTGGAATATGCCGGATACTGAAGAGTGTCTTGTTGCGATCCGTCAAGTCAAGGTCGCTGTAAAGCTCAATCCTCTGGTCATCTGGCAGCAGAGCGACATCTTTCTTCAGCGGGCGGTTGGTCACACCGATGACTCTGGAAAAAGTGGTGGGTGTCGGGTAGGAGAGCAGTTGCTTGACTAGAGGGTAGCCTGTCTATAGTCCTGTTAGCTCGTGGTTCGATGTTGCTCCAAGCCTTAGCCAAACTTACCACGCCAGAGGCGCCGAAGACGAGAGCTTGGTAAGCTGTTCGTGGTGGTTCTTCAGCCATTGTAGCGGTACTGCAGATGATCGCAAGACAAGAGAAAGTGCAAGAGGTGGTGAGAGAAATGAGCCTTACCAACCCATGCGATATCTTTACCTTTGATTTTATCCGTCTGATCCGTCAGCGACGCTAATATGTCATAACCAGCTTTCTTGCGACTACATCTCCATTATATGATGGGACGGATACGTAGAGGTGGTGTCATGCAGGGTTGGAGCGGGGCACAATTGCAGTGTGGGTGGCGATCTTCATGTCGATGAGGAGGTCACGGAGGGTCGCGGGGGAGTCGCGCAGGGAGTCACCGGCGAGTCGCGGTACGGCTTCTTAGCGTCGGTTAGAGCCGAGCAAATCACGGTAGTAGACAAGGTTCCCGGCTAGCCTCCTACGCCTCCGTACGACTTCAACACAACTCCGTACCACGTTCACCATCTCTCTATAAGCGACAAGTGATGTCCGCATCGTTGGCGCCCGAGTGTGACGATGTCAAGGAGTCAGTAGCCATCATATCTCTGGCTGTACGGCTATTAATGCTCAAACAGGCGTTACGACTCCTGTTTTCTTAAATGGTATAGTGAGAGTACGAAGACTCTACAGTGCTATCTACGATGATATGCTGATGGTAGCAGAGTATCTACGAGGGACGGCGACTACAGACGAGTGTGAGCCGCTTTTCAAGCAATACCGGACATGCCTAAACGTATGGATCCCCGTGGTTATTGCGAAGCCACCGTTTGCTGACGGGACGAAGAAAGCACTGAAGGAACGCGGCATCGATCAGATGCTGGAAGAAGCGAAAGCTGACGTCAAAGAAAACGATGCAGAGTATATGAAGCCAATAGGGCGGTGACAAAGTAAACGGTGGATTTCTCCTTTCCGGACTATGCTAACCAATCTGCTCTAGCATGGGGAATGGAAGCATAGCGATGGCGTCTGGCGTTTTGGCATACCATACTCTACATCATCGACCACTTCATGGATTGACCAAGATCCTTTATATGTGTTTGCGACTTACTTCTGAGCAGCAAACTCGACGAAGTGTCATATATCTGGCCACCAAGATCTCCGCCCGTCGTGCTGGATAAATGCCTACTTCTCTTCCCTTCCGACTGGATATGTATATAATCTCCCTCTAAACATAATATGCTCCAGATGTTCTCCTTCTTCGCACAACATTCGGCTTCCTTGCCTGGCTGCTTGAGCATCAATTCACTACAAGACATCATCGACTACAGCGATGGCCGGAGGCGGCGCTCGTAAAGCTTTTGCGCGCAAGCCAGACAAAGCCGGTGCATCGTTTCGATACTGTGACTGGAGCAGGGCCTCAAGACGGTAGTGAATACTGCAAAATCATTCAACGTCACGCGTCGCCTGTCTGCAAACACAAGGAGCCTATTCCGCCACACTACATGTATCTTCGCTCGCGGATCTAGTATCTGTTCACTTTCCACATCGCTCTCTGCGACGGCCCAGCTTGATATTCTTGGCCAAACCTCTTCTGCTGACAGCACATCCTCGCACGAAGCTCCATCGTTGGACACAAAGCTTTGGTACTACGTCCCGAGAACATGAAGCCCTTCAGCTGGGCCATGGTGTGCAGGGAGCCGTCTGGTGATAAGGTATATTGGGCAGATTTAGTCACTTTATGGGACATGGCTGACTAGCTACCACTAGATTGTGCAGGCAGGAGAGGACGAATGGATTACTCAAAAGAAAGCTACGACCACTGGCGTAAAGGTAGGCTCTACATGCTCGATTATCTGCTGGCTGACAATACATTTCATACTGACCATGCGCGCAGATAGTTAAATATGATGGCGTCTGGATGATCGAGTCCTACGCCACCATCCTTCGGGAGGAGAGGCTTGTGTTGGCTCGAGTGAAGAAGGCATCTGATCTCAATCTCAAGTGTGGCATCTTCCGCCTACCACTCGAGCTTCGTCTGTCCATCTACGACCTCGCTGTCGAGGCGCACAAGCTCCGAGTCTTCCTTCGAGGTCAATATGGACAACCCACCGGCATCACCCTCCCCGAAGTGGCGTATACCAGCAAGCAGGTCCGCACTGTGTTCCTTCTCCGCCAATCGGAAACCACCGCATTTAGCGTTGAGAACGGCCCAGGTAATGCAGCTTTTCAGGAGTGGCTCGCCAGTGTGGACTTCTCCAGTGTCTCAAACAACTACAAGAACGGCTTCGACGCAATCAAGGCGTTGACCTTCCCTTTCTTCTCCCGATTCCCGCTCTGGGTAGTCCCAATACACAAACCAAACAGCAACGTGCAGCTGATGGAGCGCTGCAAAACCCTGAAGACTGTTTCTATGGGCTGGGCGAGTGTCACGCTTTTCAACATCAATACTGGAGCTGGAAAGACCATGGATCAGTTGAGGGCTGAGTATCGTATCGATGGGCTCCTACAGCTGAAGAATTTGGAGACGATCACTCTGGTTGGGTTTGGTATGAGTGCTTCAGCATCACCCCAGCTACAGGCGCTTGCAGACTGGTTGAAAAGCAACTGGAGTGGTCACCCTGAGCGTGAGCTCGAAGTGGTGTTGTTGTTGTAGATGGATATGGCAAGTTCGAGATTTTTGAGTCTAGAGCGAAAAGGGTCATAAGTCTCTTCGAGTTATGGGGATCGTTTAGATTGTAGGATTATAGCTTCAGGTCGTTCCGCGACGAATGTAGGCGATGCTCAAGCACGCTTTATGTGTGTGTTGTTCGCGGTCCAAGCAGTATAACACTGCACTTCTAGTACTGCAGTTCCAAACCAGAATAGTATTCGCAGCTCTAGTGTCAACGTTTAGATCTCTACCGCTGGTGTGCCGCATCCGAACTTGGATTCATTCTCTTCTGATGCCTGAGGCCTATCGTTGATCGATTGTCGATTCTCGGTTCGATCTAGTCTATCTGGGATTCTTCCTACACCGAGACCGAGAGCTTTGCCTGTCTAGTAGCACCGTATGCATATATGTAGGACAATTTAGAGTTTGAACCATGGCGCCTTGCAGCCAACATCGTCATCGCAGGATTCCCACCACACACAAGCTTGTTTGGCAGGACACGCGACAGCCGCGAAGGACGATCATGTCAACGATAAGAGCTAAGGCAGCCCTTTCACCTTTCTCTTGTAATGAAACGGTAGGTAGACAATACAGCCTACCCTGTCGCGATAAAGTATGAGCTTATAGAAAGCTTGTGACGATGAGTGAGACTATATTTGCCAATAATCCGAATCCTTTTAGCCAAGAGGAAGGCCAAGAGCACCATGGAGGCAGCGCCAACACTGCCCAGAGCACAAGCAATCAGCCACTCAGCGACCTTGAACGCCAGCAAGACGATGCTAGGAGTGCCACAGCCCTCGACTCGAAGGACACTCCAGCAGCCAATGCGCCAGAAGTTGACCAGCAGAATAGCACGAAGAAAGTAGCTTTCGCACCCCCAGAACCATCTCCCGGAACAGAAGGCCGTCCTCTAGCACCCATCACGAGCGACGAAAGCACTAGTAGCTCACACGGCCTGATCGACAAAGTCAAGACTGTTGCCGATGAGAGAGCACCACATGTTGTCGAGAAAGTCAAGTCTGCAGCCCACAAGCTCCATCTCGAAAGCATCCAGACAAGTAGTGTAAGCAGGGTTTTCAATCCAACATCTGCGAGACTACATATCAGACGACACCGGGATGGCGATTCTCTGGAAACGACGCTTTCTCGTGAGGAGCAATTAGCTCTGTTATGGCGATCGAGAGACCAGAGGAAGGGTCGAGGCTCGGTGGCGGTGCGCTCGTTTAGTGTCGACGACGTCAAGCAATCTCACACATCACCTCGGAAGCAAGGTCGGGCGACACGAGTAACGAAGGGTATCATCCGCATGTTCACCATATTTCCATACTGGGATATGGCTTTCTGGAGCGGCTGGTCATATACAATTGGATCTGCGCTGTTCGTGATCGACGGCGCCTTTTCATGGTCTATCCTGGCATTCCCATATACCGAATTCGAAGGAGAGGAGAAGTACGGCGTTCCACTGTGCTTCTTCTTCGGAGCACTATTCTACCAAGTCGGAGCCGTAATGGCATATCTCGAAGCTGTGAATGACGGCTCTTTCCATGGCTCAGCCATGCGAAGGGTACTTGAAGGCCACGACAAAGAGCAGAAGGAGATGCTGGACGATAAACTGCACGACTTCGTCCATCATATGGTTCCTCATCATCGCTCTAAAGGACGGCAAAGTAAGGCCGATCAAGCTGCAGATCAAGTCGACCCAGAAGCCGGCTGGGCAACCAAAGAAGGCTTCGAACGGCCAGGTTCAATATACCCCGATGGCAAAGCACCAGCTTCCAGACGAGGCGGTGTGGACTTTGGCGGCGAGGAGGAAGAAGGAACGTCGAGCGAATACGCTACATGGCGCTGGTGGCCGACATGGCATGCGCTCAAAACTCACCACGTCTACGAGATTGGCTATGTGGCGACAGCCATACAGTTGTTCGGTGTCACTTTGTACGGGATCACATCGATTGTGATTCTGCCAGGTATACTCGATAGCCTGAACTGGTGGCAGACGGATGGAGCGTACTGGGTACCGCAGATAGTGGCAGCTGCCTGTTTCCTGATCGCCAGTCTGATGTTCATGTTCGAGACGCAGGAGAAGTGGTGGAAACCTGAGGTGAAGGTGCTGGGGTGGTGGATCGGTTTCTGGTCGACCGTAGGATCTGTAGGCTTCGAGTGAGTACTACGAGTACATAACAATGGGTTGTGCTGATAATGATGGCAGGCTCTGTGCGGGTTTCGGTCCAGCAGGAATTACAGTGACAGGATACGAGTATCAGAGCTCGCTTTCTAGCACATGGGGCTCTGCTGCGTATCTGATCGGCAGTATGCTGCAGTGGTACGAAGCAGTCAACAAGCATCCAGAGCAAGAGTGGGATGAGCCGGGTGAAATGAAGACTTGGCAGATACATCCTTTATGATTTATAAATATGATACGCCAACCTATGCAGGCCAAAGTCTGTGCGCCGACCAATGCAAAAACATACCCGATGAGCCAGATCCAGGAACGACTGTGGCGCGAACAAATTCAGTCGGGTAATGCTCAAACTACGAAGCCATCGAGGGCATGGTAGTTGAACTTCGCCTGACAAATATCATAGTTGAACGAATCCTCTTCGACACTCGACGCCGGATTCATCAAATCCAAAGACAACTGCTGCAACGCCACAATAGCGTTCTGTAGGTACGCGATAGCCTGCGTATTTCCGCTAGCGACTGTAGCCTGGTAGGGGCCACAGTGCTCAGCACCTTGGACTCCGTTGCTAAGAACACCGATTTGTGTCGTGCCGAGGGCATAGTTGGTGGCAAAGCCGGTGCTGTTGGATTGGACAATGTCGTTGGTGAGGTTGATGATGGTGAGCTCGAGGTCGCGGATCTGCATTTGAGGGACGTTGTAGTTTGCTGCGCCGTTCCTGGCTTGTATGATACTGGCGGGGGCCGCTATGGTAGCTGTGGCTGAAGCCAGGGTGAAGATGGTGGAAAGCATGATTTTGATGTCTGAAGATGTTTTGCTATACAAGCTGAGGTTCCAAGACATAGGATTGTGAGGTGATCGCTGAGGAGATGAAGTGCACGACTACACTTACGCCAGCGGTGTACATATATACTGCTCAGAGGTATACTAGGTGGGCGGAAGCGTGTGGTAATCAACAATAGAACCTTCGAATGCTGATTTTGTCATTCGGAGACATTCTTTCTTATCGTGGAGTTGGAGAAACGTCTGAGTGGCCTAGATCGTGGTCATGGACCCATTGCACGAGTGATAGGTTGCAGCGGCGGTGGATGGAGTAAGCAGCAAATGCGCCTAGGCTAGTGTATGTACTACAGGAGGTGCAGTGAGCAAGGTGGCGAGTCATCATGCTCAATTGCGAGAGAATGTGTCCGGACAATGACGGTACAGTAGCCTGTTCTCATGATGTTGTTGTGACAAGAGATGTTGGATTGATGTGAAGTGAAGTCTTGGTGGGGCTAAGGACGTTGGCAGTTCAGCGGCCGAGAATATGGTTACGTCAATTAATAATGATCTGGTCAACAATCCATCTCTCATCCACTTTCTGCTGACCAGAAGGAGTTTGAGGTAGCTGCAACATGCCTACAACTGAAGGAGCCCCCGGCCATGGCAATGTGGCCCATCTACTTCCACCCTCGTGGAAGCGTAGCGTGACAGCGTGGCTCGACGAGGATACTCCATCCTTCGACTATGGAGGATTCGTCGTCGGCGAGTCACCTGCGGAAGCTCGATTGCTAGCAAAATCCCAGGGTGTCCTTGCTGGCGTCCCATTTTTCGATGAGGTCTTCCGGCAGCTCGACTGCACGGTCGAGTGGCGTGCCAAGGAAGGCGATGAGGTAGGGAAGCAGAAGGGTGAGAAGCAGCATGTTGCAACAGTACGAGGGCCGACTAGGAATGTGCTTCTTGGTGAACGTGTGGCACTCAATCTGCTGGCGAGATGTTCGGGCATAGCGACGAAGAGTGCGGGTCTACTGGGCCTGCTACGGAATGCTGGATACAAGAACACTTTGGCAGGCACGAGGAAGACGACACCAGGCTTTAGACTGGTAGAGAAGTATGGCATGCTAGTGGGAGGATGCGATCCGCATAGACAAGATCTGAGCGCTATGACAATGCTCAAGGACAATCACATCTGGGCTTGTGGCGGCAGCATCCCAACAGCAGTCAAGGCAGCCAAAGCAGCAGGAGGATTTGCAGTCAAGGTCGAGGTGGAATGCCAATCTGAACAAGAAGCTGATGCAGCCATCGAGGCTGGTGCGGATGTGGTCATGCTAGACAACTTCACCCCCGAAGGTGTACGGAAGGCGAGTAAGAGTCTGAAGGAGCGATGGGGACGAGATAGATACCTGATTGAGGTATCAGGTGGATTGACGGAGGAGAACGTGGCTGACTATGTGTGTGATGACATTGACGTTATAAGCTCGTCGAGTATCCATCAGGGTACGAAGCACGTTGACTTCTCGCTGAAGGTCGTGCCGAAGGAAAAAGACGCGAATGGGAAGCTCGGCGGTGACGAGAGCAAGGACGTGTGAATGGGGATCCATTAGGTCTGGCGTGGAATTCAGTGAATGTCAAGTGAAGGCGAAGCGTGATTGCACATTGACCGGCCACCACGCGAGACATAAAAGCTGATCACGAGATACACTTTTCAAGAACCTGCCACGTTCTTACTTACTCGTATTACATTCTGGTCGAACCTGTGGCCACCACCGCATTGTTTTAAGACACTCGATAAGATGCCATTCGCGTTCAACGGTCAGCCGCCTGCTCTGCAGCAGAACAACAACAACACCTCTTCGCCCTTCACGTCCTTCACTCCCACAGGGCAATCTCCCGCGTCATCCTTCTCGGCCACTACACCGCAAGCTGGGTTCTGGGCAGCGTGCTCGACACAGTCTTCAGTGACGGGGCCAGGCATGAGAAGTCAGCAAGCTCAGGGACCTCCCCTCTCTTCGCCATCCCACGAGCAGGACCTTGTCGCTGAGGAAGCTCGAGTCTTGTCGACTTCACCATCAAGCGACGCCTTGTCACATGGTCTACAGCGGCTACTGACTGATCGTCCGGCGGACTTCAGTGATCGGGAGAGGGCGGTCGATCGCATGCTGCAGGAGTATCTTTCGGAGCTTGGTGGCTTGGAAGGAAAACAGCTTATAGCCAAGGGTCTGCATGAAATAAGGATGGTGGGCGACACATTTGCGATCCGACACCTCATGAGCTTCTTGACGGAGGAAGTGTTGCGTCTGCAGGGGCCAATCAAGCCACGCATCCCTCCGCCTCGAAGCATGCATGGTGAACACCATGTCCAGCAGTCGTCGATGACAAGCTCAAGCGCACAGAGACACCGTCCTCTACAAAAGCCACTCTCGATCGAGGATGAGTCTGAAGATGAATATCAAGGGTCCACGACATCTGAGATCGAATCGTTCCGCTTCATGGGTCTCCCAGCCGAGCTCCGCGTTCGGGTCTATCGTGTGCTATTGTCACCTATTGGCTTTGTTGAAGGTCGCAACGACAACGAGATCTATACGGCCATCGTGCGCACCACGAAGCAGATCCATCACGAAGCTCGAGCCATGCTTTATGATAACACATTCTACGTGAAGATGAACATCCGACTCGGCGCCAACTCGCTGTTCGAGCGCAGCTACGTTACAGACGTCGGTCTAGGTCTGCTAGAGAAGGCTATTATCCTGCTAGACTTGACCCACATCCACAGCACAAACAACAACGTCTTCGACCACGTTGATTGGCGCCCTTTACAGGCCATGGCTCGCTTGAAGGAAGTGCGTCTATTCTCCATCGATCATAAGAGTTCCGCAAGCGGCCCTGAGCGCGTTGCGGCAATGATGGAGCGTGTGATGGAGCGAATTCCGAAGACGTGCGTGGTCCGTTACGGTAAGGCGTCCTTGATGGATTACGATGCGCAGCAGGATGCGACGGAGATTGCAAGTCATAACGATGATCGCGACCCGATCGAGATCGACGACGGTCTGCTGGCAAGATGCGGCAAGGATGTTGAGGGCTCACAGGGTAGCAAATCTGGACCCACGAGGGACTATAGGTACCCGGAGAAGCAAGCGTTCGCTCTGAAGCCGCTGTTCGCAGAGCACGGCTGTTCTTCAATGGACGACAGCATTGTGCTGGGTAGATAGGGCAAGGCTGGACGGCTTGGCATAGACTATGAACATCATCATGCTGTGGGTAGTACGTGGCTTGCAGACGGGGCGGCGGGAGCAAAGCTGCTATCCATGTAAGATTGTGAATGGCACGAGACACTGCGCATGTACTGCTACATACCGTCCAACTTGTGAATTTGCTCATCGCGTCTAGACTTCGCCGTCATGTGAGATCTCCATTCACCGCACGCGAAGAACATTTTGTGGGGCCGAACTAGCGCGAACTCTGCACATCAGCATCTCATCTTTCTTTGACTGGACTTCCACCTCACGCGATCGCTCCTGTACGGTGCTGCTATCACCACATTGCGATACTCGAACCACAGTCACCTGGCCTGGCATCGCAATGGTGTTCAGCTCCACAGGCGCACCGGCCTCGGGTGAAGAGGGCACACTCTCGTTCGGCTTCTCGCAGCCCTCGCATCGAAGCACATTCGAGTCGCCGCCCGCCACAATAAGCCCTTCTCATCTTGCGTTCGGATCAACTAGCGCATCACTCCGACCTCAATCTCCATGGACCAAGCTCATTGGCACAACGATATCAACTCAGCTTAACAAGCAGAATGTTGGATCGACCAAGATCGACACTAGTAAAGTCGAGCGATCAACTCCTGTCAAGCCTGACGGCAGTTTTCGAGACCCCCTGATTGATACCGTTGAACGCGCGATACAAGGCCGACTCACACCTTTCGGGGCCGACACAGTCTTGACCGAGTACACAGGCCGAGATGACGATGGCGATGCCGGTCCAGATACTGCAGTCCTGCTTCAGGGACTCGAGGCCACCAGAAAGGACAGTCCCGAGCTGTTCAAATTCATCCGCTTCTTGTTCGACAGAACAGCCGAGTTTAGTGACCACCAGCAGAGGCTGCCTTCTAGGAACAGTACAGAGCTTGCCGAAGGTGATCGCGAGGCTCGTCTGATGAAGCTCGAGAAGACACTTGTGCCCTTGGTGCATGCCAAGCTTGTGGAGATCGGTGTCTGCCATGCAGAGCCTGACAGGCATGGGATTATTCTAGACAACAAAGCTCGAGTCATCTGCCATGGCGCAGTCTTGGCTTCCTCGAAGTTGGCGGTGCTGGAACTATTGAAGGAGGAGTCTTGTGTCACCAAGGCGAAGGCATCAGCTATCGAGGACATCTGATCATGGCTGTGGGAGGAGCTGGAGAAGGGTCGACCTACACCCAAGAAGCCGTCCAACCCAGCTATGGTTGCGCCCGAGATTCGCAGGGGTGGCATCTCGCGAATGGCGTCCGCACATGCCAAGGCTCAGAGAAGATATGCTGCTCTACTCAAGTCCTGTCGGTATGCTGCACCCACCGCATCGATGCCACGCAACTGGGACGCAGAGGACGATACTGCTTGTTCCTGTGCACGGACTCTGACCAAGCGTGCTCCTACGCCGAAGCAGCTGCCGGTCTTCACGAGGGAGGCCTTGAGAAGTCTCGAAGCCGTCATGATCGCGGTGATGAGATCGAACTATGGAGATGAAGCCATAGTCGCTCGTGATGAAGTTGTCTCAAAAGTAGTGAGCACACTTGGGAATGCGGCGTTACGAGAAGATACCGCGACGACGAAGACTAGATGGGTGGAGATTTTGCAGGCTTTGGGGTCAAAGACCAGCCTGAGGATGATCGACCAGATCGACAAAGTGTTCAATCCTGCCTTCAAGCACCTCTCAGCCAACCAGATCCCCTTCCGATTTCTTGATCTACCGCCTGAGCTGCGGACCTGGATCTACAAGGACTTGTTGACGCCAGGAAAAATTGCGATGACCAGCTGCGAGCACGATTCTGCTTTACGCACGGAGAGCAAGGCGAAGCTGAGCTTGCTGTCCATCTGCAAACAGATGCACAGCGAGGCAAAAGGTCTGATCTTTAAGAATCGCATCATCATTGACGGCGTCACTTGCTCGGCGCCTTTATTTATGTTTCCTCGACAGCAACTTGCTCTGCACATCCTGCCTCAAACGAGGTCGCTGGAGATCGCTCTAGCTGTCGAAACCGTCGTCAGCGATTGGTCGCAACTACAAAGGATGACGGGTCTCAAGCGGCTGTCGGTTGCATTTGTGGAGACGTCGTACATCAAGCCAGCCCATCGCGCGCGTGTGATTCGAGATATCATGGCAGCTGCCCCGACTGACTGCGAGCTGACTTTCGGGGATAGTTCGATGGCTCATGCACGTTGCCGAGAACGAGCAATGAAGCTTACTTCGGACAAGACTACTTGGGTTGTGCCTGACCAAGATTCGGTGGACAGCGCTGTACGGAAGGCTCGTAAGATTGCGAGCAGCCCCTTCTCATTCGTCGTTCGAGAGGCGAAGTATGATCTAGGTGATCCGTACAGCGATAGCTGAGCGCAGGTGGACTGTGGACAGTCACAAAGTAGAGAGGAGCGCTCGAGGGAGGGAGGATCCCGGTTCCTTTGCGGACGTCACCATTGAAGCTGAAAATGGAACAAGGGATTCAAGAAATTGACACGAGGGTGGACTGCATAGAGCGGACGTATGACGGATATAGTATGGCTCGGTGCAAGAAGTGTGGCGCTGCTTGGTACGGGCAGGTCTGATTATAAGTTGATCGTTTGGGTGTTGGTACGATAATGAGATAGCGAGTTGCACAGTACTTGAGGAGTCTTGGGATTAATATATCATGTGTATAGTAGCGCAGCATCAAGTCATCAAAGTTCTCCGCGATTTCATGCGATCCAATCGTCCGCCGCGACGCGAGATGTTCGCATAAGGGCCTATGACTTGTCTGACGCCGTGCACCAGGAACACGAAACCATGGTAACGCACCCAGTACTTTGCTCAGATACACATTTAATACAAGTGTCCTGCCCTCATCCTAGGTACTGATACAAGCCCACGCTATGCACTCACCAATGACTATACGCGAACTCTCCACCAGGGTATCATACGCCTCCAAACCCATCAATCCAACGCCACCCATGCCATCTCGAGCCTGTTAACTCAAGCAAACTGATACTTTGGTCTCTTGAAAAAATGCGCCTCGGTATTCAACACCCACTCATCCAGACTCCACGTCTCAGCATCATCAAACAAAAGATAAAAATACTTCAGCGTCTCCGCCACCCAAAAACTCTCCATCTTATCCTTCTGCTCCGGCGCCATCTTCGTCACATCGTCAATACCCGCATTACCGTACTGGCTTCGTGTATGCGTATCGATGGCGATGAACATATTCCAGCCCATGTCGCGCCAATATTGCTCGCCTGTGATGCGGTACATGTAAAACACGGATTCGATGGCTTCCGGACGTAATATGTACGATTTTGATCGCAGGTGGACCATGCCCGGTGGTAGACGTTCGTCTTCGATTTTCTTGGCGACGAATTCTTGGTGAGATAGCGGAACTGGAGGTGTGTAGAAGGAAGGTGGTGGGGCAGTGGGTCGGCCGTCCGCCGGTGCTGCTGTGGAGCTAGATGACTGTGTGTTTGAAGGAGAAGGCGAAGCCATGGGTCGTGGCGGTGCGGGTTCGTCGGCGAGCTGTCGTTTCTCAAGATTTGGCGCTTCGGCTCGCGTGAGATCGATAGCATACTCCTCGATCTTGTCCTCCGAAACACCCAGCTTCTGCACAACATGCTTAGTGCCCAGGTCCATGCCGCCGTTATGCTGGGGTGCTGCCGAAGTGGATGCCGAATCCGTCGCACTGCTGCTGGCAGATATGGTGCTAGTGTTTGGGATCCTGTTAAATGCCTCTACAGCCGCAGCTGACTCGTACAGCTTTGGCAGTACCGTCCTTGATGCCTCATACGGGTCCAGCACCTGATAATACGCTGTCTCATTCCACTTACAATCCTTCCTGTCTTTACAAGGCATAGCCTCGAAGGATTCGGGCATAATACTAGTAGTCGTGCTGTTGTACGCCCATATGCACCCATCGGTGAGCTTCCGGCCAATTTCCACATGTTCGGGCCGGTCGAATAGCTTCCCGCCCAAAGCAAACATGCCTCCAGCAAAGCAGGTCAGATGTTCGCCTTCTGCAACCTGTTGCTTGATCATCGATCCATCGGTATGGTTGATTGAAACCCTCATGAGGCCAGAGATCAGTAGATCACGATTGTCGATGGTCATTGGCCTGAGCAGCAGGTTTTCGATCACCGTGTCAGCGCTGTAAAGGTACATGTCCTTGTACTGTTCCACAAGCCCGCCTAGCAACATGTACTCCTTCGGCAGATATTCGTACGTACTGTCGCTCATCCCGCCCAGCGTGAAGGACTCCTGTGAGTATATACTGGTCGAAGCCAAGCCTTGTGGTATACAGACTTCTTGGCCAGTCAGGAGAGCTTGTGCCGGATCTTGTGGTGCACGCCGCACTCCAGTATCGTCAATGGTGGCGTTACGGGGCGGAGATAAGAAGTGAGTATTTTCGAGTTGCCGCTTCACCTTCGAAGATCCAAGTTCGCCGAGCGCCTTCTCAGACGACTTCGCAGCCGCAGTGCCGGCCTTGCCAGTACCTCCGGACGCTCCGCCTAGCACTTCCGCCCCGTTCTGCTTCTCCAGCTTTGCCTGTGCCTCGAGATGCTGCTTCTGATCCATTACAGTACCAGACGAGCTCACTAAATTCGGCCCAGCGCCCTGGCGAACAGGTAGACCGGCCTCCATCATCGTACCACCCGCCACCAGCTGCTGATTACGACTTGCCCACGCCGCGCTCCGAGACGAACCTTGTACGTTGTGTGCCGCAGACTTATCGCATCCTGATCCGTCTACATACGTCGGCCACATGCCAGGCAGGCGCGTGTTGTTCTGCCAGACCTCAAATGCGTCGGTGATGCGGGCAATGGCATCGTAGTACTTTGGCTCGCCAGTCAGCTGTGCGAGGCGCGTGAACTCCAAGCTCAAGCTGCCGAGCTCAGCCATGATAATCCGGCTCGAGGCACGCTTGCCTTGGGACGCGAAAGCCGGTCTCCATTGGTAGTACGTGACAGGCATGCGATTCGGAGTATCAAAAGTGCTGAACAAGACCTCTGCCAGCTCCACCGCCTTGTCCAGCAGGATGCGGTACTTTGCTCCCGAGATATCGTACGCACCAACCAACCCGCCCAGATATCTGATCGTTGTCTCGAATAGTGGGATGTCCATCCTGTTAGCGGTCGTGAAGTCGATCGTCCGTACGTGCTCCACAGCCTCTTCGAAAGCGTCCTTCATACCCATGATCCACAACGTATCCAAAGAATCGACCAACGTAGCTCCCCAGCCCATGAAGGGATTGTTAAACCCACCAGATATCGGCTTAACCTCATCCATCCCAAAAGCCATGTCGCGATATCCTGCCCATGCGTGCTCCGTTGCCTCTTTGATGATCGCCAACCGCTCGACATCTGGCTTGCCTGCGTCCTTGCCAGCGTACTGTATCCGCGGCATAGGTTTCGAGCTTCCGGTGGGGAGCTGCATTGTGGTGGAGACAGGGTATAGCTCAGGCTGCTTCGTCCAGTAAATCGTGGAAGATGTGCTCACTATGTCCGAATTGTCGATTCGGCCTTCGCCAAACTCTGCAGGAAGTAGGTCGTCATCAGTGATGGGAGGCATATATGCAACAGCAGGCGTGGTTGTGGGAGCAATAGTCCGGGTCGTCGAGTCCTTCGAGCTCGCTTTCGAAGCTGGCAAGACGTTGCTGCTGGCTTCTACTCGTGCCGCAGATTTCGTCAAGGACGAGTCCCCGAGAACATTCTTAGTCGGTCTGAGGGTCAGTCGAGTGGTGGGTGCATAGGTTGGTCGAGGTAATGCTCCTGCAGGTTCCTGAACTTCGGGCTTCCTCATCACAGCTCCTCCACCCACCACCTTTTCCGTAACATAGTCGCGGTAGGATTCCACCTGAGATTTCCTGGTATAGACCACCACGACCACCAGAAACAATACTACCACCGCCACGAATCGGATCCGTTTGCGGCCGACCATCGTCTCCTAAGTGCTGCCGTCGTTAATGATACCCAATGCCTGCGACTCCAGAGGCACGGCAATGGTAGCGTAGAGGACGCGCCAGCAAGCAAGATCGTGGCTGCCATTGCTTCCCAGATCGAGGGAGTCGCGACTCTACTCCATAAGACTGCCAAGGTTTTGCCAAGCTGAAGTAGACATCCCCATGATTCTTATTAGTGGACACTGCATGAGGTCCTTTGCGGGGCAATCAAGCCTCATTTTTCCGCCACCGAACCACTTCACACCACATCTCGCACCTCCTTTGCTGTTAAAGTAACGCCATATTTGCTTGTTGGTGGTCACCATTTACCATCTAGTTGCTTCCCTCCTTGTATATGCTAGCAGAGCCTGGAGCAAAAGCATCATTCTCGCCCCAAAAACCATGCAAAAACAACGGTAAAATTCGATAGCATGTGGAGTCAATGGACAATTAATCTGGAGATGCATATGCTACCTCACGCGACCCCTTGAATGAGCGTGCCAAGACGGCGAACACAACCGCATAGCCAATGTGGCCTCGTTAGCAACAGAATCTCAGCATACTCCGGTTCTCCTTGCAATGTTTGTGATTCGGTGGACAGTACTAGTGGGCAGCAGCAGCCGCAACACCACCATTATGGCCCGCTTGCTTCGCGACCTCCGAGCCCTTCTTGAACGTCCCATCTTCGTTGCGTCCGGAATCCTGGGTGCTAGTTAGCAGGGTCGGCGACAATGGTGAAGAGAGTGTGCCTCGACCTCGCTCACCTGCTCCTCCTCGGCGAGACCACTGTTGCCGTGACTGTGCATACCACCGATATGCCCAGCTTCCTTCGCAGCCTCCGAGCCTTTGGTAAAAGTACCATCGGGATTGCGGCCGACGTCCTGGAACATATGTCAGCGAACTGCATGATGCGTGGTTGACATCATTCACCTTCTCGTCCTTCGCAGCCCCGTCATGGTCATGGCTGTGCAAGCCGCCCTTGTGGCCTGCTTCCTTAGCAACCTCCGAGCCTGGCAGGAATGTCCCATCTGGAGCACGGCCGTCGGTGGTGGTGGCGTCCTTGTGCTACTTGTGGCGTCAGTCATGATTACACGAGATATGTGGCTTCGCCTTACGTCTTCGCCAGTAGTCTCGGTATCACCTTTGTGACTGGCCTTGCCGCCCATGCTGGCGATCGCCTTAACTTCTTCCGTGGGAAGATTGGCGAAGTTGCTGGGGTTGGTGTTGGCGGTAGACATGGTCCTGTTGAGTTGATTTGGATAGGTAGGCGTAATGTCAGCGAAGGGTATCGAAGAGTTATTGTTGATGATAGAGTCGGAGACGATGGAGATGTGAGATGTGAGTTGTAGCCGGATATCTTGTTTGAAACCTGTAATGTTTGCTGTGTGGTGCATGATCACATGACCCGAGAAATTAGGCAGCAGCGAATCACAGTCGCGTAAGGAAGGGAAGGTACGCGCATATGCACACTGCTAGGCAACTACGTCGCGATCGGCAAGAGCCATCAGAGATTGACGTCGCATAAGGCTTTGCATAACCGACTAAGGGAGCTGAGGCGGCATATGGGTACGTCGAAGGCATGATACAATGATACTCTACTCCCCCCTTACAACCCCATCCCAAAACTCCTAACCCGACTCCAATAAAACGCCTTATCATGCCTCAGCCCAAACTCCCCCACATCGTCCGTCAATCGGTTCCAGCTCCAAAACCCCTTCCACGCCAACTTATTGTTCCTCGCCCCCTTCCCCGCATGCGACATCTGCAGCAGCATCCTGTAAGTATACTTTGACGTCGCCCCCTGAGTCTCGATATGAACTTCACCCTCGGGCTCACTGAGCTCTCGCTCGGGATGGAAAGGGTCAAAGGGTTCTTTGGTCAGGCTTGCGGGCCCGGAGAGACGCCAGCGGCCGCGGAGTGCGTCTTTCATTACGGCGCTGGGTAGGAGGCTGTCAGCGCGGTGATGGGCGTGGATGTTCATATTTTGGGGTGTGAGGTGATGGACTACGTCTGCGGGTTCGGTGGTGGTGAGGAGACTTATTACTGTTCCATCACGGAAGAAGCGGAGGTAGCGGTAGTAGGTCACTACGTGGATTGGACTTCCCCAGGTCAAGGAGTTGGTGTTGGTGGCGCCGGGGCGTGTGTAGTTTACTGTGCTTATGTAGCAGCCGTTGAACCTTAGCCGGGGCCGAGAGCGGAAGAGTTGGCGCCAGGAGGAGGCGTAGATTGAGTGGAGGAGGTGGGTGGTTAGATCTGAGAAGGCTAGAGCGCGGTCTTCGTGGGAGGGGAGGATGGTGGTGGGGTCCTCGGGTGGCGAGTCGTGGGTGAGGAGGTATTGCGAGATCGCGTCGTTGGCGTCGAGGGGGAAACCTTCGATGTCGCAGGTGTAGTCGTACTTCATGGCTGCGAAGCCAAACTCCTCTCCGACGGCTATTCGCCTCCAGATTGCATCCTCGGTCAAGACTAGGTATGCCAGTCGCTTACATACTTGAGCGAGACGCGCGAATGATGCCACATCCTTCAGACCCAGGTTGAGGAGGATCTGCGTCAGTATTTCTTCCGGTAGCTCTGCGATCCTCGAGCGCCCGGCTGGCGAGGCTTCGGTCGCAGGAGGCGGCGGCTCAATCTGCAAGGCCGAGAAGCTATCAACTAGCTGCTTAAGCGTCCGTGGCAGGACATCCGTACTACCATGCAGGGAGTGGTGGGCGGTATTGGGTACCGTCACAGAAGCATTCGACGGGTTGATCTGCTCAGGTTTGGGCTTGACAAAGGAGGAAGGTGGGAAGTGCTTCTTCTTGTAGGCTTCGTGGACGCCCGAGTCGAGCTGTGACTTACCTCAGCATGAAACGCCTACAGGGTATGAGATGACGATGGGACTGACCCTGAATGCTTTGCGGTAATGTGCTATACTGTCTCCGAGCTGACCGTTTGTCTCTTTGTCGACTGCTCGTTCGTAATGCTCAAGGGCTGTACTCGGCTCTCTGAACAAGGCGGCTCTATTGTGGTCTTGGCCTTCCACGCCCAGTCTAAGCACTTCGTCTTTGTCTGGTAGATCATGGTATGCTTTGGGTTCTACAATTTCCTCGAAGTCCGAAGCATCTTTCCGTCGAGCAGTAGACGAACCTGCCGTCGGTTGTGCTGTATTCGTACTTGATGAAAGCGTATCTCGTGACTGTCGCGTTCCTTTGTATCCAGATTCAGGTCCAGTGCTGGAGGCCTCGCGGGCTGCTATGCCAGGTCTTTTGTTCCTGGCCGTCACCTCTTCCCGCCATCGTTGGCGGAATGCCTCGAGCTCGGCCTCCGCCTCAGGCAGTGCGTTTGTCATTGCGTATATGATGTATACTACAGGACTTCCAACAGGTAAGCACACACAGCCCTATTCAATTCATATACGAGGTATAGGTCGTCGGGTTTCTTGGACGCCGGTGACTGGTTGTGGTCGACCGATCATCGTCAGTCATGGAAGAGCATGCTAGCGGAAGCCATAGTCCGCGATCGGAGATAGGCGGCCGACGAATTATTTGGTATTCCATGACGCGCATCTGATCACCATTCTGGTTAGCCAACTCATTATCTGATCTTCCATCCATCTGCCTGATCATTTCTCTTCCACATTGGACAACCATTCGATTTCTGGCAATACATCTTCGAGCATCTTGGACGACTGGCCCGAAGTCCAGAGCTCTCGGTGCCATCGGCGCAGTCGGGCAAGGGAGAACAGAGCAGCATGGCGGCAGCGGCGACAGCGACAGCACATACACAAGGCCAACCACACGACAGAATAGAGACACCTTCCGGCAATGGTCATCCGGACGCTCCCTCAGCACCGAAGATGTCTTCGCAATCTGTAGACATGGGCGCATCCATCACACAAAAGATGCTCAGTGCTGTAACGGGAAGCGTCCTTACTTCTCTATTAGGTAGGCACGCCACGGTCATATGTTGTTTCCCTACACACTAACACCGCCCAGTCACACCCCTGGACGTCGTCCGAGTACGACTTCAAACCCAACAGAGTCCGTCGTCCTTCTCCTCGACCCGCCTCCCCTCCTTCCTACACCTTCCACCCAACCTCGGCGTCACGGCATGCTGTCGAGAGGTCTTCTGGGTGCAAAACCATTCCCAATTCTGCGTCGCACATCCGGAGACTGCTGCCCTCTCCTCCTCTCCTGCCGTCATAGATGAACGAATCATCTCTGACTGTGCGGCAGAGGAATCGCAACGACGCACCTTCAACTCCACCCTCGACGGCGTACGGAAGATCGCGAGGAACGAAGGAATATGGACGCTATGGAGAGGGTTGTCTCCGACGCTGGCTATGGCTGTGCCGGCCAATGTGATTTACTTTGCCGGGTACGATTGGTTGCGGACGAGTCAGCATAGTCCGCTTGTGGGAAGGGTGAGCGAGACGTATCAGCCGCTCGTAGCTGGTTCCACAGCTCGCGTCATGGCTGCAATTGCGGTGAATCCAATAGAAATGCTCCGGACACGAATGCAGGCCGCCAAAGCAGGTGACAGCAGCGTGATGCGCGCAACCATGACTGGTCTGAAGGAAATGGTCGGCAACGAAGGCATACATACACTATGGCGAGGCCTTACCTTAACACTCTGGCGCGACGTACCATTCTCAGCTTTCTACTGGTGGGGCTACGAGTACGGTCGACGTAGACTGGACGAAGCCCGAGCACGTTCTTCAAACCTCCTCGCCCAAACCCACCAACCTAGCGAGCTCTCCCACACAGCTCTGCTAACGGACTCTTTCATCGCCGGAGCCTCTTCAGGAGCAGTGGCAGCCTTCTTCACCACTCCCTTTGACGTGGGCAAGACGAGGCAGCAAACCGTGATGCACGACCCGAAAGCACGAATGAAGGATCTACCCGAGACACGAGCGATGCCGAGATTTCTGTGGCATATCTACTGTAACGAGGGGATGAATGGTCTGTTCAAAGGCTGGGCGGCGAGAGTGTTGAAGGTGGCGCCTGCTTGCGCGATCATGATTTCAAGTTATGAGGTCGGGAAGAAGATGGCGGCGGCTGCTAATGATAAGAGGGAGTCCGAGGCGTGACAGCATTGCCAACCTGCGGACAGACGGCGGCAGTTCAGCCTCGTTGGGCAAAGGCACATGAACGATGAAGGAGAGTTTCGCATCGCATTGTAAAACTACTGATACCACACGGCCTATTAGCGTCATTTGATAGCGTTCTAGCATTGCTCTGTACCACTATTCCTACCACATCATCACATCTATACCTCTATCATCCAGCTACGATCCAAAGGATACTACCAGGTATCACCCGGCACAGCTCAGAGTCACGTTCGTCCCGGTCTCAGCCAACATCCCTCCGTTCTCAAGCAGAGCAAATGTATAGCTGCCCTTCTCCAATTCCCACTTATATCTCCGATTGAGAATCCTGAGATACCTGTCTACATCTACCTCCATCCTCACCACAGCTGTCTGCCCGGGATCTAGATACGTCCGCGTGAAAGCCACAAGCTGTTTCACCGGCTGCGTGATCTGAGAGATTCGCTGCAGAAGATAGACCTGCGGGACGTAGGATCCTCGTACGGCGCCGGTGTTCTTGAGCGTGAGGGTGAAGACCAGGGTACTACCTGACCCAAAAGTGGAATTGCTGATCCCGGATCCATTCGCCGGTTGAACCGCGACACCAAAATTAGAAACGCTGAAGTTGGTGTAACTTAGTCCATATCCAAAGGGATATGCAGGTGAGGATAGCATATCGACATAGCTGGCCGCATGAGCGGTGGCTTTGTAGTTGTAGTAGACCGGCATCTGACCCTCGTGTCTAGGGACCGTGAGCGGTAATCTCCCACCTGGGTTGAAGTCGCCGAAGAGAACGTCTGAAATTGCTTGGCCACTTGCTTGACCGCCGAAGTATGTTAGTAGGACGGCGGAGGAAGCATTGTAAAAGTCGTCGATTGCGAAGGGTCGACCACCGGATAGGAGGAGGATAGTGGGTTTCTTCAGATCGAAGATTGCTTGTGCGAGAGCTGTTTGGTTGGTACTAAGGTCCATTATCCCGCGGTCGCCGTTCTCACCGTCAGAGTTCCAGGCTGCCCCCAAGGAAAGAACAATGACGTCGGATTGTGAGGCAATTTCCACCGCATTCTGTACTGCTTGACCAGGTCGACGATCGACGAGGTTCCAGAAAAGCAGGACCTGAGAGTTGAGCGAGCCTTGATTCTCAATCTTCTGGTAGAGATTGTAGGTCTGATATTCGATCCTAATTTTGTACGTGCTATTGGGTGCGAAGGTAAAGTTGCTGCTCCCGGGTGGAGGCGCGGTACTGTTGGCTTCGATGAAAGCATAGGAAGGGATGTTGGATAGGATATTACCGGTAGTGGTCAGCGGGACGTCAACAAGGAGGCTGTCATCGATAAAGACTTTGGCTGTCGTGTTGGCGCCTATGGCTATACCCAACCAGCCTTCGACCTCCGTGTCTACCGAGGCGTCCAGGTAGCCTTCCCAGGTTGCGCTGAAGTTGTTTGACGGCAGGCCAGGAGGCGGATAGAGGCCCCAGTCGCCTACTGGGACTTCGGTGGTATGGACGAGCGGTGTGGTGAAGTTCGTGTCGGCGTAATAGGTTGCTGACAGACCGCCGCTGGTGCTGTTCAACGTGGACAAATGGTAGCCTGGGATCGGATGTTGACCATTGTACAGCCAGCTATTGGCGCCCCAAGATGAGAGCAAGTCGACGGTGCTATTGCACTCGCTCAAGGTGCTAAGAATACCCTGCCGTGTGGTGCTCGAGTGGGCGACTGGGTACGCTCCAAACTGACCAGAATAGTCTCCATAATTCAAGCTATCAGAGAAAGGGCCAATGAGGGCAAGCTTTTTTACAGTGCCAACTGCGGCTTGCAGTGGCAAGCTGCTGTTCTTGTTCTCGATGAGCACTATTGACTTCTGAGCTGCCTCGTAAGCCGTCGGGATATGTTGGTCGACCAGTGCTTCAGCGTCAATGTCATTGTTGATGTATGGATTCGAGAAGAGCCCAAGATCATACTTCACTCCAAGCACACGCCTGACTCTGTCTTGTAAGGTACTGAGCGCTACGGTGCCGTTCGCCACGATAGCCTCGATTGTCTGATCAAGTCAGTAAATGCGTGCAGTGTAGTCTCTTAGTCACTCACTGTCAGGTATGTGTCGAGCGGATAATCGTAATAATCAATCATGCCCCCTGCATTCAGCCACTGGGCTATCGTGTCCGCCGGACCACTGGTCACCATATCAAGAGTCTGTAACTGTTTCATGCCTTACAATATCAGCGGTGCAGTGCAGTAGAGAGGGTCCGCCAATGCTCACCGGTATCGTCGGCGATAACGAATCCACTGTATCCCCACTCGTCGAGCGCATCGTAAAGTGCGGGATGCACACCCGAAGGTATACCATCCCATGAGCTATACGCCATCATAACACCCTTGACACCACCAAGATCCACTGCCGCCTTGAATGGCATTAGTAAGTCCTGTAGCACCTGTCGATTACCATGGCCCATAAATGGTGCAGTGTTTAGACCACCCTGAGGTGCACCATGAGCGGCGAAATGCTTCATGACCGGCACGACAGCATCCTGCTGTGACCAGGAAGAGTTCTTGGAGAGTCCGGATGCATAAGCGACACCCATATGGCTGGTGAAAATGTGGTCTTCGCCCCAGTCTTCCTGACATCTTCCCCACCTCTGGTCCTGACAGACATCAAGGACCGGAGACAAACAAGCATGAACGCCTATCGATCTCGCCTCAGCTCCGATAGCACTGCCGACTGTGTGGACCATATCAGCGTCCCAACTTGCTGCCATGGCGATCGATTGCGGAAACATGGACTGTTGGAAAGACCCCACACCATGTAGACACTCTCCGACATGCATGAATGGGATCCCCAGACGCGAGCTCTCGATATTGAGACGTTGCAATTCGTTCACATACGTCTTGTTGAGCGGGTACCAGTCGTGTATGACACCAATACCTGCGTCTGGTGCCAGATGGAGCGTAGAATTGTACAGAGAGTTGTTGCTGTACGGGCCGACTACCGAGTCTGCGAAGAGCAGATACACCTGCATGACCAGCTCCGGGACAGTCATCTGGTTGACGAGGTTGTCGATGAATGCGTCCTTGATGCTGCTATTGCTCGCACTGCCATTGTAAGATGTCTGACCATAGGCTTTGGATGGCCCCAATAGCAAAAAGAGCCAGGACACTGTCAACCTCATCGTGGCGACAGCAGTATCCTGGTCAACAACAACGCAACTAGAATGTAAGAGAGTTGTGGTCAACAAATGTAACGAAAGCCAATGTCTCACCTTGACTCAATATATGCAGAATACTTAGCCCTGTCTATTGCCAGACGCGACTAATAGTACTGAATACCACCGTGCGCGCGGGGTGTTACAGAATGATGTAGCTAGTCTTGCAAATACGAGTGGTATTGCTGTGGAGAGAGGACTTAGTTTGGCCCGCGGCAGAATGCACCGAGGAAGTGGTGGCCTGAGGCATGCAGAATCTTGTCATGCTGTGCTGAAGAACAATTGCTGTCGCTCGACGAGTCGCTCGATGAGATTCTCATTGATACGGCCACCCAATGCAGTACCCTGTGTTCCTACACGCCGTGGCAGGATTCGAGGTTTCTTGGCGGACGATATGACCTTCGAGATGCGAACGGTGTCTTAGCCAGTGGCACAATCCTTCTGTCTTGAAGTACGTGGGTATGCAAGTATCCAAGTTCGATCACGCCAGTCTGGCGATGAATTCGTTCTTCCCGAAATTACTGCACGAAAAAACACGGCACAGGTTTGACTGAGGTCCTTATGTTCGGTTTGAATCCTCGATGAAGCGATACAAGCGATGAGGTATCGAGGTAGGACGCAATAACCGACAGAGACGACCTCAAACGGTGTGCGTGGTTCGTATGGCGCGAGTGCCGACAACGGCAGACCCAGAGCATACTGATGCTTGATGCTCTCCGCGCGCCTATCCTGCGTTCAACGTTAGCATCGATCGTTCGGCTTTCCTGAGATCAAAAGTCGAGGGCACCGCGACCGACCCCCATGAGGGAGTCATGGGGTCGTTCACCGTAAGCACAGCGACGAGCGGACACATAGCGGCCGCCTACGACGAAAGTTGTTGCGAGTCTTGCAATGCTCGTTCTTCTCCATTTCACCCGAACAATGCCACATGGTTCGTCGATCGCGAAACACGGAGACCACGTTCGAGACCAGGGACTACTTCCTGTCGGTCCGTCCTACGTCTTCTCGACGATGTGCAGAGGTCGAAGGCTTCACTCAGAATCGAGGATGGTTGAAAACAGCCCGTGTAATCTTTGGGTGCGGCGGAGGACCAAGGAAATCTTCGAGGGTGCGATTTCCCCCTCATTGTATGTTCATCCATATTCAACCACTCCTGTGTATCCGATGCGAACATCTTGGATGACTCCGTTATACGATACGACCGATGTCTACTGACTCGTCGGACGCAAGCATGATCGTGATCTTTATGCCGAAGACAGAAAGTGCAAGCCATCGTGACGTACCGTAACGGGACATCGAAATGACCGGGATCGTCGTTTTGATCAGAGCCGCTGATCATCGTCCAGAGGTCGTCCGTATGATGCAAGCACTCGCAGGGCCAAGAAAGCAAAGTCGAAGAAATAACCAATCATGGACTTGGCAACGATCGCAGCTTCAAACACGGCTCCATGGTAAACATCGATACAATGAGACTGACCACTCCATGAAATAGCACTGTGGCAACTAAGCCGATACGTCTCAGAGCAGTGTTGACAGTATGGTATAGTACTCGTCGAAGCAGTATCGTTCGGTGCCATATTCCGCAGTCGCATAGGTCTACCGCCAAGGCCGTCTAGCGAAGTTGTGGCCAGACAATCATGCCCGACGAATCATGAGCGAGTGTTGAGGCACAAGGCACCCTTTGACAATGCTATAGTGAGCGCGATCCAGTAGGGACAGAAGCTGTTTATGCATCGGGGCTCCTGTGTTCTGATCAGACGACGGATCTTGCCACGACCTTTGGTTCACCGAAGTCAGTCGCGAACAGTAGCCTACATGCTACAACTCTCTCCGACATCTCCACACCACCGCTCAATTAAAATGTGGCGAGCAGTCTACTATACATGCGCTGCTGGCCATCGACCCAGTAATCAGGGTAAGACGATCTACCGACTGCATGAATGGCATTGTAGCGCTGTAGATCCAATAATTCTTCTGGTGCCTTTTAACCATATGCCAATGGCGGCACAAGCAATATGCGAACCGCATCAGAGCATCATGGACTTTCCTCGGTATCGCCAGACTTTGCTGAACGTTTTCTGGGTCACCGGAACATATTTTGTTGTTCTTCGGATTTAGTTCAGCAGTCCAGTTCTGGCCAAAAGCCTCGAGACGGCTGCCGCCATATGTACCCGGGCCGTCTGGCTAGCACACGTTATTCTCGGCCATACATCCACTCTCAATGGAAGCCCTGACGCCGCGCAGAGGATTGTGCCGCTGTTGAGTCGCTTGCAATGCAGAATTTTTCGCCACTAGAAGTTACATCGACAGTCCGGTCGCGTCTCGCCGACGCCGTGGTGAGTGGCAATGTCAAATATGTTCGAACGCGTGGGAGGTAGCTCGGAGCTTATTACTTGGCACTTGTGAGAGTGCCGCAACTAGCGTGAAGGGTGAAGACCCCTACATGGAGTAGGCTTTTTGAGGAAAAACGTGCTCGAGTGATTGGCTGAGCTTCTTCCAACGTCAGTTGGAAATCCGCGTGGATGCACAATCTCGGTGTTCGAGCTGAGTCTGGTCGTGCGCCCTCAAGGCTCTGCAGATGTGGCGCAATCTCGTGTAGGACCTCAGACCATGCTCGTGTGCCAGGCGCACGAGGGTTATGCATGATACACAGCGTGTCGCAGAAGACTCCGCCTCATGTGAGGCCGCTCAAAGGATGCAAGAGGCCGCCGTGTAGGGGTCGAGAAAACGTGCATGACGGGCGGGATATATCCCACGGGGCCAAGACACTGTCTCACGATGCCAAGGCGAACTCTGTGTGTGACGAATCTAGCACGATGTGAAAACCAGAGCAGTGCTGGAGGTATTGGCTTGGCTGCGGTAGCGCAAAAGGCTTTCGTTGGATCGCCAAGCTTATAGCAGCTGCTCAGCTGGCAGATATCGCGATGCCCGAGGATAGTCGATTGGGTAGACAGCCTAGTGATGTTTAATGAGCGAAGAAGAGGCCATAAGCAGTCTGCCAGTGATATTCCTAGAGCACTCGTTGTGTGATTGTCGTTTGCGGTGCCCGGCTCGGATGTCGCGAACGACCTCGCCGTTGCTTATTGGCTCCTTGAAATGGATGTCTCGTTTGACCTCGGCGAGTGAGTGTCCACTTCGAGCAGCCTTGCCGACGGCCAACATTTGCATGCACAGCTCGTGGTACCAGCAGGGAAATTGATTGGCCGGGAGCGAGGCAAAAGCGCAGGTCAGATCGAATAGGCCCTGACGGGAGATGTGAATGGAGCCCAGAGCTCTTAGCGGCCGCAGCATAGTGTCTTTAGCGCAGCGTCTCGAAGCCTTCCACAAATTGACTTCGCCGCCGCTAGCTGATGCTTTTGGGTGGGATGGTGACATTGCTGTACTTGGCGGTCTTGTGGCTCGCCTTGATAAAGCAGAACGCTCCCTTGCTCTCACTCAAGCCTCACCCAAGTCACTCACTCCCTTGGCGGCGCGTCTTGTCCTTCACAACATCCATTTGAGTGAGATCTTCCAAGACATCCAAGAACAGTCAAGGAACTTTCACCACAATGGCCACAAGAACGGTTGGCGGCAGTAAGTACCTCCTTACACCTCACGCGCTCACCTGCACGCATACTGACACTCTCCAGACGCTGCCTTCCACAACTTTCACAATGACTACGCTCATATCGCCGACCCCAATGAGCGCCGTCGTCTCGCGCTCGCTGAGATCGACAAGGCTCCTTTCGGCTGGTACCACGTCCGCGCCATCGCTGTGGCCGGTATTGGTTTCTTCACTGACGCCTACGACATCTTCGCCATCGGTATCGTGACCACTATGCTGGGGATAGTCTACTGGCAAAACACCTCCGCCAAGGGCACAATCCCCGCCCACGCCGACACCGCGATCAAGGCTGCCACTTCCGGCGGTACTGTTATCGGCCAGCTTGGTTTCGGTTACCTCGCCGATGTGGTCGGCCGCAAGAGGATGTACGGTCTTGAGCTGATCATCATCATCTTCGCCACTCTCGCCCAGTCTCTCGCTTCGAACTCGAAATCCATCACCATCGTCGGCGTCATCGTCTTCTGGCGTGTGCTCATGGGTGTCGGAATCGGTGGTGGTACGTACATTTCCTATCCTCGCAAGCCAAACCCCCACTAACGTCCACTCAGACTACCCGCTCTCTTCTGTCATCACTGCAGAGTTCGCTACCACCAAGTGGCGTGGAGCTATGATGGGCTCTGTGTTCGCCATGCAGGGTATAGGTCAATTCGCCGCTGGTATCATTGCCCTCATCGTCACTGTTGGCTTCAAGGAGTCCCTCATTCACGCCAGCTCCTACGCTACTTGCAGTGGCGTCTGCGGTCTCGCCGTGGACAAGATGTGGCGTGTAATCATCGGTTTCGGTGCAGTTCCCGGCTGCATTGCCCTCTACTACCGCCTCACCATCCCCGAGACTCCTCGCTACACCTTCGATGTCTCCCGCGACGTCGTTAAGGCTGGCTCTGACGTCAAGGCTTACCTCAACGGTACCGCCGAGGGTGTTCCGGATGAGATTGCGCGCGTCCAGACCATGCGTGAGACTGCTCCTCAGCTCGAGATTCCCAAGGCTTCTTTCCGCGATTTTGCCCGCCACTACGGCCAGTGGAAGTATGGCAAGATCCTTCTCGGGACAGCTTTCTCGTGGTTTACTCTCGATGTTGCTTTCTACGGTGTCGGCCTCAACAACTCCACCATCCTTACCAACATCGGCTACGGCAAGGGCGCCAACGTTTACTTGACTCTCTACAACATTGCCGTCGGCAACATCATCCTCGTGTGCGCTGGTGCCATTCCAGGTTACTGGGTCACTGTTGCCACCATTGATACCATCGGCCGCAAGCCCATCCAGTTGGTTGGTTTCGTCATCCTTACCATCCTCTTCGCCGTCTGGGGTTTCATGTACCACCGCCTCGGTGAGTCTGGTCTTTTGGCCATCTACGTCCTCACCCAGTTCTTCTTCAACTTTGGGCCTAACTCGACCACCTTCATCGTTCCTGGCGAGTGCTTCCCGACCCGCTACCGCTCCACCTCGCACGGTATCTCTGCCGCTTCCGGCAAGGTTGGCTCCATCATTGCCCAGGTCGCCATCGGTACGCTCCGTACTCGTGGTGCCACCAAGACCAACGCCAACCCATGGCTCAACCACGTCATGCAGATCTACGCTCTGTTCATGTTCTTGGGTATCTTCTCCACCCTGCTCATCCCAGAGACCAAGCGCCTTACGCTTGAACAATTGGCTGGCGAAGTTCCCGGCACTCCTCAGTACGACCCTCACATGAGTGCTATGCACCGCACTGGCTCCGACCCATCAGAGCGTGAGGCGCAGATGATGGCTGAGAAGAACCACCAGGACGTGTAGAGGGGGGCTGCCTGTGTATATGTGGAACGTCGGCATGTTGTCAATCGCTTCATGAGATAGATCTTGTTATTGTACTCTTTACATGGCTACCTAGCGGTCATTTCTTAATTTTCAAATTTGTTCATCACTCCCTCTGCTGCCTTCTCTGTATGTTGTGCTCTCATGTTGCTATCGTAATTTAAACAGCTTTGGGCCCAAGCTCAGCCTGATAGCCTGGTTGGACTTGGACCGTGACAGTGGCAGGGACACGAGGAGAAGGAGCTAAACCTCTCGTTCAGGCCGAATTGCTGCAATCCTCGAACCAGGTGTTCCTCCACTCTCGTCACGACAACCACATTGTTTTGCAGCACAGGACTGGTGCCTGATATTCGTGTTATGATCTCGTCATCGACACTGAGATTACTGAAGTGAGGCTCGCTTAGCACTACTTTTCGCCACCTCCCACGCGACCGCACTTAATTCATGCTGTGGAACATCACCGTGTGTAACCAATCCCGTCATTCTCGTTGATCTTGCGTCTTGATACACAGGCAAGGGGTGTATTGATTGTAATCGCCCAAAGGCACATTTGCGAGATGTTTTCACCACTCACTTCTCGCTCCCGAGTACCACTTCAGCGCGTACTACACCAGCAGCGTGCTCGACTCGTCACATCAAGAACATCATTGTCGAGAACGAGATCAGTTAGCAAGATATCAGACACCTGTTTCACGCGTCAATCTCCCCTGGACGGCCTGTTTGGTAGACAACAGACATCACTGCCTACTCAACTCTTCCGCCGCGCCTACTCCCAAGGTCCGAATCGTGGCACTTACGGCTCCGCCCTCCACGTCACGTACGTGCTGATGGGTATCAATGTCGCAGTCTTCGCAGGATGGCAGTACGCACAACACACCCGCGACCGCAAGCTAACTCAAGCATTGTATGATAACTTCACTTTATCATGGCCGAACTGGAACCAAGGCCGGAGCTGGACTGTGGTTTCTTCAGCCTTCTCTCATATAGCTATCGGTCATATCTTCTTCAATATGTTTGCTCTCAGGACGTTTGGAACAATGTTGAGTTGGGTCCCTGGGGTGGGGGCGGTGCACATGATACTGCTATCTGTGGGTAGTGGGATCGCTGGCAGTGTGGCGTGGTTGTATCAAAAGAAGAATGCAGCGGGACAGGTGCAGGACGGAAGATTTAGCATCTTTGCACAGAACGGCGGGAGGGTCAGGGAGGTTGCTCTCGGTGCTTCTGGGCTGGTCATGGGGGCGGGAGCTGCAGCCGCATGTTTGATGCCATTTGCGCCGATGTCACTCATGTTCATACCGATCCCCATTCCGCTGTGGGCCTTGACCGGGTTGTACGCGGCTGTGGACACGTATTTCCTTCACTCGAACTCGACGGGCGTTGGGCATAGTGCGCATCTTGGTGGAGCACTTTTTGGGGTCATGTACTACTTTGGCTTTCTGAGGAGGTTTGGTGGGATCTGGAAGATGGTGGCCGGGCGGCGATGAGAGGCGGAGTCAGGCGAGAGCACCTGGGCAAGAGTGGAGTGCGGTCTTGGGTACGTCGTACGATGGCAGTTGGCAAAGGTCTCATGGGAGTCATGTGGCATACTCACGTGAGGTACTATGGACCCGAAGTGGAAAGAGTGAAGGCACCTCACTTCGAGCCATATGTCTACCTGCACGGCTCCCATACCTGTCTATTGTCGCAAGCTATTGCTCACAGTCACCACAATACTACATCGCTCAGCAGCACCATGACCGACTCTTCTAGTAGCGCTTCGCAGTGCGATGCTAGCAAGAAGACACTTGCCCACAAACGCAGAGGCAGAGGCCTGTTGACAGGGTGAGTAACCAGCCGCAGTACCTGATACAATCGCTAACACCTTGACAGCACCTGCCTAGCTCGACTCCACAAGCTGAAGGCAGCGAAGCCAAATCTGGCAAAGAAGACCTTTCCTTTCCTCAAACTTCCTGGAGAACTTCGCAACATAATCTACCGATTTACTTTACAGCATTACAGGCCGATCGAGATCCAGGCAAGATATCACTACGGATACCACCGTCTGGCCAGAAAGGCTAGAATCGCTCCCTACACCACAGTCAGCACGAATCTATTGCTAGCATGCCATCAGATCAATGCAGAAGCAACCCCGATCTTATACGGATGCAACTCGTTCAACCTCGTCGGCAGCTATGGCGGCGGGTGCGCCATGATTCTGCTGGACTTTCTCACGGACATCGATCGATCTATTCAGTATCTGCGGCGCATCAACCTGAGCCATGTCCACAACATGGCGACGACCATTTCGGCCTTGCACCGTCTCAAGCAGGCTAAGAACTTCGAGAGATTGGAATTCAAGCACTTTGATTGCTTGAAGTATGGCAGTAAGCACAACAGGGTTGCCATGCTCCTCCCGTGGTTGAGGTCTCTGCATCAAGCCTGCGCACAGAGTGGCAGGTCTTTCTCGTTGCAGGATGTGCTGAAGGTTGAGATCGATGCGAACTTGACACAGTCGTTTTTTGAGAGCGATGCGGAATTCAAGGATAGGCGGATGTTGGCGAGAACTTGGTACGATGAGCAAATGGGCATGTTGGAGCTGGCGCTGTAGAGTGAAGCGGAAGAGGCGTGATGCGTCGAGCGACGATATCGCGAAGATTTTAAGGCATTAGCCGATGGCATCGCGTACATTGACAGCATCTACAGTGCGAACAAACCGTAGGATATGAAGAGGGATGTCAAGATCTTCCGTATCACACGCTAGAGACAATGACCGCAAGGAAGTGCCTATCTTCACACGTCCTCTACCCTGCTCATCGGCAGCGAATCATCACTACAAGTGCTCCCTCTAGTCCGAGTCGTCCGAATCGTCCACGCTCTCACTGTTTTTCCTCTTCCTCTTCCTCTCCACTCGAGACTCAATCCTGCATCTCTCGCCCGCAGCATGCTGGTGGAACTCACAGCTATCTTCCTTCGCAAACAACCTGACATACGACTGATGCTCCCTATTCAAACCACAGAACTGCCTCGTAAGCTCAAGCAAGAACTCGGGGTTGATGTCGTCCGCCACCCACTCGCTGATCCCTTGTGTGCTGTAGATATGCACCATCAGCCTGCGTGCTGGGGAGTCGGCCGGCGTGCCTTCGTAGATTGTGTTGATGATTGGGGTCGTGGGATAGTAGTGGTAATCTGCACCCCCTTGCTTGACACGAGCCATGATAGCGTCGATGACTGCGTCCTGGATTCGTTCGTCCTGCACGAATTCGCCGAAGCAGTACATTTCCGCCAGCACTTGGTACTCGGTGGTAGCGATGTCGTCAGGGGTCGGGTCTTGGACGGTGTCCTCTTTTGTGAAATTCTCGAGCGTGAAGTACTCCAGGATCTGGCATGTGTCGTTGGCAGGGGGTGATAGTCCGTTGTAGAGACCTGGCAACACATTTTCGTCGCTTGGCGGGTTTGGGATGCCCATGCTACCGAAGCTGGCATCACCGTCCTCATGTACACCTGTCGTGATGTCTGCTGGGAAATAGGCAACTTTTGAAGCGATCCTACCTGTGAAGAGGAAGTGCAGGTAGCGATGCACAATATGTGCCTCAGCGTTCTCGATCATGATCTCCTTATTCTTCGACTCCCCCCACTCGCCGTTGAGCGCGTGATAGAAATACCAGGAGTGCTGCTCCAGGATATCGCGATGCACATGGAACTGTTGTCTCTCCTGTCCTGCGATGAGGACTACTTTGTCGTTGGTAAAGCTGCAAGGTGTTAGTGTACTCGCCAATCAGCCTTGGCTGAACGACCAACCTTAGTAGCTCATGCTCGAAGGTGCATGGGTCCTCCATGTGGGCTATTTGAGGATAGCTAGCGGGTTGAAGAAGGGGTAGAGTCGTGAGACGGAAGTGCAAGTGCTGTGGGTGCTGCAGGTGTGATGCTTATATGTAGTATGTATCGAAGCAGAACTCACTCAGACCTGTACGGCAATCCCTCTAGCTTCACATCTCCCATCAGTCATGCGGACTCAAGTGAGTCATGCTCAGAACGCCACTGAACGCCTTGCCATACCCGTAACCATCACAAACATCCCGATCATCATGCACCTTCACTACCAAACTCCTTCGTCCAGTCCTCGTTCCTATGTAGGTCCTCACCACTGACTGTCGGTCTCGCACTCTTGATCGCCTTCACAAAGTCCTTGACCTGAAGTGGCGGCTCAAGCAACTGCTCGGTCTCGACTTCGGTCCAATTCATCTCCACTGCGCCGGCATCGCCAGGTGAGCATGGTGTCACCTTCTCTGCGCCATCGACAGTGACCTAGAGAACATCAGTATGGGCACAGTGCACGATGCAGTGCTTTTCATGAGCTACTCACCTTCTTATAATGCGTCGCAGTCTGGATCTTCCTCACAGGTTGCATAAGCGCATCCTGCACCGCAATACTAATATCGCTTCCCGAATAGCCCTCTGATAATTTCGCTAACGTCCGGTAATCATCTCCTTTCAGCTCGCAAGGCGTACTCCCCACAGCAAGCTCAAACATCTTCATCCGCGCCGGCTGATCCGGCAAACTGATATGTACTCTTCGCTGGAAACGTCGCCTTATCGCCGCATCGAGTTGCCAGGGGATGTTTGTTGCTCCGAGGATGAGAACGCCTTTGGAGTCCCGGCCTACACCATCCATTTGGACCAGAAGTTCGGTCTTGATACGTCGTGATGCTTCGCTTTCGCCTTCGCCACGTGGGCCGCAGAGGGCGTCGATCTCGTCGATGAAGATGATGCTGGGTTTGTTTTCGCGGGCGAGATTGAAGAGTTGCTTCACTAGTCTATCGCATTGTCAGCATTCCATTTCGTTCAAACCTAGCCGGAGATTATCATACCGTTCTGATTCTCCCATCCATTTGCTCACAAGATCCGAAGAGCTGACACTGAAGAACGTGCTGTTGGCCTCCGTGGCGACTGCCTTGGCTAGATACGATTTTCCGGTACCAGGTGGCCCGTACAGTAATATACCCTTCCACGGCTGTCTCTTGCCGGTGAAAAGATGTGGGAACTTGATTGGTAAGATGACCGCTTCTTTGAGCGCTTCCTTCGCACCCTCCAACCCTGCCACATCCTCCCACTTGATGTTCGGCTTATCCGTCAAGATGGCTCCAGCCAGTGCTCCTCTCAACTTCTTGCTCTCTGGGTCGCCGTCCTCGTCATTGTCCTCCCCTTTGCCTGTACCGCCTGCTGATTTCCCGTTCGACCCCATTGCTGCTGGTTTCCGCTTCGATTTGTCCTGATCCGCTAGGTGATTCTTCAGCTTCTCTGCTCGGTCCATGTATTCTCCCGCTTTCGATCGTATCATCTCCTTTGACTTGGCGTTCTTCTCCCATTTCAGTGCCAGCATGAACAGCTCCAGTGCCTGATAGTAGGTCTGATAGGCCTTCTCGTAGTCGCCGGATGTGTCCTGTTCGATGGCTTTCTTGACCACATCAATCGCGCGGCCTAGAAAGTCGGTATTCGACATGGTTGCGATATTATCCGGATATTGAGGTTGTAGGTTTGTCTGGCCAAGATATCAGATTCGTGGGGCAGCCTAAAGTGTTTGGAGACTTCGTTGCTACGGAGTGTCTCAGAGAGGACGTCAGTGCTTGGCGGGTCCTGGCGCGATCGCGGGGAGTGGGGGTGGAGCGGAACTCATGCGCGTGGCACACGACACGACCACGACTTCATTTCTGATATCAAAGGTTACAGTACCAAGTTCAGCATCATGGATCAGCAAAAGCAGCTGCAGGCGCTTAGCGACCAATACCAAGGTCTGCAGAACGAGTTGACCACCCTGGTCCAGGCTCGTCAGAAACTTGAGGGACAATTCACAGAGAATGAGAGCGTGCAGAAGGTGCGAAAACATCGATTGCTCACCAAGGTCCACTTTGCTGACTCGATGTAGGAGTTCGCAGGCCTCGACGACGATGCCAAGATCTACAAGTTGGTGGGCCCCGTGCTGCTCAAGCAGGAGACAAGTGAGGCCAAGAGCACCGTCGATGGACGATTAGAATATATCGGCAAGGAGATGTAAGTCCTGCTGGTCAGCATCCTGTATATCACTGACTCATCGCAGCAAACGCATCGAAGAAAGCATCACAGAGATCCAAGGCAAAAGTGAAGGGAAGCGCTCTGAGGTAAAACATCAATTGTGTCATACTTGCTCCTTCGGCACCCGCCTGACTACTTCCCAGATCATGCAGATCCAGGCTCAAGCCCAGCAATCCGCTGGAAAAGCCTGAGTCCCCTTGCTGAACTTGCTGCTACCCAGGGTCCAGTGGCGCCTGAACACGCGATGAGGAGATCGAGAATGATGTGAAGCTCAGCCGTTGACACGCCTCTGTGTCCTCGAATGTGTCTGGAGAGGACACTGCTCATCCGCATCATGATCGTGCAACTGACATCCTCTCAAAGTCGCCACACTCCCCGGATTCCTCATACGCACTTCTCGCAGTGCCCGGCCATAAGCCTGGAGGAAGTTATGCGCAGCTGGCACAAACCCCATCTGAGTGAGCAGCGCCTCAACTTGCTCTTGACTACCGTGCCGAGCGTAGATCTCCGCGACGAGCCTCCGGATCGGGTTGGGCGTGGCCGACTCCCAGAATGCTTGCTGGAGGCATGGTGAACTTGGAAGTGTCGGTGCTGGCTTCGCCACTTCCTCAATCACCTTTTCCAGGAAAGCATCAGCGACTGCGGTTTGAAAAGTGACGTCTTCCAGCTGGACTCCGAGTTTGTACAGCCGGGCGAGGCGGGCGTACTCGCATAACCGGGGATCCTCCTCTCGGCTGCATACGGCACCGGTGTATAGCCAGTCGACATAGATTTTGAAATTGACAAGTCCAATCTCATCACTCCGCCACGGTGCAGGCGGCAGGGGCTGACGACGAAAGAATGCCGATGTGCCGACAAGGAGGTTCGTGTGGACATGATGGACAGCCAGTGTCCTGGGTTGTGGTGTTGGGAATGATTGTATGACGAGGGGCACCGCACGACTTGTCAGTCTGTCCAATGTCAATTGTGTCCGCAGACCGGCTGGAAGTGATCGTGGCTTACTCCATTGCGCCATCAAACCGTTGTCTGAGTGGTATCACCATCGCTGGAAGTACCGTCCTCTGTTTTGTTAGCAGCAAAGTGAGATCGAACTCCAAAGAACGGATGTGCTTTAATAGACCTAGTCATGGACGCGCTCACATGTGAATTCTTTAGCTGAGCGGTAGACCATGTTCTCACTGAAGCGCTCTTGGCTCACTGCTGAAACTGTGAAGCGTTTGTACGCGGGTTGGGAAAAGTTTCTCTGAGTGAACATTTTACACAGGACTCACGAAGGCTTCAACCTTGTTCCTGCAGGTGGCTTACTCCGAAGCCCTGTAGTGCCCCTTACCTGCTTCCAGTCTGTCTAGTGAAGCTAAGGTCATTCGCACGGCTTCTAGAAGGAAGCAATATGAAGTCGAAACTCTCTGTGTACAAATACGGAAACGAGCTAGATGCGGGTATCAAGGCGTTCAGTGGTATCCTGCAGATACCAGAAAGTCGGTAGGGCTGGCCAACACCACCCAGACATGATCTCATCTACTCATAACGATCAAATCAAGGATCAAGAACGCCAAACGCCATGTCGGCGCATCATCATGTCGCCTGGGCTACTGCTGTTTGGGTTCGTGGGACAATATAATCCTTGTTTTCGATCGTCACACTCTTCGTCTGCGGCAAAGGTCAGTATCTGTCTGTTTTTTTAACAGCAGTGCATGCTCACCATATGGTTGACTTTGTACACGCCCACTAGTCGTGAAGCAAGCTCGAACATGTTATTCCGCAAAGAGATGACGATGAATTGTGCATTTTTCGTCCTCTCCTTGATATAAGCAGCCACAATCGACACCTGTCATATATCAGTCACAAAATCCGGTCGCATCCAGGTCATTTCTACTCACATTGCGAAAGTCAAGAGCAGCATCAATTTCATCCATAACATAAAGCGGCGTCGGCTTATAATGATGCAAAGCAAACACCAACGCCAACGAACTCAGCGTCTTCTCTCCACCCGACAAATTCCCAATATTCTTCCAACTCTTCTTCGGCGGCATCACCGAGAACAAGATGCCTTCCGAAAAGGGATCGAGCGAGTCCACGAGTTCAAGCTCAGCATTACCGCCCATGGTGATCATCTGGTACATTTCCTTCAGACACATGGAGATGATGCTGAAGCCTTCCATGAAGCCTTCGAGGCGCAAGCGCCGGAACTCGTCGGTGCGGGATTTGGCTGCGTCGCGGGCGGTGAGGGAGGTAGTGAGGTCGGCGAGGCGGGTATTGTATTCTGTTACGCGGCGGCGGTATTCGGCGAGGACGGAGAGTTCGACGTGCTGGCTTGTGCGTTCTTCGAGGGCGGCGATGGTGGCTTTCAGGTCTTCCTTGTCCAGGCCTTCGAGCTCGTCTCTACTTAGCTCGGGCAACGGTTCTGGCTCCAGCTCTCCCCCGTCTTCGCTCACGCTTTGCAAGGCAAGTTTGCTCAGCTTCTCCTCCCAGTACTTGAGCCGCTTTTGATTGTCGGCGAGAATTTTGTGGTTGTCCTCTAGCTTGTTCCGCATCTCGACCTCGACACCACGATTCTCGTTCATCTCAGCGGTGATGCGATCCAGCTCTGCCTTGACCTCTGCAAGCTGTTCTTTCTTCTCCTCAAGTGCTTGCTCAGCTTCCTCGGCCTGCTTTCGGAATTCAGAGGTCTCGGCATTCTGTGCTTTGCGATCAGTCTCGACCTTCTCAAGATCTGCTCCGAGCTTGTCGAGCTCCTTGGTAGCTTCATCAAGCGACTTTTCATGCTTCACACGCTGCTTCTCTGCCTTGGTCTTCGCTACCTCTGCATCGCCCATGCGGCCAGTGAGTAGAGTCAGCTGCTCTTTGAGGTCGTCAACCTTACCCTTCTGCACTCGCAGCTTTACACCGCCGACTTCCATGATCTTGTCTTGTAGCTCCTTGATCTCATCCTCGATGCCAGCTGTCTCAGACTGCAGCTTTTCAATATCGAGTTGCATCTTGTCAATGGACCTTTCCAGACCAGCGAGCTTAGACTTATCCGACTTCGATGGCTGTGCTTCTGCTGCTAGCTCCTGAATTCGCTTCTCGCCGTCAGCAATGTTGCGCTCAATGCTGTCAAGTTCTAGGCTAAGCTTTTGTGCTTGTGTCTCGAGCTTCGGCACCTGGTCTTGCAACTCTCGAAGTTGTGACTCCAGATCTCGTTGTTGTTCTTGAAGCTCGGCATACTGTTGCTCAAGGCCATCGCGATCGACTTCCATCTTCGCGACTTGGTCCTTGCTGACATCGGCACTGAGCTTCGAGCTCATGCCACCTTTCGCCACTCTCGTACCGCCACCACTCATGGTACCAGACTTGTCGATGAGTTGACCATCGAGTGTGACTACTCGCCATCGTTTGGCACCATAAGCAATACGGTTCGCCTGCTCAAGATCTTTGGCCACAAGGGTGTTCTGGAGCACACTGTAGAAGGCCGGGTGGAAGCGATCATGCTTGCTCTTGACCAGGTCATAGAGTCGTGGGGCATTTTCTGGAGTGTCGATAGGCAACAGGTCGCGCTGCGGTAGTCGATCCAGCAGAATGAAGTTGGCTCGGCCCAAATTGTTCTTGCGTAGGTAGTCGATACATTGCTGACCGACCTCGACGGTATCGACGACCAGATTGTCAAGCGCTGGACATGCTGTGGATATGGCAACATCGTACTTCTGGTCAATCGCACCAAGATTACCGAGTCGACCATGGAACCCGTCAATGCGGCCAGACTCCTTCAGACGCGTAAGACCAGTAAGAACATTGTCCTGGCTCTGTGTTGCCGACAGACTTGCGCGCGCTTCGTCAGCCTTTGCACGAGCACCAGATAGTTTGGATTTTAGGGCAGGCTCTTGCGAAGCCAACTGATCGACCTGCTTCTGCACGTTTTGCGTTTCTTTCTCGGCTGACTTCCGGTGCTTCTTACACTCTTCCAATTCAGAAGCCTTGGTCTCTCGCTGCTCCTGTAATGTCGCAATCTTCGCCTTGATCTCGGCAGTAGCCGTTGAACCAGCGCTTTCACGTTCACGAAGGATATCAAGCTCGCTCTGTGCGACTGCCATGGAACTCTGCTTCTCGCTGATCTTTGCACTCCATGGCTCTAGCTGCTTCTGCTTCGCCGCAATCTGGTCGCTGAGGCCCTGAGTCTTCCCCTTGAGCGACTCGCGGATCCTGGCCAGCTCCTTCTCCTCATCCGCAATGTTCTCCTCAAGCTCGCCGATTTGCGTATTCAAGCGCGCCACATCCTCATCTGCCTGCTTCGCAAGAGTCTCGGAGTCCTTCGCGCCGAACTTGGAGCTCTCAGCAGTCTTATCGAGCTTCTTGCGCTTGTTTTCAAGGAACTTCTTCTTCTCCTCGAATTTGACGTTCTCCTTGTCAAGCTTTGCCATTTCCTTCACGACCTCTTGAGTGTCCTTTTCAAGCTTCTCGTACTCCTTGAAACCGGCTTTGTGCTGCTTCTCCAGGCGCTTGATATTATCTTCACTACCGCCATGCTTCTGCAACTCCTCGTTGAGATGCTCCTGGATTTGACCCATGGCTTCCTCAGCTACTTGCAGATTGTCACCGCACTCTGCAACATAGACCTGGTACAGAGCCGACTGCTTCATCGCTAGCTCGTTCTCATCATTGATGTATGCCACAGCTTTATTCTTCTTGTCTTCCAGCCCGTTCTTCTCTTTCTCAACATGCTGAACCCGAGAGCTCTTTTCCGAGCACAACTCGTTCAGCTGGTCGGTCTCGGTCGCTGCTTCCTCGATTGACTGCTTGTACTTTGAGGTGCCAATGATGTCCTCCAGATATTCCAGCAAACCATCGTCGTGCTCGGTCTGAGCTTTGGGCTTCATCTGCGCAATTGACTCCACCTCACCTTGCAAGATGAGAAAACGCTTATGGTCCAGATCTATGCCTCGTCCTTTGAGAAGGGTGGTGACAGTCGTGAAGTCAGACGTTCGGCCATTGATGTAGTACTTGCTACTATTGTTCTTGAATGCTCGACGAGACACAATCAGCTGCGAATCCGGAACAACCGTACTGCTGCCGTTGGGCTGGTCCATGACCTCCTGAAAATGTACTTCTACTTCGCAATGGTCAAGATCCGGATGCTGTGCACTGTTGTGTATGAGTGCTGAGATCTTGCCTTGCCGCATCTTGCTTGCTCGGAAGCCAAATACGAATAGCAGTGAGTCAATAACGTTGGATTTGCCGGAACCATTGGGTCCAACGACCGATGAAAAGGATGCATGAAAGGGTCCGACTTCTTGCCTTCCAGCGTACGACTTGAAATTCGTGAGGATGAGATATGTTATAGTCATGCGCGCCTTCGGAACTACAGGCTCTGTCGATTGTGGTATGCCTAATGCTTTCGTCCGGACCACGATATCCATGGGCTTGTCAAGCTTCGTGACACTCGGATCCACCTTCTTGACCTCCATCTTTACTTCTGCCTTGGGCGTTTGAACGTTCTCGGTTACTTCCGTGAGGTCTTCTAGTGGGACGTCCACGTGACGTTCGGCCACTCTTGGTGTTCGGTCATTGATGGCTGACTCTGTGATGTCGGTCAAGGGTATGCTTTGTCGTGGCGTAGTCGCTGGCTCGGGCGAAGCAGAAGGTCCTGGTGTTGGGAGGTGTGACAGTGAAGCGTTCAGCTCGGCATCCGTTGCTATCGAAACCCTGCTGACTCTGCTTTTCCGTGCTGTGCGCGCATCCTTGACAGTCCGCCTCTTAGGTGGTGACTTTTTGGTTGGCGATAGCGGTTCATCTGCCACACTTTCGGGTGGGCTGAATATTTGTGAGGGCTCAATCTGCGACATGTCCACAGACTCGCCTGTCTTCGTCCGTCTGCCGGCAGCCGCTCGTCGCTTGGGTGTTGTCGCAGTAGCTCCAGTAGTCTTCCGTCGCGGTGACGATCTTGTGCTACGCGCTGGCGCGGGTGTAAATTCTTCTTCCTCCTCATCTTCGTCCGGCCTGCGACTGGCGACGCTGTTTTCGATGTCCGAGCTGTTATCCTCGTCAACTACCACTTTCCGTCGCGCAGCCGCCCGCCGAGAGGGCCTTTCTGGAGACGCTGCAGACATGGCGACTCTGTTGCTGGTGTTGTTGGTACAGCGCAAAGTGTTTGTTAAGTGTCGCTGCTGCTCGGCTAGTCGCATGTTGACATCCATCAACAATCGCGTGGGGCGCGTCTATCGAATTGAGCCTAGCGTATTCTGTGCAAAGATCGCCACACTTGCAACGCCACATCTACTTGACCACACTACTCCTCGCTTCGATAAGATAGCACGACTTCTCCGCTCGCGCACAATAGTAAGCATGTAGGCTACAAGAACATCGAGCACACCCCTGCGAGACTGTGTCAGTATGAAGTTCATATCCCACGTCGCGCTGCTGGCCGCCGCCGGCCGTCTCATTGTGAGAGCCGATGAGCAAGTAGTGCTTACCAGCAGCGAAGAGCAGATGTTGGCACCCATGAATGTGGCGATTATCGGTTCGTATTGTACCACCGATATTGGCGGAAGCAAATCCTGATGCTGTCAGGCGCTGGAGCAGCAGGCTCGTCAACAGCATACCACTTAGCCAGATTCGCTACGGCAGCTGACATTGCGGTCAACATAACTGTCTTCGACCGGAATGACTACATTGGTGGCCGCTCTACCACCGTCTATGCCTACAATGACTCGCAATATCCTGTCGAGCTCGGAGCGAGCATATTCGTCAAGGTCAATACCATCTTGACCGATGCGGTAGCCGAGTTCAACCTCACAACCTCTGGCATGATCTCTCGCACGGATGACATTCCTGGCGCCGATATAGGTGTCTGGGATGGTCAGAACTTTGTAGTCGAGCAGAATAGTGGTTCTTTGACATGGTGGGATACTACCAAATTCTTGTGGCGATATGGCCTTGCTCCTGGTTAGTCTCGCCGTCATGACCAACGAAAAGTACTGACAGTCGCCAGCCCGCACCATGAATCTGATGAAGTCAACGACCGGCAAATTCTTCAAGATGTATGAAGAGCCGTTCTTCCCTTTCGTGTCACTGACGAAGACTGTTCGCGATCTGGATCTACTGTCTGCGACATCTGCAACAGGCGAAGAGTACCTCGCAATAAACAACATCGGAAGTGCCTTTGGTCACGACATCATTCAAGCTTCAACCCGTGTGAACTATGCGCAGAATCTCAAGTACATCAATGGTCTGCTGTCCATGGTCTGCATGGCCACTGATGGCGCTGTGGCCGTCGAGGGCGGTAACTGGCAGATCTTCGATCATATGGTCAGTGCTGTCAACGCCCACAGAGTACTTGATACCCCGGTATCAGATATCAAGAGCGATCACGATGGTAGTTACACCTTGAACTTCCAACGAACCAGCACCGAAGGTAGGACGCAAAGCCTGACCCAGAGCTTCGATGCCGTTGTTATTGCTGGTCCCTACCAATACGCCAATATCACGCTTGCACAAGGCATCGACCATACGCCGAAAAAGATCAAATACGTAACACTCCATGTCACGCTCCTCACATCGCCGCACCTCCTTTCGCCAGCCTTCTTCGCCCTACAGCCGGGCAAAGCAGTACCAAAAACAGTGCTCACGACCCTGTCACCAGACGAAGCTCCGCAGGCTGGACCCGCAGGTGTCGGCCGGCCAGGCTTCTTCAGCATCTCCCTGCTCTCACCCGTCCCAAACCCAAAGACAGGTGGCCAGGATTACCTTTACAAGATCTTCTCGCCCGAAGCACCAGATTCGACATTCCTATCGAGTTTGCTTGGTCTGCCAAAAGGTTCCGAAGCAGAGTCACCCATCAGCGAACAGGACATCTCCTGGATCTACCGCAAGATCTGGCATAGCTATCCTTACGAGATCCCGAGGACAGAGTTCGACCATATACAGCTTCACGATGATCTTTGGTACACTGGAGGCATGGAGAGCTTCATCAGTACTATGGAGACTAATGCTCTGATGGGGAAGAATGTTGCTAAACTGATAGTCGATCAGAAGATGGACAAGCTGAGGATGAAGAGGGAGAGCTATGCCACTGATCTGCCGCTTGTGCTTGCTAGTGGTGCTACCTAATAGATTCAATTTGCTGTAAGTTATGAAATCACGTGCACCTGCCTAACCCGTGTGCCACTGTGCAATGTAAATGTCTGATCGGTTCACACCTAAACGTCCTGGCTCGTCTTGGGAATCTTAGTCTTCCGTGGCGCGTCCACATTCCCCTCATCGCCCCAGGCGATTGCCTGGCGTATAGCCTCGAAGTAAGCCGTTAGAAGTGCGCTGATGCACGCAATCTGGAAGATTCCATCCTTGAGCTTGACACCAAGTCCATGCAAGTCGACAGGATCCTCGTATTGGGGCTGCAAAGTCGACTTGTCGCGTGCATTGATGGGCCTGCAAGCAATCTTGCCGCTAGAGATATAATTCTGATATGCTGTGAAGTCCTCGAAGCTACGATTCTCGATGATGACTTGAGGTTATGGCTTGACAGGGAGACCCTCCAGGAGTCGGCTGAAATATTCAGATCCCGAAACGAGGGCACTTCGGTGCACCACATATCGGTGGGAAGTACGAACAGCTTTGCTCTTCTTGACCACGACTGTAAGGACATCGTCGTCCAGACTGCTCCTCTGTCGGTCAATAACAGTAGCAACTGTTGGTGCACCCACTCGTGAACTTCATATGAATCCATGCGTCGATCACTGCTGTCCGCCACGATTGTGGAGAGGCTATCGTAAGATTGTGTATGACTGGCACACGCTGATGGAAGGCGTCGAAGGATGAAGTATCGACCAAGCCACACTGCTGCGACCATGGACTTTCAGCAGCCGCTTGTAAAAGGCTCGCATTGATGAGCGGAGCGTTGCAGTGAGTGAAAGCTGCTGAAAGCCACACAGCGTGATCAAGCCGCCCCTCTCGGCGGGAACTGACTCTCGTGCACTTTGCCACCTGCATCAATCCTCACAAAGCGCATGTTAGCTAGACCGATCCAGCTTCCATCCCACTTATCAAGCTTGATCAAAGTCTCCTCATCGGCAAGATTCGGCACCCAGAATCCAGTCTCGTACTCCTTGGCCTCGACCTTCTTCTGCTGCTCAAGTAGCGTCAATCGAGTAGCTGGCGGTCGTCCAGGTCTACGCTCAGACTGCAGCTGCTCTATCTCGTCCTCGTTGCGAGTCAGGTACTCTTCGGCTAAGGCCTGTACGGCAGGCATCTCCATCGGATGCAGAGTGTCGGGAAGGTTGTCTGAAAGAAACGCTACCCGTTCGAGCCACTGTCTGTTCGCCTTTTCTCTCACAGAGTGCTGCTTCGTGATCTTGTCGTCTCGGGCTCCGGCTTTACGTAGACGCCGCGCATCTCTGCTATTCTCGTGCAAAGCAGTGGGCTTGGCTCCTTTCTTCTTGGTGACATGCTTCTGCACTTTTACCAGCTTGGAGGGCATGGTGGCGAAATTTGTGTTAAGAATGATGTTGTTTGTGGAAATTTTGATGAAGAGGAAGGCACCGTGGGGGTCCAGCGGGGGACGGCCGCTCCTGCCCGCTCGACGCGTCCCCAACTTCGCGTCATCTCGATTTCAATATCGCATACACGCATCTTTCTTATAAGTCTACATTGCAATCCAGGAGCGCCCGGAGAATGACATGGTCCGCAGTATGAGCTGACAGGTACCGACTCAAGGCTGAACAGGGGCATTGCCTCGCGGCAGCCAGCATGGGCATCCAAGGCAAGAAGCCATCTAGGAGCAGTATATGTCAACCTAAGCTGACGATATGCAGGTCTTCTGCCACTGCTAAAGAGCATACAAAAGCCAACACACCTTCGGAATTTTGCTGGTCAGACATTGGGTATTGATGCCTATGGCTGGCTGCATCGTGGCACAGTTGCGTGCGCTATCGAACTCGCCCAGCAGAAGCCGACCAGGAAGCATATTGAGTTCGCACTCAGCCGTGTGCGGATGCTTATACACTTTGGCGTGAAGCCTTTCCTGATCTTCGATGGCGACTATCTACCGAGCAAATCTCATACAGAGAGGGACCGCGCTACGAGACGGAAGGAGAGTAAGCGTGCAGGCCTGGAGCTCTTACGCATGGGACGAGTATCGCAGGCGCATCTGGAGTTGCAAAAAGCGGTCGATGTCAGTCCGTTGATGGCACGAGAGCTTATCGAAGAGCTGAAGAGACTGGACGTGCCATACATCGTGGCACCCTACGAAGCAGACAGTCAACTAGCATATCTGGAGAAGCAGGGCATTATATCTGGCATATTGAGCGAGGACTCGGACCTGCTCGTCTTTGGCGCGCAATGTCTGCTCACAAAGCTGGATCAATACGGCGAATGCATCATGATTAATCGCGCTGACTTCACGGCTTGCCGAGAGATCAGCTTGGTGGGCTGGGCGGACAAGGAGTTCCGGATGATGGCCATGCTGAGTGGGTGTGATTACCTGCCAGGTATAGAGAAGATGGGATTGAAGACTGCGTACAGGCTCGTACGGAAGCACAAGGCTGTTGATCGTGTTGTGAGAACAGTGCAATTCGATGGAAAGATGAAAGTGCCTCCAGGGTATCTGGAGGCTTTCACGAGGGCCGAGCAGACGTTTCTGTACCAATGGGTATTCTGTCCTGAAGCCCAGGCACTCGTCAATCTCAATGCCATACCAGCAGAGCTCGATGCAGAGGACATGCCATACATCGGTCATTCAGTCGAGCCTCAGATCGCTGCTGGTGTCGCGGTGGGCGATCTGGACCCTAACACAAAGCAACGACTAGTACTGCCAGCACGGCAACCTCAGCAGCCGCTGTCTCGCACGAGATCAGCTCAAACGCCGGACGACAAGCAAGGCAAGACCATTGCAGAGTTCTTCAAAGCAAGACGGACGCCTCTCGCCGAGCTCGATCCGAACTCGTTCACACCCTCTCCAAGTCAGCAACGCTTGCTAGAGTCGCAACGCACCACATCATGGTCAGCTTCGCAGATACAGACGGCACCGATCTCCGCCATCGGCCGATTATCACCAGCCATACCACCACCGTCTGCTCCTCAGCCGCTGCGGCGGACCGTCACTGCTCCAACTGCCTTAGGGCCTCGAGCATCGCCTAAGAGGCAGCGTCTGTGTTCAGAGAGATTGTTAGGTTCCCCCGAGAAACATGCGACGGGATCACAGGCCGCCACGAGCCGCTTCTTTTCCAAACAAGCGGTACAGCCTAGCCCATCATTGCGGAAGGTGTCAGGGCAGAGGAAGCAGGACAACTTCGAGATTTGGACCGACTTGAAGACTACGATCAGCCCACCAGCGGAGCTCGAAGCAAAAATGCCGATCACTACCACACCGTCGCCGAAGAAACGCAAGAAGGTCGTCGTCTATAGTGATGCGCCGCGCGATACCATCGAGCTTAACAAGCAGACTGCGGACCATAGGTCACTGGAGACGGAACCCGAGCGAGTGCCTGGGCACAATTCCCTTCTCACGACTTCACGGCCCCCGGACGAGGTAGCCCTGCCCTACAACGTGTTCAGTAAAGGCATCAACACAGCCTTCGCAGATCTGAGGTCGAAGTGGGAATTGAAGCCTGAAGCACAGCCGCGTCCTTCCGCGAGAGCAGCAGCTCCACCTCTATATGATATGCAACCAAACGCTATACTCGGCAGAGCATTGACATCGTCTTCTACCTCGCTACGCAAGATTCAGGTCGTAGCGAACCCGACAGTCGTTGAGACACTTGTAGCTGGATCTTCACCAATTCTTGGCCCAAGTGCAGTCGATATCGACAACGCTGAGGATGTGGAACATTGGTCGATGTTGCAGGAGCGAGCAAGGACGCCAGATCATGTGCTGAACGCCAAAGGTAGTGAAGACTTCCTTGTACCGAATAGTCCTGCCAGAAGTGAAGTTGACGAGGCGCATGTACGGCCGAAGCTGAATCTTGGGCATTTTGCGTTCGCCGGATGATTCGAGACATTGTTATAGATTGCATTATATCGTGTTACGAGACATGAAATGCACGGTAATACAGCTCTTGTACCACCGTTTACCGTACTCTACGCACTTCCGCATTCAGCGGCAGACCTTCTCGGCCGCACGACGCGAAGGATCCTCGCCGCCGAGAAGAACGCCACAAGTAGTGGGTCAGGCACTCAGGGGCCTGCAGAGCACCTTATCAAGAGCAATAACATCTCCTGTTTGTCTAATGTCGTTACCCTGCGAGGCCGCTTTAGAGCTTGCATCCTCGCCTGGGACAACGGCTGCGGCTTCAAGTCCTGGCCATTTCGAACGCCCCTAAACTGCCATGGCTCGTCCTTGTGCGAAGCATGCTGATGATGGTCCAGCTTCCGCACAGCCTGGCCGTTGAAGCTCTCGACATTTGAGGCGCTGCATGTCGGTAAAGAGAGTTTCACGCTGTAGAGACTAAATGATCAGGCCACAGTCTGTAAAGTACCATCCTTCGCTATGTAATCTACTACTTCAAGAGCTGCGCCCCAGCTTCCCCATTGAACAATGCGATTTAGTTCTCGTGAGCCGTGACTATCTGGTGGACTGATCGCCAACTTCTGACCAAGCGTTCGATCGACCAGCCGGCCATCGAGGACATTTCGCAACGATGGCGTACAATTACAAGTACCCGCCCCAGCAGCATGGCCAGCCGGCTATGCATGACTGCTCGCAGCAGCAGTATCAAGGACAGACTGCAACTGGCTACGCTCCCGCACAATATCAATACGGTCAGCAACCACTACAAGCGCCGAGCATACCTCTGAAGCCAATGTACACAGTCTCGAGTACCTCCCTGGACCCGAGTCAGGCAGACTACTCGCCTCTAACCCCCAACACACCCACGGACCCACAACTCCTTCGCCTCTCCGCCCAAGATTCCAAGATCAAGAACAATGTCCGCGTCCTGCGCCTCGTCTCACGCGTCCTAGCCACCATCCTCAGCGCCGCGCCACTCGCGCCCTTGGCAATGACTATCTACAAATTTCTTAGGACAAAAGACACCTACTTCACAGTCAACGGCCAAAAGCGGACAGCTTGGGCTCAAGATACCCATACCATCTTCACCTACGTCTACTTCAGCGCAGCACTAGTCTCATTCCTTTTCGACCTGGGAGTTCTATTGGCGTACTTCCGTGGCGTAAAGAAAGCTAATGCTGCGGCTCAGGTGGGCAAGTGGTGGCATAAGGGTCTTTTGGTCATGGAGGTGTGTGTTTGGGTTGGGACTGCGGCGTATTATCGGTATGGAAAGGTGCCTGTTGATGGGAAGTTTCGGTAGGTGGTTCTCACTTCCCTGCGATGGGGATAAACACGCAGGGAGGCTGCCCGCTGATTAAGTGCATGCAGGGATCTCTGGGGATGGACTTGTAGCCATCAAGCGAAAGAGCTGCAGGCTGTGATCACGAACGTCAACTTTGCCAGGTATTGTACCATCCAGGTAAGTCGACATCTTTGGTTTGGAGAGAATTAGTGCTGTCTCTAATCCGAGCTGGCAGACTTCATCCTTCTACTCCGGAATTGCGAAGGTGCTTACACTCCTACTCACGAGAATGCTGTACATAGGCGTCTTGATGCGGCTGCGGTCGAAGAAGAAGCTGGCAGGTGCGATGGCTTACCAGGCAGACGAGGCAAAGGAACCTTTACGAGCATCAGGATGATTTGAGGCACAGCCCTTGTCGACGTCTTGCTTTGTTGAAAAACCACACGACCATATCAGAAACAAAGGGCCTTGTATACAGCCACTGGCGGAGTTCTGTGGTGGCCATGGAATGGCATGGAATGGAAGCACATTGGCATCCTTAATGTGCTTCCATTGCAGTTGCCGAGATGACTGATGTCGAGCCGAGCATCTTGCCAGGAGTGCATGTGGAGTACACTGAAGCTATACCTCTCGCTTGTACGCCGGCTCCATGCTGAGCAAGTCCACATTGCGCCGCCGTCGGCCGGTTACGGTTAGATGGGTAGGGCACATAGCAATGGCAGATGGTTGCTGAAGAGGTAACCACGGTGCTCTCTGTAGCTGTACATACATGTATCCCTTCTGTTTGACACACATGGAGTCGCTTGTCCGCATGGTTCATGTGGTTGTCTGCAGAAACAATTTACATGACACGATGACAGGGGATCAGCACAGGCATGACTGCAATGCAAATCATCCCCCGAAGGCCTGGGCCGAGCCATACGTCACCCCCTGTTGGTCGCAATCTCTTGAATGTCACAGCAGAGACCAACGACACGATTGAGTTTCCCCATCGTACGCAGTAAAGCGCTGGCGGGCAAACATTCGATAGCAACGAAGTTTGGGTAGATGAGGGAAACAACCCCATCTTGAATGTTGCACCTTGGACACATGCATATCATCAGTCACATTTGCAGAGCAGAGCAGCCTTGCGAGTGTCCGCGGAGCACATATACTTCTTGTTGTTGTATTGTACGTCACTGAAGAACAAAGAGGAAGCCGTGCATCCGCGCCTCCAGAACAGCATACTTTCTCGCCCAAAGCGGTATCCGTCACTCCCGAGGCGCAGCAATAGTTCCAATAGTTGTTTGGCTGTCGTCACGCTCCCCTTCTTACTTCCTGTAGTAACTTGATCTCGCCGCGGCCAGTCGCAAACGCCCACCAAACCTGCAGCAGGTAGCAACTCTGTCGCGACAACAGCATCATCATGTCTACATCCGGAGCTCCATATGGCTCCGTGCCAGGTCCCTCGGATTCACACATGGGCAGAGGCTACGGCACGCATCCAGGCACAGGCATATCCGACTTCGCGCAAGGCAACCCGTCCGCTGCGAACGCATCGCCTTTGTCGCAACAGAGACAGTATCCGTACCCGGCAGGCTCCTACAGCGAAGACTACAACGGAAGCCAGATAGACAATTCCGCCCTACAAGATGGCAATGTGGGAGTTAATCGATCGGCTTCGACTGCGACTACGGCTGTACCGGCTGCGGCGCCGTCACGGAGCAATACGTTGAGGAAGAAGTCTAGTATGAAGCGTGTGGGCAGTCTGAAGCGGAGTGCGAGCAGGAAGAGCATGACGGCTGGCAGCATCAAGAGTACCTCACGAGGCATGGGCTCGGACGAGGACTTCAACAGCATATTCCATACACCAGTGCCTACTCAAGGCTCGCCGACTGAAGTGCTAGCCAATCGCTTCCAAGCATGGCGACAGCTGCTCAAGTCACTCATCGCATACTTTCGCGAGATCCAGGACTCATACGACTCGCGAGCTAAGGCTGTCAAGAAGGTGCAGAGCACTATCTCCAGCATCGTCAACCCATCGGTGTTCATGAGCGAGCATGGTCTCGGTGAAGCTACGCGCATGCTGGACGACTACCACAAACGATCGATTGCCGAAGCAAACAAATCTCGTGAAATTGAGAATGATGTTATCGGAGCGCTGACAGGCTTGCGAAGCGACTTGGGACAGAAGATTAAGGAGATCAAGAGCCTGAGTGGTGACTTCAAGAATAGCGTGGATAAGGAGAAGGAGGTTACGCGACGTGAAGTGGAGAAACTGCAGGAGGCTTTGCAGCATGCAGATCATGAGGATGGAAATGCGACGGGCAAGAATGATCCTTTCGTTGTCAAGCTTGGCGTGGACAGAATGGTTGAGCGACAGATCGATGAGGAGAACTATCTTCACAGGGTGAGAACGTCAAGAGTCAGGTAATGGGCGACTTTGCTAACTCTGACTAGGCCTACCTCAATCTTGAAAGCTCTGGTCGCGAACTCGAGTCGATTGTGGTTGGAGAGATTCAGAAAGCATACAATGCATTGGCCGGCATCTTGAAGCGTGAAGCCGACGACGCCCACCACGTAGTAGAAGGCCTCCGGAGCGGGCCCATCGCAATGCCAAAGGACCAGGATTGGATGCACTTCGTTGTAAACGACCCTCACTTTGTGCACCCAGAGCTGCCTCTCCGCAGGATCGAGGACATACAATATCCAGGAAAGCATCACCCAGCAGCGACCGAAGTGCGCGCCGGCATGCTCGAGCGCAAGAGCAAATACCTTAAGTCTTACACACCAGGCTGGTATGTGCTCTCGCCCACTCATCTCCACGAATTCAAGTCTGCCGACAAGATCTACACCCAACCTCCAGTCATGTCCCTCTACCTACTTGACCAAAGACTCGGCTCGAAGTCTGAGGTCGGCTCTTCAAGCAACAAATTCATGCTCAAAGGCAAGCAAAGCGGAGGCGTGCACAAAGGCCACAACTGGGTCTTCCGCGCCGAGACACATGACACGATGATGGCGTGGTACGAAGACATTCGTGTTTTGACCGAATCTACTGGCGAAGCACGTACCGCTTTTGTCCGCAAGCATGCCAGGAGCATCAGTGGGACGAGTGATGGCGCCACCGTCAGCGACGAGGGCTTCGAAGACGACGAGGCAGACGCAGCGCCGTATCGTGCCGATGTCGCTAGTCTGGCTGAAGTCCACCCGCAGGAGAGTCGACCGCAGCGTCCGGCACCAGGTGAGTGAGTGCTGGCCCTTTTCGTTGTATCGCGTGTGTCCCGTTCTGTCCGAGATCGTCGTATACTGACCTCTGCTGTGTTCTTGCAGGAGGACGATTCCCTTCTAATACTAACGTACCACGCACTCGTGCTCTTACGCCATCTAGCGGTAGCGAAGAAACAGATCGAGATTTCCTCGCAGTGGGTGGTGGTAAGGGTCTGCTGGCTGGCTCCGCCGCCGAAGCGTACGACCGTACTGGTCAGAACCCATACAAGCTGGATGGTGTGTCTGCCGGCAATCGCACGATACCCGACTACCAGCCAGGTCCGGCCACCGTGGAAGGGCGGCAATACTACGACGATGATGAGCCAGTATATCCCTCTCAAGCTGCCGAGACCTCCCGCGCGCCAATGCAGACGCAGACGTACAGTCTTCCCGTGCAGCCCAACCAGCCTGTGAATCAGCAACAGCCAGCTGCGATCACGACCTTACCATCGACTACTTACGATCCCACTTCGCAGCCTGCTGATGTTCCTAACCAGCAACCGCAACCAGCCACGTTTAGTCCAGCACAGCAACGTCCTTTTTTAGGTAATACTCCCGATCGCTATAACAGCATGTACGGCGATTGGATGGCACCCACGGCAGCAGGCGTGGCAGGCGTCGGCGCAGGAGTCGCTGGCGGAGAGTACCTTCGTAATCAACGTCAGACGAATGCAGCTCGCGAGCAGGAACAGGCATTTAAACCTACAACTGTGCAGGAGGAGACGAGACGTCCCATGGTAAACGACATGGGTGTGATGGCAGGGGGCATCCCAAATCGGCCGGGCTCCAATGATAATTTGACTGCCCTGACTGCTCCGTCCACCACTTCTGCGGAGACCTCAACGCCTTTGCAGCAGTCTCAAGTTGTCCCACCGGTGCCGAGTGTGTCTGCTCCAGTCATCACTTCTCTGGCGGCAGCTCCAGTCATTGCGCCCACACCGCTGCGCCAGTCCGAGGTATCAGAGCCTGTAGCCAACCTGCCAGCACCTGGCACGAGTTCAGAAGGACTAGAAGGGCGTACAGGTCTGGATGGTGGTGAAATTGCAGGATCCGGGCTTGGAGGATTGGAGGCCAAGGGTGCCCATGAGACGGGAAGATTCGCCCCGATTGTGAGGCATGATACGGATATGAGTATCAGTGCTTTGCATGTACCTGGGGAGTACCCTAAGAAAGGCTAGGGGTGAAGGAAGATGTGAAGTACGGTAATATCGACAGCATTTGGATGAAAGTGTTTGGCGAGCAAATCGGGGCTGAAATTCGCAGAGCATTGTGTCAACTGTACATATGATTACTCAATTGTAAATTTCCAGTACCACAATGGTTACCAACGACAAGTGCAATTTATTATCTACACTCACCGACATATCCCTACTGGTTATTGTTTTGATCTAATGGACCATGTGGGCGGTCAAGGTATGCGAGGGTAACTTCACCGGCTTTTCAATATAGAACATGCACGGCCATGTCACAGGAGACGATCAGAATAATACAGGGCCCAGAAGTATGCCATTGATACCAGCATATCTGCCCAGCCTAGGCGGCACGTTGCTGTAGCGCTCGTGGACGAAAGCGCTCAAATCTACATTCCTCTCGTTGTCCCGGTACATGGCACCACGGATGCACAGATGGGATTGACAACTCGAAGGATTCTTTGTTCTATCCTGAACCTCTACTGACTTCCGGTGGCGACTACAACCTCACCCGTCACCACTTCAGATCAGTCGTGCACCATGGCAGATCTCGCGGACCATATGCTAGAACTTATGCGCCGCGCTGGCCCACCAGCCGGCGTCCAAGTCAACGTCTCAGCATGTCCTGTTCCGTTCCTGGACGCGAATCTCTACCCGCCTACAGGCGGTGGTACGTTCAACTCGAGTCCGAGAAGCATACAACCAAGCTGACAAACAAAAACAGAAGTCGACGCCCGCTTCTGCGCCTCCCCAATCCCACCCCTCATGTGCTGCCTCCCCTGCCCGATCTCCGATTGGGTCTTCAGCGACTCCTTCAACACCCAAGCACCCGCCGCAAACTACATCTCCATCGCCGCCTTCATCCTCAACTCCGTGCTCCTGATAACCTTCATCGTGCTCCCGGAAACCAAGTCCCATCGGCATTATCTTTCCATCGGCCTGACGATAAGTCTGATGTTACTCAGTATCGCGTTCATCATCCCGTTGAGCACGGAGCCAGAGTTCTGTTATGATGCTATCACGCCGAATAATATGCATTCGGATCTCAGTTGTGCGTGGTCAGGGGCGTTATTGTTGGTGGGCGCTATGGGGACTGCTGTTTGGGGTATGTCAAATTATACCTTACCGATCTTGACTTGTACTGACATCGTACACAGTTCTCCTCCGCTCAGTCTGGACAGCTCTCCGCATAGTCTTCGACTTCAAACACCTCGAAATCTACAAATGGGTCTCCGTCCCTCTCGGCGTCGGCCTCCCGCTTCTTTTCCTCGGTCTCACCCTCCCACTGACAGGAGTCTCCTACCGCCTCTACAACGTCTGCATACCCAACGGTCCTCACGCCTTCGCCACCTGGTTCCTCTGGATTCTGATCTTTGCTGGCGCGGGAGGTGTCGTGTTGGTACTTACCGTCCTATGGTGTTTGTGGAAGTATGCGCTCAGTGCCTTTGCCGGCAAGGCGCAGGTGTCTGGCTACACGGGTGGTGGGACCAGTCAGACGACAACACAGAGAGGTGATCAGCCGGGCACGCCTAAGAGTCCTGGGAAGGCTTCGAAGCGTGGCACGAGGGTCGAGTGGTCTCGAATCCAAAGGGTGTTGGCTCTGCAGTGGCGAACGATCTTGTTGGCATTCATTGTCGTGAACGAGACGATCTACTTTGGTCTGGTATTTGTTGAGCAGACTGCGGCTATCGAGGCGAGTTCGCACGGAATCACGGCTGCGGATTTGGCTTGGGGTGTTTGTCTGATCGAGACTTTGGGTGACAAGGTGGCTTGTCTGCCGCAATCTGGTGGGCTTGGTGTGAGCGAGGCAAGGATTGTCGCCACACTCATCCTTGCATCGGTAAGTCGCAACGTGTCTTGCTTGGCCAAAGTACTTGTGCTAATGCCGTATGTCAGTTGCTCGGCCCTGTAGTCTTCTTCCTAATGGTCCGCTTGAGTATGTTAGAAGGCTGGTGGGAGATCATACGCAACCCGCTAGGTTACTTCAAGAAGCGCAGGGGCAGTATGAGCAGCCAGGACTTCATCATGGCGACTAGTCCGAGGCATATCTCGCTCAACAAGCCGCTGGGCTCGGACACACCAGAGCTAAAACCTGTCCCACGCAGTCCGATGAGGCCGAAGACTGTACCTGAGGAGGAAGCTCAGGGGCTCGACAGTGCCGTTGCAGCTGGCCACGAGCATGAATATGACAGCAAGACGGCTGATGCGCATAACGGGCTGGACTTCGGATTGCGCGATCACGATAAGCATGACGAGAAGGACATGAGCGAGGATGAGGTCCTGGTATGACGCATACGGAGTGGCATCTGGGGCGGGATTGGTTAGAGTAATACAGTTTTCTACACTGCGAGTTCATTTGTAAGCGAGCTGTCAACATAAAGTCATACCGCCAACCTTTCGCATTGCTTGAAAAGTCCCACGACCCATTCTCCGTTTGTTCGCCCAGGACTCCAGAAACGCCGCCCTTCAGTGCTGAGAACGTACACATGTCGTCCCACCTAGTACCCTCGGCCGCGACCTCTTGGAGCGCCCCGCCCACGACTGCTGAATCCGCCACTACCTCCCCTTCCACCGCCGAAGCTTCCTCTGCTGCTGAATCCACCTCGGCCGGGAGGTCCACCACGTCCTCTTGGCGCGCCTCTGCCTCGAGGAGCACCTCTCCCACCTCGTCCAAACGATCCAGCTCCACCAGCTCCTCTGGGCTTCTTAACCTTCGCTGCACCAGGCAAGGGCTTTGGCTTAGGCAGAAATCTCTCCAGCGGCAGCAGCTTGTCGCCTCCAATGTAGAACTTGTCTCCAGCCTTGAAGCTCGTCGCCTGAATACCCTCTTGTGGTTTGATCGTGAAGTAAACTTGATTTAGCGGTCCGAGGATCTCGTCAACTTTGCCAATCGAGGTCTTGTTCTCGAGGTATATCGGGGCGTTAAAGTATGGGATCTTGGGGTTGATCGAAGAGCAGACGAGCTCGCCCTCGGTTGCGTGCATGAACTCGCCCATTTCTGTACAAGATTAGTCCCTGGCTCTCCCTTCATCGTTCATCCTAAACTCCTCACCTAACACCTGATCAGGAGGCCCTTGAGGCGCAAACCCTCCTCTCCCACCTCGAAAGCCACCACCTCTTCCGCCACGATCTCCGCCTCGAAATCCTCCACCTCGTCCACCCCGGTCTCCACCCCTAAAGCCTCCACCACCGCGGAAAGACATATTGGGAAATGCGCTGTCTGTCGCGCTGTGTATGGGTCCAGTAAGGTCGTAGAATTACGTGCGGAGCATGGAGTCGTGGTACTGGCGCATTGCAAGCTTCAATGAAAGCTCAAGAAAATCATGTTCGGTGCGCGGAATTGGTGCCGAAAAAGCTGAATGCCTGAGGCTCAATGCGAAACGACATAAATTCACAGGTCTCTGTTGGGTGCTCAGATAACTGTCTTGCGGACAGCACAATGTAGTCTGCCTCATCCTACATCTTGACGGAGCGAGAGAAGGGTAGAGGTCGTCAATATGACCAAGACAAAACGGGCCGTCGCAACTCCCATTGAACAGCCATTTCACAAGCACTTCGTAGCCATCTACGGCGAAGAGCGATGGTGGAAAGCACTATATCCTGCTCTAGCCGAGTCTACAAGGTATGCTGCTGTAGTGAACCGCTACGCGACAACTAGTGATACCTGGAAAGCGACTCATGGCCCGCCTCTCCCTCCTAATACTGAAGGCGACGATAGCGGAGCGTTGAAGAATAATACAGCGTTTCATGCAATGACATTCCCCAGCCTATCTGATGCAGCAGATCCTGAGCATTATCTGCAGTGCTTCACAAGGCCGTTAGCACCAAGCGGTCTCTCCAACGAAGCTACCGTGTCCGTATCGACATCGACCGACTTTCCACAACCAACTGTGGTCTCTTCTCTGAATGGACGTCTAATTTCCCATTGGAACCTCGACGGTGCATCCGCACTCGTCGCCCATCTGCTCGACGTGAGATCTGGCGACAGCGTACTCGATCTCTGTGCAGCACCAGGAGGCAAATCCATCACCTTGGCTCAAAACATCTGGCCTTCCCTGCACATCGACACCTCAATCACATCAGCCGCAAGACCTGGAAGACTAGTCTCCAACGAAGTGGACGGTAGACGACATAAGCGCCTCGCTGAGAATCTGAAAGCCTACCTCCCAGCCGATCTGCTCAAAACAGGCAGAATCACAACCACGAGCATCGACGCAACACAATCGGGTCCTGCTCTCAACGCACTGATGTCTGGCGGCGACTTCGATAAAGTCCTGGTCGACGCACCTTGCTCATCGGAACGACATATCATTCATACCAGCGCCAAAACAGCTTCTGGTAAGATGGCTTCAGAAATGTCGAGTTGGCGAACCGGAACTTCCAAGCGTTTGGCTACGACACAAGCCGATCTGCTCATGACTGCGCTCAGAGCTGTGAAGGTTGGAGGGCAGGTGATGTATGCTACTTGCTCTCTCGAGCCGATGGAGAATGATAGTGTGGTTGAGAAGATGCTGCAATTGGTGGAGAAGGAGGGTAAGAAGGGTGCGAAATGGAGTGTGAAGCTTGATTTCGTTGATGGTGATATGGATGCTGGTCTTCGAGAGCAATTGCAGACGTGGGCAGAGCCGACGAAATATGGATGGATCGTGTTGCCGGATCGGCCTGGTGGTGGACGATGGGGTCCGCTGTTCTTCTGTCGGATGACGAAGTCGCCAAGAACCTGACCATGGATCAGGGTGACATGGAATAGTGGGTTCGTTATCAGACCGCGCCATAGTGCAGAGAAATCGGCTGAGATGAGAAGAGCTCGACCAAGTCGTGGCTCAATCATCGAACACTTCCGCGACCACGTGCAGTTCCTCGACCAACTCCAGTACCGCCCCTTCCTACGCCACTAGTGCTCCCTCTGGCACCTCGGCCCACCGCCACACCCACTCTACCACGAGTACTCGTCCCTCGTCCAGGCATCATACTCTGCCTCGAGCTCGCAGCCGATGGCGGGGCAGAGTACTTGCTCGAGGGCTTACTGCTCATGGGTGGGTTGTCCACGAAAGATGTGTCGGTAGTCAAGAACGTCGCATCGGCGTCTCCTTGCCCGTCCATCCCGCTTCGTGTACCTGTCATAGGGTGGGAGGAACGGAAGGGCGAGTCAGCTAACTGAGAGGAGGAAGTCGCATGGCGGGCAAAGGATTGTGGGATTGGTGCCTGAGTAGGATGTTAAAAGCGTTTCCCCACAGAGAGAAACACAGTATATAGGCGGCTCACCTCAGGAAAGTCAACACAGAATGCACTCATATTCAGACCATAGAGAAATGCTCCGAAGTTCTCATTGAACCTTCCCAAGCTCTCATTCAGCAGTTGTAGATGCATGAAATTCGCCTCGAGGTCAGCCATGCTGTCGCTGAACTCGGCGAAGGCACCTTCGAGCGAGGCGAGAGGGAAATCGGCATTGCTGCCACTTGGATTGGTATTGCTCGGAGTAGTCTGCGAAGCACGTAGGCTGGTCCGGGAGGGTGGTCGCAGAGGCGTTGTGGGACGCGAGGGCAAAGTCTTGGAGTGTGAGGATGTGCGGTGGTGATGTGTCGAGCCTGGAGGGGCAGTGGCGGGGGTCGTCGAGGCCATTGTGAGACTGTCATATGCTGTGTTTACTCTCAACTTTTCTGCCGAGTAGCATCCACGCGACTCAATTCAACCCACGCGTCGCTCGCTCGGCTCGGCATTGGAAAAGCATCCGGGATTCAGCCCCGCCTGTCGTCATGCCAGGAACGGAACACGACGGGGATACCATGCATCAAAGTACGAGTGGACATGTAAGCAGGAAGAAAATCAGAAAATCATACCGTCGCGCATATCGCAGAGAGAAACGCTTCATGTCCCTCCCAAATCGCGCACTCATCCGACCATTGCGCCTACCAAAAAGCCGTGCATACCCTAAGCAGCACCTTGGCCTTCGCAATAACCACAAGCAACTGCTCTCGGCGCATCGTATTTTCTGTGCTGCGCCTCCAATACAGCGATTACGTCCTGGCAGACCTACCCATAGCGCGATCGATCCTATAACATTACTCGCCACAGCAGCCATTTCTGCCGGCATTGCATACTTTGCGACAGCATATATCGATATTGAGAAGAACACAGATCCTACTGGCGCAGCAGAAGTAGCAGACGAAGCGCAAGTCGCGCGAGGGGAGTTGGAGGCAGACGACATGGCTGCACAAATACCACCCGGACGACCTGGCAACCTAACGCCAGATCAAGAAGTGAAGCTGAGGGAGATGTGGTCAGCCACTCTAGACGTCTTCGGAGTGGCCCACGAGACCGACCACACCGAATCCAACGGCACATCCACACCCTCCAGCGAAGCAGCACCCGAGACGAAGAAGAAAAGTAGAATGTCCCTCTTCGGCAAGAAAAAGAACAGACTCTCCACCGCCTCCACCACCTCTGACGGCGACACCAACGACAAATACGGCCAGACCAAAGAATTCCAACAAGCCCTCGCCTCACAAACCCCGGAACAACTCCGAGAAGCCTTCTGGTCCATGACCAAACACGACCACCCGGACGCCCTCCTCCTCCGCTTCCTCCGCGCCCGCAAATGGGACGTCCAAGCCGCCCTCATCATGCTCGTCTCCACCATGCAATGGCGCAGCACCGAAATGCACGTCGACGACTCCATAATGTCGCAAGGCGAATCCCACGCCCTCTCCGAAACCCTCTCCTCCAACGCAGCTGAGAAGAAGGAAGGCGCGGACTTCATGGCCCAGTTAAGAATGGGTAAATCCTTCCTCCACGGCACCGACAAGGATGGTAGAGCGTGTTGTTATGTGCGAGTGAAATTGCATCGGCAGGGCGAGCAGAGCGAACGGAGTCTGGAGAGGTTCACCGTGTACACGATAGAAACCGCGCGGATGATGCTCCGACCGCCCGTTGATACGGCGACGATTGTGTTTGATATGACGGGATTTTCGATGGCGAATATGGATTACACGCCGGTGAAGTTCATGATCAAGTGTTTTGAGGCGAACTACCCGGAATCGCTGGGCTCGGTGCTAGTCTACAAATCTCCCTGGATTTTTCAGGGGGTGTGGAAGATTATCAAGGGGTGGTTGGATCCCGTGGTGGCGGCTAAAGTGCATTTTGCAGGAGATGTGGATGAGTTGAGTCAGTGGATCTCAAAGGCACAGATCCCGAAGGAACTGGGCGGGAACGAGGACTGGACATACTCCTACGTCGAGCCTATCGAGGGTGAGAATAAAGCCATGTCCGACACGGCATCCCGGGATCAAGTCCTCGCCGAGCGTAAAGAGCTCGTGTCAAGCTACGAGCATGAAGTCTCTTCGTGGGTTGCAGGTGAGGGTAGTGGCGAAGGCCGATCACGCATCGCGCAGAGGCTGGCAGAGAACTACTGGCGCGCGGATCCGTTCCTGCGGGCGAAGAGCCTGTACGACAGGACGGGCGTGATAGGGCAGGGTGGGAGACTGGACTTTTATCCTGGAGCTGCGTCGGCATCCAGTGGTGGGCATCATGATGAGGTGGACTAGACCGGTCCCGATAGACATTCTTCGCTCTTCTTTCTAGGCACACATATCAACATGCCTGAAATAACACTTGTGAACATTTTGTGTTTGTCGTTTTCCACCTTCCATTCATTCCACTTGGATCTGCACACGTTCAGAAACTCACCAATGGCTAAGCACACGTCACATAAGGGAGAGATGCCGATGATGAGTATTGACCTTAGGGTTATGATCTAATTATATGTTGTGCTGCGGAACAGCAGTGAAAAGCAAAAGGGTATCAGCACATTGTCCAAATCATGCACCTCTTAACGCTGAAGGAAGTATAGATGCGCGCATAGAACCATAGATAGGTCATGGAGATAGTTGACGAGGTCATACGGGTCAATGGTCGTTTGGTCGGCTTCGTGAAGTCCTGCAGTGTGTTGGTTGTACTAAGCCAACGGCATACCAGCAGCTCGTCGTTCAAAGCGTGTCGCCCAGCCCTTGACAGCAAAGCAGATCAACTGCCATGCCATAATAAGCCCGGTCAACCCCATAGTGACGGTGAAAACGGTCATGGCGTCCAGTCCATTCGACTCGATAGCCCACACCGTATCATGCGCACTCATCATAAACATCAATCCACCACTAGTCAAACAGAAAGCCGCCACGAGCTCCGTCGGCGGCCTGGCCGGGAAATGCGAGGTCGGCGGCTTGAGGTATAGAATCACATAAGTAGCAGCACGTGCGAGCGCAAAAGCGAAGAACAGCGTTCCCCACTGCGCATGCATCATCGTGCTGACCATACTCTTCTGCTGATGCGCCGACATCATGATCCCCAACAGCATTATGACAAGAGCCGGCATGGGATTGAGCGGCAATTGATACGTCTTCGGCTCCTGCCAAAGCTCATCCGGCACATCGGCGGGAGCGGCTGCGCGGTCAAAGCGGGAGGCGTCTACAAGCTGCGAATCCTTGCTCTTCTGCAGCACTACACTCGTGCTCATCATTTCCCTAATCCAAGCCGAATCGATGAGCATCCCTAGCATCCCGCCGCCGAAGAACAGGAAAGTGATGCTCACGTGCTCGAAGTCCTGTGGCGACCATTCGCCGCCTGCGTTGTTCAGGTGTTCGAGGAAGACATTGCTGGCGCCATAGAGCCAGATGACGAAGGACTCGGTGAACTCTGCTGAGGGCATGCGGGTCTTCCAGCGCGCGACGAGGTGTTGTTGGGGTCGGATGTTCCAGGCCCAGCCGAATTCCGAGAAGGCGCCCATCCAGCGGCCGAGTGTCAGGACCCCGTACCACAAGAAGATGCCGCCTTTGACGAAGTGCGCTGCGATGGAGAAGGCTTCCCACTTCCGTGAGATGCCGCCGTAGACGACGAATCCTGTGCATATAGCTCCGAATCCAAGCAGTAACAAGAGCTTCTCCAGGACGATCTGGGAAGCGCGGGCCACAGTCGAGACCCGAGGTGTAGAGAAGCGTTGCATGTGTCTCGACAGAAAGCGATTCACTCTATTGTTGCCCAAGAAGCCTCGACGCTGGGGTTCCTCATCGTCTTCGTGGTCGCCCCGCTCGTCGCTATGGCTAGGTTGTTCAGAATCCTCCGGCTTCTGATGGATAGAGTCGGAGCTGTCGTGTCTCGAGCTACCCATGCCTGAGTCTCCCGACCATCGTACTGGCGTTGTCGGTGTCTGGACGCTGTAGTTCTGCAGCATGCTATAACGTCCCATGTTCTGGGACGACAGCCTGTGTCCACCATCGTGCTTGCTCTTGTGCTCGCTGTATGCAGTATACAGGCATAAGAATGTCCAAAACATCGTTACCGAGGTCACCACCCAGCCACCAGGCGAATGCGTATCGCCCTTGTACAAGTTCGGTGTTGCATGGTTGTAGACGAAACCCGTGAGGACGCCGACTCCATTCAAAGCGTGGAACAGGATCTGAGCTGGCAGATGAAATCGTGACCGAGCTATGCTTAGCATTAGTGCCATCGGCATCGTGATGACCCAGGCGGAGATCATAAGTGCGATATGTGCCACCATCCAGCCTCCGCAGCTCTCATGTCTGAAGTAGCTGGGGTAGCCGTCCGACCACGAGGTGTAGTTTGCATCGTCGGCAGAGGTCACGCCCATGTGCTCCATGGTCTCATGTAGGTCGCCATGGCCAGCTACCAATGGCAGCGCCCCGAGGAGGAGCGCTGCTGTCGCTACGGGTACAGCGAGCTTCTTCTGCATTTGTGTTCGCTACCAGCGGAGATGATAGCAGACTGCTTCCAGTATTCAGGTGATCTATAGAAAGCTCCTTCTGGACTAGGGTATCGTTGTGTTGGTAGTCTGAAGATACTGTCCAGGTCGATCGTAGCATATGCTCCTCGTCCAGCCTCCAGGTAAAATGTTTCAATATGTTCTCCCGTGTACGGAACGAAATGTTTGACAGGCAACAAGGCAAGAATAAGGACAACGTGGAACAACCAGAGAGCCAGAAGAGTATGCGAATAAGAGCGCTGCTTACCTGTCGATGACTGAACCCGACTGCCCATACCAGTGCTGAAGGAGGGAGCCATAGCCAGGCCCCTCCAGCACCGCCGATTGGACGACATATGTCAGCAGTCTGTCAGAGCAACAGCAGTTCCTCACAAATGCCTCCAATGACGCATGTGACGAGAAGTTATCCGCAAGATTGAGGTTTCTGTACAGTAGTGAGAGCTTCGGTAAGGTAGTGATGCGATGCAAAGCGAATGCAAGGATCTGCAAGCGCGCCCGCCGTGAGCCGCTTGGCAAGGCTGGATCCACCTTTCCGCTTGCCGCCGAGGGATTCTGAGGGCTGCTGACGATACAGATGCCATACCATTTCTCACCTTGAGCAGATATTGGACGAATGAGCTGCTCGTGGTCGAGACACGCGCCAAGTTGTTGCGTGATGCGTGCATAACCATTAATGCATAGCTCAGCTGCGGTGAGATGCGATTTGGGAAGCCTTGGTGGCAGATGACAACAGGAAGAAGCTTTCGACAAGACGGTACCGGAAACTTCGGACGACCGAACGCTGTACTGTGGAATCGCATAGTGTTCGCATCGGACTTGGAACTCGGTCGGATATCTTTATAATCCCGTAAGCAGCCGACCAATCGACATCTGATTGGAGGATCCGTCTGGCATGCCCTGAACCCCAAGACTTACGGATGGTCAGGCGACGATGCGAACGCGAAAAGGTCATATGAGTGCCAGCCTCAAAACATAAGGCTGAATGTGTGTGCTGTGAGTTGAGGTATGCATACAGCTCTCCGGACTGCCGAGCTAGCGAATACCGTCTACACCCACGCCGCATCACATTTATAGAGTGTACGATCCGCGGCATGTGGATGCGGTCGTCTGACTTTCGGGTCAGTCTCCATCACGACTTGGCATATCATGCTCTTGGGAGCGAAGTAGTAGTGCATCGAGATGCTCCGGCATTACTAAAGCAATGGCACTGTTGCTCGAGGTCTGTAGGTCAAGAAGACTCGCCAGCCTCGATTCAGTCGTACGAAACAGTCTTGATATACAGTCTTACATGATGTCCGTCGGAGCGGACTTGACCATTAAATCCGCTCGTCAGCTCGCAAAGGCTTGCTTACGGCAGGCAAAGAGTCATAGCACTGCAAGTAAGTGATAGGTGAGAATGCGAGTTCGTTTTGGGTAGGCTGACTAGCCAAGATCGAGCAGACACGGATCAAATGTTCGGCCATCATCGCTACCTTGCTGTAGGCCAGGCCATGGCATGTCTTGTTCCCGCATACCAGCGGAGCGCAACGACAACGCCTCCTACTCGCTGATAATGCATCTGTTCCTGTGCTTTCGCCATCTCAAAGCTCAGACAAACTACTACTCAACAGCCTCCTGTCCCTCAACGCCCCCAGCTTCCTAATCGCCTCATCAACCGGGATCAACTCTCCCAACTTCTGCGTCTCAGGATCATCCCGGTTTCTAATGTTGACACTCCTCTTCTCCTTCTCCTGCGCGCCTACCACAAAAATGAAGTTGTACTGTTGCAGCTGCCCAGTGCGGATCTTCTTCTGCAAAGTATTGCCCGTAATATCAATATCCGCGTGCATGCGTTCCGCTCGGAACAAGGCCTGAAGTTCGAGCACGTAGTCGTTGGCCGAGACCATGACGGGCACGATGAGAATTTGACGAGGCGAGAGCCAGAAGGGCCACTTACCGCCGAAGTGCTCGCAGAGGATGGCGATGAAGCGTTCGAAACTGCCGTAGATGGCGCGGTGGATCATGACCGGGCGGGCACACCCGGGTGTAAGTTCGCGCCGGAATTTGTCTTCGTCCTTTTTGACCGCGCTTGAATCTGGTTCAGCGGGAGGTGCGCTACGGATAACGAGCTTGTCTTTTTGTTCCGCTTCTGATGTACCGTCCGCGGCTTTGGGCTTGTCTGCTGCTGTCTCGCCATTGACTTGCTCCCGTGGACCAGCTTGCTCTTCTGTCCGAAACTCGAGGTTGAATTGTTGCGGTAGCTGGAAGTCGAGCTGGATCGTGGCGCATTGGAACTCACGCCTCAGCGCATCAGAGATTGTAACATCGATCTTTGGCCCGTAAAAGGCACCGTCGCCAGGATTGAGCTCCCACTTTGTGCCGGTCTGCTCCTTGAACTCATCCAGCGCCTTGGTAAGGGATTCTTCCGCTCTTCTCCAGGTAGCCTCGTCACCAAGATGGTTCTCTGGCATAGTAGATAGCTTCATACGGAAAGTAAAGCCGAAGAGTCCGTATGTAGACTTCAGCAGGTCGAAGAGACCCTTGATTTCCTGCTCGATCTGACTCTCCATGCAAAATATGTGGGTGTCGTCCTGCACGAAACGACGTACGCGAGTCATACCAGTAAGTGCTCCAGATGCCTCATTTCGATGCAGAACGCCGAACTCAGCCATACGTATGGGTAACTCGCGGTAGCTGCGCTCACGGTGACCGAAAAGCAGGGCATGGCCTGGACAATTCATTGGCTTCAGCGCCCACGCTTCCTTCTCGACGTCAAAGGTGAACATGTCGTCCTTGTAGTGCTGCCAGTGACCAGACTGTTTCCACAGAGAGGAGTTGTACATGTTTGGTGATTGTACTTCTTGATACTCGCGCTTCCAGTACTCTTGTCGCAGGTTGGCCATTAGTGCGTTATAGATGACCATACCGCGTGGCAAGAAGAACGCCGAACCAGGGGACATCTCGTGGAAGAAGAAGAGTTCTTGCTCTTGGCCGATCTTGCGATGATCGCGTTTCGCGGCTTCTTCGAGCATGTGCTTGTGCTCGTCGAGTGACTATAAAAATTTTAGCGATACCTCGAAAGTATTTGTCACTTCGTGCTCACCTTCTTGTCCGGGAATGAGACACCGTAGATACGCTGCAGACTGTCGTTCTTCGCATCACCAAGGAAGTAGCTGGCAGAGTTCTTCATGACCTCAAAGGCCTTTATTCGACCAGTATTTGGTACGTGTGGCCCCCTGCACAGATCGATGAGTGGACCACACCTATACACAGTCGTGGAAGTGCCGTCCGCAATCTTATCCTTGATGATATGCTGCTTGTACTTATTGTACGCAAACATCTCCAGCAAATCCTCCTTGCTGATCTCGAGTCGTTCGAACGGCTGCTTCTCCTTGATTGCCTTCTCGGCGATCTGCTTCAGAGGCTTGTAGTCCGCCGCAGTAACCGCAGCTTGCTCGGGAAGCGCCATCTCGTAATAGAACCCATCTTCGACGGGCGGCCCAATACACAATGCGCAACCCCATCTCCTCTCCGCTGCCTCGCCGAGGATATGTGCACTACTATGCCAGAAAACCTTCTTGCCCTCGGGATGCTCAAAGTCCAGCAACTCGAGCTTGCAGCTCTTCTCAAGCGGCCGCTCAAGATCCCATAGCTCGCCATCCACCTGTGCAATTACTGTGCGTTCGAATAAGGATTTCGAAATCTCACGTGCGATTCCCGCGGGTGTGATCTCCCAGCTTTTGCCCTGCTTCGATGAGCCATTGGCTAATGTGATTTCGATGTCCTCACGCGGCTGCTTCGCCACCCACTCCTCTCGCTCGGCTTTCCTCTTGTCGAAGAGGGCGTTCCTGGATGCGAAGAAAGATGGTGGTGGGGTCAACTCGAGGGGTCCTGCAGGGGCTGCGTCCTTGTCTTTGGGAGCCATTGTCGCGTGTGTCCGTATGGTCAGGAAGGGTGTGAAATGGTATACTGCTTTGTGTATCTTTGCAATGGGTTTTTCTCTCGCCAGCGACCGCCAGGTGGTGACTCGCCAAAGCATCCGTCAAATTGTGAGTCAAGAGCTACATAACATAATTCGTGACTGCCTCAAGATCGCGCTTGCGCACAGACGTTTCGGGCCACCTACAAAAGCGCCACTGTTTCAGGTCGCTGGGGGCAAGCACGACCACAACTGTGGCGACGTTGTGGCGAAGTGACATGTATACATTATAGATGATGTTCGTATGGTCATCAACACTGCAACAAAGCCTACCAACACCGTGCTAAATAAAATTCCTGGGTATCATAGTGTAATCCGCAATCACAATTTCGCCTTCAACGGATCCTCGTCAAAGAAGCTGTCGACCAGGACAGCAACACCGTCCTCTCCACTTCCTGCCTCAAGTAATATCTCCTGGCAGTCCTCATCGGCCACTCCATTCGCGTACTGAACCACCACGAACTCAATCGCCTGCTGCCCAAGGACCACCATTGGCGCATGCCATGTACCAGCACCATAAGTGACAGCTTGATCACCCCTCGCAATGAAAGCCCGCATGTTCCCAAGATCAGGCAAACCAGGTCCCTTCGGCGTGGGTGCATCGGACCAAGAACCTGTAGGCGTAGTGCTCGGTGTATGATCATTCGTGAACAGATTGGGTCGTGCCCCGAGTAATCTCTCCTTCAAGCTCGTCTTCCTCTGTGGTGCTGGCACAGGATACACCGGTTCCATCTTATCACTCTGGTCGCCCTTTCTCGAGCTGAGAGGCAGCGTCGGAGCAACAATGACAAGATAGCAAGTCTTCTGATCCCTCCCGTCCAGGCCCGTAGGCACAAAAGTCTGCGGCGTGAAAGGATGTCTCTCCAATACGCCCACCTTGAACACCTCCCTCCCGTTCATCGAATCCAATCTTCGTGGCGAACAGACGAACATGTTCATCACGACCTTCGCAGCCTCCTTACTCCGCCCCATCCCATACCAGTTCTGCATCTTCGTAATATCCAGCCATTTCTTTGCCGAACCTTGATTCGCTACCGCGCACTCGAGTCTCGGTGCTCCGCCATGAGAAGCAGGATTCTGGACCACGGAGCCGAAAGGTGAGAATGTTGCTGGCGTAAGGTCTTCAACGCGAATGGTGCGGTTCGAGGCGGATATCTTGGGAGCCATTGCGCACAAAATATCTTCGAATTGCGGCTTTGACGATGAGCCAGAGATTGCCGCACGTCGGTAGAGAGCCTTCTGAGGGGTCTTTGCCCATATTGAAGAAGAGGGGAAGAAATGGTTCACTTGGATTCGAAGGCCTGATGGCGGGGCAGGGCGGAATTTTGACTGGCATGTGAAAGGCTTCAAGGCGTTTCACGTCATCTCACCTCATCGCATCGAAGCATTGATAATCTCTTACACCACAGATTGCAAAGCAAAAGTCCTTTATGACTGATCTCGAGTGTACTGGGGCCAAACGACTGCCAGGACGCCGTTAGTGAGATTAGTGAACAATCATGGCTGGGAGGGAGAAAATCACTGATCAGCAATCAACGGCTGGTATGGACTACCATACAATACACCAAAGTGAAGGAGAAGCAGCTGAGGCTTGATCCGTGAGATGGTACGGAGCTCATACCAGAAGAAAGAGCGACTATCCCCGATTGACCTCATTTTGTACCCGGTGAGTGAAGGTTTGGTTTTACATTTCCGACAAACAGACAGTACTTCACCAGGGCGTCCTGTGTATCCAACAGCAACGTCCCACAGCGCTGCAATCCTACAGCTCCTCTGTGCTCTGTGCCACCATCCTACTCTCCCTCGCCTCCAATTTCCTCACGTCGCCTTTCCTGTGCGACATTGGTCTCCCATCTCTGCTTACATCACTGCCCCTACCATTCACATTCCCATTGCCATTGCCATGTCCAAAGGATGGCCTGGGCGGTGAACCACCAGGACTATCAATCACGTCTGCTGCCGCGACAAAAGGCTTCTTCACCGTCGTCAGGTCCAAACCATTGACGCTGGCTCGTCGCATCTGGATCTCTGCAGGCGCGGACATTGGCCGCGTGTTGACCTGGGTCTCCAAACTACTATCGTTTCTGCTAGGGGTGGCTAAAGCGGCAGGGCGTCGATGCCAGAACCACATCAATACGATGGCGGTCAGAGAGAACAGCGCAGCGACTCCCAATCCTGCACCCAGTCCTGCTCTGGCGTTAGGATTGAGCTGCTGCGGATTCTGCAGTGTACTGCTACCAAGAGCCGGAGGTGAAGTCGGGAAGATAGTCGTTGTTGCGACCGCCGCGTCGAGCGTTCCACATTGCACCGATCGACATGCGTTGAAGAGTGGTGAACTGATATCCGTGCCGTTTGATAAGCAGTTGAGTTGCCATTGGAAGCAGGTGAAAGATGGCAGGGTGTAGAGGTAGGCGGTGATGTTCGGTGTTTGGGTGTTGGCACATGTGCATGAGCATTCGAGTGCGTTCTTTGATGATCAGTAGAGCACGAGTGATCGACGAGTAGGATGCGTACGGGATCGCAGGAATTGTATACGATAGGTCCGCAAAGCTGCGAGCAAGTATTCACCTGGTATGTACACCATGAATTTCGTACCGACAAGGGCACGCCATTCGGATCGATGTAATGCTGACTGCCGCTGTTCATGTAATTGTAGCCTTGCTCTTGAGACATGGCGGCTGATAGTAGTGTCGTGAGGAAGAGTAATAGCATTGTGGGTGTCTTGGACGTACGCATACTGCCATACAGCTCTACATACCTCGTCCGATATCATGCTTGACAGGAAAGCTATCAAGAAGTCGACCTCTCGTCATCGTGCGTACACGATATCATAATATGCACGAGCACATTTCTTCCGTCGCATGAAAAAGGCATACGTTCTCGCCGCATACAGCTCAACCATGCATTGCCCGCTGTCTTGTGCAACGCATGAAGTCAGAGACACCACGTGCTCTGCTCATGGCAGATGAGAACGTGCAATTGCACAACACAGTGCTCGCTCCGCTTTCGACGTTCATGGGCGTCCAGCTAATTGTTGGTCGTGCACACGTTAGTCGATGTAGACATGCCACCCATACAACTTCCCGAACCACTTTCTCGCAAGACGCGCACCAGCTGCCGTTGGTTGACTGAACGCCACATCCTCTTTTCCCCTCAATTTCTCCAGTGGTTCGCATGTCGCGTCTGTTAAACATACAGCAGTGTCATTCTGCTTCGCGACCACTTCTCCTTGCCTGTCCACGACCTGCACGACCACTTTCTTGTCTACTCGCTCATCATGATGCTTGACCGCAGTATCGAGTAACGCGACAGCAATGCCCTGTCCGCGGTGCGTTGGTGACGTCCAGATCCGCGCTATGCCAATCTTGGCTCCGTCGCTCGTTCGTGAGAGCTCAATGGGATGTTTCGCTGCCTCCAGCTCCGCTTTCTCTGCAGCTTGTCTGCGTGCCTGAAGTGTCGAAAGAGCGGAGCCATTACCAGGACATGCTCCCTTCTTCGCCTCCCGCCGAGCTGCGTCTCGCTCGACCACTCTTCTTGCCTCCTTTATCCTCTCAATGAGCATCAAACCTATGCACTTCGTCTTGCGGATATACATATACGCCCTATAACGAGGTTCCGACGTCCGTCCTACGTGACCGTCTTCATTTTTGTATCCCCAGACATCCTCCTCGGAGATCGGCACCGCTCCCAAGTCCCTCTGTGCAATCTGTAGCACCGCCTGTGCCCTCCTCTTCCGCGGTGCAGTGTCATAGCAATACACTGTAAATATCCTGTCTTCCTTTGCAACACCGTCAAAGATCGTCCCTACCGGCGCTTTTTGCACAAAGTCCTTGCCAACATCGTATCCTTCAGTACTCTGCTTATGGTGCTTGTCATGGAGCTTGCGATCTTCTGCTGATGACCGGACATACTCCATACCGCACAGTTTGCATTTCTGTTGCACTTTTTGACCCAGGCTGATCTGCATCTGGCTTAATGGCTTACTCTCTGCCGTCTGAGCGACCTTCTTCGTAGGTCGCATATTATCATCGATATCCGCCAATGCTTTCCGCTTGCCTAAGACCGAGAAGGCGCTGATGGCAGGTCTTGTTGGTGTGGTTGTGTTGTTCTTCTGCTGCTCCCACGGGAATCCTGGTGGTGATGATGGCGGGCTTGATATTTGCGCTGGCTCGTCTGAGAAGATACCATTGTCGTGTGAAGGCGTGCTCGGCGGTACGCTGTCGTCAGAGGATGTCATGTTGTCGACCATACGTGAAGGAGAGTATAATGTGTCTCATCAAAGAGACGCGAACCAGACGCGTCAAAAGTTGAGCTGTTTCGTCATACCTCGGCTTCGGAAGTCGAGCTTAGGGTTAGGGTTTGGGTAACTTCTCTGGGCAGTGAAGAGGAAGCGTCGACTCTTGTCACGACAGCGCTCCAACAACTGCCCATACATGTACCTTCCGTGTCAAAATGTCGGCGCTGATCGATACGTGATGTCTCCACCCACAATTATGACCGAGGGATTCGGATACGACCGGTGCTATGAAGGCCTTGTCGTTCCATTGAGTCGTTGGTTTGTGCTGTTGACTTTACATCAGCAGTGTCGACCGACGGGCAGAGGCAACGACCCAATATGGCGACCACATTGGACTCCCAGTAATCAGACCGCATTGATGGTGGCTTGCATACTCTCGCGTGGTATCGTGCGGAAGCTGTTCGGCGACGTCGCCACCATTCAAAAGCTACAAGACTGGACGACACACCCAAATAGCGTTCGCTACCCACCTCGTGCATGAAGCCTATGCCATCTTGTCCTTACGGACCATATCCGAGGCTCTCTATACGCAACTACATCTTCGTACACAGATGCCATACTCGACGACCCGAGTCCCCGCGGCGATATCGCACTCCCATTCCAGCAACGACCAGGTCCCCCTCTCCGTTCTAAATTCCCACAAGTGACTACTCGCGTTGCCGAACATCACTGCGATCGGGTACTCATTGGTAGGAGTCGTGCGTAGTCAGCTGCGATATCCGTGAGAGATAATGCCTGTCTCGGTCACGGCGCATTCCTGCCTCGCATTCTGCCACATATATCGATGGTCTGTGTGTATAGCGATATGTGCGGCCTTTTGTAAGTTGCGCATCCCAATGATCACAGAAGTCGAGCCGATCTACATCAGTCGACCTGCACACGACCTACTCTTTCGGAGGCTGTGTAGACCTATGGACAGAGACCCCAGGGCACAGCGCATTCCTTGATCCAGCTATAGATCTGGAGCTTGTTGACATGGAGTGCCAGGATCTCAAATTACTTCTGGATAGGCCTGAACACGAATATATCACGAGAGGCTTTTGATATCCGTGCACAAAGGTGTCGAATGGAGAGAACGTACGGGGGAACCTCGGCACCAGATCTTAACGAATATAATCTACATGACCTGCCACCGAAAATTAAAGCCAGCCGCTAAGGATCGTCTCAGGCGATCCACCACTCTCCTTAGCTCAGCTGGAAGAGCGCAAGACTGTAATTGCTTATTCACAACCATCTTGAGGCCCCGTGTTCGAGTAAGCCACTCTTCACCAACGACGACCACCACGTGACCATCAGCTGACCTGGTACAAAAAGTCCACGGAGGGGAGACTTCTATCCTTCCAGAAGCATAGCTTCTAATGATCATTTTCTTTTGCTTTTGCAAATCTATAGTACAAAGGTTCGTCTGGACGAGGCCCAGAAAAGATCGACCTGCTGGTCAAATTTCGTGACCGGGGAACCCGCCAGCGGAATCACTCTACATGACTACTTCAATCGGGGTTTGATTCTTGACATCTGCATCTCCTTAGCATGATCATCGTTGTCATCCGACTTTGTTTTGATCGCGGTGAATGTGACAATCGTCTTGCACACGAGGACCGAAGTTGATGCTATGTATGATCGAAACTTCGATTTGGAGACGAGAGTTAATATACGGGAAAGCTGTAATATGGATATGAATGAATACATAGAGCCAACCTCCGTCTGTCGGACACCGGCAACTCTACGCTGGTAGCAGGCTGGTTGGTCTTGCTTTTAAGAGACTCTATGGGTGTACATCCCCCAGGACCCTGCCTGCGTACAGATCTCATGAGACTCCTGGTATTTAGTACGCTTCAGCACTTCGGGGGCGAAACAACGATTGAGGCCATGACGAAACGAGATAAGCATTTCACTGTACATGCCGCTAAAGCTGATGGTAGAACACAATAACGAAAGCCACACCAGACCTCCACGAAGTCGATCATTAAAGCCAATGCTTGTAAATGCTACGCAGATTTGGCAATAATCATTCCAACATCCTCGGCAACGGCGGACATTCGCCAATGCTTGACTTGGAAACGCCGCAAATGCTGACTCCGCTGTTGTCCAATTCGCTTCTACTCGATATCTTCTTCCTACGCTTACAAGAAGATCATGCCCATGCCAGAAACAGCGGCCATCGTGACGATGAAAGCCATTGGCAAGAGACCGGTCTCCATGGATGGGACGCCGATCATGCCAGCGGCGGCCTTGCTGCTCGATGCAGAGCCGCTGCCGCTGGAACCAGAGCTACCGCCAGCCGCACCAGTGCCGGAAGGCTGGCTGGTCACGGTACCAGTACCGGCGGTACCGGCCTGGTTGAGAAGAGTCTGGCAAGCACCGGCAGCGCTGGAAGTTGGCTTGGTAGTAGCAGAGCCGCCGAAGCTGCAGGCAGATGCAACGGCAGACTGGCCAACGTAGTACTGGTTGAAGGCGTACGCGAGCTGCTCGGTGCTGTTGCACATGCCGTACGCGCCGTAGGTGCCAGTGGAGGCATTGTGGGAGATACCAGCACAGATGCTGCCGCCGTAGCCGCAGACCTGGCCGAAGAGGGTGCCGTAGGCATCAGCGCTTGCACCGGACGCAACGACACAGCCGAGCGAGTTGTACATGCAGCTGCAGAGCTGCTGGTTCGGGCTTGGTGGGAGGGGCGTGGCAGCCGCAGCCCATTTAGCATCCTGAGATGGGCATGCTGCTGCAGAGTTGGTCGGGCTGTAGCTGGCCATTGCGACTCCAGAGACAGTCACGTTGCTAAGCTGCTGCTTCAAGTTGTCGAAGTCCTGGTTGGTGGTAACGGTGTTGCCGCTTACAGATACGAGGCCTACGCGAGATTAGTATAAGAATAGAGTGAGAGCACCAAGTTTGACATACCGTAATCGTTGGCCTCCTGGAAGTACATGTACACAATACCACCAGACCAGACACCGTTCATCTCAGGCCCGTAGAGAGTGGAGACATCGGTGAAGGTACGGGGCTCAACTTTGTTGCAACCGTACTCGGCAAAGAATGCAGGGACGGAGTAGGTGGAGAACTCCTTGGTGCGGACATCGTAGCCAGAGGTGGTGTAAGAAGAATCACCACACCACGAGTAGATGTTGTAACCCCAGAAATCAATGGCATCAGCGGTGTCACCACAGTTGAAGTAGTCGGCCATGTCAACACGAATGTCAGCATCGTCGTTGGTCGCGTAGCCGACACCAATCGTGCGGTAGCCCTTGCTCTTGATGTATGCCTTGGTGTCACGGACGGCAGCCTTAACGAACGCGCTAGCATCGGTGTTGTTTGGTGCGTTGGAGACTTCGTTGCCAGCAAAGAAGCCGAGGGTGTTGGTGAAGTTGGCGAGGTTGTCGACGACAGCAGTGTAGCGGGCGTAGAGCTGATCGTTCCATGCTGGGTCGTTGCGGTCAATTGACTCGGCGGGAGAGGACAAGTCGGAGATAACATAGATGCCAGCGTTGGCCAACGCGTTCATGCATTGTGAGTGGTCCTTTGTAGGATCAATGGCGTACACACGGATGGTGTTGGTATTGAGCTGTTGAAGATATGGAATATCTCGCGAGCAGCTGGAGAAGTCTGCCAAAGGGTCGGTGTAGCTGTTGCTGGTAGTGCCCGAGGCCGTGGTCGAGCCTGATGTGCCATTGCCGTTGTAGTCCTGCTGGTACGCAACGCCCTTGATATAGCTTAGTTCATGTCAGCATTCGCCTCGGATTCAAGCATTTGCGCCTCGCCTACAATTGTGTGCCGTTTGTTTTGTAGAAGAACTTGGAGCCCTTGATGACAATGGGGTCAACGGCGGCAGATGCAGTGCTCATGAACAGCGAAGTGGCTGCAATGGCAACCGCAGTCGCGGACGCCGCGCCGAATCCTCGCATCTTGGCTCTTGGTTGTGTGTGAAGCTATGCGCTATGCAAATACTGATCGTGTTGTCCCAAAAGCTGCTGCTGCTGATATCAGGAATGGAAGTGATGCGCGCCCGAACCAAAGCGAATGGTCCCTGCTGAATGAGTGTACGAAGAAACTGCTTGTGACGGCTTGTGAAGATCAAGCAATCACGAAGAAGGAACAGGATGACAAAGGTGGAAGTGAGAGACAGAGAGATGCCGTGGCAAAGATGGTTGCGTGTTTGGGCCGACGACTCTGGAGCTTCTCGCGCAGCAGGCCAGGAGAAACAGCCCGCCAAGCGTGACCCCGAAACGGAAAGGGCCTTTACGGGTGACGCGTCCCTTAACCGCCAGATCCAATTCGTGCATTCGTGCACTCTACTTTCGCTTGCGTGGCAGTAGGATTGAAGATCATCTACATTATTATTTGATTGCCTGTACTGTACAGTGTACTGGCGTGTCCGTCGGGATTTCAAGATGGACGACTGCTTGTAAACATATGCCAGGTCGAAATGACCTGACATACACTACACAATAATCTGCATGCAAGACCGGCAATGCATCACATCCCGCACTGCAGCCGGTTGCCTCTGAGACTGCATACAGGTCACGTGTGTATTGCGAGACAGCATCAATGAGCTTGGCCATGATTGGGTGGCGAAGCTCTAATTCGAGACGCATGGGTCCTCCAACGCCACCCGCCAAGTTCAACGCTCTTTCGGTGGGCCATCGCCCATCTATCGGTTGCTCGGAAGACAAGAGACGAGACTACGCAATGTTCGAGGAAGTTACTACTGCGGTCAGCAGATCAACGGTAATGATGATGGATCATAGCATCCGGCCATTCCGTGGGAAGACAGTACTGTCTGATGCGCAATGGTATGAACAGCATACTGATGGGGTCGAATGCAGGCAGGACAGCACTTCTTACTGACTTCCGGAAGCTCACAGCTGAGGACGACTCCCGTTCGACCTCAGCTGTTTGTTAGAGCATTTGTTGATATACAGGCGTTGAGCGTACGAAGCAACGCAATGGTGGTGGGAACTGTATCTGTATTGGCTGAGTTCGGTGGCAAGCTACTGCAGGTACAGCGGACGTAGTACTGCCGATGGATGTATTGTTGGAAGCTCCCCGGCGTTTCTTGTTTGTTGATGATGAGGCCTTGAATTTGTTACACACAGGCAGAACGATGCGCGATGCTGGAAGTGTAGCCTCGTGGTTGATGGCCAGACTGCTGTCGACGACTGAGATCGTTCGCGCGTTCATGCCTATGTGTCTCAGATTCACCCGCCATACTCCTCATGCATACGCCATACGGTGATCAAATTCGAAACGAGGGCATACTATAGTAACATGAACTGTGATATAGCAGCTGCCTTCTTATCTCCGATGTCATCTGTCACCCAAACCGGCTAAACGTGGGTGGCGTTGCGATTTTTACTTCCCTGTGTGTGATAGTCCTCGTACAAGGCAGGCAGTGAGACGTGATTCAAGGCGTCTTGGTCTTGCCACATGCACACATTGACAGACAAAAATAGTGAGCAGTCTATGTAGCTTGCCACTCGGGCAAAAGATCGCTCAGAGTGACAGCTACAGACGCGGTCCAGTCCGAATGTCGCAAAAGATCAGTCTATAGAATCATCAATACAATCAGAGTTGGGGTGTTTTAAGCACTAGGTTAAACATACAAGGTCCCCCTGCTGAGTGGGTGAGAGACGGTTGCCGTCTAGCGCGTAAAGAAGCTGCAGGCGGCGGTGCATCGACGAACCAGCGTTTGAGGCCGGTAGTGAGCAGACCTCCGCGCAATCCAAGATTCCCTCCACAGGTGAAATCTGCCCTGGGCGGACGGGCTGTGCCCCTTTCGCTCGCCGCTCATCAGAAATCATCGTCTCGTTACGCACGCCTCTAGTTTCGTTCTTGACATCTGCGTCCTCTTTCCCTCCAAATCGACGGCTCGAAAAGTAGTGAGTGCTGCGCAGACGACGTTCGTTTGTTTTTGTTGTTGTTGCTGCTGCAGAGGAGAAGCATAAACCCGCAAGTACGACCGGGGCCTGTATCGCAACTCCGCCAATCAGAATTCGCCGGGCTAGTTTCTCTCAGGAGACGCATTGGCTGAGTCGGTCGTATCCAACGCGCGTTCACTCAGCAACGATTCTTGCCCTTCGACACACCAGCCACGACCTTTACCATTACACACCGCAGCGGCGACACTCGTTCCCTTGTGTTGCTGATTACTGCAGCACGCACGTGTGAGACTATTCAGTAGTGAAGGGACGTGGTTTCCAGATTTGGCTTACCCACGGACACGCTCGCTTTCCCGCCAGGAAAATCAACACGCCCACGGCAAAGCATCTCTGCACCACCTCCACCATCGCCTTCGCATCTGGCACGGCGATATCACAAGTCGTCCAACCCACCGTCCAGATTTCTTACATCTGATGGTCAATAACTGAGTCGGTACGTGCAATCGTGACTTCCTTCACGGTAACTTGAGCGTGTGGTCGCAAGACGCGGCCGTCATCACGAATCTGCCACAACCACCAGCAGCATTTCACGGACAGCAGCTGACAACCTCTCTCACCAGTAATCTCTAATACACGCCCAGCCATGGCGCACCAGCAGCAACCCCCGCAGCAAGGTGGCTATGACGAGGGTTATGGCCAGCACCAGGGTGAGCAGCACCAAGGTGGCGACGGTTATTACCACGATGAACAGCAGTCGTACTACGACCAGCCTGGCTACGGCCACGGCCACGGTCAACAGGACGGCTACTACGACGATAATGGCTACTACCAGGCCGGTCCTGAGGGCTATGCTCAAGATGGCTATTACGAGGCTGGCCAACAAGGATACCAAGACGAGTACTACAATGACCAGTACTACGATCAGGGTCAGCAACAAGGTCAATACCAGCAGCAGCAGCAGCAGCAGGGCCGTGGCTACAGTCAGCGCAAGGGACGTCGTGGCCACGATTCTGAGGAGGACTCCGAGACTTTCTCCGACTTCACAATGAGGTCAGACATGGCAAGAGCAGCGGAGATGGACTATTACGGTCGTGGCGACGAGCGTTACAACTCGTACGGCGAAGGTCAAGGCGGCCGAGGATACCGCCCACCTTCATCCCAGGTCTCCTACGGTGGCAACCGCTCTTCTGGTGCATCTACGCCTGTCTACGGCATGGACTACACAAGCGCTCTTCCCGCTGGTCAGCGATCGAGGGAGCCATACCCAGCCTGGACCTCTGATGCCCAGATCCCACTGTCAAAGGAGGAGATCGAGGACATCTTCCTTGACCTCACAGCAAAATTTGGTTTCCAGCGTGACAGCATGCGCAACATGTTCGATCATCTGATGACTCTTCTCGATTCTCGTGCCTCCCGCATGTCGCCAAACCAGGCTCTTCTCTCGCTGCACGCGGATTACATTGGTGGCGAGAATGCCAACTTCCGAAGATGGTACTTTGCCGCTCACCTCGATCTCGATGATGCCGTTGGATTTGCCAACATGAAGCTCGGCAAGGCAAACCGCGCCACGCGAAAGGCTCGTAAGGCTGCGAAGAAGAAGAACGCGGATCCTCAGAATGAAGAACAGACTCTCGAAAGTCTCGAAGGAGATAACAGCTTGGAGGCCGCAGAGTATCGATGGAAGACACGCATGAACCGCATGTCTCAGCACGATCGTGTCCGCCAAGTGGCGCTATACTTGCTCTGCTGGGGTGAGGCCAATCAGGTGCGCTTCATGCCCGAAGTGCTCTGCTTCCTTTTCAAGTGCGCGGACGACTTCTTGCACTCTCCGGCCTGTCAGAACCGTGTGGAGCCAGTTGAGGAATTCACCTACCTCAACAACTGCATCACCCCTCTGTACAACTACTGCAGAGATCAAGGTTACGAGATCTTCGACGGCAAATACGTGCGCAAAGAGCGTGACCACCAAAAGGTCATTGGGTACGATGACATGAATCAGCTCTTCTGGTACCCAGAGGGCATTGAGCGGATCTCCTTTGAGGATAAGACCCGCTTGGTCGATCTGCCACCTGCGGAGCGTTTCGAGCGCCTCAAGGATGTTGTTTGGAAGAAGGCCTTCTTCAAGACTTACCGAGAGACTCGCTCGTGGTTCCACATGTTGACCAATTTCAACCGCATCTGGGTCATCCACGTGGTCGTCTACTGGTTCTACACTGCATTCAACTCGCCTACGCTCTACACCAAGAACTACCAGCAGCAGGTTAACAACCAGCCGCACGTGCCTGTTCACTGGTCGGCTGTCGCTCTCGGTGGTACGCTCGCCTGTATCATCCAGATTCTCGCTACTCTGGTAGAATGGCTCTACGTTCCTCGACGTTGGGCTGGTGCCCAGCACTTGACTCGCCGTCTCATGCTCCTCATCGGGATGTTCGTCATCAACGTCGCGCCCGCAGTTTACATTTTTGGTGTTCAGCAGACTGGCAAGATTGCGCTCATCCTTGGTATCGTCCAATTCCTGATTGCTCTGGCGACATTCTTCTTTTTCGCTATTATGCCACTCGGCGGCCTCTTCGGCAGCTACCTGAACGGCAAGAAGCGTCAGTACGTCGCCAGTCAGACATTCACAGCCAGCTTCCCGCGCCTCAAGGGCAACGACATGTGGATGTCCTATGGTCTTTGGGCTCTTGTCTTCGGTGCCAAGCTGACCGAGTCCTACTTCTTCTTGACGCTGTCGCTGCGTGATCCTATCCGCATTCTCTCCACAATGCAGATTCAGCACTGCGTCGGAGACAAGTTGATCGGTACCGTTCTCTGCTACAAGCAGCCCATCGTCCTTCTCATCCTCATGTACTTCACGGATCTGATCCTGTTCTTCTTGGATACCTACCTCTGGTACATCATCTGGAACTGCGTCTTCTCCGTGGCTAGGTCGTTTTACCTCGGTGTATCTATCTGGACACCATGGAGGAACATCTTCTCCCGCCTGCCAAAGCGTATCTACTCCAAGATTCTGGCAACCACCGACATGGAGATCAAGTACAAGCCCAAGGTGCTTATCTCGCAGATTTGGAACGCCATTGTCATCTCCATGTACCGCGAGCACTTGCTTGCCATCGACCACGTCCAGAAGCTGCTGTACCACCAGGTGCCGTCTGAGCAGGAAGGCAAGCGCACGCTCCGCGCGCCGACGTTCTTCGTGTCACAGGAAGATCACTCATTCAAGACCGAGTTCTTCCCTTCCATGTCCGAAGCTGAGCGCCGTATCTCCTTCTTCGCCCAGTCGCTCTCGACACCAATTCCAGAGCCGCTGCCCGTCGACAATATGCCTACGTTCACCGTCCTCATTCCTCACTACAGCGAGAAGATCTTGCTCTCACTTCGCGAGATCATTCGCGAGGATGAGCCATACTCTCGCGTCACCATGTTGGAGTACCTCAAGCAGCTTCATCCTCATGAATGGGACTGCTTCGTCAAGGACACCAAGATCTTGGCCGATGAGACTTCTCAGTTCAACGGCGACTTCGAGAAGAACGAGAAGGATACCGCAAAGAGCAAGATCGACGATCTTCCGTTCTATTGCATTGGTTTCAAATCCGCTGCACCGGAGTATACTCTCCGCACTCGTATCTGGGCTTCCCTCCGCTCGCAGACACTTTACCGCACGATCTCTGGTTTCATGAACTACAGCCGCGCCATCAAGCTTCTGTACCGTGTCGAGAACCCTGAAGTCGTCCAGATGTTTGGTGGCAACTCCGACAAGCTTGAGCGCGAGCTCGAACGCATGGCTCGCCGCAAGTTCAAGATCTGTGTGTCCATGCAACGTTATTCCAAGTTCTCCAAGGAAGAGCGCGAGAACGCTGAGTTCCTGCTCCGTGCCTACCCCGACCTGCAGATTGCGTACCTGGATGAGGAGCCGCCGACTGCTGAGGGTGAAGATCCAAGAATCTATTCCGCACTCATTGACGGTCACTCCGAGATCATGGAGAACGGCATGCGTCGCCCCAAGTTCAGGATCATGCTTTCTGGCAACCCCATCTTAGGCGACGGCAAGTCTGACAACCAGAACCACAGTGTCATCTTCTACCGTGGTGAATACATTCAACTCATCGACGCCAACCAGGACAATTACCTTGAGGAGTGCTTGAAGATTCGATCCGTCCTCGCTGAGTTCGAGGAGATGACCACCGACAACGTCTCGCCCTACACTCCCGGCCTGCCACCAACCAACTTCAACCCTGTCGCCATTCTCGGTGCTCGTGAATACATTTTCTCTGAGAACATCGGTATCCTCGGTGACGTCGCTGCTGGAAAGGAACAGACATTCGGTACCCTCTTCGCACGTACGCTGGCTCAGATTGGCGGCAAGCTTCATTATGGTCACCCCGATTTCCTGAACGGCATCTTCATGACCACTCGTGGTGGTGTCTCGAAAGCTCAGAAGGGTCTGCACTTGAACGAGGACATCTTTGCCGGTATGACTGCTCTTCTTCGTGGTGGCCGCATCAAGCATTGCGAATACTACCAGTGTGGCAAGGGTCGTGACTTGGGTTTCGGCTCCATTCTCAACTTCACCACCAAGATCGGAACTGGTATGGGCGAGCAGATGTTGTCTCGCGAGTACTACTACTTGGGCACGCAGCTCCCTCTGGACCGCTTCCTCTCGTTCTACTACGCTCACCCGGGTTTCCACATCAACAACTTGTTCATCATGTTGTCGGTGCAGCTTTTCATGTGGTGTTTGGTCAACTTGGGCGCTCTTCGCCATGAGACCATCACCTGCTACTACAACCACAACGTGCCAATCACGGACCCTCTGTTCCCGACAGGCTGCGTCAACGTCGTTCCTATTATGAACTGGGTGGAACGCTGCATTGTCTCGATCTTCATCGTGTTCTTCATCTCCTTCATCCCTCTTACGGTGCAGGAGTTGACGGAGCGTGGTTTCTGGCGCGCGGCAACCCGTTTGGCCAAGCATTTCGGCTCACTTTCGCCTCTCTTCGAGGTGTTCGTCTGTCAGATCTACGCCTACTCGCTCCAGCAGGATCTGTCCTTCGGCGGTGCTCGCTACATCGGTACTGGACGTGGTTTCGCCACTGCCCGCATGCCATTCGGTGTCCTGTACTCGCGATTCGCTTCTCCATCCATCTACTTGGGCGCTCGTCTCCTGATGATGTTGCTCTTTGGCACGATGACGGTCTGGGGCTACTGGCTCCTCTGGTTCTGGGTATCTATCACCGCGCTCTGCATTTCGCCGTTCTTGTTCAACCCTCACCAGTTCTCGTGGTCTGACTTCTTCATCGACTACCGCGAATTCCTGCGCTGGTTGTCCAGAGGCAACACCAAGGCTCACTCCGCTTCTTGGATCGGATTCGTTCGTCTCTCGCGTACCCGTCTCACTGGTTTCAAGCGCAAGGCCCTCGGCGAGCCATCAGCCAAACTCTCTGGTGACACACCGCGAGCCAAGTTCACCAATGTGTTCTTTAGTGAGATCGTCGGCCCACTTGTCTTGGTCGCTGCCACATTGATCCCTTACTTGTACATCAACTCCGGTACTGGTGTCGTTCAGGCCAACCAGCCTTCTGGTGTTCAGGTCGCGCCTACGAATTCACTCATCCGTATTGGTATCATCGCATTCGGCCCCATTGCCGTGAACGCTGGTGTCGCCATTGGCTTCTTCGGCATGGCTTGCTGCATGGGTCCAGTACTTAGCATGTGCTGCAAGAAGTTCGGCGCTGTCCTTGCCGCTATCGCCCACGGCATCGCCGTCATCATGCTCCTGGCTTTCTTCGAGGTCCTGTTCTTCTTGGAAGGCTGGAGCTTTGTCAAGACCGTGCTGGGCATGATCGCAGTTGTCGCCATTCAGCGCTTTGTCTTCAAGCTCATCATTGCTCTGGCTCTGACGAGAGAGTTCCGCGCCGATACTTCCAACATAGCATGGTGGACCGGCAAGTGGTACGCGCTTGGATGGCACACACTCACCCAGCCTGGCCGTGAGTTCCTGTGTAAGATTACTGAGATGGGCTTCTTCGCTGCGGACTTCGTGCTCGGACACATGCTCTTGTTCTTCATGCTGCCGGTCATCTTGGTGCCATACATCGACAAGTTCCACTCGGTTATGCTCTTCTGGCTAAGACCAAGGTATGTTTCACGTTGCACACTCTAATTCTCATCCAATACTGACTCCTCCGTAGCCGTCAAATCCGCCCACCAATCTACTCGCTCAAGCAGTCTCGTCTTCGGAAGCGCCGTGTCGTCCGCTACGCCATCATGTACTTCAGCATGTTCGTGCTTTTCTTGGTGCTGATCGTTGGACCCATCATCGCCAGCAGATTCGTCAACTTCAAGATCAGCATCATGGATCTGCAACAACCATCCAACTGGTACAATAACGACACTCTTGGCACAAGTCAAACCGGTACCGCTCTCGGTGGTGCTGCGGCTACGAGCGCCGGCGCCGTGGGCGCTAGCTCGACTGGCCTCAAGAGGGCGATGTTCTACTACGACTCATAGATTACGGCTTCGACGTACCCACAATCAGCTCGGACCACCATATACCTTCATTGCACTGGTGGAGCAAACCAGAATGTCTTTCAACGACCTTGTATCAACAGCATCAAACGTCAATCTGTGGCGTGTAATGAAGAGGCTGTAATTTTCTACTTTGACTTGCGTTGCATCTACACTCGGCGCAATAACCACAACTTGTCACATTACTTCCGAATTTTCTGGTGCGGAAGGACTTTGACGGGAGACTTTGACATGCCTAAGGCAGTGGCTGCAGGCAATCGTCGTACATATTCAGTTCAAGCTTGAGCGGGCTCTGTTGAGATGGCGCATTTGGCTGGGACATGGGTAGATGGTTTTTTGGGTATATAGTATGGTGTGAATGCAATCTTCCATCATTATCCAGTCAGTGTCCCGCATCGTTGACTTATACGCTCAGGCAACCATTGCTTGCTTACGAACATCGACGCAGATGAGCCCTTCAGTCGCAAGCTTTGTCGACGCCGCTCATGCACTGCCCAACCCGTAAGATTTGTAGAGCTGAGTGAGATCGGTCATTGGTACGCCTTAAATCTAGGCCCCACCATCGAGCCGTAGATCCCTTCTCCTTCAACAGACTATGCATGTCAGCCGCAGCTGCTGGGGCGAGTGGAAGTCCAATGGTCTGGGTAGTAGCAATGCCTGGAGTAGGCACATATGTCATGAGCGCATCTCGGCTGCCTCTGCTTGATGGCCCTTTACCCATACCACATCACCAATCATGGCTCACGAGGAAGAAGTTGTGGAAGTAGTCATCGTGGGTGGAGGCAGGTCACGCATATCAAGCCAGAAGACAGATCATCGTTGTCCACTAACACGTTTCCGTCAGGCTGGTCAGGTATTGCGGCGGCCAAGGCGTATTTGCAATGCGCTCCGGACACAAACCTGCTCGTGCTTGATGCGAATCAAAGCATTGGTGGCACCTGGGCCGAAGAACGTCTGTACGAGGGTCTTCGCAGCAACAACCTGAGAGGCACTTTCGAGTATCCAGACTACCCGCTCCACGATGGCTTTGGCGTCAAGGAAGGCGAGTACCTTCCCGGGCCTGTCTTGCACCAGTATATCACCGAGTATGCCAAACACTTCAATGTGTACGATAAAATCCAGTTCCAGTCACGAGCCACTTGTGCCTCGAGAGTCAAAGGCGAGAAACGCCGTGGATGGCAAATCAGTGTGCAAACTCCGAAGGGAGAGTACACCATCTTCACGGCGAAGCTAATCGTCGCGACTGGCTTGACCTCACAACCCCAGAAAATGTATATTAGGGGCCAAGAGGTGTTCAATGCGCCACTCACCAACACAGCCAAGTTGGCTACAGATGGCCGGAAAGTGAAGGATGATCCTAACGTCCGGCGAGTCACTGTATTTGGAGGTGGCAAGTCGGCTTACGACGCTGTGTATATGTTCGCCAGCGCTGGCAAGGAAGTCGATTGGATCATTCGCAAAAGCGGTCACGGTCCAACATGGATGGGCTTGTCGAACGTCGTGATCGGGTCACTTGGTAAATTCTGGGTAGAGACGTTAGTCACGAGGCGTATCATCGCATGGATGAGTCCATGCCTATGGGGCGATGGAGACGGGAGTGGTTGGTGGAGAAGTCTCCTTCATGAGACCTGGCTTGGACGTAAAGTCGTGGACATGTTCTGGTGGAAATTGGGCTCCGACATACTCGAGCAAGCTGGATATAACAACGATCCTAGTCTGGAGACGTTGCGTCCTGATTGCTCAGTGTTTGAGACCGCGACCTCGATTGCCATACTGAATTATCCAACCGATATTCTTGACCTCGTGAGGAGCGCGAGAATTAAGGTGCACCGGAAGGATCTTGATCATCTTGATGACCATGGCGTACACTCCAAGGACGGCACATACGTAGCATCCGATGCGTTTGTGGCTAGCACAGGCTGGAGCTTTAAGCCAGCTATCGACTTCTCCGACAAGCATCTGCACAGTGAGCTCGGCATACCGTCGATTGATCTCACCAAAGTCCAACAGGATTTCTGGCGCGGCCTTGACAGCAAGGCAGATGCCGAAGTGTTTTCGAGATGGCCCAAACTCAAAGAGCTTAATCGACCAGCTTGTGCCGACAACGATGGTTTAGCGAACCCGTTCGACGAGATTGACCCAAACATCACTCCACGAGATTATACTCCCTGGCGTCTCTACCGCTCTCTCGCCCCACCGGGCCTTGCAGCTGAAGGGGACAGGAGTCTGACCTTTGCAGGATACAGCCTCAATTTTACAGGGCACATTCGGAACGAGATCGCAGGCCTATGGATATGGGCATACATGAACGACAAACTCTCCATCGATCCCTGTCGAGACGTGGCAGATATATGTTATGATGCAGCATTGCTGCAGCGTTTCTGCTACAGGAGAGCACCATGGGGATTTGGCCGCAGATTTCCCGATTTCGTGTTCGATGCTGTGCCTTGGAACGATCTTCTGCTGAAAGATCTCGGTCTCAGTGGTACAAGGAAGGGCGGTAGCTGGTATAGAGAATGCTTTGAGCCATATAGCGTGGCAGACTATCGCGGCATCACAGCAGAGTGGCTGGCCAAGAACAAGCTCTCACAGAACAAATATGAAAGCTCGCAGTAGCAAGCCACAATGACGATGAGAGTCAGGTTGAAGATGAGGGATCAATCATCAGCGAAGCATCTGACCCAAGAGGCTACATAGATAATGTTCGCTTTTACAGATATCTTCCATTCATGTAAGTCATCCATAAATGTACAATGACTGTCCGGCGCCGAATCGCCGAAGCCAAGCAGTGGGTATACGCTCAAATGCAATGTCGTATTTGTTGGTGCTACTCCAGAGCTTTTAAAAGGCGCCTCGGATCTTAGCGTACAGGTCGGTGTCCAGGAAATTGTAGTTGGGATCGAAAATGCAGAAAGGTGCTCTCAGCAAAGTATCCGCGATCGGTCGTTCACGAGGGTCACTGTATGTCTGTCAGTGTGTAGATCTAATCAAGTAGGGCCACAGAGGAAGTCAACTTACATAGTGAAGCAGTCATACATAAAGCTCAGGGCCGCTGGCCCGATGACACTGCTGACGTCGTCTGGAATTGGTGGCGCTTGGTTGAGACTGCCCAGCTTGTAGATAGCACCGATCGCCTCTTCCTTGCTCCATGGTCTACGGCCTGCGAACATTTCTAGGACGACACACCCGAGAGACCAGATATCGACTTTGGCGCTGTAGCCCTGATTCATGGCTGTCAGACCATCTCCAGCATTTTGGTTCATTGGCTGCGACTGCGCGCGGATGACCTCGGGAGCCATCCAGAAGACAGAACCTTGCATGCTGTTGGTGATGTCGTTGTTGTATGGATCTGCCGAACGCTTTGAGATACCAAAGTCTGAGATCTTGCAAGTTCCGTCCAGGTCCAAGAGGAGGTTGTCAGACTTGAGATCACGATGTAGAATACCTTCGCTGTGCAAATATGCCAGTCCGTTCAAGGTCTGGCGTGTCAAAGATGACACGACAGGCTCCTCAAACTTACCATGCTTCCTCAGACAAGATCCCACACTGCCACCAGGAATGTACTCCAGGAAAATGCTGATGCTAAATTCCTTCCGCTCACATCCAAGGTACTGCACGATATTGACATGATCGAGATGCTGCATTGTATCAATCTCCATATCCAGCGCCTTGACCATTTCGCGAATCCTGTTGGGATCTGTATTTGGTGCTTTCGGATTGACCTCCACTTGCTTGACAGCCAGGAGCTCACCAGTGGTTGTGTTCATACCGAGGTATACACGACCAAAGGTGCCCTTGCCAATGAGCTGGCCACGCATCCATTTGAACGTTGGCTGTCTTTCCGGAATATGCTTGTTGTTGTGCTGAACATTGCCCTCTGGTATCGTATCCTGAGGTATGGTTTCGAGGTTGTTAATGAGTCTGCTGCCACGAGCGGGCTTGACTTGCTCGATACGGGCCCCGAACATCTTCGTGCTCTTCCGCCGAACGATACTGTTGGCTGCGTCTATCCGCAGCGTACTGACTCTACCCAGTAGCGGGTTCTGTACGGGACCAGCAATGCTCGATGGTCTCGATAATGTGTATGAAGACATCGAGAGATGGCCTGGCTGCATGTTGTAGTTGTTCTTAACCACATCGCGGATACTCTTGGTCCTCCCCAGCCCTCCAGATTTGCGCATACTACGCGCAGCAACAGATGTAATGGTGTTGTCTCCTCGCTTGAGTGTGCTCTCGTCGCTGCCAAGTGTGTCGGACTCGTCAGCGCTGGACATAGGTGTAATACTCCTGCTATGTAAGCTCGAAGACGATGCCTTGCTACTCAGTAGCGTGCGATCAGTGGACACCGGGCTACTCTCGCCCCCCTCCTCCGCATTACCAAGTGGCTGATCAAGGTCAACATTCGGGAAGAACTCGTCCAGATGCTCGACAATGCCTTCAGCGGGAGGACGATTAGCCCACATGTCACTAGCAAAGCTTTCTCGCCTGCCGAAGCGATTCGCATCATCAGGCGAATCTACAGACCACTGATTGGAAGATGCAGACTCCGGTACACTGCGCTGAACTTCCGCGCCGTCTTCAAGGCCGTTGCCACTCGGTGGCAACTTTGCCAACTCAAACTTCACGTTGTTTCTGCTGGTCTTGAGCTTAAGCTCAGGCTTGCTTGGAGAGCGACTCGTGGGCGGTGACTCGGAGATACCAAGGATTGCATGAGCTTTTGCATTTGCGTTGGTCGGTGCTGGAACAATTTTCGGCATGGTCTTGTTCGCCAGAGGTATCGCGAACAGACCATCGTCCGAATCCTCGTCTTCCTCCTCTTCCAAGGTCGTAGCGGGAGGTGCAAAATCTACCTGTCGAGCAGGCAAGTCGAAGCTTGGCCCACGCTTGCTGACCACGCGCGAAAGCTGGCCAGGAGGATGCTGTGCGCTCGGGCTAAGTTCTGGGCTATGGCTCCTGCCTGTACTCCTCAGCTTGTCGAGCATAGGATTAGACGGCGTGCGCAAGGACAAATTGGGCCGGTTGGCTTTCAAAGTATTCTCATCCTCGCGCTCCCCATCTTCGTCGACATAATCAGGCACCTTAAACTGCTGACCTCCTTTAGACATGGTGAACGGACTTCTCGCCGTGGCTCCCGATCCATGTCGCTTCAAAGCGGCACGACTCAGCTCAGCAGCACTAGACACAGCTTGTGGCTGTGGTCGTGCACCAGCTTCCTGCCTCAAGTCAGGGACCGTCATACTCTTCTGCAAGCCACTAGACTGCGCCGGTGCTCTGGAAGGTCCTCCCACACTTGCAACAGCTTTACCTGCACCAGCCAAGGCCGCACCAATACCACTCGGTACGCGCCTACCCTCCTCTTCTGGTATGGAGCCATTGGAGTTACGCTTCCATGGCTCGTCCTTGCGATTTGGCCAGCTTGTTCGTGCTGGGGGGCCTTGCTTCTTAGTTAGACTGTTGGCCTTGACAAGCGTGGCAGTCGGGTCCGGCACCGGCGGCGGTTTTCTCATTGGCACTAGGATGTCTGTCTTACGATCGAAGTCTCCCGATCCCGATGAAAGTGGTCTGTTTTGATATGGAGACTGTCGGGGATGGTCAAAGTCAACCACGTTCCGCACACCAGAATTATGGTCGGAGATTCTGTTCTGTCGCTGCTCCTCATAGACTTTCCGCTTCCGCGCCACTTCTTTCTCGTGCTCCTCTTGCTTGGCATCCAGTAAAGCTTGTCGTTCGGCTGACGACAGACTGGCGAAGTCCTGCTGTAGCATGGTCTCCTGATAGACTTCTGGGGCCGAGGCACCTGGACTTTCCTTTTGCAAGTACTGTATCGCTTTGACCTTATCAGGCACCAGTGTACTCTCGCCGGACCGGAAAGTGCTCGGCGAGCCCACTTGCCCTGCCTCAGTGAGACGCCGATAGGTCTCTTCATCCAGAGGCTTACCAGTGAAACTTGGTTTTCTGAATGGACTCGATGGGAAGCCGAAGCCAAGCCCTGCACTCTCCGGCGGCACAGGTCCACCCGGTGCTCGTAGAAAGAACTTGAGACTGCCGGAAGAATCTGCCATCCTGGTCACCGCACTCATCAACAGATGGTCGCCAAGTGCTTCGTCATGCTCGACTCGTCCTGCACCTGTGATATGTACTGCCACGTCAGGACCTTCCGGCACTCCAAGATTGTAACATATCACGGTACGCAATTGATCTGCAGTTTCAACCTCGGAGATATCGATCAAACGGTAGTTCCAGCCATCGGGAGTCACAAAGATGAATTTCTTGTCGCCTTCGCGAGCGGCAGGACGACCTCTGGCCTGCGGGATTGGTGGTATGGATTCGACAGATTCTACGCTCGTATGAGCACTCTTCCGGCTGGGTGGTCGATCTATAAGTGAAGAGTCTGATGGCGTATTACGGAGCTTGCCCTGAAGCCCATACTTCGTAGCTTGTGGAGATGCCGGACTCGAATCTTCCTCAGCAGTCGTGTCGCCCCCATTGTTCTTCTTATCACGTCTGAACTTATGCAAGAAGCCTTTGTGCTCCTTCGCACTGGCTGGAGTCTCTTGACTGCTATGCCTTGTGGTTTCAGCAGGCGGCCTTGAGCCGTCCGTGGCATTGCGTCTTCTTGTGTCTTCTGGAGGTGGTCGAGGATAGCCTCCATCAGAGTCACGGCCAGACGTCGGTCCAGCACTCAGTCTTCCTGGTGCTGGCGATGAGCTACTCACACCATGCGGAATGACATTAGTATCGCTGCTCGCATGTCGAAAGTGGCCTGGTGCATAATATCGTCCTGAGCCCTGTGCCGTTCCATTCGCCTGGTTACCCGGTAGGCCCGGCAGGCCAGGGCTTTGCGCCGGACTGTGGAAGTTCCTGCCACTACCTGGAGCAATCTCACTGCTTGCGCTGGGTGAGTGCCGCCGCGGTATGTCGCCTATAGATTTCAGAGCGGCCGAAGACATGGCACTCCGACCATTCTCGTCAAGCGACCGCGACAGGACATCCAAACTTGCTGCTCGATGCTGGGTGGAAAGTCTTCTCTGTGCGATGGTCATCGAAGGCATGGCTCTGCCAGGCGAGTCACCATCACCGGCAGTATTCGGCGTTGACCAGGTGTTAATGTCTTGTCGTGACATATTGGGTGAGTTCTCCACGCCGCCATCTGTGCCAGCACTGGCCGAGTGTAGAAATTGATTACTCTGTCTTCGGGCATGGAGAGGCAAGCTGACAGTGCTTGTCGACGTAGCCGTCGCGGGCGTGCTTGCACCACCAGTCTTCGAGATATCCCTCACCAGCTTCCTGAAGCGTCGCGACTCCTCCCTCTCCTTTGACTGATCCCAGATCAAGTTGTGGTTTGTGCACTCTCTTGCGATCTGAGGGAGTACAGTCTGCGGCAGAAAGCCAATGTTGCGCTGGCCTGGTCCACCACTAGCTTTGCCTATGTCTAGGAATGTAGAGCCGGACACGTTCAGATGTTGGAATGCCGTTTGCCACTCTTTACTGAAATTGTGCGCAGCCAGCCAAATTTGCACTCGCTCAGCTGGCCAGCCCTGGTCCTGCGGGCTTGCCGTAGTCTCTCCAGAAGATGAGTGATCACGATTGCCTTGCGACGGGCTATCATCTTTACTATGCCTGGTCGAAGCCCGACTACTGAAGGGATGCGGGTTTGAACTTGTCGCCGGTGACGGATGCTCTTGAGTCTCCTTCGCAGGTAAAATCAAAGTCTTCTGCCTTGCAGTTGTAGGTGTGGGTGGCGGATAATTGTTCTGCGGAGCTGGTGCTGATGTGACTTGAGTGTATGAGTGCTGTGTCTGCTGATTCTGATACGCCTGGTATGGCTGGTTGCTAAGCCATCCTTGAGTCTGATTGTAGTCCTGATAATGATCACCATATCTCTGCTGCTGCGCCAATTGATGTTGTAAAGCTGCATCTGGACCTGAGGTGAAGTCATTTGAATTGCCGCGCTGATAGCTGTTCTGCTGGTGTACCTGTGGCCGTAGTGGAGGCAGCAGCTGTGGAGGCTGCGGACCAAAAGAAGAGTGCAGAGGTGGAATGCCCACGCCCGGACCAAAGCTCTCTCCGCCTGGGATGTAGGTTGCAGAAGTCAGTGGCTGGTCGGCAGCAGGCAAAGGTGGGAGCTGTTGGAAATGCTCGTAGTACGCCATGGGGTCATATGTCCGGAGCTCACGGTTTTGCATGGGCGGAGGGTAAGTTGCCTGACCACGATTCCACGCGTTGTACGTCCCGTTCGGCTGATTCGGCGGAGGTGGAATGTTGACATGCATCTGCCCTACCGCGCTCATGGGAGGTCTGGGTGGAGGACCAGGCAAGTGCATGCCTGGTGGCCCCGGAGTCGAGCTGGGTAGCGGTGGCGGAGGCGGGATATATTGCCCGTGCCCACCACGCTGCTGCTGCTCCGAGACATGTCGAGTGCCGGGTACCGACCATCCTCCATGCCCTCCACCCACCTGTGTCCCGCCCGGCGTCACCGGTGTGCCCCTCCTATACTGCTCCGCCTGTTGCGCCGCCAGCTGCATGTTGATCTCAGCAAAAGTATGGGCACGTGGCCTCGGAGGAGCGCCACTAACCGCTATGGAAGGATATGGACTGCCAACGCCAGTCTGAGGCCGGAGCAACGAGCTCGCCTCGCCGTAAGTCGTTCCCGGGATGTCATTCAGCACCACGCCGGTCGGGACGCTCAGGTTGTGGCCTCGGAACTGCGCATGCGCGGCGGGCGGCGGACTCGCTGTCCTGGGATCGACGTCTTCTGATGTACCACCACCTCTGTTGCTAGCTGATCGTTGGCGCGCGTTTCCTGTGGTAATCATGACCTCCCGGCCTCACCCACTTTATTCGTTTGCTATGCTTCCACTCTCCAGCGCCTCTCCGATGGAATTGCGCGACCAAACTATCTCATATTTTGCGACCCTCTTCGTGGTATCAGCGTCACCCCCAGCCTACTACGGTGGCCTGTAAAGTGCTTTCCAAGAAACAGATCAGCTCGACAGCGTACCGACGCTCCACCACGACGGTAGCGGGTAGGGCGGGCAGTAGTGCCCGTGCGTGGGGAATCGGAAGCGAACGCCTGGGGGCGAGGGCGCTTGTCAGTAAGCCATTGAACTTTTAATCTGCAGCTTTTTGCTTTGCTGTAGGCTAGTAGTAATCTAAGGCTAGGCATTCGTTGGAATGCTACACAGTACCTCAAGATCCTTCTTGCTAGCTAACCTCGACTATACAAAGGCACACCTCACCCAGGAAACCCGCCCCGAGCGATCTTCTTCGCTCTTTGGTCTCTACGATTATGATTAGCTCTGCTGCCTTTGCTTGCCTCTTTCCTTCTTTGCGCATTCGCCGTACTCGCTTCGCCAGAAGGACCGGCGACTGATCCACCCCTCCCGCCGCCGCTGCCTCCCCCGCCTCGACCACGTCCTCTATAGCCTCCTCGTCCAGCGGACGGCCCATCCGAGTCTTCCGTCTCCGTGCCACCAGGCGACTCCCTATACGAAGTTCTCTCGAGCGCTGCCTGCCTCCCATCGAAGGTAGCGGCTGCACCGAATCGAGTTTCGAGCCTCTGTAGCCGCTTTGGCTCGCGCTGAAGCATGATTGCCCAACCTTCGATAGCTTCATCTGTCATGCCAGTCTCGCCCTTTAGCGTCATACGCGCTTGACCCCTTCTGACATCAAATGTTCGGCCGAAAAGCTCTGGAGACGATCTGTAGGCTTTGAATAATGCCATGTCGTTCTCCTCCTGTGTGATTTTGGCCGATGGACCAGGCTCGCCATCCGGATGCGCCGAGTCCACGGTGCCGCCCACATCATCGAAATCGTACGTGTCATCCCGCTCGTCATCATCGGCGTCGAATGCAGAAAGTGCAGATAGGATGGCAGCTTTGTTAACCGGGCCAGACTCTGATCGATCCGCTTTGCCAAGGTGAAGTCGAGATGCATCCGCTGATAGTAGATCGTCATCATCGAACAAATTCCGCCGATCAGGTACGAATGGTTCTGGCGGTGGTGGTGTTGATCTAGGGGCAAGATGGTCGATCTCTTCTTGTTCGTCGCTAGCCCTAAGGAATGCTTCGTCCGTCCGGCCAAGACTTTGTAGATGTTGTGGCAGCGAGTCATCAAGCAGATGTGCGGTAACCTGTTCTACATCATCGTGGTACTCGTCAAGCAGTCGCATCACGAAGCCAGATCCAAGGTCTGGGAATAGATCCTGTACCTGCGTGACGAGACTCATCTGATGGATATGCATATCTCCACTGCTTTGACGGTTTCTGCCTTTCCTTGATCTATGACGAGCCACTCTCTTCTCTCGAGCAATGCTTGGCGTACGATATGTTCCCAGCTGTTCGATGAGCTTTGTAAGTCTCGTCGATCCACCTTCGCCGATTGAGCGCCTCAGTAATGAGAGGAGCGGTGTGTTCGTGACGACATCTGCGAGCAAAGATGGCACACCAGCTTGCTTGTCCGCTTGAGCCTTCAAGTCGTACAAGCAATCTGAAAGCAAAGAGAAGTTGGGCTGTTCAGTCTTGACCAGAGAAGCAAGGCCCAGATACGTTACACTACTGAGTGACTTCTTCGAGCCGTCGTTCAACAACTTAGTGTAGGCAGTCGCCAGTCCGTCCAAGAAGTCTGAACCAGTCAGGAAGAAAGTGCCAATATCTGGACATAATCGGAACAGCGGCGCGAGTCTTGTCAATTCAGGTAAGGCTTGGCTTGACGAGGTAGACTCTAGTGCAGCAGCCAAGCTAGTCTTTCGTTTCTGCAGTGACTGTTGCAAGTGGCCTGTATTGCCCAACCATAGCGTTGTCACAAGTCTAGCTGCTGCTTTGCTTCTCACATGCGCATGGCAAAAGTCTTCCAGGAACTCCAAAGACAGCAAAGCTTTCGGAAAGACGCATTCTGCAGTCATACGATCTATGAGCATGAAACATAATCGCTGCAGTTTTCGAGCTCTGTCGTTCGATAGTGATGAGTCCGCGAGTGGCGCTGCAACGATTTCTCCATATGTCGATATCAAGAACGTCCCAAGAGCACTGCCGTCACCAGCTGCTGTCGCGAAGTGTTTCTTTCCAAGCTGTAAGTATGAGTCTGTGAGGGTGAGCCAAGCATTTAGGCATGCTTCCCATTCTGTTGGTGCAATGTCCAGGCGAATCTCGATGGGGGGTATAGGTGCAAGAGGAGGCAGTTCCATGATGCGGATCTGGTCAATCCTGAGGATTAAGATCGGATCGTATGTCCAGATATTGTATCTTGCCAATTTATTCGGTGAGGTCTATTTCTTCTTCCCCAATATCGACGTGGTTATGACAGATCCAATAAAGGTGGACGAGGCGGCGTCCTTCCGCACTCGCACACAAACCTCGAGAATTTAGCCACGGCGAGCTCTCGACGCCGATAATCTTACATGTATAGGTACTCTAAGGTATAATACAATAAAAAAGCTGGAGTAAGACAGAGATGGTAAGATTTTGCTGTTATATTAATACTCAAAATTGCACTTGTCATTTCGGAGTCTCGAAGTCCTCCATATATCCCACAAGTCAACCTCGGAGGCAAAGTGTATGTTCCGGTAAGCCTGCAAGGATTAGTGCCCAAGTAGCCAACCAATTGCAAATTATTACGAGCTATAGTAGAGTACAGGAAGTCGTGCACATATTGTGCGGGTGACCCTCGCCGGCAAACTACGTGGTAAGGATGATGTCTATGCAAGTTGCCAGATATGAAGGCATAATGTTGCGTTTGCATATATGTAGTATATGATCGCTCTACGTACCTTACCTCCCGGCACACTTGATTGTACTATGCTTCTGATCGAGCACCTGGGTACGTGGCCAACGAAGCAAGTATCACTATTATGTAGACTGCACCATTGCGTTACACTCCGACGGACGCTACACAATCTGCTTATCGTAATGTGCGTGGAGGTATAAAGATTGTGTAGTATGTAGACTGTGGTGACGTTGAGCTGTAAGCATACGTAGATGCGCAATAGTGCTGTAGTAGGAAGACGTGAGGTCAGTAGAGTGGAGGTTGAGTTAAAGCATCCCGAACACGTGACCGCCATAATGGCCACTTCAGGAGATGGTTCCACACCACAGTTCTGGAGGATGACGACAACGACGAGATGGCGACGTAGGTATCCTGCTAGGACGATGCGAGTGTGGATGCGTGTACTGATGTGTGTAGGCAACGTATATTAACAGAGCTTCCGTATACCGGTGAAAACAGCATTGCCGTATATTCAATCATACCGAAGCGCATTGCCTTCGACCCTTCGTTGCCAGTACCGTCCGAACCTGGGCCTGGTACGCCGCCACCATCGCCTCCGCCTACTGTGTCGTCTCCTGTTGTGGCCTCGGAACCCAAGCGCAAAGCCAAGAAAGCCGTCTCGCCAGCGCCAGCGGCAAAGAAAGCTTGTGTCAAGAAGGCTCCTCGTGTTGGGAAGTTCGGTCCGAGAGACGGACCCTCTGGTGTCCGGAAGAACTAAAATTTAAGCTTCTTACCGCCGTTGATCGTCCAGTCTTGAATGCACCGGAATGTGTGTGTATCATGAGGATGAACTTGGGAAGTCCACAGTTTCAAGTGCTTCTTCGGTACCGTCATAGTAATAGCTCGACCTCGTCGCATGATCTCGACCTCAACCATGTTAAGAAAACCATCCTGTTTGTGCCTGAAGGATGCGACCCTCTTCGCCTTTGGTAATAAAGTCTGCTTGATTGCTTGGGTTGCTTGCATCCGCATCGACAGTAAACCTCCGAGAGTCATCTTCGTGCTTCAGGCGGCAGATGCGCCGGCTGATTGCGATCCTGTCTCGATGATCCGGTACGCGAACGCTGAACACGAGAGGGCGAGCTGGATCGACCTCGCGAATTCGTCCTACATCGCCTCCGCTGACTCGGCACAGGCCTTGGTCATTCTGCCAGTCCTCTGTGACAACGAAGGCGCAGTCCACAAGCGGGTGTTGAGACATGATGTCTCACAGCCACTAATCCGACCACGACTTCTGTGTTGTGGCCAGGCGAGCGCTATCAAGCGTGACACACGGCACTTGAGGTGAGGCGTGGTCAAGCCAGAATGGCGCTGTCAAGTGGCGCGGTGAGAGATGCCAAAATGTGTTTGTCGATTGAGCTGCAGCAGAATTGTGCTCCTGAGAATCGGCTTCACTGGGTGTCGATAGATGCTCAATGTCGATGGAAGGCAGTGGATGTCGAAGCTCGCCACTTGACACAAGTGCTACGTGGATTTGTGCTGAAAGTCAGACAGTGGCATGTCGAGAAAGGTAAACGGGAACAAAGCGCGGTATGTATCGTCGTTCCAAGCTAGAGCGAGAAGCCGCTGTGAACGCAACAAGCCGTGGACAGCTGCCTTCTCGCGAGTGTCGCTGCAGGATATGACATCGCGCCGATACCGTGCATTCACGTTCACTGTCCTGAAACCCCATCGTGTACCTGTCGATGGACGAATGTTTTAGTTGAAGCAGTCCATATGACACACTCACTCATGTGCCTGGGCTTGAATTAGAAGGTGAATATCATGGTTTCCCTGACTCGTTGCCCGCCTTGCGTTGAAGAAGGCACATATTTCGCTGCAGCCAAGGCGGTAGGCGCCACTCGGAGGTGTGAAGGTGGTAAGTGACATCGAGTGCGGAATGGTCCATCAGCCTGGCTGTGGAAAGGGTCTTGCAGCAGCGGCTGGAGGGGCGTAGTCGACGGTAGCCAGTTTTGGAGATGGTATAGATCTGACATGAAGCCCGACTAGCCATTGGCTAAGCAGGCCACTGCGATAGTATTTGCATTTTCGAGAGTAACGCGACTGCGCCGCCCAATACCCTGGCAGATGCGGTTGGATTTTGTTCTTTACCAGCCACCAACTCAAATGTGTAACCTTGGAAGGTCGTATACGAAGAAGCGACTGCAATACGATGCCATACACTTACCCAAGACTGCACTCTTCCGTCACATCCTACAGCGGACTACTCGTCGGGAGCGAGTGGAAGCATGGCCGCCAACGCTGTAGCCCAGCCAGCACATGTCTGCCAATTGCGAGTGTTCCTACGTCGTCTTCGTCAAGTACCTCTCCGCTATGCGGTACGGACCTGAAGATCTTGATGGCCGGCATTTCAGATCAACATTGCTGGGCTGCTGTTGGGATCGAGGAAAGATTCGCCCGCGACCATCTCAAAGTACCGAGTAGATTTTTCCGAGTTCATAAATCGAGTACACATGCTTTGCGGCCATCACACCAGCTCCTGATGTTCACCTTTGATCTGAGAACCGAGGCTTATCCTGAGGTCTGCAATGTATTGTGAACGTTGGTCACGTGCGACCTCGACCAATCCGCCAAGAAATGAAATTGCAGCACGAGCCCGCACCAATTCAACCTCGCTGGAGGATCGCTGGAGGATTTTCTCTCGACACCGATCATCACTTTGCCGTGCCACTCTGTGACCGAGGTGAGGACATATTATGATGCCTCGAGGGAATGCGACACTGACAAGATTACTGCAGTCGTGATTGGACATCCGCAGCCTACACCACACACACCACCAACAACCTCCAGCACCACCACGAAAATGTCGTTCCAAGACCCCAAGAAGTCGTCCGGCATGGACCAGCCCAAGATCCACAAGATCCGCATCACGCTCACCTCCAAGAAGGTCTCCTCCCTCGAGAAGGTCTGCAGCGAGCTCATCGAGCGCGCCAAGAGCAAGGATCTTCGTGTGAAGGGCCCAGTTCGCATGCCCACCAAGCACCTCAAGATCACCACCCGTAAGACTCCTTGCGGTGAGGGATCCAAGACCTGGGATACTTATGAGATGAGGTAAGGGATTGGAGATTGCGGAGACATGAGAAACAGAGGTGCTAACATGCGACCTAGAATCCACAAGCGTCTGATCGATCTCAACGCTCCTACCGAGGTCGTCAAGCAGATCATCATCAACATTGAGGCTGGTGTCGAGGTTGAGGTCACCATCGCTGCCTAAGCGCACGGCCGATACTCCATCTCAAGGCGGCGAGCTGAGAATGTAGAGAAGCTTGTAGAGCATATAGATGCAAGCCACCTACAGATACTATCCCTCAACTTCATGCCCAAATTCTCCCAGCACAGTATGGGTCTACATGGATGCTAGAGACCAATCTCTCACCAATTGAAATGGCGTGTTCACTTGATAGGTTGTGCTTGAAACAATGTAAAATGCTTGGGATATCTCTAAATAATGGCAGAATCGACAGGGCAGAACTTTCACAACAATTTTTTGATCACAACGGCGACCATATCGTCATATTACCTGCCACCAATCTGTCCCTTCGGTATTGGCTTGATCCAGCAGACCGCCAAATTGATGGCGATAGCCATAACACCAATGATCCAGAGTGACTTGTGGTAGTTGGTGTAGTTATACCTGAACACAATGGCGAAGACGATGCCGCCCAAGTTACCACAGGCACCAGTGAACCCAGACACGACACCGTTGGCATGTGGGTGCACATGGGGCACGAGCGAGTAGTTCAAGCCGTTCGCGCCCTCAAGGAAGAAAGCAAGAGCGATACCGATTGGCAAGACCAATGCATATAGCTTGTCGGGATTGGCCACACCAATGGCGATGAGGACAACACCCATAATGATGCTGTAGGTGTGAAGCAGGATTTTCTTGGACCAGACATTGCCAGTCGTCTTGTAGGCGATATCAGAGACCACACCGCCAAGAGGTCGACAGATGACATTCATGAGGCCGAACATCGCCGCCCAGTTGCCTGCGCCTTGCAGACCAAGGAACTTGAACTTGGCGCCGTAGTAGTTCCCAAGGATACTGTTGATGGAGAGTTCGGCGCCGAAGGTGCAGAAGTAGCAGGCTCCAGTGACGAGAGTTTGAGGCGAGAAGATAACCTTCGACATCTCCTTGAACGAGGGCTTCTGGACGACTTCGCCGCGAGCGGTATCGAGCATCTGTTGTTCGCCGAGCTGTGCCTCGTGCTCGCCAAACACACCACGGGTCTCGCCGAGCTTTTTCTCTTCCTCCATGATGCCGGATGGTACTGGTGATTCCGACCCTGTGTCCGAGTGCTTGTGACTCTCGGTGACGTGACCAGGAATATCGACAACCTGGCCCTCTACGCCGTGTTGACGAAGGTTGTTCTCAGCAGCTTGAGTGCGATCAGCCCATTTGCCGGTCGGAGTGTCTGGACACAAGACAACGAGCGCGATAGCAACCGCGGTAATCAGGATACCAGGGACAACGAACGACACACGCCAGGCAACGTGGCTCGATAGACCATCCTTGACGAGAGCCTTGTAGACAGCTGGCATGACGAAGTAGGTGATACCGCCACCAGCGTTACCGAGACCAGCGGTCAACGAGTTGGCAGTACCAACGATGTTCTTGTCGAAGAAGCCAGTGGTCCATACTTGGCAAGGCACGAAGGAACCACCAAGGATACCGATGAAGAATCGCAGAGCGTAGAGCTGGTTGACACTATATGCGGTACCGGACAAGAAGGTCGGGATAGCGCCAATCAACAAGCAACCAGCAAACGTCCATCGTGGGCCGAAGCGATCGCAAGCAGGGCCAGCAACAAGACGAACGAGCAGTGTGGCGACAAGAGCAATGATGTTGGAGTTGCTGATTTGAATCTTGGTCATGTGGATGTCCTTGGCGATGACATCGGCAAGAAGCGGTGGAAACGCATACCTGGATGCTTATCGTCAGCACGTCGTCGTGGGGTGCAGGGAGGTGGGTATAGTGGCTTACCAAGACCAGAAAGCGATCATAAAACCAAACCAGGAGAAGAAAAACACTCGTCCGTAGACGTTGACAACATTAAAGATTGGTACTGATCGCGCTTTCTTGTTGATAGGATTGACATCTGGTGCGGACACCAGTGCTGTGAGGATACTCATTACGGCGTCGTCCGACGAGTATGGCAATGGTAGGAAGAGTGCTTCGTGGGTGAAAGGTAAATCGACTCTTAGCGATCTAAATGTTGCCGGTCGTTGATCGTCAAGGGATGGTATGAGTAGGTGTAAAGAGTCTTCTGATTGCGAGTCTTTGATCTTAATACCACAGACCACAAGTGACGCTATTGTGCATCTCCGGGACGTAGATCCCACCCATCAATCTGTTGACGACGCCCGAAAGAAACAAGTCCGCGGATAGTCCCTCGTGGAGAACCCAAGGAGACGGAAGGCGGCTGGATATCGATCGTGGGCTGGCGAGGACGGTCCAGGGCATACGGTTGGGAGCCGTCGAGCGAGTCAAGGCTTGGACCGATAAGAGAAGCGGGCCCTCATATGCAACTCGCGCCTTTCGCGTGGCAGAACACTATACCAAATGTCTCAGCCTACGTCTGTCACAAAATGTTTTGCTGTTCTATCGCTGTCTAGGCCGCGCCACGTATATTTGCCGGACTTGCAAGTTTCTCAAAACCTCGCGGGAGTACTCGAGGTGTGCTCGTCGCACAGCAGACGACAACACGAGATCATCTCAGACTATAGGTTTCGAGAGACCGATTGCCAAGCGAGCTTGAGAGACTCCAATCAGCGCGCGAGACGTGAACAGGCTGTTGCTCAAGCCAAAAGACATCTGGCCTATAATCGTAGGTGACACGCCCCAGGGCTGAGGTGAAGTGCATGGATGGGAGCCGGACCCTGCCCTGGAGAACTGCTTATCTTTGGCTGATGATAACAATTCCCACTTTCGGAAGACATGCAGGCCTAGCTTCTCACTCTCTGATAAGACATTTGGAGCCGCCTCAATATTTCCACATTGCCGCCAGTCCAGCGAAAAGTAACAGGCGCATATCATCTCCGCGGTTGCTTTTGAGATCGAGCGTGATTTCAGCCTAGGTTTGGACCATGGCAGAACTTCTTCTGGACGTAAAGCAATCAATGACCCAGAACTGGATGTGGGAGCGCGCACACTCCTGAACACGGGTGTGGAATGGCTCTGGCCTGCCGTGTGATCTGGCCGTGCGAACTCGGGCAGAAAGCGCTAACATTCAAGTCAACGTCGCCGTCGTTGCTGATCGAAGCCCGTGTGTTGTCGAGATGTCGGAGCGGCATGCTTAGCGCCCGTCTACTCGGTAGACCAAGCACGATCACGTGGAATCTTCTCTGCTGACTCAGAATATCTACGTCTGGTCTAGTCTCCATTCAAACAACATCACAAATCTCAAAGGGTATCATGTCCGTTGTCCGTCGCATGCTCGACCTGGCGGAACTCGATTCAAGAGTGGCGTGATTGAGTTGCGATGCTCTCGATCTACCACTACAATGGGCCACCCAGCCAAATATCATCCGTGGTCTCTACCACTGTATGGCGCAGGTCTGTTATGGTTCGCGAGTATGTTCATCCCACCGAGCCGTCATGTTATCGGTCTACCTGCGAGTGCTGGCTACTATCTTGACCTCTCCGGGAAGCACATTCCGCGCAAACGCGCGTGGGAAGTATAGTACATGTTTTCATTCCTCAGTGTCTTGGCATGTACTTCATCGCAGATACTGCCAACACGTCTACTGTGTTATCTGTCCCAGGGCTACCGGCATCGACATCAAGAGACTGCTTAATTCAAGACGCGATGGTCTGGCACGGCGCATCGCTGTGTGCGCTACTATGGGCGACACTCTGTGGTCCTGCTCTTGGGTCTCTTGTCGTCATTACAGAACGCGTCAGCGTATGCAGCGCGGTCTACACAAGCGGCGTTAGTACAACAGTGGTACAATCGACAGTTAGCGTACAACCTACGCCATGGTCGGACTCCAAAGCGAACAGTGGAACGCCTTTTGTCCTGCAAATCACGCCACCCTCGACTTCAAAGGCCAGACGACAGAGTACGGGGGTCTGGCTTATGGCGAACGGAAACACCACTACAGATATCCAAGAAGCTGTACGATACGAGGTTCAGAATGGGCAATTAACGAGCACGACCGGCGGATATGTATCGACGGCCCCAGGGATCGAGTCGCTACCATTCGCCCTGACTTCTGCTCCGGAGGTCATTTCCATCAACTTTACAGTCACTAATGGCGTTCTTGTATGGAGCAATGCTGTGTTCACAGATGGTAAAGCCACTTTGTACAAAACGCCTACAGACCTGGTCGACAATGCTCAAATCATTGCAAGACTCTCAGGTCCGACATCTAACGACTGGGCTGCTGTGGCCTTGATGGCCATGCCAGGTGAGTAACACACATAGTCTTCTACGGCCCACGACTGATCCTAGCCACCAGTCTCGGGCCCAGTTACTGCGAATGCATCTCAGTCCACATCCATGGCATCGGTAGTCTCGATTGGGCCAGCTTCGACGTCTGCGGTGACGAGCCAGTCTAGCCTGGGCTCACAGACTGCGCAGAGCAATACGGGAGGACCCGCCCCATCGTCGACCGGCACTTTCTACTCAGCAATGTCCTCGAGTCTTTCAGTCTCACAAACGACGAGCTCAGCTGTCGTTTCTGGCAGTATTACCATGACTTCGGCCACTACTTCGAGCCAAAGTGCCATTCCGACATATGCATGTCCAGCGAACAACGACTCGACTGTGGGCGATCTCGAAGGCATACAATACACTATTGGTTGCGGCCAAGCTACCACCGGCGATACCTTCGCGTCTACCACAGTCTCGAGGTCATTTAATGAGTGCTTTGGACTTTGCGACCAACTTCCCGGCTGCCTTGCGGTCTACTACGATGGCGGTAGCAATGGCGTAGGCGCAGGCACATGTTGGTTCAACAACCAGCCCGCATCATTCGTCAGTGCCAGTTACGGACACGTTGCTGCTATTCGTGTATCTTCGTCATCGTCCTCAGGCTCAAGCGTCACCCTCGCCACTTTCAGCACTGGGCCTCTTGGACCGATAGGACAGCCGACTTCATACTCCAGCTACGAGACGACAAGCTACAATACTTCGTTTGCAATGGGTCTTTCTATTCCCTCATCGACTTTCACCTCAACAAGCATGATCTCCAGTCCTACGTCAGTCCTTGCGGCGAGCACTACGTCAGCTTCGTCAGCTATGTCAGTCTCCAGCGCCCCATCTACGTCGAGTTCTTCCTCGACAGTAATTTCAACTTCAAGTCCGTTCGCCAACAGCGTGACCACTTCGACATCCATGACCAGTTCTACATCCTCCTCAACAACTTCTACCAGCCCTGGAACAAGTATCTCTTCCACGAATATTCCAGCCGTATCGAGCTCCTCGCAGACAAGCAGCTCAAGCCTGACCAGTACCACGTCGGTGACATCAACGTCCAGCGGTATGTCGAGCTCTTCACCAAGCTCAAGCATTCCGAAATCATCGTCCTCGAGTTCCTCAATCTCCCAAAGCTCTAGCATGTCAACGACGTCCTCGACTAGCAGTAGCTCGATGCCCATGACCGCATCGTCCAGTACTTCTTCGTCTCCCTCAAGTACCACGAGCAGCATATCACTCCCAACCCTTACAAGCTCTGATACTTCAAGTATGACCAGCAGCTCAAGCAGCACGTCCTCATCTGTATCCTCGACTTCATCAAGCGCAAGCAATGTCAACTCGCCAACCTCGACTACGTCAAGCTCAAGCAGTGCTGTTTCATCTACGAGTACATCCTCGGCTTCCATCTCCAGTACTTCAAGCACCCCCAGCCGACCAAGTACGACGAGTACGAGCTCAGGCTCAACCTCTTCAAGTACCTCGTCTGTGACAAGCAGTCTTTCTTCCCCGACGAGCTCATCTTCGGGAAGCTCCGGCGCCTCCTCATCGGGCTCTTCGAGCACAGTCTCATCTACCAGCAGCATTTCGTCTCCAAGTTCGACAAGCATATCATCAAGTACAGGTTCTACCTCATCAAGCACGTCCACGCAAAATACACCGATATCTACGCCTACATACACCTGTCCTGGGCTGAACAAAGCTATTGTCACTGACCAGTACGGTGAGCAGTATGTTGTCCAGTGCGGCTCGGACACCACAGGTGGAAATTTTGATGCGGCCCGCACGACGACTTCATGGAACGATTGTTTCGCATCCTGCTATAATAGAACTCAAGCTGGCAATCCCTGCTATTCGTGGACATGGGCTAGCGGTGCTTTAACGAACACTTACGGCGTCGGATCCGGAACTTGCTACTTCAAAAACTTCCAGACAGCCAGTTTCACGACGGTGGCCAGCGGTAACAATGCTGCGAACTATGTTGGGGCGATCATGGCGGCCCATTATGATCCAAATGGCGACACTTACCCTCCTGGGATCATTCATACTTCCAGCTCCACCTCCTCTGCTCAAAAGACAACGACGACCACAACCACAACACCCACTTCAAGCAGCTCGTCAACTTCGAATCCTGCGATTACAAGCATGAGTTCCTCTTCCTCATCCTCATCCTCATCCTCTACTACATCAACTTCCTCCTCCACATCAACCCGCAGCACCCAATATCTCGTCCTGCCATCCCCGACGCCGTGCGACTTTGGCGATCCACAAGGCACAGATGAAGACGACAGCTTCTGCGACATTCCCCTGAGCTTTCCTTTACAGATCTACTCCAAATCCGACACCACCATCCACGCCTCCACGAACGGCTACATCTCCATCCTCACCGGCTCATCCCAATACCAGACCAGTCCTCTTCCCAACTCGCATATCCCAAACAACACCGTCCTGCCATACGCAAGTGATATGTATCTCTATGGCAGTGCGTACCCTCCGCAAGGTATCTTCTATCAAGCGAGCAGTTCAAACATCACACTCGAGTACTACCTCGGACGATACCAGGGTAGTGGGATGTACCATTTCACCGTCGCATACAACACGAGCGCACCGGGCGTGTTCGTGTATACATACTACACGGTCGGTGGCTCTACTGACGACGGAGTGATGGGCGTGGTCGGGGCGCAAGGAGGTGAGTAGCAAGTACTGAAGATTTATCACACGCATACTAGTCCGCTAATACAATCACCAGTCGCTTCCTCGGGATCTGAAGTCGCCGTCACGTATTCCTCTGGGAGCAATAGTATCCTGCCTGGCCTTATTGTGACGTGCAACACGAACACAAATACTTGCGTAACGACACAAGCTGGAGGGCTTCCGCCGCCGAGCAAAAGGTAGTAGTCCAGACCTGCGCGATTAAGAAGAGTAGGTGGTATCGTTAGGGATGTGATGGATGATGCAGAACAGTCTTTCATGTAGGTACAAATAATAAGCCATAACAGTTCGCACGAAGACTATCATCACCTCGAACCCTCACCTCGAACCCTCACCATGCGCATGCTAGGCGATAATCAAGCCAGTATCAAGATTGCCATCATGCACTGCAGACAAAAAGGGAAGGCAGTCTCGCGACTGAACATGCTTGGGATTGAACGGAATCGAAAAGTCTGAAAGATATTCCTTTACCGTTGTGTTTTGCGCGACTTCCCTGGAACTCAACCGTGGTAGGATATGACTATGTACATCAGTAGTATGGCCCGATGTTAAACCTAGTATACCATGCCAAAGAGCTGGACGGTATGACTCAGATGATAGACGAAAGAGCAAAAGCAAAAGTAAAAGCAAAAGGGGAGGCAGTTCTCGATGAATCGAACCCTGGTCTTATGGATTGAAAGTCCTTGATGTTTATGCTACTTCCCTGGGGCGAAAGATCTGCGAGTTGGTTTATGTACAGTAGTGCGATCATCCGGCGATGACCCGATGAGCATGGATGGATGTGGTTCGTGATGCGGTATGGCAAGCCATGAGTCAAAGGACGAATCCTCCATGACTCATCTGGCATGCCAAGACATCGAACGTGGTCTCTTCAGTCAGAGGAGGCATGAATCGGTCCACAATATGTCAGGTCTCAGCCATCTGGCTCGCCGAAGTTCGTATGTCCCGTAGTCCTGGCATGTTCCACAGCCCACATCTGGCCCTTACCACTCTGCCCGCATTGATTGCACAGCACATCGAAACCATGCGTATCAGTGAAGTAATGCCTTCCCTGCAGAACCTTGCAAAGCTCTCTCGCAGCCCCCAGAGCACCTCCATCCATTTCTTCATCGCCCGTCCGCACGACGTCGAAGACTTTCCGGTCAAATTCCGGATCTGCTCCGGCGAAGGGCGTCACGGCGACTACATCGTAATGGATGCCTGAGTACACCAGGATACATCTTGTCGGACGACCTTCATTGAAGCGATCGATCCGGACGTCTTGGACGTTGATTGACGCGATTTCGATATCAAAATGCTGCGATAAGACGGAAAGTTCTATCCCGCCTCCCCAACTGTCCTCGCGAGAAATCCATTTGCAGTAGTCGCTCGGCTCCTTTTCTAGCATTCCTTTCGTGTAGAGCTCTGGGTTAGCTTGGATTGTTTGGGCAACGATGGAGCGGAGTTCGGTCATCCCGTCCAGTGCTGAGCCGAGGACTGCTGATGACAAGGCGCGGAACATGCAGCTGTTGTCGTCTGGCATCACTCGGAGGATCATCACGCCTTCCAATTGTGGGACAGGTACCTCGGGAGGATCACTCTCGACATCGCCAGTCTTCTTGGTTGAGCGTTGCAGGGAGAGCTGCTGGTCAGGGAAGTCGCCCTGTTGATATGCGGGTGGCGCGGTCTGGTCTCTCGATGGCAAAGGTTTCACGGTCTGTGGTTTCGTGTTCGCCATGGGATTGGAGAGGCTGGCCTGAATGTTCCGTGGCGCGACAGTGAGCTGTTCGCCGCCGAGCTTCACTGATAGATCTGCTAGCTTCGTTGCACCGTCGATGGATTCGGTGTTCAATGCTTGAGGTGGGTAACCATATTTGAGGTCGAAGTCTGGTACGCCAGTCTTCTCACTGATCTCGTGCTGTAGATCTGACCAGGTTGCATTGTCGTCGATCGTGATCGCAGCCACTCCTTGGGGGCCTCGCACACGCAGACGCATTTGGGCGGCAAAGCTCGATGCGTGGCAGTGAGTACGAGAATTCTGTGCGACGATGATGTCCTGATGTCGTAGGAGGTGAAATATATGGCCCGGTCCGGATCTTTGGCTTGTTTGTGGTGACTTGTAGTGGCAATATATATGATGTTTGCACTGCCAAGGTGCAGGTGGCGAGCTGGTTGTGAGATGAGATGTGTGAGGGAGGCACTGTATACGCCCGTCGAGTTGATGTATCCTGTTTTGCTATGGATTGTAGTATAGTTCATAGTATAGTGCTACTTGCCATAAATTCTATAGAACTAGTTCTAGTCTGAGGCGAAGTTCCCTCGTTCCTCGTTCAGAATCGCGCCAACGCGTGCTTTCACATGCCACTCCGATCATATATGTAGACTTCGACACAACATTCTGCAGCGCGCACCATATCTTGCGATGCCGTTCACGAAGAAGCGAGAGCGGTCGCCGTCGTCGACACCGCTGCCCTCCACCGAAGCGGCGGCAGCGTCCAACGATAGCTCACTGCCGAGCGAGCTGTTTAGCAGCTTCAGTGATGTCCTGAATCACGCGTACACATATCGAACTCTCGACGGCCTGGATCCTAGCAAGCTATTCCACAAGAAAGTGGTAAGTGTTTTGTGAGACATAAACAGAGTCATACTGACGCCTTACGCAGAACAAACGAGTCATACCCGAATACTACGACACCATCAAGGAGCCCGTGGCACTTTCCACAATCAAAGCGAAGATCATGCGAAAGGAGTACCAGAATGCCAGGGAGTTTGTACGCGACTTTGCTCTGATCCCACACAATGCGCAAGTGTTCAATCGACCAGATAGTGGAGCTTTTCAGGATGCACTGGTGATCAAGGCACAGCTGGAAAAGCAGCTGCAATTATTGGTGGAGAAGGGCACGATCACGAAGGAGGATGCAGTACTACCCTACCTTGGCGAGATACCAACCTACGAGGATGTGCTGATGGAGGATGCTGGCGAGGCGGAGGAGGAGAGCAGTGACGAGGAAGGAGAGGAGGATGATGACGAGGAAGGAGAAGAGCTGGACGATGAAGGCAAGCCCGTAAAGAAGAAGCGAGGTCCGAAAGGTCCAAGGGACCCGTCGAAACGACAAACGGAGGGGCAACCGGAAAAGAAGGCTCGGGGTAGGCCTCCGAAGCTGCTCACTCCAGTCGAAGCACGAATACAGGCTATTATCAAGGGTATCCGTAAACCCAAGAACCAGCGTGGGCAGCTGATGATCAAGGACTTCGACCGCCTGCCGGACAAGACTGCTATGCCGGAGTACTATCTCGAGATCAAAAATCCCATCGCATACGACGTACTGAAGAAGAAGGTCAAGCGGAAGAAGTACCGATCGGTGGAGGAGTTCATGGCAGACGTCAATCTTATGTTCAACAACGCAAAGGAGTACAACCAGGACGACTCGGCAGTCTACAAGCATGCGACAGCTCTACAGATTGAGGCGGGCCGACTATACGATATCGAGCGAGCCAAGCCTGATGACACTTTCGCGGACGATGAGGGCAAGCTGCCCATGCCGGATGGTATTCTGCATAATGGGCAGCTGTACAAGGTTGGTGATTGGGTGCATATTCAGAATCCAAATGACCTCACCAAACCAATACCTGCTCAGATCTACCGTACATACAAGGGATCGAGTGGTCAGAACATGGTGAATGTCTGCTGGTACTATCGACCTGAGCAGACTGTGCATCGCTTTGACAAGCACTTCTTCCCTGACGAAGTCGTCAAGACAGGTCGCTATCGCGATCACAATATCGAGGAGATTGAGGGCAAATGCTTCATCATGTTCTTGACGCGCTACTTCAAGGGCCGTCCACGAGGACTTCCAGAGGGACAAGAGATCTATGTCTGCGAAGCAAGGTACAACGAGACAGCTCACCAGTTCAACAAGATCAAGACCTGGGCTTCGTGTCTCCCTGATGAGGTCCGAGACAAGGACTACGAGATGGACATGTTTGACCATGCTCGCAAGATGAAGAAGGTCTCATCGCCAATCGCCTATCTTCTAAAAGACGAGCAGAAAGAGACTGATGACTTGCCGAAAGTGCAATGGGGCGCAGAAGGTGCACCTCCCAAGATTGGCGCAGTGCATAGACGACCTCGAGGCGATCGCGACAGTATACCGCCAGAGCCTACACCACCTCCCCCGCCGAAGCAGCCCACGCCACCGCCTCGACCAATGATGCCAAGTCAGCCAAGCTATAATTACACCCCTTCCCAATCGCAGACCCAGCCTCGGCCAGTGAGCAGAGCGCCACTGACATCGTATACTGGAAGCCATCCGAACCAGTACACGCATGCGACAGCTCCCTCACCTATCGCCCGTCCACCCTCGGCCGTCCAGCAGAACAGCTACCATCAAACTCCACAGACCCCACAAGCCGCGCCCTCGACACTGCCACGACCCACTGCCCAACCATCGAACTCATACAGCCATCAATCCTCTGCAGCACCAGCAACAGCTACACCTTCCATCCCACCAAACCCAACAACCTACCGTCCCACAACATCAGGCTCTTATCGCGACCCAGCGCCTATCGAAGTCTACATCCTCCCCGATCAAGCGAACCTGAGCATTCCGGCCGAAGTTCGCGAGCAGTATCAGAGAGACGAGCAGGGCAGAGTCTTATTCTTCACCGCTCCCCCCGTCGCTCCTGCCGCTGCTGCTGATGGTGCAGTGGGAGGACATAGTATCCGCTACTTAGCCGAGAAAGCCCGACGGAAGGAGGTGCTGGCCAGGAAGCGGAAGGAGAGGGATGAGGCGGAGCTGGTTCGGGACCGGAGGACCAAGGTCGCACGGCTTGAGTCTTCTATCTCCACTGCTAAGATTGCCGAGACGATGAAGGCTCGGACGCTCCGGATGTTGGAGATTCAGCTTGTGGAGACGGGGATGGAGCTCGATGGGTTGGATTTGCAGAGGTTGGGGCTTGTGCAGAGGGCTTCGGTGGAGACGATGGGGGATCTGGCTGAGCATGAGGCGAGGAGGGAGGGGAGGGAGAGGGTGAGGCTTAGGGGCACGGGAGTGTTTGGGGATGATTATGATTGTAGGCTTATTGCTTAAAGAGTTTGATGAGGAGGTTCGAGGGAGTGTGGGAGTGGATCTTGTTAGATGTGCTTTCAGGTCATGGCTGTGAGGTAGCTGTAGCTGTAGCTGTATGAGTGATGATATGCCTTTCATTACATGCAATTAGGCAAAGATCCCCCTCCTCACGTGTGGGAAGTCGATCTACTGCCGCGTGAGGCTCTTCTTTCTTGTATATATAAATAATATAATGCTCGTTAGGTGTGATGTGCACGGACCCTCGAAGTTGAAGTCCGACGCGGCGTCACGAGCATGTGCCTGCAATCATCAATACACTCACTCGACACACAGCGCAACTTCTTGGCCATCAGGCACGAACAACAGATTACGACTCTTGACTACACAGTCTCACACCCACACTCACACCCACACTCACATCCATCATGGCGTCCGCCGACGTCCTCTCCCCATCCGCGATGCCGCAGCCACATCGCCTCACCAACGTGGACACGGTCGAAGGCGTGGACGACGGCGATGACCAGTACGCCACATACAAGAAGCTCCAACGACAACTCGAGTACATCAGGCTGCAAGAGGAATACATCAAAGACGAGCAGCGCAGCCTGAAACGCGAGCTCGTGCGCGCCCAGGAGGAAATCAAACGCATCCAGAGCGTGCCCCTCGTCATCGGCCAATTCATGGAGGCCATCGACAACAACACGGGCATCGTGCAGAGCTCCACCGGCAGCAACTACGTCGTCCGCATCCTCAGCACCCTCGACCGCGAACTCCTCAAGCCCAACAGCACCGTCGCCCTGCACCGCCACAGCAACAGTCTGGTGGACATCCTGCCTCCTGAGGCCGACAGCAGTATTGCTATGCTGCAGGCGGACGAGAAACCGGATGTTACATACGCCGATGTCGGAGGATTAGATATGCAGAAGCAGGAGATCCGTGAAGCGGTGGAGTTGCCTTTGACACAGTTTGATCTGTACAAACAGATCGGTATCGACCCACCGCGTGGTGTCCTCCTCTACGGTCCCCCAGGAACAGGCAAGACAATGTTAGTCAAAGCCGTAGCAAACAGCACAACCGCCTCCTTCATCCGCGTCGTGGGCTCGGAGTTTGTACAGAAATATCTAGGAGAAGGCCCACGAATGGTCCGTGACGTCTTCCGGATGGCGCGCGAGAACAGCCCCGCCATCATCTTCATCGATGAAATCGACGCCATTGCGACAAAACGTTTCGATGCGCAGACGGGTGCGGATAGGGAGGTACAGCGGATTTTACTCGAGTTGCTAAACCAAATGGACGGTTTCGACCAGACCTCCAACGTCAAAGTCATCATGGCCACCAACCGCGCCGATACCCTGGACCCGGCCCTCCTGCGCCCAGGGCGTCTTGACCGCAAGATCGAGTTCCCGAATCTTCGCGATCGCCGCGAACGACGTCTCATCTTCTCCACCATCGCGAGCAAGATGTCGTTGGCGCCGGAGGTGGATCTGGATTCTTTGATCGTGAGGAATGATCCGCTGTCCGGGGCGGTCATAGCCGCGATCATGCAGGAGGCCGGGTTGAGGGCTGTGAGGAAGAATCGGTATAATATTATCCAGCAGGATTTGGAGGACGCTTATACCAGTCAGGTCAAGGGGGCGAGTGAGGCGGATAAGTTTGATTTCTACAAGTAGGTGGTGGAGGTTTTGGGTGGTGTGGTGTGGTGGGTGTGCCGGAGAGGCAAGGTCGGGGGATAGAAGAACTGTACAATAGATCAGCTGCGTTGCGCTGTACACACGCGGCCATGGGGCATGAGACGAGATGAGATGGGATGCTGGACTGGGGGAAGCATAGCGTAGCGTCAAGTCGACTGTACAAGTACGTCCTCTGTTTCAGAAGACTTTAAGTCTGGTTGATCTATTCATGACGTGTGACGCCCTGCTATTCACACCTCAAGGACCACCAGCAGTACTCAGGCGACTGAGGACCACTACCACAAATCTCTCTCGGTACCGATGGGCAGACAGTCAATTTGCAGAAGTGAAAACCAAATACTTCGAACCCGCAACGAAAATGCAAAAGGGAAGGGTCCACTCCTAGTTCACCCTAGGAGTCGACAGGGCTGCGCGAATGGCTGTTCTTTGATCTTTGCTACTTCCCTTGAGAGGTGGGAGTTCTAATCATTGCCTATAATACTCGTGAGGATCGCCCGAGCAAGTTGCCGGACCTGCCTGGTGCGGTGTCTGTAATAGTCACCGGCCGCTATGCTTTGGTCTAGTCTGAGTCATGGCGCTTCCAAATCCTGTCCGTGGATATATCGTGAGGAAGCTGCCATCATCACGCTCATGAGTCGATCTCACCACCAACTTCCTCAATCGCCTTCACAAGCCCCTCGACCGTCTCCTTCCGTGTCTGCGAATTAACCACCACCCGGAAAAACCTCCCTTCCTCCCCCGGCGCGAAATCGACCATGAAACCCCTCGGTATCAGTCTCCGACACACCTGTTCCGTCATCCTGGAATTCTTCTTCTTCGCATCCCCAGCCGTCTTGGAGAAGTAGAAGCACACCTGTAGACAAGGAGGCGGATTCGCGGACACCAGGGTGAATTTATCGTGCTTGGCGACGAGGTCGGCGAGGTATGCGGCAGCATCGAACGCGGCATCGATTTGCGCTTCTAGGCCGGAGGAGCCGTAGTAGATCCATGAGAGTGCGAGCTTGAGACTATCCCCCCGTCGCCCACACTGCGGTGTCAGATCCGCCAGATCCCATACCTCCTTCACGTCCTCCTGCTCCTGCGCCGCATGCGCCTCCCCCCTCTCACTCGCAACCACACTCTCATCCCCACCCTCCTCCTGCTCCTTCCCCCCATCACCCCCATGAAACAAATACCCAGCCGGCAACGTCATCCCGCGATGAAATTGCCTCAGGTCCTTGGCAAGCAAGAACGTGCAGGTGAGCGGGATATTCATCATCTTATGCGGACAGAGCGCCACACTATCCGCCCGCTCCACCCCGTTTAATTTATGCCTCTGCTTCGCGGAAAAGACGACCGGACCACCCCATGAGCCGTCGACGTGCAGCCAAAGGTTGTGTTTCTGGCACACGTCTGCGATTTCATCTAGCGGGTCGAAGGAGCCAAGGACAGTAGTACCCGCTGTAGCGTTGACGTAAAAGGGCGTCTCACCCGCTTTCTTCGAAACCTCAACCATGCGCTCCAACTCCCCGGCTTTCATCCGTCCCTGCTCGTCCACAGGAACAGATTTCACCCCCTCGGACCCAAACCCAAACATCTGCCCCGCTTTCTCAGCACTATAATGCCCATGCGCTGAGGTGAAAACGACGAATTTCTTGCCCTCATACCCCTTAGTTTTCGTCTCGGGGAAAAGCACATTCCGCGCCACGACCATACTCATCTGGTTCGCCGCGCTGCCTCCGGGTTGGGAGACACCGCCTGCGAAAGCGCCTTTGAGACCGAAGAGCTGGGCGAGGGCTTTCGCGGTTTGTTTCTCGATGAGGGTGAGGGTGGGGGAGACTTGGTAGACGTGGAGGTTTGTGTTTAGGGCGCTGAGGAGGAGGTCCGAGGCGAGACCGACGGGATTGATGGAGGAGTAGAGTTTGTCGAGGAAGCCTTGGTCCCAGGTGTTGACGCTGTATTGGAGGATGCTTTCTATGGTCGATTGGAGGCCTTCCTTTCCATGGGCTTGGGCTGGGAGGGAGAAGTTGAGGAGTTGGGAGAGTTTCTTGGGGGGATGGTGTTCGAGGAGGGCGGTTCGGGGACCTTGGCCGGGTTGTTGAAGACCATGGCCTGTGGGTTTCGTCGAGGCATCTTCGTCGGCAGCACGTATGAAGGAGATGATTGAGGCTTTTACTGAGGTCAGAAGCTGTTGTGTGATTAGCAGTCACGATCAAGACGCCTTTTCAATTCGTTGTACCTACGTCGTCTGCTTCATCTGCTCTCCGTAGCGGCTGGGCGTTAGCCGATCGATCAGGTAATGACTGTCCGTTAGTCGCCATATTATCAAGGCTCTACTCGTCTCGTCTGGACAAACTCGTATGTGGCAAAATAAAACACTTGTTTTCAGTCATTCGATTTGAATTGATAAACCAAGCGAAAGTGATACTCGACACGCCTCGTTTACAATATGGTATGTCAATCTACAATAGTACAGTAGTCAGCGTTCGCACGCCATGCATTTGATGATGAAACAAACGAACGAAAAATGCCATCGCTGACGACATCTCGAACCCTTTCTTTCCGGGGTATCTCCACTTTTATTGGGTTGGTGACCCGGTTCGGGATGGGAATATGTGATCGGGTACCCAAGGTGAATTAGTGCTGTGCTCACGTGCTCACGTCCAACTCATCCTCCTTCTTCATCCCGATGCTGTAGCCGTAGCAGATGCTGCCGAAGCCGACCCAGCAGCAGGCCCGTTCCCATTAGTCCTGACGGACGACCGACTCCTCTCCTTCGCAGCCTTATCCTCAGCTTTCTTCGCATGCCTTTCTCTCGCCAGCTGTAAAGGAGTCTTGGCCTGAGCAGGCGGCTGACCCTCCTTCTTCACCTTGTCCAGCTCGGCAAAACTCTGAAACCCATCATTACTCGCCTTCTCCTTGCTCTGCCGGATCCAATCCTGTCGCCGCCTTTTATACAAATCCATCTTCCAATTCTTCCACACTGCACGACCGCACTGTGAGTCGCGGATCTCCGCCTCGTTCTCCGCCAGCTCTTCCGCGATACGTTCCCGGATGAACGCTAGGCCGTGCGTGCCATTCCATATGGAGTCGACCACGTGCGAGGCGGACTTGTCGACGGCCATGTCACCGATGCTTCCGTAGAAGTGCTGGACCAGTTTGCGTTTTTGGATGATGGAGCTGTTTTTCGATGCGATGACGGCTTGGATTGTGCGGCAGATGATGGTATCTTTTACCATCTGCAGCAGCAGCTGAGGAGTCAGGTTGATTAGTGAGTCAAGGACTAGACCGCTGAGTGGGCCCGGTACTCTTAGCATGGCTTGGGCGAGTAGATTGAAGTGGACTTTGACAGACTGTGCCGGTCTAGAGACAGTCTCAGACGGCTCGCTCCCGCTGCTCTGCACACTATCGTGTGGCGTGCCATCGTTATGGCCGTTGACTGCCGGGCTGTTCTCAAGCTTTAACAATTTCTTCACGTCGAAGCCATTGTCGTCGCAGAGTGTTGCATCTAATTGTGCAGCAATGGCTTGGGTATCGATGTCACGCACCGCGCAGCGTTCAACAAGTGTCCTGAGCACCAGTGTGCGGTTTCGCTCCAGCAGGTCTGGTATAGCCGGAATCAGCTTCTCGTGTGCCTCGTATAAATCGTCCTTGCTCATGCGTTCCAGGACGCGACACGCGACATATCCAGCAGTCTCGTTGCGAGCCAGAGAGTCGAGTCTATCCTTGAAGAACTCCTTGTTCAGACTCTTGAACATTTTGCCTGGAGCATGTTGCACGATTTGCTCTACAAGATGAGAGCCAATAGAGTCGTATACCAGTCCGTTGATGAAAGCCGCACTACCGCTGTCGGCCGTGATGGGGTCATCTGGTAGTAGAGTTCGAATGATCGAAGTCTCGTTCTTGGCTCGTTGCTTGCCAAAGTGCGTGAGCTCAAGCTTCAGCAGAAGCTGCAGCGTCGGGTTAGCATTGGCGTGGGTCGACAGACCTCGAAGTTGCTCCGTATCAAGTCCAGCCACACTATCCGCAAGCAACTTCTCGAGTGCGTCGGCAAAGGACTTGGGCACGTTCCGCGACTTTGACTGACCGTCCGCTTGTTCGCTGCCCTGCACGGTGATGGCTTCCTTCCTCTTGCTTTGTAATAGCTTGTTGTTGGCCTGCGCATCGAGGGGGTCACCGGAGAGGACAAGCAACAGGACTCGTAGAGCATGCGACCCAAACTGATCTGTCATGAGGAAGCCTATGCTGCCCTCGAGCTCGGCAAGAGTGTGCAGAAAGAGGTTCTCCATCGACACATAGATCTCATCGACATTGTCCGTCGTCTTTGGAGCCGATGCAACCAGTTCTTCACTGACTATAGGCGCGGCTCGAAGGAAGAGTGCTTCGCAGCAGTGCGATGCGAATCGGTGAGATATTAGGTGGATGAAACTAGCATCCATTAGCATCATGTATCCTGTGGTAGCGGTACAGATTACTCACTTCCCACTGAAGGCTTGGAACAGCTTCTTCATTTGCGCAGGTGTCGAAAGCTGGATCAGACGCTCCATGAGACGAGAACACGATTGGCTCTGGGCAATCTTCAACTCCTTGCCTTCAGCCTCACGATACACATTTGCAAGAAAGAGATCACGCTCCTCTTGTTCGCCAAATGAATTCGCTTCGAGCATGTCATCGGCCCGCTTGAAGTACTCCTGTTCATCCATATCCAGCATGCCGAAGAATGGTCTGTCGCCGTGAGGATATGCGGCATCGACGGATTCATCATGGCCGCCAAGAGGCATGTAGTTGACATGGCCGTCGTACTCGGAAGACTTGCGTCGTTTGCTGGCCTCGTCCGGTGCAGGTTGACCATCTTCGTCCTCGTGCTTGCGCTTCATGCGCCGGCCGCGCTTTTTGTTCTCCTGCGGCATGATGTGTGGTAGTCCTCGCCACTGCGAATGTAACAAACAACGCAGGTCGCACAAAGAATATGTTCAACAAAAGCGCTGGCAACGCGGCAATGAACAATGAATGATGTCGAGGCTAATTATTCGGGGTTCGGCGAAAGAGAACAGTGATAATGCATGACCAGCGGCCGTTGGTGGAGCCAAGCTAATGTGAGCCGTAGACATGAGCGCGAAAGAAGTAGAGTTCAGGTGGGATGATGATGAAAAAGCTCGGCAAATGGTTCAGGATGCAGGGATTACCCGCCGAAAATGTGTGTGTCAGATCGTCTGGAGATCGGATCTCGCGTGAAGACCCGATCTGAGGTGGAGCCGGCGTGATCGCGATCGGGTGTCAAAACCATCGTTGCGTGTCGCTGGCCTGCATATCATATGTTGCACATTATTATTATTCACCACCACATAGTCAACATTGCATGAACTCGAGGCTTTTTCCGACTATTGCGGCTATCTATCTTAAGCTATACATACCAAGATCTCCGTGCAGACGCCGCGTCCCTTCCGTGCAACTCCCTGCCGGCTATGGACGGCGATCGATCTTGATCACGAAACCCTGATCCTGGAGCCAGACATCCAGTAAATAATATCCCTTAGAAGGCTCGTAATTGTCGACATATGTGGACAGAGAGTCATATCTCAATCCCAACTGCAACCACCTGCATTGTCTCCATCAGTTCTACATCTGCAGTCCAATGGCCAAAGAATGAACATCTACTCCCCATAGAACAGCTGTCCAAGAGTCGCTCTACTAGCCCTCTCCTGACTCCCACGGGCAAATAAACTCAATTACCTCGTCCTCGTAGCTCCCACGGTAATCGCCACACCATCCTATGCTCAGTTCAAGAGAGAGAGAGAGAGAGAGCGCGAGAGAGGCGAGACTACGACACCGCAAGCTCCCAGATCAGATCAGGACACTACAGTACGAAGCTACACGTGTTTGCTTACCACGATTCGGTCGAACATACGGACTCAGGTTGGGCGAACATGCTCACGAACACGACAGGTGAAGTAGCATTCTCCTAACAAAGATCTGTTCCCCCACCCTTACTTTACCCCTACCACGTTCACTCCTCGCAATCTCAGCGCGAAGACGTGAGAAGCAGGAGATGCGGCAACATGAGCTCGAGTGCAGACGACAGCATCAGTGGGCGCTTGCTCCGCCCCACCACTCTCCTGCTCGACAACATGGAAATCGAGTACAACTTTCCGAATCCCTGAGATTTAGGCAGGGTGTTCTTTTGCTGGACACTCATACCCGAAGATAACATGTGGCGAGCCATCTCGGACGGCGAAGGTGATCTGAGTGTGGTCGATGTAGAGGCTAGATACACAATAGGCAACGGATATGTGACAGGCTGTCAGCGTGATGCTCACATACAGACAGCATCGCTCTATCCCATGCAATGCTAATCTATGCCACGCGGCACGCGCCACACATCTCCATCACACCCAGGAACCCCCTTCATCTTACCGCCCTCTCATAGGCATCCCCCTCCCCCGTCCCCTCATAGCCCTCTGCGCCGCCCCCGGCGGCAACCCCCTCTGCGGCCCCTGCGGCGCCTGACTCTCCTGATTCCGAATCGTCTCATCCACACTCAAAATCAAACAACTCGCCTCCACGGCCGCCTGAATGGCATTGATCTTCACCAACGCGGGTTCCCACACAAACGCCTCCAAATTATCCCGAATCCCCTCATTATCGAAATCTACCCCGGCCCATACGAAACCCTTCCGATGCTCGACGCGGAGCATGTTCAAGATGTCCGTGGCGTCGAAGCCGGCGTTGTCGCAGAGTTGGCGCGGGATCACTTCGAGCGCTTTGGCGAAGGCTTTGATGATGGATTGTTGTTTGTGCGGGATGTTCTTATCCGCGAAGCCGTGGAGGTAGGCGGAGATTTCCATTTCGCAGGCCCCGCCGCCGGCGACGATGGTGGTGTTTTTGATGGCGCGCTTGACGATCATGATGGCGTCGTGGAGGGAGCGTTCCACCTCGGCGATGAATTGTTCGGCGCCGCCGCGGAGGACGAGGGTGCAGGTTTTGGCTTCCGGGCAGCCCTCGAAGAAATTCATCCGTTCGCTGCCGATTTGGCGTTCTTCGAAGCGCGCGCAGGTCCCCAGGTGTTGCGACTTGATGTCCGTGCAGGTGGATTGGATGCTGGCGCCGGTGGCTTGGCAGACGCGTTCCATGTCCTCCGAGGCGACGCGGCCGGCGCAGAAGATGTCGCGGTCGGCGAAGTATTGGGTGGCGAGGTCGCCGATGGGAAGTTTGGACAGGACGACCTTGGCGCCGGTTTTGCTGAGGGCTTCCATTTTGTCGTAGATGATGCGCCATTCGGCGTCGACGATGGCTTGGTACTCGGAGACTTGCTCCACGCGGATCTCGGCGTTGTCCTTTTCGCTCTTGATTTCGAGTTCGACGTTTAGGCAGACGATTCGGGGGTCTTTGAAGGATTTGGGTTGTTGTTCGAAGCCGGCGTAGGCGAAGGTTTTCTTGAATGCTACGCCGTTGACGAAGAGGGAGTCCTGGAGTGCACCACCAGTGATTTTCTTCATGCCGATGAGCCTCTCGTTTAGGTCGTCCTGGTCGAGTGTGAGGACGGCGTCAACAACCACTGCAGATCATTAGCCTCATTTCTACGAGTAAAAGGAGCCTACACACTTTTTGTGAAGAAATCAGCATTGCGATGGATAAGCTTGCTGCTCATAGCCGTGGCCGCCAATTTCCGCAGCGTCTCCCTCTGATTGCCCTCGCTTGTGTTGACGGCAATCTCCTTGATCTTGTTCACAGCCATCATGCTCGCTCTCCGTAGACCTTTGATGATAGTCTGGCTGCTCACGCCCTGCTCTACATGCTCCTTGACCTCCTTCAAGATCTCACCCGCCAACACTACCACTGACGTCGTACCATCCCCAACTTCCGCATCCTGTGACCGGGCAATATCTGTGAGGATTCGTGCTGCTGGATGGACGATATCGAGCAGCTTCATCACCGTCGCGCCGTCGTTGGTGATTGTCGTCTTCCCATTCTCGTCTACTAAGAGCAGATCACCTCCATATGGTCCGAGTGTGCTCTTGATGGTTGATTGCACGGCTATGCATGCGTTGATGTTGGATATGACCTGGCCCCGTCCTTGCGATTGATCGGTGCCTTCCTTCAAGACGATGATCGTCGGCGTTTGTCCGCCGTAGGACATGATCTGGGTATTGCTTTATATGTGGTGATGTGTGAGAGCGATTCCGGCTGAAGGTATCCCGCCTAGATAGTCGTGGTTTGGGTGTTGTGTAAATGGTCGTGTGCACATATATCTTCCTCACCTGTAGCTTGACGCGCTCATCAGCAAGCGCGTCTCTTAGATTTTTCGAGCGCGGGGCAGTTCCGCAGGATTGCCTGTGAAATTCGCACACACAACCCCCACCACCATAGCGACGGTGGTGCAGAAGACTCTGGAGGTGGGAGATATCAAGGTAGAAGTGAGAAAGCTGTCCCAGACACCGGAGTGAAATAAATATCATCTGCTGTGCACTGCTGGAACATCGACCACACCCAGATCGCCATCATGGCTTCACAACAACCCACCAGCGCAAGCGACATGCTGAACGGCGCAACCAAAACCGTCCAAGCACCAGGCGAGATCGCAAAAGACAACTCGATCATGAAGGATCTCCTCCCCAATCTAGACCGACATCTCTGCTTCCCCCTCCTCAATTTCCTCGAAGAAGAGACGCCCGAAGACGAAGACACGACCGAGATCACAAAACTGAAATTCGCCCTTCTCTCACCCACCAACATGCACGACTTCACCGGCGACCTCTACGCCCAGATCCACAACCTGTCCGAGCGACCAGAGGAGTATGCGAAGAAGCGGGAAGGAGTGATGGAGCAGTTGGCAAAGTACCAGGAGGAGACGGAAGGTCTGCAGAACCTGCTCGCGGATGCCGATGTGGTGGGCAACCTCAGAAGTGACAAGGAGTCGAACATGAAGTACCTCAAGGACAGCCACGGCGTAACACCGCAGATGGTAGAGCAGCTCTACGAATTCGGCCAATTCCAGTACTCCTGCGGCGACTACAACAGCGCCGCCGAACTCCTCTACCAATACCGCATCCTATCCACCGACAACGAGCGCGTCAACGCCGCATCCTGGGGCAAACTCGCCTCGGACATCCTAACCACGAACTGGGAAGCCGCACTAGAAGAAGTGACGAAACTCAAAGAGAGTATCGACGGCCGCCTCATGAACAACCCGCTCGCACAGCTCCAACACCGCACCTGGCTAATCCACTGGTCCCTCTTTCCCTTCTTCAACCACGAGCCAGCGCGCGAAGTCCTGACCGAACTATTCTTCAGCCCGACTTACATCAACACCATCCAAGTCTCCTGCCCTTGGGTCCTACGGTACCTCACCGCAGCCGTGATCACGAACCGTAGTCGACCGGGGAATAAGACGAATTATCTCTACGGTAATTACCAGAAGCAGTTGAAGGACTTGGTGCGGATTGTAAGGCAGGAGCAGTATGAGTACAGCGATCCCGTGACTGGGTTTATCAAGGCACTATACGTCGACTTCGACTTCGAGGAGGCGCAGAAGAAATTGAGCGAGGCGGATGAGATCCTGCGGTCCGATTTCTTCCTCGTGGCCGCCGCGGACAATTTCCTCGATGCGGCGAGGCATTTGATCTCGGAGAGTTATTGCAAGATTCATCAGCGGATCGATATCAAGTATGTCATCCCCACATCCACTCCCCAAACATCCCTCCTGATCCTTCTACATGATATTAACTTCTATGCAACAGGGACCTCTCCACCCGCCTCGGCCTCTCCTCCGACGAAGGCGAGAAGTGGATCGTGAATCTCATCCGCGATACCCGCGTCGACGCCAAGATCGACTATCAGGCCGGCACGGTCATTATGAATCATCCACCCATGAGCGTGTATCAGCAGGTGATTGAAAGAACCAAGGGGGGGTTCTTTAGGACGCAGGTGCTTAGTGCTGCTGTTGCTAAATAGGGTATTGCGCAGAAGATGGGTCATAGAGATTCGCGTGTGTTTGTGTGTGTTGGGGGCGGGCTTGGGAAAGCATGGCATAGCATAGGCGCCTGAGGCGTTGAATGACACGAGACGACAGGCAAAATGGGGCCAGACTCTTGTGGGTGGGAATGTCTCTTGCTCGATATGCATGTGGCCCACGGAATGACGTGGCGATACTCGTCTTGAAATGCAATTGGCTGTAAATTTTCTGTCCTAAGCACCTCCTCGTTGTCGTGCCGAAATTACACAAGAGACGGGACATGCAGGTGGGAGGTTTCATCGTGCGGCATAGAAACAAGGCTGCAGGTATGATGGAATCTCTCCCATCTGCATCGAGCATCCATATCTGCCCGTAGAGCCTACACTCCCCAAAGCCAAAGCAGCCTCACACCCACATCACGAGGGATGCCACTAGAATCCTTTGATGATTCAAAGGAAAAAGAATGTCCCGTCACAGTAAAAATTTCCTCATCCTCCCACACGAATCAAGAGAGGTTAGGGGTAAGCGGACGTTGTGTGTCTTTACTCTGCCCTTCCATTTCCCCTCCTGGTCTTGCCGTGGGATGTAAACTTTTGCTTGGCGGCAGACAGAGTGAATTGGAAGGGCGCGTTTTCATGGGAGAGGGGAGGAGAGGGACGAGATGGGGAGGAGATTTGATACCTGTGTGGACGGACGGACGGGGCGGACCGATTCCGCTTTTGGCAGGCCAGCGCATGAGTGGGGTTGTGAATGCTCTGACGCTGATCGGATTTGTGCCTGGTGGGGGATGAAGTGGGCTGTACTGGCTTGTGACTCGATTATTCGATGCTGTTTCTGTAAGTGAGGAGGCTGCGTTCACTGCCGTAGACATAAACAGGAACTCTCTTGGTTTCTAGGAGTCTTGTGTGGGAGTACGACAGACTTGGACTCTTCCTCCCTCCACGACCAACAATAACAAACATGTCAAGTGGTGGCAGAGGCGGCGGCTCGAGCAGAGGACGAGCGGGCAAGTTTTCGAAGGCTAAGAGAGGAGGTAAGATAGTCATGAACAAGGTCCAGTTGAACGTCCATGTTAATATACGACAGGCGGACGCAACTTCTCCAAGAATCTCCGACCCCTCGACGCAGATGGCGCCGAACGAAGCATGTGGGCCGAACCCCAAGCCAAAGACGACGACGACGACAGCGACGAAGAAGACTCCTCTGAGGAAGAAGACAGCGACGATGATGTCCCCCAGCAACCACAACAGGCGGAGATGACACGTGAGCAACGCAAAGCAGCCACCAAAGCCAAAAAGGAAGCCGCCATCAAGCGAAAGCAAGGCGGGCCCGAAGCCGGCGACATGCCCCCCAGCGACAGCGACGAAGACTCAGACGAAGCCGACCTCGCCGACATGCCCTCCAACCCCAACCTCACAGCCGCCGCCCGCAAACAAGTCGCCAAACCCCCACCGGGCGCCGACCCGGCCGAGGCGCCGGCAAAAACCAAAATCACAAAATCAACCGATACCTCGCAACTCTCGCGCCGCGAACGCGAAGCCCTCGAAGCCCAGCAGAAGAAGGAACGATACCAGAAGCTGCACGCGGAGGGGAAGACCGAGGAGGCGCGGGCGGATATGGAGAGGTTGAAGCTGGTAAGGCAGCAGAGGGAGGAGGCTGCTGCGGTCAAGGCGGCGGAGAAGCAGGAGAAGGATTTGGTGGAGAGGGAGAAGAGGGAGCAGATGGAGAGGTTGGAGAGGCAGGCGGCGTTGAAGGCTGCGAGGGGGAATCGGGGGGGCAAGAAGGGGGGGAAGGCTTGAATCGTGCATGGGTCGGTCTCTGCTCGCGGCATTGAGAGTGGTAGTGGGACTGTCGCTGGTGTGCGGCAGGCGGCAGTGCTGCCAGTGTGCTATGGGTGTTTGCATAGCGTGGTATACCAAGTCTCATGGCCTTCTCTCTCTCATTTCACACTTTGGGTCACGTATGTGCTCGCAAAGGCATTCATGTCAAACATACACCCAAATCATTCCGGAGTGCGGACGAGCATAGCTCTGCGTTCTGCAATGGTAACATCAGAGTACCGTTTCAATTCTGCGGTGCTGATGTCATCGGCATCATGCTGCATCCAGATCACGGTAGGGCGTCGATGCCGCATCTGTGTCAAATACGTGATGAGCGCTATAGCAGCCACGACGACCCTGTGTAGGACCGCTGCCTGTTGTTCTCGGCTCGACGTGTCGACCTCCTGTTATACGTTTTGACGTATGCATGGTGCACTTCAGTGTAGTGAAGCAGATGGTCTGGTCCTAGGTGGTCAAGTTCTGGTGTAGTGGTCAAGCGTGGTAGACAGCCGACACCAGACCCGCATGCCGCACCAGAGTAAAACGTCTGATACTGGTATCAAGCTGATGGCAATAGTTCCTCTGCTGCTGCTTCCTGGTTGACCTCCCCTGAGCTGCCAGCGCCAAGGTGAGTGTGATCATGCCGATTAGTCACGAGAGCAGCATCCACTTCTATCACTAGTCAGCAGTCAACGGAAGCCTCATCGATACATTCGGGCGGGGGACCACCAGGATAATTGAACCTCCGTACGGAGGACAAACGCATAGGCTCCGTGTGGGCGGCTTGGTAAGGTAGACGGGTGCTCCAGCTCAAACTAGTGTGATCTCGAGCTTGTTTGACCTATGGCTTACTAACTACCGTAGGTCCTGCTTCGATCGCCGGCCTCCAAGCACCGTGGCCAGAGCGCTGGAGAGTGATACGCTGCCCATGTGCGCTTCGATGCGCGCTCGTATTCGCGGTCATACCACATGGGGCGGTCGGAAAGACGTAAATCTGATACATCAAATCATGCCGGCGAGCACGAACACGCGGCCACCCACCTGCCAAGCAATTCACTCTCGCCAGTCCCCAAGCAGTCAAAGGTGTGACCTTGAGCAGGATTGCTTGTATTAGCGTACTTTTCTCATCGAGGGCTCATGCCTCTTTCCTTCCAAGTCATGTGAATCTTTCTGCAATCTTGCCGTCTTTGCCGTGAATACACGTGACAAGGTGTAGAGCTATAAGCGACCCCGAAAGCAGATAGACTGAAGCCAGACGGACTGGTCTAGATCTAATTTCCTCAGAGCGTGTCGTCTTACGTGCGCTGAGGGTATACGATGCGGCATGCGGCTCTCCTTCCCCTTCTGGTCTCCTCGCCGCCGATGTGGTCGAGACGAGTGAACCAGCGCAGACAGAACAAGCTTCTCCGGGACTTGTGTTTGAGGCGTGAGACTCCCGTCCCGGACGGACCTCTGGTTACATACGGCTGCGGCGCGTGTCGCTTTCAGCCTCTGAGCTTCGACCTACACTTTCTCAAGTAGCTACACTCCCGCATCACCGCATGGAGATCCAATTGGCCAGAAGGGGGACCGTGGGGACATATGGTCTGATTCTGTCCTACAGTGCATCCTGCCCGGAGCCGCACACCGCTGCAGATTCCCCAGCCTTGTCGTGCTTATGGGTCCACAGTCATACGGAAGATGGAGGCACAGTCACGGCGCGATGGGGAGGGGAGGTAGGGTTACGTGCCCTCGGAATCCCTCACTCACGATCCAGAGCACCTTCATGGGAGTTTATCGAGTACAGTCAGAAAGAATCGAGGATCGGCCTCGCCACCTTCCCATTCGGATGGCGCTTATGTACAATCTCTCGACTACCTCTACGGTATAGCTTGTTACAGGCGAGCTTCTCATGATTAAGTAGTCATCCACTATTCCTCCTCTAGCGTGCAGAGAGCGAATTTACTGCACGCTAATGCGAGTTGGTCTGCTACACCAACCTATGAGCGCGGCAGACATATCTGGGGCCCAAGGCGTAGACTGCCGGCTATGCAGACACTATGGAGATCCATTCGCTGTGTACTCCGTACGCTGTCTCGGTTACGCCCCTGCTCATCTGTTGGAACTACAGTCAATCCCAAACCATGAAGCGAGCGAATGATCTTGCGGTCTGGATGGAACCATGGCTTGACCTGCCACGCGGATTCGGCGGAAACCGTCCCCTCCGTACCACTCTCTGACACCCACAGCTGCCCGCTGCCCACCTTGACGAATTGACACACAAAGCGTCATCCCGCGCCGACCGACCAGGGGGCTCGAGTGATGATTAAAAGGAGTGGGCAGTCCCTCATGTACATGATCGGTCGATCGAGTACATTCCTCTTGCCTTCACTACCTTACTGCCTTATCACAGGACCTACCAGTGCTCGTACCCATGGCCTGCCGTCAGCGCACCGGGGCTCATGCCGCATTTGCTCTTGGTCAGGAAGAAAACTGGACCCAGATCTCAGATGCTCAAAAGCGGAAACGTGTACAAAACCGTCTGGCTCAGCGCAGCTATCGTGTGAGTCTCAGATATGTCTTCATCTCAATTCGGGGGTGACCATGGCCTAACAGCCCCAAAGCACAAAGTTCGTGAACGACTACAGGAGTTGGACCAGATCAAGACTGCCGAGCATGGCAATGTCAGCCCGACGGGCGGCGAGCAGCTCAAGGCCTCGACCCGTTGCGCGAGTACGCTTGATAAGAATGCCGCCGTTCACGTGAAGACGACGATGATCACCTCCAACTTCCCAAACATGTCACCCAGGTCATCGGGATCATCGGAGAATTTTGACTTCTCCTTGCCAACCTTCGGCGAACCCATCTTCCCATGGTCAACCTCACCCGAGAAGTGCGACCAGGAATCAACCGGTATCGACGATTTCCTTGCAAGCCTCAGTTCCAACGAGAGTGCCCTGCCAACAAGCACAGAAGGCGATGCATTGATGGTGAATAACTCTGTCGGGAGTACCCAACTGTGGACCGCATCCGTCTCTGAGACAACGGACTTTGGCTTCGACCTCTTCGGCCCCGTAAGCCCGTCTGCTTCAGTGAAGCAAGAAGCAGAGCTGAAGTTCACGGAGCTCATGCTTAAGATCCGTGAGGTAGGCTTCGTAGATATGGAAAGCAGTAAGTTGACACGCCCATCACCAACACTCTCTGTCTGAGCGTACTGACCAAACGACTAAGTGATATTCGAGTACTACTCTCTCCAGTTCCGACGGGACTCGCTCCCGTATTGGCTACAGCGGAGAAGCCGGCAGCAAAATCTGTGCCGGCTACTGGAACAGCTATACGTGCACTCCGGATCTTGGCCTACAGAGGACTGCGCACCGTTTCAGCAGGGTATCAAGAAGCTCGCACATCGAATTGTGGACACAGAGCAGCTGCCCAGCAGTGCTACCCTCCTGACTTCGTCGTCGACCAATGACGGTCTCTTGGCTTTTCCTTTCCCTACTGGCAATGGGTTATTATGACACGATATTCACGACAGATGCCATATGGTTTTTGCGCTGGCGTTGGCGGTGGCGGGAAAACAGAACTGCCAAATCAAAAATGGGGGCATCAAAAGATACTTGCCGACGACGGTTTAGATCGGATGTAGCGCTTGTGAACACTATATCTCTCACCAAGTCTCTCCGTCGATGTCTTTCTTCTCAATGTTCAGTCTGCTTGTCACAGTGCTCGTGAGTACTTTCGTTGTCGCCACCGATGCTCAGTCACGATAGGACAGTTGATCGATCGTCTCCCATCGAGGTCTCATCATCCAGCCTGTTCCTGCTACCAGCTCATCACCGCTGACCTAGCAACCGATTGAGTCACTTGTCACCATCAGGTCCCCGGAAGGCGTGCTGCTACAACAACACCGCATCCGCAGGAACCGCAATCGTTCCCGTCCACCCATCTGACAAACATCCAAGCTGATCTCGATTGATCTCGTGTGACAATCGTCGGCAAGTGGCCACGTCGAATAAAGCCCGCGAGCTGAATCCCGTGTACGGGCTACGCAGGGTATCAAAACGCACTATAACGAGACGAAGGATCGCGGGTGAAGGCGAAGGATCCGGTGTGCAGAAGTCGGGAGGGGTGCTTCATATACCTCATGCAGTTTTCTGACTGTACTCGATCCTTGGCTATACGTGACACGAAGGTACTACGTGTGCTTGCGTTGAAGTGCTCGTGCAGTGGGCGCGCTAGGACGGTTCGGCTTTACGGTACGTACCCTTGTATAAGGTTCGGATCATTGATTGCTTGCAGCTGTTTGAGCTTGATTGAGTAAACGAGCCACGACTTCAGCCGGTATAGAAGGTACTGTACTCCCTACAGCGAGTGCGATCGCGGACTCAGACTTCTTGCTTTCAGTATCGGGATGTCGAAAAGACGATCGATCGCTCTTTGCGCGCTTGTAGCACCCATCCTGCCATCTTGATGATCTCGGACCTAGAGTCCCTCATACTGTGCTCTCGAGTCTATCTCTTGCTCGCACTAGAATCCGTCGACGTTTCACTTCCAACATCAGCCGCCATGGCACCTGCAACCAGCCAGATCGAGAGAGACGGCGGCGTATCTGCATCAGGCTCTTCAAACCCCCGATATGGTTAAGCTGGGCAAGAGCCGCAAGACCTTTGCCCGTGACAACGACCATCTGCACCCGATCACGCCTGTTCGGCTTACGCGACCTGAGAACTGGTGTGTGACAGGCAGAACAGCCATGCCAAGAATCGCTGACCAAGATCATACCCTTTTATAGAATTCGAGTCTGATTTAGCAGCTGAGGGATGTGGAGGCGCTCTGCCCGAGCAGCATGTAGATGATCATGATCCAGCTGAATGAGCTTTTTGTGTTTCCACGCTTCGTAGACGGTGAGGACGAGTGGATTGAGGGAGTGCTCACAGTTCAGGTAAGAGGGATACCTGAGTCCAATTTGAGAAATGCTGCAGAAGGAGTCGGCCATTCCCGAGCTCGGATCGATTTTCGTATTCTCTCCCAAGCGACGGAATAGCTGCTGGGCTAATATCTCGTTCTACGATTGCTCCACCGTGTCTGGACGTAGCTGGGCCAGGAAGCAGCAGTGGGGGTCCTATGTGCCGTCTGTCGACTCGGAGGACAACCACAACCATGGCCCATCCGCACAAATCATATGCCGAATCCTCTAGCGACGTAGAACAGCATATACGCTTCGGCACTGAGGACCTCCTTCTCATCAACCTGCACAACCATACTATCATCAAAGCGAAACCATTCGTGCTCTCCCTGCCTGCAATAAGAAACATAGTGACCATTGTCGATCTTGCCCTTGTGCACCACCACAGACGAAAGCTCGTAGACAGGTTCCAGCGGCTCGGGGTCAGGCTCTCTGGCTTTCGGAGCGTCGTCGTCGTCGTCATCACCATCTGCGTCCGCATCATCGTCCTCTCCTTTGACTGCGGCAGCTTTGTGCCCATTGATAAGACCTTTGCTTTTCGCGTCTGTCGATGCTCTCCCAAGATACGGAGTGAAGTCGAATGTGAGCGGGAATCTGATCTTAGTGTCCACTTTCGAACTCTGCGCCAAGGTCTTGCTATGACTGAACCGCTTCAGGTGTATCGGCACAACAGGCGGCAAGCATCTGAGGCTTAGCTTCTTCTTCGCCTCCCTGTTTTGATCGCACTTGGTGCAATGATAGCTATCACTAGATAGTGTTTCTGCGCTCGTGAAACGATCCAGACATTCCGAAAGGTCCATGGGCAGGACTTCTTTGATGGTTTGCGTGCCGTTGGTCAGGGCTAGCTTCTTCTTCTTTACAGACACGGAGGTACTGCGGATGTCGAGTGACAAGTCGAGGAAAGATTCCACGGCCGTGGTGGTGTTACGGCATTTGGTGCAGGTTACCGTTGATCTCAAGAGGCCAGAGAAGGTCTGGTGGATCGCGCACTCACAGTCTTTCGTGTCCTTCTCTTTCTTCATCCTTGCGATGCTAGCGTCGTCATCGTCATCTTCGTCTTCAATGAAAGCTGTGTGGAGACTGTTGAGGATGAAACCCAGGTACTCGTGGGCATCTTGCTGACTGTAGCCTGCGAGATTACCGCCACCTTTCCAGCAGCCCTGGAGCATATGTACAGCGCCATAGCCCTCGTGCTTCTCGACGCCGTAGAAGTCCGTGAAGATGTCATCTAAGGCGCAGGCGGTACAGGCTTCCCGCTCGCAATCCGAGCTTTTGTGGCCTTCGCTCAGATACCAACTGCGAATAAGTGGGTTGTGAATGAGTGATTGCAGGACGACAGACATGAAGCAGGTTTGACCCATGTTGTAGAGGCCTCGAAGGCCAGTGGCGGAGCACGGCGTTGTCGCAGTGTTGGCTGAGACGAGCTTGCGTTCTTCGGATGGCAGGTGAGAGTGCTTGCGCTTTTTGGTCGAGCTGCTGGTGCGTAGCGCTTCAAAGGTAGGGTCGTATACGAAGTCTCGACAGTCGTGGCAGAAGATGAAACCATTGTCGGACTCGACGGCTGACAGCATAATCAGCATGAGCATGGCAACTCATTCTATATTGAACGTCTGCTGACCAAAGGCATGATCCTTCTTATGCCGCTCACGACTGCTGCTCACTGTAGGGCACTGCAAACACAGGTATGTAGTGCCTATTGTGGTACTGCCGCCATTGCTACTCTTGTATGTCCGGCCACCACATCCATCTTCTCTCTGTAGCGTTTGGAATATGCGACTGTAGCCGTCGGTCGCCGGCTGACGAGCTGCTTGAAGGAGGGCCTTGACGTGCTCTGCATCGTGTCAGCCAAGCTCAAGTACTCGGGGTTGGATCCAGCCTACGGCATCCGAAGGTTGATTGCAGCGGCGTGGTGGGTGTGGCTGCGCTCTTCTTAAGCAATTTGGGCGTGTCTGTGGTAGCCGAGGTGGGCGTGAGGGTCGTGGTCGCCATGTCAAATGATCGTCATCATCCGCAGGTAACAAGTCATATGTGTATGTATGCCATCAACGATCGGTTTTGCGGCTCGGAGTGCTTGTCAGACTTGTGCTTCGTAGTATCTGATGCCGAGTCTCCTCGGTCGCATCGCGTGGCGCACGGCGTGCGTTCCTGACGCGACCCGAAAGACCCTGCAGATCTGCCGGAGCGAAATCTGGGGCCGTGTCGGTCCGAAACTGAGTCGGTGCCGAAGCATAGATTGATCAGATCTACCTCGAGTCCTCCATAGTATCAAAGGCTTCGGCGATCCAAGCACGCACTCGCTCGGCCAATAGCGTCGTAGTTACTGGAGGTTCTCTGGGCCACAGCTGCCTTAGATGAGTTGCACAACAATGCGAGACACTCGATCAAGGACCAAAGCCAAGCGTGAGTATGCGCGGGTGTTCACGCTCGAGGGAGATCTCACCGTGAAATCCAGCCAAGCCTCACTGATCTGGACGCAGCCGGCTCGCGATCATAACAAAACAAGTGTAGCTTTGCTGCAGCTGCCTCCAGAGCTTCGAAATCGCATCTATCGCCATGTGATCGGCCGGCCAATAGTGCATTTAGATCTGCGAGATCAGCAGTGGAAGCAGACGCTGTGTCTCCTCGATAATGCGGAAACGAGTCTCGAGGATGCGCATGCATGTTCCCAACGACCAGATTCTCAATGTGGCTTCCTGTCAATATGCTGCGGATCGAATGCCCATCGTGCCTGCTGGATGACCCTAGCGCCTCGAGCACCTGGACCCATCAGACGGCGAACTAGCATCGCAAGGGTACGTGGCTGTGACTTGCTCCCGCCCTTGAGGGAAGGCGAGAAAGAAAAGAAGGGGTTTCTGCTGAGGCGAGATCTTGTCCTCCTATTCGTTTGTGGGCAGATCTACATGGCCTTAACGCGAACTCCAGCAAGGAGTCTTTGGCTACGGCCCAGCCTGCTTGCCACCACAACGAGACGACTGTCCGCTTGCTACAACTGCCACCAGAAATTAGGAACAGAATCTACGGCTTCAGTATTGGCCATCCCATAATCCACATTTCCCGGGATGGCCTGAGGTGAAAAAACGCTCTCTGCGCCCGCCGTTCTGGCGAGAACATCATACACGGGTATTCTTGCACTCGACGCGAACTCGATGCACGTGACTTCTGGTGTGCCAACTGCGGCAGGAACGCCCACGCGAGTTGCTGGCTTCCTATCACCCGTGGTACTACGCATAGCCGCATCAATCACTCCATCCCTAAAACGAGTACGGACAAAGCCTACACAATCGCACCACGGAGCGGAAAGGATGGCTTCGTGCTGAGACGGGACTTCAATCTCATGTTCGTATGCCGCCAAGTCTACGAGGAGACACATCTGTTGCTATATAACATCACGACTTTCAGCTTCCAGTCGGCAGCCATCCTGCATTATTTTATGATCAGGTTGACAATTCGACAACGGCATGTCTTGGTTCACTTACATTTCGACGCTTCTTCCTCTAGACGTATACGTACTCCGACCAATGTAGCGCCACGGATACTACTGGATCTGCCGGACTTGCTGCCGAATCTAGGCGTGCTACACCTGTCCACATCTCTCACGCGCCTTGAATGGGACATAAGTAAGCTCCGTTGGGCAGTCCCGTTGGCAGCTAATGTGAAAGTCACGGTTTGTTTCGACCACTCGGCAGGGACGCCTGACGGGATTCGTGCCCAGGAAATACCACAGGAATGTCAGCTGTTTGCTCGGCAAATCGAGAGGGGGTGTTCGCGCATTCCTGTTGAGCCGGAGCCTGAGGGCAAGGGAGCCAGTCATGGTGTACTAACGACTGCATAAAGTGCTAAGTCAAGACGTTGACGATGTAACAGGATTGTCTTGTAACTCATATATTGGTGCAGCATGAGACCATCTGAACAGAATCTGCTCGGAAGCTGAGTAAAGATGGTCGCCTTTACTACTGAAATTCATAAACCATCTCTCCCTCAAACCAAGTCTTCAATATCTTCGCACCATCAAAATCTCCTTTACTCAAATCCTGACTGACGGCAATGAAGTTCGCCTTCTTCCCTGCCTCGATACTTCCTAGCTCCTTCTCCCTCCCTATGGCCTCCGCGCCGGCTAAAGTAAGCATACGACAGATCCTCTCACCGCCGAGCTGCTTGTCACCTTGCCCGACTTGATCGATGATCCCTTGCAAACAAGGCAGAATGTCGGGACTAGCGCCTGCTCCCCAATCCGAGCCTATCGTGACATGCGCACCAGCTTTGGCCATCTTGGCGAAGTTCCAGTCCATCAACCCTCCACTTGACTCAGTAACGGGATGCACGAAGAAGAAAGCCGGCGACATCTCAGCCGTCACGTCCAAGCTACGGAACCGAGCATAGTCATCGTCGTGAACGCCTGAGCAATGTGCAATCTCATGTCTAGGTCCACCCGGGTTCCTCTTCCGAGCGGCTTCGAACGCATCAAGGGTCAACCTCGTTGCTCCCTGGCCGGTACAATGAATCTTCATCGTCATCCCGCGCTCGTCGTATTTCTGTACCGCGTCGTGAACGTTTGTGATGAACAATTTGTGCTGTTGTGCTCGGCCGTCTTCCTGGAGCGCCGCATGGGAGTAGTAGGGTGGCAAGGGCACGCCGTCTAGGATGATTTTCACGAAGCGAGTGTCGACGTGCTTGGAGCGGTACTTTTCGGCATTGTCGAGCAAGGCGTGCAGTGACGACGTAGGCTCTTCACCTATCCAGTCTGGGGCATAAACGATGTGCGGGAAGATCTCGAGTTTCAGGCTTTGTTCTTGCTCGAGTTCCCGTGTGACGTCCAGGAAAGCTGTATTAGCAGATGCTTCCTGTATCGAAGTCACGCCAGCAGCGTGCAGCATTTTCTGCGCCTCCTTCATCACTCGCTTAGCATGGGATGCTGGCGCTTTAGGTACGGCTAGGATAGCCTTACTCAGGCTATTCTCCGCCATCTCGCCAGTAAGGTGGCCTCTGTTGTCTCGCAAGAAGCATGTCCCTTGGCCATCTGGCTCGGCTGCGATATCATATCCAGATCGTTTCATCGCTTCCGTATTGAGGAAGACGCCATGGCCAGCACCTCCTCGGATCATCACTGGAGTATCAGGATACTCGGCATCCAGTACTTTACGATCATATTCCGGAATCGCATAGCCGCTACCCATAATCCAGTCTTGATTCGTATGAGCATATTTGCACGCACAGCTTCCATTCTTGAGCTCTTCGATCAAGTTGTCATTGCTTACAACTCCTGGCAGAGCAGCGTACGAGGTCATCGCGATGGCTGACATGAGCATGTGACAGTGCGCATCGTGGATTCCGGGCATGATGAACTGGCCTCGAAGGTCGTGGATGACCATGTGCTCTGTCTTCGCTTTGGCGGCGACCTTTGCAGTGGAGCCAACAGCTGTAAATATGCCATTCTCGCTGACAATAAATGCTTCTGCTCGCAGCTGCTGGTCATTGACCGTGAACACGTTCCCGTTAATGTACGCGATGCTAGAAGACATGGTCGACTATCCTGGCAACCGGTACGCAGATAGCAAAGCAATGTTCGTAAGAAAATTGTTGGAACATAGCCATGCGACTCATGCCATAGATTGCAGACGGCTGACAGTTACACGGCTGCCACGCTTATCTACGAAGAGCTATGTATGCTACGGAGTGCTAGACCTTGGCGAGAGGGAAAAGAGAGTTTCAGAGTCGCGGAAACGGAGAAGGAACGCTTCCGTCGAATCCTACAGCATGGCGCTGGTATTGGGATCGTGATTGACCGATCACTGGAAGATAGATCAGTCATCCAGAGCTGGAACGTGACTCGTAATTAGCATCTCAAAGGAATGGAGGTGCGATAGGTGATGTATTATCTGCCTTCACGATCCTCTACATGCTACATCTCAAACGTACCATGCGAGGAATCCTACCACGCAAGATACTTGCTACGATTCCCACTGCTTGCCACAAGCCCGAATAAACCATCGTCTCGGATTATCACTACGGCAGTGAGCCCGTAATAGTAAAGTACGTAACGATGCGAACATGCTGCGCGTCGGCAAATTGCTCCAAATTCATTGTGCTCCCACCAGCCGTCGCCGAGAAGGTCAAGGCAGAAGTACTTGTGCGTTTCAGTGTATTCAGTTGCAATGTTGGTGCGGTAGTGGCCGACGACAGCCCAGAGAGCACAAGAGGTCCATATGTTATAGCCGCAAGACTCGACTTGTCATTTGCTGGCGCGGTGCCAAAACCCATCGTGAATTGTGCTGTGACAACATCGCCACTTGCCCAGCTGCGGTTTATGGAGGCGTATGAGCCTGCGGACGGGGCAGTGATCGCGGCGCCGTTGACTTTGATAGTCGTGCTCTTCGCCCAGGAGGGCACACGGATCTTCATAGTGAATTGGCCAGTCCCGGCGACAGTGAGTGTGGTCGTATCGCTAGTTGGGAACGTCGTGCTCTGCGTGATCTTGATACTCTTGGAAGCCCAATTCAAGACGGAAGACACGAAAAGATTCACGTACAGCGTCGAGCTGCTGCTATCACGGAAGTAGATGCTGTCCATGTGCTTCGTGTGTACCTCCACACTCGTACCCTGACAGCACCAGAAGGACGAGTAATCGGTCGCCCACGTTCCACTACCCCAAGCAGGTCCCAGACCGCGCGTCGCTCCCGGATTGAGTGAGGAGAAATAACTTACAGCGCCATGAGAGGAGCTTTGGTCGTGTGCGCCCAAGATATGATTGAGTAGTGTTCGCTCGTAGAAGTCGAAGTAAGCAACGTTGGTAGGATCAATCGCCCAGAGCTCGTGGGTGAGCTTGAGCATGTTGTAGGAGTTGCAATGTTCCATGGTGTCAGTGGTGAGGTAGCCGGAGATGTCGTTCGCAGCTCGGAAGTGCTCTGCTTGGCTGTTGCCGCCTGGTGCGTAGCTGATGGGGGTGGTCAGAAATCATTCGCGGTCTGGTGTCTGTGATGAACCTACGTATGTGCTTTGATAACGATATTCCAGGCATTTCTTGCCACGTCAAGGTATTTGGAGGTACCAGTCGCCTTATACTCCCGCGCCGCTGCAATCCATTTCGGCACATTAGTGTTCGCATGGAGACCACTGAGTTGATCCTGGTTGTTGGCGAGTGGGGTCATGATAGCCTGATGATCAAAACGCGCAGCTGTCGTGAGCCACTTCTTGTCACCAGTTTGATAATAGATGTCGCTCAATACTTCAGCCATGCCACCGAACTCTGTCCCGAGGACAGACTGCATTTGGGAAATCGACAGCTTTGCGGTACGAGTATCTACCCACCAGCGAGCGCCATTGTCGCGGTCTTGGCGTTGTTGTCGCCGATGTTTCTCCAGACATCCAGTAGACCTGCAAGGATCTTGTGGATGACATACCATGGTACATTACCATTGGTGAGCTTGCCACCCTCCAACGCCGTGAAGTCGGATTCCGGGAAGCCAGCCAGATATCCGGTAGCGAAGCCAGCCGCTCCATTGTTCGCCTGGCACTGTACCATAGCGGCTGTCATGGCCACTGCTTGCGATTTGCAAGTACCATCGCGAAGTGTGGCATAGCATTGCGCCCAAGCAGATAGAATGTGTCCCTGGAAGTGGCTGCGAAATGGGAAGCTGGGCGCATCCCAGCCGGAGTTGGCTTGCGCGCCGTTGGTTGACAGCTTGTGGTTGCTGCGGAATACATAGAGGAGGCGGTCCACGCTTACAGTCTTTATATAGCTGAGTGTACGATTCTGGAAGTCTGCGAAGCGACCTCCAGTCAGCTGTACATTGCTGAGGTCGAACGGGAAGGCGGAGACGCCACTCTCACTGGCGATAGGGGGAGCGACTTGGCCTTGTACCTGTAGAACGGTGCCTGCGATCAGCAGCCCGCTACCGAGAAGGCTGGCGAAGAGACGCATGATCCTTCTGCAAACGTGCTGAGGAAGGGTTGAATGTGCTGGTACCGAGCAATCATCAGTGCCATGTTGGCGATATATATGTGTACTCCATGGGCGGTCCGGTGGGTAGCGTATAGTAGAGGCGTCCGCACAGCATACTCGTGACACTATATATTTATTAGCCAACCGGAGGGTGGAAATCCACGTGTAGTATTCTTCTCCATCGATTTATGAAACTACGCTCGGTGTAGCGAAGTCATTGCGCGTGACAGAACGCCAGCTTTGTTTCATCTTCGAGGGTTGATAACTATCGGACTAGTTCCGAAGCCCAGGAGTACAATCCGTCCGACGCACTTACCCTACAGGCAAGCGAATGAGCATCAGATCTCTTTGTGATGCGGCAAAGGCTTCAATGACCGAGGAAAGGTAGGACGAGAGTAGAGTGCCCATGCTAAAGCACGCATGACAGCGAGCATTACCAACCAGTAGGGCTCCTGGTGGATGCTGGGCCGTCCGATGGACCTCGAATCACTCCATAGCGAGTTCACGTGAGTCGCTAGAGCCGTATTACGTAGCACGGCACATGCGCGCCTTCGCATCACCATCTGTTGTGGCTTGCGACTTATGAGTCCATTGGAAGTGTGGTATTCTCCAACGATGAAGATTCATGTGCCAGACGGTCCAAGCGCTCGGATGTTCCCGCCATTGGAGCTTCGCTGCTTCACCCACAGCATCAGGTAGAGCAGGTAGAGCAGGTAGAGCATAGTGTGGTTGAATCAGTGCGAACACCATCACTCCCACGTGCACGACATCCTCTCCTCTCCTCTCTGTGGCTATGGCTGGCCTACCCACCAGTGCAATGGCCTTCCAGCGCCAGCTCGGCCGCTCCTCCAATGCCCTCACCACCACTCTTCCGAAAGCAGCTCTCGCACCCCTACAGAACCGCCGATACCTTCAGGACATTGCCATCACACGAACAGGGAAGCCCATTCTACGTATATCGGGGGGTAGAAGTAGTTCCGGTGGTCACACGGCAACGGTCTTCGGCGCAACCGGTTTTCTGGGCCGATACATCGTAAACAGACTCGCTCGGGCAGGATGCACTGTAGTCGTACCGTTCCGAGAAGAGATGGCGAAGAGACACTTGAAGGTGTCTGGCGATCTTGGCAGAGTTGTTTTCTTGGAGCATGACCTTCGCAATATCACGTCGATTGAGGAGAGTGTACGACACAGCGACATCGTCATTAATTTGATTGGCCGCGACTATCAGACCAAGAACTTCGACTTCGACTCCGTACACGTCGAGGGCACACGACGGATCGCGAATGCTGTGGCTAAATATGACGTGGACCGCTACATCCATGTCTCCAGCCACTCCGTCGACCCAAACAGCCCGTCGCAGTTCTACAGGACGAAGTACTGGGGCGAGCAGGTTGCCCGTGAGATCTTCCCGGAGACTACAGTCGTGCGTCCAGCTCCCATGTTTGGCTTCGAGGACCGTCTACTCCACCGTCTAGCTCGTGCGAAGAACATCCTCAGCAGCAATAACATGCAAGAACGATTCAATCCGGTACACGTTGTCGATGTCGGCGCAGCGCTGGAGAATATTGCATACGACGACAACACCGCTGGGCAGACTTTCGAGCTTTTCGGCCCTAAGCAGTACAGCATGATGCAGCTCAAAGAGCTTGTGGACAAAGAAATCTTGAAGACACGCAGACACATCAATGTGCCGAAGATGATCATGTCGCCTCTGATGGAGACAATGAACAAGCTGCTGTGGTTCCCAGTCGGCTCCAAGGACGAGGTTGAGCGCGAATATCTCGATCAGGTAATTGACAAGAGCGCCAAGACCTTCAAGGATCTGGACATGGAGCCTGGTGATATTGCGAACTTCACATTTAAGTATCTGGTAAGTAAATTGGCTACGATCTGTCTGCTCTTATCTTGCGAGATTATACTGACGACCATGACAGCAAGCATACCGCAGTGCAGCATACTACGATCTCCCACCCATGACGGAGCGGGAGAAGCGCGAAGAGAAGAAGTACCTCCACGTCTTGGACGACCAATAGACGAAGCACTCGAGTTGATCCCTTTGATCTGGCGGCCGGCCAAAGACAGCTCAGGTGGAAATGCACGAAAGTGCTATTGTGTAGCATAGGCTTAAGCAGTCAGCCAGCAATCTCTGTACATACACTTCCTGAACAATCAGACATCATTTCAGACCGGCGCCCTTTCACTAGCATCACTACATTGTGCACAAGACATGCCCAGCGAACGGCCGAAGTCAGCACCTCCTCCTTATTGCTGAGCTCGCATGACAACTTACCGCTATATAACATCAGTGACCACTCCCGCACCAAACAGCCGTGCGCCTGACTCTTGAGAGCCAAACGCCAGCACGAGCCGTCGCGCCACGTAAAAGTAAATCGGAAACCTTCATTGCCGCTACGCAACGCTCGAATGTACCTATAGGATAAGGTAGTGATATGCGAGCCTGTCACTAAAGCCTAGGCCCTCCCACGACGTCAGACAGGCGCTTTCGCTGTGGAATTACTCGAGTCGTAACAGGGGCGACGTCTATAGGTACCATGAGCCGTGAGGCCGAGGTGGGATGATGACCACGCAGGTTCGTGGATTTGTTATTCCGATAGTGAGCTGGGAATCACATGATTGTAGATGGCAGACTCGAAATGATGAGTGTGTGCGTGGTACGGGATTTGAGGAACGTGGCGCGGGCCATTTGGTTGAGAAAGAAACACACTAACTAGTCCGAGGATACGAATTTATTCATGCAAAATCTAGGACGAGTATTTGGGCAAATGTTGATAATTTATATGCTTGTCAGAGTGGTGATAGCGACTAGTATTAACACTATTGTTCACTGTGAACCATCCAAAGCGGCAGTACACTTTACGCGTCTGCCTGCCAAGTTCTAAACACAAGATGCTATGCCTTCCTCAAAATCATCCCGTGTATTCGTAATATCGTATCAGCTTAATCGTGAACGTAGCATGATCGACTTCAAGTGATGTACAAGCTTGCGAAGCGAAGATTGGTTTGCAGTAGTACAGCGGACCGTGGTCCGGTTTTGTCTCGAGCCGGAGATAGTAGAGTAGCACTTCCTTGGTGCTTCTCGAAGCGAACTCTTCATTTGCGAGACGTGTTGCGTGGCTTGAATGTTGTGCAAGCCAGCGAGGCGAGCGGTATTGTTGGTGTCACAGCTCGAGACGGCTACGATCACCAGTTTAGGCCGGGCATATGCTGTAGTCAAGTCTGGCGTCGATGATCGGGCAAGGCCTCATGATGGCCCGCTGGCTAGTCAATCGACAGGCTGTCGAGAAGAGGGGTCGTTATGGCAGCGAGCTCTCTTCACACTTTTGCCATGCTGATGAAGTCGTCATCATTCTGCAGGAAACCACTCCAGTCCTCATTCGATGGTGTGACCTGCCCGCTGATATCGAGACCGCTGCCAGACATCTTGAAAGGCTCGGCGGTGAAGTCGCCAAAGGGGAGGCCGTTGATATCTTGTGGCGTGTAGGTGAAGCCCGAATCAGTGAAGGCAGTCTGTGGCGACGTCATGCTCTGGCTGAAAGGCATGAAGCTCGTGTCGAGCGACGGCATAGTCAAGGTCTGACTTAAGTCGGATGCTTGTGACATTTGCTGTGCCTTAGGTTTGCCGTTAGGGTTATAAGAATAACCAGGCTGGGTGTACTGGCTGAACATTTGAGGCATGGTGACCTCGCATGGTGCATCGAACAATTGCTGCTGCGCATTCATCGGTAGCTGCATCGAGAGTGGGTTCACACCACCCATCATCTGCTGCTCGAAGCCGGCGCTGAAGGGCGAGGTCTGCTGAGACTGGTAGTGAGCCAGTTCAGGTCGAGACTGCTGCGCCTGCGGTGGTGTCGGGACCTGCTGTGGCGAAGGATGTTCGCTCTTCACACTGTGCGACGATGCAAGATTGGCAGACGAACCGGTGCGTGAGACAGCCGGAGAAATGTGGCCGGGCGACGACACCACGCCCTGCTGCGACACAGGTGTACGTGGCATGTTGTTGGTCTTGACCGGAAGAGACATGCGACGATAGTCGAAGTGCTGCCTTGCATCGACTGGGCTGTTCTGGGAAGATTGCGAGTGCTGTTGCTGGTACTGAGGTACTTGCTGTGACTGCGGCGCTGGCGTCGAGATGGATGCCGAGTGCTCATGGTAGTTATGTCGCATGTTCTGCGTGGTGCGAGGCATCTGATATGGATGCTGTCGATAGCTTTGTGGTGTCTGCGTATACATCTGCGGCGGCATCATGGATCCTTGCATACCGGCTTGCTGCTGCATCTGCATGAAGCCAGGGTTCATGAATTGAGCCTGTGGGTTACAACCCTGGTTACCCATCTGCATGGTATCGACGGTGGCATTACCGACGGCCTGTCTCATGGCGACTTGATTAACGAGGTATGCCTGCAGCCGACGGTTGAAATCGACGTTCTGAGTCTGTAGGTGTGCAGTCAAGCGCCGATACTGCATTGGAAGGTCGTCATCTTCCTCTTCGTACATCTCCTCGTTGATCACATCCTGCTCGGTGACACGAAGTGATCGTCCTGTTCGTCGCTTGTGGATCTCCGAAGCTCTCCGTGCCGACTCCACCCGAGCCTCAAGGCTGCGATCGCTCCTGCGTGATGCAGCAATGTATGCGCGTTCCTGATTCTCCTCGTGCGTACGCTCGGTCTTGACCGGCTTGATGGAGGACATGCTCGTCCTGACTGGAGGCATCTTTGCTCTGTAAGGCGGAGGGTTGATCAGCATCACAACGTTACGCACGAGTGAGGTGAGGTGTGGTTCAGGGAACATACAGTGTAAACAACGAAAGCGAACAGTCGCTGACAATGTCACTGAAGCGATGAACTCGGTGAGTGTAAGTTTGCTGAGGCCTAAAGCTGACCGTCGCGAGTCGCTAGAGTGCTGGTAGATGTAAAGCGGTAGAGCGTAAGACTGCGGGGAGAGCTGGCTGGTGGCGAATGAGAGCCGATGCAGATTGAATGTGTCGGCTGGTCGTCCGAGACTGAATGGATATAGTATGTATCAGGCAAACTTGAGTATGACCTCAATTTGTCTAATAACAAATATCACTCCGAGGGGTTGTAGAAGAGAGCTTGGAAGAGCAACAACTGGGAAGAAAGGGTGCGCAGGGACGAGATGGAATAAGTATCTTAAACCCATCTCAGCAGCGCGCAGACGGCAGCGTCGGAGGCAAAAGACGCAGTGCGCAGATGCTAGCTCGGTTAGTGCGGACCTTGCAGCGTGAGGCCCCACTCGAGGCTTTTTTGACTGCGGGACAGCAGCGTGGGCGGGAGTTGATCTTGATTGACCAGATCGGACGGAGCTCCTCGCTTCCGATTTGAAATCCCCTCTTGTCTCCTTCCTCTTTCCGCCCTCGCGCCATTTCTATTCCCTACCTGACTGTAGTGATCAGGGCTAAACAGTTTTCAATCATTCCCGGCCCTAGGTCATACTGTACCCTCGCCATGTCGATCTGGCCGCTACTTATTTGCTGTCCATTGGCACGGGCATTTTGAATCTGCTGGTGGATCTCGTACAGATCTCGTAAACGCCTGCTGCCGCCCTACCCATCGTTACACCGATCGGCAATCTCACCGGACTGGGCATGCTACGGCTTTCTTGGTGATTCCTGGAGCTGATCAGACAGGAGTCTGGTCGACGTGACGTGCTGGCTACTGTGCTTCTTCCGGTAGTGACCGTTCGTTCAGGCGAAGACGGTTGACGACCGCGCAGGCCTCTTGGCTCAGCCGCCCTTGCTTCACTCTGGAAGTGGTCCGGACTTCCTTGCCCATACCTTTCGCATCTCTTTGACAGTGCGCTGCTATGCGCTGGACCGTCTCGTCTTGAAACACGGCCAGAACAGACAACCTGTACAGCCATTGCAAACCCTTCAATGTCGCTGTGCCGCATCCCTCCGCGATTGACACAATTGGTGGCAAACAGCTTAACGCTTGGGCGCAAACAGTTTCATTGGCTCGGGTCAGATCGAATCCGTGCAGCTCGCTTGTACTGAATCTACCTAGCGGTATCTCACTCACGATTAGGTTTGAACGCTATCTCTCTAGCGCCGCGGTATCGTAGCTTGACTTTACAGATGCTCCGAACCTGGCAATCATGGTCGGTTGCACATAAGCACTGCAGATCACCACAGAGATTGCATTCACAGTTTATAGATTTCTGGAACTTCGTAGCGTGCGGCATACGCCCTTTTGCGACGCCTCTTTAATGAAAACCTCATCCTGCATCCGCGACAGTGCCACCCATGCGCAATTAGCACAGCTAATAATCCTCGCTACTGAATCCGTGTCTCTATTTCCTCGAAGCAGACGATGAAGATGCGGGCGCAATTTCAATCTATCACGTAGCAGACTGTAGGGACTGGACCATGTCGCATATAGCATTACGGTCTGACTATGCTGAATCTGGCATCATGGATCAGACCCGTCACCATGCCTCACTGTTTGCGCACAAGTATTACCTTTGCGAGCTCCATCGTTGTGCCGGCGTGGTTGATCAAGCAGTGTCCGACTCTGGTCAATCCCTCATGTATCGACAAGCACGCAGTCAGCAATACGATGCACCTATCAGACTGCATTACCACAAATCTACGACCAATGACACGGTCGGCGCACTCGTGCAGCATGCAATGCACCTTCGGACAATACAACCTGGCACTTTCAACGCTTTTCCTCCGATCTCATGGCATCTTGTCCATGCATGACAATTATGGATACGTGCATGCGAAAGCCACGAACGCTTCCTGCTGGCATCATTGCATCCTGCGTGATGAAGCCATATGGGGTACATCGATACGGCAGCAGACAAATCCACGACGACGAAGTAGGACGACCACTTTCATCATCATCCGAACGTCGTGACCAGGCCTGCTGATTCCTTGGTTCGCTGCTCACTGTATTCGTCCTTGAGACTGCTTTCTGCCGGAGTGAAGCTGGTCGTCGACCCCATATATACTCTGTCGGAAGGAGAAGACTGCTGCTTCGCTTCACTCGATATTGTCGATTGGTGGAGTCCCACTCAAATCAGTCTTGCCCGCACACGTGCCAGCTGTAAAGGTCGGATGCGCATCGAGTCGATCAGTACGCGACCAGAGTTCCCAGTATCGGTTTTAGTCCTGCCAGTCTGGCGGCGCCTCATGCACTGTCATACCTGCCGCACGGCGCATTCGCGACAGCATCGAGTCTTTGGTGATATAAAATGCTCGCGTTGATGTGGCTATGTGTTGTATCGCGGAACAAGTCTGCCACGCAAACGCCACCAGCTGCTGGGAATGACATGTCTGTCATGATTGCGTCGAGGGCGGACCTTGGTTGCCAATATCGTAAGCTTCCCATCGCTGTAATGGTGCCGCATGCAGATGAGATCGACCTGGGTGCATGAATACTGTATTGGCGCACTCCCCCGCACGGCATTATTGATGTATGGCTGAAGACTCCCGCCTTCCGCGCGACAGGGCCCTCGAGTTAGACCAACCACGTTTGCGACTTTCTTCTCGATACTGCATTCGGCCAGGCTTCTCCCTGCACGGAGAGTTCCACGATGCGCCAATCGCCCCGACTGCAAGATTTGCCTTTGCGACGTTCGCATCGTAACTTTTGCCCCGCTCAAAGATCTGAGCTGGGTCCACTTGGTACATGGGTGTACCTGACATCTGAAAGCAATTTTGGTTGTTCTTGAGTCATCATGACATTTGCTGTATCCGAGCTGCATGCAAGTCTGAGTTCGAGGCATCAATCAGAACGAACATACCATCCGCCTCTACCACAGTGCACTCTGCTTCTCTTGCTTATGGGAGGCATCACAACATAACCATGCCGGCGTCTAACGAGCTAACGAAGTCTACAGCAAACGACAGGAGAGAGTTCCCGATCTGCACGGGCCACGGCGCACGGCATCATGCTCTATCGAGCTGGCTCGTGCGAAGCCACGTCAGCGACAACCAGAAGGCATGAACTGTGCCAGTGCGGGATACCAGACGTTGGTGACAGGCTCGATTAGATCTCATACAGATTGAATCCAATGCAGCAGAAGACGCTCACAGATCTCCCCCATGCCGACATCCGTCGGGCACTACTCTCCTATCTCCGACGAAGAGGCCTTCCAAACCCTGATCCATGTGGCCCTCCGCCTCCCGAAGATGCAGCTTCAGCGATTGCACCAGAGCCTATCAGACAGCGTCCAAGGAAAACGTAGCTCCCCTAGACCCTAGGCCCAGAAGGTTACGAAGAGAGTTCGGCAACCTTTTCGAAGGCCTCTCTAATAACCGGAGGTCGGGCACTAGCTCCGAAGATTCATCCCAGTCGAAGTGGAGTCCACCAGGGAACTAAATAATAATCTGTCTGTTTCATCACCTACCGTATACGTCTCACGCCGGACGGTGAGATCGATTCGTATCCGGATGGATATGCTGGATGTTCCACTGGATTGATTGCGCGGCAGCAAGCAGATGCAAGAACCCTCCGCCCTTACTTCACCCACGTGAGCTTGATCTGCATCTTGAAGTGAGGGCCGAGGTTATTGACTTTTCATGGTGAGATTAGCTACGGAGCCGGACAAAATGAGCGTGTCAGACGTGTGCTGTCAGACTGTCGCTCGACACTGCACTTCGTCTACGAAACGAGCATGGCTATCTCTCACCTTTCGACAAGCGCTTCTTGACGTCCGCCTTCCACTACCTAGTTGTCACCCTTACCATGCTAAGCCAATAACTTCATGGTCTGGACGTGGTGAAGATCTCGAGACCACGAGAGTGATGTTGAAAGGCTTACTGGTCCAATGGGCCTCGAAGGTAAAATTCATCAATAAGACAACTTCCCCCTTCAATCCGGGGGAACAACAAAGAAATGAAGAACAAGGGGCCCGGTGACCCTGGTGTGCAATTACACATGCTGGTCTTGCTATGCTCCGTCTAATATCTACAAGAAGCACTACACACAGACCAACAACACTATCGCTATGCATCACAAGCTCAAAGAGCAAAATTTTGTACAGTGAAGCTCATAGCCTCCTCTTCTCACTGATCTCCTCATAGGTCTGCACCTGGTCACCGACCTCGAAACCCTCCCAGTCATCAAAGCCCATACCACATTCGCTGCCCTTCCGCATCTCCTGAACATCCTTCTTGACGTTCTTGAGGGAAGAGATGATACCTGATGAAGCAGTTAGCCATCGTCCACAGAGTTCTTACAACCACTCGCAGGAAGAGGTACTCACCATCATAAACCTTCACACCCCCCCTCGTGACCTTGGCCCTGCTGCCCTTCCCGATAACACCATTCCTAACCTTACACCCAGCAATCTTCATCTTCTTCCTCCCACCTACACTAATCTCGAACGATACACCGACCTCCGCCTCACCCATGACCCTCGTGCTGATAATAGGTGGTAGTTTCTCCTCAAGCACCAACTTCACATCATCCAGCACGCGGTAGATGACATTGTTCTCCAGAACTTTCACACCTACACGCTCAGCAACACCTTTCATGCCTTCGTCTGGTGGAAGGTTGAAAGCGATGATGTGGCCTTGGGCGGCGGATGCGAGGTCGACGTCGGATTGATTGATTGCTCCGACGGTTGACTGCAGGATCTGCGGCGTGATCAGTGGCGAGGAGATCGAAAGGACGTATTCCGACACTGCTTCTGCAGAGCCAGAAACGTCGGCTTTGATGATGAACGGAACGGTCATATGTCCAGAAGTCGTCTCGGCGTTGTTCTGCGCAGTTGACTCCAATTTAGCAGCAGACTCGAAGTAATCGGCTTCGGTCCCAAACCTCTTTGCAGCTTCCGCCGCCTTCTCCTTCCTCACCCGCTCCTGCTCGAGTCGTCTCGCCTCGTTGATGGCTTCGGTATCAGCAGCTGTTTTCTTCTGCTCCTCCTTCTCACGTCGATACTCGACGACATCAGTAGCCTTCTGCTCCGTCTCCGCTTGCAATACCTCATCGCCAGCCACCGGCTGGTCTCTCCATCCATCAACCTCGACAGGCATACCCGGACCAATTTCTGGCACTACCTTGCCAGATTGATCTTTTAGTGACCTGACTCTACTCCACGTCTTACCGGCCACAATGATCGACCCAGGTCTGAGCGTTCCTCGCTTGACGAGAACAGTCGCCATACGACCAGCTTTGCGTGTAGTGCCCTCAAGCACCCACCCCTCAACCATCCCATCAATCTCAGCCCTCTTGTCCAGAATCTCAGCCGATACGACGACAGCCTCAACAAGCTCACTTACACCCTCCCCAGTCTTGCCCGAAACCGGCACAGCAACCACATCACCTCCAAAGTCCTCAACCACAACCCCATGCCGCGCCAGATCCCCCTTCACCCTCTCAACATCAGCACCTTCCTTGTCAATCTTATTGACAGCCACGAGAATCGGCACCCCAGCCGTCTTAGCACACCGAATAGCCTCAATCGTCTGCGGCTTCACGCCATCGTCGGCCGCCACAACCAAAATCACAATATCCGTGACATTAGCTCCACGCTGCCTCATAGCCAAGAAAGCAGCATGACCAGGCGTATCCAAGAAAGTCACCGTCTTCCCACCTTTCTCCGCAACCTCAACGCTGAAAGCACCAATGTGTTGCGTGATCCCGCCCGCCTCACCATCTACCACCCTTGTCTTACGTAGGAAGTCCAGGAGAGTGGTTTTACCATGATCGACGTGGCCCATGATAGTCACAACAGGCGGACGGGTAGGCAGGAAATCCCTGTCCTCCTCCTCAGGCTCCGGGCGAGCGCGTAGATCTCGCTCTACTTCTTCCGCTTCACCACCGCCGAAGACGGGTTCGAAACCATATTCCATAGCGATCATCCCGCTCGTTTCAGCGTTGAGGATCTTGCCGGGGAAGACGTCATCGTACCCTAGTCTTTCGACTCGACTGACGAAGGATTCATACCTGACACCCAGCTGCTGCGCAAGCGTAGCTACACTCACGAATTCGGGTAGGTTGACCGGTGGTCCTTGCTCAGTACGTCGAGCTTTGCGCTCCTCGGCTTTCTCGACCTTGTCTTGTGCCTTCTGGGCTTTACGCGCTGCTTTACGAGCATTACGCTCATCACGTTCGGCACCACCTGCATCTTCGTCCTCGTCTTCATCGCGGCGCCGACCTCCGCGCTTCTTTACCGGCTCTTCCTTCTCGGCGAATTTGCGGGAGCGCAGAACCCGTTCTTCTGGCTCTTCCTCCACCTCTGCAGGTATCGCACGTCGACGCCCGAGAAGCTCCTGTCGGACATCATCATCATTCTTAGTATCACGTCGCGGTTCGGTCCTTCTCCCAGTATCTCGCAGACTGCTTTCTAGTGCAGAAACGCGATTGTCCTGCCGCGGTCGATCGGCGCCATCTGATCGCCCCACGGCAGGTTCATAGTCTCTTACACCTCCACCGCCCACATCCATCTTTCTCACACCCTGAAACGGGCCATTGCCACGCGTAGAAGGGTTTGGACACTGGCCAGCCATATGTCCAGCCTGTCCACACCTATAGCATACTCTATCCTTGAGAGTCGGACAGTCTCTAGCAACATGCCCAAGCTGCTGACACCTTGCACACTTCGTCTGTGCCAACCGTGCCGCACCGCGAGCTTCGAATGGTGACTGACCATTTCGCGTAGCCTCGCGTGTCTTCTGGTTGTCAAGATAGGCTGGCAGGCTGCGGCTGCGCTGTTGTTGATGCTGGCGGAAGGAGCGATCGATCCAGTCGCCGTCTAGAGGCTGCTGCTCTTGCTGAGGATGTCCAGATTGCTGCTGTGAGAACGGAGCAGGCGCCGCTTGTGGTGGCACTGAGTCTCGTCTTCGAAGATGTTGCCAACTTGCAGCTTGCGCTTCGTCAAAGCTCGGCTCTGCTGGCTGGTGGTCTTCTGTATCGAGCATTGTGGCTCGGTAGCCTGTGTAAGTATCTGAGAAAACATGTCGACCCGGACCTGCTCGGTGTTGTGCTGGTTCACTGAACGGGCTATCACGACCGGCCTCGTAGCGTCGTTGCGGCTCGAATCGCATGGTCGGTCCATTATCATGTTGCTGCTGATACTGAGCATCCGGTGTGTACTGCTGTTGAACATCTCCTCGATGATCTCGCCTGTAATCATTATAAGACGCTACCCCAGCGTCCGGTCGATCATTCACGCTTCGTGATCGAGAGCGTCTACTCTCCGGCACGGCCTCGAAAGCAGGCCACTGGCCGTTGCTCTGGCGTGGTGCCTTCCGCTGCTCGGCTTGCTGAAGTGTAGCAACGAAATCAGGAACGTTGTTCGGCCTTGATTGAGAAGCTGGTCGTCGAGGCAGCCCAGCATCTTCCTCCACACCTCTTAAGCTCGAGTGAGATGAGTCCTCTGGCCTCATTGATGTTTGGTGACCATGTTGCTGCTTCCCGAGAGATATGGAATCATGCGCATCACTTTGGTGGCTGCCAGCCTGACTCCGAGAATTCGACCTGCTAAATCGGGATCCTTGAGCCTCGTTGGTAGGCACAAGAGTGTTGGCAGTAGTTTTGGTAGAATCGAATTCTCTTTCATGCTGGGGCCAGCTTGAGTTCGCTGCAGCCGCGTTGGGCTGTTGAATCGTAGCGGGTTCGGAAGGAGTCGAAGCAGCAGGGTCATCATTGAAGTCTGCCGGTCTGGTTTCCGAATACTGTATGAGCGCTCGTTTGACAGGGCCAGAACCCCACCCAGCGTCTGCAGGACGAGACTTAACCGCCTGTGAACCTGATGCAGAACCAAAAGTGGGCATATCCATCTTACCAGGCGGCGCAGCAGTAGCAGAAGCGAATGGATTGTCTAATCGTGGCTGCTTACTCTGCTTTGCTTGAGGGGTCGGTTGGGTCGTCGGCGATTCGATTTTCAACACTCGCACGCCCTGCTTGGCGAATCGAGAGGCGGGTTGAGCATGCTCGCTGTTCCCGCCATGTTGCGCGGACCTATTCTGATCCTGTCTCTGTGGGTTCCCATTCGACCTCCCTTGCTGGCCAAGTCTCGCTCGACGAGCCTCTTTGCTCTCCGGAGCCAGTGCAGGCGTAGGGGAAGTTTGATCTGACGGCTGTCCCGTAACACTGAAACTGAGCGTCTTGTGACCAGAGTTGGCACCTCGTGAAGAGTCTGTACGCCGCGGTTGCGTCCTTGATACAGATTGACTGTCCCGGCCTTCATTCTGCTTCCATCGCGCTCGAACCCGCTCCTGGGCCTCGCGTTCTTCTTGTGCCGTGGCCTCTCGCGTCTTCGCTTCCTGCCATTGTTGCTGTGCTCGCTGCTGGTCCTGTCGCACACGCTGCGCCTGCTGGATTGCTCGTACCCGGTCTTCTTCCCCCCTCCGTCGCTGCTCACGTGCTTGGCGAAGTCGATTGCGTTCTTCTTGCTCTGAGCGCGAGAGCGATGAATTGGGGTCGAAGCCGGTGGACTGCTGACGAGCTGGTTGGCTTGCTGAATCAACAAAGGGAGAAGCAACAGCCTCAGCCTGCTGTTTATCTGTTCTTCCAGTGTGCAATGATCGACGAGGGAGAGTTGACAATGCTGGTGGGAGGTCTCCAGCTAGACGACATGCACAGAAGATGCATAATGATTGCGCTGAGGATGCCTGTGAAGCATTAGCATCTATTCACAGTACTTCTGAGGTATTACCGACCCTCAGATAGCGCTGTCGTCTCATCACAAACCAATACACAGCTATGATTGCAAGATATGCTGATGCACAATATATATGTTTCTGGATCACGTGCAGAAGTTCCCAATACGGTTCATGCCCGCAGCTTTGATCGGCCGATACTTGGTCTGATTGGTCAGATTATGTTCAAGGTCAATGACGCTGGAGAATACCAGCGACACTGTTGCTTTGCTCTCTACACAAATTCCATCGCTGGGAGACGACTACATCTCGACGACCCCTACCCCCTTCCAAGATGGCAGCCAAGGTGAGTCGCAGGCTGAACACACAATGCATCCTTGATCATACTAACCAAGACCTCTTATAGCAACTAAGCAACCACTACCTCCGCCTCCTCAACCGCTGGCCCGTCGACCGTCTACGCCCGGCAGACCGCCACTTCCAAAAGCTCCTTCAAACTCGTCTGGAGCAATCGAAGACATCACCAAACACCGACACTCATGAAGTCAATGCAGCGTACCTTCTTCTCGATAACACATTCACAAAACAGTTTCCACTACCCAAAGCCATGATGAATCCAGCCAGCGCGCCGGACATGTATATCAACCTGGCCAAGGAGCTGGAGGAAGCGCCTGATCGGACGTGGTGGGGCAACTTTTCCAAACGTATGAAGAATATGATTAGGATGAAGTAGTCTGGCGGGCGAACTACGGAATGCGCACTGGTGAATGCGGTGGGTGCGGGCAGTCACTCGACATGTATGGGACCCTGAGTTGACGTTGTGGACTGAGAGTGGCTTGTGATTTCCGACCACGCATGAAGCAGGCACTGCAACGCGCATGTCTACTGCCTCACCACACGTCCGGACCAATTGTACATGTGTGGATATATCGACCGAACTCCTGATCATCGACACACATCCGCAGATATGTCTTCCAGCGCCTGCAGTACCACGGAATGCACTCATGACAGCCTACCCAACATCATGGGCGAGCCTACCGCCATCTTCCCAATTATCAACGCTGCGCATCCTGAGGCTGCAGGTGGCACCCTTCTCAGGACCTTCGACGAATTCAATAGCCTGATGGAAGCCTCTGGAATCGAAGTCACCAGCTCTTGTGCGAGCGACTTTGACTGTCAGACACAATGGCTTTGCGAAAACTGTGCATACGACATGTCTGGAGAGGAAATGTCAGCATATGGGACCTTTCTAGACCTCTGGGACGATGACGGCGATAACTGAACAGTCCTCGCTGAGCATCATCTCAGCACTCAGCATGCGGCAGTATTTCGCGAGCTTGGGCTCTATCTGCGTGGGTCGGAGGATAGAAAGTTCAAGCGCTTGCCCGAACCTGCATCCGGAACAGTAGCAGCATCTGCCCAGGAGCGAGAGGGTATCGGGCTTGCTGTGAATGAACATTTCAGGACGCTCGGCGAAAGGGTAAAACCCGTCTAGGCTGACAGATTACGCACAGTTGGGCAAGGTCTGATAGCGGAACAACTCGAGGACGGCGACAATAACGAGCGCCATCTTGCATCTATCCAGCCCACTGTCGAGACGACTACAGAAGAGGACTCTGACGAGCAGCGTGCTCAAGACCGTCAGCCCATGATGGATGAGCTCGCGGTGCGCTTCGTGCCTCTGACGCATGACGAGGCCGATATGCTAGAGGCGGTGTGGATCGTGTACGGAGATCAGTGGCAAACTTATTGTCAAAGCAAGCACGACACGAAGACTAGTGCTACTGTGCTCACGAAAGCTGACTCAGCCACTTGGTCCGGTTATGCAGATGCTCGGGCGAAAACTTGGACATATGGAGATGCGGAGCAGCTCCTCAAACGTACGGACCAGGACACATTCATCATATTGCTGTTGAATGCAAGACCGTTCTCTGTGGTATGGCGTTTGATATGAGGTAGTTCATACAGATTACGTGTCCATGAACTGCAGAGCATCCCACCAGCAAGCAAATCTGCCACCTACAGAAGCACTTTTCGTTCCTTGCTGGAAGACCCCCAAGACCCACCAGAGCTAGCATGATCTTCTCCTCAACGATCCAGGCCCTAGCCATCTTTCCCGCCCTCCTCAAAAGCGTCTACAACATCGCTAGCTCGCACCCAGCATCTCACCTCCGCGCCACCCTCCCATTTACACGCCACCCTCCCACCTACCGACTCAGTCCCCGCTTCCCGCACTATCTACTTCCACAACCTGCAACGAGTCTTCCTCCGCACCGCTACGAAGATGTTCGCCTCCCTCGTGTACCTGGCTTATGCGACTCGCACAAGGCGAGGGAGACGTATTTGGTTGCTGCGAACATGATACTGGGGTCTGAAAATGACGACCAAGGTGGTAATGTTGCCTGGGGTTGAGTGGCTGCTTGAGTTCGGTAAGAGCCCGGCGGCGGTGGCACTGCTGGCGAGGGGTGATGCTGCGTTAGGTGGGAAGATTCAGGGTTTGTCCAGAGCTTCGAGTGGACATAACCGGATCCGGATTCGTTTGGGGGTGAGTGCAGGTGTGGTTGGGTTGTATGCTGGTACTTGGACGATAAAGGCTGCGATGGCCGCCGGAGAGAGTCTCCTACCTCTAGACTTTTGTCAAGTCTTAAGAAGCTTCCTCAGCCATGCACTTTGCTAGGACCGTAAGCCGTAACGTCGTCCATGAAGCCTAGATCTACTCTGTCCACATCTCTCAGCCAATCCATGCCTGCCCCTAAGAAGTCCCAATCGATGGTCTCGGTTTCTGTATGACTAGCGCTGATGGTGGACGAGCTCGTGATCAGAGGCTCATCTGCCATGTTCATAGCAATCACACGATCCTCAAAGTCTCTTGGTACATATGTTGCTGATGTGGGTGGTGTCACCATGGCTCCACACAACACGGTCTGAGGCGTACCAAGGGAGCCAGCAGGACCCTGAGTTCCCACTTCACCGTGAGTCTTCTCAACATGCCTCGTGGTCATCATATACTCCCCAAAGGAAAAGTATCTCATATCTGATCCTGGGTGGATCGCATGTATGGTGAGTAGCGAAGCGTTCGGTCCCGCAAGGATCCTTTTCGCTCTTTCCGACAGGACGAGAGACTTCTCACAATGCCTGCCCTCAAAGTGTGAAGGACAACTAAGTAGCTCCGAAGGCACATAATCCGCTGAACCCTCAAATGCTTTACCGTCCGTCGTCACCGTGCATCCTGATGAGCACTGGTCCCAGATACGATCAACATCTATGCCATGCCTGAAGCCGGGCATTCGTCTGTCGAGGATGTTGATGATTCCATTGACTCCAACTGTTCTATTCACTTCTGATCCGTACGCACCTGCCTCTAAGCTCGCGGTACCTATGGCGCTGAAGTATGACCAGTACTCTTGTCTCGTGTCATGAGCATGAAGAGCTGTACTACTCTTACACCAGACTTGTTGCATTGTGATGGCACGCTGTTGAAACAGCCATCGGTCCGAGGATTCGAGCGTCGCGAGACGTGGGCAAAACCGCATATAGTCTGCAATAAGCGCAAGTTTCAAGCTAGAAGGTCTGCAGCTTGTCAAAATTGGTGGTATCACAACTCCATCATAGGTATTGGAATCTTCCTGCGTGGTGGCAGTTTCAGGTATCATTTGGCCGAAAGGAGTGTACGCCAGTATGTGCGCCGGTGTTGCTGACAGAAATTATTAGCATGTCGAGCCCACTAGACAGGTTATAAGATATCATACGCCACTGAGGAAGCTGCGACGGCGTCGTCGCCACCCGATTGCGCTTGACAAACGCCTTGATCCGCTCGGTGCCTACTTCGTGGTCGTACAGCAGCACGGTAGTCTCCTTGCCTTCTTTGCTTCGTTGTAGCACTTTGCGATGCATGATGAGCATATCGTCTTGCTTGATTTTCTTATTCAGGTGCCATTTCTTGATGCGGTGAAGATATTGTCGCTCACTGCGAAAGTCAGCGTCGATCTTGGTGAAAATTTTGAACATGTCAATCAAAGACCTTACCTGGCATGAAAGCCATAGGTGACGGCCATGGTGGCGCATAGGGTCTTCAGATCCTGGTCCTGCGTAAGGTAATGATGCTCGATGAGAAGGCGCTTCAACTCCCAATCACGTTCCGAGTATTTTACGGAGCGCACAGAAGCCACTGGCTCGTCAAGATTCGTCGTTGTATCAAATAGTGGTGGCAGTGGTGCCAAAGCTGTACTCGAGACAAGTGCCGTTGCTGATCTGTCCATGTCTCTTTACCGAGCTCGCAGTGCTTTTAATGAGTGTTGCCACAGTCAGATGGAGAAAGGGTAACGAACCGGTGCAATATGAAGAAGACAGCTTGCTGTTGTACCTACAACGTCCTCGTCTCCTTACACTACACTCGAAGCCACGCCGAACTACACTATCGACGTGGCTGTGTTGAGCGCCGCCGACGTGTCAGCTCACGTGCCGTCGTCGACAAAACTACACAAACGCTCGGACCAAAGCACGACCGTGGCTTCGATTGTAGTTTGGGTGAAGATTACATTCGTTTGATTGGACAGTAACCACCAACATTGTAGTTTCGTCCCGACTTCAACGTCGACACAGGATAAAATGTACTTTGGCGAAGACAGCTTAAACATGATTGGATAGGATCAGGAGATCTTGTACTTTCGTCTTCGCAGCGCTACAAAACTACACTTCCTGAAGTTGTAGTTTGGTCAAGAGCATATCATACAAATGGAGCCTTCAAGGAGCACTAGTATGTCTCGAGACGGCAATACCATCCCCAAGACCACAGAACCAAACAGAGTCAGCACCACGACAACGACGACAACAAGGAAGCCATGAACACCTCGGCTGTCTCGAGTTCAATGGCCTCCACCTGCCAACAAGCAGGTCTCAACGACACGCAGATCGTCCAAACCAAGAACGACAACACCATCACCATCGTCTTCGGCACCTCCGCTGTCGTCCTCGCGGCTTTCGCCTTGATCGTAGCAATGTTACAATTGAGGAGGACTCCCAAGCCCAATACCGTGGCCGTCGAAGGAATAGTAGCAGAGAGCGTATGATGTGAGCACGCAGCAATGTCCCGGGTAGACGCCAGCACAAACGCTGACCAAGATATTAGATTGATGAGCTAAGAAGGTTTCTATCCCGGGGAGATGATGATGGCGATGAGTTCAGCCTCGAGAATACATGGGTGATGGCGTTGTCCGTTCCAAGAGTATGGGTCTTCAATCATAATCGTCATGCTGTGGCGAAGGCTCTCTGTAGCGTGTATAGCCTATCGTCCTCCCCTTCCGCGTACTTTTCCACTTGTTCCAGCTCTCGCCACCGTACCAATACTCCCTTGCTGCGTTCCTACCTCATTCATGATCTGTGCCTCCAACTCCGCCCTCATCCGCGCCTCCCCACCACCCCCATACCCAGGCGCAACTTGGTAACCTCCATGACTACGATTAGCCTTCTGAACCTCATCAGCCAAAGACCCCGCTTGCACATCGCCCGTACCACTATCAAGCAACATAGCGTTCTCCGCCATGGTCAACCGCTTCTGCCAGTCTTCCATACTCTCCATAATCTGCGGATCGACTGGCAGATCACCATAATCTTGCTGCGGAGGAGGAGATTGGTACTGCATACTCGCCACTGGGACGTCATGCTGCATTGCCTGATCATCTAGGGATTGAGCAGCACCAGCTCCAGCATCTGGGAGCTTCTCATCCTGCTCCCGCTCAAGCCCATCCATCGTCTCATCTTCGCCAGCCACAACAGCCGCAGCACTCTTCCTCCCACGAGTCGTCGGCGGCGTCGTATCCCCCTGCTTCTTCCGGAGTGAAGCAGGAAGGGTCTGTGCAGGCTTGGGAGTAACATCCTTACACTCGGAGCAGTTCCGGATCGCCGTACTAACCGTCTCCTTGATCCTCACCCAATGGTACTTCTCCGCAATAATCGCTGTCGTCTTGTTGATACCGCCATGTGAAGCATTATGGATATTGCGAGCGATCTCATATTGCCTATGCGGATCAGAAACGACTTCCTTCCCTTTGAGCATGAGCACGTCGTCTTCTTCTCGACCACTTTCGCTGGGTATGAGACGATAGTGGGTGGCGGCGCTACGTAGCCGAGACTTCTCTGCTCGGTCGCTGCCAGTTGGATATGAGCCCGTCTTGAGGTAGAAGCGGATCTTATCGAAACGCTCTTCGCTGACGTACTCATCTCCTTCGCCACCGAGCTCACGGCCGAAGATGATAGCGTCGATGAGTTGGTCTGGGTAAGACTTCAGGTTGCCACAGCCCTTGACGCGTCCGATGCGTTTGAAGCCCAGAGCATCCCAGATACGGAGTGAAGCTACGTTAGTCTCGTATACTAGGTTGAACACACTATACGTATACCCAAGCTTTGGGGCCCACTCCAGATACCCCTCACCCATGAGCCTACCAACACCACGATTTCGAGCGGCGTCAGTAACCAGAAATCCGCCATTACACACGTGACTACTTCTACCAGGATAATTCGGCTTGACGTAGAAGCTGCCGAGACACTGCTTCGCCCAGTCCGCACTTTGCTGCTCCATCTGCATGATCTCCGCCACGTCTTGTATATCACCCAGAACCATCACGGCGCCGAAATTTGCAAACCAGTACGCGCCGAAGGAGGAAAGAGGCATGGGCTCCATCATGGGATATGTGTCGCCCTTTTCTATCTCCTTATTCAGCAGCTCGCAGAGGTATGCAGTAAGCTTGTGCGGTACTTGTTGTGGCGAGGAGAAGGGCACTAGTGTTGCTATCGTGACTCGATCGCGGAGGGTGACTTGTCGTAGGCTGATGTCTGGTGGGTTGTCGCCATATGGTACTGGGAAGGGCGGCTCGCCAGACACACGGTAAATGGCTGGAGCCGTAGGGTCGTCGAGCATGGCCGGCATTGTGATAGTGGTGGTGCCGTGATGAAATCGAGCTTCTTTCGGCTGGGGAGCACTGTTTATACCTACATTATCAGTGTTCTATATCGTACTGCGTGCTCACAAGCACGAGGGATTGATTACTGCAAGCCGGCCCGCCATGACGGCATGGTTGGTGTGAAGCTTGAGATATTACACATAGCAGCATATGCATGTGCTTGTCCTTATAGGAGGGATGAAAGGGGGATGAAGTGAATACACCGTACTAGACATACGTACCTCTGTTGCGTGTAGTCGTTGGTATGGCGTTCCTGTAAATGCCGCGGTACTTCTCAAACCGCTGGATCCGCCTTCGGCTACGCTTGCCGAAGCCCGACATTGACATTGACATTACCATTCACCATCGTTAAATGAATATGTCCACTGGCAGATTGATGGTCTACATGCATACACAATATAGGCGCTACTCATCACTGTAACCACATATGTAGTATAACGATAATCGATAGCTGTCATCACTGTTCCATCTCCGATACAGGTACCTATACAAATAGTAAGCTTTTGAAGGTAGGGCTGTGGCACATGCAAGGGACGCTAGCTCAGGTACGTACAACAGCCACCTCGAATAAATAACTGTTTAGCGACATGGAAAGCCATTCTGCACAAGTCATGCCATAAAAACCGTAACAATCGAAGCGTCGTCACAATGACCGAAACACACCCTGATGATCTCCACCACCACCACGGCGTGGCCCGCCCTCCGCTCCAACCGCCAACCTCACCTCGCTCCTTCAACCCGCTAATGAATACCTTCAACTACATCGCCGAACCCGTCTCCTACAGCATTTCTAGCATAGTCCGTCGGCTCTCCGAAGACGAAGCCCCCACCGCGCTCGCTCGCGCCCTCAGCGCCAATTTCAACGGCTCCATGACCGATCCTACGACAGGTGTATACCAGCCTGCCAACTTCGACATGAAACGTCGGATATCACCCTTCCAACCTCCGCCTCTGACACCATTGACACTGAAAGGCTACAAGGAAGGCACAAGAGGGAGGTCGAGGTTACTCAGCAAAGCCGTAGCAGAGGAGATCAGATTGTTGATCCCGCCGAGGCTCCAGCTAATGGACACCTGGACCCTGACCTACTCCCTCGAACAAGACGGCACTACCCTCAGCACCCTCTACAACCTCTCCGACATTCACAGGGGTAAACGTGGCGGTTTCGTCCTCGTAGTCCGCGACGCAGGCGGAGGCATCTTTGGCGCATACCTAACCGACCCCCCAAAACCACAAGCACACTACTACGGCTCCGGAGAATGTTTTCTCTGGCGAGCCTTTCGTTTACCAGCCTTACCGGACCTATCCAGTCTGCCCCCTCCGCCAAGCGCAGATACCACGCACCTCCAACGCATGACAACCCTCGGGCTGTCCAAACAGAGCTCAAGCGCCAGCCTCGCCTCTCTGAATGTTCCTGCGACGGATGGACTACCGGCCAAGAAACTCAACGGTACGAACCATCGGAGCAATGGGAACGGCAGTGCGACACCGGAGAGAATACGTTTCAAAGCTTTCCCGTACACGGGCGAGAACGAATTTTGCATTTTTTGCCAGCCGGACTATCTGAGCGTTGGAGGTGGAGATGGACATTATGGGCTTTGGCTGGACGATAGGCTGAACAAGGGCGTTAGTGACACGTGCCCGACTTTTGGGAACGAGCCGTTGAGTGAGGAGGGGACGAAATTTGATGTTCTGGGTGTTGAAGTCTGGTATATTGGGTCGTGAGCGACCTCACACTGACATTGCAATGCTCGATGAACGAGACTCTATAGCAGAGCCAGAGAGTGATATAGATGAGTCGTGATGATCTGGATTAGCATTGCGCACGGCGTCGAGGCATTGCACCAAGGCGCAGGTTTTGCTTCTAAGATACCCGGACATGGAAGTAGGATGAATGAAATGGCAGCCAACGATGAAATGCGACTCGCTGTTTTGTTTCTGCTATATGCATCGATATCCTATACTTCATCATACAATACATGGTAAGCTAGATGCTGTTTCCTGCTTCGCCAACGACCTTGCGCCCGCCACTCTGCATCGTGCTCGCATATCCTTACCATTTACCGATGTCAGCATACAACCAGTCTCCACGCCACATCTGCGCTAGCACCGCAACACTCCCCACACCCACCTCAAACACCAGAATACAACGAATCACTCAACCAATCCTCTCTCGCCGTCCCACCACCCCTCCTCACCACCTTCCCACCCCTCCCACTCAAACTCCTAATCAAATCCCCACCCCTCACCCACAAATGCCTCAACCTCTCCCCCAACTTCTTAATCCGAAACTCCGCCTTGCCCATCCCAATTCCATCCACCGTCTCGGCCGAGCTCACAGCACCCAGACGCTCATGCTCGGCGTTGAGGGACCCAGCATCGTAGCCAGTATCGTCCTGCGAAGCGCCGCGGGTAGCGTCCAGGCGAACGGGTTTGATCTTCTGTTTGCTGAGGCCCGTGAGGCGTTTGCGGAAGGAGGAGTGGGCACGACGCTGGCGTTCTGAGCTGTTATCTGAGAAGAAGGAGCGTACTTCGTCCAGGTGGAGGTTGACGGGTGGGGTGAGGGCGGAAGTTGGGTAGCGGTCGCCTGGTTTGTGGGGCTGGCTGCTGTCGGAGTTGAGGGGTGGCGAAGGTAGGCTGCTTGCGGTGGTGTCGTCGGTTATGCGCTTGCTGTAGCCTGGCAGACTGATCTTCTTGGTGATACTGCCGATGATGGAGCGCTTGGAAGGTTTGCGGTTGTGGCTTGTGCGAGTATGGTTCGTGCTAACGCCAGTTGCCTGTTCGGTCGTAACAGATGCTGTGCCGTCATCTGTCGTAAGAATGGATCCGATGTCGATGCCTGCAGGTGATTCAATGGTCTGCAAAGTAGTGGAGAAGTCAACAGATTTGGCGCGACGATGAAGCTCGCCGATGAGTGAGTCACGAGTATGTGTTTCTGACGGTATTGTGAGGTCGACGGGAACGTCCTTGCCAGCCCAAGGATAATTCTCGTCCTGGTTCCATGGTCGACTTGCACTGGAGATGATCAAAGAGCGCTTGCTGCGTGTGATGGGGTTCATCTCCGGTGGCAGAAGCTGGCGCACTTCGTCCTCGCTCAGTGGCGACCTCTGGCGGACGAGAGCCGAGGACGGACGAGCGACATCCTTGCCAAGATCTGTTGGTGCGGATACCGAGCCAGAAAGATATGATAGCTTCCCATCTATAGTGCTGATAGCTGAGACCTTGTCCGCCGAAGCTGACTCTGGCAGAGGTGGAAGCTCCTTGTTCATGAGGAGCAGTCTGGAGGTAGGCACGACAGAATCATGCGTACCATGCTGCACAATCTCTTCGGCGCGTTCGGCGAGCGTACGGAAGCCAGCGGAAGTGCGAGTGGACAGTACAGTCTCCGGACGGCTTCCACCAAGATTGTGCAGCTCGCCCAGTGCATGTGCAAAGCCCTCTGAGCTTGAAAGAATGCTGTCGAGCTGCAGGTTGCGTAGAGCGGGCAGAATGCTTGTGATCTTGTCAGACAAGCCGGTCACCGACGGGATTGAGAGGCGATTGACTTGTGTAGCGACGCTGAGGAGATCTTCAGGAGACAAAGCACGACTGCCAGGCTTGCTGTTAGGATTGCTTGCATTCTGCTCACCACCTTCGATGCGGGTGAACTCCTGAACCTCAACTGTCGGGATACCAGCGCTGTAGGCCTGCTCATCGTCCAGATCGTCCATACTTGGGTTATCGAAGAAGGTGAAGTCCTCTGGTTTGCTGAAGAAGCTCGCGTAACGCTCACGTAGTGGCTCTGTGCTCTGCGGTCTTTGTGGTGAAGGGCAGTAGATGCCAGAGAAATCACGGCGCCTGACAACTTCCAACGACTTACTTGGACGAATCTCGAGTGCTTCATTCAGCTTGTCGATCAGATCCATTCGACTGAAGTTGAGTGACGGCAGGTCGCGGGCTTCAGCCAGCGCGCGGTTGTAGTGGCGTGCAGCACGGCGAGCCTTCGCTTTATCAGCTGACTCCTGCAGCCGACGTTCTTGCATAGCTTTCACAGCAGCGATACGTGCAGGTAGCGCGAGTGGTTGACTATCTGTGCGATGGCTTGACCGCTTCTGTTTATCACTGATACTCATATCTTCGATGGACTCCTCCTTGAGACCTGGCAAGTGGGTGCTGCTAAACCTACTGTTGAGGCCATTGTTCGGAAAGCGGAGCTCTGTGGTGCTTTCTCGAGAGCTTGTGGCACGACCTGAATCAAAGCTGTCGTCGAGAGGCGAAGGTTGTCGACTGATCGACTTGCCCTTGCCGATGGCTGGTTCGTCGAAACAAGGCTCCCGGCGGGAGTCCAACTTGTTGGTGTTGAGCGGTGCCACCTGGTCTGCGAAGGTGACTGAATTGCGATTGGTGCCTCTCGGCTGTAGCCCTCGTGCTTTCGATTTCCGAGGGGGCGACTCGGGCTTCTCTGGTGAGCTACTGGGTGGTATCGTGACTATCTGCGGTTTGCCAATGGTAATGGTCGTAGTGGGCAAGGAGAAGCGAACGGCAACATCGGTGATCATCTCTGAGTTAGTGTTCATCGTACTCTCGGCCACCGTGCTGAGGTCCGGTGGAAGGGAGTAGCGATTCGTGCTTGGCGTCTCGGTCGTGGTCACACTGTTGTGAGGCAATTGGACAGATTTAGAGTATGTCTTCGGGGTGCGTGGAGTTGGTGGAGGGAGGCTGTCTTCGGTGGGTGATAAGGCCTCTGTAGAAGTCTGCGTGATCTCCTCACTGTGAGCATCGTCGGTGACTTCGGCGGCATGAAGAGTCTCGTCGATGCCATGTGTGTATGTATGCAATGGACTGACTGCAGAGTATCGAGCAACATCCTCGCCTGGCAGTAATGGGCTGACTGGGGTTGCTGAGATGTCTGCCTGGGTGTCGCGCTCTTCAATAGATTGCTTGCGCTCTAGCACAAGCGTAACACGCCCCTTGGATCTTTGATGCTGAAGTGTGATGGTGTCAGCGTCCAGAACGAATGGATCCTTGGATTGCGTTTCTGTGGTGGTGACTGTGGTATCGATGGGTGCGGAGAAGCGAAGTGCGTAGTCTATGCCAGATATAATCTCGGGCGACGCGGTCTGTGCAGACTCGGTCGTGGAAGGTTGTCGTCGAATACCAGGCGTCTCTAGGGTAGAGCTTGGTGACGGCTTGGGATTCTCTCCCTGCTTGTTGGATGTCGTGTGGTGCGACGAAGATGTATGCTTGCTCGTCTGGCGGTTGTGCTCAGGCTTGGTGACTTCGTCAATGGTCATGGGGCTTCTGACCTCTCCAGAAGAGTCCTGGACAGTGCTCGAGGCTGCCAACTCAGCCTTGATCATCTCACGAGTTAGTCGCAGCTCCTGCTGTGGCCTCGGAGGGGTGGTAGAAAGCTCGACGAGCTTCACTGGTGAAGCCGGCAGCTCAACAGGTGCATCGAATTCCTCCAGGATGATGAAGCGCGACTCTTCAGCAGCATCCAGCTCGACGAGCTCAAAATTGTCGTGCTGGCCAAGTGGAGCATGTTGCAGCCGACCATCATCGTATATCGCTGCAGCTCTGTCACGCTCATCTTCCTTCCTAGCAGCTGCTTCGACCGCCGCTCGAGACTCGAGCATGGCCTTGACACGCTGTACAAAGCCAGTAGGTGCCATGGAGGGGTGTGCAATCTCGACGTCTGGCTCATCGATTGTCTTCTCAAGCCCTTCGGCATAGGCAAAGTACTCGGCTGCCAGCACAGGCTCACTAGACGAATCAGGGAGATCAGTGAGGGCCGGGTCGATGAACAGTGGATCGACAGCCACATGGATGGTGCTTCCATCCTTGGGCGTGGGTGGGCTCGACGAGGTAGGCGCAGTACCAGAAGACGGCGGATCAGAAGATGGTGGGCTCATATCGGTCAGTGGTGTATCTGTACGCGACGGCAGATGGCGTGCCATACGTGCAGCGTTGTGAAACATGTTATGGGCCATCGGCATCATGTTTGCAATTGGCGGCGGACCACGTTGTGCAGGATAGCCGTATGATGGGTGCTGCATGGGATAGGCAGCATATCCAGGTCGTGGCGGGCCATAGTACTGACCAGGATATCCTGAGCGAGCTGGTGGCGGGCCATACATCGGCTGTCTGCGCTGTTGCGGCATGGGGAGTCCCATGGGGAGGCCAGGATCCGATCTCATAGCATTGGGTCTGTACGCAAACTGCGGCTGCTCGTACGGCATGTCTGGTGAGCTGTTCATGGCTCTCGGAGGCGGACGGACATTGAGGTAATGTGCGTCCTGAGCGCCAAAGTCGCTGTTGTATGTTGGCATAGGTGGACGTTGCATCGCGACTGGTCGTACGTTGCCCGGTACCATAGGTGGCATGAACGGCCCTTGAGCAGAAAGATCACTGGGTGCTGGCGAAGGCGAGCGATAGCCAGGTCGCTTGAGACGCGTCGGATACACATAGGGCGGCCTGTTCTCAGGCATGGGTGGTGCATTGCCTGGAAGCATTCGTTGAGCATGTCGTGGCTCATGTCCCGCGCTCTTCAAACTCGTTGCTGACTGATGCCGTGGAAGCTGACCACTGATGGGAGCCGAAGTCATGGAGTATGAGCGATTGTCCCTTGCTGTGTCGTAGACGGGTGCCGGCATCTGCAGTGGGGCCTTACCATTGTGGATCGGAGGTAGCGATGGTGGCATGCTCTGCATGCTGGTGAGTGACCCACGACGCATGAAGGATGTGCTGTCACTGATGCGTGACGTTTGGGATGGAGCGTAGCGATGATGCGAGTTGCCACCAGGATAGTGGTGTGAGGCCCCTGAAGGACGAGGCAGATCATTAGACTGCGATGGCCTGGAAGCGTGCCCTCGACGCTGGTGAGCCGGACGTGGCATCGTTGGCAGTCTGCCTTGATTGAAAGATAGTGCACCAATATCGCCAGTGTCGGTACTGGTTTTGAGCATGCTCAGAACTCCTGCGTTCGAGAACATGTCGTTCGCCTTTGGGACTGGTGGTGGTGCTGAGCGGACGGAGCCTGTCATGCCAGAGACATTGCTGGCGCGGCTGTTGCGTCCACTCATGCTGGAGACACCGTCGGTGAAAGGCATTGTGCCGCCGTTCCAAGCGTGTAGCTAATGAGTGACGAGGTTCCAAGAGACCAAGAGTGTTGTCCAAACATAAGACTCGTAATGGTGGTGGTCGGCGGAGAAGAGATGTACAAAATGAGAGAGCAGGTGAGACGTCTGTTTATTCAGTTTCGCAGACATGGCAGGCATAGGTCGTCGTAGGTCAAAGCTGTCGCGCTCGCCACGTGTGACAGAAACACTCTTGCAGGTGTTGCCATAAAAGGCTCGGTGAAGTTGTAAGTGCGAGTCTGGAGGAGGAAGAATGTGAAGGTGGAATCAGCTTACGGCAATGGCCACACAGACGTACCTTCTAACACGACCGCAACGCACCTTCCGTGCCGAATCTTTCGGTAAGTCACACGAAGTTCAAGCTCACGTCGCAGGCTTGCAAACCACTTGTATCACTATCGTTATTGATTCAGCACTGGGTATATGTAGCTTATGCCGATTCTGAATGCCTTGCCAAGCCTCCCCTAATTTTCGACCACGCCTTCAGTGCCTTGATTACTTATTCGCTCCAGGCCAAACGAGCAAGGAATCAGTGGGTGACAGGGGCACCCTTCTCAGCAAGTACTTCCTGGCCTTGGCCATGACCTGGCGCGTAAGCCGGTGGCGGCATCCCCTCACCGACATGGCTCTCTGTTGCCGGAATGGTGTTGCCTTTCTTCTCCCAAGCCGCCGGCTTCGCCCATTGTGGATCCCTCCCTAGAACACAAATGTCAGCACTGCCAGAACACCCAAGAGACGTCGCACTCACATGGACCCTCGTCACTCAGCTGGCAACCTCCCTGACACTTGCAGTTACCACCGAATTCAGACGGCAGATTCTCCTTTGGCACCTGACCCAACAGCTCCGACTTGTATCCGGAGCCCAGCACGTGAATCTTGGCAACCGTGACTGGATCCAGAAATCGCTTGATCACACTGAAGATACCACTGAAGCCCCATGGCGCGTTGATGATGTAGAGCTTGCCGAGTCGCTCTGGGTAGTAGTTCTGGCTGATGCCCGACGCTCGCTGCAGGTATCCGTACACCTCTCCAGCCTTGCTGATACCCACTCCCTTCAAGTCCATGATCGTGCAGCAGGTCTCTAACAAGCATCCCGCTTTACGCGAACATGCTGGTAATCGTGGATCGGCCATCTTCTCGTACTCAACCACCAAATTTTCTAGCATGCGCTCATCGGTGGTGATTTGTCGAAGTTTGCCAAGATCGATTTTGCCGAGCTGCTCAACGTAGACGGGTCTGCCATCCTTGTCCGTCTTGTGATAGTATTGCGGGTAGTATGCGAATACCTGCGGCTTTTCCTTGTAGTCAAAGTTCTGTACGAGGTTGTCTACACCGCCGCCGAACTGATTCCGCCATTGCTCGCACTCCTCGAACCTAGAACAAGAATCGTCAGCACGGACTCATTTCAAGCAATGAAAGATCGCAACCCACATCTTCTTGGAGAGCTGTACGTCGAACTTGCGTGCTCGCAGGAAGCGGAGCATAGTCAGAGTGTCCAGTCTGTCCTTGACACCATCCTGCTCGAGCATAGTACGGAGCTGATGCACGGCAGCATCTTGTTCCTTGGTCGTGTGTCCTGGATGGCCAGGCTTGGTCTCAGGCGCTGTTGTAGGGTAGTCGTAGTGATCGTACTTGGGGTCGAGTTCCATATGCGGGTTTGTCGCCATGGTAGGCAAGGATGATCGAGGCGGGAGTAGGATGTGGAAATAGTGCTCTTCGGATACCAGGTAGCAAGTCGAGTGATTCTGTCGAAGGGAAGAGGTTACTGTTCAGGAGACGTATCGCTGGTGTTGGGGAGGGATTGTTGTGTGGGTTGGTGGGGAGAGAAGTGCAGAGCCAGAATTGCTGGAATTGTGGCTGAGGGTCAAGCACGGACTATGACGTGAACTTTGAGCCTCGTGGCGAAGCGCACGTTCGTCGAGCTATTGGTTGTAATAGCATCTGGACTCTTTGGCGAAGATGCAAGCATTCCACGCATATGAGTTACACGATACAAGTCTGAGGAGAGAATCATGTGATGCTGGAGGCAGATGATGGGAAAAGTCACCCGTGACGTAGCAGATCCATCTCCAAGACCAGACGGTTCTCATGTTCTACCATCTGCTTGCCCGGCTCAATTGGAGAGTGTGAAGCATACGGTCGGTAGCAAACTCCTTGAAAGATCGCAGGTCATAACATGACTTGCTCGACCCATACCCATGAGATTGTGTACATGCTGTTCGAAGCTGGGCACCGCCATGACACAAAGGTACGTAGGACATTGATTGATGGTGCATCCAAATGGTACAAGGTAAAGCAGGCCCGCAATGTCGCAGGATAGTGTTACACATCAGGTACACCCTATCTTGCCTCAAGTCAACGGAATTAACTCTTGTCTTCTGTTCCCTGCTACGCTTTTACATCTTTTGCTTAGCCTGCTCAGCGGCGCCCTTGACTTGGCCGGCCTGGGAAGTCAGTATCAGTAAATCATCCATGTCCCACTACAACAAGATCACTTACAACTTCCTGAGCCTTGCCCTGTGCCTGCCCAGCCAACTTCGACGCCTCTCCTTGTGCCTGCCCTGCCATCTTCGATGCCTCGCCCTGTGCCTCAGCAGAGCTCATACCAGCGGCCTCTTTCGCGGCCTGAGCGGCTTGCTCTGTCGCAAGCGATCAGTAGAGCTCAAATCAGATCCTCGCGTGTCAGAAGCTTACCACCGGCCTCGATGCCCTTCACGATCTGCTGCGCAACAGTCTTGTCGGCGGCCTGGACAGTCTCCTTGGCCGTGTCGATGGCGGATTTGCGGACAGCAACCGAGGTGCTGAAAGGGCGAGCTTGCCTGGCGATTGCTTGACGGAACATTTTGAGGTGGTTGTCGGGAGTTGTTATTGATGATTGATTTGTTTGAGGACTGTCTCGTCTGTATTGTGAAGATGGTTTGTGATTGTGGTTGATGGAATGGCTGGTGAAGATTTCAGAATGCAGCCCAGGCATGAGAGGAGGCGCTTCACCGAAGACTCTCACGTCATCGTGAGCTACAGCTTGCAGCGGGAAAGAGCTTTGGTCACTAACGCCACAAAAGGCTCGTGCAGTATCAGAGGAAACTGAATCGTGGAGAGTAATTTTGGCGAACAAATCATTCCAAGTTACAGTATGTGCATACTATGTACATGTCTTCGTCCATATTACCATTATTTCGTGTTGGCACGTCCTCTAGACGTATAGCACCTTTTGCCACCAGTTGCATCTAGCATTGGCAGTGGGATCCATGACTTCAGAAATGCCAGTGATGTTCAGATTCTGGACAGTCGCGTTCTGACCGTACATGACGAAGTATGGGACACCTTGTTCGTTGGCTGTAAAGTAGTCAGTATAAATCGCTCCCAGACCAGTAGGCGAGGGGAGATGCTTACGATTTCCGGTTTCCGCAAAGCTTGTGATGTACTCCTGCAACGCAATGGCGATTTGCGAGTTCAACACAGATGCTGAGGGCCCATTGTAGTATGTATAGGGGACATCAGATCCCTGGAGATCGGGTTAGTATTTGTCCCTGGGAGTGACGAAGCCGGGGAAAACTTACATGTAAAGCCGGAGGCACAGTGAAGAAGTACGCATGCGTATTATTGCCATACGCTTTGTTCAGGTAGAACGTGTTGCAAGTGAAGATCAACTCGCTGGTAGCTGCGGCAGCACGAGCGATTTGATTTGTGTAGCCCATGGCTTGCGAGCCATCGAAGACCGGGGCTGTACAATCTGTCAGCTGGCACAAAGGTGTTTATGGTGAAAAGTAATTACGATAAAGAGTGTTCGTGATATAGTCGAGCGTCGATGGCAAACCACGAAGAGAGGGCAAATCGCCGACGACGAAAGCTGCGAAATCGGCGTTGGTCTGTGTGAAAGGTGATGTGAACAGGAGCCCCTGTATGTTGTTAGCACGCATACCTGTCGTTGATCATGAACGAGACTGACCTCATCCGCGTTGTGGCCAACCATAATTCGAAGACTCTTATCGAATTGGCCGTGCAAAAGAAGTTCTCCAGGCATGGCCGGAACAAAGTCACCATCTACAGTCGGGCCATATGTGAAACTACCATACTGAGAAAGGCCGACCTGGATAATGTTCGCGGTGATGAGTGCAGAAGATGGTAGCTGGCGTGCCTGCTCGATCGTTGAAACGTTCAGCAGCGACAGATACGAGTTGAAGATCGATTCCTGCTGGTTGTTCGAGACGAAAGGCTGCCAGCCAGGGGATTGGGGCACGGCCTGAGCGAACGGTACTGATCCATTGTTGCCGCCGTAGGCAGTGATTTGATGCATGATTGAACCACCTCCCGCAGACTCGCCGAAGACGGTGACACGGTTGGGATCACCACCGAACTTGGCAATGTTGGCTTGAATCCACTCGAGCGCAAACCTTTGGTCGTGCAGACCAGCATTTGCAGTGCCATTTGCTTGGAAGGTTGGACCAGATAGCCAGCCGAAGGCACCAAGGCGGTAGTTCAAGCTGACGTACTACGAAATGGGTCAGTTTCGATGCAATCATTTTGACTACTTGAGCGAAAGACGTACGATTACGCCACTCGCGCCATTATTCTCGCTCCTCGCCAATAGACCAGCAGGGTTACCAGAGTCAGACTTTGAGCCGGCAGTATACCCGCCGCCATAGATCCAAACAAGCACGGGTGCACCGTAGCCATTGTTCCTGTTATTGAAGATCTTCTCCGGGACAACAACGTCCAAGAACAAGCAGTCCTCGGTAGTCCTAGGATCTTGTGCGGGCAGAGCACTGGAAGACGAGCTATTTGCGCTGGGAAAGTCGGCTTGGGTGAAGTTGGTTTTGCCACCGAGATACTGGGGGATGTAGGCTTCGGCGATCAGTAGCCACGCCGGGTTGGCCTGAGGACAGATTCGTCCCTGTAGACCTTGCTGGACGCTCGAGCGATTGACCGCTGGTGCCTGTGGAACATTAAACCTGTTCTCACCGACTGGCGGAGCAGCGTAACGGATATTGCTGAAGTTGTAGAACCCTCCAGTAGAGTTGTAGAGGGCAGCCTGGTGGAGTTCGTAACCAAGGTCGACTATTGGTAAGCTGCTGCTGGCATTGTTTGTAGTCGAGCCGCCATAGCTGCCTTGAGCAGCAGCCTGGCCTAGGAGCGTTGTCCCCAGCGCCGCGACAGCGCCTACAGTGCTGGTGAGATGCATTCTAATAGATGTCGGATAACAGTTGCGAGAGGAGAGTGGATGGTAGGAAGGGAAGTGAGGTCTTTACAGACACGGCGTGAGGTTCTTCCGCATACTCCTCTTTGGAAGTGTATTGCGTAGGCCCCGGCATGCGGTAAACCTCGCAAGACAGTGCGTTCACGGTCCAAGCCGTTATTATGCATCTTATGCCACGGTACTTCTATTGGCTTGGTGCGTCTGATGGTCGTCCATAAACGAAGGATCAAGACAGCTTGTCATGGAATCTTCTGCACAGAATGTCCACATGTACCCGATTAATAGCTCTCTCTCACAGCTACTACTGTCTGTCAGCTCTATCGATGGCACGATGGTCCGTCAGCAGCGGACCGTTCAATGCTGCAAGATTCGATCATCGCTCATAGCAACCGTTCCCCGCAACCGTCTCCAAAGCTTCAACAGCTATTCGCCTGCCTAGCACAGCCTAGCCTTAAAGCTAGTAGTCAATCGAAGCCTTAGCACCAAAAGCGAGCAAATCGTGACGTGGTGAAGTTCGCGAGGCTGGATGGCTTGAGCACGAAAGAAGCCAGAAAGTCGCAAGCGAAGCGGGGTGAAGAATCGGACGTGTATCCGAATCTTCCGCGAATCCCGTCTTTTGAGTAGAGACCGAGGTTGGCTTGAGAAGACGAGGGTCTGGTGTTGCGATGAACGAAATTGCTGTGGTCGTCGGCCCTCTCAAGCTCGCTTATTATGGCGGATGTGTTGTCAGTCATTCACACACACGTGGCGTAGCGTGACGTCCCAGATGCACAAGATGAGACTCTCAATCCAATCCGGCAAGGTCCAAGGTCTCGATTGGGAAGGCATGATCGTCACTTACCCGAACGGCTCGCTTAACACACGTCAAAATCCCATACCAAAGCTCACGACGGTACAACACCACCACAGCCGAGAATTGTTCTTGTCCGGTCGGCAAAACTTGTATAATCACACCGCTATCAAGAAGATTCCACGCTCCGTTACTGGATGGCTTTCCAAGAACGCCTCCCGTAGCTCATCCAATGGTCAAGTCTCGGGAACCTCGCGCCACGATTCAGGTGGGAAGCGTGACCATCACAATCTCCCCTGTTCACCTGCCCGCCTACTGGAAGACATCCCATGCTCCCAAGCTTTTTGATACGCATCCCATAGCCGCCCGCCCCCGTCGTTGACACCCTGTATACATGTACATCCTGTCCGTAAAAGTCATAGCTCCTTCACATAACGTAGAGCAGATTCGTATCTGTGGCACAAATTATTAGGAGGGGTGTCATTGGTTAGGGAATCTTGTTACGATGCGACATGTATCGCTGTCTGTGGCCTACCAAGCGGGTGACTGCAGCTAAGCTGCGGCTTCTGTGTGTACTTGCCCTCCAACTCGACGCGAATGCTGTTGAGCAGTTCCACGTAGCTTTGTTGAGGCTTCTTCTTGAGTGCTGCGATGAAAGCCCAGGACATGGCGCCTGTGGCTTGTCCGGCAATGTTTGCGTCTTGTCTGTGACGAAATGATAGTCAGCATATACGCTAGCGCAATATATGATTCCGTGTGATAAGGCGACAGTGTCAACGCAACTCGTCGTCCAGACACCAAGCAGCAGCCTCGTAAGGCTCCGCAAGGCGAAGGGACGTTGAGTAGAACGCTGTACACTATGTAAAAGACAAGTCTTGCTTTCGTGATCGCTTTCCAGAGCGGCAGCCACCAACGCCTTGCTAAAGTGCGGCAAACAAACAACAAAGCAAAGTCAGACATCAAGCCAGAATGTTACCCTGCATGTCGCGGAAAGGCATATATGCCCAGCCTGCAGCCACACTGCACCCATCGAGCTTATGACTCTGTCCACCCGGGGTGGTCTGTACAAGCTCGGGGGTTGTGAACGCGCAAGAATCATGCCGCATGCGCAAACAAGAGGGCTCGTCAGGGAAGCTGAGGTTTACGTACGAGGTCTGATCGTCCTTGCTTCCACTCCACATGATCACATCTGCCGGGGACGTCTTCGTACGCAAGTTGCGCTGGTATGTGTCGTCGCCTGAAGTCGCTTTCTTGAATAGGCCCATCGCCGTGGAAGCAATGCCGCCGAGGTCGCCACGAGCGTACTGGCCCACGATGCTGAGCAAGCCTTGACCAGCTTCCTTGGCAAGGTTTGGCTCCTTGAGTACACCCTGAGTCGAATAAATATATGGGAGGTCAAGTGCCGAGCCGGAGTGGCACGAGTCGAAGATCGCAGTTAGTCGTACACCTGGTTGGAGATTTGCAACCCTAAAACCATGTCAGTCATGCGAAAGCACTAGCCAGTCCAAGATTACACACATGATACGATGCATCTCATCATCAACAATGTGTCCTGCTTGCCTGAAGTCCACGGGGTAGATGACTTCATCATAACCATCGTCTTCATCACCATCCAGATCCTTGGTCTGTCCACCGTGTCCAGAGTAGTGAAAGAAGAGTGAGTCATTTGGTCGGGCGTCTTTCACCAGCCAGTGCATAGCACGCAGTATGTTCTGCTTCGTTGGCTGGCTCATTGGGTTCTGCTGATCGTCCGTTAGGCACACCATATCCTCTCTCGCGTAACCGAAGTGCTGGTTCAGATATGTAGACATGTTCTTGACATCATTGATGCAGCCTCGTAGCTGTCCTCTTTGACCGAAGTAATTGACACCAATGAGGAGAGCTTTCCTGCGACCCGTGCAGTTGGAGTACTGGAATTGGTATCCGTTTGGAGCGCCCGAACCGAAGTTCTGCATCTGTTGTGGTGGGGGGGGTGGTGCGCCGAATTCTGGGATTCAATCAGCTAAATGTCGTCGAGCCCGAAAAGCCCTTGACCCACGGCCTTGCTGTTGGTAGCCACCATAGCCCTGCTGCGGTGGACCTGCATTCTGATAGCCCCCATAATTCTGTGGAGGAGGGGCGCCGTAGCCCCCGTTGTATGGTGGTTGTGGTGACGGGTTGCTATATTGTCTTCACAGTTATCAGCATGCGATGGTGTGTATCTTTCCTGGTGACACTCACGGATAATTCTGTGGTGGAGGTGCACTGTACTGCTGTGGAGGAGCGTATCCGTTATAGCCCTGCTGTGGTGGTGGATAGCCTCCACCTCCTTGATGGTGACCCTGGCCTGGGTAATATGACATGGCTGGAGAAGTCTTATATGGTACCCGAGTATGGTGTCAAGCTAGGTGCTTGAGGCGACTGTGCGCCAATGCTGATCGTTGCCTCTCGTGGTAGGAGGTCTTGTTATGTACTGATAGCGGGGTGGATATAAGTCTACTGCTAGGACGTCAAGGTAGTATCGCGTAGTGCTGTCGATGTCGTAGTAGCACTCTGTTTAGCAAGGTGGAGGCTGTGTTTCTTTCCAGGGTAGCGTCCAGAAAGCTTCCCAGAATGTCGGCCGTGGTGTCACGCCCGCGCTGCTAATCACGATCTACGATGGCGTCGGCAGTCACTGCACGGGTCGTGGGTAGAGCAGGGGGCAGAATAGGTAGGAAAGTGTAGTGAGCTTAGTTGGCGTCGTAAGGCTCCAAGCGCGTGGTGGAGAAGAGGAGGGGGCCCATGCGCCTAGCAGTCCTGGACCGAAGAAACCTCACGTCGATCATTCACCGCTTTCAGCTCAGCAGCAAAAATTCCAGACCAGCACTGCTATTCTTCGACTTCACTCCGTCATCGACCTCACCTCATCCAATCGTTATGCCAGTCAAGGCTTACAGCACGATGCAGACACGTTCGTGGCACCTCATGACTTTCTCTACCTTCCCGCACCGTGCATAGACACGCGCTAGCCTAGCATAAGTGCTGTTCTCGTCGGACTCTCCGATTCGCAACCTGCATGCTGTGGCTTTCTCGCGTGCTGCCCGTACTTTTATGGCGTACACACAACCAATGGGACGACTCGTACTGAGGCTGAGTGTGCCATATCAAGCCTGTCACCCCCAGATAAGGTTGATCATGCCACGTGCAGCCACTGTTTGTGGCTACACCAGTGCGCCGAAGCATGTGCCTTACCACATGTACCGAAGGCCTTGTACCGGTGCACTATACACTATACTGAAGTATGAAGGTTTGCAGTACTACTCCTTGGATATTGCTATACGCCAAACGATGGACTCCTGCCGCCCATGCATGATAGAGCCAAAAGGACCTGTCCGTTCAGCAGGTCTATGGCTTGCGCTGGTGGTCGTCGCGTGGCAGCAGCATGCATACTACAATGGCGTTGCCATTGACGGCCGAAATCCTCTTCGGATCATGCCATGCATGACGCGAAACGTGGTATCCTCACCAAGCCCATAGATCTGGATCAGGCGTCATACAAGCCGATCTTAAAATGGTGCTTGTGATCCACGCTTCACAAGGATGCTCTGGTCAGTCTAGACCTCGCGTTCCAGCCCGTTATGGGACCATGTAACATCTTGCTTCGTTTTCAGGACACTCAAAGATGTCGGTTATAAACAGATCAAACAGCTTCACGTCACTGCTGCTGAGCACACCGCTCGCTCAATGCAGATGCGTGACTGAGTTCACGAACCGATGCTGCTCTCGAAGTCAACCTGATATAGTCCGTGCGTCATAGCTGCCACACCGTGGCGCCCTACGCCTCACGGACGTCCCAATGGCACGCTACTGCAGCGTCAGTTCTCTGCTGAACGGCTATTCTTGCACATGGGATCAGATTCTGTTCGAACTCGTCGCAAGCACGCTGTAACGCTCTGCTATTATGATCTGCGGCTGGCGTTTCGTCCAGTCAACGGTCAGGTTCACTAAATCTGGACGAAGTCGATCGTCGATCGTCGTTGCATCCTACCTCGCCTTCCACCTCACATTCCCAACCCACTTCGCCCACTTCTGCACATCCTCCCTCTCCGTCAGAAGTTCAACACTATACCACTCCTTAGCCAGCTCCTCATTGGAAGCAATCTTATGAACATATGTATGGCAAGCCCTACAGAGCCAGGCTACTCTATTTAGCTCCCAGTCCTTGTGCCAGCCTTGCTTGACCGCCTTAGCATGCATTTGCCGGGGAATTAGATGGTGGTACGTCAGAGGTAGGTGTTCACGGCCACAGATCTCGCAGCCATCGGGTCGTGTGGCTATTAGGGCTGGGGTGTATTCTGGGGGTGGCGAGATCGTGGCGGTGATGTAGGACTCCAAGACGGGTTCGAGAAGCTTGTCCAGGTAAGTGGAGTCCTCGATCAGGCCGTATGTCTGCAGAGAGTCGGCAATGGGTGGTGGTAGGTGCTCGACGATACTTTCGACGAGGGTGCTGTCTAGCGGGACCTCATATTTCTCCTTCAGCGATGACTCGTCCTGTGTCGTGGCATACGACAATGTACGAAGATCTGACGGTAATGAGACAAAGATCTCCTCGGCCAAGAACTGATCGTTGTTGTCAGTAGTGTCAACGATACCAATGCCAGCTTGACATACCTCGATGAATTCGCCAAGTCCGGAAGCGTCTCCCTCATTCAAGCCATCGGCAGCATCGCTTGATACCCTGATCACAGGCTTGATCTCATTCTTTCGTCCTTTGATAGCCTTCTTTCTGCCACCCTTTCCTGTCTTTGGTGACAATCTGGCAATGACGGCCGTGCTTAGGTTATCTTGGAAGGCATCGAAGCTGGCCGCCTCATTGACTGCGATCATAGGATGGCTTCAAGCAGTGCCTAGAATAGCTTACAAGTGTCGCTGCCGATAGATGTCCAAATGATCTCTTGCCACCGAGGACAGGTGACAAGCATATCGAAGAATCGCCGTCGGCGCAAGGTTTATCCGCCTCCGTTCTCGCCTCCTTGCACTTCACTACACTACACTGACTGAATTATCCCTACGAACACATATTGCGGCCTGAAATGGCCTAAAGTGTACACTTTACCGGCTCGAGTGATAGCGATCACATCAGACCTGATGGCGCGTGAAGAGGCTGTGGGGCTCTTGGAGCATGAAGAGGTAAGATGGCCTTCCGCCGTCAACGGCACCTCTCATCAACATTGTTCCGCTCCATAACTCTCAACATGAAATTTATTATTCGATCCCAAGACTGTCAGTATTGACAGAAGCTTGACTCAAGGGCGAAACGGACGATACAGCTATGGCGGATCTGCCTTCGGAGAGGAACATGGCACAGAACGATGATCTAGATCCTGCGCCGCGACAACCATATTGCAAACCGGGATCAAATGGACTCTTCGCCTCCTACTACGTCGCTCTATGCGCCATATTCGCCGCTCTAGGTGGCCTACTGTTTGGCTACGATCAAGGTGTCGTCTCCGTCATCCTCGTCGAGCAACAATTCTTGCAGCGCTTTCCTGGCATCGTGGATGGCGCTGCGAGCGCAGGCTTTCGAAAGGGCCTGCTCACGGCTATGATCGAGCTAGGGGCTTTGTTTGGTGCTTTCAACCAAGGCTGGATTGCAGACAAATTCTCGAGGAAGTACTCGATTGTGCTCGCTGTCGTGATCTTCACTATTGGTTCGGCACTACAGACGTCGTCGATCAATTACGGTATGCTAGTCACTGCACGGCTCATAGGTGGCCTGGGCATTGGTATGCTGTCCATGGTTGCTCCACTATACATCAGCGAGATCAGTCCTCCTGAGATCCGAGGCACCCTGCTGGTTCTGGAAGAGCTCAGCATCGTCACTGGGATCGTGATAGCCTTCTGGATCACATATGGCACGCAGCACATACCATCGGAGCTCGCTTGGAGGCTACCTTTCGCTCTCCAAATCGTTCCAGGCTTGATACTAGGTATCGGCATTATCTTCCTGCCATTCAGTCCACGCTGGCTAGCGTCAAAGGGCCGAGATCAAGAAGCACTACACAATCTGGCCAAACTCCGACAACTTCCTACGTCTGACAGTAGAGTGCAATTAGAGAATCAAGATATCCGAGCAGAAGTGGCCTTGCATCAGGAGATCAGCGCAGAACGACATCCTCACCTACAAGACGGAAGCACAAGCAGTAAGCTCCGACTTGAACTCGCCTCGTGGGCCGATCTTTTCAAGCCTGGCTGCTGGCGTAGAACGCACGTGGGCGTAGGCATCATGTTCTTTCAGCAGTTCGTCGGCATCAACGCCCTGATCTACTACAGCCCTACACTCTTCGCCACCATGGGACTGAATCATAGCATGCAACTCATCATGTCCGGTGTCCTCAACATAACTCAACTTATCGGCGTCACGACCTCGATTTGGACCATGGATCGTTTCGGTCGCCGACCGCTACTGACGTTCGGCAGCCTGGTGATGTTCCTCTCTCACGTAGTAATTGCTGGACTGGTTGCAAGATACAGCGACGACTGGCCAGCTCATCGCGCACAAGGCTGGGCGAGCGTGGCATTCTTGTTCTTGTATATGGCTGCGTTTGGGGCCTCGTGGGGTCCCGTACCTTGGGCTATGCCTTCTGAGATCTTTCCGAGCTCGCTGAGAGCGAAGGGTGTGGCGCTGTCGACTTGTTCGAATTGGCTGAATAATTTCATCATTGGACTTGTCACGCCGCCGCTGGTCGAGAAGACAGGTTATGGTAGGTTGTGTTCCGATGTGTCCAGTCTGATGTGAAGTGCTGATGGGATACACAGGTGCATACGTCTTTTTTGCAGTCTTCTGTCTTTTCAGCTTGATCTGGACATGGTCATTCGTGCCGGAAACTCGTGGCAAGAGTCTTGAACAGATGGATCACGTGTTTGGAGATGCCAGTTCTCAGAGCGAAAGAGGGAAGCGCGAGAGCATTGAAAGGCATCTTATCCGGCGTAGAAGAAGTGCTGAAAGTCTGTAGATATTCTGATCATCTATCGCCGTCTACTTTCTCCCACTCACTATCCGTACTGCTGCTAGCATAACCGCTCTCTACGCCACCTACCCTCCGCTGCCTATTGTCGCCTGGACTGAGATGACTTTGTGCTCCACTTGTCGCCGCTGCCACTCCCGACCGCTCATCTGCCGCACCACCATCCGTTTGCTGTTCTCGTGCCTGCATTTTCGACGCCAACACATCACCAAGACCGACAGCACTCTCCCTGGTTGCACCCTCCTCCGTCTCCGTATCCTCCCCCTCATCATCAGCCTCACTATCCGCCACCTCACCCTTCGCCCTCCACTCCCTCCCACCCTTCTCCTTACCCCCGCTACTCTCGCTCTGCACTTTCCGTATTCGCTCGGCTTCCGCTTCCTTGGCCTGTGCTGCCTGAAGCTCAGTCGCGAACCAGTTGATGCTGTACCAGAGGCCTCCGCATAGCAGAGAGAGGATGGCGAAGTGGATGGAGTAAGTGGCTACGAGGAGTGCAAGGAGGAGAGTCTGCAGGGCGCCGAAGGTGAGGTTTGTGGCTAGCAGGAGGGTTGGGGTTGCGCCGGGGGTGAACACGGAGGACCAGAGATTCTGCATGAAGTCTGCCATCGTTGCGATGCAAATGCTCCGGCTCTGTTGGAATGATGTGTGTCTATGGCAGTTCGTGGTTGAGTGGAAGGATGGTCGATTAGTGGAGGCTACGAGATGGTGGCACTGTACTTATGGAGATTGATGGCAGAGTATGACTGGACGGCAGCGGTATATGTGTTCGCTATCTTGCACCACGTGGCAGAGGGTACTGGCGATAGCAGAGACAGATTGCATTGATGCATGAACGAATGATGCCTGCTCTCGTGACGCCCTCACTGAGCTGACGGACCTGTTCCGCTCGCACTCGCACGCGAGTCATGGCAGCTTCGACATGCGACACAAATGAAGACGAAGCACATCGCAACACATCTAGAGGTTTCGCGCACAGCAGTACAACCACTCCGACCCATTCCTTCACGCCACTACGCACTCGTTGCGACCATGAAGCTCGTCAGGTAAGCCACACTCAAACCCTTCACCAGCAGTAAAGCGTGCTGAACTCTTCTCCCAAGGCCAACAACACGAGAGCCGGACTGACACAAGATGTACTCTTTACAGATTCCTCATGAAATGTACAAACGAAACAGTCACCATCGAACTCAAAACCGGTGCCATCATCCACGGCACAATAGCCTCAGTCTCTCCACAAATGAACACGAACCTCCGCGCTGCGAAAATGACACCAAAAGGCGGCGTACAAATCTCCCTGGACCAAATTTCTGTCCGAGGAAGTGAGATCAGATATTTCATCCTGCCGGACAGCTTACCTCTGGATACGCTTCTGATCGATGATGCACCGAAGCCCAAGAACAAGGCGAGGAAGGAGAAGGAGGGCGGTGCTGCTCCAGGTGGCCCTGGAGGACGAGGTGGAGGTATGAGGGGTGGTGGCAGAGGCGGCGGTAGAGGGCGAGGTGGTGGGCGTGGTCGTGGGAGAGGTTTCTAGGCACCAAGTTGGAAATATTGGACGCATTGCCTGCACCTGTCTTACGAAAACGGAGAGGGCGTACGGTGCCTTAAGGAGTTTTGCGTGCCAACGAATCACATCCTTACACTGTAGTCTCATTCGACGGTCGAAACGGGAGATGGCCACCAATACACAACATGTCTTATCTTCTACAAACTATCAAAGGAGACTGCAATCCGCGGTTTCCAGTCAATAAAATGAGTCCGAGGTCACGCATTGAGTGTGGAATACACGAAATGAAACAGCATGGTCGGCGTGGCTGCCTAAGCTCTGTTACGATTATTCACCTGTAAGCTCACTTCTTGTTTGTGCACGTGAAACCTGCAGCTACACTAAAGAACCTCACTTCCACAAGAATATAAGTACGCTTCACCCCTCTGCACGACTTCCAACTTTTCTAGGCTTTCAACACGCATAGAAGTAATCTCTTACAACTCCTGAGATATCCCACGCAACAAAGCCCACACCAGCATACACAAATCAAGGCACGCTCACACACAATGGCTCCCTCCTTCTCAGAGAAAGATCAGCAGTTCCTCACCAATGTAGTCCAGTGTTTCGAGGGTGGTTCATGGCCAAAGGTACGTTCCAGGTCTACTTCCACATTGCTGGGTTCTCAGCGCACGACTTCTAATATCTTGCTCCGAAACTGACACTCAACACAGATCGACTACAAAAAGCTCGCGCCACTCAGCGGCTACAAGACTCCCGCCTCCGCCACAACAGCCTGGCACAACCTTCGCAAGAAACTCGAGGCAGGTCAATCACGTGGCGAGGGTGAGGGTGAAGGTGAAGGCGAGGCCGCTGCCAAAATCGAGAAGACCCCCGCCAAGAAGCCCGGTGGTCGCAAACGCGCGGTCAAGAGTGAGGAGGAGGAGGGCGAAGACGAGGTCGCTAATGAAGCTAGTCCTAAGAAGCGTGGCCGTAAGGCTAAAGTCGAAGTTGTTGTTGCTACTGCTGCTGATGAGGAGGGTGGCGACCAGGAGGCGAACGCTGAGCTTGAGGTTGAAGTCAAGCCAGTGGCGGGCAAGAAGAAGGGTGGAAGGCCGCCGAAGAAGGCTGCTGCTTCTAAGAAGGATGTGAGCGATGAAGCTGTGAAGACTGAGCAGGTTGATGGCGAGGCCGAGATGAGGGAGAAGGCTCCTGCTGTTGAGGCTTCTAAGAAGAAGGGTGGGCGGCCCAAGAAGGCTGCCCCTGCTGTTGCCGCCACTACCGACAACATCAAGGAGGAAGACAAGGAAGCCGACTACAACGCCGACACCACTGACGCCGCTCCTGCCACCTCGATCGAGAAAGAGAAGACTCCTGCCTCTGAGGCCAGCACCAAGCGCGGCCGTGGTCGTCCTGCCAAGATGGGTGGTGCTGCTGCTGGCAGGGGTGGCAACAAGATCGGTACTGAGGTGGAGGGTGCCAAGGATGCTGGCGATGCTGACGTCGAGGCTGAGGCTGAGGCTGGTGAGCAAGTCGTGGAAGAGGCTATCAATGGGGAGGTCGTAGTTGGCACGATCGAAGGTGAAGCTGCTGCGACTGAGGTCGCTGCTTGAGCTTCTGCTTCCTGCTTTACGATCACGATGAGTCTCTCACCGCACTCACCTACATACAGTGGCAAATGATGCCGCGATAAAGTCGACCTGCACGAGGCTGTGCGCGGCAAATGCTTGCTAGCTGGATATTGCAAGCGGCAAATCTGTTCTGCTAATATCTGCGGCCCGCAGCCATAATGACCGTCTGTCAGTATGTAGCGTTTACCTTCCTAAACGTCAAGCTCTCCAGTTCAGCCTCTCATGTATCCGTTCTGATCTGTAAAAGCTATGTCTCTTTACGTGGATTCCAAACGAGAGATGAATTTGGAAGTGAGCTTCATACAACTATACATAATAAAACCAGCGTGGCTCTGCTTCCAATGCTCCCAGCGCCGGTGTCGCTCTCACACAAACGAAAGAACGCTCGCGGACATGATCTCGTAATGGTAAAGGAACTATATTAGCTCAAACGCTGGTCTCGGGCTGCTCGCCTTCCGCGACGACAGCCACGCCCAGACCTCTGTCCGGACTCGATCGTACAAGTTGCTCCTGCCTCCTCGCTCGTAGAAAGTCCGAAACAGCACGAATTAGAATAAACCATCCCACGATCATGAGCACATAAGCAAGCATGTCCTGCGTCGAAAGGCCATGCATTGCTCCCACTGGCCCACCTGGCCCACCAACTTGATTCGGATCAAAGTCATGTTTATTGGGATCACTAGGTACGCCGTCCGCAGGTGCAGAAGGAATACCAGAGTCGTCGCCAGAGCCTTGCGCAGCATTATATCGCATCTGGAATCCATATTGAACCAGCGTGATTCCTAGGCCGGCGCGTGAGCCGTGTTTGGCGGCATGTGTCGTGTGTAAGAGGTATGTGAGCAGGAAGCCGATGAGTTGGAAGGACATGGAGATGAGTGCGTTCCAGACGAAGGAGAAAAGTGAGCCCACTAGAAGCCCGTCCACGAAGACATCATCTGGGTTGCCTGTTGAGGCATAGGGTGAGAGGACAGTGGTTTCCCAGTACGGTGGCGCGGCGTCCGCAGCTGCTTGTTCGTAGGTTGGCGGTTTCTCTTCTATATCTTCACCGGCACGAGGCTTGGCATTCAGATTTGCGAAGACACCGTCTGAGCCGTTGCCGACCATCCTGCCGTTTGGTGCCGCTGGTGTCGCGGAAGGTGTGAAGGCTGGTAGTTGTGTCACTCTTCTCTCGCCGACTAGTGGTCGCCGTGCGTCGGATCCTTGTGCCTCCTGATCATCGCCCGATATCAGTCGCCGTCGGTCATGTGTATCCTCATCGTCGGCCTCATCTTCTGATGGCGCGTCGAAGGCATCGTTCAGATCGCGGTCCTCTTCGCTCTTCTGACCGTCTTCTCGTGATGCTCGGCGGCTACTAGTACGGGAGCGGAAAGAGGGAGGTGGCGATGTAGGTACGGCGGCTGTAGGTGATGTCGCCAATGTCGCATCGTCGACTGCGTCTTCGCTCGCTATCTGTAAGGCGTCCGTGTTAGTCCTTGCCGCACGCTGACAGTATATCTCCTGATTACGTACCCGCTGATAGCGAGAGCTCATGGCTCCTTTGTGTGGCGATAAGACGTTGCAATGCGATACAATGGAGCGGTTTATCAGCACGAGAGTAGTATTTGGGCGAGTATGCCGGTGGCTGTAAGAGCGCTAGAAGATGGTCGAGCGTGATGGATCGTGTACGTGAGCGTAGGTGTTATGCCACCGCCGCCTGATCATATCCGCAGATTCAAGGCGCCGAGAAGCCGCTAAGCCCCAGTCCTTAGCCGAAGTCTACTTTCATGCGCCACACTTGCAATCTTGGACAGAGACAGCATGGAAGAAACGTAAACAATATTATTGTTCAACTAAATCAGACTCGGAAGATGGCCATGGCAAAGCTGGACGACGATGATGACATACCGCAACTATCAGCAGATACACTTGGCCTACTCCAGGACTTCCTGTCAGAAAAGGATGCCAAGGCCAAACAATTTGAAGAACTGAAAGCAAAAGCGGAAGAAGACTTTGAAAAGGATGGTCAAGACGGCAAGCTCAGTATGGCGCTGTTCGACGAAGACTGGCAAGCATCGCAATTCTGGTACACCGATGCGACAGCAAACACTCTGGCCGAACAACTCTTGGCAGGTGCAACGAGTGAGACCTGTATCGCCGTCGTGTCTGCTCCAAGTGCATACGTTGCTCTTCGGAACCTCCTCAGCTCCAGACCAGCCGCCGATCGACCTGTCGTGAGACTTCTGGAGTTCGACCGCAGGTTCGAGGTCCTGGGCTCCGACTTCGTGTACTACGACTTTTCCAAACCTCTCGCACTTCCAACCGAGCTCAAGTCCAGCTTCGATCATATAATCTGCGATCCGCCCTTCTTGTCTGAAGATTGCCAGACGAAGACTGCACTCACTGTTCGGTTTCTCGCAAGGTCGTGGAAGCCTTTTGACGGCTCGAGTGGCGACGGACTGAAACTCATCTCGTGTACAGGCGAGCGGGTAGACGAAACGCTGGCAAAGTTGTATGGAAAGATTGGGACAAAGATGACGACGTTTGAACCAGAGCACAGCAAAGGGTTGAGCAACGAGTTCCGGTGTTATGCCAATTTTGAGTCCATGGAGTTGAAGTGGAGGGACGGGAATGATGTTGGTTTGACGAGCTAAGGAGTCCGATACACCCGACTGTATTGCTACTTACAAGGCCGGCCATCGAACGCACATTCATGCGAAAACGAAGTACGGCAGAAGGAAGTCGTCCTGCTTACAATGATATGGGTTTAAACCTGGATTTCCTTCCAGACGGCAAGGTCTTGGTTCTCGCGATGTTCTTTCCGCTATTTCCATGCCAAACGCTGGTCTATGGGGCGAGAAGTGGCCATACTGATGTCCTACCTAACTGCTCGAAGTGCGGTCACAGTGGTGGAGGGAACACGAGCGGCACAGGTTGCCTGGTCGTCCTCCCGAAGGGCTGATGAGCATGCTCTGCGGCAAACATATTGTTCGAAATTGATCTGGTCTGTCGGGATGACCAGCGGTATGCGTGGTTTTCTGGGCCTTGGGTAAAGTCGTGGAGACAGTACAATATCACCAACGCAGTCACACCGCCAAGAACCGCCAGCTGGCCTCGAAGCTGTACGCGAGCATGTCGGCAGACGTTGCCAGTCAGGCCGCTCGCTGTACGATCTGGCCATCTCTCTTTTGGCGCTACAGGTGGTAGCCATATCCGTTCGCAACTAGTAGAATCTCAGGAACTGGGTTCTGCAATACCGAAATGATACACAAGATCTGTTCTCTGGACTACGTACGCTTGGTAAGTACACGGAGGTGGCAGTTCTAGCCTGCCGTATGGCCTTTAGGTCTCTCACCTATCATCGGCTGTGGGAAGCACCTGTGAAAGTTCTCTGGCCTCAATCGTGAAAGTGCTCGCATTTCATTCCACATTTGCGAAAACGCCACGATGCAGAAACACCATCTCTTCACACAACCCGGGAAGGCTGGACCAGTCCACCGGGCCCGTACCTATACGAGGATCCGCTTTGGTAACCGCCCCGCGGGCTGGATCTGTGTTGTCCCGTGGAACTGGAATTTAGCCGCCACTGAAGATTGCCTTGGCTGCAGGGCGCCGGTCCGCGGCCCTGAGCTTTTCCTCGTGTGCCCGGCGGCTGTTGCACTTTTCAGACCTGTATTCCCATGGTAGACACGGGGATGCTGTCAAAATAACGTGCCTGAGGTTCACCCGTGGAGACCGAGGCCACGATAGTCTCCCTAGATCTTCAACGCATTCGCTAGACGAAATCATCATGCCTTGCCTGGCAGCTCCAGTGTATCAGCCTACCGTAATCTTGAGGCTGTCCGCGACCACGGCTCGGTTCATGCGAGCGAGCCGAGTATCGAACCGCGATTCACACGCCACATGTTTGAAATAGGAAGCTCGGGCGGAGTGGAATAGACCCCTCTGTGGTCGTGGTCTGATTCCTTCTCGGTCAATGCTGTAATCACCACTGGGCTCATGGCGACTGGCGTATCGGAATGAAGATACAAGTGGACGAATCTGGGTCTAGAGTGGTCGATTATTAGGTCAACTGCTTGGCTTCAGACCGTCACTAGTACAACGGTACTGCGTGTCTCGACTCCACGTTCGCTACTGCATGTAGTGACGTGCTCGCTTATAGACCTTTCCGATGCGCATTGACATCGAGCTTTGCAAGCGGATCAACCTACTAATTGGTAGACAAGTAGCATAAGCCAGCTGCTGCTGCAACCCCCGCCGATACTTTGGCAGTGGCCTTCACCCTTCTGCACTTGACATTGTCGTGCGCGTCTCGCATACAGCCAGTCGCCTGCGATTGCATTACTTTGTTGCTGATGCGGCTCCAGGAGTGGATGGTCTAGTGGTGGCTCGCATTTCATATCGTAGTCGATTCATGAAACGATGATGCTACTGCACGCCGGCTGCAATGCGGCTTGAGTCCCTCGGGGTAGGCCGTGTAGTTGTGTGGTGTAGAGACATGACGAATGCAGGGCGACCCGAGTAGAAGGCGCATATGCAGATCCACAATCGGTTTGCGAAGTTTGCAGGGATTCAAAGCCTGCAGATACATGTTGATGTCTCCCATGTGAAAAAGACATCGTTCTATTGGCGCCTGTGTGAAAGTTGTGTTCTATCTTTCACGTAATAGGATGAATGTAGGCTTGCAAGTGGGCTTCAGTATGTACGCGATAAACCCTGCCCGCCTCCTGCCACATGTGTGCATGGAAGAATGCTCATGAATATATAGCAGTGATGCCGTCGCGAGCTTGTATCGATACCAAGGATTGACACCTGGAAGGGCGATGCTCGGACAAGCGGATCCAAGGTCGTACTTTGACGAAGGAGCATTGCGACTAGGTTTCCAAGTCCCTCAAGAAACGCTCATATGTTTCTGGACTTTGCCGGTGTTGATACGACAAGGTGCCATGAGGGGCGTAATATGGTAGTCATGGCGCGGCCTAAGGAGGAGCCTTTCCTACGTGCTTCTTCATCTGCTCCACACCGATTCGACCATCGCTATCAACCGCAGTGTAGTCTGCAGGCCTGCAGCATCTTGGACCGTGCGCTGTGGTGAGAGTCTTCACATGTGCAGATACTATTCTGCATGTGCGTTCGGGGAGCACGGGTTCTTCTAGAAATCACTAATGTCATGTAACACACCGCTACAATGTTTGCCACCCACCATATCTCGGTCGTCAACCAGAAGTTGCACAAAGCATATGGGATGTAAAGACACTTCACAGGCCTGGGGTTTTAGTGCTTCTCCTCCAATTACCACTCTCTGGCCAACCTACAAATCCAGACGAGATATGGCCGTTGCGCTCCGGGAAAAAGTATGTCGATGCACCACATGCGGCGTCTCGGCTAGCTGCATAAGGCGGGAAGACCCTTACCTACATGAGAGGAAACGTCGTCCACTGCTACTCTTGTCGAGCCGAGTCTCTGCGCAGCATGTCAGGCTAGAAATGGAATCAGCCCCCTTGCCTCCCATGCAAAACATACGTTAACAAACCTGCGACCCGTTGACGATGACGGGCTGACTGGTCCTACTCGCCTGTGCGGATGGCGGTGGGCTGACCGGCGTAGTCTCTGTGTCTGCTCGGACTTTCAATTCCATGCCGAGCCATGTCCTTCCGTCCAACATGCTGATGGCTTGTGCTGCGCCTGCAGCCGTGGCGTACTTGATCGTCGCTTTGCCTTTGAATCTGCCCGTCGCGGCGTCTTTCTGCATCTCACATTTGCTGAGTTCGCCCGCCTTGCTGAAAAGAGCCTGAACATCCTTGAGACGAGCTTGATAGCTCAGACCACTCACAAACACGCCCCGGACCTCTGTCCGAACGGTTCCGTTTCGAGCGTTCACCGGCAGGCTGGAAGACGTTGTTGTGTATGCCGCACTGCTGCGACTAGCACCAGCCTGGGCTTGTGAGGCTTGTGCAGGGAAGACGTGTGTCGGAGAAGACTGTGATGGAAGGATCTGAGCGTACTGTGCAGCATATGTGGTCGCATATTGGTAAAAGCGAGGGTCTTGTTGGCTCAAACCCATGTTGGCCATCGCCGATATCAACTGAGCTTGAGTAATCGATAGCTGCGCAGCTGGAGGCGGCGCATAATTCGCAGCGGGTGCAATAGGATATTGGACAGGAGCAATGGCTGTTTGTGAGGCCTGAGGCGCGGAGATCATTCGCCAACCCGACGCCATCGCTATGCGAGATATCTCTGCGCTCTGTGTCGGATTGGCCTGCGTATTGTGTGCGGTCGGACTTTCGCAATTGCAACGAAGGAAATTCGCCGTCGTTCCACCAATGTCCCAAAGATGAACTTGCAGTCGCCGACCGTCGATGACACTCGTTGTCAGATACTCTGTGAGTAGAGTTAGACTTGGGGATTACAGACCTCGACTCGGAAGCGTACGGTAGAGATTTCGTGCTTCATCCTGCCGTTTGACGCGAGCATGGCCCTTTCCACCAGTCTGGCCATTGGGATAGAATGCCATTTCCGCCCACACACCGTGAGAGGCTTCCCTTCGGATTAAGTCTTTCAAATCTTGCCATGTGTACCGTCTAGGAAGCTAGCATGATGGTCAGAAAGGATGCCTTGACTTTAAGTCAGAACTCACATTCTCAATGACAAAGAAATACTGCCCTATACTAGTGGAACGCGAGATGCTGGCCGCCGTGGTCATGATCAAAACAATCCCCTCATCAATACAAGCCCTGTGCAATAGTAACGAATGTCTGAGTAGAGCCACTCGCTTTTTGTCGACGGAAACGAAGGCTTGAGCGGTGGAAGTTGCCTTACTAGCAACCTCATAAGTAGTGCGTCGTGGTGTGGATCGCGTCAGGGAACGGACTTCAATGATGCATAAGTGTCGCGGGAGGCAGTAGGAGGGGCGGTCTCAGTCAGCGAGGCCTTGAGATCATATGTGCGCGGCTGAAGCCTTGTCCTCGACGGGACATGTACATAGTAGATACCTTTCATCCTGCAGGCATGGAGAGCAAAAGCGTGACCAACCATGCCGTTGGCGTTTACAGCATTGTGCCACCACTTTGCAGCAGTGGTACCGAGTCGGGGATATGCGGCGGGCGTTGCCTAGCAGACGTGGTTGTTTCAATGAGTACGAACCCGACTGGCGGGACATTTGGCCTGGCATGCTAAGTAGCCAGCGATTGGTATATTGCTCAGTGGCCCGACGCGCCGCAAAAGGGGCGTAAAGACTGCCATCGTCTTGGAGCACCGTATCTTATAAAGGAATCCTGCGGACGGCCCGAGGGTACGCGCTCAATCGGGCGCGGCTGCGAGTAACGAGCCTTCGGCTTGCCGTGCACTCCACGCGAAGCCTTTTTGGGGCGTCTGTAAATGGTGAGCAATCCAACTCTGGCAGGTAGCGAGCGCCGTATAAGTGCAGGCGAGACGACTTGCAGGAGTCGCGTGGGCGCTTGGCCATGCTCTCAATGACACCTCGGGATCGACACTGTTCTCACGACGCCACTTCGACTTGAGCCATTGTACTTTAGTACCTTTGTATTCGAAGCCTTACGGCCCTGCATGTGTTCTGATCAAGAAGTAACGGGGTTGTCCTTGCCAGTACGAGTGTTGTGCATTGATCTTGTTCTATAGCGATGGTCAGTCTGCCCTATCGCAAGGCATATGTACTTATTGGAGGATCGTCACGCACGCTGCAGCACTGGCTTGCACATATGGTGCATCAAAGCCCGCGAGGGAGCAGGAGGAGTTCGAGCTGATTGGTTGAAGCATTTTTGGTTACGTAATTCATCTTGCCTGAGGCCTACATCATCGTCACAAGGCCTAAGCTGGGCGGTCAACATGGTAAGTGAATGCAGATGGCAGACTCATGGATGATGCATGGTTTCACACACTGACGACGCCGTCGTCCACAGTAGATGACTCTCGTCATAGACGGCGGCCGTCCCTGCTGCTGCAACAACAAACTGTAAGCTTGGCGCGGCCGTGTGTATTGGTGGTCCTGTTACGGTTCTGATTGTAGAATAGGCCGTAGTAAGAGCTGATGCAGCAATAGAAGCCATTCCAGAGACAAGCGAGGTGTATGACGCCTGGAGCGGCCCGCCAGTGGCTACGCTGTCGAAGAGAGCACAAAGTTATCATGACTTTTACAGGGTGGTAGCGTCGCAGGCCCTCAAAGAGCATACTCGGAGACGACGGAGGAGCTTAGAGCTTCAAGAAAGAAAGAATGCTAGGAAGACAACCGAAGCGTCTTTCCACGACGACTTTCTGGAAGTGCAGGATGTACTGCTAGGAGAAGGCCAGGCGGGCCATGTTATGCTCCACGAACAGCTTGAGCTTTCCAGTAGCCACCTGCACGGCATACTCATGTCGGCTGTGGCCACCTTGGACGTACTCTCCAAGCTTTCGACATCCTTTCGTAATGTCGAAGCACAGACAGATGCATTCCGTCAGCAATGCGAGGGTCTTATAGCAGAACAGCTGCGGATGACCGCACTCGCGGACGCTATTGAGGAGAACGCTCGGTATTATTCATACCTCGAGCCAATCACCCGTCGACTAAACGCACCAGGAGCTGCCAATCTCGTGAAAGGCCACGAGTTCCCGGAAATGCTTTCCAATCTGGACAACTGCCTGGTGTATATGGAGACACATCCCAAGCACAAGGAATCACCCACATACCGTAGTCGCTACAGACTACTCCTGACTCGAGGATTGACTCTGATACGCCATCACTTTACAAAGTCTTTGGGCGACATAGCGGCCGATATAAGCAAACGGATCCAAAGCGGCCAACTCAAGGCAACCACACATTCGGCTCTCCTTTATGCGAAGTTCCGTGTACCGGCGCCTGAACTCAAAGCTCTGGGACTGGAGATACAAAAGCGTGCTGTACCGACACCGGACGATGTAGACGCTGGTCGTGAGCCAGAGTACGCCAGTCTGCTACGTGAGCTTTACCAGTCGTACTCAGCGACACGCGGTCGACTTGTCCTGCCGATCGTCAGTAAAAAGATGGCCGAGCTAGGTGCGATGCCTCCACATGCTGACGTACTTGCATTCGCGAAAGCGAGCTTTGGCTTTATGCGCGGGATCTGTCTGGACGAGCACGAGCTTTGGTATGAATGGTTCGAGACTGACGGTGCGCTCTACGACTTCTTAGAAAGTTTGATGGAGCCACTGTACGACTACCTACGGCCCAAGATCATTCATGAGACGCACCTGGAGACGCTATGTGAACTTTGCTCGGCCATTCAGGGCCAGTACATGGGCATGGAGTCGGACGAGGAAGACGAGGAGAGCTTTGTCGCGAGTCCAATCGCCAATGGCAAGCCTCTTGGTAGAACACTCAATTTTGCTAGTCTGGTCCACGCTGGTTTGGAAGACGCCCAGACGAGGCTTGTCTTCCTAGCATTGACTGTGCTGAGAGACGGCATAGAGAATTACAAGGCCAAACCGCAAGACCTGGATTGGCCGAAGCCAGATCCGGCCACCGACGGCGTCAAAGGTCCGGCACTGTCTGGCACGAGGAGCTCCGTCTCACAGACACCTACCAGCCCAGCTGCTGGCGAGAAAATCGACGATGCCGCAAGCATGTTCAGCAAGCATGTTATACCTAAGGCCGCAACGAGCGCTGCCAAGCATGAGTGGTACCCCACGCTACGCAAAGCCATCTGGCTACTACGCCGTATATATCGTCTCCTCAACAGCACTGTCTTCGACGATCTCGCTCACAGGATAGTGCACTCGACCATCTACTCCCTGGTCACTGCAAGCCAGCAAATCAAACGACAAAAGACACCCCAGGATGGCCAACTCTTCCTCATAACCCACCTTCTCAACCTCAAACAACAGATCGTTGCCTTCGATATCGAGTTCAGTCCACCAGAAGTCGACTTTGACTTCTCCGCTGTAACAAACACTTTCTACGAGCTCCGCAATAGAGGCAGTCTTTGGGACCCGACCTCTTGGGTCACTCTAGTCAGCGGTGCCGTAGGTGGTGGTCTGTTACCTAAGGTCGTGGAGAATATGCTGGATGCAAAAGCTGAACTAGATGGTCGGCTGCGAACTGTGATCAACGAATTCGTGAACAGCTACGCTAATCATATCACTGATCCTGTCGACCCTGCCACCATAGCACAAGCGAATGCCACGTCAAAGGATAAGGACGCTGAGTTCGATGGCCTCAAGGCTGTTCGTACAGTCCATGGTCTGGCTGAGAAAGACGTACCCGCTTTACGGACCAAGCTCGAAGAATTCGTTGACGATGCACGGACGCGAGAGACGCTCGTAGCGGCTGTGCGGGATCAAGTAGTCTTGAGCTACGAAGAGTTCGTTGACTCGTGGAGTGAAGGAAAAAGCAAGAAGTTGAGCCGCAAGGGCAAGGGAAGAGAAGATGAGATATGGGGGGTGGATTTGTTCGCAGAAGTCATGGAGAAGGTCTTCCTGGTACGGGAAATGGTGGGTCAGGGCGATGGTGGAGATGCGGACAGCATGGGCGGAGGATTCAGCGATCGAGACGAGACATGATAAGACGTTATGATGTGGCACGTACAGTGTCTGCAAAAGTGCTCGTCATCTACTCCACCAATATGATGGTACCTGCTTTGCTCGTCCAGCTCTAGCCTTCATCGCTGTACCTGCACCCGTTGAATGTCCATTCATGTACGGTGACCGGATGCCGCCATTCGTGTCTTCCGGCCCCTCCTTGATGAGCCGCCAAAGCTCAGTGATTCCAACTCGCTGGACTGGCAGCATACTGTACTGTAGACTGTACAGGTTTTTGCGATGGATGGGCGGCACAAACTGTCCTGACACCAGAGCTATGAAAACGCGAGGTGAAAGGTAGTGTTTTCGAAGCCGGTGCCCAAGTTGTGCGTATTGAGAGAAGGTCTGAGATAGTGGTAGTGGCACTGACTTGAGCTTGACGTAGGACGTTTGCGCCAAGTCACGTAGATGTGTGCTAGACGGTAATCCACTGCGAGACGGAGCATGCTGCAGCTGGAAACGAATGCCACCAGGTAGTCTTCGCGCATCCTTGAGCCGCAGCATAATCGCAAATAATGGGAAGTGATTGAGACAGGCCAGCCAGGTGTCCAGTGCCGCCTTCAGCGCTATGATCGCCATCCGCGCGCCTGCGAATGTGGCGTAGAAGACTGCCACTGTCGGCAGTAGGAAGAAGAGCAGCGTAAAAAGGATGGTACCCAGTAGCAGCTGATCCAGATCATAGTCACAGCTATCGATGCGGTTGCGGAGGACATTTCGCTTCTTGCCTCGAAACAGGTGAAAAAGTGAGATTATGATCGTGAGCTGCCAGTTGTAGATCCGTGCTGAGGCAATGTAGAAGCTGTAGATGTGCAGTGTAAGCAGCGAGACCAGGTCCGAGCAGAGTGAGATTGGCAGACTAGCTCCGAAGAAGCTGGATAAGCCTATTACGCGCACGACGTGCGGGAGGAGTGGACGTAGTTGGAGCATGCTACCGTCCCAGTAGTCGATGACCCAGAGGAAGAGATCGGCCAAGAACTTTGCTAGCTCATTGTTGAGCTTGAGACCGGCAGGGTAATCTGTTAGCCAGGTGATCATCCTTTGCAGACCTTCAATCGAGAAGGTATTGACGATGTTGTCGACCTGCCTTGCCACGAGATCTGCATTTTCCAGGATGTAGGATCCTACTGCGATGCCGATAATGACATCGTTCGCCACGAGCCATAAGCTGTTGTAGAAGCGAATGTACTCCGGATGGCTGTTGGAAGTGCTACGCCAGTCGTTGTTTGTACGTTGCAAGGTGATGTATTGTGCTGGCCAGTAGCAGAATTGCTGAAGTCTGATGTCTACTTGCTGCGCGGTGGCGGAGACGTCCTTCAGAGCCGCTGCATCGGGCAGAGGTCGCCAGTCTAGGAGCCAAAGCACGACTTCAGCCACAATGCGCTGGAGCATGAGCAGCCAAATCAGTATTTGTGACGCTGTAGGCCAGATGGATTTCATAAAGTACTTCTTCATCCATGTGAAAACCGATTCCCATGCATCGTTCGCTGACTCGACCACTCGCTCGCTGACGCTTAGCTTTCGCTTGTATCGACTTCCAACAAGGCTCACATTGCTTTGCATCAGGTCATTGAGTTCAGCAGAGCAATTGATTTGGTCGACGATCATAGGTAATGCCAGTTCCTTTGGCGTTCGGGGATGCTTGACCACGGTATGGTGTTTCAAACTTTCCACAAGTTTCGCTTTCCTCTTCGTATGAGCTTCGCCTTCATCGTCCAGACGGTCGAACGATGCTACGCTGCCAAATGCGCCTCGTCTGTCCACAAGTGCAAGTGAGATAGGGGTCGTTGAGAGGTACTGCATGCGTCGCGGGTCCGGTCTGTCAAAAGCAATGACCTGAATTGTGATAGCTGTCTCGTCTGGGCAATGGACATGTGGCGCTTCGTGCTGAGATGAAATCCGCACAGACAGTAGTTTCGGATCGAATGTCAGAGTAGTCTTTGGAGAATTGAGTGTACCCAGAACCAGCACTGGCTTCCCACCACATCGGTCCAGTATGTGCTCAACAGGATGTGGAGTGTTTCGAAAAAGTGACTGCACCCTCAAAGCTTGTTCCACGTTGCGAGCATCTACTCCCTGCAGCACCCCAACGACAACGACATCAAGCTCGCTGTTTCTCCATCCTACCAGTACGCCTGGTACATCGTCTGTTGGCGCATCCGAGGGCCAGAATACGCGCATCAGCCCATGTTTCTTCGTTGTCATAGTCCCATTGCGCTGGCACCTAAAACGATCCCCTCCGCCGTAGTTGCTCCCGAGCTGATATACCGCTCTCCACAGTCCTTGGGTGCTGTGTACGGTCAGAGGCTGGTCTTCTCGGGAGTAAGGAAGACCTTTTATGACTGACGAGGTCGGCTTCGTGTGCAGCTATACGCTCGATCGGGATCAAGAATACGAGGAAGAATACTGAGAGGACTGCGAATCCTTTCGCGGCTCGTGTCTAAACGGTGTCAGCTTCAGTACACATGGTCAGACACTGTCACCATACTATGACCCCGTGATCCCAAGCGAATATGGCGAGCTCATACACCCACGTAACAAGGTCCCACCGAGCAGTGATGTAGCCAGCTAGAAAGATGCCAAAGGTGAGGACCGAGACTGGGTGCATGGATGAATCTGTGGGACTCGCTACTGAAGATCAAAGGCTCGTGATTGTTGTATGTACACGGCTGTGACTTTTCTCTTCGACGCGCGTACCCTCTAGCTGGCGCTTGGCGAAAGGGTCAATGGGCACGGCGAAGATAGAGGTGTTCCTCATCGATACCAGTGACTACTCCTCATCGCGAACGAGGTAGGCACGTATTGCTCTCGATCCGTGCCTTCATCCCACTTCTTAAAGGATGGCGTGGAAGCCAAGGCAGGCAGACAAGCGTTGGACAGTGCGCTTCTTCCGCCGCTTGTGAAGCTTCTTCTTCACTCTTGCTTTTGTCAGGACATACATGCATGGGACAGCATGGGCGTGGCGATCGATCGATATCTCTCGTATGGTCTCGGGTCTGAAGAATATTTTGACGGGTTCTATGAGGTCTCAACGCATTTGTACCGCTAGGGAGTGAAGGCTGTTAGGTCGAAGCGTAATGCGTGCTTCAGACGCGCTTGCTGAATACCATCCCTTGAGTGCTTGTACTTCTCACGAGAACATTGCACTTTACCTACCGATCAACATTTTCGTCTGCTGAGGCTTTAAATTCTGTCTCGAACATGCTGTCCATATAGACACTACATTGTCATCATGGTGGTCTGCCAGTTCTTCCTGCAAGGTCGCTGCAAATTTGGTGGTAAGATCATGAAGCATCTCTCCTCTGTCCCATCACACTGACAATAACCTAGACTCCTGTAAGAATGAGCACCCAGGACGTCCGACCGAGGCAAACAGATTTGCGCCACTCAGTAATGGGTTTGGAGGTGGTAGATCCCGCGCCGGCGGAATAGGTGGCGGAGATCGATGTGAGTACACAACTAGACACTTACACTGGACAAATCATCTCACTAAGTTCGCACGCCTGCTAACATGTTTTCAGCTCGACCGAGCCAAGACCAGGAGCAAAAGAAGCCCTACAACATTGATAGGGAAGTGCTGGCTGCCGACCTCACTACTGGTGGCTCTACTGGTGAGAAGCCAAGATGGCCACTGTCGGTGTACGGGCCAGGTCGTGATGCACCTCGACAGTTGCTCGAGGGCGCGCTGGAACAAAGCCCAGAGGAGATGCGATTGCTGTGTTACGAGGCTAGGGCGAAGGGCCAAGAGCACGAATATGTGAGCTCACAGTCAACCCCAACAGCAAGACTCAGCTATTGATATCTTCACAGGTGCAACACGAAGCTACACTTGGAGCGCAAGCGCAACAACAGGTGCAGAGCATATTGAACGACCTCGATGGCGCCATCAAGTATGTCATTGATGGCGAACAGCAGCATCCAAACCGCCTCGATCAGTGCGTGAAAGGCTCGGGCGCTGCTATCACACAGAGCTCAGGTGGCTTTGGTCAGCCCTCGGGTCTAGGAGCATCGTCCACAGGCTCTGCGTTTGGTCGCCCGAGTAGCACATCTGCATTTGGTCAACCTTCAGGCGTGGGCAAGCAATCGAGTCAAGCTTTTGGACAGCCGTCGCAACCCGCGAGTGGATTTGGGGCACCGTCTACTCTTGGAGGCAGGTCGGCATTTGGTGCTTCACCACAGCCAGCCTCAGCACCGACTTTCGGGGCACATTCACAACCTAGCAGTGGTGGCAGTGCATTTGGTGCACCATCATCAATGGGCGCTCAGCGACCAGCATTTGGGCAAGCATCGCAACCTGCATTCGGTCAGGCCTCGCAACCTGCGTTCGGTCAGTCTGCCTTCGGTCAAGCATCGAAGCCTGCCTTCGGCCTATCGTCACAGCCAGCCGCTGGGACACCATTTGGTGCTGGTCAGCAACAGCAGATCAATCCCTTTGGTGGACAGCCGGCGCAATCGAGCCCGTTCGCAGCAGCAGGCAACGAACAATCTGCTTTCGGCCAGGCAGCACAAACCCAGTCCCAGCCGCAAGTAAGTCCATTTGCCTCTGCTGGAGGTGCAGCAAGTAACAGCAATGCGGCCGCCAATCCCTTTGCTGGTAAAGCAGCGGCTCCAGCATTTGGGGCACCCCCCCAGCCAACCGCCAGTCCTTTCGGCGCACCATCTCAGCCCACGGCAAGCACATTCGGAGCGCCTTCACAGCCCGCAGCCAGTCCTTTCGGTGGAGCACCGAAACCAGCCGCAAGCACCTTCGGCCAGTCTTCTCAGCCAAGTGGCACCGCTTTCCGGCAAGCAGCTCCTGCGCCGACAACTGGCTTTGGCTTTGGTCAGCCTTCACAACCAGCTGCTCACACGAACGGCTTCGGGGGACAGCAGGCCACGCAACCTCCTGCGGCACCTCAGACAAACGGGACCGGGGGGGCGACGGGCATTGCAGCAACTACAGGCTACACAACTCGTGGCAGAGACGGAAAGCTACTCATGAGATGGAAGGGCCAGCCAGTGACATACGAGACCGAGACCACACCACCCGCACCTTTCTATCAGGATCCACAGACCGGCAAGCCAGAGCGCATATGGCTACCTGATGGGCCACCTGACAGGCCGAATCCATACTCACAAGCGCCACCACAGGCTTATGAGGGCGATGTGGGCAAGTTGCTGAAGCAAGTATACGACTTTGTTCGAGATAGAGAAGAGTTCAGTGATATCATCCCGGAGATGCCTCCTCAGCGCGAGTGGCTAAGATGGGACTTATAGTACGAGCACCAGAATCGCGATAGGTATGGTACAGTACTATTTGGATCCATTGGTGATGGCAGGGAGTATCAAACTTATGCTCCGGCGATGCCCAAGGTGTCAAGGAGATTCGGGAAGCCGTCGAGGCCATACGACTTATTACAAAGGCAACCTATTGCACAGCAGAAATGTGTGTGGTGGAAGGAGGTGGCAGATTACCTGAACCCTACTAGGGCACTGCCGGCTTCCAAGAACAGGATCGTGAAGGCCGCTGTGTTCGAGATGGATAGAGCGAGGCATTTGCTCCAGAGATGCGGCACTTTCTTGAAGGCGGCGCAGGAGGAGAGTAGGAAATGAGTTGAAGGCCAGGAAAACATGACCAGAACTCGGTACCGCTTAGAGATTCATGCCTTTTGGTATGCCTTCGGCGTGCCACTTTATTCGTCTGATTGGACTACACTATAACAACTAGAAGTCTCATATAAGAATCTATAGTACCCAAGTAGGCAATATATGAGAGTGGGGGGGCCGTTTGATTAAAAGTATAAGCTGTGGAACTTTGAGCTCGGGCCAGCCAAACGCGACCAACGCGCGTGGTCCTTGGGGTCATCCTGGACGTCGATCGGATGCTTAATATACCCCTTGGTCGAAGAGACACTCTGCTAACTCTCTTACTCGCCGCACGACCGTTGCGATCACAATGCTGTGACTGCGACCGGCACGCGAGTCAGACACGAATATCGTCAGGGCAGCCGAGGTGAAGCGACCGAACGTTACTTCTGTAAACCCCGATCTGCACGGATGTGAATGCCCGGCGCAAGATGAGCGACGCACTGGATGGAGGAGGCACGCCGCCGCGACGACGACCACGTAAACTACAGAAGCGGCAGGGACGTGGGAGTGTGGACGAGACCTCGCAGTTGTCTCAGCATGACGACAGCGAGGAGCGGGGACTGTTTGAGCGACGAGATAGCGATTTGACTGATCTGCCTGTCGACGAGCACAGCTTCATGAAGGCGGAGCAGAACTTCGTGTCACAGTCGGATGGGGTCAGTGAGGGCGACAGCATGGACGAGGGGGCTATGCGGAGGCAGTTGATGGATGTCGAGTCCAGCTTCATTCCGGATGTGGGACATGCGCCTATGCAGCAGGAGGGAGGAAGGTTGGGAGTGGATGATACGTATTTGGAGCTTGGGAGACCCGGGACCACACCGCCACCGGATCAGATGTTCGGGAGTTTGAGGAAGACGAGGAGGTCTGGGTCGAGTGGTAGAGATGCGAGTGAGGAGGAGCCAGAGACGCCCGCTGATGCTTACAAGACTCCTGCGCCTAGTCTTGAAGAGCAGGAAGATGATGAGGAGGGGGAGGAGGATGACCCCGGGAAAGAGGGCAGCCCTTCCTCGCCTGCTCTGGCTGCAGCACAACGACATGCGAGAAATGTGTCTACGGCTAGTTCGATGAGGATGACGCCTGTATATGCGAGGTCTGAGTCAATCATGTCTTCTGATAATAACACGCCCGAATCACGTCCCACGTCCAAAGGCTCGACTGTCACCCCAGGACCAACTTCGCCGAGGCCACAAGAGGTCGCACTACCTGAGTCGGAAGCATCTTTCCAACCCGCCAGGAACGGCATGTCGCCACAAAGATTGTCCCTTCGACCGAGCTATGGTAGCAGCCGACAAACGAGCCATCGTTCCACAACCTCTACTGCGACCATGAACTCATTGTCAAGCGACGCGACTACCAACGCTGATTATGCACTACAGACTGGCGGGGCTATGTCTAACAGCACTTCTATGAGAAGTAGCAGAGGTGGCAACTTATTGCGTCTCCCTAGCCTAGGTAGTGTTGCATCTTACATGGACTCAGACGAGAATTCACAGGCCTTACGGCTCGGCTACAGTGGAAACATCATGACAAGTCGCTTCGGCAGTAGACTCGACGGACTCGATGAGGAGCGACCAGAGACACCGCGGGCCAGCACCGTTAATCAGCCTCCGACAGATACCGTTCTTGCTCAGCGCGTGGAAAGTATTCATGTGCCGGAGACGGTCGCTAGGGACTTCCGTCTCCGTCATCGTTTACCGGAGCGACCTGGATCATCAGGCGGAACAGGAGGCCAGGAGCGTGCACGTAGAACTTTGACGCTCAAGGAACAGAACAGCAAGATTGACAAGCTCACCAAGGAGAACTTCGATCTCAAGCTGAAAATTCACTTCCTCGATCAAGCCCTGCAGAGTCGCTCAGATGATGGTGTCAAGGAGCTCATAGACAAGAACGTGCAGTTCCAGACTGACCTAGCCAACGAGCGAAAGGAATCGCAGAGCTTGCGGCGAAGAGTCCGGGAGCTTGAGCGTACCGTTCAGGAGCAGGAGGAAGGCCTGAAGGAGGCTCTAAACCGCAAGATGCTTGACGAGGACGAGCGGTCAGACGATGACCCAACTCTGCAAGCTGAGATGCACGAGGAGATTCTGTACTTGCGGCAACAGCTTGATCATTCGGAGAACTCTGTTACTACATTGCGAGAAGAAGTCATGACTAAGGAGCTCGAGAAACGTAAAATGGCCGAGCATATGCGGAGCATGGCAGGGACTCGTGAGGAAGCAAATGCAGGGTTGAAGGAGACTATGGATATGTGGCAGGATCTACTGAACGCTGAAACTGGTCGAAGAGAGCAGGCTGAGGAAGATATAAGGAAGTTGCGAGACGAGCTTACAACGATGCGCATAGAACGCGCTTCGCCAGCGCCTAGCAAGATGCTCAAGCGCCGCAGTAGGCCGGGTACTGCGACAAATGAGTCGGACTTCACGAATGGTGTCAATGGATCTGCGACAGACTCTTCTGCTACGCTTGCTGAGCAGCTACGACATGAAAATGCCGAGCTGCGCCGCGATCTCGGCGCGCAGACCAGCATGCTGACCTCTCGAAACCGCGAGCGTGAGCGGCTGCAGCAGGAGATCGAGGACCTGAAGTTGCTGCAACGCAAGAGTGATGGTGCGAGGTCTGTAGCTGGCGAGAGCATATTCGAGCGATCTATCTCGCGAGCACATCAGCGCGCGCCGTCTCGTGCCAGTGATCATACGCAAGTCACCGAAGCTGAGCGCGACGACTGGGACCGTAAAGAAGGGCAACTTCGTGATCATAATGCTGAGCTCAGGCTTAAGTTTCAAGACCTCGAGAGGACGCATAGCACCCATCTACAGTATGTCAGTGCCTTGGAGGGAGACTTTCAGCAGATGGAGCAGGAGCTTGAGGAGCAGAGTGAGGATCTCAGAGCACTGCAGACTGAGCGTGATGAGGCTTTGCATGCTTTCGAAGACAAGGAGTCTGAGCTACAGAGACTTGAGCAAGAAGCACTGGCTGAGATTGATAAGCTCTCAACAGAAATCGAGGGTATGGAGGCTCAGCTTGGCGAGGCGCAGAAGCGAGCACAGAAGACGCAGACGAAGCTTGAGCACACGACAGACGGCTACAAAGGCTTGCAAGGCGAGCTTCGCGAGATCACGCAAAGTGTCATGGCGCTTGAGGATGAGAAGCAAGCGAATGTGCGCACCATCCAGACCCTCGAACAGCAGCTTGCCGAGGCTGAAGACGAGATCCAGACTTGGGAACAGAAGTGTCAGGAGATCGACCAGAAGAACCGAAAGCTGGAGATCACGCAAGAGAGCTTACATTCGGAGATCACCTTCCTGCGCGAGGAACAGGAAGGCGACAAGATCAAGATTGGTGAGCTCGAAGATGCAATCAATGCTGCTCAGCAGACTATACAAGATGAGCAGGAGAAGTTGCGCGAGCTCGAAGAAGCTATTGTGGAGGAGAGGCAGCAGAGGGATGTTTTGGAGAATAACTCCAAGGAGGAGTTGCAGAAGGTACTGGATGATCTCAACACCGAAAGTGGCAAGACGAAAGACGAAGTGCGCAAGCTGAGGCGACAGCTTTCTGCCAAGGAAGTCGAGGCAAGCACCTGGAAGCAGAAGCTGGAGGATCTGGAGCAAGGCTTCCGGACCGCCCTGGGCGAGCCTGATGGGACGAAACAAAGCATGCTCGCAGAGATCGAGAGGCTGCAGCGCGATATCGAAAACACTGCCAACTCGCTCGACAGAGCCAAGATGGACGTGGCAGACAAAGACCGTCTGCTTCGCCATCGCGACGGTCTGCTCGAGAGCACTAGTCTGGAGAGCCGAAGACTGTCCGACCTGCTTGACAAGGAACGCGCAAACAGACGACACGATATGGAGCAGTTCGAGAAGGCTTCCCGTGGACAAGCTACCCATATGCGTGAAGTGGCGCAGCACCAGTCCAAGTTCCTGGAATTGGAGACATCGTATACCTCGGACAAGAGGAAGATGATTACGCTTGAGCAGCAGTATCGTGATCAGATCTCGGAGCGAAACAATCTGCTTCTTGCGCTATGGAATCGCCTTTCGACACTTTGTGGGCAGGAGTGGGCTCAGGCGCACAGCCAAGTCAATGGACAGACTCCTTCGCCTGAAGTCATCCAGCGATTCTTGCCCGCTTTTTCGGCGAATGTCTTGGCTGCTGTCAAGGCGTTAGAAGCACTGATTGGCAACTTCAAGGTCCGAATACGTACTACCGAGAAGGATCTCTGGCGCGACTACTCGACTCTCGAACATAATCTCGATATTCGTATCAAGCGGATGGATGCGCTGGAGACTGCGGTCACGAACACTCAACGGGCAATTGCCGATAAAGCTGCAGAAGAAGCTCAGCAGCGTCCACAGGCTAACCGATCCATGAGTAGCAAGAACATCAAGAGCAGCGAGGAGATCTCGAAGCTGAAATCGGAAGTGAAGATCCTTAAGGCGGAGCTCAAGTTCCATCGTCAGCATCCTAGTGCCATGGCCCAGCAGATGATCCATCAGACCAATCAGATGTCGCCTGAGCATATGAGGAAATTGTCTGGTACGGGCAGTAAGGATAGCAAGAGTGGCGCCTCGCCTGCTCGAACGATCGTGGCCCAGCTTTTACGGCATCATTCCACTTCCGCGGTTGAGCAGCTGCAAGCTCCGCAGCAGACTGAGATGAGTGAGGGTGTGGCTTCCAGACCGAGCCATCAGCCTATTGTGCTCTCCACGCCACCTATCCAGCCTAGTGAGCAGAGATGGGCTCATAGGCTGAAGGAGATGGAAAGGCGACTCAAGGCAGAGAGAGAGGCGAGATTGCTGGATCGGAGAGGTGCGAGACAGCGGCTTGAAGAGGGTAGGTTGGAGAATGAGGAGCTGAGGCATATGCTTGAGCGAGAGAAAGTCAGGCAGGAGAGCTATGCGGAGGTGGGCAGTATGGCTGGAGATGAATGGGAGGGTGAGGCGAGAATAGAGGGTACGGTAGAGCCGTGATGAAGTGGTCTGTATGATTGGCTGGTGGTATGCAACGGCCTCGGGTCACCTCGGACTTCACACTTGAGGGACGTGCTTGAGTGGGTTCTGTCGGCTTCGCCGCTGTATTATTGCTGATGAGCTTTTACGATACGCTATATTCATGAACGTACATCTATCTATTTTGCTTGTCTCTGTATCACGAAGCCATCGAACTACCGCTCGACTGTCTCTACATTCGTCAACTCGCCAACGTACGCAATGTACTGGTCTGGTCGTAGCAGTACAAGCTTTCCGGCCTCTGCATCAACGTGGTAGGTCTTGTATGCTGCGCCGGAGCTTACGAGCTTGCCATCCACTAGTTGACCGTCGAAGAAGATCCTGGTGTTGCTGCCTAGCGTCTCTTGGGCCCTCGCGACTGGCTTCGAAAGCCCGAGATCTGTTGGATTGGCCGTGTGCAGGATCACTATGTCAAACACTTTCGAGACGTATCTGGACAGCAAAACGCTGAGCTTACTGGCGACGTGTTGCAGTCGCTCCATGTTATCTGCTGTGCGGAGGTTGCCCACGAATAGTAGGATGCGGAAACGGTCATCGCTCTGGAAAGCCTCATGCCCTGTGAACTCTACCTTGAGCGCGTCTTCGTGGCGGTAGATTGTGGCAGGTTTAAGTCGCATACCTACCACCATTCCTGGCGGCACTTTCCCACTACTGAGAGCTTTCTGGGCTACCTCTAGGTCTTCCTTGGAGGTACATGTCAAAACGCTGCTCTCGGAGTGGACATGCAGTCCGGCTACCATGACACCTATCCGATGGAAGAAGTGCTGGATGGACCACGACTGCCTCCCAAACAGCCCTTGAGGAGTCGGCTGGCCGGACGCCATTGCGGCGAATTGTCGATCGAAGTTCACGAGATCCTGGGCGACTTTGAGTCGTTCCTCCGAGTAGGTTTGAGGTATGTCGGGCTTGGCGGACTGTTTGACGACGAGATTGAGCCTCCACATCACATTCCACACATCCTGAATGCCTACGTTTATGCCTTGGCCAGCCTGAGGCGAATGCGTATGGACAGCGTCTCCAGCCAGAAAGACCCGGCCGCTGGAGTCGATGTTGGCGGTCGAAATGCGTTGCCCAATCTGGTAGGCAGCCCACCACTCACAGGTCTTGTAGGAGAAGCGATACGGCTTCAGACGTTGTTGAATCGTCTCACAAATGAGTTCTCGTGTCACCCTCTCACGTTATAGCTTGCCTGTCCGCTCAGCAGGGACCATAGCTAGAGTTGTGTAGACGCGGATCAGGCCACGTTCGCGAGGGACTAAGAGGAGGCCGAAGCCAGCACCCAGGACGCTGTTGAGTGCTCGCGTGCTCGCTGGCCTCTTGTTAGTGCTGTGTCTCTATTCCTGTGAGTGGGTCGACTCACGAAAGTCGGTGTCGGGTAAGACATCCATCACACCCCAGATCACGTCTGTGTCATCGCCAACCATTGCGATGTCGAGCTGCCGCCTCGTCCAACTATGCGCTCCATCGCACGCCACAACATACTTGGCATGTATCGTCCTTGTATCGATGCTCGTCTTCAGCAGATCTTCATCATCGTCAACTCTGATGCCATTCGAAGCTTGCGCTTCTGTTGTCTCTCCGTTGATGGTACGCCGGACGTTACGAGTCCGAACCTCGACAGGATACTCCTCGCCATCACGAACTGACAAGCCCTCCACTATGGTGGCCCGCCTGATCTCCATGTCAGCGCACTTCTCACGTATGTACTCGGCCATGATCTCGCCAATCCGAGCCTGCGTCAACGTGATATTGGTATAGCGCGAATCATATCGGTTCCATGACTTGACTCCTGTACGATGCAAGGCTCCATCACTGTCCGGTGCCCACAGTGCCCATTGGGTGAATAAGCTGCCTTCACGAAGCATTCTTTCGGCCAGCCCGAAGCCTCCAAGATCTCCAGCGTTCGTGGATTCAAGCTATCGCCATGGCCGGCGACAAGACGATCTGGACGCTTGTCGATGACCAGTGCTTGCAGACCGTAGGCTGCTGCGCACGTGGCAGCCATCATACCAGCAGCTCCGGCACCAATGATTAAAACATCTGTAATCGTGTCTGTCGTAGCCATCGTAGCTGATGTGGCTGTTAGTTTGAGAAGAAATCACACGAGCAGATTCGGCTACGTGATATCATTCAAAATTGATTATGTAGTTGGTCAACGCAGTGTGCGGCCCTCACACATATTCGGCGGATCGACAGTATATGACCAGCAATGCTCGAATGTGCATGGCATACCTGAGAGCCGTGGTACTTGAGCTAGGGCGATCCGTAAGCTCGATAAGCTGACAATGAATCAGAATCAGCGTGGCAGGATGTCGGGCTGAAAGATTCACACATCTCATTGGCCGACTCGTATTATAGCTGGACTCTGATATATGACCCGCGACGTCGATCGTCGTCGGTACTCCCGAGCCGCACGCACAACATTGAGCCTAAGTAAGTAATGTACAGCTTTCGTCTGACAGACAGCCTGTGATCAATCTTTCCCCCCTGTGCTTTCAGCCCTGTCACTTGACCTAAGGCTCGTGTCGTCGATCGAAAATCTAACCCGCTATACTAGGCCCCCATCACCCTCACACGTTGGATACACGTAGTATACACATTAGTATCAATGACACAAGCAGCAAGCTCAAGACCTATAGGTCATGCTCCTACCAGCCCTCTCCCTCTGCACCCGACTAAGAGGTTTCGGAACATCCGAGCTCTTCTTGTAAGGATCCACCACCTTCTTCCTCCTTTCCCTCATCTCTTCACGAGATTCACGTGGTGGGTTCAGCATACTAGGTGCGGAAGCGTAGTCGAAAACTTCGTCATCCCGATTGTGCCCGTTCAACTGCACACCTCCCGGCTCGAGGTCGTCTGCGTCCATACCACTGGCGGCCGCAAGTTTGGCAGCCCGTTTTGCTTCTTTCCGAGCTCTGTGTCGGGCTGATTTGCCTAATAGATCTAGCTCTTGGTCGTCCTGTGTCAGAGCTACTTCGTCATTGTTCGCTGCCATACCGTCGACCATGCCAACGGTGATACTGGACTCTGCGACTGGTCGTTTTCGCTTTTTGCCCAACTGCTTCAGTATAAATGTCTCGTCTTCCTGCGGTTCTGCCGCAGCTGACGCTTCCATCGCAGCAGGCTCCGTGGCCATGATAGGCGTGGAGACCTGTTCAGAGGGATCCCCGAAGATCTCAGCCATGAGTGGTGGTAGTGGTACGCTGAGTGAAATCGCGGGAACATTCGACAAGGCGCGACTTTGCTGCTGCGTGCCTGCCGGCATTGATGAGCCCCAGAAAGTGGACGTAGCACTTCTCAGAGGAAGTGCTGATGCACCAGTTACGCTGTTGGCACAATCCACAGCAGGCGCTGATTTCGGCACGAACGCTGCCACAGAGTGTGCTGATGCCGCAGCCTCCTTCGCCACACCCCTCCTTGGAAAGTGCGGCTCAATCTTTTGCAACACATCCATCATTTCCAGGCCATTTGGCGCATCCTTCTGCGCCGTCTGAATCACCGGAACTAGCTCGTCGATCCTCAGCCTCATGCTCTGCGTAGCTGGATGTGCGGCATTGAAGACATCTGGCTTCGAGATTGGGACAGCCTTTGCGATACTGAATATATGGTGGTTGGGCATGACGAAGTGCGTACTATCGTCCTGTTCCCTTGCCACATCATCGCGCCACTTGTGCACTGCACAAAAGACGGCGAATTGTTCTTTGTTGAGTAAAGCTGGTGTGCGAGCGAGTAGCTTGTACCAACCCACGGACCCTTGGCCAAGCGCAGAGTCGTAGATTGGGTGTTCATATACCTGTAGTGCCGTCTCGGAGCTGCGTTCGAGGACATCGAACAATTTGTCGCCTTCGCGGTCTGGCTTACTAAAGTCAGATCGTTGAAGGAGTTCGTTACGTAGGCTGTCAAAGATGTAGAGTAAGTAGTGCGTGTCGCTTCGAGCGTAATCAAACAGCTCTTGTGGTAGAGGTCGTATTCGCCAGTCGGCTGTCTGGTACTGCTTCTGAGCATCCACGTTCGCGAACCTTTTCAGTAGATATGCCAGGCTGCCGCCGGGATAGCCGAGTGCCCTGCAGGCGTAGTGAGTGTCGAATAGGCCAACAAGGTAGAGCCCGAGATCGCGTTGTAGCCAGACAACATCCATGTACGCGCCATGCAGTACTTTGGTGATAGATGGATCTGCAAATACCTCGTTCAGGCAATTGAGCTTCCGTCGCCAGGGTTTCAGTGTATCGACGATCCAGTCCTTGTCACGCGTGCTGATCTGCATGAGGCTGACCACGCCAATGTATGTGCGTTGGTCGTGATGCTCCAGATCAATGGCGAGCTCTTTTGCCTGCTTCAGCTCGTCCAGCATGCCATACATAGCTTCCTCGGTATCGACGAAAGTGGCGGTCGTCGTGTCGAAAGGGTGGTACATGATCGGTTCAGCCTGGGTATGGACCTCTTCGGGGTATGCGTACTCCTCAATCTCTCGCTGGTAGGGATGCTCGCCCTGCTGTCTATCGGCCAGCGACCGCTTGGCGTGTGGCTTTCCTTCCAATAACGGCACAAAGATACCGACCTCATCATTCCTGGGTACATGCTCGAACTTGAGCTGTGGCTTCTCGATTTCCTGGTTCCTCAAGCTTGCCGCTATTCGCCCTGGCCTTGCTGCACCAGCTCGTTCCGCCTGCTTCCCAGCCTGCTCCGCCGCGCCTGGACTAAGCCTTCGTACCGCGCCAGTGAACTCGTCCAATGCAGTATCCGCGCGCTCGAGTAGACTATCGAGTACGTCAACCACGGCCCGCCAATTGCCTTCGACGGCCTCGATGTCGCTCAGGCTACGTGGTGAAGGACGTACACTTTCCGCAGTCTGGTTCGCAGAGCCCAGAAGACGTTCCGCAAGAGTGAGAAGCCGCGCATTCTGCTGATCGAGAGAAGTGCTTAGTGAGCTATTGAGAGAACGGTGGAATTGAAGGTCGGCGGCGGCGAGCTGGGATGCGGTACGGGTGGCGGAGACCAAGGAAGAGGTGATGGACTGTTGGAGAGTCGGAAAGTCATCCATCTTGATCAGTGTGCTGATGGATACTGTTCACGGTCTGTTTCGACATTAGAACCTGCATCCGCTCATGTCGAACGCGAAAATGATTGATGGCTAATAATTATGCTTTGAGGCTCGGCGGCTTACCCGGGAGGCGCGCGGCCACGTGAGCTATGGGTCCATTTAAATCAAGCGGCATTGTGAATGGTGACGTTTGAGCAGGAACACGAACACCTGACACGGACTCTGCTTTCAATACTCTCTCATGTCATCTCGACCACGCAGCGGATCGACAGAGTGATGAGGCGGACTGATCGATGAAGACATAGAAAAAACCACTATTTTACCCCATATTTCGAGCCTGTCATGCCGTGATCCTCTCAAACTCTATGTTCGATTCCGGTAATAACAACATGTCCTCCGCGGACGCTAGAAAGATATCAATCCAGGAGCGCGAAGTACAAAGATATTACACCAGCTGGCTTTCTGCACATGGATCTGGCACCAGTGTCGCCCGACATGTCGAGAGCATCGCCAACCTCGAAGGGCGAGGCTATCGTCCGAAGGTGTCGAGGGACAAGGCTCTTACGGCCTTTGCCCAATTAGCAGCCATACGTCTCAATGTCAAGAGAGGTATGGTGAGCCTGATCGATCCGCGAAGCCAGTACATATTGGCAGAAGCGACCAAGGATACTTCTGTTAAAGACCCTCACGATCTCTGGCTCGGTACCACAACATTGGTTCGTGCAACAGCAGTATGCGAGCATTGTTTCCTAAACGAGGCCACAGCACAAGACCAGTCTGGTGCCTTCAGTACACCCGGTCTAATAGTCAATGACTGCCGGCTGGACGACCGTTTCAAGGACAGGCCATATGTGGAAGCTGAACCTGGCGTACGCTTCTATGCAGGGGTCCCAATCGTATCACGATCAGGTATCCTGATTGGTGCTTATGCCGTGTCTCACGAACAGCCGCGAGATGGTCTCAGCGTGAATGAGCTCAAGTTCATGCAAGAAACCGCGGAGGCCGTCATGGATCATCTGGAGTGGGCACGTGATCGCGTCGATCGCTACAAGGGCGACAAGATCGTGCGTGGCATGGCGACTTTCATCGATGCTTGCGGGCAGTCTAATCCGGATGAGCCGCTGCCAAAACCTGCACATCAGCCTACTCTGAGTACTGCTACTCCGTATCCAACCAACGCGCGTACGAGAGACGCCGGTATCTTCCCTGCCGGTATTTCAGCAGGCCTCCGTGGCCACGAGAAGACCGATTTCGGCAGCCGGAAACGTTCACGAAGTCCGCCACCTCATTCGCATTTCGTGTCAAGCAATTCTCGAGCTCCACCACAAAGGCCAAAGACACTGCACCGTACGCAGTCGAGCAAGAACGACAGCATCTCGAACATGTTCGTTCGTGCTGCCGATATTTTACGCGAATCAGCCCTTGCGGATGGAGCCTGCATATTCGGGGCATCAGCGGGAGCCCCTACGCATAGAAGTATTCGAAGGGTCATGGCAGATGGCAAAAGCACTTCACAATTACCGCCAGGAACTGATTCAAGTGCGGATCCTGGGACTTCTGACTCTGATACCACTCCGTCTGGAAGACCTTGTAAGGTTCTAGCCTGTTCGCTAGCAGACGAGCAGGCCAAAGATGAAATTGAGCAGGAGAGCGCCTTGACCCTAGGAACATTAGAGAAGTACTTCACCCTTTTCCCCAGAGGTAAGGTCTTCTACTTCACCAGCCAGGGGTTCGGTGTGTCTTCGGATGACGACGGTAGCACAAGTGAGAGCCAACAGCCACCGAAGGAGGCTCGCGAAGATAGAAGAAACGTGGAGCAAGGCTCATCTTCTAATCGTAGGAAGAAACGAAAAAGGTTCATGGATCATGAAGAGCTGCTTAAAAAGATCCCAGGCGCCAAGAGTGTCGTGTTCCTGCCACTTTACGACTATGTCGAGGAGAAATTGATGGCTGGCTGTTTTCTTTGGTCATCGACTACTGGGCAGATGATGAATCTTGACGACGACTTGTCTTACCTGCGAGCGTTTGGGAACTGTATCATGTCCGAGGTCGCTCGTATGAATGTACAAAAGAATGAGGCAGCGAAGACGACATTTATTGCGTCTATGTCGCATGAGTTGCGCAGTCCACTGCACGGCATCTTGGGCGCTTCGGAGTTTCTGGTCGACACTGCGACTGATAGCTATCAAAGTGGTCTCATCACAAGCATCGTCACATGTGGGAAAACGCTGCTGGACACACTCAACCATGTGCTGGACTACAGCAAGATCAACAAACTCGGTCGGGCGCAAATGCGACGGAATGCTAAGACCAACAAGCTTGTTACGCTGGACTCTGATCCTGGGCTCGAAAGCATCAACATGACCGCGGAAGTCGACCTGGGCATTCTCGTGGAGGAAGTCGTCGAGGCTGTCACGGCGGGTCATGCTTTCAGGAAGCTACAGCATGGGACAAGCATCGGTAAGACTGCGAGCAAGGACTCAGCGAATGGTTTAGGTCCTAGTGGTGTGCTGTCCGTGAATACGCTCTCTGGTGCTGCTGAGGGCTTTGGATCGATCGAGTCGGCCTCTGGTAGCGTCAGCGTCATGCTTGATATTGATCCACGAGATTCGTGGGTTGTGCGCACCCAGCCTGGAGCGCTAAGACGAATCATCATGAATTTGCTTGGCAACGCACTCAAGTACACGCCGTCTGGTTTCGTTGTGGTCTCGCTCGAAGTACAGGAGGCTCAAAGCGATAAGACGATCAACGCCGTGGTGCGAGTGGTGGACTCTGGAAAAGGCATGTCAGAGGACTTCCAGAAAAACAGGCTGTTTGTGCCCTTTAGCCAGGAGGACTCGTTCCAGCCTGGTACTGGTTTGGGGTTGAGCATTGTCAAACAGATCGTTGACTCTCTCGGAGGGTCCATCGAGATCAAATCGGAGCCGGGCAAAGGGACAGAAGTGGATGTTGATCTATGCCTTGCGGCCGTCTCTCACGAATCCAATCCCGATCATATGCCTTCAGACGAGCATACATCTGCAACACGAGAGAGAATCAAGGGCATGCGTGTCTTCTTCCTCGACCCTTTTATTCAAGGTCATCAACGTCCGAAGAACGACCGGATGACCCGTCTTACCTTCAGTCTAAAGGCCGTCTTCGAGAAATGGTTCGATATGAAGTGCATTGTGTCTTCCGAAATGGATCATGCGGATGCTGACTTCTATCTCTACGCTGAACCGCCTGGCATTGATGAGCTGGTGGAGCATGCGAACAGTGGGAGGTTAACCAAACCTTGTGGGCGAGTAATCCCTGTGATAATTATCTGTCTTAGTGCCGAAGAAGCCATCGACGTCAGTCGAAATCACGCGCAGGCTCTTCGAAATCTGGGTACGATTGTTGAAGTTATTCCACAACCATGTGGACCGCGCAAGCTTGGCGTGGCCTTGAGACAATGCCTGAAGAGGCTGGACAGTGGGGAGCAACGGGATGAGAAGAATGGGACAAAGGGTAATGGGCGGGATGCCAGTCAGCCTGCGGAGAACCATAAGCCAGTAAGCCAGAGAGAGCGAGCAGGAAGCGGCAACGGATATGAGCCAGACGACGAAGGAACGCGATCTCAAGCCCGGAACAAGCCATTTGTACCTGGGGAATCGTCAGATGCGAATGAACCGTCCCCATGCTTATCTCCACCTCCTCTAGACCCCGCCACTCCAAGTCTTGCACAGGTGATCGCGACGCCCAGCACTGACGGCAGCGGAACAATGCAGCACAACGAGACTTCCGCAGTTAGGCCTGATGAGGCAGCTCTTCACATACTACTTGTGGACGACAACAAGATCAATCTCCAGCTCTTACAGATGTTCGTCAAGAAGTCTCACTTCACCTTCGTCTGTGCTGAAAATGGTCTTGAGGCCGTCGAAGCCTATAAGGCCACCGTGGCTGAAAAGACTGAGGAGTACTTCCCTTCAGTTATGGGTTCGAGTCGACCTCCGGGCCGATTCGACTATGTGTTCATGGACGTATCAATGCCAGTGATGAACGGATTAGATGCTACGAAGGAGATTCGTGAAATCGAGCAGAGGAGCGGGATCAAGAGAACAAAGGTTATAGCGCTTACTGGCCTGGCAAGCAAGGAGGCAAGGAAGCAGGCTGAGACGGCTGGGGTGGACATCTTCTTGCCAAAGCCCGTGAAATTTGCGGAATTGAAGAAACTACTTGTCGTCAGATGACAGGCGTGATTTTCGGTTCTCGCATAGCCTTGGCGTAACATGATTTGGATAGCTTTGTACTTGACTTTTGCTCTTCGGTATCGGGATATACTGCTTTCTGGATTTAGCGTAGCTATGAGAGACATACGATACCCAGATAGATCGTCTATCAACAATTCACTTCAGCCGCGTCTGGCGCATCTCTTGGCTGGATAAGGCATAGTCTCAATGCAAGCGAGCAATGGGGCGAGATCCGCTCAACCATCCGAGGTCTTACGACGTGTTGGCAAGCAACCATCTCCCGCCAGCAGGCTTGCTACGATCAGATGTAGTAGCTCACGATGGAACATCTTTTGCTACCCCTGAATGCACTAGTAGGCGAGAACGAGAAGGCACCATATATCGCTGGCCCGTACGATGGTGGCGACTTCCTCAGCTTCCCACAGCGAAGCCGTTTTCGAGCACTGTATGAGGACATCAAGCCAGAGGGACACTACGCTTCCTCTCGCAAGGATCTGGACATAGGCTCGACTCGTGACCTGGAGGTCTTTCTACAGACATGGGTCGTGGTCGGGCTCCTGCATGAGGTCTTTGCACCGCTGCTCACTGTGGAAGCTTTCACCAAGGCCGGTGAGGACGGTGCGAGCCCAATTCTCAGCACAGCCAAGTTACCTGAGATTGCCACGCAATGGACAAGGTCACGAGAAGCCCTGGCTGGTACAGATGATGAAAAGCAGCTCCTCGAGCACTTGATAGAGTGTATCATGGCCGCCCATAGTTTCCTGATGGCAGCAAGAAAACGTGCCGAAATAACGGACTCCGTGTTATGCTCCGCAGCTTCAATTGGTGAGACGTTGGAGTTTGTCGTCATGGAGACACTCGACCGTGGTACCCGCAGTCTGAGCACGAATTGGGAGTTTTGCCTGGACAGTGTCTCCATTGCCGCGACCATGCAGAACAATGGATGGTGTCCCACTGATATACGCAAGTGGCAGGCTATTGCTGGTGGCTTCCAGACTCTCTACTACCTAAATAAAGTCACACAGCCGAAGACCAAGGATCATGGCAATTGCGTGGGCGAAGTATGCGTTGCCTCGCAGTATAATATGGACAACCAGTCCCTTGTACATCGCTGCGGCAATCATGACTGCGGACTGATATTCGTGGACGAAGAAGCTATGCAGACAACTTTCGAAGATGGCCACTTCGGTATCTTGAGATTCAGTGACCTTGAAAACATCGAGACCCTTTCAATCGATGTCGTCTCGTACAAAGATGAGTCGGAATACATTGCGCTCTCCCACGTCTGGGCAGATGGCCTAGGCAACCCCAACGCGAATGCATTACCACGTTGCCAACTGGAACATGTGGCCAAGTGTGCCGGACAGCTCTCGCGAAATGCCGGTAACGATCGCAGTCTTCCGGTATGGCTCGATACTTTATGCTGCCCAGTGTCGAGTCCAAGGCATCGAAGTAGTTGCTTGATGCTCATGCGACAAATCTATCAAAAGGCAACCTTGGTGTTGACTCTGGACACTCAGATCGCACACTTTAATGCAAGTGACCTTGACTCGGTCGAGATCTGTGCTCGTGTGCTCTTTTCGGGCTGGACGAGGAGGCTATGGACGCTGCAGGAGGGTGCCTTGGCTGGAAGCCTGTGGATTCAGCTCAAAGACCGTGCTGTCGATCTAGCCATAGTCGAAGCAGATATCAGCAACATCTACAAACACAACTTTGCTCATAACCAACTTGCCCTTATCTTGCTGAGTGGATTAAGACGTTTGCGTAACTTTGGCCGTCGAAGACAATCACGACTTGAGCCAGATCTTGTCGATGTGAGATCCGCTTTAGAGTCGAGGTCAGTCACAGTAGCATCGGATGAAGCCTTGTGCCTTTGCACTTGTCTTGATCTCGATCAGACAGAAGTAGTGAAAGCGGCGAGGGAAGACCGTATGACCACATTCTGGCAAACCGCTATGCGAGCAGATCTACAATTGCCTAGCGGACTTCTCTTCTTCACGGGACCTAGAATGCAGACGAAAGGCCTACAGTGGGCACCGTCTTCTTTCCGAAGCCACGTCAAGTTCCAGAACCTCAGGCGTGCCAAGAAGGCAGAGGAACAAGCCACCATCACGCCAAATGGTCTGCTAGTCCAGTGTTCGGTGTTCGAGGTAACCATCTGTCGCCCACTCACTAGTAACGAAGAGCGATCCTGGAACACTGTCCTGGATGACGTGCGAGGTGTCTTCTTAGTCCGACTCGAGCAGCATCAGTGGTTCATGCTGCTTCCTGCCGACGGCAAGACTGCCAGCAATGAAGCGTTCGATGCCAGAGATGTTTCGGAGAGGAGGACATCCTTCGCCGTCTTACAAGAGCTTGACATACTTGGTATGCAGCGGAACGAAGTGGCTCAAGGGCTTGTCGGTATTGTCGGAACAGTACAGCATGGTCAGCCGCATACCTTCATTCTCAACTCTCGTTCTAATGTGCTGTGTTGCGACGAGAAGATGTCCAAAACACTTGAAATACTTCACAGCCATCGCAGCGACATTGTAGCTCTGGACGATATGTCCGACGACGTTACTGACGGCTTCGAGGCTTCGAGCACTAGTCCATACATCTCACGATTATCACCCAACACAGCTCAAAGAGTAACACAGTATGCCGATGTCTTACTTTCGTCCGAAAGCGCTCTGGTGGAGTGCTTGGTGCGTGACCAAACACGAGATGCTCGGACCAAGGCTCTCGCTCCCGCAGCTGAATGGATGCTCTACTTCCTAGCCGGACGTGTTGGTACCATCTCGCGCACATGGCCATCAGACCAAACGTGGTGCGTTGGCTGATACGAAGCACGTACACGATCTCACGATTGAGGACATCCTCAGGCTTCGCCTTACACGGAACCTTCTTTAGCCAGCTTGCAGAGACAAGAAATCATCAGGCTTCCGCCGTATATGGGAGCTTTGGCAGTCAACTTGCAAAGATCTAGAAGCTGACATTGCCGAGTGATAGCCAATCGCATACGCGTGATGCTTACTGGGTGCGGCTGAGCGTTTGTGCTCGGCTAAGAGGCGATTAGGGTTCCGCATCAAAGGGCTGAATCCTGCATGCGTCCATAATCGCAAGAGGTAGGGAAAGCACAAGGGGTCGCGGGAATGAAGCGAGAGGGCATAAAATCAGGCGTATCATATAGTTGAGAAGTCTGTTCTATACCACTCCTTTTCGCTACACGCAAAGACAGAACTCAATCCACAACAGTTCCCAGGTCGACCTTGCTGGAAGTCGAGTATCACGAACGCGATGGATGTCGAAGAGATGAAGTGCCCTCTTATGGCTCCGCGAAACAACGAGGTTGTCGACGAAACCAAGTGTCCTCTCATGAACCACCTTTGACACTGCCTTCTCCGCCGTTAGTCTGCTTTGGCTGTCCAGCCATAGCCTACCAAGGCAGTATCTTGTCTATCCTCCGGCACTGCCCAAGTCTGCCTGCTGACACAGCCCTTTGATAGTCCCCCCTTTACCAAGCGTGCGAAATGTCGTGGGCGTGATCTTTGGTGGCGGGATCTCGGCTGGCTGGCTGACAACGAGTGGCTATCAGACCCTTGGATCTCGGCAGGATCGACGTCAGCCAGATGTAGTGTAGGTGATGGCTAGCGAAATCCGTCGTTACGTCGCAGACAGTGTCGCGCCCGTCCATGTTGTGAGTCTCTCCTCAGCCCGATCACAAGTTGTGCTCTGTGGCGGTTGTCAATACATTGACAGAAGCGAAATATCTCCAAGCTGGAGTCGAATCTGCTTCTCATCACTGGTCCTCTGATAGCATGACACTGCGAATCGATCAAAGCATAGCATCCACTCCTCCTCCTCTCCTCTGCCACACAGCACCGATACCCATATCCAACACCCCATCATCCCTATGTTTAGCCTGCGGGTACCCATCACGCTTGTCAGTGAAAAGGACGTTCTTCTTGATCCCAAGGGTGAGATGAATAGCTGCAGGCATGCCACTGAAGTCGTAATCCTCTAATGCCTCCTTACTCTCCAGATGCAAAATGTTCTTGACGACGACAAGGGCCTGGTTGAAGCCTGGTCGAGCGGCTTTGTGGGCACCGGTGTTCGCCACGTCTCCCAGTGCGAAGATGTTGGGATGTCGTGGGTCAGCGATCTGCAGGGTCGGAAGTAAGGTGATAAACTTGCTCTCGTTGATTGTCGTTGGTGTTAGGGTCGAGAGTATCTCCGAGCGAGGTGTCTGACCTGTACAGACTATGGCCAACTCTGTTCCAACCTTTCGGCCATCGACAAGCTCGATGTCGAAAGCACGACCATCAGTTGGGAATCCTCCTGGAGGCAACTTGACTCTTGATCCCAAGGCCAGTTTGATACCGAGCTCGTCGCAGCGGTCCTTCACGATCTCGTGTAGCTTTCCATCAAAAGTGTTCATAAGATGGTTTCGGGAATGTATCAAAGTAACGTCCTTCTCTGGGTAGAGCTCCTTGACGTCAGTGGCCATTTGGACTCCGACAGCACCTGCGCCGATGACGGCAATTTTGGAACTTCGTCGGATTTTCTGAACGTGCTTCTGGAGATAGTCGACTCCACCCAGTTTATCTGACCCTGGTAGGGTGGACGGTGGGGAGAGCTTTGTGCCTGTTGCGATGACCTGCACTAGATCAGCTTAACGTCTGATCATCTTCGGTAGTGGGATTGCTCACAAGATATGAATATGGTAGACTGTCCACCTGCCCGCCTTCGAACTCAACCATCCGATCAAGCTTGACTTCGTTGTTGGTGAGGTCGATTGCTCTGGCCTGAATTATGGTACCCCAGCCTTCGGGGCAATCACGGAATGTACCAGGGTTGTATGGGATGAAGGCCTTGTGGGTCTCAACGCCCGTGGCCACTGCGAACCGAGGAAATGCAAATAGATGTTGGAAGTGAGAATTTGCTTCGACCAGTACAACGTGGTATCGGCCATTGCCATTTTGTGCTAGTTCTTGGGCTGCTTTGATGCCTGAGGTCAGGTCAGCATTGTGTGATTTTTATTATGATGATGGACGGATGAGTACCTACCTACATAGCTCCCTCCTATGACAAGTGCGTATTTCTGAGGCGAGATGGCCATTTTATGACGATTCCCTGTACTCGTGAGAAGCACGCCGATCGAAGCAGCGATGATCAGAAGACGTGTTCTTGAGGAAACAGACACTCGAGCTATGGTCGAGACGCGGAACGGTTCCAAACATCATGGCCTACCTTTGCGACCATTTTAGTCATATGTAGGTGAATGGCAATTCCGTCGGCTTCGGAGGGCGCCATATGTTGATGGCTTCCGAGTGGAGTGTGGAGTGGATGAGTTTGTGCAGGGTCAACGTTCTTCCGCTATGTACCTCTTCCTTTCTTGGAGGTACTTGCAATGTGTACAGAAGCCTCGCGATCACACCTACCAGACTTGCCACGAGCTCCGCACCACGACTTGAGATGATGGCCGTGTAGACTTTGTGTGTCGTGTTGCAGAGCTAGTGGACATCTTCAGCCTGGCCCGAGATGGCGATCAGGTATACGGTATGCATTAGGGGCACCTGCTCGATAGCTGTGCGCCGTTCACCATGAACTCCATCGATACCACCAGCAGAATTGAAAGCTCACTGTGCGACAATAGTAATAATAGCAGAAGGATAGCTCTTGAATGTCAACCAGGGCCGCGGCAAAGCATGTCGCACCTCCAAACGACGAAGCGATGCCTAAGCTTCTCATTGGACAGTCCGAGCATCACCAAACATTAGCGTCACCTTCTGACCTCCTCTCGTGCTGCAACCACGCATCATTCACCACTATCAATTTCGCGATTGATCCATTCGGCGCGTCGCGGTCGTCGTTGATCTCCCGTGAATAACCACACCTTGGAAGATGTCACCAGCACGACAATAATAATAAGTATACTGTTCACCCCACTAATCAGCTGCTTCTTATTGTCTTTGACTACAACCACTTTCCTTACCCTTTCCTTCTTGAACCACTAATATTGCAAACGCGCTGGACGCACACGATCACCGCTCTCAAATCGCAAGGTGCCTCCTCTCGAACAGGAATTGGGCGCAGCAACGAGATACTAAAATTGCTACATGAATCACGAATCACGACACATCGAGATCATGCTTCGCTTCGCCTCTTTGACGGCCATCCTGGCCACCACAGCCACATGCTTACATCTCAACGTTAACAACATCTCCTTCATACGCTCTGGCGCCACCTCTCTGGCAGCCAACCTGTTTACATACCATGACCCAGCCAGCACAGTCGGCCAATTCGTCCAACCCCAACCCTGGTTCTGGTGGCTCTCAGGTTCCGGCTGGACATCCCTCATCGACTACACAGCCTACACGAACGACACCACCTACATTCTGGCCATCCACTCCGCCCTCCTCCAAAATGTAGGTTCAAACTACGACTTCGTCCCCGCCTCCCAAGCCGGCTGGGAGGCAAACGACGATCAAGTCTACTGGGTCTACGCCGCCTTAACAGCAATGGAATACGGCTTCCCGCCCCTCCCCTGTGAACCCGAAGCCTCTGCCGTCGGCACGACGGGAAGCTGTCAAAACACCTCCTGGCTCACTATAGCAAACAACGCCTTCGAGGACTTCGTCACCCGCTGGCAAAACAACAGCATCACCTGCAACGGCGGCCTGAAATGGCAGTACAACCCCTCCGCCACTGGCAATGGCTGGACGTACAAGAATACCGTCACTAATGGCGGCTTCTTCCAGACTGCGGCGCGTCTTGCTCGGTTCACGGGTAATGCGACGTACGCGGACTGGGCGAATAGGATCTGGGATTGGTCGGCTGGGGTGGGGCTCATAAGTCCGGATTTCCATGTTTTCGACGGGACGTCAGATGGCGAGGGGGCGAACTGCTCGAGTGTCAATCATGATGAGTGGAGCTATAACATCGCGTCTTACCTCCACGGAGCGGCGAACATGTATGCTTTCACCCACAACAACGCCACTTCTGCCACACCGAACGCCACGGTCTGGCAATCCCGCACACATGGGCTGCTGGTAGCAGCGAACCAGACTTTCTTCTCCCCTTTCCCAAACGCCACGGGAATCATGTACGAACCCAATTGCGAACTAGCCGCCAAATGTAACACGGACCAGGCGTCTTTCAAAGGCAGTCTTGCGACCTGGATGGCTAAGACTTCCCTCTTGGTTCCTAGCACGAAGGGGGATATTTTCAGCCTTTTGCGGCCGAGTGCCGTGGGTGCTGCGGCGAGCTGCGAGGGCGTGGTGAGTGGCAAAGGTAATGACAGCTGTGGGACTAAATGGTATATCGGGGCTTATGATGGCGCGACAGGGTTTGGGCAGGAGTTGGGGGGGTTGGATGGGGTGTTGAGTTTGCTTGTGGGGCAGGCGCCTGGGTTGGCGAATGTGAGGCACTGAGTGGAGTTTCGTGACGATATGCCGGCACTGCATTTTGGTCGTCGGATCGCACCGGGCTGGTATAGGCATAGCATGTTAGATGGATGGTTTCGCCTGGACGGAGTTGTACGGTTAGGCGAGCTACGAAGAGGCGGCGAGGATCGGGAAAAAAGGGGGAAGTTCTCTCGGGTTTGGGGAGGGACGCTTTTCATGGGAAGTATGTTCAAGTGGATAGGAGAGTCGTTCCCCTCATCCACATCAATGGAAGTATGTACAATACACGACCCAGTCAGAAAGAAATCGCCATTTACACTGGCCAGCGGAGAGCGCGTTCCACCAAAAGGAGGAAGGAAATGCTGAAATCCTTGCCTCTGTCACGTCCCAGAATAGACCGCCGTGACACCCCTCCCGCACTCCACCCGCTGCTCCACACTCACCCGCCTCCCATCCCCCAACGTCGCCGTCGCACGGGGCGTAATATGAAACCGATGCATCTCCCTCTCCTTCCCGCCCGAACTCCTCCTCGCCCTCAAAACCTCGGCCTCCTGATCCAACGGCTGCAAATAAGTGGGCGAATTGCAATTATTCCGCTTCCCCGTCCCGAGCTGGAACGTCTCGTTGCCGCCCCAGAAGACTATATCCGCGCCCCAATTCGTGTCGTCCGTTGTGGAGTTCGGGGAGGTGGAGGCCGTGAGGTTCGTGATATTGGCCATGACGGCCGCGGCGTGCGTGGCGCCTACGCTGAGGTGCGCGAGGCGGATGGGCACGGTGGTCGAGGTTGCTTCGTCGTATTCGAAGATTCCGGACAGGGAGGGGATTTTGGTCGGGGTGGATTGCACGTGCGTCCAGCGGTTGTTGGCGAGGTTGCCGGTGATGCCGGAGCCGAAGGCGAAGGTGTCGGCCGTCGTTTTGCCCACGCCGCGGTTCGCTTTGCGGTAGTCGGCGTCGCTTAGGGCGCCGCCGGTTTGCAGGGCGACTTTGGTGGCGTCCACGGTCATGTAGCTGTTGTTCCCGCCGGCGAAGACGTTGGTGATGTTGGCGGTTTGGGAGGCGGTGCCAGGGTAGAGTTTCTGGGTGGGGAGGAGGGAGGGGGCGTCGACGATGGAGGTTTCGCCGCTCGTGGAGTCGAAGCCGAGTTGGCCGCTGCTGTTGTCGCCCCAGGTGAAGACGCGGCCGGCGGTGTCGAGGGCGAGGGAGTGGTTGTCGCCGCAGGCAATGCGGGTGATGGTGAAGCCGCGGAGGGTGGTGATTTCGTGGGGTTGGTCGTAGGGGCCTGTGGGGCGGGTCATGAAGGTCAGGCCGGGGATGCCTAGTTGGCCGCGGGAGGGGAAGGATTCGGCGGAGGAGGCTGTGCTGAAGAGGCGACCGGAGGCTGTTAGGAGGAGGGCGTGTTCGAGGCCGGACGAGATGCTTGTGACCTTTTCGGGTGTTGCTGGAAAGATGTTGCGGTAGGCGATGGGGCTTTTGGAGGACCAGAAGGGGATCCAGGAGCTTTCGGTGGGTTTGTCGCCGGAGATCTGGTCTTCGGCTGAGACGGGTATGCTGTAGACTTTGCCAGCTTTGGATAATGCCAGTATGCGGTCTCGTGATAACGTCAGTGAGACCAAATTCTTCCCTCGTAATGTCGTGACGGGAGCCTTGGTATCTGGCGCATAAGCAATACCCCACTGTATCAGATTCCCCTTCTCATCAATCGCGGCACCGAAATTCCGATCCAGCTTGATATCTCTCAACAACATGCCATCGAAGAAAGGTATCCGTCGTGGCGTCTTGATCGTGCTCTCGGTGCTATCCGGCGCGACCACCCGACCAGTGTTACTGCCCCACGCATAGACTCCTGGCGCCTCCCACGATCGTTTCACCTGGTGATGTTGACTTGATATCATATCGCGATTCTCTTCCACACTCGCATTGACCCTTTTCCGTGACGCCTCGAAGACCAATGGGTTGTCGTCTTCCTTGGGTGGTGCTTCGGCATGACCTTGGCGGAGGATGGAGCCATTGTTGAGGTAGAATTGAGTGAGGGTTGCTGCACCACCGGCGATTGTGATGGCGAAGATGGATCGGAAGAGTTGTTGTTGCTTGCGTTGCGCTCGGGATTGGTATGATGCTGATGCTGATGCTGTCGCCGCTCGTGACGGTGCATTTCGTCGGGCGAGGAAGTCTGCTCGTGTCGATGCTGCTCTGCTACTGCGCGGGATGGTTTGTTTGGTGGCGCGAGAGAGCATGTTGGTGGTGTTGGAGCTCATCTATCCAGGCAATCAGAATAAAGACAAGGTGTTTGTGATGGTAATGTTTGAGATCAGATGAAACGATCTCGAGTCGTGAGTCGTGACGCAGCGAAACGGCGATCAAGTGTGGGGGCGGGCCGTCGTGCATCAGATCGCGCTAAGCTAAGCACTTTCATCCTCGACAGCTTTGGCAGGTACGACTGACACCTTTTGCGCCTGCCTTCTTTACTACTGCGAGCGTCGCTCTTTCTTCTCAATAAATCAATTAAATCACGATGAATGCTCCGAATCATCGCTAGAATCTCTCCATCACTATCGCCCACCATGAACGGCAGCACTCCTCCCGTCCGCACCATCACCGCGTTGAAGAGATGGAGTTGTGTGGATAAGCAGATGCCGGGGGTGGAAGGTGTGCGGAACATCCATGTCTACGACTTTGACAACACACTCTTCTCTTCCCCATTACCCAATCGACAGCTGTGGAACTCGGGGACATGCGGATCGTTACAAGCACAAGACTTCTTACACAACGGAGGATGGTGGCATAATCCGGCCATATTATCAGCCACTGGCCAAGGACTGGAGGTAGAAGAAGGACGAGCATGGCAGGGCTTTTGGAACGAGAAGATTGTGGAACTGTGCGCACTCTCCGCCGCAGAAGAGGACACTCTAAGCATCATGCTCACCGGCCGAGCCGAGGCCAACTTCTCCGACCTGCTCAACCGCATGATCACAGCCAAAGGCCTGTACTTCGACATGATCTGCCTGAAACCCTCCGTCAGTCCCTCGGGTGAACTCTTCGCAAGCACCCTCACCTACAAGCAAGCTCTGCTCCGCGACATCGTCTACACCTACCCCCACGCAGCCGAAATCCGCATCTACGAGGACCGACCAAAACACACCAAAGCCTTCCGCGACTTCTTCGCCCACTTCAACCGCTCGTTATCATCCCCCTCCATCCCTCCACCTGTTCAACGTGCCCCAATCCGCTGCGAAGTCATCCAAGTAAGCGAACAAGAAACAACCATGGACCCCACCACCGAGACGGCGTGCGTGCAAGCCATGATCAACACCCACAACACCTCGATCCTCAACCAAACCGCCCCACCCCGAGCAGTCCCCTACAAACTCAAACGCACCGTCTTCTTCACCGGCTACCTGCTCACGCCCCCCGACACGGAAAGGATAAAATCCCTCGTCAAACTCCCCCCATCCCTACCCGAGCACGAAGTCAAATGGCTAGCGAACAACATCCTCATCACGCCCCGTCCAGCCCCGAAATCACTGTTAGATAAAGTCGGCGGCCTAGGCGCCAAAGTCCGCTGGCGTGTCACCGGACTCGGGAACTGGAACCAACGGGTCTGGGCTGCTCGCGTCGCTCCTGTCGATCCTGGCGTACGAGTTCATTCCGAGAACGCCACACCCTGCGTCGTGCTGGCCCTGAAACGGGACGCGAAGCCGATCGAAGCTACCAAGATCTCCTCGTGGCAGGCTGTGAGTCAGAGTGAAGGGATGGAGTTCGAGACCACGATGGGGGAGAAAGTGATGTTGAGGATCGAGGAGGAGGTCAGGGGGGAGGATGCTTACGAGGCGAGTTTCGCTAGTCAGGGGAATGGACGGCAGCAGCAGATGGGGGGGCAGGGGAGGAAACATCCACGGGACGAGGAGTTTCCTGCTTTGGGGTCTGGTGGGCAGCAGGGTAAGGGGGGGAGACCGCAGTTTAGGGCGGGTGGGTATCATAATGGTAATGAGAATCGGAATCCGAATTCCTCTTGGGCGGGGAAGGCGGGAGGCGGGAATGGGATTGGTTTCTCTTCTCAACGCGGCGGTGGCGGTGGCGGTGGTGGGCGAGGCGGGCGTGGAGGTGGAGGTGGAGGTCGAGGAGGTGGTTTCCGCGGTCATCGTGGCGGCGGTGGTGGCGGAGGAGGGGGAGGAGGAGGAGGAGGAGGCGGAGGACGTGGTGGTCGCGGGGGAAGAGGCCAGTACCGCTTTCTAGACGATAACGTGCAAGCCGGTGGTGCGGGGTATGGCGAGGCGGGCGGGATGCAGTATTAGGAGTCATTTGTACGTTTGCTCTGGGTGATGGTTGCTTCCTCATCGGTTCAAGGGCTTCATGAAGGGGGCGCCACACGGGAGGTCGACCTTGAACTCGGACTCCGGACCCATGGCTCAGGCTCGAGCTCATGGCGCGGGCTTTGTCTTGTGGAGCACGGATGTATGGACAATCGATCGTCACATTAGCGTAGGTGTTTATGGCGTTGCAGAAACCATATGTTATCAAGGGGGGAGCATACTGCCTACTTGGCACGTCAATGTGATCTGGACGTGTCGCATGGCAGTATTGTATCAAATCACCAATGGATGCCTTTGCTCGAAGCTGCTCAATCATGAGAGAGAGCCTATGTAGTGGTATCATGAAAACAAATTCCAAAGCATTCCCTCGCCAAGCCAAGAACGCAGCCATAACCCCCCTTCTCCTCGTCAAAACATCCTCGAAGACACTTCACCAGTGGTGGTGGGAGTCGGGTATAGATACAGAGCGTCAAAAGCACAATGAACCAACACTCTAGCAGTCTTTCGTGCTTATCAACCCTGGAACCAGTCACTCATGTACTTTCAAAAACTCCTTCGCTAAATTCGTCAGTGCGCGATCTTTGCCGTCTGGGCTAGTCATCCAACATGATAACATCATGCTGCTGCTGCTGCTGCTTCTGCGCCGGCGGTTTCGGTCGCTGCTGGTTGGTCGGTGCAGTAGTAGGCTTACCCTTTGCTTTTTCCGAAGGTCGTCGGATGGGTGGTTGGGGTCTCGAGGGAGGAGGAGGAGGAGGCTTCTCTGTCTTGGTTGTGGGAGGTGGGGCTGCGATCGTCGTACTAGTGTTGCTCGCCGGCTTCTCGGCCTCCGCTTGTTGATTGGGTCCGGAAATGGCGAAGTATCTCGTCTAGCTTTTCGAGCACGGTGGTGATGCCTTTGGCGTCTGCGATGATGCCGTTTCCTAGGCCGAAATAGCCCTCGCCACTACTATTCCAGAATGCCGTCAGTACCGTGCCAAGATCTTCGGGCAATCCACTCGTATCCCTCGCCAACCGCTCGACATGCCACCGCACTTGCGCCTTGCCGTTCAATATCTTCGACCTCGCACGAATGACAAACGTCTGTGCGGGAAGTGGCACCTTATAAACAAACTGAAACCAGGTCACACCCCTCTTGCTGATCTGGAGTGTTTGCTTAGCGAGGTGCGCCTCTTCCAGCCGATCGAAGCAATTTAGTAGAGGTAATGTCAGCAGAAGGGCCCGCACGAACAGCCGAAAGCCGTTGCCGTCTCGTCTGTTCAGGCACTGCTCCAGCATGACTCGGGTGCGTTGATGGGGATTGAAGCCACTTGGTTTCAGCCTCAGCCTCGTAGTGCCGTCGGTTTTGCTGAAGATAAGCTCGGCGGATAGCTCGGGTGAGGTGCTGTAGGTGAAGTGTAATGTAGATAAGCTGGCAAGCGTGATCTTGCACTTCAAGTTGTGGAGGGCCGAGACCTGGGTGTCCAGGGCCTCCACGCTGCGTAGTCGTGCTTGGATCTGGTTCGCAAAGGGTTCGCCGAATGACACACGCAGGCGGACAGCCATGCCGCCTGTGCTGTTGAGCGTGACATGCTGCTCCTTGGAGCTCGATAAGTACCTCCGTAGCTGCGTCATCCTCTTCTTCTCGAGACTAAGAGATGTTTCTAGCTGGACAGAAGATTGCGCACCGAGTTGCGCCGAAGTCCCATCATCGTCGTCGTCCATGCCGAGATGTGATATCCGTATTGGCTCTGCCGCCCATGACTTCCAGGACTGCGATGTACGCATGAATGGCGAAAAGTGTATGTACACAGCACTCGAATTGTCGTCATCGCGGTCGGATTCGGACTGGCTGATTGTGTAGGGAACCGACATCTCCCGAAGCTGCTTCGTGAGTACAGCATACGTTGCTTGCACGACGGCCAATCTCTCAATGCTTAGCAGCGTCGAGGCCGAGAGTCCTCCCTTGGCGATACTCGCTGAGACTGCATGTGCAACAATCACCTCCTTGAGCGGGTTTAGATTTCGGTCTTTCGACCCGCTGTATTGAAGCTGCACAGCCCACCACTTCTCGCCTGCCAGGCCAAAGCCGACACCAAGAGCCCACTGATCGCCCCAACCTGGTACGCCAAAGACAGTCCGCTGCAAAACATCTTTCCCAAAGTGGTCTTTGATACTCGGTTGTGGCTGGAGAGGTCGCCATCCAAGCATTTCTGCCTGCTTGTAGACTTTGGTTTGCACGGTCGTGCAGATGAGCGATGCGAGCACGCGAGCTACATCGATAGTCGCGTCCGAGTTTAGCACACATTCGCTGCGTGCTGCGGCAGTACTCGGTGGGGAAATGGAGAATTGGCCAGTCACTGGATCCAACCGTACATCGAGAGACTTCTCCATGGATGGGAGCTTCACCTTCAGGCCGAAATCTGATGATGAATTGCTCAAAGAGCCTTGTGTAGCTGGGGGCAGGATACTGTCTTCACCTCTTTGCGCAGTCATTGCATGCAGTCCATCGCGAGTAATGCCGAGCTTGCCGAAGCAGTGCTTCCCAATAACTTGCATCAAGCAGACTTCGACGTCGAGCTCATTCCAATCGATGTCAAGCGACTCGTCTAGGACTTCTTGGCCACGTCTAAACCAGCGCACTGATAGCCGTGGAGTAGCCTTTCTTGATGCTACTGGGTGCATCTTCTGTGTCCTGCCGCTTACGATGCCAATTTCGATCCAGTTCTTGGGTCCAGGAACACCAGTCCAATACTGTATCGTGAAACTTCTTCGCAGGCCCTCCACTTTAATGCAGTCAAACCACTTACCACGAATGAGCTCGATCGCTTGATTCCGCAGCACGTTGATCTTGTGGGTGAGGACAAAATTGTGTAGAAGATCGTAGCATCCTTTCAGCCCCTTGGTAGCAAGTGCGCCATTAGCTTGGAGCTCGATATGGGCTCTCATGGTATCGTTCAATACGCTAGAGCTTGGCGAGAACAGGAACCGGAAGTCGATAAAATACCATGGACTCGTTTCTTCCTCGTCCGCCACCGTCAGATCCACCTCGAACTCCCCTGGTACACTGAAAGTCACCCTGCCATTCGAAATGCTATACTGCTGCATGTGATAAGGTAGGTCCTCATGCAGAGTCAATCGTGTAGCCAGCGCAACATTCATATCTTTGAGCAGGCTCAATAGCTGCTTCGCACTTAATGGTTTTGGCGGAATGTACCCTAGATCAGGGACAGATGCTACGGAACCAGTTGCAAGCACCTCCATAGCTCCATCGATATTGGGAGCTGGGGTCTTGAAATGTACTGCTCGGTTCTTCAGTAGACCGATCGCATCTTGCGCATATCTGTAAGATCGATCTTGCGTTTGCTGCCAGCTCTCAATGCCGTGGACTTTTGCTATGCCGTCGGCATTCCGGGCCCAGTCCGAGAGCACCAGTGTCTTCGTGAAACGATCGCGTTGGTCTTGTGCAAAGTCCATGAGTATGCGCTTCTTTTGGCGACTAACCTCCGAAGTATCTAGATATGCTCCTTGCGGTGCCAAGCCATTTACTTGCGGTGGCGCATTGCCGTTGGAGCCATCACCGAGCTCTGACATCTTCCCCAGGCAGTCATTCAAGTCCACGAAGCATTGCTGAGCAAGACGATCGATAAGAGTTCCGAATGACTTGTTTGCAGGCGTATCCTTCCACACTTGATCGAGTTCGGGCGCAGCTTCTGCTCCGAGCGTCGACGCTTTCTGGTTGACATGGTCGCCATTCGTGGTAAGAATCTCTCCATTCTCTACGATAGCACCATTCTGCACCGCTGCGCTTCCCTCTGACATTGTAGCGCTCAAGCCACTGTCTTGCGCATGACTGCGATCTTTCTTCGCCTGCGGAGAGTCCACAGCGGCTTGCGCCTCCATCATAAGCAATCCTGGCATGTCACCATCTCCTGGCCCCTGGCTCCGCACCCACCCACCTCCACCTCGACCGTCACCGACTCCTGTGATCTCCACTGTCCCAACGTGAAGCCTTCCAGTCGTGGGATCTAAAGCGACCTTCCCAACGCCCTCCAAACCATTCCAGACACTTCGCGCTGTACCTCTACTGTGCGATGTCAAGTAACGTGTTCCGAGGATTTGTTGTTCCTACTAGCGACTTCAGCAGCCGTCGACGGAAAGGCTGCTTGGTGATTCGAGATGGTTGTCGTGAATGCGCGAGTTCGCCGGGTACGTGCTCAGGTGTCTGTCGTAAAGTAGCCGAACCAAGCGCTGATCTTGTACGGAGGTCTAGTGAGGTAAGTGTTGTTATCCCCAGGACTTGGCAAGTTGTGACTTGTATGTCGTACTCTTGACCTGCGTAGGTCACAATGACAATCATCGGAAGGAATGCGTGATCGCCAGACGATGCGGCAACCGGAACGGCTGTATCCGCAGCCGAAAGCGTGGTGCAAGTTAAGACTGGCTTTCAGCTCTCTATCTCGCCTGTGCTGCTGTGCAATATATATCAAAGTGGATTTGACCTGCTACGAAGAACGCCAGTGAATGAGTCACTAATTCTGAAATTCTGAATGTATCGATTTTACATAAAGAGTCTGGCTTGCGGTAATACATGTCACCCGTCAATCATTGACTAGCGTGAGGAGACCGTTATTACGCCACGACACGCCAAAATTAGCCTCGTGTCCATTCACCAGGAGTTGCAAGCTTGTGGATCAAGCACGCCAAAGAGCACAACGGCTACAAGCATATGACCTCGAGCATTCCCTGTGCACATAGAGATGCAGTCCTATGGCAAGCAAGTGGAGGAACATGGCTAGATAGAGGCAGGGTTATTCCCATGATGGGAGTCTCATGAGCACTTCGCTACGGTCAGCTAGTGCACACCCTCATTTCTCAACAACCGCCATTACCTTATCGCGGCAGCAGATCTCATATAGATTGCCTGCACTTCACATGTCGTATTGGTGATCTCACTAGCCTATCCTTCCTCTTCTCGTCCCGCATGTCTCGTTGTCGAGGGACAAGATGAAATATTGGAGGAGGAGCAGTTGAGGGTCTTTCCGGTGCACTTTCCGATTGGTTAGGATCCAGCATGGTGCCTCGACACGAGCTTCATCCTGTACAACCGCACGTCTTCTCCACAGACCACACCTCATCGGATCCATCATCACACTCCTCACGCAGCGACACGAATGACGCAGACGATGAGCGATCCATCTCATCTTCCCAGACCAGCAGTATGAGGTCTCTCAACCACGACGATAACGCTGTGACAGGCCCACGACAACCTGCTTATCCTGGAGAAGACACGCGACCCACCTCACGTAAGGAACTGGCAGGATTTTATGCGTATAGCTTTGCCGCTGAGGTCTTCGTCGTCTGCGGTCTTGGAGCCTTCATTCCCATCACATTGGAAGAACTCGCACGAGCCTCTTCCACTGCGGTCTTAGCTGATGACCACAGTCAACCATGTCGATCGCCACGGAACCCTCTTGGTCCAGAAGGCCCGTCTATGTCTCTGCGTGGATTCAATGCCAACAAGGAACATGGCCATCAGTGTGTCATCCAATTGCTCGGTCATGAGGTCAATACTGCCAGCTTCGCAATGTACACTTTCAGCATCAGTGTCCTGATCCAAGCTCTGGTCGTCATCACTATGTCTGGTGCTGCGGATCATGGACGATTCCGCAAGACGCTACTTATCACCTTCGCAATCGTTGGCTCGGTTGTAACGATGCTTTTCATCCTGGTCACGCCTACTGTGTACCTGCTTGGCAGCTTATGGGCTATCATCGGCAACGTGTGCTTCGGTGCGAGTTTCGTGACCTTGAACTCCTTCCTGCCGTTGCTTGTCAGACACTATCGTCTGGAGACTCCTGGTGATGAGGCTGGAGCAAGATTGCTTGATGAGTACGATGAGGTCAGTAGTCACTTTTCAATCATTCAGATTTCCACACAAGCATACCGCGTTTCTCTCCACCAGTCCAAGTACTCAAAATTTTGAGTATCCGCCACCGTTCGAGTATCTCGATGACTTTTGCAGCCTTTTGACATATGTGTAGCAACTACCGAATGATCAAACTTCACCCAATTCTCTTATGCCCGATGGCAGCACAGACCCCACAGAAGGACTATTGCCAGGCGAGCATACCGCACCATTCTCAGCTTCATATGCTGCAGCTTCAGCAAACTCTCAGCTCTCCACTAAGATCTCGTCGTATGGAGTGGGCATTGGCTACACCGCCGCGGTTCTCGTACAGATTATATCGATCTTCATTCTCATGGCTACACACCAGACACTTTTTTCCCTGCGGCTTGTACTCTTCTTTATAGGAGGCTGGTGGCTGGTCTTTACATTCCCAGCAGCACTTTGGCTGAGACCACGTCCAGGCCCACCACTGTCTGCAGGCAAAGATGGCAAACCTCGATCATGGGCGAGCTACATTGGCTATTCCTGGGTCAACCTGGGTAAGACGGTCATTCGAGCTCGAAGACTCAAGGACGTCATGCTATTTCTAGCAGCATGGTTCATGATCTCAGACGGCATAGCCACGGTGTCTGGCACAGCGATACTGTTCGCAAAAACAACACTTCGCATGGAAGGCTCGGCACTGGCGTTCATCAACGTGATTGTCACCTTGTCCGGCATCGCAGGTGCCTTTACGTGGTCCACGGTAAGCCGGATGATGGAGCTGAAGCCAAGCCAGACTATCCTGATCTGCATATGCCTGTTTGAACTTATACCGCTCTATGGCCTGCTTGGCTATATACCAGCCATACAGCGTTTTGGCTCCTTCGGCCTGCAGCAGCCATGGGAGATGTATCCTCTGGGTGCCGTCTACGGCTTGGTCTTGGGAGGTCTATCCAGCTATTGTCGATCTCTATTCGGCGAGCTGATACCTCCTGGCAGCGAGGCTGCATTTTATGCTCTATACGCTATCACCGACAAAGGGAGCTCGATCTTTGGGCCGGCGATAGTGGGTGCTATTACAAATGCTACGGGAGATATCAGACCGGCGTTCTTCTTTCTCGCTGTACTGATTGGGCTGCCGATACCGATCATGTGTCTCGTTAATGTCGAAAGAGGCAGGAGAGAGGCTATAGCACTGGCGAGAGATACGACGGCACTTTCGCACGAGCTCTCGAATGAGGACGCCACTTCAGAGTAAGCTGCTGACATGATCGGAGAAGGGGCCCAATCTGCAAATTGCCCAGCTGATCCTTGAAGGATTTCTCCCCCAAAAGTCCTCAATGGCCTTGGTCTGTCGTTCACAGGGCTCCCGCAAGCCGTAAAGAGCACGGCTGTGCCCATACTGTGTGAGTACACCAGTCATTCAAGGCTTGGCCGTGACGGCCTTGGGCAAACCCACGATTCTGCGATCTGGTTTAGACTTCGATACCTGTTTCCATCAATGGTCGAGCGATGATCTCTGTGGCGCTGATTGTGGCGCTGTGGCTGTGCCTTCACACTTGTGACCAATCAAGGAAATTTAGTGGAAACGTGACGCACGGCGATCGTGCCCCGCCATCTGACAGCTTAAAACCAGGAACTCTATCCGCTAACAACAGGGCACGAGGTTGGCATTCTCGGAAAGATGATGGGCGATGAGACAATGGCTGACCAGTCCTGTATGCATGTGACCTACAAGGCGTTTATTCGGCCTTGGAACAGTCTATGACGTCGAGTTGCACATGCTGGTGTTCCTGTACATATAATCCTGCAAGCGCATCCCAGGTAAGTAGTTCATTTCACTTTCAAACCAAATACTTTCCAACGTCAGATTTCGACACAACCACACTCACCATCATGGGTATCCTCGACAAAATTGAAGACAAGCTTGGCGGCAATAAGCATGGTAACACAACAGACAAGCACGGCAATACAACCGACAAGCCATTGTACAGCAGCAATGAGCGCAAGAGTCTGGAGCATCAAGCGGGAACGCATGGCCATGGAACTTCTGGTAGCAGCACCCTCCCTGGTCAGACATCCTCTTCAGGCTATGGCACATCAGGTTCTGGCTTGACCGGCACTGGTGCAACTTCTGGCACAGGAGCTGGTGCGGCCTCAGGTCTCTACAACTCCTCTACCAGCGGGACATCTGGCCAGCAATATGGCAGTTCGACCACGGGCAGCTCAACTACCGGTAGCAGAGCTCAAGAACTACGCCACCCTGTTCAAACAGGCATGACCGGTACCGCGCTTGGCCAGCCTGGTCAGTACTCGAGCAGCACCATGGGCAGCGGATATGGCAGCGGCTCTACCAATGTAGACAACGATGGCTACGGATCAAGCGCGACTTCAGGTGGATACAAGACCCATCCAGTCGAAGCCGTGGACCCACACAGCACTAAGGGCCAGAATGCCATGTACCATGCTTCATCTGGCGGTTCAAACACCGGCTATGGCACTTCCACCAATGACTACGGAATTCCAGGGCGTGCATCCACAGACGACGTTGACAGATCGCGTCACGGTGGTGTGACAAACTCCGTGAGCTCAAGCGGAAACGATCACACTGGTGGGGATTACAACCTCCAAAACCCGAGCGCGATTCCCACTGCTGGTGGTCAAAAGGTTGGTGGCGTAGGTGAGAATGAAGGCCATCGTGACCACCATCTTGGTAGGGACGCAGCAGGAGTGGCAGGTGCTGGTGCACTTGGTACTGGAGCTTATGAGGCGGAGCGAAAGCATCATCATGGACAAGATAGCTCTCGCGTCACTGGCGGAGACAACTACGGTAGCTCTGGTCTCTCAAACACCACGGGCACTGGCCGTGATCATCACTACGGCAGGGATGCAGCAGTAGGTGCAGGAGCACTCGGCACCGCCGGTGCGTACGAGGAGCATAAGCATCGAGACCGTGACGAGACTGGGCACCATCTTGGTAGCAAGCATCACAACGAGCACTCTTCTAGTGGTCGTGATCAGCTCCCACAACCCAGCTCCTATCCCGACATGTACAACTCGGGTGAGAGCCGCCATGACCAGTACAGCTCTGGTAACACGGGTCTTGGCTCCGGCAACAAAGATCACCACTACGGCAGAGATGCTGCGGTCGCGGGTACGGGCGCACTGGGCGCCGGTGAATACGAGAGGAGACAGCATGACCGCGACAACGTGAGGGACGACAAGTACGATGAGAAGAATTCGTCATCCAGCGGCGGAGTCGCTTCGACCATCAAGAACAAGCTTGGCATGGGCTCCAGCAACACCAACACAGACAATGGGAGCTCGTCGCGAGGGAATGAGTACGGTAGCACGTCGCGCGGGAATGAACACAGCAGCTTGTCGCGTGGAAATGAGCTTGGTAGCTCGCATCACCACCATGACGAGGAGAAGGATATCGAAGAGAGGCTTGAGGAGATTAGACTCAATCGCCGCCTCAAGGAGATCCGTGGTGGGAGGCAGGTGTAAGCAGGATGAAGTGTGAGAATTGTCAGTGATGTATATAGTATTATTGAAAGGATAATGTCATGTATCGAAGCGTCCTCCATCATCTGAACTTGTTTGCTTTCTCCTCGGCTCGATTTGGCTTCTTATGGAGACATGTTTTGATACGCCAGATCATGGACTCACAGTTCGAGGAGCACACGGAAGAATGTTCTCGCTCCTTCAAGACCACCGACTCATCACGAAGGTTCTCGTCAACAGCACGCTTCGTCCGCCAGCATCCACGACGTGGATCTCGGCCCTTTGAAGTATGATGCTCGGCTTGCCGAAAGACTTCTTCCGCCGAGTTGTCACCGTCTTTCAACTCCACTTCACGTCTTGCTATGCTGTCACTCTACTATCATCCACACGACAGTGCCAGATCTTGCAGAGCATCGTCCGATATGTATGGCCGCGGAGTCAATCAGTCTAGTGGGTTGTCGATGCTCGTTGGGGTGCTAGCATATACTGTGTCTTCACTATGGCATCAGTTGACTCAGGCCGCCTCGATTGGCCACTTCAGACAGTAACGTATAAGGTAGGCTTATTCTTCGCGTATCTCACAACCAGTCTCGAGCGGCAGCAATACGGCTTGTGATTCAGCACACGAGGCAGAGTTCTTCCATGATCTGAGTTGCTCAGTTCTCCCTGACCGTACAATTGTAAATCAGCCCAGCATCACGTTTGAACCTGGTCTCGGAAGACCACTGCCCTCGCAACTACCAATGGGAGACGACAGACCGCGACCTGGTCGTTCTGATACGGCACGAACAGCAAGCACGTTGAACGTGACCAAAAGTCTCCGCTTAGACGGACCGGCTTCAAGAGAAACAAATGCCAGCCGTGGCGACACACTGAGCTTTGCTGGACCAAACATGCGACAGGAACCTTACCATGATCCATACAACACATACTACGAGGATGGCTACCACGACGCTAATCCATGGCTTCAAGACAAACGGAACGAAGAATTCAGCTTGAGCGGCACCTTCCCCCACAAAGTCCGCTTCCAGAAGCCAGCGAAATGCCAGGATCGAAAGCCAGAGGGAACTTGGTACGGTAAGGACATCGAGAAGGGCGAGAACGAAGCCGCGCCGCAAGTTCCAGCTGCGGAGGATCAACACGATGAATTGCAACGACAACGCACCGCTGCTACTCAGCAAACGCATCGGACTCAACGGGATGACTCGGATGCAACGGTAGCCGTCGATGAGCAAGACTTCGACACTTCCCCTAAGACACCTCCTCCATCAGGTGCCTCAACACTCGCGAGAAGACGACTCGACGGCTTCGCACCGAACAATCAGCCCATAGGCGACTTGGCGGACGACTTCTTCGAGGAGCCAGATCCCAACAAGCGGCCTTACAATGCATGGGCACGGATCCGAATGAAGTACCGTCGTGTCTTTGCTGAGTGGCTGGGGACGACCATCATGGTGTTTATTGGTGTGAGCACGGAGTTGACCTACATCACGTCTGGACAGCAGAATGCGAGTATTCAGAGTGTGTACTGGGCGTGGGGGTTTGGAGCTATGATCGGGATCTATGTTAGTGGTGGTGGGTCTGGAGGTTTTCTGAACCCAGCTCTGGTTATTATGCTATCCGCTTTCCGAGGATTCCCGGCCAAACGGATACCCGTGTACATTCTCGCTGAAGTCGTGGGCGCCTTCACTGGAGCTCTGCTGGCGTTGGCCATCTATCGCGATAACATTCTCCACCTTGGCCAGGGACTTTCACCAGAAGCAACGGGCATATATATGTACACCCAGCCACAACCTTGGATCTCAGCTGCCAGTGCTTTCTTCACAGAGTTCCTTATCACGGCAGTACTGGGCTGCACGATTATGGCCTTGGGAGACTCGGGTAATGCTCCTCCTGGCGCCGGCATGCACGCCTTCATCATCGGACTGGTCATCACAACCTGCACTATGGTCGGAAGCTGGAGCACAAAAGCTTGTATGAATCCTGCTCGAGACTTCGGTCCAAGACTCGTCGCTGTCGCGGTCGGATACCCAAGATCATTATTCACGGCAAGCAACAATTGGTGGATTTGGGGGCCGTGGTGCGCCACGATTTGTGGTGCAATGGCTGGTGGGCTAGTCTATGATCTTTGTGTGTTCAGAGGTAGTGAGTCGCCTGTCAATTATTCGGGGTTGAGAATGAAGGTGGAGGGTCTGAAGGAAGGGGATAGATGGATGAGGCGGTTGCGTAAGGATAAGAGAGCGGAGAGGATAGAGAGGAAAATTGAGGAGGGGTTGGCCCAGTCGCAGAATGAGGATGGTGTGTCGAGATAGTCGGTAGATAGATGAAAGACAGTCGACATCTTGTCACGTCATTGGACTGGTTTCATAAGTGAATGCTTTCCCACGCCCAAACAGGAAAGAGCAGATTGAAGACGCAGATTGAAGACGCAGACGCGCTCCACAACCACGAGACGCCACAACGCCACAAAACAAAAGACCCTGATTTCGATGCTAAAAAGTTCCGGCCCTGCTTTGGAGGGGAGACGCTTTCGCATATCCACACTACTACCATCCAACACGAACGACTGAAGACGGATTACAGTACAATCTTTACCCGGAGACGACCCTCACACACTCACGTGGAAAATTCGGCCTCTTCCTATGGTCACAGCATAGCGAAAACCTTGGTCGAGAGTGGTAGTGTATACTTTTACTGCAAGCTGCCTTCCCCACAAACAACGCGACAATAATATGAGCGTGCTGCCAGCAGAGGTGCACTCTGCCCTTGTGCAGTTACTACAAGGCCTACAATCGACCGACAATACCGTCCGCGCCTCGTCAGAAGAGCAGCTCAATACAGGATGGGTGAACAAGCAGCCGGGGATGCTCCTCATGGGGCTGGCGGAACAGATGCAGGGTTCGCAGGATGATGGCGTGAGTGAATGAGGCTTGTGGAGAAGGTGAGGTGAAGAGATCTGACATGCCGTGACAGACACGATCATTCTCGGCTGTATTGTTCCGACGGATATCCACGCGAACGGCCAAGGATCAGGCGGGACAGCAGAAGGAGATCTTCCTGCAGTTGAACGCTGCTCAGCGTAGCGAGATCCGAACGAAGCTCTTATACTGCCTCACCAACGAGCAGCAGTCATTCGTACGGAATAAAGTCGCCGACGCCATCGCCGAGGTCGCGCGACAGTACGCGGACGAGCAAGTGCTGGGTGAGGATGGATCACGAGACACGTGGCCGGAGCTGCTGAACGCGTTGTTCCAAGCAAGTCAGTCCCTAGATGCAAAAGTGCGTGAGTCGGCATTCAGGATATTGGAGACGACACCGGGTATCATCGAGAAACAGCATGAGGATATTGTGCTCAGTGTCTTTCAGCGAGGCATCAAGGATGATTCTGTGGATGTGCGCTTGGCGACGATGGCTGCCTTTTCGGCTTTCTTCGTGTCGTTGCAGAAGAAGTCGCAGCAAAAGTACTATGCGCTTATCCCGGACGTGTTGAACACTGTCTTGCCGTTGAAGGAGTCACAGGATTCGGATCAGCTCAGTAAAGCTCTCATTACTGTTATTGAGCTGGCCGAGGCGGCGTCGAAGATGTTCAAGAATGTCTTTAGTGATTTAGTCACGCTCTGTATCAGCATCATACAGGACAAGGAGTTGGAAGACCAAGCGAGGCAGAATGCTCTGGAGTTGATGGCCACGTTCGCCGACTACAACCCGACTATGTGCAAGAAGGAGCCCAAGTACACGACCGAGATGGTGACACAATGTCTGTCGCTGATGACGGATGTTGGTGCCGAGGACGATGATGCGTCAGAGTGGAACGGCCAGGACGATGCAGACTTCGACGAGAGCGACTCGAACCATGTTGCTGGCGAGCAGACCATGGATCGACTGGCGAACAAGCTCGGTGGCGCCATAATATTACCACCGACCTTTAACTGGCTACCTCGAATGATTACATCCGGATCGTGGAAGGACCGACATGCAGCACTCATGGCCATATCAGCGATATCCGAGGGCTGCCGAGAGCTGATGGAGGGTGAGCTTGATAAGGTGCTAGACCTTGTCTTGCCGGCGCTACGAGATGCACACCCTCGAGTCAGGTGGGCCGGCTGCAACGCTCTTGGTCAGATGAGCACGGATTTCAAGGGCACCATGCAGGCGAAGTACCATCAAGTTGTCTTGCCAGCACTGATCCCAGTGTTGGCTGCGTCTGAGCCGCGGGTACAGTCACATGCCGCCGCGGCGCTCGTCAATTTCTGTGAAGAGGCGGAGAAAGAGATCCTGGAGCCGTATCTCGACACATTACTGGAGAACTTGATGCAATTGCTGCAAAGTCCGAAGCGCTTTGTGCAAGAGCAGGCATTGTCAACTATTGCCACGGTGGCAGACTCGGCGGAAAGCACTTTCGGTAAATGGTATGGTCAGCTCATGCCGCTCCTGTTCAATGTCTTGCAGCAGCCGAATGAGCGAGAATTGCGATTACTCCGTGCTAAGGCCATGGAGTGCGCCACTCTGATTGCGCTGGCAGTCGGCAAAGATCGCATGGGCCAAGACGCCATCACGCTGGTCAACGTCCTCGGCAACGTCCAAGCTGGCATTGTCGACGAGGACGATCCGCAAGAGAGCTATTTGCTGCACTGCTGGGGCCGAATGTGCAGAGTACTTGGGCAGGACTTCGTACCATACTTACAGGCTGTCATGCCACCCCTACTTAAGCTCGCGGAAGCTAAAGCTGACATTCAGTTGCTCGAGGATGACGAAAATGTGGCTCAAATACAGGAGGAAGAAGGATGGGAACTTGTGCCCCTCAAGGGCAAGTATATCGGAATCAAGACTAGCACGCTGGACGACAAATTCATGGCCGTTGAGCTCATCACAGTTTATGCGCAAAATCTCGAGCAAGGCTTTGCGCCGTATGTGATGGAAATCATGGAGAAAGTCGCGATTCCCGGTCTGGCGTTCTTCTTCCACGACCCGGTACGAGTAGCATCGGCGAAGGCTGTGCCACAGCTTCTGAACTCGTACAAGGTCGCTTACGGCGTTCAGTCGGATCAATATCAGACCCTGTGGAAGGGGACTATCGTGAAGATCCTAGAAGTCCTTGAGACCGAACCGGCTATCGAAACACTCGCGGAAATGTATCAATGCTTCTACGAGTCTGTCGAGGTGTCTGGCAAAGACTGCCTATCAAACGGGAACATGGGCCTGTTCATCACATCTGCGGAAACCGTGCTCAAGGACTTCCAGACGAGGTTCAAGGAGCGCTCAGAGGAAGCTGCGGAGCGGGAGGATGGCGAGGAAGCGGATGAAGAGACACAGTTCGCTATCGAGGACGACCAGACTCTACTTTCCGACATGAACAAAGCTTTCCACACCGTCTTCAAGCACCAGGGTCAATCTTTTCTGCCGCACTGGGAGCGGTTACTGAATTACTACGACCTCTTCGTCTCGAATCCGACAGATGAGACACAAAGGCAATGGGCCCTCTGTATCCTCGACGATGTCCTCGAATTCTGCGGTCCGGCATCCTGGCACTATCAAGCCCATATCGTGCAGCCCCTGCTCTCCGGCCTCCGGGACTCGGCACCAGCCAATCGTCAAGCGGCATGCTATGGTGTCGGTGTAGCTGCACATAAGGGTGGCGATGCATGGGCAGATTTCGCTGCAGGGTGTCTGCCTATGCTATTTGAAGTCACGCGGAGACCAGGCGCGAGGAGCGATGACGACGCTTTCGCTACTGAGAATGCTTGTGCGAGTATCGCTAAGGTATTACACTTCAATGCGGGTAAGGTTGGAGATTGGCAGGGAGTTGTTGCGGGTTGGGTGGATACACTGCCTGTTGTCAATGACGAAGAGGCTGCGCCCTATGCTTATTCCTTCCTGGCGGAGTTGATCGAGAGGTGAGTCTGCTCTGCTACTCCTCCCTACCGTGTGACTTTGCTAATTGTTCAATTCAGTGAGAATCCGGCAGTGATGTCCCAAGCGGCGCGCTGCTTCACGTTCGTCGCACAGGCTCTGGAGGCGGAGACATTGCAAGGCAACATGGCACAGAGGATCGTGCAGGCGGCACACAAGCTTGTGCAGACGGCCGGGCTGGACGCGAACCAATTGCTGGCCAATCTGCCACCAGAGACGCAGCAGACTGTGCGGGCGTTCTTTGGATGATGACGGGGAAATGCAGCGCGAGGTACGAGATTAAATGATTAGCATGAGATCGCGCTCTAGATGTCGTGATGAAGGCACCCGCAACATATCAGCATGACAGTCCGCTTGTGGATTTCTACACCTGTGTGTAGACAGAAATTGACTAGCAGTACCGATCCCTCCACAAGGTCACATCACGTTGACCAGTGCTCGCAGAAACCGTTCCATCTATCCAGTCTCCTCGTGCACTCCGCTGGCAAGGCGTTCCAGCGCCATGTAGCAACAAGCCTGAGCACAGTCCCGAAAGCCTTCGCACTCCCGATAGCATGTCCCAGCGTCCTTCGTCTAACCATCGATCCTAGGCATGCTGAAGGCACCCATTGTCGTGATGCGCCAACGCTGCAGCTCCTGCAAGCAGACTCGCATAGCCACATACGCAAAACTCTTCATCTCACCTGCCTGCCTATCCACCCACCCAGCCTCCTCAACAGCCACCTTGAAGCAAGCGATCGCACGCGGCAAAGCCTCCAGCTCACGTTCCGCCGGCACATCGTACAAATCGTCCAGATCTGTAATCGTCTTGATCGTTCCATCACCATAAATGATGCGCTTGACAGCATAGTCAACGACAGGCTCGAAGCGCTCCCTCATGTTCTTACTCAGCTCACGCAGGGGCTTACCTTGTGCACCACCTTGGCGACCGAGACTAGAAGAAACATTAGCATGAATCCGACGATTCATCACACAAAGTTCCATCCTGTCGCACTTACATGCTGCCGGAGAAGACTTCCATCTCGGAGAGGCAGCCTACTGTCGTTGGGCACTCGGCATACATGATGTCGAGCAGATTCTCCTCGAAGGTGCTACGGATGTTACGGGCCAACGCCATATAATTTTGATACTGCAAGCCGTACTAAGCTCCCCAATGAATGACATACTCAAGCACTCGTTCGAGCATCGGCACGCTAGGTGCATTGCCAATGAGCAGTCTCTGGTTCTGCTGCATGCCGACGAGGAATTTGCGCTCATCGATATTGCGGTACAAAAGGCGGAGGGCCTTCTGACTCTCATAATATTGATAAGGTCTGCGCTCGCTGTCGAGACCTTCGAAAGCATCGTCATCGTCCTGGTCGTCTTCTTCGAGGTCCAGATAGCCTTCTCCAGAGACGATGAAACGAGGTGATGGTGACATGAAGTCTGGACGATAGTGGTTGTGCTTCGGGCATTCTTTCATGTTGACAGGAATACCAGTCTTCGAGTAGTCCACGGCAGTGCTCGCCATGCCTGCAAGCTCTATACACTCCGCACTGAATGTGCCCTGGTCAAACTGATCAGCCAGCTGCATGTGTACGTTGCACAACATACCTAGCTGGTCAGTCTCCATGAAGCGGATGAAGTGATCGCTCATGTCTTTGCTGGTGACCTGGCGGTTGAGCTCAAACGGTGCGACTTTTGGATAGTCGGCTGGCGCAACGGCAAATTCTGGCATCAGTCGAGGATCCCAAATGACGTTGTAGAGGTCGCCGTCAAGGTCGCCGCCGCTCAGCTGGCTGGGGAGATCGCGTTGCCCTTTGCTGCTGAAGACCACGACGTTCCTCAGATCTTTAAGTGGCGATGTGCCGGGAACTTCCACAGCATTGACGAGCTGCACATCGCCTGAATGCATTGCCGGCGAGCGCGTGACTACGATTCTTTTGCGAACAATAGTGTGGCGACCTCCGCCAGGGCCGGCTTCCATAGCCACATAGATCTCGCCTTCCTCCAGAACTCCGGTCTCATCCATGATGCCATAAAGGGTGGTACCTTGCTCCACTGGTGTACGACCACGATACTTGCTGGAGAAAATGTCAGTGAACGTTCCTCAACTTATTCTGAGTCAATCAACTTACATGTCTCGCATCTTCGTCATCACAGCCATCTCCACAATGCTGTACAGGAAAGCATCTGCACGAAAGTCCACACCAATCTCGTCTAGCCGTGTGATGAGCTCAGAGATACGTGCTGCGCGCGTGGTCTCAATCTCATCCATCAGACCAGCCGTGTTGATGACGTTATTGAGTCTGCATCTAAGTCTATCCACGGCGTGTCTTTGCAGCTTAAGGAAAGAGTCTGTGGGAACCCCGAGGTCCTCAAGGATCTTGACAAATTGACGGTTCAGCACCATAGGCAATGGCTTGAAGGCAGCACCACAGATCTCCAGTGTGCGCGACGTGGAGCCGCTGAACTTCTCCATGTTCGAGCGCAGGCAAAGTTGTCGGCCTTGCAGGCGTGAGTCGAGTGCGACGACTCCCTTGGCCCCACGGAAGCGAATCTGCAGAATGGTCGGCTTGAGTTGACGTCTCGTGCCGTAGACTTGCCATATATCACTAAGCAGCGCCTGTGAAATCGTGCCGACTCCATCGGAAAAGTCGCGACCATTGCGCTCTATTATTGCAAGGTGAAAGATCTCAGCATCATCTATCTCAATGGAGGCTGCCGTGTCGGTAAAGCATTGGCTTATCCTCGCTGCACACCGGCAGGTGTGCGGATGTTGGAGAAGTCGCCCAGCCTCTTGATGACTTGCGGGGCGTACAGTAGTCGAAGCGCATCTCGATCCCACAACGGCGCCATGAACTAACATGACTGGTTGCGCATGCTAGAGTGGGAGAAACCTAGGAACGAGAAACCAAGGCCAGCGATATTGAACGTGCCGTCCAAGATACCTTTGAACCGCTTGTGGAATATAAGCGTATTCGAAGCTCGTGGATCGTAGTGTACGTTTCCACCATCCTCATCCTGGAAAATGATCCGCAGGAAGTTGTCTGTCTGGCCTGCATATTGACGCAAGACACGGTTCGTCGGCTCAGGTCCTGGCCCTTCGAGGTATGCACCCGCTGGTGTGATCACGACTCTGTGAATGAGCTCGACGTGGGCATGTCGTTTTGTAAGCTCATACACGTTGTCCGGTGCTTGAGGGTCGTACGCCATGGCATATTGCATCAGCATGTATGTCAGACCTTCGACAGACAAGTCCTCGGCGTCGGTACCTGGACCCGCATTTGGCATGTTCTTGTGCAGTTTCATCAGCGCTGTGAGTACAGCGCCCGTGCTGTACCTGTCGAGCAGAGTTTTCACCCGAGGTAAGAGATCCAGAATGGTTCGTGGAGACAGTCGGCCATTTCGCGCGAGCCCATCTAGCTGAAAGCGCACTTTGAAAGGCATGTTTCCAAATCGTCCCATGTCTGCGAGCTCAAGATCGAGCCGCTCCTTACTCCGGGCCCATGTCTCTTGCGGAAAATGCACCTTCGTTGGCATCGAGATGACGGATATTAGATGGCGGCTCCTGGATAGCAGGGACCTGTTCGTTGTGATTTCATGACGGCTAGCCAGAGTGATGCGATAGACGAGGGCAACGCCCGCGATTTTGCGATGGTTGTCGTCAATACTGGATAGCCTTGTCTTCCGAATGTCCTTTTGTCTTGCCACAGTATTGCCGATTACCAGGGCAGCTAGCCCAGTAGTGAGGACATCTTGACCATGAACATCGTAGAACTTTGGGGAACTGCGTAGCATGATGCAGATCGTGGGATCGTTCGTGCTGCCTGTGATGACACTATCGCAGTGGTGATAGCTGAGATCGATTCGGACATGCTGTGCGTTGGTATCACCAAGCAGCAAGATGGCTTCCTTGCTGCCGAATGTGATACTGCCGTTAGTCGTGCGCTTGTAGTGTGTAGTGAAGACGAGTCTGTCGCCCTCGTAGCCCCATTGACCACATTGCAATTCGCGTGTCGCAAAACGTCGTGATGTGCGATTCTCGGTTTGTGTAGTTGCGGGGACTAGAGCATTGATGGGGACAAGGGCATTAGATAAGTTCAGCGGAACCAGGGCATTGGACGCGTTCAGCGGGACCAGGGCATTGGACGCGTCCAGCGGGACCAGTGCATTGGATGGCTTGCGAGCTGCTTCGTACGCCAACGATTGGATTGCATAGTCGTGTGGCGCGTTGCGGCTGAGTGCGCATATGAGAGGGCGTCCACTGCATCTCACCGACTTTGTGCTTCGGACATTGTGACGAGAGTTCTGCGGAACTCCATAGATGTGCAAAAACTGTTGCCCGCAACTCTTGTCGAGTAATGTGAGAACCGCCAAAGGTTTGTCGCGGATCTTGTCGACGTGAAAATCCTGTGTGCCGCACTCACCAAGCGGGCCGACGAACGCTCGTTGCAGGTCCTTGTCAGTAGCCTGGCTGGGCACGTTGCGGACGAAGACTTCCATGATGAGAAGGCTATCGCTGTGCAGACTTGTGTGACAATTGTTATTGTGGTGTCAGAAGTGGTGGGTTTGACAACAGAAACCAAAGTTCTGCTGTGTAATTAGACACAGCCGGGTTGCTGTCTGTGACAAGAAGCTCGCGTGATAAAGGCTTCGTTGACGGTACTTAAAGGCCACCCACCTTTGCAATCAAACTGAGGTCCGATTGTGACTTTTCGAGGTGCCGCACGTGGATTGGAAAGCTTCTTCGGTTTGTGTAACGTCGGCGTCTTAGGTACGCAGACCTTGCGCTGCTCGCCGTGTTGAAGACGAGGAACGCGTTCGAGGGTGCGATAGCTACCTTTTGTCTTGCCTGGTTGCTTATTGCTGTGAGAAGTATCTTACCAAACTTACCAAAGACACACGATGCCACCACCTCGTATACCAGTTGCCTCTTCGCCAATCCCAAAGCCAGTAATACTGTAGCCAGGAATGTTTCGTGCTTTGCAGCACAATGGTAACTTACTTTCTCAGGGCTGATCATGCACAGTATGCATGTTTGCGATGTGTCGAGTGTGATATGATGTTTGTCGAGGGGTGATGTTAAACATGTCGCGTCGCCAAAACTCCATTGCCACGCGAGCAGAGCAGTGATGTCAGTGCGGAGGCTAAACCGTACTGGGAACTTGGGTATAAAGCAACGTTCCGGAATATAAAACAAGTTGGCACACTGGATGTTAGACGACAAGATCGTCTTGCAACGATGGATATTCGTGTGCAGGACTACCTGGACGATCGGTTGCAGTCGTTCGCTGATTTGGAGAGTCTTGATACCTTGCTGGACAATGTCAAAAATCAACAGCAATTGCTGCAGCGACAGCTCGATGAGGCCAGAGAGGACCACGGCCAAACAGAATCGGAAATCGCGAAGCATGTTCAGACAGTACAAGCGAGGGCAGAAGTTTTTGAGCAGGAGCAGCACGATATAGACCGCCGGCTACTCATCGTGACACAGTCCGAGACTAGCGATGAAGCCGTACACACCTTCCAGGCGAGCATGGAGAGATTGAGGAAACTGGATGTCGCCGCTGGGTACCTCGAACTGCTGCAGGAAGCCGATAGACTGAGGAGTGAATGTGTAGCACAACTTGGGAAGTCGGACGAGGCTGCGCTGGAGCCATATCGCAGGCTTCAACGGCTTGTTGCCAGTCTAGGGCCATTGCAGGAGGCTGCAGAGGGCGCAGCGCCACATCTGCTTAATCACATAGCCCAGCAAGTGGAGAGCCTGCGACAGACCATACGTGATTCGTTTGCGGCTGATCTTGAAAGCACTCTGAAGAAGATGGACTGGCCGAAGACCTTGTTAGAAACAGTACCGTTGGCTCTGGAGAAGGAGTGGCAGAACAATATTGGGAGGCTATTGAGATTACAGCAACCTGAATTGGAGCAGCTCGAACAGTCGAAGGGAGAGAAGACGGCGATGTACGACCCACCTGCATTGCTGCCACTCCAGGTCATGGTTCAGCCGCTAGAGCAGCGCTTCAGCTATCACTTCTACACCGCCAATAAAGACACTAACCGCCTCGATAAGCCCGAATACTTCCTACGACACGTCATTGAAAGTATTACGAAGTATGAGGACTTCGTACAAAATGCCATACAGCCGCTTCTGCTGAAGCACTTCCGAAGCACAGACCTGGCGTTCACTCCTGCCTATATGGATGGTACCTCAGCACTTATCACTGCACTCTTACCAATGCTACAACGCAAGCTCTCGAGCATGATCAATCAGATGGGCGATCAGTCTCAACTGCTCAGTCATCTTGTGCATGAACTGATAGCATTCGACACGACGCTACTAGACGAGTTCTCATACAAACCTCTGTCGCCCACCATCCCCTGGCGAGGTCTTGCTTACTACGTGCTCGACACATGTGGCTATTTCCAGACTTGGCTAGACGCGGAGCGAGATTTCGCTCTCACGCGGTATGAGGCCATTGTTCAGGCGCCTGAAGCTGGTGAGCTGGACTACGACTCTGTTGCAAGCAACGACACCAAACCCACAAAGATGGCTATCAACGTCAATGATCTTCTCGAGACTGTGACCGATCGATACAAGCCACTATCGAGCTTCAGCCAGAAGCTGCGATTCTTGATCGATGTGCAGATTGCCATCTTCGACATGTTTCATCAGCGATTAAACGCCAGTCTTGAGGCCTACATCGCCATGACATCTTCTGTCGGACGTACAATGCATGGCATGTCGCGCGACGAGCAAGCTGACCTACAAGGAGTAAAGGGTCTGGATAGGTTGTGTCGTGTCTTTGGCTCAGCAGAGTATCTCGAGCGTGCTATGCGAGACTGGAGCGATGATGTCTTCTTCCTCGAGTTATACGACCAGCTGCAAGATCGTGCGAAGAACCGCGATGAGATTAGCAGTAAGCTTGGTGGTCTAGAGGAGATCCAGCAAAAGACAAGTTTGGCCGTTGGGGAAGATGACAGTGACGGCGAGGGGCAAGGCGCACTTTTCGACGAGACGGCTGCTGCCTACCATCGTCTTCGTGTCCGCAGCGAGAACATTATCGTGGACACGCTTGCGTACAATATCCGAGAAGCACTGAAATCATACGGACGGCTTGCTTCCTGGGCTTCGCTGTCATCTGGTGTAGCAGGAGGCTCAGTCTCAGCCGAGCTAGACCCACTGCTACGTCTACTGACCGAGTATCTTGGCTTCCTGAGCAGAGCAGTTGGCAAAGTCGCCTTGCGACGCATGACTCGACAAGTCTGTCATACAATCCAATCATATATTTGGGATAATGTCCTAGTCCGCCACTCTTTCTCCACAGCAGGCGCCGCCCAAATTTCGACAGACGTCCAAGCTATCGGCGCCGATATCGACCGCTATGTCGGCTCTGGACAAGCGGAATCCGGGATGCGACGGCTGCTGGAAGGCGTGGCATTGCTCGGTCTACCTGTGAAGGGAGAGATCCAGCGTGTACAGCCCAGTAGGTCTGGGGAGGAGGATGATGAGGGGTCGGCCTGGGATAATGCGAACGGAGATGCGGCTGGGCAGGTCGAAAAGCAGATGGGTTTGTTTGAAGTGGAGAGGTTTATGTTCATGAATAACGAGAGTGCGAGACATGCTCTTGAGCGCTTGGGGCTTGAGGTGCTTAGTGAGACTGATGCAAGGACGATATTGGGGAAGAGGGTTGAGTTGAGTAGCTAGATCGTCCTACTCATCACTCTATTCGACTCACTATTCGATCGCGACAATTAGAGAGGCTAGCCAAGTATTGCGCCGCATGCGGTCGGCTCGACTGGCAACCACGAGCATGTTGCACATCATCCCGCATGGCCACCCTCTGCCATTACCAATCTCAAGAGAACGACCCACGGTCACTACCCTCAACATCAGTCCGAGTGGACCAAGCCCTACAATGGCTCTGATAGGCCACACGACCTTCCACGTTGCTAACAGCAGTGAACGCTCAGGTCCTGCCGTAGGTAGTAGCAAACAGGGTGCGACACATACATGAGCAGTCACTTTACTTCCTACGTGACGATTCCGAGCATATCAGCCAGCATACGAAGTAGGTCTTTCATCCATTTGACACAAGTCCTCACTGAGAGCTTCGAAGATGTGTGGTTTAGCAGCAATATTTGGAAAGGCAGATGGCGATGCGTTGGAGCAAATGCTGGACTCTATCGTGCACCGTGGGAAGGACGAGCGTGGAATCTACATTGCGAGCGACGCCTCACTTGGTATCCAACGCCTGAGTATTATGGGTATCGAAGATGGCTCTCAGCCTATGACTCGTCCGTCGTCTGGCCTGAGCATCGTATGCAATGGAGAGATATATAATCACGCAGCTCTTCGCGAGGAGTTCGGACCGAGTTTGCGAACCAGCTAAAGCGATGTCGAGGCAATTTTGGACGTTTACGAGAAGCTCGGGCTTGAAGGTCTGCCTCTACTGGATGGTATTTTTGCTTTCGTCATTTTCGACGAACAACGAAACGAGTGGGCAGCTGCCAGGGACTGTCACGGCGTGAAGCCATTGTACTACCTCCAGACCGAAGATACGTGGTATCTTGCTTCCGAGATCAAAGCCCTGACGACGACTCGGCAAGACGAAAGACTCATTCGCGAAGTGCCTCCTGGTCACTATCTCACTCGTAAAGAGCTACAGCGATATAACTTGGACTTCAGAGGCCCCATGTCGGCGCCTCAACCCGCACTTTTACGCTCTCTCCTACAGGCGTCTGTCGAAAAGCAACTACAAGCCGATCCAGGTATACGCATTGGCGTTTTCCTTTCCGGAGGCCTTGACTCAAGCATCATCGCGGCACTGGTCTGTCTTTACAGGCCCGACGTCACAGGATTCACCATCGGGTCCGATCACTCTCCTGACATTGCTGCGGCCCGGCTGGTCGCAAAGCATTTCGGCATCCGTCTTAGAATGTGGCCTGGATGTCCACGATCTTCAGCAGGAGATTATGGAGGCTGTCCGAGTTACGGAGTCCTACCGCGTCCCGACCGTCCTTCAGGGTCTGCTGACCATGAAGCTGGCAAAAGCAGCAGCAGAAGAAGGCGTCAAATTTATCCTTTCGGGCGAAGGAGCGGATGAGCTGTTCGCTGGCTACGGCTTCTTGCGTGAGATTGATGCTGTCTCGTTGCACAAAGCTCGACGAACGTTGTTGGCCAATATTGGAAAGACAGAGTGTAAGCGACTCGATCGCGGAACCATGGCATATTCTGTGGAGGCACGGGTGCCATTTCTGGACGACCATCTCGTCCAGTGGGCACTTGCACTCCCAGCAGACTGTCTCATTCACCGTACAGAACATGGACTGGTTGAGAGATGGATTCTTCGGGAGGCTTTCAAGGACCTTTTGCCAAGCTTTATCACACAGCGGACGAAGCTTGCCTTCTATCATGGCAGCGGGATCATGCCAATAGCCAATCAAGCTAGTCAGTCAATAGATGATGCTGCTTTCGAAAGCTACAAGCGAGAGCATCCCAATGCTCACATTGAGGATAAGATCTCAATGCTTCTACACAATCACTGGCGGCACGAGTTTGGGGACGCTGGAGGTTTAGCCGGGTATGACATGTTCTGCTATTATCCGTTGATGCAGGGCTTCTTCAATCAGTCTCGGCTTACAACAGGGGGGACAGGGGAGAGTGAGGCTGAGGTCAAGGCTCTGGATGAGACTCTCAATCAGCTGTAATAAGTGATTGGTGTCAAGCAGTACCATGTACTGTGTTGCAAATAACAAATCGTGACGAGAAAGGGGACGGTATGCGTGAGATGCTATCATAGGTCGATCCATAGTTGCACCACCACAGACACATGTATCTCAAAGCTTGAATCGATAGACGTGCTGACCGCGAATGAACGTTCTGGTGCGGTGAACTGCAACAGTGCGGGCTGGGCCGTGATGCCAAGACCAGGAGACCACGCATGATAGATTGTCACGTTCACCGCAACTTCTGGCCCGCAACCATTGTACGAGATTGAGTGATATCTCGAATATATCATGCTCGGTGATCGGATCCAAGACGACGATGACACCAGTTTGATGCCATGGGTTTCGATGAGGAGAGTGGTCTGGTCTTCGAGGAGACCGTGGCGCGGCGATGTGACTGCCTGACCAAGGCCTACGAGGAGTCAAAGCATGCAGGGCCAGTTCGTTCATCCCACGTCCGACGCCAGCAAAGAGTCTGCCAGGGAGCTCGTCCACTTAAAGTCGTGCTAGAGAACTGGTTACTTGCGAATCTGCACCGCCTCGGTACTGACACATTGACTGGGATGCCGTCTCTGCTTGTCAACCGTCTCTGGCAGTCTGCACAGAAGAGTGGGAAAGTCAGTCTACACCTTTGGTCAGTCTTCGTACGCACTGGACTGCTCGAGTTTGGCAACGAGACATTCGAGTGGCACTATAAGTGCTCGAAATGTCGGCGACTGCCAGAAGTGCTGAAAGTCCTGGATGATCGCCAATCAACATGGTTGGTGGATCTCAAACTCGATTGTCATGGTTTGAACAAGGACGACTTGTACCTGTTGTCCAGCCTCCGCAACATTCGTTCCCTCGCGATTCGTAGTCAACGCGAGAGTGCAGTCACGGAACGAGTTCTGTATAGCTGGGTGGAAGCTGTCAAGCTGAATGGCGCTTTCCCTTTGCTTGCTTGCATGCATATCACCCTGCCATTGAGCAGACACCAACAACCGGGCGACAGGATCACGAAGCACGCACTGAGCGGATTGCAGTACTACCCAGCTTTGCAACATGTCTGTATTGATGATCCTTCAGGGAGACTACTCGACCTGGTCAAGGTGGGTGAAAGTCTTGGTACATTCGCTGTATCTGCCCCAAGAGATTGCTGGGAATTATCGTACGTAGCCACTGCTTGCGGCATACTTCGAGCCTTCATTGGCTGTCGTTCAACGACTATCGATCTTAATGACGACAACAGAGATGGAGGGAGCTCAGCGAAGGTCTGTCTGTCACGGAATGCTCCGGGGCGTGTTGCAGCAATACTACCGACCGACCACGACGACAAGCAAGCCAATAATCCATCGAAGAAGCGGAGGCTGAAGGCCGGGAAATCGGTACCCCTCGATGACATATTGCAAGGCTTTTCATATTGACTATTACATCGTGCATGGGTGAGCCTGGGCGTGCTCGAGGTCCTATCCACTCACCAGCAGAATGTGCAAGGTCAAGGCTGCACAAGATGGTTCAAGCAAGGGAGATCTAGCGTATGCACCGTAGCATGGGTCGACCCTGCCACAAGAAGCGGCATGATATCGACGATCGATCTCGTCAACTTCAACAAGATCCACCCTCGTGGATGACTTTGATCGGAGCAAGCATAAAGCTCCGTTACCCACTGACACAAGACAAACTCCGTGGCATCCACTCACATCGGCAAGCTCTAGCGTCCGTCCCGCACAGGCATCGAGATCCAATGCATGGATCCTTGTACGTTCCTGCATGTGGCTGCATTGACTTGAGATTATGATTCTGCATCAACATTTGGTTGAGCTGCGCAAAGTGGTGTGGCTGTCAAGCATCATTATTGCGGCATACTTTCGAGCTCCAAAGTACTGAAGGCGGAAAGATGCGGTTCAGACTGTGCAATAACGGCATGCTTATTACTACCACGGAGAGGCAGCACGCGTCATCGATAGTGGTAAGATTGCCTTTCCAACCAGTGCGCGATGAAGAATGACCAGAGCGGATTTCCTCAGACACCTGGCGCCGTACAAAATATTCCTCAAATATAATGCACTCGTTCGAGATATGTGAACAATCTGAGAACCCAGAAATGGTACAGAACACTGTACTTCGGCATCAATGTTGTGGATGTTTTACCACCCATACCTAGCTTCCATCGAGTCGCTCGAGAGCAATTGCACGAACCGATCGTCAAGTTCTCTAAGCATTATACATCTATTGCGCCATGTATCACTAACCCAATCATGGCGATGTCCTAATCCCATACTCCTAGAGGCTTCTTGCACTCCCATGCTGCGCATTCCAAAGTCGTAATATATCATATTTTTACATGCATGCTGCACCGTCAATACCGATGACCTTGCCATTAACCCACTCGCCATCCTGGGAGGCAAGGAAGCAGACAACACGGGCAATGTCGATGGGCTGGCCGACACGGCTCATTGGTGACCAAGTAGCGGCGTACTGAAAGTATTCGTTAGCATCCGTTCACGTTTGAGGGATTTTGAGTAGTTTGACATACCTCGTCGACCTGGTCGTCGGAGAGCTTCTCACCGTTGGGAATGTACTCGCGGCAGACACGGTGGTACATGTCGGTTTTGATACCACCTGGAGCGACGCAGTTGACGGTGATCTTCTTGTCACCAGCGTCAATGGCCATGCAGCGAACAAAGGTCTCGATGGCGCCCTTGGAGCCGGAGTAGATGGCGTGCTTTGGCACACCCTTGGCCTGGCCGGTAATGGAACCCATCAAGATGATGCGGCCACCAACGGACAAGTGCTTGTAGGCCTCACGCGCAACGAAGAACTGACCGCGGGTGTTGATGCGAAAGACACGGTCGAACTCCTCCTCAGTCACATCCTTCATGTGGCCGAAAGATACAACACCGGAGTTGGAGCAGACGATGTCGAGCTGGCCGAAGTGTGCAACCGCGTCGTCCATGAGCTTGATGGTCTCCTCGACGTTGCCGACATCAGCCTTGAGGGCAATGGCGTCGCTGCCATTCTTCTTGATCTCGTCGACGATCTTGTTGGCGGCGTCAACGGAGTTTGCGTAGTTGACGACGACCTTTGCACCGCGGCGGCCGAGCTCAGTGGCCATGGCGGCACCGATACCACGGCCGGAGCCAGTGACGAGGGCAACCTTGCCATCGAGGCGGGAAGTCTCAACTGCTTGGGGAGCCATTGTGTATGTGGTTGGTATGTTGGTGGTGGTTTGGTGGAAAATGTACTGTTTGTGTGTCGTGTGGGTATCCGTAGAATGTCAATGGCAAAAAAGGTGCATGACGGGGCAAAGAGCGGTCTATATACATGCTTACCATTCGGCAGCAGTGTTGAGCGAGGCCGCGAGACCTGCCTTTCGGTGGGGCGCCGGAGCGGAGAGCTCATCAGGAGTACCTGCAACTAGTCCTTGGAGTCTTACGCACATCATGCTATCATACATTCTCGCTCTGAGCAAGCATGGCGTCCATGGTTGTGCTTGACAACCAGCAGATGGTGAGGCCTCGCGAAGAAATGTCAAGGCCGAAGACGCGAGCTGTCTGTGCTCAAGTCGAGTTGGGAACACTTTGATCTCTCTCCAGACCCTGAGATTCTGCAGGTCAACGCCTGTAACTTTTTTTAGGTGCTGCGGGCAGTGTTGCGCTCAGTCCGCCGGCTCGAAAAGGTTTAGTGGGAGGTACCTCGGACTCTTTGGCAGTGGGAGAGATGTATGCCCCTCGCACAGTACAGTATGATGATGCGCTCGACATGCGCTCAGGATCATAAGACTGCAGACGGCTGCATTGACAATAATGGGCAATAATCCAGGACGATACAGGTCTTTGCCCGGCAGCGCCATGATAGTTACGTACAGCAATGATTTGCCAAAGGCTACTCGGCAACCAGATCCAGGCCATGCATGAAGCTCCTGATGTTGCGGTGAGCGAAAGTTACAGCCAGCGTGAGACACTCGCGTTATTCTCAAAACCATATGCGCCATGATGCTTTCGTGTTTTATCACCCTTTCAGCCTCCTGGTTCGCACATCCGACGACGAGTACTCGGGACCTAAGCTCTGGTCAGCAAGTCTGTTCTGTCGGACGTCCATCTCACTTATGATCATAAGCCTTACAGGCTTCGGGTTCCGCTGACTACGAGGCACCCCACAGGCTGGACTCTTTGCGCACAGTTCACACTCAACGCTCGGAGAACATCCTGGAGGTAGTCATTTGGATTTGATACCACATTCACTTCCGCAAAGACTGGCGGTTGAAAAAGCGTCGTCGAGACTTGCAAAGCGGCAATTGTGAATTGCTTGACCATGTCGTTTTGAATTGCAACAATTTTGTACTCCTGCTATGATAGACTGTCGCCCTTCTATGCGCCTCTTTGTAGGTTTGAGATGCCGCTCAAGCTCTGTTCACTCCCGTACAGTATCAGGTGTTGCCAATATTTCCAGGCTAGGTGCGGTGACAGATAGTATGCCGATACCTCTTCCAGTCAAGCGGCTTCTGGATTCCGGACTTTGTACACTACCTCAGTATAGAACGAAACGACGAGACTTGGGGTAGTCGGCGGCGTGCGGCAGATCGGACAATATACAGCCGGTCCGGCAAGACCAGACAACCACACATGGTATAGTGAGGAGATTACCCGTGAGCGTAGAGCCCACGATGTGCAGTAGCGTCCCAGAAGGATTGCGGATATATGGACCAACAAAACTGCCTATAACAACGCGAGGAACGTTCTGCGACTAAGGCAACATCGTTTGGTGCTTAGCGTTACATAAGTATTGAAGACGACCATCATTGCTAATCGTTACCATTATCCTGGTCTATATCCCAACTATACCCAATCATTCCAACCAAACGACAAGAACATCAAGCCGGACGTATACCAACCCCGAGCCTCCCTAGTATTGTGGTATCGAAGAATCGAAAATCATACATTATTGTCCAAATCACATTCACCAAACAAGCAGAAATTAGCTGTGCCAAGGTCAAAGAGAAATACCAGGTAAGATTGTGGTATAGTGTCACACACATGCAATCGGCAGTTCGCGATGCGGAGTAGATGGATGGTGGCGCGGCACAGCTATTGGCTGGATGAGCGGATGGGTGGTGGCAGCTGATGTACAGCATCATGTCGAATCACTCGTGATCGATGGACGGTGATAAAAGTCCCACGGACGCCTCCAGATCTTAGCCTCTGCTCAGTCTGTCCAGCTTGTTCCGAATGCCGTCAGAGAACCGAGACGCGGCGCCTTCGTCAATGACTTCGATACAATGCTGAAGCATGGGGTATGCCTGGTCGATAGGCATCTGTGAGCCGTCATGCTTGCTCACGCACGGCACACCTTCGCGCTTGGTCAAGTAGCGAACGATCAATGGATGATCCGCCGGTAGCGCATCGATGGCGAAGGTCGGGCCGGCGACCGGGAAGATGCCATTACTGTTTGGCGTGAGATTGTCTTTTCGCAGCAAGCTATCCGTCCACAGGATCAGGCCAACACGATAGATGGCTGCCGCCCACCAAGGCGGCCGAATCCCCCGAGGCATTGATCGAATGAGCCGGAAGACTTGGCCGCAGTGGAATACAGCCTCCTCGACGTCAGCGATGCAACGCTTATGCATCCATACAAGCTGCTGGTACGTCCCATCGATATTTTCCCGACGTGCGAGTCGCTCAATCTCTGGAAGGTTTGTCACAGCATTCAGGCTGATCAGATGGAAGATGACCAGATTCGTCTGCATCATTGGACACACCGGATTGGCCTTGAGGTAGCGCTCTGCAAGATCAAACCATCGCCCGAGGAGCGATTGTACCTCTTCAAGGCGTGTGCGGGTTGAGGACGCTGTCATGGACCGTGGGCTGGCGCTTCGCTTCGATGCAGAATCTGAAAAGCAGCTGAGAAGCTGACTGTACTGGCAGACCAACGATTGCAGAGGATGCAGCAGCAGCCTCATTTGGAGAGGAGTCATCTCAATGCCCATCGAGACCATCTCGTCGTCGAGGAAGTGTCTGAACAGATCTCGTAGAGACAAAGGACGAGCGCCGGAGCCAACGGATGAGTAGCCACCAGAGAATTCGTGTACCTGCTCGAAGATTGCGGACCATTCGCCTGCACTCTTAGCATGCCATAGGCGATCTGCGTCCGGCAGAGGTGCGGCAAATTCTGTCACCGAGAAGAGTGGTTGCGTGTCGTGGAAAAGCGAGATGTCCTGATCGACCATGACCCACGAGTAGACTAGCCGACTCTTACTTTCGTTGTGAATCCAGTCACTCCAAAGCTGATCAGTATTCGGCCGCTGTTCTGGAGCTTGCTGTTGCTGTTGCGAACGATAATCGAGGCTGCCCGAGTGTCGAAGCATGGCGAAATACATCCCACGCTGGCCCATAGCAATGTCCATCTGCCATTTATCCCCACTCCAGGCCGCCTGAACAATGAAGAGAAGTGCCGAGTGCATGACGATTGCGTCACCAGACATGATTACATTGCGCTCGATCAGGTCGAAAAGAGAGATCCGACAAGCTTCGTTCAGGCCACCGGTCAGCAATCTAGCCTCCTTCGACGGAATGTTCATTGCTCCTTGTGCCATCATCATGAGCACCAGAAGGCTCGCCGCTCGGTCATTGTAGCAATGCATAAGCTCATTCGCATCTAGAATACCGCGAGACGTCAACGGATAATATCGCTCGAAGCTATTAGTGTACGACCGGAGGAAGAATTCGAGGACCCGAGCAGGAGGCAGGAGTACAAAGTTTGTCGCACTGTGAGAGCCAGGCGAGTGACTGTCGGGTGGTGTATGGCGAGAGCTGGTATCCCGGTGAGTCTCCAATGCCTTATGCAAGAAGCTCTGGGTAATCGCCAGAAGTTTGTCCCGTGTGCTTTCGTGCAGCTGCATGACCGTCAAATGGTCGGCACCCGCGAAATCGGCCTCCTCCCACTGTGGACTCCAGGTACTCCATCCTTCATGGTTGCGTAGTGTTGACTCGAGTAGCTCCAGATTCAATCGGGCAGTCTTTGGACAAGATGCGGAAGGGATGGTCGGCGTACATCGGAAGGCAGTCCAGGCATCCTGAGCTGCGACGATCGCGGATACCTCCTCAAATCGCTCTGGTGTGGACACAACCGACATGCTTCGTTGCGGATGGTATGAGGTTGCGGAGCTACCCACCTTCAAGTCGTGGAAACTTCGATCAAGCTTCGGACTTTCGATGGGTGTGATCAGTGGCCCGGTGCCATCTGACATAATGGGTAGCAAAGGCTCTCCGTTCGCACCGACCGGAATGACACCGGTCTCATATGGCATGCCTTGTTGCATAATCATGCTAGGCTGGACCATGCCGTCGAACGCTATCGGCATGTGCATCTGACTCCAATCCAACATGAACCGAGGACTCGATTGTTCCGACTCTTCTCTCAGATCGAAGGACGCGACTGGCGTCTGGTGCACGAAAGCACTTGGCGTCTGCATAGGTGGAGACATGTCGTTTAACACTGGTGTCGGCCCACTCGTCGGATGCTCAAAGACTTGAGGAGGTGGACCGTCGACGACAGGGAGGTTGAGAGGAGGAGGCATGTCGTCTTTGGAGATAGTGGCCATTCCTTCCTTTGGACTTGCTGGTTTGAGGATTTGCTGTTGCTGGGGTGGACTAGTGGTCGGAGCCTGTTCTCCCATAACACCTTGAGGTCCCAACTGATCGGTATACGGCGGGATCGCTACTGCGCCTTCTGGAGGGACACCCATGCGCTGGGCATTTTTCGTCGATCGTCGGGTCGGCCGTAGCGTACATCTCAAGTTTCGTCCAGCGCACCTCGAACATGGGAACTTCTTATCACACTTCGTCTTGGTCTTGGCACAGTTGCTGCAAGCAATCGGTGTCCGGCCAGCGGACTTAGGGATCATGCCATTGGCTGCTGGTATAGGGTCCTGATTTTGATCCCGTCCATGAACCGTATAGTGACGCTGGAGAAGGTCGCTGGTCGTATGTTAGCATACCCAATCATGCAAGAAAGCAAGGCCAACGCACCGTCTCGCGAATGACATGTGACATGTGAAGCATTTGAAGGGCTTGACATTGGTGTCTGAAGTTTCTGGTCAGTGATGTTCGATGGAGTCTTAGCTTCCATGTACTCACGAGTTAAGATATGCCGTTCAAGGTGTTCGTCCCGCGTGAAGGACTGGCCGCAATATGTACAGAATACCATGCTCGTCTACTGCACCATAAACCTCACCAAGAAGTAATCGAGCGCTTCACAATGCGGAAACAAGCACGAGTATATCCAATGCAGAGGCGTGGGGGTTGAAGAAGCAATCTGATACAGGACCCAGGACTGTAGGGCAGTGGAGCTCGCTCCAAATAAAAACACCACGAAATGTAAGCGGGAGGAGTATTGCAGGCGTTGGTGGGTAATCATAAGATACTAAGATATGATTTTGAGTGGGGGAGCCTACTTGCTCAAATGTCGTTATTCTCAGCCGCCGATCCTCAAGGATACACTCAGCTCTGCATTGCAAATGCACGTCTGACGGCAGCTCTTGTGCCTGCAAGATGCGTCCCTCTCGCGTCGATGATATCTTGATTATGCTCACCCAAGCCATGCAAGCCACTTCGTCTAATCGGAGAATTTGTGCCTGGTCGTAGATCATCTGCAAGGATGCCCTGGCTGTAATGTACAAGGATACCTCTTCTACTGAGCACCCTGCGGCCCTGGCTCGCCACTCCACCTAGCGTACGATCTCTGTCTCCACGCGTGGGCCGGAAGTCTCGAAGCTCTATTTACCCAATGTAGAAGTAGTCGATACACTCCGAATCCGCTGAAACGATGAATACTGATCTACGCTACGATTACATGATCTTTAGTGTTCTTTTGCATCGTCCCGTATACGCATGATAGACTATTCCATATGATGGTTACCCACAGCACGGGTCGGCGTCGGAAGCCTGTGCCAGATGTTCCCGCGCAAAGTGGGTTGTTACATGATAGTGGCTTGGAGGGAAGCTGGTTTTGTGGCTGCGGGATGTCTTATTACTGCTGGCGTCTAATCATGCGTCCGCTCGATAGAAAATGGTCCGGGTCGCAACATCTCGACTGATTAGAATGTCAGAGCACTCCTTTCCAGCGAGCCTCGCCAGATGATCGTATTGTCGGCCTCTACGTCAGCACACCCCAATGCTGGGATCTGGAGTACGTACCAATTCGACAGCCACAGCTGCTCCAAATCGGAGCATTGTGCAAGCCACGACATACTCGATAGGGATGCCTTTCTCCCTTGGCGCTGCGGTCATGCAGGAGGCTCTTCTACATGCAGTGATGTGTGTTCACCATGCTCGAGCAGGGGCAGGGGCTGCATGCGGGATCAGCTATCTAGCAAGCGTCATCTACGACCTGTCTGCTCCTCGAGTATAGATCTGCTACGAATGGAAGCCCAGGTCGAGTATCTACCACATGCTTCGGACGCTCTGTGGCTCTAAACCTTGCGCTATTTGCCGCCTCGAAATCCAAACCTGTGTACTGAGGTACATGATACTGATAAGACTCAAGCCACTCAGCCAGCTTTCTTGGCTCCTTTTAGGTCCCTCTGACTGGCTGTAAGGCTGACAGACGATGCTCCTGGGCTCACGCATTCGTCATGCAACTTCTGCTAGAGTAGAGCACAGAGAGATAGCAACGGCCGCCGCTTACGCCGAATGCGGAAAATGCCTCAATAAGACGGTGTGCTGGACTTGAATAGTGCTACAGCTTGCATATGCTATACCGTTGACGTCTCTCGTTTTCACCGGAACTGTTTTTTTGTATCAAACGGGCGATGTCCATTTCTACCAGACAGATGATAGGCATGGCGAACGAGAGCATCTCCATCACGACTGTCTGCTCCTTACGGAACGTACATGCCTCTACCTAATGCTTCATTTGCACGTAATCTATGTAGCAAATGCACCAGTCGTAGATGCACTAGGAAGCAGGTCCTGACTTTTCTCATTGGCTTCCGGGCCGTTGACAGGCCACAATTTACACATGAAGCGGCCACACGTCGAGCTCCACTGTTATTAGGTGGTGGAATTCTGAACCTTTCAGATCGATGGGTGCAGGAACTCAAAGGAGTGGTTGCAGGGAAGGAAGATCTCTGAGCAAGAGTCAGTCGCCGGAGGTGTCCCCGAGCATACCACACTACGTTCGGCATTTGCCTGTTCATGACGATGACACGGAGAGAAGTCGTTGAACGTCTAAGACTGAAATGTGTTTAGCCAAGCACAAGTGCCGCGGCTGAGGTGCTTCGGTGGTGACAGACTCGGTGGTGCTGACAAAGCAGTAGCTGTTCTTCTCGGAGGACCACCACAATACGCTCGTCTCGAGGCGATGACGAAGTCTTCCATGACCAGATGAGAATAACGCAAAGCAAAGCATCGAAGTGGCCTTACCTGGTCTTGGCCTCCCACATCAGCACGACTCCCGGCCCTCCTTGATGATGACTGAGCTAACAGGAAGTCAGCAGTGTAGCTTGCCATTCTATCTTCTTGTATGAGCTCGATTGCACACGAGTTGTATGTCTACGGCATGGCATTCCCTGGCATTTCCTGGCATTATCTACTTCCCGAACTGCCACCCACAGTTCGAGTGAGAATGCGCAGGATGGTACAACGCATGCAGTCAGTGACCAGGGAGACCAGGTTCTCGTCTGAGCTGGATATCAAACACTTTCGGATCAAGTGTATTGCCAACTTCCTGAGCATTTGTGTCAGTCCAGTCTTGGCCCAGATAACAAGCTGGAGTTTAGGCATAGTAGTAGCTCGCGAGAGCTCATCCGACGTGTTGGCCATCTTCGTCAGATCAGCCCGGCAGTGCATCTTCTGCGGGTATTGCTGAGCTGCAGCACGTACATGTAGTGTTGCCAACGGACGCATACAGGAATATGGTAGGATCGATCGTCGCGTTCGCCTTCGAAACAACGACCAACAAAGCTGGTCGAGCTCGAGCATGCTCTGCTGGGACTGCAACACTGGCTAGTCGGGCCCATGACTGCATAGATCCGGTTGCAGGGACACGATAGTCACATGAAGCCAGTATCGAAGTTATGGTATCGTGGCAGCTCCAGATGCTTTGGATCGACTTAGGATCATTTTACTACGTTCAACTGATGTAGTGCTTCTCGTCAGCCACCGGACTTGGCAATGTTGTACAAGATCTGACGCTAGAACACTGCTGCATATGGTGCCGCACAATACTCCGACGTAGTAGCACAGATATCGTGTTGGTGGCACTTCCAAGCACCACGATAACTACCGATCGGAGACTTCACGTGGGCTATGCCACTGCTGTGGTCATTGTCCCCGATTGTAATACGGCATGGAGGACTTCTCGTATGGATCGGAGCATGACCATATCGTGTCCTCGGTGACCTACTTTGTAATGGCCCATGGGGACCGCCAGAGAAGCCACATTCAGCCGTCACGGTCCAAGGGACAGCTATTGAGGCGCCGAGTAGATCTGGCAGAGTGCTCCGATTCGCATTATGTGCGCCATCATGCCTACACGATTCCAAACCCTGCGGAGACTACTATTTTTTTCAGTGATGCATCGATGCTGACAAGTACACAGAGTACCGTGCAAGGCTCCTGTTATGCAGTCAGAATCAGTCTGTGAAGCAATACGGCCGCAGTTTCGGTCCATTCTCGATAATTCAAAAACACCGATACTGTGCAAGTAAGATACAAGCTGCCCTAGGATCTACATATTCAGCACACAGGTCGCTGCATGAAGAACGAAACATACCTTTGAGCTTTGCGCTTGCATATCTTCCTTTGACATATCCAGTAGCTTGATACTTCTAGGATCTCGCGGCTCCTCGTCGCTGCTCGCATCACAACATTGGTGAAAACGATCGTCGAAGAGAAAACCAGAGTCAAGCTCCGATGTGATTGATGTGCCGCCGATAGTGCTTGATTCGGCGTAGCATTTCGATGCAGCATTCGGCGTACAAGATTCGTCCATGCCACCTACTGACAAGGCGTCCACGATCTCAGCAACCCCTTGCTGCAATGGAGACGTAATGCTAGTCGAAGGGTTGTATGCTAGAGATGGAACAATGGTGTCTTGGTCATTGTCGCAGTCCTGATTGGGCCGCATAGCAGTGTTGACCAACAGCTAATTAGCACGAAGGTAGCGGCCCAGGACCTGTTGAAGGTCTCTCCAATCAGCTGCGTGGTCCTTGACCATCTGCAGTATCGCCGTCGTATCTGTTGCTGGATCTCGGTATGAGGAGCGGTCGGGCTTCACAAAGACGCTGGCTACCATGGAGATGCCATCCATGTTGATCAAAGCAGGTTGCTTGGTAGTAGTGTGAAGCGAGCGAACTCTATCCACATTCTGATCGAAGCACAGTGCGGCCGATCTGAAAAAGATCCCCAGCTCGTTCGGCGAGGTCTCGGTCATCTATTTCATGGAGTCTGCTCCCACTGCTCCCAAAGCTACGTCATCCGCTGCGTGCAAGACATATGCAAGTTAATGGACAAAGGCTTGGTGTTTGTCATCGTACAGCTCGCCGTACAGGTTATCGAAGCTCTTCGAATTGCAATTTACATCACAAAGTTGAGCAGGGGGTGCCATACATCTTCGTGTGTGGTCTCTTGCAGACACACGAGCTCAACCAAGTTGATCCGTCTGATCGCAGGCTGGAGAGCCCTTTGGGCTATCAGTGGGGGCACTTAGCATGCTCATGGCTGCTTGTGCTCCTTCCCTTGCAGTCTTCGATGGGGGCGTCTGTTCGCTATCTTCAAGGAGCTTTCCTAGGTCTATCGTGGGATTAGCCGTCGCGGATGCCCACCTTTCGACGGAAGACCGGAGTGAATGCTGTCTGTGTCATCGTGGCCCAAGCATGAGTAGGAAAGCCTGGCGTGGCGAGTCGAATGTGGTGTGAGCACTAGGCAGGTGGCTCTGGCTACTTTGAACCGCTTGGCCGGCAAGTGAAACCAGACTTTGATAGAGCCAGTTCCCATAGCAAGAACGATAGATAACTAACCAGCTGTAACGTCTTGCTGTATTGATGTGGCTAGAAATAAGAATCACAACATGCCCTTGATTCAATGGCTGCTGCTTGGGGACCTCTGCTCGAAGGTTGTCTCTAGATGCCGTTCTGGTCGTGGGGTCGAGCGATAGACGAAGAGACAAAAGGAGAATCGGTGGCCACGGTAACCATAATCTGAAGTTATGCCGTGATCGTGAGTCGCCTAAGGACAAACACACTTGCTAGGGTTAGTCCAGACGATACAACATGCACTTGACGGAGCAGGCACTGTGGGTACCCTTGGGAACGGGCCGAGCTAGACAAGCCATTCACGACCTTGTATGAGCTAAAGTACCATGCTGGGCCTCGTTGCGGACGTGAAAGTCCATAGCTGCTGTGGCCGCAGTGCTGTATAGTTGAGTGACAGCTCTAAAAGACGAGAAGGAAGAGAGCAGGAGAAAGGATTCAATTGCGAGGGACTTCCTCTACAACACTTAGTGCGAGCGTGCGTTTCGTAGACACTAAGCGACCGTAAGCGATGTCAGCGCTACAATTGTGCGCAAAATGACTGTCGCATGCCAAGACCAAAGTTAGGGAAATTATAGTGTCCTCGAGGAGCGCTTATACCTAGGAAGCTACTTAAGGCTCCTTACGCCGCGTTATAACGTATATTAAAAATAATAATACCTTTAACTCGAACTATTATTATAATCCTTACCCTTTTTAAGCCTTTATTAAGACGATAACTAGATATTTTAGGTGCAGGCGCTCCTCGAGGACACTACGCACCGTACAACTTTAGGTCTTAGCATGCGACAGTCATTTTGCGCACAATTGTAGCAGCAAGTGCGGAGGGATTCACTGCTGCAGTGTAATGATGCTGGACATGAGGGGAATGGAACGTAGCTGGTATGTCGATGTTCGAGTCTACAGGAAGCCCTGGACTGCCGCTCTATCGGATGGATCAGACTGTCGGGTCGAACCAATAGCTTGCTGGATGGGAACATCTGGTAAGTGGTCTCCAATTTGCCACGCAGACCTCAGGCTGCCAGGCTGCATTGTCGCCGATAGCGCTGTTAGCTTCGACTGCCTCGTACTCCGGTGACAAGAGCGGCGGCTGCTCGGCGGACGAGACTATCTCGGTACAGTCTGTTTGGAGGGCAGGCGTTCACCGAGCAGCGACAACATCCCGCCCTGATCTCCCAGATTTCCAATACATTCAAGACTGGCTTCTGGGCGCGATAGCGATGACGACACAGTCATTCTTTTCAACGATGCGAGATGTGTGAGTCGTGGAGATCGGAAGAGGAACCGAGTGATCTGATGGGCCGCGCAGACAGTCGACCGCAACCTACCGCAGTCAGTGGAACTTGCTGTGAGAGCGCCGTGCTGCAGCAGTGTTGAGATGTTGAAATAGACATATATCAGCTGCGGGAGGAGACTACGCAGAAGACACCACAGTCCTACCAACCAATTCGTCATTCTCAACTACCAGCATAGTCCCCCGGTCTGTATGCCATGAGCGGTCTTTCTCGACATGGCCTTGAACCATGCGTTCCTTAGGACCCGCATCTAGGGCTGGAACTCCCTTCTATATGGCCTCTAGCCACCGCAGTAATGACCAGCGTGATCTCCGCTAATAGTCGGCTATCCTGGAGGTTGTGCGGCGGTCGACAGAGCTACCTGCGAGCTGCTCGAGCGCTGCGCGCAGTCAAGTAACGCCTGCCTGGATCAGCTCCAATTTTGATGCCGTTTTTCAAGCTAGTAGACCAGCGAAGCAGATTGTTCGTGTGATGTCAAAGCCGCACATATCCATGTTGGTGACATCTCGGTCCGGATTAGGGAACAGTCCGTGTTCACTCTAATCAGTACTTCGTCAAGGGCCTATTGCGACAGACAAGCTACAATTTCACGTCCTTTTCTCTACCTCTCAGACTCAAAGATTTGTTGGAGTTGAATGTCTTGAGCCTGGACTGATGTGGTAGGCCAACGTGTAGCCTCACGAACGTTGGAAAAGAAACCAGATTTGAATGCGAGAGTAAGCTTACTGTTATGGTCGCAACCACAGGCTTGATCTCTGCCGGGCATGTAGCTCCGCCGAGGCCTCTGGATCATCTACGAGGAGTCTAGAGACTGACAGGGAGAATTGTGTCAGTTGAATGGTGTGCCAGGATTGCGGTGTCGCCTCTCGAGCGCAGCAGTCCAACCTCTATCACTGCTCTAGAGCTCGGAAAGTCGATGAACAAGACGACTGGGGACATCTGCACATTCTGGGTTCCCAACAAAACGGCCATGCGCGGTAGATAGGTCGACCTGATAGTAGAGCAAAATGGGTTGTCCAGGGTTAACAACAGGAATACGAGGATCTTTGCATCATGTCAAAAACTTTCGCCATTGCATTGCTGCGTTCGTGCCGGTGACGAACAGATGATGTCGAGGGCGATGCGCAAAACTTGACTCCAATTTCCGCTCCAAAGCTGGACTGCGTGAGTCGTCTGGGTAGATTTTGCTTGGTGAGACTGCATATTGATGCGTACAGTCTTCTCGTCCAGTACGTTGATGTACAGATCCATGTAGAAACCTTGAATATGCATGTCTTGTCGTCATCCGTGCGCGCTCTCGGAAGATGGGCCGACTTCACTCTTGTCATCGATTACCGGTTTGCATATACCCGCAAGATTAATATGCGACATGATCCAGCTGCAGTGAATGGGATACTGATCGATGACAGCGGAGAAGAAATGATATCCTGGAAAGCAGGCTCCAGGAGACATGGCTCAGGCAGTGATGTCGATCTGCGTAAGCCGCAAGTGCATCGCCGAATTCGTGGTAGATCCGCTATCAAGCATTCGTTGAGCGACTCCGTTCATCTGTGACCGGATATTGCCATTTCAATAGCTTGTTGAGACCAATGTACTCCTGGCTGCAGACTCCGGGCGAGGCATAGCGGCCGTTTTTCTCTATTTCTCTAACTGTCCCCTGAAGGCGCTGGCTGCCAACCCTCCTCACTATCGATAAGCATGTGCAAAACACTCTGCCGTCTCGGCCCCATACAGTGGAGATCTCGACTCGGACCGCAATGCACTGGCTGCGATTGCTGCGTCTCTACGATTCAAGTCTCCTGAATAGTTCTCGAGCAGTCCCACTTCTGACGATGCGGCTGCTGGTCTCACAAGTTCTTCCAGATATGGCTTCTGAACCCGCTGAGTTATTTACGCCACGGGACTAGGGCGGTGGCGGAAAGATCATTACTGCTACGATTCGCGCTGTGGCAGATAAGCTGTGTCAATCGTGGCATAGCGAGGAGACAGGCGGAGAAGAATCGATCCGGGATGCTAGAACATCGCTTGCTCAGGCTAGCGGACGAATTACTTGCCCCTTACCACTTTACGGCTGTGCTCACTACTCTCATGAAGCACGCGAGCATTATTGTTGGAATGTTCAGTGTGGGGCAATTTTAGGGCGGAGCCTTGCCAATTATTGTATGCATATGCGCATGGCGAAGACGCTGTCGGTCAGACGAGCAAATAAAGGCCCCATTTCCAAGCAGGCCTCAAGCCTCACCATTGGTCGTCGACGTCGCTACCATCGCCAAAGATGTTACAGATACGGGGGTGCTCTGGTGGTAAGCGCATAAGGCTGTGGACGATGGAGCGTTAGCCACGATACGTCCCAAAGTCTAAAGCTAGCGTGCGGCTGTACCGCTTCTATTCTTGCTTCCGCCAAGATTTCGAAGCGAAAGATCACCGCTGGCATTATTTGCAGCCCTGAGGAGCAAGGTGCGGAGTCCAGCAATGTAAGGGCTATGTTAGCTAATGCGTATTCGTGAGCAAGAGACGTAGCTATTTCATGCGTGCATGGAAAGCTATCCTTCGCCTATGTAGTGCTTACGAACCAGCTACAGGAGTACTTCCGGTGAGACGCAACGACTCGAGTCGATCGTTTGGCGGTACTGATCAGGGGGCTGAAAACAGTCTAGAAGATAAGGGCCCGGTCATCATCAATAATCGCAGGTTGGTGAATGGCCTGCAGTTGTACGATGAACTGCTGCATGTCCGGGTCAATGACGAGAGGATTCGAGTGTCGTGTTGAACAAGTGTAACGGTGGTATCTGAAATGCGCGTGGGCGGAGCTACAGCTTCTCGCAAAGGCGATCGGACTGCTGGTTAGTCGGATCTCCATCGGTCTTCAATCCTATCAATAGACGCTAGCTTGGCTGCAGGATCTCTCTCTCTTTCTCCCGAGCGGGTCAATGCTCTGCGCCATCATCCCCGTGTATCCAAAATGGGAGTTGCGCTCATCTTGAACCGCAGCTTGATCCGCCCTGACATCCCTATTGCAAACCCTGGTCCCTCATCGCTTCTCGGGAAGGTGCTGATACATAACGCTGCGTACCAACTCTCCTTGCCAGATCCCATCTTCCTCTCATCCGGAGTTCCGTCTCATCTTCCTGTTTGTCCAGTCAGTCTAGCCACCTGCCTGAACATCTCGTTGCATTGTCCTTCAAGCGTTTTCTCCTAACAACTGTCGACCTTGAGAACTTCCTCGCCAGGAGTCCTCACATCTCCTTAATCCGCTCCCTACCACATCGACCACACTACGATTAGCTTCTGTGACTAGCCACCACAGTCGATCTCACCGTCCAAATCGATCTACTACGATTTCACAACACTATTCAACCACTATATCCAGCATTTTAAAAAAGCATAGCAAACAACACAATGTCGAACGTCCTGCTTTTCGGCGACCAAACCGCCGAGCAGTATGCTCTATTGCACCGCATCATCCTTCGAAAGGAGAATGGTCTGGTTCGCAGCTTCATCGAGCGATGCTCTGTCGCTCTCCGAGAGGAGACCAAGCGACTTCCTCGCAGCCAGCGCGATGTCATTCCTGACTTCCTTACTGTCAACGACCTCGTCGAGGCCTACTACCAGAAGGGCCTGAAAGTGCCAATGCTTGAATCTGCATTTGTCACAATCACCCAGATCGGCCACTATCTCAGCTACTTCAGTGAGAACCCCAACGAGCTCCCTGCCACCAACAACACCCGCGTTCTTGGCCTCTGCACCGGCCTGATCGCTGCCTCTGCAGTGGTTTCCGCCAAGACTCTCCCAGAGCTCATGAGTCTGGGTGAGCAGTATGTCCGAATCTCATTCCGCTCTGGTGCGGTCGTCGATGCTACACGTGCCGCCTTGTCTCAGATTGGCGAGGAGAATGCTCCGTGGTCTACCATTGTGACCGGTACGACCGAGCAGGCAGCGAAAGAGGCGTTGAAAAAGTTCCACAAGGAGGCTGGCATTGGTCGGTCCAGCCAGGCTTATGTTTCCGCTGTCTCCGTCATGGCCATCACCATTTCTGGCCCTCCTACCACCGTCAAGCGTTTCTTCGAGGAGTCCTCTGCTCTCTCCAAGAACCACCGCGTGCCGATTCCAGTCTATGGAGCTTACCACGCCGAGCACCTTTACAGCCAGGCTGCCTTCGACAAGATCTTTGACGCCGACCTCTCCGCTGAGCTCAAGAAGCACCAGCCAGCCTCTGTGGTCCACTCTTCCTCCACCGGCAAGGCCATAGTAGCTAAGGATGCTCTGGAGCTCGCCAAGACTGCCGTTTCTGAGATGCTCCAGCTCCCAGTCCGCTGGGACCATCTTCTCGAGGAGACCGTTTCCCAAATGTCCTCTAACAAGGGACCGGCCAAGATCTTCGCTATCGGTGTCAGCAATGTCTCCAACAGTCTCGTCTCCGCCCTCAAGGCTGGCGGCAAGGCCGACGTCTCCACGGTTGACGAGCGTGCTCTGCCAGAGGGTCAGAGTGACACAAAGGGCCGCACTCAAAACGACAAGATCGCCATTGTCGGCCTAGCCGGTCGTTACCCAAACGCTGCCAACACCGAGGCCTTGTGGGACCTGCTTATGAAGGGCTTGGACGTCCACCGCAGGATTCCAGCTGATCGCTTTGATGCTGATGCTCACTGCGATCCTTCCGGCAAGGGCAGAAACAAGTCACACACCCCATTCGGTTGCTTCATTGATGAGCCCGGTCTTTTTGACCCTCGCTTCTTCAACATGTCTCCTCGTGAGGCTGCCCAAACCGACCCTATGGGCCGACTTGCCCTCGTTACTGCCTACGAGGCTTTGGAGATGTCTGGTTACGTGCCGAACCGCACTCCATCCACCAAGCTCCACCGTGTGGGTACTTTCTACGGTCAGACTTCCGACGATTGGCGTGAAATCAATGCCGCTCAGAACGTCGACACCTACTACATTACCGGTGGTGTACGTGCATTTGCTCCTGGCCGCATTAACTACTACTTCAAGTTCTCCGGTCCTTCTTACTCTGTCGACACTGCTTGCTCCTCGTCCCTCGCTGCTATCCAGCTTGCCTGCACTTCCCTCTGGGCTGGTGACTGCGACACTGCCTGCGCTGGTGGTCTCAACGTCTTGACCAACCCCGACATTTTCTCTGGCCTGTCCAAGGGTCAGTTCTTGTCCAAGACTGGTTCCTGCAAGACCTACGACAACAATGCCGATGGTTACTGCCGTGGTGATGCTTGCGGTACCGTCATCCTGAAGCGCTACGAGGATGCTATCGCTGACAAGGATGTTATCATGGGTTGCATTCTTGGTGCCGCTACCAATCACTCCGCCGAGGCGGTATCTATCACTCATCCTCACGCCGGCGCTCAGGAGTTCCTGTACAAGCGTGTCTTGGCCAACTGCGGCATTGACGCCCACGAGATCTCCTACATCGAGATGCACGGGACTGGCACCCAGGCAGGTGACGGTATTGAGATGACTTCTGTCACCAACGTCTTTGCTCCCCGCCACCGCCAGCGCAAGCCCGAGCAGACTGTCCACCTTGGTGCCATCAAGGCCAACGTCGGTCACGCCGAGGCTGCCTCCGGCGTGAACTCTCTTACCAAGGTCTTGCTGATGATGAAGCATCACAAAATCCCGGCCAACGTTGGTATCAAGGGCGAGATGAATAAGACCTTCCCAGCGGATTTGATCGACCGCAACGTTCACATCTCCACCAAGATGGTCCCATGGCCTCGCAAGGGTGCTGAGAAGCGCAAGGTTTTCCTCAACAACTTCTCGGCTGCCGGTGGCAACACTGCGCTTCTGGTCGAAGATGGTCCTCTCCGCGAGGCACCGACTGGTACCGATCCACGCAGCACCGTCCCGGTGACCGTGACTGCCCGATCGATCGCCTCGCTGAAGCGCAACATCGAAAATCTCCAGCAGTACTTGAAGGACAACCAGGAGACCACTCTCCCATCTTTCTCCTACACCCTGACTGCTCGTCGTATTCAGCACAACTACCGCATTGCCTTCCCTCTTGACCAGATCAGCAAGGCTGCCGATGCTCTCCAGGCCCAGGTAAAGGAGACTTACAGCCCAGTAGCCATGGTCCCAACCAAGGTTGCTTTCTGCTTCACCGGCCAGGGCTCGCAGTACACTGGTCTCGGCCAGAAGCTTTACCAGGACCTCCAGAGCTTCCGTGACGACATCAATCAGCTCAACAACCTCGCCGTCCTTCAAGGACTGCCGGGCTTTCTGGAGATTGTCGAGGGCGCTGATGTCCAGACTTTGTCTCCCGTCAAGGTCCAGCTCGGCATGGCCTGTATTCAGGTCGCTCTTGCACGCATGTGGTCGTCCTGGGGCATCACTCCAGCTGCGGTCATTGGTCACAGCTTGGGCGAATATGCTGCTCTCCACGTGGCTGGTGTCATCTCTGCTTCTGACATGGTTCTCCTTGTCGGTCGCCGTGCCGAGCTCCTCGTCCGTGATTGCACTCCCCACACTCACGGCATGTTGGCAGTCAAGGGCAGCGCTGAGGCTATCCGCAATACTCTCGGCAGCAAGATGACTGAGATTGCTTGCATCAACGGTCCAGAGGAGACCGTACTATGCGGCAGCGGCGATGTTGTGACTGCCGCTAACGAGGCCCTCACCACCAAAGGCTTTAAGGCTACGAAGCTCAATGTGCCATTCGCATTCCACAGCGCCCAGGTCGACCCGATACTTGAGCCATTCAAGGCTCTTGCCTCATCAGTCACCTTCAACAAGCCATCCGTCCCGGTCCTGTCCCCTCTCGAGGGTGAGATCATCCGCGAGGCTGGCATTATTGGCCCAGCTTACCTCGCTCGCCACGCCCGCGAGACCGTCAACTTCTGGACTGCCCTCACCAGCGGCCAGAAGAACAAGGTGTTCGATGAGAAGACTGCATGGCTCGAGGTTGGTGCCCACCCAGTCTGCTCTGGTATGGTCAAGGCTTCCATTGGCGCCACTGTCACCGCTCCATCCCTCCGCCGTGGTGAGGATGCTTGGAAGACTATTGCCAATAGCATGTGCACTCTGTTCACCGCTGGTGTGAACATGAACTTTGACGAGTACCACCGCGAGTTCAACGATGCGCAGGAGCTTCTCCACCTGCCTACCTACTCTTTCGACAACAAGAAGTACTGGTTGGATTACACGAACAACTGGACTCTCACTAAAGGTTTGGCACCCGAGATCAAGGAGGTCATGGTCGAGAGCCAGGGCGGTGCCAAGGCCGCTCCAGCTGTCGAGTTGCCAGCCAAGCGCCTCTCTACCTCTTGCCAGAGGGTTGTTGCCGAGAACTTCAATGGCAACACTGGCTCCGTCACCATCCAGAGCAACTTGGCCGATCCCAAGCTCTACCCAGTCGTCTGTGGCCACATGGTCAACAACGCGGCCCTGTGCCCATCCTCTCTGTATGCCGACATGGCTCTTACCGTGGCCGACTACATGTGGAAGCAGATGCGTCCTGGCACTGAGACCCCCGGGTACAATGTCTGCAACATGGAGGTACCCAAGCCTCTGATTGCCCAGATTCCTCAGCCAGCTGAGGGCCAGCATGTCCAGATGGAGGCGACTGCTGATCTCGATAACATGACCTTGAACCTCAAGTTCCGCAGTGTTCAGCCAAATGGCCAAAAGATTGCCGACCACGCTCACTGCATTGTACGCTTCGAGGACAAGGCTGCCTGGGCTGATGAGTGGTCTCGCTACAACTACATGGTGCAGGCACAGATCGAGCTCCTCAACTCCAAGACCCAGACTGGTGGTGCTCACAAAGTCCAACGTGGCATGGCTTACAAGCTGTTCAAGGCTCTGGTCAACTACGATGACAAGTATCGCGGCATGTCCGAGGTCGTCCTCGCCAGTGGCCAGACTGAGGCCTCTGCCACCCTCGACTTCCCGACTACGCCCAACGATGGTGACTTCTACTGCTCGCCATACCATATCGACGGCTCTTGCCACATCTCCGGCTTCATTGTCAACGCCTCCGACATGGTTGACTCTGATCAAAACGTCTACATCTCCCATGGCTGGGGTGCCATGAAGTTCTCTCGTCCTCTCACTGCCGGCATGAAGCTCCGCAACTATGTTCGCATGCAGCCTCAGCCTGGCAACGTCTCCCAGGGAGATGTCTACATCATGGAGGGCAACGAGATCATCGCTGTCTGCGAGCGCATCAAGTTCCAGCAGATCCCTCGCCGTGTGCTCAACACTTTCTTGCCACCAAACAAGGGCTCTGCCGCTCAGGCTGCCCCACAAAAGGCCGCTCCTGCTCTCGCTCCTGCCTCTGTCGCTCGCGCCGCACCTGCGTCATACAAGCCTGTCGCTGCTCCGACCAAGGCTGCTGCACCAGCACCTAAGGCACCCAAGGTCAAGAAGGCACCCGCGCCCAAGAAGGCCGCTGGTGGTCTCATCAGCAAGGTCATGAAGATCCTGGCCAAGGAGACTGAGGTCGACGAGGCCGAGCTTGTTGATGATGCTCACTTCGAGAACCTTGGTGTCGACTCTCTTCTGTCCTTGACCATCTCTGCCATCTTCCGTGAAGAGCTCGACATGGAGATCAGCTCCACTCTTTTCACTGACTACCCATCTGTCGGTGACATGAAGAAGTACTTTGCTCAGTTCGACAACGGCTCTGCTGCCGCTGCTCCTGAGGAGGAAGAGGAGGACAGCGATCAAGACTCGATGCCTGCCACAGATGTGCCAACGCCCATGGAGAATGGCTCCACACCAGCTAGCTCTGCCCCAAGCTCTGCCCCAAGCGATGCTGGCAAGCCTGAGGTCGACTCGCCAACCCGGGAAAGCCTTCCAGAGATTGGTGATGTCAGCCTCGCCCGACACATCGTCGCCCAGGAGATGGGTGTTGACATTGCTGAGGTGACTGACGATGCTGAGCTCGCTGAGATGGGTATGGACTCGCTCATGAGCTTGACCATTCTCGGTGAGCTCCGTGAGAAGACTGGTGTCGATCTTCCAAGCACATTCTTGACCACCAACCCAACGATCAAGGACATTGAAGATGCTCTCGGTATGCGCCCCAAGGCCAAGGCCGCAGCAGCCCCAAAAGCCGCTGCGACCAAGGCAGCCCCTCAGTCTTCCGGAAAACAGACTGACATGCACGAGGTCTCCGCACGGCTAGCAGCCATCAATAAAACCGACATCTCCAACTTCCCCGCCGCCACTTCTGTGCTTCTCCAAGGCAACGCGAAGTCCGCCACCAAGAAGATCTTCTTCTTGCCTGACGGTTCCGGCTCCGCTACCAGCTACGTTTCCATCCCCAATATCGGCTCCGACACTTGCGCTTACGGCCTCAACTGCCCCTTCATGAAGAACCCCGCAGCATGGGAGGCCAATATCGAGGTGATCTCGCTCGTCTACTTGGCCGAGATCAAGCGCCGTCAACCAAAGGGTCCTTACATCATCGGCGGTTGGTCCGCCGGTGGTGTGCTCGCCTACGCCGTTGCTCAAGCGCTTTTGGCTGCGAACGAGAAGGTTGAGAAGCTCCTGCTTCTTGACTCTCCCTGCCCAGTCAACCTCGATCCCCTCCCAGTCCGTCTTCACGTGTTCTTCAATGAGATCGGTCTTCTCGGTACCGGCGACCCCAGCAAGACGCCTAAGTGGCTCTTGCCTCATTTCTCCGCCGCTATCCGACAGCTCTCAGACTACGATCCCAAGCCATCAATTGGCCCGGTCCCAACCTACGCCATCTGGTGTAGGGAAGGTGTTGCCGGTAACCCCGGTGACCCTCGTCCACCACCAGCTGAGGAGGAGGACCCCGCGCCAATGAAGTGGCTTCTCAACCACCGGACGTAAGTGCAGATCTCTTCACAACCACAAGAACAATGCTAATTGGTATCTAGTGACTTTTCTTCCAATGGTTGGGATCAACTCTGCGGTCTTCAGAACATGAAGTTTGGGGTTATGGGAGGCAACCAGTAAGTTTATCTTGGGGCAAAAGGACGTGTAATACCGGACTAACATACTCTCAGTTTCTCCATGATGAAGGATCCACACGCGACCGATCTTGGACGATTGATCAGAACTGGTTTGGACTGGAATGCATAAACGATGGACATCGCTTTTACCTTGAAACTACTTTCGTCGAAGCACACAGATGATGGCAGGGAAGGACACTCCAATACCTTGGCCGGTGTGACGACGACCTTTCCCTTCGCCAGATACAACAACACTTTACTATAATACAACATGGGCGTCACTTGCTACGGATCTGATGCATTGTTTGGAGCTACTACAGGATAGATATGAGCGTTTGCATTTGGGAGATGAGCTCCAATCGTTTGGTTTGTCGCGACTATTGTATAGTGCGAGATGTTTGTCATTCGAATGACGTTGTCGTTGCTGCTAGGATATACCATGGGTGGCCCCCTGTTATTGATTCGTATGTAGCGTACAATAAATTGTACAATAGTCCATCTTGATCGTCATTGTCAAATTTTTCCGCATCTCTCGCACCGACTCGTCTCTATCGTTCGCCATCCTTCTGTTGTCCAGCGTACACTGTATTTCGAACAGCAGTCAACAATGGTAAGCACTAGTCATTCGATGGCCGTTGACGGGCGAGCTTGTCAATGTCGGCTGGGGAAAAGCCATACTCTCGGCCAGTTGACGTACAGCGTTGACGTGCATGTGTACGTATTTCGCTTCGCAACCACACCCTGGCGTTCCTTACTGCCGATATCATGGCAGCCTCGCGAAGGTCAGCTGTTTGCATAACATGACGTCTCTGGCCAACCTGGTCTCCGTATGGTGAAGTGGCGAGCTGAGCCAAGGGTCGTTCGGGAAATGTGTCCCCGTTCGTTCGTGCAGAAACGAACCTTGGAACGAACTATCGACATACTTGCTTCCATGCCGTCAAGAGTGTATTACATGATAAGCTATTGGTTGATGGAGCTAGCACGATGCAGCTTTACGTGGTTGAAGCATGTCACCAATTGACGCCAATGCACAGCCAGCCGCCACAGCCGTGCACTTTTTACTGCTACAGAGCACACCTGTGGCGCAAACGCTCGGCACGCAAGTTTCACGTGCCAGTACATTTTCGGGCTCACGAGCATAACAATATAGTTTAGTGCCATATGGCAACATTACGACATGACTGAAGCTGCGAAGAACATGTACGCCTTTCCCCAATTAGAGGAAACTCCAGCAGACTGATCCATTCTTAGCGGCAAGAATGCGCCAACAAACCCTCGAGGTATACCATTCGCACCCTTCGTGGACAGAGTAGAGGACTATGTCAACTCCAGAGATGATGTCGAGAGCTGTCTCCGAAGCTTCCAGGAGATGATTTCGTGAGCGAAGATCATGTCACTCAACATACCCCTACCGATACTGATTCGGACCTCTTATAGCAAATATCAGTTCATGGAGTCCAATACCCAAAAACGTGCTCTCGGCCTGAACGACAAGTTACCGGATATTTCGAAGACCCTTGACACTGTCCGCTTTCTCAAGTCGCGGAAGGTAGGCATAGATATTTGATATCTGAAAAGCTCGAACTACGTACTGACCAGACTCTAGGAGGATGGCGAACCCCTCGAATCGTTCTTCGAGCTGAACGACACACTCTATGCGAAAGCCGAAGTACCTCGGACAGAGGAGGTCTACTTATGGCTCGGTGTAAGTCATGGTAGCCGTTCAGCGAGGCACAAGTACTGACTACGTTTTTCAGGCCAACATAATGCTCTCCTATCCTCTGACCGAGGCGGAGACATTACTGCAGTCCAAATACGAGGCTGCCAAGTCTTCCTTAGCAAACTGTGAAGAGGACCTCGACTTCCTGCGCGAGCAGATTACTGTAAGACAAAGATGCTCATACATTCCAACACGGAAAGCTGACCACGTATCAGACTATGGAGGTGGCCACAGCACGAGTTTACAACTGGGATGTGAATGAGCGAAGAAAGGAGAAGTCGAAAGGTGATGGCGCTGCGAATGGCGGCAGCAAGAACGGGCCAGATGGCTAATTACATGAGTACTTCTCTTGCGTTGCTCCTGGTGGCATCGATATCAAGCATGGCCTCTGAACGTATCTGCTGGAGTAGCAGTACTCTCTTGCAAGAATGGCTCTGCTGCCACATTATACCTTGACACTAAGACGTTCGTGCTCCTCCTTCACGATATTGACACTGTCCTCGAAGATCGAAGGCCTCGTTGGTTCACACCCCAGCACCTTCCTCGCCCTCTCGGCCTTGCCTCGAGAGTTCAGACCCCAACTCACAGCCTCGAACCCAGCCTGATCCAGCGCCGCCTGCTTCGAAAGATCCTGCTTCTCCAACTTCCCCACAAACCCGGCCTTCTCGGCCTCGTGGGCGATCTTCTCCGCCAGCTCCGTCCAGACGTGCTCCCCATTTTCGACCAGGTAGTAGCCTTTTGGACCCCAGATCTCCTCGTCGAGTCGCTTTGCGGCGGCGGCTTTGGTGAGAAGGAGGAAAAGTTCTGCTAGGTCTGCGACGTGGATGTGGTTCCAGCGAGCTTTGCCTGATCCTACGACGGGAATATACTTGGAGGTCAGCATCAATTTGGTCATCTCGTAGACTTGTCGTCCGCGGTCGGAAGCTGGGCCTCTCTCTTTGCCTGTACCACAAGTCAGTACTTGTCCTAATTCTCGCTCCCCATCTACGCTTGCCATACCATAGATAGTAGGCGGACACAACAGCGCAGTCTTCACTACGTCCCCGTGCTTCTCAGCGGTCTCCAGCACGATCTTGTCGACATTTCGATGGAAAGCACTATCCGGTAAGTGTGTGAGCTCTTCCACGCCACTCCAGTCGTTATACTCCTTATCGTCATGTTCTCCCAGACGATCTTCTTCGGCATCTTTGTACGTCAGTATGCCACTGCCGCCGGTGTGAAGCCAGAAACCTGGGTTCTCCTTGGTGTGGCCTTTCACTAGTCCAGCTGCGATGGCTTTGGCTGCGCCTTCGTGGTCTGAGGCGTCGGCAGCGTCTGCGAAGTGTCAGTTTTGGGCTCGTTCGGTATAAAGCAAGACTCACGCAGGACGACGTCCGCTTCAGAAGCTTGTTGCTCAAGCAGAGAAGAGTTCTCCAGGTCGCCAATGACAATGTTGACTTTGGGCAAGGCTTTCTTAACAATATCCGCTTTTTCTCGTGTGCGGATCAGGAGAGTGTACTCGTATTCTGGATGTTTCTCATAAATATGGTGGATGGCATCACCAGCGATATAGCCAGTGGCCCCAGTACTGTGAACATCAGCGGTGATCTCTTTCGAGATTGGGAACAGGCATACACGAAAACTTTCACAGCCATAATTCTCTTGTGTTGGTCGTTTGACAAGGGCTAGGAAGAATCTATATCATACAATCCTCTTCTCTACTCGCACCTTCTGTTCGGTTATATGCTCAATCGTCAATCAGCGTCACCAAGCCTTGGCATAAAACCTTCCGCGGAAAACCATGTCTCCACCTCTCGTTGTTGCCACAACTTGCTAATGGTTCATCCGGCGAGAGAGAGGTCGTTACTCGATTCTTCGGAGAATCTGTCAATGTCACAAAACCAGAACATGTCCTCCATGCTGTTCAGCAACGACCCTGACTTCAAGAGATGGCATGGTAGGGGGCGCAAATGTCAAATAACGTTCGTGCATGAAGGTATTTACGGTCGTCTGACTATTGAAATGGAGCCAGATGCCTCGCTCACCTGCTCGCCGTCCGTGACATCACCTACACCAGTATTGTCCATTACAGCCCAGAGCCATCGACATACCAATTCTCACCCTGCTTACAGATACAATGCCAAAGACCGACCCTCTCGTCACACAACCCGCAGCATGGAAAGTCTTCCTCATGAGTCCTACAACCCCATAAACTCCTTCAAACGCTTCCGCAAAACATCATCATCCGCAGTATCCACAACAGACGCTGCAGCAGTAAGTGCGTTGTCTGGATCAAGCCCTGTCGAAAACTCAGGCGTTGACCAGAAGTCGCCTGCAATTTTTGCGAAAGGTCGATAGCCAGAAGGACTGACGTCGAGCATTGCAGCAGTGCCGTCGCCAACCAGACTGCCCGCAGCGCCATCGCCATCGCCACTACTAGACTGGAACACCTCCCCAATCAACCTGCTCTGTTTCGTGGCGGTCTGTGCACGAGGTGCTGCCCGCTTCCGCTTCTTGGGTGCTGGCTGCTCCGCAGGACTCGCGTATCTGTCCGGTGGCGTAGAAGGCCGCTCGCTGAGCGCAGCTGCAACGACTCGAGGCGGGCTATCCTGATTCCCAGCCTCCGTCGACGGTTCGAAGACAACATGATGAAAAGGTCCAGTCTTGATTCCCTCGCAGCCAGCACACTTCCTCGCCAGCTCCTGACCATCCACAATCTGACCGCATGCACACTTCATGCCAACCTCCCCATCTGCCGCAACATGCTTCCGTTGCTCCACCGCGAGCTCCGTAGCCGCAGAGATCCGCTGGACTTTGCAGAAAGCACACTGTACACCTAGGATAGCAAGGGCACAGGTACAGCCATCCATCTCGATGACGATCTGGAGACCTTCTGCCGTGACCGTCAGGACACCGCAGCTGATACCACAGGTCGTACACATAGGCAACAACGCCGTCTTCTCCAACACGCTGTCGTCGAAGATAGCCATCGCGACAGGTCCAGAAGGCTTGCCCTTCGTCTTCTTCGTCCTGTCCGTCTTGGTCGAGTTGACGAGATCGTTTAGCATGCTCTTGTGGTAAAGACAGGCTCTCGAGCCAGGTGGAAGACCTCTGCTTAGAGTCTCACGGGCTTGCTGCACGGCTTCAGGCCCTGCCTCGCGGTTCTGATATCCGAGGACGGCGACAGAGGCAAGCTGGGCGCAGATACATGCCTCTGGCCACCAGCTGTCGCAGAGGGAGCATTGCTGCGCCATGTTCTCTGCTAGCAATGGCTATGGTCCGTCTTTTGGGGATACCCTGGTATAGTCCTCTGCTTGGAGAAGTGGAGGAGATCTTGTGGTGTGAGACTCGGACAGCTTCTCAGTGGAGGGAAGAAGATGAAACATCAGCTCCATATCAACTAAACCTATACGCAAAGCCATTGTTCTTGGTCCCTTCGACTCATGTGTGAAATGTGTCTCAGACGGTGTGAATGCGCGTCTCGCCAGGCCATCATCGGGAACAAAGACAATTGCATTGTCGCCATCCAGACAACACTGACCTGCTGAGACAGCTCGGGCAGCGCACCATGGCACCACCTACGACATCTGTTCTGGACAGCATGGACACTCTGCCACAGAGTATTGCTAGATGTGAAAGCACTCATTTGATGGCGGGGATACGATGGCGTAGCACGAGGGTGCTTTTCGATATGGGATGGGATAGCGCTCACATTACAGCCTGTTCACCGAGTCAGCACAAACCCACACAAAACCTACACAAAACCCACACAAACCCATTCCATCGTCGCCATCCAACAAGAAAAAGAGAGACTTAAGGAAATGGGAACAGCACTTACACAAGTCCCATCGCTCTTCTGAGCCGGCACCCCCATCTCATCAAACGTCTTTGGCCCCTTCGCCGGCTTCTGGGACCCCGTAGCAGCAGATCCAGGCGCACTACTCGTCCCCGTATTCGGCTTCGGCGTGCTTACGGGAGTAGGCCTTGAGTGAGCAGCAGCAGTAACACCAACACCACCACCTCCAGCATCAAAGGCAGGACCAGAAGGTTTCCTCTGACGAGCTTCCAGGGGTCGGGAAGAGGGGAGGGAGGCTCGGCCACCACCCCCACCCCCACCGACCCCACCACCACCACTAGCTGCTTGTTGTGATGAGGCGGCGGGTTGCTGTTGTTGGTTCGGTTGATGCGGCGGACCTCCCTGTCCCTGCCCTTGCTGCTGGTCAAAATTAGGCATACTAGGATTCCTCGGTAATGGTGCCCTCGCTCCACTTGCGTTGGGTGGTGGTGGGCGAGGACCGTACGAGTTCGAGCGCGATTCCGGAGGCGCCGAGAACCCGATATCGAGTCGTGATGCTGACTCCATGGCCTGGGGCAATTGACCCGGTGGTGCGGTGGGGTGATGGGGTAGTATACCCGGTTGCGGTGGCGCTGCGGGAGAGATACCCATAGGTCGGGGACCGTAGCCGGCTGGGGCGGGAGGTCCGGAAGCTATTCGTTGGTTTGGTGGGCGAATACCGGGGCCTGGTCCTGAGCCTGGTTGATACGGAGGCATATTTTGGGGTGATGGGCCAGCCCCGATGGTAGCTGGGCGGGAGTTTGGCGCTGGTCCGTAGGAGTGAGCATAGGGCTGTGTCTGGGGTCCATTGTAAGAAGCTCTACCGCCCTGCTGACTCTGACTCGGGAGTTGCGGAACCGTACTCGCCGAATGACTTCTCGCATCAGCGTTGAACTGGAAGGCAGAACTAGGTCGCATGTCCGCCGGTCCAACGGTCGTCGCCGGGCGCGGAGGCGGATTGGCGTTGAAGAAGCCGCCTGTGGGTCCGAGTCGGGGTGTAGCTTTCGGTGGGCCGTCTTCGAGGGGATATGGGGCCACGGAAGCGGGTCTCTGGTCCAGTGGTTGGAGGGCGGGAGGTCGGTTGTCCAGTGGATAAGGTGTTATGGAGTCGCCGCGGGGTGGTGGCTGGATAGACGAGCTACTCAACCTCATGCCGCTCGCCGGTGGTCTCGTCGCCGTCGCCCCACCACCATTACCATTACCATTACCATAACCATAACCAGCATAACCCTTCGCCGCCACCGCCGACTCCTCAGCAATCCCCTTCGGCCTCCTCTCCTCCTGCAGCCGAAAGCGCTCAGGCTTATACCCTTTCACCGACCCATACGTCGATTTGATCCGTGTGATCGCAACTTTCTCATGATCCTTCCGACTAAGATACTGTTTCCTCGAAAGCCCGTCGATCCTACCCCTCGCATCCTCATTCCCATGCTTAGCAGCCTTCTGATACCACTCCAACGCCTTGTCCAGGTTGACCGGGACATGCATGCCAATCTCATTGAAATACCCCAGCGCGAACTCCGCGGTCACGAGACCGCTCTGCGCGGCTTGTTCGGCATAGGTATAGGCTAGGGACTCGTTCTTGGGGAAGAGTCCTTCGGAGCCTACGAGGAACCATTTACTCAGACCCATGTCCGCCTCGGCTTCTCCTTGCTTCGACGCCAGAGCGTAGTAATGCATACTCAACGCCGGATCGAACTGGCACCCCAACGCACCCAACTCATACGCCGACCCCATCTTCAATTGCGCTTTCGCGAACTTCAAATACGCCGCCTTCTCCACATTGATCCTCGCGGCCCGCTCATCAGACTGCAAGTAACCCTCCGGAATCTCAATTTGGGGCAGTTGTCTGGCGAGCAGCATACCGTAGACGTAAGCGCCTTGCGCCGCATTCTCATCCGCAGCCTGCGCGCTCTTTCTAATCAAGTCCAGTCCTCGGGCGAAATCCTGCTGTTGGCCGTGTTGGCCTCGGAGCGTCATCATACCCAATCTGTAGCAGCTCGCGGCATCGCCCGCATCGACACCGCGGTGGTAGTGTCGCAGTGCCTTAATCGGGTCGTTGTAGGATTCGTATAACATCCCGATTCTGTACTGCGCTCGCACGTAATCTCTATCCGCCGCCCGCGAATAACAGCGGAATGCCTCCTTTTTGTCCTCCCTGTGCCCGAACCTGCCCCATTCTAACCACATGCCTCGGAGGAACTCTGCTTTGGGATGGTGCTGGTCGGCGAGGAAGGTGACGACGTTCATGGCGTCGGTTTTCAGCTGATGCTCTATTCGCGGTGTGCCTGCTCGAGCGGTCATGGGCTTGGCGGCTGCGAGGCGTTCCTCGTGGTCGGCGCAGACGCCGACGTACATGAGTGTGTCTTGAGCCCATGCGAGCTGCATTTCTGGGTCGTTGGAGTTGAGGACGGCGAGGCGAGCGTTCTCCAGCGTCGCCTCCACTTCTTCGTCTGAGGGTGGGACATTGGGGGGAGGATTGTTGAGTTTGGGGAAGGGCGAGAGGTGGGGGATGTCGTTGTCGAGAGGTATTTCTGAGTAACGATTCGGGTTGTGCAGGTTCATGTGGTGGAGGCCGTCGGCGATCTGGTTGGACATTTCCGGGTTGATTCTGTGATTAATGTGTCAGATCTTGTGCCATTGACCAAGCTCCACCATATGCATGTACCATCAACATACCTCTGTGGCTCCGGCGAGATCAACTCGGGCGGTGGTGGAGGCATGTAGTACTCATCATCATACCCACCTGGCACGAACGTGGCACTGGTATACACCATCTCTTCCCGCTCTGCACTCAATCAATCCCAAAAAGTGCAGCCAGGAATGCAGCAATGTAGCGAATTAAGCAATATGTAAGCTTATGTGCAGGATCTCGTGAGCCTCTGTTTGCTGTTCCTGCAGCCTCTCATCAACCATTGTCCAATAACCTTCCCTTCTCACTCAGACCTGGCGTGATGGCAGCAGTCGAACGATCATTACAGTTCAGCTTGAGGCTCATGAAGAGAAGCTTAGGACTATCTAACGGTGAATGAAGGTATGTATTGTTGGAGGTGGGCTATGTATAGTAGCTTAGCCCTTAGCCCGACCACCGTATACCTTCAGAAACGCGTGGCGACGTAATGGCCCATGTGGGGTCTGACCGTGAAACTATACAGTACTCTCCTGCCTTCACCTCATCGTCCACATCTCCTTTCCACGCGGCCTTCATCAAACAACAACGGTGAATCGTGATCTATCGAATGCTTGGTTGAGCTTTTCGTGGGCGAAGGCAAATCAGCTGCGATAGGAAGTCACGGATCGCGATGCTCGAGCGGTCAGAAGATGCACAGCCTCGTCCGACTGTCTTTTGGACAGATGCCAGGCAACGGTCAAGGGCGAAGTGCCCTTTGCACACTCGCGCAGTGTGGTCGTGTGCCGTATCATGCTAGATGGCTATACAGGAAGAAAGGGAACGTGAAATCCACGAGCCAGCCCTTGTCGGCATGATCACGGTAGTGTTTGCCAAGCAGCAATGCAGATGTAGCAATATGGCCGCAATAGCCTGGTTGTCTAATATCCCGAGGACTTACCAAAGCATCCACAATACGACTATGTATCAGATGAGTAAAACATGTAGTCGGCAAGGCGCTGCTGCTGAAATGCTGACCTCTACCAGCCAAGGCACCCTTTCGCTCATGCTCATGTGGATGGAGATCATGGTCTGGACGAATCAGCCGATCAATTCATGGCAGCAGCACACGTGCGAAACACATCTCCACGCTGAAAAGCCAGAGACAATAAGCCATGAGCCATGGTCATGACAATAGCAAGCGTGAAGTGAGGTTGCTGACGCCACCCAACATCACCGAAAAAAAGATAATCATTGCCATGCCAAGACCAAGATGTCCACAGTGCGAGCATTCAGAAGTCGCCTCTCTATACTGTAGAAATCACCCTTCACATCAATCACACCACGCACCAGTGACTAAAGAAAAATGTGCTTCAAGCCTAACCTAACCCCAGGATCCCACCTTTTCAGTTGTCCTCGTGCCTTCTCCTTCCCGCCTAGCGCAAGCTTCGCCTGACTAACAACTTAACAATAGCAAGGGTCCCGCCTATTGATCCCAGCCTAGCCCCTTCAATTTCGCAATTCTCACATTCGCAGGTGAAGCTTGGCTTGCGACTGCTCATGGAAAGAGAAACACGCACGCCAATCGCAACTCCTGGATTACTGAGAACGGCTACCATAACAATATTTTTTTGCTGAATTGGCACTTGGCTTGTTCGACACACACTCACAAGCACCATTTTGCTCACACACGCACTTCGAAACCATCTTTTGGCACATACGAGCTCAGAAGAGGTCTGGCAGTGACACCATCACCATCATCTCGTCGAATACGAGCGCAGCAGCAGCATCTGCCTCACATATTGTTTTGCTCTTGACACATCGCGCCGCCGTCGCAACACCACGAGAGCATTCTCTCGACACACACAACGCTACGCTTTGCAGGGACATCATCATCACCTTCTCGACTCGCACAAGCGCAGCAGCAGCATCGCGCACGATCTCATCAGCATATAGCAGCGTTACATATTACTTTGCTCTTATCACGTCACACCACCGCAGCACCACGAGAGGAATTTCAACATACGCATTCACGCGAGCGCTTTGCAGGGGCACAGTCGTCACCATCTCGACTCACATAACCGCGGCAGCATCTTGCACGATATCAACATAGAGCAGAATCGCATATTGCTTTGCTCTCGACACATCGCACCGCTGCCACGCTACGAGAGCAAGCACACCAAGTCTCACACGCATCTTCAGTACATAATCTTGCAATATCGCCATCAGCGAATCCTGCATCTTCAGTACATACCATACAGCACCATCATTTAACAGCAGCCATGAACGGCACCGCGAACATGCAGGCTCAGACTCACCAGCCGCAATACAACATCTCGCCGCACTTCCTCCACGCCCTCCGTCAACAAGCAGAACAGGCAGTGCAGCATCAATACGCCAACATGACTTCCGCCGCGAAGCAACAAATGTTCGACAATTGGACGGCGCAAGCACCGGTCGGGTACCGTGATGCTGTGGTGGCAAAGCACGGGACTCAGGCGCTCAACTGGCTGTTGTGCAACAACGAGTACAAGGTGAGGGTGAACCGGTATATCCAGAACATCGCGCAAGGCCAGAATGGTCCTGCTCAGACGGAGGCGACAACTGCACCACCGTCACAACGGACACCACATGTCCAGACGAATGCGCTTTGGGGCCAAGCCAGTCACGCCCCACTGGTCGGCATGCAGCAAGCGTTCACTCAGACCTCGCTTACGCAAACTCAGGGGCAGATTTCCCACACGCCCTCACCAGCCACCACCGCGCCTACCAACTCCACGCCAACTCAGCAGCCCTTCAGTCTCCCTCACTCTGTTTATGATGCTAGACTCCACGCCCAGCAGTCTTTCCAAGCGAGGCCGGGTGCAGTGTCTGGAGCCATTGCCGCACCAAATTCCACGCCACAGTCATCCCATACTCTCAACATCATTGCCTCGCAACACGAACTCCACTCACGCAGGATGCTCTCTAGAGGCCTGCGGAATGGTCCAGCTGCTCATGGCAATCTCTGCGCGCAGCATAAGATCGTTGTCGGTGGTCAACAGATGCAAAAGAAATTCGCGCCGCAAGAGAAGCTCATCGAGACGTTCACAAAGTACACGGCTTTCTTCCCCGTCTGCAGTACATGCCGCACCCAAGAGGTCAAGAACGCTATCCAGAATACACCCGGCCCTTCAAAAATGCCACCTAATGGATCCATCGACACTTGCTCTTGCGCCTCGCACATAATGGCCGACTGCCCCTTTTGCGAGGTCGGGGGCATCGAGACGAAGAAGCGACTCGCTATGCAGCAGCGACAAGGTCATGCTTCGGACTCAACACCGCGTATGCGCTGCCATTGCGGCAAGCCAGCAGAGTACGAGGAGGCTGTGAGGAAGTGTGCGGGTTGCGGCGGCATCAGCACTCAGCCTGCTAATTTTGCCGGCGAGCGGGTTAAGTTCTATGCTGCGACCGATGTGGTCGCGAGTGTTGGGGATGGCCAGAATGTGGTGATGAAGTATGTGCAGCAGTTGCCCTATCAGGTGCAGCAGTCGCAGAAGCAGGCGCAGGCGGCGAGCAGTTCGAGTATGGCACCGATGCAGAATACTCCCACAATGACGCCAGGCCATGGCACATTTCAGCCAAGCAACAAGCGCAAGCTCGACCACGACTACGATCAGACGCAGGAGCGAGCACCGAAACGTCAACTGCAGTATCCTATGCCTCGACAGCCGACTCCTCAGCACGACCACTCACAGTCAATGCAGACCTTGCAACGCAATACGCAGCTCGGCAATCAGTCCGCCGGTCTTTCGCTGCCTAAGCAACTACCCACACCTCAGCTGAGAACCAATCATGCATCAAGTCCGGCTGCATACTCCCCACAGGCTGGCTCGTCACAAGTCGACAGTCCTGCTACACCGGCCAAGAAGAAGAGGGCTCCACGTGAGGAGAAGCGAACAGCATCTCAAGCCGGCCTCGTGGCTCCCGTAGGCAACAACTACCCTCAACGCCGGCAGACCATGCCGCCCAACCATCAACCTTTGTACGACGCAGACATAGCATCTAGGCTGGCATCCACGCTCGGTTTGATCGTAAAGCCACACACCATCGAGATGGGCCAGCACGCCACTCCATTCCACGTCATGGCCACCCTCCTAGTCGATAACCACTACAATCATATCGACCACAGCACCTGGTTGTCCGCCTTGAAAGTCCTCGGCCTCAACGGCGTCGAGATGGCGTATCCGCAGCCGCAGAAGGGCTCCCAGCCGCTCTCAGGCGGCCTGATCATGGATAATTTGCGTAATCTGGGTTTCATGCATAATCACCAAGCGAGAACGAGACCTGGTGTTGACTGTGGATGCTGTGCGCGGCAGCATGCTTTAATGCAGGGCGTGGTACCTTCTGGCCGGGTCTCGACGCCTCCGGCTCAGTTCAGTGATCCGAATATGCCTTCGCCGGAGTCCGCGCAGGGTCGGAAGACCTCCGGGCAGCGAGCTAAGACTACGACTTCGTCTCAGGAGAACGAGATCATCGACTTGTCTTCGCCGGCTTCTTCGCCAAACGTCGCGACGCCTGAGCAGGCTAGGGCCGCTGAGCCTGGTGTTCAAGATAATACCGGGTTGACGGACGAGGATTGGATGAGTTTTGTCAATTATCCTGACAATGCTACCGCTGAGCCGGGGAGTGATGGGTCGTATGAGCAAGAACAGCAACCATTGGTTGAGGACACGATCGCTGGTCATGGTGCTAAGAATAGCGAGCGGAGCTTGACGCAAATCGAGGCGAATCTTCTCGAGCTCCTTCAGGCGGACCGTCCTGCTCAAGAGCAGAGTGTTGCAACGAGTACTACGCAACAGCCGACGGTGCCGGCTGGTAGGGATGAGTCGTGGGCGGGGTACTATCCGGTCGGTCACCGAAATCTCTCAAATGGTGTAAACGATCGGCTGTTTGAAGGCCTTGAGGGGGAGGCTCTTTTGGCTGTAGTTCGTGAGGAGTCATTTGGCTCTGGTCCACCTGCTGTGCAAGAAACAGAGTCGGCCGTTATTCCACAGGCGGTTGAGATTGCGAAAGAGACGGGCGATACTGTGGCCTGCGAACTCGCCAATCCGATCGCCACCGCTGATGGTGCTGCCGATAGTGCAGCAAGTGCTACAAACACCACCGCTTCCGATCCTCCTTCGAGCGGTCATGACACGATCCCTCCCAGCGTGCATAGCACCCCACCCACACTAGCAGGCAACGAGCAGACATCAGAAGTAGAAGCAGAGAAACAGCATGATACTACTCCTCCAATCAGCACTCCCGCTCCAGACTTCCTACCCCGCGTCCTAACACCCGAGGAGCAAGCTCAAGCCGACAGTATCGGTACAATCTTCGATCTAGGTGAGGATGAGCCGAGTTTCACTCAGGAGGGCAATGGTGGCGATGAGTGGGCTGTTTGGCCACCGGAGGAGGACGGCACTGCGCCGGCTGAGGAGGGTGGAGAGGATGAGCTGCCTGAGCGGCCGGAGGGGTTGATGTCGGCTGGGCAGTGGGAGGAGGTTATGGGTAGTGGGGCGTTTGATGATCTGGGAAGTCAGTTTGAGTAACCTTTCCGGGATTAGAGAGAGAGAGAGAGAGAGAGAGAGAGGTGGTTACGAACATTGGTGAGAAAAGAAGACGGGACTCCTCAGCTAGAGATACGTTGATGCAGGAGCCTGGAGTGTGTTGTCGATTTTAGAGATTGGATGGATATGCACGAGCGATGGATACGTGCTTTGCAATTGGGCGGGAGTTCTAGCGAGATTTGGTTGGAAAGGAGAATGGATGATGCAACTTATGACACCGCTAGGATTGCTTGAGCGTGGATGGCTACGAACACAACGATCATGGCATGGTATAGCAATGGCTACTTCTGAGAAATGAAGTCCTACATAGAAGCGCCGCACGGCGCTCGGTTCTTGACATCGCTCAAAACATCCAGAGCGCTCGCGACTACGACGAACGATGGCAGATACAGGAGCGGCATCAGCCAGCTTAGCTACAGATATCGTTCCATGAGATTGTTGTACACTTATGATACACATTATATAGCTTCGCACTCCTTTCCTAACTACCAGAATTATCCGCACAGCTCCAACTTGATCCCGATCCTGCATCGTCGTGAATAGCTTTCCCCGAAGCGTAGAGACCTATACCGCATATCACAGCACCCATGATTAAGATAAGGAAGTTTAGGACCGTGAGCCAAATCTTGCGGCTATTGCGGAACCATTGGCCGTAGTTCATATAGAGCCAGAATATACCCTAGTGTCTGTATTAGCACCACACTGTAATCTGTGGCTGGAGAGGGAACATGGGCTTACCGAGAGGCCGTAGGTGAACCATGAGGCGAAGAGGGCCGTGATTAGGGAGTTCAGGTCGTTGAATACGGGTATGCTCTCGGCTATTACCCAGGCGATGACCCAGAGGGTGAGGATTATGGCTACCCACGAGCCGAATGATAGCCAGGTGTTTTCTTGCATGTGGCGCGTGCCTCGGAATAAGCGGACGTAGATGTATTTGGCTGCGACGTTGGCGTAGATTACACCAGCGATTAGGATCTGGAAAGCTCATCAGTAGGTTCCTTTGGCTGTTGGTATGGCAAGGAGTAACGTACGGTAGGCAAAGCGACCCCATAAGCAATCTTAGCCACAACCAGCGACGCTGACCCCAAGGCCGGGGAGGATACATCCGCACCGCAGTATCGATATATCACCGCCGCGACAACCAGATAAAGGGTCATATCGCAGGCTTGCAACAGCAGCAGTGCTTTTGGGAAGTCCTTAGGGTTCTTAAGCTCGGAGATGAAGGAGAAGAAGGCTACGTGGCCCGCGTAGGCGAAGATGATGTTGGTCGTGCTGGCGAAGGCCGAGGCGAATGTTGTGGTGTGGACGGTTGCGCGGATGATGGGGTCGGGTTGCGTTATGCCCACGCCTATCATGGTTATCATTATTGCTGAGAGGATGGAGATGAAGGCTAGGCGGTACAGTATCAGCGGAATAGTTCGTATCATGGGTTTAAAGCAGCAAGGGGGGTTCACTGGAACTCACAAGCGATAGATAGATATGACACTTTTCTCAGTGTCCTCGGGAGCGTGAAGAGGAATAGTATCACCACCCCTACGACACCCCAAACGATCGTACAAGTCGCATGACCCGTGATAGCATTCATAGCGATCGTGAAAGTCAAAATATGACTACCCATGATGAAAACCAAGAAAATCGTCTGTGCCGCCCCGAAAACCTCTCTTCCCACAGCGCCCAGCATCACCTCACCCACGTCAGCCAGATTATGGACGTAAGGATATGCCATCTTGAACTGGAAGATCGTGTAACCCGTGTACGTCGCTATGGTGCCCAAGGAGAGCAGGAGGATGATACCGGGTACCAGGCCGATGTTGGCGAGGACTGAGGGAAGGGAGAGGATTCCTAGGGAGATGGTTTCGGCGATCATGATCATGGCGCCTTGCCACCAGTGCATTGTACGATATTTTACGGCTGCATTTGTTTCGTCGCCAAAGGGGTCGTCGTGGGCAGGCTTCTGGTTCTTCGATCCATGATGGTCATTGTGTCTGTCCGACTCGGTCGTCCGTCGCTTCTCAATGTCCTCTCCTGGCACGGCCCCCAGCCATGATGCCTCTGTGCCATCCACTGATCTTTTGCGCGACCCATTGCTCGACTCTCTCCGTCCGTCATCCATGGTCCGTCGCACTCTTTGCTCGACACTTGCCCGCTCACAATTCAACCACACCTAGTCCAGACGACAGAGAAATAGACTTGAGGAGAAATAAGGAAAGCAGTCATACTTCACCTGAACCTACCTCCGACCTCGCTTTCTTTGCGGACCGTTCTATCATGCTTCGTACGTGCACGTTGCGGATGATCGTCATGGCAGGGTCGACTGGTGAGGTTTCTGCGAAGTGCTCGCGAGAATTTACGTAAGCGGTCGATGAGATGAGTGGGTCCTTTGATATGATCACTTGGGACTGTACACCAACATCACCTTCATCATCTCCTCCATAGATGCCGTGGCCTCTCTGCGAGTGCTTTGCTGGACTTTGGCGGGATGGACTATACTAGCCACTTGGCTCCAGGAGCGTCATGCAATTCATCAACGAGACTGGAACTCAAGAACATGACCCGGAAACGCGCCAGACCATTCGCCGCCATGTCATGCTGGGCAAGAATCGAGGAAAGAGACCGTCGAGGCCAAAGCAGCCTTCTATCCTAGGCGCATCGGTACTTGACCTAAATAATGCTGCGCTTGTCAAACACCCTTCGGACAGAGCTGTCCCGTCAAGGGTAGGATCGGATATATCCTTCCTCAAGTTCGCAGACAATGTCGAAGAGAGCCTTATGAGCGAGACTCTACAGTTCTGCTCCGCTACCAATGAACACATGTATGTCCTGGAACCATGTATTTCCTTCGAAGCTTACGACCCTCTCGCGTTGTGTTTCCAGCCACTTGCCAGCGACGCACTCTACCTGAATACTATGGTCTTCTCGTCGAAGATCTTCAGAGATATCGCTTCTCAGAACAGTATCGCACGGTCCAAGGGTGGCAGACCCAACCTAACTCTACAGCATTATGGCAAAGCGATAAGTATACTGAGGGAGAGGGTTGCCGAGAACCAAAGCCCAGACAGTGAGGTCTCCGATATAACGATTATGGCCGTCTTGCTGTTGGCTATGCATGCGTTGGTAGTGGGACATGCGACGAACGCACGCACTCATGTCAAGGGTATGGTAAGGATGATTCACATGCGAGAGGGCGCCCTTGTGTCGTACAAGGACAAGACCAAGCAGTTGACGGAGATTTTGCGGTAAGCATGTCTTGGTCTCACGACATCGTTCACTCCTGCCTGACCAGACGGAGGCACACCCTGGACGTCGTCCCGTAGATTTATTTGATGTCCATGGAGACGAGCATGCTAAGAAAACCACAGGTGCGACCTCTCCATTTCATTGGCGACGGGCCGCCCACCTCTACTCAACCCACAAGGTCTATTCGACGACGGCGACGATAAACTTTTAGGCCTTGACGGATCATCTCGGCGCGAATTGATACAACAGCCAGATTCGAACATGAGCAACGACTCGTCCAAGGTCTGGACCATAATGAAGCATTTCTGCGCTACAATCAACAAAGCTACCACCGCAGAGCGCAAAGTCTCGGACAGGGAGTTCCTTCAAACAATGTCTTCGGTCATGTATGGCGCACTGAAGACATCTTCCCCAGCTGGGTCAATTGAAGAGTTGATTCGCCTCGCAATCCTGTCCTTGTCGGCGGATGCTTTTCTACAATGGCGGCGAGTCCGGGTGCCTCTTCCGTGGCTCCAACGACAATACCAAGAAGCTCTTGCTCGTCGTGCGCGCAATGCGACCAATGCCATCGACCCGAGTCTTGCTCTCTGGCTTCTACTGATATACGGGATCGGCTATAGTCCGCTTTCTCCCAATGACCTAGACAAGCTACAGTCGTGGTTGACCAGAATCATGCGACAGGGCGAGTCAAACAGCTGGGCCGACGTGAAGAGCGCTGTTGACTCGCATCCTTGGATAGATATTTTGTGCGACCGTCCTGCGCAGTCTTTGGTGGACCAGGCGCTTAAGCAGCAAGGTGTTGAAGTATAATATCTAGGTTCAATAAGAGGCTTCTCGGGACGTCAACTCGGTCTAGTGACGACACGTGGATTGCATCGAAGTCCGCCTTCGGCATTCAACAGCCCCAGGTACGCGACAACGATAGTGGGGAACACCACAGGATGCTCGTATATAGCAGAGACCCTACGGACGGCTGCTTGTCGACCTCATGCTCGCCAAGATCTCTCGAGGCTTAGCAAACTCCAGCTCTGTCATGGTCTCCTCCCACAACAGCTCAATCAATCTCTTTCCTTGTGGCTCGTATAGAAAGTCCGCAAAGCTATTGAGGCACGATGAATCAGCTCCTCACTACTCACCGAAGGGATCAGGGAGAAGGCATGGAACTCACGGATAAGCTTTCCAGCTCGTCAAAAAACACCCATGGCTTTCCTTGCCCTGCACAACCACAGCATCAACATATGTCGAAGCTCCCACCTTCACCGTCCGTCCCGTCATAGCCGCAAAAGCCTTAGCACCCATAGCCGTCAACTTCGGTTGATTAGCTACCGCCTCGGTGCCCTTGACATACCCTGGATCAAGAATATTCACCACCACATCGTCGGCCGAGACGTAACCAATCAGTCTCCAAAGGAAGAGGTGCATGAGGGTTTTGGAGGCGTTGTACCAGGTCGTGGGACTGAAGGCTTGGCATCGTCGAAGGAGGCGAGGATCGGGGAGCCGGGTTTCTTCGGGTTGAGCGGGAATTTGCCGGTCAAGGAGAGGCCGGAGTTCACCATTGTCAGACGGGCGGGAGGTTGACCGGGAGCTCGCTTGGATTGAAGGGTTGGGAGGAGGAGGATCGCCAGTAGGACGGTGGAGAGGTAGTTCTGGAGGTCATGAATCAGTCTACGATATATGGTGTGGCCATGGAGCTTCAGGACCTACCACCTGCATGCTCTCCTCATGTCCAGTCTCCGGAGCTGGAGTATACGAAGGCTTCACGATCCCAGCATTGAGCACCACGATATCGACCGTCGCAGTCTCCTGCTCCACCCGTTGCGCAAAGGCCTGCACAGACTTATAGCTACACATATCGAGCTGCCATACCTCAATTTTCGCCTTAGGATATTGTTTCCTTAGCACCGCTGCAGCCGTCTCTCCCTTCGTTGGCGAGCGAACTGCCAGGATGAGATGGGAAAGGTGGAGCGCTAGAAGCTGTTTGCAGCACTCGAAGCCTAGACCCGCGTTGGCGCCTGTTATGATGGCTGTTTGTGAAGTGAGATCGAGACCGCGTGGAAGGCCGCTGTGCTTTTCCTTGAATTGGGTGCGGTAGAAGAATGTTGGAAAGAAGGATTCATGGCGAGGTGTGAGGCTTTTGGAGCCCATGACGTGCGTGTGGGACGTATGGTATGGCTTTTTGGTCAAGTTGTGTATTGTGTTACAGTTTGCGTGGACGAGGAATGGTCGAGGCTATATATACACGGAACCTAAGTACGGTCGTCCATCAATGGGTAACAACAAGGAGGACAGGCTGATGGTTGATCTCCCCTCCCTGAGTACGACGACACGGGCTTCCTTACTGATCTCGCTTTCGCCATGTCCTCCGCCATCTATTAATCTACCCGCCGGACATTGGTATTGTAGACGCCGCCTTTACCAAGCTGTTGATCTTGTGCAGCTTCGTCCGTAAGCACACGCTATACCTGATTAGGGCAGAAATCGACTTCCGGATATGGATCAACTGAGGCAACCAATATATAAGAATCGCACCGGGGCCAGAAGTAGGAGCATCGGCAAAATGTGGCCATCCTATAAACAGCCCTCATGTGCTATCCTCAAGGCCATCAAAACTCAGCCGCCATTACGAGGACTGCCATAGCCACTGCTACTCATCATCAAGATCTACCTGCTCGGACCCAGACGGACACTGTTATTGAGCTCCTCAATAGCATGGCTGGCCAGGATCCTCACACTGATAGGGTAACGAAAATGCTCAATGCTCCTGGCAAGCCTAGAAGATGAACTCCGGGCCACCATGCTGAGTGTATCGAGTCAGTCGCTCAGAGACCGTTCATAGTACGAGCAGTCTTGAAAACGAGGGAGTGGATGTGTTCTCAGGCATGTAGCTGCAGTAAGATGTACTGGCTGCCCACACGCCAGCTATTCCTCCCACCTTGGCTTCGGGAAGCAGATTGTAAAGTGAAGTTCACATCACTTCTCAGCCATGCCGCTAGTCAGAAAACTGCTATTATCCCATTCACATTCGACGATGCTATTGTCCTATTGACCGCCAGACAACGATAAAAACATTTCATCTCGCCGCAATCAACTCTTTCTCCTTCTTTCACATATCAATCACTTCGCTCAAGAATACAGCTGGTCCTGTACTCACTACACATTCATACCCACGTTCAACAAATCAAATTCCATCCACAGACAAGATGAACACAACGCCCACGCTCCCAAGAGCCACAGTGCTCCAAACCCTCACCAGCTTTTCCAAGGCGAAAGCCCACATCCAACTCCTGCGCTGGACGCAGATGACTTCATCCAACTGGTCCGCCGCCTCAACAAATTACATGTACACCCAAGACCTCCTCGACGACGCCAAATTCGTCCTCTCCGAAGCCCGAGCCGCCTTCGAAGCTCGCAGACGCCTGCACCTGGATGAAGACGACGACTTCAGCGAACCAGAATGGTGCGACGAAGATCTCTGCACCGCTCAGACGGAGTTGGGACGTGTCAAGGTTGTCGCGGCGATGGCGGAGGAGATGTCGCGTCAACTGAATGGTGAGAAGATCCGGGCGAGGAAGGGGATGGATGCCTTTTTGCGCCAGTTCCCGGAATTTGCTCAGGTGGCGAGAAGGACGACGACGACGAGTGAAAGACGCCGTCCCACCGTCTGCGGGGATGGAGATGAAGATGACTGGACGGCTGCGCACAAAGCCAAGCGTGCTCGCACCACCACCACTACTACCAATCCCTCCACATCCTCCGCCCCCGAGGAGCCGACCATAGAGCAGAAGACCAGCAAGGCCCAAATGCAAACCTGGCTCACCTCCGCCAAAGTCGTTCTCACCGACCGCACAAACATGACCGCCTTCCCAACCCCGCCACCTCTCCTCTGCACTACCTTATCCTGCCGCACCACAACCAACGCAGCAAAACTCCGTTGGGATCGTCGGGCACTAGAGGCCTGCGAACACGTGATCCAACTCGCGTTCGAAGACATGGCTGCGAAGCAATTACGCCGGGAGAGGCACGAGTGGCATCCTGATCGGTTTGCTGTTTGCCGTGGCGCGGGGAAGGTTGGCAGTGAGGTGGTTGAGGGGTGGCAGAGGATGGCTGCGGAGGTGTTCAAGGCTGTTAGTGAGATGATGAGGTAGTGTGGCTGAGTTGAGGTGTTGGCGATGAGGGGATTGATGATCCGATGGTTGCGTGCAGTTGGGGGAGAGAACACTCATCGGTGGCGCTGAGCGAGTAGTATAGGGCTGGCTGTCATGGACATGCATATCGACGTTGAGGCGAGTGGTATAGTGGTGTCTGCCGTAAATGTGAACATGAACATGAACATGAACATGAGCATGAACATAAAGTACTTCTCATGCACCCACTACCTCATCCATGCCACGCCAACTCCCCACCTTCGTCCTCACCAACCACCAAGGCCATCACGACACAGCAAAGCAGAGCCAGACCAATTCAACCTAAACAAACTCCACCTCTCTCACTCTCAAATCAATCACACCCTCCCCACCACCCCCGCGACCCCAACCCTCCCCCTCTCCCCAGCCCCAAAACAAGCCCCCCCCTGCTCCAACGCCCCAACAAGCAACCCAATACTCTTTCCCCCAAAATCCCCCGCCGACCTCAACTTATCAAGATCATTAGCGAATTCCCCCGTAGCCTGCTTCAGATAGAAGTCCCGGAAAGCTTGTCGTGGATCCATGATTTCGCGTTTACTGGTGCGAGGAGCTACAGTATCGTCGTCGTGTTCGGTGAGTCTAGCGGATGCTTCTTCGGTTTCTGTATCTGGATCGTTTGCTTGGGCCTTGGTAGTTGTTGAAGATGATGATGCAGGTCCAGCAGGAACTTCGGCAAGAGACCCCTCGCCTTTTCCTGCTGCTACTGCTGACGATGACGCTTCGGAATCAGACTCGGAGTCAGAAGAAACTAAGGACCCCAAAAAGAAGAGAGCCATCAGCATATTACCCACTCAAGATCCTTTCCACATGCCTATGGGTGGCGAAAAAACGCACCCTCCGTCCGCGCCTTCCGCTTATTTCTCCGCTTCGCCGGGGCCCTTGTAGTTGATCTTGTAGGAGCCATTATTGCTGCGTGTGTTGAGTGGGAGAGTCGTATGGGACGTTTCAGGTTACATTCTTTCTCGCATGGACGTTGCGAAAAAAAGACGAAGTTGGAAATGGATTGTGGTCCGTGCGGCGTATGAATTTCCCTCCATGCAGTATACTGTGTAGACCAGAAGCCATGGGATACGTACGGGTATGATGTGTATACTGGTCTTGAGCAGAAGAGAAGAGATCAGACGAGCTGAGACGAGACATTGAAAACGAGAGATACTATAGATGGAGGAGGGGAGAAGTCTTTCTTGTCCATTTTCGAAGCGAGGTAAGGCGATCTAAAGTCCCCCGTGGCAACACCAGACCTCGAAAAAATTTGCGGCTCCTTTTCCAAACCCCCAAGAAAGCTTTTCCGTCTCAAGTTTTTTCCTTCTACCGGATCCCCTCTCCTTCTATCCATCCATGCATCCATCCTTCCTTCCTTCCAGCCGCTCATACGATCAGCCATCAGACGTCAGCCGTCAAGTAAAGCCACGAGGTTATACCAACCCATTGCTTGCTTGCTTGCTTGCAGGCTTGCAGGCTGGCCTCACGGACTGCATCCACTCAGTCTCATCCGTGCTGGCGTTTCATGCTGGTGTCCGTTGGCGGCCGTTCTCTGATGGCTGTTTCGAGGACGAAATATAAGGATAAGGGGCTCCAGACTGATACGGGCGTCTCCATCCCTCCATTCCCGCAAAAGGGTCAAGGGGAAGACGTGATCAACAATTTCCGGTTTGTCGTTTTTCTCGCTCGAGCTGGGAGGATATGCTTAGCGCTCGAGCAGATATTGCATTGGGTTCGAAATTTTGGGCTCGCACTTCGGAGCGGGTAGTGCGAGATTTCCGTGATTATCAGGTCTTGTATTGGATGGCCAAGGAGGTCGGCAAGGCCAAGAGAGGAGAGGAGAGAGAGGTTGTGTTTTCGTTGGTTTCTTTCGTGGTCTGTCTGCTGGGAGTAACTGGCACAGTGGCAGCGGCAGAGGCGTCGGATCAGGTCAGTCCATCCAGAAGTAAGTAGGTAAGTCAGTCGTTGGCCGAAGGCGAGGCGGGTGGTAATCTCCCCTCGGCGCAATCCATCGTAGTCGTAGTCGTAGTCGTAGTCGTAGTCATCGAAGTGTCGGAGGAGAAGGAATTTGGGAAAGAAGGGGCGCACCATAACCCAGACCTAGACCTAGATTCACGCCGCAAGGCCTTTCACGCACAGCACAAGGCTCCCGGTCGGGCCGGTCGCCGTGCCGCGGAGTCAAGTCCAGTCCAGTCCAGCCAAAGCCAAAGCCCAGTCTAAATCATTCCAGTGGGTCGAGGTCGAAGTAGCGGCGTAGGCGTAGCAAGCAAAGGAAGAACAATCAAAAGGCGCACCATGGCTGGAGCATAAGAACCAGCCTAATCATCACATCGTACAAAAAATCGGCGTCGGTATCGGCATCAGTGTCCGCGTCCGCCGCGAAATACCACACCATCACCAACCACCATCCCATCCACCATCCCACCCCCCATCCTACGCCCATTTTGCGCCCAACCCATCCCATCCATCCCGCCGCCCACGCTTTGAGCAAGCGAAGAAAATAAAAAACAGCTCACACATGGCACGCCGGCCAAGGTCTTGAAAAAACGTCCCACCACCCAGCATCAGCATCGCTGCCGTGCTGCCATCCTGCCCATGGCAAACTTGGTAAGAAACGCCAATGAACGCCCGCCAGCCAGCCAGCCCATAAATTCCGACATAGCTCACGAATACATGTCCGCAGTCCCGCAAGCAAGCAAGCAAAGCCAGAGGTATCAAGGACGCCGGGACGATAAGGCAGGTATGGCAGATTATGCCTGCGCCTGCGCTTGCGCCGCCGCCGGACCCTGCTGCTGCTGCTGCTGCCCCTGTCCATAACCGCCCCCACCACCTTGTCTCTGCTGAAACCCATTCTGACCCGGCAGCGTATGATCGCGCGGCGGCCCACCACGGAACCCCCCACCACCACCTCCACCACCTCCTCGCCCACCACCACCACCACCACCCCTCCCACCACGATAACCCCCCGTCCGATTAGCCGGGTTCTGCAAATCCGCACCATTACCCTGCTGTCTCCTCCCCTCCCCCACCCCCCTCTGCCCTTGCTGCTGCTGACCCTGCCCCGGCTGAGACAACTGCTGCTGTCCCTGCCCCTGCAATCCCTGCTGCTGAGGCGCCGTATTAACCGGCCGTGGAATATTCTCCGGCGCATCATAAACATAAAGACTCTTATCGATCGCGGCGGGGATCGCCTCAATCTGCGTCCCCAACTCCTGCTCAATCCTATACAAATTAAACCGATCCTCCCAACTGATCAGATTAATCGCCAGGCCCAAATGGCCGAACCTTCCAGACCTACCGATCCGATGGAGATATGTTTCGGCGTTCTTGGGGAAGTCGAAGTTGATTACCACGTTCACGGCTTGGATGTCGATGCCGCGGGTCAGGAGGTCGGAACAGACGAGGTTGCGGACGGCGCCGTTGCGGAATTCGTGGAAGACGCGGTTGCGGTGTTGCTGGAGCATTTTGGCGTGGGAGTAGAAGCAGGAGTAGCCTAGTTCGGTGATTTTCTTGGCGAGGAGTTCGACGCGCGTGGTGCTGTTGCAGAAGATGATGGATTGGTTGATTTGGAGGCGGGAGAAGAGGGTGTTGAGGCAGTGGACTTTTTGTTTTTCTTCCACGAAGGCGTAGTATTGCGTTATCCCGCGCAGGGTAAGTTCGTCCATGAGATTGATCTCGTGCGGGTCCGACATGTGTTTGTCTTTGAAGTGTTTGACGATGACGGGGAAGGTGGCGGAGAAGAGCATGATTTGGCGGTCTTTGGGGTGGAATTGGAGGAGTTGTTCGATGGGGGAGGTGAACTCCGGGGAGAGGAGTTTGTCCGCTTCGTCCATTATGAAGGTGCCGGCTTCTGAGAGGTCGGCGACGCCCTTTGAGGCGAGGTCGAGGATGCGGCCGGGGGTGCCGACGATCACGTGGACGGTGTCGTTTAGTCGCATGATGTCGTCCTTGAGGTTTCCACCGCCTGTGGCGACCATGACGTTGATGCCGAGGTGCTTGCCGAGGGTCTTGCATACCTGCGATGTCTGCAATGCCAACTCGCGTGTGGGCACCAGAATTAATGCCTGTGTCTTCTCCAGCTTCGGGTTGATGCGCTCGAGGGTTGGTATGAGAAAGGCTGCAGTCTTGCCCGTGCCGTTCTTCGCTCGCGCCAAGACATCCCGACCAGTCAGTGCGACGGGTATGGCTTCCTCCTGGATGGGTGAAGGCTTCTCATACCCCGCCTCGAATATGCCCATCAATAGAGGTCGCTTGAGGTAGAAATCCTCAAACTCCAAGCCTTTCGTCTTGGTGACATCCTCCGTTTGTACCCGTCCATCTTTGACGGGGACCTTGAGATTTGACCGCCAGTTCTCATTCTCTGTGCTGTCGTTCAATGTGCTGCTTTCGAGCCTGCTGGCCAGCTCTGAAGCCATCGAGTATATGTGTGTGGGCACTGCCTGCCAATTGTGTGGAATGTGGATGGTGGGAAGGAAGCTTCGATGTGCTCTGGCTGTTGCAGGAAGGAGGGACCGGCGAGGGAGTAAATGCTTTGATCACGTTATCCCGAGGTGGTCTTTGCGTCTCTGTTTGGAGTATGCGCCTTCCACTTTGGGAGTATGTGCCTTCCACTTTGGGAGATTCGAGGCTAGTATAGTAGGTGCAGTGCAGGACTCTGCTGCAGCGTAAACAGAATAAGAATGTCTTCGTTGTCTGTTGTTGGGTCTTCTGTCGGTAGGCGGTAGAGAAGTGGCTAAGATGTTAGGTGATTGTGACTATGCGACTGATGATGGCAATGATCACAGTATCGGTATAGCAATTTTGCTAGGTAGTAGGAAGTTCTTCAATGGAGGTTGGACAGAGAAGTGTTTGGATTATGGCGGTCGAGAAGCACATGCGGGCCCGCGATTGAAGTGGCCTGTGGCTTTCTGTTTCGCAACGCCAACTTCCGACCACGCACCTCGCACGGTCCAGAATTCAGGCACCCATGCATATCACATTATGTGGAAGGACTTCAAAGCAAGAACTACAATATAGGAACTAGACCACAATCTTGTACAGAGTGAACGATATGCTTCTGAGAGCAGCGTTCAGCGTGAGCTCCAAGATCCGGTCTGCCGCACCCCAGTGCTGAGCTGTACCCATTCGACCCATCAGTAGCCGCCCCTGACCAAACAACACGATGCTAGCCGCGCTTCTGGCAAAATCGATGGAACCCGGCAGTTCCTCTCCATCCCCACCCCAAGCCCCAACAAGACCACTCTCAATCTCCCTGCTTCACAACCGCTTCAAGCCTGACGCGCTACTCCGCTCCGTTCCAGCACTAATAATATGGCGGGTGGAGGCATGACCCCAGCAGAGCTAGAGAAGCAAAATTTTGCATCCCCGGCTCGCATCAGTAGACCTCCAGTCGAGCCCTGAAAAGAACCTCGGCGGAGCAGTGGGCAGGCCGTGCGAAGCTTTTGCCGAGAGGTGATTGTCCGCGCTGTGGATGGCTGACGAAAAGTACGATCGCCCATTAGCATCGGTTTTGGTTTTTGCGGTGACTGCCTTGCGCTGGGAAGGAAGCCGGAGTCAATGCTGTATCATGTAGGGGGACTCCTTTACGAGACCGTGGGCACGACCGCGTTGTCAATGGCCATGGTTGGCTATAAGGCCTGGCCAAATTAGTCGACGGGAAAGACGGAATCTTCGCGCCTCTCCGTCGACACATTCCCTCGGTTGCTCGTGGTCGTCAGAGGCTTGGAAGAGCATCGTCGAGCTTTTATTTCTTGCCTCCTTTCCGCTTGCCACTACTCGCACTCTTCTTCTCCTCCTTCCCGCCAGCGACAGCACCAGCTTTTTCTGCTGCTGCTTGTCCATAGCCGGCGATCAGATCGAGAAGACTGTCATCTTGCTGTGTCTGATCCTGTCCTTGCTCGCCTTGAGCCGTCTGTAACACATTCACATGATCAGTACAACCGCAACCCAACGAGCATATCAAAAAACTTCATGACTCACCTCTCCATTCCCATCCCCACCCTCCTCAATCCCCCCATCAGCATCAAAACCCCTCCCAAACCTCCTCCGAAACCTCCTCAGTCTCCCCGCCTCATCTTCTTCCACATTTAGTAATTTCTGACTACTCGGGTTCCACAACACGGAATTCTTCGTATCGCGCACGGATTTGTAGATGGGTGCGGGTGAGGTCGTGCGGTGGGTGAAGGTGCTGCCGTCGGAGAGGGTGATGAGTTGGGTGAAGGTGTAGGGGCGTTTCGGGCGGCGGAGGAGGGAGGCGGGGCGGGTTTGTTGTCGTTGAATGCGGGTTTGAGTGTGGAGGGGGATGTGGGGGTTGAGGGATTTGGCGAGGGGCCGGGTTGAGGTGGCGAGGAGCATTCTGTTGGTGTTGTGAGGGGGTGCTTCGTGGTGTGGTAGAATTCTAGTGACATGTACTGTATGGTGATGGATGCATTGAAGATGCGGCCGAAACGCGGGAATGCCAAGATATTGGTATGGCATGTCGAGCTTCATCGCCGAGCTATGGATACATGAGCTTTGTCACGTGCCTGGCCTCACCACCATGGCACGCCCGAGTGCAGAGGCTCGACGCTTCTATACCGCCTTCTACCAATGGACTGTCCTCCTCGCCAGGCCTAAACCAGCAACAGCAGGACGAAGCTGCAGACATGCCACCACCAACACCACTCGACGAGCTATACACAGCACCACGAGAAGACGCGAGGAGCAGTCTGTCAAATGGTCGGGTCCACGAATACATAAATTCCCGAAATGGACGAGCATCCGTAGGGTAGAAGGGGAGCATGCATCTTTAGACTTCCTCCGACCATCTGCGGATCCTTTGCCTAAAACGGCAGGCACGCAGTCTGGACAGTATCATGGGAAGCCCTATCGACTTGGCGGCCCGCAATCGCCTCCGCCTCCGCAACCACAAGCGCGACAATCAGGAAGACCACACCATGCCAGCCAGCTCTCACCTGACCAAAATCCCTCCCGCACAACAACCACTTCCTCTTCCCTCCTCACATCCCCAATCCAAACCCACGACGCCAAACCCCCCAATACCGTCCAACTCTGGGACGTCGCGATCCGCTATCGTTCCCCGACCAACAACCTAATAATCGAAATATGTATCCCGCTTGATCGGGCCAATGCCCTGGAGGAGGTTTACGGGAGCGGTTTGGAGCGGTTGGGACGGGAAACGGGAGCGAAGATTGGAATGGGTGCTGCGACGAGGTTGCGGACTTCGAGGAAGGGGGTCAGGGGCTCGAGGGTGACGGGGTTGGTTGTTAGTGGGGGCTTGGAGGGGTGTGCGGGGGTTTTGGAGGTGGTGGAGGGGGTGAGGAGGCAGGCGGGATATACCACGGACATGGTGGAGGATAGGGCTGGCGATGGGGTTTCGGAGGGCATGAGAGTGCGGGCGGCTGCGGGTATCGAGCCCAGGACGGGGGTACAGGATAACGAACAGCAGGGGGATGTTGGGCGGGGCAGAAGCGGTGGTAGTGGTAGTGGTAGTGGTGGTGGTGGTGGTGGTTATGGTGGTGAGGAGATGGCGGCGAGTGGTAGGGTGGGGAAAGAGATGGGGAGGCGGGAAGGTGAAGATCGACGGGCTCGCGATGCTGCTGCTGTGGCGGAGCCTGCGGATCTCTTCGAGGCTTTCAGTACCGCTGTGCCTTCTCCGCATCTCGACCAAGCTTTGGGTACTCGCACGCCTGCTCCCACTCTCCGCCAACTCCCCAACATCCATAAGCCTTCTCCCTCCCCTCCCCAATCTTCGCGTACGCCCACACCAGCTTCTCCTCCCGACCTCCGACCCTACAAACTCCTCGCCCGCCCTCAGAAAGCCGGAAAGGTAACCTACGATCTCTGTCTCCCGCAAGACCGCCTGCGAATCCTACACGCCACATACCGCCCCCAGCTCGAGGGTCTCAGCACGTGGAAACATGCCGGGATGAAACTTCAGGTCCGAGGGCCTTTTCAGCCGCACCGCGAGGATGGAAGTGAGGAGCCGCTTTATTGTGTCGCCATTTCTGGGCCTACGCGAGCTGCGGCGAGTGTGAGGACGATTATACGGTCTTTGAAGGACGAGGCACGGTTTCTGAAGTTGACGAGGCTTGTGGAGAACAGGAGGGGGCTTGGGGATGATGGAAAGGCGGTAGTATTAAGTTCGCTTGAGGTTCGGACGGTTGAAGTTCTTCCTACCGCGAAGTTAGAAGTTTCTGTGCCTATTTTGCGGGCGAGGACGGCAGGAGGGGAGGGCGGGGTGGTGGAGGTGGTTGTTGAGGCTTGGAAGGTGGGGGGAGAGACGGAAGAGGGGGTCGTGGCGGGCTTGAAGGATCGGTTGCAGTTTTCAGTTGAAATTCGCTTTTCTGAGCCGTGGGAGTTGAAGGATGGGAGGGTGGTGAGGGCTTTGGTCTTGGAAGGTGGGTGGATGGGTATGGAGGCTGTGCTTCGGAGGCTGAGGAGGAGGAGGAGGACGGCGAAGGGGCTGACTGAGGAACGGATGGAGGTGGCGCAGGTGGAGGGGGGTTCTGGTGCTGATGAAGAGGCCGATGGGGTTGGGGTTTCGACGGTGGAGGAGGGGTACTGGGAGACTGCGGCTTCTGTTGCGCCGCCGTACTCGATGGACCATGATGGTGTCGAGGCGTGGGATTCGTCTTCCATACCTTCAGAGATGTTGTCCGGGGAGTCGACTTCTTCGCCTACGTCAGCAATATTACCAAGGGACACGGCATCTTCTTCCCCTGCGGCGATGTCATCCAAGAAGACGGCATCTTCACCTCCAAACCTTAGTGGAGTTCCAAGGACAAAGGAACCATCTAAATTTACAGTGGAGCATGGGAAAGTGCCTGTCAAAGCTCCATCGAAGCACGACTGGGTAGTCGTGGCCGAGAGTGCCGAGAGCATCACTCTTGACATCACGATCTGGCGTGATCGGTTGGATCTATTGTACGCGATGCGTGGGCCTAAGCTCGAGGGCCTGATGACGGGCAAGTTTGAGGGGGTGCAAATCAGCGTCCTGGACAACCCCACCCCAGGCTCTGTGACCACTGGCGCTTCGCACGATGTTGGAGCCGAGCAGGCTAGGGCGGTTGTGCGGATCGCCGGTCCGCCTCTTACGGCTAGGAAGGCTCGGGATGCTGTTTGGTTGGTTCAGGGTGAGAGGGGGTTTGCATACCAGAAAGCGCTTCTTGAGACGGAGGCGGTCGCGGGTGAGGAGGATAGGGAAGTCGCTCGTTCGGCGACGGTACTCAAATGGAAGAGGTCTGTGAGGTCGAGAGAGGCGCATCCCGTGAGCACGATGCCGCTGCTGGGTTACGCCGTGAGGGCGCGTTGGGAGGATGAATTGGGTGGGACTCTGGAGATGGTGGTCGCAGAGCGGAGGGTGCCAGGGTCTGGGGATGTAGAGGTCGAGTTGTTGAGAGGGTTGGAGAAAGCCGTTAAGATTGACGCTTCGCAGATGTGGGAGAAAGATGGGGAGGCTGTGAGGTCTGTTATTGTTGAGGGATCGTGGGAAGGGATCGCGCGTGTACTTTCCAAGGCAAGGGGCTGGGGAGGGAAGGGGTGGGAGGCTGTGACGGCGGGACAATCGACTGCAGTGGCTGAGGAACTGGAGCACGCTGAGACTACGACTACTACCTTACTAGATGATACAGCCAAGGAAATCGAGGTACCAGCCACCGAACATGAGCACTTGGACGTTGTTCCTGACCCTCGCGATCCTAGGCACCCAGCCCCAAAATGGTCGGAGCATAGGGCTCTTGGGACTGAGCGAGATGGGGCCGCCACTTCTGCAGTGGTACGTGGATCCCGCAGCTTCAGCACTGTGAATCGCGCCCGATCGTATCCCACGCAAGCCTCTGCGCCGCAACATGACGATTCGCTTTCTACGGCCGCACTGTCGCCAACGAACCCCGCGAAGCCGGTGTCACACGACGAGCATGAGCACAACAACATTGAAATTGTCGTTCTGCCGCTCTACGTGCGTCCGCACTTAATTGGCAAGAATGGCGAAACCCGTGCGCGCATCATCAGCCAGTCGGGTATTAAGGACCTCCGGATTGCTTCCAGTCCGAGAGGCCTGGAGCATACACAGGTCTACATCACGGGCGACGATCCCCGAGCGCGCCGCAAAGCCGAGGCGCTGGTGCAGGAAGTGTATCAGTGGGCTGTGAGGATGGATCCTCATCTCACTTATCTCTGGTTCTGGCGAAGTAAGGTCAGCTTGGGCCACGATGTTTCCGCATCTGCTTTCGAGCAGCCAAAGGCGAGATTCGTGGCTGTTTTACGCTTAGCTGATCAGGATCGGAAAAGGCGGGCCAGGATCAAGAGGTTTGTGCTGGGCGGGGCTGAGAGGTATAGGCTTCACCGCACGGCGGTGAGGAGCTTCACGGAGATCAAGTCATTCTGGGGCAGGCATGGCGGGTTCTGGGTCAGTGGGTATGAGATGAGGGATGTGGAGAGGGCGGTGCTGTTGTTGAGGATGCAGATTAGGCAGATGCCGGATGCTGATGAGAGGGAGAGGGAGGGAGGGGAGGTGACGGAGACGTTTGTTGAGAGGGCTGTTGCGGACGGGAAGGGAGAGTTTGTGAAGGTGGAAGGGTCGGAGTGGGGCAGTGAGATAAGTGGAGAGCAGGAGAGCGGATCAGGATCAGTCCGTGATGGAGAAGGTAGGGCTGTGCAAAGCGGCGCTGGAAGCGCTGGGGCGGGTCAGAATGCTGGTGAACAGGAGGTTCCCTCGGAAGAGTTTGGGGACAGCCTTTACGATTCCCAGGTCGTACTTGTACCTCACGCAGGACTGCAAATGCAGAAGGATGTTGACGATTTCCTGCTGCGTGACGAGCGAGCCGCCCTTGAGCTTATCTCGCAACAGACTAATTGTCAAATTTACAAGCGACAGAGGCCCAGTGCTGGTGTCTGGGTGATGCGAGGGCGCAAAGACGACCTGGAGCGAGCCAAAATTCTCCTGCAGAAGCGGTTGGATGTCGCGCGGGAAATACTGGGCATTGCCAAGCTCAAGCTTCCGCGCCTCTTGCTCGAGCTATCTTCACGTATCGTTGACGACGACGAACGTACGCAGAGGCACAACGTAGAGCTGGGGAATGACGTGCGTGCGGTTTCTCGTCCTCTCACCCAATCCGTCGTCCTCATCACAACTCGCATGCCAGGATCGACTCCAGGCGACACTTCGGGCCAGGAGTTTGCGGACTGCCGTGGTGTGACAGTATCGTCCTTCACGACCGTCACGATACAGCCAGTACCAGTCGTGTCCTTCAATCTGAAGCTGCCTTCGCGCACCTGGGACGCTATGGAGCGCTCTGGACGTCTGTGTATACATGCCATGGCTGCCACGCCTGAAGCGGCGGCTATCACCCACGTCTTCACCCAGAAACACGATCTGCCTAGCCATCCCTTCGGCGAGTTGATTCACAACGGCATCAACGTTGTCGTTCCGAGTGACGATGACACCTCTCCGCCACGCATCAAGACTAAGACGGGCGCGGTACTCGCGCGTGTCGAGTGTAGGATTTTGATGGAGAAATCCGTCTTTGTCGGCGACCATGTTGTTGTCTTTGCGGAGGTGTATGGTGTGGCATTGCCGGGAGTGGCGAGGGATGCGTCTCGCGCGGAGATGCTAGAGCGCTTGGAGGAAGCGACGGGATTGGCTTATGCAAAGAGGGGGTTTAGGGGTATAGGCGAGGTGATTGAGGTGTCACCACAGTGGGAGAAGCCGGCGGCTCATCAGGTTGAGATGGTCGATGGAGTGGAGGGGCCAGCGAAAGTAGACACTCCAGCTACTACCCCGGCTTCTGTCACATACGGTGCACATGCTGCAGATCCTGGCACATCTGCCCACGACGTGGAAGCAGACTCCAGGACCGGGAACAAGCGCCGCCTTGCTGCCATTGCTAATGAGGAAGACGATTATGATTTTGGCTTTCTTCGGGATCGGGACGCTGGAAAAGATCTCGAGGACAGCGTTTCGGAAATTTTGGAGGTGGGCTCGAAAAGTCATCGGCCGCATAGAACTAGTCGTTGAGAGTCTTCGGCTTCGTTGTCTGGCCTTGGTCGGCAGCAGAGGCGGGACTTCGGTACCAGCCATGTCCCAAACGGCATAAAGCAGGTTTTGTTGCGCCCATGATAGCATAGTGAATCGACTTTCTTGGTCAGTTGACTGGAAGCGAGATCTTAGCGAAATCGGGAGACTATCGTTATCATGGTCGAATTGTGAGTGCTATTAGCCGCGCGGAAGACAGCATGACGTGCTAGACACATCCTTGAGCGTGCTTTGGCCGGCGACTTACTTACAACAGATAGCCGCCTCAAAATTTGAATAGGCGATCGCTGTCATCGAACGCCGTTGTTATCCGCGCCGCAATGATCTGACACAAACGCTACGTACTGGCGCGCACTGTGGACGGAGAAAGTGATGGAAACACGAATGCGGATTGTGTCTAGGAGGCCACATGGCTGGAGTCTTTGTTTGCTGACTGAGAGGCTATGAGGTAGGAGGGTAGTCGAACGATAGCAACGAGCGCTCAAAAGGAGATAGCCACGTCTTGCCCGAAGCTGAGAGTGGCAGAAATGATGCAGAAGGCGACGGAGTACTGCGAACCGGTGAACATCACATATATACCATGTTCGCGAAATGTAAATATAGCTGATCTCAATAAGCTATACAAAGCCCATGAAACCCATGCATAAATTGGGAGAGATCCTGCGCAGTAAAACGCTGGCCCTCTCGAGCTTGGACTAGCTCTGCGAAAGACTCCTTCAATCTTGCTACAGACTTCAGGATACGAGGATGTTGATCTGCTTCCACAGCATTGCCCTCCACGGACAGCACACCTTCCCGTAGGTCAAGCATGATCTTCACCCATCGCCGACTGAGCATATGTCCGAATGGGACTTTGGTCCATCCGCAAATGGCGAGGAACCTCAGTCTGCCAACGTTGATGTCTCCGATAGAGCGTAGCCATCGTTTGGCTATCAGCAGATCCTCTTGGTCCGAGACTTCGGCCAGGAAGATGTTGTTCGAGTAGAACGTTGCCAGGGCCTCGTTCCGAAGTTGCTGGTTTACCTTTGCAATGGCTGGCTGTGATGCGCTAATTTCGGAGCGGAAGCAGTCGTGGTTCGTCAGCATGGTTATTGTGTTGTGAGGCTTTAGCACTAGAAGCTCGTAGATTGTTTCTCGTAATTCGGCTGGGAGGTCAAGGAAGCCTTTCCTGCTCGTAGACGTAATCTGCTTTTGTTGTTGTTCATCCATCGTGGCGTCAATGATTCATCCGGGCGACAGGCAATAGTCTCTTGTTGCCGAAGCTGGAAGGTATAACGCCGCTGGAACAGGTTGATTCTGACACCTTACAACGCTTTGTGCACAAAATGACAGCAAGTACAGGAGAGTGGGCTTAGACATAAGGTATCGATCGAGAGATTGTTCTGATATGAAGGAACGTGCCAACTAACAGACTAACCGCGTTAGGAGTAGCGTCTTCTCGATTCAAGACAAAATCTTGCCTCATGTAAAGGACACTGTGCAACCAAGCGTTATACACCTTGACGTCTACAAAATGATGGCAGATTACGACAGCGAATCCTCTGGCGCGGAAGATGTCGAAACAAATGTCCTGCTTGGCTATGCTTCAAAGGAACCCACCAGTGACGAGTTCAGCCAACTCGGCGGACATCCTGTATGCGTACCGCCATCAACACACTGACATCAAAGATGACTGACTCATGAGTAGACATGGGTCGATGGACTTACAGCACCCAATGGTACCTTTGCAAAGTGTAAAGTGTGCAATGGTCTAATGAACCTGTTACTCCAGCTGCATGGCGATCTACCCCAGCGCTTCCCTGGTCACGAGCGACGGTTGTATATATGGTCGTGCAGGCGGAAAACTTGCCGACGGAAGGGTGGCAGTGTCAGGGCGCTCCGAGCTGTCAGAAGTAGTGCCATCGCAGCAGTGTCGAAGCCACCTGCAAAGGTTGAGCATGAAATCTCGCCTCCATCAAAGCCATCCACAAATCTGGGTGAGACACTCTTCGGAGTCCAGTCGTCTAGTGGCGCACCATCGAATCTATTCGCAAGCAGTAACGGTTCTGGATCAAGCGCGAATCCATTCGCCCCAGCCTCGGCCAAACCTGTGCCAAAATCGGACGACACCGAGTCTTTGGCGCAGACCTTCGCAGAGAAGGCACGTATAACACCTCCAGAACCAGCGCCATCAATACAGGCTGTAGCTTTGCCACCTCCAAATGAGCCTTGGCCCGATCACGCAGCTTTCCCTGAACCATATCCGGCATATCATCTCGATGCGGACAAGGAGTACCTGGAACCGGAAGTACTGGCAACTCCTGCCAATGCTCGCCTGGATGATACTGCATCAAACGGCGCCGAAGGCACTAGTACGGCCGACATGAAGGATGCATTTGAGAGCAGCATGGACAAGACGTTCCAGCGCTTCGCGGATCGGCTGTCACAAAACCCGGAGCAAGTACTACGCTATGAGATCGGAGCTCAACCCGTGCTATACGCACTCAAGGATGCAGTCGGAAAGCTGCTTGCCCCAACACAAGAGCAAAATAATGCCAAGGTCCGTGTCGCCAGCAGCTCGAAGGGTAGTGCAGGAGCACTGGCGAGAGTACCTAGATGCACCAATTGTGGTTCTGCCAGAATCTTCGAGTTGCAGTTGACGCCGCATCTTATTACTGAGCTAGAAGCCGACGAGATGGGTGTAGAGGGCATGGATTGGGGTACCATCATCCTCGCTGTGTGCAGCGCAGATTGTCAGCCCAAGGACAGCAAAAGTGGTGAACTGAGCTACGTCGAGGAATGGGTAGGAGTGCAGTGGGAAGACTTAGAAGAGAAGCGTAGGCCATGATGAAGGCCATCCTAACGATTACTCGCGCACTGTGCCGGGACACTGATCTACAGTGCTACCAATTGTGCGCTACGATGCGGTCTCGAAGCAGGCGATCGCTTCTGGCACTTCTGTTACATCGATCGACCACGTTGCTCACTTGCCTAGGCTCTATGCAGCCATTACACGAGGTTCGCTGCTTACGGAAGGCTTCGCATGAATGATTGAGTCAGAGAGTGCCTGCTCATAGACGGGAACTAAGACCACGCGAGGCGCCACAACGTGTTCCGTGAACACTACAGGATGTCTTGATTTTCGCCGACATCATGGTCTCAGCCAGAAGGCTGTGCCGTCTTGTCAGACGCACCGGGCTGGAAGACATACGAATGCGTCGAGCGTCGCAAAAGCCAGCGAGCCCGGAAAAGTGGCCAACTCGTCCGGCAGCTCATTCGCTCGTGTGGGAGACCGTGCCTAGCATCCCAGCTGGCATCCCTCATCATTGTTGTATGAATCGTGGGCTTTGGCCACTCATAAAGCTCTCACTCCTGCCATGTAGACAGCGACATGATAGTACTCCTGGCCTGCTTTGTGGAAGACGCCTCAAATCGGCGTTCTCGGCACTCTAGCCCGTCCGTCAACCTCGCTCAGTGACCACTGCAAGTTCGAGTCTCGAGCAGTCCCTTTTCCCAGTCCATTGGTCTGCCCATCGGCTAGAAGCACTATCCTCACGCCAGTACCACCAATCTGTCCGCTGTACTGGGACATTCACTAATTGCCTGCTTCTGGAACTGCCTGCCTCTCTACGTAGGGCTGGGCGTTGACGGACTTCGCCTTCTGCTTGTTACAAGCGCGGTCGCCTGTTCTATTCGTCAGCTGTCATCTTGCTGTCGTCGAACGTCTCAATACGGATCAAAGTGCTTGTGCTCTCTTCGGACAGTTGATGGACCGTTCTGACAGGGCCGAATCTATGCGCATCATGCTCCCGAAGACAGGACCACCTCGAATGACATCTACCGGCCCTTCCCACACCATATTCAGTGAGCTGTATAGCCTGACGAATCTGCGTGGCTATCGAGACTTCTGCAGGTGTTTAGTACCTGCTCGAAGTTGTCAGGGGTTGCTGCTATGGCCAAAATGAGATCACGAGATTCGCTTCTGCACCCGCTCTGCCCTTATGGTGAACAAGGCTTATGCATCCTTTGTCTGTCATTGACAGCCATATATCAAGTGGCATGAGCGGCGCTGCGCTAGAAAGAGTTGTCGAGTTCGAGAGCGTCTCAGAACCACGCGACACGCACGTGGTTTGTGCCACGAAGCCGAGCCTGCGAGAACAAAGAAGTTGAGCGTACAGTGGCTGTGTTGGTGAAAGCAAGAAAGCAGGCTGATGCGAGGGCGGCAGTGCTGTTGTGTTCTACTCAGGGCCCAGATTACCATGACTTCGTTCGCGACGCCTACTGCCAGCACGACCACTGCCTAGCAGTCCCAGCACCAAGGCCATCAGCCTGCTATACTCAGATACGAGATCTTGGCGTACGATGCTGATGTCCTTCTACTACTAGGGTTCTACCTTGGGCTCAAACGAGGAGGTCGCACTGTACCACGCTAAGTTCAGGCAATCAGTATACATCGCACCTGTGACGATCGAGGAGATTCATGGCCGATCAGCCGGGTCATCCAGTCGATGTCGTCGGTGCCGTGTACTGAGTCGCTTAGCACAACCATGGCGATAAGAGTCGTCGAAAGCGATGTTTTCACTGTTGTGCAAAGACGCCTCCGTACTGATCTACGCCCTCGCCGATTTCAGTGACGTGAAGGGAAGAAGTGATCGCTGATGAGTTCACAGCTCGATCGTGGTGCTCATAAGCGACGCCATGTTCATTCACATGAGTTGGGCTTGCATTAGCACATGTCTACGCCTGTGCAGTCACTGCCGCGGACTCCGGTCCGCTTTGACCCCTGATCATGAGACACACCAAGTCTCATCAGCTCTTTCTCTTACTTAAAGAACCGTGGCCTCCTCCTTCCTTGTGCTCCATATCACGACATCAGTTTGCTCCTCTCTTCGATACATCACTGCTCTCCAGCATAACATATATCAAGATGAAGATACTTTTCTTGTGCACTGCGCACAACTCCCTGTCTCAGCGACTCTTCTTGGCGCTCTCCGGTTCCCACAATGTCAGCATCGAGTACGCTCTTTCCGATGAGGTGATGATCTCCGCAGCTGCTTTGGCCAGACCCGACATCATCATCTGCCCTTTCCTCACGACTTTGGTACCGAAGGTGCTGTACGAAAAGTACCTCACACTTATCATACATCCTGGGCCACCTGGAGATGCTGGTCCTAGCGCGCTCGACTACGTCCTGATGGGCGATGACGGCTCAATAGATGATGTTGATGATCTAATGCTACAGCTCGATCGCAAAGAAAGCACTACCGGGCGTAGGTGCTGGGGTGGTATGTCAACGACGTCTCCAACCCGCATTCTCAAGGAGGAAAGGGCTAACATAAGGCTCCAGTCACTGTGTTGCAGGCCATTGAACAATTCGACGCCGGTCCTGTATGGGCATTCGACCAATTCCCCATCGACATTGATGAACCAGGTCTAACAAAGTCGAGTCTATATCGTGGGGCAGTCAGCAACGCAGCCGTCGCCGCCACAGTGACAGCACTCCGTCGGATACAAGATGCCGCCCTCAGCTCTGCACACGATTTTGCGGGTGCTCCGAAAGTCTACTCTACTCAACGTGGAAGAAACAGTCCTATCACCTGGTCATCGCAATTGACCGCCGACCCGAAGTTTGCCGTACTCTCTGTCAGCGACCACTCACCATTCCTTGGTGGCAAGCTCCATCATCGACCACTCCTCAAGGCCGCGAGTCGCAGCTTCGACTTGACGAAACACAGTGCGCAACAAGTATCACGCCGCATTCGATGCGCCGACTCGCAGCCCGGTGTACTCAGTGCCATCTTTGGACCAAGCCTCTATCTCTACGGTGGCACTATCGAATCTGGCTCGCCAACCTTACCGAAGACGAAGCTATTCGTCGGCAAGACACGCATACTAGCAACCCGCAACGAGTCTGTCTGTGTCGAGGCGGCCGATGGTAATGGTGTCTGGATCACGCATGTTCGCCGTCCCAAGACCAAGACAGATAAGGCTCTTTGGCCCAAGGTGCCCGCAACGAATGGCCTCCTCGAGCTTGGCGTCATCAATCATGCCGATGTTCTCTGTCTCGACTCGCCTCTGCTAACAGACTGGTCTCGAGTGTCGTGGGATACCTTGCAAGAAGTGTGGGTCGACTTCGTCACCGACAAGCATGGCAACACCTCTGCATATCTCCACTTCGACATCTACAACGGCGCGATGTCCACCAACCAGTGTAGTCATCTCCTCTCGGCCATGGAGTATATAATACAACGGCACGCTACTGGACATCCTATCCGCGCCGTCGTCCTCATGGGAGGTGCGTACTTCAGCAACGGTATTGCTCTCAACGTCATCGAAGCCGCAAGCGACGCTGCCACCGAATCCTGGCTCAACATCAACCGTATCGATGACCTCGTCCAGATGATTCTCCAGGAGTTTCCACGACGCAACATCATCACTGTGGCTGCTGTACGAGGGAACGCTGCAGCTGGCGGAGTGGCCTTTGCCGCAGCCTGCGACTACGTTATTGCTGGATCGAAGGTCGTTCTCAACCCGGCCTACCGCGCCGTTGGCCTATATGGCTCCGAGTACCACACTATCTCCTACTTCGGTCGTTGCGGGACGGCGAGGGCCAAGCATCTTCTGCGAGCCATGAAGCCCATGAGTCCATCTCAAGCTCAAGGTTATAGTCTCGTCGACTTCGTCTTCCCTTCTGGTCCAGAGCTCGACAATTGCATTCGCTACCACGTTGAGATGCTTGTTAAGAACGGCGATCTCAAGCGTGGTCCCTGGAAAGCAAGCGTTGACACATCAGCGGCCTCCTTGGCCAAGGTACGAGCTATGGAGTTGAGTGAAATGAGCAAGGACTTCTGGAGTGCTCGTTCGGTACGATATCACAGCCGTCGCTTCGACTTCGTACGCAAAGTCAAGCCGCGCCAGACTCAGCTGCGATTCGCCACTCATCGTCGTCTGCAGCAGGGTGTCAGCATGCACGATGAGGAGGAGCTTGATAGCTTCGACGATGTATCGTACTACGAGCAGCTGGCCAAGCGTCTGGCAGCTGATGCACTTCGTGACGAGGTCCGTGGCGAGATGAGCTCAATGGTTGCTCGTTGGACAGAGCAGGAACAGATGGAGAGGGTTCATCGTCGCGGCTCCGTGGCCTTGCAGTTCGAGCAAGAGACTGCTCGCGTCGCCCTGCCTGGTGCTGAGCGTAAGACCGAGACTGTGTTTTCCTGCTACTGTAAGTGCAATGCCGTTGTGTGAGATAATACTGGGATCATACTGACATTCTTTCAGACAACCCTATTGATAACGGCATTATCACGCCACCGACGTCCCCAGGTTAGGTCGCCAAAGATGACAAGGACATCACCAACTGCATACATAGACTGGCCTAGTGAGGCGTGTGGGTTTGGGACGGCTCCATTCTTACGCTTCAGAAGCCTGGTCCGCTAATAGTCTTGTTGCTACGTTGTACCACATAATTTACTGCGAACGAACTGCAATAGATCCCGTTCCAGCATTCCGTCCAAGTCATTTCGTAGCACCAACGTTCCCTCCTTGCTGGTACGCCATATTTGACATATCTGTACAGACTTTACACAGTGCTCATGATCGTACCTGTGGCGTTCTCATCGCAGCGGCACCCTGCATAATGCAAGCGACTGAGCACGCGACGCTATACCCAAAGTATGAGATCTATTCTAGCCTCAACGTTTCTCCGCGACCGTTTCTATCTCACAGATCGGCGAACCACGAAAAGGCTCCCTGCTGACTGTGTTCCAACAGTAACAGGAGCCGCCGCCCAGCAAGCAAAGCGCCTTGGCTTACCATGGCGCAGTTATCGCAGGGGAAGTGCTCAGAGTGCGCTTCAGCTGCTCCTTTACAATAAATATTCATACTACGTTTTTCAGGTCCTGGCGAGCCCAGCAGATCGAAGTGCTTGTTCCTGTCGGACCTCTCCCGGAACGTTGTTTCAGGCTAACTAATACATCCCGGTAACATTTCTCTACCGACAGGTCCCGACACTCGTTCTGCCGCATAGATAACGGAGTCGTACCTGGGACAAGATGGGTCGCGCAGGACGCTCTCCTCGACACTCGACGACGCACGCTTCGATGTTCAGCTACCCGGTCACAAGGAGATATCCTTTTCGATGGATCACGCCGGTCGTGATTATCGGGTTCGTGGTCGCCACTATACTGTTCACGTTCCTGAACTTTGTTTCCACAGGATACACGCTGGTCAACGAGGAGAGCTGGAACCCGAATGCCACTGTTAGCAGTGGCGTATGGATGAATCACTGGCCATCCTTTCTCGTGAGCAAAGTCGAACCATCGTGCGAGCCGATCAATGTTCAGGTCGGCAGCGAGTTCTTCACGAATCAGACGGCTCTCAGATACACCTTGACTGATGTATGGCAAACCAGCCAAGGTGGCGCCGGAGCTGGAAATGGCGTTGCTTCGTCTTTGACCTACTTCAGCAATCTCATCGAGAACTGCAGTGTCAACTCTGTGGAAATTGACTATGCCGCCATGGATCGTTCAGCCTCACAGTTTGCATATTCGGAGTGGGGAGCTGTGGTTCGGACATATGCTACTTGCACGATCCTAGGATCGGGCGGCTTGACCAACTTCAATATCACCCAGGAGTATGATTATGTACCGTCCGACATCTCGTTCTCGACACTTTACACCTTCTTGGGGACCAATTTCCTCTCCCGTAACAGGACAGATAAGTCCAGCCTATGGTGGGGCGAGTCTCTGATGTCTATGTACTGGACGCATAGCACATACCAGATGCAGACAATTCGAGAAAATCAGACGACCAATGACGCGCCTGGCATCCGAAAAGGCACACTTTACTTCTACCCCAACGACGATAGGACTATCACCAACATGACCGACCCAGACTTCTTCGAGTGCGACTATCGGTTCATCATTGATAAAAGTCAAGGAGCCTTTGATGTAGTGTTTCCTGGCACCTACGGCGAGTACAGGTCCCAGACGCGACTATCGACACTCGTACAGCAGGCATCCTATCCAAATATCTGGACAGAAGCAGATGCTCTTGCGAAAGCTGCATACTCTACGGTCATGACTGACCTGGGGCAGACGTCTGCTAAAAGTAATCTTCTAACGGATCCCGCATCGTTGTCATTCTTCACGACCAATTTCACCGAAGCGACACGCAACATTGCAAACGCATATCCTGGACCAGCGGATCGCCCCTATGGTACAGAAGACAGCGGACCATTGGGCACCACGCCATCAGTGATAAAGACCAAGTATCTGTGCCAAGTACCTCAACGCAAGCCCGCCGGAAGTCTGTTCGTCTCCATTTTGGTCGCGGACTTGGTCTTCCTCCAGGCCCTGTGGTTCGTGTTCATCTACGTGGTGGATATGTTCTTTTTACGGAGACATCCAGAACGCAATCACTGCGAGGGCTGTGTCGTAGATGCGAGGATGCGAAATCTTGGGCCTGATACATTACCCCTCACGAAGGAAGATGCTGAGGTCGAGATGGGTGGGCTCAGGCCAAGATCTTCCGAGTCTAGGTCGAGGAGTGTCAGTCGTTCTAGGCTGATGGCGCAAAGTATGGATATGGGTAACCGAGATTTCTATCGGCCATGACCATGTAGAATAGAGCAGAGGTCTTCTTGGACTGCATCGATATCGGGAACATCGACACTGTCTTGTCGTTGATTCGGCAAATGTCGTGCTTGCAAAGGCGACCTATCCATTTCTTGGCACTTTCTCGCTTCAATGTACCCTTGATCGACTTCACCATGACATCAACCATGACACCCACCAGCATAATCACGTCGTCGATATAGAAGGCAGCGTAATGACCTGCTCCGTACTCTGTGTAAGGTAAAGTTCTTTCGCTTCACTCGCTTCATCTTGTCGTACGAGGATAGATGATACAATTAAACATGTCGTCGACTCAACCTCCTACAGTCATGTCCACTGAGCAGACATTAGAAGAGCAAAGGAACATCGACGTCTGCAAACAATACATGTCTGTGGCATACTCACCCGAACACAACAAAGGTGGCGCATCAGTAGAACATCTCTGCCACGCCGACAGCTGGTTCTGGTCTCCCTCGACCTTTCCTAACTGCGAAACACCAATGGCCTACGCCGACTCCCACGCTCACGTAATGCGCTCCGTACCCAACCTCCACATCCTCCGCTACGACCAGTGCTTCGCCAGAAACGGCCATGTTCTACTACGCTACACTGCTGAGGGCGCCTTCAAGGGCGAGCCATACATGGGCATCCAGCCTAATGGCAATCATGCGCGCTGGAGCGCTGCTGCTATATTTGAGGTAGAGGATGAGAAGATAAAGAGTTTCACGAAGGATTGGGATCAGAAGGTCATGCAGATACAGCTTGGTTGGGCTCCTGTAGAGAAGAGCGAGAACCCAAGGTGGAGTCTAAAGGCGCTCAAGGACCCGGAGGGCAGCAGGAGAAAGGCGTAGGATGAGTGTGAATATGTGCAATGATGGTTATATGCGGGAGAAGTATTGTATTAGTGTCTCGTAAATCTCCTCGTTCTCCTCGCTACACACGAAGCTATAGATATTTGCAGGGTGGCACTGCAAAATCGACCAGCTACGCGAGCCTGGGCCGAAAGTGGACCACTGTCAAGTGGGAGACTCTGCAGGCTGTCGTGATCGCTGGAACTCCATGAGCAATGGTAGAAGTCCGCCGCATGTAGGCACCGGCAGCAATGTATCACTTGATGCTGTATGGACCGGACACAAGTGTCGACAGACCCCAGTCATCGTCACACGGGGACATCCTCCTGGTCTCTCCCTCTCTCTCTTTCTCTCCACAGTGAGATCGCTCTGCACAGGTACCTAATGTCTGCTCGACATGATCACAGCAGCTTAAACATCGCCTTCATTCTCATCACCGCAATCCTCGCGGCACTGGTCGCCATGGATGCTGCTCACAGCTCCGCCATAGCACATCCGATATCTGTCGGATAGCAGCCGGACTCATTATCATCGCCGCATTTCCATTGTTGCCGAAAAGGTCCAGGATTTGCCTCACCTGACGCTTGAGTGCCTGCCTAGTCTCATCTGCGCTGGTGGTGTCGTACCTCCACTTGACACGCCATGGTCGCCTCGCGAAAGGCGAAATTGATAGTGCTACATCGAGCTCGAGGTAAGATAGGCACCATGGGTCCTTTTCGTCCGTATATTTCTGGCATCGATAGGTCAGTTTCCTCAACTTCGTCGGCCCGACTGCAAGGTCTTCCGGTGTGGGAGGCTTGTAACAAAGTTTTCGATATAGTCCTTTGCGTGAGATCGTCAAGGAGGTGGGATGGAGGTTGGCTACCTCGAGCACGAAGGCGTTGTTCCGAGTGTAGAAGTGACTGACTTCCTCTCGTTGGTCAGAGATCTGCATCATCTTGCAGAAGTTCTGCTCTGCATGGTGAGGTTTGTGGTATGGGTGGTAGGGACCTAGCATGACAGGATGTGAGGCGATCAGCTTGTCCTCGTAGATCCGCTCGCGTGTATCATCCGGCAAGGTCATAATCGAAGCTTCCGCCATTGCTCCAGCGAGGAGCTCGCTTTTGTATTTCTTGCGCACGGTACGAGACCGACTCATGATCAATGCTTCTGCCATTGCTCGAGTGAAGAGCTTTTCTAATCTACCTTCAATATCGTACCTGCTTCCAGGGGCCGCCATTGCTATTTGGCTTGGGTTTGCGAAATGTCTCAGCTGCATGTACTACCAGGACATTGATATATGCATGCTAGAGCTGTGCTTGCTGAGTACAATCGACGTTATGAAGATTGTGCGCTAATCAGGACCAGCAGTCTTGCGTCTCGCTTTGTGCCTTTCCGTCTTCTCATACTAGTCGCATAGCCTTAGCAAACCAGGCCGCACTACCGCAGAAGACGCTGACGCCCGTGAAGACGATGACAATGCCGTAGCTGGTACCATATGCGAGCTTGGCGTGCCACTGTATACCCAGCTCCAGCAAACGGGTGGATATAGGACCAGAGACTACAGCACCTACACCTCTTCCAGCTGCGAGTAGTGAGAGAGCGGTGCCAGTATCAAAGTTCCTGTTACTGCTGTCTGCTCGGCGGATGATCGGTATACAACCAGACCCTAGTCCCAACAGTCAGCTCGATAATCTAGGGTGTGCATTACGAAGACTCACAAGTGCCGGAGTAGCCACCGCCAAAAACCCCGAAGATGATAGCGAAGATGTACAGCATAGCCTCATTAGTCGCACATCCCCAGAATGCAAAGATAGCTATGGTCTGGCCGATGCAAGATACTAGCATAGCATTGGAGACGTGCAGCCGGTCAACTAGCATCCCGTGAACGATTGCACCTAAACACCCGGCAAGATTGTATAGTGCTAGGCTGAGTGGTCCTGCGAATGAGGGTAGATCGAGTGCTCGGGCGAAGGAGGGAAGCCAGAGTGATGGAAGGAATGCTCCTAGACCTTGGAAAGTAATGCTCACGAGGAACACCAGGAAGGGTGCGCCTTTTAGATATGAGTAGTCTGAAGGTCTGAAAGCACTCGAAGCCGGTAAAGGTAGGCGGTTCTTCACGAACAGAAGAGATGGCAGTGAGAGCGTGACCTGCTTGATCATGATCAGTAAACTTCAAAATCTGTATGTAAATCCGGTAGTGAGCACCCACGACTACGATCGCCCACACTCTTAGCGCAGTCTGGAATCCATAGTCGTCAGGCAGCCACTGCAGGATAAAGGGGACGACGACGCCCGAAAATCCAGTCCCAGCCCACATGATGCCATATGCCATGCCCTTTCTCGCCACAAACCACTCATCAACCAACTGCAGAAGTGGGAAGTACGTTAGCAGACCACCAATAGCATACAGTACACCTTCGGTAGCAATTAGACCAGACACTGCATTGCAGAAGGAGGCCGCAAGTAGAGAAATGACCATGATGAGGACGCCGATAGCCATGCTGGGTCGACGGATTCGAGGAAATCGCTGAGCACAGATCGCGGCGAAGGGTAGGCCAAAGAACATGAGACCTGTCGCTGTGGTTCCTATGGATGCTACGTCGCCCGCATGCTCCGAGAAGGGCTCATGGGAGCTATAGTACGCTTGAAAGATACCGAAGGAGTAGGGGAAGCCTGTCTCCACGTCAGCAGCTCGTCTTCTAGCCTTAGAACAATGAATACTGTGGTGGTAGGCAAGGTGACCATACCCCAGATCAGTGCCTCGAGCACAAAACAAGATGCCAGGAACAGCCAGGCATCTTTGCCGCCATCTGCGCGAGGTAGTGATTGGTCGTTGTGATTTGGTTCATTCCATTGGGCGTTTTCAAAGTCGTTCAGCTCGTGCATCTGATCTTGAACAATTGTGTTGGCCATGCTGGGTAGTGAAGGTAAGAAGGCTTGTCTCCTCAGTCAGCGAAGCAAGGTCGCGGCGATTGTTATATATGACTTTTGGTACATCAATGGCCGTGGGTCAAGATACCTTTTGAAGTCCGAAGTGCGGTGCGGAGTTCAATGCCGCTTGACACTTGTACAGGGCGTAAAGCTTCCCTTCACGATTCCATGGACAACCCTTTTATGTCATTCTTCTGTCGATGATAGAAATTTGCTTCTTTTTCTTCATATCGTACAGTGCCGGGCTATCGAGGCCGTAGATCGCTCCTACCCTTTAAGCTCGAAGCCATCGCCGTCGCGGGCTTCCCAGCCACGCTGGTATATAGCAGCAAGATCAGAAGTATTACTAACATTAACACGTATCTATACAGCCCACCCACCTCCGATGGTGAGCATATCGTTGCATTTACCAGCACTTCAGCCGTGACCAGAAACTCTTTTTCTTTGGCTGCTGTGCTGAATCCGGCGGTCGACTTTCAGAGTGTGCACCGGGACCAGGTGGTACTGCCTTCTCCGTTTCTGCTGGTAAAGGTTCTAGTGGCTGCGTTCGCCCGGTAGCTGTTGGCATGCTCGGATTGATGCCTCGCTCGTGGTCTAGTCGCGTATCCCGTACGCGTTTCACTAGCACTACGCTTGATGTCAGCATGGCCACAGCCTATCGAAATATATCCCAATGCACATACGCGCAAACGTCTCCTCAATGTTGACCATCTCCCTTGCACTCGTCTCCATAAACCCACATCCTCTGCTCTTCGCCCATGCCATTCCATCTCGCGCAGCGATCTGTCGCAGCCCCTGTAAATCACACTTGTTCCCTGCCACTATGCATACTGGCAAGACTTTGCCTTGCTCTAACCGTGTCTCTCGCTCGATCTCGATCATCTGATTGAAGAATTCTAGCGCTTCTAGCGAATGCGCCTGCGTGATGTCGTAGACAAGTAGGAACGCATCCGCGCCGAGATTCGTGGCTGACCATAGTCCTCGATACTCTTCCTGACCAGCTGTGTCTGTTAGAGCGAGGGAGTAGTGGACGCCGTCGATTGTGCGCGTAACGGAGTAGGAGTCTTCGATTGTTGGGTCATATCTGGTACAGATTAACACGCGCATACGTGAATCATCTCAAGCGCCATAGACATACTCGTGTGTCCACTGGCTGCGCACGAGTCGCAACGTTATCGAGGACTTTCCACAACCTCCATCACCACATATTGTAATCGCGACCTTCTGTGTAGCTTCCATGATCGTTCCCCAGCCCGACTTCTCTCACTCTGGTCGGGGACCTGGCAAGGCGACGGGCAAATGCTTGCTCTCAACGGCCGCAGCCGGCGAAGAGAGGGTGTGGTAAGGCCGTCGTACGGGTCTGGTGGCACGAGACGGCAGAAACCCGGTTTATGTCGACCCGGTAGCACGGACGCCTGGTTGTTGAGGCTGAATGACAATGCTGGTCGTAGATCATACAGCTGGAGATTGATGATCGTAGAAGATATAGCATATAAGATCCAGTTGACAGACCCAAGAAAAGCACCTGAAGGACTACTCGATATACCCTCGTAGGTGTCCGGGGAACATATACCTCAGAGCTCGATCGGAATCCAGACAGGTCGCGATCAGCAAGAAACCGCAGCCCAATGGATACAACTTAACAAATGAATCGCGTACTAGCAGGTTCAGAAGTATGAAGACGAGCCATACCAATGGCACAACTGCCCTCCCTTTCACAAGAACCAGTACGAAACTCTACCGCACAACGGCTCGACCGTTTGCAAGAACCAAATGTGAAAGCCGTTGCCAAACCCAAACTTTTGCTTCGGGGGATTGATTTTTGCCTTCAGGTTGCCCTGCCGGCCTGCCCAAAACCAGTCCGTAACGAAGTCAGTCGCCCGAAATAGAGTGGGGGCGTCCACATCGAAGGTCGTGAAATTGGCTATCGGCCGAGGTAAAAAGTGATATTCTCTACTTGATGGCGCTGAAGAGTACTGCAGCTTCCCTTCATGACTGAATTTGATCTACCCTTGTCCTGCGCAGAGACTAGGGAGGCGGTCGAATGGGAATGAGTCGTGACTGCTAATCGCCTGCACGGAAGCCCGAGATCTCCTTTTGCTCGAGTCAAGACGATGTCGAGCCATTGAGCCACCAGGACCAGGAGGCTCGCCACCGTATTGCAGCAGCCCACACGATTCACTGATTATCGTCTATCAACTGTTTTCTGGATAGCGTGTCTCTCAATCATACCTTGGTGAGAGGCAATACATCACGTGATTTTGGTGTTCTAAGACGTCGCGAATGCAAACAGCCAACATGATGACATGCTCTACTATACCTCAGCTGGACGACACAAGGAGCCTCCTGACTTTGAGGATACTCAGTGCATATATGGAATACTACCACTCTTGTCCCGTGCGCGAAGTCATGCGAACGCCGAGTACAGTCAGTCCATGGAAGCTGTCAGAGCCTGACTCCACTCGGCTCGATCTCTGAGCATGGAAGACACATTTGCCAACATGGGTCACCTTTTCGTGACAGAGGCTGTACACCAATCTTGTCGTAGGTAGCACTAGGTTCTTGACCTTTACCCGATCTCGATCTTCTGCATGCTCTCAAGTTGCGGTTACAACGTCCACCCTACTCGGAGCAGAAAGAGGCGTTGAAGATGCCCTGCCTCAATGATGCTTCATTCGAACCAGGCGTGCGCGGCTGCCGTGACGACTTCGACTTCACCATTGTCTTCGAACAATCCATCTTTTCCATTGGCCCGGCGGTGTTGTTCTTATTAGCTGCTGCTCTGCGGATATGGTCCATTTCACGGCTCGAGAAGATTGTGCACGCAGTAGCCCTGAGCAGCTTGAAGCTTGTGTGTAATTTGCGATGGTTGTGTCATTTGCTACCTTGCTGACATGACAACAGGCGACCATTGCACTTTTGGCCTGCTCAAATTTATCACTACTGGTCCTTGTCGCGATAGGTCCCACCATGGCCCCAGATGTCTCGATTGCATCCGCTGTGCTACACCTGGTTGTGGCGCTATGCATGCTCGCACTTTCGCATCTCGAGCATGAACGGTCAGCGAGGCCGTCGATCCTTCTGAGCGTGTACCTCTTCATCACGTCGCTCCTGGACGTCGCCCAGACCCGCACCCTCTACCTATCTGCGCACTCAAGGATCGAGACTGCGGTAGCCGGCGTTTTCACCTTGTCTCTGGCACTGAAGGTGATCATATTGCTTCTGGAGGCTCAGAGGAAGACCAAATGGGTACGATGGGATACTGCAGTGCCGCACAGTCCGGAAGAAACCAGCGGGATCTACTCTATCGGGATGTATTCCTGGCTAAACCATCTTTTCTTCATTGGGTACCGAACGCCACTGGACATGCAATCTCTGTATGCCCTGGACCAGACCATGACCTCCGAGGATCTCTACGGTCGTTTCAAGGAGCACGCAGACTTCTCCAAGGTCAAAGGGCAATATCTGGGCCTGGTCAGAGCAACCGTCCGTACTTTATGGTGGCAGCTGCTACTTCCCGTCTTTCCGAGAGCTGCACTCACTGGCTTCAATCTGTGCCAACCATTTCTGCTCAACTCTGTTTTGAAGATACTATCGAATCCTGTCGGGCCGGGCACTGCTAACCAAAAATATGGTCTGATTGGTGCAAGTGTTTTCATTTATGCTGGATTCGCGATCTCGACCGCTTTCTACTGGTACTTCCATTGGCGACTGCTCCAGATGACTCGAGGTATACTGGTCACGGCACTCTATGATAAAGCAACCAAGGCCCGACATGGTTCAGAAGGCGGGAACGATGCTGTGACTTTAATGAGTGTCGACATGGAACGCATCGTCCTCGGCTTCACTAGAATGCATGGTAAGCCTCCAATCTGCTGACACATATCGATCCCATGTATGTCGAGACTGATGCATCGATAGAGGTATGGGCTAGCGTCATAGAAGTTGCCTTAACAAGCTGGTTCCTCTACGACCAAGTAGGTGCCGCTTTTGTGGCTGCCATCCTAGTCGCACTTACGGCTTTTACTATCATTTATGTCCTTACGCAATACACTGCAAGAGCACAAAAGGCATGGATGGAAGAGGTTCAGCGGCGTGTCGGCCTTACTGCAACTATGATCGCCAAGATGAAGAACATCCGTATCGCAGGCCTGACTAGCCCGGTATTCGAAGCCATCCAAAAAGCAAGAGTCCACGAATTGAAGCGCAGTAGTCGCGTCCGCACGCTCGCGATCATAGCAACGACCATATCCTTCACGACATACACCATCTCTCCGGTCCTCACGTTTGCCCTGAGCGGACGGTATCTTGATAGCAATAGAGTCTACACTTCTCTAGCATTTCTCATGGTTATGGCAACTTCCTCTTACATGGCCTTGAGGAGTGCACCGCAACTTGCCAATGCTTTCATCTGCATGGCCCGCATCCAGGCTTATCTTGAGTCTGACGAACGGGAAGACTACCGGATCATGATATCTGACCGTACAGCGCAGACTCAGCACTCTGAAGATGAGAAGGGTATGGCTCGGCATTCTCTTCCCGCCTTCGTGATCAAGGATGGAGCTTTTGGATGGCAGGAAGGACAACCAGTACTACATGACATCAACTTGAGCCTTCCGAAACGTGGACTCACGATCGTTGCTGGGCCGGTAGCATGCGGCAAGTCTACACTCTGTCAGGCTCTACTCGGTGAGATCCCTTACCATAGTGGCGAGGTTGCCATGCACTTGACATCCGCTCGGATAGGCTATTGCGAGCAGTCTCCGTTCCTGTCCAATTGTACCGTTCGGGAGAACATAATCAGCCATTCGCCATTCTTCCCAGATAGGTATGCTGAGGTTGTGAACGCCACATTGCTGGAATTTGACTTTGAGATACTTCCACTTGGCGACGATACCGTTGTTGGAAGTAACGGAATTGTCCTCTCAGGCGGCCAGAAACAGCGAATTGCACTGGCTCGAGCTCTGTACCTACAAACAGACACGCTGGTCCTCGACGATGTCTTTAGCGGGCTTGATGCGGATACTGAAGAGCAAGTCTTCCGTCGTGTGTTCGGTCCGCATGGTATTGTCCGCAGGCAACGCAAGACGGCTATACTTTGCACACACTCCACTCGACACTTACCTTTTGCGGACCACTTCATCATCTTGGGCGAGTCCGGACGTATCGTCGAGCAAGGCGAGTTCCGGGTTCTACAAAAGAATTCCCCTTATCTCACTGGAATCGAGCCCCGTGTCAACGGCAGCGAGACTTCTTCTGAGGATATTGACTTCAAAAATGATAAGAGCTATGCCTCATCAGAGCAGGCAATAGAGCCCGCAAGCCAAGTCGTCAAGGTGGAGCAGGAAACCATCAAAAGGTCTGAAGCCAAGGCTGCTGTGCCTCTAGCTCACAACAAGGAGAGCACATGGTCCGTCTACAAATATTACATTAAGAGCATAGGTATGACTCTGGTCTTGTGCCAGCTGCTCGCCGCGGTATTACATGGACTCCTGTACAACTTCCCGACAGTCTGGCTCCAGTATTGGACTGGCGACACCTATTCAGCTCATCCAAAGCACATCACCGGTTACTATCTTGGTATCTATGGCCTGCTCGAGGTCGGATGTTTGCTCTCATTATTGCTTCTTGGCTACTTGATATGGGTCATCACCATCCGCAAGGCTGGAGCCAATCTGCATCAGGACGCTCTGACTACGCTTACACATGCGCCCTTGAGCTATCTCACAAAGACAGACCAAGGCTTGCTCACCAACTTGTTCTCACAAGATATGAACCTGCTTGACACCGAGCTTGCGAATGCGCTGCTCAATACCTTGATGAATGCCAGCTTAGCCATCGGACAAGCGGCAGTCATTGTCGCGGCAACGCCGTACATTGCTGTGGGCTATCCTCTGCTCGTACTCGTGCTATGGCTCATACAGAAAGTGTACCTCCGAACATCCCGTCGACTGAGAATGCTTAGTCTCGAATCTAAGAGTCCTCTATAGTAAGCACGACACACGAGCTACATTTCGTGGCCACTACTGACGTGATAATTGCAGCACACACTTCCTAGACACTACTAGAGGTATTGTGTCATTGAGAGCCTTCGGCTTCACCGCAGATGATCGCATGAAGCAGACGATCATGTTGGACGAATCTCAACGCCCTGCTTATTTTCTCTACATGGTGCAGGAGTGGCTCACACTGGTATGTGATTGCCTTGCACGAGTTCACAGTCACTTACTCAATTTGCAGGTACTCAACCTTGTCGTTGCAGGAATGGCTGTAATGCTCGTCAGCCTAGCACTAGAGCTGAGAGCCAATGTAGGCATCACGGGAGCATCCTTGGTCACGGTAATCACTCTTGGTGATAACCTCAATATCACTGTGCAGCAATGGACCAGGCTCGAGACATCCATTAGCGCCGTCAAGAGGATTCGTGACTTCAACGAGACGGTAAAACCGGAGGGCAAACCGTCGGAGACCGTCGTCCCCCGGGAAGATTGGCCATCGACCGGTCGGATCGAGCTACGAAATGTATCTGCGGCATACGAGTAAGTGCGATCGCCTACCTCGTGCTCTGCATAACACACTGTTTACGTGATCGCTAACTCAGATGCTAGTGCCGAAGCGCCTGACGAGAAGCCGAACCTGGCACTCCGCAATATTGACCTAGAGATTTTGCCAGGCGAGAAGGTGGCGATCTGTGGACGAACAGGCAGTGGAAAGTCAAGCACCATAGCTCTCCTACTCAAGCTCCTCGATCCTGTACCAGGGACACCTTCGGAGATTATGGTCGATGGCGTATCGCTTCACGACGTTAATCGAGCCATCCTTCGGCGTAGATTCGTCGCCTTACCACAAGAAGCGGTTCTACTCCCAGATGGCTCATCGTACAGGCAGAATCTGGACCCTCTGGATATGGGCGCCTCAGATGGTGACTGTCGGCGAGTGCTGGAGCTTGTCAATTTGTGGACAGTAGTGGAGAGTAGCGGCGGCCTAGACGCCTCAGTCACATCCACCAGCTTTTCTCACGGCCAACAGCAGCTTTTCGCTCTTGCACAGGCTGTCCTCCGACGACAATCTCGGGCGATCCGCCTAGCTGCTTCTGGAAGTCCTGCGCCGGGCGGCGTACTGCTGCTGGACGAGGCCACATCTTCCGTCGACCGGGAGACAGAGCGACTCATGCAGCGGATCATTCGGGAGGAGTTCAAGAGCTGGACCATCGTTGCTGTCTCTCATAGACTGGAGATGATCATGGACTTTGATAAGGTTGTTGTTATGGATAAGGGCGAAGTCGTTGAGACTGGCAACCCTACAACACTGGTGGCGTTGGAGGGCTCGAAGTTTGGTAAGTTATGGAAGGCGGCGAAAGGAGAATGAGCGGCTCTTTGTATCTTGACAGACGCGGCAGTGCAACAAGATCCAGACATATAGATTTGTCTGCCTCTGAATCTGATGTAAGATCAATAGCTGCTTGCAAGATATCTTTCTGTTGGTAGTATACATGTAGATGATGACCTCGGACACTAATCGTAGCTACCGATACTGCCCCTGCTACCATCGTAGCGATAGGCACTGCCACTACTTGCGTCGGCGGCTCAAGTGAATTGCGTGGATCAAAACTCATATTCGGTAGCGGAGTTGCGAGGAGTAGTATTGTGGTCATGGAAGCAGAAGCACAACACGGGTTTCAGACCATGAATAACTATTACTCAAGATGGATCTCAAGGCCCTGTCGAGCCTTCGCCCAAGTTCGCCAAGCATCTTGAGCGCTGACATCCGACCTCAACATCATAAAGCCTGCGCCCGGAGCAGGTCTCTTGTTCCTCGGAGGTACAACATCACCAGGCTTCCAGAAGTACCGATGTGTCGCATATGTATCAGCGATGCCCAAAGCCTCCAGGCCGAGTTCGTTTGGCATGATACCACTGCCATCCGTCTCGATCTTTTGTGGCAGCCAGGTGTAGTGATAGGTAGGAGCATTGCCAAATCCATGTGCAAGAGCTCTGAAACGTGCCTCGTCGCCAATGCATTGCATGAGGTAGCCGGCGAAGTAGTCGATGCCGAAGACGTAGCTGGACAGCACGGCTTCGAACCAGCCTGCGAAGCGCGGATTGACTTCGAGTAAGAACGTCCCGCTAGGTCCGACTTTTGGCTCTTTTCGTGGTCGAACGCCGATCTTGTCCTCGGAGATCTTGTACGCTGAGTTGTGGACTCTTGCTTCAGCATGGATCACTCCGCTGTGAAGACCCAGCCTCCGCACGATATCCGCCATGTCGCGCTTGAGCATCTCGACCTCATCCTCTGGCAAAGCCGAGGGGCTAGACGAGCCAAAGCTGCCGAAGCTCTGCGTCACAGCCTCGCCATGCTTTTGGAAATTGTCGACGACTTCTGCATGTAGTACTTCGCCATTCCAGAGCATCATGTTGACATCTACCTCTGGCCCATCGCAATATGTCTCCACAATAACTGACGATGTGTCGAAGCTGACGCCCACCCTGTCGTGCTCCTGGGACTGACATGCGAACGAGTTTCGCAGCGCCTCACGGAGATCTTCTTCCTTGTTGACACGCTCCACCCCTCTTGCTGCATGGCTTCGAGTCGGCTTCACGATGAGCGGATACTGTAGAGGTTGCGACAGAGTCTTCAGCTGTGACTCCAGATCGTCGAGGCTTTCCACTTTCATGACAGTAGATACTGGAGCCAGCTTTCGCGTCTCGTACTTGTCGGTACTGGCAAGGTATGCCGCACTTCCTAGTGTCGGTAGGCCGAGCGTTTCCGCGGCCTGAGCAACTGCAGGCATAAGCATGTCATACAATGCCATAACACCGTCAATCTTGTACGGCAGGCCACGGATGGTGTCCACGATGCGGCCAGGTAGCTCGTCGACTGGGCAACCACCTCTGACGAATGGCACGAAATGCTCACGATACTTTGCACCAGATCCATTGTCGTCTTCAGCCCAATGCCCTGGTTCGTCCAGTATGACCACTGAGATCGCCATTGCTCGGGCTGCAGTATAGAACTCTTTACAGAAGACCTCCCTGCGCGACTCTTCAATGAGAGCTATGCGGGTGTGTTTGATGGGAGTGAGAATAGTCCATGGCCAGGACAGACGGGCCTGGAACTCGTTCTGCGCAGCCTGAGGATCCGCGTCGTCTGCCACAGTGGCTACTCCAACACTTGATCGAAGTAGCTCCAACAGACTTTCCGCGGTCTCTTTTCTCCCTCTGCGAGTCGAGCTCCCGTGATTTGTTGTGCAGGCTGGACGAAGCCTTGGACTGTAGTGAACGCCGGACATAGCTTCAGAGAAAAGTCCATGAGGTCACTCCTGACAATGTAGCCATCGCCTGGAGGAAGCAAGAACTTCGTAACACTTTTGCCGGGTTTTGACAGTGCTGTGCTCCACAACAATGAAAGAGCCGCGTCGACTGAGGGTGTAGTAGGAACTTTGCACGTTGACATCGTCCTGCCTCCTTCCGAAAAGACTTTGATGGAGTCGAAGCGATGAATACCCGCCCCTGGTCTCAGACTGGCGGCAATGGATGTAGCCTGGACAGAGTCGACAATGCAATCTAGTATGTTGTCACCATGTTTACTACTATTCTGCCTCCACGACCACTTGGTACGGAGTGCCACTAAGTTTACCTGGCGTCAGCAATGGAACCATATCGACTTTGGTGCTGTTTGCTGAGCATACCGTCGCCGTCTTTCGACAGGAATTCAGCGTCCCAGGCACCGACCCTGGCAGGCTCAATCTTGTGCGGCATATTGCGGCGTCGCGAGATTGATCAAATGAAATGGCTATAGATTGGGCTTTCCCGCATACAAATACTGTAGAGTAGTGTGGAGAATGACAAGATCGATCGAGTTGGCAAAGCCCGTTCTGGATGCGCAAGCGCGATGACTTTCAATGTCAAGCCATTTTCGCTCGCCGCAGGTCGAGTCCTTTGTACTGTACCGTTATCTGGAGGTTTGTCGAGTGGTGTCAGCTTCGCTGTCAGAGTCTGGTGCGCGCCATGGCCAGCGAAGGTGAGTAGCCCCCCGTAGAATCGAGAAGCTCATCATTATACAGTATAGTTCTCGATCAGTGACGATCCTGAAGTGGAAGAGCCACAGCTCGCCGGCATGGTAGCACTGTAGGTGTAAAGGTCCGAAGGGTCCATCATCCGTGCAAGATTGGTTGCCAAGACTCCGAGGGCTTGCGCTGGTGAGCTTGTCGGCGCACCGAACATTTTGTAGAAACATGAACATCGTCAACGAATGACACTATGACCATCTCAGTATCTGTTTACGAGCGAGGCGGATCATACGGGCCTCCGTATACTGCGCAGGTTGCCAAACTGCTACACCTTCCGCCATAACGCCTTGCAAGCAGCCACTTGCACGCAAGTAGCGCAAACATATATGCAAGTGAAGCTAAGTAATAAAGCGTCACCAGCTCCTGTAGTCAGTCACAAGCATCATCTCTTCTAGCCATGTTCCTCTCCAAAGATGTGATGATCAGCAGGATAGCAGAAGCCACGGGCGAGTTATAGGAGACTCGACATGACAAGCGTGAGACCGACAGTAGAGCAGAAGAAATACCCTATCCGCCTGGCACCGAGTTGAAAAACAAGAAGCGCGCCAAGCTCAGCGCGCGAGTATGTTTGATATACGGTTGACCTTCGCACGGCGGCGTCCTGATACCAGCAGCTACTCTCCTAATGCTCTCCCTGAACATCCGGTATGACAGCGCAGTCGACGATATAGCAGGTGCACATGAGGAACATGAGACTGTCGGGCGCTTGCGACGCGTTTGGGCGAAGTGATACACTGGTGAGAGGCAGGTTATTGGGACTCCTTTGGGGATGCAAGGTCCGACGATGGCACAGAACAAGACGATGGTGTATAGGTGGCCATCGGACGGCGTGGGAGTCTGGGTCCTACGGTACTCTCGTCTTTTCGGAGTCCCATCTGATCTCGGAAGAGCGTTTCTGGCTCTGATAATGGATGGAAAGATTGAGCATCTTCTGACGACACGATCACCAGCCCACTGTGCATCGGCGCAGCAAAGCACGAAACGAGTATCAAATGAGCCTCGAACGCACAAAATGCATATTACCGCTTTGGTAGACGTTCGTTGAATGTCTCGCTGTCTTACTATGTATATGTGCTCCTTCCTTCGCACGCCAGACGATCCAATGTCCGTCCTCGAAAATTGCGTTCACGCTGTCGGACCTTTACAGCTGTTCCATATGATACACACAGATCAAAGGTTCTCCTCCTCGATAGGCCTGGCCACATATGCACTCTCCAAGTACTCGCACTCTCCATCAGTCAACTTGAAATGAGCATTCCGCACCGCGTCCTCGATCCTCTCCCTCGACGACAGCCCGATAACAGGACAGCATCCGTTCGAGATGGACCAAGCAGTAGCGATACAAGCCATCGAGACGCCATGCCTTTCCGCCAACTCCTGAACACGACCGACAATGATCTTGTCTGCCTCGCATGCCTTGCCTCGAATCAGCTTTCCAAGATATCCATCATTATTCTCTCGATGTGATCCTTGACCCCAAGGACGACACAACACGCCTCTAGCCAGCGGAGACCATGGGATGAGACCGACACCAGTGGCATTGCAGTAAGGTATCATCTCTCGTTCCTCTTCACGATAGAGGAGGTGGTGGTAATTTTGCATACTGATAAATTCGTGCCAGCCGTTCGTCTTTGCTGTCCACCGTAATCTGGACGCTGCATCAGCTTCAGTTTCCGTACACCAATGTACGTGATGGTCCTACCGCTGAAACTCCCAGCAAGCCATCGAACTTGCACCTAGATACCTCACCCATCCCCTCTCAACCACATCATTCAGAGCACGCATGACCTCGGTCGGCTCGACATCACGATCCAGACGATGGATTTGTAGCACATCGATATACGTACCCAGGCGCTTGACGCTCGCCTCAACCGCGTCTAGGATATGTTTTCGAGATAAGCCGACGGTGTTCACCAGCAATCCTTCGTTTCTCGTCCGGGTGGCGATCCGAGCTTGAGCGCCTGAAGTATCAGGGCTGAAGAAGCATTTGCTCATGATGACAACGCTCGAACGGGGAATTTGGTACTGCTGGATAGCTTTGCCAACGATTTGTTCAGAGAGGCCATTGGAATAGATATCGGCCGTGTCCCAGGTGTTGATACCGCAGTCGTAGGCATATTTTAGAAGTGGCAACGCTCTATGGTGGGATTGTTAATTAGCGATGATTACTCAAATGAGTTCATCTGAGGGCGTGGGATGGTAATACTTTTCTTCGGGTATAACCCAACCCTGCCATGCTGGCGACCCAAACCCCATGCACCCAAGAATGACTTGGGACACTTTCAGACCGGATCGTCCAAGCCGCTTGTACGCTATAGGTTTGGTGGCGAGCTTGAGCGGAGCAGTATCTCTGGCGCCAGTATCATCCCGTTCTGTTGCATCGATGATGGCGCCACTGAAGGGAACGACCCCATTGTGAATCCGATCATCTGTAATGAGAGGCATGATGTTGGACAGAGTCGGGGTCACGAGATGTGCAACGCAGCAGACCAAGTCAAGTTGAGAAACATGCGAGCGGTCACAAATAGTCTCGATGATTTTGTGTGTAGGCAGTATCGGGCATCCGTGGGCAAATTTGGAGTAAGCCCAACAGTCAGAAAGTGTCAGGTTGACTCGGCCGTGGGAGTGATGGGGATACGCCGTCTCGAGGGCCGTATTGCCTTCCAACGTGATCAAGAGTGCCAGCGATGGGTCATAGGAGACAAGCCTTATTATTTAAAACCTGCAATCATATGGTGTGAAGTGTTTTACGACGGGATGAAGACGCAAAGCGGAGTAGAGCATTGGGAGCCCAGACTGATGGTCATGACTAACAAACTACTAGCGCTCCTTCGGAGCCATCAAGTCTCGTGTCTCAAGCTTGGGTGCAGATAGATTGATCGACACGTATTTGAGTTCCATCTGGTGTTTGTCTATGTCCAATCTCGATACTCTTAATTCAACCAGTCGAGGAAGTGGGGAGAGAAGTAGCTAATGATGACCGTCGCTCCGGCACGAACCATTGCTTCGCAACTCTCAAAAGCCAAGGCACGCAAGTCAGCCACACCAGCGTTCGCAGCGGCGTAAATGCCTGCATACTCGCCGCTAACCTGGTAAGCAACGACGACAGCGTTCGGATCAATCTCCTTGGTATCCCGAATGATATCGAGATAGCTTCCAGCAGGCTTGACAAGCACAAAATCAGCGCCTTCGCTGAGATCTCGCACCACAGCCTTTCGTGCCAAGCCTCGAGCGCCGCAGGGGAGCTGGTAGCAGCGGCGGTCTCCAAAGGCAGGCGGTGAAACAGCTGCATCGCGGAAAGGCCCATACAGCACGCTGTGGAATTTGGCCGAGTACGCCATGACAGCGACCTGATGACCAAAGCCGGCCTTGGCAAGCCCATCTTTTATGGCAGCAACGCGACAATCGTTCATGTCAGATGGTGCGACACAGTGCGCTCCAGCTTTCGCGTAGCGGACAGCCACTTCCGTCAGTCTGCGAATGGAAACCTCGTTGTTGAGGCTGTTGTCCGCGTTGAGGATGCCACAGTGTCCGTGATCGGTGTACTCGCAAAGACAGACGTCTGCAATCACGTAGACGGAAGGGAAGCTGGCTCGGATCAGGCGTGCGGCCTCGATGACCGGAGATCCAGCGCAGTCGGCATACATGCCTTCCGCATCCTTGTCTGCGTTGTCGTTGATGACACCGAAGAGGATGATGCTGCTTAGGCCTTTGGCGACAAGCGGTGCAACGAAGTCGTCCAGGCGGTCGACACCGATTCGGTGCTGATCCGGCATCGATGGAATGGAAATGAAGTCGTCCGCATTGTCCGAGATGAAGAGCGGGTAGACAAATTGGTCCTAAATCGATCAGTATGCTACTACTCGTGCCACTCAATTTGATGAGACATACTTTGTGTAGCCTCGACTCCGACTGCCATGACCTCGTCAGGGCATGCGCGTACCCGCTATGCAGACGATTTGGTGCTTTCGTGGTCACGGTCTGCTTGTTCAAAGCTGCCGCAGTCGCCGCTCCCATCTCCATATATTCAGAGTCGATGAGTCCAGGCATGATGAATGGTGGTGGTAGAACGAGAATGGAATTCCTTTGCAGGCCAGTGGTGTCGAGACCAGTGTATGCAGCTACCAGTAGACTCTATAAATAATTCGGCATCCTGGTAGCAATAGTCAATAAGGTACTCAGCTTGACATAGCCTTGGCATGATTCCGCGACTGTGAAGATGGAGCAGCCTTACTACAGGAGTGGAGTAAGACACACTGTCCCACAGTCAGCTAAACATCAATCGCGGCTCTAGCATGATGTTGACTAGATGCCGGCCATGACTGTCTCTACCATTCCACTGCAGGGTGAACATCTCGGAATACCAACATCTGTGGCTCGAATCCATTTCCTTTTGCCACCTGGTCGTGAGACACAGGTAGGAAGATCGAGTTCACGCGGAGGAACGGAGGTAGCAATCTCCAATGTGCAGCAGCATTAATGTCTCCGTCGTTGGCGTGATAGCAAGCTTTAAAACGAAACTCAGCGATGATGATTATCATCACAATACAGATCCAGACAATCATGATTGACTGGAATGTGCAGGCCTCGGTGGTTTGGGGAACCTGATTAGACTCTGTAGCAATGACTATATCTCCGCCTACGTTCTGGCATATACGGAATGATCCATTCCCATATTACATCAGTATGCTCTTCGTTTCGACCTCTCGAATTGAGATGCTCCGAAATATCCAGAACCTAGACTTTTGTCGTGTAATTTTTCGTACATCCTTCCATTAGACTGTTCCGTCTCCTTGTACCGAGGCTGAACGATACCAATGCGATACGTGGACTAGAGAACTCGCAGCTTACTTCAGCCGCTACAGTCTCCATTCTCATTCTGATCACACCACGCGTTCCTTGTTCGCCACAGTGGCTAGTTGGACAGTTCGATCGACCAGTTGAAAATTCTCCTACACCTGGAATCTACCCAACATTCTCGCCATGGCTGTGACTGACCCTATACACGATGCTCGAGAGCGGGCAGATGTTGTGACCATTGGCTCGCGGAACTCCAAGCTGGCACTAGTGCAGACAAGGGATGTCATTACGAAACTGCATAGCGTCTATGGTCCCAGGCCTGACTACCAAGTCTTGACAGGTGGTGTAACAGGAGATGCCGACAAGCGAACGCCTTTCAAGGCCTTAGCAGCACAAACAGGACTGGCCAATGTAGGCAAGAGCTTATGGACGACATCCCTGGAGGCGGACCTGGTCGATGGCAAGTATGACTTTCTTATCCACTGCCTGAAGGATATGCCTACGACACTACCTCTAAACTGCGCCCTTTCAGCAATCACCGAGCGCGAGGATCCGTCCGATGCTGTTGTCATGTCGCCCAGAGCGTCGTATACTCGTCTATGCGATCTTCCAGCAGGCTCCGTCGTGGGGACGAGCTCTTGTCGGAGAAAGGCCTTGATCGGTCGCAGTTGGCCGCATCTTGTCGTCCAGGAATGTCGAGGAAACATGTAAGTTCTTCACGCGATGAGCTGATCAAGTTCCCGGGCTAAGTAGCTGTACACAGAGACACCCGCCTTGCTAAGCTCGACCATTTGGAGTCTCCATTCACTTGTATCATTCTCGCGACAGCTGGATTGAATCGGATGCACTTGCAACACCGTATCACGGAACGATTACATCCAGCAGACTTTCCATACGCCGTCGGTCAAGGAGCATTAGGCATCGAAATCAGCACACACGAGCCTGACGTTGCCAAGCTTGTGATGGCAGTTGATCACAGGGAGTCCAGGTGGTGCGGGTTGGCGGAACGGGCAATGCTTCGAAGCCTCCGTGGTGGATGTTCGTCGCCTATTGGCGTCTGGTGTAGGCCTGAGGCTACTCCTGATGGAGCATCAGATCTGGGAAGTGAACAGGGGCCAGTGCTGCGCCTACGACTGGATGCGACCGTACTGAACACCCAAGGCTCGTCAAGTGTGAACGTGGAGGAGTCTCAATCTGTGGAAAGCGATGAGGACGCCGAGCGCCTTGGTGAGACTGTCGCGAGACTTTTGATTGCTCAAGGAGCCGAGAAGCTGCTACATGGAGCATAGAGGCATGAGTGAACGATGCTATGCAGTTACAGACAGCTACCCACTGTTCCACCTATAATCCGACCAGCTTCCGTGGTCTGCGCTGCACCCGAGGGACCTTTCCGACATCTCACACATCGTCTTTCGCCATCGTTTGTCTCTCGTAGGAACCCTGGCACCTTCAAATGTAGGCCGAGCAACCGGCTAGCTTCACTGAACCAGCGTTTGTACCTCATCTGCCGCCTCCTGCCTCAATCGGAAAGAGCACCTGCGAAAGGTCAGCAAAGCTCTTGTGGCCCCCAAACTCGACAGGGAGAAACTCACAAAAAGTCCTTGGGCTCGGCAACAAGCGAACTAGGGCAAGTGTTGTAGGTCTCAGGATCAATATCAACCTCACTCTGCGCCTGCATCTCCCAGCCCAAAATCAGTCGACCCATGAACCCGTACATAAGACGATTCGCCAAATGGAAGCCAACACATGCACGAGTGCCTGCACCATACCCGAAATGTCTCATGGGGGGACCAGTCTGCGGCACCTTGTTCTCGGCGAAACGTCGATACTGGAATTCTTCAGGCTGAGAGTAAGCAGCTGGGTCGAAGTTGCCAGACCTGGAATTCATGTAGAACCATGTGTTCTGTGGGATGCGGATGTCTCCGAGTTGCACAGGCTCGACGTTGGTCCTCGGGAACCCCATAGGAACCACGCTGAAGAAACGCAGGACTTCTTGGACGAAACTAGCGAGGCCTGGGACTATCTCCTCCGAGACTACACCGTGCCAGGCTTGTTCCAGGGTAGGGTAGTGTGCCATGATCTCGCTGTGGAGATCTTGTTGGATCATTCTGCCTTGCTTTGAGCAGAGGACTGCGATTGCTTGGACGAGGTTGGCCGGGATGGTATCTAGGCCGGCGGAGAGCAAGGTGATGCTCAGCGACATCATCTCCACTGCGATTCGATTAGGGCCTGGACAATCTAGGACAAGGGTTCAAAGACTTACCATCATTGAACGAGAAAGCAGGGTCCTTCATAACCTGACCAACAGAGCAAGGCGCATCAGTCCCTTCCTTGATGTCTGACTTGATCTGACCGATGAGTCGATTCATGTAAGCATCGCGCCTCTCGCTGTAGGCCTTGGCATCACTGCTAGCTGAAGGCAGCCAGCGGAGGAATGGGAGGTAGTCCTGGAGATTGTTGGTGTGCGAGCGGTACCTCGTCAAGGCTTCCTCAACGTCGACTATTTCCTTCAGCAACTCATCACGCACGGTGGAGATGCGTGTTCCGAAGCTGCACGTTAGCGACACATTCAACACGAACTTCTTCATGTACATCTTGGGCGCCATCGCATTGACGCCGCGACGTGAGTCGGTCAAGATCTCGCGGAGTGCATCGTTGATTTCTCGGGAGATAGCGGGAACATAGCTGTCGACAATCAGTCCGCTGTACGAACTCTGAATTTGCTCGCCACTCACCTTCGCACGGCGTTGGTATTCAGTGCCGTGGCTGCAGCCTTACGACGGGCTTTGCACGACTGATCCCACGGCGAGGTGCCAATGGTGAAGGCTTCGGAACTGCACACCACTTTATGGAAAGTGTGCAACTCGGGCCGCGAGATGAGGCTCGTTTGATTCTTGATCCAAAAGTCGCAGATGCCGTCGAAAGTGTTGCACACCACTACGGGCCTACGTCCAAGTCTATGATATATCGATCAGCACCAGCAGTAGATCCACCTCTCCTGTTCGATAAAAACTCACTTCACCAAAAGATTTGGACCATACTTCCGCGACCAGCTCTGCAGTTTGTTGGAGAACGATCGTGCACGTCGCAATTGCAGCAGATTCCCCACGAAAGGCCAACCCTGTACTTCTGGCAGACCTTTCACACCGCTTTGCCGGGTAGTGAAGTAGAAAGCAAACGCACAGAGCAGCGTGGCCGAGAGTAAAGTGAGCATCTTCGTCGTCCTTGTTATCGTCGTCGTCGCCGGTAGCAGTGTAGTATATCGAACCCTGACAGCCTTTGAGCAAGGCACATATATGCATGTTCACTTCCAGCATGACTGTACTGTATGACCACCTGCAGAATGCTCGTGGAGCCCCTCCACAGCTGTCATACAATCCCTGCAGCGACATTACGAGCCCAGTGTGACTGTTGGAATTGTGCCTGTCAAGAGTTTACTGGCAATGTCTATGTCAATCGATCGTGCACTAGAGCACGCATACTGGTGCAATAGTCCATGGAGCATAGCCGCGGCTACACATTGTGACTATGATGACTGCCTGTCTGGATTTCTTGTTCAAGGCGAGAAATGAAATATTGATCATGCTGAAGCGATCGTGAAGCAAGCGCAACATGAAGCAAGAAGTGAAAGCACGTGACTAGCGCTAAGTGGCGGCATACGGGCCGCAGCGCCAACGCCCACCCCCGGTCGAACAATCAGTTGGCTTTCTCCTTGAACAAGACTATCTCTATGTTCGTCCAGGTCGCCAATGACAAGAGCTGCAGACGCTCTGGACATGTCCGCTCCGCACAAAATCAAGGCCGCCGAAGCATTATGTTTGGGGCGAAGCATACAGCAGAGCCAGACGGATGACTGTCGCTCGGTAGTGCGCAGTAAGCCCAGCTTGACTGTAGTCAGAAACATTGTCGAAATTGGCAAATCGATCGACTATGATGAGACTTATGGTAGAAGCAGCCCCCGTTCTTCAATATAAGACAAGTAGGAAGGTCGATTGCTGTCGACAGAGCCAATCGTGACATACTTCGCATCTTACACTAGGGACATCCATGCTTACAGCCTTCAACAAGACCATTTTAGCACGATGCAAACAGACACCCTCGCTTCGCCGGATGTATGCTCGGCCGTACCTTCGCCTTATCGGACAGCCACCAGCGCTTTGCAAGCCAAAGTCCCCGAGATCTTCAGGGCAAAGGGCAACTACTTCCATCTCACTAATGGCCGCACAATTTTCGATGCGGTCGGTGGAGCCGCCGTCAACAATCTCGGTCACGGCGACGAAAGGATCGCAGATGCTATTTGCGAACAGATTGCGACGGTGGATTATTGCCGCTCAACGTTGTTCACTAGTAAAACCACTTGCGACATAGCGGATTTCCTCGTTAAGACGACCGAGGGAGCCATGAAACGAGCGCTGTTTGTGTCGTCAGGTACGAACGTCTACCTCATTTCTTACAATGTATGTTCGAGCTCACCTTGCTCCAGGGACTGAGGCCAACGAGGCCATGATGAAGTTGTGCACCCTGTACTTCCGAAGCATCGGCCAACCGCAAAGAGTGCGCTTCATCGCCCGCAAGAACTCTTACCATGGATCCTCCGTCTCCACGTTGACTCTGGGCTTCCACATGCGAAGGCGAGAGCTGTTTCAGGGTCTACTGTCCTTGGACGGCCCCAATATCAGCCATGTCAGTCGAGCGCATGCATATCGTGACCTCATGCCGAATGAGTCCGAGCATGAGTATGTGGCTAGACTGGCCGAGGAGCTCGACAATGAGTTCCAGAGGCTCGGTCCCGACAGTGTCTGCGCGTTCGTCGCGGAGCCAATCGTAGGCGCGGTATGATGCCTCAAGAAATAGGCCAACACTCTCTGCGACAAATGCTGACGCTATGTGCAGGGTCTTGGAGGAGCCGTTGCACCAAAAGGATATTTTGAAGCCATGAAGCAAGTTTGCCATAAGTACGGTGCCTTGCTGGTAATGGACGAAGTCATGTGTGGGCTAGGTAGAACTGGGACCTATCACGCATGGCAACATCCCGATGTCGGTACCGCTCCAGACCTCCAGACTGTCGGCAAGACTCTTGCAGGTGGCTATGTTCCTGTAGCCTCGCTTTTGGTAGGCCAAACGGTCGCACGGGCTATGGAAGAAAGACGCGAGTAAGTGGTGATGGTAGCACCGATACTTCTGCTACCGGTATGGCTGACTCTACTTCAGATTCTTCATCCATGGATCGACTTACGAGGATCATCCTGTTGTCGAAGCTGCAGCCTTAAGAGTTCAGCAGATCGTACGAGACGAGGGGCTGGTGGAGAATGTGCAGCGTCAGGGTGCCATGCTCCGCGAGCTGCTGCAGCAAAGGCTTGGTTCCCACCCTTGTGTAGGCCATATTCGGGGCCGTGGACTGATGTGCGGGGTGAGCCTTTCTTCAGATCATCCCAATATTCGGCAAAGACCGCTAACCATTTTCGTTCAGGTTGAGATCACACAGCCCTGGAGCAAAGTGCCATATTGCTCCGACCTAAGAGTCACTTACAGGATCTGCGAAGCCGGTATGGACCTACCGAGAGACGTTGCGGAGACGCTTGGCTTCGACGGCATTAGCATGACCCCTAACCAAGGCTGTTCGGATGGTCTGGAAGGCGATGTCGTGGTCTTGACGCCTGCGTTCAATATCAGCACAGCCGACGTGGCAGCCATTGTTGAAGCTTTGGCTACATCGTTGGAAGAAGTTTTGGGAACGGCTGGTGAGAAGATTGATGCTGAGCTTGCTGCTGGTATGCAGGCTCAAGCGCGGCTGTGATAGGCTACGCGATTGCATGGTCGGACGGTACCCGAACCGCTTTAGCTATACTTGCCTCAGAAGGCAAATGCTGCCGTTTGTTACCAAAATGTCTGAAATTTCAGGGAGTTGTAACAGTCCAGGCCACCCATGGATGTGACAGCTAGTCCAGCGTCCCATCGATGATCACATCCTCGATACACGGCCGTTACCGGCTGACTGACTCTGTACTCCAGTAGCATAGTCGCAGGCAGAGGAGAGTGCTACTCAGAGAGAACATTGTTCGAGCCGGCTTACTAGCGGACTCCACCTACTGGAGACTGCTCAAGCCCTGCAGCCCTCTGAGTCAGAATATGACAGTATCGTTGTTCTGTCTACAACAATCACACAAATATCACACCACTGTACGCTTCTTCAGTGATTCAAGATGCCCTCGGTCGGCACCAAGACTGCTCGTGCAATATCGACTATCGTGAGTCGATCGTACTTGCTTGTGCCGAAGAGCAGCACAGGGTGCGAAGAAGCGAGCAATGGCAGGAACCATTGCCGCGACGCCATCACAACGTCGTAAAGGGTCAGTCGACCTCACTCGATGCAGAAATACACAATATCTGACTCACCTTCATTTCAGGCCGACCACATACAGCTCTGTAGACGACGTCACAGAATACGCACAGTCAAGAACAATTGCGGACGACGATCATCTTCTACGACAACAGAATAATCCGCGAGCAGCAGAGGATTCCATGGCTTCCAACGAGTCCATCAACGACTCGAGTGACAGCAGTTCGATCCTGTCGACACACATGGACTACGAGCTTGCCTGTCGATGGACATGAAGGCTTTCTATGACTACCAGCTTGATGTCGGCGAATATATCGATGCGTGAGAAAGTATGTCGTCCCTATCGTCAACGTATCGGCGCCAACGTGTATGGCCGATCGAGTCCACCTCATGGAAATTGGAACAGATGTGCTCTCGCCACTTGTCGAATGAATCATACCCCAGGCTGACACTACTCTCAACCTCTGAACCTGTCATGGTTTCCTCGAGCTCTGTTCAAGTACAATCATAAAGTATGAAGGCTGACGTATCGTGATGGTCCATGGTGAAGCTGCACATATTGATACATCTACAACTGCGTACAAGGGTAGCTTCCATCACAACTCTGGCTTCGCGCCTGTCGTTAGACAAGACATTCCTCACGGCCACGTAGAGAATCAAACAGTCTGTAGTCGACAACTAAAGTATCTTACCCGGCCACGCCAGCTAGGAGGAAATTTCGGCAAAGTGAAAGTCCTTGCATTGACGAAAGGCGTCCACTAATCATACCTCTAGCAACCACGAGCAAGTCTGCCGTTGATGCGATTTTGAAGTCGCACAGAAGTTCTTCGTGATGCATAATGCACTAGTGCCTATCCTACTTGAATGGTGGAAGAAACAACAGGTTGCATATTGTGCACATGATCAATCACCGTCGCCAAGTGTTCCGCCGTCCAGCTCGCATTCGGTCATATTTCCTAATCCATCACAACATGCCGCCATCTACATTATGTGAGCGGAGATATTAGTTGGGCGGCTCAATCGCAGACTAGACCATGAATGGTTGTCTGCAGGACTCGCCGGCATCGCACTACTGCAGCACTGTGTCCTCGTAGGCCTCTACTTAGGTGATGGAAGAAGTCGGTGATCTAGAGGCACATCTTGGGACCACCACCTTACTTGTATGTAGTGCTTAGTCGTGCAATTGGAACTTGATAAGAGTCCATGCTACACCAAAAAGTCCATTCACTATCAGATCTAAGTTGATTCGATTGGATATTTAGGTTGAGGGTCATGTGAATCAAGTCAGGCGTCCTGCGTGAACACGCCGCCATCGGAGTTGTCACCTCGTCTAGTAGAGTACCCAGTCAGAGGTACTTATTAGGCTCGAGTACAGTCATGTTCAAACATGCGGACGAGACAATCAATGCTTGCTGCGCTGCTGCAGCCCAATTCCTTCGTTCGCTCTTAGCGTGCTTCAGCTTGTGAACTTCAATTGCCGGAATGCCGTCCAGCTCTCGAGAAACTATCAACGTGAAATGTAGAACAACCTGCGAGTGGTCAGTCTGTGCATCGGTGATCTGGACATTACCACCCACAGCGCCACAAACATCCTCCGGCAGATCTGGAACTTTTAGGGCAGCACACATCGACATGCAACCTCACCCACATGGAAAGCTCTGCGCTGGGGTTACAGCTTTGAGCAGTTCCATGGTGAGATTGAGGACTGCGATTGCTGCTGGAGCAACGACTCAGCCACTACATGCTACTAAACATGTGATGATCACAGGTCAAGACATTGCAGATGAGCGATGAGCGATGAGCGTTTGCAGCCCGGCAGGAACGACGGTATGTTTGCAGCGTGTCATGGGTACAGTGGACAGTCTTGAGACTGCCTTTCTGGCTGTCATCGACTTCACCCAGAACATTGCTTGCCCGCGTGCTTTGAAACTTTGTGCTCTTGCGACGATACCCACTTTGTTTGTCATGAAAAGCTGTTGTCCGTAGCGAGGGGAAACAAGACCTGGGGATTCTTGCCAAACATAGCCGAGCTCGTTATCCGCTGTGCAATGCTCTGGATAGAGTCTTGGAACGCAGCACCTTCCTCAACAGGCCAAGAGTTCGAGTGCAACTGAAGCTGTTCAAGCAGGTTGGAAAGATTGTGCTGGCGGCTTCTTCGCTGTAGCCAGTACGGGAGTGAATCTCGGCGGAATCGAGTCGAATAGTATTCCAAGATCACTACACTTGCTTAGCGACTTGTCAGTTCTCTCTGCCCCAGGAATCATGACTTACTGCCCTCCATGTCCACAAAGCCTACCTCGCGCATCTTGAGCATCAGCTCGGTGAACTTCAGCTCGGCATCCGGTGTTGGCGCAGCAGGCAGGTTCACTGACCCCAGCAGGTCGAAGCCAAAGTTTGGTGCCTTGGTAGAGCAGGGTGCAGTCCACGATTGCGAGCTGCTGACAGCTTGATCTACACTGACCAGAGCGATGGCTTCATTGCTGTCAGTCGTGTACGAGCTGGCGAGGAAGTCATCGATGACAGTCGACTCTTGGTTGCCTTTCTCTGGTAACAACAGCCATGGGAACGTCGGGTCACTGAGCTCAGGCAGTGAGCATAAAGCACTCTCGGAAGAGTCTGACGAGCCCGAAGAGTTCCCAGAGAAGGTCATAGGCGGTATCATCGAAGCAATCGACGCCGAACTCCCTTGAGTGGCAGCATTGCACTCAGACATTTGGCTGCTTGTGCGTCGACTCGATGACTGACTCGAAGTGCTAGGGCGACGCTCAGCAGTCTTTAGTTGATCGAGCTCCTGTAATCGCTCTCGATCTTTGTGCTGTGTAGTGGTCAGTCGAAGTACGAAGCAGAGTAGGAGCAAGACAAAGGCCTACTCGGTAGCTGCGCTGGGCCAAGCGGTTCTGTACTCTCTTGCGTTTCTGAGCGTCGGATATTTCCGCCCAATCCTCTTCTTGGCTCATGGCAAAGGTAGCGTGAGCTCCGGTCCGCTGACGAGACGACATAGTCTAGATCTTTTCGTGTACGACCATACGACAACGAGATGAACGGTGTGTTGGCCATGCATTCGATCGATCGATCATGAGCGTCGAGGAGCGGCATGGGTCCTTTTCAATCCCCTTCTCGGATCCCTGGTCGATCCAGTCCCTGCAGCTGGACATTTCGTTTGGCTATCCATATGGCTGCGGGGAGCATAAAGCCTTCAGTGGGTCCAGCTGTACGTTGTCAGCCAAATCTTCTCTAGTCCTGGCAGAATGCCTACGCGCTCGTTCGCTATTCTTCGGTTGTGTAAGACGAATATGCTTGGCATTGGTGACCGGAACTCTTGCCTCATGCGGTGCAGCCCCATACATGATTCGCAATTGTGCTTCTATTGCTTATGCCTTTGTCTCCACAAAATGCTAGTGGTACAGTAATAGAGCCTCTGAGCTACTTGGCGGTAGTCTCGAACTCCGTATCCCACGGAAGGCATAGTGGGAAGCCTATGCAGGACAAATGTCGCTTATACGCCGCACCGGCAGAGTGGGCGCCACAAAGCCATCTGGAAAGCTCGTAAGCGCCACGCCATCCTTACTCATCACTGTCTGGCTCCTGATCAATATTGGCATCTGCCTTCTACACATCTGACAGTATTTCGGGCAGGGCTATCCACCTTGCAATCCAGTCATGCCAAGTTCATTCGCATCAAAGCTTGACTGTGCCTGTAAACCGCTGTGAATTGTGCTGCACACATGTCAGCTGACGGCTTGGTGCAAAGCTGGGAGGATGTGAGAGTCCCACACTTACATAGTGGGAGGATTGATTCCGTGTTGACTAGCGCCATCGCTTCCATCTGCCAAGCCGATGTGGCTTCGGTACGGGCACTCACGGGCCTGACGGTGAAGGCAAAGGCCATGGAAGCTTATTCAATCTACACGCGATCCTCTCAGCCACGGAAGCGAGTCTGCTAGGCCACGAACAGTAGCTAGCCTGACTGTACCTTCGCAACCTTCGTCCCAAGCCAAAAGCGGTAAATCGATTGTAACTCTTCAGCAGTCCAATCACCTTGCTTTGAGCACGAGCTGCGACACGCTTGTCTTCCGCTGTCGTGGTTCTTACTGCTCAAGTCTTGTAACTCTTCGAAACTTGGTGAGCGGCCATATGCCCAGTGGGATTAATGCAACGTGCCTGAACTCTGACCCACGTCACCAGAGGTCCAAGAAATGATGTCAATGGCGTATTGCCTGCACGACCCTACAATGATGACTGAGCGTGGGACGAAAGTAGTGAATGCAGACCGTGAATTATGTCGAAACTCTATCATGAGATATCTTGACGAGGTTACATCGCATTGTGCAAGCCACAATCCATCGTTGGGCAGATCATCTAAAGTTTCCATTGGGTAGCGGGCGATCCATCTCTTTATGACGCCGACCTATGCATTCGGAGGAGTATACAAAAGCTTCGGTGCCAAGCTCCAGGAGCAGTAGTGTTGGCTTCTGTAGCCTGGGAATAGACTTCGATGCTTTAATTCGTGCTTATAGGCTGACAGCATATCTGCGGTCACATTAATTGTACTGCTGACTCCAATTCGGCTCTGATCACCGAGTCATGGCTGGTGACGACAAGCCAGGGGTCTTGCTTGATGGAAGCGGTGGTAGACAAAAGTAGACTTCGCTTCCAGATCGCCAGGTCACCGCAAGGAGACAAATCCATAGACGCTTGCAGCAGGAGAATCAGAGTGGGTAACAGACTTAGTGTTGATATGCCACTATGATACCTCGTCTCATGCTCTTCGTTGATGCAGATATAGTGCCGCAGAAGAAGGGAATTTGCTAGTCTTGCACACAACTACTATGCGGTCAAGATCGGGACGAGTCTCCGGCGTTCTTCTGTCGTGACATGCGGCACCGAGATCTTCACATCCAGACATGTCACAATCGTTCGCAGACTCCTGCAGTATAGATTGGCGATCTTGTCGACGGCGCTGTCCGCGAAGACGCCCTTGCTATACCGAAAGTACAGATCGAAATGACTGGCTCCGGATGCAAGGTCTGCCTCTCGGCTACTTCCCCGACACAGCAGCCACAAATCAGTCTTATCGTGCTGCTGCTCTTCGTAGATATAAGTGACATCTAGCCGCTTTTGCTCGTCATGCGTGTCCCAGCTTGTGCTTCGCGGTTTGGGCTCGAAGTTGATGAAGTTGACAATGCTTGAATAACGTGCGCCAGCAGCCCATTCTGAACACCGATCGACGATATGCCTCATTCCGAGTGATTCAAACGGCATGGCTTGGAACAGATACTCCTGTACGCGGTTCAGGAGCTCGAGGTTGGTCAGGTTCGCGTCCAAGTGCACTCGCACAGGTGTGAGATTTATGCATGGACCAAAGACCGTCTCGATGCCATTCATTGGTATTTGTCGCCCAGAAATGAAGTCGCCGAAAATGACATCGGTGCTTTGTGACAGAGACGATAGAACCAAGGCCCAAGCCGTCTTAACAAGTGCTGCGGGATTGATGCCCTGGTGCTGTAGGCTAGGCAATTTGATCGCACAGTGAATTTCTCCGTCAAGCTTGTTATTAAAAGACGGGCCGCCGCTCATCCTCTCGACGAGCTTCGGCATGTGACTTTCGCGAAGACTGTTTCTCCAGAACTTCTCTGCATTTTGGACCAGACCAGGTTCTCGAATCCTCCTAGCATACTCGTGATAAGGCAGAGTTCGAGGGAGTGGTTGCGAGAGATAGAGCAACCGGAGATGCTCACCAACGCTTCCAGCCGCGAATCCATCGTACTGAGCATGAGAAAGACGAATCACTAGCCTATGTCGGAGTGTTGACGTCGTTAGAAGATCAAAGCGGACGATTGGAGCACCCAGAGGACAGGTCCGCTTTCTGGCGCACAGATCTTTGGTATCGCTTTCAAGTCGGTCGAGCCATGTATGATGAACATCGAACATGATCTCCATGTCTGCCAAAACTTTCATGAATACCCTCTTCTCATGCAGAATGAACACAGATCTCAAAATCGAGTGAGCAGTAACGAGCTGTTGGCAGGCTCTCCGCAGCGTGTCAACGTGAAGATCACCAAGGAAATCGTAGATGAAGTGGTCGATCCAGCCACCGTTCTGCGCACCTACGAGTGCAGCCCACTCCTGAAAATCGGTTGCTTGCAAGGTCACAGCAGTATCCTCATGAAGTACTATGTTGTTTGCAAATTCGTCTTCCGCAATATCCGGGGCCTGCATAGTCGCAAGTCTTGCCATATCTCGGAGTATCGGGGTCTTTAGGATGTCCACTGTCGCTAATTTGAGACCGCTAGAGCGGAGGATTGGAACAAGACGGATGGCGGCAAGCGAGTCGCCACCTAGAGCAAGAAAACTGTCGCCTGCTCTGATAGTCTCGGTGTCTAGACGTAGAACGGTTGCCCAAGATTGCGCTAAACTTCGCTCCTGGTGAGTCATCGTTGCCTCATCAGCCTTAGGAGCGGTGCCAGGGATGTGCGATACGAGAGCATTGTGTCCCATGTTCTCTGCATCATTTCGGAGTTTCTTGCGATCGATCTTCTGTGAAAAGTTGCGAGGTAGCTGTTCCATGATAATGAAGGCCTTGGGAACCATGTACTGAGGGAGCGTCTTACTGAGCTCATGCTGTACGATTGCAAGCATGTCACGACGTCCTGCAGTATCGTGCTTGAAGTCCATCATCATGAGCGCTGATTGGCAGAACGCAATCAGTAGTGGTCGGTCAGAGGCATCGAGTGGCTTGACGAGGTCAACGACCACCTCAGACCCGGTCGGTAGCAGCACACGAAGGTTGGTTTCGATATCCTGCAGATCGACTCGCTGTCCGTTAATCTGAATCTTGATGTTAGAACCGCCAACAAGCAGCGAGAGACATCATTCAAGCCTCACCTTTACCTGGGTATCCGCCCTGCCAAATATCGTGATGCTGCCATCACGCTCATATCTGCCCAGGTCTCCAAGCCTAAGGTACCTGCAGCCGGCATCAATATTGCGTTTGTCAGCCCAAGCTGGAGACTCCAGAAAAGCCCGACCAGTCTTTTTTGGATCATTGAGATACCTGACCATCGTTTCATGGCTTTCTAGGACAATTTCTCCCATAGCACCAATGGGTACCAGCGAGTCAGGATTGTTTGGATCTACCAGCCATTGGTCACCAGATACAGGACGAAGGCCTGCGCTTTGCGAGACACCATTAGAGGTCTCCTTGAGCCAGGTCCCCCCCTCGGTACCTAATTAGACATCGTCAGCACAAGTATGATACCTTTGTTCCTGTGATACTGACTTCCGTATATCTGCACAAAGCGACGACCCTTCGACCATGGAGCCTCGAAGTCGCGGCTGACAGGCTCTCCTACAACTGCAAGATTCTGCACGCTGGGTATGTCCGAAGGATCTAGTGTCCGGAGCAAGGATGGCGTGACGAGAACCCGGGTCGATCTCGATCTGTTGATGAATGCCACGAGGTCGGAAGTACGCTCGGTCTCAGACGGCACACATAGAGTCGCACCATGGAGTAAGGTACGATAATTATCACTAGGAGCTGGTCAGTATGGAGCGTGACACAAAGCTTCGATCATACTTACGCAGTGCCCGCAACGAAAGCGTATGAAGCAAATTGCAGAATTCGAGCGTCCATGTGGAAACCCATATTCTCACGAAACCATTGGTGTTCTGTCATAAGTCGGCGATGCGTGTTCAAGATGCCTTTTGGCCTGCCAGTACTACCGCTCGTGAAGACGACGTATGCCAGGTCATCTGGAGCCACGTCACTTAGATGCCAGGCATTATTCCAGCCACGTGTGTGGCTTTCCTCGGATACGCTTGTGGCGAGGCTCTCAACATCGGAGAAGACCTGCAGACCCAGACCTTCAAATCTAGAGGCGTGCGCGCTATCACAGATCATAATCTGAGCATTCAGCTCCTCAATGATCGAGTGCAGACGAATATCCGGCTGGGCAGGCTCCATTGCAGTGAGGGCGCCCCCAGCTTTCCACACAGCGACCATCGCACAAGTGGTCCATCTGCTCTTGTTCATGCATATTGGCACAACTGCGTTCGGCTTCACACCTGCATCGATAAGATGAGAAGCCAGAAGAGTACTTATTTCGTCGACTTGGCGGTAAGTCAAGCTGCCTTCGGATGTATGCACGGCTACCTTGTTCGCGCAGTCCCGGAACACTTTCTCAAATCTCTCGTTCAAGGTTGAGTAAACAGTAGCCGGCACAGTAACGTTCCAGGCTCTGATGTGCTCAAAATCCCGTGCACTCGTCAGCCGCATGTCGCACAGCGGTCGATGAAGGCCTGTCGACACTTCGTCAAGAATGTGCTCGAAGGTTGAGGCCACATTTTGTGCACTCCATATGTCACAGTAGTCACTTCGGGAAAACAAGATGACTTTGGCAGCTTGATCGTGTGCGTCAGTGCCCTTGACGATCTGTAGGACAATCGGATTTTCTGTAGAGCACTGTGGCGGGTCCGCAACAGGCTTGTGTTGTGTCATGTAAAGCACCGAGTTGTACGGCTTGGCGCCTGACTCGTCCACATTGAGACTATTTCGCCTGTCAGTCGCAGAATCCATGCTAGCTTTTGTGACCTGGAGGACGGTCTGCAAGTTCTCCGACACCGTGGCAGATTCGTCAAGCTGGAATCTGATCGTGGTTGCTGCTTCCCGAGCCTCACTACTCGCAACTGCATCGATGAAGCCGTAGGTAATTCCACTGCTGCGAGTGTAGGCTTTGAGTAGCAGCGCGAAAGTAAGGTGGTACAGGCTGTCCAGGTCAACGTCTTCCGGTAAGTATCCGCAACGCCGAGTTGTTCGCACAGGAGTGTGCTGCACAGAGGCCACATCCGAGAGGGATCCAAGCTTAGGGAAGACGCAAGACTCCAGATCCTGGCCTATTGGTGGATTCGCCATCACTTGCATTTGGGCCTTGCTCCCGTGGATGGAATGGCGTTCCGGTGTGGAAAGCCATCGGCTTCGAGCACACAATCACGACCTATAATCGCATCTGCGCTCTGCTTCACGGCACCCACCGTGCCTGTCAGCATGCATTTTGTAGACATGGAGGCAGTGTACACAGTGAGTGTTTTATGACTGCAGCTGTTGTGTTGTTGTCAGGCTGACTCTACTTTTGAAGCGGAAATGGAGACGCGTTACCGACGCGCCACGTGATGCTGCCAGCAAAAGAACGTGAGTTGGCACGCTCGAATCATGTCTCCCAACATGACCATTTCAATTTCGCAACGAGTAAGTATACCACGTCGATCTCGCAATGCTCTCGCCCACATTCAATGCAAAGGCTCCGCAGGTGCCCTGGCCGCACGAACGCCCGAGTGGGAGTCAGCCTATGACTGTATCCACTTCAGTAGCAGTCAGCACGATGTGACATGATGCATCGCATCGAAACTACACCTTGGCAGTCTGAAGTATCTACTCGAGCACTCGCCTCTACAGGCCGATGAAGTCTTCGAGTCGTCCCGCGAACACAGCAAGATCACAATAGATATGGCTCAACAAGTCAAGTACACGTTGGAGAGCGCAAACGCGGCAGAAGCAGGTATGTAGTTATGCACTTATCAAGTGTTGGTATCGGCGTGTACAAATGTACTTGGCTAACCGATCTTACAGCTCGAGTCTTCCACTGCACATGGAGCTGCCGGAGGATGTTTCCCGCGCCGGACAGTACGGAGTACTCTGTCGTGGATCTCCTTGTCGAAGTGAAGGGACACGATTGTACTTCGGACCCGGACTCTGGAGCCATCTTCAATGAAGGTCAAAGTCTGGCACGCAATAAATACCCAAGGATCTGCGGCCTCCTCGATGCAATCCTCGGTGATGAGACAGAGTCCTCCACTGTCACTGTTCCCGTCAAATTCCTCTTGCCACTATCAGACGGATACCTTGTGCGAGACAACATCATCCAGGATCGTTTTATCGACTCTATGGTCGTGTCTGCTGTACATAGTCTTGCGCCGTGGGAACAGAAGACTGAGGCGGTTACTCCCGAGGCACTGACGAGCGGATGCCTTGCGAGCCTCATGAACCACGGATCGGTGGCATTGATAGGCCATAAGACTCAGCCGTCGACGCCTATCGCAGAGCGTCATCAGATCGAGCTTGAGCTTCACTGCCGCTTACAGATGCAGTGGTGGCAACCCGAACTTCCGCCAACGAGGAGATTGGCGCTTATCAGAGTGGGTATGACCTGGAGGTCTTACCAACCTGTCTGGGAAGCCGCCAGGACAAACCGTATCAAACTCGTCATTATAGATAAACCGGGCCACTGGCTGAACCAAGCATGCAATAGCCATCTTTACGAACACTTCCTGCCGTTAGATATCGACGACGATCATGACGGACAGCTTCCAGCTCGTATAGTCGAGCTGGTACGGAAGTCAGGATTGGTCATGGACGCATTGACGAGTCACAACGATCTCTCGATTCTGCATGCTGCTCAGGCGGCAGAAATCATGGATCTTCCAACACAGGCATCTTCCTGTTACCGCATAAGTCGAGACAAGTACGCAACAGCCCGCCTTCGTCCAGAGGGCCTTTTGACAGAGCTGGTGACAACAGAAGAACAGGCCCTGGTCATTGCAAATGATCCGAAAGTACAGTATCCTCTAGTCGTGAAACCGCGAGGCGGTTGGAAGTCGGATGGTGTGTCTAAGATTATCGAGCCCTCTCAAGTAGTCCCATCCGTGAGGACTATCCTGTCGGAGCTTGGCGACCTGGCCGTGGTCGAGACTTACATTGATGGGCCCGAGATCGACGTCAACATCGTTGTCTGCGATGGAGAGTTGCTGTTCAGTGAGGTCGCAGACAATTTGCCCTGCCTTGGTGACGATAATACAGCAGATGCCTCGACGAGCCTTCAGCGACCTGGAAACTTTTCTGAGACGGGCACTACATCACCGTCTGGATTGCCGCAAGATGAGATGTCAATGGCCACAGACGCAGCCTTCAGATCTGTACTAGCTGCCGGGTTCAACGGTGGCTCCTTCCACGTTGAAGGGCGAATCATCAACTCAAAGATGCGATACGAACGAGTCGGCGGCCAAGTAGACCTGAGGACGTCCCCCGCCCCTCCTAACCAAGAAGCCAAGTTTGTGCTCATCGAGATAAACGCACGGCCAGCGGGCTTACCAGTTGCCTTGTCGACGAAGCGGACCTACGGGATTGATTTCTACGAACATTTGTTCTTCATGGCACTCAATGACAGCGCAAGAATGCACGCTTTGGCCCGGCCTTTTGCCTTCCCGAATCTCCCACCAGGCGCCCAGTACTGGACACATGTTTTCTTCCCTTTGGTACTGCGTCCTGGGAAATTCGACGGGCCTAGATGGGAGTCGATGATCGCTTCACACCCCAAGGCCCTTCAGCACATAAGCACATATTTCAGTATGTTCAATGATGGCGAGGAGATGCCGGACCCGATGACTGGAGCGTCGAGGTCTCTCGCCGTGTTCATGATGCACGTACGCGAGGGCCGGCAGCGTTTGTGGGAGGTGCTGGCAGATGTTGAGGGGCAGTTGCAGCCGACTCTTACCAGTGGCCTTGTTCAAGGCCATGCATACTAGACTACAGCATACCTGACAGACGCGAGAACGTACGTTGGTCCGGAAAGCGTGTGTACTGCTCTACTGTCATACATATTTCATTGCAAAGCACTGCTGTAATCTTGCCAGCAATGCAGGCTTTTCCTTCGACGTTTGGCGTTAATTCAATCTCCTTGAGCTTGAGCTGTCCACGTACTGTCAGATCTGACAGTACCGCACCGCCACTACCATCGAGCAATCGGAGCGACTCATCTCCCAGATCCAGTGATTGCAAGCAGGCTTGTTGTTCGCTGCATCATCATCATTTCTGGCCTAATCAGTCGAAGGAATTGCTACTAACAGCTACATACACAGTCAATCATATCTATTTGGCCTTGAGACCGATGCTGATACTAATTTTAGGGGCTAGAACTCACGATAGAGCTAGTACGGGCATAACTGGGAAAGCAGACCTACACCGGTGTATGGTTCAATGGCTTGGATTATTTTCTGCATACATCGATCTATAATACGTTCCACTCTGAATACCTAAACATGCTATATTGACGCCAAAGGACAATCTTATCGCTCTAGATCGATGGTCACATCGGTATAAAGACGTTGCCGTCTGCAACACCGGTGATGTTCTTGGAGAACGTCGCAAGCACTTCCCTCGCATCATGAACAAGGCTGGGCTTCTGCAGATCACCATGACTTCTCCGGGGCGTCGACTCCACAAGTTCTGCCGGCAGGGAAAGCTGAGAATCAGACCATACGTTCTCGGCGTTAGTGGCCTGGCCTTCGAATGTCGTCCAGGTAGGAGCTTCGGCCGTCCAGTCCTCTAGACGTTTGAGGCCAAGCTGCTCCCAGACAATTTCGAGGGCCTCCACCAGGTCTGCTTGCAGTTCTGCGGTATGCCCAGGCGTTGGTGTGATACGGAGACGTTCCTGACCATGAGGTACAGTAGGGTAATTAATCGCTTGAACGTAGATTCCGTGGTTGTCAAGGAGGAGGTCGCTCGCTTGCTTCGCCTTGACGGGATCGCCGACGAGCACTGGCACGATGTGAGACGGATTGCCCATGACTGGTATGCCCTTGGCCGTCAACGCCTTCTTGACCATTCGTGAATGCATCTGCTGCAGCTGGCGATCTTTGACAGACGATCTCTGCACTTCGACAGAAGTCCTTGCGCCAGCCATGACTGATGGCGGCAAAGAGGTGGTGAAGATGAAGCCGGGAGCCAGAGATCGCACCACATCAACTATGCGAGAATTGGCAGCAATGTATCCTCCAATGCCTCCATAGCCCTTCGCGAGCGTGCCAGTGATTATGTCGACACGATCCATGATCGTACCTTTACGGCTGGCCTTGCCTTGCTCTGCCTGCACATGTGTTTCCCAGTCCAGGTGCTCCGCGACGCCGCCTCCGTATGGTCCGTACATCCCGACAGCATGAACCTCATCCAGAAAGGTGATCGCTCCATACTTTTCAGCAAGGTCACAGATCTCCTTGATTGGACCAACAGAGCCTGACATGGAGTACACCGACTCAAAAGCAATCAGTTTCGGTGATGAGACTGGCAGAGCAGCGAGTTTCGACTCGAGATCTGCCAGGTCGTTGTGCTTGAAGATGACTTTGTCGGCCTTGGCGTGACGAATGCCCTCGATCATTGAGGCGTGGTTGGACTCATCGGACAGGATCGTGCAGCCAGGGAGCTTCGAGCAAAGCGTGCTCAGGGTTGCGTCATTGGCGACAAAGCAGGAGGTAAATACTAAAGCAGCCTCTTTGCCGTGGAGGTTTGCCAATGTGGACTCGAGCTTGACTGCGTGTTCGTTGTGGCCAGAGATGTTGCGAGTGCCGCCGGAGCCGAAACCGTAAGTGTCGAGCGTCTTGTGCATGACATCCAGGACCTGCTTATTACCTCCCATGCCCAGGTAGTCATTGCTGCACCAGACGGTCACGATATCGTTGCCAGCGGAACCGCGGTGTGCTTGTGGGAAAGACTCGGCCAGTCTGTTGACACTGTTGAAGATGCGATACGACTTATCGTTCTTCTTCTTGTCGATTTCATGCTGCAGATAAGCTTCATAATCGAACTTGCTCAGGCCTTGTCCCGTCCTAGCAGAGAGTGCCTTCTCGTATAATGGCGGCGGACGAAAGTTCTCGTAGCCTGGGACGGACAGCGAAGCTACGAAAGTGAGTCAGCTATACTGAGACTATTGGCGGGTGGCAAGAAGACGAGTGGTGACTGACCTGCGCCTCCGTCGCCATGCAGGTTCACAATCCGAGCCTTGAGAGGAGTGGTATGCTCGAGAGCGTCTTGCGTCTTCTTGGAGAACGCTCTTCGGCCAAGTCGAGTGTCCTCAAGACTTTTAAAGCTGAGCGAGTGCTTCTGTCGTCCAAGACTGTGTGTTGGTCTCAATGGAGGCTGAGCCCGGATAGTACTAGCGAATGCGTTGACTCGAGACATGTCGACTGTCAAGTGGAGTTGTTTACGACTTCTGGGGACTTGCTGCTGGTTGTGCTGCTTCGGTCGACATAAATGTTCTTTACATCATGGAGGCCTGACAGGGCTTGATGGCGATATGGTGACAGTCAGGCATGCTCGTGTATGTCTTCTTACATCCATCACTGAGCAGAGCAGGATCCGTCGTAGTCAAACCCTCACTACAGTTATCATAATCGTTTGTGTCAGCCGAAGATATTGCTTGGCATCATTTGTGTTGCTGAAGCCTGACTGTACTTTGGCTGGCCAAACACAGTCAGATTTCCGGGAGTGAGGACACGATACTTGTAACAATATCGTGCTTGATATGTACGTGTCGGGCGGCTACCACCGAGTTCGATGGTGTGTTTCTTAGCTTTCTGGCAGCAATCCAGTCAGCTTGACCTTGCATAATGCCCAAATGTTAATGTATATGTCTGTGATATCAGCACTCTTGGATCCACGAGATATTGATTAGCCGTCCTTGGTATTTGAGTATAGAGTCATCGTGCTCATTTGCCGATACTCTGCTGCAGCCCAATACATCGTGCGACCAAACCACCATGATGAATACAGCCGTGCAGCCGAACGAGTGGTACGATGACATCAAAGACGCGGTGACGAGCACTACCGTGGAGATCACAGAGAGCTGTTCGGAGTACGTGCTCATGCAGGATGATCATGGCTATGGTATGCTTCGTGCTCGGACGCTCATGAGGTACTCAACGATCATTTAGCTAACATCAACTAGACTATCTTTCCTTGTGTGAATGGTCCATATCGAACGTACTTGCGCAAGAGTACGGCCTTGCAGTGGATCTACAGTTCACTGTGCCAGAACGACACCCTCCGGGCAGTTTGCCGTCGAACCTTGAGGCGAAAGCGGTGATACTTGACCCAGCCTGGACCCCACTGAAGAATGCCTTGATTGCTGCTGCGAGGACGGCGGAAGACGGCATGACGGCCACTGTGCGAACGATCAGAGTCATTGTGCCGAGGAGAAGTGGCTATGTCGCTTCAGCAGATTGGATTCAGAGGAGGTTTGCCGACTGCGGTATGGTGGAGCAAGTGGCTTGCTTCTCGTCTCCTCGCACGCTCGTGAAAGCAAGCACTACGAGTATACTCGATATGTCACTGCAAGACTTGCTTCATGCCGCTTGTGCAGGATTCCTCCTGACATCGACAGCAATTGTCGACGAGGTAGACACCGAGTTCGCCGATCGACTTGACGATGCCTGGATCTCCCCAGTCATGACAGCACCACGTCTAAGCTGAGGAGACTCTGATGTGATGGAATATGGCGCTTGTGCTAGCGGGCCGCCAGGAGCTCTGGCGCCTTGAGTGTAGCAGTGTTTATCTTGCAGCTCTGCATTTACTTCTGAGCAAGGGCCGAAAAGGTTGTTGTGGGCGTCGTAACAAGGTGGAAAGGGCCAACGTGAGGGTAAGAGGTGCATCACTGGCGCCGCAACGGCTGTATATCCCTGTGGCAAGCATTGATTTAACAGCTTGTCTGAGTTCTGTGGTAGGCTAGGCAACACAGCCTTCCAGTCCAGATCCTACTCTCTTTCCCAGTAATCACAATGTCCTCCCGAAGATGAATCAGAGCCGTCAAATGCTCTTTGGCGGCCGTGGTAAGCCATCATGTCGTTCTCTTCAACCCAAGATCCCGACTAATGATATCAGCAGCTTTCTCCGCCACCGCATACACAGTCGTGATAATATTCCCTCTCGGAATAATCGGCATAATACTCGCGTCCACAACACGCACGTTTCTTGTTCCATACGCCCTCAGTCTATCGTCCACAACACCGCCCATACTCTCAGGCATCATACTGCAAGTACCACAAGGGTGGTAATTTGTCGTGGAAGTCTGCTGGAGTAACGCTTTCGCCTTCTCAATTGTAGATGCATCATGGCCTTCAGGCAGCCGCGCACCACCTCTCTTGATCTTCGAAGCCAGCGGCTCGGTATTGACTAGTTTCTCCATTGCTTGTAGGTGCCGGGCATGGATCTCCATGTCCAGCGGATGTGTATAGTACCCCGGATCGATCGTCGGCTTGCTCGTCGGATCGGCAGACCTGATATGAGAGTGGCCTCGTGAGAAAGGGTGTGAGAGCATGCCGAAGATGGAGATCCAACTTCGATTCTCGTTGTCGGGTGTAGCCGCTTTACGTGCCAGGTAGGCTGTCACGGTCGCTTCGGAAGGTGATTCTATCATGCGTCTGATGAAGCTATTGCGCTTCTGCTCGAATTGAGATAGCGAAGGGTCGCCCAATGTGTGATCGAGCAAGTCTGTCAACTCTGCTTTCTCGCGGTCCGAAAGGAATTGCTGCAGAGGCATGTAGGCAAACGTATAGCACGCTTGGTCCGCCCATGGGCCGCTGCGGCTTTCCTCATACAGCCTTCGTGCCTCTTCACGCGGTACTGGATATCGTGGATTCACATCCTCTGCTGCTTCGTAAGATATTCCTGGCCTCATGTGGTCTTGTAAGTTCTCGCCGACGTTTGGATTGGCGTGCAGCACATCGATGTCATGTTTGCGTAGCAGCTCTGGATTGCCGATGCCCGAAAGCTCCAGAATTTGCGGCGATGCGAAGACTCCAGCTGCTAGGACAACATCTTTCCGTACGCAGACTTGATGAATCTTGCCGTTTTGTATGTATTCCACCCGTGAAGCAACAGTCGGTTGATGAGTCGACGCATCGAAGACTATGCGCTTGACCGTTGCGCCAGTAATGAGCTGCAGGCCAGGCCTTTCACGGGCAGGGTCAAAGTATGCAACACCACCATGACTCCTCTCCCTCGATTTTTCAGTGATGTGGTTCGTAGAGATGTACCCACCGAGCGCCGAGCCATCTAATGCCTCCGCCTCGTTCTCCAGACCCAGTCTCCGGAAAGTCTCAATCCAGACCTTTTGCATCGGCAAGACGTTGAGCGGGAAGGAAGCTTGAATGGGACCATCCGTCGTCCGTATGCTATCATCGTCGTGGATGATACTCAATTCCTGCCTAGCGTGCTTGCTAGGCGGACAGACCGTCTGAAATTTACGATAGTATGGCTTCATGCTCTCCCAGTCCCAGCCTCTATTGCCTAGATCGGCCCATGCGTCCAGACCAGCAGCTGAAGGATAGATGAGCGCGAAAGAGTTGATGGCACTTGAGCCGCCGAGTACCTTTCCTCTCGGATGTCTGATGACTCGGCCATTGATATGCTGTTGAGGCTCGGTGTCATATCGCCAGTCAAAGTCCGGATTGGCCAAGATCTTGTCTTGGAGGGCGGGACAGTAAACACGCTCATCCTGATTGTGGTCTTCACCTGCCTCCAATACGAGGATAGAGATGCCTGAGTCTTCACTTAGGCGGTTGGCGAGCACACAACCTGATGCACCAGCCCCTATAATGACTATGTCATATGTCCGTAGTAACATGGTTGTATCTGCTTGTAGGTCAGTCAACAACAGTGTCGTCGCCAACGTGGGCGCACGAAATTGTAGCTAGACAGCCCACTGTACCGGCAGCAGGGCGCAGAGCTTTATACATTTATGCGCGTGCCAATCTTTGAAAGCTGTGCGGCGTCGAAGCTCATATCAAGGTAGCAACTCCGTTCCCATGATAGGCAGGGATCGGAATCGGGATGATCCACCTTGCCGAGAAGCCGAGCGATATCATTCTACCTTCTATTCCATAGTCAACAGTACTGCTAGGAAAATTTCGATGTCCCAAATGAGAGCGCTATTGAAGAGAGAGATGTACGTTAGTCGTTCACTGATCGCTAGCTCGGCCCAAGCCTCCACCACGTGCACAGAACATAGCTATCGTGATTCAACGATCGTTGCAGTATAGATCATTATCATGCAACGAGCCCTTGACTATGCAACGAAAGGCCAATTCGAAAGCCGCCGAATCGTAAATAAAGACTCGGCCACCCACCTAACCCCATCCTCATCATGACAATACCCTCACGCAGCCTGCGCGTTCCTCCCCTGCCAAAGACCTTGTTGCGCCTGTGCAACTCGTCGTTGCTGCTCCGCAATCTGCGCCTCCGACTGTCCCCTTCCATGGCCCCTAGGATCCATAGAATCATGCGCATTGCCATCAGCATCGGGCATCGCAGTATCCATCTGCCCATCCGCACTGACATCACCCTCATCCTTCGGCTGCGCAACAGCAGCGGCGGCCTGTGGATGTTGGTGCGACTTCTGCGGATTTTTGGATAGAGCACCATCCATCATTCCCATGCCTCCTGCTCGCAACTGGTTGATTGCGCGCACGGTGTCGATAGCTTTATGCAGCGTTCTACGCGCATTGAAGTTCTTCTTCACGGTGGGCAGGAGATCTTCTTCGCCGCGGCCGGAGGAGGGCCCGGCAATCCACTCGTGGCTTAGGGCTTCGTGGGCGGTTATCCGGGTCATGGGGTCGATGGTTAGACAGCGTTTGATGAATTGTCGTGCTGTGAGCGACACGTTTCGCCAGTATTCTAGAGGTGTGAAGCTGTAGTCTGCGGCCAAGATAGCTTGCATCTCCTCCAGATTGCTATCGCGATCGAAGGGAGTGTAGCCGCAAAGCAGGAAGTATGTTATCACACCGATCGCCCATAAATCTACTGGTTTTCCGTGGCCGCTCTTCTTAAAGATCTCGGGTGCCATGTAGCCAGGTGTTCCGCAGGTGGTGGTCAGGACGTGAAACTGCTCTTCGTCCATTATCCGGCTTAGACCGAAGTCGGCTATGAGCAGATCGGCGTTATCTTCTGGGGTGCGGAAGAGGAGGTTTTCGGGTTTGAGGTCGCGGTGAACGATGCCGTGGTCGTGGAGATAGGCTACTGCTGAGAGGGTGGCGCGTACGAGGTCGGCGGCGTCCGATTCGAAGTATGAACCTTTTCTGCATATGCGATCGAAGAGCTCGCCGCCCAGAGCGAGGTCGGTGACCAGGTATACTACCCCGTATGTGAGTATATGCTGCAACCACCAGCCCGGCTATGCCACCTACGATTGTTCATAGTCTCAAAGTAGTCCACAAGCGTAAGGATATTCTGGTGACCCATGCTCACCCTCTTCAGCACTGCTATCTCATTCCGTACCATATGTTCCCGTCCTGCCATAAGGCGCTTGTTGATGACCTTGGCCGCATAGTATCGCCCAGTATCGATGTGTACACACTCTTTCACCACACTGTATGAACCTGCGCCGAGAGTCTTTCCCGTTTTATACCTACAGGGCTGTCGAATTAGAGCGTTAGTAGATGGAAGACAGGCTATCGTTAGAAGGACACTCCTAACCTGGACCGCGGTGGTGGGCTGTTGAGCAGCCATGCTGGCCGGCAATTTCGTCGCTCAAGGCTCAACACCAGAGGCAGACCGAGTGGCTACCAGACGAGAACCCGAAGAAGGTGGAGCCGGAGAAACGTGGTCGCCAAAAAGACTGTCGCATATCATATGCTAGGCACATCAATATCAATGTCAATGTTAATGTCAGCCGTACCTGTAATAATAAGCGCTCGCTACGACTAGGCTAGCGTGGAGGATGATGGAGAGGAGAGTGGGGTCCGTGATAGCGGGCCATCTGGTAGGAGTCGACTATCGTCTTCGTCTTCTGCAACACCACATCAATTCCAACGTAGGGCGTGTCAGTTGGAGAAACAACCACAAGTCGTCATTGGATATGCCATGTCTTCTGCGGGCTTGAATGCCTCCCCGAAACGGTCATCGAGGACGAACCCGTCGTTGCAGCGTTGCACATTGCATATAAACCAATAGTCCTTCACTGGCACAACTTCCCAAGCCACGAGCAGAGAGTCATATCACCGGTATGGGTACCTCACAAAGACTACCATCCGATACGGTCAATGACACACACGTGTGGCCAATTCAAAGGTATTATCAGGGTGCTATTCTACAGTCCTTCCTGCTGTCCCACGCAGCCGTCCAATCGGTCTTGAGCAAAACGTCTCCGCATTTGGAAACCTCACCTCACTTTCTGCTGAAGATATCAAGTGTAGCGAATAACTACCCACCGAGCTTTCAATACCCTTCTGGAGTATCGGGTCTCGAAACGGGAAAAAATTTGCTGGCGAGCTGGTCGACGGAACGATGGTCTACACAGTAAGGTCAGCGTGTGTGCGAATATGCCAGCTTGTAGGTTTGCGACTCACCGCACGAGGTGCGGCCTTGGGGCCACGAATCGTACTACCCTTCGGCTTGTGTTAGTCATGATAGATAGGCTTCAGGCCTGTACCCTCCACTGGCGCAGTCTACTCCCTCCTTCTCTAGGATGCTTGTGCTAGCCGATGTGCTCTTCTTGAGCAAGAGTAAGTTCCTCCTCCACAGCCAAAGCTTCGTCCTCAACCCAAGCACCATCCACGAGCGCATTCCCGCCCTCCTCAGCCCATAACCATTGAAAGATTTCTCTTCCTCCACTTCCTCTTCTTCCTCCATGTCACGGGCTTCCTCACGCTCCTTTGCTAGCTCATTGTCCAGGGAATCTATGGCATGGCGGAGCTCGGCGAGGGCCTCTTCAGCATCTGGCTCAGGACCTGAAAGATATTAGTATGCCAAGAAGCTCGAAGAGAGGAGCGAAGACATAGCGATGCAAGACGCACCAGATTTACCAACAATGCTTCGTGCCATATGCCAGAGACTATTAGACCTGGCCACGAGTTCCTGGGCTTCAAGGTCATCATTGGTACAGGCAGCGTTGAGTAAGTAGCACTTGATACGGTGGTATCGGGGGATGCCACTCTTGTGGAGGAGCTTGTCGGCGGCCTCTATTGCTTCGTCCAGCTGGTCGGCATCGTACAAGGCTCGGGCTTCCTTGTAGCCACGATCCCAGGATGGGGTGAGCTGGTCTCGTTTCATGTTCCCAGCCATTGTGTGTGCTTCACCTTAGACGATCCTCAACTGCAAATCGTGGAAAGCTTTCGTTGAGAGGATGAAGCTCCGGCTGCTCCCGTGCTCCGCCAAGCTCCAGATGTCTCTCGTTCTGCAGGACCACTTGGACAGACAGACACACATCTCCGTTGACATTTGCAACACTCCAAGCATCGCCTTGGACTACACAAGTTCCTGCGCTTCATCCACCGGCTCCATCCCCAGCACGGGATGGATAGTGACGAGTTCGACGATCAGGAGCCCGTCAAAAAGGCCAAGAAGTGTGTCGGCCAGGCTAGTAAGAAGGGCAAGGAGAAGAAGACCAGCCTATCTGACGAGCCTGTCAGCGATGGCTTTACAGCCGGAGCCAAACTCGATGATAATGGTGTCGCTACCGAGACAAGATATCCTGTCGAAGTACCCTTTCTCGTCACCAATGCATACACAAACATCCAGACTTTCACAGAGCTACATGAGGAGTACTAATCCCACGAGCGTGTCACCTCCTACGTCTATGCACCAATGCCTGAAGTCCCGTTTGTACTGCATCTGCTAGTCTATCAAGATCGCAATCACTCAACCGACGAGGATGCTCTCCAGCTCCTCTCTGCCAATCTCCCCACCCGTGACCATCAGGGGCATAAGCACCATCCTGACGGCGCAGTACAGTATTGGACCTTGCGAGCATCTGATGCAGAGTCCGGATATGTGATTGAGCTCTTCATGCTTCCCACGAATGGGAGGCTTGATATGCATAGGGTCAAACTCGATGCCACGGAGCGAGTCAGATAAAGTGAAGATGCACAAAGAAGAACACCAGAAAGATCTCGGTTGGCTACGATCTTCCTCATACCCTACACAAGGAAACGAACCAAATCAGCAAGTCATAACAGTAAATACTCTAATACGTGAGTATAACAAGTTCAAAGCAAGGCTCCGTTCCAGATGGTGTGAGAATGTCGTGCCCGCAACTTCGTGTCGTTCCATCACCGATGGAACTGCGGAAGACTGCTTCGGTCGAGGAATTATAAGACTCCATGATCCTGGATCAGTCGGTCAGATGGTCTTTTTACACTTTTCACAACTATCTCTGCCATCAGTGAGTTGGGGAAAGTGTGGGTTGTCGCTATGACAGCATCTGCTAACTTGTCTTGCCATGGGATTGTCTGATCGGATGTGTCGTTCTGAGGGTCGGGTCGCGAGGGCTCTGAATTGATTACTAGTGGCTGTAAAGTATTCTGTCGGCTCTATTCTTGCGTGGCTACGTGCTCCGTGCATAATCACATACATTCAAACAATTTTGCATCGTCAGACATATCTGAGAGTACATGTCCAAGCATGCCAGTTCTCCGCTAGCAGCAGCAAGCGAAGAATAGCACCGAGATCACTCCGCCGCACCCTCAGCCTTAGCTCGCACCTCCGCCATCTACACTTCCTTCGTGCATCCGACGGACGTCTATACACTTTCCGTACCTGGCCTGACTCTTGTTATCGGACCGTCTGTTCGGACTAACAAGCCATTCTGCGGGGCACCACGTTGTCATCGTGGTGAAAGGCGGGGAGAACGTCGTCATTCCACGCCCAGAACGTGACAAAAGTTCACTCTTCAGCCTCCCGAATGCGCTTCTTTCGGACGTCCTGCTGCACAATGTCGAGATCATGGCTCGGTTTGGCGAGGCAGCTTGGACCTTCTTGAGTAAGTGAGATGATTTAAGATCTGTTCTGCGTCCAGGCTTCTCTCTTGCAACTCCTGTTGCAGGTCGGGCTGTTTGGGACCTTGATTTTTTATTGTTGAATCATCATCATGAGGACTACTACCACAGCAGCTGCCCTGCTCGCAGCATTGCCAGTAGGCATCGCTCAGCAATGGGGACCACAGCACTGGGGACCACCTGACCCGCCCTCTGGTCCTCCTGGCGGTCATCCTGGCGGCTGGGGACCCCCCAATGGGCCCGGGCCTCACTCCTGGCCAGGCCAACCAGCACCGTCCCCTGCGAGCTCCGCCGCCGCCTCCGGAGCCAGCAGTGCTGCAGCTAGCACTTCTTCCGCTGCCTCTGGCTCAAACAGCCAGAGCTGCACTCCTTTGACCGCGTCGATGATTGAGGCATCCGGAAACAACTCCCTCTTCACCCGCTGGAGACCACACAGTCATTTCATGGCTCCCGCAGGCTGGATGAACGATCCCTGCGGACCTATGTATGATCCTACGAGGGATATCTACCATCTTTTCTACCAAGTGAAACTAAGCTGTCTCACGACGATCTAGACCCAGCTGACGTCTCGACAGTGGCATCCACAGCATATCAACTGGGGTAACATTAGTTGGGGATATGCTACGAGCAAGGACCTGATCACTTGGACTGATCACGTGAGTTGGACCTTTTTCCAAAATTCCGACCACAATTGACGAACATCACAGGTCGGCTGGCAAGACAACCAAGCCCTGGCCCTCGGACCCTCAGGCAACGGTAGCTTCCCATCCCACTACAACGGGCTTGGAATCTTCTCTGGAACGGCCCAGCCAGTCAATCTGCAGGGCGAGGTGGATGGCACACTTTTACTCATGTATACCTCCGTCAGCTGGCTCCCTACTAGTTGGAATATTCCCTACCATCCTCATACAGAGTCGCAGAGTCTGGCATTGAGCACAGATGGTGGCAAGACTTTCCAGGAATACGCAGGCAACCCGGTCATTAGTGCGACGGCCAATACTGCGCCTATGGGTTGGAATGTTACTGGTGAGTCCCAGAAAGACATATTTGGGAGCAAAGCTGATCGTTGAATAGGCTTCCGTGATCCCTTCCTCGAGCCCTGGCCAGCAATGGACGCTGTGTTAGGCATGTCGGAACCTCACTACTACGCCGTATTCGGCTCCGGTATCAAAGGTGTCGGACCAAGGATCCCCTTCTGGACTGCTCCAGCTCGCAACCTAACAGACTGGACGTTCCTAGGCGCTCTCTGGGAGCCAGCAGACAACACCTCTCTTGGCCCCGTCCTCTCGACCGGCACATACGGTTTCAACTTTGAGGTCTCCGGTTTCTTCTCCCTCCCTGATAAGAAGGGCGACCTGCACTACTTCGTCAACATGGGCACAGAGGGCGGAAACGTCAGTTTCCATGAATCAGCCCATTGGGCATTGTGGAATGAAGGTACCATCTCAAAACGTGCCAACGGCTCGGCCGCTTTCACGCCGACAGCCGGCGGTGCAGGAGATTGGGGCCTCTCGTATGCTTTGACGAGCTTCAACGACACCAAGAACAACAGGCGTGTCCAGTGGGCATGGACACCCGAAGACCTCACCGGCGACGGCGGTCTCTTCAGCGCTAGCCAGCAGGGTTTCCAAGGCAGTCTTGCACTCCCTCGTGAGCTCTTCGTGCATGAAGTCGACGGCGTGACAGATAAAGACGGCTCCCTTGCCGCAAGCAAAGAAGCCGTCCTCGTCTCGACAGGTAACGGCGCCTACACCGCCCAAACTCTTGGTGTCCGCCCTCTACCAGACGTCGTCGCGGGCATAACCTCCAACGCTACACACATGGCCTACGCGGCTGGTACCGTCACCGCCTCCAAGATTGTCCAGAAGCAGGGTGATGCATACATGGAGCTCAAAGCCACTATCAGCTCCAGCACCGGTGCCGCAGGTGTAATTATCGCGGCCTCGCCCGACATGAAAGAATACACGACTATAATGTATGAGCCTACAAATCACACCATCCTCGTCGACCGCTCGCACAGTAGCGCCATCGAGGGTTTCGCCAATGTCACTGTAACAGGCTACTTCAGCCCTTACACCGTCGGTTCTCAGACCGAGGCCATCAATATGGATATCTTCATCGATGGCTCTCTGGTCGAGATCTACGTTAACGAGCGATTCGCTCTAGCTACAAGGATCTATCCTTCCATGCAGTGCAGCACTGGCTTTGGTGTCTATGTCGCTGATGGTAGCAGTGCTACTTTCGCTGGTGTGGAGGCGTGGATGGGAACCATGAACGTCTGGCCTCAGAGGCCGTTGGATAGTTCCTCGCCGCTACTTTGGGATTCGGCAGCGCAAACTAACAATTACACTTGGTGGAGTGGTAATTAGACGATGGGTTGGTGCTGATAGATACTGATGTTGATGACGACGGGAAGGGTAGTGGGGTGTAAGATTGGAGAGTGAAGATTATGTATATATGAGCGATGAAAATGTTGCATACACAAATTACGCCTTGATCACATTCCCACTCCTCGTGTATAACTGAAAGCCCGTCTCAAAGCAACGATACAGTCTATGCCGACTCTGCTTCCACTCGCAACAGCTTCCCGAGCTACCACTTCCGTCTACTACCCATTGTCTACAAGATCGGTCTCTTGGAGAGCTTGAGGGCAACATTGATCACGCTAGCCGTAGCCAAGACGTGAGCAACAGTGCGTGCCGGCCCAACGTTGAACAGATAAGCCGGGTAGTAGATGAAGCACTTGCTGATAACATGCAGACCAAGCAAGTTGATCAAGCTCTGATCAGCCGGTGCAATCGCCGCCGTTAAGGCAGCTGTGAGACCAAAGCCGCCGAACATCTCCATAAGGTTCGAGTGCGCGGAGTACAGACGCAGAGGCAGACCCTGGAGGTTCTGGACTTGAGAGCGCGGGTGGTTGTTATCGCGGCCTTCTTCATTGCCGGCTTCGACACCTGCGGCACTGCCGGCGCCGGAGAAGGCGTAGGTCACGGCGATGTAGAGGGTGGAGAGGGCGGCGATCTTGCCAGTCTGTGCGACGCGGGAGGTGCTGCCGGCGCTGCCTAGCCACGCCACGGCGCTGCAGACGCCATTCACAAGGCCCTCGGCTAGGCCGTTCTCTTGGGCGATCCAGGACGTGCTTCAGAATGTGTTAGAGAAGGCATGCATGGCAGAGCGGAGATGATTAGTGATACTCACAGTGGGACGGCAGCGATGAACAGACCGCCGAAACCTGGTCACTCTTGTCAGCACATTCCCTTGATGGCTTGGTAATGTCATAAATGATCACTCACCAGCCATAGCCAAACCCTTAGGGTTGACAACGCCATCCTCCTTCAGCTTGGCGAGGATAGTATCCTTAGCCTCCTGCGCCTTCTGCTCAGCCTTCTCAGCTCCCTGCTTGATGTTACGCTCGGCCTTCTCAGCACCTTGCTTGATATTGCGCTCGGCCGCCTCAGCGCCCTCCTTGGTCTTGCGCTCCGCAGTCTCAACACCGTCCTTGATGTTCTGCTCGGCCTTCGCTGCCTCCTGGCGGGCGCGGTCCTCGGCCTGGCCAATCTTCTCGCCGGTCTTGGCGCCCTGCTCTCTACGGCGGTCTTCTTGGGATGACATCTTGTGCTGTGGGTATAGTCAGAGTAGTGCTGGTAGAGATGGTATCCAGATAATGGCGGTTTGTTGATACAGCAAGCTCGAACAACAGATCTGGCGGCAGCGGCCACCCGCGCCTTGGAAACGGCACACCATCGTCATAGGGCCTGGAAGCCGGTCCTCGGTAATGAGGAAGCATTGCACACGGTATAGCTCCAAAGCAGAGTTTCACCCCGCTGATACTCTGTTGTCGTGCGAATCACAGCACGCCCGCGAGACACTCAACTTCACAGCCACAGTCCGTGCACTTTCGATGTGTCGATCTCCCACGTGTTTTGCATGCAGCCACTGGTGATGCCCGCAAGGTTGTCATCGAATTGATTGAAGAAGTCTCCGATATGCTTTGCCAAGCGTTGAGCCTGGAGGTCGATATGGTCGTGGCATATCTATATGGTGCCTCACCAGACCAGTGGCTGCAAGGGATAGGTACAGCTTCAAACCCAGCAGCGGCGGGAGGCAGGGTGAGATAGCGGTGATCCGGCTAGAACGACGACGACGACGAGAGTATCACTTTGGTAACTGGTATCACATTCCATACTACACTCTAGTTCACAGCAACCTCAGCAACCTTGCGATCAGCATGCCCCTTCAGATCCTGCAACCTCTTCAATTCCTCTTCCCGCATCGCAGCTTGCCTCCTCAACCGCTCCGGTACAACAGCCATCCTAGGCTCCGTGATCTCCCACCCAGGCAACCTCTCCTTCCCAAGCTCTTTAAGAGTCTTCCTCTCAACAACAGAATAAAGACTCTCATCCCTCCGATCAAAATCAAAAGGCTCGTTCAAACTAACAGGAGGATTCGTAATAATCCTCAACTCCCTCAATTTGTTATTAGAGGCCGAATGCAGCATGAGCGGATGCAACAGATACACATCTCCCACCTTCCCACTCGCCTCGACAAATGCATCCTTCGGCATCGACTTGGCTAGATCACAGAACCACTGTAGTCTCTTCACCTTCTCCGGCTCCATGGTAGGGTTCCCAGCTCGAGGCGTCATCATCGGCGATACACCCTCAGGGTGATCGTGTAGGTGTTGCGCTACTGGACCGATGGCACTGGGACAGATCATCGTCCCGCCACCGCCTGGATTGATGTCGGTGAATAGTGGGATGACCAGGAGTCCTTGCTCAGGACTGTTGAGAAAATGCACGAAGAAATCACCGTCGACGTGCCAGCCTGGGAGTTCACTGCCGTGGATATCCTTCCCTTCGCCCTCCGGCGTACCCAAGTTGACGATGAGGCCGTCGTTCCATGTGCGGTTGTAGCTGCCGATACGCTCCTCGCCACCCAGTAAGTCGCAGATGGCTGCCCAGGCTTTTGGTGCGAACTCACTGGCTTCGAATTCGTTGTGCTTGGGCATGTTGTGGCGTTCGCCATGCCATGTTGATTTATCTGTCGGTGACATGCCTAGTCGTGTCCATACTGTGCCGATCAATTCGTCCGCTTGAGCCTGAGAGAAGCAATTCGAGAGTTTGAGCCAGCCGTGTTGCATGAAGTGGTCTACATCTTTTTGTGTGAGCTGTTGGTAGGATGCCATCTTGTCAATTGGTTTGTGCCAATAACGTCGTGTGCTCGTTAGATCCGACAGCAGGACGGGACATATATGTACTTCTTGTGGTCGGTGGCGTTACCAGCGACATTCGGCACCAGTCTCCATCTCGGCGTTGGTTTGTCTTCCTTTCACCTGTAGCTGGCTAAATGTGGACCGGCTAAATTGAGTGGTGGGGTCTGTGCCGCACCGCATTCGGAAGGAGCTTACAGTCAACAAAACAATACTCGAATCATCTACTTGTTTTACACATCGTCCACGACGCAACATGTCTGATACACGTATGGACTAGCTATCTGATTCCCCACTTACTCACAACTTACTCTCGACTCCTGGCCACGCCTGCACCAACGCCATCTCAGTAGTTCCATCCTCAATACGCTCTTCGACAACGAATACAGCGTCACTATCGCCTCGCCCAGCCTTGACCCATCTGCCATGACCTCGCCAGGCCTCAGCTTTGTGAGCATCAACTTGGACACCATCGGGTAAATTCTGGCCAGGAGTGACGTATGTCCAACCCTCCAGAGCAGCAGGCTCATAGACTCCCTGCCCAGGACTGTCATCCTTAGTCGCCAACCCTAGTCCCTTCTGCTGTATTCGATACCGCACAGATGGGTGTATGAACTCGCAGGTATTCGTCAACAGACGATCTGTTGGCTTGCCTGTGTTCGAATCGATAGCATGATATGCACCCGGGGTTCGCGGACCTCTGCCAGTAACGGCGTTTAGTGCTCCCGTATCGGACTTCTCAATCTGACCCATCGCCCATGAACACACGGGCACGTTCTGCAAGGTGTAGAACTTCTCATTGGCTTGCTGCTGATCTTTGATGTAGTCTGGATGAAACGAGAGGAAAGGCTGGAGCTGTGTGATCATCCAAGCCAGTGTGACATTCGAGACCGACGAATCAGCATATCCACCACCAATCGAAGAATGCACACCTGGGAACCAGCACTGCTTTAGCAGCTTCAGACGTGCGCCGGAGCCAGGCTTTGGACTCTCCCAGACGGTTGGTGAGAAGGTCATACGTTCTTCGTCCAACGCAAAGGCTTGGAAAGCGTATTCGACATTTGATGCCACTTCAGTGCTGACGAAGCTGTATTCTTTCCTTTCATGGCTGAAGAGCCTAAAACCCGCTACATCGAGCTCTGGGACACCCAGGGTTCCCACAGTATCCCAGACCCCGACAATCTTGACCGGGATGTTAGGACGGGTCATGCCTTCCTGATCGTGGTCAGCGATCTGAGAGGACGATAAGAGTAGACGTACTCACTCGGATCAGACGCGGCATGTAGTCAGGATCCTTGAAGGACGGCCGGTCGATTGACCGGTCAATCGAACCATATTGTGCTTGGTAGGCTGGGTCGACTTGGTTCTCCCAGTCTTTGAAGATAGGGTAGAACGAGTCCAAGCCCTTGACTGTCAATAGTCCGACTTCAGCGACCAAGGCACTGATACTCCTTGCTGTGAAGGCGCCACGTGAGAAGCCGAGCAGCACTATCTCGTCTCCGTCCTCGTAGTTGTTGCAGAGATCTAGACTATTAGCATCCTACTCATCGACCAGGACGCAGATAGCGTACACGCGTATGCCTCTCTTATGTTCTCAGAAATGCCAGAACCGAGATAGCCACCCACGAAATAGCTGTAGGCATTGTTCTGCGAGCCCACGCCCGCTTGATAGTAGACGACTTGTGGTATACCATCGCTTGAGCGAGGCAGTAGCGCACGAGATGTACGGGTCACATTAGATGGGTTGGCTAGCTTTCCACCGGTCTTCCAGGGGAGCCAGCTGTCACGCACGAAGCTGGCTTATGTTACTAAGTGGCCTACGAAGAAGAGAACTGATTTCGCTGTCGACTGGTTTTATGGTATTTATGCAAGACATACCCATTGTCACTATCCTGGGCAAGTGTCAGTATACATTGCCCGCGGCCCATCTTTATAGCTTACCGTCCAGGTACCATCGCAGGCCACGATCAAACGCTTGAAACCCATGTCGATGTGAACAATGTAATGTTAGGATTATGTACCAGAAAGATGGGTATCAATGCAGATACATATCTTCACCTCCATGCGAATAGCCAGCTCGTGTATATCGCGTGGCACATGTCAACGTGAGAGCATGTGGCTGGCTGATGGTAAGCATGGGAGATGCAGCTTACAGCTCTTGGGTCTAGAGCCTGGGAGCCAGTAGTAGGTCAATCATTGGCGCTTACGATAACCATCTCACACTTCATCTCGAGGGTAGCGGAACTTGTGGATTGTGCGAACAGACATGCAAGGCACAAAGTGGACGTCAAGGCAAAGAGGAACGCAAGGTTGAAACACACAAAACACAAGCCTCGTTCACAAGCAGAACTATCTACCACTACCGATCGCACCCTGCGGAGACCGAGGCGCCACCTTATCCCGACTCTTGCCCGGCGGACCAATCGTGCCCGCCTTGTTCCCAGCCGGAATGAAGGGATTCGCATCTGGACGAGGCGAGTTCGAACCGGTGCTACCAGTCGTCAACGACCCAGAACCCTCGCTTTCCTTGCGATCATCGAACATCGGTGCACCTGCGGATGCCGAAGGCTGCATAGGCCATGAATATTGATTCACGGGTTGCTCGGCGGCGAAGGCGTATTCCTCGCCGTTGTCTGTGAAGCCTGAGTACTGACTTAGCATGCTAGAGCTACGTCCACGTGGACCGTGAGTGTTGTTCGACATCGATGGTTGGGCGGAGTGGAAAGGCGACTGGAAAGGCTGAGGACCATGAGAAGCGAAGCCGTTCGTATGAGGACTACCGAGCGAGCCGTTAGTACCGGGAAGCATGCCCTCGGGCGTGGGAGGAGAAGAGTATCCAGGATACGCAGGCGGGGCTGTGTTCCAGCTTTGAAGTGCGGCAAGCTGTTGATACGTCTCCTGCGATTGGTCCATGAGCCCATTGATCTCACTCTCCATGCCCGAGATTTGGCTTCGGAATTGCCAGTCCTCTTGACGGCGACTGTCCGCTACGCGAGCGCGTTCGAGCTCCCGTCTTTGCTTGGCAGACATGTCTGCCTGCTGCTTCGACTCCAGCTTCTCGTGCTCCTGCACCCTTTGTGCATGTCGTGCCTCCATCCTCTCCCGTTTGGTCTTGGTCGCCTCCATCTCCGATCGAATCGCGGTCAACTCGCGGTCAGCTTCGGCTTTGGAAGTGTTGAAGGTCTCCTCAACAGATCGTTTTGTGTTGGACGCTGCTGCCCAATGTTGGCGCTTTTCGTTCATCTCAGCAATTTCATTGTCAGGAATGTCGCCAAAGGACTCGAGTTCACGCTTGAATTCAGCAATGTCCTCTTCAGCCTTGGTTCTATGCTGAGTGAATTGCTGCATCTTCTGCTTTTGGCGATCTTCCTCCGAGGACTCCTTGAGCTTTTTCTTGAGGTTGTTGATATCTTTACGGAGGTCGGTAATGGCCGCTTTCTGTTCTCGTCTGATCTTTTTGGCTTTGTTACGCGCATCATTCAGCTTTGCGCTAGCAGTCAGAATAGACTGTCTGAGAGTAGTGCTTGGCGATGCTGGCCGTGGGTGATGGTCGCGTGGCTGAGCAGCGACCGAAGTCACCTGTTCTGCAGACGGCGCAGCGTCAGTGATGAACCGCAAGGAACATAGTACAGCTCCACTTGAGATATCAACCACTTCACAAAGGAACGTGCTCCTGGGCGCGAGGCCAAAGATCTCGCCGTCGTAACAAGGCTTGCCATTCGCTTCGTCGCCAGTAGCGCTTGACATAATGCGTGCTGAGCTCCAGGCTGCGCCATTGATGCGAATGAAGAATGGCTTGGACTTGTCAATGCCTGCAGTGATGGCAACCTCTTCATCGCCATGCGCAGCAGTCTGCTCGTCTGCATTCGCGGCCAGCTGCACCGAGAAATACACCTCCGTATCGCGCACCTCAGTAATACAGATCCGGTCGGTAGGGGAGATAATCGTGCTTGTAAATGTTGGTTTTGTGTTTCTATCCATTTCAGCGGCCTCACGTGCGTCATCGGCCGCGTCTCTCTGCTCCATTTCTTTAACGAAAGTGACTTTGGTGCTGGCAATGGCCGCCCAAAGGGGTTGCTGGCTCCGAACTTGGTTGGCCTGCTTCTTCTTCCTCTTCGTACTGGACTCGCGCGGTCTGCCATCTCGTAGCAGCGGCGGCGGTCCAGGTGGACGTCCATCACTACTTGTCACAGTCTGAGGTTGCTGTGCTGCTTCCACGTTACCCATTGGTGGGCGTGAATTCGGCTCGGAATTGAGAGCAACGTCAGAGTCGTTAGTTGTGATGGTGGGGATTGTCTGGTCCCTTTCATTGGCTTTGACGAGAGATCGGCGAATGCATGTCGTGACGCCCTGTGAAACGATGTGTATTCCGAGTATGGTACGAATGACTGTAAACCCCCACCCACGCTCTACGATGGGTGGCGAAAGAAAGGAAGATACTATAGGTGGAACATCGAGCTGTATGCCGATGTCCATATTATGTATCACGGAGCGGAGGTAGTCCAGAGCGGTAAGATGTATAGCTTTATAGCGAAGAACGTGCACCAAGCAGACAGTCAGCGTGGTTGTCGCGATGCTGTACGTTGGCCCTCCAGTGCTTGCAGCTGCGCCGCTCAGTGAAACGGCGATGACAGCTTGCGAGAAATCGAGGAATATGCTCTGCAATGGTTTCCACATTGGTAGCCAGAATGCCCAGAATATGAAGTCCACGATCAATATTGTAGCCAAAGCGGGATATCCTAGGTTGGAAGCATTGAACATTTCTTTGATATTCGGGAAGGTCGAGAGCGATATTCCAGCGGTGGGAGGTACGAATGTTAGCGAAGCGAACAGTGACTGTATGACCAGGACCAGCGTGGGTGGCAGCGAGAGCAGCAGAATGAGGATGGAGATGGCATCGCGGAGCGGATAATAGGTGAGAATAGTCGACATGGTTGATAGAGGACCTCCAGCCTGCGACAAGCTTGTTCTGCGTATTGTAGCCGGTACCTGGGCTTCTACACATGGAGCAGCAGCAGATGCAGCCTCGTTCGCATTGTCCACCAAGTCCAAGCCTACTTCATCCAACGACACCTCTGACGCAGTCCTGTTCCTTGGCGTGATCTCCAGTCCTCCAGCATGTTCCTTGATAGCAAGACTCGGACTGGTCTCGAGAGCAGATTCTGCAGGTCGTGGAAACCTCAAGCCTTGATTCAGACCCGTCGTGGGCAGCGCTGGCGGTGGTGCGGAAGACACGGGCTTCCCATTAGGCTGCCCATTCAATTGCCCATTCGACGACTTCTTCGAGATCCTCTTCCCTGGCGCAGCCAACCCGTTCTCGTGCCTTGTGTCGCGCTGGTTCGGTGCGGCGTTCTTCGTCTTGTGCGGGCGAGGCATGAAACCCCTGGGATAGTAGCCAACACTCACGCTCTCCCTCCCGGCTCGTCCACAATGCGGCGAGCCAGACGGGAGTCACGGGATGTGGGAAAGAATGTTGTTCTGGTGATGTTCGGGTGGAGTCGTGTCACACAAGAGAAAGACAGAGAAACGAAGACACACCACCGACTGAACACTAGCACAAACTGGAGAGCGGACGATGAAACTTCGGCAGGACCCGGACCTAGGTTGCAACTGCAACCGCCAGCAGCGTTACCACTATTACTCACCACTTGCGTCTGACCGAAGAGTAGCCCAAGTGGCCAAAACTCAGTTTCGATCAGACGAGCGAGACATTTGCCAGCCTCTCACCAGCGCAACGCACGACCATTTTGATTACTTGTGTGCAAACTTGAACCTGGCAGCAGTAGTGGTGCACGTCTGAGGGGCCGATACGAAAGCGTGGAAAAGCTACACCGATTTCGGCTGTTTGAAGCCTCTTTCCGAGCGAGATCGACAGCGCAGAAGCCAACCCCAGGTCCGCAGGGCTGATGAGGCGAGGGAAAATCGACGGCGAGCGAGGCGCTTCCTCCGCCCCCATCCCCATCATCCTGCGCGGCACTTCTTGCTGGTCATCACCTTGGATCCGGCACTTCTCACCGCTGATGATGTACAAAAATCATGTTGCGCTATCGCCTCTCACCCTGAACAATCCTTGAAGCTACAACGCCTAGATGCTACAATAGTGTGACTCTTGTGCAGTGCTATATAGGCACCTCGACGTCACAAGACCTAAGCTCTCCTGTCGGCAACCAATGGTTCCGATATACACCCGTCCTCTGCAGAAAATCTGCATGGTCCGTCCCAGCTAGTGTCCTGTCGCAATCAGTATGCATGTTGATGTGCGAGAGATCAGCGTCACGGTCTCACAGCTCGGCAGACCGCTTGTCCTGCTTTGCCAACTGACTTGCTTTCCGATCTGCTGGAGCGGTATCGAGGCGGTAGACGAAGAAGTAACGCGAGGCCCCCTACCACACCTATAGACTGGTCGAGCCATAAGCTGCTGACAACTGAGTCTTCGGTGCTGATACATAGGACCGAGCTACGTAAGCACCTTGTATCAGATTCCAAAGCTATGTGATAATGCTCCGTTGTACCTCAGTCAGCAGTCAGCAGGAGATTGATGTCCCGCCGCACGCTTTCTAGCTCCGCCAAGTCGCCACAGCGCAGTACCTTCTCGAAGTGGACGCTACCTGTGATCTGGACACGACTAGGATCGTCTAGATGGCCTCGGGACATAATTCGATAGGAACAGAGGCTTGCTCTGCGAACCTGCCACGATGAGTCGCTTTGCCACGGCGCAAGACTTTCCCAGTGCAGCCCGACTGAGTGAGCCCGTGTCTCGCTCTTCCAGCTCCAGGCAGGAAGTGGAGCGGTCAGTGTTGTGACTGGAGGAGCTTCTCACAAGCATGATCCTCCATAATTATGGCCCTTAACTACCCATATCTTCAACAGCACCCTCTCGATCCCAAGTCTCCACTTCAAGCCGCCTCACCTCCTCCCCAATCCTAGCGCCCTTCTCCATATTCACCCTCCTAGCCTCTTCCTGCAACTTCCAAGTCTCAAGAAACATACTGTACATGAACTTCGGCAGCGCGATCTTCTTCGCCCGGGTATAGTCGTAGATCAGAATATCCTCACTCAACCGAGCAGCAGGCCGCTGATGTAGTTCAGACATCACCACCACATCGAGAACAATCGCGGCATCGTCCGGAGTCGGCTCGTTGTGTAATTTATGGTAGATTGAGATATGGTCTGGCCATCTCATCGGGAATTTGAACTCGGTCGTTATCGTCCTTAAAATGAATCCAGCTTCTGTCGGTGCGAAGAGGGTACTCCACGCCTTCTTATTCTCAGGGTCGAGTTGTGCCAGCTTCTGCGCCCATTCTATGCGGCCTGACTCGGCGTAACGATTGTACATTACATTATTCACATGACCCATGCTATCCATCTCACCCCAGATCACTCCTCGTCGGTGTATGCCTCTTCTTGTCGGGTCTGTGAGGAAGCCTTCGCTGCCTACGACTAGTTCTCGCCAGTTGCGTGCTACTTCGGAGAGGATGAGACCTGCTCGGTGAGTTTGCTCTTCGGTGGCGCCGAAGGTTAGGCAGGTGCCTATGCGTTGTTTGATCTCTGATAGCCATCTTGGGCCTAGAGAGTCAGGAGGAGGTGCTGTGGACTTGGTCGATCGATTTCGTTGTACGGCCAGGGATCGAAGCGAGGATTGTGATGTAGATCTGAGGCCATGGCCGCTTAAGTCGATGGCCTTTCGTACGGCTCTCATGGCCGCTGGTTGACTCTCACACATTCATCTTTAACAAATTGCTGATCGTGTATTACCATATCATACCATTGAGTATTGTCTTAGTCCATGAAGACCAATGGCTGACGAAGGTGACAGGAAATATACCTCGGCTTGAACAAAAGTCTAAATTACATAGCGAGACGTCACCAAATTCACCACCATCGCCAGAATCATTTGAGCTTCGGTTGCTTAGACCAGTTTCTAATGCGAAGACTTTGAGCGTCTCGAATCCTACAACAGCCTATCCTCCGACTAGTGTAGACGAGAGTATGCCTTCTACGAGTCCACTACGCCACGATGTCATCCGCATCTACAAAGGTTAGCAACACATCCGGCAGCTGAAAGCGGAAATGCAAGAATCGTACTGATAATGAAAGTCATAGAACTGTTGTATCTGGGACGAGAATACCCCCTAGGCTACGCTTACTTCCGACCCCGTCTTCACAAAGCCTTCATGTCGAAAGCAGGGTTGCAAGACCAAACCGAGATTCACAAGGGGATCGAGCAAGCCGAATACGTGAAGAAAGGTGAGGTTCGAACCTGAAAGTAATATGGATTCGATATATCTGACTAACGCTATCCTCCATAGAAATCGAAGCCTTGTAAGAACAACACGCTTTTCAAGTAGTGGTATCTCGCGCAATATATACAGACTAACCACCCAATGCAGGTACTACCTCAAACGGTACCGTACCCTAAATAAACGCTACTCAAACGCCTGAAAACACCTCGCTACAAGCCTTGGACAAGAAGCACCATCCACCAATCAATCAATCAGTCGCCAACTTCTTCGTGGCCCACCAAGCCCCGACCTCGAGACACTCGCCTCTCAGCGTATCTCGAGCGGGATCAAGCAGGTCGCCCATCATGGACAACCACCACGCACTCCACTCCTCCGAGTTCTTCCCACTGGCTTCCCTCAAGATCGGCTCCAGGGACTCGATCATTTGCAGCACGGTCAATAATGCCGTCTGCCGCAGCGCTAGCTGGTCCTGAGTGAGACGTTGACTTCTTCCCATCTTGCCTTTGCCTTTATCAACGACTTCACTCGCTGTGCGGGAATGCTGCTTTTGGGCTTCGCGTTCCCAGCGGAGTTCTCCTAGCGGGATGGCTACGCGTCGGATGCCTATGTCGTCGAGGGTTTCGGTTTCTTGGTAGAGGACCTGGGAGATTCGGGCGCATGGTGTGGGCGATAGCTTTCGAAGATCTAGTGCTTCTGTTATCCAGGTATTGGCGTGCTGGAGATATTTGTTCTGCGCGGGCGCGAACGGCGTGCCAGGTGCGATGAGGAACGTGGCGGTCTGGTCGGCAATCTTCTGGTTGTGGGGTTGTTTCGCGTTCGGCTGTGGTGGGTGCGGGAGCAGTGAGCGTAGGACATGATCCGACTCCCAGATCTCCAGCGTGCCGCCTACGGAGAGCATCCGTATAGCATCGTCCAGGAACTTCTGAAAGGCCCCGCCGACGGTCAGGACAAGACTCAAATCTTTCAACATGATCAGGTCAAACTCTTCGTCATCGAAAGGAAGTGGAAGTCGGCGCATATCATGTTGCACAAACGTCCACTTCATGCCTTGCTTGTTGAGGTTCGGGGCGAGCGGAGCAACGTCGACACCGGTAAAGGACACCTCATCGAATCCGTGGGAGCTGAAGTAGTCATGGCACATGGACGACCAGTACCCACTCCCACAGCCCAGCTCTAGGACTTTCCGTGGCACTTTCTTGGCGACATTGGGTGAACAGATGGCCCGGCCAAAGACTCGACATCCCAGCAGTGTTCGAAGGTTCTGTCGTTGTAGCTCCGGCAAGTCTACTGGCAGCGGATATGGGAGGTCGCGTAGATATCGTCGACCATGTCTTAGCTCATAAGGTCGGCTCAGTAGCTCAGCATGGCTTGCCTCGGAATGTATGGAAGAAGTAGAGCTAGTGTTGACTCGCGTGGTCTCCATGCCTCCATACTGCTCCACCAACGTCGCTCCACTTGTAGTCGTGGAGAGCTTGTTCCGATCGATCGATCTCGTGCGCTCCAGTCCAGCAATGTTCTCGTGAGTAGTGATATCGAAACTGGTGTTCCTCTTCCTGTCGGCAGATGAATGGGAGGCAACACGGTTCAGTGCATTAGTCGAAATCTGTTGTTGCTGTTGGTTTGGCGGTCGTGGCGCATAGTAAGCATAAATCAGACCGTCCATTTTTCTTCAATGCGGCGCCTACGCCAGCCTTATCAACATGATCTCACCACTCCCGCGCACGCACAGTCGTACGGTGCCTTATCGATCTCGTACTAGCAGTTCTGCCGTGATGGCGCAGGAGCGCAACGTGGAAATCGCGTGGGTCAGGGAGCCGTCTAGCGTCCACTCGAGCTCATCTATCTGCGCCCTGACGAGATCAGTGTGGGTTGAGTCAGCACGGCAAGAGCAAATCGGAGGTCGTGAGGCCGAGCGGATCCCGGTCAAAGGTGTGGTCAGTGTATGTATGCTGATGCCGAAGTAGTTACATTGAACTTGCGGAGCTTTTAGGTGTGTCAACCACTGAGCAATTAGCTATGAGGCACGGAGGTGGGGTGGCAAATGGGTTATGAATGGTTTCTTGTTAGGGTACATCTGGCGCAGCTTGCGTGTGCCATTCGGCACTAGGCTGGTGTGGGCGCGGCAAAATCTGGTCTGGGTGGTGTGTCAGGCCGCAGAAGTGCGGCGGAGTTTGGGCTGGTTTGAGACATGAGGCCGTTACAAGAATGGGTGGGAGCTTGAGCTTCGTATAGATACGCAGCGTACATGTGATTGACGGCGCGCACGCGAGGTACGCCAACCAGGTGGGCGAGTACTGTATCAGCAGGATCAACGAATGAAACGCACGACATAGCGCATAAGCGAGGTGCTTCATCTTCGAAGCCAGGGTGTGTATGTAATGGTGCATGAAAGGCGTGAAGAGCATGGAGGTGAGACCGAGGCCAGCCTTCACACCTCAGAACACACCCAGCCGTAGTATTGTCATGGACGTGGTCAGCAAAATTTCAACTTGCTATGCCATCAACCTTGCTCCAGTCGCAAGACTCAGGATTGTGCGCAAACTTCGAGTAGGATAGGTAAGGTAGCTTTGAGACAAGGTCGTTTGCCATTCACAATACAGATGATTGCGGCCTTGGAATTTTGGTGCACGATCTGATGATGGTGTATCCAGTACTAGCATTCTGGAAGAGCACTTTCTTTGTGATCATCGTTGATGCTCTCGTGACTGTAGATGGAGCACTGATATATCGACGTATATCGTAATCGTGATTGCACGTGACCAAGCTGTATGGAGGTGGCTCCGCACATACTCGCAGCAGATACGTCGTCAAGCCCAAGACATCTGCCAGCCACGACCTCCCACGACCACAATCTCATTATTCACAACTCGCGCTGCATACAACATTCACCGTTGACCGCTCACGTGGAAGTCAATCTCTAGCGCGCGGACTCGACAGCTTCATACATACCTGTTACCGCCCGAATTGATACCATCCTTACACCACGACAATCAGGCCCAGATCCTACGCGCCGACCCCAACAATCATTCCACAGGCATAAGATAGCGCTGGAAGGCAGTGTGGGTAAAACGCATCGTTCATGAAGAGGCGGAGCGGAGCTCATGTACGTCACAAGAGACTCGTGCCGGCCAGAACCACCTCCTCAAGCCCCAAAACTACACCTTCCACGAACACAGCCTCTTCGACAACGCGCCGACGGCTAAGAGACACCCCGGCGCACACCTCACCATCCGGTGATGGCCGATGGTTACCCCCGGTTCAATCCCGGCGGCCAGTACCTTCCCTTCCAGAACCATCCCCTACCGCGCGGTCTTCGTAACGGCAACGGTTCGCCACTTTCCAGCGCCCGTGGCCTGTTCTCACAAGTCAACGACACGCCCTCGCCGAACCGATCACCGGGTACACGATCACCTGCACATACACAATTCGGTATGCACGGCTATGGCGGCGGCAACCACTCCCGGCAGATAGCATCAATCAATGGTGGAGGACATGCCAACTACCAGTCCGCGATGGGGTTTCACGGCAAGTCGTATGCGCCGAACCATGGGAACCAGGTGCATCACATGAATAGCCAAGCACAAGAACACGGTCATGGCTATCCAGGCCACCAATACACGGGCTCAGGTAGCACCTTGAATGCCAGCACTCCCCACTATGCGCCGGCACATCTCTCGAATGGCACACCAGATCAATCGAATGCTTCGAGTCATCCACCGAACCAGCATTGGCAGGATCAAGAGGCAGAATACGATCGGCTGAAGAATGCAGGGGATAAGCCACATTTTTATGCAAGAAACTCTCCGCACGTCAGCCGCTTCCCAGGAACAAGTCAGTCGTCCATTAGCCAACAGACGGAGCCAGGCGAGCATGGTGATCGTAGGAAGGTGCCAGCTTTTGCGGAGGAGGTTGAAGAGACGGGCAGTTGGGATGCGATGGATCTGGGAGGGCACGGTCTTAGGAGTATGGGTGCTAGTATCTTCCGACACTACCCAGACCTGCACAAGATATACTTCAACCATAATCTGCTTACCTGGCTCCCACCCGATATTGGCTCGATGAGGTCGTTGACAGTACTGGACCTATCTTTCAACAAGCTGGACTCGCTTCCGGCTGAAATTGGAATGCTCACGAACTTGAAGAAATTGTTGCTGTATGGTAATAACCTTCGAGATCTGCCAGCCGAGATTGGTACACTCTTCCAGCTGGAGACGTTGGGTGTGGTGGGCAATAATATGCTGCGAGCGGACTACATGCAGCAAATACGCGACAATGGCACTAAAGACTTCGTGCGGTATCTCCGCGAGCAAGCATCACGTGAGTGACGATCAATCATGAGCCGGACGAAGTTCAAGCTAACGTATTGATAGCACCCGAAGCTCCACTCGCGCGCGACTGGATAGACCTCATCGATCCGGAGGACACAGAGCCAGAGAAGTTTTCGGTCTGCAGCTGGAACATCTTGTGCGATCGTGCTGCTACTGCGCAAGCATATGGCTATACTCCATCAGATGCTCTTGCCTGGGATCGCCGGCGAAGTATGATCTTGAATGAAGTGACTGACAGGAATGCCGACATCCTCTGTCTCCAGGAGATTGATGTCGAGAACTACAACGAGTACTTCCGACCGAACTTGGCCACTGAGGACTACAAGGGTGTATTCTGGCCAAAGGGACGTGCGCAGACGATGGGCGAAAGGGAAAGTAGGATAGTGGATGGGTGTGCGATCTTCTTCAAGAACTCCAAGTACATCCAGCTCGACAAGCAAATGATTCAGTTCAGTCGCGACGCTTTGCAGAGGCCGGATATGAAGGGTGAGGCCGACGTCTACAATCGCATCATGCCAAAAGATCATATCGCCATTGTTCTGTTCCTGGAGAATCGCGCCACAGGATCACGGCTGATTGTCGTTAATACTCATCTCGCATGGGAAGGCTGGCAAGCCGACGTCAAACTCGTCCAAGTCGGTGTGCTAATGGACCAACTCACGAAGCTGACGGAACGCTACGCAAAATGGGAACCATGCACAGACAAGGAACTCTTCAAATTCGCCGCCATGGACCGCGAGGACGGCCTACCAGAACCCCGAGTCGAGCACGCCCCGTCGATGAAGTACGATGCACCTACGCAAATCCCTCTCCTTGTCTGCGGCGACTTCAACTCCCTAGGCGATTCTGGCGTGTACGATCTCATTACGCAGGGATCACTCTCCAGCTCGCACTCGGACTTTGGCGACCACAAATACGGCGACTTCACCCGCAACGGTATCTCGCACCCTTTCAGCTTCAAGTCCGTATACTCGAATATCGGCAGCTGGCCTTGGACGAACTACACGCCGGATTTCAGGGAGATCATCGATTATGTCTGGTACTCGACCAATTCGCTGCAGCCGACGGGTTTGCTGGGAGAGGTGGATCAGGAGTATATGAAGCGTGTGCCGGGTTTCCCGAACTGGCATTTTCCCAGTGATCATTTGGCGCTCTTTGCGGAGTTTCAGGTTAAGGGGAGGAAGGAGCGGAAGGTGGTTGAGGCAGATTTTGGACCGAGCTCGAGGAGGGATAGGAGAGATGGTTAGGACATGTACAGATGATGCGCAGGGCGTTCGTTTAATTACATGGTTGTCGTGGATTGGAAATGGCGTGCCGAGCGCTCTTGATTTTTTCTGATGATCTGGCGTTATGATGGCAGGGGGATGAGTGATTTCTGCTTGGATCTTGTGTCGGTAGGTATGGTCCTCAGCATGCGCGGAGCGGGTATTTGAGGGCAGGGGACACAGGAAGGTAAGCTCATGGTTCTTGCACACATGTGGGCTGAATGCCGCGGGAATGGGAAGGATTGTTAGGGAAGTAGTGTTTTGTGTATCAATGTTTCCAAGGGCTCGAGTAGCGAGACCATTGTTATTGAATTACTCCATAATCCACTTCAATTGCACTTGTGCTGAGGCATAATGTGGAAGATCTCGATGATTCAGGTAGGAAATCAGTCACGCAGCAAGAATATTCATGCCGTAACATGGGCACAGATGTCAAACGGAATAGATGGTAGCGGCAATTGTACACTCGCTCCCATTCTCGTACGACCCTCTACCTCCACGCGAACCAACTCTTGTCTCCTTTCCACTCTCGGTGCATATCGTTGAGCGTTAAGCGGGTCCAGCCGCATATATTTTGATCGTGATTGTGGACCGCGTTGTGTGCTAATGAACTCTGGGATCCCGTTCACAATTGCGCGTGTTTGAAGATCTGCAAGAACAACATCGGGAAAGATTTGGTAGTGCGCATGAGCATGTGATAGATCACGTGTCAATCTGGGAGGTGCGTTGACCTCACTGGCTAGGTCCACGCTTCGACTCACCTTTCAAGCCATCTGGTGCATTGAGAACTTCCGTGACTACCTCATCATGGAAATCGACGCTCGCATTCCGGTGTACGTGGCCATGTATCAGCTGATGAACAAGCATTACCAAGAAGATCGCGAGGACCAGGCCTTCAAATTGGCGCATCGTTTATTGGCGGTAGGCGAAAGCCAACTAAGGCTGTTTGACGCCATCTGTACAACGGACTTTGGCTGATATAACTTCATTGTGCCTAGGACTTGGAGTTGCCAGATTTTGCGAGAGCCAGTTGCCACATGATCTTGTCCACTGACGATGACGAACCGTTCTACCTGGCGCACGCCAAAGAGGCGGATCGCATCTACGAGGAGCACTGCCGCTCTCATTTCTCGGAAGAAGACTTTCCCACTGTCCAGTATAAAGAGGCTAAGCGTTTGCTGGCGGAGGCTGAGAATTCGCACAAGGAAGATATCACGAAAAAAGATGCCGAGACTGCCCGCATTGCTGATGGTGTGGCCGACAGCCAGCGTTCCAGGCAAGCCGATAGACGAAGACCTTGATGTGCTGCTTGGCAGCACTGGACTTCCCAGTGAGGCAAGTGGCGCCGAGACACTGCCGCGCAGTGTCCCAGCCCCGGGCACAAACGACAAGACGAGATGCTCTTGACGGCCAGCGAGCTGTTCCTGATGCCCAAGGATCTAAGCGAGTCTGAATAAGTCTCACGCAAGAATGTAGGCGTCTGATGCCATTTTATTCATCATGCAGCATGGTCCTGGCACATACCACAAAGAAGGTCCGTCGCATCGACAATGGATGCTCAGAACGCCAAGGCGGTGGATCGGCAGCAGACCAGTTCGAAGAGTCCGACAAGATGTCTAGCATCCAGGTGGCTCTCGGGACTGCAGCTCTGCCAGCGGCGGAAGATGGGGATCTTGAGATGCTCATCTGAGTACCGTGGTGCTGACATTAGGCGTATTGTGGAGCTTTGACTTAGAAGTATTGACATCACCGCAAGCGATGTGATCATTTGTAGTCGGCAGTAGACTGTCTAGGCATGCGGTGTTGCTTGCAGATTGCTCTGCCTTGCTCATAGGCTTTTCATATTCATTCTTTCTTCCTCCTCAATTCGAGTATGCGCTCCATGCCAATTCAGATCGCAGCAGAATGCGCGTCTTGACGGACAGCATACGGTTCAACGCATGGCTCATGAGTTATCTGGTATCTATCGCCGTACTTTTGTGGTCGTTATGAAATGTGATTGGAACGATGGCGCACGGGATATAGAAATGCGTCACATTTCGCCCGGATACGTCAAAAGTAGAACTACTTCCCGGGATCAGCCGACACTTAGGCTCCGCTTGTGAACTTGTCGTTTCCTTTCTGCATGGCGGTTAATCACAGAAACAAAACGACTGCTTAAATAAGCAGAGGCCCTAGTCGTTATAAACAATCTTTTCCTCGTAAAGCTGTCTCCCCCAAACCCGATGAAACAACGCAACTGGTAGGTCTACCGAAGATTGCTAAATAGAGAAATTAGGACGTTCGCGCGAAGACATCAACAAAGGCAATATGATATCTCACTAGGAGGGGCCCTCCAGATTCGTCGCTGCCGATACATGCAGTGTTAGGTATCTGGCCAGACACCGTTCTCCATCTATCGTCATTGTCGGGCCCTTAAGCCAAGCCGAAAGAGGGTAGCGTTGACTACACCTTGCGCGATGCACATATTCCCATTACACAGTCAAAAGAGTCATTCTTGAGGACCAAAAGGGCCAAAAATGGAAAGCTCCCTACCTGGTCTAGATTTCATTAGGACGATGTTTGGGGTGTCAGGAGTGGTGTACATACTCGAACAGGTGACCTGTGATACGGGTCAGATCATCGTTTCAAGGGTTGTAGCGGAGTTCGTCGTTGTTACCTTAGGATGGATAGCAAATACTGCAATCCCACGCTCTACCACTGAGCTAAGAGAGCTCTAAATAATAGGTGGTCGTTGACAAAAACGTAGATGAACAACCACTATAAATTTTGCACGGTAAATCCTCGGATGATCGACGACAACAAACAATCATTTACCACTACCCGATAACGGTGCATACATCACGAAACGACAGTCCTTCAGAAGACCTACTCACAAATGTCGTCGAAATGCATCGATCTTATTACTTACCGTCCGTCCACATCTGCCAAGAGCAACCGACCTGATGACGACGGTCAAGTGCAACGGCCGCCCTGCAGCAGCGTTCATGCGGCCAAGTCAACAAAGCCTCGCACACCATCAGACATCGCAGCTCGTGACACTATCTGCCACCAAATCTGTCCTGCGACATTGTGAGCCTATATGCAACAACCTAACGCCGCACCGATAGCATCTCAGATATTACTTACTGAACGATCCGAGTCCGATCAGATAGAGAGATAGCATCTCATTCACGATCGACAAGTACCTTCCTTGGCAAACCAGCCACGACAAGAAACTACATTTCCAGGTTTGAGTAATCAGTACCGAGCTCTGCACAGCAATTCGACAAGCGCTACGAAGCATCAGCCATGGAGTTCGTGCGCGAAGTGCTCGATCAAGGCCATCGGGCCGCCGTCGACCTCCTGCAAGGCGGGCACATCGAACACTCGTCGCCATGGTCACCAGTATGTCTGCGTGATACTCGCTATCCCATGACAGATTCTCACATGTATGATAGGATGTCCCCGAGGACCTTCGCCACTGGCTACCAGATCTACTCGATCGTTTCCCACTCGTCATGCCCTGGGAGCATCCAAAACCAGTCGATCCAGCTCTACATAATGTGTGGATTCTTGACAACACGGCATTCCGAATGCCTGCTGCTGGAGATAGCAGAGCAGAGCTCGCCGAGCAGCAGGACCCGAACGATACGAAGCCCAGACTAGCGAGCGAGCCTGGTCAGACTACTCAAGAACCTGCCGCCAACAGTGCAGGCTGGGAAGTCGAGTTTGTGGCAGCTTATTTCATCAAAGGATTTGGCAAGGACCTCTCTCGCGTTACCAGCGCGTTGATCAAGCAGTTGCATGTTGATGAAAACGACATTGCTACCAAGAAGCGCATCAGTGCTCGCCTGGAGCCGTTCATTGACAGTGTCCTACCGAACCGTACTCTACGGATCTCCATCAATAACAAAGAAGAGCAGAAGCTTGGCCCTTCTTCCTACTCAGGAATTAGTTCAGGTCTTCTTCCGCTGCACTTCACGCCATCGGCACCGCAGATCTCATCGAGCACAGTCAACCTCCCACCGCCCTTCGGTCTGGGAAGCACAACGGTCTTTGCGCAGGAGAAAGGCTGGGGTGTGATTAGTGACATCGATGACACAATCAAAGTCACTCAATCCACGGACCCAATCGGCATTTTGCACAACACTTTCACAGTTGAAACGCCCGAGCCAATCGCTGGGATGCCGGAGCTATACGCGCACATGAATCAGACTCTCACGACGACTACCGACAACAAGGATAATGCACCGCCTTACTTCTACCTCAGTGCCTCGCCCTACAACCTCTATCCATTCCTGCGCCGCTTCAGAGACTCTCACTTCCCGCAGGGCACGATCATCCTCCGCGATGCAAGCTGGCAGAATCTAGGCGGTCTGATCACAAGTCTTCAGCGCAATACGAAGGAGTACAAAGACGACCGCATCGCGAAGATCCACTCCTGGCTCCCGCATCGCAAGTTCGTGTGCCTCGGCGACAGCACGCAGAGTGACCCTGAGGCTTATGGCGAAGCTGCGAGGAAGTATCCTGGCTGGATAAAGGCAGTGTTCATTCGCAAGGTCAGTGGTATCGCCTTCATGGACGGAGCCGAGAAAAATAGGCCGGAGAGGTTTGAGAATGCATTCGAGGGTCTGGATAGGAAGCTTTGGCACGTGTTTACTGATCCTGCCGAGTTGGCTGAGAGGATCGATGAGCTGAGCAAGGATTCAGAGATCATGGTTGGTGGCGAGTGAACTGATTGTCTCCAGAAGCAACGGGAATCGACACGTACCGCCTCCCTGCTTACAGAGTGATCATGACACCCAGCGGCACTGTACGTATGGCAACATATCTGAGCTATTACACTTTGCTCTCATCTAGGACTGTGTCCTTCGTCATGAGATATTTGTTACTACTACTTTCGCCGCCGACACGCCCCTCTTCTGGGTGTCGAGGCCAAGTTGAACCGAACGCAGCTCTTCGCCAACAATCAAAGGTTCCGGTGCAGGTACAATCGTACCGCTTTCCAGCGCTTTGGGCAGGAACTTACGCCAAATGTATGGGCCAACTTCGTTCGTGAAGATCGCACTTGACGAGACTAACTCGTGCATCAGCAATGGCCTCAGCACTGGAATATGTAAATGGGGACTTACTCGACTTCGCTCTCACAGAGCTTGGAATACCTTTCTCCGGCACGCCACGCACAGTGACAACGATGGCTTTTCCCTTAGTACGATCCACGATCCTTGCACAACTCTGCACAGCACCATCACCACCAACAGCATGGTAAGCGCCGACGATGGTCTTGCCCTCTAATGCCTTCACAATCTGGTCCTCGACATCCTCATCATGATAGTCAAAGCAATGCTTCGCACCGAGATCCTTGCAGTAGTCGTAGTTTTTAGGAGAGGCTGTCGTCACGACATGCAGACCAGAGGCCACAGCGAGCTGAATTGCACAAGAGCCTACGCTTGAGCTGCCTCCCCATATGATGACTGTACGGTCCTGAGCATCTGGCTTCTCGGTCGGAAACGGTAGGTTGAGATAGCCTTTTTGGTAGAGCCCTGCAGCCGCTGTCGAGATGCCGAGAGGGAGGACGACACCACGAGATGTGTTGATGCTATAAGGTAGCTCAGCTACCGCGTGCTTGGGTACGATAGTGTATCGCTGAAAGGCTCCATGAGTGGCGTCTTTGCTCGATGTGCCGTTACAGTGTCTACTATCTGTCAACTCATAGTCGCCGAACGTCACAGTCTTTATTGTACTCACGCTATGACTCGCTGTCCAGCATGCAAGTCCTCTACACCGTCACCGACTTCCACGATCTCACCAGCAACGTCATCACCGAGGATGGCAGGATACTTGAGGCCGAAGATGTCGTTCTCCTGAAGAATCCAATCAATCGGATTGATAGCTACGTCAATGACCTGGATCAGGACATGGTCCTTGGGTGGCGAGGAGTACGGCGCATTGCCAACTACGAATGGCCGTTTGTTTGGCTTGAGCTGCCAGGCGGCTAAGTTGTGCTTCGGACGTGTGATGAAGCGGTCCATGGTGCTCTGCTGTTGGGATGACATTGCGACCTAAAAATTGATCTGTTTGGAGTAGTCAAGAGTGCTGCCTTGGAGCCGCAACTGATGGCTAGGAGTGAGTCTGTCATCGATGCAGGTACACGAAGCACTTGCGGGGAAGGTACATAGAAAGACGTCAGGCACGCATTATGGTAGGTCTATATGTATGAGCTACTCCACGCATTTAAGCATCGCAACTCCTTCACTGCGTCGCTTTATCCAGCTCAGTGATCACTAATGGCAAGTCTCGCTCCGGATCAACCAACCAAGTAGCAATGGCGAAACGAGCAGCTGGCTTCCCAATCCACTGCGTACCACTCACATACATGCGTCGAGAGGAATTGATTCGCTGCACCAAGCTCTCATTCAATGCGCCGTCTCGCGCCCGGAAAAGCACTACGATGTAGATGCTCTTCAAAATGTCCGATCGACTAGTCCCAGTCGATGCTGGCGGCAGCAGCTCATATCGACTGCTCTCCATGATCCACTTCGCAATACCACGGGCCAAGCGTATTTGTCTCTCGAGCATGTCGCGGTAGCCATTCTTGCCGTACGCCGCCAATGTGGCATACACAGGCAAGGCACGGAAGCGACGAGAATTCTCAATCCCGATGTTCAGAGGCGATGGTATGGTTCGATCCTTAGATGCTGTGGTTTCCGACGATCCAGTGTTCAGATACGCAGCATTTGTGTTCTGAAACACACTCATACCAGTGGCAAGATATCTGGACAGGAAGATACCACAATCGTAGGGCTATGCTTGTTAGCGCCTGTCGGATCCACTTACGTAAAATGTTTTATATAGACTCACGACGTTCAGCAGCTTGTGTGCATCTCCAGTGATTGAATCTGCAAGCTCTAGGCCTGCCACACCAGCGTTGAGCACACTATATTCGTCGTTAGGTGGCAATATTCGCGCCAACAGACCAAATGCAGCATCCACGTGAAGCCACGCACCGTACTTGTCACACAAGGCCCTGATCCTCGCCATGTCATTACCATCAGTGGCAAACAACCCAGTATTGACCTCGGCGCACGACACAGCCACGATACAAGCAGTCTTCTCCTCTCGTAGATGATCTTCCAGGAAAGCCATATCGAAACGATGAGGTAGATCGATTCTTCCTACATCAATGACTGCCGCTCGGCCTAGCCCTACGATGGAAGCGGCTTTTCTCAACGACGAATGTGGCACGGTCGTCAGGATCTGTACGTCTGATATGCCTGCCCACATCATAGCTTTGTGTGTTCCCATCTCAGCGACGCTGATGGACTGCTGGCTGCTCGCGTGTGATGCACTTTTCTGTATCACATGCTCTCGTCCGCAGGCTAGACCAAGGACATTGCTTGCGGTGGCACCTGTGCTGAAGATACGGTGAGGCCAGTGTTCGGGTGTTAAGTTGAGGAGCTCGCAGACCATATGCGTTGCTCGATCTTCGACATCAGTGGCCACAGTTTCCTTCGGCAAGTGTACATGCACATTTTGATCGACTTCAACGGCGATATGGTCTGCTGTCCTGGCAGCAGTCGTGGCACCACCAATGACGAAGCCGTAGTAGTGAGATGACTGAGACGGACGATTCAAGCCAGGCACAATTTCTCGTTTCAAATGAGCCTCCACATGATCTGCTCCAAGTCCGTCGTCAGGTAGAGTCTCCAGCAGGCTGCTGCGTGCTCTTTGTATGGCTTCCAGGGAGGGTAACACCTCGTCAGGCCCCGTCAGTGTTTTCGACCCTTCCATGATGGAGACCAGGCTTGTTGGGAAGCAAGCGATGGGCTTCTAGCGCTGTCAAGTACTTACAAACTGACTCACCGCATCCTACACTAGTCACGATGTTCACAGGATGTGCGAAGGATCAGATTATTCTGATCATGGAAGGTACATGCGAGAGGACGAGCAATCGGCTTGTTTCAACACTGGTCTTCGTACGCAAGTCGTTTGTGCGAAGGAGCGCTGAGCGAGTTTGATGATAGTAGGACTGCTTCCGTCACGTGCTTGACTGCACTAGCGCGATGTCGGCCGAATTCCGCTTTCGACGCGACGCGATATCTGGACTCCGCCCTAGGCGACACAACCTACAGTCTCTAACACGTGCAGATGACCACGACTAGCGACAATGGTGGCCGCCCATGACGAGACACAATCTGGACGAGCATCTCCAATGGTTGCTGCGCGCCAAACCCACTATACCCTCCCCCACCACAACACTACCGCCTGCTACGGGATCCTTCAGCCAAGTCCAACCGTCACAACTCACGGCGACCGCCCCTCGAGGTGAGCCAGCAGACACCAGGCGATCGGAGCACCTTAGACCTTCAGTAGCAGAGGCTCCAGCTGCCCTAGGACCAGTGCAAGAGATGGCAAGAGTCCGGACAGCGCCTGGTCCTGGCAGTACATCGAACGTCATATCACCGCGTGCTCGCACCACCCATGACAGTCCAAGCAGAGCAAAGGTAGTTGTGAGCCCCAGTCAGCCCGTCCAGCGATCTGGAGCTCGCGCTTCGCCCATCCAAAGGACACCAAGCATACACCCTCGCGCAATGTCGAATGTCCCTAGAGATGTCGAAATCATGGATCTCACAGGTGGCTTTGGCCCACATATGTCTCCCTCGCGGAGGAAGCGAGAAATGACTGCACGCTTGAGTCGTAAAAGGAAGAGCGAAGAGATCGAGCCCGAGCCACACACCGAATGTCGGAAAAGATCGCCAGTCGATATGCCTCGAAAGGCACCACGACAACGAGAATCGCAAGACTTTGCCACGATTGACGACCTGTTGGACGACGAGCCTATCGGTCCACCTCCACCGTACTCTACAGTGCCACCAAAGCTCTCGTTGAGGGATATTGTGACTGCTCCGGTTGTACCAATCACGTTGCCATCCAGCACAACTGTGTCGGAAGGCATGGATCGTATCATGCCGGATTCCGAGGATGACGAGGACGACATCATAGACTTTACTGGTAAGAAATTGAAGCGTGCAGAAGCTCGAAGCGTGTCTCCAAGCAAAAGACCAGCCATCAACGAACATTCGAGGAACACGACTTCAGTTCCAGCATCGCCAACGATCGGGCGTGCTAAGACTGAAACAGTGCGGACGACGTACGACAGTAAGGCCATTGACGATTTCGGCTCTCGGCCTCTTCAACCAACTATCGACACACCTGCGCCGAATTTGGCCAAGGCCACTCCAATCGCCACGACCCAGGAGGCTGGGAGTGAGGACGTTAAGAGTGTCCGAGCTTTCTATGCCGCGTCAGATGATAGCGTCCAGCTCTTCCTTCGCACCATGAACGCTAAGCATGATAGTCTGTGCGATGCTGCTGCTTATCAGTTCGACGAGTGTGGTGAGGCCGATGATCTGATGCAGGAGATTGATGACTTGGATGGTGTTATGAAGGACACCAAGGCTTTACTAGGCAAGCGCAGCGACTATCGCATGCTGGTCGCGGAGAAAGAACAGCTTTTCACTGCAATGCGACATGCATTAAAAACCCGGCAAGGCCTGGATGCTGCGAAGGCTGCCAATAATGACTGCAAGACGAGGTTACAGGATCTGGAGACACGCTGCGCAAGTCTGTTGCAGCCGTGTAAACAGGAGGTCGTGGAGTTCCTCCACGGTATTGCTCCTATCGCTGATCACAGTCATGCAAAGACAATTGCTATACAATCAACGCAAGCGCCAGCCATGCGCGGTACGGCCGAGCTGATTGTTCCTAGTTCGAGTCGCATTGCGCAGACTCAAATGCTACCTCCTGCAGCGTCGAAGGACCAGCGTGCTACTGCTGCTCATATAGATGCATACTTCTCTCCCAAACGCCGCCAACCACAAAACACCTTGGATATACCGCGAGAACGACGCAGAGTGGCTTTCAACGACGATACGACCAACGACATGAATGACGACGATATGTTTGCAAATAATGAAGGGTTGTTCAGCAACCGAATGGGCACCCCACCTGCCCCCTTCGATGTTGATGATGAAGACTATGGCATGGATGACGATGACGATGGTTTTGCTGAGGTCGCCAGAGATATCGAGAATTCTGGCACTGTCGTAAGGCCAAATCATGACAACCTGCAACGACCCGTTCTCGGTGAGCTGGCTGGAAACAGCCAAGAGCGCCAGCATCAGCGTAGTGCGAAGAAGTCGAGACGTGGTGGCACATCCCAGATCGACACCCAAGTCGAGGCTGCGTTGTTTAATCATCGTTGGTCCGACGACGTCAAGGCCACGCTGCGAGAGCGTTTCAGGCTCAAAGGCTTTCGAGAGAGTCAGCTCCAGGCTATCAATGCCACCCTTGCTGGTAAAGACGCTTTCATTTTGATGCCCACTGGTGGAGGCAAGTCTTTGTGTTATCAGCTGCCCGCTTTGATACAAAGTGGCGAGACCAGAGGTGTGACAGTGGTTGTGTCCCCATTGCTCAGTCTGATGGAGGACCAAGTGCAGCATCTGCGGGACCTCGATATCCAAGCTTTCCTTATTAATGGAGACACGACCGCGGCTGAGAAGAAGTTCATTCGAGAAGCACTCTGGAATCGAGACCCTCAAGAGTACATCTCCTTGCTCTACGTCACGCCTGAGATGCTCAGCAAAAACGTATCCATGATTGAGACTTTCGAGGCTTTGTACAGGCGAAGTCAATTCGCTCGCCTGGTCATCGACGAAGCTCACTGTGTCAGTCAATGGGGTCACGACTTCCGACCTGACTACAAATTGCTTGGTGATATGCGGAAGAGGTTTCCTGGCGTGCCAGTCATGGCCCTCACAGCTACCGCCACCAAGAATGTGCAGGTCGACGTCATCCACAACCTTAGTATGAAGGGATGTGAAGTCTATTCTCGCAGCTTCAACAGGCCCAATCTCTATTACGAGGTGCGAGTGAAAGGCAGCAAAGGTAAGGACCTGGAAAGTATTGCCAGCCTTATCAAGGACAGTCATCGAGGCCAAACTGGTATCATCTACTGTCTCTCGCGCAAGAACTGCGAGGACATGGCTGGGCAACTGTCCAAACAATACAAGATCAAGGCAATGCATTACCATGCTGGCCTCAAGTCCGACGAGAAGTCACAAATCCAGAAACGCTGGCAAGCGGGAGAATACAAAGTCATCGTGGCGACCATCGCCTTTGGTACGTAAAGGAACGGTAAGAACCTATGCATGGGAAATAAATGGCTGCTGACTACGATCCTTAGGTATGGGCATTGACAAGGCCGATGTTCGCTTCGTCATACACCATAGCATCCCCAAGAGTCTCGAGGGCTACTACCAGGAGACTGGCAGGGCAGGCCGTGACGGCAAGCGCTCCTGTTGCTACCTTTTCTATGGCTATGGTGATGCTGGCAAGCTGCGACGTATGATTGAGGATGGCGAGGGAAGCTACGAGCAGAAAGAGCGCCAGTATCAAATGCTCCGGAAGATGACCCAATTCTGCGATAACCAGAGCGATTGCCGACGTGTCCAAGTGTTGGCGTACTTCAACGAGGTCTTCCATCCAGACGACTGCGAGAAGCAGTGCGATAATTGCAATTCAGAGTCGTCTTTCGAAAGTCAAGACTTCACGGACTATGCAGTTCAAGCTATCGAAGTTGTGCGCGCAGCTGCAAATGACAGGGTCACCTTGCTGCACTGCATGGATGTGTTCAGAGGGGCCGAGAACAAAAAGGTGAAGGACAAGAACCACAATGAGCTGGACACTTTCGGTGCAGGCAAAGCTTTGGACAGAGAAAACATCGAGCGCCTCTTCTACCTGCTCCTTAGTGAGGACGCGATTCGAGAGACCAATGTACTCAACAAGAGCGGCTTTGCCAATCAGTATGTCGGCCTGGGCAGCAAATGCAACGACTTTGGCCCCCGCAAGCGCAAGGTGTCGCTGCAGATTCGCTCCTCACCAAGAGCAAAGTCGAACGCTCCGGTCAAGAAGGTCAAGAATTCGAAGCAAGACACTGGAACTCGAGCCCGCCCAGAGTTGCCAATGTCCACAAACGTATCCTCTCCGATTCAGACTGCTTCGAAGCGAAAGACATCGCGTCAACCTGGGCATTCCGAACTCCACGCTAACGGCTACAAACGTGACAACTTCGTCATGTCCGATCCTGAGGATGCGACATATGGATATGAGGATCACGACGGTGACTCTGATGGCTTTGAGAACATGGATGGCTTTGCACCGATCCGTGAAGTGGGCAAGACTCGCCAGCTACAACGACGGCAGCCAGGTCCCCCGATTCGTTCGGACAATGTCATGGACAATCTCGACGATGTGCATCGTGCCACGGTCGAGCAATTTGTCCACGATGCCAAACAGAAGATACAGAGTCTCATGCTTCGCAAGAGCTTGCGTGCCGCGCCATTCTCCGACACGATACTCCGGCAGATGGCAATCAATTTCATCGATACACCCGAGGTCATGGTGCGCATACCCGGAATAGATGCTGAAAAAGTGCGCCTCTACGGGCAGCCGTTCTGTGATCTTGTGAAGAAATCAAAGCAGTCTTACCTGGAGTTCTCTGGACAGGATCAAGACGACGATGATGCTCCGCTCGATCCGAACGCACAGAATGTCATCGATCTTGTCAGCGACGAGGAAGAAGAGGAAGAGGACGATTACGGCAGTCTCGGTACCTCTGACATGGAGGAGGAGGATGAGCCGGGTGAGCCAAGCACGTATTTCCAGCAGCCCGAGCGCATCAAGGAATTCAATGCCCGCTTCGCTCTCTCCCAGTCGGAGGCCATGCGTGCCGGGGCGAGCAGCAAACCTAGCAAGCCTTCAGGTGGTAAGGGCGGTAAGAAGTCTCGTAGGGGCAATTATGCGGCGAGAGCTCGACAGACATCTGACTCGGCAGGTGGATATCGTACGTCTGGTGGTGTATCAAAGAGGAAGTTCTCAGGTGGCAAGTCAGCAGGTCGGTCGCGCAATAGTGGTGGTTCGACTGGTGCCGGTCGGGGCGGAGCTGCCTCTCGAGGTGGGGGAGGTGGCGGTATATCTGCGATGCCAACGTGAGGACATGTCTATGCGGCGTACGCCCTTCTGGCTGTGGCATGCGATCATTGCTCGACATAGACTCGTACACAACGTGATGCTGTCCTCGAGCTTTTGACACTACTGTACCAATTCGTCACTTTCTGGTAAAAGTTAAGCTTTGAGATGCGGAGATCTGACATTGCACGTATTGGAAACCTTCAGGTATGCGCACTGTATCGATGTCCGTTATCTAATCGGGCTCTACAACTCTGGCGAGCATATACTGTTCGTGTGATCTGTTCTGGGACCTGGTACACAGCCTTGCGGGCACACACAACAGTCATAAAGCTCTGCTAGTACAAAGCCAGCGTTTGCCGCTCGTGAAACCCTCCATCATGGCTCCAAAAAAAGGCGAAGCTGGGGAAGTCGTCCTGGCATTCGATGCATACGGTACTCTGCTCTCGACCAAGTCCATAGCGGACAAGCTCGCCACATATGTCGGCAGGGACGAAGCGGGAACAATAGCTGCGACTTGGCGGAAGTATCAGCTAGAGTATACGTGGCGATTGAATAGCATGGGTATGATCGTAGGCTTGAGTAATATGATGATGGAAGCTGATAGACTGTAGATCAATATGAAGACTTTTCCAAAGTGACTCGACGCTCATTGAAGCACGCTCTCGGCGAATCTGACGTGGCGTTGGATGAGCAACAGATAGAGGATATGATGCAAGCCTATGACTCCTTGTCCTGCTTCCCAGATGTAGCCCAGACCCTCCAGGATCTACAGACATCTCCTCACCTCCGCGCCGTCATCTTCTCGAACGGAACACACAGCATGGTCTCAAGCAGCGTGCGAAACTCCCCCGACCTCTCGCCACACGCCGCGACTTTCGACGATATAGTCGTAGTGGAAGAAGTTAGGAAATTCAAACCTGCTCCTGCGACGTATCGGCATCTGGCGAAGACAGTCGGGAAGGATCCAGATAGTTTGGAGGACATGGGGACTCTGTGGCTGGTGTCTGGGAACCCGTTTGATGTCGTTGGGGCGAGGAAGGTGGGTATGAATGCTATTTGGGTTGATCGGGAGGATGGCGGGTGGCGGGACTCGTTGTTTGAGGGGGAGAGGGGAAGGCCGACGGAGGTGGTGGGGGGGTTGGATCGGGTTGTGGGGACGGTGATGGGTTATTATGGTGGTGTGTTGAATGATTAGTAGTGGCGGGCACGATGGGTGATGCGAGGAAGCTGTATTGATGATGATCGGTGCTGACATCTCGTTGTATCTTGGAGCGACCAGGCATACTTGCTGCTTCTGTTGCTGATGCTACACCCCCTGCTGTTCTCACTGAAAAGTATACTGTGTCCGCCACGCATACCCACTACGCGTATCCGAGACAACCTGCGACTGCTGCGCCACCGTCGCAGGCGAGCAGTGATGCGTATAAAAGTCCCTATCGTAGATCGCCACGCGAAAGTGGTCTTCGCACCGTGGGCATCGATACAGTCGCTCTGAAGGCTCCGCTCCAATATCCGCTAGGTCGCCAAGCTCGGGCACGGGACGTACTTCCCTCACCGCACGGCCGACCATGCCAAGCCGGTCGGTGGTGGTTGCCTGCTCTCTCAGCGCTGCCGAGAAGACGGGTACGAGGTCTGCGGCGAATTGGGGACAGTCGGCAAGCATTTGCTCGAGCTTGGTGCCAGAGGCTGGTGGTGGGAAGAGAGCGGCGGCGTGGCCCGATATGGTCTCGCGGATCACGATACGAAGCCGATGGTCTCGACTTGTGGTATTGTTGTAGATTTCTTGCGCCGCATCAGCAAAGCCCTCTGAATGCCAGGAGCGCAGAACGGCAATCTTGAAATTCGCGAGTGCCAGGTCCGGCAGCGGAGCGACGAAGTACTTGTCCGCGAGGAAGTAGACCCTGGCATGGAAGAGTGGCAGCGAATGTGGTTGCTGTGTCGATGCAGCATGATAAGTGCCGTGATAGAAGTAGTACAGCATAGCCTCCACAGCAGCCTGGTCGTCTCCCCTGAGATCGATGATGCGGTCTCGAGCCTCCTACACGGATGTTAGCAAGGGTGTCTTCCTGGCCTCGGATAAGACACGTACTCGAAAAGGACCCTCGCAAGCCCGGGCGAAGAAGGCGGATTGACTGACCAGGATACAGCTGTGGACTTGCTTCGACCAGACGCCACAGATCACGGTGAGGTCAGAGGTAGTACCTGAAGTCCATAGCGATCCCGATACTTCTGATTAGTGGCGACGCGGCTTCGTTTGCAGCCATGATGGGTTCGCGAGGGAGGGATTTGCGAGTATAGTGTTACGATCCAGTCTTCCAAGGCTATGATGATGACAGGGAAGGAATGCGTGTGGTAAGAGGGGACGTGGTAGGCTGAATGCTGGCAGGTGGACACTTGCTAGTGGGAGAGGTTTCGTTCAGGTATATATATACCAAATGAGCGCGGGGTCCGTCGTTTGCACCAGCATATGGGAGGACGGCAAGCTGGTGGCGCTGTGGAAGGCAAGCACGTGCAGAAGCGTTCTTGGTGAGTAAAGACGTTACTAGTGTTGACCATCATACATCAGCATGAGCAGTCTACTCATCCCCAACCCTTCGTCTACAGCACCACCACCCCACTCTGCCATCTTCCGCCGCGACCTGCTACTCCGCTCCTACCATCGCTCGCAGAACCTCGGAAACCCGATTCCTCCCTTCTCGTATTGCACCCTCAGGCTGCCACCACGGCCTCGCCCTTGCCTTTCTGTGGTACATTTCTGCTCAGGGCTTGTGCCGTTGTGAAAGCATCATCCTTGATACCTGTTGTGCTGTCTCGAGCAGTCATATCGTCTGTTGCGTTGGGCGATGTGGATGGTGTGGTTCCCCGCAAGGCAAGGAGATAAGCACATCAATACTCGGGGCCCATTCGGGTGAGCGCGATCATCATTCAAGTGCCGTTTCCCTGCCCACCTAGCCCAGCCAGTACGGTCTCCTGTCTACGTATTCTACTCTCAAGCTCCATGATCTCTTCCTCCTGCTCGGCAACAGTGCGCTCCATATCCGGCAGCTTCTCCAATTCTCGCTGACCTCGACGGATCTGGGCTTTGAGTGGTAGGATGGCGGTGGACAATTCTTTAGGGTCGAGTGGGTGCAGATTGGTGTATGCCGTGCCTAGGTCTGCGTTGTCGTGCTCGGTAGGATCGGGTGCAGAAGGAGTATGGTCGATGCGGGACAGGATCTCGTGCAGGGCTGGGAGGATGTCGAAGAGGTGGGATGGTGGCATTGCTGGTCGCTGTGTTGAGCCCGAGATTTCATCAGTGTCCTGTGAGACGGTCATGTTGATGGGAAAGGGTCTTAATCCGCTTCAAATGGCAATAATGGAGATGGATAGACGCGAGCTCGCGACTAGGCTAATGCACGATGACGGCAGATCGGCGGGCGTGAGAGGAAAGCACGGTCTGGTGGGATGAATGGATGGTGGGGCAGTCAACAAAAAGTAGTGGTGGAAAGGCATTGATACAATTGATATAAACACTTTCCACTCTCTCATACTATCCCGGACACCAAACCATAGCAACCATGGTACAAGTCAAGCAAAAAGTCGCCCTCATCTGCATCGACGGCTGGGGCATTCCTTCCGACAAATCACCCCCCTCCGGCAATGCCATCCTCCATGCAAAGACACCCTGGATGGACGATTTCGCGAAGAAGGACAGCAAGATCGCCCAAGGCTACACCGAGCTCGAAGCCTCCTCCCTCGCTGTCGGCCTACCCGAGGGACTCATGGGCAATTCCGAAGTCGGCCACCTGAACATCGGTGCCGGACGTGTAGTATGGCAAGACGTCGTCCGCATCGACCAGACAATCAAGAAAGGCGAGCTGAACAAAGTCGACAACATCACCAAGTCCTTCAAGCATGCCAAAGAAACAAACGGCCGTCTCCACCTCCTCGGTCTGGTCAGCGATGGCGGTGTCCACAGCCACATCAACCACCTCAAAGCCCTGCTCAAAGTCGCCAAGGAAATCGGGGTCCCACACGTCTACATCCACTTCTTCGGCGACGGCCGCGACACAGATCCCTACAGCGGCTTGGGTCACATGAAAGACCTCCTCTCCTTCTGCAAAGAGCAAGGCATCGGCGAGATCGCAACAGTAGTCGGCCGCTACTACATCATGGACCGGGACAAGCGCTGGGACCGGGTCGAAATCGGCATGTCCGGCGTCGTCTCCGGCAAGGGCGAAGACACCACCGACGTCGTAGCCACAATCGAAGCCCGCTACAAGAACAAGGAATCCGACGAATTCCTCAAACCCATCATCGTCAACGGCGCCGAGGCCCGCGTAAAAGAAAACGACACCCTCTTCTTCTTCAACTACCGCTCCGACCGCGTCCGCGAAATCACCCAATTACTAGGCGACCAAGACCGCTCCCCCAAACCCGACTTCCCCTACCCTGCAAACCTTCACATCACAACCATGACCCGCTACAAAACCGACTTCACCTTCCCCATAGCCTTCGCGCCCCAAGTAATGGACAATGTCCTCGCCGACTGGCTCGCGAAAAAAGGGCTGAAACAATCGCATATCGCCGAGACAGAGAAGTACGCCCACGTGACTTTCTTCTTCAATGGGGGGAGGGAAATCCAGTTCGAGGGCGAGGATAGGGATATGATCCCCAGTCCGAAAGTAGCAACCTATGACCTCCAACCCACCATGAGCGCCATGGCCGTCGCGGAGAAGATGGTCGAGAGGATTAAAGAAGGGAAATACGATTTCGTGATGAATAATTTCGCTCCCCCGGATATGGTAGGCCATACGGGCGTCTACGAAGCAGCAGTCAAAGCCGTTACGGAGACGGATGCAGCGATAGGCAAAGTCTACGCCGCGTGTAAGGAGGCTGGGTACACCCTCTTCATCACCTCGGACCATGGGAACGCGGAGGAGATGTTGACGGGCGAGGGCGGGACGCCGAAGACGAGCCATACGACGAATTTTGTTCCTTTTGTTATGGTTAATGCGCCCCAGGGGTATAGTTTGAAGAAGACCGAGGGCGTGTTGGGGGATGTGGCGCCCACGCTGCTGGAGGTTATGGGGGTTGAGCAGCCGGGGGAGATGGGGGGGAGGAGTTTGCTTGTTAAGGGCTGAGAGGGATAGAGGGGGAGATGGGTCATGTGGTGTGAGGTTTGATGAGGCGGGATGGGGGTGAGCGAAGGCGTACGGAGCTTGATGTGTAAGCGGGGACCTGAGGAATTTTTCTGGCCGATGATGTCTAGACAGGTATATGAGAACAATGTGCTACGAGCCCACGGGCCCCTCCTCTTCCCCCTCCTCCTCCAAATCCTCTTAACACCAGGCAGGCTCTGATGTCCCACTTCAATATCCTCTTGTCAAGCGATCAAACGACCCGGGTTACCCATCACAGGGTATATCCCCGACTCCACCAGCTCAGCCCGTTTTCCCTTCGCCCTTGGCGAAATAACGGGACGATGATGACGACGTAGCGTGCTCGTGGAGAAGGAGAAGGTACGTAAGGGAGTGGTTACTGAAAAGGCATTGAGCGGATGTAGCAATTTTCACAATTGCATACGTTAGCATTTGGATTCCGTTTTGAAAACGTGCAGGGCAGGTTGACAGCCGCAACTAAAATAGCAAACGCCATGATCGTAACATCCATCTCATCCCATACCCGCATCGTGGGCCCCCCATTTCCCTTAACACCGACGCTGCAAAAGCAAAGAAAGACTTTGCTGTTGAAAGACTACTCTCCTCATTGCCTCGGAACTCCCCACTGCATCATACCTAGTCTCTACCTTAGATCGGCAACGGGAAAGTCCCCGCCCACCCCGCAATCTCCCCCTTCATCTCCACAATCTCCTCCACCGTCCCCTTCCTCTGCACCACCGCCTTGAAATCCTTCAACTTATTCCCCTCCTTCGGCAGCTCCTTCTGGATCTTACTCGCGAGCTTAACACACCGATCAATAAACCCGGCAATCCTCTCGAAATCCTTCTCCCCCATGCCCCTGCTCGTCATAGCAGGCGCACCGATCCGGATGCCGCAGGGCGTGAGGGCGGATTTATCCCCCGGGGTGGTGTTTTTATTACAGGCGATATTGACCTGTTCGAGGACGGCTTCGACGCGGGCGCCGTCTAGATTCTGGGGTTTGAGGTCCAGGAGCACCATGTGGTTGTCTGTGCCGTCCGTGACGAGTTTGTAGCCGAGGGCGAGGAAGGAGTGTTCGAGCTGTTTGGCGTTCTTGATCACTTGGCGTTGGTACTGTTTGAAGTCTTCTGTTTGGGCTTGTTTGAGCGCCACGGCTAGGGCGGTGATGGTGTGGTTGTGGGGACCGCCTTGGTGGCCCGGGAAGACGGAGAAGTTGATGGGGCCTTCGAGGTCGTAGAGCGTTTGGACCTCCTTGCCGGCTTTCATCTCGGTCTTGCGGACGCCGCGGCGGAAGAAGATCATGGCTCCTCTCGGTCCACGAAGGGATTTGTGGGTGGTAGTGGTGACGATATCGCAATATGGAAACGGCGAAGCATTCACGCCCGCCGCCACCAAGCCAGAAATATGCGCCATATCCATCATCAGATAACAGCCCACCTTATCCGCAATTTCCCTCATCCGCTTATAATCAATCTCCCTACAATACGCCGACGTCCCCGCCACGAGAACCTTAGGTCGATACATCAGGGCATTCTGCTCCAACTGTTCATAATCAATCAAGCCCGTCTCCAGATTCACGCGGTAAGGGAAAGTCTCAAAGTAAGTGCTCACAGCACTAATCTTCTTCGTCGGCGTCTGATACCCATGGCTCAAATGCCCTCCATGCGGCAGATCCAACCCCATCAACCGTTCATGCGGCCGCATAATCGCCTGATAGACCTGCAGATTCGCTGGTGATCCACTGAGAGGCTGCACATTAACCCCCCACTCCTCGGCCTGGAGGCCAAAAGTCTGCAACGCGCGATTCTGGCACGTGATTTCTATCTCGTCGATATGTTCGTTGCCGCCGTAGTAGCGGGCGCCGGGGTATCCCTCACTGTACTTGTTGCTCATGGGGCTGCCGAGGGCGTCGAAGACGGCGCGGGAGGTGACGTTTTCCGAGGCGATGAGGAGGATGCTTTCGCGCTGGCGTTGGATCTCCTTCTTCATGATTTCGGCGATTTCCGGGTCGGTGTCGATGAGGGAGCGGGTCATGAGGTCTTGGTGGGATTGGGGGAGGGCGTATGAGGAAGAGGTTGTGTGTTTCTCGTTGCCATTGCCATTGACGCCGTTGGTTGTTGTGCCGTTCATGGTTAAGATGTGTTTGATACGAGATGTGTGTGCTGGAAGGAGAGGTGCTGAAGGAGAGTCGGTGAGATGTAAGGGAAAGTGATCAGACTCATATAGACCATGAGTCTGGCCGAACATTTTTTTGCTCGGCGAATTAATCTATTCCACTCGTCCCCGCCATCTCGGACTCCAAGCGCCGGTGCCCCACGTATCTCACCTCACTCACGCCTCCATGACTCGGACAAAGAAAACACTGGACTGACTTGGTGACATATTAGCGAGCATGGCAGTCTGACAGGTGACACCATCGGCAAAGATAACATGACGGCCACGAATGCGGGAGTACAGGACAATGTTTGTACTTCGTCTCGTTCCAATGGGCCTGCCAAGACAAGAAATACATAGACGATTCATGCACCTATACAAGAGTCCGCAAGCTTCTCCTCGTCACACACACCCAAAGGCCACCTCGCTCTCTCACTCGTCACTACCCTCCTGCATAATCACAGTCTCGCTTCTTGCAGCAGTTGTCCCACCATAAGCACAGCCCACCCGGCCCGCCCTTCCCACCAGCGCAAGTTCAAAGGGGTATAGACAAAAAGCCCTCCTGCCACCATAACAATTACCCCCACTCCAAAAGCCCTCGTAAAGTCACAAACGCCCATTCCCATGCCAAAGATATCATACTTTCATCTACAACCCCCACCTCTCTTTTCCCCTACCACCCTCTCCAGGTCACAACACCAGCCCAGGCATAAAAGCCGTTTGCCACTAGCTCCCAGCAATACTCTCCGGACTGATCAACGCCCCATTGACCTCCCCACCATCCTTCTCCGGCTCCGCAGCATCCATCGACTTCCGCTCCGGCATCTTGAGCTTCAACGCCCCGATAGGCTTCCCCAGCTTCCCATGAACCCCACCACTCTTCTCCTTATCCTCACCACCACCACCACCACCACCTTCCTCCAACTTCCGCTTCTTCTTCGCCGCCTGCTGCTGCTCCCGAATCGGCCGCTTCCTCGGACTCGAAATCTTTCCCGTAGGCGGCAGTCTCGGCTTCGGAAAGCGTTGTTTCTGCGGCAGATCCTCGTCCTCGACCAGCGGATCATCGTGATTAGCCCTTAGCCTCGCCCGGAAGAAGTCCTGCACCAGTCCGATCTGGTTGCCCAGGGTATCCATACTGACAGCGTCGTAGGCGGGGGGAGGCGTGAATACCAATCCAGTACTGACGGCCGGACCTTGATGTTGCGCTTGATAGGCATTGTGCATGCGGTTCTGGAGCAGATGCAAGGGCACGCTGAGGTTTTCCAGCCCGAACTCAGCCGCCAGACCAAGTTCGCGGAAGCCGAAGAAGTCCTCGTCTAGGTCTTCGGCGAAGTCGCCCCCAACGAATTGCTCGCTGCCGTCTTGGAAGGCACCGACGCCATCGGCACCGGCGTGGTCGCCAAGCGCGGGTCGCTAGATGGATATAAGTAACAGCGTGAAAGTCACAAGCAGTGCAAATACTTACCAGCAGATCCGCCAGGTGGCCCTTCATTCTCTCATGCACCACCCCCAACTTCGTGCTCAGCCGTTCAACATCATCCTTAACGTACGACTCGAGCGCCTCCAAATCCAGCCCCTGCTCATGCATCGAATGCAAAACCTGTTCCTCGAAGCTAAAACGACTCGAGTCCGCGTCCCTCCTCGGCTGTTCCCGGAAGCACTTAAAGTTCGCCACCATCTTGCCAAAGTACTCCCCAGCAACATCAGTGATCGTGTCGAGAGCCGAAGGCTGGAAATCCTCGAAACCAGCATGATAAAAGATCTTGCCCACAGATCTCTGCAACGCCGCGCGGTTGAGCCAAGGAGACATCAGGGCTCCTACTTCCGACACCACGACCGGACCGACATCTTGTTCCTCAAACGGCGCCGGCTCGTACTTTTGAAACTGATTCTGATACGTTTGACCCTGCAGCTGCATCTGCTTCACCAGGCCGATCTTAGAACAGATCTTCCGTGTCTCTTGCATCTGTCGCATATTCGCTTCCATCTTCCGATTGAAGGTGCCGTCTGACGACTTGTAATGATTCTTCGGATACATGCGCATGTAATCCTCTGATTGCGGGACAACATTGCCGTCCGAATCAGTGGTCCATCGCCAATTCTCCTGCAAGTCCGGTATGGCCGAGATGGGGTTGTAATAGTCGGGTAACGTTGAATCTTCGTCCTTCTCGATACCCTCAGCAAGAGTCTCGCCTGTGCCTACAGGCTCGATTTCATCAGCCTCTTGCTGCGAGTCCTGCTTAGAGACATCGGTTTTTGGAGCGATAAGCTTCTGTTGCCGCTGCCACCTTCGCATGCCGGCTTTGCTTCGCAGTAACGCAGGCTCGTCAGTATTGATGCGATCGCCGTGGAAGAGGCGATTGCGCTCAGCTGCGGCCGTCGCGCGATCTTTCATCGTGGTTTGTTTCCACGCCTTGAACTCGGTGTCATCTTCATCAGGGTCGTCTTGCGCACTAAGCACCGAGTGGCCTAGCCCATCGACTTCCATGATATCCATCTGACTGCCTCCCACACCATTCGCATGATTACCATTAACCATAGGTGTCGAAGTGCCAGGTGGTGGAGTCGTGAAGCCAGCAGAGCTAACATCGTGCACCTCCGAATCGGCACGCAGAAATTCGTGCTTTAGATGTGATGTTGTCGTATGCAATGCCGGCTTAACATCTGGCGCTGGCGTCCCCGAAGCCTCGTCGACTGCCACCGACGGTGCTTTGCGTGCTGAAGATGGCGCACCTTTGCTCCCTTTCTTCGGTGCCTTCCTTCCTCTTGATGCCAACGGCGCGTCGTCGTCATCGTCACTTTCATCCGCATCAAGGGAATGCTGTCGCCGTTCCTCAGCTTCGACTTCAGCGCGATCCTTGACCACGATCTCAGGTATGAGTGGCGTAAGCTTGTCAGTCTCCTTCCTCATATAAAGCGCTTTTTTCCTAAAAGTGTGCTCCGGGCTGGAGTTGTACTTTAAGCAATTCGCCCAGATCAGATTCAGATCCTCAACAAACTCCTTCTTGCTTTTGTATGCAAGCTGCTTGAGCTTCTTGATCATAGTACCGATGTCCATTGGGGTCTTGATGACAGTAAAGTAGTCCGGTGCTTCGCGTTTCGACACACGCTGCAAGAAGGGTTGCGCATACTCCGTGTTGGCTTTGAGTTCCATGAGGACTTTCTCCGCTGCTTCGTATAGCTCCTCCTGTCCGACCTTGTCTTCCGAGGCCCACTTGCTCCGACCTTTCCTGACTTCCGATATTAGTGTACGCAGCTGATTGTCAGAGGCCTTGACCATATTTCGCTTTGCGTCAATGCGAGCGATGAGATGCTTGAGGGTCAGACTGGATGCGCCGAGGTCTGCACTGCCGAGGGAGCCTTGGGTGGGAGCCGATGTTGGGCCATTGGCATTCTGCTCTGAGTTCGCAGTGCCATTGGGCTCGCCAGACATCTCATTCTCGACTTCGCGATCCAGCTCGTCAAGCTTCTGTTGCTCTAGCATAGCATCGCGATCATTCTCCCATGTATAGAAGAGCGATTGGAAGCTCCGCTTAGCAGAATCGGCAGCAGCCTTCTTGTCCTCTTCTAGCTGCTTGCGTACATCCTCCGAGCTTTTGACCTGGTCGGAGGATGATGCTGTATTTGTGCGAGTCGCCGCAGGTTTGGGCATGGGTGACCTGACAGCATGTGGTGATGTCCCATTGGGTAGGGCTGATTTGCCCGTTGCCTTTGCCGGAGTCTGCTTCTCTGCCGGCTCCTCTTCTTCGTCATCATCATCCCCATAGTCATCATCGATCTGTCGCGCAGCTTTCTTAGATGGTATAGGAGTCTTGGTGAGCTCCTCTCCACCAGCGCGAGGGGCGGCAGCGACATCCTTCTCCATCGCCTGCAGACTCGACCTCCTCTCATCCCCACCACCGCCAAACAACCTCGCGATACTGTTCTCCGACTCCGCCCACTTCTCCCTCAACATCGCATGTATGGCATCCTCCTCGTCCGCCCCCTCGGCCACGGAAGCAGCGCCAAGACTTCCGCCGCCGGCCGCATCACGGGTCATGCTCGCCGTCCTGCGAGCAGCGCCATGGTACCCATTCGACAGAGCGCCGGCGCCGCGCGGATGGAAGCCGTTGGTCTGCGAGCGCGAGGGTGTCAAGCTCATGACCCAATGAGCGTGGTGGGTGTGCTTCGATGCCCCTCCTGCGCGCGCTCCACTGCTGCGTGCACGATCGCCAGCCTCGGGGTGTTGGAAGGCGATATCGGACTCATCAGAATCGTGAGCGTGTGGCGGGAATGGTGATGGGGTTTGTTTGATGGTGCGGGTGGTGGGTGGTGCGCAGTCCGATGGAGTCGTTGGACTGACGTCGCGCTCGCTGTGGTGATGTTCTCCGCAACCCAGAATCGGCGGCTCTGCTGTCTCCAGCTTTCCGACGCTGGACAAGTCACGCTACCAATATATGGTCAGTGAAGACAACTCCGTATTGTGTCTCAACTATGAATGTCGCATGACTGGAATAGTCTCACAGTAGATACAGTGTTTGCGACAATGCCATCAGTACACATTCGCAAACCCTTCGCGGGTACGTGTGAATACATACAAGCAATGCGACTCCAGCTTCACCCAAAAGCTAACCAACCACCCTAGCGGCCTTCGTGATATTACTCCTAGGAGCCGCCTACCTCGGACTCAGCAACCCAAAGATACCCCAGTATGGCCAGAGCGACAAAGGTCTTCACTTCTTCACCTTCTTCCTCATTACCGTGAGCCTACACATCCCTTGCGACAGCCAACCCCTAGGCAACCCACTAACATGTGCTGCAGCTCACCTTCTACTGGATCCTCGAGATACCCCGACGTCGCGCCATACACGTCACCCTCCTGGTCTGCACGGGGGCCTTCTCCATAAGCTCGGAGATCGTGCAAGCTCTCTTACCCAACGGTCGAGAATTCGATCCCTTCGACATCCTCGCCAATGTGGTAGGCTCAGCCCTAGCCTTGACACTATGCAGCTGGTATCACAAACGCATGCTTGAGCGAAAACGGAAGAACAAGCACTATGATATCGTGCCTGGCGACGAGCCGGCAGACGATGAGGAGGATGTGGAGAGGGATGTGGAGCTTGGGAATGTGAGCGGGCAGGAGTCTGGGACAGTCTCTGTCGAAGCCAATGGGCAGGCTGAGGCAGGTGCTACTAGTAAGGCGACGAATGTGACGGAGGAGCTGGACAACTGGGATGAGAATGAAGAGGACTGGGATGACGGTGGGGGTGGGAATGCTGCAGCAGCATCAACGGCAAATGAAACAGAACCCGATCCTAAGAAGCGGACTGATTAGCCTTGTTTCAATGACCAGCATTGCCCGCTACGACACAGTCTCAGGATCCGTCCGATTCGTTACGAGAATGTGCTACAGTTAGAAGAATCACCTCCCCTTTGGCAGTCCGTATGGGATCTTGAACAGTTTGATATGCTATCTGCCGCTGTATGCAGCATCGCAGTCGTGCTCCATTGTCTTGCAGCCATAGGCCAGGTAATGATGCTGCTTCTCGACAGCCGTTCCGACCAAAGCCTTGCTTCCACAACAAGCAGTTCGCCCTTCCATGGCACCCGTAAAGGAATCCGCTTTATGGAAGCGTCTAGGCGGCGGCGACGGCACCAGCAGCGGGTGTGCGGGCGTTGGCCTGGACCGGGTTGACCTTCTTGCCGTCCTTGTTGTACCTCACCCTTGGTGGTGGGGCACGGTTGCGGCGACCTTCACGGGAACGGACACTGCGAGATCATTAGTATACGGGATCGCTATCGGGCGTGGCGGATATTGACATACCGAACGATCTTGCCGTGGATGGCGCAAGAGACGCAGTACTGCAGCTTCAAGTACATCTTGGGCACAGCGTATTCGGCGAAGACCGAGGCATCGGAGATATCACCTGCACGAGGCCATGTTAGCGATCTATCCCTCAATCCTTCAATTCCTGCCTCCTAACATCCAAATGTCCTGTTCTCTTCTGCCCTCTCCGTTCATGCTGGATGGAAAGACCTACGGATAGCAGCCGACTCAACCATGTTCCTGATTGTGAATCTCTTGATCGCCTTGTCCTTGGGTGTGCAGCGCGAGCAGTTGGAGCATCGAATGGGCTTCACGTGGCCACGGCCGTTCTTGTTGCGACCACTATATCATCTATTAGTCCTGGTGTCCCCACTCATGTGTATTTCCTGCTCTTGGTGTATCCGTACTTGTTCGCCCTCTTCTTGACCATGATTGCGGTTGTTGAGATCGGATTCAGCAAGTACTTCTGACTTGCTGAGGGAGCTCGATTTGTCGTTTCGCGGGTGAGGAGGCGATGCTTTCGTGGGTCGTGCTTGTGTTGGCGTCGCTGCTCACACAAATTCGCTAGTGCTCGAGTTCTTGGCAAGGAAATCACGGACGTAATTCCGTGGCTGTCGCTCGGTTGTCGGCAAGGTTCGCGCTAGCTGTTCCGGTTCGCGGACCCTCTGTTTACTTTCGCGAGCTTCAGATCTCCTTGACTGCAACGAGGGTTTCCCAGACGGATCATTGCCAAGATGTCTTCCGCCGGCACTTTCAGAGGTACCCCAAAGACTGGACGAACACAACCCACCGTCGACAGCCCGTCAAACATACCAGTCCCGAGGCCAAAACTGGAGTCGACTGTTAGTGATGCGGGCTCATACAGTGCCAGCCGGGCCAAGCAGTCGAAAAGAGATGAGGTAGAATGGAGCACACTGGCATGAGACACAGAGTGATACTGATACCATGCAGGCTATCCGGAGCAAGATCGAAAAAGACCTGAACAAGAAGCGAGGACAAGCTGCTCGTGCTCGCCAGACCCGAAAGGCACCACCAGGCACGGTTCTTGCACTCCGTCCGAACCAAGCTCTCCAGATCAAGCCCAACACGACCGTGACAGAAGCAGCACAGTTGATGGCCGCGAAACGAGAAGACTGCGTACTCGTAACAGACGACGATGACAGGATCGCTGGTATTTTCACCGCAAAGGACTTGGCTTTCCGTGTCGTTGGAGCAGGTCTCAAGGCCAACAGTGTTACCATCGCCGAGATAATGACTAAGAATCCTCTCTGTGCCAAGACGGACACGAGCGCTACTGATGCTTTGGATTTGATGGTGAGGAAAGGGTTTAGGCATTTACCCGTCATGGATGAGAATCATGATATTTCTGGTATTCTGGACATAACGAAGTGCTTCTATGATGCTATGGAGAAGCTGGAGCGCGCCTATAGCTCGTCGAAGAAGTTGTATGATGCATTGGAAGGTGTCCAGGCCGAACTTGGCTCGAGTCAGCCGCAGCAAATCATCCAGTATGTGGAGGCTGTGAGGTTGAGGATGTCGGGTCCAACTCTCGAGTCTGTGCTCAATGGTCTGCCTCCGACGACTGTCTCTGTACGGACGAGCGTCAAGGAGGCAGCGCAGATGATGAAGGAGAATCACACGACAGCTGTTCTGGTCCAAGACCAAGGACAAATCACAGGTATCTTCACCTCAAAGGATGTGGTCCTACGTGTTATTGCCGCTGGACTGGATCCTGCTACGTGCAGTGTGATCCGTGTGATGACACCTCATCCTGACTTTGCGCCTCTGGACATGAGCATTCAGCAGGCTCTACGCAAAATGCACGACGGCCACTACCTCAACTTGCCCGTCATGAACAAGGAGAATGACGAGATTGTTGGCATGGTAGATGTGCTGAAGCTCACTTATGCTACACTTGACCAGGTAAGCTACTTGTGTTGATGACAATCTGACATGAAGCTAATGCACCCGCAGATCAACAGCATGTCAACAGGCGACAACGAAGGTCCAGCCTGGAATAAATTCTGGATGAGCATGGACCATGGCGACACCGAGTCTCAAATGTCCGGCGAAGGCAGTAGCCACATGCAACAGTCCGCTGACCCCCGCTCGTTGATGATGTCCCCTGAGCATGGCCATCGACCAGGAATGGACCGGCTCGATAGCGTCATGCCAGGAGATTCTGCTTCGCACAACGGTGCACAGGAAATGGATGAGCAATCAACTTTCGCTGGCGCGGCGGAGGACCTCCCGTTCACATTCAAATTCAAGGCTCCAGGCGGTCGCGTGCATCGTCTACAAATCGTGGCATCAGCCGGGCTAGCAGAGCTGGTATCTTCCGTTGGCGACAAGTTAGGCAGCGAAGCCGACACAATCGGTGGCATTCCTACCTTCGAAGACGGCAAACGGAGCCACACCGGCTTCGCACTCGCGTACCTAGACAACGAAGGCGATACCGTCTCCCTCACCACCGACGCCGATCTCCTCGAAGCCATCGCCTTGGCCCGACAAGCACAAAAGGACAAAGTCGACCTCTTCGTCCACGACCCGGAGAAGCCGGCCATGTCCATCACCGTCGACCCGCAACCGGCGCTCGCGCCTCCACCTACCCCACCAGAAAGCCATGTCAGGCGCCGTAAGCAGTACGAAGAGGAGCGCGAGGATGAGGCGGAGGAAGAGGAGATGCCGCATGTGAGCGAGCGGCGGAAGGAGAAGAAAGCGGTCGCTGCTCAGCCCAAGGCTCAAGAGCAGATTATCCAGGGTGTGCCGAACGAGATGCTTATACCCGGTGCTCTTGTCGCGCTAGGGATTGTGGTCGTGATTACCTTCGCGATTGGCCGCGCGTCAAGCAGGTAATCGACAGATCCAGGAAAGGAGAGGAGGATACGCTATTCTTCTGTCTATTGAGGACCCTCAGCTCGTGTAGTGCTTTAGTGATACCATATGTAGTGTTTAGTCTCCCCGATTCTACCAACTACAGACCCGATCTGCCAACCAGTGTAGTACATGCACAATGATGGCCAAACAGCAGTCCTAGTCACGACGAGGAGTGGGTCTTTGGAACAGGAATAGCATCGAAAAGATTGCTTGACTTGCATGGTGTGAAACCCCGGTCCGGTATGTACATCAGCTTGAAAGGCACATCTGAGCGGTACGAGTATGTGATGCTGCCTATCTAATTGATCTCCACCTCCTCTGACTCACTCCCCACCCGCCACTTGTCGCTACATTATTCTCTACCAGCGCTTGGTAGAGATCCGATGGCTGCAACAAAGTTATGTGTTAGATGGAGCAGTCCCTAGCTATCGCGATCTGTTTCCAAAGACAATTGGAGCTCCAACTGTTTGGCAGAAGTAAGAACATTTCTACCGGGGCGAGGTGATAATGCTCGGCTCATGACGGCTCCAATAGACCGAGCTCAGGCCATTATTTGACTCTCGTTCTTGGGCCTCCTGATCTTGACTCTTGGGATCTTGCAATGCTCAGGCCCGGCACATGTGCCATCATGAGTGCTCGGCCTACATCAGGCCGGGGACTCTGCTCAAACCTGGCCCTCCTGTGGTGAAGCTTGTCGCTTTGAATTTTCCTTCAGTGGTAGACACGACTTCGGGTTTCAGGAGAAGGCAGAGCAGTAGTATACAGCTCGGTTTCATGGTCAGTTCACGCCAGTCTCATCATACCCGGCTAACAACGTGATCCTTTCGCCCCTCATATCGTTGAGCTGGGCCTGAGGTGCTGACCTCATATACCTCCGCCTTCAACCTGGTGGCTCAATCATCCTGGTTTCGGGGACCTTGGCATGTGATCAATGGGGCTTAGTCATCCCTCAGGTCTGTTCGATACACCTGCACCCCAAACACTGCATTGACGGCCCACGAGTGACCAGCAACACTGATCGGCCCTCCTCGCCACACAGGCAAGACCTGATTCCTCGTTTTCCTCCTCCGCTCAATCTCCTGTAATAGTGTGCCTCGTTGGAAGGAGACCACATCCGAGCCCTTCAATAGCCCCGTCTCGACATCGCTGGCTAGGGCCCAGACACCAAAAGCATCTAGCTGGCCGACTGTCCCATTCTGCTTAGCTGCATGGACAATCTCGGATCGGGTGTAGTCTTTCTTTTCGTCTATGGGTATACCGTCAAGTAATGTCTTGGTGGTGGTGACGGAGGGGACATGTATGCTGAGGGAGAAGATGCCGGTATTGCGAAGCCAGATATGACGACCTACTGCTATAGCCAAAGCGAATGGGAAGTCAAGACCGAGAGCTAGATTGCCTCGGAGCGAGTCGCCGAGGCGGATGGTTTGAGTATCTGGGTTGTCGCTGCGATTGCTGTAGAAGGCCAGCAACCGGTGGAAGGGCGGAGTAGACATTGTAGCACTATACTGGGTCTACCTCGCTTGTGTGCGCGATACTAACAATAGACTTGAAGTATGAAGAGTGCAACAAGACCATGCATCCTCACTGTCACATGCAAGTCATGACGTAAAGTTCGAAGCTCATGCCCGTGCTTGCCGCATCTGAGACATGTGCCTGCCAGATTGGGCAAAACACGGATCGGCATAACATGACCTCCGACAAGCTGTCCTTTGATGGATGACATGAGCATGAGCGTGTGCGTGGAGACAGCTGTCAGACGCGACTCTCCATGATTTACGAGCAAACACGATACAGACCTCTTCACTGATGGCTCTGGAGACCATGTCACAACACATACACCAATAACGTGATCGATACAACACCACAATGCGCCTCGCGTACTACGCCGGCGCCTCCACGGCCGCAGCAGCAGGATGTCTGCTCAAAGCCTTCCACCAACGACCAAACTTCTACAGCGCAACCGTCTACCTCTCGCAATCCAATGCCTGCCTCCTTATCCTCACCAACCTCCTCCTCGTCCTGACCTGCAGCTTCATCTACGCCTTACAACGAGCACTCTACGGCCCTCTACGACCAATCGAGATCGAGCAGCTGAGCGAGAAGGCATGGTATGCCGTCCTCGATACCCTGCTGGCTATGCCAAGCTTCCGCGAGGATGTCGGAGGTTGGCTATTATGTATGTTTGTGCTGTTGTTGGCGGGCAAGGTATGGGGATGGATTGGAGAGGGCAGGGTGGATATTCTGGAGCAGGGACAACCGATACCGCAGGGGACGAGCAAGAAATGGTTCCACATACGGCTTGCGACGAGTCTGGTATTGAGTGTCGCGTTCGATGTGGGCATGCTGAATTATTGTGTCGAGAGCGTCATGGCCGATCCGCGACCGGGCATGATGGTCATCTTCACTTTCGAATTCGCGGTGCTGGCTGTGTTCAGTATCTTCACCTTCTCGAGATACTTGCTGAGTCTCATGCAAGCTCAGATCGAGGCGAAGCAGATGCTAGAGGCTTTGGAAACAAGGAAGCAAGAGATAAGAGCAGAGCGAGCAGCAGCACGACAGCAGGAAATAGCAGATGGCCGGCCAGCGCCTGCATCGCCGCCTGACGAAGAGCCAATTGAGGTGGACGAGAATGAAGTGGATGTTCCTGGCTGGGAAGAGAAGCGACGATATCTATTCTTTCTGGAAGTGCTCACGGACTTTGTGAAGCTCGTGATCTACATTGTCTTCTTCACCGTCAGCATCACTTTCAATGGCTTGCCGATGCATATCATGCGCGATGTCTACATGACGTTTGCATCATTCAGCAAACGAGTCAGCGATTTCGTGGCGTATCGGAAGGCGACTAGCGATATGAATACGCGATATCCAGACGCGACCACCGAAGAGATCAGAGGCGATGCATGTATCGTGTGCAGAGAGAGCATGGTGGCATGGGAACAGCCGGTGCCAGCTCAGGCGGGAGACCAACCAGCTGCTCCTGCTCAGCCACAAGCAAGAAAAGACGAAGGATTGAGGGCGAAGAAGCTACCCTGCGGTCACATATTACATCTGAGATGTCTCAAGGCTTGGCTAGAAAGGCAACAAGTATGTCCCACCTGTCGTCGACCAGTGATACAAGCACCGGAGGCAGCAGCCGGAGTTCCAGGCCAACCAGGTGCAGTACCAGGCAACGGCGCAGCTGGAGCGGCAGGTGCACCACATGGAGGACCTGGCGGAGCACGTCCTCGTGCTGGACGGGCACGAATCTTCAACTTTGGACCACTTCGTGTTGGCTTCTTGAACGGGCCGGGTGACCAGATCCAGCAGGTCATCAACCAGATGCGGAACCCTCAGGCTCCTGGCCAAGCGGGCGCACAAGGTATCGATGCAGCACAGCAAGGTCCGAATCACCTAGGTCTGCAGGTACCATATCTGCCCGGTGCGGTGGGTATGCCAGCTTTGGCCAATGGTGGTGCGAGAGCTGCGGTGCCTACACAAGTGCAATTTTTGCAGATTGAGCAGCGGATCATACAAGAAGCGCATAATCTTGGTGTCGAGCAACAACAGCTAGCGACGCTGAGAATAATGGAAGCTGAATTGGCGAGACTGAGGACATTACATATTCCAGGGCAGCAACCTGTAGGCATGGCTGGTGGCGCACAACGACAAGTTCTCCATTTTCCAGCGCCTAGTGGGTTGTTCGCTGGGCCTGCACCAGCATACCCGCAGCACTATGCTGCAGCAATGCCACAGCAGGAAACACTCCATGGAAACCCTAGTCAGACTATGGGAGCTGGTCACGAGTCTTTGCCGCAGGGTATGGTGTTGCCTGAAGGCTGGACAATCATGCCTTTGCAACGAAATCGTGGTGTCATGCCAGCAGCTCAAAGTACGCAGCAGCAGCCGCCTATACAGACTACGACGAATTCCCAGCCGCATGTGGACGGTACTGTTCCACAGCATGCCCATGCATCGTCCTCGACCCCGGTAGCCGCGCAAGCTACATCTTCCGTTCCCTCTCACACAGACCAAGGGCCAACAGACGATCGAGGCTCGCCGCTCTTCACTCCAGCAGCCGCCGCAGCATCATTGACGCCTCAAGCAGGGCCTTCATCGCCAGGCCCGTCAACGCAGTCGGCAGAACCTAGCTCGCAGCAGTCTCAAGGACCAGCGGCGCCATGGTCATCGAAAAATGGTGGCTGGGGTTTCGATGGCAGCTCGGTGAATTATCAGAACAGTGGTGAGGCTATGTCGAGTGCGCAGGCCCAAGAACAGCAGGGTCTGGGTGATAAGGGTAAGGGGAAAGCTGCGGAGGTTGAGGATGCTGAAGAGGATGAGGTGTTGTAGGTCTACTTTGATACCAGCGGCTTGTGTAGTATTACTGTGATAGCTTGAAATGCATAGCACGGGACTCTACCTAGCATCATAACCGTTTTTCTTGTCGTCAGATCAAGTGAGGACACAGTAAAGATTGTAGACGCCGTCTGTGATGAGGCTAGTCAGCACGAAGCGAGCAACCTGACCTTTGAGCTGCATCGAGGCGGCATGCCACCAAGTGTCGACGTCCCTCCTCCGCGCCTCATATGACTTCCCATCCAGCATGTCTTACCATCATGTTGGCAAGACGGATGGTACTTTACCATCTACTCGCAAGAGCCACTGATATCGCGCGGAGATGGAGTTACCATTTACTTGATCCGGAATCTAAGCGCGAGCTATAGAACTACAGTAGGCTCGTGCTCGTGCTGCACGGCAGCCTGGAGCAATGAGCTTTCTGGGGCATTGAAGGAGTCTTCTGCTTACGTCCCTGGAGGCCTAACAATCATAACCGAGTTGCATAGCTTGGACTGGAGCGTTCCCGGCCATGAATCGGCGTAAGATGCATGCTGAGCTTTGCAGGCACTTCATCACGAATTCGTCCACGGTGCAAGATATCGAGTCTCCGTCTGGAGTCGAATATCTAGCACCTTATCACAAGAGCAGCATCAAATCACGGCGGCAGTGCAGTTTGCCCCTCCACCATCTCTGTGTCATCATGATCCTTCCGTCAAGCCCTAGCGGCCTTTGCCCATGCTTCCAGCGTCAGCATCCATGTCGCGCGCGTGGGGCGGGAACTCAAACGGCAAGTGCTTTCCCACTCTTGCCTCGGCCTATCCGAAGAACATGCTTTGTAGGAGTGCTGGGCGGATGAACAGGACAAGAAGTGGCGAACTACATGGCGATTTGTACGTAGGAGGGGTCTGGGTACGAGACCGAGATAGCGCAGCTCCTAACTAACCAGAAGGATCCATCATCATCCCAGTAAACGACAGCCAGGAGTCCATCTGTGTGCTGGGAACAGGAATCGCTGCCGATAAATACTGAATCCTCCGATACGAAAGCGAGCGCAAGCAGCACACGGCACTGCGTTCACCCGCTGTCATCTTGTAGGGCTGGCAAGTGTTTGAAACGACACCGTGTCCGGTCATAACCGAGATATAGTTCCGGCGACTATTCAGCTGGCTGGTTGATACATTTACGACCGCAATTCACCTCTTCGATCACTGTGTTCTCTAACTACAGTCATCAGCAAGATTAAAGAGCTACATCGTCGAGATGCACTACTCCATCCTCCTGCCCATCTGCGGCGCCGCCGCGTTCATCCTATACACCATCGTGAACTCGATAGTCACGAAACGGCAGTACGCTGGTATGGTCTCGCACTACAATAACACGATCCTGTCAAACGACTGCTAACATGCTATCTCAGCCAAGGCCAAAGAACTAGGATGTCAAGATCCACCAATGTATCCAGGTCTCGGTTTCCTGGGTCTGAAAGGCGTGGGAGAGATGCAAGCAGCAGACAAGAAGCAAATGTTTCCCGACCTCTTGGTCAAGAGACAAAATGACATGAACAAGCTCACGGGCCGCGTGTGTGAAACTTTCATGAACCACTTTATCGGTCAGCAATTGATCTTCACATCCGACCCGAAGAATATTCAGGCACTGCTTGCCACTCAGTTTCAGGACTACGACCTTGGACCTGCTAGACGCGGTAACATGAAAGCGACGCTCGGCGATGGTATCTTCGTGCAAGACGGGAAGCCATGGGAGCACTCGAGAGCACTTCTGCGACCAAACTTCGTGCGCGAGCAAGTCTCGGATCTCGAACTTGAGGAACGGCATGTACAGGATCTGATGACCGTCCTGCCTGTGCAAAGCGATGGCTGGACAGCGGAGACCGACATCCAGACGCTCTTCTTCCGTCTGACCATCGACTCGGCCACCGAGTTCTTGTTCGGCGAGAGCGTGGGCAGCCAACTCGCCGAAAGCAAGGTCGCCTCCGGAGGCAAGAAGAACGAACTGGATTTCAGCCGACACTTCGACAGCGCACAAATGCATCTTGCTAAACGCTTCCGACTCGCGGATCTATACTGGTTGCATAACCCCAAAGACTTCAAGGAAAGCAATAAGATAATCAATGAGTTCCTTAAACACTACGTCGACCTTGCTTTGTCCAAGGGTAGCTCGGAGAAGAAGAGCGAGGAGGGTCATGCGAAATATGTTTTGCTTGATGAGCTCGCGAAGCAGACTCAAGATCCGGAAGAGCTGCGAGGACAGCTTCTCAATATTTTGCTTGCGGGTAGAGATACCACGGCCTCGCTACTCTCCTGGTTGTTCAAGATGCTGCTCCGCCAGCCTGCTGTTTTCGAGAAGTTGCGCTCGAACATTATCGAGACCTTCGGCACTTATGAGGACCCTGCTGAGATCACCTTCGCAACGCTGAAAGGCTGTCAATACCTCCAGTACTGTCTCAATGAGACTTTGCGTCTCTGGACAGTGGTGCCTGGTAATGCCCGCCGCAGCAACAAGGCGACTACCCTTCCACGTAAGTGTCCTACCCTGCAACTTTCACTGAAGGTTACGACACTGACAGGTCCGTTCTCTAGGCGGCGGAGGACCAGACGGCCAAAGCCCGATTTTCGTCCCACCACAGACAGAAGTCAACTACAGCATTCATGTAATGCACCGACGGAAGGATCTGTGGGGCGAGGATGCCGAAGAGTTCAGGCCAGAAAGGTTTGTAGGCAGGAGACCTGGATGGGAGTACTTGCCATTCAATGGTGGTCCTCGTAAGTCGTCCTAACGTCCGCACAACGACCTACACTGACCAGCATCACAGGAATCTGTATTGGGCAGCAATTCGCGCTTACCGAAGCTTCGTACGTTGTCGTGCGGCTGCTGCAGCGCTTCGATGCTATCAAGCCTGGTGTCAATGAGATTGAGGATGGCCCTCTCACCTCGTTCCTCACGCTTACGAGTTTGCCGGGGAAGAAAGTGACTTTAGAATTGCATGAGGCGAAGCGATGAACGAGTTTTTGGTCCTTGTCAAGAGTGATGGTTGATGATCGAATATGCTCTCTGCTTTGCACATGTGTAAATAGCTACCTGAAACGCACAGGGTATCTCGACTTCCTACTTCCTTCACCTGTCGGCCTACCATGCGTGTTATGCAGCTCAATGGATGTAAGACGAACGCCAGACTCCTCGCTTATGTGGACAAACAGACACTATACATGCCCCTCCTCGATGCAAGCACTATGCACCATCGGGTATGATGCAGTGTTGACAGCCGCCTTTCACGACATTGTTGATCAAGTGCGCGTGTGCGACTTTTGCACCCACACTACGTGTACCGTAGCTCTGCTCTCGATCGTCATAGCCCAGCTGATCAATCAGCCTGTCAATGGACTTCTCATCGGCAGTATCTGGATTCGCGCGAAGCAGACATGATAAGTGGTAGACATGGCCGCATGCGAAGCCGATGAGTGGAAATTTCTCTGTTGCATTCGTGGTTAGCGAACAGTAATTACTCTGGTAAAAAGACGGCATGTGCACTCACCTTCCTCGCTGAATGGATCACCGCATCCGACGCAATGCCCAGGCTTCACCCGTTTGATCATGACATTGCGCTTCGCCACGGGTAGAACCTCACCATTCGGCACCTTGGTGGGCACGTCCTTCGCCGCAATATCAACATCTTCAGCGCCATGCCGCCCGTGCACGACTTCGAACCTCACAGCTTTTTTCCTGCCTGCTCGTAGGGTGTCCATACCCACAGCGACCTCACCACGCAAGACTCTGGCGACACCTTCACTGATTGAGTACTGAATCTCGTACTCTCTGACCATTGACTGTATGCCGTCTTTTAGGCCGGGGATCTCCAGTCCTTCAGGTATCCGGCGGATCATCTTGACCGGATCGATAGCCGTGCCGACCTCTTCCAGGAGACCACGTATGAAACGCGGTCGACCCATGGAGTAGTCTAGTAGATCGTCCCAGAGCTCGCCGTTCTCTTTGGCGAAGGAAATGGCTTGCTTGACGTCACCTAGTTCGCCGATGATCAGAGAAAGCGCACGCTTGGCTTGTCCTGTCTTTGATAGGATATAGACCAGCTCAGGAATGTAGTGCCTCTGTTCGCAAATACTAGCGGCGCGCTCGTAACTATACATCTCGCTGGCGCGTAGGAATGTCATAAGCAGATCGCGATCGTACTCAGCGAAAAGTCGAAGTGCAAGGTCAGCGTGATCGTTCACAAGTGCATGGCCTTCTTCGATCAGCGGATCCCATTTGCGACGAGGTGCTACCTGCTCCTGATCTGGCCGACCTTGCCACAAAGCCTTTAGGTAGAAGTATAGGAAAAGCTGGAATGGTGGGCCCTGCTTTTCCAGCTGCCTGATGACTGTTGCGGGTGGGATGGTGCCGCGATGTGCTTCCTCACGAAGCAGTTGTACAGCTTCGCTACTGGCTTCTTCAAGCTCCAAAGGTGGCGAGCTACGCAATTGCTCTGCACTGACCCGCAGCATAAGTAGACCCGGAATATCCTCGCCAACGGCCTCAAGCAGGCCGCCTTCTCTGATGAGTTCCATGGCAGTATCTGCGTTTTGTGTTCGTATGTAGCATCTTAGCGCTTCTCGGCTTCGACCTTCAGCAAGATATAACTTCGCAAGTGCTTCCATTAGTATGCGCCAGTCACGTCCCTTCTCGCCATCCTCGTAAGTCTTCTCGGTGACCTCGCCAGATCGTAGCTTGCTTTCGATTGCTGTAATGATGCTCTTCACATCGAACAGCTTTGGATCCCAGCTTTCAAGTAGCTGCCTCAGCCTGGTCCGATCAGCCTGAATATAGTGGCCGAGCACGACTTCGTATACTAGACTTGGCAAAGGTGGCTTGAGTTGTGTTGACGGTATGTACGGTGTGATCTCGTCGAATTTACTGGCTTGCGCGAATGTCCAGACCCAGTGCTCCCATCGTGAGCTCGTGCCGAGCACTTTACCAGCCACTTGGCCTGCTTCCGACCAATTTCCTGCAGCTATCAGTTGCTGCAGCCAACGGTCGCCGATGCGTCGCTTCTCCTTTTGACTTGTCGCGTGATAGCCAGGCGCACCAATGACGCTCGACTGTGTGTCTGATCCATCGGCGAAGAAGTCTGCCAAAGTACTTGGATCCGCTCCTGAAGGTGACGCTGGCTCTGAATCATTAGTCCAGGTCTGTCGGTCTGCTGTGTCCACAATCTGCGGGTGCTTGTCAATTAGTAGCCAAGCCTCAGCATAGCGTTCATGCTCCAGCAGCCACTCCAGTTGATCAGCTTGGTCGCGCTTGATAGCCAGCACGCAGTCGTACGGGCTCTGAATGACAAGCTTTAAGCCCTGAGCTTCCATGAATGGGTGAGCGTCCACAGCCCGACTGGTCGTGTGCGCTGCGAGAACGCCTTGCATACTACTCTTTGGACTTGATACCGAAGGCAGACCTGCAGACTTTTCATCCTTGCCAGAACTGCTCCCGCTCATGACGGACGCTGACGACGAGAACAGCCGTTCTGCGTAACCTCCACCGCTGGCCTCCCAAACAGCCTGCAATGCGCCTTTACCTGACTCGCGAAGCAATTTCTCTGGCACCGGTCGAGGTATGTATATGGTAGAGAGATGGTAATCCTGCGCACTGAGCGTCTCAAATCGCGAAATGGAAAGCTCGTCCAGATCAACCTCTTCTCCATCTTTAATATTTACCAGCCGAAGCTGCGGTGCTAGGCCTGTTCGCCGGTTGCGCTGACGGCCACCTTTGCTCGGAGTATCACTGTTATCAATCGGCTTGTCATCGTCGTCGCGGGTACGGTATGCTAGAATTGCCACCAGCGATGGAGTATAGAGCGAGATACCAGATATGAGGCAGTCGCGGAACTGCAACTTATGGATGATGTCTGCACTTCCAACCTGGCGAGTGCCGGAGTGAGATCTGCCGCCTTCGTGGACATGGAGCAGCCAGGCTGTGTCGCCCCAGCCAACAACGAGCTTCTCAACCTTGTTTTCTCTTTTCAATGTGGCAGTGCTCGTACCGTTACTAGGACCGTTTGCCGTGCTTAACGTGTCTGAGCCAATGTAATCTTCTTGCAGCCTCTGTTCGTTGATCCACTCGCATCTTGCCTTCCACACCGCAGCCATTCCGGTCCAGCTCCTCTTATTCGGCTTACCGGCATGCGCTATCCGCTTCCAGGCGTCTTCCGAATTCTCGCTCCCTAGCCGAAGATGGCTTCTCATGATCTTGATACCTTCCTCGTTTACCCAAACCACCCACTTACCGCTCGTACTCCACTTGATCATGCCGACAGGGCCTTCTCCAGAGTGAAGCAATGTGTCTTTGCCTTGGCCACCGCCCGCTAGGCCACCTGTGAGAGTGCCGAGCCATCCTGAAGCTGCTGCTGCGGTCGAGCTTGTGTTGGCATCTTCACTTACTCCAGCTTTGCCGCCCACCGTCAGAATCAGCTGACCTGCCAAACCCCCAGACAGGTAAGTGCGATCGTTCTTGTAGTCCGGGCTCAGGCATACTGCGTTGACTGGCCTTGCGAAATTCCGCAACTGAACGTCCTTGGTGTCGATCAGGGAGGAGATGCAGACATGGCCGTCCAACGAGGACGTAGCCACGTAGATTTGATTGTTAGGTGTGTTCGGTACACTCGGCGCAGGGCTCTGCTGTTGTTTCTGCTGGCGGGCAGTAGCCGAAGCTCCGGTTGTAGAACGTGGTTGCTCTCGAATCGACGGTGCTGGACTTCCGGGCGAGAGTATAGAGATCTCACCTTTGTCACTGCGAATCACGGTAGGTGGCGGCGGAACAGGCGATACAGATATGCTCGTAATGGTCGCACTATGTCCTCGCCAGCTCCTCAAGCCTTGCAGTCCAGGCAGGCCCAGTACATGCACACTTCCGTTGTGAGTGCCCATGACCATCTTGTCGCCAGCCACGGCGAATGCACTGGTTGAGTCGCCATTCCGATACACACCGGTGAGGCTCCCAGTTAGTTTCGCATACTTCAGCTTGGGCTCTTCATCCTCCTCCTCGTCTTCGTCCTCCTCGTCCTGTTCAGCATTGCGTTCCTCAGGCGCATCTCCCGGAGATGCAGCCTGGCGCGCCGCTGCTACCGCGGGCGATGGAAGCTGCAATGCATGTTCATCAGTCGCCTCAGGCTGGGTGGACATGCTGCAGACATTTGTGTTGGTGGTCAGAAGTTCGAATACGAGGTTACTTCGTGGTGGATCGAGCTTTGTTCTGTGACATCAAGCGGCATGCCGGTAGGCCGAGCATATTGCGGCCTCCAGATCTACATTTATTAAAGACAAACACATCACAGAAAGGTCGGCCTGCAATGACTCCGACAGCTGCAACCTTGATAGCATTCAGGTCGATTGTGAGAAGCTCACTATTGGCGACGCCATCACATCCAGCTCGACGATTGCTACAGGGTGGCGGGCTGCATGTTAAGCCTGCAAGTAGACGTGCAATCAGTGCCAGCGCTGTACGACACCAGGACGACAAGCCAGCAAAGCCGGCGAAGAGAAAGGCAGCTCGTACGGAGACTAGCACATCACTCAAACGCGTTTTAATTGAAGCACAACGCTCGAGAGCAGTCCTTGGCCATGGCAAAAGGGCTCACGTGAATCCAAATCTCGAGACTAAGGATGTGACGGCCTTTTGCGCTGCTGAGACCTACAACATCTCCGTAGCGAGTGACGTGTTCAAACAACAAGGCTTCAATCGAGACCCTTTGCAGACTGGCCTATATCCGCAAGTGCTACATGTGCAGACTGAAAACATCGTTGAGAGAGACTCCACCACGGGTGCGCGTAGCGAGAGAGGTGTTGGTGATGTCTTTGTCTTTCCGTCAGGCACTGTGGTTGCTTGGAACGTGCCCGAAGCTCTGGTCTACAAGATGGTTGAGCAATGGCTACCAAAGGCAGCAGAAAACGGCCACCTTGACAAGCTTGAAGTGGAAGACATGGAGTACCTCGAAGATCCCTCGCGCGACTCCTCCAAGATCGTTGGCGACACGATCATCCTTGGAACAAACGCCAGCGGCTCAATGGCTGATGTGAAAACTTCTAACTCTATGGCAGCCGAAGACGACCCAGCCCACCAGCGACACGAGACAGACACTGTCCTGGCGAAAATAGCATTCAGCAGTGCGCTGGCTCGTAGTACCAAGCTCGCCGTGCTTGAGAACCTGCTCAGCAATTACTTCACAACTACTCGATCCATACCAACCACCTTATCAGCAGGGAGCCGGCTTCGCTTCTCCCGTGCTTTCATACTCAAGAAGACAGGTGAGCTCCTCAGCATCCGCGCACAACTGAATCTCTACTCGGAGCTCACAGACAGCCTGCCCGATCTCTTCTGGGACTCGCCTCACGAATTAGGATTGGAAAACTACTACGAGCAAGTCGGCCGTGCACTAGACGTCGGGATCAGGATCAAGGTCCTGAATGAGCGCATGGACTATGCTAGTGAGATTGCTGCTGTGCTACGAGAGAGGTTGTCGGAGAAGCATAGTACGGAGCTGGAATGGCTGATCATCTTCTTGATTTCCGTTGAGGTTGCCTTCGAGATCATGCGATTATGGCGGGAGAGCAAGGAGAAGAATGATCCTGAGACGACGGAAGCCTTGTTGCATGAGTACCTACAGAAGCAATTGACGAAGCAATGAGGTGAAAGTCATGGCGATGATGCATACGGAATGCAAGACTTAGCACCCTGCTCAACCCTTTTTTGATGTTAAGAAAGATACCCAAGCTAGCGAACGTCTGGATCTCTCTGCTCGATCTTGTCTTGCTCCTTCAAGCACAACAGCACGAATGAGGACCAGCTTCGACGTTCTGTCGGTCAATGCTGATCTGTTTGACCGTTTGAGTTTGGCGAGACGGAACGGTTCCGTCATAAATCATAAATCATGACGCTTCTCGGTGACTTTACGATGTTCTTCCAATCATCATCCAAATGAGATGACAGCAAGGTGGCCGAGCAGCTGCTTGCAGACTGGCTCGAGCGTATTCACAAGCAGATATGAATCCACCCAACTAGCAGCGATACCAAGGCGCAGCATAATACGACATTATGCGCAACCACCACCGCGACCAACCCAACAGCGGCCAGCCAAGCAAGATCAAGCCGTCGTTCGCATAGATGAGAAGGGCTACGCTGCCAACTCAGCTTTGATATGGATCCGATCCGGTGCAAAATCTAATCCGGTCAATCCACCGCGAAGCACACTGCCACCTCCTCTAGTGTTGTCCGAGCGGAAGGATATACCCAATTTCTTCTATTACTGGTTTAAGATCGGTAGTGCATACGGAACATTCTATAAAGAAGGTGTAAAAGCAGTATGGTACAACAATAAAGCTGGCCGAGCACTGCGGGAGCGTATCAGCAAGGATGGAGCAGGGGACGATGCGCCCGCGGCTGCAGTTCAGGGCAGGATAAGCAGGTCTGAGTGGCAGCTGTTGGCTAGAAATACGCATGACATTGGTAAACTGCCGCTATTTGGCGTACTTGTTCTGCTGTTCGGAGAATGGCTACCCTTGCTTGTGCCGTTTATGCCTGGTGTTGTGCCGGGGACATGTCGTATACCGAAGCAAGTGGGTGGTATGAGGGAGAAGGCCGAGGAGCGGAGACGCATCACGTTCAGGATGGGCAATTTTGAGCCAGAGCAGGCACAAATCAAGTATGCTGAGGTCAAGACGTGGCCCATGACCGAGACAGCATATATCAACGGCTTACTGCAAGCGATGAGAGATGATCAGCTTCATCATCTCTCGTCGAGCTTGACATTGCATAGTCGGCTATGGGATCGCGTTCAGCTATACCCGCTCCGCTTCCTCATGACGCGGAGTCTGACAAAGCACCTCCAATACCTCGCTATCGACGACAGATTACTTTTGCACTCTGGGCGAACGTCTACTTTGACGACAGCAGAGCTGGAACGAGCATGTGAGGAGCGGGGCTTAGATGTTCTCGGCAGGCCCGAACCATATCTACGCGACAACCTCAGCTGGTGGCTAAAGCGACAGCAAGATGACGAAGGGCGTGGACGGGCGATGATGTCGATGCTATTCCGAAGGTTGGCTATGCGTGATTGGGTTCGCTTGCATTTGGATGCTAATCGTGATTCGCAGGCCTAATGCTTGGATTCCTGGTCCCAGTGGAGAGAAGTGAATGGGTGGTAGTGTGGTGGAGGCATAGAGGGAGGAATGTACGATAGCATATAACCTATTGGATGATGGTTGGGAGAGTTTGTACATATTGGATCTTGCCGCCTTACACCGATCTCTTGCACATAGACGTGTACAACACTTCACTCCACATTCTGCCAATGGACGGGAACCAAGATCGCGATTTTGTGATTGGTCGGCTGTATATGCGGCCACTCTAGGCATTGCGACGTGTACCTGCATTGGCTTCGTGCAAGTCTCAGGGGTGTAACGAGACTACTGCACATGTTGAAGTGCATACTGCAGGAGGGAGGTTTCGATAAGCACGTGTGGTGATCGGGTTGTTGTTGCGGTGAAGTTGCTGCTGCGCTGTAATTATTAATCGTCGTCGCAACTCCGGGAATCATTCAGCTTCTTGCCAAGCAGTTCACGGTGGTTCGCGCTATTGAACCTTGTTTCAATTGTACCGTTCCCTAGGATTATGAGTGCCACAGTAAGGTCAAGAATGCTGAAGGCGATCGAATATTCAGCATCTCAACTTACGACATTACATCTCCACGGCAGGTGTGTTATGTGCGAAGAGCAATATGTGTCATCCGAAACCTCCAAGTTGTGACAGTGTAGTAGTAAAAGTAGGTAGTGATACATATAGCAGCACCCTGATCTGCACTTCGGACGCTAAGAAAGTCTCCCACACCCACTTGCCTTTGTAGCTGGTATTTTTCCCAGGCCACAAAGCCCCCCTTTATAGCACATGAGTAGTACAGCATGGCAGACGCGTTGCGCGCGCGGAATCGCTTCTAGCTCCCTCGTATCTTCCCACGCTCTTCCGATCATACGCACGACGGTGTCCTCCAAGCCCCATCACACCCTTCCACGCGCTTGCTGGCCGGAGTGAGACCCAGTGAAGTCTGCTATGCATACACGCAATCAGCGAACCCGCGGCTAGTTGCGATCGGGAGCCGTGCAGTGGACCGCTTTTCGGCGCACGCTCATTCGGCAACGACACAGCGCATTGGAGCTTACTTTTTTGCGCCCGATCTGCTGCGTGCAGCTGTAGAGTACAGTCCCTAGCTGCCGTCTTGGAATGGACAGTAGCAACTCTGTCGCAGGCTCTTCTGCATATCGGTCGCCGCCCGACATATCACCCTCTGTTGGCACGCGAACCAGCTCGCGCAATGCAGTGAGCAAGACTTTCGCCAGTCCACCCACGACACCACCACCGAAGCGTCGCGCGCCAGCCCAAGCCGCAGCCAAGGGCAAGGATAAGGAGCCCGTCGCTGTTAGTACAAGAAGGCAGCAGATCAAGCGCGAGCACAGCGATACTCATCGACATTCGCACGGGCTGTCATGGTCTAGCACAACACGAGACAGCGTGGTGGATAATTTGCTGTTGTCACTTGGCAACCTATCCTCCCCCGACCTGGATCTCGGAGACGAACTGCGCGATCGCGAAATGGAGCGTGAGAAGTTTGGTGTGCCGCAAATGCCGGAGATGGCATCGTTTGCTCCTAGCCGACCCCTACAGCGTGCGCGCGGTCATACCTATTCTTCGTCGATGTCGTCTGGCCCTGGTAGTTCTGGAATAGGGGAATCGCCGGCAAGCAAATTCTCATCTCATGGAAGACGCAGCAACAGTAGCTCGAACTTTGGTACCATACGATCGCACAACATAAGAAGACCCAATGCCGGTCCGAAGACGAGCACCGATACACAGAGACATTTTGTAGGGCAGGCACATGATAAGAGCAGTAGCATCGACATTGACGATGCTGATTACAACGGTGCAGCTTTCGCAGAGGCGAACAGAATGAATTTTGGCCGCCGGAGATCGATGAGCGTGGATCAGTTGTACCACGGAAAGTTATCTGAGGATGATCCATCTGTGCTCGGGCGTGGGAGACCGGTGCCCTCGGTACATAGCAAGTACGAGGCTGCATACAACGCCGCGCCCGAGCCGGGCATTCCAGCCGGACCACGAAAGCAGCAGAATCCAACCGGGACAGGACCAGTGTATGTGGGACAAGCAGGAGTGAAGCAGAGCATTCGCAAGGTTAACACACAAAGTGATCTGCGAAGCGCGAATATGCCCGCTCCGCCGATTCCTCAGTACGTACACGATCAGGCGAACGACTTCGTGCGGGCTAACAGTCTACGCGGCATGCCTTCTATGCCACTGCCTCACGAACACGGTGCTCCTGCTCCGAGTCCTGGCTTCAAGAGTAGCATGCCAGACGGTGCTTTGGCACAGCGGGAAAGGCCAGGGTTCTTTAAACGTGTGTTTGGTGGAGGGTCACGCAGCGCATCAGGTCTTTCCGCAGATTCGCAAGAAACCATCGGACAATACCCGGATCGGTCTCGTTCACAAGCATCAACGGATAACGCATCACAAATCAGGCCGGAAACACGAAAGATGTCGCGAGAGCAGTCGCAAACGTCGTATCCACCTCCCGCGCTGAACAAGAAGCCGTCATCATTCTTCAGGCGAAGAAAGAAGTCCACCGGCGAGCTGAGCGCACCGCCTCCACTACCGACCTCTCTGGGCCATAACATGAGTGTTAGAGCAGCAGAACCAAGCCCGTCGGTGAGCAGCCTGCGCAAAGTGATGGGTCCGTACCTGCACAATGACGGCACTCCTAAAATCACACGCCACGAGGCACAACGACCTGCCACGGGTGATTCAATTGCCGACTCATGCGATCTCGATATCTTTCACTCGGGTTACACTCCCCCACCAGATGCATCTCTTGGCTATCGCGACCCGCTGCGACGCGACTCGCGTCCGAAACAAAGCGGAGAGGATGGCCGAGACAGTCCGCGCATGAAACTCAAAGTCAAGAAGCGGCAGACCGAGGCCGACCAACCACTAACGCAACAAGCACCAGACACATCTCAACAAACGTTTCCGCACGATGCCAGCAGGGAGGTCTCCACAGCTACTATTGGAAACAATTTCGCGCCGCCCATTGACTTCCCTGAAGTATCACCAGTGGTAGAGACGCCTCCTGCAGCCAATCTCCAGGAGAATGATCGCCCTGTCAGTCGAGCTAGTACTGGTGACAAGATTCTTGCCTCCCAGCCGAGCAGTCCCACTACTGCCGATGAGAGCATGCGCGAGTTCAGTAGTGCGTCCAGGGTCATCGTCGATCCTGATGAGGACGGCTGGGTCATCACGCACTCGCCTACCTCGACAGCGGCAGAGAGGCCAGGATCTAAGAAGTCCGAAAGGCTGTTCCTGAGGCCCACCGAGCTGGAAGAGAAGAGACAGGACAGCAACTCCTCCTTCCCAACGCGGGACGACTCGCGGAAAGCGTCTGAGGTTGACCCTCTTGTCCTACCCAAGGCACCATTTCACACAGCATCGTCCAGCGTGCAGTCACCTTGCACTCCAAGCGTCTACCATTCTGCCACGAGCTTGCCATTACCAAGGGTTCAGGTTGATGGAGTACCACGACAATCAGGCGAGACAGTCCACACTCGTGGCCCCTCTTTGGTAGCAGATGGCAATGCAGAGTACCGAGAACGGGCTCGGAAGATCTTTCAAGGCAATGAAGAGGATGTCGCGAAGGGAGAAGCAGCTGCATGGCTTGGTGAGCGGAACACTCTGAGCACGAAAACACTGCAGGCGTACATACAACTCTTCGACTTCGCCGGCGCGAGCATCCTGTCAGCCTTGCGTACGCTTTGCAGTAGTCTGCTGCTGAAGGGCGAGACCCAACAAGTCGATCGAGTGATCACGGCGCTTTCTGAACGCTGGTGCGAGTGCAACCCCAACCACGGTTTCAAGGCGCAGGATGTCGTGCATACCATCTTCTACTCCTTGATCCTGCTTAACACCGACTTGCACCTAGCAGACATTGGAGAGAAGATGTCGAAGACTGCATATGTCAAGAATACCCTTCCAACCATCAGACGTGTCGTAGCCGACGCAGCACCGAACGCTTTCGACGATACCATCCGACCAGGTCAAACACCCATGAGGCCGAATCTGCCGTGGAACGACTCGACAGCATCTGCACCTACGATGGCCAGTCCCGTGTCTCCTGCCTTTCCGCCAGATAGCCTACAGCCTGAGCGCACGTCATCCGAGAATCCACGAGGCAACATCAGCAAGCGGATGTCCATTCGGCCTGGCATGTTCAGAGTCGAGTCAGACGGCTGGATGCCCGATTTCGCTGGAGGTAACACCATGAATGCGCTTGTGAATCAGCAATGGAGTGGGAATATGCGAGGCTGGGAGTCGGAAGTCGAGTCGGTCTTGAAGGCCTTCTGGGCTTCGATTCGTTCCGAACCACTTCCTTTGCTGGGCACATCCGCTCACGAGCAAGCTCAGGCTCAAGCTGACAGGAATCTCTCCGTGGCGAACTTGGGCGGTCTGAAACGATCAGGTTCCGTCGTTAGCAAGGCACCATCCGACAATGCCTCATATCGCTCAAAGCCTGGTTTCCGGACTTTGACGCAAGGATGGCAGAACCGTAATAATCGATCTAGACCGAAGCTGTACCCGACAAATCTGGCTGGTGGCTCATCAAGGACTAGCTTCGACGATGGCAACAGTGTGTGGTCACCAGCACAGAGCAGTAGCATCAGCAAGAACTCGTTCTCGAAGACATTCACTTCTGCATCCATGACGAGCCTTGGACACCATCTATCTCCTTCAAACACCGACTATAAGCACTCTATTGGCTTTGCGAATGCACTGTCACATGCCATTATTCGCGAAGAAGGCGGTGGGAGCGGCGGTGATGGTGAGTCTGTCGTCATACCGGGTGGGCTGCTTGAGGATGAAGCACTGGCGCTAGAGGGTGCGCCGTGGGCGAAGGAAGGTCTTGTCAAGCACAAGCATCACCTTGAAACGGTCGACAAGAAAGCCAAAGAGCGAAGCTGGGTAGACTGTTTTGCTGTCCTCAGTAAAGGCAAGCTGACGATCTTCGCATTCGGCACCTCCACCAAGTCCCACTCTATGGGCCGCAGGAACCAGGCAAAGCAGAATGGTGGGCGTGCTGCGAGTCTTGCGGCGACAAAGGTGGGTGGCGGAGACTGGATGGAGAATGCTGAACAACTAGACTCGTTTGTGCTACGGCATACAATCGCGTCGACTCTGCCTAAACCCGGTTATAGTAAGGCTAGACCGCACGTGTGGGCGTTGAGTCTGCCATCTGGTGCTGTGCATCTCTTCCAAGTCGGTACACCAGAGATCGCCAAGGAGTTTATGACTAGCGCCAATTACTGGTCAGCACGTCTCAGCAAGGAGCCACTGAGCGGTAGTGTCAGTAATGTGGAGTACGGCTGGAGCGATCAGGTCATCAATACCGCCATTCTCGACCGCGGTGCGAGTCCACCTCCCACTGCGCCAGCCAACGCTCCGCCTGGTAGTATGGCAAATAGAGGCCATCTCCATTCTGGATCCAATGCTAGCGGTCCCGGCTCAAGACCTAGCTTTCAATCTTCGATGCGCGGTAGCTTCGACACTGGATTTGGAGGCAGTACCAGGAACAGGTTGCCTGCTGACAAGGCGCATATTATGGACTGGCAGCCACCATCCCAGAGCATGATGGCTAGCCAGCTTATGGAGGTGGATCAGCTTGCTCAGTTGACTGCGTACGTGGAGAATGTGGAGAAGGATCTCGAGAGTCATAACGAGTTGAAACATGCCATCAAGCTAGCCGTGAGTTTCCCAAATTTCTTTCCTTCAGCTCTTCATTCACTGACACGCCTACAGTACTCTCCACGCCACGCAAATCACAATCGTGCAATGACCAACTGGCAACGCAAGTCCGAGTACTTGCTCCGCGAGATAGTCAAATTCAGAACGTATATGGATTCTCTGACCGCAGCACAACAAGCCAAGGCGGTCTTCGATGCGAAGAAGGCTGCTGAGAGGGGCGTGAGTCCTGTGGATAGCGGACGGCCACCTTTGAAAGACGATAGTGAGGTGACGCCTAGGGTGCCGCAGCTGGCTGGATAGGATGCTGGCTTGCGAGCGGTGGTGAGGCATTGCTTTGGATGTTAGCATCCGGTGTTGGGTTGAATAGATATATATGGTTTGGATGTTGTATGATTACGATGGATGTATTGCCTAGGAGCACCATATAATCTTGGAGAATCTAAATGTTCGATAGATACCAGCAATACACGGGAGCGCTAATGTTATCTCATCAGACGACGTGGAAGTCGCTGTGGATCACTCCCGTCTCACTTGGATACGTTCAGAGTTTGGAAAGCACGCAAGAGTGGGCATGTGACAATGACGAGAGCCAAGATGAAAGTGGGGTCAACAAGCACCAAGGGCGTGCTTGCGTGCCTTCTTTCCTGTCTTGGCTGATGGCAGTGGAGGCAACTAGGCGCAGGCGCAGTATGAACTCTCGTTGTCAGCTGGCCCTGCTTTAGCGTAGATTCAGAGGTATGTAAACAGCAAGTACCTCCTCCTAACTGCTTGTCGTTCCAAAGCAAAAGCTAGAAATCCACCCCAATCAACACCACTTTCAGCCTCACATAAACAACAGCAATCATGTCTGCACCAGGCCAGCCAAAGCAAGATTACGCCGATAAGGGTATGAGCGATCCACAGTTGAAAGCAATATCTCTGCGCCGGAAGCAGTAGCTGACTCGAAAGACAGGCCTCGACGCCATTGAGAAGAAGATTGGCCAGTCCTCTGGCCACCCAGTCGACGCGAACAAGATGCGCAGCACGAACGAGAAGATCGTACGTCCACATCGTTCCGTCCTCCCACCCTTGAATCACTTGACTGACGCGAACGCAGACCGACAAAGCCCGCGGCATGTTCGAGAAGGCCACCGGCAAGCATGTGCCGGACAAGGTGTCCAACTAAGCCCACGATGCGACGGACGTTAAAAGGCGTAGACCAGGCCAAGTCGGCGACGAAGACGATTGAAAACATAATTATATGATATACCCTGCTGTACCTCAGGCCTACGCCGTCTTATCCTTGAGCTTCGCCTCCTTCCTCAACCTCTTCTCTCCTTTCCGTCGAGCTTTCTCCTCTTTACTCGGCTTCGACGCTGTATTCTCGACTCCAGTCATTTGTACGTCGCCATCCGTCTCTGGGGCCACTACTTTCGTGGCGGGCGTGGCAGCTACTGTGGCAGCAGCGACGTCCTGATGTGAAGCCTCTGCCGCCTCGTTCGTGCTACTCGTGCCATTCGCCAACGCCTTCTCTTTCCGCTTCTTCTTCGGCTTCTTTATTGAGCTGTCTCCTTCCGCCTCTACTCTGGTCGTGGTCGGATTTTGCGACTCAGAGACACCATTCGCGCCGAGTGCCCGTGGAAATTGGAACGAAGTGCCTTTTGCTGGTGCTGCGTCTGCCAGAGCCTCGTCGTCGTCCCAAGCTACATTCGCCGAGTCTTTGACACCCAGAGGATGGAAGCGCATACGCAATCCTTTGGGTTGTAGTCGTATAGTGCTGATTGGTGCTCGTGCCACCTCTGCTGCAGCAGCACTACCAGTCATCTGTTTCGCCTGTTTCCGACTGAGGTTGGGCAGGTCTATCCGTTGTTGTATTCGCAGATTCCGTGTTGCTCTTTGCTTGACTGGTTCGAGGGTGCTGCCATTGCTCAGTAGCAGTGCTGAAAGCTCGTTATTGGTCGGATCGTCTGCGATCGTGTAGTCCACGCCCTTATGGTTCAGCAGGACTTTGCCGTCCTGTAGAGCGGACTGCGCGATGTTGTGTAGCGATGTGAGTGGAAGGTCGGAAGGTGCTGTGATGTGCCATATCTGTTTGCCTGCTAGTGATGAAGCTGTGATATCAGGATCGCCACCGGCGGCACTGTCTACCGCAACATATCCCGGTGGAACCTCAAAAGGCTGTGGCTCTATAGGCGCAGTGTCGCTGGCTTGCTCGACCGTACCAGAGGCAGAACCTGGTGCTGTCGTGCTACTGTAGCTCTTCTCTTTGGCCTTCGTGATGACAGTATGTCCTCCTTGCGGGCCCGCACCTGCATCAGCCTTCGTCCTCTTCTTGGCTGGCTCTTCGTCCAAGGACCCGTCTGCACTTTCCTCATCCGATCCCTCTTCTGACCCACTGGCTTCGGACGCAGATCGCTTGACGCCGTTGATGTTTGCAGGCACCTTGGTTGGTGGGCGTGGTGCTGAAGTCTGACTTGCCTCTTCTGAATCGTCGTCGTCGTCGTCTTCATCTTCGCTTTCATCCTCGTCTGCCTCCGATTCCTTGCCAGCATCTGTAGCAGCAGACTGTACAGGCACAGGCTGAGCGACCGATTTTCCCACAGCTCGATATTCTGGTGCAGCATCATCATCTTCCGAGTCCACCACAAGTTCCTGGCTTTTGGAAGAAACTTTGGATGTAGTTTTCTTCGATGCTTTCTTGCTCTCTTTCGTCAACGTATCTCTTTTCGTTCCCCTCTTCACGACCGAAGACTTGTCCTTAGCCTTCGTCGCCATGATCCTACTCAGGAGACGTCCCGTGGTTGGAATTTCTGAAAGTATGAGCTCTAGCGTAGTAGCTGTGAAATGTATCGCAAAGATCAATGCGCTTCGCGGCAGAATCGGGCGGTGTAGCCAAAATTTCGCTTCTTGCCTCGTTCGGATGGCAGCTCATTCACATATCTCAGGCAAATGGCGCAAAAGAGGAAGGCACAGGATGCCTTTGGGCAGAGTAACGGTATGGTTCAATAACTGACAGTATTCCAAATAGTATACTGACGCATCGTAGGCCAACTCAGTGCTTTTGCCGCAGCCCGGCTCGCAAAACAAGCAAAAGCTGCTGCACCGGCATCATCGCTAGCAAGCCACGCCCAACAGCGGCGAGAAGAAATTGAGCAGCAACTTAATGCTACAGCATTAGCTTCTGTACCATATGATGGTCATCACGATCTTGCTTCGGCCGACTCCGAGCCAGAAGAAGCCGAAGTCACCATATCTGTCACAACGAAACCAGCCGTAACGCTATCACCATCCACGACTTTCACCAGCGGTGGGAAGATCGATGAGCTAATTGATGGATCCATCGAAGCAACTCTCCGCAACAATCACAGTATCGTGTGTGTCGGCGAGTACGACCTAGAGGTGCAGAAGGGCCTTGTCACAGTATACGGCGCCACACTCCATCCAGATTCGGGAACTCAACGAATATATGCCCCAAGCACGCATGCACTGCCTCGTATCATTGCTAGAAGGAATGGGACTAAGCTTCGTGTATCTCATGTCAAGTCAACAATCGCAAAGTTGGCCAAGCTATCTCCGCTCTTCAGGAACATATGGACGAAGAATGATCAGCTAAACCAGTCGTTCAGATTGTTGCGATCTGCTGCCGGCGACGAGCTACAGCGTAGCTTGACAACTTTAGAGATCGATAAGTCGACCGAGACGGCTATATCTCGCTTGACCAATGATGCTCAATCAACGGCTCGTTTGGTCCGCATCATGGCCATCGGAGCGAAGTCCTCCGGCAAGTCAACGTTTAATCGCATTCTCTGCAATGCGCTCAGCACAAAGCAATCGGCACGGAAAGTCCTATACCTAGATCTAGATCCTGGTCAACCTGAGTTCGGACCTCCTGGCCAGGTTTCACTCGTCGAGGTCTCGGCGCCTATGTGGGGTCCATCCTTCACACACACAGCAAGTGCTGAACAGACACATTACAAATTCCTGCGGTCACATACTCTGGCCGCGACAAGTTTCAAGGATGACGCAGAGCATTATGTAGCTTGTGCCAAAGAGCTCATCCGGCATGCGGACCGCCGACAAACAATCATTGTGAACGCCTGCGGCTGGGTGAGTGGGCTAGGAGCCAGCGTGACGAGGGAGCTGGCAGACGTGCTCAGTATCAGCCATATTGCTTTACTCGAGCCTTTGGATACGAGTCTTGTGGAGTCACTGCATGGCGCTTGCCCTGATGCTAGCTTTCTCTCCTTGACCAGACAATCCGTAAGGCCGTCCTCGAGAACCCCGGCTGAGCTACGATCTATGCAGACGATGGCATACTTCCATGCTAGACCTGACCATCCTGCTGAGCACACTCGATGGTCAAGCAAGGTTATATCGACATGGCGACCATGGATTGTACAATACGATGGCCCCGATGCGCCTCTGAGAGCCATCGTATCCTGTGGCCAGCAACCCCATCCCGACTTCCTTGCAGAAGTGCTCGATGGCTCCCTCGTCGCGCTTGTGCAAGTCGAGACCAGTCTGAACGGTGACACGCTATCGTGGACTCAGACCAATGCAAGAGAGACTGCAGAAGGGGTAGCTATTCAACGCACAATGGGAGGACTGCCTTATCTGCCACCGAGACCATCAGGAACGAGTTTGACCCTAGATCCGCACAACAGCTCATGTCTAGGTCTCACTCTGGTGCGCGGCATAGATGCCTCGCAGCGCACTCTCCACCTCCTCACACCGCTGGCAGACCACACTATGGCTTCGCTATTGGATAGTAAGCAGCTCGTGCTCGTGGGCGGAAGCTTTGATCCGCCCGAGTGGGCGTTGCTGGAGGATGTGTACGCCGGCGAGGGGAATGCAAAGGGAGATGCAAGTCTACAGGACAGACCGTGGGTCAGTAGACGAGAACGAGTGGGTATTGAGGGAGCGGTGTGGCGGCTGCGACATCCGCCTATGGCTGGAGATGTACGATAGGCGGTTGCAGTTAAGGAGGTGTAGAGAAAGCGTGTGTCTGAGATCATCTGCTCGTGGGCTACATTTATCCGAACACTAGAGCAAATTCAGAAACCATGTAGCTCGATCACGTATCCCACCTAACACCAATCGACCAGCTAGCGACTTCATCCCATCGCATCGCAAAGCTCTCAAAGCAATCTAAGCGACTTTACCATCTACTAGCAGCAGCAGCAGCGGCGGCACACACGACAAGTTCACAACTCATCATGCTCATCCGCGTCCTCATCATCCAACAGCGAGTCCTTCACCCACCCCGCCGCCTCCTTCACCTTCTCCTTGACCTTCTCGGCGGCCCCACTGGCCGTAGCAGCCGGAGCCTGCATGGGCATCCCATCCGTCTCCACACCTTCCGCACTAGCCGTCTCGGCGCTAGAGACGTCAATCTTATGGCTCCCATTATCGCGGATGAAGCTGATCAGATCGTCCACTGTGCGGGAACCGGAGTAGTCGACCGGGGCATCCTTGGAGCCAGCCTTGAAGAGTTTGATGGTGGGGAATCCCTGGATCTCGTCCGGGACATCGTTGAGGGTTGCGTCGACCTTGGCGATGACGATCTTGTCACTGTGGGATTTGTAGAGGGTGGCGAGTTCGTCGTATTTCGGGGCCAGGGCTTTGCAGTGGCCGCACCATGGGGCGTAAAACTCGAGCAGAACATCCTTGTCGTTATCGATTACGACGTCTTGGTAGTTCTTGGCTACGACGATTGTAACAGGGCCCTCTTGCTTCTCGGGGATCGGCTCGCTCTTAACGCTGGGATCGACTTTCCCACCGACGAAGTCATCAACGAATTTGCCGATGCTCTTTGCGCTGAGGTCTGAGGCGGAACCTTGCTTGGCGAATGGGAACTTCTGGTTCTTCTGGGTGTCTTGAATGGCGAACGCGGGCCAGTTGCCGACTTCGAGGTTCAGGTTGCCGGCGTGTTGGCCAAAGGCACCTGCATCGATGGTGGCGAAGTTGAGCTTGCTCTTGTGCTTCTCTGCGATTGGCTTGAGGGTTTTGGCGATGCTTGCGCGCTCTTCGGGTGTCTCGGCGAAGATGTAAGCGAGTGGGATACCGGCCTGTCAATGCTTGTCAGTAAATATAAAAGCGCACTGGGTTTAGATCACTACTCACTGCCATGTAGCCAGCATAAGTCTCAGGACCAACTTCACCAATGACCGGTGTAGAAGCGGTCTTGGCGAATGTGGTCAACTTCTCCTTGGTGAAGCCTTCCTCGAATGTGTTCTTGCCCTCGTCGAAGGTCTTGTACAGGACAACAGCTGGTGGTGTAACACCCTCAGCCTTGGCCAGAGCTGGGTCAGAGGTAGCGCCGAACAGGAAGCTATCCCTAAGCTCATCGGCAACCTCCTCGAATGTAACATTGCTCGTCTTGTCATCCTTGCCAAAGTATCCAACCAACACAACTTTGTCGGCGGTCTTGAACTCCTCTAGTGCCTCCCCGGTGTGTAGTAGGCTGACAGAGGGAAGAGACTGCTTGGTCATGTATGAGACGATGGCCTGAGCCTTGCGAGGGCCGGAGTAGGGCTGGACATTGGAAGCACCACGGAAGATCTTCAAAGTCGGGTAGCCGGTGACTTCCTGAGTCTTGCAGAGGTCCTCTTCGGCGGTGCAGTCGATCTTGGCGAGGGCAATACTCTTCGCCTTGAGTTCGGTAGCTGCTTCTTCGTACTCGGGGGCGAGGGCTTTGCAGTGGCCGCACCATGGTGCAAAGACTGAGCAATTGAGTCAGCAATCGGACATGGCCATGCAAGTACGGCTTCACATGACATACACTCTGCCAGCACAAGGTCGTTCTCGCTCACGAAATCACTGAAAGTGGCTCCGGTGAGCTCGTGTACATCGCTCGCAGCAGCCAGCGCCGCGAGGCCGAAAAGGCCAAGTCCTGCGTACTTCATATTGTGTCGTTACAGGTCGTGAATACCAGATTGTGTATGGGGTGTCTTGTGGGCAAGACAGTTGAAGAAGGGAAGATTATAAATGCTCGTGGCTGTCTGATCAGTTTCACAAGCGATATATACATACCCCACAGGACCCTGAAGGCAAGCTGTCAAAGTCAGGCCCTTCACCAAAGACATGAATAATAATCTGCAACTGTTTCACCTATTGATTCACACTTGATTTAGCCGCTGATCAGTGATCACACATAGGAGATTGTCGCTTCAGCCATCCATGCGTGCATATCGTTCGCAGTCGAGCCATTGTTCCGCCGCCTGTGGTATCGCGAAATACCACACCAAGATACTCCGAGATGGCATGCGAGCACTTGACATTCCAAGGACGACACTGGACAGCCTTTTGAACAAGACATGTCCGTCGTATAACTACAGCCAGTTCTCCAGGGCTCTTTCCACTCTCCGATTGCATCAAGAACATGTCTGTCAGCATGAACTAGTATGATCTTCTGAGCGGTACTGCCTTGTCATATGTGCATTGATCTGCGGCCTGCTGGGTTCCTGGACGCTACAGCACGTGGGCCACTGTCCATGGCCGTCAAAAGATCTCTGGAACCATCCACCAGAGCAATGCCGTCTGTACAGCTATATCGGTCACAGATCTACACGGCGGCCTCCTAGCGATTGCAACTTGAGAAGCATCTTTTCTACACTCATAATTCTAGAGGCTGCTTGATGAGCGGTGATGTGGATGACTATGATACTCACTGTAGATGACCTACGTATACCACTGCCCCAAGCTCTGAGGATACTAGACACCCCAGCACATTTGGAAGACTGGTCTATCATGCTGAATTCTACTCTGTAACATCTAGAATAGCATGACACGTCACGAATGCACGCCGCTGGTTAGGATATCTCGTGCCAATGCCATCCTCCTTCAGCTCTACAGCAAGCTGGACCGACTTCGCCCCTATGCTGGTCTCTATATATCTTCTGTGTCCCACATCACAGGCTGCATGTCTGCAGCTGACTAATCCGGAAGACAATCCAACGCCGGTCGCTAAAACAACATGTGAACCGAAAGCTCGGCCTTAAGGCGGCCAAAATCACCATCTTCAATCATACCTCATCAAGCATGTGCATATTTGCATCAAATGCTCCTCTCGCTAACCTGCAGCAAGCGTTGCACCCTAGCACGGCAAAAGATCCCACCAGCATGCATGTTGAAAAAAGCATTGGAGCCATGCCGCGCCACCCAAGCCAGCACCCACCAGTCCGGTCAGAGTGGCGCACGGCCTGCATATTACTCGACACACCGTTTGTACCACAAAAGTCCTACTTCACGCCATCAACCGTGCGTGCCAGATCCGGTCTTCACCGTGCCGGCAGGACGGAAAGCTGTCGCATGGCGGTCGTGAGATCTCGTCTTGCTTCCAGTTCGTCACCATCGGCTGATGGGCGATAGTAGTGTCTTACCACTGCTAGTAGGGCGTGGTATAGCACATATCTGGGAGGGACATCAGTATGGATCATGAGGCTTTAAGACTGTGGTCGGGCTTACAGGTATTGCCGTATCCTCTCGTCGTTGTCGCCGTTTGGGAGCTTGCCAAACCCTTCGACAAAGCTGGCGGTGGGCTTATAGAAGCAGTCTGAGAGGTAAGGATCGCCCCAGAATGCGGTAGAGTAGTCTAATAGACCAGTAACTTGCTGCTGTCGAGCATCGACCACGATATTCTGATCGGCCGAGAGCTCCATGACAACCAATCTTGGTTGAGTAATCTTGTCCAGCGAGCCACGATGTCGTCGCAGCAGCTCCCGCATACCCTCGTACGGCAGATTGATCAAAGCATCCTCACCGTCGCGGAGCACGGACTCGAGCATCAGAGCGAATATCTTCGTCCAGGAGGAAGATGTGAAACTCGTGCCTTGCCGTATCGAGCCAAAGCTCGTGCCAGTCACTGCGGAGATTCTTCGTACGTACTGTCCAAGACTTCGATCGATATCTGCCAGCGCCTGACGAGATAGTGATGGCTCCACGTCTGCGAATATGGAGCCACCAAAGGGGCCAGATATGAGATATTTGCTACCGATGGCGTTGCTAGATGGGCGATATTCAATAAGTCGTGCTGGTATCAGGTCAGGCCGTGAAGCCAAGGCCTGTAGCGAACAGGCTTCGTCGTCTAATCGGTTTTCTTCATGTCTAAGTAATCTGATATTGTGGTTTGGTCGACTTCGTAGGATATAGAAGAATCCTTTCGCCGTGGTAAGTCGATATGTCCGGAACAAGTAGCCATCCAGTTTCTCGACTCGTACGGCTTTCGACTGTAGTGCATTACCTGCTGCTCGCTGCACAGCAGAAGGATCCGGAGAGTGACGTGATGACTCGTTGACAGGCATGACAGTCACAACACCCGCAGTCGTGCGAGGGCGAACAACAGTAACCATGTTTGAAGACTTCTTATCTCACCTCCAGATGTAGTCCAGTCCGAGATGGCGTCCTGCAATAGCTGCCTTGCTTGAACACACGCTTGCTAACCGCCGTGCAGTCCACCAGGAGTATGATGATAAGTCAACAGCAACATGCTGGTGTGCATGAACCAAGTATATTATTGCCGAAGAAGACCGATGTCCAACGGCAGCAAGTCTCAATCAAAAGTGTGAGAGGTGTCGTCGGCGGTGGACGCCATACCGCCGCGGCACCATCTGCGCGTGCTTGACCCTCAGTCGCCTCGAGCATGTCAAATCGAATCAACCTGCGGCTCGGACCTTGGCCATAGTGGATATATCATATACATATCTCGCCAGTGACAGCGTCCGGACCGGAAGGCATCTCCACTGCGTGAGCAGGTACTCAGCAACAGAGTGCCTTGGTAGCTGGGTCAGAGGATCTCAAATTGCAATTAGAGTCCCGGCGGACGCGCCATGGAAGCATCTCCGAAGCACCAGTGTCATCAAACTCTGGTGTAAGCGAGATCGTGGATAGAGTGCTCGCCTAACTAGTCCCGAACAAGAGAAAGCTTTATGCAAGACCTCGCTTGATCGATCCCGTGCTACCAATCACGACTGTCGGACGAACCCAGCAGGCCACGCACGCGTCATGCACTACTGCATAGCTGCAGCTGCATGGCAGGAGTGCGAGATGGGGGTCTTGCAATGTGTGCTCTGGGCTTAGTGGGAACTTTGTGGAGGTTCCATTGCAGCGTTTCAGGTGAGCGAGAGCGAGAAAGAAAGTGCATCAGCCCCGCCAGGTCCGCTGAAGAAAGTCTGTACTTGCGCGGGCGAGGCCATTCAGGATTACGATTAAGCGAGACGCTCGCTACAGAGGCGAGCTTCCTTTCCGCGACGACGTTCTTTCTTGATTTCAAAGAGAACATGGTTCGACTTGTCGTTCACGGATTTGATGATTGAGACGCAATGCCAACAATATATGTACACAAGCTACCTCGTAGACGTCCAAGGGACTAAACAGCTGGTCCCGGGGATCTGGTTGACGGTAGGTTCGGGCATGGCAGATCTGCACGCTAGGATCGGACCCATAGATCTGGTGTCGGAAAGCGCCCGGAGTTCGTGCCAAATGGTCGGTAAACTTTGCTGATTTGATGTGGTTACGGTGTGATGCAAAGTATGCATTCATGACACAACCGCCATGCATCTTGCTCACGCCGTCGGAATGGGGCCAGAATGCCGGATGCTCGAACAGATTTGCTGCTAAGCCAGGTAAATCGTTGAAGCAGGCCAGCTTCTGTTTCACACAATACTGTATGAGGTATATGGCACTTCCGGCTGGTCTTGCGGACAATGCAGCTCTCCGACGCAAGAGCAGGGGCGTTGCAGCGCCAAATGACGCTGCAGGTCTTTCGACTGCTCCTTTGGTTGATGTATAGCAATCAAGTAAGATCCATCGTGGGAGCTGGCGTAATACCAGATTCTGCCTTATTCGGCAGTGCTTCTTGCGGCACCACCTCTTGCTGAGCTTCTTCGACTGCCTCTTTTGGTGTAGGATCGAATATCTCAGCCAGGTTGAACCGTCGAAGTTGCTCGAAGCTGTTGTCGACGACACTCACTCCACAGACATTCTGCTGAGCTTTAGTATCCCTGTATCGGCGCCACAAATAGATTGCAACGCACCTTGTAGACTTCGACGATGATCAGAAGGTCGTAATCCTTCAAATCGACCTCATGTCCCTGACCAACGAGCGAGGCGATTTGTTTGATGATGCTGTCTCGGCTAAGCACATTATGATTGCGTAAATTAGGTCGGATGGCGAACTGCGAATTCGGATCAGCCAGGTGTGAAATGATTGATGATAGCAAGACTTCTTACTTTCCTGGCCACGAAAGGCTCTTGGTGGAAGTGAGGCGCAAGGACTTCCAGAGCGACTTTCTCTACACCCTCGGTCGTAGCACGTCCAAGTAATGTCATGGGTGAGAGCCGCTTGACAATCCTAGTACGCCGGAGCGCACTCCTTTTCGTTGCGTCCTCACATATTCTCTTGACAAAGGATACCGGCTCGATGGGACTATGCGTTCGGAAGAAGACCACTAGGGTCCGAGTCAGCTGTTGAAGAGCGAGATGGACGGCGAAAATAATGTGCTTACCACACTGAACATCAAGTCGCACAGGCGTGCAAATCTGCACAGAAGCTGGCTTGCGAATGTCTGCAACTTCAGCTTGGATAGAGCTCTCGATATCTGTGGAGCTACCATCCTCTTTCGACTCATTGCCTCCACCAGGCCGGTCTCCAGTGATGAGGTGATCGCCATAAAGATGAGCTGCGTATTCGGTGAAGAGCTCGCGCAGCTCTGCGACACATTTTCCTTCGCGGCCTTTATTACAGGTCGCCCATATGCCACTGTCGCCTGGTTGAATGGTCTGGGCTGTATATGCGTTGTTGCCTCCTTGTCGAGGTACTCGCCACTGTTTCTTCGTCTGGGCTTGGCGTTAGCAATTTGCTTAAAGGGATGCCAGTGAGGCTGTAAACTAGATCCACTCTGCACTCACTCTCATGCGCTTGTCAGCGTCTCCACCGTCATCATCTGCCTTTCTCTTGAGGTTGTCCATGTTCAAATATCGGTAGTATCAAATTTGTAGCTTTCTGGAAGATGGTGGCGTCTTGGAAAGTGCTCAAGTTGATCTCTCTCCACCGTGACTCAGCAGCATTGCGCCCTGTATGCAAAGAATGAGCGCAACTGTATCAATATACGTGTGCTTTGTCGAGACTCGAATCTAACTTGACATATAGCGTCTCACATTAGCTAGAATGCAAAAAGAGACATAAATAACTTCATCGCTCTGTGTTCCGAGTTTTAAAGCAAGGTCAACCACGATCAACGACAACACATCTACACAGTCCTCGCAATGTCAACACCAGCCACAGCACCTTTCCTTTATCCTAGCGCCAATGAGGCCGCATTGGAATTACAGTACGTCGGGGAGAGACTTCAAAACGTACAGGCACCAGCAGCCGTGCTTGATCTGGCTGTGATCAGACGCAATTGTCGGCTTATGCTTGAGGCGGTAGATGCTTTGGGAGTTGATTTTCGAGCTCATGTCAAGACACACAAGGTCAGTCGCCTTACGGCGTATGCCGTCGTACATTCTCGCTCACTCAATCACAGACGACGCAGCTGACGAAGCTTCAAGTTGGTGATGCTCCTCGGCCCGTGAAATTGGTGGCTTCCACGGTATCAGAGATCGAGCATCTATTGCCATGGCTGCTCGAGTGCAAAGTACAGGGTCGTGAGGTGACTGTGCGTTTCATCCGAACACGCTACTTCCGTCCCCTGCTGATCCACCCCAGGTTCTCTACGGTCTTCCACTGACACCTTCGGCCATACCCAGACTATCAGCCGTAGCTCGATTGCTAGGGGACGACTGTCTAGGCCTGTTTGTAGACCATCCGGGCCAGATTAAATTCATCGAGGAGAGTCACGCCTCCTGGCCTGGCAAGGTGCCCATCTGGCCACAAATCGACGTCGGCTACCATCGTGAAGGTGTCGGCGCACACTCCAAACAGCTCGCTGATGTAGCCTATGCGCTCGTCGCTTCAGAACACACTCGTCTTGCCGGCTTGTATACTCATATGGGTCATTCTTACAGTGTCAGTAGTCCAGAAGAAGCTCTAGACTTCATGTCCCAGGAGTTAGTCGGGCTGGAAGAAGGCGCTATCGAGTTCTTGAAGATCGCAGGCGCGCACGAGACGAAGAGTTCAAACGCGCAGAAAGTCGTGCTTTCTATCGGCGCCACGCCAACAGCTACATCAGTACAGAACCTGCTAGAGGGTAACGAGGGAGCGGCGAAGTATCGAACGATGATTGAGAAGATCAACAAGTCTTTTGCGGTAGAGGTGCATGCTGGCGTCTATCCGGTCATGGACATGCAACAACTTGCCACTCGAGCTCGACCCACCCAATCGGCCAACAATCCCACAAAGAGCCTACTAAGCTACTCCGACCTCGGGCTTCGCATGCTTGTCGAGGTAGCAAGCATATACCCAGGCCGTGGCGAGAAGCCAGAAGCACTGGTAGCAGCTGGTTCCATCGTCTTCGGCCGTGACCCGTGTAAAAGCTACCCAGGCTGGGGCGTAGTTTCACCGTGGCCACAACAGCATGGGCAGCATTACGATCCCGAAGGCTCAAAAACAGGGTGGATTGTCGGTCGCATTGCTCAGGAGCATGGGATTTTGACCTGGGAAGGTTCTACAGAACATGTACGACAGCTGGAGCTGGGGGAGAAGTTGCTGGTGTGGCCGAATCATGCATGTATAGCAAGTGCTAATTTCGGTTGGTATTTGGTGGTCGATACTGATACTTCCGAGCCGGAGAGGGTTATCGATATCTGGGTTCGGTGGCGTGGTTGGTGAGGTACATTGTTATCATATAGAGCAGATTCCTGGTCGTAAATTAGACATACCGCAGAATCGTAGTGCGGAAGGTCACAGATCGTCATCATCAATGTTGATGGTCTCACGTACTTGCTCCTTCTGCGTCGCGAGCATCTCCTCAGCACGCCGAGCTTCCATATCCAGCTCTGCACTTAGCTGGGCACCCAAGCTCGCCTCTCTCATACCTTGTGACTTGTCGTCATCTTCATCCACATCCACACCGCTGGCCTCTGCTATCTTCACAAGCAGAGCTCGCTGCTTCTGAAGTTCGTCTTCCAGTTTCTTCTCTGCAGTCTCTCTATCTTTTCGTGCATGGTCGTGAAACGTTGCAGAGCTTGTCCGCCACTTCTCCTCTCGAGCTTGGGTTTTATCTGCGGCTGACTTCCTGCAGTGCTCTAGCCAGGGAACAAGCTTGCTTATATTAGCAAGCTCGGCCATGCTGGAAGCGGCCGCGGCATTCATGCTCTGGCCTAGCACATCTTATACCACGCCTACTCGGGCCTGATTGACTGTGTGGTTGTCTCGTTGGAGCTTGTCAGACGTGGTCAAGGTGTCGAAGAGCCAGCCTCCTTGCTTGATCCACTCAAAATGCCACCGCTTGACGAATTCGAGTGTATCGTCTGGTTTCCGCTGTCTCAGAAGGGAGAGTGCTTCGCGTAGGAGCGCATTAGTATCACTCGAGCTCGCTAATTCTGTGCTCTCATCTGTGCGCGCTTTCTTGGGTGGGCGAACTTCATAGACATCGTCGTCGTCCTCTCGAGCACGTGATCCTGACTGGCTGTAAGACGCCCCTTTGCCGTTTATTTCAGCATTGGCGAGCGACAGTGAAGCTGACGACTTGCTACTGTCGTGTCTGGAGGACGCAAACTTGGAAGCGAAAGGTTTGGAGTCAGTTTTGCCGTCGTCGACAGTCACACTGTAGGTGTGCTCCTTTGCCACAGGCCCATCGACGCGAAGGCGGATCTCGGCCGCAATTTGCACATTATGGCCTTCTAGGCGCTGCAGCAGCTGTTGCAGTTCACCCAAAGTCTTGCGTATCGACATGCGCTCCTCGAACGTCGAATTGAGGATCCTGACATCCCCGTCGAAGCCATGCTGGATTCTGGGCTCGCCAGATGCGGTGGGTACTTGGCGTACCGTGTGAGATGGCGAAGAGGCCATGCCTGTTGTCTCCCACACTTGTGGCGAATCCTATATGGAAGTGTTGATCGGTCTCGTGATCGGCAAATGAGAAGACGCGACTTTTAAACGCGTTATGGCAATATCCCGATTGAGCTTGGTGGTGGACTGGTGGTGTCTGCGGCGTTCGCCCGCCGAACCAGTTCGCTGCTGTGTACCGACCCAGAACAGGGCTGAACCCTAATTTTGCCTACCGAGTAATCGCCTTAGGCCGCCCTGGATCTTCGAGCCGGACGTATTGAAATATCAGGGGAGGATATGGTGTTTGGCGAGCTCAACTTGCTTGGAGGCAGTGGAGCAGGGAGTTCGCGCACGAATCAAAGCGCTCGGCGATTCGAGAGACGACGCTAGGGAGCGGCGGCCGGCTCGGGAGGACTCCAACGGGAGCAGTAGATGATCATAGCGCGCGTGTGACCCTGAAGAAGGAGAGCTCCTTCTGCTTGTCGAGCCCAGGATTAGCTCGCCGGTTCGGCCAAGTGGTCGTCACACTGTCACACGGTGGGCTCATCAGAGTTGGTGACCAATGCCTACTGCTCGAACATAGGTTCCTCTTCACTTAATATTTACTGATACTCACCTTATAAGATAGCTACTTGATTGGCTGCCTGTATAGGTGCCGTTGGGCGCAACCGTCATGAATTTCCTATAGTAGCCAAGATCTGCTCCCTGCTGCTGCACAATCCTAATCACAGCGATCTCCTTGCGGTCTGTTGAGCAGGTTTCATCGTGCTGACAGCCTGAGACCTGTACACTGGGGGTGCTGTGCGAGGACTGTAGGACAGACGAAAGATCATGATTTCTGGTCAGAGCAGCGAGAGCGACGATGTGTATCAGACGCCATTGGAGGTAGTGGAGCATGAAGACGAGCGTGAGTCCGTCATGCAACCACCAGTACATCCTCTGCCGTCGATGCAGGGCGCCTTTGAGGAGTCTATCGTCGAGTCTACTGCAGCAGATGAAACTGTGCTGCCCTCCAGCGGTGCGGACGCCGAAGCCAGACGACAGGATTTGCTCGAAGCTCGCCAGTACGACGACTCCTGCAACAGCCGGTGGAAGCAGCGAGCTACGGCGAGGTACCACCCTTTGCTGAAACTCATGGCCCAGATCGTGTTCGGAATGCATCTGCTGCAGGAAGAACAGGCCAAATCGGACGGAGAGGTTGTCAAGATCCTCCAGACTCATGTCAACGAGGTCGACAGTTTCCTGGAGCGAACGTCAGAAGATTTTGGGCTTGCTATTACAGATATCGAGGAACGTATAGGCCATCTGCGGCTGCCTCTGGAGCATGTCGAGGTTTTCAATAGCATGCTTGAAGACAAGGACTTTCGTACGCAGTTGTTGGAAGGCAATGCCAAGATCGAGAAGATCATCGACCGTACAGCTAAAGCTATGAATGGTGCTCTGGCAGACGTGCAGCATGGCATACAGGCGACACAAGAGCTTGGAAAGTACTTGCACGAATCACAAGACCGATGGCCAATGAGCAATGCTAGCGTGGCAGACGTCCATGGTGCAATGGGCGGAAATCAGCAAGGTTGGCTCAAGTTTCTGCAGGAGCTTCAGGCGAAAGGCAAGAAGCTGGGAACCAGTCTCGTGCAACTAGCGACTTTAATTGGCGAGATGTCCAGGCTTGCAGCAGCCGCCAGCAGAAGAAGCATACCGGCCCGTAGAAACGCTTCACCCACACGCTCGACCCGATCCACCCGATCACTGCCAGTAACGTCGTCACAACTGCGCTCACGATTCACGAACAGCCAACCTCCACCAATGCCGCAGAATACAGCTATACTTAATAAACCACTCCCCCAGGCACCTGGCATGAAATCTCATCCTGTGCCTTTCGCACAACGTTATGAACAGCCACGCCAGTCACCAGCGCCTAGTGTAGCGCCGAGCGGCCGCCGGATAGTCAGCATGCCACAGCAAGCCATACCGCCGCGACCCAAGACGGCAGGAGCTCCACGAGATGCCCGTCAGACTGAAGGTAGTACAGCAGACCTAGCAGACTTTCTGAAACGTTCGAATCCCCTCGGCAGTAACCCCAATCCATTACGTAGTAATCCGAATCCTTTACGGAGTAATCCACCAGGTCAGGGCATTTCGCCAGCCCCGCGAGACATGAGCAGAGGTGCCAGAGCACGCAGTCAAGGGGCGCATGATCTTATGAGTGCTGCGGCTGACGCGCAGGCTGCTGTGGCGAAGTCCAAGGGTCATGGCGCGGCCGTGATTGTGACTGGTCGACGAGGGCAGAGCCGACCAAGTAGTCGCGGTGGCGACAAAGCTTTGGATGACGGTGCGAATTCGCGGAAGGATTCTGTGGCGAGGTATCTCTTCTCCATTATCAAGCATCAACTGTTGAATATTCACTGACATGTCATGCAGCTCTGGCTTCGCCCGCCGCATGTCAACCCGCATGAAGAACTTCCGCACATCAGAAGACAACGACCCATCAGCCAGAAATCCCGGCGCCATCGCACCGACAGACTCCGCCTACTCGTCCGGAAACGAGAAAATGACCACCGTACCAGAAACGCCACAGACGCCGCGAACGGCGAGAAGTGCCCGGCCGCCTTCGAGACTGGGCCTGTTCCCGAGAGTGACCGAGTCAGCCGCGCCAAATCCGGACCTTGCTGGTGTTGAGAGAAGTGCTTCAACGATCGGGGCGAGTACGCGCTCTCTGGCGTCGAATAAGCCGTCGAAGAGTCGCGGGTTGAGTTTGCGGAATATTTTCCATCGGAGGGATAGGAGTCAGATGAGTGATGTCCGGTGAAAAGATTCTGATATTCGCTTGCTGTCTATTGGGTAAGTGCCCTGAACACCAGTTGAGCGAATGCTTGAGGATTTCCAATGTCATATACCCGAAGTTCTACGCGGAAGGCGTTGGTATGTGTGGTACATCGTGGGCAGGACAGAGACAAGTCAGGAGAGAGAGCGTCTGAGGCATCAAGTATGGCTATCTATCGACAGGATTAAAGCGTTGCATTGTGCCTTCGCAACATACTTGGGTCGTTCACCGATTCATCTTTCGCTACACCGAAGGTTGTCCGCCTCGATGGCCTGCGAGGCAAGCATGTACGGATTCGTAGACGCTCCTCGGAAGTATCGCACACTTGTGTTCGATAGGGGTGAGAGGCTTGGACTGTAAGGATGGGGTATATTCCTTGGATACTGTATGTATACGATGATCAAGTTCGATGATATCCACCCCCTTGTTATTTCAAGACCGTTCACGCTGTGTGTGCAGCCACCCGTGCGCCAATGCTTTGCTATGCTATACAACATCATCTAATGATGTACTGTGGAACGTCCTCCAGGTACGCACAGTCGTCAATTCATGCACGTCGCCCCTCAGCCTTTACAGCACGAATCTCACTGCGCCATACCAGCTTCTCCCACCAGCTTCGCATGCTGCCCTACTTCTCCACCCCCTTAACCACCATCTCCTCCTTCCTCTTTCCCCTTACTCACGACCCTTACTCACGACCCTCCCTCACCTCCCCACTCACTCACGACCCTTCCTACCGCGCTTCCACTCCCCATACCACCCCCTTACATCTCCCTCCTAATCCTCTCAACATAGTCCTCCGCCCACTTCGCGACCTCCGCATCAAAGACCCTGCCATCGATCTTGAAAACGTCCTTGCAATGTTTCCTCAGTACCAAACGGGCTTGATGGAAGTATGCCATTGCGGAGATTTCTTCGTGAGCAGTTAGAGGTGAGGTGGCCCTGTTGTGGCGTTCGCCCGCGATGCCTGTCTTTCTATCTGACTCTGGCTCGACTGGAGCGATCTTGGCTCTCTTTGCTCGTTTGGCGGGAGTGGTTAGCAGAGCTGGAGTGATCGCCTGGTCGAGGATGTCTGCATTGGGTGCACGGCGCTTCGCTGGGATCTTTTTTGTCGGAGCAGCGTCTTTGCTGGGATTAGGTTGGAGTGGTGGTAAGGTCTTGAGCTGGTCCGAGGGGTCTTGGAGCGTTACGCTGCGCTTCATTGCCGCCTTGCCGGTTGATGCCGAAGCTTTGCTGCCACCATGGCCGAATAAGGATGCCGTGACCGAGACCGCTTGAGCAGGAGTCGTGAATTTAGACATCACACCTTCATCGACACCAAAGTCCTCCTTCCAAGCAGGTGTTTTGGACTTCCTATAAGCCTCCTCCGCCCTCTTAGCGAACGTCTTCTCCCTGCCTTTCATCACTGCCCGCTCCAACCCAGGCATCTTTGGAAACACCCCGCCCTCCCTCTCACTCTCTTCAACCCTCGCTCTCAGCTCATCCTGCCTCACTCCACTCTCAAAAATATCCTCCATCCGTTCCTCAAGCGTGATCCAATTCCTGTGCGCACTCCCGTACCCATTCGCTTGACGCCACTTTGTGTGCGCATTCGCCCGTATCAGGCGTACGCGTGAGCGGTTAAGTTCGTTGCCTGAAGGGTCCCAGTAGCTCTGCCAGAGATGCAGGGTTTCTTTATCGTCCCAGGGGAGGTCTTTGGGATTGATACGACGGGTCTCAGGGGCTGGGGATGTCTTGAACGGCTGGATGCTTATCCTGCGTTTCATTGAGTTTTGGGAGCTTTGCTTGGCGCTTGTCGATTGCCTGGTGTGTGTAGGAGTAGATCTGGAAAGGGCGTCGAGAGCGGCGAAGCCCTCTGGAGCTAGAGAGGTGGTGTCCGCAGCATTCTCGTTGGCTCTCAAAGTGGTGATTGCACTCTTAGCAGCAGGTACCTCGCTGCTCCGATCCTCGAACAGTCCCAATGTGGGCGACTTCGAGCGTAGCGGCACAAAAAGTGGACTAGGACTAGCGATCGATCTCTCCCGGGTTATGGGAGGCACAGACAGCTTTCTGGCTTGCGAGGGACTGGAGGTGAATGTTAGACGTCTATTGACTGGTAAGGCCGGCTTGACGGCATCCGACGTTGACTTCACGGCCGTGGCGGATGGTTGGCGGAAAGGAGTGGCAGCTTCTTCTTCGTCTGTCTGGTGAGGTGCAGCTGCGAGTTGTTTCTGGAAGCTATTCGGGTGAAGTGTGGAAATGGTGGGCCGGGGTTGTGTTCCATTGTTCACCACCATCTTGGCATCCACATCTTCTTCGCTCGTCGGCAGCAGCTGAGCTTGTCGAGGAGAATCCACCCGCACCTCCTTACTACGAGACGCCGGCATAGACATCTGCCGCATCAGATAATTGGATGTCTTGCGAGGAGTGACCGTTGAGTGATGGCCCTCCGACGTTGTCATGATGGCGATATGTGGAAGTGTTGTTTGTTGGTGGTGAAGTTATGTTCTTGTTGTGCTCTGCGACGAGAAGGCAGCAGCAATAGTTATAGCCCCACATAAAACGTCACCTTCACGCAGTGAGTGAACTTTCCAGCCAGACTTGGAAGGAGCGCACGGCGTCCTAAGTGCCATTTCGGCAGAGCTTGCTCAGTCACATGCCAACCCGAATCGTGGTGAATGATGTCCAACTAGGAAACTTGTATCATATATATATAGTCCGTATACCCCCTCCACTACTTCCCCCGAAAATCCGGCTTCCTCTTCTCCCCAAAAGCCTTCAACGCCTCCATCCTATCCTGCGTCGGTAAAACCATCTCATAAGCCGAATTCTCGCTGGCCTCCCCATTCTTCCACGTCTTCATCGCTTGCATCGCGGCTCGGATCGCTATGGGGCCACCCTCACAGATCGTCTTGGCCATTTCCACCGCTTGCTCCATCACTATTCCCCTTCCCACCCCTGCTTGACCATTTTGCTCATCGGTGACTTGCACCAATCTGTCGCAGAGACCGATAAAGTACGCTTCGGCTCCTGTGATGCGCCGGCCAGTCAGGATGAGATCTCGTGCGCGTGTCTCACCTATCATGGCCGGGAGACGATATGTTCCTCCTGCTCCCGGAATGATGGCTAGGCGGGTTTCGGGCAACCCCACAGTTGCTTGGGATGACATGACACGGAAGTTCGTACAGAGGCCTAGTTCAAGGCCGCCCCCGAAGGCTGAGCTGCTGATGGCGGAGATGGTGGGGATGGGGAGGGTGGAGAGGCGGGTGAAAGTTTTGCGGAGGGTGGAGAGGAAGTTTTGGGTGCTGAATATACGACATCAGCATGACTTTGGGTGAATGTAAGGATGATGTGGGAAGACGTACTCCTCGGGTGTGAAGGTCAACCTCTCCTTCAAGTCCGCACCAGCACAGAAAGCATCGTCGCTCTCCGAAGCCAGGATCAACGCTCTCGTGCTACCCTTCCCACCCTCAGCATGCAGACCCTCGATCACACCACTCAGCTCCGATAGAAGCTGCCTCGAGAGTGCGTTTCGTGCCTTGGGTCTATTCAGCGATAGCACGGCAATGCTACCCGTATGCGGTGCCGGCACACTACTGATTTTGATCGTCGACGACAAGCTTGTCGCATGTCGGATCTGTCCAGTGGTGCTCAACCATTGTCGAGCGAGGCCATGACGGCAGACTGTCCGTGGGCCTGTCGACAGCATATCGATGCTCTGAGCAGGAATCCCTTCATCTCAACTCCGTAGAATTTACACATCTGACCCTGGTCATCTTGGTAACAGCCTCGGCGGTTGTGGCTGGAATCGCGCAGAGTGTAATTGAGCCTCCTCCGCTCTAGGACTGGGGTCTTGCTGGCCAATCAACAAGCATGCCCAATAACTACGCATGATCTGTGCAGGTAGGCGATGATGTCTGAGTCAACTACCAGCGTATAACGAACATGGATTTCCAAGCCGAGCTTCATATCACACTTGAAGCTCAGGCGTTGCACGTTGCCTGACAATATATTGCGAAGTCACCTTCGATCCTAGCCACCAAGCCGTCATAAATCTGGTCGACCATCAAACACAACCTCCTGCTATTACCGCACCACACTAGTCCTGGACGATCATCATGGACACAATCATAGACCGATTGCCGTCTCTCCGCACCCTCCGCAACATCGCCCTCTCCACCCTAGGCTTCACCCAGCAAATCCTCGAATCTTCGGATAATAGACCTATCATCCCAGCTCCGCACCATCTGGAACCCTACGCCACCTGCTCCAACCCTCAACTATCCTGCCACGTCAACCCCATCCCAGACAACCTCTGCTGCTTCAATCACCCAGGCGGTGCACTCCTCCAAACTCAATTCTGGGACACGCATCCCGTCACCGGACCCCAAGACTCCTGGACGATCCACGGGTTATGGCCCGACAACTGCGACGGGACGTACGAAGCTAATTGCGATGACGAGCGAGCTTACAGGAACATCTCCGCCATCCTAAAGTCGTCCGGTGCCAATGGTCTGCTAGATTTCATGCAAGAATACTGGGTCTCCGATTCCGGATCTAGTGAGCATTTCTGGGAACACGAGTGGAGTAAACATGGGACTTGTATCTCTACCCTCCGACCGGAATGTTATGGTGATTACCAGCCTACGGAGGAGGTGCCGATATTCTTTAACCGGACGGCGGGATTGTTCAAGTCGTTGCCAACCTATGAGTGGTTGAGCGACGCGGGTATCGTGCCGAGTAGCAGAACGACATATTCCACTGCACAGATCCAAGCAGCTCTCGCTGCGAAACATGGTGGGCGGGATGTCTATCTCGGTTGTCGCAGTGGGCAATTGAATGAGGTTTGGTATTTCTTCAATGTAGCAGGATCACTGCAAACTGGCTCCTTTGAGCCGAGCGAGGTCGTGGGTGTCTCGTCCAAATGTCCGGCTACCGGGATCAAATACCTACCTAAAGGATCTGGGGTTCAGCCCACGCGGACGGCTACTGAGCCTGTTCCGCTACCGACCTCGACGGGACCGGCTTTTAGTGGTAAGGGATACCTGAATGTCTTCACTGGTGGCAATCAGAAAGGCTGCCTGATCGGCGCCGGGAAATGGTATACAACGGGTAGTTGTGCGAGCTTCACCACCTCTCCTGTCTCTTCCGAGCACAGCGAGGCCAAGCATGTCAAGCGTGGTGGCGGCGCATTCACCCTCAAGTCTCGCAAAGGCGATTGTGGCATCGTCAAAGGCGCTTTGACTTGCGGTAACAGTGTGAGGCATCCTAGTACTTTCTCCTCGGATGGCAAGATGTTGATGTTTGAGCGCAACAGGACATTCTATGCTGATGCTGTGCCGAGGGGTTGGAAACAGGGGACTGTTTATACGGAGGCTGGTGATCACAGTACGAATTTGAGTATCGAGTGGCGCAATCTGTAGCTAAGTAGCCAAACAAATGCTTGGGTCCATGTGAGACCTAGAGAGACGGCAGTGCGTGCCGATTCTACTCCTTTCTGGGCGTCAGGCACGTAGCGTCTGGCCTCGTATTCGGCTCAAGGAGGCAAGGAGATCGAAGGCTCGTTCACGGAGGTCTGACGGCTTTGTCTCGAAAACAGTCCGCGATCGGTACGGGATATAGACGGGTCACTTCTCTCTTGATATCTGCAGAATACATGCATATGTGACTCATGGCTGACCTGCTACGGGTATCATTCTGGCCTTCCGTTCGAGCCCCTTCGTAGCGGAAATTCGTAATCATCTTTCCCGCCTGGGTATATAGCAAAGTCTCCTCCCACATGAACCCACAAAATTCGGACATCATCTCATTCCAGCCCAGCGCGGCCAAAGCCCAGTCCAGCCCAGTCCATCCGAATCAACGTCCTCTAGCCCTAGGCTTTTCGCCAGGCACTCTAGGCTTCCGCTGGCATCATCGATTAGGTAGTGCAATGGCTCGTCGTCTTGTTGAGTCAAGTCAAGTATATGGATTCATTCAGTCATCATCCACACCTCACTTCACTTCACTCCACTCAACCCGGCTCAGTGCCCTCGTCAATCTTATCAGGAACCCCGCACGCTCCCTCCATGCTCGCCGCATGACCATCGGGTATCAACGGCCGCATGGCATTGAGAGACTCTTTTGGCTCGAGCCCTGTTGTAGCGCAGTCAGCATTAGGTTTCGGCGTCTGTTGGTGCGAAGAAGCTTGAGTCTGCGAGGACTCGGTTTTGACGGGATTGGGAGGGTGTTGCTGTTGTTGTGCGCCAGTCCCGCCGCCTCGGGCTGGGTTCGACGAGACGGAGACCTTGGAGCCTTTGTCTGAGACCGAGTGTTTGGATGAAGCGCGGGGAGATATGCGACCGTTCTGTTATGCTCATTAGCTTTGCCACGATAACATGAGATGGGTGGTGCTTAGTACTCACCAATTTGGCCCACCGTAGCCCACAGCTATTACACAAATCTCGCTGCCCGCTCGGTCCCCGCCTCCACTCAGGCGTGACCTTGGTGTGACAATTCGCACAGTCTTTGGTCATACTACTCCCGTTCTTCCTCCTCTTCCTCTTCTTCTTCGCCGCTATCAAGGCCTGCACTTCTTCGGCTAACATGCGATTCCGCTTCTCCAACTGCCTGATCTCGTATTGCCACGAGCTCGACTTCGTTGCTTTCAGCTCGTCGAACAGATTATCTTCTGATGCGAGCGAGACATCTTGATGGCCAATCACCAGGCCGTTTTGCCCGGCGTACGTCGTGGCGTGCTCGTTTGTGCCGACAAACTGGCTGCTGGAGACGCCGGAGTTAGGTGTTTCGGCTCCTGTAGGGTTTACGGACGTCTGTGTTTGGGACTGCGAAGTTGAATCTAATGATTCATTAGAGGGTCGTTCGCTTTTGGCGTAGATGGTTGGTCGTATTGGTTGGGTGCCTCGCGTGTACTTGATTAGTCGGGTCTGCGCAACGATGAATGTGGGTTTGAGCCCCTCGGTGGCGTCGCCCGGGTAAAGGGTTGTGAAAGCAGACATGACTTGGCCTCGACGATTGATCATTTCGTGCTTGACCGATGCTTTCTTGCCCATACGTGCATGTTCCAAGATCCGGCTGAATTCGTTCTTCGACTCGGATCGCATGAGTGTCTGTATGCTGACGCCAACGAGCTCGTCTGGTTGTCGGTCCAGTAGTTGTCGCACGTTAGACGATACGTACAAGAACATGCCAGAGGTCGACATCTTTGTCCACAGCTCGTTCTCGCCAATGCCGCCAGCATTGACGATCTCGCTCTTGCTCAACGTGTAGACTGGTCGTTCGCGTCCGACCATGATGATCGATTTGCGACCTTTGCCTTGCTCAGTGTGCAGCGACCCATGGCCCTCAAACCACATATATCCACTGTTCTTCCGCCGTATCCGGAACACAACATTCACGGACGCACCAGAGGAAGTATCCTTCAATTCTCGTGTGACGGGCACGATATCGCTAGGATGGCATACCGAGCTGAGTGCCGTGCCGATGATTTCACTCGGCTCGTACTCCAGCACCCGGAGAGCAGAAGGCGACACCCATTGGAATAGACCTTTGAGTGAGAGCACGTGTACCACATCGTCAGTGTTTTCGAGCAAGACCTTGTCCCACATACGTTTCGCGTACTCGGACTCGCCAGTACCGATAGTCGTGAGGATCGCGGAGACATCATCTCGTGGTACCGTCTGACCTAGATCGGCTTTCTGCGACCCATCTGGGGCATTCAGAACATATCTTGGCATAGTCATGCCTCGCTGATAGTTGATCGAGTAGCTGCCGTCTGGAGAGCATACTGTATTAGCATGGTCATACTACTGACAACGTCTTCGCACAACTTACCCGGATTTTTGTTAGTCACAGCGTTGGGCTGCTCCACCAGATCAACCTGAAACCCGACAAAGAACTTCACCTGGTCCGTCTCCCACGTAATGGGAATCATTGTAAGCAGATTCATAAATGGCTGCCCTCCTCTTCGATAGTTAATTAGTGAGATTTGCGCTTCTCGTCGTAGGTTAATCATGTTCTTCAGATACAACACAGAATCATCGTCAACATATTTTCTTCGGTGCCCTGGTGCCACAGTACCGTCAGGCGACTGTAAGAATCGACAGTTCCGGCCTAGAATCATATGTTTGGTGTAGCCAGTCAGTCGCTCGAAGTTGTCAGAGCAGTAGACGATGGGTATGTCGTCTTTTTCGGCGTCGCAGACCACAAAAGCGCACGATAGATCAACGGCGCCGATGTTGATCTCTGGATTCGGTCGAGTGGCAACCCGCATCTAAATGATGGTCAGTCACAATTCCATCTGCGTATCTGCTCGCTTGCTGAGCATACCAAAACGCCAAGCATATCAAATCCAGTCGACGAGTAAGCATGCTTGTACGAACTCTGCATATGCGGCCGATTCACCATCGTCGACGGCCATCCTCCCTCCCCTTCCTCCCAGTCGAAACCCTGATTATTCGGGTTGTACTTGCTGGGATCAACTGTGAACTCGTCGCTACGAGGCTTGTAATCGTATTGCATTGGTTCGTGACGATGCATGCCTCTGTCCTCCGCCGAGCCGCGCGGAGGATTCTGTGGTTGTCCTTTGAAGCCTTGGCCTGGCGGGGGCAGATTCTGGGTCGGCTGTTGGGGTTGGATTTGAGGTTGACTCGTAGGGGTGCTGTCACCGCCGGCTGGACTGTTCATATCCGAAAGGTGTATGCTGCGACTTCTTTCGAGGCCGCGTACTGTCCCGTTGCTTGATTGGACACTTTGCCCGCCGTATTGCGTATTTGGGCCACTGCGGTTGTTGTTTGATTCGTTGTAGGATGCTGTTCTGCTCGTACTTGGGGTGCCTTGTGATGGATTCGCATGCATGGGCGAGTTCATGACGGAGTTGCTGAATTGCGGCTGGTTGTAGAGATTCATGTTCATACCGTCTCCATTCATGGCATCGTTGGGCAGCTGTTCTAGACCATAGTCCATCGACATATTCAGATTGGGATCAATGTATGGACTTGCCATATCCATCCCATTCTGACCATGTGCTGGGGACGCGAAAGCCGAGGTCGAGTTCAATATGGAATTGAAGCCTTGCGTTGAAGGCGCATAGCTCGTGTTCAGATTGAGGTCTCTCCGGGACTCTCGCCGACTATGGGCCGCACTGCCATTGTTTTGCGCCAGACTCGCAGACGTTGTGCCATTCATCATGCCATTCTGGTCAATATTCTCACCGGTGTCGAAGTCGAAATTGTGCATTGCACCAGCCGACGTAGCGTTATTGTAGTGCATCATCGATATTCGTCTCATATCCATATCGGCCTGCCTAGTGCTTGCTCCATAATGCTGCGGCATGCTCTGTCGTCTGATGTTCTTGGCATTCTGGTCGACAATGTCGTCCAGCGACTGCCCTCCCAGTATGCCATTGCCAACATCCCCCGGACCCATCATCATCGCATCATTCGTCCCATATTGATCCCCGTGGTCCATCGACGTGGTCTCGTAGCCGCCATTGTAGGAATATTCATTCATTCTCGGCCCGTACGGTCTGCCTGATAGCAGACCCGCTCAGCCGGGATATGATGCGCTGCGCAGCCTTTGATATATGGCGCTCGCGGTGCTTCGTTATTGCCCCGTCCCCGATGACCTCCGTCGTGGTGCGCAATGACTAGCGATTGACATATATAGACTCTTCACTGCTCTTCTGACCTTGCGGATAAACCAATGTTTCAGATATATCCTTAACCCTCAGCAGTCTGGTTCAACACGTCCGAGATACGGTATAGACAGGATCACGGATGTCGAAAGGAATGGCGAAGTTGCCTGTGTACTGTACAAACCCGGGAATGTTGTCGAGAGATAGAATAATGTGTCTCTAGCCCTTCATGTTAAGAGAGAGCTCACACCTCCAACACAAACCCGCTTGCCTCTTTGGGGCACGATTTGTCTCTGCCGTCCCGTCTCCAGATCCCAGCCGCGAACGCCACGAGATATGCCTTACTGTGCCGGCTTAAGCACCAACACACATAACACGACTTCTCCACCATCACACCCAAATGCAAAGCTTGTGCTGACCTGTGAGTACATCGTCCTTGGGCGCTGATATTTCTTCGACAGTGACAAACGACCAGTGCGCAGCTTCGACGTCTCGAACACTTGATCGCCCACCTCCAGCCGTGAAGAGTGATCGACAACGATCTTTCGTACTAAGCTTTTTGCCACTTAGCCCGATTGCGGAGCAAAAAGCATTGCATTACCCATCTTACCGGACAGCACATCATAACGAAAGTAATCTATAGACACGAAGACTGAAGACTGATGACTGAAGACTGTCCGCGACCCTGCGATGTTGTGTTGCTTGTGTTCGTCGTGATCTTAGCCGCCTCCTCGCACATTACCAAGAGGACATACGCAGTCATCATGTTTCCTCACACCCGTCTGAAATGCTCCATACTGACACTGCGAAGATAGCTTTTTACCTTCACAAAGGGACGATCGTTCATCTCAGCCTCATCATCATAACGACGGGACTGCATGATGCGTGACGTGTGTACACCCATTTACTTCTCTTCAAGCATTGCCGAGCGTAACGTCACGAGCAGACACGACCAAGTGCACAATGTATTGCATTCATCTTCATTGATCGAATCTATCATACATGCCTACTCAGCATCCAAAGGTGCTCTGGGCGCAGTATCGTTGACCTGCACCCCACCTCTCTTCTTATGTCCCGAATCACTAAATGGCAGCTTCCACCCTCCCTCACCCTCAGGCGTCGCCAACCACAATCTCATCAGATGTCTTCGCGGGAGTGGTGGAGCATGATCTTTATATGCCGTCCGCGAGTGCAGCACATGGGCATTACTCAAGAACTGGATATCTCCCACTTCTAGGATCATATGCAACGCAAGTCGCTGGCAAGTTTCCTCTAGCACTCGCGCCGCTTTTTGCTGTGCTTCGGACAGTGCTGGGATGATTCCGGCGTCGGAAAAGCGGGATAGCGAGTGGACGTAGTAAGGGTCCCATTTCGTGTAAATCCGGCCATCTGCACCAGTCTCTTTGTAGAGGACTGGCTGTTTAGTGTACTGTCCCTGGCCTTCTGAGACTTCGCCTTTGCGGTCGAAGTACCATATCGGCTGGCTTAGGGTCTCCACAACATCAGGTTGTTCCCGTTGCAGGGTGTTGTAGACTTCATGCGAGCTCGCGATATCGCTCTCGCCGCCTTCGAGTGACCGCGCGATACAAAGGAGGCCGACGATATCACAGTCGTCGGCGTGGAAGAATTGTCGGGCTGCGGTACGGTAGATGCGAACCTTGTCGATTTGAGTGGCGTCGGCGCCGACGTCTTTGACGTGGCCTAGGACGTGGCCGAGGCCGTTCTGGGAGACGAAGTAGCCTAGGTATGTACCTAAACCCATATACGCGACGGCGGACTTGTGGTTGCCCCATTTCTCGACCGGCATGCCTTTGAAGAGGAGGAAGCCTTTGCCGTTCAAGATCTCTTTGCGGAGAGATTCGAGAAAGGCGGACATTCTGGGAAGGGAGTATTTTTCCTATCAATCTGTTATGAGCTGTTTGCGACGATTACATTGTCTGCCATTCTCACCTTTGTGATACCAGTTAGAGACGTGCCGGAAGCAATGAACATATCAGCCGCATCGCTCATCTCTGCTGTCTCGTCGGCACTGAAGTGATGTGTCCATCGCTCGGGATTGTTCTTGTAGTCTTCAGCGTCCCACACTGTGGGTCCAGTGATCTCCCTTGGCAAGCTGTCATACGAGGCCAATTGATCGTAGTTGGGGTTGAGCTGGCCACTGGTCTTAATGCCATCTGGGAAGATAGCCTTGATGGTCTTGTCGTAGTCGGCGGATTGTGTCCCGAGAGCTGTTTCTGTCAGTGCAGGAGCCATTCTGTCGGGTCTGGAAGCGTGATTTCAAAGAATGAAGGTAATCGTACAGGAAACAATACAACAAAATCTTTTCCAAGGAAACAGTGAGAGAGTTGAGAGATCTTTCAGTTTGCCCAGCAAGATAACATCATTGATAAGCACGCCATGGACGAGGACATGCCTCGCCAGCGATCCAGGTACATGACACCTACGACCCGACCTTGTTAGTATCGATGGCAAGTCGCAGATAATGGCGTGCTCGCTTCGTGTTCTGAGTTGCTCGCGTGCGATGGTGTGCTCGAGCTCGTCAGCCATTGATTGATCGATTGCGGGGCCCTGGCCAATGGCCACTCGGCACTCGCCTCTCGTTGTTGTACGCAGTGATCAACAAAGCATACCAAACCGATCATTCATGGTAGCGTGCTTAATGGACCATGTTGTGCGACCATGAGTTGTGACAATGACGTTGAACGTTGATGTCAATGGGACGGTTATTCTGTTGGTTAACGTTGGGCGATGCCGTTAGCATAAAGCGGAATTGCCACTCTAGTGTGTCTGTCTGGTCACGTGCAACAGTAGGTGCTCAGAAAGGGAAGGGCCATTCATACCCCGCAGACTGACTGGTGGCGAATGCCTCCCATACTTGACCATCATTGCGTAGCATGGCTGTATAACGCTAGACGGAATCTCATTCCTCTCGAGAATCTCGATGTGAGGCGAGGAATCAATGTAGCGCATTTGATGGGCAAGGTGACTGTTGCAGTCGACCACACCGCCTCACAGATCGAGGCGGCTCCCTTACGAATAGTCTGCAGCTCGTTTCAGCAGATCACGAGCTCCTCTTCCCGATATCCGAGCCCAGGGACGAAGTCCACTAGCTGGCCTTTTCCAATACCGTGAATGTAAGAAAATCCGCGGAAAGTCCAAGTTCCATCCGGTGCCGGACGAAGCAATACTGGCAGACATGCTCCGTGAACCAAACACAACTGATCACCACCGATGACCTCGCCTGGTGCCAAGCCAAGATAGCCTCTGGTCGTGCAGAAAAGCGTAAGTTGTCCAGCAACGTAGTCGGCGTAGTGTGTGTACCACCAGAACAGGAATCTACGTTCATCGTCGTCATTCTCCTCCCCAGGATAAGGTCGATAGACATCTTCTGTATGCTCGAACAGACGGCTATAGCGGAACTCATCCACCGAGGGAGTCTCCTCATCATGCTCCTCCACCAGCCTATGAATGTGACCGTTGGATGCCACGACGAGCTTCGACATCCAATTCGTCTCCTCAGCCAGGCTCGCAGCACCATCCCAGAGCTTTAGGCACTCGAGTATGTCACGTAGGGCATACTTGTCATCTCGGTGCACTATTTCTTCAGAACGGGTCCGCAGAATACTCCGATCAAACTTGATATCTGGTAGGCCTTGGTCTCCGGAAGTCCTGTCGGATAGCGGACGGTGAGAGGCGAGCAGCTGACATGTGGCATACAGTAGAGTCTCGAATGGAACTCTGCCGTCGGCCGGAAAACCCGTTCCCGTACGAACCATGTCAAGTTTAGCACCCCGGAGATGTAACTGGCGCCAGTCTGTACTGATCCATGGCTCCCAGCGGCCAGTAAGACGTATCACACCATTATCCCGACCATCTAGAAACTCAGTAAAGCTTCGAAGGCCTTCGGAATGCCTCGTTCTGCCCTGCTCCGGAGTTCGGACTGCTTGCGTCAAGTCTGCAGTCCAACTAGGCATACCCTGAACCTTAGTGTCGTGCCATCTCACAAGCTCGAGCATGTCGAGTTGTCTGGTATGGGCGATTGAAGCATATGTCGCTTGGGCAAATACAGTCCAGATGGGTAGAGTGTAGTCGGGTCTAATCTTGGCAGCCTCCTTTGCACCAACAAGGCCCAACAGGGAATATACTTTATCCCGAGGGTCTGTCGAGGTGACAGTAATGGCTAGCCGTGCAGCTTCGTAGAAGGAATTATAGCGCCTGCCCTCCACCAGATCTGCGATTGTGCCAGATCGGTATAGCTGTTGAAGGCTCGTCAGCTTCTCATACAGACGCCTTGTCAGCTGGTGCGGGCTGCCGCCGGGCACGTAGTCCCTAGAGCTCCAGATACCTCCATATATAAGCCTGTGTCGGCCGAAGCAGATATGAATGTTGCTGTTGGAAACAACTTCTTGCAAGACCCAGGCTCTATCGAGCCAACATGGACTCGTGCTAGCCAAGGCAGCTTCCATAAGTCCTTGTTTGTGGTGAGCATCACTGACAAGGCTGGATCCTGGAGTGACAAGATTCTGCCAGCGCGAAAGTTTGGCAAGTACACGCCGAGCATCCATTAATCGACCCGGCTTGACCAGCCAGATCGTAACGCTGTTGGCGTGCCTATATATCTCGCTCATGAATGCAACCTGGGCAGACCTTTCGACTACATCCGCTTGATTGATACAGATCGCATCGACCCAGAGGATTAGAGGAATGCCGCGTGCTGGACGTAAGCTCCCCAGAGCCTGGTACAGATTATCCGTAATAGGTAAGAAGCAAATGTGCTTGTATGCCTGTATCCTTATAGACCGCTGGCTCAAGGCTGCACCCCAAGTGTACGACAGTGCGGAATATGCTAAGCGATTGGGTGCGGTGATACGCGTTGTCGAGATGCTGCATGTGATTTGCCTTCCAGGCAAGCCTGACTGCAGATGGATCAGTCTGATCTCCTTGTCCCTGGAGTCGAGCTTGGTATATATGCTGCTATTGGACGCTTTTGGGTTTATCACAGGTAGCATTGTGGTGAGCGGTCCCTACATCAGAGCCTGTGATAAGTGATACAGTATGTGAACAGCATCAGACAGACACAGTTCAGCCTGATTGCCTCAGCTTCTGTGCATGGTCGTAGATGCGCGTGGCTTGGCCACCCGGCTGGTCGTGCATTACTGAAGGCGCGGCCGCACAGCTCTCGGTCACTCTCCATCCATCGTCTAGTAGACACCGCAGGAGGCAGAGCTCCGGGGGTGTGAGCCAGGAACATTCGATAGCGATGGTGAACTGCGCAAGCCATACCGGAAAGCCGGTCGAAAGCCAATCGAAGAGCGAGGGCCCGAGGGCCCTAGCGTCCAGTGCAAGTAGTGGGGGGTGGAGATGGACATTGCGGAGATAAAGATGCGGCCTGGAGCAGAACAGCCGCAGCCGCAGTGCCTTCCACCATGCATGAAGGCGGCTGTGCGTCTGCAGCTCGCATGTGACTGAGAAGCTGAAATGGAGACCCGCCGAGTCAAGCCTTGACAATGATGAGCTTGTATCATGCCGCCAAGCATATCTCAGCACCCGTCGAGAGTCTGGATCCGCTATCGTGATTATGAGTGTTATTGGTGAGGTTGTGGGCATTGTGGTGAGTAGCTCCCTTGACTATGTGCTATGCCTTTCGTCTCAGTCTGAATACTGGTCCATGAACCATAATATACTTCATCTTACCCGCATCCAAGACAAGCTGACCTTTGTTGTTTCGATCAGGCCTGCGTAGCCGGCGTCATATCCGCCTACCATGACGGTGGCGCCATAATCCAAAAGATCAAACTCAAGCGCGCTGCTCGTCGTGCACCGGCTCCACCACGCCTGCTCGAAGAAAGCATCGACCAAGCGCCTTCGGAAATCGAGCGAGAAAAGCAACGAGGGATCGCGCGGTTTGGGAAGGCGTTCGAGAACGGAGATCATATTGCTGTGATCGCGTTGCAGAGTATTACTATTCAGTTGCAGGGGAGTCTGTTGGAGAAGCTGAGGAACGATGATGAGAATACGGATTTCATGTTTTTGGTTGACGCGGCTGATACGGGACGGGATGGGACGATTCGGTCTTTGTTGGAGTTGAGGCAGAGATTGTTGGCGGAGGGGCCGATTAGCGAGGTAGAGAGTCCTGCGCTGGAGCAGCAGCGGACGAAGTCGAGTGGGAGTAAGGCGATCGATCTACCGATCCATTCGGCGCATTCCCCAGAGATCGAGGCGGCAAAGTCAAGGAAGACGTGGACACGAGATGTGGGAGGTGAAGAGGAGGAGGAAGCGACGACAGGAGGAGCGGTCGAGAGCGCAACGCCAACGCCTGGTGCACGAAAACGAAATAAGTCGATCTTGGGCTTTTTCAAGCACCATCGGTCTCACTCCAACTCGGGCGATAAGTCACCGAGGGTCGAGGAGATACCACAAACAGTTACCTCACCCGCATCAATGACCCCTAGCAGCCCACGAGCGACCAGGAAAGAATCCCGCTCGCTACAACCGCCCGAGTCCTCGCCCCGCAACTTCCAATACCAAGACTGGGAGGACGACCCAGCCGCCATCTGGGGAGCACCGAAACCCGACCACCCCGAACGCCGCGATACTGTTGCCTCCCTTGCCGTCCCACCCGACGCGAACCCGACCACATCACCCTCCCCCACATCTCCCAAACCCAGTAATCGCTCTCTGAGCGTAGTCACAACCTCCGGGCCGACCTCGATAGCCACTCCCACGCCCGAGAACGATTATCTAGGCTTCTGCAAAAGCGCCTATAAACTCCAAAACGGCGACCGCAAAGCTCTGATCAAAGCCAAAGAATTCAACGACGGCTGGTCGCAATCCGCAGTCTACTATCTCTGCTGCGCGAGCACTAAGTGTGCGTTCGCGGGACATATTTCTATGGACAAGATTTGGACGAAAGTGTGGACGGTCGAGGCCAGGGGGTTGAAGTTCCGCTGGTCGTTCTTGGCGAAGAGCCATGTGGCGCAGCAGAAGGTTAAAGAACACCAGTACGGATACCAGTGTCTATTCTGCGTGTTCGGTGGCGAGAAAGGCGCTGTGTACTTCGGCACGGATATGTACCTTGAGCATGTCTCCACGCATCGCGGTCAAGCGTTATCCGAAGTCGTGGTGTACAAGTCCCAGGCTATTGTTGATCGAATTGTGGAGGTCGATGAGCATGAGGGGACGGAATTCGATATCAATCTTTTCCCACTGACGACGAAGGAGGAGAATCAGCGGAAGAGGTCCGAGGTCCTGTCTGATGAGTTGTCGGAGTATGTTGAGGCTAAGCGGAAGCAGGAGGAGGATGATAAGACCTTTTCCAACGAGCCGTGGAATGCTGGATTGTCTGAGTTCCATTATGGCGGGGAGATGGAGCGGGCGGAGCTGGAGTGAGTTGAGGAGGCACACTGCAAGCGAAGCTCTTCTATGCTGCAGTCGTATGATGCTTTAGCCATCTCGCAGGACTGTTGCGTCTCAAGGCCGCCAGATGCGGATGACACACAATTTCTCCCATCCACCTGTCTTGCCACTGGATCCCACGATCTTGGCTCTCCAACCGCCAGGCCGAGCGAGGATACCGGCAATCACAACTTCGGGTCTATTCTGATTACAAAGCAGAATATACGCTACACCGCGCTCGCTGAGTACTGTCGGAAGGTCGGCCAACAGACGATTTGTAGTTTCCATGCCGTCGTGGCCACCGGCGTACGATAAAGACAGTAGATGGGAGTCCTGCTCGAATTTGTCCTGGGTGGCAGAAGAGAGACTGGGGAGTGTCTCGGTGGGCACGTATGGAGGATTGAAGATCAAGACATCCACGTTTTGTTGGCGAAGTGAAGTGGCGAGGTCACCGACTACGCAATCTCCGAATATTCCCGCTGGCTTCACGGATCTGGTATGCTCGGTCGCGGCTCCTCGGACTGTGTGAGCGGCGGCTCGACAAGCATGTTCGTTAGCATCTGTGCCTAAGGCTAGGATGTCGGAACGGCCAAAGATGTGCTTGGCGTTTGCTGTAGCGAAGGCTAGGACGACGCCGGAGCCGACGCCTACTTCGAGAACTAGAGGCGAAGGGGTTGTGAAAGGGAAGCGGAATTTGAGGAAAGTCGATTCGGAGGCTGAAGAGAGGGTGTCGAGGAGGAGGTAGGAGTCCTCGGCTGGTTCGTAGATCTGGTCGTAGTTGACGTGTGAGGTCGACGGGGTTGGTAGCATGGTGATCAAGGCAAGACGGCCGGTGCGGGGGGGTAGCACAGTTTGAGTTCCTTTAATGATCAGAGGTTTAAGTCATGGGTGTTGACTAGGTGGAGCACGGCTCCAGCACCATCATTCTTCGTGCCAGCGAGCATTCAAGACCTCACCCGAAACGCCACGAGATACTCAACATATGATTATAACTTGACACCATAATTTAACAGTAGATATTGCTACATGGCTTGATCATTGTCGAAGTGTAGTTTTGTGCACAGACTGTCGAAATCGCGAGATGACGGCATCAAAGTCCAGACTTTTGGTTCTCGCCAATGCTCGAGCACCTTTTATTTACACAACCAAGTTCTCCTTGTATACTAATACCTTCAGCCCATAGTACTCCCCTCGAAAGATGTTCCGGCACACTTCCCGCCGCCTCGCCACAGCCTCTTCCCTCGGCTCCACCACCTCCTCCCCTCTCCGGACCGCTCCCCTCGCACTCCTCCCCCCCATCCCCCTCTACCGCCGTCTCCTCCGCGCCCATCGCAAATACCTGCCGCAGGAGATGCGTCTTCTGGGAGACGAATACATCAAGGCCGAGTTTCGCGCTCACCGGGATACGGACAACCCGGTGCATATCGTCGGGTTTCTGACGGAATGGCAGTTGTATGCGCAGAAAGTGGAGGGGAACAATTGGAGGGGGGACAAGATGGAGGAAGGGAAGGTGGGTAAGATGAGTGATGAGCAGATTGGGCAGATGTATGAGCTTATGCTGGCTATTCGTCAGCAGGAGTTGGAGGAGAATGATCCCGAGTACAAGCCCCATACGCCGCCTCCGCCGCCGGAGAAGGAGTGAAGGCGGTGATATCACATGATGATCTACTCCATTGACTGTGTCTCTTGCACACCGGCAAGCGTAGCCACGTGCTCGGCACGGAGCGCGTGGCAGAAGAGCACATGGCGAGGTCAGGCCAGCAACAGCAATCGAGCCAAGGAAGCAAATCTTGACTTCACGCCATGACGAGCGACACCGACAGCATCTTCGACATTCACGAACGAGTTCAGGAGCACGCTTATACCACAGAGGCCGCCACAGAGCGAAGATGTGTCGCACGACATTCTGGAAAGGCTACTCCTGCAACCACAACTGGTACATATCTCCCTCGCGATCACGACTCCCGCTTCAATTGCTAATGCCTTTGCAGGCTTCAACTCGACAGCCCCTGCGCCCCAGATATGAACCTCCTCACCTGTCCCGACTTCTCCTCCCATCCACCGCACGGTCATGCTCCCGTGCCTCGGCTGCCATGTCGTCGAGCGAATCCTGGAAGATGTCCGGCGTGCGAGGCTGGCGAGAAGGGGTATGACATGCGATGGAGACGAGTCTGTAGGGTTACGAGGGTGGGGATCAAATTTGGTGCAGGGCCGGCGAGAGGTAGTGGGTTGGGGGTTGAGGTTGCTTGTTGTGCTGTTATGTGAGTTGTTCCTTGGTCAAGTGTCCGGTACGGAAAAAGGACAGGAGGGATGTGGGGGTGTCAGGGTCTGTGAGATGCTTGACGGTCTGTACACATAATCTGCTAAAATACGAGTCAATACAGTCGCGGCACGACTATCAATCAGCATGCCAGCATTTCGTACTGCCAACATCTTTCCTTCTTCCCGAAACGCGCCCATCCGCTTCCACCAAACGTCCCTACCGATTACATATGCTACACACTCCATCTCCCAAAAACCCTCACACACCCACCTCCTCCGGCTTAACATCCAAATCCCAATTAATCACCCCCTCCTTCCCATACCGCCCCTCCAACCACTCATTCGCCTTCCGAAAATGCCCACACTCGAACCACCCTCTCGCCGCACTCAGCGGACTGGGATGCACACTCTTCAACACCAAATGTTTCGTCCCATTAATCTTCGCACACCTATCCTGAGCCGGTTTCCCCCAAGCCAGGAATACGACTCCACTCGTCCGTTTCGCGGCCACGGTATCGATGACCTTCTGCGTAAATTTCTCCCAGCCTTTCTTGCTGTGGCTGTTTGCTTCGTGCGCGCGGACCGTGAGGCAGGTGTTGAGCATTAGGACGCCGCGGTCAGCCCATGGGGTTAGGAGTCCACCGTTTTTGGGTGGGGGTTTGAAGTCTGGGTAGTCTTTTTTGATTGCCGTGTAGATGTTCTTTAGACTTGGTGGGGCGGGCGTGGGTGGGCGGACGGAAAAGCAGAGGCCGTGGGCTTGGTTTATGTTGTGGTAGGGGTCTTGGCCGAGGATGACGGCTTTGACATTGGGGAGGGGCGTGTGGCGGGACCAGGAGTAGATGTCTTCGGGGGGCGGGAAGACTTTGGATCCTTTTTCTTTTTCCGCGGCCAGGAAGCGTTTGAGGGAGAGGAAGTCTGGGGTGGTTAGTTCGTTGTGCAGGGCTGCTAGCCAGGAGTCATGGAGAGTGTTGATCTCGAGTTGGAGGAGGTCCGTTTGCTCCGGGGTGAGTTTGGATAGCCAGGCAGTCTTGTCAAAGGTGGTCGGCTTGATCTCTGCCTCTGGGTTTGATGAAGCGGGTTTGGGTTTGGGTTGGGTGAAGAAGGATGTTATGGCCTTTTCGGCTTTGGGCTTCTTTGCTGCGTCCGCGGCAAGGTCGACGGCTTTACGTTTGAGAGACATTTTTCCCGTACAGGTGGATGATAGTCTTGTTGGTGTTGATCGGAAGTCGAATATAGAAGACGCGAAGTTACGCGTTGAAATAATGACGCAGCGCGTTCGAAGCTTGGGCGAAATTGTAAGCATCCCTACTTCTCAATCACACGACCCACGATACCTACAAAGACTTGATTTTTCTTTATTAGACGATAATCATTCCGCGTGGACGATATGACCACACCGTCGACCATATACGATCATACTCCTTGATAAGGTCGATAGACTCTCCTGTTGCATGATGGCCTCCAGCCAGACCGGTCGCACTGTGGCTGAGTATTGGCCCCAAATCCTTCAACGCCACCAACAGCGCATCGAGTCGACGAAACGCTTGCAATCACGATATAGATGCACTCCTACAGGTCTTCATGAGAGCAGCATGTCTCCTAGATTTGACTAAACCTCTGCATAGAGAGGTATAGGATCCCCAATTCTGCGTTCTTCCGCGAGTCCTCTTCCTGCTCGTAATGCTCATACTGGACGACCAAGGACTGTAAGCTTAAGATCGACCTAAGACAATACCAATAGCCTTACTCTACTAGCTGGATTTCTCATGGATACATTCACCAGACAAAAGACGACCGACATCGCACAGAGATCGCTCATCCATCCTTTCGAGGTAGAAGAACCGCCACTGGATGGAGTATCGTATAGAGCCAAAACGCCACGGAGCAAATGGCGAACTACGATATCCTTCGGAGCCCTGGCTGCGCTCTTGGTATTATGTGCGAACGTGGCGATACTAGTCTGGACGACTCGGACTCACCGAGCGAACCACAATGGTGCAACGACACTGTTCACCGGTTCCTGTGAACGAACACGACAGATCACACTCTGGGCGGATCTGGCCATCAATATCCTCAGCACGATTTTGCTTAGCGCCAGCAACACTTGCGCCCAACTTCTATGTGCGCCGACGAGATCCGATATCGAGGCTGCGCACGCTGCAACCAAGTACGTAGATGTCGGCATACAAAGCATGCGCAACCTGTGGTACGTGTCCCGGCGACGCCATGCTATGTGGTGGCTTGTAGCGTGCAGCTCAATCCCACTCCATCTGTTCTACAACTCCGTGGTCTTTTCCACTCTGTCGGCCAATGACTACCAGGCTTCTCTGGTCACTGAGTCCTTCGAGAGTGGCGGCTGGTGGAACGAGTCGAGAGTGGCGGGCCTGAACTACCCGTCTTCCATCTACACCGGGGAAAGCACGAATGTGAATCTTGGGCAGCTACACGCCATTCAACAAGAAGCGGTCGTAAAGAACCTCACGAAGCTGGACAACGCTGCATGCTTGCGAGCGTACGCACAGAATATGTTCGAGTCTGATTGGCGGAACGTCCTCCTCGTAACGAATATTACTCTGAACGACACATATATCACCTCTTTCGAGCACCATCCCTCCAAGGATGCTGACTTGATGTGGGCCTGCAACGCCACCGCGAGCTCCTCAAGTCTCACCCCACCACCTTGCAACGTCGCCGCCCTGATCTCAAAAGCAGACACTTGGACGATTCGAGGCGCGAGCCGATGCTCGTCACTGTGGACTGGCAATTGTACTACATTCGATGCCCCTATTCAATACTGTCTCGCCGAACCATTTCCAGCGCAGTGCACAGTCCAACTCGCAACGCCTCTGCTCATAGTCGTCATCATTTTCAATGCTGTGAAATTCATCTGCATAGCCATGACGGCCTACAGCGATGCAGAACCCATCACGACTGTCGGAGATGCGATCGCCTCGTTCTTGGGCAGGCCGGACAAGCTGACTAAGGGCCATGGTGCGCTGTCAGCCAAGCAAGTCTGGGAGGACGAAAACTGGCAAGATGGTCAAAGCCGTGGAAACTATCAACACATGCATTCGTGGAAGACGCAGAGTCGGGCGGGATTCTACCAGCCGGTGGCGTTCAAACGGCAACGTAGAAGAGCCGGCAGAGGCGTAGGCGCATGTCAATATGCTATCTGCATTATCCTGTAAGACTCAATCATCTGCTGCCAGATCTCCTGTCGAACACTGACACAACTTAAGATGCATCATCGCCCTCATCACCAGTTTCTCCCTCCTCGGCTCCGGTATCAGCAACAGCTACTCCAACGACAAAAGTATCACTAGTCAAGGCCTTGGCCAAGCGAGTCCCTTCAATATGGTCACCTTAAGCCTCGGCCAGTCACTCATAGCCAACGTCTTGCTGGCCAATTTGCCGCAACTGATCATAAGCTTCATCTACGTCTTCTACAACAGCGTGCTCACGGGTATCCTCTTGACCCTCGAATATTGCCGCTTCGCTAGTAAGCGTCAGGCCCTTCGCGTTAGTAGACCGGAGGGAAAACAGCGAGGCACATATTGGCTTAACGTCCCATACTATTACAGCTTACCGCTGATGGCTTGTATGGCGGTCCTGCACTGGCTTACTTCGCGGAGTATCTTCCTCTTGCAAGTCTCCACCTACGACAACAACGGCAAAGAAGTCCCCGATCGCGCAATTAACGCTTGCGGGTACTCTACCCTGGCGACTCTGCTCGCGAGCGTCGTGGGTCTGTTCTTGACGATCGTTCTGGTAGCTATGTCTCTGAGGAAACTCGACCCGGGAATGCCGGCTGCGGGGTCCTGTTCTGTGGCTATCGCTGCGGCGTGTCATGGCGGTGATAGGGACATGGCGAAGCTGGCGTTGCAGTATGGAGTTATTGGGCGAGGAAGAGAGGAAAGGGATCTGCGGTACGATTACGGAGAGTGGGAGACTGCGGGCGAGCTTGTCGGTAGCGCGGGTTTGAGGGTTGGCTTTTCTAGCAAGGAGGTCTCGCCGCTTGTTGATGGTGTCATCTATCATTGATATCAGATATCTCGAGAGATATTAGCGCCCGCACTGCGCAACACACACCCAACATGCTTCTTCCCAGCATACATTCTTCGACTCTTCCATTGAACGTGTCACAGGTCAGCATCAGCGCACACCGTCGACTCGACTTGAACCCCTTACGAACAAATCCTGCGATCCTTTAGCAAACCCAACCAAGCCTTTCCCTCTCCACCCCACAAGCCCCGAAAACAAAGTACCACCCGTCCACTCCGTCCCTCAGATCCCCCTCCAACCACCCCCCCCCCTCAGATCAGCATGAGCCAGTACATCCTGAACCCGCCATGCCTTCGTCCTCTCCCCTTCCACCCCCAAAATAAAACATAAATTCTCCCAAGCCATCAACCCCACGCCCTTTGCTTCGAAAACAGACCGTGAAATATATCTCAGCGTACATACACCACAGCCGTCTCCTCAACCCCCATTGCGTCGTTCGCCAACGCAGCACAGTCGGACGTCACTATCTAGAAAGCTGCGGTAATGAGCTGCTTGAAGTTTGGACACGAGAGAGGAGCCCCTTACGTCCTGAGCGTTTTCGCCGTGGGAACTTCACGCGTCATACTGAGCCAAGTTCCCGTAGCTTTTGGTGGCGAGATGCTGAAGGTGCAATGTTCTCGTCATGTTCAGCAAAGGGGGGAACACCGGCATAGCATGACGTTGGCAGGGTCTGTTTAAGCAGATGCACTTTTTCCTTTTCCTTTTCGGACCGTAAAATAGTCGATGTCATTGGGCACAGTCGTCGAGTGGTGTCCTTGTCAGCACATACATGACGTCTCCGAGACTGGGTGGCGTTCACGTATGTATATATATATATATTTGCGCATTACAGCGCTCGCGCTCTTGCTCCAAGGCGTCGAGTGTAGCAAAGAAGGGTGCATACTTTACCACACAATACCCCTGGTCCGCCAGCGCAGAGAGCCAGGTGGACTGGACTCGGCATACACACGGCTCACTCTGCGAAACGAGCCTGACCCTGCAACCCCCCCACGTGGGTTTCTGGCATGAATTGAGCGGCGTTGAGTGCTAGGACGGCGAAATCGTATATTGTGGATAGAGATGATATACGTACAGCCATCCGCCATACACAGCCCCATGATCAAGCCTCGCGCGGACGGAACGCCTCACACACCCCATCCTCATCCTCATCCCTAACGCCGGAAGCCAAACCCGAAAAAGAAAGAAATCGCCTCATCACCCCATCCGTTCCTCACACATCAACTAGAGCGACTGAACAGCTTCCTACTCGCTCTTACTCTTCTTCTTCTTCGTCTTGATCTGCTCCTCCGGCACCGTCCCCTCAGTCAAAACCTCACTCTTCCTCTTCTCCTTCTTCTCCTTCTTCAGCTTCTTCTCCACTTTCTCTTCAGCCTCCTCGACATCCCCATCCTCGCCGCTCTTCCGCCTTTCCTTCTTAGCTTTCTTCGCCGCCTTGGCGTCAGCCGCTGTGTCGGCGTCGATGTCAGCCATATCCACATCCGCATCCGCATCAGCAGACTTGGACTTGGACTTCTTCGCCTTGCGCTTCTTCTGCTCTGTCGCTTCGGCTGTCACGCCTGGAGCGGCGAGTGCGTCTTCGGCCCCCGCGTTAGTGGGGTCTTCGACGTTGATGCTCGATAATGTGGCGTCCATTGCTGCTTGCTACAAAGAAAAAGTCAGTACCTGCCCGTCATCCAAGTTTATTTTTGTGTTCGTATCTACTCACCATAGCGACGGAATTCTTGGTCGGGTTAACACCTTCGGCATAAAACCGTAGCCGCTCCTCCACCTGTTCCTTGAGCGCCTCGCCGAATTTCCTCGATGGTTGCATACTGAAATTGTCGATTCGGCTTGCAATACTCGCCTTATTGGCCAAGAAACGGGAAATCCTGCCCTTGTTCTTCAGACCCGCGCGGCCGATGAAGCTGCTGTGGTAGATGAGGCCGTATTTGGGAGTGTTACCCTTGGTCTTGAGTGCTCTGAACAGCGCCTTCTCGGCACCGAGGATCTGGACGGTCGAGGCCGGGTACTTGGCCAGGTTCGTGAGGGAGCCGGCGTGGGAGATGAGTCGTGCGCCGACAGTCTCACCGATGAGGGCCGCGAGGTTGGGGGCAACGACGCCCATTTTGGCTACGAGGTAGTTGCCGAGGGATTTACGGTAGGCGTGGAGGGAGACGGTACGTTTGGCAAAGGTCATGACGTTCTCCATGTCGGTTTCGGAAATGTCTTGGCCCATGGAGACGCGGGCGGCCTCGATGATGGCGCGAGCGATACTCTCGTCATCGTCGACGTGTGCGGCGAGTTCGTGGAGGCTGTACTCGGAAAGGGTCTTCTTGTCGCCGATGAAGAGGGCGCAGCGGGCGTACTTGTGGTTCTCGCTGACGATCTTGATGAGTTCGGGGAAGTGCCAGGAGTACCATTCTCGGACGCGCATGGAGAAGGTGTTGACGGCCTTGTCGAGATGGTCGATGGTGGCAATGGCCTGGATGATGTGGTTGTCGTTCTTCTGCACGCTGAACTTTACCTTGGCGCGGCTGTAGGCGTGGCCGAGACCGAGCTGGGCGCGGGAGATGTCGCCTGTTTGGAGTCCCTTGAGCAGCTTCTCGGCATGTAGACGGAGTCCTCGCAGCAAGTCCGCTACCAACTCGCTCGTCTCGCCCGTCTCGCACTCGATGCCAGGGAAAGCGCCTTTAATGCTCCCCGCCAAGTTCTTATCCGTCACCCCCAACGTCGTCTTCTTCTTCTCCTTCTTCCCCGCCTTGGGTAAGTTACTCTCCAGCACCGTCTGTAAGTACTCGGACATGATGCCCTCGGAGACATCATTCGCATTCTGCAGCGCCTGGCCCGCGCCTTGGAAGGGAGCAAAGGAGACGAGCGAGACCATCTTGCCGAATTTGGCTAGGTCTGCGTGGCCATCTTGCACCTCCTTCTGCCGAGCTCCCACCGTGTCGCCTTGCATGCGCACGGCGAAGACGGCATAGCCCACCGAGCTCTCGTGGAGCAGGTAATCCACTGTCGACATGGCTGTGAGAATGATGATATTATCCTAGGGTGTGCTGCTTGTGATATGTCGACTATCGCATCATGCTGAGGGGGTGTGTGAGAGATTTGGGTGCAGTGGTGCATGAATTGGACCTCTGCTTCGTCGCGGCAAGAAAATGTTGCGTGAGCGGAATGCTTCCGTCAAAGCTGGTCAAGATTTCCCTGCAGAGGCACGACGCGCAAACGCGACACTGAAGTATCGCTGGTGCGAATTGACTGACTATAACAAAACACCCGACCAAATTTGAATAAGATGTCGGCAGCCCAATTACTGAATCCGAAAGCAGAGTCGAGACGGCGGGGAGAGGCGTTGCGAGTGAACATTTCTGCCGGAGAGGGTCTACAAGATGTGTTGGCTAGTAATCTGGGGCCGACAGGCACACTGAAGATGTTGGTGGATGGTAGTGGCCAGATCAAATTGACCAAAGATGGCTCGGTGCTATTGAAAGAGATGCAGATCCAGAACCCCACCGCCGTCATGATCGCCCGAGCAGCAACAGCACAGGACGAGATCACCGGCGATGGCACAACGAGTGTGGTGTTGATGGTGGGAGAACTGCTCAAACAAGCCGATCGATACATCCACGAGGGACTCCACCCACGAGTCATCACCGACGGCTATGAACTCGCCAAGAACGAAGCCCTGCGCTTCCTGGACGAGTTCAAGCTCCCACGTGACGTCGACCGGGAGCTCCTTCTCTCCGTCGCCCGAACATCCCTCTCCACCAAGATCAACCCCACCCTCGCCGAACAGCTCACTCCTTCCATCGTCGACGCAGTCTTGGCCATCTACCAGGCTCCGGCGAAACCGGATCTGCACATGGTCGAGATCATGACCATGCAGCATCGCACAGCAGCCGACACACAACTTATCCGTGGCCTGGCACTGGACCACGGAGCGAGACATCCCGATATGCCCAAAGATGTCAAGAACGCTCATATCCTCACCCTGAACGTCAGCCTGGAGTACGAGAAGAGCGAAATCAACAGCGGCTTCTACTACAACTCCGCCGAGCAGCGAGAAAAACTCGTCGAATCCGAACGGCGCTTCGTGGACGAAAAGTTACGCAAGATCGTCGAACTGAAAAAGGAAGTCTGCGGCGACGACCCCAAAAAGGGTTTCGTCATCGTCAACCAGAAAGGTATCGACCCGTTATCCCTCGACGTCTTGGTTAAAAACGGCATCTTCGCCCTCCGCCGCGCGAAAAGAAGGAATATGGAACGCCTCCAACTCATCGTCGGCGGCATCGCACAGAACTCTGTCGAGGACCTCCGTCCCGAAGTCCTCGGTTGGGCTGGCCATGTCTATGAGCACCAACTCGGCGAGGAGAAATATACATTCATTGAAGAAGTCAAGGAGCCGAAATCCGTCACTTTACTCATCAAGGGTCCCAACCCTCACACTATCAGTCAGATCAAGGATGCGGTCCGCGATGGGTTGAGGTCCGTGTATAATATGATTGTCGATGGGAGTGTGGTCCCTGGTGGTGGGGCCTTTCAGGTCGCCTGCGCGGCGAGGTTGAATTCCGATGAGTTTCAGAAGTCGGTCAAGGGGAAGGCGAAGTGGGGGGTGATGGCTTTTGCGGACGCGTTGTTGGTTATCCCTAAGACGCTGGCGGCGAATAGTGGGCATGATATCCAGGATTGTCGTACGTATTCCGCCCCCCTCTCCCCATTTCCTCGGGAAGAAAAGTCCTCACGAACTAATCCGATGATGATAATTTCTAGTCGCCACCCTCCAAGACGCCCACCGCGAAGGCCACATCGCCGGTCTGGACCTCGCGCTCGGCGAACCGATGGATCCTGTTCAAGTGGGGGTGTATGATAGTTTCCGCGTGTTGAGGAATTCGATCGCGAGTGCGACGGGGATTTCGTCGAATTTGTTGTTGTGTGATGAGATGCTCAAGGCGAGGCAGATGGGGAAGAGCGGGCCGCCTGGGGGTGGTGGTGGTGGCGACGAAGGCGAATGAGGAGGTTTTCGGATGGGGAGTTGATGGTGCGGGGACATCATGAGATCTAAGGCTTGTTCGCACGTATGAGAGGGCGCATGCGGACGCTCGAGTCGAGTCGCGGCCGTGATGGCTCCCGGGCGCAGCTATGGACACAGGCCGTTGGAAGTTCCCGCGCCCGACAATGTATGTAGACATGATCGAGGAAATTACATGTACTGTACGATCTGCTCTCAATTACTAGCATGGTTGACAGTGGGGTGCTCGTCGTCTTCTCATGGATCGAGCGCCTCTGCTTCAGGCCACTGTGTAATGCAATGCTACTATCTCGGGCACTACCTTTTTCCTCACGTGCTGCGAGATAGTGATTGATCATCAGAGCGAGGGAACTGAACACGAGAGCACCATTCACCTTTGAAGATCATCATCATCATCACGCATGTAGAACGTGCAAGATGATGGTTTCAAGGAGGTCAACGACCATGTTTTCATCTCCTGATCTACTCACTATTGCCAACGACTGCAGAAGTAGCAGCAGCAATTCCACGTGACCGCCCGCTGGCTTCAGCCACTCCGGTTCATTAACGTAATGTCATTCTCGATCCACAACGCCTTTGCTAATCATCACAACGCGTAGCACTCCCCCGCCCTCAATCCATCACCTTCAGCATGCGGTAAGCCTCATGACTAATCGCCTTCCTCACCATAGCCAACGGATCCTGCCTCGCTTTCTTTACCGTCTTCCCAACCACTACTTCATCCCCATCCTCCCCCTCTTCATCCTCAATCACCTCTTCGTCCTCGGCATCCTTGAACTGCCCATTATCCAAAAACATCTTCAGTTGACCCTGACTATACCCAGATACCAACGCCGTGTTCTCCTCCGCAGCTGTCACGGGTTTCGGCGCTGTATCCTTGCTGTCACTACCCGACGTGCCGGTATTTTGGTATCCTGCGCGTCCGCCTGCCAGGTTCCAGAAGATGAGCTTCGGCATCTCGTACCCGGCCTCTTTGTACTTTTTCTGAATCCGCTCGTACGAAGTGCTCCAGCGAGACGTGGTGGTGTCGGCCGCATCGAACTGCATGTCGCTGAACACAAAGACCTGCTTCACCATTTCTTCTTGCGTAAGCTTCTTCTCGATTGCCATGGGCAGGATGAGTCTCTCGAAGACGGCGACGAAGTCCGTATTCATGCCCCAGTCGCTGGATTGGATGTACTGGACTTTCTCCTCGAATGTGCGATTGTCGGTGCTGCCTCCCACCTTCAACACCTGCGGCGCAGCTGAGAAGGTGATGAAGTGGCCGCCAAAGGGCTGTGCGGTCACTTCGGCGATGAGAAGGGAGAGGCCGATTGCGGAGTCCATGGGGCAAGTACGATCGGGGAATTGGGGAAAGGTCATGGAGCCAGAGACGTCGCAGACCGCGATCGAGCTCTCGAGTGTGCCGTTGTCTTTGATGCGCTGGACTAGCGCCTTCCATTGTCCGTTCGTGGATTTCATCCGGATATTGCGCATCTTCTCTTCCACCATGGTTTTGGCGTTGGTTCCTGCCCCTCGTTGAATAGTAGGCAGGGCTGCCTTCCCGACGCCCGACACGAGTGTAGAGGGGAGCAGAGTGGCGCCCGAGATGCTCGATTTGCCTTCTGCGACGCTGTCGAGGTATTTGTCGAAGCGATCGAAGTCTTTCTCTGCGAAGAGGGGGGTGTATTGCTTCATCGCCAAGGAGGGGATACGGTCGTACTTGATGGCTTCGTACGTCTTGTTTGTGAGCTTCGTCTCGACAATGTCTAGGTGTTTGCGCAGTACGGAGAGCGTTTTGACCTGGTAAGCCCGTCTCGCGTGCTTGAGATAGAGTGTACGATCACCAGGGTCGACGGTGAGATCGGAACAGAGGGTGTCGAATGGATAGAGCAGCTCTGCAATGGATGTCGCGATACAGGTATACTGGTCGTGCATGCCTTTGTTGCTGGGAGCCCATTTACCAGCAAGTGTGATGAGTTTGCGATCGGACTTGTTGTTGGATTCGAGACGAGCTAAGTCCGCTTTCAATTGATTGGCGAAGAGGCGAGCGATGGTGAGGTGTAGAGCTTTGTAGAAAAGATCGTTTGTGAGCTTCTCAATGACACGTTCGTGACGCTCGGCGGTTTGGATCTTCCTCTTGCCTTTGGTCCAGTCGCGAGTGTGAGGCTTGCCAGTCGGCTTTGGCACGTTGAATACACTGCGAGGGTCTCCATTGACTTTCAGCTGGTCGTTGGCAGCGAGAGCGAGAATGTTGAGCAGATCTTTCCAGTAGCCGTGAGCTACGCCGTACTTGACGTCGAATTCCTCCAGGCCTGCAATCGCTTCGGGTGTATCCAATTTTACCTTCTTAGTGCTTGGCTGACCGTCCAGCTCGACCTCGACCATCTCGAACTCATCCGCATCATCATCAGCAGGGACGAGTTCGCTCGCCTCACCCTTGCTGGCTGCATCCTTCTCCGGCTTGGGAGCCTTCTTCTGAATGAGAGGACGCACGAGCCAAGGCAGGCTGCCGAGTAAAGTGTGAGGATGATTCTCAGCGAGCCAGCCAACGGCACGGTAGAAAGTGTTACGGCTAGATTTGCCTAGATGGATGGAACGAGCATTCCAGATGATTTTGAGAGTGGCGGTAGCGTCAACCTTCCACGCAGTATCGAGCAGCTGCTTCATCCGATCACCAGAGACCACGTCTTCGAGTTCGTGGAACAGGTCGACTAAAGCACTTCCAGAGTCGGCATGTGCGACGTCGCGATTCTCCGTGGGCATCTTGCCGTCATGCTTGTCGAGGGATGGTACGGCGGAGCTGCTTAGGCCGTCCATAAATCGAGAAGTCTCCGCTGTATTCTCCGCTTGTAGAGGTTTGGTAGAAGTAGACTCTACGTCCTTTATATGCACTGGGAGATCGAATGTGCTTGGGAACAGAGCTGTAATGTATCGCTCGAACTCCTTGGTTGTGAGCGTAAGCTCCGCCAGCTCTGGTAGATCTACGGGGAAGGTCGTGTTGATCATGCTGTGATTTTCCATGATTGTGGTGCTTGTGTACTCTATCAAGTCAGACTTTGCTGGAGCAACCAATTCTGCCTAGCGATAGAATGCCTTGTCCAGCCACTGCAACGGTGAAATGCACAACAGACTGGGTTCTCAGGCCGTGATCGCAATGATGGGATCCACGAACCTGGTGAGGCGGTGTTGCTGACTTTGGGACGATGGAGCGAGGCAACGTCTGTGACCAAAGTGGAAGTTGGACGAAGATGTAAGGGCGTCTGAAATCGTGGTTGAAGATGTGAAATTGTTCGAAGCTCCTGTTTGTATATGGATGAAGGATTGTGCCTGACTCATGCAGACGAGTCACGAGTCTAGGCAGCAGCAGAACAGAGCTAAACCTAAAATGGACACCGTAGCTCAAAATTAAGTGAATATGATCTGGGAGATTACCTTTGGCAACAAGTCTGGGTGTAGTGCGGCGTCTCGCAATTACACGTACGGCTGCGATGGCTCGAAGCGACATAACTGTCCGATGTGCTTTGGAGACGCCGAATTCTTCGGGCTCTCACCGCGACCGCGATCGTCTGCGCATTTTTCAGAGCCTCTGTGTTGAGATGAGTTTGTGTCTAGCCACGATAGTGTACGAAACGACGAGGACGAAGTAAAGGTGAGGTTAAGAGGAAGGAGCATCGTGCTATGGTCATTTGGTGGTGCGTGCATCGGTAGGAAAGCTGGAATTTCAGGATGTCCAAGTTGCTCTCGCAGCATTTGCTTCAAGGGAGCGGATGAATGTACACGTTGAGTACAGTTGCGATATGTCCTAAGAAAATACCAGCATCGACCCGTGAAGTGCTGAGCATGCGTCGATTGCCTGCGGACACGCTGCAACATATCTTCCTCCCAATTCGGCACCAGCCATGAATCTCGATCCCACGGACTGGACATTGACATACCCTTGCCAGTGAGAGGACGCGAGCAGACGAGAGGATACGGAAGAGACAAGATTTTCACGCAAAGTAGTGTAATCAGTCGAGCACTGAGAAGGTCTGCAAGACCACACTCCGGAAGGCTTACCATGCTCGGCCGCACACGTTGAAATGGCTTTTGCTGCCTTCTGTTTGGGAAGGCTAGCGCTGTATCACAAGGTCGCTTCATGTACTGAGCTCTCATGCTCATGTCAGCAGTATTGATGCGACTATATTCGACCCGTTCCTGATGCGAACCATTTGGGCGGGCCACTACTAAACCGCAAGCAAGAGTCCTCTCGAACTTTCGAACTGGCAGTTATCGCTTAACCTACATGCACCTTGTTGGTATCTGTGCCTAGCTTCAGCTCCGGAATTCATTTCCCGCAACCGCAGGTGTACTCTCGGTAGGTATGCATTTGCGGGGATGCGGATGCAGTAGGTGTCAGACTTCCTATCTCACTACATGCACAGTCGCATGAGGTTTTGCGATAAACTACGTGAGGTACTGCTGGCCGAGGCGCGATCATTGGTCCCTCTTGACGACCCTTCTGCTAGTCTGAGCCGCAACTCTTTCGATATCGAAGCCTAAGATGTAGAGTGTTGTCAGCTGCCATATCTGGCACTTCGTCTGCCACAGGAGAAGATCACCCGTTGATAATCTTCGGCAGTGGACATGCGTACAAGCTGGCGGATCTCTGTCGCCGCCGAAGCTATATAAGCGTATCTCGCAGCCTCGAAGCTTTTGCTCGAAGCGTGTGCAGCGGCTACTCTTGGAACGCCTACTCGGCCTGCCACCCGTCTATTGTGATGGCTTCAAATACCGTCAAACCTCACGCCGATCTGATGGAGCGAGACCTGGAGAATGACGACCGCGGTAATTCGGTTGTATCTCATGACAAGACTGCGCACTACATACCACAAAGTGATGAAGAATATGTCGTTACCTGGAAGACGTGGTGCGTAATATGGATTCTGGCACTGTCCTACGGCATCTCCTTCTGGATCGTCCCTTCAGCGGCGGCGGCACAGGCTGTAATCGCGACCCAGCTGGGTGATGCAACGAAGTCTGCTTGGTACATTTCCATATACACCATGACCGTCACCATCGCATTTATGGTCTGTGGTGCAAACTCGGATCTCTTCGGCAGGCGATGGTTTATCATTGCAGGCAATATGCTTATGTTCATCGGCTTCATCATTGGCGGTACGGCGAAGAACAACACTGCTGCCATAGCAGCTTTCGCCTTCATCGGGTTTGGTGGCGGCAATGCTCAATTGGCTGCCTTTGCTCTTCCTGAGCTTCTACCAAACAAATGGCGACATTCTGCTATCGTGCTGGCTGATATCGGCGTATACTTCGCGGTCGTGGTCGGGCCTGTTGCCGGACGCTTCGCCATCCAGCATGGGGAGGCCTGGAGATGGCTCTTTTATGCTCCAGCCATTGCAGTCTTCTTCTCTTTCGTCGGTCTTGTACTCTACTATTTCGTAAGTGCCGTTTGGGTCTCAGAGATAAGTCTTACTGAACATCTCCCAGCCTCCAAAGCACCCTCGTGGCCTTGCATTTGGCCAAGCGATGCGTCAACTGGATTATGGTGGAGCGATCATGTTCATTACGTCGACTACACTCATACTTACGGGTATCGTATACACGACCACTCTCCCATCTAGCGATCCGCGCGTGATCGGAACGCTTGTGGCTGGGTTTGGCCTTATGCTTGTCTTCGCCCTGTATGAGACCTTCGCCCCGCTGAAGCAGCCGCTTACTCCCACCCACGTCTTCTTACGCAACAAGGGAAGAGATCTAACGGCGCCATTTGTGGCTGGCTTTGTGGTGACAATGTTCTACTATGCGATCAACGTCATCTATCCGACGCAGATTGCAACGCTTTTCACGACAGCTACTACCACCTTCCAGTATGCCATCATCATGACTTTGCCACAGAACCTGGGTCTGGTCTTTGGTGCAGTGCTCCTTACTCTGTTTGGCACCAAGATAGGTCACTGGAAGTGGACACTCACTGGAAGCGTTGCCGTCATGGTAGTTTTCGGAGCTTTATTGGCACTTGCTACTCCAGAGCGAAAGGGTATGATGATGGCTTTCGTCTTCCTTGCGATGACTGGTTTCGGATGGGCACAATATCTCAGCATTGCTTTCATCCAATTCGGAGTAGACCAGGTCGAGCTGGGCATCTCCGGCGGCCTGGCTGGCGTGGCACGCTTCGCAGGAGGCGCCGTTGCGATCAGCGTATACACCACTATCCTTTCGAACTCGGTCAAGAGCCATGCGGTGAAGTTGGTACTACCAGCAGCAGAGGCGGCTGGTGCGACCGCAGAGCAAGCGATTGCAATCCTTACAGCACTACCGCTCGGTGCTGAAGCCTTGGCCAAGATACCTGGTGCAACAACAGAAATGATAGGCGCAGCGGCGGCAGCATTCCAGCAATGTTATGTCATTGGCCTCCGGACTACAGCGTTATCATCGCTCTCCTTTGGTATTGTTGGAATCATTGGTATGTGCAGTGCTCTTGAAGGATGAGTGCTGTGGCTGATGAAGTGTAGCATGTCTTTTCACAGTGGACATTGGACCAAAGTAAGCTGCTATATCATAATTGCTTCAACGATCCATGCTGACATTCGATCCAGAATGAACAACAAGATAGAGATCTTCCTCGAGAATGATGTGAACGCAGATAAGAACGAGTATCATTAGACATTCGGCTATAGTGTAGACAAGCGTCGTACCGCTAATGTCACCTGTCAATCCTTGTTCTACGCATGCACCAGCACACGTCAGGACACGATTACCCTTCACAGTCGTTTATTTGGCTGACGTCCAAGCTCTACACCATACTCAGGCCGCTGTCGGAGCTCCTTGACGAGGGTTCCCTGTTTACCCGCCAGATCGTTCTTCCTGTCGTCTTATGAACTCACGCTTTTAAAGTCTGGTTCGTTTCATGCGTCGAGGCCCGGAAAGGAAGTTGCCATGCAGTCCAGATCGCACGACACACTCCTGGCCTCGAGCAATATGACAAATGTGAGAATGGAGTTAAGTACGCCAGTGAGGATAATGCCCTCGGTAGACATGTATCAGGAACCGTTCGGGGACTACGAAGTAAGGGAAACACAAAGACAAGCCGCCCTGGCGAAAGAAGCCGCAGCAACAGGAAGGTTCGGCTTGTACTTGCAGGATCTATCCGCATACAGTGCACCCTCTGTCTCGATCTATCCTTCATGAATCGGACATCACTGCCATCGTATACTCTTGCGAGTCAGGTCTAGTCATAGAACTCATAGCTGTACGCGCTTGCGGCATATATCTCAGATTCATGGCAGACTCGCATCGTCTCATGCTGTGCGCTGATCATCCTCGACCTCAACGATTTCGCGAAGAGAGTCACATTTTCGTCTTCAGCGGCAGCAGTAGTTGCCGACCTCTCCTTTTTAGCCGATAGAGCTATGTCTTTCGGGGCGGTGCTCATACTAGTCTCTCTAATAATGTTGTGAAGATAGTGGCGGTTGATCGAGCGAAAGTGCGCAAATGGTATAATCTTGCGTTCGTTTTGCCCGAGGTGAAGTTTGACCTCATCGCCTTTCCAGAACCAGCCACCAAATGAGCCACGGGTAATTGTCCTGTTCCCATTGTCGTCGACAGAATACCACTCGTGGTCTGGGAACTGCCCATATGCCACATGAGGGCTGTCGTGGCTTAAGTTGGTAACATGGTCTATACGAACGATGCTGTCGTAGCGAGATTGAGTCTGGGCTGCTGCGGCCATCTTCAGCAAGGGAGATCGTATATGGCTTGTAGCCGAGATGCGAGTTTGGTGAGTTTGACGTATGTAGTGTAGTAGTTCGCGTAAACGAAGCAGCTGTGCACATGTGAGAACCCTTTCCAGATAGTGTTCGATTCATCTGAATACACTACCTTGTATCAGGAGCCTTGAAACATGAGGAGAAACAGATGGGGTAGCAATGCTGTCGGAGTTCTTGGGGATTGGTTCTTCGTAAGATCGTCTGTAGTTGTTTGCGAGACCACTGCGTCTTATATACGGTAGTCAATCCGACATCTAGGCAAATACACCTCGTTCACGATGCTCAAATGATAAGCCTTAGGTCCCACGCCACGAAGACAATCCAATAGTCTTCGACCACCCCCTCAACCCTCCAGAGTAGAAGGACGTGCCTAGTATTTCGTGCTGGCTGAAGTGATAAGCGGACGCAAGTCCAATTCCTCGATGACGACCTGAACGGTTAGTCTTGACTCATCGTCGTCTTGCAAAGCTCCATCTCCACATGCTTTTCGTACTCGTGCCAGCCGTGAAGTGCGGAAGCTTGGAACAGACGATATGCCGTAGTCTCTCGCAATAGTTGATGTGGGCATAAAACGATCCCTGCTGTACTGGGCCTGCCACTGTCACGATGTCGTGCGTTAGGACCAGTATCGAATGCATGCCGGCCTTGCCATTCGCCAGGGGATCGTCTCTACGCTGTTTTGCTAGACAAAAGTAGAGGTGTTATTGGCATTACACGTGAAAATGTCTCTGCTGACCTTTGTAGCTGTAGCTACTAGCACCTGGCCGTCACGCGGCGAGATGGAAGAACGGCCATAATCGAGGATGAGTGGCATGATGGCATTCCGCATATATGAGAAGTCTTTGAGGCAGAGAGGATGTACGTGGTAGGCATAGAAAGACTTGCGTGATTCTTGACGATAGATCAAATAGGGACGGGCTGTGGCATGAAGGAGAATAAATGACAATGGGAGATTACAGACTTTTATTAGTCATGCCCGAGCCCGATCGCTGACCTTGGCGAGCATTTATCAGGAGTTCTAGACAAAGCTGCATTCATGTTACCTTCTCAAGGGCCTCAGCATCGTCATCCTCCATCATGCCAGCTTCACTGTCTGTATGCAGTCAAGGCGGGGTTGCTGACACGGCACATAGTCCCACAGGATGGTGTGCAGCGCTACTTCGCAACGATCACCACCGTGGCTACCATTGCTTTAAAGGTGTTTCCTTGTCCGAGTCTGTATCGAGCAGCCGTGTCGGCGCTGGTCGATAGCCATGTCGCTGAACATCTGATTTTACTGACATAGCGAGCGGATGCACCATGGGTGTGGACGAGACTGCTAGATGCAGTGCAATGCGCTTCATCACAAGACTAACACACAGCTTCGCGGCTGGCACATAGCCAGATCTGCACGATGCAGGACTATAGCGGGGAGACACTTGCTCCGTGGGTGTTTGGGCAGGTGGCATGCAACATCACCTCATCTCCTTTGCAGCAGCACGAGAGGCATACTAAAGGCTCTACCGCACCCGACTTGCTCCATGCTTGAACACAAGCACTAGCAAGCACATCCTCATCTCTGTCAGCCGCAACCACTACTCGAGATGGACTCCAAGGATGAACACAGCACAGCTCTACACAGTGAGGACATACATCCTGCACTCAAGAACGAGACCGAATATGAGGTCAAAGCGGTCCAGGACTCTCGATTTGCGGCCGCAGTTGCACAAAATAAGCCTTCGCCTCTTTCGAAAGGACTTTTGATGCTCTATCCGATCTTGTTTGTGGCCTTCATGAACAGCGCTGCCAATGGTTTCGATGGCAATACCTTCGGCGGCGTCTCTGCGCTTCCGGACTTCCAGTCAAGATTCGGCACAGATGTTGCTGCCAGTCAAGGTTTCTTGGCCGCTCTGTACATTCTAGGTCCGCTGGCGCGCCGTTGGACACCTTGAAAGTACTGACGTTGAATAGGCAATGTCCTTGGCAGCTTCGTTGCGGGTCCGCTCACGGATACCTTCGGCCGGCGCATCGGCATGGCGGTCGCCAACATCATCGTTGTTATAGGAACCGTCGTGCAAGCCGCAGCTTCACAGCGTCGCGATATGATCGTTGGACGCATCGTGCTCGGAGTAGGATCTGTCATGCTCGGACCTAGCGCGCAGGCCTATACAGTCGAGATCTCGCACCCCGCCTATCGAGGTGTCATGATGGGCTTGTACAACGGTTGTTACTTCATTGGCGCAATAGTCAGCACCTGGTTGGAGTATGGGCTTGTGAACGACTCCAAGGGCGAGCTCAACTGGCGCTTACCCATGGCAACTCAAGCATGTCCCTGCGTTATTGTCCTGGCTTTTGTGTGGTTCTTACCCGAGTCTCCTCGCTGGTTGATGAGTCGTGGTCGAGAGCATGAGGCACGTAGTATACTCACGAAGTATCACGGTGAAGGAGATCCTGGACACTACCTCGTACAGATCGAGATGGACGAGATGAGGAACGCTATCGATACTAGCGGTAGTGACAAGGTATCGGTTCATATGTGCATCACGAGTCCTCCATGCTTATGCTGACTGACTCTGCTAGCGCTGGTGGGATTACCGAGAACTGTTCAACAGCCGTGGCGCCAGACATCGCATGTTCCTGGTGCTGTGCGTCGGGTTCTTCGGCCAGATCGACCTTCCGCCGACATCGTACTACATGCCATTAATGGCGAAAGTGGCTGGGTTCACGTCGATAAACCAGCAGCTGCTCATGAACGCGCTACAAAGCCCAGTCATGACCGTTGCGGTGCTTTTAGGTGTCCGCTTCATCGACAAGGCCGGGCGTCGGCCGATGCTCATGGCATCGAGCAGCATCTGCAGCTTCTGCGTGCTGATGGTGATCATCTGTACGGCGCTCCAGCATACCAACCCCCACCTGGGACTGACTGGCATTGCCTTCGTCTACGTCTTCCTCTTCGCCTTTGCGTTCGTATGGACGCCATGTCAAGCTTTGTACCCTGCAGAGGTCTTGGCCTACAACGCTAGAGGCAAAGGCTTGGCCATGTCGGGACTTTGGCTCAACATTGTCTCGTTCATCAACACATATGCTGCACCTGTGGGCATAACGAACGCTCAATGGAAGTTCTATTTCTTGTACCTCGTTATTGATGCTGTCGGCATATTGTTCATATATCTCTTCTTCGTTGAGACGAAAGGGAGATCGCTTGAAGAGATTGATGAGATCTTTGCCGACCCACATCCTGTCAAGGCATCGCTCAGGAAGCAAGAGGTAGTTGTGCCGAAGGAGTAGTGCATATCATTAACTAGCGTTGAGAAGCTTCAACATCGCGCAACATGGGCTGTATCAATGCAATGGTTCGAGAAAAGTTAGCCACACCGATTCACACCATCTTACCCATCCTCTACCAGATGGAGCACGTCTTCTATATGCTTTGAAATGACATTCAGAATGGCATCATCTGGCTCATGTCATCTTCGTTATATCCGGCGCCACTCGCCTTTGGTTCGGAGAAATGACGCAAATATAAACACTTCGATCGTCGTCGATCACCATTGACACATTGACACATTCATTGCTTCTGTATTTTCCAACCCAAGATACGACATCTGAATGTTAGCAAGAGAACCATTCTTCTGCCAACGGATTGCAAAAGTCACAGCATCCAACATAGTACGACCTGTCTCAGTCATACAACGAGCCAAGATGACTACAACAATCTTCAAGCACATCGACACCTCAACCTACTCTGGAAAGCCTTGGACTAAAGTCGACGGCCCTGGCTCTTCCTTCCAACTCAAAGATTACGACCGCCTAGTCCACAACATCCGCGGCAATGAAACCTCCTTCGATACCAACAATTCAGGCTTCGCAGTCTACAACGACCCAGCGAAAGAGAAGAGCTTCACAGATGATGCAGTGGTAAGGAGCGACTACTACCCTGAAGTAGAGTCTATGCTACGCAAGCAGTTGTCCGGTATCAAGAAAGTCGTCATTTTCGATCACACTATCCGCCGACGACAGAAAGACGCCCCGCGCCAACCTGTCCAGCAGGTCCATGTTGATCAGACACCTGGTGCAGCGGAGGTACGAGTTCGCCGACATCTGCCAGAAAATGAAGCGGAAGAGCTTTTGAAGGGCCGCTATCAAATCATCAACGTCTGGCGACCAATCGAGAACCCGGCTTCGGACTTCCCACTTGCGGTCGTTGATTGGCGATCAACCACCCCTACCGACTTCATCCCTCTAGATCTGATGTACCCCAAGCGCGCCGACAGCGTCCACGACGACGACGATCGCGGGAAGGAAAAGCTTCCGGATCCCAACTCTGCCTCCTCAATCGAGGGGTACGAGGTCAAAGGCGAGACCATGGGTGTGGCTGCCAACGAGCACCACAAGTTCTACTACATGAAGGATATGACGCCTGATGAGGTTATGTTGCTTAAGTGCTTTGATTCTTTTGGAGAGGGGATGCCGATGGGGAAGAAGGGGTTGGCGGTTCGGACGCCGCATACGGCTTTTATTGATCCGAATACGCCCAAGGATGCACCAGGAAGGCAGAGTATTGAGGTCAGATGTCTAGTTTTCTATGAGTAAACGTAAGAAATGAAAGATGGTGATGTAACTAAACGGTCAAGGTGTTTATATAGTGTGTATACGAGGTATGAATCAGAATCAAGTTCGACTCAGCTCCCTAGATCGTACTTGTGCAGTTCCTCTTGCTCGTATACCAACTAGAAGCTAACAGCTCTAATGACATGGATGCAGGAGAAATGCCTACAGGCGAAGGAAATTTTGCCAAGTGACAGACCTTCAGGGTCAAGAGCATCGCGGACGTCTTTGCATTGTGATTACTACACTATCTCGGTTGACAACAATCTATGCAAGAACACCGCGCTACGCTAACATCGCTCACCAACACACATCTCACGCATCACTCATTTGACCGCCTTTGTTTCGTGATCTCGTTTGTCGCATGACAGTAGCCTAGTCGTACACAGTACCCATACTAAGCCTTAGGCGCAGCCGCACCACCCTGTGCGTCGCTATTACCATTTCCGTTCACTTGCATCTCAGCTAGCCTTACCATCATCTTCTCCCGTAGTACATCATAGACGAAATGAAATTGCGACTCGCCCTGCACCATCATCATACGTTGTTGTCTCAGCAGATCGACGGTATCGGCCACCAGATCCTTTTCGTAAGGTACGTTGTCCAGCTCACCCGCGTACATCAAGCTGAGGAGGTAGTCGAGCGCGATAAACGTCCCGCTCCTGCCTACACCAGCGGAACAGTGGATGATGCGTGGATTATCCTGGTCCGTTGAGGCGAAGTCGGATGCTGCTGAGGAGGCGATCGTGTTTGTGGATGTATTGCTTGATGATGTGCGGTTCAGCGTGTTGGAAAGACGAATGAGTTCGACGAGCGCTTCACGGTCGTCGCCTTCGGGAATCAGGAAGTCGGGCCAGCCGGAGAAGAGAAGGTGGCGGATCTCCTTTTCTTCGTGCTTTGGTTGCATGCTACTCTGTGTCGTCCTTAATCTCAACCTCCGAACCTCGCTCCTCGTCGTTGGATCCTCAAGCACCTGGTCCAGTATCACCTCCCCTTGAAAACCATCGTTGACGTCTAGATCCCTCCCAATCACTAGCGGCGATTCCTCAGCGGAAAGCGGATAGTACTGAAAGCACTTCTCGCGGCCAGCCTCATGTGTCTGCGTCAACATGACCACAACCACCGGACTCTTGACCTCTGCCGCAACCATGCGATAGAAATGGTTCACGCTTGTATCTTTCGGGCCTTGCGTGGCGATGTACTTTCTCTTTCCCAACTGAATCGGGCTGGCATTGATGTAGTTGTTGGCATCATCAGGCACGTTAAGTTTTATCCTGTTCTCAGCGAACGGCTCAACGTTCAAGTAGCGATTCCGGATCGCGATACTGTCGCCTTGTAGCCGCGACCATTTTGATTGCGGGTCTGTGGGTTTGAGTGGTTGTTTGGTGCCTTGGAGGAGACGATCGCGTTGTTGCCATTCGAGGTCGACGAATTTGGCATGGATGTCGGCTTTGGATTGGCGGAGGAAGACAGGGAGTTGGAGGGGTTTGGTGGTGGTGTTGATTGAGGCGCTCATGGCTGTGGAGTCGTTTCGGGTAGGTGCAGAAGTGGTTTCACGCGAGCGAGCGCATGCGGCAGGCGAAGGGCCAAGGCGGATGGGTTTATTCGATAGCGTCTCGATTTTGGCGCCCATGCGACGAAGGTGTCTGTTGAACGTCTTGTCGACTGGTTCGTGGGCAAGCCGAGTAGATTGTATGCTTTTTTGTCTTTAGTTCGCCTTCGTCCGTTGCCTCAGGCTATGTTTGGGCGAACTATGAATGCGTGTCTCGAACGCGGTAGTTAGATGCACGAGTCACGAGCTCTGCTACTGTGCCTTCCTTATTCGTGTGGCAGCAGCAAACTGAAAGATGCGAAGTAGGTGAATGGGAGAAGCAAAAGATGAATACAAATCGAAGGCAATGTCGCTTGCTACTTGACAGACCCTCAGTCCCTCGCCAGGCGCGTAGGACTAGGAATCTCGAAATCGCTGCGATGACTTCACTGGCTACATTTCTGAAACAAGCGCTCGACTCAGAAGTGTCTGTGCTCCTTTCGTGACGGCAGCAAGATATGCAGGGCCAAAGCATATTGTACCGTCTACTTGGTCAGCGGAATGCGATTCATGGTCTCTGGCTCACCTGTGCGATCAATTCTAGATGCCTCGATAGCTCTACATCAGAGACACTGTATGCATTGAGCACAATCGGCGCCAAAATGGCACCTTGGCTTCGTGTATTAGAGGCCTATATGGTCCAGGCGCTCCTCCACAGTCCAACGTTCCACCGGCAAGTCGAGAAGGTGGCAAAGAACGTGCATCGCATACGGCATGGCATACCACCCGAAGAGATGGGAGGCACGAAGATAGATCAGCCCGGACAGTCTGGTCTCGTTGGTCATTTCTTCGAAGAAATCAAAACCCAGCTGGGGAACGAGACGAAAAGCATAAATGGTGGCAGCGGGCAGGCGGGTGTGAACATGGACAGTAGAGCTATGGGACACGGAGGGGTGAAGAGTCAGGTTGAGCGGAAGGCAGCATATGTCGATGAGATGAATGCTGAGGCGGCGTGGAAGGATGCGCAGCAGAGTGCGACGCAGCCACCGAAGCAGGGTTTCCTCAACGAGTATACAGATGCTCTGAGGCAGCAGATGGGAGGAGGAAATAAGAAGCCCTGAATTGGATGCGATACTGCAAATCCACCGTCTCCTCCAGCTTGGACATGTGCCTGGATGTTGACGTTTTTCGACCACCGGGCATGAATTGGTCCATGCAACTTCGATAACGCATGGCATATACAGCACAGCGGATTGTACAAACCCTTAGGATCAGGACTCGGAAGCATCAGAGATTCTGGCAACGTCTTGCGAGGCAATTGTTAGATTGTACGTGTTTGGATGCCTTGCAGACCCGATGGAAACATGATGATCGGATGCATCATAGTGAGCATAAGTGCTGACGTCGGTCGACAAGGATGTTGGCATGGTCATTTTCTGAGGAACTCAGACTGGAGAATAGCTCAACTGATAAACACGAGGCCAGGAGATTTGATTCAAAGATGAGGGCTATAGCAGTCGCTGAGTACGGACCGGTCGAAAAGCTGATTGCCACCGAACTTGAGCATCCTGGGGCACCACGAGGACATGACCTTCTCATCAAGTGAGCACGAACTCCAGCTACATGTGTATCATGTCTGACATGTAACGAAGAGTAGAAGCATGCTCGGTCAATCCAGTCGACACGAAAGTTCGCGCCGGAGTATACGACGACTACCCAGACTATTTCGAACGTGCTCCGGAACTCCCTCAGGTCATCGGCTTCGATGGCGCAGGTACCGTAGAGGGCATTGGTCTCGATGCTCAAGGTTTCAAGAAAGGAGACAAAGTCTTTTACTCCGGATCGCCGATACGACATGGCAGCAATGCAGAGTACCAACTCGTTGACAGCCGTAGTGTTGCACACAAGCCGAAGACTCTTAGCATGGCGCAAGCAGCTGCCATGCCGTTGACCTGGATCACTGCCTGGGAAGCCATAGTCGAACGCATGGAGATCAGAAAAGGTGAAGACGCTGGCATCCTCATTATCAATGGCAGCGGCGGCGTAGGGTCCGTGGCCTCACAGATCGCACGCTTTGTGTTGAAACTACCGGTTGTGGTCACTACTACAAGTCGTGAGGAGACAACAGCTTTCAGCACAGAATTGGGCGCCACACATACCGTTAACCACCGAGAAGATATCATCAAGCAAATCCACGACCTCGACCTCGCCACATCAATCAAATACATCTTCATCACGCACACGCCAAGCGATAAATATATCGCCGACGCAGCAGCGATCTGCGCACCCTCTGGTAAAGTTTGTAGTATCGTCCAGACCAAAGAGATCCCGATGTACGGGACCGAATGGATGGCGAAGAGTCTGACGTTCGTGTGGGCACTGATAGGCACGAAGCCGTATTATCGTGTGCAGCTGGAGTCGCACGGCTTGATCTTGAAGGATCTGGCTAAGTTGCTCGACGATGGGATCGTGAAGTGCCATCTTCAGCAGACTATGCCTTTGACCTTGGAAGGGGTGAGGAAGGCTCATGAGCAGGTTGAAGCGGGAGGTGTTATGGGAAAGCTTGCGCTGAGCGTGGATGAGGAGGGGCTGAGTAAGGGTCGAGCTTTCATGTAGGCTATATATGCAAGTGAGTACACCGCACGATCTACTCTTCTGAGCTCTACTGGTGCTTCCTTGATCTTAGCCCTGGTATTCCATGAACTGCACGTGCCTGCGAAAGCAATTAGTGAGAGTCCTTCCACCTCCACATCAATCTGCTTGGACTTACCACATGGTGATCTTCTTGGCTCCTCCTCTCAAAAGGTGGATGTTGTCCTTGAAGCACTGCGTCTCCCGAAACGCCATATGCGCCTCCTTGCTTTGCCACCCAACAGCAAGCACAGCAGCCTTGCCCTTAACGCCCTCCTTCTCCAGCGTCTCGTAAGTGATACCTACAGCCGCGCCCAAGAACCCATCGGCTTCCTTCTCGATGATCTTGGTGCACTTTTCGACATCCTCGAGGTAGTTTGATGGCGGCTCGCCATCGAAGTAGAAGGTGGCGATTTCGGTCGCTGGAGCTGCGAAAGCTTTGTTGATGGCGCCTTCGGGTTGGAAGTCCGCGTGCATCATTGAGGGTTCGCCGTCGACGATTTTGAGGAATTTGTTCAGGAAGGGGCCATAGGTGTTCGTTTTCGTGAAGGTCATGTGGGAGTCGTATTTGTCCCAGGCTTTGAGACGGTGTCAATCTTTGTTCGTTTAGACCGGGTCGGTGGATGTAGACTTGACACTTACTGACCATCAGCTGGAACTGGGATTGGTCTTCCATTTGCATGCCAAAATTGATTTGTTGCATGCCATCGATGGTCTTCAAGGTGTCGAGGGTGTCATTGACGACGGGGGAGGCATGGTTGTCTGGGTCGCCTATGTTTGCACCGGCCTTGAGTGGGAAGACCTATAGGTCATAGTCAACAGAATGTCACGACTACGTTTTCTCATGTATCATCTGCTTACTGCAATCTCAGTCGTAGGCATGTTCAGCGAAATGTTATGGCTGTCTTTACTGTATGTCAGGTCTTCACTCCGTCAGTCGCGTATAATCAAGTCTTGTCGCGTCCACGAGATACCACAAGTACTTCGAGGTCTATTACTCTGACAAGATTACGATGATGACAGATCGTCTTTGTGATCACGATAGCGACTGTCATTCTGTTCCATACCTCGGTCTCTTGGTCGAGAGCTCTCACGAAGGCCCCACTACGCAGACCATGACGACAGCTCACATAGCTTGGACGAGGAGCTCGAAATGCTGTCGGCCTCAGCTCTTTGATGTCCGTCAGCGATCGAAAGACGATGGTAAATGCGGACAATATAATACAACTTCATCCTTGCCCGTCAAACACCAAATAAATCTACCACAGTTATGGCCGATCATCAGCGCTCCGCTCTCCTTCGAGCATCAACACCAGCATCAAAGGACTTCTTCAGCACTCTAATAGTGGCCAACCACATTCTACACTACCACAATGTCGTGGACGCCTACGGCCACATCAGTGCAAGGAACCCACAGAACCCGGAGACATTCTTCATCTCAAAATCACTTGCTCCGGCCCTGGTATCATGTCGTGAGGACCTTGAAGAATACCGAGTCGCGGACGCCTCGCCAGTGAATCCTGATGCACCAAAAGGCTATGTTGAGCGCTTCATACATAGTGAGATCTACAAGCGGTATACGGGTGTGCATGCCGTCATCCATGGACATCCCGAGGTGGTGATACCGTTTGGCATTAGTAGTATTCCTTTGAGACCTGTGTAAGTGGTGGGCATGTTTGAGCGGAGGAGAGGATGAGCTGATTCTCGTCTAGGTTCCATATGGGTGGTGTCATGGGTATCGTCTCCTTGTCGTATATATCCTGTCTACCTTGCTGATCGAGATCCAGGCGCACAATGCCCGATCTATGACATTCAGCAGCATTATAAATCATCTGACAATGTTCACTCGCTTCTCGTCAACAACGAACACCTTGGCGCAGGTCTAGCACTAGGCTTCCATCCATCGACCATGATCTCGAAAGGCACCAGCCTGATCCGAAGCTTCGTCACATCCCAGCCAACCCAAGTGCCGGAATTTCCGTCAAGTCCCACAGTGCTAATGCGTGGCCATGGCTTCACATGTCTCGGCTCTACCGTACAAGAAGCGGTGTTCCGGGCTGTGTATACGTGCACCAATGCTAGAGTCCAGACGACTGCTCTTATGATGCAGGGGTCGTACAATGTTGGCCTTGTCGGCGAGCGTTTTGGCGGTGGTGAGAAGGAAACGGGGCCTGCGAAGCATGAAGACATCAAGTACCTCAGCGAGCGCGAAGCTAAAGAGGCTGGTACTGCGCTCCAATCGAGTGCTGAGCGGCCGTGGAAGTTGTGGTGTGCGGAAGTCGCCGCATCAGGCTTATATCAAAATGAGCTCGGCTCTCCCCCAGGCGCATGAGCGCACGAAGAAGAGCGTGGCTAAACAATCATCGGAATCCTGGGTATCCTTGACTCCCACCTGTACGCATCGACATATTGGGGTAGAAGGTAGGCGTGAAGCTGATGTCACCGAGATCCTCTGGCAGTGGCTGCGTAGAATCGGTCGTTACTGCTGCCGCAGCAGCAAATACTGAAGGGTCGAGAGGTGGGCCACTCAAACCGCCGTTGAAAGTAGACATATCGTACTCCTCGAGGTTTAGTTCACCAGTGTTTTGTTCGATCGGGAAGTACTTGTCCCACTCAGCCTAGATAGCTTGTTAGCAGAGTTGGAACCACAAAACTCATTGTGAAAGCGCCTTACCCAATCAATGTCTTCTAGACCGTGCATTGCCACGTCTCCACCACCTCCAAGGGCTCCAGGTACTGCACTGTTGTGCCTACTATCACCGCTGGTTGAGTCGGTCCGCTCCACAGGTGGGGGACTGAAGTTCAGCGGCGGCATATTGAAGCTGGTATCTGCGGCCGGTGGCGCTTTTGTCTTACCATCCACATCCCAACCTTGAAGCACAGATGATTTGTTAAGCGAGCTCACCCTCTCCTCCATCTGTGTCGTAGCCTTCAATTTTCGCAGTTGGTGGTAGACTTCCATACGGTCGCGTAAATCTGTGATGACCAGCTCCGCTTTTTGCTTCGGCGTAAGATGCGGTGGGATGTCGAAGATGTAGTCCAGGCATTTCCAGATCTTAGGGGCATCCTTGCGCATCGGATATGCATACACCTCAATCATCAGCAGAAGGGCGCTGTGGTATTGATTGAAAGCGCCGCGATACCATGACCAGATTGCCAATTGTGGGTTTGTCTCGAGCGCAATGGCGTTCTCCATTTGTGTCAGGCCCGCTTCAATCAATATCTGTCGAAGTCGATCTGGCATACGCTGGACGGCACTGAAAAGGTATCTGTGTAGTAATTGCAAGAAACAGCCTTGTATACCAAGGGTAAGGATGTGTCTTCCCAGAGTATGAAGCGGATTGTCAGCGTCCATCATTGGGAAGTAGTGCTCAGTCATGGACTTCCAGACTTTCTGCGTTTTGATGACGGAGGATGTTAGGGACTTTTTCTTCTTGTCGATTTGTACTACATCGAACCACGTTTGGCGGCGAAGCTCAACATATTCGGCCCTGATTCGAATTATCGTGGCGTCTGTCCAGTATGGCTCGTCCTCTGTCGGCGGCGTATTGGAAAGGAAGTCCAAGTCATCCACGTTGAGAGGAAGCTTGGTGTCGTAGTCTCCCGGTCTGATCTGTGGCCGTGGCCCTGTTGCCTCGCACGTGCGCAGATCCAGAAAGCATAGTTGATGCCAGATTAGGCGGCGTACATGAACTTCCACGGGACTCATGGAATACAAGCTGCCATCCCTGTGCAACCCCATACACTCTGCAAGCCGGATCGCAGTTCCAACAAGCGCGGAGTGTGCACGCGAGACCTCAGCCCGCACCAATGGTATCAAGTACATGACGAAAGCCTGCATGACATCGACTCGGGTGGTGCGTAGGAAGTTCGCCTTGGCCAACGCCATCTCGGTCGCAGAGCGGAAGCTATCGATCAGCGCTGCTCTCGATGTCCCAAATGTTCGCGCCGCCTGTACGTCGTCTAGACTGACTGCCGCAGAGAACATAGCGGCGAACATGACGGCCTGAATGGCACGGGCTGGTTCTGATCGAGAGTTCACTTGGCCCCAAAATAATGAGTATTGTGCCTCAAATGTTTGGCGGTGCACTGCACGGCAGACCGGATGTACAGCTGCGAAGTATCGTGCTATCAGCTGATCCGAAGCTGTTTGAGATGGAAGATAGTCCAGCATACTCGTGTTCATGTTTGTGCCTGGGAAGAAGAAACTTGACGCTGGAGCAATGTAGTCAGGTCCAGGACCTATATAGCTCTTCGGGCTGGCTTGTATCTTTGCTCCTTCGGGATTGACCTCGCGATGGTCATTGGCGACCGTTGTGTTCGACCATCGAGATTTGCCGGCAGTGACATCCTTGAGCGTGTCATTGAGCTCATCAACCAACTTCGGCCGCACCCACCCTCCAATACGCTCAGAGATGCGCATCTTACCCATCTGTACACCGAGGTCCATCAACTCGTCGTCGCCGCCGTCCTCATACGTGTTATCGAGCGAAGCAAGCGGAGTGGGCTCCAACACATCCTCGTCGTCACCATCCACTTCGTCTTCTTCCTCCGCGTCGACATGTGTGTGGTTTTCAAGCAGTGGACTCCTCGTCACATTAGCACCGCCGATATGCGGCTTAACGGGTGTGCGACCAGCTACCTCGCGTTCGAGGTTCTTCTCTAGAGCGCCCATCTTCTCCTTCATATCAGCTAGCTTAGCCTGGCTCAGTGAGTCTAGAGAAGGAGCGAGATACAGGCAGTCCCGCTTGAAGCGAACGCAGTTCGTGCACGGGGCGAGCTTGTCGCACTTGAGCTTCCGGCGGCGACATTCCAGACAGGAATTGATAACTCTGTTACGCCGCCGGACTCTATGCGCTGCAGCCGTCCTGGCAATCTCAGCCGGGGAGCTGTTGTCCCGTAGTGCGGAGAGGCCAGGACTCGTAGCTGCTGCTGGGGCGAAAGTGGGTGGTGTTTCCAATGTCTTAGTCTCCTGTTCGATAGGCTGCCCGAATTGTGCGGACAGCGGTTGATACATCCACGAATCAGCCATGGCAGCGAAGCTGTCGCCGGATCATAGAATCGTGCCTTACGGCCGAATGCTCTTGTTCAGGACGGAGAGTAAGCTCTGCAGATATAACCAGCCTAATGACAGATCTGTCGGAAACCACTCTCAATGTCGAAGAACGAAATTCGCGAGAGCCGGCCGTAGGAGAGGTCAGTTCTAGTGTTCTAAGTCCTCATCTCGAGAGAGACGTGAGATCACTGCTGCCTCGTGGACGATTATCGTACGTCCGCTCCGGCCTGGATTACCGAGCTTTGATTCGTCCTTGGCACTCCACGGAAGAGACGCTGTAGTAGACACCTGTCTCGACAACGTGAGAGAGCAGCGTGTCGTTCGGCCCGTTCACGTATTCAGACCTCGGTATGCAATAATGTCGCTGTCTATCAAAGTCACATCCAGATGATGAGACCCGTGGGCCCACTTTTCGACGGCACATCAGTCAGCACGACTTTACGATCTAGGTTAAGCTCCATGCGTGGGGTTGCAAGGATGAGACTAAGATTGTAAGTACAACAATGAGTCAGGAGTCGAGCAGAGTGACGATACTGCGATTGGGTGCCACGGAGGATGAGCTTCCCATTTCGCCAATTTGTCAACTATGGACGCCCCACCTCCCCACTTCCTCCATAGCCTCTCTCCCACCTGCCTTCAGCTCGTCCCTACCCAACACACCACCTACACATTGCCATCCATCCCTCCCACCACCATGGCGTAGTACCTCCTCTCGGAACCTCTCACCCGACCGAGGGTCTATCGCCCCGCCCTGTGAGCGCTGGAAGACATCCCTCCATATCTTCCCACTAATAGCGCGATCGAACAGATAGGAGTAGTACGTTGCGCCGTAGCCGTATAGGTGCCCGAAAAAGCCCTGCCAGCTTGTTCCGGCGGGTTCAGGGACGGCAGAATATTGTCTCCAGATATCGTGATACAGCGTCGTACTTTCCGCACCCGTCCCACCCTCTTTCCACTTGAGTGGACGAGAAGAATGATAGACCTGATCGAGCATCCCAAGCAAAACCTGCCCTTCGATCTCAGCCCCCTGCATCCTCTTCTCCACATCCACGCGCTCACGGATTCGGTCGCAATCGAGTGGCGCATCGGTCTCCCAATGCCGGGCATATAGTGCTAGGACTTCTGGCGCCGAGGCGAAGTTCTCCATCAAGACGGATGGGAGTTCGGCAAAGTCCGTCGCACAACGTGTCCCGCTTACATTCTGTAAGGCTGTACGGCCGCAGATCGAGTGAAGAGCGTGGCCCATCTCATGAAAAAGCGTGGTGAGTTCGCGGACGGTGAGGAGGGTTGGTCGATCTGACGAAGCTGGCGCGAGTGCAAAGTCGCAAATGAGAGCTATTGTGGGAAGCTGATATAGTGCGTGGCCGTCTCGAGGGCTAAAGTTCGTGGCTAGGCCGTCATTGGCTGCTTCTTGCGCTGTGTTGAATATCGCTCCTGTCTGTGACGAGAGCTCTGCCGCTTCCTGCATCTCCTCTTCGCTGATCTTCCTCGAGCAACGAAGAGTGAAATGAGCAGGGTTCGGGCTTTTCCCAGGTCGTTCGAACAAATCGCAATAAATCACTGCTATATGGCCTTCTTGGTCGTCGATCACGTCTAAACGCCGAACGTCTGAGTTCCAAGTCTCGCCTGGTAGTGTCTCGCGAGGTACAAGTCGAATGCCATACAGACGGTGGAAGAGGCGTGAAAGACCTTGCATTACTGTACCGAGAGAAAAGTATGCAGAGAGAAAGTCTGGTGCGCGGGTCTTGGATCGCATAGAGGACATGACTTGGGATGTGTAATAGTCCCTGTCCCATGCATTGATCTCTGCTGGAAAGTTGCCTGCTCGAGCATCGCCGCTTTTCAGCTCCAACAATTCCCTGAGCTCCTCCTTAGCTCGGGGAGCATTCTCCTTCGCGAGCGCATCCAGAAATGATGTCACGGCTTCTGGTGATTGTGCCATCTTATCCGTCAGAGTCATATGCGCATAGCTCTCGTAGCCGCCCAGCTTCGCGATCTCCGCTCTTCGTTTGAGGAGCTGTTCTAGCCGTTGCAGGCTCACTCGTGATGATGCTCGATTCGCCATGTATATCTCTCGTCTTGTCTCGGGGTCCTCCACGCTTCTCATCGCCATGATCGCTGGCATGCCAATGGTTGGTAGTGCCACCGAACCCCATCTCGTCATCTGCCGTACAAACATCGGATCCATGCCTTTCATCCTACTGCTTTCGAATTGTAACGATGGCGTCGCTGCCTCCATGTTCTCAACGAATGCATTACCGACTTCTGCGATCTCATTCGAGATGTTGACGAAGGCCTGTCTATCGGTCTCTTCTAGGTCGATGGCTGACTTGGAGAAGTCTTTGATTAGGATGGCCGCTACTGTTCGCTCTTCTTCACTCCATGAATCGTAGATTTCTGGTATCGCAGCTGCCCTCTTCAATTGATCATTGAGTCCAGTGGTCGTGTTCAGCACATTCATGTACTCGAACATGGAGCTGTATGCCTGACTCGCAGCAGCCTGCACCTTCCTGTCCGGATGGACGGATCGGACGAAATCACTCAAGTCGATGACACGACATAGCAGATCACTCAGCCGATCAAGGTCTCTTGCCACCCTTCGCAACTCGCCTACCGACCGATAGCCAAGCACCTTCTCCACGATACGTTTGCACTTCACCAAAGTGACTGCAGCAAAGTCCTGAAATCCGTCTGGTCGTGTGAGGTATCGGTTCTGGAACAGTCCGGCGCTCTTTCCTCCATAGCGATGTTTGGCCTTGGTACTGAATTCTTTCCATGTATGTGGCGAGTCAAATATCTGTCTCAAAGTTCGATCATCGTGTGCTATTCCAGGCGCTGCTTTCGTAACAGGTTGATACTCTTCGCCAACAGCTTTTGCCGCAGCGGCTCCACTGCCTTTGGCATTGCTCGTAGTGACCAGGCATCGTCTTGTAACCTTTGATTGATGACTTGCACATTGCGGACATGTCCAGCCCGCTCGCTGTAGCCTCTTGAGCATTGTACATGCAAAGAGGAGAGATGAGCATGAGCTAGTCGACGGAGCACGTGAAAGCTCACGCGGTATAGGGTTCGGTCCGCAACAGCCGAAAGCCTAAAGTTGTGATAGGAAACAGCTGCGCGGAAGGAGACTACTTCAAGCTCCCCAGACGATTCGATTCCTGCCATTGCGGTCGCCTGACGCCACAAATGGCCTTCCAACCGCTGCTCCGGCAGCATGTCATTCCCCTGGCAGCTTTGACTACGGGCTTTGTTGTTCTGCCGAAAACGTCCGCCCACGCCGACCAGCCTATCGCGGACCCTATTCGGGAGATTGTGAGCGAGAACATCCGCATGAGTATTGGGACGTGTTCTGACGAACCTCTAGCGCATCCGAAAACCAATCTACGACGCTCCCTCCATCCCCTCCGTCCGCGAGATCGCAGCCACTACACCTCCTCCTGCCTCCGGCATAACTGACAAGCCTCAAGATGAGCCCTCGGCGACCACACCACGCCGACCATCGCCGACTGATCGACTAGCGAACGAGCTCAAGCGCGGCCGACTTCTACTGCACCGATGGGCGGTGCGAAGCGAGGACGCGGTCAATGGCGGGATGGATCGCTTCATGTCTGCCGAGCACAACTTCACCTCTACCATTGCCTCGCTAGCACCGCCGAAAGAAAGCAACGAGAAGCTACTGCCTGGTGGCATCTACGTGCTCGTGGCTGCCATGGCTGGCTCCATCATAAGTCGGAATCGCAACATTCTCATTCGATTCGTCACACCAATAATCACCGGCGTAACCACTGCCAACTACGTCGTACCAAGAACAACGCAGAATGTGGGCAACTTGGTGTGGGACTATGAAAAGCGCTTTCCCGTTGTGGCGGATAATCATGTGCGGATAAGCCAAGGCGTGAGGCATTTCCTCGAGACTGGCAAGGCTCATAGCCAGATGGGATTGGCGATGGCGGAAGAGAGGGTGCAGGGTGTCACGGAGGCTGTGCAGGACTGGGTGAAGAAAGGCCGTTAAGTACGAGGTGAAGACAGAGGGGCACAGAGTTGTACGATATCGAAATCCCGCCTAGAGTTCTAAGCTACTATTGTACAGCACCTGGTGTAGTTGAGGATCCTTCTCTTTGGAATGTGGGATGAACGTACGTACGTCATCCGTGTTGCAACATAGGATACTCGCTTGGCTGGAGAGTGCCTTGCAGCCGTGTGGAGTAATTGTGCCCAAAGACGCTGCACCATGTTTCTGGTTCATCCGGCAATTGCAAGATCTCTGCGACCACACGCCCGTCGATTTCTGTCCGAGCTTCTCAAGGACTGCTCTCTATGCGCTTAGACGTGGGTTCCTCATCCAAGGCCATCTTGCTCAGCAGGATGCTTTCGACCCATAGCTCCGAACGCAGTGATCGGGACGCTTCTCGACGTCAGATGAGTCCAGGATTACCAGATGTCTGTTATGAATCACTTTGTCGAAATCCTACGCTTACCAGAAACCTGCTAATCGAGGAAGTCAGCCTCTGGAGCGGTCTCTATGGACGTGCTACCTGTAATGAAGGTTGATCTGCCTGTGATGCTGAACGATAGGCGATTGGGTCCGCCTGGCTGTCAAAGACTGCTTTCTGTGTTTTGAATATTTCAGATTAGGCATTAAGCCACAACTTGCTAATCGATCGAAGGAATCTCCGACGTTAGGGCCGACGCTTAAATCTCGTGTAGACTACCACCTAGAAGGCCTTCGACTGTGGCATTGCTGAGAGCACTAGTGAGGAGGGTACGAGGAGTGACATCTATGGGTGTTGTAGACCTGGCAGGTATACGTTCTCGTCAAGCTCCTCGGCCAAGCCAATAGCAGAGACGTCGTAACGAACGTCATCCTTCTGGTCTCGAAGCCTGCCGCATGCACCATCGCGCGCAAAGGTTATAGTTTCCTTGAGCCATCCTACATTGGCCACCATGTGCGCCCCATGATCAGCGCAATAAAGCTCGACTTGGCAATTCGTTTCACGTAGTGCAACGATGTTGGCCTAGCTGGCTGCTACAAACCGTTGGATGGTATCAGCGGATGGTCATGCTATGCGTATCCACCTGGAGAGTTAAGCTCGACTAGGACGGCCACTGGTACCGACTATGCGAGCACGTCATTCACCAGCACGGCATCGACAGCTATGAGTAGCAGAGGGGTAGACACCTACTCAACATCCTCGATCTCGTACGCTACTTCCTCTACTGGTGTCAGCAGCGGTGGCTTGACTTGCGGCTTATCTAGAGTTGCGTGTGGAATTGTATTTAATGCCACTGGCGGCCAGTTGTTGTCCATATGGGAACTACTGTCCGACGTCCTCAACTTGCGTGTTCGATGATGTGGAAGACTATTGGGCATGTTGTCCGATTGGAGAGCAGTGCGAGGGTTTGGATTATTCAAGTGCTGACCTCCTATTACGTGTCTCCATCGCCCTCATACACGGCACAGTCATATGCCGGTCGCTCAATAGTGTATGGCGGTGGACGTTCGTCTACGGATCACTATGCTCGAATCTCGAGCTTAATCTCAGGCTCCTCGCGCATAGTCTCCACGTCAGTCGCTTCTGGCTGGCGACCACCCTCAGCAGCGACCGCAGAGGCTAATGCAGCATCGTCGCGAGATGGTGCAGGACAGAAGAATCACGTGCTATCTTGGGCGTCATTATTTGGCATGGTGGGCATAATGGTGGCTCTCTAGCGACGACAGCGGTGGCTCTTGTTGACGGGGATCTAGTCAAGCGCAGCTTGAAGCTGGTTGCACGATTGAAGTGCGGTTTGTGCCGCGATATCATCAGCCAGTAGTTTGTGGAACTTGTTGTATGCAATGAAATGGCCACGGGCCTGTCATTAGCCCGCCGTGAACTATATCATCGAAAATTATAGTAACTATAAAAGCTTTAGAACCGCTTTACGTACACACGATCGAAGACCAGGCGGTGGGGTATCCTACGGACTGTTCCTTTAAGTGAGTGAGACATGCAAGTATTGTGAGATATGGTTCGAAGTTGCCTTGCTTATATAGATATGACTCCGGGCACATAGTAAGCGAGACCGGACGTAGATTATGGCAGGACGCTGTAATGACTTAGTGACCACACCCGTGTACTATGGATTTCGAAAGGCGCGGAGTCTTTTCACGACATAGCTCGTATGCTGCTTGATATAGAATTGCCTCCTATCGTCTTTGCGACGGCGTACATCCACCTACGAGAGACCCGATCCGCTAGAACTACATCTAAGCAATAGTCGAACCATCTGCAAGCGCTGGACAAACAAGTCCAACACTCTTGCCACCAACAGTGTTCGCCTGCTGCAAAGAGCTCGCAGTAAGCTTCAGGTAGCACACTCCTTGGTCTTTGGCAAGCCGTGCTGTCGCAGTACCAGCACCTGCACAGCCCGGATCAGAGTACCTGCAAAAGTCTTGTCAGCGAGAACGCTTCTCGAGCATGAAGCATATCAGGTCTTACAAGATGGCCTTGCACTCATAACCTTTCGGAACGGCGCCATCGAGACAGATGTTGGCCGAGATATAGGTAGAGCCTGATGGGTCGTCCATGCATGCACCAGACTTGAGCTCGAACGGCGTGCCAGCTACCTCAGAGCCCGCTGCACAGGAAAGCTCCTTGTAGAGAGTGACCGTGGCGTTGGGGTAGACGATCGGAGCAGGAGCTGGAGCCCAACCATTGTTGTTGTCGCCCCAGCCATTGCCTGGGAGCGCGGCAGCGGACGCGACGAGAGCCAGGGAGGCGAGCATGGTGGTGAGTGCCGGCGACATGATGAGTGATGTAGCTGTTGGTACGGAGACTTGGTTGACGAACAGGAAGGATGAGTAACTGTTGTGAGGGCAGAAGATGAATGACAGTAGGACCTTCTTCGAGCGAGGTACTCATCTTTATACCTGGCCATCGTACGGAGTTGTCCCAATATCTCCATAGGCCTGTCCACTTTGCTGCATGGCTGGAACATTGGATTCTGCGTTTCCGCAGCGCATTGCCTGCTCCTGGCCGAGCTGATGTCAAATACCAAGACACCTCTCGCCTTGTCCTCCACCATTGCGAGGATGCTGTTCCACATCAGCTGCACCTGTTAGTCTCCATCGTTCTAGCTCTGGCGCCTCTGGATTGTTCATCCGGTCGGTGAGCGAACATGATCGTCGAGAGTTGTGCTAGTGGGGTAGCCTTTGCATGACTTAGGTGGCTCCGCGAAGAAGTGTCTTCGTGCGAATGGCGTATTATGGCGGTGCCAATGTATGTGTTGCGATCGGCGAACGTGGTAAATTCCTGCGAATCAGCTCCAACATGAGCGTTGGGGGTGCTTAGGAGCATTAGATGCCAAAGGATCAGCCAGTCCCTAGTCAAGAGTCGAAGTCAAGTCGCTGGATCAATTGAGCTAGCGAGTTCGGCATCTCATGCATATGTGGATTGCATAGGTGTTCGGCAAGGTGTATGTGGGTTTAACCTAGCGCGGACTTGTGGTCCGAGAGGGCAGCATATGCATGTCGTGCCTGGAACGAAGTGATCGCCCACGTGCATCGAATATCTTTTGAGTTCATGCGTGTTCTATCGTCTACATGCATTGCATAACGCCAAGGTTCAGGAACGGTAGTGCCATGCAGTAGTGCATCTCTATCGATGCGACTGCAAAGCCTATAGAGTGCCGACATTGCTCTATGGCGTGCAACTAATCGAGATCGCAGACAAGGACGTGTAAAAGCTTGAGCGTCGTAGTATAGCGAACGATGAGACATGGCTCTGTCGGGAACAGCGTGATTTCCTCACGAGAGAACGGAGGCAGCCCAACTTTGGATTCAGTCTATGCAAATCCGTGTAAAGCTGGGATGCAGTCTAGCCGGATGTACTCGGACTTAAAGGGTGGTGTAGTAAAAGTCCTAGTCACATCCCCAGGACCACGCCTATTCAATTGCTCTAGAACCGAATCTCTACATAGCTATCATCTTTTCTCGAGCCTCATACTTCTGTCCGTTCCTGCTACCGCCATGACATGCAGGACAAGTCCTTCCGTGAGCGATAAGCAGGAATTGTAGGTCAAACTTCTGTGCCTGCGCGGTCTCGCGATTGGATATCGCCGGGATCCATCCCTAGAGTCCTGCGAAGCGAAATACGTGCGTATCGACAGTAAATAGGTTTCGTTTCAGGCACTATCCTACAATAACAAAGGCACATTTTGGTCCGACGCCTCTATAATTTGTAAGGTCCTTTATAGCTTCTTCGTCGGCAGCGTTAAAGAGGTAGTTAAGATCCTACTTCCTATAGCGATCTTAGACCTACTAAAGTATATTTATAATAATATTACTATAATAATTACTTATTTAGGATTAGTAGATTATTCTAAGTTTAAAAAAAAAAAAGGAGTAGAGTTAGGGTTAGAGAGTTCTAAAATCGATATAGAATAAGTTTCTCTACTATCTAATAAAGTAGCTATCACGATCCGCCTCCCTCTAGCCTACTATATTAAACTTCTAAGGATATACTATAAGAATACTATCTTAGCAAAACTATAATATATTAGTAGAAAGTAAAAGTAAACCTTTTTATATTCTTTCTATTTAATATAGTAGATAGTAGAACGCTTAGTACTAAAAACTCTTAGTATACTATATAAATAATATAATAACTTTTAAAGATATAGCTACTTTTTTATCTAGCTATAAACGCTATTACTAAGGTAAACTAGCCTTTATTAGAGTATTTTAACCTACTACTATAATATAGAACTACTAATACTATAATACTATATTATAATTATAGTAAATAAACTAAGTTAGATCTAGATACTATCGCTCTAAGAAGTAGGAGGTAGAGTATAGTTTTATAGCTAAGCTATAGGCTAAAGAAGAGTAGGTTTATTATAGTAGAGAGTTATATAATACTCTTTTATTTAGCTTTAAGTACTTTTTATTAGATTATATATAGGTATCTACCTACCTAACTAATATAAGGCCTAGGAGGCAACTAAATATTAATAGGATCCTAACCAATATAAGGCCTAGAAGGCAACTAAACATCAATAGGATCCTCCCCAAATCCGGTAAGGCGCGAAGCTGCACGGTCCAGATTTTAGTAGGATCCTATTTAGTAGGATCCGCACTTCTAGAACTACCTGCAGGCGCCGTTCTACACGCTAAAATAGGATGCATCTTACTCGTAGTACTCGATTATCTGTCCGGTATTATTTCTAGTACGTCTAGATAGTATTTCGTAGTACTAGGGTTAGGGTATAGGTGTACGCTAGTAGTCGTCGGACGCGCGAGGGCGTACGGACATACGCCCGTACGTATAGGAGCGCGGGGTAAAGTATAGCCGCCTCCGCGAAGTTCGGCTACTCCCGAAGACTACTACGGTAGTAGTCTTTAACTCTACTTACCTTAACCCTTTAACTCTACTTACCTTAGCCCTCCCTACCCTCTATAAGCTATATAAGGCATATATAGCGTTAGGGTATATACGCTATAACTCCCTCCGACGTATTCGTGCCTAATACCCTAGCTCTAGCCTCTATATTATATAACTTTAGCGTGCCCTCGAAGCTACGATATACTATCTACCTTCCGTATTCCGTAATATAGGTAGTAATAATAGAGTCTAGTAATGCTTATACTGCTCGACAACCTCCTCTACTCCCTTCTCCCTTCTCTCTACCCCCTACGCTATCTACTATCGTATTATTAGCTACTCTACGGTAGAATTAGATAACGATATTAACCTACGATATTAACTATAGGGTGGGCTCTCTACCGCTAGACCTCGTACGACGTCTATTTACTTAGCGCTACGCCTATTTACTTAGCGCGATACCTATTTACTTAGCGCGACACCTATTTACTTAGCGCTACGTCTATTCACTTAGCGCTACGCCTATTTACTTAGCGCTACGCCTATTCACCTAGTGCTACGCCTATTTACTTAGCGCTACGCCTATTTACTTAAAATATTTACTTCTTATACGGCCAAACACGGCTACTAGCGGTGTTATACGCTAGATACGGCTACTAGCGGTATTATACGTAGCTATGCCTTCGCTACAAGTACCGACCTTTAACTCGCTCGAGAACGTACTTCCGAACGCCTATAGCTAGTAAGGATATACTACAAGCACTAGCAAACAAATAGCACTAGCACTATACCCTCCTTAAACGCTATACCCTCTTCGAATACTATACCCTCCTCGAATACTACTACTACACCCCCTCGAATACCGCACCCTCCCCGAAAACTATACCCTCGAACACTATACCCTATTAAATACTATACCCTCCTCGAATACTATACCCTCTAATACTACACCCTCCTCGAATACTATACCCTTCTCGACTACTATACCCTTCTCGAATACTATACCCTCCTTAAATATTATACCCTTCTCGACTACTACACCCTTCTCGAATACTATACCCTCCTCGAATACTACACCTACTACGAACACCCTACCCTTAGTATATAGAATACTACACCTATAGTACCGAGTACGATAGCACCTTCCCGCCTCGAGTAGGCGATGCCGCTTACTACCTAGACGCTAGCCGCGCTAGCAAACTAGCTCCTTATAGCGTATAAGGCGTTAGGAAGGCTTAGCGTAGTAGGCTAGTAGGTTGTAGGTAAGTACTTAAGGGCTACCGACCTTACGTATATCGGCCTTATCGAAGTATATAGGAGTAGGCTCGGCGAGGAGGATAGGGGCGAGGTTTAGCGGCACTTAATAAGTTAGCTTAAGGAGAAGGCTAAGGATATAAACGAGGCGGCCTTCGCGGTAAGTAAGTAGGTTGAGGTCGACTATACGTAGAAAGTAACTAGCGACGAGGACTTAGAGGATACCTACCGAGGCTTCTATACGGCCGCAGCAGCTAGTCGTACTACGAGGGACAATAAGGCGGCGCTCGCGAAGACTATTAATACGGTGTAGGGTGATGCTATACTAGGGATTAGGCCTCTAATAGGGGTTATTGAGATAGGCCGAGAAAATCCTATTCGCTAAGTCGCTAACTTAGCTAAGGCAACTAACGTCCCTAGGTAGTCGTAGAAGGACAGACTAGTGCTTACTCGCGATGCTATTAACTAGTATACTGTTCTACGCCTATAGAGCAAGGACGTAGGTCGGGGCAGATAGTCGAAGCCCGACGTTGCTATCGTATAGGGCGATATTACCTCCGCCGCCGGCATCTTAAGAAATATATAGTACCGTAGTATAAGCGAATAGCGTAGCGCGGTATACTTATCGACTACTCTCTACTAGCTAGCGGCTTTCTACGACCTTATCCCCGACGACGATAGTTAGGTACGACGGATCCCTAGCGGCATCGAATCTATCGGGATCGGCTTTAGCAATTATAGGTAGTAGGACGCCGAATACGGTCGACTACGCGTCCCGTCGATCTAACCCTCGGCTTTAGGGTATAGCGCACCCTTACGACTCCTACCTAGTGTGCCTAATCCCTAGGCTAGTATCCCTCTCCCGTATACTTCTAGGATTAATAAAGCCTAAGAGCTCGGAGCTCTAGCTAGAGCTATAGGGCCTACTACTAGCCTACTACCCTTACTATTTTCGTAGTTGCTAGGGCAGCAGCTAGGTAGCCTCGAAGAGTACGTTAATTAGAGCACCCTAGCGGCAGCCGTAGTAGGCCGCTACCGTAGGGACTCGTCTAATAGGCAAGGCGGGGTTGGTAGTAGTCCGTTCTTACAACTAGGTAGTACTAGATCGCCTAGGGCGTCGCGTTATAGTAGACTCGGCTAGAGTAGCGACTTAGGTATATAGGGGCGC